ATTGATTCATTTGAATTGGTGTCCAGGTATTCATGTTTGCAAACACACGGTGCTTATCAAGTGGATTACCGTCATTGAATGAAATATAACGGAAAACATGCTCCAGTTGATTGAAAGAATAGCAAAAGAAGTATTGATTGAAATCTTTGGCACCAAGGAATTTAATACCTTTGTCTGGTCCATTCAGTGCTGTACCAGAAGCGGCTTGGTACGAAGGGAAAGCGGGATTGGAGTGCTCAATATGAATTCCACTGATATGTCCAGTCACAGGTGCAGGATCATCCCAAAAGATCATACCTTTCAGATGACCATGTGCACCATTTGATGTTTTTCTCTTTGATTTCGATCTTTTACCGGCTTTAGTTCTAGAGTCTGGTTGATCGTTGAAAAACATATAGTAGTAATCTGGGTGTTGTAAGAAAGTTGCTTCTATTGGACTGGTATATGTGTTGGGTGTTGGATGCTGTTGGAGATTTATTCTTCTTTCGAGACGATCCATAGTGGAATCTATGTAGAGATATGGGTTGCTTGCTCCCGAACTGAGTTTGTAGACAAACCACCAATCGACTGCTGCACTCGAACCGTCTGCTCCACCTGGTGCAAGACAAGAGAGTGTATTTGAAGTGTAGGTAATTTGATCCATTGAATCGACTGCTGCGGTGAGTGCGTTGGGTTGCACTTGAATCTCCACTGGATAGACTGCCGGTGCGAGTGCTGCAATATCACAAGTGATCTCAATGTTGTTGGTGACCACTACAACGTTGTTACACGCATTGGCACCCACAGTAACAGTTATCAAACCAGCTGTATTTCCAAAGCCTGTTCCCTCAAGAGTGATGGTGGCAGCATGCTTTTTCGATCCATACTTTGGACTGACTTTGGTAATCGATGGACCGACATAATTGATGTTTGTACCAGTGTTGTATTCGTGTTCGACATCGTTGGTATCGACAACAACCAAAACAATTGGGAAAGCACCTGGAATATGAGCCGGAATGGTGCAAGTGATTTGAGCGACTTGGATGACACATGTTGTGATATCCATGATTTCAGTATCCAGCTTGACAGTTGAGACGAGATCCAAGTTGGTTCCATCGATCACAAGATTACCTCCACCCTTAGGGATGTTTGTAGATTGTGCCTGTGCAGTTACTGTCGGTTCAAAGTAAGTGAATTTCACGGTTGATGTATATGCAATGGTTTTGATGGAGAATGATAGATCTTCGGCTTGAACGGCATCACCTGGTTGCACCATACACGTCATTCTGGTTGCGCCGACCTGTTCCAATCGCTCACACAGTTTATCTTTAATCTTGACTACAAAGTATTTATCGATATCGTCTTGAGTCATACCAAGTGGGAAATCCTTGATGGTCAAAGTGACAGCGGTCTCAGAGAATACATATCCGTTGGCCGGAGTGATAGCAGAGATCTCTGGTTTGGCAACGGCGATCTGAACAGTGTTGGAATCACCGCCATCAGAGTTTACAATAAGATTAACATTTCCTACTGAGAGTCTGCTGGCATCGACGTCGACATAGAGAATCTTGTCGGTGGATGCACCGGTTGGTACAAACACCTGATCGGCAATCTTCACCAAGTTGTTCGCAAAGAATCCAGTTCCCGTTATTGTCACAACCCAGTTGGCTTTGTCAATGATTTTAGCAGGTGAAATCGATACGATGTTCGGTGTGTAATAAGTGAATTGCTCGGTGGGTGGCGAACTATATTGGCCACCGCCAATCGTTGCCACAAGACTATGAGTGACACCAGTGATATCATTCAAATCGAAAGCACTAGCTCTACATGTAAAAGTATCGGCAGTGATAGTAGTAACATCGATAGTACATATCGATCCACCAATATTAGCTGCTGTTACATCCATCAAGTAGTGTCCTTGAACAACAACATTGGTTCCACCAGCTGCAAATCCTCTCTTTGGATTGATAGTTAGAATTTCAGGAGCTTTCAGAAAACTAATATTAGTAAAGAGATTCTATCAATAGAGAATCGATAATTAACTTTACTTACTGTAGAATAAGAATTTTCTGTCACAATGAGCTTGTTGAACATCGATGGTTAATGTGATATCTTGTTGGTCTGCTTGACTTGGTGCTAGCGCTACGTTGGGTGTCGTGCAACTGATTGCGCCTGTCAGTTTGTCTACTTGGGGATTGGTGCATGGTTGTCCACCGACAGTGATGGTGGAGAAAGAAAAACCGAAGATATCGTGGAAGTTGTCACCGTTCAGCACGATGACGTGTGTTTGTCCTGCGATACCACGATCGGGTGTGACCGACCTAACGACGGGAAAGACATAGTCAAAGTTGCTTGGCCCAATCACTTCCAATCCTGTGTAGGTTCGCACCTTAATTACATAACCACCGATGTCTGCTGGCGAAATATCGGGTATTACACATTGGATTCTGTTGGGTCCGACACTGTTGATGGTGAGCGCGTGAACAGCACCGTCGTGACGAATCATCTGTGCAGTGGGATGAGGATCGTCGTCGTTGATAATGAAGTAATCTCCTTGGAGACGGAGTGTTCTGCCGTTGGCATTGGGGTAGTAAGACTGTGGCGAGAAGTCATTGATGATCGGCTCGACATATTCGAATGCACCACTAAAGTATGGAGCGGCATTGACATCGAAATGAAGATTAAATATCGCTGAGGTTGAACCTAGCCTACGTTTCTTTGAAGTGGAATCAAAAGGTGCTCTCGGTACAGTCCAACTGTAGGTATCTCCAAAGTTTCCATTGTAAGCAAAAACAACAGGTGGATTCGTTTCCAACTGTAATCGAAAGTATTGGAATATTTGGAAAATTTCTACCAACTACTTTGAATCTATAATAATTTATTATAATTGAAAAATAAATATCAATATCATGTGTGAGTGATGATCACAACCAACTTTAAAGAAATAAAATGAAAATGAAAACGTAAAAAACAAAAAGATAAATGTTACATATTTGTTAAAAAGTCAATTAAAACTAGTGAGAAAAACGAAAAAAAATTGACAGCGAACCACCCATTTTTTTTTGTTTATTGCATAATAAAAAGTTTGTGGCGACTGCAGAACACTATTTTCGCTATGTCTAGTAAGGTGTGGGGGTTTATTTGATTTTTAACATACATAAAGTTACCACCATCATATGCTTTAAGTTTTGAATGAGAATCTATTTCTATTGCATAAACTACACTGACTAAACTGATTACAAATGATATTGTAATCAATAGTAGTTGCAGTTTTTGTTTATTTATCATTATTTTTAATCTCTATCTCTATCTCGATATTAATATTTTTAATCAATTATTATAAAACGATCAAGATAAAGATAATTATATATATATAACTATTAATAAAAATTAATTATATAGAATAAAGTTTTGTGTTTTGTTTTATTTTGATATGTTGATTCAAAGTTTGACTAAAAAAAGCAATCAATATTAAGAGATATAAAAACTGACTAAAAATAATATATTGAGTATTAGATTGAAAAACACACTTTGTCTATGGTTCGTTCAATCAATAATCACGTGATCATTGCAAAACGAAAGTTTGGGTGATTGATTCGATCTTGTGGTTGATTCTGCAGAATTCTATCATTTCATGTTTCTTATGTTTGATTGTTTTTTTTTGCCTCAATCATTTAGACTCTGAACCAATTTGGTTGTGGAGGGGGTAGGTTATCTACCAAAAAAATCAAACGACTTTTTTGTTGCGATCGATCAAAAAAGTATCGATATTTTTTTGCTTTTGTTTTTCATTGTGAGGTTTTGCTTTTGTTTTTGATTGAATAAAAAAACAAGATTAACGGTGGTGATGTTTATTGTTTACAATAAAACAAGTCGTTTGAATCAATCAATTTTTATTAACCTATCAGGTAGGTATTGTTTATTATTTACAAATATTAAAAAATTGTTTTATGATTTTTTTTTTATATCTATCACATATATAGTTGATAGTCGAGATTTAACTTATTATTATAAAATAAAAAATAAGAGGAGGAGAATAGAAGGAGTTTACTATTTTTGTAAGATTTCCAATAATATTCCAATAGATAGGGCTTGTTGGATAAGCAGATTCAATCTTTGAACATATTGAACACGCATTGAATAGTCCAAATAAACGAGAACCATCTTCCACTTGTTATTTAACCACTTGTTCCATATACTATATTAGTTTGATTCTTTACATATCTTTTGATGAATTAGAATTAATAAATTGTTTTTTGCCAAAAAAGTAGTAGAGAGAAGAGGCATGTTTCATTGATGTAGATATTTACTGTATTTGAATTCTTATATGGCAGCAGATTGAATATTTTTTAACAGGTTGTTCAAAGGTATACAAACACGTCATATCTTTCCTATGAAACCTTTATAATCCTATGAGAATTATTATCAAAAAACAAAGTTAAAAACATGAAAAAATCCTTTTTTGTGCGATGCAAAAATATATATTTTTTTTGAGAGAGAATCCACCAATTGAACGCGCCCTCTTAACTGCAGCAGTGATGTTACCACCTTCTGACCACACATCGTTATCCTCCAACATGTCATTGATGAGATATCCATACGATGACCATCGCAACCACCGACCAACATTTAATACTTCTCAACAAAACGGAATCCAGGTGTTGTCTTTCTCGTTCCGGCTACCTTACCATGCCACTTGACGCCATCGAGGTACATTGAAATTGGAGCAACACTGATTTTGAAACTACAACAGCAAAACCAACAGCTTCATCGCCAATAACAAGAGTACCAAATACAGTAACCACAACCTCATAATCTTCTTTAGATACATAGTTATTCAATAATAAACAAACATTTCGTTCTCTCTCTCTCTCTCTCTCTCTCTCTCTCTCTCTCTCTCAATCTCTCTCTCTCTCTCTCTCTCTCTCATAAACATGTATTATACGAATTTGAAATGTCATTCTACATCACCTTTGAAAATTAAATATAAAATTAAATGATTTTGATAATAGTAGTTTATATTATTTTCTTTTTTGTATCTTTAAACTTATATCAATGTGTGGAACCGATTGACAGAGTGAGCCCATCGAGATAATGTCAACGGTGGGAAGTGCATAGGATGCCAATGTCTCTGGAATGACTCCACCACTTGCTTCGATTACGATGTGTGGGTATTTCGTTTTGAGTGACTTTGATACGACAGCAAGCATTGGTGGCAACATGTTGTCGAGCATGACGACATCGGCACCGGCTTCCACCGCTTCGACAGCTTCGTCTTCAGTACGACACTCTACTTCCACCTCGAGAGAGAATCCACCGATAGAACGTGCTTTCTTTACGGCGGCGGTGATGTTACCTCCTGCCGACCAAACATGATTATCCTTCAACATGATCATCGATGAGAGATCCATACGATGACAATCGCAACCACCGACCAACATTGCATACTTCTCGACCAAACGGAATCCAGGTGTTGTCTTTCTAGTTCCGGCTACCTTTCCGTGCCACTTGACGCCGTCGACTATCGCACGCAAATCGAAAGCACGAGTAGTAATACCACACGATCTCGACAGTATATTCAAAGACAAACGTTCACCCATCAGTATATTTCTTACGGCACCTCTAACCTCTGCTAATACAACAGGTCCATTTACAGGATTGAATTCCTCACCATCTTTAATATTCCATTTTACACTGAAATAAAAAAAAAAAAAAGAATAGATAGAGTAAGTGACTAATAGCGCTATTTATTACATATATAATTTATTGCTTGTATGCTTACCGACAATCTAGTAATTCAAAGATTTCATTAAAGAAAGGTGTACCTGAGAATACACCACGTTGTTTACCAAGAAGAAATGCAACTTCTTCGACATCACCCACCACAGCACCACCATAATCGAATGATGGTATATCTTCATCTAACCAATCTTTGATTTGTTGTTGTAATTTAGATTTTGTAAATAAATGTGAATAGTTTACTTGATTCATTTCTTTCTGCTATAATGTATATATATAAATTGCTTTATTAAAAATGTATTATAAATGTTATTATTAAATAAATAAATAAATAAAAGTACAAAATAAATTAATTTAATATTAAATATAATTTAATTAAAAAAATCATAATAGTGTGATCTGAAAACTTTTCAAAGTATTTGTTTTTTTTTTTTGAAATCAGCTCATAATTTGTTCGGGGTTTGATGTCCAAAAAGAATACTTTAAAATTAATTTAAATTATAAAACTGTTGATGTAATAAATAATACTATTAATCCCAATCAAATCTGATTTGAGGAATGTATTAACTACTTTTTTTTTAATTTATGCCAATGCAATAAAAATTAGAAGATACTAAAGAGAATAGATTATCTCTTTACCAGGAACTGCAAAAAGTCTATTGTAATGAAACTGACAGCACAACTCACCTTCATTTAAAAGAACTTGAAAGGAAAGATTTAAAAACAAACAATTCTCAACTTAAATCTTAAGGTTAGATTTGATCAAAAAAAAAAAAAAACAAATAGAATTTGTGGGTAGTCCATGTTAGTAACAAGTCAAAAAAAGTCATTCCTGACCAGCAGTGTGGGTGGGGTTGACTGTTCATAATAAAATTTGACCACTTTACATTTTACTCTTAGATATATTTTGATAATCCTTTTACAAATAGTAGTCTTATAAGAGATGGAGTGTTGTTCAAAGCATAGTTGTCATTTTCAGATAGTGTGTTATAAATGCAAAACATTGTTGTGTTAATCTTGTTTGACAATACATAATAATCAATATAAAGAACATCATGATCATTGTGATCATATAAATAAAATCAAATCTGATCTTAATAGTAATTTTGATAAAATAATTAATAATAACAATAATAATAATAATAATATGTGATATTAATGATCTATTTATAAATAAAAGATCGATATGGTCAGTGTTAAAAGATTCATCACACTACACATTCAATCATTAAAATCGAAAGAATCAGAGGTATCACAGAGTTACATGAATATTTAAGAGTTGAAGAACATAAATTAAAGATATCAATCACTGATGATATTGACACACAACCAACAAGTTAATCAATTACTGAATGAATTAAAACATTTAATCGATATAAATAATAGTAATAATATCATTCAAAACAATTCAACCTACAACGTCCATTACAAGTCGTTCAACCATTCAATATCTATAATGTACAGTTTGATATTCAGCCATTCAGATCGATGATCCACAAGTCGATCAGTGTAACAACACCCAGCCAGAGTAAAAATACTATCCTATCCCTTCATAGAAACGGTGCAACTTTGATCCATTTTATCGATGAAGATAACTTTCATACGGAAGAGGTAGAGTTTCCTGAAGGGTATATACTCCTCGAAGACATCTAGAGTGAATAAATATGGTGTCAAGTACAGATGATGAGAAGTCATCATCGACAGTTACCAATAAATTCAATGCATTGCTCTATCAGAATCAAAGTAATAATAATAACAACAGTCATTATGTAGATGAATCAGATCAATACATGTCTACAACATCTAGATGTTGATCTTACGAAATACAACCATGTCAGCGGCATTGGTAGGTGAAGATATATATTTACTGGTTACGATGAAGGTACTAGCAAGTTTATCAGATACAATATAAAATCGAAATCGTTTAGCATTGTCGAGAACGTAGAGAATTTAAATCGTTACTACAATGTCTCGATATGCTATGACGGTGAAGATCATATCTATATGATTGGCGGCGGCAGAGATTCTATGCCCGATGCCACGATAGAGTCATTCAACCTACACTCATCGATACTCTGTCGAACAAAACAAATGGGAACCATTTTTGAGAACGATGAAATCGATCGTAAAACATTTGGAAGTATAATCATTTAAAAAACAAATAAATATAATAATTCAATAAAAGACATTTCTTTTATCTTAAATTGGTTTTATTTATTTAAGATTTAATTAAAGAGTACTGTATCCTTCAGACCATAGGTGTAGATTTAATTTTCTTTATTTAATTATAAAATAAATTAAATAAAATAATTGTCCCTTCTTTAAGTGGTTTGATTATTTAACTAAAGAGTACTATATCCTTGAGACCACAGGAATCTTCCATTAGAGTTACAAACTACTATTTCAGGCATTGAAGGAAGTAGGAAGAAATAATTGCCGTTAGGGAGTGATGGATCATATAATGAACTACTTGTATCAATCATTGTCTTGGCATTGGAAGAACAAGTGTATGTTGTATCATATTTTACTTGATAAATACCAGTCGATGACCATTCATTTTTACAAAAAATAAAAGATTTTCTTGCGATTGAATGATTTGGTTAGGAAAGTAAATTTTTGATTGTATAAGTGACTTCAAAGATTTGTAAGCTTAGGAATCTACTTTCATATATATAGCTTGTGCTTGGTTGTTGAACATAGTTCATTTCCATTCCTGAGATACCAAAATATCCAAATGTAATTGGTCCATTAGATGAACGCAATACAATAGCTCTATCACCAGAATGGTCATTACCTGGTGCTGGAAGTTGAAGAAATTGGGATGATTGAATCTTTAGGGTGTTCGAGCTACCAAAGATATGACACATATATGTTTCAGTTATTGAATTGACGAAACAAAAAGAGTTTGTATCACCATTGTAATGAACATACATTCTGAGATCATCTTTAAACAAAGATGGATTTTCAATTCTCCATAAAATAGTGGATCCCTGGTTTGGATTTTGTCCATATAAATATGCGCCATAGGAATCACCAGAAGGTGTTTTCTTGACAATCAAATAATCTCTTCCATTGGTGATGAATTGATTGACTCCAAGATAATTATTTGTTGAATCTTGGTGGTCAATGAATGAACCTGGAATCAATCCAATTTTGAATGATGTTGGATATCCTAATTTCGACCAAATCATCTTGTTTTGTTTGTTTTGAACGATCATTCCATATTGTAAACCATAAAGATTATTATCAAGAAGATTGAGATATTGACCTCCAAGATTCCAACATCCAATTGCTGTATATGTTCCAGATTTACCATTCAAAACAACATTTCCATCTGATTGAATTGTAATTGAATATGGTCCTGTTGATGATGTTACACCCAATGAATATACTTCAGAACTTCCATATTTTAGTGTTAAGTATCCATTTGAATTGATTGTTAGAGATAAACTTGATGTCTTGAGTGATCTACCTTCTGGAAGTGTTGTTGGACATTTCAATCCAAGTGAATCTAAACATGCACCTGGGAACAATGGAATTGATTTCGAACTTTCAACTAAAACTGAACTTGGCTATATGAATTATTATTTGAGAAATTAATAATTAATTTTAATGAATTATTATTGTAATAACAAAAACTTACATAATTCCAAATTTGATTTTGATTTGATGAATCACAAGTTTTGAATTCAACTATATTTGAAACAGTATTGAGTTGAAGACATAATGAAGTAAAATATTCTTGAATTGTATATTGTCCATTTGTTAATTGATTGAGAATATTAAAATTGTTTTGTGGAATCGATATTGTTCCAATCAATGTTGTTGTTTGATTATTCATATACATCATTGTTTGTGGATTGTAAAGATGTGGTCCAAATGAATCATATTTCAAATACCAGAATTGTTGAAGATTCGATTGATCACATGTTGAAAGTGTTACTGATGATCCAGATGTTGTTGGTGCAGTTAAACAACTTTGTGATCCAACATTTTGAATCATCTTATATTCAAGATCTTGATATGAAAGGAATGATGGTGTAGAATCACTTGTTGTATTCCAAACAATACCTTCATTTATCCAACCTAACATATTTTGAACAGTCGAATATCCATAAACCACTCCTGATCCAAGCGATGGAATTTGAGTTCTTGAATATCTGTAAACTGGTTTGGTAGAAGGTATTACCAAATTAGATTCATTATATACTTTGAAAGCAATACCATCGTTCACCCAACCACTTGAAGTAAATGAACTATTAGTTGTATAATAGAATCTATCGCCATTAGTGAATTTGAATTGATAAACAAATTTTTTATCAATATCATAAGCAGTTGTTGGATCAATAATTACAGACCATGGAACTTGGAATGCTTTGAATGAATACCCTCCAAATGACCATCCAAAGTTTGAAGATGAAGAACTCTGAATAAAATTAACAGTTCCATATGGAGATCCATTATTTGTAGTTGAGCTCTTATCATTGAAATTATTGTCTAATGGCCAATATCCAACCAAACCTGGTTCATTTCCAAAAATCTTTTTGTTCATTGTGTTTGATATTTGTGTTTGAGTGATTGCAACATTCCACAATGTAATATCATCTATCGACCCAATAAAGTGTGGTTCAGTTATGTTATTATAATAACTTGAACCAATCAATAAAGAATTTGTTGATTTAGTACTCAAATTCGAACCATTTATTGTTGTTGTAAGTTTAACAGCATCCAACCAAATTTCTAGTGAAGTACCTCTACGAACAACAGCAACATGATGCCAATTTCCATCTAGTATTTGTGTTGATGATGATGTAGCCTTGAAAAATCCAGATCCATTGTCAATTGTGAAAATAATTACACCATTTGTATTGATTACAATTCTCCATCCACCATTGGTATTTCCTCCAAGTGAAGGTTTATTTGTCATGATTGTTCCGGTACTGTTGTTTGAATAAGAGATGTTGCTGAGAAAGAAGTAGTTCCAAAATCATATTCCATTTTGTTTGGGATACTAATTTGATTTGTTGATCCAATATTAAATGCAAAATCGGTAGATGGTTTGTTTGGAAGACTAAGAAATTATGAAAGAAATTATTAGTATTTTAAAAAATTAATAAATTTATATAATAATACTTACTTGTATTGATATCTAGCTTCACCATTTGAATCTAGATAATAATATTGTGAGACAGCAATTGGGGATGGGGAAACTGGGAAACGGTAATCAATATCATCAAATGCAATCGATAGACCAATCAAAAATCCTACATCTGTTCCTTCAAATCCTGGGTCAACAATATCGACAACACATTGACCTGGGTATGATGAATCAAATTGTTGAGCTTTGGAACTGGTTAAAACTACTCCGAGGGTTACTTGAATAGAATCAATATATGTGAATGTGATACCATAAGTATGAATCGGATCAGTGGATACTGATACTGAAACAATTGGAACTTGTCTTAAAATTGAAGTTGGATCGGGTATAATATTGGGTCCTGAAGAACGTCCAATTAACTTTGTAGATCCATCATTATATTCAATGAAGAGTCCGACCATTCCATAAGTATTTACAAAATATGGTGTGATTTTTGACATCATTCTTGTCGATGATACTTTTCCTGCAACTACCTCTGGTCTTTGCAATTTCTTACAAGCAGAATATATGCAATCATCTTGTTTATTAAAAACCCCAGCAAGATTTGATAAAAATATAGGTGAGACTGGATTAATCGATACACCATTTCTATATGTATTGATATCAAAATATTTCCAATTGTATGAGAATGCTGTCACTGATACATAGAAATGATTAAGTTGATCAGAAATTTGATTCCATAATTGAGGTGGATATCTAATAGATTCATAGTAATCTAAGGATTTAATATGAGTATTGATTACTGAATCGGAATACTCGGCATAACTGATAATCTTTGATTTCATCAAACTATCATATCTAGTTTTAACAGATTGACTCCATCCCAATTGATTTCCATAATTTACACCATCACGAATCAAAGTTAAATATAGATTAGCAAACTGAGCAAACAATGGTAAGAGTAATGCTTGGAATTGTTGTGTTTTAAAGAGCTGTTCTTGACGAATCACTTGAGTAACACATGAAATGTAAACAGAACTTAGGTACTCTGGTGTAGAATCTGGATCTGACATGGAAGCTAAGTAGTATTCGTTCATCAATTGAGAATATCCTACTAACTCTGATTGAACCAAAGCATAGGTTGCATTATCAATTTTATCGTCAATTGCAGCTTGAGCATAGACTAGGATACTGTTCCATACTGCTTGAGGATCGTTTTGGTTTGGGAACAAAGAATTCACAATGGCACCTGCCAATGGTGGTGGGAACCCTGGGAGAATAGTTTCAACGATAACAGATGCTCCTGCAGCAATTACATTCTTGAGTCCTGCAAATATACTGGGGAACTTAACAGGAGCGGGAGAGCACTCGACTTTTGAATTTTGATTAAGTGATAGCAATGTTAAAACAAATAAAATAAATAATAAATTTGAATATTTCATTTTTTTTATTTATGAGTTTAATATTATACAAAGTTGAAACTTCATATTTATAGTTCTTGAAATTGTTGTTGATGAGTAGACTTATTCATTGAGGGAAGAAATTCTACGTGGTTGACCCATTAATAAAACAAATATTTATCAAGTTTATTATAAAATAATTGATTTTCCATAGTAAATAATTGTGGCTAATTGACCACATAGACACTTTTCTTTTTTTTTTTTATGAATAAAAAATATTTTCAAATCTCACACAAGACTGCTCATATTGAACAAATTTTTTTATAATCCCAATAATGAAACAACACATATGTTTATTTGTTTAAATTGAAGCTTTTGTTAAAGTTAGACCCCTATCTTCTTGATATCAATGGTTTTTATATTCCAAATACCTTCAGGTAAACTTAATTCTCAACCAGATTTAAATTTTCGATTTTTTTTGTTCAAATCACCAGAATCCCGAAAATGAAACAATTTCATATGAAATTTTTCATTTTTGGGGAAAATAAACAATTCATATGAAATTTTCAACAGTTTTTTTTTACCACTCTTGGTATTTTTTCTACTATTCTTGCTTGTAACCATAAATCGAATAAAATAAAAAAACCACTCAGATCACATTTACCCTTAATTTTTAATTTTTACTTTTTTTTTAAAATTAATGCGCAGGCGAAATTGGTTGGGAGCCAGTTTTTTTTATAATAAAAAATCCTTTATAGTAAAGTATGGCATAACTTGTTTTTATATCTGATTGCACAATTTAATTGAATTTATTTTTTAGTTGTTATTAAACCACGTCTGCGAAATATTTTTTTTTTTTAAAAATTGCAATTACACAAAATTTACTTAAAGCTATAATCTATTAGGAAATATTTATTACAAAAATTAAATATCATTATTGAGAATCATAAAAAAATGATCGATTTAACATCAATATATATGAGTGAATTACAAAACAATTTACAAAACAAAGAATTTAGATCTCTTGACCAAGAAACAACACCTACGTTATATTATAATACGACAGTGAACTTTGGAAATCATAACAACCAGTACTAATTCTTAACAGTCAGATACAATACAACTGATATTGTAACAACATCCTCTTGTGAATGGAGTAACACAACTTCAAAGTGGTGACAGTACTAGTACCTCTACTTTTGAAATCACAACTTCATTAATAAGTATAACAAATTCCTCTGGTGAAAGCACACAACATTCATCTGGTGACAGTACAACCTTGGGTACAATTCAATATAGCAACATCCTCTGGAAGTTAATACAGGTTGTCGAGTATGAATACACCTTCAACGGCTCCCATCGCTTCGACAGCTTTGTCTTCAATGCAACACTCTACTTCAACCCTGAGAAAGAATATCCCGATAGAGAACAAATTAGTTAATTTGTGATATGATTAACTAACAGATGATCATTGCAATCCTGCTCGAACATATTTTTTAAAAGGATCCGGTAATCCATGAAGTAAATCGAAAGACGATAACTTATAGATAGAATATAATACACAATATTTTTGAATCAATTAAATAGATTAAATCGATGTCTATGAAGAATTTTTTATTTTATTTATTTCTATTTTTAAACATCTATAGTCTGAGTAACTATTTCTTTATTATTATTTAAAAATTCTCTATTTAAATTGAACATAATATTAATGTTAGAACAACATATGTTATGTAAATCGTTGTATCTTTGAAAGATATTTCATTTTTGATACACATTAATAATGTATAGAATGTATTTATAAATTTGTGATTTATGGACGATGGCGGTCATGATGGGTGATTGACTGTATACAAGGTAATATTGATTGTGAATCATTCGAATCCATATCTTTTCATTTCGAATATCGCAGAGATGAATTAAAGTCGTTGGTGCAAAGATAATGGGTGGAATATAAACTGAATTTCTCTGAGAGAAAAATGATATTTCATCACAGACTATGACCAATTCTTGAATGGAGCCTGCACCTGACATGTCATATCGCTTCTGAAGACCACCAATACAATCCAACTCTTTGGAGAGTACCAACTTTTTCACTGAACTCGGTATCGATATCGATTTTTGAAATTTCGATGTCAATTGAACTGAAAGTGTTTCAATACCGAATGGAATATCCACTTCTTCTTTACTATCCTTTGAGTTTTTCATAGCTATAGATCCATCATCAATCATCATATTGAATTCCAATTCTTTGATCTTCATGTCATCAAGAATAGTAGTAGTAGAATCTATTGGTTTTAACCTGAGATAATCCAATTGATACATCGACCTATCTTTGAATACACTATTAAAGTCATAATCACATTTCTCTATATCCAGATATCTAATAGTTGGTGGCATTTCATTTATCAACGTGATACGAGTGCGAAATTCCAATCTTGTGAGTGAAGCTGGTAGACAATTCAAATCCATATGAAAATCTTGTGAAGCATTACCAACTGTTAATGTCTTGAGATTTGTAAGTGTTTTGATTTGTGGTAACCATGATGTTGGTGCATTTTCCAATATTCTAAGTCTAAGAGGTAGAACTCCATCTTCGATAGTTGAAATGTTTCCAGAGAATTCCAGTACTTCAAGATTCGATGGAAAAGTTCCAAATTTAATATCTTGTTGGAAAGTGGATTGTTTGAATTTGAGAATCTTCAAAGATGATGGTAACACTCCAGGTTCGAGTGGGTGATTGAATGACTTGTTGAAAATCAATTTCTCCAATGTGCTTGGAAGAACACCTGCCAAGATTGGTTGATTGAAATATCGGCCAAACTTGAGTGTTTTCAAATTCGGTGGAAGACATCCAGGCACTACCTCCTCGCGAAACATATAGCAGAATGATAACGATGTAATATTCATTGGTAATTCTGAGATTGATTGAACATACTTTAACTTTGGTATATTTAAATCGGATATCAATCGATATATCTTCTTTATATTCTCTTGGTTTTCAGCATTTTGCTCTAAACCAATTTTTAATTTATCAATGTTTAATCTTTTAAATCTTTCGATATCATCAAATTGATCTAAATATAAATAAAAGTTAATTAGTTTATTGAAACATATACTTTTTATGTTAATATTTTATTTACCTTTTGTTATTACATAATCATAATAATATCTAAAAAAATCTCTACCAAAAATAGCTTTATTTTTAGTTTTTCTATTGATATCATCGATTATCATTGATTTATATGAATTTAAATGTATATATTTATTATTTCGATCATTAATGATGTTGATATGATGATTATTAAAAGATAGATATTTATCTCTTTCATTGTACCATTTTTTACAAACCAATGTAAACACTATTCTATCTATATTATCATTGATAAAATTAATAATTTTTGCTAATAAAATATGTGAAAAAATATTATTATTGTTATTATTATTTGATTGACTATTGTCATTATTATTACTACCAAAAGCCATTTTATTTTTATTTGTTCTTTTTACAATCAAAGATCGTCATTATTTAAATCTTTCATTTTTGTGGCGCAAAAGACAAAAAAAATCAAAATTTCAATTTTTTATGGTGTTAGTTACCACCAAGACGACAACGTCTGCAGTCAACAAAAAAATTGTTTTTTTTAATTAATTTGCTTTTGACGTGGCAATTTTTGATTATCTAGGTATTTAGTTGTTAGATCTTATATTTATTTACAGGTAATCACATGACTCGACAATATTGATTTGGCTGTTTATTGAGAGAGAATACAGACTAAACTGATACATATTCTATCTATGTTATCTTCAAAGAGTAAACTCTTTAATAATAACAAACAATAAATATGATAGATTAAAAATCATTGAATATTAAGAGATGGAATAAAAAAGTGGTTTTTTTTAATGAACTTCAATTGTTAAAAATTAAAAAACCGTTAAGCGCAATCTTTTTTCATTTTACTTATTACAATTTTATTTATCAAATAAAGAATATATTAAATATTGAAATATCACGTGTATTTTAGTACATTTACAAAAGCTACCTAAAGTTTAAAGTTGCTGAGTTATGTATAGTTATTTATGTATTATATATATCGAGCAACGAGTTTTATCCATATACAACGGTTATGTAAGTATAAATATCATTACCAAAATTAACACACCACTGCGATTACTGTATTACCACACTTATTATCAAAGATTGCAACATCGATGAATAAAGATATATTTAATAAAGTAGTTATAAATAATAAAGTATTAAATAAAATAATATTTGAAAATCTAGTTCATTCAATAAACCGATCATCTTTTTTATGGAGCATGAAAAACGAGATTCGATGGTCGGAAGTTCGCTCGTGTCTATGCATCAGCCAGTTGTCAACAGTGCTCATCGGTGTCGCCAGGCGTGACTGTAGCAGAACAATGAGTAGGAAAGCAATCGACCGTGTGACGACAGAAAGTAAATATACATTGACAAAACACAACAAGAAAAGCAGCAGTATATCGTTCATGCACACCGAATAAGAGTACCAACTAAAATAAAACTGTCACCGGAACACCAAAGCTACCGAACAATAAATAACATGACAAAAAACGAGCCAAAGAGTTATCAGGAATAAAAAACACGTGTCGCAAAAGAGTATCCTCGAGGAAAAGAGAGAAATGACAACGTTTATTTTAATCGTGTTGTTCTTTACTATTATTATATTGTTACTACTTGACCGAGTTACCCAACCAGTCTAATATACTCTATTACGAATATCGCAAATTGAAAATCGACATAGAGAACCACTTGCTGTTCACACATTTTTTTTGTTTTTGCATGAAAAAAAAGTTTGTGGCGATCGCCTGCAGAACACTATTTTCGCTATGTCTGGTCAGGTGTGGGGGTTTTAAATGATTTTTAACATACATAAAGTTTATTAAATATGTTAAAAATCATTTTATGAAAAAATTAATATTAAAATTTTTTTCTATTTAAAGTTTACCAAAATCTTAAGGAGAAGCTTGACTGTAATATGCCTTATGGTATCTAGATAAATCTAACTAATAAAGTTTTAGTGAAAGATAATCCAGATCAGTCCTTTTTGTTTCGTCAACACAATAACTAGAGCTTATTTTTTCTTGTCTTTGGAAATTGGAAAACACTAAGCATTAAATCATCTCGATATCTTCAACATACAACACCAAGAAGTGACCAAGTAACAGAATGGGGTGTAGTATTGCTTTCAGCAACAGGATCTTTGACATTTGGTTATTTTGGAAACTCTGCAGCGAAACCAAATACAAACAATTTATATCTAAATAGATTCTTAAGTTTCCAAATTACCCGTATGTCAATTTGGAGAAACTCTTAAAATTGGTTTTATAATAGTGTGGTATGATGGTAGAGCAAATAGATAAAGTTAAAAATATAAATAAATTGACTTACGGAATGGAACGTTACCCTTCAAAAAATATATAAAAATATATTATTAATCTTCTTTATTATAAAACGAAATGATTATATATTCTTTATCTTGATTCTTCTCTAATTCATTGATTTACTCAATAAATTTAAACGTCGCCTTAAACTCAACATATTATAGTCTGGCAACATTGAGGAGCTTGATGTCTGAATAATTAATAAATATTCCTGAAACAACAGATTTAATTTAATTCTTATTTTTTAATGGATCTGTTTTTTTGTGATATTACTTATTTAATCAATTCATTTCAAATTTACTTTTCAATAAAATTTATTTAACACTATTCCAAAAAGAAAGTTATTCTATCCTTTTAAATTAAAGAGAAATATTATATAGTATTTATTTTTAAATTCCTTATTATTGTAAAATTTGGTTTAATTTAATTATTGGGTTTTATTTAAACAATGGGAACTGGTGTTGAATCACTTGTTGTATACCAAGCAATACCTTCATTTGTCCAACTTCCAATATTTGGATCAGTTGAATATCGATAAACTAATCCTGATCCAAATGATATTGAATGTCTGTAAACTGGTATGGCAGAAGTAATTCTAATATTTGATCCATATACTAGGAAAGCAACACCATCATACACCCAACCACTTGAAGTGAATGAACTATCGGTTGTATAATAGAATCTATCAGCATTTGATTGAGTGAATTTGAATCGATAAACAACTGGCTTTTCAATATCAGCGACTATTGTTGGATCCATTCTTACAGAATATGGTACTTGGAATGCTTTGAATGAATATCCTCCAAATGACCATCCAAAATTTGATGATAGTGTACTTGGAGCAAAATTAACTGTTCCAGTTGAAGAACCAATATTAAGATTTGAACTCTTATCATTGAGATTATTATCAAATGGATAATATCCAACCAATCCTGGTTTCATTTCCAACAATATTTTTATTCTTTAAATTCGATATTTGTGTTTGAGAGATTGCAACATTCCATAATGTGACATCATCGATTGCTCCAACAAAGTGTGGTTCATTTGGATAATAATTTGCGCCAATCAATAAAGCTTTGGTTGATTTTGCACTCAAATTTGAACCAGATGATGTTGTTGTGAGTTTAACAGCATCCAACCAAATTTCCAATGAACTCAGATCTTCTAACAACAGCAATATGATGCCAATTTCCATCAAGAATTTGTGTTGATGATGTTATTGTTCTGTACGAATTGAGACCGTTATCAATTATGAAAACAATGACACCACTTGTATTGATGACAATTCTCCATCCACCATTGTTATTACCTGCAAGATCAGGTTTATTTGACATGATTGTTCCTGGTACTGTTGTTTGTACAAGCGATGTTGCTGAGAAATCAATGGTTCCAAAATCATAAGCACTAAGGTTTGGAATATTGACTTGACTTGTTGGCCCAATATTGATTGCAAAATCAGTTGATGGTTTATTTGGAAGACTAGAAATGATAAAAATAATTAATTAAAATTTCATTAAATATAAAGATGTTTTAATAATACATACTTGTAAAGATATCTGAATACAAAGTTTTGTTCGTTATATAAATATATTGAGACAGCAATGGGTGACGAAGAAACTGGGAAACGGAAATCAATATCATCATAGGCAATTGCTAGACCACTTATATAAGAATAATCCTCCAATTCATAAGCTGGTTCAACAATATCAACAACACATTGACCAGGATACGATGAATCATATTTTTGAGCTTTGGAATTGGTGGCAACATTTCCGAGAGTGTCTTTGGTCGAATCGATATATGTGAAGGTGATTGCATGAGTATGAATTGGATCAGTGGAGACAGATACTGAAACAATTGGAACTTGTCTTAAAACTAATGTAGGATATGGTGTAACATTTGATCCTGATGAACGTCCAATCATCTTTGTTGATCCATCATTGTATTCAATGTTGAGTCCAACAAGACTGAGACCAGTGTGGAAATATGGTGTGATTTTTGACATCATTCTTGTGGTTGATACTTGAGATGCAACTGTTTCAGGTCGATTCAATTTCTTACAAGCATCGATTCTGCAATCATCATTGAAAACACCAGCAAGATTTGATAAAAGAATATGTGAAACTGGACCAATCGAACCACCAGTAGGATATAACTTGACATCAAAGTATTTCCAATTGTATGAAAACAATGTTACTGACATATAGAAATGATTGAGTTCATCTGAAATCTGATTCCATTGAGCTGGTGATTCAGGTGTTGAATCAGTGAAAGGTAATGATTGAATACGGGTGTTGATAACTGAATTTGAATAATCGGCATAACTGATAATCTTTGATTTCATCAAACTATCATATTTAGTTTTAACAGATTGACTCCATCCTAATTGATTTCCATAATTTACACCATCACGAATGAATGTTAAATATAAATTTGCAAACTGAGCAAACAAAGGCAAGAGTGTTGCTTGGAATTGTTGTGTTTTGAAAAGTTGTTCTTGACGAATCACTTGAGTAACACATGAAATGTAAACAGAACTTAGGTAGTCTGGGGTGGAATCTGGATCGGACATTGCAGCAAAGTAATATTCATCCATTAATTGAGAGAATCCAAGTAATTCTGATTGAACCAAAGAGTATGTTGCAGTGTCAATACTCTTATCGATTGCAGCTTGAGCATACACTAGGATACTGTTCCATACTGCTTGAGGATCGGCTTGATTCGGGAACAAAGAATTGACGAGGGCACCTGCCATAGGTGGTGGAAAACCTGGGATCATCTCTGGTATTGTAATCTGAGCTGCGGCGATTAGGACATTCCTGACAGTGGTAAAGGTACCAGGCATCTTAGGGGTAGCGGACACCACTTTTACATTTTGATTAAGTGATAACAATGTTATAACAAATACAATAAATAATAAATTTGAATATTTCATTTGTTAATTAGTATTTTGAATATTAAAAAATTTCATGAAAGTCTTCTTATTTAAATCTACTCTTTGATGTAATGAGGGATCAGACTTCATAATGAGGGATGATTACGTAATTGAAAGATAGTTGATTTTGATTGGATGTAAGATGATACCTTTCAAATTGATAGGTTTATTATTAAAAATATTTTACATATAATTAGTGATTTCTTAAACGATACTAACTCCCATCTCTTTCGCTTCTCAACCTCTAAAAAAAAATAAAAAAAAAATACTACTGTTTCAAATAAATACATCTTGTTTTTAAAAAAAAAAAAAAACCGGTTACACGATTATCAAAAGTAAAAAACTTTGAATGTCAATGAATTAAAATTAAAAAAATAGGGGTTACTATGGTAAGATGTTAAAAAAAAAAGGATTTTAGTTCTTTTCAACTGAGGGAACAAGTATATTCTAAACTATTAAATAAGATATTTAAATCTATCTTTCATGAGGCTATAATATTTGCAGTAAAGTGTTTATGAAGAATGATGATCATCTAAAATTTGTTAAAAATAAAACCCGCACACCAGTTCTGCAGTCCCACAAACTTTTTTTTTATGCAAAAAACAAAAAAATAGGTGAACAACTGAGGTTAGCTTTGTCGATTTTTAAAAATGCAACGTTGCATATTTTCATCTCTACATACTCTTAAAATAACTTTCCACAAAAAGTCCAAACCAAAGAATATCTTCATTTGATGACCTATCAGACGGACGGTTTAAAATGATTTTTACCAATTTACACTATTTGAATCTGAGATGAAATATCTTGTATGGTAAGGGATCAAATCCCAATTTAAATAGAAATAATGGCGAACAGTAATTGGAGAATTAGTCCCTCATTTAGAAGCGTCTCCTATGATATCCAGAGAAACTATAAATATGATTATTATAAAAAAAAAGGAAAATTTTGATGTTTTAATCTCTAACAATGAAATACACAAATCTATTATTTATTTTATTGGTTATATCATTTTATCAATCTACAAAGGTAGAGGCTAAAATTCCTAGTACTTTTACAATCATCAGAAATGCCGTTGTTGCAGGATTAACCGCTGGAGCACCAGAAATTTTTGAAGATTTTCCACCACCTTTGGCAGGTCAAATTGTAAATTCTTTGTTCCCGAATCAAGCCGATCCTCAAGCAGTGTGGAACAGTATCCTAGTGTATGCTCAGGCTATAATAGATCAAAGAATAGACACTGAAACATACTCTTTAGTTCAATCAGAATTACTTGGATTCTCTCAATTAATGGATGAATATTACTTTGCTGCAATGTCCGATCCATATGCAACACCAAAGTACATAAGTTCCGTTTACATTTCATGTGTTACTCAAGTGATTCGTCAAGAACAACTTTTCAAAACACAACAATTCCAAGCAACACTCTTGCCTTTGTTTGCTCAGTTTGCAAATTTATATTTAACATTCATTCGTGATGGTGTAAATTATGGAAATCAATTAGGATGGAGTCAATCTGTTAAAACTAAATATGATAGTTTGATGAAATCAAAGATTATCAGTTATGCCGATTATTCAAATTCAGTTATCAATACCCGTATTCAATCATTACCATATGAATATACCACTAAATATCCAGCTTCCAAATGGAATCAGATTTCAGATGAACTCAATCATTTCTATATGTCAGTAACATTGTTTTCATACAATTGGAAATACTTTGATGTCAAGTTATATCCTACTGGTGGTTCGATTGGTCCAGTTTCACATATTCTTTTATCAAATCTTGCTGGAGATATCAATGGTGACTGTCAATACTCATATTGTATTAAATTGAATCGACCTGAAACAGTTGCATCTCAAGTATCAACCACAAGAATGATGTCAAAAATCACAGCATACATCATAAATGTCAACATTAAAGTGATTAACGGACTTTTCATTGAATACAATGATGGATCATCAAAAGTGATTGGTGATATATCAGGAACACAACAAATTTTAGTTCTCAGACAAGTTCCAATTGTTGCAGTGACCATCTATACAAATACTAGGTATACATGTGGAATATTTTTCACTTTTTATGATTCAACTACTCCAGTTTCAATTGGACAAGTAGGAGACAAAAAATATGATTCATCATATCCTGGTCAATGTGTTGTTGATATTGTTGAAACTGGATTAAGACAAACAAACTCTGTAGGTGCTCTAGCAATTGCCTATGATGATATTGATTTCCGCTTCCCAGTCTCTTTGTCACCCATTGCTGTCTCACAATATTATTATCAAGAACCGAATGGATTTAGATATCTTTACAAGTATGTATTATTAAAACATCTTTATATTTAATGAAATTTTAATTAATTATTTTTATCATTTCTAGTCTTCCAAATAAACCATCAACTGATTTTGCAATCAATATTGGGCCAACAAGTCAAGTCAATATTCCAAACCTTAGTGCTTATGATTTTGGAACCATTGATTTCTCAGCAACATCGCTTGTACAAACAACAGTACCAGGAACAATCATGTCAAATAAACCTGATCTTGCAGGTAATAACAATGGTGGATGGAGAATTGTCATCAATACAAGTGGTGTCATTGTTTTCATAATTGATAACGGTCTCAATTCGTACAGAACAATAACATCATCAACACAAATTCTTGATGGAAATTGGCATCATATTGCTGTTGTTAGAAGATCTGGTTCATTGGAAATTTGGTTGGATGCTGTTAAACTCACAACAACATCATCTGGTTCAAATTTGAGTGCAAAATCAACCAAAGCTTTATTGATTGGCGCAAATTATTATCCAAATGAACCACACTTTGTTGGAGCAATCGATGATGTCACATTATGGAATGTTGCAATCTCTCAAACACAAATATCGAATTTAAAGAATAAAAATATTGTTGGAAATGAACCAGGATTGGTTGGATATTATCCATTTGATAATAATCTCAATGATAAGAGTTCAAATCTTAATATTGGTTCTTCAACTGGAACGGTAAATTATGTTCCAAGTACTTTAATATCAAACATGGGATGGGTATTTGGAGGATATTCATTCAAAGCATTCCAAGTTCCATGGTCTGTCATTATTGATCCAACAACTGTAGTTGTTGATAGGCCAATTGTTTATCGATTCAAATTCACTCAATCAAATGCTGATAGATTCTATTATACAACCGATAGTTCATTCACTTCAAGTGGTTGGGTGTATGATGGTGTTGCTTTCCAAGTTTATGGATCAAATATTAAAATTACTTCCACCAAACCAGTTTACAGATACTCAAGAGCATTTGGATCGGGATTAGTTTATGGATATTCAATTGTTCCAGATATCGCAGGTTGGACAAATGAAGGTATTGCTTGGTATACAACAAGTGATTCAACACCACTTCCAATTGTTTAAATATAAACAAATTTAAAAAAGAAATTTAAAAATAAATAATATATTTTCAATATATGTATTTTGAAATTAACTGGATAGAATAACATTCTTAGGAATAGTGTTGTTCTAAAATTAACATTTTAGAATTATAATAACCAAATCAACTGACACTTCAATAATTTATTAAGAATTCAACTATCACAATTCAAACAGTTTATGGACACGATTTCAAATAACTTAAATTAATAATCCAGCTGTTTAATAATAATTAAATATATTAGAATAATATCAACATTCAGTGAATCAACAAAATATCAATCTACCAAAGTTAACATAAAGAAATAACCAACAAGTTAATCTACAATGAATACCAAACTAGTTAATCAAGAACAGATTTCTGAGATTGAGCAACTGCACTGGTTGAAGAAATCCAACAGTATAAATACCTTGGAAATCCATTATAGAAATTAATTAATTATTCAACATTATTCAACATTACCAAATATTATTCTTATCTTCAAATTGTAAAATAAATAAATTATTATCTTTAAATATTATACTGTAAATTATATCCCTAAACTTTATTACATTCATTAAATCTATATTCCTCGTACCAAAACTATTCCTAAAGTAATTCCTAATCTTATATCAAAGTTGTAAGTATTATATTTATATGTTTATATGTATATTATAATATGATATTATTACCATTGTAAAATAACAAGTGTAAAATAAATTTATTTTATGGTCGAGTTAGTTTAAAGAATATAAAGATAAAGTCTCTTTAGATGTGTAGACGTTGATGATCAACTTGTTCTTGCAAATCAGTAAAAAAATGATACCACCTAAATATCTTAATTTTGGATACAACACTTTCTACAGAAAATAAATATTAAGTGATCAAGAGGGTACACGACATATTAACTTACAAAATTACATTAATTTCAAATAGTTCAAGTATCATTTACAAAAAAAGTTTCTTTTTTAAAGTGATTTTTTTGACTTAACATTAAATTTTTGAATCTTGACCTTCTTGTTATCCACCTCAATGGTTGACTAATAGACTAAAATTAAAAAAAAATACTATTTCGAATTGGAGAGCAAATATCATGAGTGTTATTGCTTTTGTAAATATATAGATAGAGTGAAAGCTTGTGGTGATCTATGTATATACAAATTAAGTAAACATCTTGAGTACAATATTACCATTAATATCAGTATTTCTTCCATCTGAAAATCTCTTTGATGTCTCATATTATCCCGCTTCTCTGAGAAAGATCTCATCTTCGAATAGATTATTGCAAATAGTTATCTTCAATTAGGGACCACTTATTAGATATTATGACATTAATACTCGAATTTGGTACATTATCTAAAAATAACGGTGGGTTTTCAAAATTAAGCATAATTGTATTTTGCACGAGTGAATCTTGTTTCATAAGATTTTGGGAGGCTTCTCTCGAATATTATTTGTCATTAAATTTAATAATCTAAGAATTGTATTCCAACATTTTTGATAGAAGGTGTTGGCTTGTGACCAGTTTTTTTTCATTTTTAATCTATTTTAAAACAACCACCAATTTTTTCTAAAAAACAAACTAGCACAACAGTGAATTACAAACTTTTAGTGTTTTTAAATAAATTTTATTGAAAGTTAAATGTATTTGAATAATTTAAATTTAAAATTAAATAGTACTATAACCTTGCGACCATATCTATTTTCCATAAGAGTCAAACACTACTAAATGATTTAGTTGGTAAACATAATTTTAAGAGCTTATTTGTTTGGGTTGATTTGGAAACCTAGGAATCTATTTTGATATAATTGTTTGTATTTAGTTGAGCTGCAGAGTTTCCATAGATTTTAGAGTTTAGTGGTATTGCTTTCAAAGTTTATCCACCAAAAAGGAGTATTGAAAACACCAGTAAGATTTGATAAAAGAATATGTGAAACTGGACCAATCGAACCACCAGTTGGATATAACTTGACATCAAAGTATTTTCAATTGTATGAAAACAATGTTACTGACATATAGAAATGATTGAGTTCATCTGAAACCTTATTCCATAGATCGGGTGATTGAGTAGTTGAAACATCGAATAATGATTGAATATGAGTGTTGATTACTGAATTTGATTCATCAGCATAACTTATAAACTTGATTTCATCAAACCATCATATTTAGTTTTAATAGATTGACTCCATCCTAATTGATTTCCGTAAGTAACACCATAACGAATGAATGTTAAATAGAGTTTGGCAAATTGAGCAAACAAAGGCAAGAGTGTTGCTTGGAATTGATCTGTTTTTAAAGAGCTGCTCTTGACGAATCACTTGAGTAACACATGAAATGTAAACGGAACTTATGTACTCTGGTGTGGAAACTGGATCGGACATTGTAGCAAAGTAATATTCATCCTTTAATTGAGAGAATCCAAGTAATTCTGATTGAACCAAAGAATATATTGCAGTATCAATACTCTTATCGATTGCAGCTTGAGTATTAGTTGGGATACTGTTCCAAACTGCCTCTGGATCCGATGCTTGATTTGGGCGGCAGCTACAATAGCATTCCTAATAATTGTAAAGGTACCAGGCATCTTAACAGGAACCTCATCTCCTGTTAAAGAAACCTACAATCATTCTTTGATGAAGACTAAAAAAAAAAATTTTATAAAACCAAAATTCAAACCTTTTTTTGAACACAGTTTTTTTTTCTGTTTGCTACGATTTAATTTTTCCTTGCCAAGGTCACTATCAATTTTTTAAAAGGAAACTGAATAATAAGTCCCTCATAATCAAAGAGTTGCTATAAATAATGGAGAGATATTTGTCAAATTGTATTTTCAGCTATCAAAGAATTAAATTGCCAATTTTTATATTGAAAATACAATAGAACTTCTTTCAATTTTAATAGCTATTCTGCTTTGTTTAAAATAGTCTGTCACCTGTTAATTTTATAATCTAATGCCAAATAAAAAATTGTAACAATTAAATAAATAATTAATTAATTAATAATAACACTTTACCCCATTTTCGTTGTATAGCAGATAAAAATAAATCGAAAAAAAGAAAAAATTGGGAAAATTATTTTGATTAGTTTTTCATTGATGGGTGAGAGTGCTTAATAATGATTTTTACATATGTATAATTTTTTTTTGTTCAATATCACCAAGCTAATTTTAGTAATTTAATATAAATATTTATAGTTTTCAATTAATATGGACAATAGTTTCAATGATACTATCATTGAATTAATTGATTGTATATTAGATTTATGTGAAAAAGAGAGAATACCTCAAGCAACAAAGAAACTTAGAGAGTTGGATCAACTTATTCACAATACATTGGAATCGTATAGAGCCAACAATCAACAAAATCTTTTGGAATCATTAGAATCGTTTTTAAAAGAGAAATATCATTGCTATTCTAGAATTAAGCGATTAAGATCGGAATCAAAAGAAATAGATGATCTATTAGATATTTTATCACCTGATTATAAAAATGGTAAATCAATAAATAATTAATTAATAATAGAGAATCTAATATTAAATGAATATTAACCAACTAATTTAATTTATTAATAAAATTCAGCTGGATGGAATGAAATAAGTAATAAAGATGGAATATTTACATTGTATAAAGATAATGGTGGTGGAATGCATAGCATTAGAATGGAAGGAATAGTAGAATCACCGATATTCGATCTATGCAGTGTAATATTAGAGATTGATCTATATCCAACTTGGATACCAAGACTATTGGAATCCACACAACTAGCAGAAGACAAACGCTATCGGAAAGCAATCTATTGCAAAGTGAGTTGTCCATGGCCTGTTGAGAATCGTGATGTTGTAAGTTGTTAGCTAATTAATTAATCATCATAAACAAAACAAAACAAAACAAAACAAAACAAAACAAAACAAAACAAAACAAACAATTTCAATTATTAACATTTGTTTTGTTGTTTCTATTTTACATTTAAGTGTTTATATGGATATGGTGTAGATATGTTGGATGAATGCGATAAGGTTGTAGTTGTTTCACGATCGTTTAGAGACGAGGATTTCGAAGGTGTAGCACTACCGGATGTACCAAAGAAGGTGATTCGTGTCGATACGAGAATAAGTGGATTCGTTCTCAAACCGATATCACCGACACAGACATTCGTACAGGTGATCTCACTCACCGATCCAAAGATGAGTTACATACCCTATTGGCTATTGAATTTCGTCACCACTCAATTCGCACACTATCTCTTTGTAATGCTAAGAAAACAAGCCAACACTGTATTGTCATCAGAAGAATATCAACGTAGAATCAACAAAAACCCGCTATATCTTGAATTAAAAGAGAAATCTGATAAATATTTTAATAGAATCAACAATAATAATAATAATAATAGCAATACAGATAGTAATACAGATATTACTAATAATAATAATAATAATAATAGAACAACAACAACAACAATAATAATACCACCACCTGAACATCTTTCATATACAAACTTGTAAATTTAGTACTTTTATACACTCATATATTATTAAAACATTCAAAATATATACTATTTAATAAAACAATATGTAGTTGTTATAACAACTCATTATGAGGTTATTTAAATATAAATAGGTTTTTGTTATTATTATTATTTGTTTGTTGTTATGTTGTTGTTTAATTTAATAAACTACAAAATTGTAACAATTACAACAAAATAGTTTAACTAATATAATGAGGTTTATATATAATATATAGGTTTTTATTATTTTGTTATTTGTTATTTGTTTTTGTATTTGTTGTTATTTTGTTATTTTGTTGTTTTGTTTTAAAAAAAAAAATTAAAACTAACTTTAAAGATCGTCGTTTAATCTCTTTCGGCCAACTTTGTTAATTGATTATCGATATCTTCCTCTGGTAACAATCTGAATTTGGTGTCGTCTCTACTGCAAATACCGATTTCGAGATCGGATGCCTTTAGGTCGGCACCCAATACATTCTGTAGAGTTGAAATGGCCAATTGAATGGTTTCGTCTCTCGATAGCTGTGGATTAGACTTGAACTTCTTTTCGAGGAAATTGGTTGCCTCTTGTTCCTTCTCACCAGCAGCAGTTGCCTTATAACCGAAAAATGCACCCGATGGATCCATCTTGAATAACTGTGGTCCCAACTCATCGTCGAATCCTATCAAAATCATTGCTAAACAACAACAACAACAACAATAATAACATTAGTATCTTATCTTTGTTTAAAACATCTATTGTATTGTAATTAACATACAAACACCTAGTGGTCTTGATGAAGCGTGTTGAGTTGAAAGTTGTGCTTGATCGGCAACTTTCTTGGCCATGACGTTGGGTGGGATTTGATATCCAAACTTGTGATGGAAATGTGCTGCTTCTTGTCTTGCTTTACTAACTTGTAACTTTGCATCGGCTATGTTATATATATTAATGTATTATTATATGTTTGTTAGTTTTATATAATATTAAAGGTCATATTAGTTAATAATACATACGAACAATACCAGTCTGAATACAACCAAGATAATCTGTAATTTTATAAATGGAGGAAACAGTTGATGGATCGATCAACTTGTCTGGGATCTTCTTTTGTGCTGCAACAACTACAGTATCTTTACCACGAATACCAATCGATGTTAAACCACCTGATTTAATTGCTTTGAATGAATATTCTACAATAATAATAATAAGTAGTAATTATATATATATGTTAGTTAATTCTCTTTGAAACAAACAAAACAAAAACAAAATAGACACATACCAACTTGATAGAGCTTTCCCTGTGGTGAGAAAATAATACTCATATCATAACCTGCTGTACCTGCTCTACTTCCACTCATTTTATTCTACAATATTATATATGAAAAAAGATAAAATAGAAAAATACACACAAAAATGATTTGATTATTTAAAAAAGGTAAAATGTACAAAATATATAAATTGATTGAAAGAATTAAAGATTGATAAAGTAAAATAATAAAAAAAAAATTAAATTACAAATTTGGTGTTTTTTTTGATGTTCACTTTAAAAATAAAAATATTAAAAAAAATAAAATTTAATTAGCAAAAAAAAAAGTGATTGTTTTTTTTATTTTGAAAAAAATTAAATTTGTTTATTTTTATAAAATATATTTACACAAATGTCATAAGATAAGATGATGGTCAGTCATCTGATATGATTATTATTGAGAGTTTAATTAAACATTACGATTGCCGATGAAAGTAAAGTGATTAGGATAAAGACGATCGAGATTGGCTGTAGAATCTGACTGGCTGTGTTACCACTTCCAGAGTTGCCACTGTTGTTGTCTCCGGTGCTCGGTGTCGATCCACCGTTCCAGTTGGCGTCGGCACCCTTTGGCGAAGCATCGACGTTTGGCTTGACAGAGAGTAGCTGCGATTCGAAACCGGCGATATTCTCACCCATTGGCACCTTGAATGCACCGTCCATACCGAATTCGGTGCCCCACGAATTGAGTGCCAACCAGTAGGGTGTACCGTTTTCTTCGCCCCAGCCAATGACACGTGCGGCATGTCCTTCCGCTGGGTCGCCAGTGCCACGGTACAATCCACTGCCGATATTGTAGAGGCTAGTGAAGATCTGGAAGACAGCGAGGATCGGGCCGTTCTTCATGATCTCGAGTTGCGCGTCCTTCAGGTTGCCAATACTGATACAGCCGGAACCGTAGTACAGCTGGATTGGCGAGCCGTCTTTACACTGCGATGGACAGGTTGCATCCGATTCCTTGTAGGGAAGACATGATTCTGCGGAGATTCCATTCGATAGATACTCCATCGAGATATCGAGGAAACCGAATTTACAACCAGAGTTGCAATCCGATTGACTGTTTGTCTTACAGTTCTTGGCGCAATCCACCATATATTGTGGCGATAGTAACTTCTTGATAGCTCCACCAGAGGCAATACATAATCTATCAGCAAGAATAGATGATGATGTCATAGCCCAACAACTAAGTTATAATTATTCAAAGAAATAGAAATAAATAAATTAGTTTCTAAAATTGTTTTTTTAAGAATAAATAATAAATAATTAATTAAATTATTACCTTGAACAACTTCCTTGATCTCTAACAGGTGAAATACAATTTGGCCATTGTGTTCTGGCATCGAAAGATGCTGGAATGTTGGCTCTATCTTGGTCGGTATAAGAAACAACATTATCTAAACATTGTTGTTGTGAATAAACAGTTCCCACTAGCAAAAAAGCCAATAGGATATAAATTGAAAGTTTAAACATTGATATGGAAATTAAATATCAATTAATTAATATCGGTGAAAGAAAAATAATAGAATATTAATTTTAGATAAAAAGATATATTTAAATATAAATATGTGCAAATATAATATATCTTTAAAAAAAGAGATTGATCTTTAAAAGTTAAAGTTGGATTTTTAATTAAAATACAAGAGAGGTCATGACCTTAAATAAGAAATCAGAGAGTTCAAATACTAACTGGAAGTCACATTTGTGGTGCTATCAATACGTTAATTTTTTTCAAGACGATATTATATTGCGAACCCTAGATAGTCTTTATTTAAATTTATTAAAACTTTAATTTAAAAAAAAGTGATCTAAGAGAGACCTTTTGGTATTAAAAAAAAATCGAGTCCTTTTTGATTTTCCAAATTGGGATTAATCTTAACCAACCAATTTTTTTCAAAACGTTTAATTTTGTTTTTTTTTTTTTTTTTGTTTTTTCAAAAAAATTAGGTTTAATCATTAATTATTAAGTTGTTTAAATTATTTGAAATATTAAATTCTCTTGTGTTTTTTCAATAACGGTCATTCTTTTCCGAAGAGTAACTTACTATTCTATTAAACTATTCTTGAATAGTTAAGAATTTTAGTGTAAAAAACAATTTACTCTTTTGTTATTTTTTAAATTATTGTCCACACAATAAAGAAAAATCAAGTCTTTTTTAAAATAACATTTTCTCAAACTTCAAATCAGGAGTTTATGTATTTCAAAAATGAAAGAAATAGACAAAAAGAAAGAAAAAAATTTTAGGAAAAATAGTTAAACAAAAAAAAACAAAAAATATTAAATATTGAGATTTATTTTGATGCGAATCTGATGAATACTAATTTTAGATGAATTTGTAGTTCATATGATATCTGCATCATGATGTCAACCTTTCTCCTTATGGTCCACAAAAATGTCAAAAACAAAAAACTATGCAAAGATTGAAAATTCTAACCAGGATGTGAATTTTGTGTAAAAAAAGATGGTTATGAAATTTGCACATGTGTGAAAAAATAATCAAAAAAACCCCCTCACTAATACATTTTTCAATCAAAATAATTTTAAACTCTTTGGAATAAAAAAAAAAAATCTAAACTCCAATTTTATTTATTCATTTAAAAAGAAAATATTTTGAACTATATTATTATTTTTCAGATATATAACACATAGATATATAAAAGATTTAAAAAAGATAGATTAGATAACAATTTAGATTTAAATTTATTTATTTATTTATTTATGTTGTTGTTGTTGTAGTATTATTATTTTTTGAAATATAATAATAAAATTATGTTTAGGAATGACGATGAAGACAACGATTCTTTTCAAAGAACCAACAACAAGGAAAATACACCTTTACTGATAAATAATGATATCTCTATCAATTATGCATCGGCCGACCATGAAAATAATTCGCCACCTGTAACGGGTGCCGACGGCAAATTCATTGTTTACAAAAGAAGATGGTGGGTTCTCTTTATGTTTACACTGCTATCACTGAATCAGTGTAATTTCTGGATTACTTTCTCCACGGTTGCAGTGCTCGCCAAACAATATTATAATACGGATTTGGCGAGAATCAATTTCCTCACGGAACTTGGTCCGATTCTATATGTACCGTTTTCCGTTGTGTTCTCGTGGTCGATCAATCGTTACGGAATTCGTCCAAACATTCTGATTGCATCGGCGTTGGTTGCGATTGGTGGTGCCGTCCGGTCGGTTCCAGGAATATTCCCGCTGGTCATCATTGGCCAGTCGTTCAATGCGATTGCTGGACCGTTCATGATGACTGTTCCCACCAAGATTTCCAACGTTTGGTTTCCGCCCGAGGAGAGAACCTTCTCGACTGCGATCAGCACAGTTTCAAACTTTAGTGGCAGCGCTATCGGTTTCCTACTGGCGTTGTTCGCCACTACCGACACGCACCTCAAATACTTGTTGTATGCCGAGGCGGTGTCGGGAGCACTCATTTTCATTGCCATTCTCATTTACTATCCTGAGAAACCACCTACACCACCGAGTGCCACTGCACTCGAAGCGGAGCGAGCACATCAAGCCAGCCACATTGGACTGCTCGACAGTTGGAAACAACTCTTCATTCAATCCTATAGATTCTTGCGTATTCCCTCTGCATCCATTCTCACAATCGTGTCATCAATCACCTCGGGTTGCTATGCCGGGTGGTCAGCAATTCTCACAGAAATCATTGTCAATGTATATACACCTTCACAAGGTAAATGGCTTGGTTTCTTTGGAATCCTCGCTGGTCTATTCGGTGGAATCATTTGTGGTTTTATCCATGACAAAGTACACAACTTTAAAAAATTATTAATACTTATATTTATTTTGAATACTGCTTCATATTTATTGTAAGTATAAATAATTAATTATTGGCAAACAACCTATTTATTATCAGATTCTAACATAATTTATTATTAATATAATTATTAGATTTTCACTCATTATTCAGGGAATTCTTCCACCTTGGTATTGGCTAGGTCAGCTCTTTAACATTTTAGGTGGTTTCCTGGTATGTATACATACAATATTATTTGTTTTAGAGAATAACAAACTAAACAATTATTATTTTTAAAATAACAATCAAGATAAATGGTTATTATCCAATTATTTTTGAAGGTGCAGTTGAGGTCTCTTTCCCTATTCCAGAGGCAGTTGGATCATCTTTGATCTCGATTTTGATCAATGTTTTTACGTTTGTTTCGATTGAAGTGGGTTCGTTGATTCCACCACAAACACTCAATTGGATGCTAGTTGGTTGTTCTGCAGTCTCTGTGATTCTTCTCTTGTTTGTAAAAGAAGATTACAAGAGATTAAAGAGCGATGCAAAAGTTCAATAAATCAGAAATGCAAAAGTAAGACAATTGACAACAAACAACAAGCAACAACAACAACAGCAACAAAAAAGATTAATATCTTCTTCCAACTCCAATTCTCCTCCTTCATATTTATAATTACTTTATACAATTGTAATGTATGTAATGTTTTATTTATTTCAAATTTCGAAAATTATAATAAATATTATTACATGATGACTGTGTGTGTTTATAAACATCAATGTATTTGTGTGTCTATTTAACACCCTCCATTTGATCAACGTTGAAATTAAACTCTTTTTTTAAAAATAATAATGATCAAAAAAAACCAATCTGACATCACCCACATTTACAGCAAAGTTAAGATCACGTGATCATTATTAAATTATTTTTTTAAATTGTTTATTTTTTTTTTACATTTATTATTTAATGTTGTACCAAAGTTAGAGAATAAATCAATTTCTAATCAAATTGATAAAGGTGAAATAATAATAATAATAATCATAACAAAATGAAAATAACAGAGACTTCAAAAGAAAGATTAAAGATTGAACATAGTGATAGAAATAAAGAATGGACATTGGGATTCGTTATTGCTTTGGTTGGGTTCCTTCCATTCTTTATGCATTCGGAGGGTTGGTTTCTCTTTTGTGGAAAGTATCTTTTCTTGGCAACGTTTATACTGATGGGTCTGCTCAATGTTCGCGATGAATTCAACATGACGCTCGACCTACAAAAGAAAGAGATCACAATGAACTATCGTAATATTATCGATATCATCAAGCGCCAACCCGGAATGGATTTGGTATTCGATTTGAGTCGATTGACTCACGCCTACGTACAGGAACAGGTACACGAGAAGAAGAAACTTCAAAAGATATTCTTGATGTTGGACGGTAGTCTGAGTATTCCATTGTCAGACACACTCTATTTCGATGTAAAGTTTGCAGATAACATTGCAGGAACAATAAACAAATGGCTAAAGGAGAACAAAGTTGGTTCTCGTTTCACTGATACCGATAGTGATGAGGATGGTGCTCAAACAACCAAGAGGAGACTCAAAAATAAGTATTAATTCACATAATATAACAAATTATATCTTAATTGTAATGTAAATAAAAAAAACAATGTTAATATTACTAATTTTTCAAATATATATACACATATTATTATTTATATTTATTTTATTTTTAAATTGATTTGTTGGATTGCTGTTTTTTCTATGCAAGAATTGTTCTTCCTCTAACTTTAATGTTTGGATCATTTGAGGCTGTGAATCCAAAAGAAAATGTTTCATTTGGTTTCAGTGTGGAAGCGTAATCTGGCAGAACGAATACCAGTGAGTTTGGAACATCTGCATCCATTTCTTCTCTTTGTATGACAACAATGTTCCAGTATTTCAAAACATATTTCGATGGCACCAAATAGAATGACATACCAGCATATGTATCGGAGCTTGGATTATGTAAATCTACTTGATATTGATAGATTTTATTACCACCTTGTTTAAAGACACTAACTATTCTTTGTGTGATTTCAACTGCAATCGTTTGGTGTATCGATACAGAAATTAGTAAAATTAAAATTGCAAAAGCAGAAATATTTTTCATGGATGGGATATTGAGTAGGTAGTACTATATAGTATTATTTGATTATAATTATTTGTTTGCAAACACAAAAAAAAAAAAAGTATTGATAATATTTGATCAAATAATAACAAAAATAATTAATATTTATATTTTAAAATTTATACAGATTTAATTTTTTTAATATTTTTTGACTATTTAGTCAAATATATATATTTGCCTGATTATATATATCAGTTCTATATAACGATAATGATGTAACCAGTTACTTTCAATTATTATTAAAAATGTAATCACAATTTGTGTGTTTAAATAAATAATCAATCACAAAAGGGTACTTGTAAAATTATCAAATTGTGTTTGTAATAATAAAATAATTTAAATGGTTTGGTGGTGTTTATTATTTGCCTGTAATTGTAATTATTGATTTGTTTTTGCTTATTATTGTTGTTGTTGTTTGATTTTGGATTAATTGTTCAATTTTGATATTATATATTTCTTTTGATCGGGTGATAGTGTATCAATCAATTGAATTAAGCCGTCTAAAGCTGCATCTGAATCTTGTTGTACATAGTGAACAATTTGGTTTTGAATGTAGGACTTTCTAAGATCGTTGATCTTGTCTTGCAATAAATTACATGAGTTACTGAGGAATTCAGATCGCCACTGATTCTCGTGGAATTGAGCTGGCAATTGGTTGTCTTCGGACATTGCCAATTCTTCGATCCATGATTCCAAGATTTGTTTGCGTTCGTATCGGTTGAGTGATGGGTTGATACGCTCCATCAGGCGGATCTGTTGTTCCTCCAGTAGTCTGCGTTTGAGACGGAAGTAAAAGTATTTACGTGCCGATTTCCATGGGACGACGTCGTGAATGACACCCTTGGCTTTCATACGACCCGGAGTGTCGTGGAGGTCGGCAAACTTGATTGCCACTTGCTGATAGATTGCCAGTAGCTCTTTTTCACGTGTCTGAATTTGTTGTTTGATTTGCTTGATTTGGCTGTCGTCTTGGCAGTTGGCAAGATCTTGGTCGAGCGATGCGATCTTGTCGTCGAGACGATGCATTGTGCGAATGAGTTCCGGATCACGGTACTTGATCTCAACGATACCGTTTGGTTCGAGAACACCTCCTCTTGCGCTTTCAGAGGCGTACATCTCCATTTGATCCAAGTTGATAGTGCTGTCCAACACTACCCAAGCACCACCTCTAAGCTCTCCTTCAGGTGGGATATAAACCATTACGGGTTGTTTGTAGTTACGAAGGTTGTCGACAATCATCGAACCAAACTTGAGAATCTCGTCAAACATATCTCTCATACCACCACTGAAACCTCTCCAGTTGGCCAAGATAATGAGTGGCAACTCCTCACCCTTGTTAAAGTCGGCAATTGCCTGAGCAGTCTTGTAAGAGGAGTCGGGATACCATACTTGTGCAGCCTGTGGAATGACGACTTCCTGTGATAGAGGATTGGCTGGATCGGCTGGAATAACCTTCTCAATGGTTCTAGTCTCCACACCGATGACACCGACTGGAATACCACCGAGTCTGGCACGACCACAGACAACTGTCTTGGCCCAACCTCCCATGGTCTCAATGAAAGAATCACGATCGAACAAACCACTGATCCAAACCAATGGATCGACATTTGATGAATAACCAGATATCAAATCACGAATATCGTATTTACTGTTCATGGTTGGATCGAAATCAATGTCACGAGTGGGTGGATCGATTGGCGCTACAATTGGAACCAACTCTCCTTTGGACTTGGGAACGAATGCAATCCATTGGAGTATCGATGTGATACCACGTAGTTCGTCGTTGACAGAGATATGAGAAACACCGTTTGGATACATAATTTGAGCACCTCCCAACTGTTGATTCGATTCGTAGACATCTTTACCAAGAACTTTGTTGAGTGCCGATGCACCTGTCAAGATGATAGGAGCATCGTTTTGGATGGTACGTTGACCGAGACGAACAAGATAAGCACCGATACCAACGGAACGACCTGTTGCCAGAGTGATTGTGAAGATATCATCGTAGGCTTTCGATGTTTCACCAGCGATGAAACCTGACCAACTGAGATTCTCAACACCGAATCCATTCTTTTGACCGATGATATCTGTGAGAATCCATCTTCCCTCTGCATCTTGTTGAGCGGCAATCGAGTTTGTCTTTGATAGCGCTTGATAGTCTTCATCGGCGAGATATAGAGCACGAGCACCTTTAGATGGATCCTTTGGATTGTTCCAAAGTACACGGAACTTACTCTTTACCTCATCTGCCAAACCAATTCTTGCACCAGAGTTGGAAGATAGGTAGATTCTTGGAATTTGTTCACGACGTGCCATCTCACTGGCAAGTTGGAACATCAGATCCTCTTGTGGACCGAACGAACCGATTTGATGGGTGATATCGTTGGCAATGACAATGACTTGACGACCGGCTGGATACTCCGGTGTGTAGAGTGTCATCTTCCATGCTACCATACCGATGTCGTTGTAGCCTATGGGACGGTATGTCTCTTCGATTGTAGGACGCATATTCTCTGGCAGCTGCTCGTATGGTGTAGAAGGTGGATAGTCTGTACAGTTGACACCTGGAGTGATAATGAGTTCGACGGCATCTACCACTGGACGTGGTGGTGGACTTACTTTGGCTGGATTCTCCTTGTTGCGCTCCATGTACTCCATCCAGATTGATTGAAGTGCCTCGGTAAAGAGATCTGGGAAATCGTAGACATAGGTGGTATCGAGACGTTGTGCTTTGAAACGATTACGTTGAACGGCGTCCATCACTGGATATGGCGTGTCGACTGGCAGACCTTCCCAGATGCCACGAGCACTTCCTGGAACGACAGCAAACACCTGCTGGCCAACTGCGTTCATCTGCTCGTAGTAGCATTGCACTTGGAATGCATAACCAGTTGGATTCTGTACAAAGAATCTCACTGGAATCAGCTGGTTGTCTTTTCTGAGACGACCCTTGACTTCGACTTGTCCGACACGCAACTTCCACAGCTTCTTACCGAGACGGTCACCAATCTCCTGTACGACATAGCCAATCATACGCTCGTCAAACATGACCTCTGGCATGATATTCAAGAAGATACTATGATTTTGTGCACGTGCATATTTACGATTGGCCATTGTCATCTCGAGAGCTTCAATCGACTCAGAGAGAAGTGCTTCCACCTGAGAGAGAAGGATATCAACCATCTTTGTTTCGTTTCCATTCGATGAGAGATCACTGAATCTAATAACCGATCTGACAAAGAAACAACGATCGGCATCTGGATCGGTCTCCTTCTTACCCTTCTCCTGTGCATAGTAGAGATGGATACGTTGTGACTGAGTTGGAACGTGTGAGATATCAAAGTTATTCAAACGACGAACTTCAAGATGATAAGCCATTGCCGGTTCGATATGTCTAAAGATTGGATCTTCCTTGTATCCATGACGCTCACGGAAAGTATAGTATTTCGGTTGTTGACCGACCTTACCACAACAGACAAAAGTGACACGACGGATTCTGGCGAGTGACAGCTCACGTTGATTCGACTTGAGAATAGCAGAGAAACGTTGAGTAGCTTCATTCTCCTCTGCCATTGTCTCTGGCAGGTATTTCAATACTACAGAGAGGATGTCGGTGCTCTCGCCCGATGTCTTTGAACGTCCTTGATTGAAATCATCTTCGATATTGTAGTTCTTCAAGATATTGGGAAGAGCTACTTCGAATTTCGATTCATTCTCAAACGATACCATCATACCGTAACGAAGTTTGGTTTGATCTTCCATCGCTTGAATCGAGTCTGTAGAGTCGGTACGCATCATTGAGAGTCCGCTCAAGATCGAGTGAGGACGCACACCCAAACCAAGAGTGGAACGACCGTTGCTCGACGATGATAGCGGTGGACTTATATTGTTACCTGGCAGTGTAATATAGAAATGCCATTCAACACTTTCGAATCCACGTTTCGCTTCTGCGTCATTGTTGTCGAGAGTGACACGAATGTTCTCGACGTGATAAGAACGATAGGAGTGACGAACATAGATCTCCATTGAAGTACGACGAACAAACTCGTCGGCGTTCTCAAAGTTTGGAATGAGAACATCGAGCAAGTCAGCCGATTGTTTAGAGATGTTGTAGATCTCCTTGTATCTCTCTTCCTCCTCGAGAAGTTCGTTAATCTGTTTGATGGAACGATCGAGTTGAATGATACGTTGGTCGTTCGATGGCAATTGTGAGTTAACAATGATTTGTTTCGCGCGCAGTGAGATATCCATACTGTTGCCAGCGAGTTGCGATAGTTTTTTGAGTAGTTCGATGTAGTCGGGAACCGAGTTGTCCAAGTCGATCTTCTTCAACAAACCGAGAATGAGAATATGTTTCTTTGATTGTGGATGAATTGCCATTGCCAACTCCAATAGTCTTGGCATGTTTTCTTTGTAGGTTTGTCTGAGAATCTTGAGTACTGTTTGGAGTGGACGGTGTTGTACCAATCCCTCAACAGTGATAAACTCTTCGAGAAGTGAACGGATGATGTTGATTCGTGCACCTTTGATACCATCGATATACTTGTGAGTGAGATCCAGAATTGGTTTGACAGTTTGAGTGAGTGTCTTGGCAACCGATTCATTCTCGAGTTGCGACTTGTTCAAATAGGCATTGAGTGACTTGCTCAGAGAGAGTGTGTTAAAGTCGTCAGCAACTGTTTGAGCAGATGGTTGATACTGACTGCAGATAACACTTTCGATTGTGTTGGATTTGAATCTTGAGAGTTCCTCGCAGATGAGCGACGACAACGATTGAGGAATACGATTGTTGATCACTGAGAGCTGTTCGTTGAACTCGTAGAATGGCAGTTGAGGATCGTTGATCTGCTCGAATAGTCTCTCGATCAGTCCGTTGATTTGAATCGCTTCGTAACCACCCAACACCGATTTCACACAGTGGATTGTATGTGCAATCAGTTGATGTGGTTTGTCACCGATAAGAGTTGGCGGCAACATCTTCTTGAGAGTACCGGTAAACACTGTCGATTTCTGGATTGATGAGCAATCCTCCAACTCCAAATGTGCAATAATAGCACCGGCTGTCATGACACTACCTTCCGACAGTTCAAACTTGATTCTTCCAGTCTCTGGGACAATCAATGGCATATACATTTTCATGACTTCAATCTCGGCGAAAGAAGTTCCCTTGGTCACGAAGGAACCATCGTCCACAAGATACCTGACCAGTTTGCCTGGCGACGACGTACGGAGAATCGATGGATCATACTCCTGACTGAATATACAGGTTTTCGAATCGATGGTCAAACGAATTCCAGTGACATCTTCACGTCCGTAACAAACATGCATCTTGCCATCGAGCATCACCAACAATCCACCGTCGGACATCAAAACAATGCTTGCCTCAATGAAGTTGGAACGATCGCTCTTTAGTGAAACCATGAATGTCGATGCACTCTTTCTTGAAACTTCGAATAAATATTTAACGTTATTGTAGATCAGTTCGATCGGGACGACATTAGCGAGTAGCTCCATCGACGGCAACTGTCCAACGGTTACCTGTTGAATGAACTCATTGCCACGCGAACAATACAGTGAGTGTGCCTTGTAGAGTGCTCCACATAGGACAACCACCATATTGTCGGGTTTCGGTGTGATGATCTTCTCGGCAATCAAGACATCCAGCCACCCAGTGTGAATCTCATTCATGCGGAACGCTTCCGTCTCCAACAAGTGAATGATATACTCAACGGGTGTACGAATGTCACCACGAATCGAAATCTCCTTCAATCCCAACACCATTGCCTTACGGGCATCCTCACGAGTCGCTCCACTAGCAAAGATGTGTCCAAACTGTGAATCGGCATACTCGTGTAAACCACCAAACGGTCCAACACTAAAGTAACCCCAAACGTTTGGAGTGCTTCTAAATGTCAATTCATGAATCTTTCCTGATGTCGGCTTGAATCCTTCATCTGGATTCTCACCGGTAATTCTTACTGCTATACAATGTCCCTTTGATGGAACTCTCTTTGAAAAATCTTGTAAATCAATACTACTACTCTCCAATGGTTGTTGATTATATAATCTTCTAATATCTGGAATTCTATAGAATTTGAAATTGTTGATAATTAGTTTAGTAAAATGTTGTTGTTTCTATTTCTTCTTCAAAGTTGATTATTATTATTTACCTGTACAATGGTATTCCCATAGCAATTTGTAATTGAGTTGCAGGTAGGTTGACACCTGTAATTTCTTCGGTGACTGGATGTTCCACTTGTAATCTTGGATTCAATTCTAAAAAGTAGTAGTCACCATCAAAGAGATATTCAACTGTACCGGCTCCGACGTATCCTACTTCCTTGACGAGACGAACAGCTGCACGTTCCATTTCCAACCATACTTCTGGACGTGGCGCCAACGCCGGTCCCTCCTCGATAATCTTTTGATGACGACGCTGCACCGAACAATCTCTACCGTTGAGCGATATAGCCTCTCCATATTGATCACCGATAATCTGTACTTCCAAATGACGCGCATTCGGTACGAGCTTCATAAAGAAGATGGGCGAACCCGGCACCTCTGATTGCACCTGACGGAAACAGGCGGGCAACTCCTCCATTGTGGTGACCTTACGGATACCTTTTCCACCACCACCCTCCGACGCCTTTATCATAGCAGGGAAACCGACGCGCTCCGCGCAAACGCGTGCTTCTTCGACGGTGGCGATTGTCGCCTGGCGGTAGACGTCCTCGGTGACACCGGTCTTGGAGTACTCGACCGTCAGACCGCTTCCACTCCATGGAACACAGGCGACACGCGCCGATTGCGCAACAATGGTCGAGGCAATCTTGTCTCCGAGATCCTTCATCGCGTTGGAGGGTGGTCCGATGAATGCAATCTTTGTGGCGGTACGCGAGAGCAGCTCTGGCAAACGCGGATTCTCAGAGGCGTGACCCCAACCTGCCCAAACCGCTTGTACACCGGCACGCTCTGCAAAATCAACGATAATATCGACGTTGGCATAGTTGTTGTTGTTGGTACCACCCGGTACCTCTATGATCTGGTCGGCCATTCTAATGTACTCGGCATTCGCTTTCAAGTCTTCGGGTGTCGCCATAACCACGAACTTAATGATTCTCTCATTGCCAAATGTTGAATACGCCCATTTTCTAACGGAACGTATTGCCTTTACAGCTGCGATACCATTGTTGGCAATCAGAATCTTTCTGATCAACTTATTTCCACCGAGTTGTGTAATATATTCTTCAATTGGATCTCTTTTTATATCCATTTATTTCTATACTAATAATTTGAAAAAAAAAAACAAACATTATTAGTATCTGTTTTGTTCTGTTTGATGATAATGATATTTACATTTTTTAATCGAGTATTTGATATGACTGTGGATGCTGCAGTTGTAATAAATTATTATTATTATGTTGTGGTTGTTGTTGTGGTGGATATCGCGTTAGGTAACTCCTCATTAGCTAGACCTTATATTGATAGTTGATTTTTGTTGGGTGATGTTTTCTTGTGAATGAATGTGTTTTTTGGAAACTTTTGTTTGGTAAAATATAGTTGTTTGATACCAAATTAGAATATTTGCTGTATTATATATGGAAAAAACTATATTTTTAAAATATGAAAAAAAGATAAATATAATGTTAATAACTACTATTGTTTTGTTTCTTTGCTTTGCTTTGCTATTCTATTCTATTTAAATTTTGTGTTTTAAATAAAAATCAACTCATTATCATTATAGCTATTGGTTCGCTTTTATTAAATTAATCTAAAGATGAGATTTGTATTTTGAAATGCAAATGTGCAAAAAATATGATAAGCTTATGTTCTCCTAACTTTTATAGGATGTAACAATAAAAAAAAAATAAAAAAAAAAGAAAGAAATATTAAAAAACTACTGTTTTTGGTGTTGTGGAGGTGTAACAATTGCACTTGATATTTATTTTAATATTTAAAAGCTACATCACACCCTACCAATACATCTGTCGCTCGCTCGATATTGCAAAATAATGAAAAGTTAAAAAAAACAAAAAATGACATAAAAGATAAATAAAATAAAATAAAAGAAGAGGAACTGTTGTGTGTGTTGTGTGTTGTATTGTGTATTGCTGTGTGAATGTCGTGTGAGTGTTATGAGTGTGTTATGTAATTAATTAAATATTTGTTGTGTAATTTATTTGAGCAAAATAAGCTAATCTTTATTTTTGTTACTATTTTTTTAAAAGAAAAAGTAGAAGTGATATCATGTATATTTGAATGGGATGATATGACTGTTTTTACATTGAAAATACAACTGGAATTGGAATTGTAATCATTAGTTTTGTTAGATGTGTTTGGTGTGTTTGTGGTGTGTGTGGGTGTGTGTATGTATGTATGAACAGTTACTGAATTTTGTATTTGATGATCATCAAATCAACCTTAAATTATTGTGATGTGCGTGGTGGTTCCTTTTAAACGAATTTGATTGAAGATGAGGATGAAGTTAAGTTAAGTTATAAAAGAATCTTCTTACTTTGTTTGTTTTAATGTTATATATATATATATATATCTTTTCTTTATTAGAACACTCTTTAAATGAAAAACACAAAACTATTAATTTTTGATTTTGATGTGATATAATATGATTTGATTTGATTTGATTATTTTGTTGATTTGTAAAGTGATCAACAACAAAAATAAACTAAACTAAACTAAATTTGACTAAAGTAGTACTATGATTGATTCGATCTAAAAGAAATCATTGAAATAATAAATGACCTTGATGATTTTGATTTGATTTTTGGTGTAAAGTGTTTTTTTCATATTTTTTGTTTTTGATATTAATTTATATTTTTTTTATTTTTTGTAAAGATGAAATGATTGATGAGGTACCGATAACGAATCATCAAAATCGTCATTTTCAAACAAAAAAATAAAATGCAACAAGTGGGGTTTTCAGATGGTGAAAAACCAAAAGGGAACTAACCTTCCCAACAAAACTCCCACACTTTTATTTAAACTTTTGTTTTTAAATAAATATGATGTTACGAAACTGTTATACTAAGATATCTGAGTGAATGTGATTTCAAATGAATACCGATTTATTCAACCGAAATTAAATACTTTTTGGTCAAATAATAATAATAATGATAATGATAATGATTAACAATAACTTGCCCAATATTTATTATTATGTTTACTACTATAGTTTTGATAAAAGAACTTTTTTCTTTTTTTTTTTGTTTTTGTTTTTTATATTTTCTTTCTTCTTAACTATAAAAAGTTACAAGCTAATACAGTAACCTTTTTAAATTAAATAATGTTTGATTTTGATGAATTATATATTGATTAATAGGTAAATAAAACCAACATTCAAAATAAAAATATGATGATGTATGAATAAATACTATCAGTGTAGTATGAATGTAGAGGTGAATGATTTGATTGTTGTTCTTTTATCAAACACCTGATATTCAAACGAATAAAAAGTATTGATTATTTATAAATATATGTCAATTTGGAATATTTCTAAATAATGTTTTAAAAAACTGTAATTTGTGTGACAGAGATACAAACGAGTTTTTTATTTATGATGATGAAGTGAGGTTAGGTAAGGTAGGTAGTAACAAGTGTTGTGGGTTGTATTTTGTATGTGTGTATGGTATGGGGTGTGTTGTATTATTTTAGACTTTTCTTCTTTATTCATATGGTTTTTAATAATTTAAAATCTATCCAATTTACAAAAAACAACAATCTACCGAGATCATTTTATTGTATACATTTTAATTTACTAACTTTAGATTAGATATAACACTGACAGCATTTTAATGACTGTTCGTTCAAATTTAATTTTCTTGCAATTTTAGTTTTGTTTTTTAAAAACTTTTGAACCAAAAAAAAATATCTAGTTTTATCTATCTTAATCTTATCTTTTATAATCTTATAACATCTGTTGATTGCTATGCTATGCTATGAATTGATTAATTCGATTCGATTTAAAGTCTATCAAATAAAAACAAACAATTCTAAAAGTAGATTTCCTATTGAAATTTCTATTTCTATTACTAAAACAACCTATTTTTGAAACTTACATTTGTATTACAAAATAATAAATATTTTAATTCTAATTTATTTAAATTAATAAATATCCAATTATTAGTGATTTGTGTGGAATTATTTAAATTAAAATATATATCAATAAATATAATATATAAATTTTTTAATTATTTTTCGTCTTAATTAATTGTTTTAAAGAATTAATTGAATGAACTAAACTGAACTGAACTTTTAGTTTTATTATTACTAATATATATAGAGAGTTATATAGTTTTAGATGTTATAGTTATTATTGTAGAGTTAGTTATACTGTAGTCCGCCAATCATATCAACAATTAACAAAATGAAAAAGGTTGGTTTGTTTTGTTTTGGTTTTGTTTTCCAATAGTTTGTGTTCACTTTGCTTAGCAAGCTTGGAAATTACCAATCTTCAATACAAGTCAACTTGACCGAATTTTTTTTTGTTTTATAAATTTTTATTCTTTTTTATTCAAATGTGGTGGGTTAAAAAAAAAAACTAAAAAACAATATGCACCAAACAAGGAAAATGATACATACTTCCCCCTTTTAGCTAGGGTCAAAGTTAATTCGTTGGTTTTTTCAGAATGCATTGAAATCTTTAAAAAATGAAATAAAAAAAAAGTAATTTTTGATTTTTTTTTTTTTATGAGTGTCCATACTTTTTCAAAAACTAAATGTTTTTTTGTGGTGGGATTTGGGATCTCCCTCCCATCCAATCGTGTGAATCATCACAATGCAATTGGTTTCGTCATAGCAGCACTGCTGAAGAAAACTCAAAGTCTTTGTCATTAGCACATCAATATTTAATATGGTTATTTTAGATAATATTATAATTTTTTGTTTTTTGTTTGTGTTTTTGATTAATTAATTATTTGGGATATGATATGATATGATATCGATCTTTTTGAAATAGAAGGTCAGTTGTTGTTGGATTATAATGTTGTTGTTGTTGTTGCAACTGGTGCTATTAAATTCTTGAAACCAATTTTATTCAAACAACATTAAAAATAAAAATTTTAAAAGTAATGGGAATTTGTATCTGAAATGTATACCTACGTTTGTGTTTCCCAATTATCGTGAAATCCCAAAATACACACACCAGTCAATCTATTAAGAATCTACTCCTATTTCTTTCACCCGATTCATTAAATCCCAATTTCATTTTAGAAACTTCTACTTTTCATCTCTGTCCTATTATATTAATATTCATAGGAACTATTCATAGAAAAGTGGAACAATACAATATTATTATTTTGGAGTCCATTAATAAATATCGGTATCGGAACTGTAATAGAATTGTATTAATGGACTTTTTTAAGTAAATATAACTACTTTGTTTTTTTGTTTAGATGATCTCTTTAGTTTTGAAATGATAAAACAAAAAAGAATGTTGTATTTGAGTACTCCTATACTAGATTATATGAATTATAAGTTGGATAAAACAATCTGCTAAATTATACTAAATATTATGCTAGAAACAAACACTATTTTCTTGTATATATGATTATAGATCTAATTTAACTCATCTTTTAATATTATTTGTATATGAATTATTAATGATATCAATGGTAGAGTATGCTTATAAAACTGATTAAGATTTGAGTAACAGAGTGAGTGTGTTTATTATTGTCTTGTCATCACAGCTAGAAAAAAAAAAAAAAAAAAAACTTTTTTTATCACTTCACAACTATTGTGTTTTTTTTAATAATTCGACTATTTTTATTTGCAATAAATATAGTTTAAAAGATGTTAACTAATAGGAGAAGGAGTAATCCTTCTTTTGTTGGTAGCACCGGCGGCGGCGGAGGTAGAAAAGATAGACTGCAGCTACCTCTAAGTCAAGTGTTTAGTATCTTAATATTGATGTGTTTCTATGTATCCACTAGCAGCGGTATTTCACCACCAAAGACCAATCAATTGTCACTCGATTGTCATGATCTAGGTTTCACAGACTCACTTCTATGCTCATCTTGCAAAGATCTCGAAGGTTTTGTAGGTGATGCCAATTCCGCTGTAATCGAAGAATGCAAAAAGTGTTGTTCACTCGAAGCAACCCAACAAAAGGTATATTAAACTAAACTAAACTATAAATCAAACCTAAACTTTATACTTATAATAAGTAATAAACTAATCATTAATTAATAACAATAATAATAGAAAACATTTGTTAGTGCGCAACTGACAATATGTAGATGAAAGTTAGGTGCCTTCCCAAGTGTTAAGGATTTCATTGACAACAAGAGCAAGAATTTCAATAAAGTATCAGTTAATGTAAGTTTTAAACTAATAATAATAAATGTTATGTATATAATCTTAATATTGTTGTTATTATTATATTTTTAGTATGTAAGTGGTGCTTCTCCAGTCATTGAACTCACAGACACTGAAGGAAAGGTCGAAAAAATCAAGTATGTAGAAATATGTTATATTATAAATAGTTAGTTGATTACTAACTAATCTTTATTATTTACTATGCTATTTATTTTAGCATTGATAAATGGAAAGTTGAAAATATTGAAGAATTCTTAAAAGAAAGAGAATTGTAGAATATTGTAGGAGGTGTGTACGAGAGGGGTGTTTAATTTAGAATGAAAGTTAGCATTAGATAACATGGATTTGACAACCATAGGACAATAGAGATGTAATGACGATATAGATGATAACAAACAAACTTTGCCATCTATATCTGAAATCAAACTGTTTGGTAGATTTTTCAATTGACACTGGTCACTTTTTTAAAAAAGACTTTCCATTTAGAATCAGTGTTTAGTTGGTCAGCCATCAGTCCTTCTCCATTGGTTTCTATGTTGTATTGTTTATTTGTGGTTTATTCCGATCAAACTTAATTGCTAAATTAATAAAAATTAAAAATATAAATTATATATATAAATCTAAAAAATGCGTAATATTTCTTCAATACCCATGTTGTTTCAAAATTAGTTATCTTGATTGTTTGAATGATTATTTTTATTTCATAGTCAACAAATAAAAAGCACATACACGCAATAATTTTCAACACTACCAATATTCCTTTTTTTTTTGCATAACCAACTAAATGCTGATTTTATCTCTGATCTAAATTCGAGTCAGAAATACCAAAAAGAATAGAAGATTGGGTGTTGGTACTCCACGGTCGTAATCTAAAAAATTGCACATAAGGTGTAGATTTTCTCAAACCAAACAATTTAATTAAATTGCAATGGTGATGTCATTACCTTTACAATTAAATAAATAATAATAGTTTTATTTTTTCTAATAAAGTTAATAATATTGCCAACAAATTTAATATTTAGAAACTAATGATACATTGACTTCCATTAGCCGCATTGATTTTCTCTTTCTAAAACTAACCAATCCAGGTTCTTTTGGCAAATGTAACAAGAATCTTGATTCATTTAATAGTGAATATTAAGTTAATTGTACGTTTTAAATGTTAATTATTTTATTACAACAAATTATATAGTATACATTAATAATAAATATTTTGTTGTTTTTGATATGGTAATATTATTTTGAAGTGTTTTTGAGTGGAACTTTGATGATCTTTTTGAATAATGATGATCTAAATCAAAGGTTTTAATGTTACTGTAAATGATAATGATACTGTTATTGTTATTATGTTTTGGTGATTTGATTGGTAGTACTATTGTTGACAAATTGTATTGTGGAGTGTGGTGGTGTGGTGATTGTTAATCTTTTAAAAAGTTAAGAGGAGTTGGACCTTGATGCATTAGTGGAATGATCTTTGGTGGTGTCGCATTGGCTTGATTGTTGATAGCTATATAGGTTTTGAATTCACTCAGTGAAGGTGCAACATAGTTGGTCAACTTTGGATCATGATGTTTCAACTCTGGTGATCTGAATTGATCCGATACATTCTTAATATAAAGTTCAATATTTGTAAACAATTCCCTAAAAAAAAAATTGGATAATAATATTAATAATTTCATTCTGCTCATCCTTGTTAATTATACATACAAATCAATTGAAAATTCCTTGCTGTATTTAGTAAATTCAGGTGGTCTGGTGAATTGTGGAGCTGGTGGTTGATGTTGACTCGGATGATGTTCATCGAATTGATTGTCATTATTATAATCATGTTGATCTGCGTTGTTGTTGTTACTGTTGCTATGTTCATCATTGTTGTTGTTGTTGTTGTTCATCTGAGAGGATAATGTTAGAGACATGTTTCTTGGTGGTACAGGTGGTGGTATTTTCTTGGTTCCAGAAGAGTTTAGCGTGGTTGTTGGCATCGGTGTACCAGAGTGAGTGGAAACTGAATTACTACCGTTCTTTGGCCTAGAAATCGATATGGAACTGGTTGATGATGTCAATCTCGAAGAACTATTATAGGAATGGTCTGCTTTCTCATCCTTCTCTGGATACTTTGCGGGTGACAACGATTTGTTTGTCGCCACTGTATTGTTATGTGTCAACTTACTAAACTCTGCAATAGAGAATCCAGATTGATACAATTCCGATCTTTTAATTCTAACCATCTAGATTGTAATAAACAAAAAGTTAATTAATATTAGAATATATATATATATATATTGTTACTAACTAACTAACTACTCACTCTATAAAGTAAAATATGATGATATGCATTTCTAACTGGTTGATCCCAATGAAGAAATAGTGGATAGAAATACTTGTGTAGGAGAAGATCGCAGAATAGGATGCGTCGGTTCGTTCCCTGGAACGAGTCGGATGTGTTGTAGATCAAGTTGAGAGAGCGGATCAAGACTTGGTGGTGATCGGCAGCAATGATATTATCGATACCCTCGCAGAAAAAGTTGATGTCAAAAGTCTCGGGGAGCACTCCGTACTCTTTGATCCAGAGTTCAACGATGCCCAGCGTCGAAGCGACCGACGCCAAGTCGAAAACACAGGTCTTTAGGAATATGATTTTAATGAGTGCATCGATCATGGTCGGGTCGTTTTTGGTACTGTTGATCAATGCAAAGTGGGCGTCGAGCGAGGGTGTCGCCTTTGGTTGTTGCGGAGGGATCGACTGCTCTCGCGATTTGATCTCGTGCAACAGTGCATAACACAAAATAAAATAGCCTGGAATCGTCTTCATCTCCACAGAATCACCCAACACATATTTACAAACGGTGATCCACTCTTTAAAAAATATAAAAAACAGATTCTCTTTTCTAGCTATATTATCTACCCAACTAAATAAATAATGAGTTTGTTTGTTTGTTAATATTTATAAATAATCAATCTAAGAAGAAGAATAAATAAATATTTACCCTTGTGGAATACTATCAATTTCTTTTTCACAACTTTCATATTGCATCATTAAAGAATGAAATGGTAATTTATCTGGTCTATCACCAACTATATTTAAATATTGTACTATTTTAAACAAACTTTGTTAGTTATGTATTTTCGGGAAAAAAATAATGAAAAAAACATACAATTTTGTGGACATGGATAATAGGAAACTATATCTTTAATCTCTGTTTCCGGTGGTGTCAATGCATCCAATAATAATTTTGCAACTTTTGGTATTCTAAAGAATGCAATAACAATAAACTATAAATAATATAAATTTTGAAATTAGTAATAGTTTTCCAATTGTTTTGGACTTGGAAAATAACTACTTACTTTGGCACAAAATTGAGATAGTGGTAATGATAAGAAGGGTGTTGTGATGATGGTGTTGGCAATGAATGAGAATGTTTTATAGAGTTTCAGACGATACTTTGTGATAATGTCGGAGCTCCATGCTTTGAAAGTAACGGGGTCAATGAGTGGCGATATGGCAGTGTCGAATTCACGACGTCTCGCAATCAGCAGTATAGTCTTGTAGAACAATGAGAAATCCTTTTCCAGGCTTGAGAATCTATCGACGAATGCACAGAGAGATCCCCACAATTGTAACATCGATTCTCTACAGGTAATGGTTATCATTTTTGTATTTTTAATACTATTGATTATTGTTGATCCTGTTAATGACGTAGACTGTTGTTGATCCTGTTGTTGTTGTGATTGTTGTTGTTGTTTATATTCTTTTCTTTTTCTTTTATATTCATAACTTGACTTATAAGTCCACCATTGGCGCCATCCGGACTTGATAAACTACCATTTCCATTGATATATATATTATTACTGTTGTTGCTGCTGTTGGGTGTGTTTCCGTTTTGAATGGAAATGGGTGGTGTGCTTGGAGGTGAGTTGGAGGTAGGTGTTGAGCTATTACTACTAAAAGTTGGTGGAGTGGCGGAATTTGGTGTGGATGAAGAGGAAGATGGTGATGTTGATGTTGCTGCTGTTGATGATGATGGAGGTGGTGGAATTCCACCCGATCCACTCAATGAAAAATCATTCATACCACCTCCGTTATTATTATTATATTGTTGTTGATGTTTACTTGGTTTATAAGTGATAATCTCCAGTAGAATGATGATTTCCAGTAGTGAGGAATTCACTTTGGTGAGAGCGGTCATCGATTTCTCACGTTTCTTCTCTTCGGTAGATGCCAGTGAATCCAACTGTGGAATCATGGAGGTGATTGAATTTGCTTTTCTCTCGACCTGACCACACCAATTCTTATATTTTAACTTTGGTTTCTGTTGTTGTTGCTGTTGCTGCTGTTGCTGTTGTGATTGCTGTCCATTACCATTCATTCCGACCAATCTAGGACTGGTTTGTGACTCACCGCCACCTTGTTGTTGGTTCGGATCGATAAATTTCGAAATAAGCATATTCATCTTATTTGTAAGTTCATTCATTCTCTACAACCACCTTTTTTCGACTTAGTTTGTTTTCCAACTAAGTCCTAAAAATAAAATAAAATAAAAAAATACACAACTACAATTTGTAAAAACTGCGACTAATTTAATTGATTGACTGATATATAAATAGATAAAAGATTATAAATTAATGAATAAATAATAATATTGATTTTAAACTTGAATTGAATTGAAATGAAATTGATAAGAATGATGAATGACTGTTGATACAATTATAAAAACATATTGTTAAACAAAAAAAGTACAAAGTATGATAATAAATAAAGATTTGAAATTGAAAGTTTGTTTGACTCTGACAATATTGTTGTTGTTGTCCTTTCTGAGCTGAATTGAGTTGAATTGGATTGAATATCTTGTCTTTAATATTGCAGAATATATCTCTTATTTTTACTTTTTTTTTGAAAAAAAAACAACAATTTAAAAAAAAAAGTAAAAATAAAATGTGTGAAAAATGTTTGATTTGCGATTTTTTAAAAAATTAATTTAACTTTTTAAATCAAATATCTATTAACAATTAATTGTTACTACAACTATTACTATTTATATTTAATGTTTACTATTTTTTTTTGTTTTATAAATTAATTTTAAAACAAAAACATTCAATAAGTTATAGATTTAGTTAAAATTAATAAAATTTACTAATATTTGATAATAAATTTAGGGTTTGTTTGTTCGGAATTTTAGTGGTGTGTTTGCTTTTTATTTGCTTGTTATTATTGTTTTGCTGTTATTGTTATTGTTGTTTATTGTTATCTTTGGATAGACTCTAACCTCCACACTCTCTTTACTTGCTTTAAGTTTAGTTCCTTTTTGGTGGTGTGTTTACTTAAAACCAAAAAAAAAAAAAAAAAAAAAAACAAAATTGAATCAACTTTATTTTGAAAAAAAAATCATAAAATTAATCAATATGTGGATTTTATAAAACCCATTCACAGAAAATAATGTGGATTAATTTTAAAAACACACACCTTTTTTTTAGATTTTGGATACAATGACCAATTTTTGGAAAGATTTTTTTTTTTTTGACTGCAAAAAAAAAAGATAATTTGGTTTTAAGTTTAGTTTAGTGTCCGCAAATAAAAATGATAAATCAATCAATCAATGTTGTTGAAATACCAAAGATCTGAATCAGATAACATGATGGATATTGGATAATTAATGTAGATTCGATTTTACTTTTTTTTTTGTTTTTTATTTTCATTTCATACACACAAAATCCAAAACACTTTTAAAAGTTCATCGGTTATCCGCATTCCTCATTACAAGAAAATAATCTTTTGATTAAATACATGATCAATATAATTTATCTATTAATAAAAATGGCGGACACCCAATAATAATAAAATAATCAAATTAATTTGTATTGTTTGTTTTCATATTCCGTTCTTGGCCAAGAACCAAACGTTTTTTAATGAATTGTGTGCCGTCTAGATTCAACCAATTTTCAAAATATTATTTTGGATGATGAAATTGTTATGTTACATGTAATAAATATAATAGTTATATTTATAAATAACTTAATATTAAAGATTCTTTTATTACAGTGCATTGAATCACAACTAATTGATCTTGAAAATAAACATACAATCGTACAGGAATGATGAATAAAGCGAAAAAAAATAAAAAACAAAATTGAATAAAAAAAAAAAAAAGTACTAAAATTTTTTTTTTTTTTAAAAATCGATTATTAAGTTTAGTTTTTAAATTTTTTATTTTTTATTTTTTTTTATTATTCACACAATTGATTGTATAAAGATATAATTACCTATTTTATGTAAGTATTACTTGATCAAGTTAATGCTAGAAATAAAACTAACGTTCAATAAAAAAAAAATTAAATTTTTAGATTTTTAATCAATTCAAACTTTAAACTTCCTTTTTCTTTCTTTTATATATAAATAGATTTATTCGTTTAATAATAGTGAATTCATCTATCTATATCTTTGGCTAGAATAATAGAGTAGAACTATAAAAACAATTTATTTTATCAATTTTTTTATTTTTTTTCAAAAAAAAAATTAAAAAAAAAACAAAAAAGTACAAGAAAAACACACAACAAGTTTCATATCGGTTACTTTTCAAAAATTATAAGGGTTCTGTCTTCGCGCCAAACTTTTGTTTCTCAGAGACATTGGTCATACATATAGATAGTTAGTTAGAAAGAAGATAGATAGAATATAGTTAGTTTGTTTGTTTGTTTGTTTGGTAGAAAGAATTTAGATATAGTTTTGAAAGAATAAAGATCTTTATTCTTATTGGTTTAGAAAGAATTTGGAAAGAAACAACAACAACAACAACAACAACAACGAAATTATAGACAGGGCTAATAGAGTGAGGAGAAAACAGTTTCGAAACAAAAACTAAAAAACAAAAATAGACAGAATGAATATGGATAGAAAATTCAATAACAATCATAAAGAATCATCGTCTGAGGAGGACGAATCACCACATGAAGATGAGATCGCATGGATTCCATGGTATTGCAATCTAAAGGGAAACGAATTCTTTGCAACTGTGGAGGAAGACTATATTCAAGACGACTTCAATCTCACGGGACTCAGTTCGACGGTGCCCAACTACGAGAGTGCACTCGGCATCATACTGGACTCTGACCCCGAGGAGACACTAAGCGAAGACCAACAAGAGAGTTTGGAGCGTTCCGCCGACATTCTCTACGGATTGATACACGCACGTTATATATTGACATCGAAAGGACTGGCGCACATGAATGAAAAGTTTAAGAATGCAGAGTTTGGACGTTGTCCCCGTGTCTTTTGTCAGAATCAGCCGGTGCTCCCCGTCGGACTCGCCGACATGCAGGGCGTCGACACAGTTAAAGTCTATTGTCCTAGATGTAACGATATTTTTAATCCAAAATATAGAAGACATTCACGTATGTAAAACAACAACAACAACAACAATTGCTGATAACAAACAACAACAACAACAAAAATAACAACATCATCATCATCAATATTCACATACTAATTTACTCTATTACTTGTTTGTTTGTTTGTTTGTTTAGATATCGACGGTGCATACTTTGGAACAACTTTCCCACATTTGTTATTGATTACCTATCCAGAGTTGGCACCACCCAAACCACATCAAACCTATGTACCAAAAATATATGGTTTCAAAATTCACAAGTCTGCTCGTGAGAGAACACTTCAGCATCAACAAAAAGTTAGAGGACACAAACAATAATATCATTAAAAAAAAAAAAAATAAACTTTTAAAATAAATAATAAATAAAATAAAAAACATAGCCAATTAAAATAATATAATATAATATAAAAAAACAAACCTTCTTTACTTTAAATAATATAATTATTAATAAATAATAATAATATAATCACATATTTTTTATTTTATATATCTTATCTTTTTCTTTTCTTATCTTTTTAAAACAAATTATTTTTATTTCTTATTTCTATTTTCTTATTATTTACTTATTTATTGAAAAATATAAATATAGAGAGTGTGAGAGAATATGTATATATACAAAAAACTAATTAATTATAATGATGAATGAATTATGATGGTAATTCTAATCTACAGTATGGACATTTCTTGTGTTCAGTCAACCATCTATCAATACAATCCGGATGGAATTGATGGTCACAACCAGCCAGTTCTTTTACAATTATATTCTCTTCGAAATCCTCCAGACAAATGGTGCATCTATAGAAATATATTAAACAAAAAATGATGATAGTTAGATATTACTGTTGTTATTGTTTTATCAATTAAACTAAATGATTATTCATACCTATGTTCGTCAGCATCATTATTATGTTTATGTTTATATTTGACTTGTTTGATTTTCTTCTTTTGTGATTCGGTTGCACCGAGTTTGACTGGTTCCAGTTTCGAGAGTGCTTCGTAGGACATGTCGATCTCCTCTTCCTCTTCCTCCTGATAGATGTGTGTGGATTGCTCGAAATTTCTTGCTAGTTCCTCTTGCATCTTTCTGGCCATCTCACGATCCTCTTGCTCCATCAACTCTCTCTCCAACATCTTATTAATGACATCCTCATTCTCTCTATCATATCTTCTAAGATCGTGGAATGCCGATATCAAAGGTGGTGAATTTCTAAATGGTGAATGTGAATAATTTGTATTACTATTACTATTGCTATTATTACTATTGTCATTTATATTTATATTTGTAGGAGTCGATTGTTGTTGTTGTTGTTGTTGTTGTTGTTGTGAAGAAGTAGTTGTTGTAGTTGTAGTAGTAGTTGTTGTTGTTGTAGTCGTCGGATAATTATTATTATGATTTGGTGATGAATAGGAATGATGTGAAGATGATGTATATGAAGAGGATGGTGTCGGTGGTGTTAATGTAAATGAAGGTGGTGTTACTGGTTGTTGTTGTTGTTGTTGATATGTTGTATTACCACCGCTACCAACACTACTGGCAGTACCACTGTATCCACTACCAAATACTAATCTTCCTGTATTACTGTTATTAGCATTAGCATTGGTATTGGTGGTTGTTGTCGTTGTTGTTGGGGTCATCGCTTCACTTGGGAAGTTGATAGCACTGCTGATGGCAAGTTGCGATGAGATTCTCGGTGAGGTGGAGAGTCCACTCATTCCAGAGCCACCGACAGCACCACTTCCACCAAACAACTGTCTGCCAAAGAAAGATGTCTTTGATGGTGACTTTGGTGCAAATATATCGTGTTCTGATTTTTGTAAAGCAGTATTACCGACATCATTCTTTTTAGTTGGTTTCATCTTTCCTTTCTTTTTTTTCTTTTTGTTTTGTTTTTGTTTTTCACAAAAAAATAAATACTATATATTTAATATTTTAAAAACCTTAAAATATCTTTTCTTTTCTTTTCTTTTCTTTTATATTATTTATTTATTAACAAATTAAATTAAATTAAATAACTAAATCTACTCTATATAACAAATTATAATTATATCTCTTTATTCAATCTCAAAAATATAAAATCAAAAAAAAATTTTATTGCACTTTAAATTGTTATTGTACAATAAAAAATTCAAATTATTTGGTTTTTTTAAAAAATTCAAAAAAAAAAAAAGCAAATTTTACCAACTTCTTCTCTTAAAACAGCGAAAAAAAATGAGGCGTTTGTTCAAAAAAAAAAAACAATTCAAAGATTTTTGGTTGTTTTTCTTTTAATTGTTATTTTTTTTTTTTTGTTCTTAAAATAACAAATAATGTTTTAAGTTTTCTAACATATAATATAATATGAAGTAATAACAATTATGACTAAAAAGTAAAGTAAAGTTATAAACTTAAAACTGAAAGCTAAAATTAACTTCCAACCACAAAATCTTCTGATTGAAAAGTTTTGTTGTTTTCACTGTTTAAAGAGAATTAAGGTGGAAGGGGTGTGGAACCAAAAAAAAAAAAAAAAAAGACGTTGTTTTTTTTACTGACTGGTTTTTTTTTTTTTGGTGTGTTAATTAGATTGATTAATTATTTGATTGATTGTTATTGATAATTTTATTTGTAGTTTGTTAGTTTATACTTATTCATAACCATTATTAATCATACAATCAATCAATCATAGATAATTGTACAATATTAATAATAATATTACCACACCCCACTATTCACTAATAACAATAATAAACACAATTATTTATAAATAATATAATACATACCGATATAATAGAGTGTATCTATCTTATTATTATTAATTAATTCCATACACGTTAAAAACAGCAGTAATTCAATTGAATTAATTAACAGATCAAAAATTAACTTTTATAGAAGTTATAAATTTTGATATTTGTTTTTGACAATAATTTGTAAAACCAACAAACAGATAGACAAACAAATATAAAAGACAATAAATAATAATTATTATAATCACAATTACAATCAATCAAAATCACAATCAAAATCAAAATTTTATTTATTTGTAGTTTATCTTTTTTTTCTTTTAAATATATTTTAAAATCTTTAAATTTTAGATATTTTATATAAAAACAAAACTTTTTAGATTTAGACCAAATCAAAAAAAACCATTTCTTTTTTAGATTTTTTCACTACTTTTTTTTTTTCAATTTCATATTTATTCAGATATCTTTTAATATATCTTAACTTGTATCTTATTTTCGTAAGTTTTTTGAACAATCTTTATTGTTGTTTTTGTTCAAACAAACATTCAAACATTGTAAAAACACAACACACAACATCAAAGCGCACAGTGAACAAGCAACCAACCTATAATATAAAAAACAATGGCGGTCGACAAAAGAAACGAAACAATAGATCCAAAGATAGAATCACTTTCGATGTATAAACAAATATTATGTATACCCTTTATAAATAATTCAATACCACTACATTTATCAGAGCCATTCAATGTCGATGTTGAATACGGCAGAATATCAGAGACAACACAAGATTTCGAACTATTAGATAAAAATTATAATTTAATTGAAAAAAGTAAGTGTTTATACCTGAAAAAACAAAACAAAACAAACACACCACAAGTGTGTGGAAAAGAGAATGTGTTACTGTTGTTTCTGAATTAGATTCAAATATTAATATTTCTTTTTCTTAATATATCTTATATAATTATAGTTAAAATAAGTAATATTGTAAATTTAGATTTAAATGGTGGTGCAGGTGGAAGTAATATAAGTTTGTCGAGTTCTAATGGATCGGTGAGTGGCGGTGGCAGTGGAAATACACCGCCGGCATCACCACAATCAACACCGAGAAAAGAGTCGTCCAAGGCCAATAGTTTGTTGGGAATTGACAGTGATTCTGCAGCGTCGGCGGCACACATCACAATCAGCAAGAGTTCGAAAGCCAGTATGATTCTCGGACTGAGTTCAGCATCGGGCGATGATTCATCGTCGTCCTCGTCGTCGGCATCGTCATCGCCAATGAATACACCAGTAAAAACATCGTCGAAAGCCAGTTCCATTCTCGGACTGTCGGACGACCTCCAACAGACGCCAACCGGCAGCGCCAGCTCCAACAAAAAGTTGGGATCGTCAACCATTCACTCGCCGAAATTCGGACTGCTTGCACGCTCTGCAAGCAACAGCAAAATACTATCGAGTCGCGTCGGTGACAAAGAGCAGTCGGGACAATCGAGTTCCGTCAATTCGTCGCCTGTGGGATCGGTCGGATCGTCGACGTCGTCGTCGGGCAACGGAAGTCCGTCGATGCTCGGATCGTCCACGGGAATGGGTGGAATGGTTGGATCGTCGCCACTCTCCCAATCGCTTGGCTACTCTTCTGGCAGCGGACTGCTAGGATCGTCGCCTGGTGGCAGTGGCGGCAGTTTGAGCGGCGGCAGTCCAAACTCACCATCGTTGCCGTCGTCGATCGCCAACATCTTCCCACTCCACTACAAATATATTTTCACCATACAAACAAAGACCATAAACTACTCGTTTAACGCGCGTGACAAAGAGGAATCGAGTCAGCTTGTCGATGCACTGAAACTGGTTGCACTCGGCAAGGCATTCCACACCGAAACACAGACAACTCTCGATGCCATCACCGAGGCATTGGAACTAGCAAACAAATGTAAATCTCCACCAATTCCACCACTTCCTCTTTCCCCTCCTCCACCACCACCTCATTTATTATAAATTGGCAAATCAAACCAAACCAATCAATCATTAATTAATTAGTAATATTTATAAAATTATAAAAGTTTTCTTTATAAAAACTTGGATAATAAAACCTTAATAAAAAAAACAAAACAATTCAAATTGTATTATAATCCTAACAAAATATCAATTAATCAATTTTCCATTCCTTTTTTGTGTTATCTAATCTAATTTGTTATAGCTCCAGAGTGTTTTGGATGTTTATGTGTAAATTGATTAACTTTTTTTCTAAATTATGTATTTATTTTCTGTGTGGTTTTGTTGCTTCTTCCAATCTGTCGTTGATCGATTTCGATTGGTTGTTGATATAATACAATACACCTAGTGAAAACAATACACTTGTGGTACCAGAAACTCTGTGTACAGAGGAAGTAACTATAAAAGTAATGACCAAACTGATAATGGCTTCAATCCATCTAATTTCTTTTTTAAGATTACCAACAAACTATAATAGTTGAATATGTATGTATGATAATGAATGAGTTTATATTAATAATCAATAATCATTTTACAATGTATAAACTTTCCTCTTTTTAAAAAGAGAGGAAGAGAATATTCATTATTCCATCAAACTAACTAAATTAACCTACAGTGATGAAGAAGAAGAAAAGTAATGAACCAACTAATCCACCGAGAATGGTACGAATTTCATTCGATCTGAAGAATGGTGCACCGATTTGCAATGCTCCGAAAACAATGACCCATGATAGTCCAGAGAGAACCAAAGATGATGAAGTAGATGGTTGATCTAAATTTTATCGATATTAAGTTCAAAGTCAAGATTAGATATTGAGGAATCTAGATATTGATTTGAGCTGCTACACTCATTGATCAATTATCAAATACATACCAAAGACTTTACCCATTTTTTCTATTTATGTATATAAAAAATTTAATTCAATTTATGATGATGATCAATCTAATTAAAAAATTTTTTTTTTTTTTTATTTCACATGAAAAAAAGGGTCTCTAAGACTTTGACCACCACCACCATAAAAACAATTTTTTTTTTCATAAACATCTGGCACACTGAAATAAAAGTCAAATCAAAAACGTTACTATCAATCAAATTAATTAAAATTTTCACACACTCCAGATAATCATTAATCAATAACAAAAAATATATCTTTTTTTTGATTTTATTTTATTTATTTTAAAGATTATATATATTATTACATATGTCATTGTCACAGTTAGATAAAGATGGAAGTGGAGGTCCTCCTTCATCACCAAAGTCAGGTAGTAGTAATACCGGAGGTTCAACAATCTCATCTTCCTCCAATCTAAATAGTCAATCATCACATTCCTCTAGTAGTAATATCAATCAGAGTGGCGGTATCAACAACAATAATAGTAGTAATAGCAGTCAATCAAATATTGGTATTGGTTCATCAAGTGGTACAAGCAGTAGTATTAACAATAATAACAATAGTAGTAACAATAATAATTATAGTAATTATATACCAAGTAAACTAAGTAGAAGTAATAGTTATGTACAGAATTTAAATAGACAAAATTATTTCTCGCAGCAGCAACAATCTTCGATATATACATATTTGGGCGATGGTGAACATCAGCTGCAACCACAACAACAGCAGTCTTTAAAATCAAGAATATTAAACACCTTCACATGCTATGTTTTCAAACCATTTTTAATTGGTGTATCAGGTTCATTTGGTTTAAGTGTTGGTAAGTGTAACCTTTTTCTAATGATGATCATCGATCATCTTGAATCAATAACAAATCAAATCAATCTCAAATCAAATACCTTGTAATCATGTTATAGATTTCACAAACTCAACTTTCTTAATTTTATTTCATTGTGGGTGGTTGGTTTGTCTTATAAGACAATTGTACGATAAGATTGTACAACCAACAGCAACTTTATAATTATCCTATCTTTCTTTTCATATTCTGTCATTACGTTAACTCGTTAAAATTTTTAAATTCCTCTTCAATTATTTTAAGAGTTTGTTTGTTTGTTTATTTATGAATTTTTGTCGATCGATTCAATTCAAGATTGTGAACAAGTTGTTTTAACTGTCTATTGAATATGAACCAACCAGATTCATATTTTATTTTCCAGAATCGAATCGAATGTGTGATGGAGTGTGTTTTTCCCAACGATTTCTGCATAGTTTATATATATAATTCACCAGTTCAACTCCCACCCAACCAAATTTCACCTGATAAATTTATCCATCCCATTCCAATATATATAATTTAAATTTAACGTAACTACGATAATCTTAAATTAAATTTTGGAGAGTGAAGAAGATTTGTTGATGATAATGATGATGAGGTTGTTAGTATTGGTATACCAAACAACACTTTCTGTTTCACATCTTTTATTTATATATACAATTAAATCACAACCAATAACCTAAATAAAGACTGGCTGGAAGTAAAGAAGTAAAGGAGGAAGTAGTAACAATAGATTCACAAACAACAACAAAACACGAACCACAAAAATTTAAATTGTTCCCAAACACATTAATTCGAATTCAGTAATTACCAACAACAACACAACTCAAATAATAATTTGATCAAATACACCTCTACAGCTTTAACTAACAATAATACCTGATCTTTCTACCACTTTTTTGAAATGAAAAACAATATTATTATCATTTAATATGTATAGGATATGTTTTATTTGATTTTGCGTGTAACAAACTGAATAGAATCAAGCCATAATGCATTGTCCAAATTATCTTTTCTACCACCACTACCACCGCCTGATACAATTTTTAGTAGATATAAAACTCAATCAAAGATCGTATATCTTTTCCAAACCAACACACAATCCTTTTGGTTTTGTTTTTAAAATATTAACAGAAATCTCACTTCTTACAATAATAACAATAATATTACACTCTTTTAATAATAAATTTAATACAAAAGGTATTGCAAAGTGAATTATATATTTAAATCATAATAGTAAGTGGTTTTGATGGTTCAGCGCTGCCCATTATCACCAATTCCATTTCCACCCATTTAAAATCTTTTTATCCCCACATATTGTTCGTTGTTGTATATTTATTTAGGTGGTGTATTGAATGCACTTCATCTCTGTATTAAAATTATTTATTAAACTAATCAAGATTCAAGATTGAGATGTGTTTTTGTTATTGTTGTTATTGTTGAGTGTTGAATCACCATCATTTTTATTTTATTTCTTTTGAACTTAATATATATATTGACAACATTAGATGAACAATCATACACACACACACAACCAACTTCTATAACAAACATGACGACTGTAGCATTAATGTGTTAAAAATGGTAAAGTTTAATTCTATTAATTCTTTCACATCGAGTTGATCAGAACTTTCCTCCGGATCAACAACAAAATTTATATATAATTGTAATAATAAAACACGATATAATTTAATTGGTGGGTTCAACATTACAATAACAATCAAAATCATAGAGAGTAAAAATTATTTGTTTCCAAATAACAAATAAATAATCCAATAATAAAATTGTGTATTGTTGTTGTTGTGTTTAGATTTATTTTGTTAACACTTGTTGGTGTGTTGTGTTGCTGTGTTTTGTTACTAGATTTAGTGTATATATAATGTTTGACCATTTTAAAAATGGTTACCAAAATGAAAGCACTGAGAGTTGAGATTATAATCATGATTTCTGAAAAATATAAATACACACACTCTCTCACACTCTTTCATTATATAAATATGGTTTGATTAGATCAATGTTGATATAACAAGTTAAATTTTTATAATGGTTATCGTTGTTGTGTAAGGTTATGAATTTAAAAGCATTTCCACAAACATTATATCAATTATAATTATTTTGCTTTTACATCAGTTAAGTAACACCATATTTTAATCACAAGAAAACACACAGACATATATATAAAACACACTTGCACACTCACACACCCACACTCACTCACACAAATTTATTTATTTGCATATAAATATGTTTGAGTGAAAAGCAACACACTCACCCAACAATTGATGAAATCAAAATCAAGTTATTCGATATTGATAGAATGAACAAGGTTTTCAGCAGCAGCAGGTGGTATTTAAACACTATTATGTTTATAAATGCCTGACTGACTGACTGCACCGTATAGAAAAGTATTCCGCATCCATCACTCCACCACCACCGCTTTATGAAATAGAATGTTGTTAATGGAATAGTAAATATATATGTGTTCTTACAGATATTAATAGACACATTTTATTTCATTTATGTTCCCTCAGATTGCTTTACAATCACTTACTACTATTCCAAATGATTGGTTATTGGTGTTGATTTGGAATTTAGATTTAACTTTTTGTGGGTAGTTTGGGTTGGGTTGATTGTTAATCAGTTAAGTGATACAATTAGATTATTAAAAATTTTGATGATTGTTGTTGTTGTTATTGTTGTTATTGCGCTCTACTCTTAATACCACCACAACCACAACCACCAGTTCTATTACTACCACCACTTACTTCTATATCAAATATATATTTATATTTATATATAGGTGGGTGATTACTGTTGGTTGATAATTCATCACAACCATCATTTAAGTCGATGTGTTTAGTTTAGTTTGGTTGTTATTAATAAAACTGAAACAAATATAAATAAAATAAAGAATAATTTAGTAATTTATTTATTTTTGTTTTGTTTTGTTTCCACCTCTTACACAAACCAACAAGTTGGTAACCTCTATTAAAAAAACAACAACAACAATAAACCAATATAACATCACAATCTCAATCACTGTTAATATTCAAATTATTTTGATCAATAGATAAGATATAGAATTATTTAAATAACAAAAATTCTATTTTCCAACATAAAATTAATTGTTGTATCTTTATTTTTTGTTTTTATAAATTGTTTTTTGCTTTTTTGTGGTGTCAGTCTTGGTTATATATTGTATACTAGTTGTCTTCTACTGGTAACTTACTTTGGTCAACCTATACACCATTCGCCATCACCAAACCAATTCAAAATTCTCAACAAACCAACTACAAATTATAAAAAAACCAACACTCCACTTTTATCATCATTTAAATAAATTAAAAATAACAATCAATCAAACACCAAACAATAATAAAACAATCCAAGATACGATTGATCAATAATTTCCATTCATCATTAATAATTAAAGAATAATAAATAGTTTTCTAGATTTATAATAATAAAATAGAAATAAAATAATCTAATAGAAATAATTTAAAGATAATTGTTTCCCATTGTAGGGACTAAATATATTTTCTTAAAATAAATAACAACAACAAAACAAAACAAAATAAAATAACAATAAAAAATGAGATACTTTATTTTATTAATAGTATGTCTCTGTATTTATAGAGTGTATTCTCAGAGTATGTAATCAATCAACCAACTTTTTTAAAAAAAATATCAAATTAATTAATTTCTTTTTTCACCAATAATAATAATATTATTATTTTAATATTATAGATACAGTCCAAATGTCGGTTAATATTTTTGATCATACACCTCAGAGAAATCCAGATTTTGAGGTCGATAATCCAAATATAGTTGTCAAAAATTTGGTTCAAAGTACTTTGAGTGCACAGAGAAAGCCGGTTTTCTGTTGTGGTAACAGTCCTTCCAAATATTCAATCATTCACAACAGTACAACTTTTGACAGTTGGTTCACAAGCACACCCGGTATCAACATTCCCATTCAATATAACCTCACATTGCAACAGAATCTCACCACACCGGATATCTACTACTATAGAAACGATGCATTCTTCCCCATCAATAAAATGGGTTGGGATGTCGAAGGTGCAGACCCCGGACACGTCCAATACAGAGATGGTGCCGGCAACGTTCAGAATTTCCATTTCTGTATGGTACTGAGTGCACGTTTCACCTACAAGGGTGGTGAAGTTTTCAACTTTGTCGGTGACGACGACGTCTGGGTGTTCATCGAAGGCAATCTCGCTCTTGACTTGGGTGGTCCCCACGATGCTGCATCGGGATCGATCATCCTCGACAACTTGCCATATCTCACCAAGGGTAGAGACGCTCACTTTGACTTTTTCTATTGTGAACGTCACACCGTTGAATCGCACATCCAAATCTCCACATCGTTGGAATTGAAGTGTGGATACACCGATTATTGTGGTGTCTGCGAGGGTGACGGAAGCTCGTGTTGTAGCAATGCCATGTGTGACGATTTGAATGCTTGTACCACTGACAGATGTCCACCACCTTCAACACCATTGGCACCGGGTCTCACCAAATTCGACCCTAAGGTGATGTGTATCCATACTCCCAAGAATTGTTCGGGTAGCGATCCATGTCAAACCTACACCTGTAATACTCAGAGCGGACAATGTAATTCCGACCCAGTCAATTGTATCAAAGGTTGTTTCGATGGTGTCTGTAATTCAAATTTGGGTGGTTGCACCTACACCAATCTCTGTCCGGAATCCACCTGTAAGAAGTTTGTCCAATGTAAGGTATCGAACAACACCTGTGAGTATCAAACATTGAATTGCGACGACAAGAATCCATGTACTTCCGATTCTTGTATGGAGGGAGTGGGTTGCCAGAACATCATGAAGATCTGTGATGACAACGATCCATGTACTACCGACTCCTGTTCCACCTCCGACGGTTCCTGTGTATTCACCAAGATTCCCAACTGCCAATCGTGTACTTCCACCACCAGCTGCGTGCCAAAGGATAAATGCACCAAGAGTGAATGCGATCCAAACAATCCAGGAAAATGTATTGAATCGCCACTTTGCAATGATAACAACTTGTGTACCGACGACTTGTGTAATGCCAACGGAACATGTGACTTTGTCAAGCGATGCACTGCAACCGATCCACTTTGTTTCACCACCTCCTGTAACAAGACTGGAACATGTGATCAAGTCCCGATTGTCAATTGTGACGACGAGAACAAATGTACAATCGATAGCTGTTCTCAGGGTAAATGTAGCCACGAGATGATGGTGTGTGACGACCACAATCCATGTACCGTCGACACATGTAGTGCCAGCGTCGGTTGCGTATTCACCCCTGTGGTTTGTCCAAACAAGACCGTCTGTGAGATCGGTGTTTGCTTCGTCAACAACGGTACCTGTGGATTCAAACAACGTGAGTGTCCAACCAAGAACTTCTGTATCACCGGTGTCTGTGACTTGCGTGCCGGCGACTGTATCGAGTACAACAAGACTTGCGTGCCACAAGGAAGATCCGCCTGTAACAAGGGTGTCTGCAATTTCGAGACTCAGAAATGTGAGGATCATGAATACGATCCACTGCCATTCGATTGTCAACCGGCTGCCGTCAAGGCTGGTGTTGCCATTGGTGCCGCTGCCATCGCCGGTATTGTCATCGGTGGTGCTGCCGCTCTTGCATTGGCCGCCTTCGGTGGTAAGGCTGGTTACGATGCCTGGAAGTCGAGTCAGGCTGCCAAGATGGCTGTAAGCGCAGAGAATCCACTCTACGTTCCAAATCCAAATCAAGGTACCAACCCATTATTCCAATCGCCATCTACGTAGTTCAGAATGAAGTATCTTTTTTTAAAAACAAATAATATTTAAAATCTTTATTCAAACAAATAATCAATCAATCAATCAATCAAACAACAAAACTCAGCTAAATCATTATTGTCATAACTAACTAACTAACAATCAAACAAACAAAATCAAACAAACAAACTGAATACAATACAATCTCATCACATCACTTCTCCTTCAACTCCAAGAAATGATAATAATAAGATATCTTATTACTTATTGTAACTCACCTATAAATATATATACTCTCACATCGAAAACATTTGTTATATTAATATCACTTTAATAAATATGGAAAATTATATCCAAAAAAAAACAATCTTAAAATTTTTTCGAACTTTATTACTATAACTACATGTGAGAAACAACAGCATGAACTTCTTTTATGACTTTAAATCTTGATTCAACATTAAAACTAAGTTTTATTCATTATTAACTCACAACTATAAATAATAGATTTAAATAGATATATGTTACAAATAATTTATATTTCACAAATGTCAAATTATAAAGTTGATTTTCATTTTTAGGCTTTGCAAAAAATCAAAGAAAATACTTGTTAATTTGTTTGCGTGATCACATATAATAAAAAACTGGGTGATCACAAATGGGTAAGACCTGGTTTTTGAATATTTGTTTTTTTTTGATGAAATTTATCGGTTTTTTAAATTTTTTAAAGGAGATAGGGTTGATCATCCAATTCATCAATAGAATTTGGCATGATCTGATTTAAACACCCAAAAATAAAAAACACCCCATCTTTGATCTTTTTGGTGAATGGTCGTCGTAAAAAATTCTTTAAAAAAAAAACGGGCTTTATTAATAATAACAAAACACTTTTAATTCTGGTATTATTAATATTATTAAGTTATGTTGTGCATGCCCAGTCAATCAATTCTCATCATTCAAAGTTAGCTAGCTTTATATATTTATTTCTTTTGCAAACACAAACTTTTTTTTGAAAACATTATCTTTGCAATCTTTTAACTAGTTAGAAAAAAGAAATAAATATATATCTATAACTAATATGATAGAATCATCTAGATTTATTTATTCAATATTTATATTTATATTTATTTGTAGTTTTAATTATAATAGCAATTCTATATATGTCTCTTCTGCACAAATAACAAATTCAACAGAATGTACGTGTTTGATCAATCCAATTAACAAATATAATAAACAACCCACTTACATACTAATAAACTAATTACACACAATTTTTAGATGATAATCTATTACAAATTATAAGTTATTTTAATTTATCATCTTTTTATCCATCACCAAATACAACATCTATATGCTCGAAATCTTCTATTATTCTTTGTGATTCGGGAAGTGTAAGAAATCTGTATGTAAAGAAAAGAAATCTGTAAAAACAATCATTGATTAAGAATAATCAGTAGTTTTTAACTTAATCTATTTAAACCTTCCTTACTTTACTTATAGTGCTCTAAATGGAACAGGATCAACCATTATTCAATCAAATTTTTTTGAAAACTTTACAAAATTATATTCATTGGCACTCGACTCTGTCGAACCACCAAGTACATTCCTAATTGACTTAAATAAATATAATCCAAATGTCAAATATCTGTAAGTTAACATTACATAAACATCCAAACAACTAGGGTTTGATATTAACACAAACATTTTAAATACCTTTTTAGACAATGTAATCGTTGTAATATTACCAAAATAGATAATGTAGCACTATATTATATTAGATTGTAAGTATTTTCTTTGTTTTAAAAACAAACTGACTGCATTTTCTAGAAACACATTTAATTTCTAATTTATTTTTATTTTAATCAAAAAAAGGATATTACGTAATAATCCAATTAGTGGTACTATAACTTCAAGAGCTCTTGGATACATACAATATTTGTAAATATTAACCAAATGCTTTAAAGAAAAAATATACTGATAAATTTCTTTAATTATTGTAGTGATTACACAGCAACTGACAGTATATATAGAAAAGATGTTCATTTTTCTGGTAAAACACCATTTCCTGATACTAATTGGAAATATCCAGAGAGTGTTTTTGGTCATTTATCATCTTTACCAGACTTGACTGGTTTTTCATCTAGTTCATTTAAACAAGTGTAAGTAGTAGCTCTATAGTTATGTTTATCATCTTGGAATCAATCAATTTATTTATCATTTTTTAACTTTAAAATCTATAGAGTTTTCGAATTTGGACCGAATTTCATTTCCCCGCCTGACTTTAGCAATATGTCAACTTGGCGCGATATAAACGATTTAACACTTATCGATAATAATGTAAACAAAGTAACCATTACAAACTTTCCATTTGAAGCATTAAATATAAAATTTTTGTAAGTATTTACTTTCTTTATTAATTAAACCATTTCCCAACCATCCTAAACTAAACCAAACTAATTCATATTTATTACTCTTTTATTTATAGAACATTAAAAGGTATCGATTTTGAAACACCATCAAAATTTTTGAATATGAGTCTGATACCTCAAATGTAAGTAATTATAAATAATATTTTTATTACTTATTTATTAATTATTTTTGTTAATTTCTTATTATATATATAGAACAATAGATAAATGTAATTTAAATATAAATGGTGAAATACCATTCTCTTTACTTCACCCTGAACTGGCATCATTGTAAATAATTAATTAACACAACATTCATTGTTATTATTTAAAAATACTAATATGCATTTTTGTTTAATTAATTTTAGTACATTTACCTCTAGTAATATTACAAAAATGATAGATTTAACACTATTTTCAGATAATTTACTATCTGTTATTGGATTGAATGGAAATCAAATAGCTGGTGAATTACCTCCAAATCCAAGATTTTTCGCTCTTGAGGTGTTTGGAAACAAACTTACTGGATCTATTCCATCGGAATATTGTTACACCTATAGTAAACTTGGTAATAATTTGTTGAGTGGTGATCTTCCAAGTTGTTATGTTTGTCATTTGCGAGATCCTATTGCTCGTTCCTACATCGCTGGAAACAACTTTAACAACTACCAAGATAGCTGGACAACCTCTCAATATCCACCATGTACCACCGCAAAAGTAACTAGCTTGTCGAAACTCTCAAAACTAAGTTCACTCACTATCACCGGTGTCGACTTGGGTTGGACCAGTACCTTGCTCTATTTCCCATCAACATCCAACCCGTTGGAACAACCTTTTGTATCATATCCACGCGCCAACTCAATCATCAACGTAGCTGCCAACGGTCCCTACTACAATCTTCTGCTTTCGAAAGGATATCTTAATTTCACACTGTTGGATATCAATCAAAATTTTATTTTGCCACTGGAAGAGTCTGGTCCGATTGTGTACAACATCTCAGTCTATCCCTATGGTAACGTGGGATACAGTTTCTTTATCATTGGTAAATCATTTGGTTCATCGACTGTCAACATCTCCATTACCTTTGGTCAGCTTCCATGCTATGCAACAACGGTCAGTGGCGATGCCGTCGAGTGTCTTCTCTACGGTGATAGCATTCCAGAAAATCAATACACTGTCACCGTTTCAACGAAATTAACGAATGGATCGATTGCCTCAACAACGACAAGCTATTGGTTCAAACGAACATTTCCTTTCATAACAGCGATAAAATCATGTCCGTTGGCAGGTGGACTTGTCACTCTCTACGGTAGCTTTGGTCCGATTCACAACGATTCTTCAGTCACAATCGGCAAGCTAGATTGTGCAATTCAGAATATCAGCGACTCGTTGATCGTTTGCAATTTGGATACACCGGGAACACCAGGCCCGAAAAATGTTTCACTCATTGTCAACCTGGTTTCTTGGAAAGCGATGGACTATTTCATGTATGAAGGTGAATTTACTTGCGATAGCAATTGCAACGGTCATGGATTCTGTCAGAACGGATTCTGTCTGTGCTATAAAGGCTATGTTGGTGCAGCTTGTGCAGACATCCAACAAAGTGGTACCGGCATCACAATGAATACAACTGGCGACGGTACAACCATAACCACCAACGACTCTGACACCTCCGATGTCAAGTTCAACTTTGTACTTCGTTCCATCGTTGAATTCTCTGGCGTGCGAGAAACAATAAGAACTCTGGCACTCAAGAATTGGACATTCACCGGGGTAACAAACTACCAGAACTTCTCACAGTTTGGATATTACACGCTATTCGAAACAGCGAATATCAGTTACACCATTCAACAATTCAATGTTGCGACACAGCTGCAATTCGCAGGCTCCACTCTCCAAATGGAGAAAGACACAATTAAACTCTCGGTGAAAGTAGAGAATTGGCGGTATCTCGGCAAGTTGAATACGATCCAAGTGGTTCTCGAATCGAATATGGTGTTGCCAAGCGACTACGATCCCTCGGATCCATGCAGTAAGACGCTGATCAACACATTCGGTGAAACCACTCTCAACTACCTGTCGTTCGAACATAACGGTGTGGTTATGTACGGTCGGTTCATGGATAAGGTGCTCTCCGATGGTCGTCCCACCTTCAGTGTCGCACAGGTGTTGAATCAAGGTCCCACTTCGATCATCGTTGGAATCAACTTCCCCTATTGCAATGAATGTATTCTCGACCCTGATTTCTCACTGCTCGTGAAACCGGACCGCTCCAACAGCGACGATGCCTGTTCGAACCAATCGACCAGCCAAAAACAATTCAAATGGCTACTACCTACCGTCATCGTTGTTTCAATCGTCGGAGCAGCAGCAATCATCACAATCTTGGTATTCACAATTAAATCAAGATTCTTTATTAAATTTACAAAAGAAGCTGGTTTAGTTTGTTTTAAAAAGAGAAAATCAATGAAATAAAATAAAGGGGTAATAAATAAATATCTTTTTATTTTATTTTTGTACTTATAATTATACACATTAGCAATCCTCTAATTTTTTGTTTTAGATAATTTATATTTATAAAAAAATACAATACAGTCTTCCTTTGTTTAAAAAACTACATGATTTATCATATAATTCATTTCAAAAATAAAAAAATAATAATAAAATTAAAATTAATATTTTATTTATTGAGCTTTAGAAAGTAAAAAAGATTTCAAAGATATGAAACTTTATTTTGAATGACAGAGAAATTTGCAAAAAAAAATTAAAAAAAAAAATTATAAATAGTCAGTAATTTATAAAAATTTTCAAAATGCAAAATTTTTTTTTTTTAAATTTAAAAAAAATTATTCGACTTACTTGTTGAATGAATTTAAGTTCATTGTTTGATCAACCAAGCCTTCAACGTTTAATTCTTACCAGACATTTACACTTTAATAATGGAGAGTACAAAGAGTGGTATTACTTCAAGTCAAATCGCTCATTTCTTTTATAAGTAGAACTATTAACTATTAGATACCATCTGTATATCCAGCGACTGTCTGGTGAGATGTCTAAAGTTGATTGGCACAATTGGAGTGTGGCTTTGTTGGAATCTTACATGGCGGAGGATCTTCCATATTCCTAACATTGCCGTTGAGTATGGGTGGGTACATATCTTTAATTTTTAAAAAAAAAATAGTAGAAAATTAGAAATATTAAAAAAAAGAATTTAGAAATAAAAAAAAAAGTTTACTTACAAGTATTATGATATGATCCTTTGATCCATATCAATCACCTCAAAACTGATTAAAAGGAATGAATTAATCACCCTTTTATACTTTTTTTTTTAATTATAATTATATTTTTAAAAAAAAAAAATTAATTTATTTAAAATTAATTAAAAATTTAGGAGAATTAAAGAATGATCGTCTTCCTTTTCTAACTATTTGCAACTATAATTGATAAAATGAAGTTTATTTAAGAAAAAAAAACTCATTATCAGATAGATGTTTATCAAAATAGTACTATTTTTATCACATTTTACTACCTGTAGTATTGGGGTGAATGAATTAGATATGAAATAGGGTTTGTAGAGTATTTTTTTTAATATGACATCATACAAACATTCTCTCTAACCTACACATATGTTAAATAATCAACCTCCAAAGCCTGGTAATAAAGCTCAAGCTAAAAAATATTTGCATTTTATAAACTTAAACTTTCACTTTTATAGCAAACATGTATTTTTTGAATTTAATGTTAAAAAATTTGGATCAGAAAACAGACATCTTTATTCATTTTTATAAATATTGTTGATTATTATTTATCAATAAATATATTTATCAAAAGTTGAAAATTTGTAAACAAAATCAGCAGCAATGATTGATCATTAGTTGTTCATGTAGTCAGTTTGGATTGAATAAATCAACATCAACTAAATAATATTAAAGTTAATTAAGCTAGACACAAAATAATAATAACTTTATTTAACCTAGTTAATCAGGGTCTCTTGTTAAATATCTATTCCGCTAGTTGCTGATCATTGATTTTCTCATATAAATTTCCCATATTACAATAACCATTTTTTGAACACAAATTTTTGATTGAAGATCTTTGAGAATTTGATTGAATCTTTCATAACATTGATAAATATGTCTGTCCCTGTATTCTTTGATCTCTCGGGTTTGGTGTAGTTTGCTCCGAACTCCGATGAAGATTGGAAAACTCATTTTCCCTAACGAAAAATAAACGCCAAACTCTTTCAAATTTATTTTCAAGAATAAAACTTTATAATCTAAATCTACTATAAAAATGCTTTCTATTATCTAATTTTTATTAAAATCCAAGTAGGTTTGATATTTTATTATATTTTATAATATTAATCTCTATTGCTACAACTTAAAAAAAAATTTGTGAAAAACAGCTCAACCACTATCATTGAAAAAAATTTAACATATTTTAAATGACTGTTATCGAATTAATGATAAAACTGCCACCAAATTTCACTTTCAACTTTTTTTCACATTTTTATTTTTTTTGTATTTATTTTTTGTTTTAATCATAGAATAAACAACAAAGTTAAATATTACTACTATTATAATTACTACTACTACTACTACAGCGGTGTAATATAATATAAACTCACAGCAGCATTGCAATAAACACACACATACACATATATACATATAATATAAAGTCACGTCAAAAATGATATTTCAAAACTTTTTAAGAGGATTCGCTTTTAAGATGCTCGAAGAGAATCTCGTAGAGAAGTTGGCTTCAAATAAAAGATTTCAATATCTCTCATTGCTGCTGAGAGATAAATCAAGAGAGCTCTTTAAGGATAATCATAAGCATCCAGAGATTAAAGACAATACTAGAAATCCATACAATAACCATAACAACAAATATAACAATTACAATAACAATAACATCTATAACAATTATAATAACAACAACAGATATAACAGTCAAAGCAATAACAATAACAACTATAACAATTACAATAATAACAACAATTATAACTATAGACAACAAAATCATCAACAACAACAACAACAACAACAGCAACAACAAAATCAACAACCAAAGAGTTTTTCAGAAATTTTTAGAGAAGAGATGGAAAAAGAAATGAATAAAAAAATGAAAAAATAGATAGATATATATTGATTCGATTCAATGTTAGTTATTACAAATCAATTATATCTTTTTTCTTTTTTTTTCTTTTACTATTTATTAAATTCTTTCTTTTGTATTTATTTATTTGAACATTTATTTATTTTATTTTTAATTTTAAAACAAAAAGGAATCAAAATTGATTAAAATCGTGTTATATTACATTCAATTTGGTGGAGTTTGGGATTATACAAAATGAGATATCAAAAAATTTGATGGTTTTAAATTATTCCCGATGAACCATTTCGGCTAGCATTATAATTTATGTGGTTTTTTTTTTTTGTTTTTTGTTTTTGTGTTCTTTTTTGGTTTTGCAGTACAGATCACCCCTAAAACGAATAAAATTAACATGAAAACGACGAAAGTTCTAACACACAACTAATTTCTCTCATTCTTTTTTTTATTGTTATCATTGTTGTTGTTAAACACACACAATACAATAATACAAACAAATTATATATATAATTATATAATTATATATTTTAAATAAATACATATACATATATAGATATAGATATATTAATAGATATATTAATAGATATAAAAACATAATCAAATTATGCAAGCATTATTAAGTGTTTATAATAAGAGTGGTGTTGTTGATTTCGGTAAGATTCTCGCTCAAGCTGGATTCAAGATCATCTCGACTGGCGGTACTTCAAAGTCGTTGGTCGATGCCGGTGTGCCAGTTGTACAGGTCTCTGATATCACAGAGTACCCAGAGATGTTGGACGGTCGTGTAAAGACCTTGCATCCACGTGTACACGGTGCTCTCCTCGCCAGAACCGACCTGCCAGAGCATCAAGCCGATCTCGCCAAACACAATATAAACCCAATTCAATTGGTTGCCGTCAATCTCTACCCATTCGTAGAGACCATCTCAAAACCATCGACCACATTGGCCGATGCATTAGAAAACGTTGATATCGGTGGACATACTCTTATCAGGTAAAGTTAAAGATAAACTACAAAAGTTAGTGTTCTTTTGAAAACAAAATAATAATATTAATTTTATTTTTTGTCCAATTAATTCAGAGCATCATCGAAAAACTTTAAACATGTTATTATTGTTGTTGATCCAAATGATTACAAGTGGATCGGTGAAAGAATCCAAAAGAGTGGAGTCGATTCTATTACTTTGGAGGAGAGAAGCAAGTTGGCATTGAAAGCTTTCCAACATGGTGCTCAATATGATGCCGCCGTTAGCCAATACTTGTCGACCGTCAGCCTGGAGGGTGGAAAGACATTGGAGACTGCCACCGGTGATAAGACCGTTGAATTCCCACAAACCTTTGTACCATTATACGAGAAGAAGAACGATTTGCGTTACGGTGAGAATCCACATCAGAAGGCTGCTCTCTACTCGCTGCCGGGTGTCGGTGGTATTGCCAACGCCGAGTTGCTCCACGGTCCAGCTCTCTCCTACAACAATATTCTCGATGGAGATGCCGCGCTGAAGGCTGTCCGTGAATTCAGTGGAACCGCCTGTTGTGTCATCAAGCACACCAATCCATGCGGTCTCGCCATGCATGAGAATCAAGCAGAGGCATACGTTCGTGCCTTCAACGGAGATCCCAAGTCGGCATACGGTGGTATTCTCGGATTCAATCGTACATTGACTTTGGACGCTGCCAAAGCACTCAAGAGTGTCTTCTACGAGGTCATCATCGCACCAGACTACGAGAAAGAAGCTCTGGAGCTGTTGTCCAAGAAGGAGAAACTCAGAATCCTCAGAATTCCAGAGGCCGCCACCCAAGCCGCCTTTGCTCAACCCGACGTCAGAACTATCACCGGTGGTGCACTCCTCCAACAACCAAACCCAATTATTATTGGTGGTGTCGATGAGGCCTGCAAGAACTGGAAGGTCGTCACTAAGGTCGCTCCAACCGCCGAGCAGATGCGTGACCTCTTGTTTGCCTGGAGAGTCAGCAAGCACGTCAAATCAAATGCTATCGTCGTCGCTCACGACAATCAAATCGTTGCCATCGGTGCCGGTCAACCAAACCGTGTCCAATCTCTACACATCTGTGTCAGAGTCGGTGGTGACAAGGTCAAAGGATCAGTTTTGGCTTCGGATGCCTTCTTCCCATTCGCAGACAGCATTGACGCTGCCCACGAAGCTCAAGTCAGTTGTATAGTCCAACCAGGTGGTAGTATCAGAGATCAAGAAGTAATTGATGCTGCCGACAAATTTGGAATTCCAATGGTTTTCACTGGAAATAGAAATTTCCTTCATTAAATTAATTATGAGAAATAAAATTAAAAAAAAAAAAACATAAAAAAATATTAATACTTAAAAAAAAAACGATTGATCAAAAAAAAAAAACCGCACACGAATAACTGATTGTTTTTGACATTTTTTTTTTTTTTTTTTTTTTTTTTTTTTGGGTTTTGTTTAATTAAATGTTTTGTTTTGTTTTTGAAACTTGATGGTATGGATGATGGTGCGACCCACTCATACCAACTTGCACAATGCCCAAAAAAATATTTATTTTTTGTTTGTGTGGTTTAATTTGTTTTTTGTTTTGGTCAATTACCAGTTGGCAAAGGTTTGTGTTGCAATCAGGTGGTTGGTTTCTTAGTGGGAAATGACGCAATTACAATACAAAAAAACAATCATAGATACGACCTTGTTTTATTATGTCAATTGATCAACTATTTTTGTCGTTTTGCAAAAAAAGACGACAGTGGAGATGTGATCTCGCTGTAGGTATCTTAGATTTAAAGATGCAGCGCTTATTTTGATTGGTTGTTTGATGACCGCTAAGAAATAATGGTTTCTTAGATAATCTTTCTATCGTTTTTTTCGATACAAAATCACTTTACAGTATACTATACACGAACTCATTTAAATCTAATATTTGCATTGTATTGGCAACTGTGTGGATCTACACATTAATTAAATAAAGTAGTTGCGAATGATCATTAAAAGTAACTAATCCATTATATTAATAGGTTTGTTTCTACCATCATCTCAATGTCAGCCATAGATATGGTTTGATGTGTGTCCATTAATGTGCACACCCTTTTTTAATATTATTTTTTTTACAATTTTTTAATCAAAAATAGTAAATACTGATCAGAAACTGTATGCGATACCGTGTACAATGTTTATTAATAATAAGTTTCAAATAAATCATTAATTTGATCAATCACTCTTTTCAGTCTTTGGACAACTCAATCGCTTTTCATCACAAAACCACAAGATTTGTATTTTTAATTTTATCCATATACAGATATATTTAGTCTCATTGTATTTATATATTTCTTTTTTATTTATTTATATAAATAATAATCTTGTAATAATACTTTTTTAATAATAATAATATAATATTTATAAATATTATATTTTTCGAAATAAATATATATATTTTTAAATTCTATAATAAATAATAATTATATATTGTTTTAATACATATAACAAATAAAATATGTCTAAATTATTTTTATATTTTGTTTGTTGTTTTTTCATTGTATTAAATTATAGAAATGTACTATCGGCACAATTAAAAGTTGCCATTCTTACATCATCTGATAATATGGATTTTGGATTCAATTATCAGATCAACGATGGTTTCATCAAAACTCAAAGATATTTCAATTCATCAGAAATTAAAATGTTTGAATTGATCACACCAGATATTTTTAATCAAACCGTAGAGAGATTGATCGCCGAAGGATACAATGGAATAGTTGCTTCCTCTGTAGAGATGGCCACACCAACCAGATTCTTTGCCACCAACAATCCTCAAGTGCGTTTCCTTATCCGTGGTAGTTTGACCAACACAACCAATCTTTCCTATTTCACCTATAACATCGGTATCAATTATTATCTTACCGGTTTCTTTGCTGGACTCATGACAAAGACTGGAAAGTTGGGATGTGTTGCACCAGGTCTTCCATACGTTCCAAACTACACTTGTGCAGCTTTTCTTTGTTGGTGCTCGTCAATCGAATGGTACCGTTTCACTTGACATCTATAATACTGGAGATTGGGTTTCAGTGGACAAGTCGACTGGTGCTGCCAACCGATTGATCGATGACGGTATCGACTTGCTTGTCAACAACCAGAACGATTTCTCTGCTGAACATACCATCATGAAGCGTGGTGGTCTTGGTCTTGGTACCAACGGTTATCCTCAGGAGAATATCTACGGACAACACATTGGTATGTCAATCGTTTTAGATTGGAGTTCAGTGTTTATCAATTTCGTCAATTTGATTGTCCAAGATTCCCCATACTCCAGAAAAGACTATGGTGATTTCCCAAATAATTTCATTCAAATTTCATCTTTTTCATTTACAGTAAGTTAATTAATATAGATAATTGAATTACTACAATTTCAAGACTATTCTAATACCAATATTTCATATTAATAGGTACCAGAAGCAGTTCAAAAAAAAGTTACTGACGAGGTTAAAAGACTTGCTACAATTCCAAGACTTCAACACCCATACTATTGTAATGATTTCAATAGACAGTTGGCTGATTTGAATAGTACTCTTTTCAACCCTCCCTTGACAGGTGCCAAGAACAACTGTATGTCCAACGGTCAGTACTTTGCTTTCAATACACCATACCCAGGAACCAATGACCGTGGTTACTATTCGATTCCTCTCACCAAGATCGACGTCGATAACAATCTATTATACGGTTTCTCTATAACTGCCGGTATCTTGATCATTCTCTCCGTAGTAGCTATTGTCGCTATCTACATTTTCCGTAATACCCATGCCATTAGATCTGCAAGTCCAATCTTCTCGATGACCATCATATTCGGTGGTATATTGACATATGTTGGTGTTATCACATATGTGTTGACTCCATCGAACGGTTCATGTAATGCCAGATTCTGGTTCCTCGCCATCGGTTATGCTGTGATGGTTGGTTGTATGGTAGTAAAGAATATTCGTATTTGGTTAATTTTCGACAATCCAGAGCTTCGTGTTATTAAGATTACAAACTTACATTTATTCCCATGGGTTGCCGGTTTAGTTGCTATCCTCGTAGTGTTGCTCGGTTTGTTGACTGCACCATCAATTGGAAACAACGGTGTTACCCAAGCATTCGGTCCAGATACCGATCTGGAACTAGCAGCCTACGAATTCCAAGATATCTGCAGTATGGATAGCAACGGCTCCTCTATTTTGTTGGCCATTCTCGCTGTTTTCGGTTTGCTTATTATCATTGGTGTTTTCGTATCTTGGAAGATCCGTATTGTCGATATCGAAGATTTCAACGAAAGTAAACCAATTGCACATACACTCTATGTCGGTTTACTCTCTTGTTTCATTGTTATTCCACTGATGGTATCACCACAGACCAGAAGTTCCGAACAAACTATTATTAGTGCCGCTGCACTCTTTATCACCACTGTTTCCATGTCGATTCTTTTCATTCCAAAATTCCTTCGTATTGCCACTGGTGATAAATCCAGTGATGTTTTCAACCGATCCAAGAGTTCGATCGCTGCATCTCGTTCCTCCAAGAACTCCTCCAACAAAAACAGTGGATTCGAAGATGACGAATCCAAGGTCGCCTACTCTGGCAAAATCCATGCTACTTTCGATTCCGATGCCGAAGAGGCCAAGTCCAACCAAACCGATAATAATCCAAATCCAGGATCTCCAACTTTCAGTAATATGGAAAATATTAATATAGATGATGAAAAAGAAGAAAATGAACAATAATAATTGACAACAATAATAACAAAAAGATAATTATAATAACAATTTTTTTTTTTTTTATACTATTTAAAAAAAAAATTAAAATTAAATAATAATTTTATTTATTTGAAAACAAAATAAAGAGGTGTACAAAAATTTTGTAGATCTATAGATTAATCAAACAAAAATATCATCATATGTGGTCTCTAATTTTAACTTTTGTTTTTGGTGAATGTTGTTTAGATCTGGTAAATTTTTGATTGCATAATGCCATAAACTACCTTTAAAAAAAGTGATGATGTTGAGTCTAAAATCTCCTAAGGACTGATTACAAAAAAAAAAAAAAAATTCGATCGAAAAAACACAAAAATCAGTTAAATTTGGATTTTTTTAAACCATGCGATTAACTATTTCAAAAAAACCAAGAAATAGGGCTTTCCTCCCACATCTTATACTCAAATTAAAAACAATTTTTTTGTCGAATTCAATTTTATCGCGAATCATACAGTTAGTTATTAATTCATAAATGAATTTTTTTTTTGTTTTTTTTTTAATTACCTACAGATGCTCGTCATTTTGAGGGCCACAAAATCATAGAAATGATTGTTTGATCTAAATTTCAAACCAACTTCTCTCCAAAGAAACAGTTGATCTATAATAGTAGTGGATCAACCATTCACAAAAACAAAACTATTTTATTTTAATCAATACATGTTAGAAAATACTATACTGGTAATAAGTTTTCTAAAATTATAATAATAGTTTAGTTTTTTTTAGTAGTTTAGTTTAGTTGTTATTTTTTTTTTTAGTTTTTTTTAAAAATACTTTCATAGATATATTTATTTATATTATTTTTTAAATATATTTATTGTAATATTAATATTGTAACAACAATAAATTGGTGTATAATAAATTAATTAGATAACATATAAAATGTTAAAATATATATTGTTATTTCTTACAACCTTTTTGGTTTCTAGAGTTATTAGTGCAAATGTAGACAACTCATATAAAATCGCAATCATATGTAATGGAGAACTTGGAGATTTCGGTTTCAACTATATGATTAATGATGCAATGGTGAAAACTCAGAGAGCAATGAATACCACCAATATTCATATTTTCGAAGATATCAAGCCCGAGATTTTCAATCAGACCATTGATAGTTTGGTCGAGAAAGGATACAACGGTATTGTTACCACCTCGGTAGAAATGACAACACCAACTCGTCAGTACGCTCAGAGATATCCACAAATCAAATGGCTGACTCGTGGAAGTTTGACCAATACCACCAATCTTGCTTTTTTCACTTACAACATTGGAGTTTGTCAGTATATTATTGGTTATTTTGCTGGTTTGGTATCCAATACCAGTATGATCGGTTACGTTGCACCTGGAGCTCCACTGGTCAATAACTACAATGCCAATGCCTTGTTTGTCGGTGCTAGAATGGCAAACAACAACTCTGTCGTTCACACATACAATACTGGAACCTGGTTGGATCAAGATATCTCGAGAGGTGCTGCCAATTATCTTTTAGACTTGGGTGTTGACTTGATTAGTAACAATCAAGACGATATGTCGGTAGAGGTAGAGGCAATCAAGAGAGGAAAGCTTGGACTTGGAACAAATGGATTCCCCCAAGAGAATGTCTACGGAGAACATATCGGTATGTCTTTTATTACTGATTGGTCTCATGTTTTCATTAATTTCACAAATTGGGTTAGAAATGAAACTAAAAATTCCTACAAAGATTATGGTGACTTTGACAATAATTTCCTTAAATTAGGAAAGTTTAGTTTTGTTGTAAGTTATTTCTTTAATTTTACTTTTTTTTTTTAAATTTTATAATTAATTTTATTTACAAATAAAGGTTTCAGATGATGTTAAAACAAAAGTTGAAAATGAAGTTGCTAGATTAATTACAATTCCAAGAGCAAAGCATCCTTATTTATGCAATGAATACAACAAAGCCATTTTCCCAAATCTCACTGGAAATTGTATTACCAATGGTCAATTCTTTGGTTTAGATGCTCCTTATGAGGGTATGGTTTACCATGGTTTCTATAAAGTACCACTTGTAAATATTGGTGTATCTAAACCAGTTCTTATGGGTATTACTATTACCGCTGGTGTTCTTATATTCTTTAGTCTCATCTTGTTGGCTGCTGTATATTATTTCAGAAACTCTCATTCCATTAGATCGGCAAGTCCAGTTTTCACCGGTACTATTATTGTTGGTGCCATTTTTACTTATGTCGGAGCAATCATCTATGTAATGCCAAACAATGACGCCACTTGTAATGCAAGATATTATTTATTGGCCATCGGATATGCATTGATGGTTGGTTGTATGGTAGTAAAGAATTTCCGTATTTGGTTAATTTTCGATAGTATGTATAAATTAATTTGTTCAAGTTTTTATTTATTTTAAATACTAATATTTAAATATCAAATTTAGATCCAGAATTAAAGAGAATTAAGATTACCAATGCTCAACTTGCTCCATGGGTTGGTGGTCTCATTGCTATTATGATTGTTCTTTTGGCATGTATTACTGCTGAATCCATTGGAAACTTGAGAGCCAATCCATCATTTGTTGAAGAGTATCTTGGTAAATATGAATACACTGATATTTGTGATCTTCAAAGCAACGGTCAATACCCCTTGTATATTCTTTTGGGTGTGTTTGCCATCTTGCTAATTGTTGGTGTATTTGTATCATGGAAGATCCGTATTGTCGATATGGAGGAGTTCAATGAGAGTAAGCCAATCGCCCACACCTTGTACGTTGCCATGTTGTCTATTTTCATTGTTATCCCATTGATGGTTTCACCACAAACTCAAAACAGTGAATCTACCATCATCTGTACAGCTGCCATTTTCATTACCACCATTTCCATGTTACTTCTCTTTGTACCAAAGTTCATCAGACTGTTCAGACACGGTGAGAACTCGAGTTCTCAAAACAAGAGTTCCATTGCAGCTTCAAGAAGTTCAAAGAATTCCAGTAAGGTTCAAAGTGAGCAATTCGATGACGAAGAATCGATTGAGGGTCCAGAGCCAACCGAATCTAGAATGCCAGAAGGTCCTATCCATGCACAATTTGATAGTGATGACGATGAAATGCCAGTTGGTGATACCAATAGTACGATGACCTCAGACATCAACACCGAATCCCCTAAAAATCAATAATAATAATAATAATTAATAATAATGTAAAACATAAATAAAATCTATCGAATTCAGTATTTTATTAAATTTATTTGATTTTTATACAATTTTTAAGATTGAGCTGTATGTTCTGATTTCTTTGATTTTGATAAATTAATTGGTTCAATATTAACTTTTTTATATTTAAGGATTCCATAAAAACATAATATCAGACCAACAAAGTTATTCCAAATTTGAAAGAATTGGAATACACCATGACTATGAACCTTAAGGATCATATATTTTGAATTTCTTGCCAATGCCATTGTAAGGATATCATATCTTTTATTTATACTAAAGGTCATATAAACTAAAAAATAAATAAATTAATGTTAGATTATCTAAAAGAAAGTGGATAATAATATAGGTTTTAATAAATACAAGTAAAAAATGTTACAATTCCACCTAGAGATATCATTGTTACAAGATCTTTAGTATTTGAAATTGTAGAAAGATATGATTGAATTTCATTACTTTCAAATACTAATGAAGAAGGAATGAGAATCATTAGACTTCCTGGAGAGAAATAAAGCATAATAGTCAAAGGATCTATTGGTTTCAACCAAGTTGAAAACAATCTATGAGCATACACTGTCTGGAAGGAAAGAAGTGAAGCAATGGCAAAAGAAATTCCTAATACCGATGGATTGGCAAAGAATTCAATTGACGTACTTCCTAAATACATAAATGATACTCCTGTTGAGAAGATCAGAACAGAAATATATACGCCACTTTCAAAAGTAACATGTAGTACTAAATATTGAAGAAAAACTGTTATAATTGGAGTCAAAGTCTAGAAAAAAAAAATTAGAAAAATAATTTAAAATTACAAATAAATTTATATTTACCCTTGTCATGCCAACGGATTGAGATGGAATCAAAGCATTGATTATATGATTGAGAGAATGTAAAAGGGTAAATGGACCCATTTTAAAAAAGAAATCACTTAATTTCAATGGGGTGTAGGGGGTGAGTTTGAGAACAAATATACATAGACAGGATAGGAATGATGATATTATCATTTGGTAACTCATCATTGTGATTGGTAATTTTTGGAATTTAAATTCTTCTTCCAATTTCCTAAAAACTGAATTAGAATCGAATATATATATGTTTTCAATATTAAAATAAATTCATACCTATTTACTAATAGGCAGCTACAGTTTATGACTAACCATTGAAACAAAATGGAATTTGTTTGAATCCATTTATAAATATTTTTACTATATCTAGCTACTCCATTAAAAGATCCAATAGAACTTGATTTATTACTAATATGATTATCTGGAATATCAATAGATATTTCTGTATTTAATTTTTGATTTGTTGTCTGTGTTTTCAAATTATCATTTTGATTTGAACTTTTATCTAAATTGGACTTTATTATTTCTACAACTATTGGTTTTGTTGTTGGACTTGTTCTTTTTATATTGTTATTATTTATATTATTACTACTTATTATTTTATTTTCATCTATATTAGGTTCCATTGTTTATATTAAAAAATTATTATTTTAGTAATATGAATTTATCTCTTTATTCTTAAATTAAATTATAATCAAATAAAAAAAATATAGGATATTAATCAATCATTGTAATAAGTGAAGAGAATCAATGATGAAGTTACAAAAATTAATAAATGAAAATTATACATATATTTTTTTTGGTAGAGAATCAGTGGTATTAATATAGCAACACACATTTTCAACTCATAGATATAGGTAATTTTTCAATTATTTCATATGATATCATTGTGAAAATCACACACTAATCATTGATTGTATTTATTTGTTTTTAAGGGGGTAATAACAAGATGACAGTGTTGACATTAAAATAGATAAAATTTGAATTTTTTTTTTTGTTGTTTATTATTATTATACTGATATATTAAATTAAAAAAAAAATAGAATATTATAGACTGAATAATTAATATAATATCATATATGGTTTTGTTTTGTTTTTTATTTTATAGGTGTGTTAGGATCTCTTTGATAGTTTTGATGCTTGTCGCTTTCTATAAATATCGTGTTCTGGTGGTTTGTTAACTATGGCTGGTTGGTGAGGTTGGTGAGTTTGGGTAGTTGGTTGGTGCTGAGAATCGTCGTTGTCATTGGAGTTGTTGTCAGGGTTGTTATTGTTGTTGTTGTTGCTTTCCATTTTTCTTTTGTGAGGTTGGTTCATTGATTTGTTGATATTCTTATTAATTACATTTCCACCACCGGTATTGCCACCACTTGGTTTCATCATTACGTTGGGCGGTGAATCCAATCCACTCATTCCTCCTATTCCACCAACACCACCACCGATTCCACCTCCCAGTCCCATAGTAATAGGCGAGTTATTTGGAATGGGTGTATCGTTGATAAGCATCATCAGTTGATCTACATCGATCCAAGGACCTCTAAATGAATTGGGTGCTGGCAATATACGAAGTAGTGGTTTAATAAAGTCGGGTATCAAATTGTTATCGTTGTTTGACCACTGATTGTTGTTATTGGCACCATTATTATTATTACGTGGATCGTTTCTCATCATATTTGGTTGGTTGCCTCCGCCAACTCCACCAGAACCACCAGCAGAATTTGATGAATCGTTTCCAGTTCCATTACCCAAACCTCCACCGCTAGGTGTAGAAATCTTTCCCATTTCATTCAAACGATAGGTAATCATCATTGTTGTATCGGGACGTGTTGTTTTCCATGTGGAAACCGGGATCTTTGTTGAAGTCGATGGTTTATCATTGTAATAGCTTTTACCGTCTTTCGTTGACGAGTCATTCGATCCACCATCACCACCACCACCACTTCCACTTGCTCCACCTTTTCCTCTATCGTGTTTATCTTTCTTTTTACCATGATGATGATGATGATGTTGTTGTTGTTGATTTTCAGCCGATTGCTCCTCGATAGCAATGTCTTGATCTTCTTCGATTAGATTCTTATTGATAATTTCGATTTCATTCGGATGACAAGGCCAGAGATTCAAAAACTTGTAACGATTCAAAACCTGCATGATACTCATCTTTTCGTTGCTTGGTGAGAGCTGTTGGAATCTCTTTTCCAATTTCACTATAGTATTAATATCTTGATTCTGCCGATATTCAAAATCCAAATATTTTCTCCAGAATATCTCTGATTTATCTGATGGAATAATAGATAATATCTTTTCAAATAATACTCTTGTATCTATAATAACAATATTGTTGTTGTTGTTTGTTAGAAAAATTTGAAATAAAAGTAAAGTTCTAATAAGCTAGTTACTTACTATTATCTTCATTTAAATTCGTTAGGAAATCAACATAGAAATGTACATAGGGAATTTCATGACTGAATTTCTTTAGACCCAATTCAAAGATCTCTCTTGCTGTTTTGGTGTCTTGATTGACGTAGTACTCGATGAATCCCAAGGCAATATATACATGATAGGTACATTCCGGATGTGATTTAGCGCGTTTGAATATTTTACGTGGACCTTCGATTCTCTCGGTACGTCGTGCGAATCGCATATACTGAATCCACACCAATGGATTGTGTGAGAGTTCCGCTAGTGTCGACGGTGTCACCAGTCGTTCGTAGACCTCTTTCGCCTGAGCAACCTTTTTGTTGATCTCCAAAAAGTCGGCGAAACTAAAGTGAAGGAACAAGTTGTTTGGAATCGCTTGGATGGCACGCTCGTAAAAGTTGGTTGCCAACTCGTGGTTGCCGCTGTCCGCCTGGTAGGTGGCCGCTTCGAACCAGATGTCGGGATAGTGATACAGGCACAGCAGACACTGGTTGTAGGTCGCGGTGATTCGCTGGCGGAGTTGCGCCTGTTCGAAGCGCTGTGGATTCGACTTCTCGTAGACGATCAGCTTGCGCCACAATCGCACCTGATGCTCCTCCTTGTCGGTGGCGCGCGGTGGTTTTGCCAGCATATTCCTCAGGATGCCTTCGAGCAGTGCTTTACGCTCGCGATACACAGTCTTGGCGTGTTGGTAGCGCGAGGAATGCTCGGCCAGCAAGTTCTTGGCGAGATTCTTGTTGCCCGATGCCTGCTCGAACTGTTCGTACTCCTTCCAGAGTTGGTCGAGGTCGTGCATCGGATTCTCGATGGCGCGCTGATAGAGCTTGCGAATCGCATTCTTTTTCGAGCCTTCCTCGGCGGATGTCGCTGTCTTCTCCTCTTTCAGAAACGCCAAGTACTCTAGCCAGATCGGTGTCGATGAAATATCCAGGCCGATATACTCGATCGCCAGTTCAAACGCTTTGATAACCTCCTCCTTATTGCTATCTCCTTTGATCTGTCGAATATAGGTGATATAACACTTCCAAAGTTCTACATTCCTAACGTTTCTCAAACTTCGCAAGAATATCTTTTCCACCATATCATAGTTCTTTGATGACATCTCTTGTTCAACATATAACTTCCAATATCTTCCCTGTTTGTTTTGTTCGATATTAATTAATTAGTTAGTTAGTTAGTTAGTAAAATAAGTAAAGATTGCTACATGAATAGATAGATAAGATATTTACAGCAGTTGGGAATACAGCTAGGAATCTCTCATAGATATCACGTGCTATTGTTATTGGCTGAGATTGTACTTCATTGAGGAGTAGTGTCCATGCTTCGGTGTCGTACTTGTCATTGGTGATACGTGCTTCAAGATTATCGATTTGAACATTCAATCTTTTACCAATCGCTGGCATAACAGATGATATTGTTGTTGTTGTTGTTGTTGTTGTCGAAGTTGGTGTTGAAGGTGACAACATTGACGTACTAGCATTTCCTGTGGATGTTGTTGGTGTTGTTTGTGTATGAGATGTAGATGTAGGAGATGAAACTGCATTTAAACTTGGTGATAACGTTGTTGAAACCGGTGAACTCTTATTAATTGCATTTAATTGTGGACTATTATTATTACTACTATTATTATTATTGTTATTATTATTACCTTCTAGACTAGCTTGCTCAGGATTATATATATCATTTTGTTTTGTTGTTGTTGTTATTGCTGCTGTTGTTGGAGGTTGATCAGTATTTATAATATTTGTAGATGAATCTGAAGAATCTGTTGGTAAATTTGTCATTTTAACATCAACATTCTGTTCAATAACACTATTATCACTCTGCATTGTGTTGTTGTTGTTGTTGTTGTTGTTGTTATTAGATTCATTTTGAATATGTTGTTCTAATTGTTGTTGCTGTTCAAGTTGTTGTTGCTGTTCGAGTTGTTGTTGTTCTAGTCTTTGTTGTTCAAGTTGTTGTTCTTGTTGATCTTGATCGTTGTCATCCATTGTAGTAGAACAATGTATAAGAGAATGAAACTGACCGAATCACCCGTCAAACAAATTCAAAACAATACAAAACCAAATAAACAAACAATAACAGACTAACAGACAAATCCAAGCTAAATAACCAAATTAATCTATTTTTAATCTATTTTTATTATTATAATATATGTAAGACAGCAACATAAAGTTATTTTAAAAAACAAACTAAAAGATAGGTGAAGTTGCATTTTGCACCCATAACATTTCTTTTTCGAAAAAAAAAAGTTTCTAAATTTTTATATATATAATTTAAAAGGGTATCTTTATTTTTATATATATGTTAACATATATAATTAATATTATTGGGTAATATAAATCGAAATATCCGATAAAAAGACAGGAAATGAAGATATATAATTGTATTGACTACTTCCTGCCGTTTGTCTTTACCTCGGAGGTGTATATATTGTTGTTTCTTTACACAACGGTATAGGTAGTATTACACCATCGTACTTACACTTTTGTTAAAATTTAAAAACAAAATCAAGAATTAATAGTAATAGCTTTGGATTATTTATTGAATTGGTGTAGTTTAAATCGAAATGAATTTAGATAGAATACTTGATACAATTACAGCTTTGAAATTGTCGCTAGATTGACCAAAAATGAGATAATGATTATCACAAATCTTTCGAACATGGAGTTCGACTCTTTTTTTGAAATCTTTAGATATAAACAAGTTGGTCACTGATTTAGGTATTTCAAAATCTTTTTGAATCAATTCTGAAGGAACAGTCATTGATTTCACAGAGTTTGGAATCCATTCGTTAAAGTATTTAGTACCAATTTTAAAATTTTTGATCACTATATCTTCAATAGTGTTTGGAATTTCGAAATTAATTTCATTGATTATTTTGTAGTTTTGAAATATGATCTTCTTCACTGACGATGGAATACCTTTTCGAGTTTTTTTAACAACATGATGATACTCTTCGCTTCCAATGTATAATGTTTCCACACCCAATGGGATATCTCTTATAATATATCCTGTTGAATACGTTTCTCTTCTGTCAAATACGAGTTGCAACTTGATCTTCAGATTGTCAAGTGATTCTTGTTTGTAACATTGTTATCTCTAAATCTTCATACCAAGGTAGATGCTCAAGAAACGATACCTGATAGCTTGGAGACCTTTAAGAATGCCATTGTTGAAGGAGTGACCAATGACGCACATACAACTCCCAAAACCATGTCAAAAATCACACCATACTTTGATAGTGTTAACGAGCTGAGTGGACTGAACATTGAATACAGTGATGGATCAACAAAGCTTGTAGGTAGTGCAGCAGGAACACAACAAACAACTTTAGTTTTAAGAGCTGTTCCAATTGTTTTAGTATCGGTTTCTAGAACTTCGAGTGTAACTCTTGGAATCTCATTCAAATATGCTGATTCAACAATTCCAGCGACCATTGGAACAGTCGATGAGATCTCATATCAATCATCAAATCCAGGTCAATGTCTTGTCGATATTAATGGTTTAAACCCTGTTGTATTTTCATTTGACGATGTTGAGATCCGTTACCCAGTTCCATCATCGTCACCAGTTACTGTACCTCAGTATTATTATCAAGAATCAAATGGTGAATTTAGATATCGATACGAGTATGTATATTTATTTTGAGAATGACATCATTAATATCATTAATGTTAACTAATTAAATTTTTAAAATTCAACCCTTATTCAGGATTTTTATTATGAAGTAATGTCTTATGTATAGTTCTCAATAATGATATTTAAATTTTGTAATAAATATTTCTATATCCTAATAGATTATAGCTTTAAGAGAATATTGTGTAATTTCAATTTTTAAAAAAAAAAATATATCGCAGACGTGGTTTAATAACAACTAAAAAAATAATTTCAATTAAATTGTGCAATCAGATCTAAAAACTTAGGCCAAATTTTTTTGTGTTCCAATACAAAAAACGTAAAAAAATTTGAATTGTGACTTATGTCAGCCATACTTTGCTGGATTTTTTATAATAAAAAAAAACTGGCTCCCAACCAATTTCCCCTCGCATTAATTTTTACATTTTTTTTAAAATTGTTAGAAATCAAAACACCTGACTTAAAATGTGATCTGAGCGGTTTTTTTTATTTTATTCGATTTATGGTCACAAAAAGAACCTTTTTTTGTTTTGGAATGGTAGAAAAAATACAGTGGTAAAAAAAACTGTTTGTAAAATTTCATATGAATTGTTTCATTTTCGGGATACTGGTGATTTGCACAAAAAAATCGAAAGTTAAATCTGGTTGAGAATTAAGTTTGGAATACCTTCACTTAGAATATAAAAACAATTGGAATCAAGAAGATAAGCATGTGTGTTGTTTCATTTTTGGGATTATAAAAAATATAATATTTTGTTCATTATGAGCAGTCTAGTGTGAGATTTGAAAATATTTTTAATTCATAATAAATAAAAAAAAAGAAAAGTGTCTATGTGGTCAATTAGCCACAATTATTTACAATGGAAAATCAATTATATTATAATAAACTTGATAAATATTTGTTTCATTAATGGGTCAACCACGTAGAATTTCTTCCCTCAATGAATAAGTCTACTCATCACAACAATTTCAAGAACTATAAATATGAAGTTTTCAACTTTGTATAATATTAAACTCATAAATAAAAAAAATGAAATATTCAAATTTATTATTTATTTTATTTGTTTTAACATTGTTATCACTTAATCAAAATTCAAAAGTCGAGTGCTCTCCCTCTCCTGTTAAGTTCCCAAGTATATTTGGAGGAGTCAAGAATGCCATTGCTACAGGAGCATCTGTTTTCGTTCCAATGATCCCAGGGTCCCCACCACCATTGTCAGGTGCCATTGTCAATTCTTTGTTCCCAAACCAAAACGATCCTCAAGCAGTATGGAACAGTATCCTAGTCTATTCTCAAGCTGCAATTGACAATAAAATTGATAATGCAACCTATGCTTTGGTTCAATCAGAGTTAGTAGGATATTCTCAATTGATGAACGAATACTACTTAGCTTCCATGTCAGATCAAGATTCTACACCAGAGTACCTAAGTTCTGTTTACATTTCATGTGTTACTCAAGTGATTCGTCTAGAACAACTCTTTAAAACTCAACAATTCCAAGCATTACTCTTACCATTATTTGCTCAGTTTGCTAATCTATATTTATCTTTGATTCGTGATGGCGTAAATTATGGAAATCAATTGGGATGGAGTCAATCTGTTAAAACTAGGTATGATACTTTGATGGAATCAAAGATTATCAGTTATGCCGAGTATTCCGATTCTGTAATCAATACTCATATTAAATCCTTAGAATACTATGAAACTATTAGATATCCACCTCAATTATGGAATCAAATTTCTGATCAACTTAATCATTTCTATGTATCAGTAACAGCATTTTCCTACAATTGGAAATATTTTGATATCAATATATATAGAAATGGTGTATCGATTAGTCCAGTCTCTCATATTTTATTATCAAATCTTGCTGGGGTTTTTAATAAACAAGATGATTGCATATATTCTGCATGTAAGAAATTGCAAAGACCAGAGGTAGTTGCAGCAAAAGTATCATCGACAAGAATGATGTCAAAAATCACACCATATTTTGACAATGATAATGGAATGATTGGACTCTTCATTGAATATAGTGATGGATCTACAAAGTTAATTGGACGTTCTTCAGGACCATATTCATTTTCCCATCCAACTACAATTTTAAGACAAGTTCCAATTGTTTCAGTATCTGTGTCCACTTCTCCATCTCATACTTTTGGTATCACATTCACATATATTGATTCTATTCAAGTAACCATCGGATTCGGTCCCAATACTCAACAATTTGATTCATCATACCCAGGTCAATGTGTTGTCGATATTGTTGACCCAGGATTTGAAGGAGCAGATGTAGGATATTTGATTGGTCTATCGATTGCATTTGATGATATTGATTACCGTTTCCCAGTTTCCTCATCCCCAATTGCTGTCTCACAATATTATTATCTAGATTCTAATGGTGAAACTAGATATCAATACAAGCAAGTATTACTATTTAAATTTATTAATTTTTTAAAATACTAATAATTTCTTTCATAATTTCTTAGTCTTCCAAACAATTTTATTCAGAGTTCTTCATCATGGTCATTTGGAGGATATTCATTCAAAGCATTCCAAGTTCCATATTCTATAATTATGGATCCAACAACAGCTTTTGTTAATTCAACTGATAAAGATAGAATTTTTGTTTATCGATTCAAATTCACTCAATCAAATGGTGATAGATTCTATTATACAACCGATAGTTCATTCACTTCAAGTGGTTGGGTGTATGATGGCATTCCTTTCAAAGTATATAGTGAATCTAATGTGGTAATTCCTACAATACCAGTTTACAGATATTCAAGAACTCAAGTTCCATCTTTAGGATCAGGAGTAGTTTATGGATATTCGACAGTTCAAAATATGTTAGGTTGGACAAAAGAAGGTATTGTTTGGTATTCAACAAGTGATTCAACACCATCTTTCCTTTCATATCAAGATCTTGAATATAAGATGATTCAAAATGTTGGATCACAGAAATGCTTGACAGCACCAACAACATCTGGATCATCAGTAACACTTTCAACATGTGATCAATCGAATCTCCAACAATTCTGGTATTTGAAATATGATTCATTTGGACCACATCTTTACAATCCAAAAACAAAGATGTATTTGAACAGTCAAACAACGACATTGATTGGAACAACATCGATTCCACAAAACAATTTTAATATTCTCAATCAATTAACAAATGGACAATACACAATTCAAGAATATATTTCTTCATTATGTCTTCAACTCAATATTGTCTCAAATATTGTTGAATTCAAAACATGTGATTCATCAAATCAAAATCAAATTTGGAATTATGTAAGTTTTTGTTATTACAATAATAATTCATTAAAATTAATTCTTAATTTCTCAAATAATAATTCATATAGCCAAGTTCAGTTTTAGTTGAAAGTTCGAAATCAATTCCATTGTTCCCAGGTGCATGTTTAGATTCACTTGGATTGAAATGTCCAACAACACTTCCAGAAGGTAAAACACTCAAAACTTCAAGTTTATCTCTAACAATGAATTCAAATGGATACTTAACACTAAAATATGGAAGTTCCGAAGTATATTCATTGGGTGTAACATCTTCAACATCAGGACCATATTCAATTACAATTCAATCAGATGGAAATGTTGTTTTGAATGGTAAATCTGGAACCTATGCAGGAATTGGATGTTGGAATCTTGGAGGTCAATATCTCAATCTTCTTGATAGCATTTATGGTTTACCATATGGATTGATCGTTCAAAACAATCAAAACAAGATGATTTGGTCGAAATTAGGATATCCAACATCATTCAAAATTGGATTGATTCCAGGTTCATTCATTGACAACCAAGATTCAACAAATAATTATCTTGGAGTCAATGAATTCATCACCAATGGAAGAGATTATTTGATTGTCAAGAAAATAGCTCCTGGTAATTCCCATGGTGCATATTTATATGGTGGAAATCCTAACTATGGAGGTCTCACTCCTCTATGGAAATATGAATATTCGAATATATTACAAGAAGATCTCAGAATGTACGTTCATTATAATGGTGATACCAATACTTTTTGTATGGTCAACTCTATAACAGGAACATACTCTTGTCATTTATTTGGAAAATGGAACACACCAAGCATTCAATCATCTCGATATCTCCAACTTCCAGCACCAGGAAGTGACCAACCAACAGATTGGGCAATTGCATTGCGTTCAGGAACAGGATCTTTGACATATGGATATTTTGGAAACTCCAAAGCTTTTGGAAACTTTGCACTTCAACCAAATACGAACACTTTATATCAAAATAGATTCCTAAGTATCCAAATCAATCAAAACAAATATTATATTAAGAATATGTTCACAAACCAGATACTTCAAGAATCACCCGCAAATCTCCAAATATGTAACCATGCTTGGTCATCCACTGGAATTTATCAATTGATCTATGATACAACAACCACTTGCTCGTCCAATGCCAAGACAATGATTGATTCAAGTGGACCTCCAAATGATCGTTCATTTGAAACCGGTAGATCGATAATACTTCTTCCATCAATGCCAGAATTAGTTGTATCTGATGTAACTGGATTATACTTATGGTCACTCGGATACAGTACTTTTTAATTGAAACTCAAGATCTTAAATAAAATCTAATCATCTTCTATATTGAATTTATTTCAATTTCAATAATTATTTATTTATTTTTTCCTTAGAGGTATTTAAGCATTTCATCTACATCTATAAAATAAAAAGTATGAAATCAGGATATTTATTTATAGAAATTCTATAATACATAAATATATTATTTAATAACATTATTAAAAAATTTCATTAGTGGTAAACAATAAGTATTGTATTCTACGTTACAGTAGAACCATTGTTTTGGATATATCGGCAACCTACCCTCTATTGGATTTCAGCTTTGGAGATTTTTGATCGAGTTATCATTGGTTGGAAGCTTGACTAAATAATACTTGAACTCGAAGAAGGTATAGATAAGATATGGAATGAACGACTTGAATCAATAAAGTGTGGAGTTAGCTTTCCTGTGGATACCACACATTCCCAGAGCATCGATACAATCAATTTGTTCGTTTTCGTTGATTTCGTTTGGTTTCGAAATATCAAAGGCATTAGTTTGTGTATATGACCTAGATATAAGTGAGTTAAATATAGTTGTCAAGTGATTCTTGTTTGATTCCATCGACAGGTAGTCTTTCGAAATGATATTGTGACCGATCTTTGAGTATCTAATTGACATCATATTTAGAAATATGTATATCGAGATATCTGATTGAAGGAGGTAGAGACGAAGAGAGATAACAACCGAATTAACTTTTAAATATGTGAGGGATGAAGGTAGATCTGATAAGTCTATCGTGTTTTTTCTGGAAAGCCTATTAAGGAGTTTCAGTGTTGTGAGATGGTCAAGTGATTTGATGAATGGAATCCATGATAAAGGTGACTTCAAAGTATAAAGTGATTGTGGTAATACTCCATCTGATATCTTACAAATAGTATGAATAAGAACTCTAAGATTTGGAGGAAGTGACCCAACTTGAAGTGTTTGATTATAATTATATCCCAAATACAAATGGGTTAAAGATGATGGTAAAACATGAGGTTCGAGTGGTTGATTGAATTTTGAAAATTCACCATATATTAGTTTCTCCAATGTATTTGGAAGAACACCTGATGAGATTCGTTGATTAAACACGGACAAAGTTTTGAATTTTAGAGTTAGATTATATATATTGTTGTATTTATATACAATAACATACAAAAATCTAGCGAATAGTCTGTTTCGTAAAAATACGTGCCATAGAACAATTACTCATTTGTTAAATTTTTTTCAATGATAGTGGTTGTGGCTGTTTTTCACAATTTTTTTTCTAAGTTTTTGCAATAGAGATTAATATTAAAAAAATAAAATAAAATATCAAACCTTGTTAGATTTTAATAAAAATTAGATAAATAGAAAGTATTTTTATAGTAGATTTAGAATATAAAGTTTGTTTTATTCTTTAAAAAAAATTTGAAAGAGTTTAGCCTCTGTTTTTCGATGGGTAAAATGAGTTTTCCAATCTGCATCGGAGTTCGGAGCAAGCTACAACGAACCCGAGAGATCAAAGAATACAGGGACAGACATATTTATCAATGTTATGAAAGATTCAATCAATTTCTCAAAGATCTTCAATCAAAAATTGGTGTTCAAAAAATGGTTATTGTAATATGGGAAATTTATATGAGAAAATCAATGATTGGCAACTAGCGAAATAGATATTTAACAATGGACCCTACTGATTAAATAAAGCACATATATCAATAGAAATGGTTCAACACACGATATGTGATCTTGAATATCTATCGATTCCTTGAATAGTGGATATAAGCTGGTATCTTTCACTTTGCCAATCTTCACTAAATATTGGTTTTTATTTGAATCAAACACAATCAAATCAACAATAACCATATAAAATTCAATTGTATAATGTTAGCGATACGAAAAAGCAACTTTGTATGATAGTAGATTGACAAGAAAGTGAGTTAATAAATGAATAAATGAATAAATATAATATATATGAATATAAATATATAAATATATAAATATAAATAAATATAATATTTAAATAAAAATAAAAAATATAAAAAATATAACACTGAAAATAAATATAAATATTAAGATAGATATAAAGATAAATATAAATAAATATAATACATATAATTGATATTTATATAGAGAAATAAATAAATTACTGGATGAATAAATAAATGTATGAAAGGAAGAAAGAAAGAATGGGTGGATGAAAGATTGAAAGAAAGAAAGAAAGAAATAAAGAATGGATGAAAGGAAGAATGAAAGTGAATTAGGTGCTAATAAATAGAAATATAGTGTAAGAATATAAATATGTAAAGCGTTGACAGCACAATGTGCACTGGACTAATACAGTACTTATATTGTATTACCTATATCTATTTATTTATAGAATGATACATACCATATATAAACAAATTAAAACTAACCTATACTTTTTTGGAGAAAAAAAAATAAATTTGAATTAGTTATCTTGAATATACTTGATTATTTACCCACTCCCTGCACTGAGTGTGCTCCTGGTAATCCATTCTATTATTATTCACGACTATCATATCAAAATGGAGAAAATCTACATGATAACCGGGTGGCTCGTTCGATGCACCTTTATTGTTGTTACTCAACAATATTTTTCTATTTAAAAGAAAAAAGTTAATAAGTAAGAATGTTTATCCAAATTGATTTTCAATTACATACATTTTATTTTTGATTGATCTGAGTATTGATGTTCGATATGATTTTAATTAAAATAAACACTTTATATCTATCTATGTTATCTTCAAGATAACTAATTATCTTTGATAACAATAAATGTGATAGATTAACAATCATCTGAATATTATAATCTATCTACTTTTAAATGAATTACAAGCTAATATCATGATCAGACGTCAATCTGTGTTGCAAAACAAAAAAAAAAGATTTAAGTTTTCAAACATTATTAAAATGTATTTCATGTTTATTTATTTATTTATTTACGTTTTATTATATTATAATTATATATTAAATAATTGAATTTAATGAATAACTTTGTTGTTTTGTTTTGTTTTTACAATGAATTGTTATTATTATGTTGAAGTCTGAGTAATCTTTCTTCTCTTTGTTTCTTGATTTTGAGTTCTTCAAGTTCGAGTTCTCTTTGCATTTCCTCACGTTTTCTTTGTCTTTCCTCTTGACGTTTGCGTCTTGCTTCTTCCTCTTGTCGTTCCTCATCCTCTTCGGCACGTTTTCGGTCTTGTCTTTGACGTTCTCGCTCCTCTTCACGCTGACGACGTTGTTCGTCTAGTTTTGCATTCTCAAGAGCACGCTTCTCATCGCGTTCCTCTCGTTTCTTTCTAAACTCTTCCATCAGCGTCTCCTCGCTAACGACATTCTGTATCTTACTGTAGTGAGGTGACGACACCGCCGAAGCCGGTAGATTATCAACTCTTAACTGATTGCTACCACTAATACTACTACTGCCATCGTTGATACTAATGTTAATTCTCTCACCGCTTCTCGGTGAAAGATGACCGTCTCCACCAGGAGAACTAATACTACTGTTACCACTTCCACTGCTTATTCCACTACTACTGATATTCGTATTACTATAGCTATGTCTAATACCGAGATTAGCCAATAGAATAGGTGAACTGACATCTTCAACTTTGAAGATAGGTGGTGTTGTAGATGATCCTCTATAGCTATTATTATAACTACTACTGTTACTTTCTCTTTTTCTTCTTAACTCTTCTCTTTCTCTTTCGTAATCTTCTAGTTCCTGGCGATGTTTGGCCTCTCTTTCTTCTTTGGCTTGTCGACGACGTTCTCTCTCCAGTGCAAGTTTCTCTTCTTCCTCTTGGAGTTCACGTTCGCGTTGCTCTTTTCGCAGTCTACGTTCCTCGGCGCGTTTCTCACGTTCTTTCTCTTCCTCTTGCAGCTGTTGTTCCAATCGTTTCTGTCGCTCTTCTTTTCTCTGTCTGATCTCATCTTGTAGACGATTGTACTCATCGATCTCCTGTTGTTTTCTCTCTTGCTCCTTTCTCTCTCTTTCCAGACGCTCGCTCTCCCGCTCTCTTTGTAGCTGCTCCTCTCGCTCACGCTCACGTTCTTCTCGCTCGCTTTGTCTTCTCTCACGCTCACGTTCTCGCTCGTTTTCCAACTCCTGCTTCTCACGCTCCCTCTCCAAACGCTCATTCTCCAGTTGCTGTTCTCGCTCTTTCGTTTCACGTTCTTTCCTCGCCAGCAACTCCTCACGCTCCTTTATCTTTTGTTGCTTCACCTCTATCTCTCTCTCCTTGGCGAGTCGCTCACTCTCTTTTCTCACCAACTCTCGCTCCTTCTCGTATCTCTCAAGCTCGAGTCGCTCACGTTCTTTCTCGATCCCTTCACGCTCTCTCTCCAAACGCTCACGATCCTCTCTCTCTTTCTCCAAACGCTCCGCTTCCATTCGCTCTCTCAGCTCCATCTCTCGTTCCACTCGCTCGATTCTCTCCCGTTCAAATTTAACCTTTTCTCTATCAACTCTTTCCCGCTCCAATCTCTCATTTTCCAATCTCAACGATTCTCTCTTTCTTTCTTTCTCATCTCTTTCTCTCTCTCTTTCTAGTTCTCTTTCTCGTTCTCTTTCAAACTCTAATCTTTGTTGTGCTTCTCTTTCTCTTTCATATCTTTCTCTTTCCCTTTCCTTTTCTCTTCTTTCCTCTCTTTCTCGCTCAATCATTTCAAATCTTTCTCTATCTCTTCTTTCCTTCTCTTCTCTTTCTCTTTGTTCTCTTTCCTCTATTTCTCTCTTCATTGTTAAAGCAATACTATTTCTCTTATTAACAGAACTACCACCACTACCACCAACAACAACATTATTATCAGTAATGTTTGACATTGATGTTGATGAACTACTATTTCCCTTTAAGAAATCTAAACGATCTTGAGTGAATCTTCCACTTTGTCTATCTCTATCTCTTCTCTCTCTTTCTCTTTCCTTTTCTTCTTCCTCTCTTCTCTGTGTGAGGAATGCAGTACTCAATCTCTTACCAGTACTACCACCACTATAAGTACTATTATGACTATTGTTCATCTCTTGTGCAGATCTAAAATCACTAATCGATGTAGATGGTGATATTTGTGGTGATGATGAATTGCTACTTCCACTGATACTACTACCACCAGATGTTGTACTTCCACCAGCGGCTTGATTCAAGAATCCAAAACGATCTTTCTCAAATTTACCAACATGCTTTTGTCTATCCAATTCCCGCTCTATCTCTCTTCTCTCCTTCTCTTCCTTCTCTCTTTGTTCTCTCTCTTCAATCTCTCTCTTTATAGTCAAAGCAATACTATTTCTCTTTGTTTCTCTTTCTCTTTCTCTATCTCTACTGCTTGATAAAGATGATGATGATGATGAAGAAGAGGAAGAAGTAGAGTTTGTACTACTACTAGAATTATTCAAGAATTCAAAACGATCTTTATCAAATCTTGAAGTATTTCTTACAAACTCTTTGTTTGATTGTTGTTCAATGGTTGTAGTAGTGTTTAATGGTGACGATTCAAATCTCTTTGAAAGTCTATTGACACTATTGGTAGTTGGAGATGACGATGTCGATGATGAAGATGTCTGAGAATAGGTTGGTGGTGAATTGAAACTAGTTGAAGATCTTCTAGATAGATTATTATCACCACCATTACCATTACCATTGCCATACTGCTCGAGTGATGCTTCATCGATTTGAAACGACGATGAATATCTCTTGGAAACTTGATCCAATTGTTCTTTTATGATCTTCTCTTGTTCACTCGATGTCTTTGAGTAGTGTTTCTCTTCCTTCGGTGGATGCTGTTGTCCAACCGATGTAGGTGAAGTAACATGAGATTTTGGTTTACTAGTTGGTGATTTCTGTTGTTGTTGTTGTTGTTTATTACCACCACCATTATTTGAAAAAGCGGGTGTATTTCCACCCAATTGTGATTTTATAAATGCTGCTTTTCCACATCCATCACTAAATTTTTACATTATAATTTTAATTTATAAAAATATATTGTTAATTTATTTTTATTTTCTTGAGATAATAATAATAATAATAGAAGTACTATTGTATCTACTTACCAATATGGTTTTCTATTGATATTTAAATATTTACCGGATGGAAATGGACGACGACAACCAGCACAGAGAAAACAACTTGGATGGTAGGAGTGTCCGAATGCTTCATAGGTAGCACCTTCACAATACTCCCCACATCCTGCACATTTTGGATTGGTAGGTGCAGATCCATCCTTATTTACAAATGTTGGAGTCTTTGTTGAACTTTTCATTTTTGATACAAAAACTGCCTGCTTTTTAGTTTTTTTGTTTTTCTATTTTAACAAAATTGGTTGAATTGCTTGCTTATTTAGATTTGTTTTGATTGAATATAAATATTTTTTTAATAATTACAAGATTAAATACAATATTTTAATGAAGTTATGTATAGGAAATATATAAATAGAGTTTGATGATAAAATGAAATTGTTGATTGATTGACTTGTTTATTGATTGATTGAATAAAATAAAATAAAATAAAACAACAATATAATATGATTTTGAGTGGGAAATGAATAGAAAGAATAGAATATAAAAAAATAAAAGCTTGTGTTTCAATCAATCAATCAATAACTTTTAATTAATTATAGTACTTATTAATAATGGGGGTATATATCTTGATTGTTGTGTTGTGTATTTTATTTTTGAAACTAATCTGAAATTGAAATTGTGTGTGTATGTGTGTAATATTTTTTTGTTTTAGTAGTTAGTGTGTTTGATTGTATACATGTAAGTACACTTTATTTATTTTATATATAAAATGATATATAAATGTATATTAAAGGTATAAATATATATTTGTTTATATAAATAAATATATATATAAATAGATGTGTATGAAAATAGCAATCTATATTGATAATATGATTACCACTGAAACTACTATAAATCAATTACCACACCTGCCTACAAACTACTACTATTTAATTTGAATAAACAAATAAAAGTAGATTTTACTGATTATTATTAATGTTTTTTCATCAGGCAAAAAAAAAAAAAAAAAAAAACAATCTATCCATTCTTCGATGGGTTCATTCATTTGCAGCCAAACATTCGAAATTCTTATAAAATAAAATTGTTGTTTGGTTTGACTATGTTTTTTCAACAATTTGATGTTTATTAAAAACACTTTGGTTTAAGGGCATGCACACAACTGGTTGTCAAAAGATCATGATTTTGTGCGTTGATGGTTGAGTAAGAGAAGAAAGAATAATAAAACAATAAACAATACTTAATTGTAATGCTTTGAAACATGATTATTATTAAAAAATAAAATAAATATAGTTATGTTATGTTATAATGTCTTTTTATTTATCATTATAGACTATAACCAATCGGGTTTATTCTTTTTATTATAGGGTACTTCTAACTTAAATAGTTCGATAAATTGTTGATCTAAAACACGTACTTTGCTACCTGCAAATCTTCGGTACTCATCAAAGATATATGTATAGGACCATTTTTGTAGTTTTCTTAAACAACCAACTAAACAACCTGTTCTATGCTATAATTGATATTGATTTGATGAGATTGTTAATATTATTATTGAATTGCTTTCAACATTACTGTAACCAACATCTTCATACCTTTCCTTTATTACAATGAATTAAAATAGGATGATTTCTAACATCGAGTAAATCTACTAATGCATCTCTAATATATTCATCTGGAATATCTACAAATGGTTCCTAGTTTTTGTTAAAGATATAATAATTAGTTTGGGTGGGTGATTAATAATGATGATCATTGTGCGGGTTTTGTGTTGTTTGGGCAGTTTGTTTACTTACTTTATTACCAACGATTCTATAATGTAATAATTTGATACCATGTTTTCTGATAAAGTTTGTGTTGGATTCACTGTACTCTTCGGGACAGAGATAGAGGATCGATTTTAAACCTAGTTTCTTGAGGAATGGATGATTCTTTTTATTGGGGTAACCACTACGATAGACACCCCTCGACACCATCGAGAAATTCAATGGTGGGATCAACAGTGGTTCTTCCTTTGGTTCTTGATCATTCAAGTATTCATCATCCGACATCTCTCTCTTTGTTGTTTATTTCTACTCCTACTACTACTACTTTTACAAATCTTTATTAAATTAATGATGATTGATGTTTGTTTATATGATATGCAATCGAATCGTTGAGTGTTGTCTGTCGTTTTATTAATAAATTTGTAAAAATAAAAATAAAAATAAAAACAAAAACAAAAACAAAAATATGAATTATCGGAATGTATGAAGCACACCAACAACAGCAACAACAACTGTGATACAAACAAAATAGGTCAACAAACAAAAAAAAGGAATAAAATTAGGAACACAATAATATTATTATTATTAATAAAAAAAAAAGTTTGAATTTTTTGAAAAATTGAAAATATTTAATTTTAATTTTTTTAATTTAATTGTTTAAAAACTTGAAAAGAGAGAATAGGTTGACTTATTTTTATTTACCTTTCTGAATCAATATTATATTATATTCATTGAATACATACATTCATTTACTTTTTAGTTTATTTTTTAAAATCATTATCTTATAACTCTGCTTTTAATATTAAACAATTAAATATATTAATGAAAAAAACATAACAATTAATTTAATTTAAATTATAATTAATATTAATTACATTGTTAATACTATTATTAACAAAACAACTACATAAAATATAAAAAATGACAAGAATAGTTGTACAAAGAAAAGTAAATAATAATAACAATAATAATAACAATAACAATAATAATAATAATAACAATAATAACAATGTACATATAAATAATAATAATAATAATAATAATAACATTAATAATTTAAACGTTATTAATGTTAATAATGTTAATAATACATCTACTACAACTACATCCACTTCTACGACAACAACATCTACGTCAACAACTACACAAGCAACATCTCCGAAAATCAATCAGAAGAACCAACATTTTAGAGATAGAGACAGAGATAAAGAAAGGGATAGTAATAGTAACAACAACAACAACAACAACAACAACAGTTTTCATGTAAATAATAATAATTATAATAGTATAAATAATAATAATAACTATCAAAAATCGTCAAAAAAGAAATCGGGAAATCATTTTTCAAAATCAAACAACAACAATAACAACAATGTAAATAGTAATAATAATAATAGCGGGAACCATTCAGGTTGTAGTTCAACAACACAATCCGATGAAGAGAATAACAGTGCTGATGAATATGAACAGCCAATTAGAAGATCTTCAAATTATAATCAGAACAACAATAATATGAATAATAATAACAACAACAACAATAACAATTATAATTATCATGATTCATCGTCATCATCTTATGATGAAAGATTATTTGAAGAAGTTATTAAAAAGAAGAAAGGTTTACAATTAAGAAAGATGAAAGAAGATGGAAATTGTTTATTTAGATCGATTGGTATGTAATTTAATAGTTGTTATTATTTGTCTAAAAATGAATGAATTACTTACTTATTGTGTTTATATTATTATTATATAGCTGACCAGATATATGGAGATCAAGAAATGCATAATGTTATTCGTGAGAAATGTATGGACTATATGCAACAGGAACGCGATCACTTTTCACAATTTATTACGGAGGATTTCGATGATTATATAAAGAGAAAGCGTGGCGATCGTGTCTATGGAAACAACACAGAGATGCAGGCACTCTCTGAACTTTTCAACCGACCGGTAGAAGTCTACCACAAAAGTCTGGAACCAATCAACATCTTTCATGGCACCTACAAAGGCAACAGTCCACTGAGATTGAGCTATAGAAATGGTAATCACTACGATTCACTTGCAGACATAAATAATCCGTCAGTTGGTGTTGGACTTGGTTTTCCTGATTTTCATCCTGGTGTAAGTTTTTGTTAATTATATATTTGTGTAAAACAAGTCACATATTAATAGATTTTTATGTTGTTATTTTGTTTATTAATAAAATAGATGGCAGATAAATCAATGATTGAAAAAGTTATAAAGAAATCGGATTTAGAGTTGATTGAGAAACAGTTGTTTGAGGATTCGTTGTTTGCGTCGGACTGGAAACAGACGGAATCGGAAATTGAAGAACAAATACTGCAAGAGTCCAGAAAGGAATGGGAGCGACAGTTTTTCGATACTTTTATTAGAAATGTCTCAAAGGATAAAGATAAAGAGAGAGATAGAGATAGAGATAGGGATAGGGATAGAGATAGAGATAGAGATAGAGAGTATCAAAATTTCCATTATAATCATTACTCAAACAACAATAATAATAATAATAATAACAACTATAATAACAACCATAAATAAATAAATATATATTTTATTTTTATTTTTTATTTTAATATTGAAATTCACAAATAGTTGTGTCATCATTTCATTGATTAACTAAAAAGGTAATTACAAATCAAAACAAACAAAAAAACAAACAAATCAAATAAAACTCCGATAAGTTGGTGATGAGTCTCATTGTTTTCAACGGAGCGGAGTTTCAAAAAAAATCAAAAAAAAAAATTAAAAAAAATTAAAAAACTTTTCAAAAAATTAATTAAAATGGTTATATATTTAGTCAGATTGTTTTTTTTAGTAAGCATCATCATCAAATATTTTTAAAAATAAAAAGAGTTATAAAATATTAGTAAAATTATAATTCTTTTTTTTATTTTTTGTAATATAAAACAACAAACAACAACAACAACTAATAATAATAATAATAGAATGGGTGTCAATGCAAGCTCTACACTTAGAACTGAAGAGATAGAAGAACTTCAAAGTCATTCAAAAGTTTGTAAGTAGTAGTACAATCATGATGATATGAAAAATCAGTAACATTTACTAAATTCAATTTTCATTATATATAATTGATTGATTGATTGATTGATTGTTACATTATTATAGTTACACAAAAAGATATTAGAAGATTATATAAAAGATTCAAGAGATTGGATAAAGAAGAAAAAGGTACTGTAAATGTAGAGGATTTTTCACAGATTCCAGAGCTGTCGATGAATCCACTGCTGCCTCGACTCATAGCGATCTTTGACGTCAATAGAAACGGTCAGCTTAATTTTGCGCAATTTGTAAATACACTATCGGTCTTCCATCCAAATGCTGATAAAATAGATAAAATTAAATGTAATCTATCACAACATGTTCATTATATATACTTAATCTATCTTATATAACTTTTTTGAAATAACTAATAACAAACAACCTTTATTTACTATTATTATATTTACAGTATTATTCAAGGTTTATGATATCAATAACGACGGATTTATTACGAAACAAGAAATTCAAACAGTTTTGACAATGATGGTAGGAAAGAATCTTACGACCGATCAAATAGAAACCATAGTCGATGAGACACTACACGAAGCAGATAAAGAGAATAAAGGAAAATTGAATTTTGATGCCTTTTGCTCTGTAAGTAGTAATGGAATAGAATATCAATCATCAGCCAATCAATTGATTGATTGATTGATTGTCGTCGGATCAAACTTTTTACTAATCCAAACAACTTTTACTTTTTTTAAAAAAAACAAAACAATATCAACAACAATTTACAGTCTTTAGAAAATGGATTCACCGATAATATGTTATCAATTTCATTTAAACCATGTTATTAAATTAAATTAAATTAAATTAAAAATCATATTTCAAAAACATCATCATATTAGATTGTAAGTTCTCTAAAAATGATTACTCTGACTTTCGACTTTTCAGCTTTTATTTTACAATATTATCATATTACTTCATTCATTTCATTCTTTTAGATCAATATTTGATAAGTTGGTTGTTATAGTTGATGATGATGATGATGTTGTTGTTGTTGGTGTTGTTGTATCGTTGCTATTGTTATTATTTGTAGAAGAAGTAGTAGTAGTTGTTGTTGAAGATGAAGTTGTTGATTTGTCATCACTGTTGTCGTTATTGTTATTATTGCTATCGTTATCTTCTTTGTCATCATCGACATCATCACCATCAACATTATCATTTGATTTCTGTTTTGAGTTATTAATTTCTTTCCAATCACTTTGTTTGAAGGATTCTATCATCTTTGGTGTAATCAGTAGATTACAAGAGTGTCTTACTTTCGAGATTGCAAGATCAACACCAATCGAATTCAATCCTATAAGATTGGCAATGGCGAGAACACTGCCCTTACCGCAGAACGGATCCAATATCGTAGTCGATCCGATGCCTCTAATATATTTCGCTGCGACCATACAAGCATTCAATCCCATTGCTTTCGGCCATGTCATAGCACCTCTTGGTGCAATATCAGGTGTTTGTTCTAAAATAAAGCAAAATAACAATTAATATAAACAAATCAAAACATAGCAATAACACTATTATTATCGTATTATTATTACTACTTACCTTGATAGATTAGGTTTGAAGGTGTTCTTGCAATACAAATCATATGACTGAAAGATGATTTCGTACCTCTTGCAACCTTGCCTAGTTCCGGTGGTGATGATGTCATCATTTTGTGCCAAACCATCTTACAACCGGCGATCTCTGCACCCTTAGAACACATATATCCTTTATCTAAATATTCATCGACAACACCTTTGTTTCCTTTTACTTTTCTTTTAACATCGGTTTGATAGAATATCGCAACATTATTATCTGTTAACTAATATAATAAATAATCTATGTATGAGTATAAACGAACGAACGAATGAATAGATATTTATTTGATTGACTCTACTAAAAACTACTTACTTTTGAACATATTAAAGTTATTGCGTTTACGAACCATGTTTTATATCTATCGAGAGTATAACCACTCATCTCAACGATATCGGGTAGTGAAGTAATGATTGACGTTGTCTTTTCCAATTCATTGTTTTTGATATACTCGAGAGCGTCCATACAAAATAGATTTCTATAAACTGATTTCGCTACATTATCTTTATTCTTATTATCTTTCAGTGTGAGATCAACTTGAAACTCTTTTGTAAATGTTGTAATTTCATTGTTGTTGTTGTTATTATTATTACTGTTCTCTGTAGACATGGTTAAATAGATCTATTTAAAAAAGAGAATAAATTAAATCTGAACATAGAAAATGACTCAATGTCAAAAAATAAAATAAAAAACCGATTGTTTTAAAGACAACTTATCGTAACAATTATTCTTACAAACATTAATAGATAGGCTATAGATTATTTAATATTCAATGATTGTTAATCTATCACATATATTGTTATTAAAGATAGTTAGTTATCTTGAAGATAACATAGATAGAATATGTGTCAGTTTAGTTTGTAAAAGATTCTTCGAGGAAAGGGATATCTATATTTTAATACTGATCGTATAAATATCAATCTTTGTGAAGATATTGCTGAACAGTCAAACAACAACATTGATTGAATCAACATCAATACCACAAAACAATTATAATATTTTTATAAATCAAATGACAAATGGACGATACATTATTCAAGAATCTGTTTCTTCACTTTGTCTTCAACTTAATATTGTCTCAAATATTGTTGAATTCAAAACATGTAATCCATTGAATCAAAATCAAATTTGGAAATATGTAAGTTGTTTCTTTAATACTACTTTCATTTTATAATAATTTATTAATATCTCAAATAATAATTCATATAGCCAAGTTCAGTTTTAGTTGAAAGTTCGAAATCAATTCCATTGTTCCCAGGTGCATGTTTAGATTCACTTGGATTGAAATGTCCAACAACACTTCCAGAAGGTAGATCACTCAAGACATCAAGTTCATCACTCACAATCAACTCTCAAGGAAATGGATATTTATCACTTAAATATGGAGGTTCTGAAGTATATTCGGTGGGTGTAGCATCATCATCAGGACCATATTCAATAACAATTCAATCAGATGGAAATGTTGTTTTGAATGGTAAATCTGGAACATATGCAGCAGTTGGATGTTGGAATCTTGGAGGTCAATATCTCAATCTTCTAGATAATAATCTTTATGGTATTCCATATGGAATGATCGTTCAAAACAATCAAAACAAGATGATTTGGTCGAAATTAGGATATCCAACATCATTCAGGATTGCATTAATTCCAGGTTCATTCATTGACAAGCTTGACACCACAAATAATTATCTTGGAGTAGATCAATTCATAACAAATGGAAGAGAATATTTAACAATTAGGAAAACAGCTTCTGGTGATTCCTATGGTGCATATTTATTTCCTCAAAATCCAAAATATTCAACAACAACTGTATCAACTGCTCTCTGGAAAAAAGAATTTCCAGAAGTATTCAAAGAAGATCTCAGAATTTATGTTCATTACGAAGGTGACAATACAACCTCATTATGTTTGGTCAACACTATTCGAAAAAGTATGATATGCGGAACCTTTTTTACTGGTAACACACCAAGCTTTGAATCATCTCGATATCTTCAACTTCCAGCACCAGGAAGTGATAAATCAACAGATTGGGCAATTGTATTGCGTTCAGGAACAGGATCTTTGACATTTGGTTATTTTGGAAATTCAAAAACTTCTGGAAACTTTGCACTTCAACCAAGTGTAAATAATCTATATCAAAGTAGATTCCTAAGTTTACAAATCTCTCAAAACAAATATTCTCTTAAAAATGTTTTTTCAAACCAAATCATTCAAGAATCACCAGCAAACCTTCAACTTTGTGAAAATGATTTTAGACTAGGAACTTTTTCCAGATATATAGTAATGTATGATTCAACAACCACTTGTTCAATCAATGCCAAGACAATGATAAATTCAAGTAATTTTAAACAAGATCCAGGATACCCCGATGGCAAAACCTTTTTACTTCTTACATCAATGCCTGAAATGGTAGTATATGACAAATTTGGAATATTTATCTGGTCTCAAGGATATAGTACTCTTTAATTTAAAAATTAAATAAAGATAACAACATTTAAATAAAAAAATTGGAGGAATCTACTACTCATTAGAATCTAATTTATTTATTATTTGAGTTTTTAATTAAAACTATTTTTATTGATTTAATTTTAAAAGAACAACTGTAAAGATAAAAGATCGGTATTTTCTTGTCATTTAAAAAATTGTCTCGTGTGGTCTTTAATAAAAAAATTAATTGAATCGATGATTCTTGGACTCCATAAAATTCTTATGAGGATACTGTAAGAAATATTCTACTGGTACGTACGTTGTTTCAGTCGCAGTATCTGTTACAGAAGTTGTTATTTCACCGTATTATGATGATTAACTTCAAATTTTAATTGAATATAAGTTGATTTTTTTTTGTAAAAAGTTTTTCGATTTATTTGAAATTATTTAAATATAACTCTTTATTCAAAATAGATAGATATCATGATACTAAAGATATTATATATAAAATACAATCAAATATCTCTAAAGATACAATTATCGAAGAAGATAATAACTTTTTATCGGAAATCTATGGAATGATATCGAATTCAAATGTGACCTCATGAATAGGAATATCAAGTTTATCAAGTGGATTACCTGTGAATTTGACATCGATAGCATTTAACGAGACATTCAATGAAGAATTGTTTACAGGTTGTCTTCCACCGAATCTAAAGAAACTGTTTACTGCCGACTTTCATTTTCACTGTTCCTCTATCTATTCATCTGAGTTGTGTTTGTATGTACCTAGTTCTGCTTGATCTGATGGTAATCGACGAGTTGTTTAGTTATGATAAAAAACATGCATGTGTAAAAGTAAATATATAAGTACGTACTTGTTTGTTGGTAAAGGTCTATATTTATTATAAAAGAACCAGTTCATACATCTCACTGCTTGCTGCTGCTACCTGCTATCATTCGATTTATCTGAATTACTGCTGCCTTTCATCTATCGCGATAGATGGTGAATAACACGACCTGTTAATATGATATTAGATAATGCAAACATTCTATACACCAACACTTTCTGCAAAAAACTACAATTTTATTATTTAGAGATCACAACATAATGTTAAATTATTATCACTCGAGGTACCTAACTAATAGTGAATACTTAATAACACAAACCATTGTTGTGTAGATATACACTGAGTATTCAACAAATAACTATAGTGACAGCAGCATGTGGAATAATTTTAATTATATTATAAGGTGCATCTGTTGATCAATTATCTTATGATATCTTCTCTTGGTATGTTAAATGAATAGTTTAAGGACTTTAAAAATTAATTTTAAGTAAATAAATAACAGACTTATCTAAGTTTAGTTTTGTTTTTTTTTTAAAACACATTTTTACAACGTTACCAGAGCATGATCAAAAAATATATTCTTACAAAATGAAATTATTTAACTTTTGTTTTTTGATATTTATTGTATTATTTAAAAATGATTGTTAATCTATCACATCTATTGTTATTAAAGATAGTTAGTTATCTTGAAGATAACATAGATAGAATATGTGTCAGTTTAGTTTGTAAAAGATTCTTCGATGAAAGAGATAAATATCTATATTTTAATACCGATAATATTGGAATGAATAATATACAAGTAGAAGAAGATAAAGATGATGAAATCTATAATCATAAGAATGTATTTACATTGAAATCATATCGATCATCAATACTCAGATCACTCAATCAAAAGAGTAATTGTACTCTAACGTTCGGGAGATCCTATGACCAAACAGACTATTCTATAGAGCTATGTAAGTTATTGTTAATATCTTTTTTAATAACAGATTCTAATCATTTATTTTCTAAACATATGATATAGATAAAAAAAATAGTGATAAAATACCACCAAATATCGCTAAAGTTTATTTAAATCTAAAAGATGATTTTAATTTAGAGGAAATCTATAAAATGATATCGAATTCAAATGTGTCCACATTAAAAGGAATATCAAGTTTATCTTGTGTATTACCTGTTAATTTGACATCGATATCATTTAATTCTAAGTTCGAAGCGCCATTGTTGGCAGGTTATCTTCCACCAAATCTAAAGAAACTAAAATTCCATGGGATTTCTTATTTTAATCAACAGATCTCAGCAGGTGTTCTTCCAAATACATTGAAGAAACTTAAATTTGGTTCAAACTTCAATCAAGCACTCGAACCTCATGTATTACCATCATCTTTAACTCATTTACAACTCGGAAGAGATTATGCGCAAACACTTCAAGTTGGATCACTTCCTCCAAATCTTAGGGTCCTTATTAATAATGGTAATTGTGTGATATCAGATGGAGTATTACCACAATCCCTTTGCACCTTGAAGTCACCTTTTTCATGGATTCCATTCATCAAATCACTTGACAATCTCACAACACTGACACTGACACAATTTGGATGTAGTGAGTCAAAGATCAACTTGTCAGATCTACCAGCATCTCTCACAAGTTTAGATATTCACGGCTCATGTCATCTCACGTCAACTCTATCACCTTCAATCAAATATCTCAACATATTCGAAACACAATATGATATCGATGAGATATTCAAAGATCGATCACAATATCATTTCGAAAGAATATCTGTCGATGGATTCAAACAAGAATCACTTGACAATCTGAAGATCAAAGAATTACAACTGCAATTAGACAAAATTGAAAATATTATTAGAGATATTCCATTTGGTGTGGAAACTCTATATTTTGGACACGATGAATATCAGTTATCTAAAAATATTCCAAACGGGATTCCATCATCAGTGAAGAAGATCATATTCCAATATTATAAAACAATCAATGAAATTGATTTCGAAATTCCAAACACTGTTGAAGAAATAGTGATACAAAGATATTGTAATTCAGATCAATTCTCAAGTAAATGGATTCCAAACTCTGTAAAATCAATGACTATTCCTTCTGAATGGATTAGAGATAATATTGAAACACCTATATCAGTAACCAACTTTTGTTTTATATCTTACAATCAAAAAGTAGATCTCCATGTGCGAAAGATTTATGATAATCATTATCTTCTATTTGGTCAATCAAGAGACAAATTCAGTGCTGCAGTTGTATCACGTATTCTATCTAAATTCATTGACAAATAAATTAATATAATTTAAATCTATTATTTTATTTAAATTCTTAATTATGAAAACTTTTTAAAAAATTGAAAACTATGAGCTTGTAGTTTACATATGTTTCATATTATAAATGAGCAAGATCACTAATAATTCCTAAAAGTTTGTTAAATACTAACAATGTAGAGGGTAATCTCTTGATTAACTGTACACTGGAAATGTTCTAAAAAAACTATTTATACTTGCTGTTGAAAGACATATGAATCTTTGATTTCGAATCTCCGTTTTATCTTTGAATTAATTGATAAAAGATGGTAGTTGTGGTTGCAGTACATATCAAATTGGTATATTAGTAGACTTTTTAGTTGAAATAGCATCTTCAATAGCAAAAGTAGATGAAACATGAATTGTTGGATCCAGCTAATTAGTAGAAGTGGAGGAATCATTATTGGGGAGATCATCTACGTCGGATGGCAAACAAAATCTATTTTATCCACTTTCTGATGCTCAAATAGTTCTATAAATTGAAACCTGTTAGATTATTGGATTGTTAATAAAATTTAACGCCTACCCTTTTCACTAGCCATGTTGTCCTTTGTTGGTAGTTAACCATTCACTTACTATACATATAATAAGGGGTAACAGAGACTTGAACTCTGGTATACTGATTCCTGCACATTCGTTGTCATATCTAAACTCTGACTTTAACCTACACATACCAATATATATCATTAATGTTTAGGTAAATCGATTAGCAGTAAGTTTCAAATACTTACCTTGTCAAATATTATCTTTATCTTTTTTACTATTATCTTGTTCGTTGCTGAGTACCATGATAATAAACAATATAAATTATATAAATTATATGTAACTGTTACTCATAAATTTATTTGAAAATTGTTAAAAAAACAATTTTAGATATTTAATATGAAATCCATCATTTTATAAATAAATTATATAAATCGATTGTTATTCAATGATTGTTAATTTATCACATTTATTGTTATCAAAGATAGTTAGTTATCTTGAAGATAACATAGATAGAATATGTGTCAGTTTAGTTTGTAAAAGATGGTTCGATGAAAGCGATAAATATCTATATTTTAATACCGATAATATTGGAATAATTCAAAATCAAGAGGAGGATGGGGCTGATGAAGATTCTGATGGAATATTTACACTAGAATCATATCGATCATTAATAATGAGATCACTCGAACAAAAGAGTAATTGTACTCTATCTATAGGAAGATCTTTTTACCAAACAGACTATACTGTTGACCCATGTAAATATTTATTTATAATTATTAAATATTACAAATAACTTAATTATATTTCATTATTTGTTATATGATAGCTACGAATATTGACGAAACAACAGATATAATTACGGCGAATATCACAACAGTTAGTAGTAATTTTCAAGTACTTAATGAAAAGTATACAAAGAATCTCTATCGAATGATATCGAATTCAAATGTAGATACACTAAAACGAATTTCTAATCTATCGTGTGTATTACCTGTAAATTTGACATCGATATCTTTTGGTGAGACATTCAATGTTCCATTGTTGGCAGGTTATCTTCCACCAAATCTAAAGAAACTTAAATTCGAATGCAATCCAGATTTTAATCAAGCTATCTCAGCAGGTGTTCTTCCAAATACATTGAAGAAACTAAAATTTGGTGAAGTTTTCAATAAGCGATTAGAACCTAATGTATTACCATCATCTTTAACATATCTAGAGTTGGGATATTATTATGATCAAACACTTCAAGTTGGATCACTTCCTCCAAATCTTAGAGTTCTTATTCATAAGGGTGAAAGTAAGATATCATCAAATGGAGTATTACCACAATCACTTTGCACCTTAAGGTCACATATCTCATGGTTACCATTCATCAAATCACTGAACAATCTCACCACACTGACGATCTTTAATACTGATGAAACGATTATAACATTAAACTTGTCAGATCTACCAGCATCTCTCACAAGTTTAGATGTTAATGGACCATGTCGTCTCAAGTCAACTCTGTCACCTTCAATCAGATACCTAGATATATTCTTAACACAATATGATATCGATGAGATATTCAAAGATCGATCACAATATCATCTTGAAAGACTCTGTGTAGAGGGAACCAAACAAGAATCACTTGACAATCTGAAGATCAAGGAATTACAACTGAATTTTGCCAAAAATAAATCTATTATCAGAGATATTCCATTCGGTGTGGAAACTCTATATTTTGGATACAATAATTTTCACCTGTATAAAAACATTCCAAACGGGATTCCATCATCAGTGAAGAAGCTCATATTCCAATACTATGTAACGATCAGTGAACTTGCTTTCGAAATCCCAAACACGGTTGAAGAAGTAGTGATACAAGGATATTTTAATTTAGATCAATTCTCAAGTAAATGGGTTCCAAACTCTGTAAAAACATTGACTGTTCCTTCATATTTTATTCGAGAAGTTTTCGACATTCCTAAATCAGTAACCAACTTGTATTTTATCGATGACAATCAGAAAGAAGATCTCCAAGTTCGAAAGATTAGTGACCATCAATATCTCATTTTCGGCCAAACACCTTACAATTTCAATGCTGCAATTGTATCAAATATTCAACTTTTAAATATTTATTTAAAAAAAATATAAAATGATAAAAAAAGACAATTGCATAAAAATGGTAAAAATTTTTAATCATTTAATTTAATAAAATAGCTCCCAACAACTTTCGCCTGCGCATTAATTTTAAAAAAAAATGTAAAAATTAAAAATTAGTGGGGGTTAATGTGATCTGAGTGGTTTTTTGTTTTATTCGATTTATGGTTACAAGCAAGAGACAGTTTTGATTTGGATCTTTTTTTTTTTAAAATGATTGTAAATCTATCACATTTATTGTTATCAAAGATAGTTAGTTATCTTGAAGATAAAATATGTGTCAGTTTAGTTTGTAAAAGATGGTTTGATGAAAGAGATAAATATCTATATTTTAATACTGATCATTTAATTTTCAATCTTTTTAAAGATATTGATAGTCATGATCATCCCTCTAATAGTGAACCAAACAAAGATACACCACTATATAATATCAAGTGTTTATTTTCATTAGAATCATATCGATCATTAATACTCAGATCATTCAATCAAAAGAGTAACTGTACTATGACATATGGTAGATGTTTTTACCTAGCAGACTATTCAGTAAATCCATGTAAGCATTATAGTTAATATTTATATTATAAAACAATAACAACTAACTTAAGCTAACTTTTTATTCATTTTTTTTTCTTTTTTTGGATATGATAAAATTAATAGATAAATATCGAGAAGATAAAATAGATATAATAACACCAAATATTACTAATTTAAAGATATGTCAAGAACTTGATAGTGATTGCTTAAAGGCTCTCTACGGAATGATATCGAATTCAAATGTGATCAGTCTAAAAGGAATACCAAGTTTATCTTGTGTTTTACCTGTAAATTTGGCATCGATTACATTTACATTTGAATTCAATGAAGAATTGTTGGCAGGTTTTCTTCCACCGAAACTAGAGGAACTAAAATTAGAATCGAGTCCAAGATTTAATCAACAAATCTCAGCAGGTGTTCTTCCAAATACATTGAAGAAACTAATATTTGGTGAATTCTACAATCAAGCCCTTGAACCTCATGTATTACCATCATCTTTAACATATTTAGAATTGGGGTCTCATTATAATCATCCACTTCAAGTTGGATCACTTCCTCCAAATCTTAGAGTTCTTATTCACTATGGTAATAGTAAGATATCATCCGATGGAGTATTACCACAATCACTTCGCACTTTAACGACATCAGAATCTTGGATTCCATTCATCAAATCACTGAACAATCTCACAACTCTGACACTCTTTCCAAATGATGATAATCTTAGTACATTAGACCTGTCAGATCTACCAGGTTCTCTCACAAGTTTAGATATCGGTGATTCATTTGATCATCTCATATCATCTCTATCACCTTCAATCAGATATCTTGATATACATCTTACTGATTATGATATTGATGAGATATTCGAAGATCGATCACAATATCATTTCGAAACACTATGTGTAGAGGGAATCAAACAAGAATCACTTGACAATCTGAAGATCAAAGAGTTCCAATTGGAATTTGAGAATAGCGGGTCGACTTTCAGAGATATTCCATTCGGAGAGGAAACTTTAAATATTGGAAATGGAGATAAATTCAAAATAGAGATTCCATCATCAGTGAAAAAGATTATTTTCCAATACAGTTCGACCTTCAATGAATTTATTTTCCAAATTCCAAACACTGTTGAAGAAGTTGTTATATTAACATTTAACAAAAGTTATCCATTATCAAGACTATGGTTACCAAACTGTCAAGTCACTTACTGTTCCTTCTGAAATGATACAAAATTTATTAATGATTGACTCACTTCCGTCAGTCACCAACTTGTATATTACAAATAAACGAGATAGAGTAGATCTCAAAGCAAGAAAGATTTATGAATCACACTATCTCATTTTTGGTCAATCCGATAACCATTTCAGTGCTGCAATTTTATCCGGTAATTTATCTCAATTCATAAAAATTGCACTTCAGGAAAATAGTGTTACCAACAAAATTAAAATTCCATTTTTATTATAGAAATAAAATTTTTTTATAGATTATTTTTTGTCTCATGATTTTTATTTATTCCAAACGAAATTTTTAAAATTTTTTAATTCACAACTTTTTTTTCGATTATATATTTTATTAGTACATTTATTATTATTCATGATTGTTAATTTATCACATATATTGTTATTAAAGATAGTTAATTATCTTGAAGATAATTTAGATAAAATATGTGTCAGTTTAGTTTGTAAAAGATGGTTCAATGAAAGAGATAAATATCTATATTTTAATACTGATCATATAAATATCAATCTTTGTAAAGATATTGCTAGCAGTGGAGAGCTGGACGAAGATGAAGAAGAAGTTAGTTATGATCACTCTAATAATGAATCAAACAAAGATGCACCACTATATAATATAAAGTGTTTATTTACATTAAAATCATATCGATCATCAATACTTAGATCACTCAATCAAAAGGGTAATTGTACTCTGACATATGGTAGATGTTTTTATCAAACAGACTATTCAGTAAACCCATGTAAATAATCTTAAAATCGATATAATACTAAATAAAATAAATATAAAAACAAAATAATCTAACTCTTTCTTTTTAAATAGCTATATACCGTGAGGATAAAATGTTTAGAATTACACCAAATATCACTAAAGTAATGATAAGTGATAAACTTGATAATAATTATCTAAAGGAAATCTATGAAATGATATCGAATTCAAATGTCTCCACACTAAAAGGAATATCGAGTTTATCTTGTGTATTACCTGTCAATTTAACATCGATATCATTTGATCATAGATTCGAAGAACCATTGTTGGCTGGTTATCTTCCACCAAATCTAAAGAAACTAAAATTCGAATGGAATCCAAATTTCAATCAGCCAATCAAAGCAGGTGTTTTTCCCAATACATTGGAGAAACTGGTATTTGGTGAAAGTTTCAATCAACGACTTGAACCTAATGTATTACCATCATCTTTAACATATTTAGAATTGGGATATGATTATTCTCAAACACTTCAAGTTGGATCACTTCCTCCAAATCTTAGAGTTCTTATTATCTATGGTAATAGTAAGATATCATCCGATGGAGTATTACCACAGTCACTTAGTACTTTAGAGTCACCTTTAACATGGATTCCATTCATCAAATCGCTTAATAATCTCACAACTCTAATGCTCTTTCAAAGTGATGATTCGATTAACACAATTGACTTGTCAGATCTACCAAGTTCTCTCACAAGCTTAGAAATTCTCGATTCATGTAATCTCAAGTCATCTCTATCACCTTCAATCAGATATCTTGGTATTCATCTTACTGAATTTGATATCGATGAGATATTCAAAGATCGATCACAATATCATTTCGAAAGACTATGTTTAGATGGATCCAAAGAAGAATCACTAGAAAATTTGAAGATCAAAGAATTGCAACTACGATTTGACAGACAAGAAGCTATTAAGAAACATATTCCATTTGGTGTGGAAACTTTATATTTGGGACATTATGAATTAGACTATGGAGCAGAAATAATCAAAATAGAGATTCCACCATCAGTGAAGGAGATCATATTCCAATACAATTCGACAATCACTCAACTAGACTTTGACATTCCAAACACTGTTGAGGAAATTGCAGTACAAAACTATATCAATAGTTATCCGTTATCAAGAGGATGGATTCCAAACTCTGTAAAATCACTTACTGTTCCTTCTGAAATGATACTGGATATATTGCAGTTTGACACACTTCGATCAGTGACCAACTTGTGTATTATAAGAGATCGAGATAAATGGCCATTTAATCTCGATGTTCGAAAGATTTATGACAATCAATATCTCATTTTCGGTAGATCCAATAATAATTTCAGTGCTGGAATGGTATCCGGTAATTTATCTCCATTCATGAACATTGCCCTTCATGATAATAGTGCTAAACAAAATCAATTATAATAACAATTAAATACATACATATGTATGTATATCATTCTTGAAATTAGAATAATTTTAAAACAATAGTTTGTTTTATATTATTTAAATTTAATGTCATTGAAACCAAAATATAACAGTATTATATTTCAAATAAAATAAATTTAAGTTCTTTAATTTAGTTGTCATTTCTCTTTTTTTTATGGTGCTGTTATGGTTTTATTTTTTAGATGACGAACTATCAAGAGTAAGGTATAATTGATGTTATACTTACAGCTTTTCTTACGATGGATCATATGCATTTGTATCAAAACGGTTTCGTCCACGACAACACAGTTCGTACAAGACGGTATATCCAGAAACAATGTAATCTAATAGATACTTCCTCTTCCGTGCTGATTAGAGGAATTCCATCTGACTGGTTCAATAACAATCGCTGATCCAATTTCTACATTCTAAGTTTGTATAATCTAATATTTGACCAGAGAATTTCATGCTCACAACTCACAAAGGATGCTATTAACCACATTTGTTTATTTTGTAATAGTCTATCGATAACAATTGGGTTAGCAATGCTCAAATCTCTCTCTAACTCTGCTAAATAATGTGATTATAACTTTCTAGTCTGTAATTTTATAATAAACTTTTCTGAAGCTGTTGGTGGTTGGGAACTAAAATAACATTCATAGTTCTCGATAGTGCTGCTATAATTCGATCTATCTGTTCTGTATTCTAATAAATAACTGCTTGTTAATAAGGACTATAAACGAATACAAAATCTAAATGCAAGCACAACAGTAACATATTTATCGAAGTGAAGTGACTTGCAATTCTGTTAGGTACAAAATAGTTTATCTTAGATTGTCGAATTCTTAGAAAAATTAAACTAAAAATTTTACAAAATTGACTGATAATATAATTATTTCAGATTCAAGACAATATTTCAAAAGATACATTAACATATAATCCACGAATTACAATACTATTTATGATTAACAATAATCAATATTGATAATAAGCAGTTATCTTTCTATTATTTTTAATATGTCAATTGAATATACAAAAGGAAACGCTATTTCAATAGCAATCAATAGTTTCAATGTTGGTTTCGCTCATGGATGTAATTGTCACTGTAAAATGGGTAAAGGTATTGCCAGAGAGGTAAGAAATCGTTTACCTCAAATGTATAGTGCTGATAAGTCGAGTGTTATCGGTGATAGAAACAAACTAGGTAGTTATACATTTGTAAAATACCCATGGGGAGTAGGTTATAATCTGTATACACAATACTCTTGGAACGATCCTAATAATATGGTAGATTGGACTGCAGTTAATAGTTGCTTCAAAGCCATGTTTACTGACATGCAATCACGTGGTCTCCAGAAACTTATTATACCTAAAATATGTTCAGGTCTGGCACGTGGACACCTCACTGAACAAGAAGCATGGTCAAAAGTGGTTGCCATCATTCAGTCACAGCGTCCAGAGCCTATATCTGTTCTCGTAGTAGAGTTTACAAGTACATAAAATATAAAAAAATATTTATTTGTATGCTCTCTTTTATAAGAGATCAATAGAAATAATAAAAAAATAATAATATTTATTATTGTTGATAATATAAGTTTATAATGCTCTTCTGAAATTGTATGCTCATATCATAGCATACAATAAGGATATAAATAAATAAAACAATCATTTATTGATAGACAATCACTAGACGAGTCATATTGATATCAAATTTATTAAAAAATAGAAAAAAAAATTAAATATTAGAAGTACAATAATTTTTGTCAAAAGTTCTCTTTAATACTCCATCCTTTAACTCACTCTAAAAGGTGGTTTATTGATGTTTTTATATGAACTTCAAAAGACTCCCACACCTTCTCTCAAAAAAGTAAAAAAATAAAAACATTTACTATTGTGATTTTGTAAATGTGTTTGAGTATCTAGTATAACACTATCAAAATAATTTATTGCAACAACAAAAAGAAAAGCAAAGCAGATTTGAACTAAAATGTAATTATAAGATGACAATATATAATAAATCATGTCTAATAGTTATTATTCTTTTAGTAGTAGTTATTTTAAATAGTTTACTTGTTGATTCTCTAGATATCATTAACGATGATGATCATGATGACAATCACCACGATTTAGGTTTTCAACACAACTGTATCCACGATAACATTAACGGCAATGAAAAAATAATCTCTAAACATCGGAGTTTACAGACTGACGCGTCAGTCACTACTCATCCCATCCGATTGATTTTCAACACCACCTATTTAGATCTCAAACATAGAGAATCTCAAACTTGTTACCATAAAGGACAAGTAGTGACTTTGAACAGCGTAACCAACCACACCTGTAAAAAGCATGATATCCTAACACCAGAGTTGGCTGACTTGCTCACCAAAGTCGTATTGCCACACATTTCATCGACCTTTGCCAAGTATCTTAGTGTAAGAGGTACGAAAAGAAACTCGTATCACCAACCGTTCACCTGCTATGAAGATTACTCGATGGACATCACCGATGGATTCGAAGGAGATTATATCATCTATGTTTCTGCTCATCCAATAGCGGCACGTCACACCATTGCCTACTCACGATCCTGTCTAACACATGCCGATAACGGTGCACCGTATGTGGGGATCTTTAACTTTGCTCCAAGTTTCTTCACACCTTTCACCAATGAGACATATCGCCAATCAAACCAAGCACTTTGGAACAAGTTCTTACGTGTCGGCCTGCATGAAACTACTCATGCACTCGGTTTCAGCGCAACGCTATATTCCAAATTCCAAGATCGTACCACTGGCAAACCATACAGTCATAAGATCAACCCTTCTATTAATAGCAGCTTAACAACACCATCAGGTGTCAATTTCCAATACAATAGATACTTTCTCACAACACCATCCGTTATCAGTGTAACAAGAAATCATTTTGGTTGCAAAAATCTCATAGGTGCAGAATTGGAAAACATAGGTGTTTCTGCTACTTCTCATTGGAAAACAACCAGATTTGGTGAAGGTACTTATTAATTAATCTGTATTAGATTTGTTTTACAAACGGAATTATTTATTAACTATTTTATTTTATATTTAACAATCTAGAATTGATGCTTGCACATGCCAAACATGTATCTCCACTAACAAATTTAACTCTTGCTTTATTATATGGTAAATTTACACACTTATATTTTATTCTTATTATAATACTAATTCTTTTTTTATTAATTTATATTAGATACTGGATGGTATGAATTAAATAATATTGGTAATGTTGAATCTACTAGCTGGGGTAAAGGTATGGGTTGTGATTTCGCAGATAAACCGTGTACGCCTGAAATTTGGAGTCGTGAAGGCTATTGGTCATCTGTCAACAACAAAACAGGTTGTTCAGCTTCGAGATCTGGTATTGGTAAAGCTGGATGGGTGACTTACAAGAAATCATTACCCGATGCCAGTCAACATTTCACCAATCCACGTGTTGGTGGTACTTCGGCAATATATGACAATTGTGTCTGGAATAAACCCGATGAATACTGCTTCGATACCTCACGTCATTCGAAATACGAAGATGAAATCATGGGTGCCAATTCTTTTTGTTTCAAACAACTATTGTCACCACAAACCCATAGAAGTGGTAGTGGTGGTGATGACCAATATGGTTATGGCTGTCGTCCCCAACGTTGTCGAGGTCTTCAACTTCAGGTTCAATTCAAAGGAGTTTGGTTCGATTGTCCTGCCGCACAAACATTATTACTTTCTCCAGAAACAATAATAGTCTGTCCCAATGACAACACTTGTTCACCCACTGCAATTCCATTAATATAATCCCGATTGTTATGAAACACACACTTTAGAAATAACTTGATTATTTAAATCTATTCAATAATGTTCAATTATGGTATAATAAATCTTTCATTATTTAATTTTTATCTATATTTATTTGTAATTAAATGTCATCTTGTAAACATTCCAATAAATTTGAAAAGAATTTGTCGATATTATTGATGTTGATTATACCAGTATTTAATTCATGTGTTTGTCCAAACAAGAGGTAATGATCATCGTCAAGTTTTCGCAAAAAGAGTTTGTTTTTGTTCATCGACAAGGTAACTATGCATAGATTGTAAATTGTTTTCGGGAATCCCTTCTTGCCAACTTGAATTGCTTTAAGTGGAATAGTCAATGAACGCACTGTTGGAGGCAAACTATCTAAATTGAATGGTTTTCGTTGATCAGAATAATTCGTAATGACCACTTCTTCAACTGTATTTGGTATCTCACCAAATTTAGCCACCATGAATTCATAATCAAATATTATGGTCGGTGGAATGGGATATCTGTGTGAAATTGTTTTTGAATAGTTTCCAATTTGAAGAGTTTCCACACCAATCGGAATTTTCCTGAGATAACTTCGTTCTCCTGGTATATCGAATAGAGGGAAAAATATACAAATTAGTTTTTTGATTTTCAAACCATCAAGTAATTCCATGCTAATTGCATCAACAGCAATTCTTTCAATTTGATATCTAGATCGATCGTAGAATGTCTCATTAATATCATGGCGAGTCTTGATAATATTAAGTTGCTTAATTGAAGTTGGCATTGAGGATTGTAACATTATCGGTGTCAATACACACAACTCTGTAAGAGATGCCGGTAGCGTGCTTAGATCGAGCATTCCATATTCAAAACTTGTAGCTTGACCCACTATTAACGATGTCAGATTGGAAAGTGATACAACACTTGGTAGCCAGGCTAATGGTGGGAAGATTACAGTGCGAAGTGAGCTCGGTAGTTTTACTTTGCCAGTATCAGGCGCACTCCAAGGATTGATGAAATCTAATACTTCGAGATTTGGCGGTAATGATTCAGCGTTAAATGACTTCAATGATCTAGGGAGTAAGTCTATTGCCAATTCATCACTTTGTACATTACCAAATCTCAATGTCTTCAGTGTCTTTGGAAGTGAAGCTGCATCGATTGGTTGATCGAAGCTCGCGCCAATTTTCAATTGCTTTAGATTCTGTGGAAGATTAGCCATTGAAAATGGTTCATCGTATTCATGCGATATCGATATCGATGTCAAACTCTCTGGTAATCGATATTTAGGTGTGCAACCCCGTAACTCTACAACATTTGATTTCGATATCAAACGATAGAGCTCATCTAAAACCAAACTATCTTGTGCATCTTCATCTGACATTATTTTGACAGTACTTATATTTGATTGAATACAATCTGTATCTTTAAGTTTATCTAAATGATCATTAAAAAATAAATATTAAATATTTTAATAAGTCATTATTATTTATAGATCTAAAGTAAATTAATATTAAAGAGATAGTTTAAAAGTTACCTACCTTTATCTAATACATAGTCACATTTAAATGCTTTATCATTAATAATTAATCTACAATTTGACTTTTGACTTAATGATTGATTGATTGACGATCGATATGAATTTAAATGATGTTTACTATTATTTTGATGATTAATCATATAGATATGATCAGTATTAAAATATAGATATTTATCTCTTTCTTCGAACCATCTTTTACAAACTAATGTAAACACTATTCTATCTATATTATCTTCTAAATAATTAACTATCTTTGATAACAATAGATGTGATAGATTCACTAATATATTTGTTTTATTATCATCCATCATTAATAATCAAATGAATGAACAAATCGATTAAAGTGTAAATTTAACAATTTTTTTTTATAGATATTATTGTTAGGTTGACAATCAACCTTTTTTCCCACCAATAATATTATACGATAAGATTTTAATTATCTTATTTTTCTTGGAAATCAATACTATACTTTTGTTAATTGGTTGTTTGATTAATAGAATTTCTTTTTTTTTAATATATTTTAAAAAATTATAACAATGGAGATTTCTAACTCTATTTTAGGAAAGAGATCATATCACGAGACAACATCAGTAGAGGAGGAACAAAAAAATGAAGAGCAACAACTTATCAAAGTAGAAGATATAGATTTCTGTGATTAATTTTAATAGAATCTATAATCTATAATATTATCAATGTTTGGAGAAATGTGTAAAGTTCTTTGTTGACTATCATGAATAAATTTAAACATTATTTCGATGTTCAAGGTTATAATTCAATGTAACACCTGATTGATCGATATCATAGAAGTGGTAGCACCACTCTTTATTTGATTCCAAACTACAATAAGTTTCAAAGCAACCTCTGCTGGTATCTTTGCTTAGTAATCTAATTTGGTTATTTATAGAGTTTAAAATAGATGCATTTTTTGCATTGACTGAGAAAGGTGCATATGGATCAAACTTCAGATTATCTTAATTTTTATTACTATTATTATTACTATTATTATTACTATTGCTACTATTATTGTTATTAATACTTGCAGCTAGATTGTTATTAAAATTAAATCTATTTTAAAATTTGGGTTGAATCTTGAGGATGTGAAGATCTACAGTTGCAATCTAAACAAGTACAGAACCTGGGAATACCATCTATCACATATCGAACATAAGCATTGAAAAAGATGGTTTATGTATGTATATAATTTAATTGGTTGCCTCAGTTTGAAGAAAATAATAATCCTGGTAGAAAAGCAAAGAAGAAAGTACAAAAGAAAAGAATGTAAACATAAGAAAGTTAGTAATAAAAGTGATAGAAGATCAAAAGCTAGGAAGAAATGAACAAAGTGCAAAATACTGCCTATTAAACTTTTTGTTATCAAGAAAATTAATTAAATAAATATTGATTATTATGTATTGTCAAAAAAGATTAACACAACAATGCTGTGCATTGATAAAACACTATCTGAAAATGACAACTATGCTTTGAACAACACTCCATAATCGAATGATGGGTATATCTTCATCTAACCAATCTTTGATTTGTTGTTGTAATTTAGATTTTGTAAATAAATGTGAATAGTTTACTTGATTCGTTTCTTTCTGCTAAAATGCATAAAAAAACTTGCTTTATTAAAATGTATTATAAATGTTATTATTAAATAAATAAATAAATAAAAGTACACAAAACAAAACTGGCTCTTGCTTGTAACCATAAATCGAATAAAATAAAAAAAACCACTCAGATCACATTAACCCCCACTAATTTTTAATTTTTACATTTTTCACAAAATTAATGTGCAGGCGAAAGTTGTTGGGAGCCAGTTTTGTTTTGAAATAAATTTAAATAAAATTTAATTAAAAAAAAATCGTGATCGCAGTGTGTGATCTGAAAACTTTTTAAAGTATTTTTTTTTTTTTTTTTTTTGAAATCATCATAATTTGTATTCTCAGGTACACCCACCTTTCTTTAATGAAATCTTTGAATGTACTAGATTGTCGGTAAGCATACAAGCAATAAATTATATTATATGTAATAAATAGCGCTATTAGTCACTTACTCTATCTATTCTTTTTTTTTATTTCTGGAAAGAGGTGTAAAATGGAATATTAAAGATGGTGAAGAATTCAATCCTATATATGGACCTGTTGTATTGGCAGAGGTTAGAGGTGCCGTAAGAAATATACTGATGGGTGAACGTTTGTCTTTGAATATACTGTAGATCGTGTGGTATTACTACTTCGAGATCGTGTGGTATTACTACTCGTGCTTTCGATATGCGTGCGATAGTCGACGGCGTCAAGTGGCACGGAAAGGTAGCCGGAACTAGAAAAACAACACTGGATTCCGTTTGGTCGAGAAGTATGCAATGTTGGTCGGTGGTTGCGATTGTCATCGTATGGATCTCTCCTCGATCATGTTGAAGGATAATCATTTTTGGTCGGCAGGAGGTAACATCACCGCCGCCGTAAAGAAAGCATGTGGTTGCGATGGTCATCGTATGGATCTCTCATCGATGACATGTTGGAGGATAACGATGTGTGGTCGGCAGGTGGTAACATCACTGCTGCAGAAAAGAAGGCGCGTTCTATTGGTGGATTCTCTCTTAATACTTGAACAGGTCCTGGTTTTCTGTTGTTTGCTGGTATCATTGTTTAAGTAGGAATGACGTGCATAGTAACGGAGCTATGGAAGTGACATGCGATCCTAAGCATGTGCATAGTAGGATCTAGTCGAAGTAAAAAAGTTTAACAAGAAGTGGTTATTCTCTGTTTGATAAAAATAGTTTATTTGTCAACATATGGTTTATTTGATTGATTGTTAATCATCTCAACAATCATTGACAAAGTTATAACACAATTAATTGTTATTTAACTGCAAAGAATTTTTATATTAATATTATTTATTTACTTACTTATTCGTACACTCTTAAAAATGTAAAAAGATCGACAAAATACTTTAGTTTGAAACTTCGTTATCTCACAATATAAATTTGAAGACTTTCACTGGAGGATGATGTTCCAATATCTCTTGTTGTTGAGTAAGTAGTAGATATGATGATCAAGATGACTTAGAAATACTTGTATCTTCAAAATATTACAAAGAAATGTTTGGTAATTAATTAATTCTGTTTAGTAGTAGTTTAGCAGAGTCAGTAGAGTGGTATTTAGTTTCGAATCAACACTTACACTAATAACCGGTTTTATGAACGTTCTTGAACCATCTTTCGCGTTAAGATAATCTCCACTATCATACTTCGTACTAACTATATTATATGATCTTGTGGTATATCAAAGAAGTATGTTTTCGAGCTCTTACTATAAAAATACTTGCTTTTACTTTGTATCATTGTTTATTGTAGTTGTTAAATTTAAGTGCTATTACCAAACACATTAAAGTCAATAAACCCGATGATAAAAAAAAAAGGATAACTGTTCTTGAGAACCACGTCAGCTTTCAGCCATTTTCGAGGCACTACAAACCGAAAAACTCAAATTAATTAATTTTTGAGTTTTTCATTTTTGGGCGTGATGTTCTACTTTCCAATAAAAGAAGTGGTTGTGCAAAAATTTGGCAAGCCACGTAGAATTTTACTTATTCAGCCACGTAGTACTTCGTTGAAAGTAGACAAAATCTATCAAAATAAGAGATATTATAGCTTCTCTCAAAACCAAAGAGTCAACTATAAATATGAATTTAAATCTTTAGATTTTAAATCTTGGAGATCATATCAAAATACACCATACAATGAAATACACAAATCTTTTATTTATTTTATTTGTTGTAACATTGTTATCTCTAAATCTTCATACCAAGGTAGATGCTCAAGTAACGATACCTGATAGATTGGAGACCTTTAAGAATGCCATTGTTGAAGGAGTGACCAATGACGCACCTACAACTCCCAAAACCATGTCAAAAATCACACCATACTTTGATAGTTATAACAACCTTAGTGGACTGAACATTGAATACAGTGATGGATCAACAAAGCTTGTAGGTAGTTCAGCAGGAACACAACAAACAACTTTAGTTTTAAGAGCTGTTCCAATTGTTTTAGTATCAGTTTCTGGAACTTCGAGTGCAACTCTTGGAATCTCATTCAAATTTGCTGATTCAACAATTCCAGCTACAATTGGAACAGTCGATGCGATCACATATCAATCATCAAATCCAGGTCAATGTCTTGTCGATATTAATAGTTTAAACCCTGTTGAATTTTCATTTGACAATGTTGATATCCGTTACCCAGTTCCATCATCGTCACCAGTTACTGTCCCTCAGTATTATTATCAAGAATCAAATGGTGAATTTAGATATCGATACGAGTATGTATATTTATTTTGAGAATGACATTATTAATATCATTAATGTTAACTAATTAATTTTTTATTTATATTTTATAATTTATCAATAAAGTATTCCTAAATCAAATGATTATGGAGCATTAATCGGACCAATTAGTCAAATTCTGATTGACAACTCCGTTGCTTATAATTTTGGAACAAATGAATTCTCAGTGACATCTCTTGTTCAAACAACATTACCAGGAACAATCATAACAAATAAACCTGCACCAGGAGGTACAAACAAAGGTGGATGGAGAATTGTAATCAATACAAATGGAGTAATTGTTTTCACAATTGACAACGGATTTGGTATTTACAGATCAACTTCATCAACATCACAAATACTTGATGGAAATTGGCATCTTGTTGCTGCTATTCGAAGATCCGATGGTCAATTGGAAATTTGGTTGGATGCTGTTAAACTCACAACAACAACAACAGGTTCCAATTTGAGTGCTAATTCATTAAATATGCTATATATTGGTGCAAATTATTATAATAATATAACCGACCGAACCACACTTTGATGGATCTATCGATGATATATCATTTTGGAATATTGCACTCACCCAAACACAAATATCAAAAATAATGAACAAAAAGATTGTTGGAAATGAACCAGGTTTGGTTGGATATTGGCCATTTGACAATAATTTCAAAGATATGAGTTCAAATGTAAATGATGCTAGAGCATCTAGAGCTATTTATTTTACTCCATTTACATTATCATTAAACTTTGGATGGTCATTTGGAGGATATTCATTCATAGCATTCCAAGTTCCATGGTCTGTAATTATGAATCCAACAACATCAACTGATACTGAGAAAGTACTTGTTTATCGATTCAAATTCACTCAATCAAATGGTGATAGATTCTATTATACAACCGATAGTTCATTCACTTCAAGTGGTTGGGTGAACGATGGTATTGCTTTCAAAGTATATCCACCAAATTCTGTAATACCTTCTACCAAACCAGTTTACAGATATTCAAGAACTCAAATTCCATCGCTTGGATCAGGATTAGTGTATGGATATTCAATTATTCCAAATTTACCAGGTTGGATAAATGAAGGTATTGTTTGGAAAACAACAAGTGATTCAACACCATCATTCCTTTCATATCAAGATCTTGAATATAAGATGATTCAAAATGTTGGATCACAGAAATGCTTGACATCACCAACAACATTTGCATCATCAGTAACACTTTCAACATGTGATCAATCGAATCTTCAACAATTCTGGTATTTGAAATATGATTCATTTGGACCACATCTTTACAATCCACAAACAATGATGTATATGGACAGACAAGCAACAACATTAATAGGAATAACATATTTTCCTCAAAACAATTTTTATATTCTCAATCAATTAACAAATGGACAATACACAATTCAAGAATATATTACTTCATTATGTCTTCAACTCAATACTGTTTCAAATATAGTTGAATTCAAAACTTGTGATTCATCAAATCAAAATCAAATATGGAAATATGTAAGTGGTTTTAAAAATTATTATTGTATTATTAATAATGTATTAATTATTTTCTCAAATAATAATTCATATAGCCAAGTTCAGTTTTAGTTGAAAGTTCGAAATCAATTCCATTGTTCCCAGGTGCATGTTTAGATTCACTTGGATTGAAATGTCCAACAACACTTCCAGAAGGTAGATCACTCAAGACATCAAGTTCATCACTCACAATCAACTCTCAAGGAAATGGATATTTATCACTTAAATCCGGAGGTTCTGAAGAATATTCATTGGGTGTAACATCTTCAACAGGACCATATTCAATGACAATTCAATCAGATGGAAATGTTGTTTTGAAAGGTAATACTGGAACATATGCGGCAATTGGATGTAATGGTCTTGGAGGTCAATATCTCAATCTTCTTGATAATAATCTTTATGGTTTACAATATGGAATGATCGTTCAAAACAATCAAAACAAGATGATTTGGTCGAAATTAGGATATCCAACATCATTCAGGATTGCATTGATTCCAGGTTCATTCATTAACCACCAAGATCCAACAAATAATTATCTTGGAGTCAATCAATTCATCACCAATGGAAGAGAATATTTGATTGTCAAGAAAACACCATCTGGTGATTCCTATGGCGCATATTTATATTATCAAAATTCAAACCTCGAATCCAATATGCGCTGGAAAATGGAAAATCCATCTTTGTTTAAAGAAGATCTCAGAATTTATATTCATTACAATGGTGATACAAACTCTTTTTGTTATGTCAATTCAATAACTGGAAAATATATGTGTGAAATCTTTGGTAGCTCGAACACCCTAAAGATTCAATCATCCCAATATCTTCAACTTCCAGTACCAGGAAATAAACAACCTTATGATAGAGCTGTGGTATTGCGTTCATCAAACGGACCAATTACATATGGACATATTGGTATGTTAAATTTAGGATATGATACAAACTATGTTGAACAACCGTTATCAAAATCTCTATATGAAAGTAGATTCCTAAGCTTACATATCCTTCAAAACAAATATACAATCCAAAATTTGCTTTCCGACCAAATCATTCAATCGCAAGAAAATCTTTATGTTTGTAAAAATGAATGGTCATCGACTGGTATTTATCAAGTAAAGTATGATACAACATCCTATTGTTCTCCCAATGCCAAGACAATGATTGATACAAGTAGTTCATTATTTCTACCACCAATCACTAACTATTTCATCCTACTTTCTTCAATGCCTGAAATAATAGTTTGTAACGCTAATGGAAAATTACTATGGTCTCAAGGATATAGTACTCTTTAGTTAAATAATTCTTCAGATTATAATGAAAACCACTTAAAGAAGGGACAATTATTTTATTTAATTTATTTGATATTAAATAAAGAAAATTAAATCTACACCTATGGTCTCAAGGATACAGTACTCTTTAATTAAATCTTAAATAAACAAAACCATTTTAAGATAAAAGAAATGTCTTTTATTGAATTATTATATTTATTTGTTTTTTTTTAAATGATTATACTTCCAAATGTTTTACGATCGATTTCATCGTTTTCAAGGAATGGTTCCCATTTGTTTTGTTCGACAGAGTATCGATGAATGTAGGTTGAATGACTCTATCGTGGCATCGGGCATAGAATCTCTGCTGCCGTCAATAATATAGATATGATCTTCACCGTCATAGCATATCGAGACATTGTAGTAACGATTTAAATTCTTTACGTTCTCGACAACGTGTTGAAATCGTAGTTCCAAGATACCAATCAACCGACTACTGCCAACCGACAAATTAACAAGATTATATAAGGGCAACAAAAACTTAATAAACAATTCATTATATTTTACAATCATATTTAAACACATAAACTATTTATTTATTATAACATCATTTCTATACTACTACGCTTTGTCGTTACTACCACAATCAATTTCATCACCAATCGCACCAAACTTCAATCGATCTCCTACATCGGTTTCCTCTAACACAAATCTAAACGATTTCGATTTTATATTGTATCTGATAAACTTGCTAGTACCTTCATCGTAACCAGTAAATATAGATATCTTCACCTACCAATGTCGTTGATATGGTTGTATTTCGTAAGTCGAGGAGTATATACCCTTCAGGAAACTCTACCTCTTCCGTATGAAAGTTATCTTCATCGATAAAATGGATCAAAGTTGCACCGTTTCTATGAAGAGATAGGATAGTATTTTTAGTTTGAATGATATTATTACTATTATTTATATCGATTAAATGTTTAATTCATTCAGTAATTGATTAACTTGTTGATTGTGTGTATCAATATCATCATTGATCGATTTCTTTAATTTATGTTCTTCAACTCTTAATAATAATAATAATAATAATAATAATAATAATAGTAGTGATATTAATGATTATATTTATAAATAAAAGAATAAAATCGATATAATCAAATCCAACATAAAGATTTAAGTTGAAAATTGTTTTTTTTCAAATCTTTCCTTTTAAGTTCTTTTAAATGAAGGTGAGTTGTGCTATCAGTTTCATTAGACTATTTGCAGCTCCTGGTAAAGAGATAATCTATTCTCTTTAGTATCTTCTAATTTGAATTGTCATAAATTAAAAAAAAGTAGTTAGTGACAGAAGGTTTATTGGTAGAATTTTTTAGAAAATGAACTTGTTGAATTATTACTATCAGATGTATAATTTTCTAAAACTTGGTTAGATGAACATTGATTTTCATGTGGTATAGTATCAGCACAATCATCATTGTAAGTAACATTTGGCAAGTTTGTTTTTAAATTGGCAGTTAGCTGGGGGAGTAGATGTAGTTGTTTTTCTTGGTCTTCCACGTTTTGCAGGTGCAGGTTCAAGTGTTGGAGTTTGTACATTTCCAAACATCGTTTGGGATTTGGCAATGAACTTTTCGTTGAGAGTGGACTTATCCTGATTGATAAACTAAGACGCTTGTAGTTATCGTCAAATAGTCGTCTAATTTGACATCAACTTGACCATCTGCCCAGGCTTTTCTTTTATAGTAGCGTTGGCTTGGTCATACCGAAGTTTACTGTCTGTGGTTGAATACAACACCATATTCTTAAACAATCTGTTTGAACAGGGCAATGAACACATATATTTTTTTTTACCACAAACAAAATCTCACATTACAAACACACATTCAACCTGTAATTCACGATTTTTAGTGTGAAGTCTTATGATTTTGTTTTTTTTTTTTTTTTTTTTGTAGTTCTTATAGAGAATAGAATGAATCAACAAATACAAAGAATAATTTTTTTAGAACTTTTTAATGATAGGTTATATAGTTTTAAATGGAGGTTATCATTGAATTTAGTTTCAAAGAAATGGTTCGAGTTCATGCAATCTAGTGTTGCTTTGTCGTTCAAGTTGAGATGCAGTTATAAATTAGAGTATGGAGTTAAAATGGTAGATATTGATTTATATCGTTTGGTAAACAATAAGTATTGTATTCTACGTTACAGTAGAACCATTTTTTGAAGATATCGGCAACCTACCAGCTATTGGATTTCGAGTTTCAACCTTTCATGTCATTATATAGTCAAGCTTTGGAGATTTTTGATCGAGTTATCATAGATTGCTACCATGGAAGCAATGCTAAACTCGAAGAAGGTATAGCTGGTGCCCTCAATCAACACAACAAACCAATAGGAGTGATAATATCTACATACCAATTGCTGAATCGCTTAAAAGTACCTATCATATCATTTTCTCTCTTTTATATGTCTCATTTATATGAACCACCAATCGGCACCTAACTTGAACCAGAAGAAGAGGAGGAGAATTATTTAAAGAAGATGTCAATAGATAAGATATGGAATGAACGACTTGAATCAATAGAGTGTGGAGTTACCTTACCTTTGTATCACACATTCCCAGAGCATCGACACAATCAATTTGTTCGTTTTCATTGATTTCGTATGGTTTCGAAATACAAGATTATCAATACTAGTCAGACTTTGAAAACAGTATCAGTAGGCTTCAATGCTGAGGATGCAACTTTATCACCAATCCTTTTGAACTCAAACATTACGAAACTAGTTATTTTTGATCATAAGTACAGTCATACACTGGAAACATCAAGTATTCTCACTCAATACACTCAACAATTCAAAAGCCAACAACCAAGTGAAATGATCAATCGATCGTTAAGAAAGTTGGTTATCAATGAGAGAAACGAGTTGCAAACCGACCTAGATAAATACACTATTAGGTTGAATCCAACTAAATACCTAGGTAATCTACAGCACTTGGAGATACCAATGCTCGCTGGTACTCACCAGAATCAGTGTATAAAGACACTCGGTAGTTCACAATTATCTTTGTTTGGTTTGAAACTTACAGCGCCCATAACAATGGAGAATGCTACTACCGATCTTTTGTTTAACCAACTCTTCAATATCAACAACAATAATAATAAGAATCGACTACGTAGCTTAACAATCAACGAGACAATATGTAGTTCAATCAGTGATATCGAGCATTTTATGAAACATTTGCAATCAAACAATCACTCTATCGATGCAATATCGATAGAGGTCAAAGATAACATGGAGAAACCATCGCTGGTCAACATGCTGTGGCAATCTTCACAATACATTCATAGCAAAACTAAGAATGTTGAATTTATAAACTTATCAACAACATATCATTTCAGTAAAATAAATAGACATTAATAAATTTTTTTGCGTGTCTGGTTGGTTTTGACAGACGTGTTACTTGACACCTTTACATAATCAACGTTTTTCTGTGTCAATAGTTCCAAAAATTTTGTGAAAATATCTATTTTTTTGTTTTTAATCTTTCAGAATTTATTTATAAATAGATCAAGAACTAAACTAGTTACTTCTCTTTGTTCTTCTCTTTCACAATTAACAAAGAATTATATAGTTAAAATAATAGAAATGGGAAAGTCGAGTTATCAAATAATAAATGAAGAATGGTTCGAATTTGAATTAGCAATCTATAAGATTAGAGAAGACAAGGTTCGAGATTGGTTATTAAACAGATTAAGAAAAGTTTACACGATCTTCGATGAAGACTTTAGAAAAGGTAGAGAAGAAGCCGTCAAGAGAGAGAAACAACACTTGGCAAGAGAAATCAAACTTCATTTATCTGATGATGATTACATTGCACCTCTTTCACAATGGTTAACAAAATAGATGTTGCTTGCTTATATATATAAATGTATTTATAAAATTAATAATATATTATTTTAAACAATAAAATACTATCTATATTGTTGTAAAAGTGGAGTACTACTCTTAAAATAACAACAATGTATCATTATATTATGTAGATAAAAAAAATATTAACAAATAATCATTTATTCAATTGTCTTTTTGTACGTACATGCAAGCTATCCTAACTTATTTCTATTTAGTTTCAATCAGTTTTTAAAAGTTTATAATAAAAGTATGATATTGGCAAGTATACTTTTAAAATTTAAAGGAAATAGAAACAAATTTTATTATAAATGAACAATAATGGCTCTTTTTTTTGTCAAATCAATCATAACAAACAAATATTATAACATGTAAAAGACGCTCAATGATCAAAAAACATTGCTACTTTAAACAATAGATAGAATAAACGAAATTGATTAAAGTGTAAGTGTGTTAAAAGTGTGTTGAAGTTTCATTTGATTGAATTTGTTTTTTTTTTCTTTTCTTAATATTTATCAAAAAAAGATAGATAATTGATCATTTTTTTGACATGTGTACACATATATGGGGTTGATTATATTTTACGTTTTTTTTTTGATGTGTGTCGGTTTGGTTTTTGATGTTATTTATTTATTTATTTATATCGAAATACAGAGAGGTAGTAAATGAATGGTAGTTTGTTTGTTTTTTTGTTATAATTTCTTTTTTTAGAAAAATAGATTGAAGTTATTTTGATATCAACGAGTAACTATTTGTAAAATGTCATTCAGATTTTAAATAAAAAATAGTCTATTTTCATACATCTACTTTTTTGTACAACTTTTTGATTGGAACTGAATGATTGATGAAAGTAGATGAAACATTTTGATTTATGTTTATGAATCTATTTTTTTAAAAGAAAATGGAATGAAAGATGGCTGTTAATTGGTTTGTTAAAAATAAACCTGTACAATTTATTTATCTTGATGAAGTTAACAATGTAAAGTAGTAGTTTGTTAAATAATTGGTGAGAAAATAAATTTATACTCAATTCCATTTCAGAATATAGAATAGTATAAATAGGGATCAAATATTATTTATTTGAATATCCAAAAATTAAAATAATATTAATTTATATATAAATATATCTTTTTATTTCTAAAAAAAATTAAAATATTAAAAATCTAACAATGGATTTAGAAATTATTTCCCAACTATTAACTTTGGTAAATCAAGAAAGATCGAGATATAATCTACAACCTGTTTACTCAGACAGAATTCTTAATATTTGTGCCCAACAACAATCCACTTACCAAGCCGATATCGATCAAATGACACATAACAATCCAAGAGGTAACCTTACAAGAAGAACTAGAATTTTGGGTGGTCAATATGTTTTGTGGGAGGAGAATGTAGCTGTTGGATATAGAAATGCTCAGGAGGTAATGAGAGGTTGGATGAACTCTCCTGGTCATAGAAGAAATATTCTAAGTCCAAGTATCAATAGAATGGGTTCCTCGAAAATAATTTCATCCACTGGCAGATCCTATTGGACACAATGCTTTGCTCAATCCAATTTCGATTCATCGCAAATGTTCTCATCAGAGAATTAAAAAATTGTAAAATTATTTTAGAAACTGTCGATAAATAAAATTTGTATTTTTATAATTTATTTGATTGAATAAAATTTAATCTATTTCTATAATCATAACAAACGGAATTTATAATCTTTGTTTGTTTTGTTGTTGATGGTATGCTGACGGTACTCGAGAGGAATTCGATAACTGGTAAATGTCTGTTGATTGTAGCGCTTTCAAGTGCTCTCTCCATAGACTCTTGAGTTGAATGAGGAATGAGGAATTGAACTATTGGAAGATGTCCTCTGGTTCCTGCATTTATGATTGCCATTAGATCGACCGGTGCCTTTAACTCTTCAACCAGATATCGGACGAGCTCAAGATTTCCGGTTTTTGCAGCTGCAGCCACGGCATCAGGATGACAAGGTAGATTATAATTCTTGTGTATCCAGATGATAGGTGCCAAATGACCATACATTGCCGCCATATAGTAGCCAAAATCTGAACATCCTTCAGTTCTGTTCTTGGCCAACCATTCCAACGGTTCAATATTGCCAAACTTACAAAAATAATCCATTGAACTTTCAGTGCAATTGGCTCCTTTGGAATGGATATACTTGAAAACTTCGAAATGACCTCCCGATGCCACCATATCCAACAATTCAAATTCGAAAGAGTGATCTAGCTTTTCGTGTAGGATCTTAACGGCTTCGAGATTGCCTTTACTCGCTGCGAAATTCATTGCCATCGGAGGAGCAGCTCCCTCAGTTCTATTGGCAACTAGGAACTCGAGTACCGGTAAATACTGTGGATTTGAAACAGTGAATGTCATTGCTGCTCTAGTGCAACCAGCAGTGGAATTGGAATGCAAATACTGTACGATTTCCAGGTGACCTTGGTTGGCAGCTTTATCAAATGCATTGGCAGTGCATCCACTTTGCGGCAATAGATATTCAACCACCGGCAGGAATCCAAGACTAGACGCAGCATCCACTGCTTTTGGTGAACCACTATGACCCATAACCTCACAGAGATATTTAACCATTTCTAGATTTCCGGTTCCAGCTGCCAGATCGACCAAGTTTTCTGTTGAAACAAATTCACCATTAAGGTGCAAGAACTTGACAATGTCAAAGTGGTTATTTTTAACTGCACTTTTCAAGGTTGATTGAGTGTATTGTTCATTTCTATTCTTGTGGAGCCAAGTCATTACCGACAAAAGACCTTTGGATGCAACACCATCCATTGCTCCTTTAAGATTCTGTGGAATATTAGATTGGTGTAACAATTCTAAAATGTGAATGTGTCCACTTAAAGCAGCATGATACATCCACATCTTTCCAGTACCATTTTCTCCAAACCAACCATTTGCCAGTATGAATGTAGCAATCTCTAAATTTGCATTGCAACAAGCAATCTGCATTCCATCACTGGAATCAGCAATCTTTGATACTCTAAAGATATATTCAACAATTGGCAAATGTCCTTTGGCAACGGCTTTATTAAATATCTTGGTAAAGTCGATTTGATAAGCTCCAGAGTTCAGATCGATTTTGTACTCCAAACATCGCTCGAAAGTATATTGTATTAACTCTAGATTTCCACGTGATGCAGCCTTTGTCAGAGATTTGAGGAACGACGACAGGAAATTGGTTGGAAAAGCCTGAGAACTGTCAGGGGCTGTAGCAGTGGTCATGGCGATGAGAAGCGACTCCAACACCTCTTTGAATCTCTGATTCAATCGAAATCTGACCAACTCACTTGGAAAGCATGCTAGTTGCTGCCAATTGCATCTTAGTGTTGCTTTTGCTGAATCTAGACTATCCGGTCGATTGGGCGACACATACTTTTGCAATCTATTCTTACAAGTCAAATCATTTATTTCTCTGACATATTCAAATATTTTTTGATTTATATCAATTAAATTGATTATTCTTTTAAAAGAATTATTCTCTTTACTATTATTATTATTATTATAATTATTTTCTAGCATATTTATTTAATGATTTTCGCTTCGATACCATTTCTTTCTAAATAAGCGAAAATATTTTCAACAAAATTTGACATTTTTCTTCCAGATAAAAATTCCCACCTTAGGATTTACAAAATATCAATAATATGTTTTGTGATATCACAAAACTAATAGTGCAAAGGGGTGACGTCACAAAACAAAACTGGGCTCCCAACTTTCGCATTATCTTGTTTTCCAAATAATAAGGAAAACCATATTTCACAATCAAGGTCGAAAAAAATCATTTTTTTCGACTAATTCTATTTTTTTCGAAATATTTATTTTATAATATCAAAAAATAAAAATAAAAAAACAATTTTTTTTAACTAGTTCGAAGTTCATTTTTATTTTAATATCATAAATAATGAACAGATTAACATCCAAATTTACAATTCATAGAGAAGTAAATGACATACTTAAAATATGTAATATAATTTTATTAAAAAAAAACAAATTTTTTTTTAGTATTATTGGTTTTATGGCATTTTTTCTTCTGGTTTACAATAAATTTCGTCATTCACTGTTTTTGTTGAGATAGCATATTTACCATACTCAAATTCTACTGTCACAGTGTTAAAAAGTGCGTTGATTTTAAAGCTAATTGATTCAACCACAAATCTTGCAGCAACTCCTGATTTATAGGTATCTCTGAACCACCAGTCGTTGGTAATCAATTTTGGATACTTGAAACTTCTCTCTCCATTTGGGTCAAGTAGAGTGCACTTGTAGTGATGTATAATAACTGACATTTTGGTATCATTCGACGAGTAAGATTCGTTTTCATTACATATTGAAATTTTATTTTATGTGATTGATTCATCAAGTGATCATAGTATGGTCTCACATTCTTTACTGATGATTCCACGAGTCGATCTTTAATGAAGAATTCCAAGTTATGCAAAACTTCTTTTAATTAATATGGGGTTAACATGCGAGAGCCAGTTTTGTTTTGCTTTTGTGATTCCTTTGAATTTCTCAATTTTTTTTTTGAAAAAAAACAAAATTGAATAAAATTTAGCAATGGTGGATGATCATCATTTTTAAAAGTTATAAAAGAAAGTATATTTTAATTTGATTCAAATAATAATAATTGAATATAACTTTATTAATATACTTAATCTTATTATTTGTTTACTTAAATCTGTTATTTTTATGCTTAAAAGAAATAACAATTAAATTTAAATTTAAATTTCAACATCAAAAGTTGTCATTGCATTACACTCTGTTGTAATTACCAATCTATAAAATAATTGTTATATAATTTATTTGTTTATTATTTTTATTCAATACGAAATTAATTTGTAAAGTTATTAATTTACAATTGTAATAAAATATAAATATCTCTCTCTTTTTATTTTGTTTATTTAAATAAATAAATAAATAAATAAAGCAAACAAATAAACAAATAAATATAACAATAAATAGATAGAAAATAAAATACTACTATAGTACATTCATTTTTACATTTAAACAAAAAAAAATAAATGATAAGAGTATTAAGATATTCGAGTGATATTCATCTCGAGATGAGTCAGGACATAGAGACACTACCTCATGTCGCGGCACTCTATAACTTTACACCGCTTGAAAATCACCGGTATTTCCTCGCACTCAATGGTGACATTGGGTCGATATTCACACCGGCTCTGCACAACTTTCTCTGGAAGGTATCGCAGAAGTATGAGCAAGTTTTCTTTATCAGTGGAAATCACGAATATTACAATATTCAATCCACGCACGGATCCAACAAACCAAAGACGATCGATGAGATCAACATTGAGTTGGACAAGCTTTGCGCACAATTTAAGAACGTCCACTTTCTAAATAACAAGACGTTCCAACTGGATGAATTTAAGATCATCGGGTCGACTCTCTGGAGTCACGTGCCAGAGTCGTCGAGACAGGCGGTTGCTCGCGGCCTGAACGACTACCGACTGATCGGGGTCAGCGATCCTATCACCAACGAACGACGTCCAGCAAGCGTAGCCGATACCAACCAACTTCACAAACGAGCAGTACAATTCATAGAGAGAGAACTACAGAACGCCACCAATTGCATACTACTGACACACCACGCACCGCTCTACTCGATGCCCAGAGAAAACAAATACCTTTGTTCGCCACACTACCTAGACAGTGATATCAACAGCGCATTCCACACCGACCTCAATTTCCTTGTAAAGCCACCAGTGCTCCTCTGGATCTATGGACACACCCATTACACCTCAAAGTTTATACACAACGGAGTAGTCATAGCATCGAATCAAGTGGGTTACGACAAATCGCCATTCCACTATCAAGTCAACGAAGAAATAGTATTAGGTTATGCAAAGATATAATAACCAACAACAACAACAACAACAATAACAATCTTTATTTATGTATCAACAAACAATTATCATCGCTATAAATATTTGTTAATTTCTCTTTTAAATAATAATAGTTGTTTTTAAATAATAAAAGAAAAATAAAATATATTTTTTGTAACTAGTAATAATATTAATCTTACATTATTTTAGTTTTGTAATTTTTTATGTAAAATATAATAGTTTAGATATCTAAAAAAGTAATGCTTGTTTCTTTCTTATTTGTTTGTTTTTTAATTTAATAATGTTATATTGATTGGAAGAGTGTAGTGTGTATTGTGTTTTGTTTATATATATGTAAATTTATTTGACCCAGAGAGCTCTAACGGTAGCACCAAGACCACTCTTTTTAGCAATGAAAACAATACCTGTGAACAAAACAATAGAGGTACCAGCAACTAATGCCTTAACTAAATCTATAAATATATAAATAAATTAATAAAAAAGGTTAGATATTGTTTATGTTATGTTGATTTGATTTGATTTGATTGATTGTCTGTCTGATTTGTTTATTTGTTTATTTGTTTAATACTTACACTTTGGGAATACAGAGTAAATGTAATCGTTTACTACAGAGTTCATACCGAGGTAGAAATGAGCTGGAATGATGACACCCAATGCACAATCGGTGACAAGAGTGAGTTCGGACGATGGCAACATCAATGAGACTGGCAACAATGCAGCTACACCCATTGAACTGTAGTGATAGATCTTCTGTTGGAAGATAGCACCGGATGGATCTGGAATCTTACCGGAAGCATTGCTATTCGATGATGACGATGATGGTGCAGCACCTGTTGCTGATGAAGATGCAGCCGATCTAATTTGTTGAGTGTTGTTGTTTCTGTAGAGAACCAAAGCAGAGTTTGGTGTATATCCTCCAAATACACCTTGCAAGGTTGATGGTGGAATGTTTTGAATTAATCTAGTTGATTTCAACATCTTTGTTTTCTTAAATTAAAATACAGATAATAAAATAATGTAAAAAAAAATATATGCAAAATAATTTGAACAAAAAATTTTGTTTTTTTTTTTAAATTTTTCTTTTTTTTTTTTTTTTTTTTTGTCAAACATAGAACTTCACACAAAGTTATGATCAACTACATAAAAAAGAAATAAATATTTATAAATAAATATCATTTTTTTATTTATTCTATTTGGAATACAAAAAAAAACAATTAAACATTTGGTGTTGGAGTTGTTGTTGGAGTTGTTGTTGTTGTTGTTGGTGCGCTAGTTGGTGTATCATTTTGTAATCGCTTAAGTCTTGATGCAATTCTTCTTCTTTCCGCTTTGTTCTTTTTGATTTGTTTGATTGTCACTACTGTTGCGATTACTACGGCAATGGCACCGACCACACCAACTACCACACCGATGATGATTTTCATTGTATCGAGTTTACTGTCATCGTCACATGGATCATTCTGAATGTTACCGTTACTATCTGTTTTCAGCATCAGCGAGAAATCAGGATCAATCTCTGCTCGTCTCTCGAAATAGGGAATCGAAGATGAAAGTAGTGTACGCTTGTCTCGCGGTGCTGTAGAGTAGGCGACTCTCATCGGGATGTCATCGATCAACGCACGATTCAATAGTCTTCCGGTTACTACATTTCCATCACCAATTGTAACGGTGGAGCTGTCGGATCCTTCCTTTACCGACGATGCATCTGAAGATCTTCCACATTGATCGATCGGTGCGGAAATCAAAGAGTTTACGACCAAGTAGTTTAATGAAGAGCTGAAATTCCAACCGTTCAATTCTATATAATATTTGATTGCACCAATCTTAATCTGGAAATCGTCACCTGCAAAACTACTTGGATAGGTATCGCCAATTGTGCCATTCAACGCCACATACTGACTGAATGTAATTGTAATATTCTTTATATGATCTTGTTCACCTGTATCGTTTGATGAAGTATAGATCCAAGTCTTGTACAGCAATGGTGAATTATTATCGGGATGATTGATTGTTTCGATATTATATTTCAAATCCCATGTCAGAGCTGTCAGATTCATCGTGGATATCTGTAAAATATCGCTCTGTTCACTCACCTCTGTCACTGTATAATCATAGGAAACACTATCGACCTGAATAATTATTCTCGGTGACTGAGGATCCGGATTAACTGTAACATTAACCTGCTCAATTGGTTTACGTAAACTACAAATTACACCATCCCAACCTTGGAAACATTCACATCTACCATTTATACATTTTCCATTTCCACTACAAACAATTTGTCCTTCACAAATATTATTTGGATCTAAAAAAATATAAATATTAATATTAAAATTTAAAATTTAATTTACTTTTAATTTGTACATACCAAATAAGGTTGTAGAATTTGCATAAAAATCTAAACTTGGGAATGCATCATTATCCACAACTAATTTAAATAGATACTTTGTACTACTAACTAAACTTGAAATATTACAAGATAATTCCTTGAAATTCTGACAACCTGGCACCACTCTCCAACTACTCTCTCCATATGAAATATATACATAATAATTTGTATGATTTGGTTGACCACCTGTACTTTCTGTCCATGATAAATAAACATAATGCATATCTGGTGTAGCTGTTAATACTACCGGTGTAGGTGCTATAAAAATAAATAAATAAAAAATAATTAATAAACTATCATATTTTAATTATAATTAATATAATATTTACCTGGCCAAGTTTGCCATGATGTCAATGTACTGTTTGTATCTACATCATTGTTTGAAATAATATTGAAGGAATAATTGGTGGTCGGTGATATATTGAAAACTGTACAATCAAATAGATTTTCAATGAATTCATTGTAGGTGCAGTTTGTAAATCTTGATCCATTCAAGTATACTTCATAGTTTGTCATTCCTGGTATACCGCCACCTGCTGTTATTGTTAAATAGAGATCACCTTTACTCTGATTGTATGTGACCACTGGTTTCTCGACGAGAGTGTATAGTTGGAAATTGATTTGCTCTGTGTTGTTCGATCTGAACTTTCCTTTTTGTGTTGTAGAGTAAATCGATAAACCATGACTACTACCAGGTTGGAATGATGCAAAATCGCTAGTTCCTATGGTACACTCTAGAGTTGAACCCCAATTACAATTGGTTTTATTCAATAAGAATCTACCATCCACTGTAATATTATGATAAACATCTCCAGGAATTCCAAGTAGGGATGAATAAGAAATAGTAATATTTCTTGTATATATTGAAAGAATTTTAATCTTTTCCATAATAGTTCCTATAAATTATATATTTTAATAGCTATTCTTTAATAATTTAATAAATTAATTTATAAATACTTACTTTTGCGCATTGTAAAACTATTATATTGAGGTGGTGATGGAATATCTAAAATTATCATTGGAATTTGTCTCAATGTATACTCCAATGTTACATTCTGACCCTCCCATCTAACATCGTATAAACTACATCCTGTAACATAACATGAGGTATTGTAGGTCCACCAATTGGAAACAGGGTAAGAGTCAATGTTACCTCTAATGGTAAATGAAGAGGTATTTATAAAAGTCCAACTTTGGTTAAAATTTAAATTGATCTGGTCAATAAGTGGTTCCACTATCATTGAGAAATTGTTTGGTGGAACGAGAACAAGGTTTTTAGTTCTATAAGGTTCGTTCATAGTGCATCCGGCGTTAATTGGACTCTTGACAATGGTGGAAGATACATTCCAATTTGGACAGGTTCCTGTACTATAACTCATCATCATTTGATTTGGTGATACTGGTGGATCTGCATACATCGAACCTGTATTCGTTGGGTTGACCACACAAGTTCCTGGCAAAATATTTACTCTCATACCGTTGCTGCTAGTTTTGCTGCTACAACCATCGCCTTCCAAATACTGTTCATAATAGTAATAACCTGGAATTGGTGGTGGTGGTATCGGTGTTCTAAAGAGCTTTATGTACCAATTGATTCCAGGACTACCCTCTGTACAGCCATCTACACTACCGGTGAACTCATAAGAGTCATAGTATGGTAGTTGGCAATTTTTATTACTGAAATATGTGAGCAACGTTCGATTGTTCACAGGACTAATCTGGTATCTAAATGATGTTGCTGCGCCAAGTGTGTAACAGCCTTCAGTGTATGAATACATTACTTTCAGACTACTTTGGTCGCATAAACCTTCATAAAAAAATAAATTCGACCATTTATCATCTCCAGTCTGTGATTTAACTACTATAGTGGTAAAACAACTAAATAACAAGAAAATATAAAAACTATAATTTAATTTATACATTCTTTTATTATTTACTTGACTATTACTTTTATTACTACTCTACTATGTTATCAATAAAATAATTGTTTATGAATTTTTAATTCTCAAGACCATTCCAGATGGATGTAAGGAAGGAAGGAGTGTTTCTAAATTTGTACAAAAAAACTCTCCAGCTGAACAATATCTACTTTTTTTAAAGTTTTAACAAACAAAAAAATCTTTGATTTGATTAATTTGGTGTTTTGTGTGTAGTTAACACTAACACTTCTTGATTCCACCAAACCTTTTCGATGTTTGTGGATCAAAAGGAACCATTAAAAAAAATTTTTAAAAAAAAATGATGGTTGGATAAAAAAAAGACCAAACAATGAATTGGTGTGGTCCATGACGTTTTCATGGGTTTTAGTTTATTGTTTTTGTTCACCCATTAATCTCAGTTCAACGGTGTAATTATTTGAATGAATGTGGTCATTTTTTTTTCTTACCAGATTGTAATCTTGAACTAGAATTAAATTAAACATATCGATTTGGCAATGAGATGTTGATCTGATCAACAAACATCAAAGTTTAATTACAAATAATTTAATTTAATAGATAATTGTATAACTAGTTAGAATGACAACAAATAAATGATCACAAATAAACTCAAAGTATATTTCGAATTAGAAAAAGGAAATGAATGATTGGCATTAGTTGGTCATAAAAAGTTGTGAAAAAAAAAAACAAAACAAGAATAGGTGATAAATAGATCAAAATTAATATCATCTTGATATATATTTGAAATGGGTGGAAATAAATGACTGACAAAAAGGTGATAATGAATGATTGAATTGTTCCAAATAAAAATCTATAATATTACAGTTGATCATTTAAATTGAGGATCCAATCATCTGTTTGTTTTCCCTATTTATAAAAGCTGTTTATTTAGATCGTGAAAAGATTTAGTTTCTCTCTTCGCTTCTCAATCTAGCGTTACGGTTGGTGATCTTGATATCGAGTTCAGCAGCTCTCTCGACGATGGCCTTTCTGGACTTAGCAGAGACACCGTGGAAAACTTCAGCGGCGTAACGTCTGTTGTGCATGAGGAGGACTTCCAATTCTTGGATGTTTCTGATGACGAAGGTCTTGAATCCGTCTGGGCAAACGTCTCTGGTGGACTTGTTTGAACCGTAACCAACGGATGGCATTGGACGGGCACCAGAGAATCTACGTCTGACTCTGTTATCAATACCTCTTGGCTTTCTCCATGAGGCACCGACTCTCTTGAAGAGATCAGATTGGAAACGGACGAACTTGGCGGTTCTCTTCTTTACGATTCTGCTTCTAACGATTGGGGAAGGCATTTTACTATATATTATTGTATTTTCATGTAGTAATGAGAAAACTATTAGATTATGAAAATTCTTTTTGCAATCTATCATCCTTTCCATCATCACATCCTCATTTAAACGCAGAGCATTCGTTATATCATTTTTCTCATTCTTTTCTCTTTTCGTTTTATTCTTTTGTTGTATCTTTTGTTGATCGTTTGTTTCCTGTAATCTAAATGATGATGGATGAAGGATAGTGATAATATAATGTAATATATGATAACCTACACAGATGGTGATAGGGAGCACTATTGAGAGTCGACTTAGCTGTTGTCAATATCTTCGTGAACGTGGGTCAGAGTGGCAGCTCCACACAGTCACTCACACACAATTTTCAAAAAATTAAAAAAATATTTTTAAAAATTAAAATTTTGTTTTCGATACGGAGTTCGAAAAACTACCGTCAAATGATCGTTAAAGAGAGATATGTATTCATTCGAATGAAAGTATCTTTGAATCAACTTTATTTGCATAATAATAATAATAATAATAATAAAACAATATATAAATTGATTTGATTGATAAAATTATATATCTTATCATTTTTATTAAATTTATCATCGTTCGATCGATTTATATTTGAAAAAAAAAAGATAGAATGAATATATTGGTTGATTGACTGATATCATTCTATTCTTTTTCTCATAGTTGTTAGGTTTTGTTTTGTATTGTTGTGTTTTATCTTTTTGACTTCTTCTTTTTGTGATTGTATTTCTCTGTATTTGTTGTATTATTTTGTTTTTTATAAGTTATCTTTAAATTAAAGTTGGTGTTTGACTGTTGCTAAAGAAGAGGAAAAATTGATTTTGAATTGATTCTAATGTTAAGTTTGATCATCAGAAGTTTAAAGGTGAGATTAGATGAGGTGCGGTGAGGTGGTGAGTTGGTGAAAGTGGAATGAAGTTGATAGTTTGAATGAAAACATTTTACAAGTCGTATGAGTTATTTGCTGAGCCAAAACATCGATATATATTATCTATATTGTTGCTGTTGTTGTTGTTGTTATTGTTGTTATTATTATTTATTTATCTTATCTTCTTCTTGCATTCTCTGCAGTTGGAGTATAATTAAGCCTGTTGTTTATAAAGAAAATAAGTTCAATATTACGTTAGTTATATATATATTCTCTCGAAACGAACAAATTTGTGTATCATTAAATGTTGTATTGACGACATTAATGATGTATTTATCTGTTCTAGTATAGTCTGTTTCTATTGATTCTTTTCTTTCAACATACAATTTCTCAATCAAATCTACATGTGTCAAAAGCATACGTCTGCAACAATATCTCTTTAAACTAAGTGCATCCAAAGCATCACTGGTTCATCAAAGAGAGAGTGAGAAACCGTTAGTTTTAAGTTCCTAATATTACGGAATTCATAATAATCAAAAATACTTACCCTTCAGAGTAATCATTACTCAAAAGACTTATATAAGCATCCCATTTATTACCAATGACTTTACCACATGTGAAACAACGTACTGGAATGATCATTTTATATTAATTTCTATATTGTTGTGATTAAATATATCTAAATTTGGGAATTCGCAACAAAAACAAACAACTACTACTAAATCGAGATCTGTATTAATAATAAATGATTTATTATATTATTGTTATTATCAATCTAAAACAAAAATATTTTTGAAAAAAATAGAAAAAAACAATCAATCGTTTTTTTTGTTTTTTTAAAATTTTAACAATTTTTTAATATTTTTTTTTTTAATAAAACGAAACTTTATTAAATTACTAAGTTAATAGTAAATATATATATTAGTTTATTTACTTTTTATTATTATATTATAAAATTATTTTATAAAAGTATGAGTTCAAGAGGTGGTAGTAGTAGAGGCGGAAGAGGTGGAGGAGGAGGTAGAGGTGGTGGTAGAGGTGGTGCACCAAGAATGGGAGGTCACGTCGGTGAAGAACAAAGGAAGTATTTCATAAAGTCTATGGAAGAGGTAAAGAATCTAGGTGCTACTATGTTTGCAAAAAAAGACAAGAAAGCATTCGCTACACAAAAATTGATTGAACAAGGCAGAAAGGTAGAGAGAAGAAAAGTACCTCTAAAGATTGGAAAGATTAAAATGTCAAAAGAAAAGAATAGATATGATGAATTAGTTGCACAGGTAAGTGAATATATATTATTAACATTAATTAGTTATTATTATTTAAAAAAGTTATTAATTTTGTTTGTTTTTTTAAAAAAAAAATTAATATAAAAGGCAATGAAAAATGGAGGTATAATGCCAAAGAAACCATCATCAATGAAGAAGGATGAAGATGAGAAGGATCGTGGTTTAGAGATGAGAAATGGAAAGTTTTCAAATGGTACTCACTATCTTTCAAAGACCGATGTCAAGAGAGTCTACACTGCTGGAAGAAAGTCAAAGTAAACAACAATGTTGGCAACATTCTTTTATTTTTAATTATTCTACAAATATATCAATCATTTATTATTTATTAACGACAAACAAGACAAAACAAAACAAAATTACACAACAATACAAAACAACAACAAAAATCAATTCAACTTCCAACCAACCAACCAGCCAGCCAATCACTTGGCGATCAATTGGTCTCAGATTAACCAAAACAGTAAAAAGTGGGAAATGAATTCAAAGTTACCAGGCAGGTAACTCTTTGTGCCAGAAGAAAAACAAATAAGATCATGTTATGCTTACTTATCATAATGGTCACATTAATTTCAATTCATTTCATTTATATCAATATTAATTTATTGGACATAAAGATACTCAATCCCAAACCCTTTAAAGGGTTGTTTACATCACCAAATGTAATTACTTAATAAAGAAAAAGATTCCTAAAATCCATCCATCTAGTTATTGATTCTTGTTGTGTTAATATTATTATTTATAATTTTTTAATCATCAGTAAATCAAAATAATATTATTGATTTGTTATTATTGTTTATTGTTATTTAAGGATAGATGGTTGTTTTGTAGTTAAAGTAGTTGTTGTTGATTTTGTAGAGGATCCTCCTTTGGTGGTTGTAGGTGATGTTACGTTGGCGGTTGGCAATGGAGCCAACGATTGTTCACTGCATGACGAATTAAACTTGGAGAGTGGATAGATATAGATTTGACCAGAAGTTGGTTTCTTATGAGTGATACTCGATGAATTGATTCCAACAAGAGTGATAGTCGGTATTGATGGTGATCCTGCTGCAACAGGTATTAAATTACATTTAAATTTAATATCTTGACCATTCTAATAAATAGAAATAATATTAGTTATTTATATATCAATATCATTACTATAGTTGTTTTAAAAGTTTACTTACATTTAATTTAAAAGTGAATTTGTTCCTACCTGATAGTGTCCAATAGGTTGGATCATATTCAATTAAATAGGTTAGAGATGTATCGTTTTCATTCGATTGTTGTTGTTGTTGTTGTTGTTTCTGTAGATTTGTAATAATAAATTCAAATGGAATGATTGAGCCAACTGTTGATGTGGTAGTGGGAATGATCGTTTCTATTTGATAGTGTTTATCTGGACAGTTGATTGTAATTGGCCAATGGAATTCTACAAGATCTTTCCACAATGGTTTACATTCTCTTACCAAACTATCTGTATCTTGCAGTTTATTAATATATTTTATACATAATTGTACACCCTTGTTATTTATATCATTATCATCTGAATAAAAGTAAGTTATTAATTAGTATACAATAAATATGTGTGTGTGATAAACGAGCGTATTAAATTAAAATTAACTTACCTAATTGATTGTTATTATTATTATTATTATGATTATTATTATTTTGATCTTGTTGAATGGATGGTTGATCATATTTGTTGACTTCAAAGATTAATGAAAGAGTATGACCTGGATAGAGTGTCATATTCTTTAGTGAATCATTATAGTCTTTGATGAGATAGAATCGATGTTTTCTTGGTGTATTTGCATCTGTTGGTTCAGTGTATTGCTGATCGAATCCGTTCAGTGAGTAATCGTGTATTACAAGTGGTGTGGAAGATGCACATTGCATTATGATCTTCAAGAACAATCGGTCTTTTACAGGAATCACCAGTTCTTCAATGGTGAAAGGATTGATAAAGAGTGTTGTCGATACCAACGACGATGAATACGCTTCTTTCGTTTGTTTCTGATGATTCAGATCGACGGTGATCTGATGTGAGCAAGGATCACGATTGATTGCCATCACCGGCAAGTAGAGCTCCAGTTGCTCCTCGGTATCGATGTGCTGAAGGTTGATCTTCTCGTTGACCAACGGCATCTGCAGAGTCGTGACAGTGCCGTCACGCTTCCTGCTGATGACGTGATAGGTCGGTGTCTGAATGATGGTTACACCGGTCGGCGAGTGGAATCCGAGTGTTCCCATCTCGATCGAGTCAGAGTGAGTGTTCAACTTGATTCCAATGTACTGGATGCACGATAGCAGTAGCGGACTGGTGGCGAACGACTCTAGTTTGATAGTGGATTGTGTCTCTATCACTTTTATCTCACTTGGTCGACCGTCGCTGTCTTTGAGCGACTGGCCAAACGCAACATTTCCAAACTGTATCCAAATGGAATCTTTGACAAACGATGCTTTCGTTGTGCCGAGTGTCGAGAATCGATAGTGGTTGACACCAGGGTGAATAGTGAAATCCGTCAAGTTGAATATCAACTTCTCACTGGTTGAATTCAGCCTTATAAAGTTGATAGCAGCATGTCTTGCAACGATCGAGGTAAACAAGTTACTCTTTACCTTTACATCTATAGTAATAGTATCCAAGAATCTACATTCCAATGCACCAGTCATTATTTTCACTTTAAACAAAGGATGCATTGGTACAGCAACTGAGAAATAAAACAAAGTAATAAGTAAGGTGGTTAAGTTTTGATTGTTAGTAATTACTTTTAACACATAATATTAATAATTAAATAGTTATAACATACTATTTAATTGATTGTTCTTTGATATATTTAATATCTCATTGAGGTAATAAGATTTCTCTTCTTCTGTCTTTAAGATACCAGGTGATAGTAGACTAATGCATGTTGTAATATACTCTGTTAGATCGTTCAATCTCTTTTGACAGAATGAAAGTTTTGTTTTAATTGAATATTCTATCAAATTCCATGACTCTCTTGAATAAAGATTAACTATACTCTTAAAGAATCCAGCTGCATCTGAGAAATCTCCAAGTTTACTAATAATAAAATTATTTTGTTAGTTTTTTAATATAGTTCAATAATAATAATAATAGTTTTTTTGTTTGGGATTAACTAACTTACAAATACATCTTACCAACAGCATAGGTCACTCTATGATGTGATCTTGTTCTGTTTGTTTGTATATAAAGTGAATCTGCTTGTGACATTACATTCTAAATTTTATAATAATAATATTAAAAATGTTAGTTTTCTAAAATAGATCTATTTTGTATATATATCTATTTTTATACTACTTACAATATAAAGTTGTTTAAATTGTTTAGTTGATTGAAATGCAACTTGTAATGGTGGATATGTAAATAGTGTTGTTGTTGGAATGCTATTATTCTTCTTCTCATTGCTATTACTAAGTACAGATGATTTAGTTGGTGAAGTACCAGGTGATACTGTTGCTATGGTTGTTGTTGTTGTTGGTGATACTGCTATTATTGGTGATTGTAATTGTTGTTCTTGTTGTTTATATTCATTTGAAAATATTAATTCTGCATATTTATAGAATGGTATAATAATCTGTGGTGTTGTTGTTGTTGTTGTTTCTGTTGTAGTTGTTATTGTAATTGTTGGTGATGTTAAATTATTACTATTATTATTGTCATTATTATTATTATTATTTATATTATTATTGTTATTATTATTATTATTAATAGTATAATCTAAATCATCTTTTGCAATTAGATCTAATTTAATTGCTAATGTTTCTAACATTTGACCAGCACCAAACAATAGGTCTGCAAGTAGGAAGTCGAGAGATTCACGATCTTGACGATCGAATTTACCATCTAGATCACCACTTGCCAATGATAGACTATTGGTTCTCATCCAATTGGTTGATTGTAGCTGCATTGACTGTACACTGGTTAGAGATTGTGAGGAGGTGAGACGACCACCACCCGTTCCACTTGGTGTCTGTGGTGTTGATGAACCAACTGCCAGCGAATTTGAACTAGCCGATCCTGTCAGAGTAGAAGTGACATTGCCCGAAACCGGAGAGTTTCCAGTCACCGGAGTATTACCAAGACTTCCACCGGTAACCAAACTTCCAACACCATTCCAAGCATTTAAGAATCTTGCAAGTGGTGGTGTAATTTGTTTAGTAATCTTATTATTATTACTATTGCTATTATTATTATTATTTGGTTGTTGTTGTTGTTGTTGTTGTGATGATGTTAGCGATGATGATGCTGCTTGTTGCTGTGGATTGGCAGTAAGTTTTTCAAATGCATTTTGACATGCTTTTACAATTTCAAGGGAGACAGCAATGGTCCATGCTTCACGGAAATAGACAGAGAATGACTTTTCATTCTTGGCAATGATGTGTCCGACAGAGGTAATGAATGATGTCGCTTTGTTGGCTACTTCAATTGGTCTGTTCAAAAGAAAGAGTAGCTTTGACTGACAAACAAAGAGATAATGTTTGAAATCAAATAGACTTATCTTTTTCTGATAGATTAACTCACGATAGTGTCTTCTCGTAGTTGAATCAAACAAATTGACACCATCATTATTAATCATATTGTGTGGAGTTGTTGTCGTTGCCGCGGCGGTGGTAGTGGCAGTTCCGCCAGCTGGCAAAGTTGGCGAAGTCGCCGTCGTCGTCGTCGTCGCCGATGCAGCATTAGCAGCTGAAACCTTTTCAAATTGTGATTTATTCTCCTGGAAGAGTACCTCTAGTTCTATGTATTGTAGTAGCGCATCTTCGTAGAGTAATGCACGCTCGTATATCAGAGCGAGACTCTCCTTTAGAAAGAAGAATCCGAGGTAGTTCCAACCGAGACTGGTTCGCTTGGCGTCACTCTTTCGGATCTCCTCTTCGTAGAGCGTCAAGTATTGTTCGGCACTCGAGATGATTCCCTCTTTCAGCTTGAAGAGCAGGTCGTCCCAGAGCTCGTCGTTGCGCTGATTCGAATCGTCGAGGAATCGCAGCTGACAGCAACGGTCTTTACGCACATTGAAATCGTTCTTTATCTTATCGTAGACGGTTCGCGAGAGTTTCGCGAATGTCTCTGACAATCGCTTCTGACCGAGCTGTATGTAAACGATCAGCCATTCCTGCTGGCGGTCCGCCATGTTGGTAACCCACTGGCGTATCTTTGGTTTCGTGACATTCTTGTAGGTGTCGGTGTCGTCGCAGTGCACCAAGTACAAATAGAGATAGGGTTTGCGATAGAGATTGGCAAATTCAAATGTCTGATTGCGCAGTCGTTCATCGTCGTGACTGACGATATCCACTGGCATATACTCTACAATCTTTGTGTGTCCTGTCTTTGTCTTCCAACTGATATTCTTCAGAGGTAGATGTGATTTCAACTCTGGTTCCAAATATTTCCAAACACCGAAATCATCTTGATCTAAAAATTGAATGATATGATATGATATGTTGTTAGTTATTTAGTTGTTTGATTCAATATTGTTGTTATTATTATTATGATTGTTATGATTGTTTTTAGTTACATGAAATGATAATATGTTCTGCAGATACATTCGGATCGAATAGAGTTGATGCCGATGGAGATAGAGTAGAGTTTGCAAGTGGTGTAGTGTTTGATGGTGAAGAGGAAGTAGATGAAGTCGATGCTGATGTTGGTGTATTGTTATTGTTTGACATCTTTTAACTTCTTTCTTTGAACGTTGCTGCCTCTTTACTTCAGTGAATCTCTATCTACACTATTGCTATCACTATCACTGTGTTTTAACTAACTAAATGATCACAACTAACTAATGATCTGATTTGATCTAATCTGCTAATAATAATAGCAGGGGTGTTAAAACAATATCAAACTAAAATCAAATTCTATATATTCTAAAGAAATATAATTATAATATCTGTAATGTTTGTTTGTGAAATATAATCTAAGAAGTGTCTGTTGAATGAAAATTAAAAAAATGAAGTTAGTTGATTTTAATTAATTTAAAAAAAAAAACAAAAAATTAAAAAAAAAAAGGTGTAAATTTCAAAAAAAAAATAGAGAGATTAATTAAGCAGAAATTTGTGTATAATCTTTCGAAATATTAAGTCAAATATCAAAGATTTCCTTAAAAATGGATTATTAATATTAGCATCAAAGAAAATTTAAATTAATTAGAAAATTAAATAAAAAAAATTAAAATTTTTTAGACTTTTTATTATATAATTTAAAAAGAGATAAAATCAAAAAAGATTTGATAGATATAATAGTTTTTAATATTTCTAAATTTAAGAAGTTCTTACTTTCAAACATTTATTTATTTGAAAAATTAAGATGAGAAGATTTTTTTAAAGATTTTACAATAAAAATGAGTCCTTTCAAAAAATCCATCTTTTCGAAAAAAAATGATCATTTTTTATTTAAAAAGAAAAATATTAATAAAAATTAATAGATATAAATATAATGAAAGTTAAAGAGTATTAAAAAAGATTGGTTCTATATCTTAAATTGAATAAATATTAATAGATATTTTTTTCTATCCACAGATATTTTATTCCTATAAGTTCAAATTCCTTGGAAACTTTGGAAAATAATATTACGAAACTATATGATTGTCATCAAATGAAAGATGAATGTACATTTCAAGAATTTGTATATCACTATACTTTATATGTAAATAGTGGAAATCAGAGCATAGATGAATCTCAGCATAGAAAAGTTATAGTTGCAAAAGATTGGAATGAATTTAAAAATCAATCATCAATTTTAACAATTGATCAATCGTCCGTATTATTGAATGAAAACCTTAATAGACAACAACAAAAACAACAACGTTCACAACCAAAGAAAATAATTGACATGAGTAAATATTGGTTTATTTATTGAAATAGAGAAAATCAAAAAAAAAAAAAAAAAAAAGATTTATTTTTAAAAAATGAAATGAATTAAAAAACAATATTTTTATTTTTAGTTATCCCTATTATTATTATTAATATGTTAAATAAATAACATAACAACATCAGATCGAAATGGTCTATCCAATATTGAAAAATTTCTTACTCTTGGGAACAGGTTTTCAAAGTCCAAGCGAATAGTGACTATCTACTTTTAAATAGTTTCTCTTCTTCTGTATTGACTCCTCAAAGTTTTTTTAATAGGAATTAAAACTTACCATCACCTATATAGGCTTTATCACCTATTATCTGTTCTACACCTAATAAATTGGGCAAGTTGGTTTGTCTTGCTATAGTTAGGTCGTGGACCGTAGTAAGGACCATCGAGTTTTACCAAACTTCCATTTAGATTGACTATAACTTGATATTTAAAACCATTAGCCTTATATTTACCTTTATTGGTAGTTATAAAAATTTGATTCTTGAGGTTAAATATTAGTTAATAAATTAAAATAAATTTAATCTACAGAGTATTATACCTGAATAAGTAAATTTTTGTGTTTCTCGATCTATTGGTTTTTAATTTCTAGGAATATAGTATCAACTACTAAAAATGATGGTCTGTTTTAGTGAACAACAGGAGGTGTTTTCAATCTCTTTGAAAGATCAAAAAATCACCCATTTTTAAAAAATATTTAAAATACAACTATTAATATATAATATATTTAAATATCACTAAAGTGATATTAATGTAATTATTAATTTACATGTTGAAAGATGATTTACTGAAATAATCACAAAAGACAATATAAATAAGTTTTGTTTAAGGAAGTCGGTAAAATGAATATAAATAAAAATTAACTTAATTCTTTATAAATTTACACAGAGAAACCCGAAAGTTAAGTTAATATCAATTTTTAATATAAATAATTATTTACATGAATTTTTAATCGCTTTACCAAATACCGATATCTACTATGACCAATGAATCAAATGATATATAATAATAATTTTGAAAATTGAGATTTAAAAAATAACATAGTTGGTCCACAGTTTTGATACACTTTGAAAATATGAAGACAATTTATTTTTAGTTTCTTTTATATTATTAAAGATCGAATTTTTGTTTTTTCACGGTGTTATTTTTGATAAAGTCAATTCATATCAACAATTTCCTTTTATAATTGAATATTAAAAGTAAATTCAAAGGTTTTAATCTAAATAAAGTATGTAAACTACACAGTCAATCCCAAGATCCCACCCAATATTTCTCTTCAGGTAACTTTGATTTTGAAATCCAGAGTGTTGAACTTTAAAAATAATGGGTGGGATTTTTAAATTGAAAAATTTTTTTATAAAATAAAAATAAGTTTTTATTAATTTTCAAAAATAATATAAAATGTTTCACAAATGTTAACATTTTTATTAATTTTTTTATTCTTAAAAACAAAGTTAAATATTTAATATAAATAAATTCTCATTGTCTCAAATGGATATTTAAATACCATTAAAATCGTATGGTTTAATTTTATCAACATTTTTTTAAAATTTTATCACCAAAAAAAAAAAAAAAAAAATCTAGAGTATTAAACAACAAAATTAATTTAATTTTTTTTATATCTTTTTATTTCTTGCACTTGAAGTATATATTTAATAACAAATATTAACATAAATAATCTAATATTTACTCAAGTCAAATAGCGAATATAACCTATTCGATGAAACCAATTAGTTTGGAAATCCTTGGAATTCAAAATAACTAGGATTTCAGAGCACAGGCCAGAGAGTTCAACGCTAGGCATGAGAGCAACTTTCAATTCTTCTTTGCATTTCAACAAAAGTGAGTTTGATAGTTTGACGTACTCCAATATATTTAATGCTTGTTGAATTAAATTGGTACCATATCTTTGTGTCGCTGATATGACAGATCGTTTAGTTGGTGGATCATTTAAACCTTGAGGAACTTTGAAAACAAGATTATGTTTTGCTAATTTCCCGCGTAATTGATCAATTTCTGTGGATTGGAGCTGAATTCGATTAAAATCCTCAGAGAAAGTCTTTACTACATTGAAATCAAAGTCCATTCCAAGCTCAACCAAACTATTGAATCGTTTTTTGAAAGATTCCACATTCTCTTTTGTTATTTCAGAACCAATTGCCATCTTTGTCAAATATAAAAGATCTCGGTGTCTTTTTGTATCGGACCCTTTGAATCTTAGTTTATGAGTGATAGTGACTTCTGGTTTGGTATAGTTCTCTGGAACTGTTGGAGACGTCGTTAAACCGTGATAATAACGACATCGTGTAATGATATAATAATGTTATAATAACAAATAGTTTATGTGTTTAAATATGGTTGTGAAATATATGAAATTAATAATGTTTATTGAGTTCTTGTTTGCGCTTAAATACATTGTGTTCATTGATCGGTTAGCAGTAGTCGGTTGACTGATATCTTGGAACTACGATTCCAACACTGCCCTTCTTCTTCGAGGCAGCAGCCTGACAGGATTAAAAACTTATACGCGGCTTTGCATAAGAAAACCTTATCAGGACTTACGCGAGAGACGGGTGCCGACTCATCCGTCTGTAGAATCTGGAACTGAATGAGCAGAGCTAAACTTAGTCGCCAGAGTATTACCAGGTAACGGTACCCAAGCGAGAGCTCTTCCAACCTTAACCAAATATTCGACACGAGCTAATTTGGAAGTACCAAGAGTGAACTTGCGCTTGGCGAGGATGGCAACAATATCCTTTCTCCATTTGGTGTATGCTAGAACCTTGACATCATCTGCAATAATAATAGAGGGAGTGTTTGGTATGAAGTCGTCGCTGTTGATGTATGATATAATGTTCTTTGTCGCTATTATTTCCGATTTATTAAGATTGCATTTTAAATTATGATCGAATTTGTCCACTTCGTTACGTAGTTCGTTAAAATTATTTTCGACATTTCGCAAAATTGATTTTGATAAATTATTTGATAAAGTTCCACGTGCAGTGATGTTTTGATGAAATTTTGAATCATTTGAAATAAATTTAAAATAATCGATATTTAAATTATTATTATTATTATTATTAGAGTTATTAGAGTTATTAGAGTTATTAGAGTTATTAGAGTTATTATTATTATTAATAAGTAAGTTATCGCTATCATCGTCATTCATATCCATGTCATCGTTATTGTTGTTGTAGTTGTTATTGTTATTATTATTATTATCGTAGTCGCTATCATTATCGTCATTTAATTTATTATCCTCCATGTCATCCCTGTCAACACTACGTTCGACATTTATGTCTACTCTACTTTCGACATTTTTCAGCCCCCTCCGTGTGTGACGGCGTATAGGCCTCGGACTATCGTCATAGTCGTCTGAACTATCGCCAACGGTACTACCCCGATCGGTCTCCGCCGTAGCACCGTTTTCGACTAATAAGTCGTCGACATCATTAATTAAATTTTCATTCATCTTTGGATCGTATAACATTATGTGTTTCGAATTAAATTTCTTCTTCTTTGTGCTTATTCCATCTTTTCCAATCACATCTATGAATATATTATTATAATTATCGACTTCCACTACTTTTCGCGGTCCTTCATACCTCACATCCAATTTCTTTTTCTTACCATCTCTATTATTATTGTAGAAAACGTAATCACCTACCTTGATTTGGTTTTCTTTTTTACCTTTGTTCCATGTAAATCTCATTTCTTGATTTCCAACACAGATGTTTCGTTTGACTAACTTAATGATTGCTTTCCTTTCCTTAATAGATTCGATGATTTGCTTATCTGTGACGTCGACCAGAGCATCCGATTCTTTGACGAGGTTGAGTGGTGTTAACGGATTGTGTCCCAAATAGATCTTGAACGGAGTGTACTCGGTAGTTGAATGAACAGTTGAATTCAATGAAAACTCGACAGTATCGATGTGCTTAGACCAGGAACCAGTAGTATTGTGGAGACGGTCATCAACCATAAGCTTTCTAGTCGCATTCTTGACTGCACGAATGATTCTTTCAGCTTGTCCGTTGGCTTGTTGATTGGATACGGCCGATGTGGAGTGGTGAATACCGTACGCTTTCGTCAATTGCTTGAATAACTTGGAGGTCAATTTAGAATCGTTATCAGAAACAATTTCAATAGGGATACCATGGAGTTTAAAGATCTCTTTATGAAACAGATCAATCACCTCTTTACTGGTATAGTCCGAACCTAAAGGAATCAGTCTGGTCATTTTAGATAAGGCATCGACAACGACCATTATAGCGTCAACCTTCCTACCCATGTACTCCTCGACTGGTAGATTTGGTATGAAGTCGATGTTAATACGTTGGAAGCATTTGACTGGAATGGGCAATGGAATCAGGTGACCAATTCTTTTTCGTGCATGGTCGCTGGCACGTCGACAGACGATACAGTCATCACAGTACTTCTTGGTGTCTGCCGCCATGTTCGGCCATACGTATAGTTCGGATATAGAATGGAGAGTTTTGGAGGCCGACCTATGACAACCGAATTCAGAATCGTGGGCTTGATATAGTAAATTATTGACTATTGACATGACTCTAGGCACTATAATCTTACCGTCGTGGGTGTATCGGAGACCGTTGATTGTCGTGTAATCAGTGATTCCGTTACTAAGATTGGAGTTGTCCTCTATGCGGTAACCGTCGATGATATCGTTGGCGATCGTTGGATGACTAAGTGATACGGATACATTGAATGTGTACCTGGACAAACCATCGGCAATCGTATTGTCCTTTCCTTTGATGAATTTGATCTTTGGTTGGTAAAGATTAATGTGTGCGATCCAGCGATTGATAGTTTGGTTGATACCGATCTTGTTGGCCTCGTTGATGTAGGTGATGTTCTTATGGTCAGTACGAATCTCGATATCTCTGCCGAAGATGTGATAGTAGTTGGCTTTCAACGCAGTAACGATGGCTAATAGTTCCTTTTCCAGTGTTGAATAACGTGTTTCCGAATCTTTCAATTTCCTGGAACCGTAGCAGATTACGTTCTCTTTACCGTCTACCAATTGAAACAATCGATATCCGGTACCGACATCGGAAGCGTCGCATTCAAATATAAAAGGCAGATCGTAATTTGGTGGGAACAACGATGGTTTCTCTTTAATTGCTGATTTGATAGTATCGAATGCAAGTTGGCAATCATCAGACCAGTGGAATGGAGCGAACTTTCTAAGTAGGAAAGTGAGTGGTGCTTGGACAGTGGCTAACCTCGGAATGAATCTATTGTAGTAGTTAACAAGACCGAGGAAACTACGTAGCTCGTCTTTGTTGTTCGGCTCTTTCCAAGCGATGATAGAATCGATCTTGTCCTGCAGTGGGTCTATTTTGCCATTACCAACCATGTGACCAAGGTAGTCGACAGATCGAACCAAGAATGTGCATTTTGATAAGTTGACATGTAAGTTATTCTTTCTTAGTATTGTGAATACATGCTTGATACCATCGATGTGTTCAGTAATAGAAGAATTATTGGTCATAATTAATAAATCGTCTAAGTATACTAATAATAATTTCTGAAATACTTCCAATTTAAATACAGAATCCATGAAAGACTGGAAGACTGCTGGTGCATTTGATAATCCGAATGGTATAACCGTGTATTTGAATGAACCAAATGGACAACGAAAAGTGGTCTTGTCAGCGTCTTGTAGGTTCATGCGAAGTTGGTGGTAACCATGTAGCAAGTCCAACTTGCTTAGCCAGTGAGCAGATTTGGTACGATCAAGCAGTTCGTTGATACGTGGAAGCGGATATGAGTTCTTGACGGTAGACTTATTGAGTTGGCGGTAGTCGACACACATACGCCAGTTACCAGTTTTCTTCTTAACGAACAATACTGGAGCGCCGTATTCAGCGTTAGATGGAACGATGAAACCTTTATGTAGCAAGTCCTTGATTTGGTTGTGTAGTTCCTCTAACAGTGATTGCGGAACAGGGAACATCCTCTGTTTCTGGACAGGTGCGTTTAAGTTGATCTTCATATCCACATCCTCACGGAATGGCGGTGGTGAAGTCATTGGAGATACCACATCTTGGAAATCACTTTTCAACATTTTAATGATGTCATCTCGAACACCATCAAGACCATCCTCCGAAACAGCGGTGACGTTCGTGGTAAAAGTAGTAGCTGTCGGCAGTGGAGTCTTCACGTCATCAGGGTCAATCCATACCAAGTAACTATCAGCAATATCAGCGGTATTAATATGCTCGATGCCAGAGTTAGTAGGATTACTTGGATTAAGAGTGGCCATGGTCATAGGAGAGTACCTAAATTTATTGAAATTCCCAAAATGGAAATTTTCAAAATCAGTTTTTAATTTTTCCTTGGTGACGTGGATTTGGTGACAAATTTTTGTAATTTCGTGCAAAATGTCACATTTTTGCGTTGATGCAAATAAACATTTCAAAGTAGATTTCCTTTTTCGTCCAGACACATGAAAATCGATGTTGTTACGAAGCGCGCTATGATTGGTGGCACCTCTTCTGAATGTTTTTACTAAATTATCAGAAATAGTGAGTGTATTATCGACAATTCTAAAATCTAGTTTGGCTAGTGAATCTACGCCGATGATACATACTTTAGGGTCCACATCCGCAATGATAAAATCCATTGGAATATGGACACGGTGACCTTTAACGGTGGTGAAACCGACAAGTAATGAGACCATACCATCTGAACGTGTGGGTACCATTGACACCACATATATTAATGCATGCAGGAGTGAGGGGTGTGGTCAACTTAAGATTATTCCAAACGGTTCTAGAAAGCAGATTAATCTCAGAACCAGTGTCAAGCTTAGCGTCTTTGGTGATTCCATTGACGAAAATAGGAACGTACGGTAGAGAAGACGTATCGACAGAGCCGACCATTTTATTTAAGTAAGGGTTTTTATCACCAGAACTGGGGTGATCTGAGAGTTTGGGTCTGTCAGAGCGACTATCTGAACGACGATCTGAACGTCTGAATCTATCACGTTTATCGCGGTGATATGGGCCACGCGGCTTGCGGCACTCAAAAGACTTGTGACCAGGGAGACCACAATTGAAACACTTAAAGCTAGGCTTTGAAACGTGATGTGTGGTTTGACCAACCGACTTGTTAGCAAAACCAGGGAAATGCTTGTCAATCCAACCACATGGATCAGCAACGTCAAGTTTCTCGAGATGGGATTGGTTCACGTTCTTAGCTGAATAATGGAATGCGAACAACTCCTCAGCTTTGCGAAGGCATTGTGAGAGATCGGTAAATTCACTCAAACGGGTACGGATCTCGCCCAGGTTGATAAATGCAGCTTTATACATGCGGACGTTGATGGCTTCACCCATATTCATAATTCTGGCAAGGCGGTTGAAAGACATGTTGAAGCTGGTGATTGACCATTTTGGATCGTATACTACTTGGTGTGAAAACTTGGCATACAGTGAGTCAGCATCAATCTTACAACCGAAAACTTTTACAAGAGCAGCGGACAACTCGGCGAAATCCTTGTAAGGAATTCTGTTGGCAAAGAAGAAGCTAAAGGCGTCTGGTGTCAGCCATACCTCTGTGAAGTTGAAACGGTGCTCCTCTGGAACCAGATTATAGATCGCATCTATCCATGAGTAGATGTCGTCACCTAATTTAAACTTCTGGATCGAGCCAAACATTACCTTATTCGAGTTCAGCCACGTGTTGAAACTTGACGAATTAGGGTCGGCCGCAAAAGTAGCAGTGGTCCAATCGTAAGCTTGCTTTATGGAGATGGAATACATGGATAACACTTTGACAAAGAAATCGCAAAAGCTCTTATGAGTAGATCTTAAAGGGTCATTCCTGCAAAGAAAATCGTTAACTATCATCATAGTACTAGCGTGATTGCGAGGCACTGTTCGTTTGGTTAAACCGGCAGGGGTGGTGGGCTTAGTAGGGGTCCGTTTAAAATATGGCGTAAAAGGAATTGATACTTCTGAGTCCACCATGTTGGAGACGTCGTTAAACCGTGATAATAACGACATCGTGTAATGATATAATAATGTTATAATAACAAATAGTTTATGTGTTTAAATATGGTTGTGAAATATATGAAATTAATAATGTTTATTGAGTTCTTGTTTGCGCTTAAATACATTGTGTTCATTGATCGGTTAGCAGTAGTCGGTTGACTGATATCTTGGAACTACGATTCCAACAGGAACAACTTCAGGGAGATTCAATACTTTTGGATCTAAAGGTTTGTAAATATATTGAAGTGGTTTCAATGGTAGATTCTTTACGGGAGGTAGGTCTGTCATGACTACGTCAGTATCTTTGGAGCTTTTACCGGCACGGGATGTAGATGGTTTTTTTGAGGTTGGAGCAGTCTTGGAACTAGGTAGACCAACTTTGGAGGATGATTTAGGGGGTCGACGTGGAGGCTTAGTAGTAGTAGTATTAGTAGTAGTAGTAGTAGTAGTAGTAGTAGATGAAGTAGGTAGATCAGTCATAACTGTATCGTTGGAGAGAGATTTGGAGAGTTGTTCAGCGGCACGATGTTTGGCATGTCGTTCATCGGCACGTTTTTTGGAGCGTCGTTTTCGTCGGGGCAAAGATGATTGTGTTGAAGTTGGAGCAGGGATTGAACTAGATTGATCATTCATAACTATATCATTGAGCGGAGTGATAGTTGAAACATTTGACAGCTTGGACTCTTCCGAAAGTAACGTGGTCTCAATTGCACGATACAAAAGTAGGTCGGCTTTTAAGAGTTGACTGTGTTTCTTCTTTTTATCAAATGAAGAATCAACCAATCGATAGGATTTATGAGCTTCAATTGCTGCAGAATATAAAGGACTTGGAATTGACTGGCGTTTTTCGATAAGAGCATGAAGATTCTTTGTAGTTTCTCCTAAGCGATCAATAATACCATCGATTTCGGTATTATTGGGGTTTACTTGAATCTCGGGTTTCCTAAATGATCCACTGCTATTTTTCGCATAAACAGTACCATGAGCTTCAAAAGATAAAAGTTGATTCTCTAAATTTTGATAAACAGGATCATCTGGTTCGTGCTTGCCAATTTCCAATATCAAATGGTCAATATGATTTTGAATATCTACCGACTCTTTATTCAATAGATCAATCTCTTTTGAATCTGTAACAAAATGAATTGGTCTATCAAATAGATATTTCCTTCTCTTTTCATAAATATCTATTGATAATATGTTACATTCAAAACCACCTAAAAATGAAAAATTTTGTTAATAATTGATGGCATAACGATTTATTATTTTATATTTTTTTATTACATACCATAAAGACTTGGGATTTTTGATTCCCATTCATCAACTTGTTTACCTCTCTTTTTTTTTTTAATACTTTTACGCCTGCCTGATTGCGAGTTGTAATAATGAGTGCCACTGATCATGTCAAGACTAAATTTCTTTTCCATTTGTGCCAATTGTTGTGGAGTATTGGGAATTAGTCCATTATCATCACTAAGACCACCAGGATAGAATAAATAAGTGTTGTGATTACGACCAGGATCAACCGCAATGATTGAAAGTTCTTTCCATTGGGGATCTTTCTTCACTTTATCATATAATTTGATTTCTTCTACAAGTTTTTAGAAAAGTGTGAATAAAAATTTTTAATGATTTTAACTTTTTTTAATTTAAATTAAAAAAAAAAACTTACTTGTAACAACTATTTCGTTTTTGGTTTTAGTAGTTGTTGGTTCGTTGGTTTCAGTTGTTGTATTGTTGGTTGTAGCTGTTGTTGTTTCGTTGGTTGTGGTTGTTGTTGTTGTTGTTATTGTAGAGGTTGCTGTTGGTTTGTTGGCTGTTGGTTTCTTTTTTTTCTTGGCATATACAATATAACAAGAATCACCATTTGATCTAATACCAACCATCTCATATGTTGTTAAATTGAATTTGGGGTTTACTATATCTGACACGTTGATCTTCTCATTATTTAACAATTTACCGAGAGCTGTCTTATTATAGTGGATAGAAAATTGATTAAAACTAAAAAAAACAATTAGTAAAGAATTTTAAATTTACTTATACCTTTTTATAAACATACCTATTTACTTGTGGGATAAGTAGAACGCTGATTGAACGTTTGATATGATAAAAAAAACTAATATCGATATTTTCTTTAATCGATAACTTGTTATTATTATTGGAAGAATTAGATGTTGTTGTTGTTGATGTGTCTGGTTGTTGTTGTTGTTGTTGTTGTTGTTTATTATACAAATGGTTGAGATGTCTTGACTTTCTTTTTTTCTTTTGTTTTGTTGTTTTCGTTTTTGGTGGTTTGCTGTCAATATACTCTTTAATTTTAAAGAGATAAGGACGATTAGGAAAACATGGTTCATTATTATTATTAGAGGAAGAGGAGTTTGAAGATTGTTGATTATTAAAAATATCATTTTGAATAATAGAATAATAATTATTATTGTTATTATTATTGTTATTGTTATTGTTATTGTTATCGATATTGCTATTGCTATTGCTATCGATATCGATATCGATATCGATATTGCTATTATTATCGATACTGCTATTGCCATTGTTATTGCTATTGCTATTGCTATCGATACTGCTATTGCTATCGATATCGATATCGATATTGCTATTGCTATTGCTATTGTTATCGAGATTGCTATTGTTGTTGTGGTGATTGTTCTTGTTATTTTGAACTCTAATATCATTTGCAAAATAATAGAATGCTGAGATAAATTCCTTAGAGTAAAAACAAGGATGACGTGTTAAATGAACTGTTATAGTTTTTGTTACCGACTTATCTAATATCTTTAATTTCAATGAGAATGAAGATTGAAATGATTGTTTTGAAACTACTACTACAACACCATCTTTGATGAGAGTATGAAGCAATTGTAAATTTACAGATCCACATAACAAAGATAATCCGGGGCCATCGGATAGAATTGATTGAAGACTATCGAGCATTATCAGTTTGTGTTCCTTTGGGAATTCACTCATGTTGTTAGCTACGAATGGGTGTAAATCTAACCAATTTGTATTTCTAATTCCATTAAACATTGATAATGTTTGAATTCTATTGGCGGTAGCACACTGTTTTCTATCCTTATTGAGTGACATGTCATTTGGATCCAGAGGGTGATGAGTGATAATAGAAGACGTGGGTGAAGAGACTTGAGGGGTCATTGAGAAGGTATTCAATGGTGAACCAACAAACCTTGGATACTTCTCAGTATCAATAACATAGTTAGGGTCGGTGTAGGTTTTTGATATTGGTGATGCAGTGGAAGTTTGAATATTTCTAAATTGATCGACTACCGAATAAAATTGATTATTTTCAGTAGATTCCTCATTTGTTGTTTCTGTTGTAGAGTTTGTTGTTGTTTCTGTTGTAGGGTTTGTTGTTGATGTTGATGATTGATCTAAAATTACAGAAGTTTGAGAGTTTGAACTGGTTGATTTTGATTTTGATTTTGATTTTGATTTGGATTTTGATTTTGATTTCGATTTTGAATTTGGATTAGGATTTGATATCTTGGAATCCTCCTTAAGGGTACCGGTAGACTTTTGATCTTGACCATATTGATTGATTAATGATTTCAGTCTAGATTTGAGATCATTGATGGCTTTGGAAGGTGATGAGATAGGCCTAGGCAAAGAAGAATTTAAATGATGTAAAAACTCTGAGATTAATCCAATTAGTTGATGTATTAGATCTATTACATTTGATGATAAATTGAGATCTGATCTCTCTACAGTTTCAGAAAAAAACTTTACAATTCTAATAATTGATTTAGTTATTTTTTTCTTTTTCGCTGGTTTTACTTCTATTGATTTCGAATCCTTTCTTCTGTATTCCTTGAAATAATATGAAGAGCAACTCGCACAATAATAATGATTTCCATGTTTACGCATATAGTCTTTGAAAATGTTATCTGGTAAACCAACATTCTTGTGATTATCGTTCTTACATAAAAGATATTCACCCACTGTGTGTGGAGTTTCTTCTTGCATTTTTAATCTTTCCACAAATTCGACCAAGTCGGTAAATTGCTTAACATTTGAATAATCCATATAGGTTTCCCCAAGTATAGATTGTGCAATCTTGACAATAGAAGCTTCATTGAATGTAACTTCTATAGGATTCATTTTGGGATGTAATTTTGGAAAATCAAATCCCCAATTCGATAATCTGATGAAAACATCGCTCGGATCATCTAGTCCTATAAAAAAAGAAATTAATAAAAATTCAACTTAATATTTATTAAAAAAATATTACCATTAAAAAATTTAATAAAAAATATATGTAAAGAGAGTGCGTCAGTAAGATCGGCCTCTACTGCTTTGAGAGGATTCAGGTATTTCAGAGTATATTTTATCTTGTTGAATAGACCACCAAGTCCCAATCTATAGTACTTGTATCCATTGAAATCTTTCGAACCAAGTTCTTTAATATTTTGGTGATCATAATGTGTAAAATAAAATAATTTTTTTAATTCTATTTAAATTTTTAGAAAAGAAAATTAATATTAATAAATTAAAATTAAATACTCTTAATTTTTATATACTTAAAACTTACCTTTAAATTTAAAGTCACTAAAATCAATAGAAACTTTGCCATTTTTGTGATTGGCTAAAAGTGTGATCAACCGTTCCTCTAGTTTGATTGTTGTATCGATTTTATATTTATCTACTAGATTCTTTACTTGGTGGTCCGATAAGATGGGAAACTATTTAAAAAAATTAGGAATTTTGATTAAAACTAAAAAAAATTGTAAATTAAAAAAAAATTGATACTTACAAGATTGTTGTTTATTATAAAATCTAAAAAATGAATCTTTGAGTCAATACTATCATTGATCTCAAGATTTATTAAATTCTTTTGAATAGAAGTGTTAATAACTTTCGTAAGGTTTCTTAAATGAGACTGGAGCTGGGTGTAGAGAAAATTATACAAGTTTGTTGCCACTTGTTTAGGTACTTCATCAAAATATTTCGATTTTATATCGAATTCATCTTTGAAAGATAAAAATAATTCTAAAATCTTTTTTCTATTACAAATAAATATAAATAAACAGAGAATTATTTTTTAAATAAAACAAACTTTTTATACATACTTTGTATCTTCTTCAGAAATTATATTAGTTATCTCATGAATATTTATAGGTTGAAATTGAAGCAATTTCCAAACTTCTCCCATATGATTGGATTCTAGAACTTCGCTACCGATTATTCGCCTATAAATATACGCTATTATATTATATGAGATAGTGAGGTGGGTAGTTGTTTTTTCTAAATTTGTCAAAACATCTTCATTTTTAACAATAATATTATTAACAATTTGAAAATTTTTGGTGAAATTATCTTGATTATTAATTATAAATTTATGAAGAAAATCATTAATTTGTACTAAAGATCTTCTTTGATCTTCTGATAGATTAGAAGAAATAGTTGTAAAGAATTCATCCTTTAGGACATCTTTGACCTTAAAAGGACCTATAGTAATGTGTGACATAGATAAATAATTAAAGAATAGATAAATATTAAACAATATATAAAAAGATAAATAATAGATAAATAGATAAAGAATATAAAGAATAGAGAAAGAATAAAAAAAAAAGAATAGATAAATATAAATAGATAAAGAATAGATAAATATAAATAGATAAATAAGAATAGATAAATATTAAACAATATATAAAAAGATAAATAATAGATAAATAGATAAAGAATATAAAGAATAGAGAAAGAATAAAAAAAAAGAATAGATATAATATTTTAAAAATATAAGAAATAATAACTATTATATAAATTTGAAGATTATATTTGTTGATAAATTTGAAGATTGTATTTGTTGTTAAATTTGAAGGTTGTAAAGTAAAAAAATTAAAATGAAAAAATTTGGTTTTGATCAAAACAAAAAAGCATAGTTTAGTTGTAATGAGGCAAATTCTCTCCTTATTAAAAAGAAAGGTTGAAAACTTAGTTTCAAAAGTTTTTTAAAAAGAATTGAGGATCAAGAAAAAAAAAAGAATCTTTTCTAATATCTATGATCATACCAATATATTAGCAAACATTCTAAATCGGGACATTTTTATATTTCTTCCAAACTTTGTGTTATGGATCATATGAAAACTAAGTTTTTCAAAAAAAATGTTGATTTGAAAATAATATTTTTTTTTAATTATTTTTTGGTTTGGTTTTTTTTTGCAATCAAAACAAAAGAAAACAGACATCTTAATCCATTCTTTTAAAAAATAGTTATAATTTAATTATTATTTGAATATTTATCACCAAGATATTAATATACGAGATGTAGTAAATTAGTAAATAAAGGTTAAATACTGGACAATGACGGATTAGCATGCATTTCAATAACAGAAACAATTACAAAGTTCGAGTTCAATAACAGAATTAGTTCTATTGCTCAACTAAAAAGTAAAATAAACATATAAACAAGCACATGTAATCATAGATTGGCTAAAAAGGATAGTGGATGTAATATTTATAAAGGTATAGATTTATTTTAATCTTTGTTTAATTTCATAAAAGATACCGTAATGTCTAATTGGAAATTGAGAATGTCGTTGGTGTCTTTGAATGTAACTTTGCAACCCAATGGTACTTCCATTTCATCGACTTTAAACGAAACATATTTTTGTTTGTTTATCAAATCAAAGATGTCGTTTAAAAGTGAAAAAATAAAATAAAATAAAACTTTAATAAACTGACTGGTTAAATTCTTTATTTATAGGTATTAGATTTGTTAAAGAAAGATTGTTGTTGTATACAAAAAAGACCATCATCATTCAGAGAATTCTATAGGAGAAGAGCAGCTGAGAAACGTGAACCTTTTTAATTATTGTCAAGATATGGTGAAAACCAATGGTTTTATTTTAGCTAACTAATAATGCTTAGAGCAATTCAACATTGTTTCGATTGTCAAAGAAAATATATCGAGGAAATATAATGTTCAATCAATTCATGAACGCGAATTATGACCCTCGTAACCTCTTTGGTATTATTCTACATACAGGTAGACTGTTGGTCATGTGGTTATTTAAAAAACAAAACACAATATATGTATTTAAAATTTAATAATAAAGAAAAAATAAAACAATCTATAGATTTAATCATTAACAGAAATATTGTTAAAGAGGTGCATCAAACTAATACTTATTATCATGTGGCTGTGCTTTTTTGTGTTTTGCTTTTTTTTAAAAAAAAAGGAAAAAATTTAGGTTGTGATTGATTCTTTTTAATTATTTATATTTGATATTTGATTCGTTATTTTAATCAAGTTTTATTTTAAAATGGCAAGCAGATTAACTACACAAAATAAGAGTAATAATAGTCGATCATTGGCTCCCTCTTTCAATAATTATACACAAGGAGTGTTGAATTCAATAAAATCAGTTAGTGATCCAAACACTAAACCAGTCAAGAGTAATCGTTATAAGGACTATAGTAAATTATCAGAGAGGTCTGGTAATAAAAGTAAAGTTTTAAATTTAATAACAACTTCAGTTAATGTAATAGCATCACCAAAAAAACATAACAAAGTAACGATTGATCAACAGACACATTTAATGAAAGATTGGTTAACAAAGAATACCACTGGAAAGCAGGTACACTATTGACAACTATACATATCATAAACTGTTGTTTTGAATGATTATTGTTAATACTTTTAACTATAAATATATTCAGGTTCTTGAAGAATTAAAGAAAGATGGTAGTATTACTACATCAGAAGAATTCAGAAAGGGATATACAGATAATTTTGTATGCCTACGACAAATTATTCTGGTATTACCGAATGTAAAAGATGAAGACTCCCATCTGGCTGTCACTCAATAATGTCTAGTATACATTATTCAATTAATGTTTTACTAACTTATTTGATACAGACCAATCCGGCATTATAGGGTAGGCACACTATAAAACTATATATTTTAAAATGCACCACTTTAGAATATATAAAGGGCCGACTAGTCAATATTTCTAACTAAGGTGGTCAAGTTATTATATCGACTCAGCTACAATCTTTGAAAATAAAATGTATGTAATTGAAAATCAAATTGGATAAACATTCTTACTCATTAACTTTTTTGTTTTAAATAGAAAAATATTGTTGAGTAACAACAATAAAGGTGCATCGAACGAGCCACCCGGTTATCATGTATATTTTCTCCATTTTGATATGATAGTCGTGAATAATAATAGAATGGATTACCAGGGGCACACTCAGTGCAGGTAGTGGGTAAATAATCAAGTATATTCAAGATAACTAATTCAAATTTATTTTTTTTTTCTCCAAAAAAGTATAGGTTATTTTTTCCTTTAATTTGTTTATATATGGTATGTATCATTCTATAAATAAATAGATATAGGTAATACAATATAAGTACTGTATTAGTCCAGTGCACATTGTGCTGTCAACGCGTTACATATTTATATTCTTACACTATATTTCTATTTATTTGCACTGCAGTGAATTAGCACCTAATTCACTTTCATTCTTCCTTTCATCCATATTCTTTCTTTCTTTCTTTCTTTCTTTCTTTCTTTCTTTCTTTCTTTCTTTCTTTCAATCTTTCATCCACCTATTCTTTCATTCTTCCTTTCATACATTTATTTATTCATCCAATAATTTATTTATTTCTCTATATATCTATTATATGTATTATATTTATTTATTTATATTTATCTTTATATCTATCTTAATATTTATATTTATTTTCAGTGTTATATTTATTTATATTTTTTATATTTATTTAAATATTATATTTATTTATATTTATATATTTATATTCATATATATTATATTTATTCATTTATTCATTTATTAACTCACTTTCTTGTCAATCTACTATCATACAAAGTTGCTTTTTCGTATCGCTAACATTATACAATTGAATTTTATATGGTTATTGTTGATTTGATTGTGTTTGATTCAAATAAAAACCAAAAATTTAATATTTAGTGTTGATTGGCAAAGTGAAAGATACCAGCTTTATCCACTATTCAAGGAATCGATAGAAATTAAAGCTCACATATCGTGTGTTGAACCATTTCTATTTGATGTATGTGCTTTATTTAATCAGTAGGGTCCATTGTTAAATATCTATTTCGCTAGTTGCCAATCATTGATTTTCTCATATAAATTTCCCATATTACAATAAACATTTTTTGAACACCAATTTTTGATTGAAGATCTTTGAGAATTTGATTTAATCTTTCATAACATTGATAAATATGTCTGTCCCTGTATTCTTTGATCTCTCGGGTTCGTTGTAGCTTGCTCCGAACTCCGATGCAGATTGGAAAACTCATTTTACCCATCGAAAAACAGAGGCCAAACTCTTTCAAAATTTTTTTAAAGAATAAAACAAACTTTATATTCTAAATCTACTATAAAAATACTTTCTATTTATCTAATTTTTATTAAAATCTAACAAGGTTTGATATTTTATTTTATTTTTTTAATATTAATCTCTAATGCAAAAACTTAAAAAAAAAATTGTGAAAAACAAACACAATCGCTATCATTGAAAAAAATTTAACATTTGTAAAAAAAAAAAGTTAATATCGATAGTAATTTGGTTTTAAATATTAATCAATTATTTATTATCTATCTTTCTTTTACTACTTTGATTTGATATATTTGTTGTAGTTTTTGGCCAACTATAAACCAGAGGTTTGCTATCTTTATCTTTTTCTTTATGATGTTTTTTTTCTTTGTAGTTGGTTGATTCTGAGTGTGTTGATGATGATGATGATGATGATGATGATGATGATGATGATGATGATGATGATGATGATGATGATGATGATGATGATGATGATGATGATGATGATGATGATGATGATGATGAAAATAATGATTCATTATTTGCTACCTCATGAATTGCTTCGACAGTCGACCTAACTCTGAACTGATTAACCATTGCTCTTGTTTGAATATTTACAAAATGATCAGACTCTAATTCATTGTTTACTATGTGCTGCTTGTGAGCTTCCAAGTGCAAAATGTAATTGTTCATTGATTCTATTGAATGTGGATTGATAGGCACAACCGGAGAATAAATCATTGCTTCATTCAACTGTATGCAATCTCGACACATTCTGCACTCTAAAAACGGTAGAACATCGATGTTAAAATCGGTATGGTCGAGAGAAGAAATATCTGTGCCTGTTGGAGTGTTGTTTTCAGTGTTGTTAACACATTTGGCATCATATGCATAATCATATTGATTTACATTATATATATCGTTAGGTAACTCTGAAATCAGAATATGTTTTGGTGGAACTAAAAAACAAAAAGATTAAAACAAAAGTTGGTCAAAATTTAAATAGTCTTTTATAGTAAATAATAATAGATATATACCTGCATTCGACATGTTTATTTCAATCGCTTGAAAATGTTTCTTTGTTTGTTTTGCAACATCGACTTCATTAAATTCAATGTCTGCCAGTCTAGTTCGTTTAAAGTTAATTGGTTTTGATTCTACAGTTGTAGAGTGTGGTATCTTTTTGATATTGTTTTCTCCAAAAAAATGAGACAGCGTATATCTTTGGTATTGGTTAATATATGACTCTCTTGCTTTCTGTTATGTTATATTAAGATAACAATATTAGTAACTTTAGACCGGTGATTATAATAAATTTTGTTTTCATATAAATACAATTTCTTGAAATAATCTTGTTACTCTAGGTTTATGTTCTTCATCAACCAAATCATCAACATAATTTAAAATATAGGTTCTGTTTCTATCGATATCACCATCTTTATAATGAGGTATATTATTCTTTAACTAAAAGTAAACATAACAAAAGCACCTCTTGTTAGTAAAGTAGTTAATGATATATATATATATTTTTTTTTTTTAAAATTTACATGATTTGTAAGTCCTTCATAAAGTGATGCGGATGATTTCTTTTCTTGTCCTTTGAATTTCATAAAGTAGTCTGTTGTATGCATCACCTGTAGGAATAGTAATTGAAAGCCTTCGTATATACTATGATATGCAGGGTGTGGAGTACCCAATTTCAACCATTGCTTGTGTGGTTTCACGAGATGCACAAAGTAACACCATGATTTCTTGTTGCTCAAGTCATACTGTAAACTAACTTCATAGTATACACTCTTGATCAACTGTTTATTGTTTGGATGTCCATCTCGTTTGATATAACCAATGATATGGTAGGTATAGTTTGTGTCTTCTTCATCCAACGCCACATAGTTGAACTCTGTAATCTTTACTTGCTTTGTAGATTTCGTTTCGTAACGAATGATTTCGTAATTATCGATCACTATTTCCGTGTCACTGATATTACTTGACTCTTTATATGGTAATGCCATTTCAAATCTAGTACCAACAAGATCTTCATCTGGTTGAAATGATGATTGTTCTATATTTGATTCTGCAGAGTTCACTGTTGTCGTAGTTGTAACATTATTATTAAGTTCATCTTTACTACTACTACTGGTTGTACTATTATCGGAACTACTAATACTTTCTTCACTACTAACACTCATACTAAAATTATTACTACTATCCAATGCTATTATTATTACTTGAAAAACTATTCATGTTTAATCAACACTCAATAATAAATAAATTTATTTTAGATTTGTCATTTTTTTTAAAAAAAAAAAAGCACAGATTTTCATTTTATTTCATTATCTTTTTCTAAAAACTATTGATTGTGTCAAGGTTATTAAAAGATTCCTGGGTGTAGATTCAGGGAATTCTAACAAGATATTTATAGCTTTGTTACAAAACAGAATAGCAAGAGCTCTTGTTAATTCTAAAGCTTTACTTTTATAGACTAGATCAGTAGCTAATTCAACATCACCATTCTCTGAGAATTTTCGATTGATGAGCACCTCCAACACTGGGAATTCGTGTGTAGCAAACAGAACAGGTGCTGTAGCGATTCCCAAACGTAGATCCGCTAATGATGGTTTACCAAGTGATGAAGATGATATAGTAAAATCTAATAGATCATCAATTATCTTTTAAAAACGAGATTAGATTATATAAATATTAAATATATAGAGCTTTTTAATAGTTACTTGAAATGCAATACCAATATAGGTACCAAATTGAAAACATAATTCAACAGTTTTTTCATCTATTTTTATAGAAGAACCAATATCATCATCATCATCATGAATACCAAGAAGAGCAACAGATTTACAACAATTAGAAAACATTGACGAAGTTTTTAAATATGATTTTTGTAGATATTTCTCAAAAGAAAGTCCATTACCCTGCAGCTGTAGGAGTTCACCATCAACCAAATCACCCAGTACATTACTCATTGATTTAGCAACACGAACATTTCTTATTGAACCTAATATAACCATTGATCTTTTTTTTTTTTTTTATTAAATTAATAAACTTATCAATTCAAAAACTTTAACTTTTTTTATAATAATTACTTGGATAATATAAAATCACCACCAGTAATAGCCATTCGATTGGAATACAACGTGTTTACAGTCTTTTCATCTCTTCTTGTATCAGAACCATCTATAACATCATCATGAATTAAACTAGCAGTATGGAACATCTCTGCAACCATTGCCAACTTTAAGAAACTATTACTTTTGGTCTTTTCATTTTCAAGTATTTTGGATAAAAGAAATATAACTGTTGGTCTTGTTTTTTTTCCCTTTAATAAAAACAAATAAAATTAATAATTTAAGTATGATAATTTATTTTTTTCAAAATATTTTACCTTTAAATTAAATAATAAACAAGAAATTTTATTTAAAAGAGAGTCATTTTCTTGATTTTTCGATAGTTCATTTAAAATTGAATTTGTAAGAAGCAACAAATCCTTTTCTATAAATTGATAAACATTTTCTATATTAAATTCATTTGGGATAGGATTTAAAACAGTAGAATTTATGTCTAAATTTTCAATTTCTGGAATATGGAAATAATTAATATAATTTGTCATTGTTTTTTGAAAGAAATTATGGTTTAATAATAAAGATTGTTGACTTTTCTAAACTTATAATTTAAAAAATCTGAATTTATATTTAAAAAAAATCTTTTAAATTATTTATATTTTTAATACAGATAAAACATCCAATCTAAATCTCTTTAAAATTAAATATTTTTATAACAAGTTAAAAATAATCTCCCACAACCCAAATTTTTTTTTAAAAGATTACTATTATTATTTATTTGTGTAGGTTTTATAACCAAGTGGAATGAAAAGACATTGGTCGTAACCATTTATATATTTATATACATTAAATCATTTGTTTTTCAAAACATTTTATTTTGTTGTTCCAATAATTTTTTAATCATCCTCTTTCGAACCTTCTCTCAATGCTCTTAATCTAACTCCATTTGTGTTTGGATCTGCTCTCGAACCGATATCGTCTTTTTTTAAATAGTAATAGAAATAGATTAATGTCGAGTCAAACTGAAACAAATAATATTGATAGATAGTTACCTAAAACAAAACTTTCATATTCATCCTCCGATGAATTAATACTTGTATTGTTGTTGCTGTTGATGCTGCTTTGGTGTGTATTTACTCTTCTTAATTCATGTCTATCCAATCTGCCTTCTTCCTCTTCTTCATCGTCGATATCATGAGTTCTTACCGCTCTAAAATGTATGAATATAATTAATATTTGCATTCGACATGAATGATTTAACAAAATAATAATAATAATAATAATAATAACAACGATACAAACTGATAGTTATTCTCCTCTTTTTTCATAAAATAATCAGATAGTTCTTTAAACTTTGTTTTTGCAGCTGTTTTATATTGAAATGAATTAATATATTTTTAATATTCGAATCAATCGAGATATATTATAAAAGCTATTATATATTTACCTTCACCCAATTGATTTATCTTTTCTTTAATTTCCTTTAAATTCAAATCCTCTTCCAACATTGAGAGTACACTTCCACCATCCTCCTCATTCTGATGAGTGGTATCACTATTTGTCGTTGGTAGTGAACCAGCCATATCTCTTTGAACAGGTCTCAAACCTTGTTGCTGTTGTTGTTGTCTTTGTCTCTGTTGTTGTAACTGTCTCTGATTGAATAAATGTGCTAACTGTTCATCATTTCTAACTTCATTAACAAACATTTCATTTTGTAACATTCTTGCCAGCATTTCATCTTGGTGCATCTGTGCTATATTCTATTGAAAGCGTTAAAACATCAAACATAATGATGATGATGATATACGATGATTATTGAACATACATGGTCAGAGTCGGTATTTTCATTTATAGGTACTTCACCACTCATTTCCAAGAGTGCATCTATAGTCTTTTCCATATGACCTTTATTTTGTTGAAGAACTGCGCCTATCAGCTCTCTATCAAAACTTGAAAACATTGCCTGCAATGAGTTCAGTGCTTCTTCATAAGGTACGCTCATTCTCTCTCTCTAAATATATATTGATAACAGTATATACTCTGTTAACTTTTAATTATTTTAATGAGAATAATATTGACTACTTTTTCAAAAAAATAAATAATATTTTTTGCAATTACTGGTTTATGTGTTTTTTTTTTATTTATTTTTATTTTATTTTATTTTTTAAAATTCTCAAAAGTTTATGAATTGTTGGGCGATGTGATATACATGTTTATTCATACAACCAAATAAATATTCATATAATTAATTTTGATCTGTTGTAGTTGAATTACCTTTATTATTATTATTATGTAACCTAACTTGACCTATTTGAATGTTCACACAGTGTATAACATAATAGTCAAGTATTTTTCAACCCAGTCTAATTTTTAAAAACCTTTTTATTCTTTTTGACTTGATAGAACTTTTACTATCTTGTTATAGAGTACATGGTTAATTATAACCTGAAAAATATCTTTTTAATTAAAAAGAATCTGAAAAGTGTTGCAAAAATTTCTTTTTCATTTTTTAAAAAAATTTTCATCTTTTAATATTATTTTTTATATTGCAATACATAGAACATTAAAACAGTTAATCTTTTGATTATAAAACTTTTACAAAGTTTATTTTTAAATGGTTATTAATTTTTATACAGGACACAATGAAATCCTTAATCATAAATGGTTTACTTGGTAGTTCTTTGTCACAGATATTTTTTGATGTATGTGTACTCTATCTTGGATATGGATATCCTTCACCGAATGAAACAGCAGAACAGGTAAAACGACGTGGTAAAAACAGATTTCTAACGGGCATAGCAATACCACTGGTCAATCTGATAGGCTTCACGATTGCTCGCTACTGGACTCGCTATCTGCTTTCACTAAACTCATGGATCTCCACGATCATTGTGACAATCCATTCTTTTACGATGTTCAGTTGCTGGATGGGATATATATTTAATTTCGGTGCTATCATCAGGTACCTCAACACAAAACGTTCTCGTTTCAACAGCGGCATTCTAGATGAACTCTCAGAGAATACCAACGTCGCCGTACTGGACTTTTCCAGATTTAAATTTGTAAAGTTTGGCTTTTTCTTAGCACTACCATTTTATTTAATAACACTACTATCAAAACTGTATACTCTATATCTTCAGTGGTATCATCATCCTATCACAAAACTCAATCATTAATAGTTATCTTTTAATACCTTTCAAAAAATAATAAACAAAACAACAATACATAAAAGATAAATAAACAAATAATAATAATAATAATAATAATAAATAATGTATTCGAATACATTGTAACATATAATATCATAACTTTACTTTGTTTGCAATAACAATTGCGCCAAAAAAAACAAAAAAAAAAAAAAATTAATAAAACTTATTTATTTTTAAATTAAAGTACTCATTTATTATTAATCTATTAAATGAATTTAATTAAATCTAAACAATCTATTAAACATAGTTCATCTAGTTTCAAATGTATATCTAATACACATAGATCAGAGAGAGATCAATTCTTGATTACCTCTTCAAAATCAATTTTTATATTTGTATGTTTAGATTTTATATATATGATAAAGGCTATACTAATATCGACGATTTGAAATAGAGTCCTTTGAATGGATCGAATCTTCAGCAGTATTCAACAGCAGAGATTACAAAGGAAATAGATTTTCAACTCGATAGTGCAATCACATATCAGAGTCAATCAAAGATGTCAGTTGATCCTTATTTCAAAGAGGCTAGATTCTCACCTCATCTGAATAGCATGAATGTCTCTTTGATAGCTGCATCTACAAACAACCTCAATCTTCATATATTCTTACAACCACCTCTATCATCACCTACATTTCAACCAAATTGGGTCAATCAACAATCGATTCAATTAAAGATATATAATCATTTGAAATCAACAGAGTTTGACAATGATGATGATGATGATTGTGATGAATATCAATATAAAGAGTAACTATAATAGCAATTCATTTATGTAGTTTACGAACGTAATAATATTAATATTCTTCTTCTTTTTCTTCTTTATTAAACAGACAATCATTTGTTATAAGAGAATCTGAAATAAAGGAATACCAACATCGTCAAAGAGATTTACTAGATATTCTTTGTCTTGATTGGTCACCTAGATTTAAACTAGTTACAAACAAAAATAATAATAAAAATAATAATGATAATGATAATGATAATATAGAACAAACACAAAAATCAAATGTAACATTGTTGGCACTTGGTGGAAAGAGAATCTTGACATTGTGGAAAATGAATTTGGAAGCTCACTATTCTGAACCACTTGAAAATACGATTGAACATTTCGCAACACATAAACTAGGAAAAGGATGGTGTCAACATTTGCGGTGGAAACCTACACTGTCTGCAGGTGCTCTTCCCATAATCGCTACTGCCACAAGTCGAGGAGAGGTGACACTATACAACATTGATCACGACACAACGATGACACCAATCGCAACAGTCTGTGAAGCTGACGACTCACCCGTTACTCTTCTAGAGTGGTCACCACCAAATGTATGTTTTTTATATTAATCCAAATGGAATTTAAACTACTACTACTACTAACGTTATCATCATTACCAATAGGAATCAGGAGAATCACTACTTATCATTGGAAAAGGAATAGCATTACAAATCTATAACCCAATTAAACGTTCATTGACAAACTATTTGATAAACAACACTGACAATGTTTCTAGTGTTATATTTGCAAATGCCAATCAATTTTACTGTAGTTCATTGGACGCTACCATCCAAAGATACACGGTCAGCGATAGATTTTGGAAGACAATGGATACAACCAAAGATATTACCATCGAAACAATTAACCTACCTCTCGAAGCCAATGATAGAGCACCCGACAATTATTATTTTTGTTTGCCTTCTCCAAACAATTTGTTTTTGATTGTTGGTGAAAAGTAAGTCTTACAAATCTATTAATATACTAAAGAAATACGATCATACTAATTCTATCATTCTTTTAAAGTGCTCAAGGTATACAAAAAATGTATAGTGTTAGAAGAGACTTTGTAAATGTCAATATCTATTATAATTCAGATTTTGAAAACTATCAACTTGGATTAATTCATAGTAAGTAGTCTATTAACTGATGATCATATTTTTATTTTTTGTTCAATTAGTTTATTAATGTATTAAATTATAGAATACAATACAAATAAGAATCAATTATATAGAATATGGGATACTCTAGCATATCAGCGATACCTAACAGAAGATCAACTAGTAGAGATTATAGATACAACTATTGCAGAGCTCGATAGATTACAAAACAAAAAGAACAATCAACTTGCTGATTATTATCATTTTTATAAACTATTTATTTATACCTATCATATAATGAAAGTATGTTATTAAAAGTATATGTTTTAAGAGTAAATCAATAACTAATTTATTATAACTCAATTATTAGGAACAATGTCCAAACAAAATAATAGAACAATGGAATATTCTTTGTAAATTGTTTATTTCAAAAGTAGAAATGATTTATATTGTGAATGTATTATCAACATTTCTAACAAATATGGATCATTCAAGTATGTTTTAACAAAAAAAAAAAACAAGAAATATTATAAACATTTACTAATATAAATTTATATTTAATTTATTAGTGATATCAAAAGATGAAGAAATATCATTATTACTGATGTGTGATTGGTTACTTGAAATCAACTCTGACAATGTTATTAGTGACAAAGAGAAACAAATAAGTATTGCCAAGCAAGTCTATAAGAAACTAGAACAATCAGTACCCGATCCAAAGCGTTTACCTCCTCGTGAGAAATGTATCTTTTGCCAGCACAATGTTCCCAACAAACCATTGCTCTCGACAGTAGAGTGTGTCAATGGATGTCCTCTGGCTCGCTGTCAACGAACCAAACTCCTACTAAATACTCACCAGTTGTTTCACTGCCAAATGTGTCGTGTGAAATCACTTATCTTCCACAAAGAAGCATATCTCTTTGACAAAGAAGCGCAAGATGATAAGAGTTCCACATTCAAACAATTCAAAGCAATCGAGGCATCACCCGATATCAAAGGTAAAGCTTCATCCTGCTTATACTGTGGTTGTACATATACAAGAAGATATCCATTCGAATGAAATTAACTAAATCAATTACCAATAAAAAGATAAATGTACAACTATTTACAACTATTTTTATTTATTTATATTTGATTTTTATATAATTGGTGTTTTAAAAAGTATATCCGTCGGATTTGAATATTAAAAGTAAACCATGGTTTGTGTTAATATAAGTATATAATATATATTATATATAACAATATAAAAGTGAATTAATTAGTTTGTCCCGTTTGTAGTTTGTTGTATGCTATTATTATTATTATTAATATTTTGTGAATTTATATTATTTAATTGTGCTTCTTTGTTTGTTGTGGTTGTCGGTGAGTTGTTATTGCTATTACTATTGCTATTATTATTGTTATTGTTGTTGTTTATATTCTGTTTGTTTGTTGGTTGTTGATGTAAGAATAAAGTTGTTTTCTCTTCATCTAGTTGTGGTTCTCTCAAGAGAGAGTATTCTTGACTTAGTTTTAGTTCACCACCTACTTGCTCATCGAATTGATATTGTAGGTACAATCCGTCACCCATCAATACCAAAGCGGTCTTGTTATCCTGACTGAGTGCGCAGATGCTTGGAATGCCAGCCTGTATCTTGATGTGTGCGAAATCTCTCGATGGTTCCCACACCTGACTAATGACACCTGGCAAATAACTGCTCATGGCACCCAGCGAACTGGTATTGGCATTTGCTGAAAAATCAATCTTAAATATATGAATGGTTCCATTGTCACTGCACACACAGAGATACTTGGAGTCATTGCTAAACGTTATAGAATGAATGATCGCTGGATAGGTACCACGACGGAATGAAATCGATTTATTTGCGTTTGGTAATAAATATACTCTAATAACTGTACCCTATAATAATAATAATAATTTGAATCAATGTATCAAATATTGAAATCAATCAATCAGTTAATACATAAGATACAAATCAGCAGTTATTAATATTTATATTACCTTTTCAGATGCAGTTGCTAACATTGTACCATTTTGATTTAGAACCAATTGGGATATTGGTCCCTTGTGTGCTTGAATGAGGTTGACTGTTTCCAAAGTTAGAACGTCCATAACTAAAATATTTCCTTTGTTTTGAGATGCAGGATAAACCATAAAGTTTGTTGTTTGAGGTGATAATGCACATAAACCTTTTGGATTGGGATCGACATCTCTTGTTTCCAATAACTTCATATTATTAATATCATAAATATGTATTTTTGTTTCCATAACTACAATTAATCTAATAATAAACAACATTGATTATTAGTAAATAATGTAATAACAACAACAACTACTACAACTACTACTACTACTACTACTACTACTAATCAAATGATATCTATCATACCTTTTTCTATTTAATTTTACAGCCAAGATTGCAGTAACGAAATTCAAATCACAAATAGTCAGATTTGTCTTTATATTATTGATTAATAGTCTACGTTGTGAAGATCCACCTTCACCTGAACCAACAATTGCAACCAAACTTGTAGAGAATAACATTTCAATCAGACCAACACCTCCATTTGCTATTTATTATTTATTTGTTTATAATAAATAAGTTAACTCATCATCATTGATAATAATGATTGCTAAAACAAATAAGTAACATACATTGACTATAACATAGTTGATATGGCTCTGAATTGAATATTTTAAAACCTTCTGGTGTTCCTACTGATATGCAAGTAAAGTCTTGATTAAAGTTTGCAAACAGCACACCACTTTTACCATACTTTCCACCTGCAAGCATCTTTTTACTATAAACCTATTTACAATAATAAAATAATAATATATATATATATAGTTCAACTACTACAAAAAATAATATATATTTTTTGGTTCAAATAATTCTTTGTAATTGAAAAAAAAAAAATTAAAAAAAAAAAATTAAAAAATTAAAATTAAAAAAAAATCATTCATATTGAATCCATCTTTACTTTTTATTTGTTCCAATTTTGTAAAATAATAATAATATATATATATATGTATAATGTTTGGTAATAAAAATAAATCTAAAAAGAATGAAGCTGGTATGTTGTTACGAAAAATAAAGTAGTTTTTTTTTTATTAATCTTAATTATTTTGCTATGACGATTAATTAATTAATTATAGATCCATTCTCAAAGATCGAAGCAGATTTGAATAGTGGAATCACAGATGCTTTGCAAGAGGTCGATATGGGTCAGATCGATAAGATGATGAAGAATGATATCAAAGACGATGATATTCAACTTACTGATGCGGATATGGACGATCCAGAGTTGCTTGCTCAGTTGACTACCATTGAGAGTGGTTCAAAACTCGAGAAACCAAAGCCACCACCTAAGCCAGTGGCTTCAACCACCACCACCACTGCGACAATCCAACAAACTACTACAACAAAGTCTGTAGTACCACCGAAAAAGAAGCAACTCACTGAAGAGGAACAAGAGGAATTGATGTTAAAGAGAGAGTTGGGTGAAGTAGATGACGACGACGACGATAACCAAGATGATTCCAATGATTTCCAAGCACTCATACCTGTACTAGAGAACCGTCTAAGCATCTATAAACAGAATGCTCTCCAATCTAAAAGAGCGGATGATATTGAAAGTGCAAAGCTATTTGTCAGTGGATATAAAAAGATCGAAGCTGCTCTAAGTGAACTTAATAATGGTATTCCAATTGGTATGTTAAATGTATAACTTTAAATTTACTGTAATTTGTAGTTAATCTTTATATTATATAACTACTTAGATGTTAGATCATTACCACCCGAAGTTAAATTACTAGCACCATCAGCTGCTGCTGCTGCACCATCAAAACCTGTTGCAACATCACCAACAAATACATCACCAACAAGCAGACCACTACCAGTACAGCAACAACCAAAACTACAACCCAAAGTCGAAATAATGTCAAAGGAAAAGATCGAGTTGGAGGAACGTAATCAAACCTGGGAGTTGTTCGAAGAAGAATTTCAAAAGAAACTATTATTTTTACAATCGGAAGCATTGGTATGTTAGTAGTAGTATACAACTGATTTATTATAAATTGGAAACTAACTTATTCTTACAACATTTCTTTAGAAATATAGAGAAATAGATAAACATAAAGCTATTATATTTTTAAAAGAGAGTAAAGGTATTCATGCTATTATCGATCAAATAGTGATTAACAAGAATCAAGGTCTATCACCACCACCATTCCACTTTGAGAACAAAGAGATTCAAAATGAAGTGATCAATCAGGATATCAAGGAGAATGAAATGGTAATAACCATTGGAAAGTATGAATTCCCAAAGAGCTTTGGAAATATCGACAGCTATGCCCAAATGGACTTCCCATATCCTTCGACCGATGAACCTACCAAGCTGACCACAGGATCATCAAACAGTGTCACCTCCAAGGACTATGCCTTCAAGACAACGATCACCATGGAAAAGAAAAAGACATTCCTAAGAGTTGCCGAGAAGAAAAAGGTTCAACTTAGCATTGTATCATCGAAAATGTTCTTTATGAAGAGTGTCGTCGGTAAATGTGAGATTAAGCTTGCACCGCTGATGACACAATGTCAAATCATTGAAAAGGCACCGATCATGAAGGAGGGCACCAAGAAAGAGTTGGGTGGATACGTTGAGATTTCAATTAGACTAAGAACTCCATTGGATAGCAAGCAAATCCAAAAGAAGATTGAAAGAGTATTGGTTTTGGATGGTCCACTAGGAGAAACTAATACCACCACAACCACTACCACGACTACTGCCAGCACCACAACAACCACTTTCGTCGCTCCAACTCTGATTACCTCTACTCCATCAACACCTTCCTCAACATCTGTACCATCTACACCGCCACCACCAACTAATACATCACCAGAGATCACTAAACCAACTACACCATCAAAACCAGAAACCTCAACACCTCCACCAACCCAGGTTGCTAAACCAGCACCAGTACCAACACAAAAACCACCAGCTAGCACACCACCAACACCTGTACAGAATGAAGAGGAAGAAGAAGATGATCCAGAAAGTTTGGATAGAATTGTATCAAACGATGTAATGGAAGCTTTGTTGGAATCAATTAACAAACAATTAATGGCAGGATCTGCACAACCAGAATTATTAGATAGAAAACAGGTATGTAATTTGTTTAATAATATAATTATTATTTAAAAAAAAATTTTGTTTAATAATTAACAAACATTATCATTTTTTTTTTTTTTTTTTTTAAACTACAACTACTACCAGGCAATTGAATTAAAGTTGATGATATTAGAAACTCAAGTATCGTCAGGTATGTTGACTATCGAAAACTATGTAAAACAATTGGAAGAAGCCATTCTCAAAGATAAAATATTGGCAAAGAAACTGGTTGGTGAAGGAAAGAAAGAAAAGGCAATGCTAGTAATGCAAAGAGTGAAAACAATGACAAAGGAATTAGAGTCTGCAACAGCAGCAGAGGAATAATTTTTAATTTTTTTAAAAATAATAAAAACATGATAAAAATAACATCAAAATCTCCTTTTATCTTCACTTGTTTTTTTTTCTTTTTTGTTTTGTGATCAAAGTTGTTTTAAAAGGTTTTAATTTTTTTTTATCTAAGCAGTGACAAGTGTTACATCACAATATCAATCTATAAAGAGCTTTATGATAAGACAAATAGATTTAAGTATTGTGGCGACGTTATCGTTAAGTTTATAAGAAATGATTGATTATTGCCATAGATTTTAAATCTTAGTAATTTGGAGAGTCTGGTGAAACCTAGTATTGGGAAGCTAAACTAACTCACGCTTGCCAAATTGGCATTGAAATTATTTATTAAGGTATCTAATTAGATATAAGAAAGAGATCTAGTTGGTGAGAATATTGTGTGTTTGTTCTGATTATATGATAGGTTTTTAATTTTGTTAGTTTAATTCAATTAAACTATTATCTTTAAAGGAAAGGTTGATTTAACTAGCACACCCCTCCAAACAATTTCCTTTTTAAAGATAAAATCATTTGTGGTCACCTGTTTATTGTTGTTGTAGTTCTGAGGGGATTGTCAGTGAAGTACAAATCATGAAGGGGTACCCTAGAGCATAAGTCCAAAAAAAGAACTATCACATTTTAGGATTACTAAACTCAGTAATCAATCAATCAACCACACCGAATTCAATAAATTTATTCACTGTGTTCTTTAATTTGGAGGGGTGTGGATGTCAAAAATAGTCACAATTGATGTTTCTATTTTTGGCAAAATTGATTTGGTGTTGGGTCAAGTGGTGACTTTAATTAGCATTTTTGTTTGGTTTTTTTGTTTGTACAATTTTTTTATTGTTCATATTTTTTTTGCTCAATAAAAAAATAGAACATAAGGTTTATTTTACTTGTTTTTGTTTTGATTTGATGGTCGTTAGTATCAACTTCAATCAATCAACCACCAATATCAAAGCTGATTACGTTCGTATTGTTGATTTTTTTTTTCTTCTTCTTAATCAGACTTCTTTAGCACTACTCTTGTATGGGCGTTTTATCTTGAGCACAGAATAAAAATGATACTATTTGTTGGTATTTTTAGAGAACCGAAGACCATGTGTTTAATTCGCAAAAAGTGTCTACTGGAGATGATGTAGACAAAATTGTCATCGATGCTCTGATGCTGATAATAATAACAAGCATCATCGTGTATTAAATCGTTTTAACATTACCATTATTATGGATGATTGGATTTTGGTCTTTTTGTTACTCTTACCAACATTGCTCTTCTCTGTATGAGAAGTTGAGAGAGATGCAGTGGTGTACCTATTAATGAACCAAGTCTACCCCCACCTATCACTCCTCCTCAGTGTTTGTTTGGTCACAAAACTTAGAAAATTCTTTCCCGACAATCATAGTTGTGCTCTACTCACTCTCTCTAACACTATCTTCACCACCAACAACAACAGAATAATCTACAACTAAAACTAGATAGTCTATATCGACCTTCTATTTATTTGCTACTACTCACTATTTTTTTTTCTTCTCAAATTCCAATCTACAAAAACAATAGTACTACCTCTATCTATATTACTACTTATACACCTCTCTCCAACAATAGAGTGGTAAAACAGTTTCTATTTTAATAATTTCAGTTTCAACAAATAATTTATTTATAAATATAATTTGAATTTCAAGATCAACCAGAACTTTTTTTTGTTATAACAAACTATTACTACTACTACATTAACAACAGTTTGAGTTTTCTATATTTTTAAAACTAAAACTCTTTTAATAGCATACATTCACCGATATATATATATTTTCTTTCAAAGCTTTGTCATCATCATCATTTCATCACAAGATCCTACACCCACACCACCAATCATCTAATTATAATTACATTACTACCAACCACTTTCAGTAACATTACAATTTGCATTGATTCACACCAAGAATCTTGCTTGTTTTAAAAATTTAACAACAATACAATTTTATTTGTACTACTACTTATTGTAACAATTTTTCAACCGTATTAACTCTTTACGGACTTGCTAAATAAATCTCTTTTAAATCTATCAATTCTTTGATTACTTTTATCATACATCATCTTCATCTTCATCATCATCGTCAAATCTCACTTACTATAGCACTTTTTCATATAACCGGATTTCCTTATAATAAAGTCCTGAAACCACTTCGATCGAACCACCTTTAACGTATCTAAAACAAAAGGTATATAAATACATCAATTTGTATTGCAATCAAAATATGTATTGTATTATTATTAACATTGTATTATATAACTATAAAAAAAAGATTTAGAAATTTAATCAAAAAATAAAAAAAAACTGAAGTTTAATTACAACAGATTCTGTAAGGATAATGTTTTGATTTAAAAAATACCATCATAATAATTAATATTTTATTTTTAATAGAATTAATTGATTAAAAAAATAATAATAATAAAAAAATGTCACAACCTTATACAAATTATAAGCATCACATTGGTAGTAATCTACCACCAAACTACTCTGTACCAATCCATCCATATATGGTTCAACAACCAATAATGATGGATCATCCATCATTGGTATATAGACCATATTTTTTTCAAAGTCTACCAACTCAACAACAATATTTAATTCCATCACCAAGAAATGTACCACAAAATGAAGAATTATCCTTATATAATTCTCCTGTCTACCCCTGCAGATCGCCAGTTTTTAACTCTGTCTCCGGAATTCCATCACCAAGTCACTCTGGTTCAAACTCTCCAATTTCCAACGGTTCAAGATCACCCTGTCTCAGTTCACCAAGAAATGATTTGTCCAACATCTCAGAAGATGATGAGGATATGCCATGCTCTCAGTGTTCTCTCAAGAGTTGTGTCCTGTGCAACCGCGGTCGTCCAACCATGTTGATGAAAGTGCCAACCTGGGCCTCTATCATGAAAGTAGTTCTCTACACCCTACACATTGAATTTCCAGACAAACAATTCTTTAGTCTCAAGGGTGATGTCTATGGATTCATGGAATCACATTGGAGGCGCCTTTGTGTTGACAAGAAAAAGTCAGACAACTGGAGAAAGCAAGTTCAAGATATGCTCAGTCACTCAAAGAATATTTTTGAGTCTGGCTATGAAGTTATTGGACAAAATGGATATTGGCGTTTAAAGAATGTCCAAGATCCATGGGTAATCCAGACGGCATCCAATAACACACCAAGAGGATCATCGGATCAAAACAACAAGAAACGTCAAATTGAATCGCCAACCGATTTCGATGACGAAGATACCAGCTCAGTCTCGAGTCAATCCAATTCCGATGATCTCCCAACACCTCGCAAAGGTAGACGTACCAGTGCCAACAACAGTCCAAGAAACAGAAAGAGATCTCCGGAATCACCGACTCAACAAGAAACGATTGCTCTAAGAGATGAACTCTTTGTTGTCGTCAATCAGATCAACGATATGAGAATGAACATATCGAACTCCTCCCACCTCAATCGAGAGCAAAGAAACAGAAAACTCAAAGAACTCGAAGAAAATATGGAAACACTAAACAAAATCGAATCGAAATTGGAAATCATTGAAATGCAAGATCAAGACTTGATATCGAAACCATCACACTCTAACAAACTAAACAACAACAACAACAACAACGGTAACATTACGTACATCGATGATCAATGTCTTAATATCTACAAATCTTTGATGGAAGAGAAACCTGAATTTGAAAACAACCAGCAACCAAACATCTCCAATCCAACAGTACCCGTTAACCCAAACACCAACAACTCACTCTTAAATTGGAGAGACTCTTTGTTTCTAGACTTTACCAAGAGACTTCCAAATATTAACAACAACACTACTACTCATCAATATCCTGTTTTATTTAACAACAATAAGAAAACAGTATCAACTTAATTAATTTTTAGTATCATTACATTTTTGTATCACTACTTGGTTTTATTATTATTATAATAATTATTTAATCGATTCTTAAATAAAAAAAAATAAAACCAACTATTTATTTAAAATGAATATTTGCTTCATGGAAACAATTTAATAACCTAAATATATTAAATTATTAGAAAAAAAAAAAAATGTTGTTAATAAATTAAAATAATAATATAATAAAAATAAATAGTTTACCTTAAAAATTCATTAATATCCATCTTTGCAGAACGAAAATCTGAAAAGTTATTTTTCTCTAAAACTTGAATGACTTTGTCTTTCATTGATTCCTCGGTACCATCGGTATCCATTTTACCTTCTAATGCGCAATATGTTTTGTAGTTTTGATTCAACATTTCGATAACAGAGTTTACTTTAAAGATTGCTGGTAGTGTTTTGTTCTTTCTTGAGAAACACAATTTGATGAGACCGTCCCACTCGATAAAGTTGATGGGTGGTGGTGGGTTGAATGGTTGAATCTTTACGACGGCAGACTCTACCTTTGGTGGTGGAAGGAAATTGTTCTTTCCTACCTTCATCAAGTGTGTCACCTTTGAGAGCAACTGTGTATTCACAGAGAGACGACAATACAGTGAATCACCTGGTGAAGCAGCCAGACGCAGAGCAAACTCCTTCTGAAACATAAGCACTGCTGTTCTAAATACTGGTCGATGTGCCAACAACTTGAAAGTCAATGGCGATGAAATCTGATATGGTACATTTGCTACGCAAACATCGAAATATGGAAGATCTACTTTAAGGAAATCACCTAATATAATCTCTAAATGTGATGCATATGGTCTATATTCATCGTAGTTGTTTTACTAAACTTAGTGATTTAATTTTGATTTTCAATTTGTTTATTCTTTACTTACGTTGTTGCAACTCTCTTTTGTAATTCAGCCGCCATACGAGGATCAACCTCAACAGCAATCACCTTTTTACAACTCTCCAATAGTTTCATTGTAAGATTACCAGTACCTGGACCAATTTCAAGTACTGTGTCTGTAGATTTAAGTTGTGATTTATCTACGATTGCATCTATAATTAATGGATTCTTTAACAAATGTTGACCGAATGTTTTATCTATAAAATACATATACATCATTAGATACATCTATACTTTTAAAACAATAAATTTACATACTCATTTGAAATTCATGATGTCTAACAACTTTTTGTTTATCATCGGCACCCTTTTCAGCACCTTTATCCTTTACACCTATTTTAACTGGTTTTACCATTGTTAACTATATAACTTTTTAAAAAAAAAAAACAAAATAATTTCTCTTTTTGAAACAAACAAATTTAATTTAAAAATAGGTAAGCGAAACAGTCGTCAATCAAAAAAAAATAAATTTAAAATAAAATTAATTTAAAATTACGAATTATTTTTTTTTTTTGGAATTTTTTTATTTTATTTATTTTTAAAAAAAGTTTTTTGATTGTTATAAAAAAAAAAGATATTGTGATTACAAACATCTTTGGAATGTCCAGGGTTATTCTATTCTCTTGAGGAACATCGATTCAGAGGGTGGTGAAAATGATTGATTGGTATGATGAGAGCATTTTTTTATAACCGAGTATAAAATACATTATTATTATTAAATGAATATAATAATTTAGTGTTACTCTCACTTGGTATAATTGATACCATGTGATGCTCGCAAGGTGTTGGTTGTGGATGTTTTATATAAATATATATATGTGTGTGTAAGGATGGGGAAAAAAATAAAATAATAATATAATATAAAATATAATTATATTGAAATGAAAAAAAAATGGTAATAAATAAAATTATAAACTAAACTTATTAGGTGGAGAACGGGTGGCAGGTATCAATATTTAAATAATACATTGCTTAATTAATATATATAGTAAAAACAATGATCATTGTGAAAATCGATACAAAGAGGAGGGGAAAAAGTTAAATAAATATATATAGGCATATAAAAATAATAAACTGATAAGTTAGTTTGCGAATCTAAGAGATTCAAAAGATGAACCACTGCTATTTGTTGGTGCGTTGTTGTTGGTATTGTTGGTGTTGTTGTTGTTGTTGTTGTTGGTATTGTTAGTGTTGTCAAATGGAAAAGTATATGGTTTGAATGAGTTGTTTGTTGGAATGTGTGCTGATGAAGAGTTTAATTTGATTTGTGAGAGTGATGGCAAGGTTGAGCTTGTTGGTTGGAAAGCAATGGGTGAAAGCAATGGTGTGTTGTTACCAGAGGTTGGCGAAGATGGACGTGATGTCTTCTTGCGTTTGTTTGTTGGTGACGGTACCAATGCAGGTGTTGTCGATGAGGTTGGCGATGACTGTGTGGTAGTTGTAGAGGTGGTGCTGCCAGCCAAAGATGTCAAAGAATTTGATGATAACGATGGTTTGATTGTTTTGATGGATGATGATGAGGATGAGAGTGAAGATGAAGATGAGGTTGATGGTGGAATTGGTTGGCCCAAACTAAAGTGAGACATCATTGAAGACGCCTTGACCATATTTGGATTTGGATTGGTCGCCAACATCAATGGTGAAATCGATGGCACAATATTATCACCGAGACCGTTCATTCCCATGGAAATGGGTGAACTATTATTGGAAAGACTGTTCATTCCGTTAAGTGATGAACTTAGGCTATTTAAGAGATTGGAGCCACTGGACTCATCGATGGTCAACGAGGTATCGTCGTCCATGTCTTCCTCATCGATGGCTTCATCATCGAGGACATCGTCATCACCGTCACCCTTGGTGAATACACCACGCTTGACTTTGGCACGTTTATTTTGGAACCAGATTTGGACTCTACGACTGGACATTCCCAATTGGTTGGCCAAACGAATACGGATCTGTTGAGATGGCATTTTATCGGTTTCAAAAATTTGCTCGAGAATTGCAAGTTGCTCTGGTGAAGTTCTTTGACGTTTCTTTTTGTAGGCGGATGTCGATTGTAATGATTGAGACAATGGGTTGATCACTGGCGGAATTCCAGAACCACTGGTACGTAAATCACTAATTGAATTATTTAAACTGACAGACTGACGGGAATCCTCACCAATTACATTTGAAGTCGACTCGAATGGCACTACATTGGAGCTATCAGTGAGTTTCAAATTCATAATGGGTACTGATGAGGCTGATGATGATACATCGAAATTTGATGATGATGGTACACTTGGAATTCCAACAGAGGAAATATTTAATAAAATATTGGCAACTAAACCAATTTCTCTATAATAATATTATTTATTAATTATCAATATTAATATTTTTGCAATCAAAAAAAAAATTTAAAAAAAAAATAGATTTTTTTTAATATAAAAAATTTCGCATTCGTTTTTTAATATGAAAAAAAAAACGATAAACGAAATTTTGTGTAATAAATTGATCGAATATTGAATAACTAAATGAGGTTTTAAAAAATACTAACCTTTCATCATCACAACCCGGTGTAACTAATGTATTATCTTTTTCATCTACGGACAAACTATCAGAATCACTTGAAATTGGTGAAACTGGACCACTTCCACTGTGGATGATTGTATCTATACTGTTTGCTGAGGATGTTGCTGTGTCAATTGGTTTTAAAGATGACATTGATTGTAATTGTTGTTGCTGTTGAGCTCTTTGCTTATATTGTTGGAAATTAGCAAAGATTTGATTTTGTTCTTGGATAATTTCCATTGTTGTTTAAATACTTTGTTGGTATAATATCTTTTTTTTTTTTTTTTTTTTTAAATATATATGAATTAAATAATATTTTTTTTGGAATACACAAATTAAATTTAGTTGGAAATATTTAAAATCGTGTTGTTGGTGTATTTGAAAAAAATAATGATATATATTTATTTTTAAACTCTAAATGTTGTTACAATCTAAAATATTTAGAGGTGATTCAAAAAAAATAAATTAAATTAAAATATTAAATGTTGTGAAATGATGTTAATTATTAAATGGAAAATTTAATTTATATTGATGGTAGTACAAAATAAATATATAATGATATATAATTACTATTACTAAAATAATTAACAAAAAAGCAATCAAACAATATTATATTATGAAATTAATATTAAAATTAATATTAAAAACTATTTTGTTTTGATTTTATTATTACGATTCTCTTCGACATTTTTATTAAATTAAAAAAAAAAACTAAAAAACTTTTTTTTTAAAAAAAAAATGGTCGATTATTGAGCTATGTGAAAAAGTATTGTCTAATTTCGCATTATTGTGTGTGGGAGGTGGACCTGCTTTCTCATTTCAGTAGTAGTTGATATAACACACACAATACATTAAATTTTTAATCAATTTTAATATAATAATAAAATCGTCTGTTGCTCTTCTCTCAGCAAAATCAAACAAAAATATTTAATTAAATTGCCATTTGGAGGTCAACTAAGAACAAGATATCATGGGTAACCACAACAATGTTTTGTCATCATATTAAAACAAAATCAATCATCACTGTCCATTTTTCGTTTTATATTTTTGTAAAAATTTGCTTTTTTGCCATGGTTCAAAGACTTTGGGTGCAGATCTGTATTACTCTTCTTTGTTGGTGCATCAAAGTGTGTGTTTTGGTCTAACTTTCAGTAGTCTTTTTTATTTTTCAAAAATCTCAATCTAACTGACTTTTTTGCAAAAAAAGGAGGGAATTTTTGGGGCTAACCTATGGGAATAACAGTAAAACTGAACCAAGAGTCGTTTTACGGTAAAAAAAAATATTTTGTGGTGGAGTGTGGTTGAGAAAATAAAAAAAAAAAGGGTGATTGAATTCGAGATACAATAGCTGGACCTAATAGATGAACAACCATGAAATTGTTGCAAAAATTAATATAATTAAAATTTTGTTTTTAATTTAGATATTATTGTTCATTAATGAAAATGTAATTTATTATTGGGGAGCCATTTCTGATTGTTTTAAAAAAAAAACAAAAAATTGTACACAAGGTGTTCCTTTTGATACCCATTGCCAAAATTTTTTCATTTTTATTTGATATTTCATTTTTTTTTTTTTTTTTGATAGGACCATCAACTTATTATTAGATGTGTGATTTTTGTTCGTTCAACATGTTTGACCAAAAAGATTTTCGAAATTTAATCAGATGTGTTAAAAGAGTTGGATTTAATCATTTTAATATCAATATAACATTGTTTTGTTTTGATTGGCATAAGCATGGGTTCAAGGTTGGGTTTCCACTAACCGACAATGCAGTGACCCAATAAAAAGAAATAAATATCTAATACTACAAATAATAATAAATTCTTAATTAAAATTTTAATTTAAAAAGTTGTTGGATATTTTTCAAAAATAATCTACAGTTAAATGATTTATTACAATCTTTTTAATCAGATACCTGTGTAAAAAGACTAACTAACTGTTGTTTTTTTTTGTTTCATTAGCCAAAGTTAACAAAAAAAATAAAAATAAAATAAAAAATCATAGATAAAAAAACAAATAGTACAACTTAATAGTGATGATAGATTAATTATCTTAATGTTAATATGTGTTATCATTAAAAAAAATTAAACAAATAAACAAAAATTTTTGTGAGTTTTTTTTGGCTCATTTTTGTGAATTTTTTTTTTGTTTTTGATATTTTATACAATGATTAGAATAGTTGGTGTTGGATGTCAAACAAATAAGTTGATTTCAACTTTGAATCGATCAACAACCACATTTAATTTATATAAAAGATATAGTACCAACAATGTAAATAGTATTGTATGTATAAAAGTTAAATTTTATTAATTTATGATTTTTTTTTTATATTAATATTGAAATTATATTGAAAAACAAAACTAAAGGATTGGAATAAGAGATGGTCAGTAGTAGAGTTATTAGAGAGTAAACAAAAGTCACATAGTATTCCTGTAGAGAAGCTGCGACATTTAGCATCTCTTTCAATGCTCGAGATCAAAGAGGAAGATGTAGATAGATACTGCCAGCAATTAGGTGGTGTATTACAAGCTGTCGATGCTATGCAACAGGTAGATACAAACAACGTCTTGCCGTTACGTACACTACTCGAGGACCAGTCACTGCTACTAAGAAAAGAGACAACTGTCACTCCTGCAGAGCAGCAATCAACAACAACAACAATATCATCGCAAAACCAAAAACAACAAATTAACAACATACTCCAACATTCATCACATACACTTTCAAATTTTTATAAAGTACCTCACAGAGGACAAACTTCATCATCTGAATCGAAATCAAATAAAAAAGTCATCTCCGATCAAGATGAAATCGAAGAGGAATAAAAATAATTATAAAAATAAATAAACTGCAAACTAACTACTATAATTACTATCTAAATAGTAATAGAGAACCAATATAAACCTTTTTTTATTTTTTATTTTTTATTTTTTTATCCTTTTTAAGAAGAATTTCATTCATCTTGTTTGAACGTTTACCATTAAACTCGATTAATTTATTATTTATTTTCAAAAAATTTGTTTTTTTTTTTTTTTTTTTTCACCACTTTTAATAATAAAAAACCAGTACCTTTATACCACTTTACACGATAAACATTCATATCATTATTAAAGATTTTAAATCAACAATTGTGTAGACTATATTTAGATTGATATAGCTAATTAATATATTTGAAAATATTTATATTCGATAGATAGATAACTTTAGAGTATTTATAATTAGTAGAGTAGTAGTAGTAGTTGGTAGATAGTCATTTGCAGTTCATATATAAACTATTTATGTAATTACTAATAGTAGTAGAAGTAGCAGTAGTAGAAAAGATCACCAACTCTTTATAGAAATCACAGCTTTACATAAATAACTTCTTATAGTATAGATATCGGTTAATGCGATTCAGACTTATAGAATATTAAGATCGGCATCACATACCAAATAATAAGATAATCAAACATATCAATTTAGTATTATAATTAGAGATATTACCATTCAATAATAGTAATTCTATGGGAAATCCATCAGATCCCGATTCACAAATAGGTATGAATATTATGATATCAATCAATAATAAAATAATCATATATATATATATATATATATACACATCACATCGTAGATAGATAAATTAAAAATAGTTATAGGTAGACTCAATAAGGTTATAATCATTGACACTTCATAATATTTTTTAAACAAAATTAAACGTATAAAAATCATCATACAAATAATATTCTTATAAGAATATTTATTATATCTATATATATTCAATATATAATATACTTTTTTATCTCAAAAACTATATTTATCACCTTACACACCATAATTATTCAAGAATCACACAAAATAATATTTCATCTTGTCAATGACAACAAACAGTTATGAAGTTCTGAAATTTATTCAAATTTTCATTTGTGCAAGCGTTAAAAAAATTCAAAAAAATTTTTTTGCGACACTCACAAATTGTTAAAAAAAAAAAGGATTCTAAATTAATTTGTGTGATCATCTGATTGTTTTTTGGTGGTTTAGGAAACAGTTGTTTGTTTGATGTGGTTTGCAGGTCAAGTTTTTGATTTGAAATTTTTTTTGTTTTTTTTTTTTTTTTTTTGACTTTACAATCTTTTTTTTTATTTTTACCTTAAATATAAGGTGAATTAATTAACAGACACAAAAAAAAAAAAAAAAACAACAACTCTTTATTTGTGTAAAGTGGTAATCAAATCAATCAATTAATTAATCAATCAATCAAATCAACATACTCCAATTTTATTTATTTATTTTTAAAATATCAATATTGATATAAAGACAGTAGTAGATTTGCAGTAATTGTATAATTTACACATATAAAAAATAATAATCTCTATCTAATGATTAATAATAATGATCATATGATCTAATAGTTGTTGTTGTTAACATTATTTTCTTATTTATTTATTTTTAAAAACTACAGAGACTAGTAAAGAAACAACAACAGAGTCATCTCATACAGGAGTAAATCAAGATACAGTCAATACATCTACTAAACCAATGGAGATCGATTCAAATCCGCCCGATGTGGTCATTAAAGATCCAGCGGTTTTAAATGGAAATGAAGTTACACCAGCAACAACAACAACAACAACAGAGAATAATAATAACAATGACAATAGTAACAATAAGAAGGTAGATGCTTCTGAGAATAATGAAAAGGCAGACACAACAACAACAACAACGACAACAACGACAACCACCAAACCAGATGAGGAGATGACCGACACCGATACCAATACAATAAAGGTGGATGCAACTACAACACAAGATATAGTAGATAAAGATAAAGAAATAGAGAAAGACAACAACAGTAACTCAACAGTGCCTATCGAGAAGGAGAGCACCAACGACAAACCAGAGGAATCTCCTGAGAAAGAAAAAGAAAAAGAAAAGGAGAAGAAAGAAGATACACATCCCACCAAAGAGGATGCTGCAGAGTCGAGCGATAAAGTTAAAGAGAAGGAGGAAAAGAATGATAAAGATAACAAAGAGAGTAATGATAAAGAGGTCAAAGATAATGAGATTTCAGTTGTCGATGAAAAATCAAATGAAATTGACAAGAAAGAAATAAACGATAAGGAGGAGAAAGAGAAAGAGAAAGAGAAAGAAAAAGAGAAAGAGAAAGAGAATGATGATAATGATAAAGAAATGACTATTGTAGAAGAGAAAGAGGATATTGTTACCGAGGAAATAGTCAATAATAATAAAAATAATGATAGCAATAGTAGTAGTAAACAGAATAATAGTAATAATAATAATAATCATCATGCAAATGGTAGTAGTGAAGAGAAGAAAGTAGAAACAAATAAATCAACTTCCACTACTGCTGCCGCTGCTGTGGTGGACACCATTGATAATAACAATAACAGTAACAACAATCAGACGGATGACGATGAAGGTAGTAATAAAGAGGAGGAGATCGATCAAAGTATAATGGATGAGGAAGTATCGAAAACCAAGAGAGAGGCAGCCGATCAACCGCCACCAGACGAAGATATGGACCAAGGTGATTACGAAGATGACGTATTGGATAAGGAGAAGAAAGGCGATGGCTTAATAACAAAGTCAAGTTACTCATCCAATAAGGAGGCCGATCAAGAGACCAAGAAGAGAATGGAGTGTCTGGGCAACCTCGAGCGTATAGAAAAAGAGTTTTCAGATCTAAAAGAGAAGTTCTGCACAGATAAATTAAATCAAATCAAAAAGGAGATGGAGGAGATCAAAGTTGGTAAGTAAATCATTCATATCAATCCGGATATTAAGGGTAGTTGTTTACTAATCATATTCATTTTATACCTATACATATATATATATATATATATATCAATAGGTGATCATACCACATTTCAAGATAAACTAAGAGAGTTGGATTTGAAAAAAGAAAAGAAGATGCAGATTGCAGAGGCATGGAAGAATTACCAACTACAGAATATTATGAATATGTTTGACGCAGAGAAACAACAATTTGAAAATGAATATGAAGTAAGTTATTATTATTATTGATATTGTTATTGTTAATTAAATTAACTCTAATCAACTTTTAATATATTAAAAATGATCATTCAATAGGAAGAGACATCTCTACTGAGAGAGAGAATGGTTAATTTGCTTGTTGACAAGCAAAAGAGAATATATGAGGAAAAAGAAAATTTAAGATTGATCGATGGTGAATCAAGAGTATCCACAAGAACAAGAAGAAGGCAACCACAGCAACAACCACAACAACCTAAAGCACCAAAGAAACCAACTCGTAAGTTTAAAACTATATATATATATACTTTTTTTTTTTTTTAAAGATATTAACAATATTATTTTAATTATTTTTTTTTAATAATAGCACCATCAATTGTTTATGCATTGAAAGAAAATGAAATTAATGATGACTTTAACTCCATAGCTAAATATAAACGACCTTCATAATGATCTGTGAATATCTGATATTCAATTATATTAAAAGGAATCAATCAAATACACAGACTTCATACATTCCTCTAAACCATCAAACCTATCACAACATCACTCTACATTTCCTACCCAACTACAACATTGTTAAAAATCGATTTGTTATTGTTATACATTCATATTCAATCCAACTCTATCAACCATCAGCTACTCCTAACAGCCTTTATTTGATAAAATAGTAAAAACTGTTAAACAAAAGTAAAAAGATAATAGAATTTATTATTATTTATAAATCAATTCACATATATATAATAGTATATCTGTACATATAAAGCCAAAATTATCAACATCATCAGAAATCATCATCAGTAATCATTATACCCTACACAAAACCAAAATAACAAATAATTTAAAAGGATGTCAGTCTTTGATCAACAGTCACTCCTCCAAATACACACACACAATAAATCAAACATAAAAATAAAAAAAAATGAATAATTTAAATACAAATTAAAAAAAAAAATGTTAAACTATAACCCCCTATATACACACACAACCCACTCACTTTTTGATTTGTCTGATTGTTTAACTTCTTTTTTTTTTTTTTTTTTATGTTTATATAAAATACAAAAAAAACGATCCACTAATATACATATCTAAAGTATCTTTATTCTATGATTCTATATATCATTTCAATCAAATGGTTTAAATTATTTAAATTAAATAAATTGTAGATTAAGATTTAATACTTTCATAATGTTGATTGACTGGTTTTCGTATTATTATCATTTTTTATTTGTTTGTACATTTTTTAAAAACAATATTTATTAATTAATATCTAAAATAGAAAAAAACATAGAGAATGAGAATTTATCTATATTCAACATTTGTATTATTTACATTTTTATTTATTAATATTATATCTGGATCGGAATTATGTGGTCCTCGAAGTTGTTTTGGTCAATTGTTTTGTGTTTCCGATTACACTTCTGCAATGTGTAGACCATTAGGTAGGATTTTTATATATAAAATATCTATGTTATGATAATATTAATATTTAAAAAAATTAATAAATAAAGATCAAGCAAAAAGTTTAGTAGAGTTTAATTTAACAACTGATGGTGTTTGGTCAGATTCAGCACAATTTAAAGGATCAATTAAGAATATTTGTGGAATTAAAATAAGAAAGATCACTTTCAATGCAGTTGGATTCGAATTATTGAAACCTTCTTCAATTTGGAATGCAAGATATAATGAAGAAATCAATGAATTGGGTGCTCCTGATTTCCAAGATGGTATAAGACCTGGAGATATTTATACATTTGGGTAAGTTTATATATATTTACTTAATTGACTTCTTTAATTAATTTTTCTTTTTTTTCTTTCAATAAAGTTTTATTTCATCTAAATTAGAAAAACCACCTTTATCAATTAAGAGCATTAGATTTTAAATTGGTTCAAAAAGATATCTTAAATTATACCCAAAAAAATATTTTTTATTACTTAATAAATGTAAATCTATTTTAAAATCTATCTATTAAAATTTTATGTTGATTCGAAAGTCATTTGTATAGCTATTGAAATGGTTCCACAAAAAACAGAAATTATTTTTCTTTGAATTTAACACAAACTTTTTTTAAAAACATCCCATTATTTTATAACTTTTTTTTTTAACATTTTAATTTCTTTTTTAAATTTAAACATTTTTGATGTTGAAGATATAAATATTCGAAAAATAATTCTCAATTATTAATTTAGATTTATTATTATATATAATATAATTTTTGTTGGTATGTATTCGAAAAAATATACACACATTTTCACACACACCCACACTTTTTTTTAAAAGATGATATGGTAAGATAATTCTTATGAATTTAACCTGATTAGAATAAAATTATATTTTTAAAATTATTCTTTGTTGCAATGTTCATCTTTGCAAACTATGATTTTTATGTTTAATTTTTTTTTTTTACAAAATTTTTAATATTTACAAAAAAAAAAAATCAATTTTTAAGTTTTATTTTAATTTTTTTATTTATATATTTAGTTATTTATAATAATAAAGCAAATCAAATTCTGAAACTAACTATATTTGTAAATTACATTAAAAAAGAAAAGAAAAGAAAGAAAATAAAGAAGATAGTTGCTTTTTATGTTAATAGATAATAGTGTGGTTTGCAAAGTGTTTCAATTAATTTCTTAGATCTTTAATACTTTTGTATAATTGTAATAATAATAGAATACTTTTATAATAGTTTCTTTTTAAAGACTGGCTACCATTACCACAGTCAATCCCAAAGGTATTCGTTATAGGAGTCACTCTCTCTTAATGGATGGTGCTGATAAATTAAAAGAACCACCATTGCAACAACAACAACATCAACAAATTAATCAAATTTCACCTCTAACAAAGAGAAGAATTTCATTTTCTCTTGCTCATAACAACAACAACAATGTACATCATTCTTCAAATGCACCTCCAATATATTATTCAACACCAAACTTAATGGAGACTATAAATAATAATAATTTAAACGCTAGTAATAGTAATAATAATAACCACAATTCAATGACGACAATCAATAATAATAATAATAATAATAATAGTAATAATAATATGTCAAATAACAATGGTAGTTCAGTTAGTCCAACTAAAGAACTATCATCTTCATCTTCATCATCTTTTAGATCTATATCACCATCAAAGATATTGGGTAATTTTGTAAATAGTTCTAGTAATAATAATAGTAGTTCAAATAGTAATTCTAATGTAAATAGTATTAACAACAACAACAACAACAATAATAATAATAATAATAATAATAGTAGTAGTAATTTAATTAAAAATGATAATAATAATAATAGTAATATAAATAAGAATAATAATGATAATAATCAAGTGGAAGAGATAATAGATGGTTATCTAAAGAGATGGTTTACTCATTTGAATGATATCATTAGAGGACCACCAGTGGTTGTACATGGTACGTTGATGTTCAATCAATTGTATCTGGTGGTTTCAATGGTGTTGGTATCGGTTATCTATCTACTGACAGAGTTGTCAAGAGGCTGGTTACCACTTCCAGTTGTCGCTGTAATTATATCGTATCTGTTTTTGTGTCTCGATGAGCGTTACCATATCACAGATACCAAGAGATCTCTTACCGATATCAACAAAGACAATATCAATGACCGTCTTTCACACAACAACAATATTAAAGATAAGATTAATTTCTACGAAGCATCATCGAGTAACATTGCCAAAGACATCATCGGAGGAATATCTACAAATACAGGTGGTGTTGGTGGTGCTGGTAGTAGTTCCAACAATGGTTTGGGTATTGGTAGTGTCGGTATCAGTGGATTGAGTAACAGTAGAACTGTATCTTCATCTTCGTTGATAACACCAACCATCAAGAATCATACAAGATCATCTTCATCTGGATCTTCTAATAGTAGCAATTCATCTGTTAATATTAACAACAACAACAACAATATTAACAACAACAACAATAACAAAGAATCAAATTCACAAATAATAAGTGGAAGTAATACAGTTCCTACCAATTTACCATCATTTATCAACTTCCCTCTTCAAACTGAAGAGTCGTCATCATTCTATCGTACTAGACCCTATGATAATCATAGACGTTCATTACCACCAGAATATTATAATCAATACTTGAACTATAATTTAAATTATAAGAATAACATTCATAATCAACATAATAGTCAGAACACTAATACCACCAACATTAATAATGAATCAACTAATAATCATGAAGGTATCGATGATGATAATAATAATATTGGTAATCAAAGTATAGATCAAGATGAAACATCCGCCAATCTATTAAATGACTCTGATCTCGAAGAGAGCGGTAATAACAACAATGATGCACCAAAAGAAACCAAGAATGAATTGTCTGAACTAGTGAGTATTAAAAAAGTAAAGAGTAATATCACTCATTTCACAAAGCTTTCATCTAATCTCGAAGAAAAGCTTGATTGGGCACAATCGCCGTTTACTCTAAATCCACCAAGAGCTGTAAGTATTAGTTAAACTTAAAACTATTAAAATAGACATCGTGATAAATTTTAGCTAATAATATCAATTTGCTTAGTCACATTCAATTACAGTTTATGGTCAATCGATTGTTACTATTGGTGGTGAAGGTGTAGTGGATGCAGCCAATATTGTACAGTTCATGGATATGGAGAAAGGAATTTCTACGACACCCAAGGTTACCGGTGCCAAGATTGCACCAGAATCAATCTATCTTCATGACTTTTGTAGAATCGGTAATAAATTCTATTTGTTTGGTGGAATGGTCAATGGAAAGATGTCCAACAAGGTCTATATGGTATCGATCATCGATGATTCCACAGTGCATTGGTCTCAGCCAAGAATCAACAGCTACTCACCATCACCACGTATCGGTCACACCTTGACACGTTATGGCAACAAGTTCATACTGTTTGGTGGTTTCGACGGTGAGTCGGTTCTCAATGATTCACACACGCTCGACCCAGAGACAATGACTTGGTCGTCGTTTGCCTTCACTGGTAATCCACCAAGCGAGCGTTACGGACACTCTACAACCATACTTGGTGAGAAGATGATTGTCTTTGGTGGTACCAACAAGCTGAAAGATCTCAATGATATCAATATTCTACAGTTGGATACCAACAGCTGGATGCCTCCACCCTCTAGCCATGGAGGTGGTGAGGTTCCACAGGAACGTTCTTTCCATGCCGCCGTTAGAGTTGGTCGCAATCTAATCATCGTGGGTGGTCGACGTGAAGGTGTAACCCAAAGAGATATCTGGTCGCTCTCCTATAGAATGCAATGGTCCAAAGTAACCGGTCTTCAAATCTCTCCACACTCACATCATGGTCTAGTAAAGAATGAAAGTAAACTCTTTATTTGTGGTGGTAAAGGTCAAAATGGTAATATCCTAGATGATGTTTGGTTTGCAAATACAAGTAAGTAATTAAATCATAACTATATATATATAGTAGTATTATTTCTAAACAATCATTTATTAATATTCTATTTTTTTTAATTATAACTATAGCAAATCTACCAATATCATCAAGTGTAACAATGATAAACTATCCAGATATAAAGATTGATAAGGAAATCGGTAAAGGTCATTTCTCAAAGGTGCTGAGAGGTGTATGGAAACAAAAAGAGGTGGCAGTCAAGAAGTTGAATCTAATTCGAGACAAGGCCAAAGAGGAAATGATGAACGAGTTTAAAGCGGAAGTAGAGTTGTTGGGTTCATTACAACATCCTAATCTTGTAAATTGTTATGGATATTGTTTAAATCCAATGTGTATTGTTATGGAGTTCTTAACAACAGGAAATCTATTCGATCTAATTCACTCGAGAGAGAACAACAACAAGTTAGACTCTACACTGATATTACAATTTGCATTTGATATTGCTAGAGGAATGCGTTATCTTCATTCTAGAAGTAAGTAAAACATAATAATAGTTTTAATAATAATTAATTTGAATATTAATATATTTTTGTTTTAATAATTAAGATATTATTCATAGAGATTTAAAATCTAGTAATCTTTTATTGGATAAACATTTCAATGTAAAAATAGCTGATCTTGGTATTGCAAGGGAGACTTCATTCACTCAGACAATGACAACGATAGGAACGGTTGCATGGACAGCTCCAGAGATTCTTAGACACGAGAGTTACAATCACAAGGCAGATGTCTATTCCTATGGTATTGTAATCTGGGAACTCTTGACTGGAGAGGAACCATATGCTGGAATTCCACCGATGAATGCAGGTATTTTGGTTGCAAGCAAAGAGCTACGTCCTGAGCTACCAGAGAACTGTGATCCCAATTGGAAGAAGCTGGTGGTTTGGTGTTGGTCAGAAGATCCAAACAAACGACCTTCCTTTGAAGAAATTACAAACTACCTTACCAATACCTTTTAAATTCACACATTATATTTTCTCTATCAACGTTGTTTTATATACGTTTTTTTTTACCCACCTACTCTTTGGAGGAATAGGATTTTTTATATATCATAATAAAAAACAAATTTATTTATTTATTAACCAAACTTAGCTATATTTCAAATGAAATACATATATGATAGGGATTTTATTATGTTCTTGTTGTACATACAAAAAGAAGGAAAGAAAGAAAGAAAAAAGATAAAAAAAGATTAAAAAATATAAATTTTTGGTTCAAACTTCTAAAGTTGACCTAATTAGATTATCTGAGATTATTTATCTCTATATACAATATATTATTAAAATTCATTAAAATTAACTTCATTTTATCTAATTTTTTTAATTAAAAACAATCAAGATTAGATTATTCATATTTATTTATTTCATTTTTTTATAAAGTTATTCACATACTTTTTAATTACCAAAAGTTGATTCAATAGATTGTGAAAGCATTGATTTTGAACCGTTAGCAGTCTTTGGAATGGCGTTGGTTTCGTCGTTATCGGATACCTGTCTTCTTGATGACATACCAGAGGCGTAGCTGCTTAGTTCGTTTTGTGGAGAAACTCTGTTCTCGAGTGGAATGTATTTCTCACCACGCTTTCCAAGATAGATCTGTCTTGGTCTAAAGATTCTCAAATCAGCATCAGAGAGTTCCTCAACCCAGTGAGCTAACCATCCGGCAGCTCTTGGGATGGAGAAGAGCACTGGGAACATATCGGTTGGGAATCCCATTGTCTTGTAGATGATACCACTGTAGAAATCGACGTTTGGATAGAGTTGTCTATCGATAAAGTAACGATCGGTCAAGGCATGACGCTCCAACTCGGTTGCAATCTCCATCAGCGGATTCTTTCCGAGCAAAGCAAACACCTCTTGAGTGACCTCCTTCAGGATCTTGGCACGTGGATCGTACGATTTGTATACACGATGTCCGAATCCCATCAAACGTTGCTTCTTTTGCTTGACGGCCTCCAAGAAGCTTGGAATGTTCTCAACACTACCGATTTGCTCCAACATACGCAATACAGCTTCGTTGGCACCACCGTGCAACGGTCCATACAAAGCACTTGCAGCACCGGCGACAGCAGAGTATGGATCGACCAAAGTCGAAGCAATCTGTCTCATTGTTGCAGTAGAGCAATTCAATTCATGATCTGCGTGTATAATAAACAACTTATCCAAAGCTCTTGTGAGTACTGGATGTGGCTTATAGTTTGTCTCTGATAAACGATCCAACATATATAAAAAGTTTTCAGTATATGATAATGTATTGGTTGGATTATTATATGGTCTATATATTGTTATATTTTAATAAATAATATTATTGATTAGTTATTTAATTATCATTATTATTAACTATTAGCAAGTTATTTACCTTCCAATTCTATGACGATAAGCACAAGCAGCGATAGTTGGTAATTTACCAAGAATTCTAAAAATTTGTTTGTTCATCAATGCCTTGTTCTTGTAGATATCGGCACCTTTCAATGCAGGGTTAGCCTCTGGATAGAATGTTGACATTGCACTCATTGAACTGATGAGCATACCCATTGGGTGTGCATCATATCTAAAAGATTTCATCAATTGAATAAGATTCTCATGAATAAAAGTATGATTCATAATCTTTGAATTCCATAGATTAAGTTGATTCTAAATATATTAAAATGATAACAAAAAAAACATTGAATTAATATTAACTTGTTTTCAATCTCTTTTTGCTAAGAAATAGATCTATTCAGTTATTATTGGTTACATACAGAACTTGGTAATGATCCGAAAATCAATAAATAAGCAACCTCTACGAATGAAGAGTTGGCAGCCAAATCCTCGATAGAATAACCACGATACTCTAGAATACCTTGATCACCATCGATATATGTAATCTGTGATTTACAAACGGCAGTATTGTAATAACCTGGATCGTAAATCCTATAGAATATCGAAACAACCAACATTAATATTCAATGTGTAAACAGCAGATGTGTGTGTTGATCGATGATATTTCGATTAGACTAATAATATTTACATTGTACCGAAATCTGACGGATTCTCTTTGATTGGACGGAAATCGAGTGCCTTACATGTTTCATTGGTAATTGCAATCTCATAGGTCTTACCAGTACGATTATCAGTTACGGTTAGAGTGTTCTTACCGCTAGGTGGTGACACTGTTGTTGGTGATTCTAATGGAGAACTCATCATTTATGATAGGTTTAAAAATAGAATACTTATATAAATAACTAAAAAAAATAAAGATATTATATTATTTAAAAACTAAAATATATTTTAATTATTAATATTATTATTATTATGTTATGTTTATGTTATTCTGTTTTTGTTAATTGTTTTGTTTTCTTTTGTTTTTTTTTTTTTGTTTAGAGAGTAGAATACAACAAGACAAAGACTATACAAAATGTACAGAGCAGCAGATGTTTTTCGTGAAGTTATAAGATGAATTGGGGTGTAGATTGTGTCTAGATGAGTGGGTGTGTTTTTTTGTGGATATCGGGTTTTAAAAATAAATAAAATAAATAAATTTATACTATTTGAATAAAATATTAATTAAAATTGTTTTATTTATTTGTTTAAATGAATATGAATGAATAAATGAATGAACAAATGAATGAAATTTTGAAATGGATGGGATCAAAATCAATAGCGATAGTTTGTGGTGGTGGAATTATGAAATTGACTAATAATGAAACCACCCAATCACCAACCAAAAGTGTGTAGTTGGAGCGACTCAACTCATCATTTGTACCTTATGTTTACCAGTTGCTATCTTGAAAAGTAATTTCATCATACTCTTAACAATTTTGTTTTTCTCTCTATTGGTAAAAAATAAAAATCTTGTGTGTAAAATTTTAAAACAAAACACAACATGTTTTGCCAAAAACAGAAGAGTTTGATTTTTTTTGATGGTTCAATCATAAGTACCCAGAGTTTTTTTTATGTTTCTACTTTTGCTGAAAAATATTTGTTAAATCTAAATAAATAAAGAAAAAAGAAAATAAATACTAATTAATTGTTCAACTTCATAATCAAACATCCGATCCCGACAATTAAACAACACTTCATGTTCAAAACAATTTAATGGGGGATATTATTGGTTTTTTTTTTTTTTTTGGTTTTCTTCGATACCATCAAATAAACACCATTCTAATTCTAATTCTAAGGAATCAAAATATCTTTATTCGAAAAGGAGTTAGAAAAAATGGAAATTGTTAAATCTATTATCTACAATTTGATCAAACTCTAATATTAGACTGTTTAATTGGTAATAAAGAAAACAAAAATAAAAAAAATACAGAAAAAACAAATAGATTTAAAGTTAAATATAAAATACTAATATTTATATTTATTAATAACTATTTAGTTTAGGGTCTTTGGAATGAATCCAAATTAATACCTTGACTTGAAATTTAACAGTTATAATTTTTAAAAAATTTTGACCGCGAAAATTTTAAAAAAAAAATGTTGCAAATTTGTTGTTCATAATACTATAGTTCATTTTATCTTTATTAATAAAAAAAAAATAAACAAAGAAATTTTCATCTCTTTTTAGTTATTTATAGAAAATATTCACATTGTTTATTTATTTTTTTATTGTTTTTTTTTTCTATTTTTATTTCATTTATCAAGAAAAAAGAAAAATTATTTATAGAATAGAGTTTGTTTATAGTTTTTTTTTTTTTTTTTGGTTTTGAATGATCATGTCAAATACACCGATGAGTGTGAATGGTCTTATCAATACTGGCGGTAGTGGAAGTAGTGGATCGACAACACAGTCTGGTATCAGTAGTAATAACGTCGGCGGGCTGAATGGTGGTATCGCTAACTTTTCTGGATTCGGTGATTTCCTACATAATATCGATGATGTAGATTACTTTGATGATGTCTCATCGCTCGATAGTATTGCCGGCTTCAAAGGTTCGCTAAGCAATAGTATTCGCGATAACAGCGTCAGTTACAATCAGTTTGTAAAGAATGCTACCGATCAGATGGCGCAACACGGTATCACTCGCACCAGTAGCAGCACCAACCTCGAGGATGTCAAGTCGAATCTCAAAGATCTCGAGGATACCTGCGAGTACTACAAGAAGATCAACTTTAGTTTGAAAATGAAGATCTACTACATGGAGGAGAGTATCAAGAGTTCCGGTGTCAATCAAGACACCATCGAGATGAACATCCGCATTCAAGAGTTGACATCGGAGATCGACGAGAAGAATACACTAATCATAAAGCTAAAGAATGCACTGGAGTCATTGCAACGACAACACAATGAACTAACAAAGAGTTGTATTTGTGATTTCGGAAAGAAGATACCTACGGTTGTTCAACAAGTACAACAACAACAGCATCAACCTTTTGTTCAGCAATCCTCACATATATCATCACCACCACCATCACAATCTATTGATTCAGAGTTATTAAAACAACAATTACAACAACAACTACAACAATTACAACAGTTACAACAACAGCTGCAGCAATCAGAGAGATCAAAGAGAGATGATGCCGGTATGGCAAGCAGGAGAATAAAGGAGTTGGAGGATGCTCTGAGAATGGCAAACAGTAAATTAGACTCGAAAGATAACGATAGTGATTCGAATATACAGAGAATCCTTAATGATTATAAAGTACAGGTGGAACATATTGGATCGTTAGAGGATGCCATTCGTAAATACAAGCGTGAATATGATAATATCTCTGATAAATACTCACAGCTTGAAAAGACAAGTGGTGAACGAGACAGAGAACGTCAACGGCTGGATTCAACGATTGAAGCGTTGCGTGCCAATAACGAATCACTCAAGAACAGCTTCGAGTTGCTAAAGTCAAACTATGAGAGTTTGAAGAGCAAGTCGGAAGCGTTGAAGAACCAGGTCGAGAAGCTAAAAACACGTTGTCTCGAGTTGGAATCGCTTGTCATTGCCAAGGAGAACGAACTCAATGCTCTGAGGGAGGAGTTGATAGCGGCGTCGAGACACTCGCACGAGGAGGAGCGTCAACGAGTGGAGGACATCACCGCACTGCGCAACCAGGTGAAGCGTCTCAAGGAGCGACGTGACCAGATGGCCGATGAACACTCAACCAACGAAGCGGAATACCGAAAGGCTGTCGATGAACTTGGTGCAATCAATGCTAGCTTGCGAACAGAGAAGAATCACATGCAGGAGGAAATAGAGAAGAACACACAGGTGTTGGATTCTATGGAGCGATCGTACAGGGAGTTACAAGAGGAGGTCAGTGGTTCGTTGAAACGTCAACAGAGCATCGAGAGAGAACGTGAGATCTACAAGCAACAAGCCGAACAAATGGCTGGTCAACTCCAACAACTCAACGATAGAAACAAGAAGCTACAAACTGAAAATAGACAGTTGGATCAAATGCGAAACAATGTTAGAGAACAACATCAAGCAACGGAATCATCAAACATCGATTGTCTTAGAGAGATTCTTAACAAGTTGAATATTGAGTTGGGTATCGATACTACTGCTACCACTCAATCGTCAACATCCTCCGCCGATCCATTCACATTGAAAAACAATATCATTGATAATATCAATCTATTGCAAAATGCGACAAGTCAATTGTTGTCCAGCACCATCACAGAGACAGATAACAAGCTGACGGGTCAACTCGAACAAATATTGGAGGTGTTGAGCGAGAAGTCAACGCAATTGGAGCAGCTCGAGAGGAAATATGAGAACCTGCAACCTGGATATCTGGTGGAGCTGGTTGGTAATTCAAAGTTGGAGAAGGATCGTCTCTCTGAGGAGCTGCGAAACACCCGCAACGACTTGGAGTCGAGAACTAGCGATCTACAGGCAGAGCTGGCACAGAAGAACGATGAACTCACTGCATTGAAGCGTCGATTCAACAGCGGCATTCAAGTACCAAGTGAAAACAACCAGCTTCTTCATCTGCGACAAGAGATTTCCAGACTACAGAAAGCACACAAAGATAGTGCCGATCAACTACAGCAGGCCAGCAACAACCAATCGAAACTGACTGATGAATATAGCGCAAAGATTGAAAGTATGCGATTCAACTATGAAATCAAAGTTGAAAAGATGGAAAAGGAGATGGAACAACTCAATAAGGAGATGATTAGACAACAACAACAAGCATATCAACAGAATCAACAGTTACAACAACAATTACAAAGGGAAAGAGAGCAATTACAACAACAATTACAAAGAGAAAGAGAACAATTACATTTACAACAACAACAGCAACAACAAGAATTACAACAACAACAACAAAAGCTATTACAAACACCAAATTCAAATAATAATAATAATTTATTCTCGAGTCGATTAGCAATTGACACTATTGATTTACCAAAAACACCAAAAACACCATCTCGCAACAAGGTATTACAGAATTCACCTCAATTCGAAATCAATCAAGATGATTTACAAAAACCTGAAACATGGGCTCTTTTAAGAGATAAATTTGCTCAACTTTCAAATGGTAAGATTAATTATCAAGTTATTTAGCTATCAAAACTTATTATTAATACCATACACTACACAATCTATTCATTTATATTAAAAAATAGAAAATAAAGAATTGACAGAAAAAATAAATAAAATAGACTCTGATATCAAACAAGAGAAGCTGAAATCACCAACCAAACCATCATTCTCAAACTCAATCAGTACCTCACCACTAAAAGGAAGAGAAACCAGAGAATCAAGGAAATCTGGAATGGCTACAATGCAACAACATATTCAATTTTTACAATATCTTTTAGAAAACAAACAGTATGTATTTACTTTTTAATAATTATTAAATAATACTAATACATATATTTAGAGCAATTTCATCACTTGAACAAAGTGTTCCAGATTTCAAAAATGTAAGTATAAAACTATTATTTTATCTAAACCAATTAACTAACAAAACTATGATTATCTTTAGAAAATGGACAATGCATTAAATGATATAAAACAAATGGATATAAAGAAGAAGCTATTGGTCTATGAATTGCAAGAACGTACCGATAAGTTACATCATGTCATTGATAGTTACAACAACTTGGTCACCTCTACACCGATCGATCCAACAAAGAGTGTAAACTCTGCACCGAAATCAACAACCAAATCTATTATGAATACACCTACCAATAACAACAACAACAACAACAATATCAATCACAACCACAACCAAAACGGTAACAATCAAGTTCTCTCTTATAAACCATTGTCATCGTCACAGTTGACATCGAGTCAGTGGAATCAACGTAACAACCAAAAAGCAGTATCATTCAACAACACCAACACCAACAACAAAGAGAACATTTCAACCGATGAATACAGTCATAATCATATCACTACCGAACCAATTGCACCAAGAACATCATCGATACGTCAGCCAATGTCAATCAATGGTCATAATAGAACAATAAGAAAATAAAATTTTTTATAAATATTAAAAATGTAAAAAAAAAAAAAAAGGTGATGAGATGGTCGGAAGAGAAGGTCCAATACCAATGACAAACATTGTAGCTCCGATAATTAGATTAACCTGGGTGTTTTGTTTTTTTTTTTTTGTGTTTTTGCAAATTGAACGAAATATTTTTTTTATATTAATTGACCATTTGCAGATGGGATTTCGTATTTTAATTTACAATAAAAATCAGTTATGGAGATACTATAAATCAACATCCTGTAAGCTATTTTTAAGGGGAGAGGTTTAGAAATTATTATTATTTGTTTTTGTTTGTTTAATTTTAATATTAAAATTTTAAACAGATAAAATAAATAATATTTTATTTTAAATTAAAAATTTAGTTTTTTTTGTTATGATTTATCAATCTTTTTAGATTTTAATAAACACTCAGCTTCAGTCTTTAAGGAAATGAAGTGTAATTTTAGATTATTTTAATAAATCTTTGGATTTTTTTAATTTATCTTATTAAAAATGAATCAAAAACAATAATGTGCAAACAATTTCTTTGAGAGTTTTTCAATAATAAATTTTAAGATAAGAAGTTTCCTGCAAAAAAAAATCAATTTTTTGGTTTGATTTGATATTTTTTTTTTTGGTTTAAAGTTTGGGGGCTTTAGATGAAGGAATCATGATTTTCTAAAGATGTTTTTACAAAAACAAAAAAACCTAAAATATTTTTGAAAATTTACAACCACACTGAATCCATTTTTTAGAAAAGAGATAACCCTGAGAAATAACCCCAGACCACATTGAATTGGCACCTTAAAACTTATTGTAGGTTGTTGAACCCTTGAGATGATGCAGCACAAGTGCACTCCAAATAGAACAAGGATAGGGGCAACTATACAAATTTGTCATTTGAATACTCAACATTGATTATTTCTGTTTTTTTTAATCAACTATTTTGCGATCAAGTTTCTTATGTTTGAGCCTCCTCAGAATTAAACAAAACTATTCACTACAAAAGTATCCAGGAGGAACAAAAAAAAAAAAAAAACAAAATAAAAAAGACAATCACAAAAAAAAAACAAAAGCTCACGATCAAACTCCTATTATCATTTTTATTTAATATTTCGATCAGAATAAATATATTATCTATTTATTTCAATTTTATTTGTTTGATATTTAGATTTAAGTTCTTCTTTTTTTTTTTTTTTTTTTTTTAGACTACACATTCAACTCAACCATTCACATTTCGACCAACCAATTCGAACAATTTAATCTACACCAGTCTATTATTTATTTTTCTCTATCTTTATTTTTTTTTTTTCCTTTAATATTAATTAGAATTCTTAATTGACCAAGAACATTCTCGAGATAAATTATAATTTGCAAATTTATATTGTAGGTATCAAGATAGAACGAAAAAACAAAAAAAATTAAATTAAAAAAAAAAAAAAACGATCTTTTAAATGGGTGGTTTTGTAAACTTGAACCATTCTTGTCCTAAGTTTATCATTATCCAACAATGTAATCTTTTAACTAATCACACAAACAAATGCGATATTTCCAAATTGGTTTCAAAAATAAATCATATAAAAAGAAAAAATAGAAGAAACTATCCATTCATTTCACTTTGCAACATTTTATTCAGTAAATCAATGATCAGATCATAAAAATGGTGAATACTTGAACATTTATAAAAAAAGCATAACTCTTTATTATTGTTAATATTGTTATACCAACATCACTTGTTCTTCAATTTAACTCTGGTTGTTGTTGTTTAATGATAAAACAATGTATATGACATAAATAGTTATATTTACTATAACATACCACATCCAGACAACAAACACCACACCATTACCAACATACTCTTCTTCTCTTCTCCACCTATTTTTTTGTTTTTCAATACACTCCCACATCACCATCATCATTAAAACATTATATTAAGCAGCACATCAATAAATACAATAGAGTAACACAGTATTATTGTTTATAAAGATTAGCATTTGTTCATATTTTATATCCATATAGCAACTCTTCTATCTTCTCTTTACAAAGAGTGATAACAAACAAGCAAACAAAACAAAATCAAATCAAACAGGCAATAAGAACATACAAAATCAAAATTACTTCTATACATACATAGGAACTATGTATAAAAATGAGTGATCAACACCCCACTCACCACATAGATATCAAATATCACTCACACAAATAGATAAGGTGTGTCATGAATTGATGTTGGTTTTTTAAATAATAAATTGATTATTGTTATTATTTAATTCTCTCTTTCTCCCTAATAAATATTTATTATTATTATTAAATTATAATTTATTATTTTTTTTTAAAAAATAAAGTAACAATTAATAAAAGAATTATAATATAAATATTTACCTTCACTTCAAAATTTAAAATATCTTTTAATAGTTATGTAATTAAAAAAACATTTATAAATTAAAATAATAAAAAAAATTAAAAACAACAATCAATCAGATCAATTCGTCGTTAAATAAACAAGTAGCACACTCATAAGAAAATATTTTCATTATTATTTAGTTTAAACAACTTATTTGAAATAATAATCATATTAGCATAATAATATTAATAATAATATAGCAAGCAGTAAAGTATCAAGTTTTTCATCATCGTTTTTGTCGACTTCTTTCGTATCGAATGTATACAAGAAGATAGAGAGAGAACTCCTCAAATCGTCCGCAATTAAAATTTAATTTGTGTTGATCAAAATTGGATCGCTTCGAGTCACCAAGATTATTTCGCTATTTTTTTTTTTGGTTCTTTTTTTTTCTAATCTTTGTCTTGACAAGATCAAATCAAAAAAAAAAAACATATCGCACTTTTCTTTTTTTTTTTTTTTTTTTTTTTTTTGATTTCCAACAAAAAAGTCATCACAAACCAACCTTTCACACGCCAAGAACAACAACCTAAATATAAATAAATATTGTTGTTAGGGGTCAAACAAAAACTTTCACAATATTTTTTTTTGTATTTTTTTTTCTGTACAATACCACATACAATCAAAATAAAATAAAATAAAAAATATCAAAAATCATAAACACCATCAACAAACCAATCAGTCAAACATTAAGATCTTCAAAATTCAATTTAGTTTTCACAACTAAAAACTAAAACTAAAAAACAAACAAATAATCAATCACTCACAAATCAAATAAACAGACAATCAAACAATCAATTTTAACCTTTGTACTAATAGTTAAACTTTTTTCTTTTTTTAAAATTTTTTAAATACATTTTTATTAGATTATACTTTTTTAACTATTTATATTTATATATATTTAGGTCTTTACAACAACAGTGTAATATTTATTAATTATAATAGTAATAGTTATTTTTTGTTTTTCCTCGGACAGTATTAGTAATATTCTACTTTACCATATACAAAAATAATCAAACAACACCCACTCCCTTCACACAACAAAATTTGGTAAATAATTAATCACCAAACAACTATCAATTTTTTTATTTTCAATATTTAAAAACACCTAAACAAACAGTCAAATCAAACCAGTCACTTAAATAGCAACAACAACAACAACAAAACAGTAAAATTAAAGATGGGATGTATATTAACAGTTGAAGAAAAGAAGAGTAGATCCATCGATTACCAACTTAGAAAAGATGGTAACTACGCTAAAAATGAAACAAAGTTGCTCTTGTTGGGTCCTGGTGAATCAGGAAAATCGACAATCTTTAAACAAATGAAAATCATTCAAGACGACGGTGGTTTCACAACTGAAGAGAGATTGGAGTATAGATATATCATTTATGGAAATTGTATAAGTCAGATGAAAGTTTTAGTTATGCACGCTGTTAAATGTGAAATTAAACCTTTATCACAAAATGAAGTAAGTGTTTTAATCATAATTATTGTTGTTGTTGTTGAACAACCAACCAACCAACCAACCAACCAATAAAAACAAAACAAAACTAATTGTTAATCTTTTTTTAAATCAATAAAGGAAAGTTTTGATAGAATTTCAAAGATTACACCAGGTGGTAACTCATGGACAAACGAGGTAGCAAACGACATCAAAGCACTGTGGGCAGATGAAAATATCCAAAAAGTATATGAAATGAGAGATAAGAGTTTCCAACTTAATGACTCTGCTGCATAGTATGTTATTATTATTATTATCATTATTTAAAACATTATTATTTATATTAATAATTTACTTTTTTTTTCTTTTTCTTTTTTTTATTTTTATTTTTTTATTTAATTTCTTTTTACAGTTTCTTCCAAAATATAACTAGATTTTCAAGTGAAGATTATATACCAAATCAAGACGATGTTTTAAGATCTAGAGTAAGAACGACTGGTATTCAAGAGGCAAATTTCAAATTCCACGATATCGAGTTTAGAATGCTTGATGTCGGTGGTCAGCGTAGTGAGCGTAGAAAGTGGATTCATTGTTTCGATTCGGTGACAGCAGTGATCTTTTGTGTGGCGATGAGCGAGTACGACCAATCGTTGCGTGAAGACGAATCACAGAATCGTATGAAGGAATCGCTACTGTTGTTTGACGAGATCATCAACAGTCATTGGTTCAGCAACACCGCATTCATCCTGTTCTTCAATAAAGTCGATCTCTTCCGTGAGAAGGTCGTCAAAGTCGATCTCGGTGAGTACTTCCCTGCCTACAAGGGTGGTCTCAACTTTGAGAACGGTTCCATGTTTGTCAAGAGAATGTTTTTAGACCAGTGTCATAACTCACAGATGATCTTCCCTCACTTTACTTGTGCCATCGATACTCAGAACATCCAATTCGTATTCCAAGCCGTTCGTGAAACTTTGTTAATGCACGTTTTGGGTAACCTTGGTTGGGGTCTTCAAAATTAATAATAATAATAATAATATTGATAATAATAATAATAATAATAATAATCATATAATCATCCCTATATATATACATTATATAGTTATAATAAATTAATTTTATACAAAAAAAAAGAATATCTATTTTTTATTTTTATTTTATTATTTCTTTTTGTTTTCTGTTTTGAAGTTTGCTTGATTAACAATACTTTGATAATAATATATGTATATATTTGTAATGTTGTATGATATATAATAAATATAGGTAGAATCATAGATTTGTTTGTTTTTTTTTTAATTATATGTTTTTTATTGATTTGTAAATTTAACATCCACCGACTTGTTCGATTACGACGTCGATGATATCATTGTTTTCCATATTATACTATAATGTTTGTTTAATAAAGTAAGTTGTTAGTATTTATAAATGAACAAAGCGATGTGTTGTGCTATGTTAATATTGTTGTGATAGTTACATCTTTTGGTGTTCTCTCTTGTTGTAATCTTTGACCATCATAAAGGAATCTAATTGAATTTGGATTGATACTTTGTCTTTGACAGTAGGCATCCATCAACTTCTTGAGGGCTGTAACTTTCTTGATTTTGAAAAATACTTCTGTTTGATCCTATTTATTACAATAAAAGTGGTGTTAATTATCTATTTATCTATATACCAATCTCTATCTATCTATCTATCTATGCTATCTCTTATCAAACAGCAACAACTCAAAACATAAGTATATACATACAGAAGCTTGAACTCTAAGATTGATTTGCTCATCAGCAACACCACCTTCCTTCTTCTCTCCCTCTTGCTTTGGTACTCCTGGTTCTTCTTTGGCAGACATCTCTATTTAAAGATTACTAATATATATATATAGTTATAATGTTAATATAAAAGTTACGAAAAAAAAAATAATTTCAAAAATAAAAAAAATAAAAAAAAATATATTTGCAAAAAAAAAAATTAACTTAGCGCGCTCATTTTTTTTTTTTTTTGAAAATTAATGGGTTGTATATTATTATTAGAAGTTATCTGCTAGTCTATGAGTTAAATATCATAAATTATTACTTACATTTAGTATTTGAGTTAGATTAGAAAATGAAAATAGCAATAAAATTTCAATCAGAAAACAATTAACTTTTTTTTTTATATTTATCATTATTTATTAATATCTTTTTATTATTAGTATCGACATAATGACGACACTGATTCTGGAACTGGGAACTTTAAATTTCCCATGAGTGGGAAATATTTGAGAATGAAATTGAACTTCAATAGTACAACTTTTAAAAATTGTTGAGATTTAAAAACAAAAAAAAAAAAAGTAAATCGTTTTAGTTTAAACACATACATAAATAATGTATAATTGTATTTATTAAAATAAAAGTAATATTATTTTGATATATATAAGTATTGGTTGAATAGAGATCTATGCTTTTGGCAGGACTTTGTTTTTTTCTTCAGAATTCTTCTTTTATGCAGGTCTTTTCTTTTCAAGTTAGTTCGTGATACATCATATATTTAGTTGTTGTATTTGTTGACTTGTAATCTAGTTTTTGAGTGGAAGTTCATTTCATTTCATTTCGACATATTGCTTAGCTTTTTCTTTCTGTTTTTGACTCTGTTGACATTCTAGATTGTATCTATCACATTGTAGTTAGCTCAGTCAAATCGATTTAAAACTATACCCTTAGTTTCTTCTTATGTTTGGTTTAGAATTTGAATATTTTCATGTTGATTAACAATTGGAATAGTTTGGAAGGACAACAGTACAAATTTCAATAAGAATATAATATTGCTTTGAAATTTATTTATTAAGCAAACAAACGTAATAGTTTGTTAAGAGAAAAAAGATAGTTTATATTGATATTTCTTGGAAAAGAATAGATTAAATTATTACAAAAATTATCGTATAGTAAGAAGATTGATAGAGGAAAGAGATAGAGATAGAGATGAAAGAAGGTAGATAGAGGATAGATAAAGAAAGAAAGAGAGAGAAAAAGAAAAGCGATAGATAGATAGATAGAAAGAAAGAAAAGAATTATAGTTGAGAGGAGAGAAAAAAAGGTAGAAGAGATAGGAAAATGAAAAGAAAACAAATCAAAAGATAGAAAGGTAGAGAATAAAAAAGAGATGGAATAGAGATAACTAGTTTAGCATAACTAACGACAACACATAATATAGAACAAATAAAATTAAAATAATAGAAGAAAGAAGAAAGAGGAACGAATAGGAAAGAGGATATTATTATTATTATTATTGTTCACAACACAATCGGAGTAGGAGGAGAGGGAAAGGGGAGAAAAGAGGTGGACGAAGAGATAGGAAAAAAAAAACATAATAAAGAATAGAGCTATATAGGAAGAAGTTGTTTCTTTTAAAATCATTTAAAAAAGTTTCGGATAGATAGAGGATCAACATACAAGGAAAATTTAATAAATAAAAGGTAACTATAGGAAAGAAGTATAGATAGAAAAAAGAAAGAGGATAGAGGGAAGAGAAAAGAAAGAGGGTAGAAGAGAAAGAAGAAGGAAAGAGGAAAGAGGAATAGTCAGAGGAAAGGAAAAAGTGGAGTAAGAGGAAGTAAAAAGAAGAGGAAAGAGGATAGAGGATTTACAAAAAGTAGATATATCACGATCTAGGAAAAAGAAAGAGGAAGAAGAAAGAAAGAAGGAAGAGGAAGGGGAGGAGGAGGGGGGAAGAGGAAAGTAAAGGTAGAGGAAAGAATAGGAGGATAGAAGAGTAAGGGAAAGGAGTGGTAAGGAAGAGGTAAAGAAGAGGAAAGAAAGTGTAGTTAGAAGAAGAAGGAGGAGGAGGACAGGAAAGTAAGAAGGTTATAGGAAAGGAGGTCTAGGAAAAGGAAATAAAGAAAGAGAGTAGGAAAAGAAAACTAATTTATCATAGTATTTGGAAAGGAAATTATCTGATAATTAAATCTAACTATTAAATTTAGGTTATAATTACCAAATAGGAGTATTTATAAGGATAGACAGGAGAGACTTTCATAGAGGGTTGGATTATATAGATTAAGTAAAGAGAAGTAGGTAAGAAGTATTATTTTTGTTGTTTTTTTTTAAAAAAAAAGAGGATAGTAGAAAGAGCAGATAGAATCAGTAGTAACACAAAACAAAACAAAACAAAACAAAACAAAACAAAACAAAAATAAAATAAAATAAAAGCTACAACAAGATAGAAAGAGGATAGCTAGAAGATAGAGTAGGAAATAGAATCAAGTAATAAAAAGATAAAAAGATAAAAAAAAAATATAAAGAAATAAAATAGTAATAAAAGATAAAACTGAAAAAAAAAAAAAAAAAGTTAAAAGTATAAACAACTTGACCGACCGTATATTGATTTTAATACTATATTGATGGCGTTTACTTACCTCACCATTTTAATAGCAACCAATACCCAGTGCCACAGAAACCTAGCTAGAAAATTAGTATAGATCAGATCATTTATCAGTATCAGTTCATCAGTAATCAACAATTGGTTAGTTGTTTTATGCTTTTAGTAAAAACCACTATTAATCAAATTCTCTATTAAGAAAAGAAAAAAAAAGAGGGATAGATAAGAGTTATTTTAAAGATAGATTAAAGAAGGAAAAGAATTAACTTTTTTTGATAGGTTAGGAGAAGAAAAGAAAAAAAGTTTTAATTAAAAAAGATAGGCAGAAGAAAAACAAAAAGAATAATAATAAAATTATAAATCATTTGATTGATTAAATATAGAGATATATAAATATAATTATATAATAATAAAATATGAGAACTTGCTAATAGCTTTAAACTATAAGAGGAACTGAAAACTACAACTTAACCACCAATTGGAGATTAATGGTTGTGGTGGGGAGAGAGAAAATTAAACCTGGGTTCTGAACGTATGAATAATAGTTTAGCTAACAGTTGAGAGCATGTTTTGAATTACAAAACCAGAACAAAACTGAGCCAGAGAAAACTAGTTAAATCACAGAACAGTACATTCAACAAAGATGAAACATTGAGAACGAGAACAACAGAGACACTCTTTTTTTAATATTATTAGTTTTTTATCAATTTTTTTTAATTCTTTACTTTTTTTTTTTTCTTTTCATTTTGTTTTACATTATTTGTTAATTTTTTCCAATGATGTATTTACATGATTGAATTTGAATTATTAGTTGTAAAAAAAAAATAAAAAAAGAAAAAGAAAAAGAAATAATAAAATGTAAAACTGGAAAAAAAAATAATATTAAAAGATTGTGCAGTGGAGCAACGAACTAGTAATTTTCAGTGAGTTTCCAAGTAACTAACTTGAGAGACCTTATCAGTATCAGTATCATATGAGAGTTTTTTGTGTATTTTGTTAGATATTTTTTTTATTAAAAAGGAGAGGAGGTAATCTTGAATTGGTGAAGCTGGAAAGTACTATGGATTTGGATTGATTTGATTGGTTGAGTGAGTGAAGTTGAGTATTGAATTGAAAGAGATGGAATGAATGAATGATTGAATGATGGTTCAAGAGGAGAGATATCGCCACCTGATAACAACAACAACCACAACACCTCCTTATTATTGAACATTTAGGAATTGATATAAAGATTGATGAAAATAAAAATATAAATGATTATTATGGTGAAGATAATAATGAATTGATATTTGAATTTTGTTGAATTTCCTTTTTAAATTTAGATTGTTTTTAATAGAAATTTAAAGTTAATACTAGTTTTGTAATTTTAATATTTTAAAAATATATTTTAAAGAAAATATATTTTAAAATTTGTTTTTTAATGTACCTATGATATTTCGGAAATCTCAATGGATATATTAATTAGAAAATGTATCTCTAAAAAGGAGGTCTAGCCTTTGGTTGCTGTGTCTGTTGTTATTAACTGGTACTAACCAACTAATGTTGAACAACCATTCCACGAATTCATTTGCTCTATCTGGAAGTAGGTAGAGTCTGGAGGAGATCACGATCCATTTGTATTTGAGGTCAAACAAGTATGGTATGATTTTGAGTGAATTCCAAACAAAGAGCAAAACTGAAATAGTTTGACTTTATAGGTCAATTGTTTAGTTTTATAAACTATTGATTCTAAAAACCTATTTGAAGTAAATAGAACCAGTTTCAAACTCTTATTTATAGTCAATGATAAGAACGATTTTTAATATCAAATATTTTCCAGTTGGGGGTTTTAGCATAGAAGAGTGTGTGGTAAAGAATTAGGCTGATGTTGTGTTAATATTATACTCTAGGATCACAATTGTGAGAAATCGTTCATATTGCTAGGGTTATTAATATTTATTAAAATAAAAATATTAGAATAATTTTTTTTTTATCGATTCCAGTTGGTGATAATTATTTAGAACAGTTTATTAATTTAGTAGATACTACTCTCAGCAATAGATGTTGTTAAAATAGAAATACAGTTAGATAGACACTCCTCAGCAAATCAATTACAAATTGTTTTGCCAAGCATCAGATGTGAAAAAAATCTGTGGATGTATCAATAATTCTATATATTTTTGAAACACAATTGTTAAAAAAAACATCCCATGATTTCTGAGTTATCTATCCACAAACAAACACTTTCAAACACACACACACTGTCTATCTATTATCACACAACACTATTAATTTTTATTTTTGTTGAATATTATCGAATACCAACAGGCAAACCAAAAATTGATTTCCACTATTTTTGCTTTTTATTGCCTGGCAACATTTTTTGTTTTTGCCACATATAGTTGTGTTGAATTGCTAACATCCATAAAAAAATCCAGTCTTTTCAGCATTCAATTCAATCATGATTACACCCCTTGTATAAGATAGAATCAACCATTTTTTATTATTTGTTCTGTGTACTTGGTCATCAATTCAATTGTACATCAAACAATCAGTCTAGCCAATTCCAAACCCCTTTTTTGAAATCAAAAATATTTTACGAAACCCACAAAATAGTTGTTGTCATTTTCTAAATTTTTAAATAAATAAATACACCACTAATAATAAACACACATAATAATGAAAAAAAGTATGATGCGCAAACAATATTGATAATTAACAACCAATATTGGTGGTGAATTCGATTTTAACTAGCAAAATAAAATTAAATATTATTCATAAGTCAACAACAACAGCATTGGAAGGTGTGTGATTATATTTGACAAATTAATAAATTAAAAAAAAAACATTATCAAATTTTTGTTGGTGCTATATTATTCTATTTATCTACTAATGCTGTGGTTGATAGTGGTGTGGTGTGTTGTTATTTATACATTAAATGCTAGCACAAAATAAAGATAGTATTTAACAAAAAAAACAAAGAAAATGAATAAAAATTAATCATGTGCAACACATCTTAGATGATAATGATAATAATTCGTTAATCCTTAACAGTTGAATACTAATAAAATTCCAAAATAAATTTAAAAAAGGTTATTTCTTTTTAAATATTTTTAATAATATATTTGTCTGACTGTCTGATGGATTGTTAATAACACAGACGTAGATTAAATTTCTTTTTTTCACCCACCTTTAAAGAAAATATTTTAAAGTTGAAAATTCCACAAACAACACTACCATTTGCAACAAAATTTCAATCTGTTTATCTATCGAACGTTGGTGTTTGTTGTTTGAATTGTTAAATTGAATTAATAACCAACATTGCTTACTACTTCTTATAAAAAGTGTATTGTTTTTTAATATTGTTTTGAAATCTATCGTTTCTAAACTTCTGGCGATTCAATAATTTACCAATTTGGTATTACTATATTTATATATGTATACTTTATATGTATATAATTATATATCTTATCTAACTTTCTTTTAGTGCGTGTTTATATATTGTTTTAAAAATCAAATTTAAATTTGTTGAATATGTCTGTCCAGTTAGGAAAACAGATGAATTTTCGGGTTATTAATTAACACTTAAAGTGGAAACTGACTATACAAAAGTAAAAATAACATCAAGTCGATTTCAAAATAAAAAAATCAACTAAAAAAAAATACTTGTAATTTGATTTGACAATGTTATCACATAGATAATTGAAGCATTCATTTTAAAAAAATAATTTGTTTAACTAATTAATTAATCTTTTGGTAGGACATGCTTATTTTCTTTAGATATGTTTATATTTATATTTATATATATTTATTACAAATAAAAATGAATATGTTTGTTTGATTGTAAAAAATAAAAAATAAAAAATTGGTTGCAAAAAAAAAGATGAAAATGAGATTTTTTTTTTATTCAATGATGTGGCGATGGTGATATCAAGAATAAAAAACAAAATAAAATTTACATTTTTTAGCAAATATGCCCTTTTTTTAATTTAAATTGAACACCAATGATGTTTTTTTTTTTTGATCCCCTTTAAGAGCTTTTACAAAAAAAAAATTAAAAAAAAATTAAAAAAAAACCAAAAACAAACAACTCTTTCATTCAAACTTAAAAGGTTTATTGATAGTGTGTGTGTTATTTATTTATTACTGGACAACTCTCTATTTGATTTGTTCACCACCCCAACTAAACTTTGACAAAAAAAAATTATTAATAAGACAAAGTAAATTAAATATTTTGTTTGTTTTTTTAGTGTTTTTTGTTTATTACACAACTTTCAATACTCCTTCTGTTACATAAACAACAAGACAACTAACTACTACATTTTGTATAATAGTAAAGTTTAAGCAATACTACTCAACCTCAAATTAATTAATTAATTAAAAAACAAACAATATATATATTTATTCATCGAATTATAATAACAGTTAAATTCTATGGAGTCAAAAGAAATTTCTACTTTTAGAAGAATATCAAATGTATGTAAATTAAATTAGTTGTAAACATGACAAAGCATATGATTTTGACTGTCTGTCGGTCGGTCGGGACATTCTATCTTTATCATTCCCATCCGATATTGGAATGAAACAGAACTATGATAATCAAGTTAAACTACATATTCCAACAAACCGGAGATCATTATCATTATATCTCCGATATTAAATTTGCATAGATCGACTACAAATATAAACAGTTACACTATATATCATCAAATTTTAGATTATTCAAATAATAAGATTTATTTATTTAATTAAACACAACAACAAGCAACTTATTTTAATTATAATCAAATTCGTTAATACGTTAATAATGTTTATATTATTATCAATTCAATCATAACAATAATACTAATAATAATGATAATAATGATGTAATTGTAATGAATTAACTTTTTTTTTTGTATATTTTTTATTATTATTTTAGACACTACAACATCTTAGTACATATCATCTTAGTTTACCAGTTGAAGATGGCACTGAAAATGAACATCCACTACGTTCACCTGATATCGATATGTTGAAGCATCTATTGGACGGTGACTTTAAGCGAGACAGAACTCAAATTAGACAACTCATTCAAAATAGTAAATCATTCGAAGAAATACATCTAATCGAATCTATTTCGCCAGAGGTTCATCGTGAGAGAACTATTCAAGCTGTTAGAGAGGTAATTGATTTATCAATTGTTTCTGTAACTGATATGAAAGGTAAGAGTTAACAATCATACTATTGAACTTATCATATTTGATTGATTAACTGATTAGTTTGATTGATTAATTAATTATAATATAGATAATCCAGAGAAATTCTTATCATGGTTTGAAACAGTTTCAATATGTGATCTTTCTGTGGTATTAAAGTTTGCTGTTCAATATAATCTCTGGGGTGGAACTGTATTGTTTTTGGGAACAAAGAAACATCACGATAAGTATTTGAATGATATTTCCAATGGTAAGTTGTTGGGTGTTTTCGGTTTGACAGAGTTGGGTCACGGAAGTAATGTACAGGGTTTAGAGACAACCTCGACCTACGACAATGCCACTGGCGAGTTTATCATTAACAGTCCGACTTGGACCAGTCAAAAGTATTGGCCCGGTAACATTTCTGCTCACGGTCAGATGGCTACTGTATTTGCGCGTCTAATAGTCGATGGTACCGATCATGGTGTTCACGCATTCATCGTACCTATCAGGAGTGCACCATCGCCTGGCAAACCATACGGTGAAGTTCTGCCTGGCGTAGAGATTCGCGACATCACTCAAAAGTCGGCGTACAACGGTATAGACAATGGTGGATTGCTCTTTAGAAACGTTCGAATTCCCAAGGACAACATGTTGGATCGCTTCAGCTGTGTCAACGAGCGAGGTCAGTATCAATCGACTGTGCCACCCAACCGACATTTTGCTGCGATGATGTCAGTGTTTTTCATTGGTAGACTGTGTATCTCATCGATCTCGCTGACAGCGATGAAGTCAGGACTGGTTGTGGCACTCTCCTACAGTCACAATCGTAAGCAATTCGGTCCACCCAAGCAACCGGAACAACCGATCATCAATTACTCTACACATCAACGACGTCTGATTCCATGGATTGCCAGATGCTACACACTCGATTTCACACATAAATACGTTGTCAAGTCATCGAAATCAATGGATGTTCTACACTCCTACTCGAGTGGTCTCAAAGCAGTGACATCGTGGGACTCTCTCGTTGCTCTACAGAATGCACGTGAGTGTATGGGTGGTCAAGGAATGAGGCTGAAATCAAGAATAACAGTACTCAGAGCACACAGTGACATGTGTACCACCGGTGAAGGTGACAACATCGTTCTCTGCCAACAAGTCGCCAAATTCCTACTTTTCAAATACAACAACTCAATCAACGAAGGTGGTTCATTCACTGGCGAACTCGAATACGTAAACAACATCCACAGACCAACCACTGAGAATTGGCGTAGTCTATCGTACCAACAATGGTTATTAGAAAAGAGAGAATTTGCATTAATTAAAGAAGTAAATATATATTATAATAATATTAATAATAATTTTGAAATTATTGTACAATTTGATTATTAACTTTACTTTAATACATTATTTATTTAGTTACATAAAAAGATGTATACTTCAAATCCAAGTATTAAACCAAATTCAGAGGAATGGTATCATCTTTGGGATAAATGTTTGAATCTAGCAATTCAGTTGACTAAAGCCAATGTCGATAGATTGGTACATTCAATCTTTTTACAAAAGATTATCAGTATCACAAAGGAATCAAATGCAAGTACTCTTCAGATGTTAAAGAAACTCTGTTGTCTCGATGGATTGGTTCAAATTCAAAGAGATCTGGGATTCTTTTGTTCCACCGGAATCATCTCTGGACATGACAAGTGGGTAAAGTTGGACGATGAAATCAATGCTCTTTGCAAAGAAATCACACCATTTTCAAGAGAACTAGTTGAACCATTTGGTATTCCACCAAGGTATGTTTATTATTAATCAAATAGTCAATTATTATTTAATATATAAATGTATATTAACATTATTTATTTTAATTATTATTATTATAGATTCCATCCATATCAAAACTCTTTGGAATAAAAGTTGTAAAAAAAATTAAATAAATAAAAAGAAAAACAGATAAAACATGTTTGAATGTACATTTACGTTTTATATATATTATTTTAAAATTCTTATTATTATTACTATTATTATTTTTAAATTATTATTACTATTTATGTTGGATCTAATTCAACTGCTCTTGCATTCTTTTTCAAATTATCAACTAACCATGACAATCCTTCATTTAATCCTTGTCTAAAAATAGAAATAGATATATATATATATATGTTAAAATTAGTTCATATTAATCTAATTCTTTTTTAAATATTAATATTTACCCTGTATGTGCAATTAAAGGTTGAAGTTGTATATTTCTTGAAACATCAGTGTTGTCTTTCATGTTGTTGGTAACGGATTTAAACATAGTAGAGAGTATATCTATCCTCTGTGCATCTGGTAAGTCTTGTTTGTTGAAAAATAAGAGTAGCGGTACATCTTTGAGATCGTGATGTGAAATGATTCTTTCTAGCTCTGTCTTTGACTCGTCTAGTCTCTCTAGATCTGCAGAGTCTACCACGTAGATGACTGCGTGTATACTCGTATAATATTTATCCCAAATGGTTCGAAGATCGATTTGACCACCCAAATCCCAAAATATCAATTTAACATTATCAATAATGATTCTTCCAACTAATTATCATAACAATAATAATAATAAATAATAGAAGAAGAGTGTATAAATAACTATGATTATTTCTGATCACTTTTGAATCCCTGACTAGTCAAAGAAAAAGTAAACAATTTAAAAAGACATACTATTTAAACCAACAGTTGGTATGATTGATTGTGGAGGTAAACCAGGTGTCTTTGTATATTTCGTTTTAATCTCTTCTAGTAATGTCTAAAAATGATAATTTAACGCATATAAGGTTAGATCATCATTTAAGATGATAATCATTGATTCGATTCGGTATGTGATAATTACAGTTTTACCAGCACCATCTAAACCTAATATCAGTACATAATACTCTGTTTTACTAAAAAGATATTTAAATAAACCATATAATAAACCAAACATATTGTGTATACAAATATATATAAAATAATAATAAAAATAAAATAAAATGCAAAATATTTTAATTAATTAGGCAAAATTTGAAATTTAATTTGGGAGGGTGAATAAAGTTGACTACACACACATAAGTACACCTAACAACAAAGTTTTAAATAAATAAGATTGATTGTTTTGTTTTGTTTTTTTATTACAACATGTTGATTTGATTGATATGATTGATTGATTTCTTAAATTGGAGTTGTTCCTCTGAGCAAGAATGCCTTAGAGGTAACATCTTTCTTTGGTCTTGTGAGGAAGGTGGTTCTTGAATTGGATCTCTCATCGATGACGTATAGACCTGAATTAACCAAGTGATTTACCAACTTTTCTTTGTATTCTCTGCTGAGAACTTTAGCTAAGATATATAAAAATAATAAATAAATGATCATGATTTATCATTTGGGTTTAAGTTTCTCTGATTGTCTTACGTAGTGCATTGTTAAAGATTACGCTGAAGCTACCATCTTTCTCATCGATTGTAACATCTTTATTGGTTTCTTTCTCTGATTGTCTTACGATATTATTGTACACTGTTTCCATTTATTTATCTATTTATTTTATTTCTTTAATTAATTGTTTTAATATTAAAATTTTGTAACAATCAGTTTGGTCTTAACTAGTTAACTAAAAAATCTTTTTTTTTTTTTTTGACACCCAAAATAAACACCCATTGGGTATTTTTATTTGAATTTTATATTATCATTAAGATTTCCCAAACCTAGGTATAAGCAATTGATTTATTTTAATTCAAATTAAAATAATAATATGATTAAAATTTTTCATATTCTTTTATCTATTTTAAATGAATATTATTTTATTTATTAATTTCATTTTTAAGATCTTAAAAGTAGAAATGAAAAAGAACTATTATATTTACATAGATCAATCAACTAAAATCATATTTATACATATATGGAAATGATATTTATTTGATAGAACCTATTCTAATTTCGGTTTTTTTTTTGTGATATTTGTTTTTATTTGTGGTATGTCTTGAAAAACACCCAACCACATCGATCTCGTAACCAGAGATTTTTTAACTTAAGTTACCCACAACCGAGTAATTTCATTGTCAACAATTTAAATATTCATTAACTATTAAATTAAAATCATTAATAATCATTTATAATAGTTTACAATATAAATAAATGTTTTGAAATATAGCACAACTAAAACTTTACAATAGATCGATATATAGATAGATAAATAGATAGATAGATATAATATAGTTATAATCTTCTTTTTCTTTTTTTTTTTTCTTTTTTTTTTCTTTTCTTTTTATTGGATTATATTATATAAAATAGAAATAGAGTATTACTATTTATATAATAATAATAATAATAATAATAATAATAATAATGTTAGAAGGATTGCTTTACGATATTATATTCTTTTGTTGTTCGATCGGTGTTTTCGCAATCTATCATGTCCAGTTGTTCTTAAGATCGAAATCATCGACTGGTCATCTAACTTCTATTGGTAGAAATCATCAGCATCGTGAGGAATGGCTTGAGCTTATGATACGAGGCAAAAAGGATATTCTAGCAGTACAAACCTTGAGAAACCTGGTGATGGCCGCTTCATTACTAGCAACAGCATCTATCACCCTGGTAGTATTAATCTTAAACATCGTTGTAAACAACAATCTCTCGGCTGTATTCGATAAGATAAGAATACTAGGTGCCAACAATAAAGAGGTTCTCATTTACAAAGCATTTATCTTGATATTGGTGTATCTTTTTTCTTTCTTAAACTTTGCAACATCTATAAGGTAAATTTAATATATCTTAACATAATATTGTGCAAAAACAAAAAATAATTTTGAAATAACAAGACTAACACTTCTTTATAATTTAAATTAGATATTCTACACATCTAGCATTTCTTATAAATATTAATGATTGTAGTATGCGATATTGTAATAAAATAATGAGAAATGCGAGTAATCATTATACATTTGGTGTAAGATCATTCTATTTCTCGATGGTGGTCATTCTTTGGTTCTTTGATCCAATCTTTTTGATTGTATCTACTGTTCTACTGGTAATATGGTTGTACTTTGGTGACAGTTCAGATTTTGTAATTCCAATTGAAGAGAAGAAAGCTGCAAGAAATTCTGCTACCAACAGTACCGATGTTGAAATGGCAGCTAAAATAAATTAAAACATATGTTTTGTTTGGACATTAAGACCTAAATTGCGAAAAGGTATCAATAATGTGCATATTTTCTTTGAAGCTTTTTTTTGTTTTTGTAAAAAATAATCACAATCTAGATTTTAAAAAAAAAAATAACATCATTCTTTGAATAATGAAGATATTATATTCTGACCAAACAAATCCAATTGTAGTCACTTAATTGGTTGATATTGTAAAAGTACCTAAATAATTATGCAAATTTTGTTATAGTTATTTTAAATGAATACAATTTTATCTCTTTTATTTTTCTTCAATTGTTATCCAATTAACAGCTGCTGACTTGAATGAAGTTCAAGGAATCAATATTGGATTATATAACTTGGCATCTAATTCACCTGTTTGTATTAAATAGTTAATTATAAAAATCAAAATAATTAGTTTATTAATATTTGTTTATTATTTAGGGAGCAAGTTCAAGTACAAGATATTTAGATGCAAATTTATTTTGTTGTACAAATACCTATCTCTCTCCATCTGTAGGTGGATCTTTTACAGGTACAATATGGGTTCTGGAAAGTGGAGGTGTAATAGGTGGTGTACAACAATATAAGTTGAGGAATACCGCTGCCAAGTATGTAGGAGCTGAAACTGTAAATATTTACCTTACATGTGATTTCGAAACTCTAGATGTAATATTGGGACCTTCCACACCAAACAACTCTCATCAAAGTAGTAGATGGACTGCAATTTTAAATGATTATGGTGACTATTCATTCCAATGCCAATCGGATAATCCATTGATCACCGGACAATGGTTTATTGATGCAATGGTATTCCCAAATCAAGGTAGAGCTTTGGGTTCTGTTTATCTATCTCCTTCAAACAGTCCTAGTTACTCTGGTACCCATTGGTATGTTTCAAACCTTGTCTAAATAAAAAAAACAATAGAATGAAAAAAAAAATAGTAAAAATTGTTTTGTTTTTATTCTGATGGCTAAAGTCGAAAAATCTTTCTAATATCAGTTGATAAGTAAATGATTTATGAATAAAGCGATCGAGAGGTACACCTCATTGTCTAGTTATCCTTGCTCTCTAAACAAGTGGAATGGAAGGTTCATTTCAAAGTTGGTTACAATTGTTGTAACTGTCGAAACCATCAAGATGTCCATGTTGGTACTACCCTCCAAAGTCACATACCAACTCAATGAATGTATTTGATATCTCATCTTATATTTGTTGATTTTTTTGATAAACTTTGACTACTGAAAGTTGTTAATGGAAGATTGAATATCGAAACTAGATGGTAGTTTACTATTGTTATTGATATGCTTGATAATTTCAGATTTAATTCTATTGAAATGATCTAATAAATGAAGATTATGTTGTTTGGAAGTGTGATTGTTTCGTCTTTGTTTAGTGTTGCTGCAAGTTTAAAATATGAAAAGGAATGGGTTGGATTGCATTCTACTGCTTTCAAATATAGTTGTTGTTCTGTCATTAATTGTCCATCATTTAGTGTGGTAGATTCACCACTCGAAAGTGAATTTGCAAGGTTATAGTATGAACTGTAATTGGTAGGATCATATTCTGTTGCTTTCAAATATAGTTGTTGTTGTGTCATTGCTATGCCAGAAAGTAGAATGATAGATGATCACTGTTAAGAATTAATGCCAACTTGACATATGCATAACTTGGATGAAGATTGATGACTTTTAATAAAAGTTATTCTTTCGTTGATTCACCTGTTGAGAGTACAATTGTTGATCATTATGTTCAAGTGTCATTGCTAGTTGGAGGAGTGCATCTTTGTCATCCTTATAACTGATACTATTCTGATGTTTTCTTTTCATTTCTAAATAAAATAAGAATAATCTTTTTATATCTAAATAGATATAAATTGTCTAAACTACATGATAATAATTCGAAAAAACAAAAAAACAATTAAGAGAGAAATTCTACCTTAATTTGTATCTCATGTGTGGGAATTTTTTTCTAATATATTTAAAAAATTAAAAGATGATTTCAAATTCATCTTTTAAAATAATAAAAACCAGTCCAATGAAAAAGAAAATTATTTATTCTTTATTTTACATTTATACAATTAAAAAATTTTTTAATCTATTCTACTTTTAATGTGTTCTACATGTTTGGACAATCAACATCTATACTTGAAATCAATAGAATATAATCCAACCCATTCCGATTCATACTATAACCTTGTTTTCACACTCTCAAGTGGTGAATCAATCACACTTCCAAATGGGCAAATAATGACTCAACAACAACTATACTTGAAATCAATAGATTGTGGTCCAACAGGCTCCAATTCATATAATAAACTTGCAAATACACTTTCAAGTGGTGAGTCAATAACACTTCCACTACACTTTCAGAGGGTGAATCGATCACACTTAACAATGGACAATCAATGACACAACAACTTTACTTGAAAGCAATAGAGTGTGATCCAGAGAATTTACTATCATATAATAATCTTACAACTACACTTTTAAGAGGTAAATCAGTCATACTCCCCAATCGACAAATTATGACTGCCCAACAACTATACTTGAAAGCAAAGCAAATAAATTTCAATAAAATTTATTATTAGTTTTACATATAAAAAAACAAGGTTGTATTTATTTAAATTTTAATTTTGGTGTGTTGTTATTGGTTGTTGGGATCGGATCGCATAAATTAAATAATTAATCGGACTCACTCTGTAATGTGTTGAGCGTTTTTGTTTTTAAACTACTACTACAGATGAAGGAAGAATTGAGAATCTATAAACATCGTTGACTTTTTTAAGCCTTGATGTTCTTTCTTCGGCTCTCTTTCCAGTGACAATGAGATCATGTAGATCGTCAACCATCAATCTATTGATATTAAAGAAAGAATGATGTCTCTCTGACATGTTTGAATCTAAATCACCAGTATCGATAATATCTACATCCAAAGATCTACCATAGTCATCACTGATTGGATTAATATTATTACCAAGATTTTGTTTCTGTAACATTTTGAATGCCATTTTAATTGCCATATCTCTATGATCTGCATAAACTGTAATTCTTGGACAATACTATTATTATTATTAAAACAACAATGGTTAGAATTTTGAAAAATATAATAATACAGAAATCGATTTAAACATACATTTCTAAGTTCATCATAATCATTCTTGAAAGTTTCTATTTCATAATCTGGGTTCAAGAAGATCAAGTTGGTTAAACTGATTTTCGATTCGTGTTGACGTTGTTGTTGCTCTGGCACGTTTGGAATGTTGTTGAAACTAACGTTTGGACTGAGTACCATTCTCTTTCCAAATGCTTTCTTTACTTTAGAGAATGAACGCAGCAAGAATCTTGTACCCATACTGTGACACATGATATGAAGATTTCTAATTCCAGCATTACCAAGACTCTCGATAAACTTTTGAAGATCTCTGTGATTGTCATTGTCAGAGGCAATCGAATGTGCGCACCAATACAACAATGAACTGGTAGAAGATGGCCAATTGAAAACAAATGGTTTAATATGATTAGGGAAATGTCCAAGTGCAAGGAATTGAGCGAATACTAAAAAAAAAAATAAAGAACAATAACCATATTAATTATTAAAATCCAATAATAATTATAATCCAAAGTAGATTAGATTCATACCTTTTAAGTGCATCTTTCAAATCATGATCATATCCATGAATAAATAATAAACCTTCACTAGTTTGACTGGAAATCCAATTATTATCTAAAACTAAACTCTTTTTATCCTTTGATATTAATTCGATTTCAACCTTTCCTTGTTTCTATAAGATAATAATAATAATAGTTAGTTAATATTTAAATGGTTAAATTTATCATAATTATTACATACCAAAAGCTTTGATTTATGACCTGATACTAATAAAGTATCCATCTTTCTATCTACTGATACAACAATTGAGGTCTAAATTAAAAAAAAAAAAGTTGTTAATATTCAATCTATTATTTTGAATATGTATATTGTTTTTTTTCAAACTTACCAAAGTTTTATCATCATCACTATGTTTATAACTTCTATTTTCAAATAATTTTTTAATACATGAACACTTCTTGCATGAACATAAGTCAGGACCTTTAATCATGCTAACCTTTGGATAACCCTTGAAGAAGTTACCAGAGACACAACACTCGACTGCAGCAACACCGGTGTGTAGTGGTACACGATCGAGCCAACTCTTACCACCACCGTTCGTTCCGTAGACGATACGCAAGTTGACGAGTAGCGAACGAGTGTCGTTCTCCATCGATTCGAACGGTCCAATCGGGATACCATCCTCCCAGTAACCAGAGAGCAACTCACCCTGATAACTGGTATCCATCCACGTACCGATGCCGTGAGGACGACCGTCGACCAACGGACCCTCGTAGATACAGGTGGTGGGTGCACGGAAGCAGTTACGCTGCTTAATGGTGAATCGATTGCTCTCACCCTTGATCCAACTCTCCTTGTCGACCATCAGGGTGATCGCACCAGTAATCGAGTAGAAACAACGCATGATATAGGGGAACACGAAATAACAGACAATAGTAAACACCAGTCCACCACTGGCAACACACAACAACGGTATATAATACTGTTTCTTATAGTACAAATCGAATATAAAGAATAAATAGAGTGTCGAGTATGCTTCCAACGATACTATTCTAACCACCATAGCAAATCTAGGTATAATTAAACCAAGTGATGTTGAAATGAATCCCATCAATATAAATTCTAAAATGAAACCCTGTGGTTTGAGATTGATTACAAATTGATATTTCAAATTAGCACAATCATTTATCAAACTAAACATATTATTATTATTATTATTATATTTACATCAGTACGTTGGAAATGATAAATCTGTAAGAATAGATATGCACCATAAGCAGCCAAAAAGAAAGCAAACCACAGAATTGAAAAACCTCTTTTTTCATTTGTAAAAGTACCTCTTTGTAATCTTGACCATTGTCTTTTTTTCATAAACCAATAAGTACTATATATATGTTTAAATTAATAATTTGATTCCGATTTCGATTGTTTTGTTTTTACAGACATACTATTGTAATTCAGTTGCTATTACGGTTTCAATGGAATCATCTAGTGGACTGACAGAAGATGACATCGGTACACTATTGTAGTTATCGTATGTGCTATTTGGTGAAGCACTCTCTCTATTTTCTCTAACATTTTCGATATTATCTCTAAGATTACTTAAAAATCTATATTTTGTTTGAATTTGATATTTTTGATATTAAATTCAAGATATTATTAGGATACTTGTTTTTCTTTTTTCTTTTTTCTTTTTTTTTGAAAACAAAGTTTAAAGTTATATGTATGTTACCTTTCTTCAACATTTATGTCACCTAATAAATGTGACCTTTCATCCATGATTATTATTATTATATTACTATTTGATAACTATTATTATTTATATATATATACAAAAACTAAAACAAAAAAAAAAATAAATTATATATTATTATGATATTAATTTAATGAGAATATAAATAATGCTAAAACACAACTACAACCATATTATATTATATGTATTTAAAGTGAACTTAATTGATTGATCTGATTAATGATTCAAATTTACTTTATTCATTAAGATTGATTAATCAATGATACTCTTTTACTACTCGTAATACTCTCTAGTGATTATTGATTAAATAAGTAATGTGATTTTAAAAATAAAAAAAATAAAAATAAAAAAAGTAAGTAATAATAATCAAGAGTAAAAATGAATGCGTTTTGACAAAAAAAAAAAAAAAACCAAAACAAAAACAAAAAAAAAATACAAAAAACTACAAAAAAATGTCGAAACACTTGTTTTTTAAAGAAAATTGGACTAATCTTTTGAATAATCTTAGCAAACTTCTTTTTGATCACTGATTTTTCAAACAATCATTGCAAAACAATCAATGAAAAAACAAAACAAGACAATTGCTTTAAATATTTATTATTAAATATTAATATTTATTATTTACAATTGTTTTTTTTTTTTTTTTGTTTTTTTTATACCCTAAATGTATGTTTAATTTAGTTACTCTATTATTGTTGATAATGATCCTTTGGTTGGTAGGTTTATAGGTTTGCAGTGTTGATTATCATTTTGTAGAAATGATGATGATTATGTTATTATCAACTAAAGGAAATAATGACTATTATTGTTTGATCCACAAAGATTTCTAATCGATGTCAATCGTTGATTGAAAATTTTTAGATATTGTGTTTTCTTATCTAGTAGAGGAACTATCTGTGCAAAGTATTGATCTTTATCTATAAGTACTTTCAAATGTCTATTTATAATTAAAAGATCTTCATTCGATATTCTCTGATAGAATGATGAAACCATTGGTAATATTATATCTTGATATGTCTGTGTATTATATTTTAATTTGATTAGTATTTAGATGATAATAATCATGATTGATTTGATTTGTTTTGTTGATGATAATTACTTTAAAAATAGGTGTATCATTGTTTCTATAATAATGCTCAAGTATATCCAATACTATTTTGAGAGGGATCGATTCTTTGAGCAGCATGTTTGGGTTGATCAGTTTGTTGGTTTCAGTGGTGGATGGCAGGAATTTAATGAAATGTACTAGCTGTTGTGATGCCTGATAGGTGGTCTTCTCCGACACCGTTATATAATATGATACAATTTGTGTGAGGAACTTGGTTGGATTCGAACTCGATGTATCGAAACCCGCGATATTTGCAATCTTTAGTTTATTGTAAATGAAATATCCGGTCAGTCCGTATTTACACTGCATCGGATGATTCGTGTTGAGATTGAGTGAGAGCGATGTGAATTGTCTAAGTATATTGATACTGTTGTTACTTATATTACTGCTGTTACTACTGCTATTAAAGTTGATACCACCGACATTCGTTAGCGATGACAACGACGATGAAGATAATGATGTCGACGACGACGATGATGATGATGATCCGCGGAATACTGGTGATGAAGAAACAGCAGAAGCAGGATCTTCTAGATCACAAAACATGATTCTTTCCTCCAAGAGATAGTCGTCGTTGTCGTTGTCCTGATCTTCATCTTCATCGTCGTAACCGTCGTCGTCATAGTCATCTTCGTCATCATCTTCACCATTGATTGTAATATTATCTTCATCTTCATCGTAATCATCCTCTTCCTCCTCATCATAATAATCATCTTCGTCATACTGGTCCTCTTGATCCTCTCCCATATTGATTACATATCTCTCTAGATCTTCAAAGTAGCTAATGCCTTCACCACCTTCTTCTTCCTCTTCCTCCTCTTCCTCAAAATAATACTCTTCCTCTCCATCTCCATCTTCAAACTCTCCATCCACTTCCTCTTCCTCTTCTTCTACCTCCTCTTCCTCCACCTCTACCTCTTCTTCGTTATGATTGTCACTATCTGTTTCTCTGGTTATATCATCATCTGCATATGGATACTGATGCTGTTGTTGTAACATATCACTACTTTGATGACTGTCTTCTTCTTCTTCTTCTTCTTCCTCCTCTTCATTATCTTTATCATCATTAGTATTGTTTTGATTAACAACTTGATGAAGATGATCGGTAGTGAATAATCGGTGTGTCCAACGATATGGCATTCTTGGTGGTTGTAACAAATGACTGTATCTCTGGAGAGATGATGGTCCTCTACGTGTAGAACTACTTGCTATTTCCTCTTGCATGTTGACATCATGATCATGATGATCACCACCACTAACTAAATCCTCTTCCTCTACCACCAATGAATTCCATAAAGCTCTTGCAATTCTACTGTTACTTGTTACTCTCTCGATTTCATCTTCGAGTTCCTCTACTTCTGATCTTCTCTCCATCTTTAAATCAGACAGACAAAACAACTAACTAACTACAACAACAGCAAAAACACCTAACAACACCAACACTAACTAACTAACTATTGATTATTCTTTTTATTATTACTACTACTAATTAATATTTTAATTCAAATTGTTTTTTCTTAGAAATTATAAATTATTATAATACAAATCTATCTTTTAATTATATATTATTATAAATAATAACTCAACAACTAAACAACTAGTTAAAAATGATAAGTTATAGGCTTTATTTAATAAAATACAACAGTTGAAAGGTTGTTTTGTCTTTATTTTTTCTTTTCAAAAATTTAATTAAAAATATTGTAATCAATATTTGCACACCTGACATTTAATTTAAAAAAAAAAAAAAATTGTTTTCACCCAAATTATTATTAAATTATTGAGATCAAAAAGCATACGATTTTCGAAAAAAGCATACGATTTTAACATGTTATTTTTACCGGTACTACTATAATATTATTTATTTATAAATCTTGATACCTAAAATTATTTTTACGAATAAATATTCAATAAAACTAACTAACTAGTTAGTAATAGTGATAAATTAAGTTACAATTGTCATATGACTTAAGTCATCTACTATTGTATGTTCCTCTTATATTTATATATTTAAAGATTAATGATTGATTTGGATAAGTATATATACATAGAACTTCAATAGAAAATTTGAAGATTGAACAAATTCATATCGGTTTACAAACAAAAGAATAAAAAAACAAAAAAAAAACTAATTTTTGAAAAATAAAAAAAAATAGAATTTAAAAAAACGATCAGATTTTTAGAAAGAACACCATCACATATTTCTCTGTAAAACCAATACATCCATTGCCTATATATAATTATATATTTAGTAGTAAGAGAATGATGTTAAATAACTGTTCAAGATTGATCTGTAAAAGATCATTGTCTTTATATAGAGTAATGCCATCTACTACTGTTGTTGTTAACAGTAGTAGTTTTGTAAATAATAAATATAGTAATAGTAACAGTAGTTTGTCATTTTCATCGACAAAGTTCTATTCTACAGCAACTGAAACAGCAACACCAACAGAATCTATAATCAATGAAATGACTACATCATCATCAGAACAACAAAAGAAAAGAACATTAAAGAGAAAATACGAATTGAAACCAGTATCACCATTGTTATATCCAGTGCAATCAGTCAGCAGTATCACAACGATCAAACCAAACGGTGGAACCGAGAATCTTCCATTCCACTTTGAGAGAACTGCATCCGGTAGACTACCGGTCTACTCTGATCTCATCAGATCTCAAAGAGCCAAAGAAACCGTACTGAGAAAGTATTCAGGTGATGTCACTGTATGTATATCTTGATAACTTATCGATACATCTCCAATCAAAATCTAATCAAATCAAATCAAACTACTATCAATTTTTAGATTATATTACAAGAATTAAGAAACATATTAGGAGAGGAAGTCTCGATCACTCAAAACGAAGGAACAATTTCAATAAGAGGTGATCATTCACTTACACTTTTGGTATGGTTGACTGCTCTTGGATTTTAAAATAGCTAATCAAAAATACCAAAAAAAAATATATATAAAATAAAAGCAATATTAATAAAATAATTGGGATAAATAAAAAAATATATAAATTACAAAATATTATATTTGTAATAAGATTGATTTTATTTATTATTATATTATTTATTTGTTTGTTTGGTAGATTAAGATGTGATTTGATGTGATGAATTCTCATTAAATTTTTGTTGTTGTTATTATGATTATTTATTTGGTTGTGGTTGATATTCAACGAGATTCTCCTTTTTGATTGTACCTTTTTCAAAGTCGGTCATGTTACCTAGGGTGATCTGACAGATTTGCTTGAGAGAGGTGTCGGTGAACCATGCCTCGTGACCAGTGATAATCACATTGTTAAAGGTCATCAATCTAGCGAGTACATCGTCTTGTAGAATCAAATCCGAGGTATCATTGAAGAACAATCCGGTTTCCTCTTCATACACATCAAGACCGAGTGCACCGATCTTACCAGACTTCAAACCTCTAATCACAGCTTTGGTATCTACCAATCCACCTCTAGAAGTATTAACAATAACAATCTTTTCCTTCATCTTACCGATTGTTTCATCATTGATCATATGATACTATAAAACAAAAAACAAAACAAAACAAAACAAAATAAAACAAAGTTTAGTTAGTCTTTTTTATAAACAAACAAAACAATAAAAATAAACTTACAGTATCTTTTAATAATGGAGTATGAAGGGATATCATATCAGCTTGTTTCCAGATTTCATCGAGTGTAACGTATTTTACACCCATCTTTTTGGCTTCGTCACTCTCAAAGACGTCGTAGGCAATAACGTTGCAACCGTAGCCGAGAAGGATCTTGGAGACGATTCTACCGATGTTACCGGTTCCGATGACACCAACGGTTTTGCCGTGCATCTCACCACCGACCAGTCCGTCGAGTGAGAAGTTACCTTCTCTGACACGCAGGTACGATTTGATAAGCTTACGGTTGAGCTCGAGCAACAGCATGACAGCAAACTCTGCGACAGAGTGTGGTGAGTAGGCAGGTACTCTCAGTACGGTGATTCCAAACTCTTTGGCAGCCTTCAAGTCGACATTATTGAAACCGGCACATCTCAGCAGCACACACTTCACACCATTGTTACCGAGTACACTCAATACCGTTCTCTCCAAACAATCATTTACAAATGCACAGACTGCATCGAATCCTTTTGCAATTTCAGCCTGCAAAATAAATAAAATTAACAGTGATAAATAATAATAATATTCATTATAAGTGTTATTATTACTTACAGTTTGTTCGTTCAAAGGAACATCTAAATATTTGATTTCATGTGAACTTTTAGTTTTATCAAAATATTCTGACCAATATTTCTTATTTGAAAATAATGCAATCTTCATCTTTAAAAAATAAGATAAGATATAGATAGATCTATTAATATAAATATATATATTATTTAACTGTATATGTTTTTATTTGTTTATTACCTACCTTTTAATTTAATTATTTACAATGAACAGTATAAATATTTATTTATAGATATTGGCTAGTCTAAGTAATTCTATGATGTTGTTCAACAATGAGATGATTTAATTTCATAAAATAACATTATTTTTAAAATCATGTGTGAATTAAATAATTATGTGGGGTGGTGTGTGGTTTGGGAGTTGTGTATTAAACGCGAGTTGATGAACCTATAAAGATGACACGTTTAAACAGTTTTTTTGACTTGTTTAATTTTGTGGTTTTGGTCTGACCAAATTTAGATTTTTATTGCAAAATAAAATGATCATCAAACCTTTTTTTCATTTCACCTTTGAAATTAAATGTTATTTATCTTTTTTTCAAGAATGTTATAAAATAGATATCCTTTTTATCTAATTTTGATTGTCACTATTTCTAACTATTTTAATCATTTTGAAAAAAAAAAACCTTTTTTTAAAGAATAGTCCAAAAGTGATTTGAGAGTCGCAAAAAAAGATGAAGATCTGATTTTTATTAATCACTTTTTTTTTTGTTTTCTCAAAAATGATTAAAATAGTTAGAAATATTACCAATCAAAATAAATAAATAGTTGAATGAGAAATAAAATGTCTGTTTATAATTATGTTTTTGATTATTATTTGGATTCTTAAGTTGAGCTGAAGATTATTTTATATACCAATAAATAATGGTAAATATCAAATAAATAAACCTCTATTTCCTCCTCATCACCTCAATTGATGCCGAAATTAATGCATTACAGTAATAATTGTTGGTAAAAAACAATACTGAATTGTTTCACTACGTTTTCGTCTGACTTTCCCTTTTTCTATTGCTTCCTTTAGGAGACAACGCTTTCTGTAGGGAATTTAGACTAGTCTTTTCTGTTCAACACTGCACAGTGTAAAGATAAGATGGATCTAACAAAAGGCCACAGCTTGTCAGTCATTCCTGAGACATTCTTAATGGATAACTGATCGGTGGTAAAGGTTCCCACCTTCCCGATTAGGTATGATATACTCGAAAAGCCTAAGATGAGTATTTGTAGTAAATTTATTGATAGAAGCAAAGACAATTATTCACAAAAATATGTTTTCTCGTTGTAACCTATCATTGAATGTATGTATGTATAAATAGATAGACCAACCCCATATAAATACACTTATTAGTTATAGTGCTAACATTTTTAGATTAGGAGAAAGCATTGTATACATTGAATTTTCAATCAACTTTTTCAATATATTCTATATTCCATGGTCTAGTTAATTAGAATCCAAATAATAATCAACAACAATAATAATAAACTTAATATTAAGTTCACAATAAAATAAAACAATTGTTTCGTTTTTTCATTGTTTTCGTTTTTTTCTTTTTTTTTTTTTTTTAATATTAATAATTTAACGATAGATACATTTAAAATTCTAGATAGTTTGATAGATAGATTATTTAAAGATGGATCAATTAACAGAGTTAGTACCATTCCTTCAAGAACAAAAACCAGAGATCAAGATCCTTGCTTTACAACATATTGCAGGTGTCTCTGGTGAACAGCCAGCAAGAGATGTTCTCAAGAAAACAAATATCATTAACCTTTTAATTAGATTGATTGGTGATGAAAATCAAGTAATTATCTACAATGATTAATAATAATAGATTTCTGAATATATTCTAACACTTATAATGTTGTTATTTTCATATTTAGACTATTAACAGATTAACATTGACAACACTCATTAACTTTTGTCAAGATAACGATATGTTGAATGATATCGTAAAGAGAAACATCGTACCAAGATTGGTCGATGGTACAACCGATACAAAGAATAAACTAAGAGAGATCTACTCTATTCTCTTATCAAACATTACACATACAAAAGAGGGTTGTATTTCATTAATGCAAGTAAGTAATAAGTAATAAGAAAGATAAAAGATATCATACTCACATATTAATCGAATCGTTACTTTTACAAACAAAAACAAAAACAAATTAGTATGGTAGAGAATTACAAGGATTTTATATTTTGAAATTATCGAATCTCTTGACTGTTAGTGAAGGAGATGAAGATATCTTGGTGAGTAAGAAGGGTGCTTGGGTAGTCAATATTCTTTTGAATATTACACAGATCGAAGAGGGTAGAAATATCATTTTGAACCAAGAGAATGCAATCTTCAAGTCGTTGTTGCCATTGATTCAACATCAATCGGTTGTCATTCGCCGTGGTATCGTCGGTATCATTAGAAACTGTTGTTTCAGTGAAACCGATCATCCATACCTCCTGTCAGAGTCAATTGATGTCTTAACAAAGATTCTACTTTTAATTAGAGGTTCTGATATTTTAACTGATGAAGTATGTATTGTTTATAAACCAACTATAATAAAATATATATAATCTAACTAACGAGCAACTAATCTAATAATAACAATAGGAAATGGAAGGAATGAATCAATTATTACATAATAAACCAGAACAAGCAAGTATAGAGAGAGAACAAGATAAAGAAACAAGAAAGATGGTTATTGAATCATTGATTTTCTTGACTGGTACAAAAGAATCAAGAGCTATTTTAAGAGATAAAAAGACTGTATGTATTAGTTAATTATTAAATATTGTTATAATAATGTTGTTGTTGTTTGTTGTTTATTAATAAATACTTTTTTTGTAAAACAAATCAAAAACTATTATAGTATCCTATCATTAGAAACTATCATTTAACTGAAAAGGATGAAACTATTGGTGAGAATATCGAAAAGATTGTTGAAATGTTGATTAGAGACGAAGAGGAAGAAGATACCACCGCTAAAGAGAATAAAGTCGTAGAAATGGATACAAAGAAAGATGATGATGACAACGATGCTTCTACAATTGAAATCGAAGAGATCTAAACTCTCTATAAAGAAATAACAAAATAAAATACTAAAATACTAAAAATACTAAACTATATTATATCGTCGTTTTATTATTTATTGACATGATTCATTGTGAATACAGTATCACATTCTAACCACATCAATGCAACTCTCGCAGCATGTTCAGTTATCATTGATATCTGTTGAACCGATTCCAGAGGGAACTTTCGCAGTACGTAGCTAGCTATATCTTCACCTGGTCGTGGAGAACCAATTCCGATTCGAAGTCGCGCGAACTTCTCCGTACCCAATCGATTGATGATATCTTCCAAACCGTTTTGTCCACCACTACCACCCTTTGTACGTAGTTTAACCTTGCCAAGATCCACCGCCATATCGTCGACCATAATCAAAATATTGCCAATCGGTACATTATAGTGATTGTGTAACGATCGAACCGATCCACCACTTAAATTCATGAACTTCATAGGTTTCGCAAGAATAACTTCATAAACAACTTGATTAGGTTTCTTAATTTCCATAATAATATCTTCTTCTTCTTCTTCTTTTTCTTCTTCTTCTTCTTTTTGATTGTTGTTATTTACATCTTCTTTATCTTGTTGTTGCTTAATTGTTGTTGTTGTTGTTGTTGATATCTTTTGTTTTTTCGATCTTTTTTGTTTTTGATCTAATTTCAACCAGGTTGTGGTGATGTGTGAATGCTTTACATCGTTGTTTATGTCTGTTCCGAGTAGTTGTGCGAGTTTATCGATTGCCAAGAATCCGATGTTGTGTCTGGTGAATTGATACTCCTTACCGGGATTACCGAGTCCCACTACCAAATATCGATGTTTGGCACGTACCTGTTCCAAAGGTTGTTTCACCACCAACGCTCTTATCAAATCATTACGCTTTTCATTCATAATAGTTGTAGTTGTCGATACATATTTAGGTGGCTTTGCTATACTTTCATAGATAAAACCCGTCTTTTTATTGATTATTTGTTTTTTATTTATATTTATTTCATTATCTATACTACTACTATTAGTACAACTGTTTTCTGTTGATAAAGTATTTAAAGTTGATTGTTGTGTTGTTGTTGTTGTAGGTGTTGTTGTGAAATACTTTAAACTACTACTTCTACTATAAGATTTATATGAATATGGTGAATATAATTTCCTCACACCACTACTAATCGAATTATATGTATTTCTTAACATTTTACGATGATATGATCATATTAATATTACTTGAAAAAACAAAACAAAAAAAGTAAACTGCGATTCTGATTCACCAAAACAATAAAAAAAAAACAAAAACTCTTGTTTTACTATTTTATTTTTGTAGTTTAATCATATATAAAAATTGGATAATTAAGATTTGAGAATAAAAAACATCATTGCTATTTAAGGATAAATATATTTGATTGTAAATTTATTTTCTTCTTCGTTGTAGGTGACAAAAGTCTTTCCATATTGAAATAGACGTCGTTCTCTATCATCTTCAGCCTGGACTTCGATTTTCGCTACCTCTACATCTGTATCTAACCAATCACCTTTCCAATTGACCATTGAACCAGACTCGAAAATATATTGGTCAACCTTTGGTTGCTCTGAGAGTTGTAAAAACTCTGCTTCTCCACAAACAGTCGATACATTATTAATATCAGATGATGGTGTCAATATAACTGTATACCTCATTTTTCTATTACTGATATTTAAATAACTATATATTCTATTTTATTACTATTTCTACTCTTCTATTATTATTATTACAATTAATATTATAAATATTTTAATTTTCTAATTCTAATTTTTAAAATAGAAAAAAAATAATAATAAAAATGTACCAAAGTTTGATTTCAATTTATTTTTTTTGTTTAAATTTATTTATTGTAGTGGAATAAATCAGTTGCTACATTAATTTATCTATGTAATGTTATTAATCGAAATACAAAGGCAACTTTAAAAATAATATTGTAATATTGTTATTTTATTTTTGTAGGAACGAATGGTTGACTTGTTTTTTTTTTTTTTTTTTTCATCCAACCAAACCCTATTTTTTGAAAGTTAATCATATGAAGTAAGAGTATGAACTCACATTAATACTACTCTGTTATTTTTGTTTTCATTTTTTTTTGTAATTAATTAATAAATCATTCTTTTTAATTCTTAATCCATCATCCATTGAACCAAATCTTTACAAAAAAAAACAAAACAAAAAATAGAAAAAATTGGTTTTGGATCAGATCTTTGTTTAAATCTCAAGTTCGTAATGGTTGAAAACAGTTTTATAAGTGTGTTGATGATCAATGAAACCATCACTTTTTTGATCGTTCAGTCTCCCAGTAAATTACAATAGCATCAATTAATATGATAAATTTGATTGTGACAAATCTATGCTAAAATATTAATAATTTAGTGTAATTCCACTATTCTAGTTTATTTTCATCTCTAAAGTGATATTTTATAAGTAATATTAAGTAAAAACATAAATAAAATAATCTAGAAATAATAATATCTTCTATTTTTGTTGTTTTTTAGGTTTTTTTTTTCTACTTTCTAAAATTTTAAAATTTATATGTTATCATGTAGTTGTTGAATATCTATATAGTTAATTAATTAGTTAAAAGTAGAATAAAATAAATATAGTTAGAATACTAAAATAAACAATGCAATCTAGATTATATTTAATCTCAACAACATACCGTCATCATTTAAAATATGAGCGTCATCATCTTCAATTCCAAATTCATCATCTGCTAATGAGCCTGGTTTGATACCTAAAGTACTGTATTTATACTCTTTGATGATACCAATCTTTCTGTAGAATGCAAGCTTCTTATCGGGATTCTTGTGTAGGTAGTAAGCACCACCAACCAAAGCCATTGCAATACCCAGGAGAATGAGAATGGCGGCAACCCAACCATGTGATTTTCCTGATGATGAACCATCGGAACAATCTTTATAGGCTGGTTCATATGAATCTGCAACACCATCTCTACATAAATCACCAGCAACCTTTCTAAATCTATAATTATAGATATAAATATAAGTATTAATAAATACATAGTTAGATGAATCTAGACAAAACATACCCTTTGGTTACAAAATATTTTGTACCGGATGGACAGAATGAAGGTGGATAGGTTGGTGGAGTGTAGTCTTTCTCGAGAGCACAGACAAGTTTTTCGGCGTCGTCTGGTGATACCTCTTTGTAACCGATGTCACATTCGTAGTCGTCCACAGTGCAGTTTAGGATATGGGGGTCTTGAACTGGCAATGCATCTTTCTGGAAACAGTTGGCATCCTGTCGGACTCTGGTGTAGGTTATGGTGTGACCGAGTATCGCAGGTGTGACATACTGCTCGTGATCGTTGTCAGTACACTCTGGCAAGCCGAGCGGTGCGAAATCCAAACCGAAAACAATACCCTCGGACGGCACATTGTTGTTATTCATACCGAGAATGATAAACTTGGTGGAATCACCCTCTGGATCGGTTATGATATTCTTGATATCGATCTTACCAAGAGTCATTTGGAAACTCTTGAAGCTAACACCCTGATCAGTGGAATATAAAAGATTATCGGTATCACCAGTTGCATTTGCCATCAACAGAATAGTTCCATGATTTCCAATTTCATAAATAGTTGGACTACATTTAAATGTATGTGTTAATAACAAGATATTGTTGTTGTTCAAAGAATTGAATTTAACTTTTTAAAACTTACCCTCCATAAACAGACTTCCATGACTTTCCAGAATCTCTAGTTAGGTATGTACCGATTTTCGAGGCTGGAGTATCGAATGACAGTTGCTTACCAACGTTACCGGTGGATAGTGCCAGACCAATGGCGGAATCGGTAGAGTAGAATGGTCCGTACTCCTTCAGCGAGTCGAGGAATGTAGTGATACCATAGCAGTTAAGGAAGGTACCCTTTTGTGATCCACTTGGAGAGTTTAATTGTTTCCACTTTCCACCGTTGTCATAGGTGATCTTTGTAATGAAATTGTTACCCGACACGATCTGGTTGGCAACGTAGGCACCCTTCAAACCACTGATCGGTGTGAAATCATATTGACCCTTGAACGATACCTTATCCATTGACTTGGTGAACTTGCTACCAGTAGAGTCAGAGGTATACACCGTTCCATATCTATAGTTATCCTTCATTTGAATACCCAACCAAATAGCACCAGTTGAATCATCTATAATTTTATATTCCTAGGAAGTAACAAACAAACAAACAAACCATTAGTTTAACTTTATATATATACATTATAAAAAAGATTAGATATATTTACATTTGGTTGTATATCATCACCAAATGGGAAATCACACATTAAGAATCCCATTTTATCATTGTTGACTGGCATTGTGTTGCTTCTGACAAAGAGATTGGAACCACCTTGATTCTTATCGTATGCACCGATGTATACAAAGTTGTCGGTGCTGGTCATCGATTGTGCACCGGTAACCAAGATCGTTTCAGTATCACCATTGTCATTGGAGTAGACCAATTTGGTGCCATCTTTTTGTGTGACGATAGCAAAGATTGCAGAGGTAGCCTTTGGATCGGTGTTCTTAATGGGATCCCACATCACATCGGTCACAGTATCCTTCTTGTACACCTGATTCCAAGTGTAACCGAAATCGGTCGATATCCAAACAGTCTTGTCAGTTGACAAAGCCAACAGATTTCCAGACTTCCACTTGTTCGGTAGAATATACTTGAATCGTTTGCCACTAAGCTCTTTGGTTGTAAAAGTCTCACCATAATTCTTTGAAATATATAAAGTTGTATCTTTTCCTTCATTCGATTGTAACAATATCTAAATATTAACGATAGCTATTAATATTACACATATATATTGTTATTGTTATTGTTATTATTTACATTTTTACGATCTGTATCAATTATTATTTCATCATGAGAAACAATATCATCATTTGCAACATTTATTTTATTCCAATTTTTTCCACTATCGGTTGTTCTCCAGGCTGCTTTATCTTGATCCACTATCAAAGCAATCTTTTAATAGTTAATAATTTTGATTCTATTTGTTTTTTTTTATTTCAATTATACATACTTCAGAAGTTAAGTAAACTACACCAAAATCAGGATTCCAATTTATGTTGGTCTTAGAAAATAGAATCAGTAAGTTAAGAAAAATAAAAATAAAAATTAATATTATTTTCTTTTGTTTGCAGTAATGATTGATAATATATCCATTATCCTTTTATTTTTTTAGTATTGTTTTGTTTCTTTTGTACTTACTGAGGTTTGTGATGGTACTGGATCTGCAGCATTTATATAAATTGAAAATAAAAGCACTTTAAAAAGTACTAATATTGTGAATGATCTATTTATCATTATTTTCTTTCTTTCAATGAAAAAGAATCGAATTTGAACTAAAAATAATAAAATTGATCAAATTTATATATCTATATATATTAAAACTTTATCTATATATCAATCTATCTATCTATATATATTAAAAAATAATATAAAACAATATTTTATATATTATATTAATAATAGTAAAAAAAATTATTTGAAAGGATAAGTTATACGATTTTAATTATATATATATAAAGAAAAAAAAGAAAATTAATTAGAAAAATAAATTAAACAAACAATTAATTAAATCACAAATAAATAAATACAATTATTTTTGTTTAATTATATATTTATTTATTCTTGACAACAACAGAATAAATTAACTACAAAAAAAAAAGAACAACATCACTTTCTACATTTAATTTAAACCACTAGCTAACTATCAAATTCAATTCAATTCATCTATTAACACAGTAATATAATATAATTACTGATAGTCTAGAATTGAAAGAAGGTAATTGTATACTATTGTAAATACTGACCACCACCACCATCCCACACCACAAAATAAAACAATAAATAAACACACACCTCTCACTTCTCATTTTCAATCCATTCATCACCACCAAGAAAGTAATAAATAAAACATACCACCATTTTTTTATTTATTTTCTTTGCATAACCACAATCATAAATTAAAATAAACTTTTAAAAACAAAGTTACCAATAGATTGTAAATATTTAAAATAGTAATATTAAATTTATTTATATGTACAAAAAAGATATGTTTATTTGGTTTGATTTTGATTTGATTTGATTGTTTTGTTTTAAAATATAAATATTATTCTTTGTTTATTCTTTGATATCACCAATACCATCAGAGTAGATTGCAAATTGTTTTTCATCTTCTGGTAAACAAGGTGAATCGTAGATCTTACAAATTCTGTTCTCTCCTTTACCTTTTCTGAGTGAGAGACGTGTGGTTGATGCGTGAGCCATGATGTGACCACCGATCGGTTTGTTTGGGTTGGGATTGAACATTGCACCACCGTCGACCTGTGCCACCACTTGATTGGTGATGACAACGGCTACACCAAACTCGTCGGCCAATCTCTGTAGGGCACGAAGGAATCGCGCCAGATGACGCTGACGATCGGACAACTCACCTCTACCGCTGTAGTCTGTACGGTACAATGATGTTGCACTGTCTACGATCAACAAGATGTAACGCGATTCCGACATCATTGCCGATGCCTGAACAAGTAGCTGCATCTGATGATCAGAGTTGTAGGCACGTGCATAAGCGACGTTGTCTAGGACGTGCTCACCGTTCAAGTTGTAACGCTCGGCGATAGCGAGCAATCTCTCTGGACGGAACGTTCCCTCGGTATCGATGTAGAGTGCACGTCCTTCACCTCCACCCTGTGCCAACGTCAACTGGCATGTAACACACAATGTATGACAAATCTGTGTCTTTCCCGTACGGAACTCTCCAAAGATCTCTGTAATCGAACCGGTCTCGAAACCACCCTCCAACAAGCTATCCAACTCTTTCGAACCGGTTCTAATTTGAACGATCTGTTTACGCTGTGTATTGAAATCGGTTGCACTGACGAAACCCATCGGTACGAGCTTGGCTGCTTCTGCCAAGAGTTTCTCTGCTTTCGGTTCCGATATATTCTTGATGGCACAGAGCGTCTTCTTTGTGGAATAGGCAATCGATTGTACTGTATGTAAACCTGCTTCTGCCAACTTCTTGAGATCGGCCGCTGTAATACCGTTACCCTCTAACTTTGATAACGGAATGGCACCTTGTTCTTCATCTTCCTCTTCAGCTTCCTCGTCTTGAACTTCAATATGTTCTTCTGTTTCTTCTTGTTCTTCTCTAACTCTTTGTCTTTGCATTTTTCTTTAAATCTTCAATTGATCTTTCTAATTAATTTATAAATATATATTAGTTTGTATGTTAACTTAATAATGAAGCATACAAAAAATTGGTATGTTTTATTCAGCACCCCTCTCAAAAATTTAAAATTTAGTGGAAAAAATCTTAAAATTTTTCCAAGAAAAAAAAAGAATTTCGCTGCCAATTGGAAGATGGTTTTGTTGATGAATTTGCTTGCTAAAAAGAAATGTTTTTGAAAATATTGTATTAAAATCAACTTTGATAAGTATTTTGAACTACATCAACATAAACAGTTGATTAATAAAAAAATATTGATTGAACATTTGACATTTAGAGCAATTCATATAGAATCTTATAATATGTGAAACTTTTGGTGATCATTGAATATACTCCAAATGGTAAATCATTAAGTTTTTGAGCTCGATAACCTTATAGATAATTTAATTGATTCACTGGATCATATCCTCCGTAAGCATACAATTCACAAATGTTTTCTGATATTATTGTTTCACTGATTTATGTTGGAATATAGTTTTGTATTAATAAGTAAAAATGATTTGATTTTTGATTGTTAGTTTGCTTGTTTACTATTTTAAACTTACATAGTTTCAGTATTCAAATCAAAAATTAATAGATATGAAACATTTAAAGGACAATATGTTGCAAATGCCAATCCATTTTGAAGATCAATACTATTGTATTGGCAATTAATTAATGGATTCTCAGGTAAATAGAAACTTGCTTTGGTTGTGAGTGTACCGGTCTATAATCATGAAGATAGATTTGAATTCATTATTTTGAATAATAGTTTGATAGGAATTCTTTTTTAAGATAGGTGGGTAATAACTACTTACTTCAGATTTGAGAATTGAAATATTGAAATGATATCTGTACATGAAAGTATAGTCGGTTGAGCAACTGTCGAATCTATTCTCACCAACAATAAAAATAAAATAATAAATGAAATAGAATAAGTCATTTTTAATAAATTACATTGTGATTGATTTTTTTTTTTCTATCAAAAAAGATATTTTGGAGTCAACTGAAGTTAACAATTCTTTTCGATGTAGAAAATAGATTCAATCAATTGTTATCGAATGACTCCTATATTACAAATATTGGGTCATGGTTGAATAAGATTCTTCGGTGACAGTCTAGATATTTTAACTTATTAATTCTTACCACCGAATGTAAGTAATAGTTATAACTGCAGTGTTATACTCTATAATTATAATTATATATGGTTAAAGCATGAACAGGTAGACTGTGGTGACATCACGTTTGAGAATTAATTTTTTGTATTCTCATCTTGCCGAATCGATACGAATTGTTCACATATATAAGTGTAGTATTGATGATCTTCTTAGTGAAGGTCCGGGTCTGACCACCGTGGTTGATGAATCCGGTACCAACAATAACAACAACAAATAATGCAACAAATGAAGTGTGTCTGTAACACATCAACTAGTTTTAAATTGTACCAAATAATACAAATACGATAGTCCTTCCACCGGAATTCAAACCAAAGTCGAAAAAGACAAAGACCGAGATGCATAACAGTAGGTTGTACCAACTCGGTTCAGAGCACCAAACACAACGGTAGCATTACAGTTGGTTGATACTTCAGAAACTACAATACCAACAGCCCCAACACAGAAACAAACAATGCCTCAGAAGAACCATCATGATAAATAAATAACCATAAATCATCAATCAATATGATTCCATCAATAATATATTTAATTTGTTCTTTCCTTATTACGCTCAAGAATTATAATCTTATCGATAAAGATCTTTGAATTTTTTGTTTTTAAAAAAATCGATAAAGGGTAATTAAATCATCTGGTTTCTAATTATTTTGTTTCCGCAACACCAAATACAACTTAAGAAGTAGAGGTCCAGCCTATTTATTTTTGGGAATTCAATTAATTTGTTAGAGACTCCAAGTTGACTTAGAATCTTTAGAGATATTGTAATCTTGTTTGTCACTATTGGTATTTTTAACTGATTTGTATATATGTATAATAAGAGAATACAAAAAAAACTGTCCAAAAAAAAACCCAAACCTATAAAATGAAATAACACATATATAATAATTTAAATAGTAATATTTATACCAAATTATAATAATTTTTTATTTTATATCAATATTGTTGATTATTGAGCACAAAACATATTTTCCAAGAAATTCTCTGGGAATTTTGTTACAAGGTTTGGAATTGTGTGGTTGGTGAATTGTTCTGTTTGAAGATCGATTGTGTATATCGTATAATTGTTTGCATAAGGTGCAACAATCACAAAATATCCATTATCATCTAATACAAATCCAACAAATCCTTCGTCATCAACAAAATTCTCTTTAAAAACATTGTGTGCTTTCTTTGTATTAAAATCAACTTTGATCAGTTGATAATATGTATTTTGAACAACACCAACATAAACAGTTGATTGATAAACATATATTGATTGAACATATGATAAAAAGTGCAACACATATGGAATCTTATAATATGTGAAACTTTTGGTGATCATTGAATATACTCCAAATGATAAAGCTTGAAGTTTTTGAGCTCGATAACCATATAGATAATATAATTGATTCACTGGATCATATCCTCCATAAGCATACAATTCACAAATGTTTTCTGATATTATTGTTTCACTGATTTATGTTGGAATATAATTTTGTATTAAATATATAGATGTTGATTAATAATAATAAGTAGAATATTAAATTGAATTTAAAACTTACATAGTTTCAGTATTCAAATCAAAAATTAATAGATATGAAACATTTAAAGGACAATATGTTGCAAATGCCAATCCATTTTGAAGGTCAATACTATTGTATTGGCGAACAATCAATGGATTCTCAGGTAAATAGAAACTTGCTTTGGTTGTTAGAGTACCTGTCTATAATCATGATGATTTATTAGAATTCATCTTTTAGATTAATAAGAGAGAGTAATATAATCAGTACTTACTTCAGAATTGAGAATTGAAATATTGTAATGACCAGGATGTGGTGCAGCACTTTGAGTCTTCATGATATAATAATCATTTCCAGAACATTTTAACAAATCAAATATATAATCTTGTATGTCGATATTATAATTTTGAAGTATTGTTCCGTTGATTAAACTAATCGATGTAAAGTTGATATCTGTACATGAAAGTATTGTTGGTTGAGCAACTATCGAACCAATTCTCATCGACAATAAAAATAATATGACTAATGAAATAGAATAAACCATTCTTTAATAAATTAAGAAAAATAATGTTTGTTTTTTTTTTTATAAATTTTACATTGGAATAAATCATCGGAATTAATTATCAAACAAAGATTTTTTGAAAATTACTTTGAATTTTTACACTTCACAACATCAAATTGTGACAGCCAGCGTAATTACCCTTGGAGCTAAAAAATTGAAAAAATTTCCTGGCAAATGGGTTCGAACTTGAGAAGCAAGTTAATGAGGGTAAAATGAAAAACAACTCAAATAAAAATATTAATTTAAGAAAAATAATTAAAAAAGAGGGTGGTAGTGAAGTCCAAGTTATAAAGTGCCATTTTAAAAAGAAATTAGTGATTTTAATTTATTGCATATATATTAATATAGTATTTATTTATTTATTTTTATTGTTTTTAACTTTCTCTATTAAATTTTTTTAAAAAGTTTTTATATTTCTTTTTTTTTTTTTGAAAACTTTTTTTTTTTTTTTAATTAAAGATTTGATCTAAACTGTAGGTAGCATCATCGTATGACTTTCTGTAGGTGGTCATGTATTTCGATCTGATATCTTCGTATTTTGGGGGGTGATTGACTTTGATGACTTTTGTTTCTCGAGATCGGCGATTTGACTTTGGATTTGGGTGATTTGGGTGTCTTGATCACTCAAGTCCTTGAGACGAGCAGAGAACACTGGATCGATGGTGGAGATCGATTGGATGAGCTTGTTGATAGCGGCGGCATCCTTGTATCTCGATTCGATGGCCTGCTTCGAGGTTTGGTAGGCGGTGCTCGATCCGGAACGCGAGAGATCCTGGAGGGCCTGCTCGATCTCGATGTGGTACTGGAGACGCGACTCAAAGAGAGCGAAGAATTGTTGGGCGAGTTTGTCAACCTCTGGAGCACGTGCGATCTTTGGTCCCTTACGGATCAACGAGAAGTCGAGACGCGAACCAACCATGAACATAACGCAGAGGGTGAAGACGGCGCCGATTGCCAAGAGTGGCTCGTGGAGAATCGAGAATGCAGCCATCGAGTAGGAGATTTGAAGGGTCTGAGTTTGTTCGATCGATGTCCAGTCACGACGCAAAACGATTACTGGACGTCCGACAGTGTCGAGGAATGTCTTACGCAAGGAATCTTCACGTGTGAATTGGAATGGTGCGGAGACTTGGATGTCCGATGCACCCTCGGGGAGCACAACGATGAGCTGGTGGTGAACAGCGTAGATATCGGCGATACCAACACCAAAGGTGGCGTTCAAAACGTAACGACCGGACTTGTCGTCGACAAACAAGACGCTCGACGATGGCAAATTGTAACCGGTGTAGAACTCGTTCTTCCAACCACCAAACAATGGGAAACGTGGAGTGATCTTAAAGTCGAGACGGTCGGCATGGTGGAAGTACTGCGAGGTCGAGATGTTTCCGATGTAGTCACGGTAGTAGAAATCGGCGGCACCAAGTGGAACACGCTCGACAATCTCGGCGACGTGAGCGGGTGATGCGTGTTGCTGACGTTGGTAGTCGAAACGTGAGAACGATCCCTTGAGAGCGGCACCACGATGCTCGACGGCGTAGTTGGTTTCGACGGCGACGTTACCCCAGTGCGATACCTCGTACTCCTTGGTGAGCGAGTTCAACATGACGAACGGTGAGTTGTTCTCAAAGTGCACGGACAACTGGTGGTAGCTGAGTGGAGCGATGTCCTTGTATGGACCGTAGACGATGCTGCTGCCCTTGACGATCGATGGTGTGAGAGTCGAGTGATTCTCAATCTTGGAGCTGGCCAACTTCAATGTTGTCTTTTGGCTGACTGTATCGTATGGTGAACTGAAATAGGTGTTCTCCTTGAAAGTCACCAATTGATTCGAAATCTGACCGACATGTGTTGGATATGGGTGTTGTTGTCCCATACCAACAATCTTGAGTTTCAATGACAAAAACTGATCCAGCTCCAACTGTTTTTCTTAATTGAACATCATATAAATTATATCTAAAAAAAAAATGTTGGTTATTAAAAAAAATTAGTTATTTTCTAAATATGTATATTTTTGTGAAGTGTGTGTGTATATTTTTATTTATATATATCAATTGAGTGTGAATATGTGGAAAGTGAGTCAAAATGAAATGTTTTCATATGAATTTGGTAAATATATCTGAAATATAGATATAAATATCTAAACATATCTATTTGTTTTGTTTGTTTTTTTCTAGAAAAAGATAAAGATAAATCCAATGAATCTTGGATGACAGAATGTTGAATGATTGAATGATTGTGATTGATAAACTAAACTTACGTTTGTTGGTTGTGTGTTTTGGCGGAAGATTTGATGATTTCAAGTTGTTGGCTGTCACCATCTATGAATGCTTGAAGACTTGCATGCTCAGTTGATGAATGGAGAGCAAATGTATATGAGGAGGCAGCAGTTGATGCTGTATTTTTGGCTTTGATGTCGACGGTCTGCTTGGCAAGCTGTGAGGTGAGGTCGATGCTACGGGTGACCTCCTCATTGAGCCAATTGGCATGAGTGGTAGCCGCTGCACTACAGACAGCCACCAAAGTAACTGTCAGAACAACCAATGAAATGATATTTCTGTTCATCTCTTATTGTTATCTATCTATTATCCTACAATCCTATACTACTATCCTACTATCCTATCTATCTTATCTAACTCTTTTTAAATTTAATTAATTTAAAATAAAAATAAAAAAAGATAGATAATTAATATATTATAATATAACAACAACAATAAAAATAAATACAATTTAACAAAACAAAAAAAATTGAGGGACCAGTCACCAAGCTCCTTTTTTTTTTTTTGCAAGTGGAGTTCAATCAATCATTTAAACCACTATTGCACATCAAAAAAAAAAAAAAAAAAATAACAAAAAAAAAAAACTTTTTCAATTTTGACTTTTTTAGTGGGAGTCAATAAAAAAAAAAAATGAAGATCAAAGGATTAAATTTATCTGTTTTACTTTCGTTTTATAAATAGAAAAGACATAAGATAAATAGATAGATAATTAAATAAAATAAATATGAGTTTTTGAGAAAAATCAAAAAATAAACTAAAATAAAAACATAAAAATAAATTAAAAAAATAATATAATATATGAATTGATATATATGTATAGACTTAAATATATTATTCTTCTCTTTTTGTAATTTCAAATATCATATAATTAATTTTATAATTATTTTGTTTTCATATACCATATTTTTAATGAACAAGTATTAAAAAAAGATGAATTCTTAATTAAAGTCATATCACTTTCCTCATCTTTTACGAATGTTTAAGTTAATTAATCTTATAGATTCAAAATCTATTCGTATATCTTAATGAATTTAAATAATCGAAAAACGAAATATTCGTTAAATTAAAAATTTTTTTTTATCTGTTATAAATTTTCAAAATTTAAACTTTTTCATTAATTTGATTTTGTTTTTGAGATCTCATTGTCTTTTGTTTGAATTTTATATATTTATATATATATATATAATAGATTAATTAAATATATTTATAATATTGTAGTATAGTAGATAGATAGTTATATATAGTCATAAAAGATGAATAGCGATACAGAGATGACTGATCAACAGTCAACATCGACAACAACAACTACCAATACTACAGCAGCTGCTGTTTCGAATAACAATGAAACATCAGGTACAAAAATAGATGAGATCAAATCAACTGTTAAATCACAGAGAGTAGCTACTCACAGTCATATCAAAGGTTTGGGTTTGAACTCGGACGGCACTGCCAATGTGATCGGTGACGGTCTGGTCGGTCAGACCAAGGCACGTGAAGCATCCGGTATCGTCGCCGAGTTGATCCGTTCCAAGAAGATGGCTGGCAAAGCGTTGCTCATGGCCGGACCACCCGGCACCGGTAAGACAGCGTTGGCACTCGCCATCGCTCAGGACCTCGGTAGCAAGGTGCCGTTCTGTCCGATGGTCGGTTCCGAAGTCTACTCGACCGAGGTGAAAAAGACAGAGATTCTCATGGAGAATTTCCGTCGTTCGATTGGTCTACGTGTAAAAGAGACAAAGGAGGTATACGAGGGTGAAGTCACAGAGATTACTCCGGAGGAAACAGACAATCCACTCGGTGGCTACGGCAAGACCATAGCGAGTGTCGTCGTCGGTCTAAAGACAACCAAGGGAACGAAACAGCTGAAACTCGATCCCACTATCTACGAGGCGATTCAGAAGGAGAGAATCACACCGGGCGACGTCATCTACATCGAAGCAAACAGCGGTTCGGTGAAGCGTGTCGGTCGTTCCGATTTCTACGCTACGGAGCACGACCTCGAAGCCGAGGAGTACGTTCCACTCCCGAAAGGAGAAGTCTTCAAGAAGAAGGATATCATTCAGGACGTCACTCTACACGACTTGGACTTGGCCAACGCCAAGCCACAGGGTGGACAGGACATCATGTCGATGATGGGTCAGATGATGAAACCCAAGAAAACAGAGATCACAGAGAAGCTGCGTTTAGAAATCAACAAGATCGTCAATCGCTACATCGAGCAGGGTGTCGCAGAGTTGGTGCCGGGCGTGTTGTTCATCGACGAAGTACACATGTTGGACATCGAGTGTTTCTCCTACTTGAATAAAGCATTGGAATCAACGTTGGCACCGATCGTTATTTTCGCTACGAATCGTGGAAATTGCGAGATCAAAGGAACCGACATTGTTTCGCCACACGGTATCCCAGTGGATTTGCTAGATCGTCTGATGATTATCCGTACACTGCCCTACTCGTTCAATGAAATCGTACAGATTCTCACAATTAGAGCAACCGTAGAGGCACACAAGATCGAAGATGACGCACTGCAGTATCTCGCAGAGATCGGTGACAAATCGTCACTGCGTTACGCCATCCAACTACTCACACCATCCGCCATACTTTCAAGAACGAACGGACGTCCCTCCATTACCAAAGACGACATTGAAGAAGTCAACAGTTTGTTTAGCGATGCCAAAACCTCTGCAAAATTACTTGAAGAGAATAAGTCAAAGTATCTCTATTAATTTATTTTTTTTTAAAAAAAAAACAACAAATCATATAACATTATTTAAAATAAAAAAAAAATAAATAGAGATAAATTAATTACAAAATCATTTATTATCTATCTTTTATTTTATCTATCTGCAAAATGATCGATTAAATCTTTATTGAATACTCAAAGAATTAAAACTAGAGTTCTTCAGATGGTAGTTTATTAATTCCTTTTGCACAAAAAAAGGTAGTTCAGTTCAAATTGGCGGACAAAATTTTTGAAGATTATCAAAATCCATTTGAAGCTTCAGCCCATGCCATGATAACAATGGAAATTTTTACATTATTTCCAAAGACCAATTCATTAAATACAAAGTTGAGACCAACCAAATCTCCGATCTCCAGCCATTAATCAACAAGAATTCATATATCAATTTGATGTTTCACCAAGGTCAACCCTTCATCTATTCATTTGGTGGAGTTAATTTTGGAAATGTTAAATATTCAATTATATTTGACCAATGGGACCGATTCTTTGTTGAAGACCAAAAAGATAGAAGATGGTGTGGAGCTGGATCAATTTCTTTTTAACAACATAATAAATAAATAAATTTTAATATATTAAATTTTTATAATAAATAATTTAATTTTATATATTTAAAAAGAATTAACTAGTTTTGTATTATTATTTTAAAGTCCAATGGATTTCAAGGTCTCATCAGAAGTGTGATTTGGTAATGTTACTTTTAATAGTGGTTCGATCTTCATGGCACGTTGGATGGTTGTCTCTGCGTTGTCGTTGTATGACCACGATCTTCTGGCAATACCATTGTTGACGTCCCATGCCAACATCATACGTGCTCGCTCCTCAGAGTCTTGTGATCCGTCCAAAACCATACCGAAACCACCGTTGATTGCTTCACCCCAACCGGTTCCACCACCGTTGTGCAGTGAAATCCATGTGGCACCACGATGAGCGTCACCAACAAAGTTTTGTACAGCCATATCGGCACAAAACTCTGAGCCGTCTACAACATTGGAGGTTTCTCTCCATGGACTGTCAGTACCACTGACGTCGTGGTGATCACGACTGATAACTACTGGTGCAGTGAGTTGTCCACTAGCAACCGCCTTGTTGAAAGCAACAGCCAACTCAACACGACCGAGTGCATCGGAATAGAGAATACGTGCTTGTGATCCAACAACCAGCTTATGTTCACCGGCTTGAGTGATCCACAAATGATTATCATTGAACTGTTGGTGAACATTGGTTGGAATATCTTCAGCTCTCAACTTTTCGATGATTTCTCGTGCGATGTCGTCTGTCTTTTGGAGATCGGCTGGATTACCACTGGTGCAAACCCAACGGAATGGACCGAATCCAAGTGAGAAGATGTCACCCATGATATCTTGTACGTAGGATGGGTAACGGAACTCCTTGGAGTTTGGCTTGAAAATATCGGCTTTGGCACGTGATGCCTCCAAGAGGAAAGAATTACCGTAGTCCCAGAACTTCATTCCACGCTTCGATAGCTTATTGATGGCATCGGCATGACGCACCAAACTCGATTCAACGAGTGATTTGAATTTCACTGGATCCTTAACCATCATTGTGTTTGCCTCCTCAAATGTGATCTCCGCTGGATAGTAACCACCGTTGTATGGGTTGTGTAGCGATGTCTGATCGGAACCGAGTTCAACATCGACGTCCGACGCCACCAGCTTCTCCCAGAGATCAACGACATTTCCATGATAGGCAATGGACATTGGTTTCTTTTCTTGTTTGGCAGACTTGATACGCTCGATCAGCTTGTCGAGATCAGAGTACACCTCCAACACCCAACCCTGAGCATGACGCTTATTGACAGCGTCGATATTCACCTCGGCAACGATACCGACGGCGCCGCAGATCACAGCGGCCTTGGCTTGAGCACCACTCATACCACCCAAACCAGAGGTAACAAACAACTTTCCACGGAGATCGTCACTCGCCATATACTTACGACCGGCATTCAGCAGTGTGATAGTGGTTCCATGCACGATACCTTGTGGACCGATATAGCAGTAGCTACCGGCTGTCATCTGTCCGTATTGCGATACACCGAGAGCATACATTCTCTCGTAGTCAGCTCTCGACGAGTAGTTTGGAATCACCATACCATTGGTAACGATCACTCTTGGACTCGATGGTTTACTTGGGAACAATCCCATTGGATGTCCGGAATACATTGACAAAGTCTGATTGTCTGTCATCTCTGAAAGATATTTCATAACCAAATGATATTGTGCCCTTTGATTGTTGTATAAAGTTAACAACCTATCTATCTATCTTGTCTAACTTATTTATAGAGTTCAACTAATAAAAATACTTACCAATTTTGGAAAACAGAACCATTACCACCATAGGTAATCAATTCATGTGGGAATTGAGCTACTTCCTTATCGAGATTATTCATAATCATCAACATGATTGCAGCGGCATGCTTGCATTTAGCAGGATATTGATCGATTGGGTAGGCTTTCATTTCATAGTTGACCGGTCTGAATCTATACATATAGATATGTCCATATCTATTGAGTTCCTCCAAGAACTCTGGTGCTAAATGTTGATGTAAACTAGCTGGGAAATATCTAAGTGAATTCTTTATTGCCAACTAAAAATAACCAAGATCGAATCAATCAATAAATATACAAGAAAGTTAAGTTTACAACAACAACAACAACAATATACATACTCTCTTTTCATTTTCAGATAGATTAATTGGACGACCTGGTGCATGTGGCACAGAGGTATCGTAAGCTGGATGTTCAGGTAATGGATTCAAAACCAAACCCTTTGTCAATGAATCTAAAACATTATTACTTCCACCCATTATTTATCTTTTTATTTTCAAATATATAAAATAACTAAATAATATAAACTAAAATAACAACAAATTAAAAAAAAAAAAACAAAGTTTTTTAGTGTTTCGATTTATGATATCAAAAAAACATCATAACTGCATAACAATTATGCAAAAAAAAACAAATTTAAAATTGAAAAAACAAAAAATCAAAAAAATAGTAAAGGGTGAAAACTCATTAATCTGTGGGAAAACTAAAAATTACATTCTAATTCGTTGTTTTTCTAAAAACCAGCCCGAAAAATTATTCTCGGGATCCTTTTTTTAAATAAATTGATTTTTTTGTTTTGCCAAAAAGAAAAAAACAGACTTTGCACCTTGGACAATCCTTTTTTAGTTATAAATAGATTAAAAAAACAAATATTTTTGTTTTTATTTGTTTTTAAATTAAATAAAAAAAATAGATAATGTTATACATATAAATAAATTATATACAAATTTGTAGATTGATTGATTTTTTTTTTTTTTAAAAATTATTATTATTGATTAATATTTGGTGATACTTTGTTTGAATTCAATTCTTTTTGTTCTTGTGATTCAGAGAGTGAGATGGCTTCCCAAATCGAATGGATCATCTGGAGATTGGAACCTGAGGACTGTGGGTTGGTGTAGACCTTGGTGATGAGGAGTGCCTCTTGGTATGGCGAGAGGATGAGTCCGAGTTGTTCGTAGGTATAGAGCAACAGCGATTTCTCTTGTTCCAAATTCTCTTTGATGGCGTCGAGACGCTCGCCCAACATGGTGATATTCGAATGGTTCTGAGTTGGACTGGTGTGTACTCCGTCTTCGTCCATCTTTTGCGTTGGCGAAGACTGTTGTTCCGTACTGCTACTTCCACTGCCACCACTACTACTACCGCCTCCACTGCTACCAAAGTAATTCCTATTGAAATTAAACACCTTGGATTGATAGAATTCCTTAACCTCTTTATTCAACACTTGTCTCTCTTTGATAAACTTTTGATGTTGTTGAGTGAAATCATTTTTCAATTGTCTAGAGGAAATGGAAATGGAAATGGATGGAAATGGAATTGGTAATTAGTTTTTATATGAATAAATTCATGATATAATAATATACATACTTAATTCTTTGAACTTGTAAATCATTTAGACTTGCTTCATGAATGTAGTGACTCCACCACGATAGTTGAACGTTGGATACGGATGCAGGTGAAGATACTTCAGGGGTGTTCATAAATGCAGGTTGTTGATCAGGTGTATTTGGAATCTGACAAACGGAAATAGAGTTCTGAGAGGATACATCGGCATCCAGTAAAACCAATTTGGCTTGTGTACATGGATTTACAATTTGTTTGATTTGGTCGGTATATACATTGTGTCGCGATTTCAGTGTCTGATAGAACAGCTTGAGAGTGTTGGTGATCTCACCCATTTTCTGTTCGTCTTGAAGATCGTCTTGTTGACGGTCGGATTTCGTGCCGAGTTCGAGACGCTCGATCAACACCGAGATGTCTTGCTGCTCCTCGGGTGGCGGTACGAATATCTCCTCGGGATCTTCCTCGTCGGATTCGTCACCGGTGCATCCTGGAATGTCGGATTTTCTCATTGGTGTGCCGCCACTGCGCAGGATTGCATTCTCCTGGAGTAGTCGATTCGCCAGTTTACGAGCTTCGTGATTCTCACGCTTGAGCCGCTCGATCTCCTGCTCCAATCCCTCGATTTTCGCTTCGATATCGGTGATGTACGCCTTCTTACGCTGTCGGTAGTTTCTACTGGCCAGATTCTGACTGGCTCTTCGCCGGTTCTTTTGTTTGTCGGTGAGATTGGGATCGTCAAACTCATCGTTGAGAATGAAGGAATTGAATGGGTGAATGGGACCAGACGATTTCGATTGAATGGTTTGTACGAATGGGACCTGTGAAAAGATGGCAGGGTCTGGAATCGATGCTGTTGCTGTACCAGATTGTGAAATGGGTGATTGTTGTGGTGGTGGTGGTGATACCGCTGTTGTAATTGGTTTGTTAACATTGTTACTATTGTTGTTGGCTTGTGGTATAACATTTGGCATTGGTTTAGAGTGTTGTTGTTGTTGAGCAGGTGAATTCACAACGTTATGATCGATACTAGGTGATGATGCAATGGTAATTGGTGACGATGGATTTGAACTACCAAAATGATGATTATGTAATTGTTGTGGTTGTTGTTGTTGTTGTTGTTGATTTACAGATTGATTTCCATTTATACTTTGAATTTGAGGTGATACTTTTGGACGTGATTGTTGATATATCATCTTTGGTTGTTGTTGTTGTTGCTGCTGTTGTTGTTGTTGGTATATATTCATTGTCTGTTGTTGCTGCTGCTGTTGTTGTTGTTGTTGTTGTTGAGGTGATTGTTGATAAACTATTTGTGGCTGTTGAATTATTTGTGGTGGTGTAGTTTGTTGTATTATAGTTTGCTGTTGTTGAGGTGAAAGGTTTTGAAGTGACTGTTGTTGTTGATTCTGTTGTTGTTGTTGTTGATAAAGTAATTGTTGTTGTTGTTGAGGTGAAAGGTTTTGTAATATAATATTATTTATTTGTTGTTGTTGCTGTTGCTGCTGTTGTTGTACTTGTTGAACTTGTTGTACTTGTGGAATCGATTGTTGTATTATATTTTGTTGTTGATTTGGTATAAATTGTTGTTGTTGTTGTACTTGCTGAACTTGTTGATATATCTGTTGTTGTTGTTGTTGTTGATTTGGAATATATTGTTGTTGTTGTTGTTGTGCTTGTTGCTGTTGCTGTTGTTGTTGCAGCAATAATTGTTGTGCTTGTTGTTGTTGCAATTGCTGTTGAATATTATAGATTGATGAACCATCGTTGTTCAACGCTGACAGCAACAATAAGTTCTTTTCATCGTTGAATGGTAGAACACCCATATTCTCACCGCCAAGCATCAAATACATTCGATTGTGATTCGCACTAACATTGTTATTGAAATTGGCCAACATTGACTGTTGTTGAATTAGCTGCTGTTGCTGCTGTTGTTGAATTCGATTCAGATTGGTCAGAGCAGCTGTTGTTGCCGCTGCCATTGAGAACTCTGATGTCTGCTGTTGTTGTTGTTGCTGTTGTTGTGGTTGTTGTTGTACTTGTTGTTGTACTACTTGTTGTGGTTGAGTTTGTACTTGTTGTTGTACTTGTTGTTGTACTACTTGCTGTACTACTGGTTGTGGTTGTTGTAATTGAGTGGTTGGCATAGGAGGATCTTCACTGATTCCGAAATAGTCGTAACCATCAGAGAATGCAGAAGATATCGAAGAACCACCGATGTGTACTGAACTCGATGGTGGAAACTCATCGTGAATCAGAAAATCATTCATCATTGGATTACCTCCTCCATTTGTGCCATGATGTACTTGTGTGGTAAACATTTACAAGATATATATCTTTTTGGAACAAGTTTTCTGAATTTAGTTTATTTTATTTATTTTTGATGTTTATTATTATTATTACTTACTTACTTCTTAATTGACTATTCTATTCTATTTTTTTTTTTATAAAAGTAATTAAAATAAATTAAATTAATAAATAAAACAGATACTAGTAGTAAGTTTTTGTTTGATATGAAAAAGAAATATATTATTATTATTGTTGTTGTTTATGATTTTTTGTTTAGTTTTGGTTGGTTGTTTATTATTTTGTTAGCAAAGTTGAATTGAGTTGAGTCAACTTAGTTTGTGTGTTTGTTAGTGTGTTCTGTTCTTTGAGTTATTTGCTGCTTGTTTCATAAATGTTGGTTGTGGTTGGTTGATGGTGCTATTGTTGTATTCTTATTTTCACCACTGTAAAGATAACTAGTTTTACTTTTACGACGACTATCACTTCTGACAGGCACTCACTTGTTTTAACAATACTTGTTTAACAAGAAAAGTAAAGTAATTAAAAAAAAAAAAACAAATTAAATATGAATAAGAATATGAATGTGGTTGGTAATTGAATAAAAAAAAAATACTCTAATAATTACTATTATTATTATATTCAAATTTAATTATCTGTTGGTGTTGAAATTGAAAATTTAAATTTTGCGGGTGTGTTGTTATGATTGGTGGTCTTTTAAAAAAAAAAATTAATAAAAGAAAAAACAATTGTTTTTTTGATTTTTTGTTTTTGAGGTTACTGGGTTAAAAAAAACCCCTATCCAAATATATAACACCATCAAAAAAAAAAAAAAAAAAAAAAGGAAGTTGTTTTAAAAAATAAAAATAAAAAATAACAAAATTAAAATAAAATAGATAGACTATATTTGATTAACTTTTTTTAATTATTTTTAAATAAATATAAATAAAGGGTCGTGTTAGTTGTGTGATGTGTGTTCAGTCTTTCGAAAAGGTTTTGTGGTGTCGTCTTACTTTCTACTTGGTTGGTTGTGGTATGATGTGAACATTTCTCCTTTCCCATCTAGATATACATATTTCATCATCACCCAAATTCACAAATTTATCTGATTTTTTAATATAAACAATATGATGAAATATAATAAAGCTGTGTTTTAAACGATGATAAGCATTTTAATATTGATATGTTAGATTAATTGATTGATGAATTGATTGATCATTCCCAAAAAAAAAAAAAAAACTTAAAACAAATTAATCAATCATTCAATCAATCATTCAATCAATTGAACTTTTAAAATACTTTTTCTTAATTAGAAAATGATTGATCGATATTAATCAATTTAAATCTTGATGTTGTCAGCTGACACCACAGATATTGTGTCTTTTGATGGTTGGACTGACTTCTTTTTGTTTAATTAACTTATTTTTAAATACTTTACTTTTTTTTTTTCAAAACTATTTTACATTTTTTATTATTAATATTATTATCATCATCTAATTTAGTCGACTTTTAAAACAACTCTACTTCTACTTCTACTACTTTGTTAAACTGTTTTGTGATTTATATCTAAAATCATGAGAGTAGAGTTGAATGGTAAATCATTAACATTTATGGTGATGATGTGGTTGTTGCTGCTGCTGGTGTTGTTGTTGTAGTTGTTGTTGCAGAGTTTGTTAAGGTTGTAGTTGGTGGTCTTGCTTTTCCTGTTTCCTATAAAATGTTTTAATATTATAATTAGTAAACATGTTCATTTAATGATTGTTTGATGATGACGATATCTTACTCTATAATAAATAGTATCATAGGCATCGGATTTAAGATATTTGATTAATACTTCTGGACCACGCTTTGCTTCGTCTTCGAGTACCTTGTTGATAGGGTTCAGTGAAATATCGATCTTCTCGAGTTTCTCGATGCGACCGAGTGTTGGTGGAATCCACTCGATCTTGTTGTTGACGACGTTGAGATTGCGCAGTTTGTGTAGTTGTCCGTACTCCTGAGGGATCGCTGTGATGACGTTGTTCGAGGCGTTGAGGAATTCGAGTTCGGTGCAACGCGCGAGTTCCGCTGGCAACTCTGTGATTTTGTTGAACGAGATGTGCAACTCTTTCAGCGTCGAGATCAGACCGATCTGACTGGTTACCTCTGTCAGCTTGTTGTACGAGAGATCCAAGAAGAAGAGATGATTGAACGATCCGAATCCACGTGGTAACGCTGGTAACTTATTAATACTGAGATTCAATGTTTCCAAATTTGTCAACTGTGTAATTTCATGTGGTAACTCTTTCAATTGATTTTGGAATAAACTTAAAAATGTTAAATTTCTAAGGTTACCTATAAATTAATTATAAATACATATTATAATAATTAATAACAATATATTTTATATTCGTTCTTCTGTCACCTGATATATAAATATATCACATGATAGATATAAATATATCAAGCTGACAGAGTTACTATAACTTACCAATGGTTGATGGTAATTTTCTTAGTTCATTTCTACTGAGATTCAAATGAGTCAGAGTTTCGACGGTACCGATGTTGGGTGGTAAATCTTCTATTCCTTTACCTGTTAAATCGATCTTTATTTCCTTATTCTCCTTTGCTTTATCGAATGCTTTTGAAAGTTTAGCTCCCATCTTTTATACTTTATCTTTCTTTTCTATAAAGTTAGATAGATAAATCAATCTTTGAAAATGATCAAAAATAGTTTAAAAAATAAATAAATAAAATAAATAAAAAATAAATAAATATGTATATTTACAAATAAAAAAATAAATGGGTATGGTTTTTTTGTCACAAGTGTGGGATTGATAATGATCATCACAAAATTCTTTTTTTTTTGTTTTTCATTTTTTATTTTTGCATAAATATGGGTTTTAAGGGTAAGTTTGGCTATTATTAGAATAATATGTGTAAAAGAGTAGAATAATACAATTAAAATAAAATAACAAAATATATTATTAACTCTAATTAAATTCTAAATTTAACAAAAATAGGTAGATTGATTTGATCAAAAAAAGTTAACTTTGTTTATTTACATAAAATTTGTGATGGTTTTACGTTTGGATCACGAATACAAGTACCTGTAGAAGGACTACAGATTTGTGGATAACAAAGTAAACCCAATCCAACTACATCCAGAGTTTTGCCGACTGGACATGTAATTTCAGTTGTTTCACATCCGCGTTGCGTGCATACATTCTTTGTGCACGGGTTATTGTCTTCACATAGCGCGTTGTTTGGTGTGTATGTACACCCAGTGGCAGGATCACATGAATCTTCAGTGCAAGCAAAACCATCATCACAAACCACCGGTTTAAAAGAGCATTCGTCAGAGGTTACATTGCAACCGGTCGAAGTCGAACACATTACACTCTTTCTTGGAGTAAACACATCCTTTGTTATTTACACATCCATCGTATTTCTTACATTGTTTAGGTTCGGTTTCACAGAATCCGATTCCACAACGCACCTTGTCAGCCAAAGATACATTCAAGAGAGTAACTAGAAAAACTACTAAAACTATTAATAAAATATTTCTCATTTTTTTAATTATGATATGGAAATTGAATATGAAAATGAAATGAATCAAAGAAGATAAACAAATTTAATTTATCAAATATTTTATTAAAATTACCAATAATTATACAATTAAAAAAACCACTAAATTTTATTACACCAATTGTAGAAATGTGTTTACCAGATTTCAATAATATTATCAACGATTTCTATGATAATATTTTTATCTCCTTATTATTTCAATTGTTCTTTGTAAAGTTATAACAAAAAGTATATATTTTACGATTTGAAATTATTTTTTTTTGATAAGAATATGTTTTGAGTTTTAGTATCTTTTTTGGTAAAAAATAGAAAAATCAAAAAGTTATTTATTTCAATGACAGAAAGAATGACAAAGATTTTGATGTGCAAAATAAAAATTGATAGGAGAATTAAGTATCTTACAGACATTATGTATTTAAAATAGTACTCTTTAAAATAATATAAGTTATTTCATTTTATAGGTTGGGTTTTTTTTTGCAACTTGTTTTGTATTCTCTCATTATTTTTGCGAAATGTTCACACAAAAGCTGTTCAATAATTAAATTGCAGGGGATGAGAGAATACAAAAATATAACATGGTGGTTTTTACCCACACTTTTTTATTTGTTTTGTTTTTGAAAACGATTTTAACATTTTCGTTTGATCTTGAGATTATAATTGATATTTTTTAATTAAATATTACTATTTTTTTTACATACCATTTATAAGTTATTTGTAAATTGATTTATAATTGTATAGCAATTTTTGTTATTTTTTTTAGTTTCTTTTATAAAATCAATAATAGCAAATCTCCAAACCTTTTTTTTTTTGACATCATTATTTATTAAATGTTGATATTAATGTAAAAAAAATCTCATAATTTATATTATAATCAACCATTTATTAAATTATTTTTTCCAGTACTCCTTTTACAATAAGAGTCACACCAAAATAGTGTTTGCAAACATTTTCCTTTTTATTTTTTATGACAACACACCCACATATTACAATGGTCTAATGAAAAACATGATTTTTTGGGTATTTAATATGCTTTTGTCAACAATTTTTTTTTCAGAGTTTCATTTTTTACGATTTGTCCCATATTAATTTGGTGGGTGGAATTTCTATGATCATTATAAAATAAAAAAATAAAGAGATAAGAACAAACTATAAATATTGTATTTGAGACTTTAGAAAACAAAATTATTAGTTAAAACTATGATACAGACTACTTTGTGTTTAGAATAAGTACATTTTTACAATTGTTTCCACATCCGGCGAATGGGAATGTGTATGGTGCCCAGAAGAATTCTGTGGTGAACTTTTGTGTTCCAATGAATGGCGTCTCATAAGTCAACTCAATGAATGCACCTCTCCAACCACCTTTGGCTGGTTGTTCAATGGTGGCTATGTAGATGTTTGGGTCGGATGACTCTGGAACTACAGTCGGTAGAAAAGTAACATTCTGTGGTTGGCAATCCGGACATGTATAGAGACGCCAGTCACGCTTGGTGGTAGATGCACTATCAGCTGCATACAACAATACAGAAGTTGGTCGTTGATGTGGTCTAGCTTTTGACAATCCACTGGAAAGTGTATTGGAATCTCCGAGAATCAGAGTAATGGTTGTCCGGTTATTAGAGAGGTCCGGTACCACTGTCCATTCGAAAGTTGGTAGTGGCGAGTTGAAGGCAATCGATTTGTAGTATGAGGTGACATCACTGACAATCTGGACGAATTTGTATGTCATTAGGTGATCGTCGTTCGGTATGATACGCTGATGCTTCTCACCAAGTAACTTGTCAAAGAAATACACTGAGGAATCGGGAATGAAGAATTGATCGGATACTGTGGAAACGATGTACTTTGGTTTGATTAAACCACCTACGTACATAAGTGGATCGATTTCCGACGCCAGAGAGTGGAACGGTTGCTTATTCAACTGTGCAAACAGATTTTCGTCAAAGAAACTGTTCAGAATATATGAGAAGCCACCGTATGCACGAAAATGATTATTAAAGTTAGTCTCCATATTCAGGATTGGCAGAATAACTGGAATCAAAGCTGAGATACGTGGATCAATGGCAGCTGCCAACCATGCAGCCCAAGCACGCTTACTCGAACCGCCAACAACGAAATCGGTAACACGATGTAAAAATGAATGTTCACGCAAGAAACTTTGAACAACATCGATCGACTTGACAACGGCACGTGTCATCGGGTAGAAAACGATCCAATCTTTCTTTGACTGGTTATTGAAGTACTCACGCCAACTATGAGCAATTATTTCATCCTCTGTCAACATTTTTGTTGAATTTCTGAAACTGATTGGTTGGTTTGGATTTTGATAGAGGAAAGCTGTGATCGATCCAGTATTAAAACAGATATGCTCGGCCAATGGGTATATAGAGTGGTTGGCGGATGTTGAGTAGTCACCGTTTTCGATCCAAAGGAAAGCTGTCTCGGTTTGAACGACATTGGGAATACAAATGAGAAGCCAATGATACCAAACTGGATTGCTAGTTAATTCACTATCTAACCAAGTTCCAGAAGTATAATTTAAAATATAGAGGGTATATATTCCTTTATCTATCTTTGAATGATATTCATAACCAAATCTATATAATTAAAATAAGATTTTTAATTCAGATCTATTTATTTTGGCTGTGAAAAATAATAATATTACATACGATTCATCTTCTTTATAAACAAAATCCTCCAATTCTCTGGTCGATAAAGATGTGGAAATATATATTACTAATATTAATAATAAAATTAAACCTATCAATTTAGACATGAATACAGTTTTTGTCCAATCTAATATAATAGAAATATAATATTAATTTTTTTAGATTTTTTTTGAAAATAATTCGTTTTATATGATCTATATATCTTTCATTTTAGTATTGGTTGTATAATAAAGTGTTGTCTTTACAAAGCAATGAAGAACAAACACCATTCTGTTTGTAAAAAACAAATCATTTATGATCATTTTAGTAACTTTGTAAAAATAAAATAAATAACTTTCCATTTATTATTATTATTAAAGCAAATAATAAATATGGTTTGGAAATCCTTCAAATCAAACTAGTTTCATATAACTTGATATTAATTTATTATTTGGTGTGGTTGTTCCACTTTTTATGGGGGGGGGTAAAAACAATGATCATTTTTTTTGTAATATTGTTTTTATTTTTTGACAGCATTGTAATCAAGTAAACTTCTTCATCATAGTTATTTTAATCTCCGATTTATCTAAAGGGGAGCAAGTCAAAAAAACACCACCTTTGTGTAATAACCAACAGAAAATAAATGAAAAATAGTTTTTTTTTAATAATAGTTTATCTATTATAGGTTTTTATTGTTTTTTTAATTCATTACTATAAATAGAAGATCTTCATAAAAAAATATTTTTTAAAAAATGTACACTATTATTATTTACAAATACTGATTTATTCTCTAAATTATTTAAAATTAATTAAAATTAAATTAAAATTCTAAATCCCTTTAATTGAATAAGTATTAATTATTAAAAATTCCACTATAATTGAAACTATTTAAATAAAAGTAGTTTCTAGATCAAAATTAAAAAAGTTATTTTTTAAATTATATTTATAAGTAAAGAAATTTCTAAAAGAAATAATGAAGTTCCCACATCACAAAACAAAAAAAAAACTTTTTCATTTATGTGATTTTTACAATCTTTACTTTTTGTTTCACAAAAATTTTTTTTGTTTATTATTATTTATTTTATTATAAAATAATAATAAAAAAAGAAAAACAAATCTATAGTAATTGTGACTTTAGAAAAACAAAAATATATTAGTTAATTTACTATTGGAATAACTTAGTTTATATTTATAATAAGTACATTTTTACAATTGTTGCCACATTCGGCGAATGGGAATGTGTATGGTGCCCAGAAGAATTCTGTGGTGAACTTTTGTGTTCCAATGAATGGCGTCTCATAAGTCAACTCAATGAATGCACCTCTCCAACCACCTTTAGCAGGCTGTTCAATAGTAACTGTGTAGACGTTGTTTATATCTGATGACTCTTGTACAACTGTTGGTAGAAAAGTAACATCTTGTGGCTTGCACTCTGGACACGTGTGAAGACGCCAGTCACGCTTGGTGGTAGATGCACTATCAGCTGCATACAACAAGACAGAAGTTGGTCGTTGTTGTTGTTGTTGATCATTGTATCCATTACCACTATTACCATCCCCGAGAATCAGAGTCATGGTTGTCCGGTTATTAGAGAGGTCTGGTATGACTGTCCAGTCAAACTTTGGTAGTGGCGAGTTGAAGGCAATCGATTTGTAGTATGAGGTGACATCACTGACAATCTGGTCGAATTTTAATAGTATGGAGTGGTCATCGTTTGGTATGATACGCTGATGCTTCTCACCAAGTAACTTGTCAAAGAAATACACTGAGGAATCGGGAATGAAGAATTGATCGGATACTGTGGAAACGATGTACTTTGGTTTGATTAAACCACGTACGTACATAAGTGGATCTATTTCATGTGAAAGAGAATGGAATGATTGAGAATTCAACTCTGCCAACAAACCTTCGTTTAAGTAGCTGCTAAAAGCATAGGAGAAACCACCGTATGCACGAAAATGATTATTAAAGTTTGTTTCCATGTTTAAAACTGGTAGAACCACTGGAATCACAGCTGAGATACGTGGATCAATGGCAGCTGCCAACCATGCAGCCCAAGCACGCTTACTTGCACCACCAACAACGAAATCACTAACAAGATGACACGATGAAATTTTACTAAGGAAACTTTGAACGACATCCATCGACCTGACAACGGCACGAGTCATTGGGTAGGATGCGATCCAATCTTTCTTTGACTGGTTATTGAAGTACTCACGCCAACTATGAGCAATTATTTCATCCTCTATCAACATTTTTGTTGAATTTCTGAAACTGATTGGTTGGTTTGGATTTTGATAGAGGAAAGCAGCAATCGATCCAGTATTTGAACAGATGTGCTGAGCTAATGGATGTGGAGTGTAGTTGGCGGATGTTGAGTAGTCACCTTTATCGTTCCAAAGGAAAGCTGTCTCGGTTGTAACGACATTGGGAATACAAATGTGAAGCCAATGATACCAAACTGGATTGCTAGTTAATTCACTATCTAACCAAGTTCCAGAAGTATAATTTAAGATATAGATGGTATATCCTACTTTATCAATCTTTGAATTATAAACATAACCAAATCTATTATAAAAAAAAAGTGTGTTTAATAAATAATTTAAATGTATTATACTATAACCTAAATGTTAATATATTAATACATACGATGGATCATCTTTATAAATAAAATCTTCCAAATCTTTGGTGGATAAAGAAGTGGAAATAAATATTATTAATAATAAAGATAAACTAATCAATTTAGACATTTTATAAATCTTTTTAGAAGACAAATGAATTTTCATGAAGATAGTTTTGTCCTATTTAAAGAATTCATATTAATAGGAATATTTAATAAATAAGTAATACATGTAGATGTATACTATAGCTGGCTTGTTAACTCTGTTTTTGGTAAGATTGTTTCGAGGGGATAAAATCACAATCTATTCCATTTAAGTTATAAACATTTATAAACATTGTAGCCAAAACTCCATACAAGTTTTTTTATTATCGAGATATATAGATATCAATGTATTCAACAATTTGTTTTTAAAAAAAAGGGAAACTTTATTAAAAAAAAAATAAAAAGATTCACTTTTAGGTAAATTGAAATATTATTGGTAAAATGTTTTATTTGATCTTTATTTTACATTAATGATATAACAAGTGTGGAAATCATCCTTCTATCCAATTTATTTCCAACAAGAAGTAGAAAAAAAAATAAAGTAACTTTTCATTCCTTTTTATAGGGGTAAAATTTATTTACTTTTTTAACACTTTGTAAATATAATATATAAAAAAACAAGTTAACATATTTAATTGCAATCTCCGATTTATCTAAAGTGGAACTACATTCATATTTAGTTAGTTAAATTGATAGTTCAATCTACCAAATGATTAATTAAAATTAGAAATTGCAGATTTAAAAATGTACATATTTATTTGATTTATTTTAGAACAAACCATTAAAAATGTACAACCAACCACCAATCACTCAAAGTAGGAATGATCAGAATGTATTGCAACATTTCAGACTATTAATATTTGTCTCCTACAAACCAACTCTTTTACAGTCATATTTACTTCAAAAATAAGAATTTTTTAAAATTTGATTGATGTAGATGCACATAAAAATCTGTGAAATCTATCATCTTTTAAAAATGGATGTGATTGATCGTATTCAATAGAATATTTGTAATTACCATAGTAATTACCACCAAATGAATAGATAAAACTGGACATTGATGATTCTTGATGATACATCAAGTATGCAAATCGATCCAAGGCAGGAATTGGATTAAGATTGATTGTTTGTTTGGTTTCAACATTATATTTAATGAATCGATTGTTAACTCTGTCGTGTATAAAGAAATTTCCATTGCTATCATGACATGCCGAGAATGGTGTAATGTTAATATGATATTCTGTTATCGTTTTATCTGTTAAATCGAATTTAAACATCGAATTTAGTTCTTTGTACGATAGTGAATATAATGAGCCTTTGAAGATCATTGTTGATGTCTGTAGACTAAATTGATCGGGTAATTGATGATATCTTTCGAATTTCATTGTTTTGATGTTGAATCGATCGATTCTATTTGAGCTATGGCCATTTACTAAATAGATATGATCTTCACCATTATAACAAACTGATATTGCATATCCACCATCGACTCCATCAATATCGCCAATATATTCCACTGATTTCGATCTAATTGAGAATTTCATCCATTTGTTTTGATTTTTCTCACCACCGAATATATAGATATATTCACCAATTGAAACCATTGATGAGGCTGTATTTGAAAAACTATAATCTACATTGAGTTGTTCGATTGAATTGTTTGATGTGTTGATCAATGTTGCTCCATTTGATATATGTGTTGTGAAAATATATGATTGTTTAATATCATTGTTGTTTATTGTTGTTATTAATGGTTTTATTGATGATGATTCAATTCTTTCAAGTTTGTTTGGTTGTTCGGTCATTGTATTCTAAGTTCTTTGGATCTAATATTATGATTATTAAATCAATGATTTGAGTTGTTTTACTATTTTAATTGTTATATATATATGAATGATAAATATCCGATAATGATGTTTGGAATTGGAATGTTTGTACTATTAAAAAGTCGCAAAATATAACAGTGAGAAGGAGAATAAGAAAAAATAAAGAAAAAAAATGGTGCACTCAAGGGATAATCTAAAGATGTGTCTGGGTGTTTATATTGATCTATTATAGAGATCATGATTAAGAGAAGTACATGTAAGTATTAGTTAATCAATGTCGAAATAGATAGAATGATAAAGTTACATTTGATCTCAACTAATAAAGCTAAAAGAGATAAAATCTAGTTTGCTCTTCAACCATCGAATATTTGATTGACTATGTAATATTTAAATGATTTGTTCTTGTTAGAATGAATATGTATCATATTGTTTGTTATTATTTAATAATGCGAGATAGATAATTATAAAAAAAAAGAAAGTAAAATGTAAATCATTCATTTTCTTAATGATTTACCTCAAAAATTAAAATGAGATAACAAACCATTAAAAATGTACAAACAACCAACTAATCACTCAAAGTAGGAATGATCAGAAAGTAATGCATCATTTAAAATGATCATACGTCGTCTCACCATATTAATATAGGTTATCGGCACAAACTAACTCTTTTGCAGTCATTGTTAGCTTATTACCACCACGATAAAAGACAATTTTTAAAAGTTTGCAAAATCTTTAATTTTTATTACCGTCTTACTTGAATTCATGTTATGGTCATCATTTTTATTCCTAATCAAACAAATAAAATAAATTAATTAACTGAAAAAAACTTGAAAGATAATAAGTAATATTGATTCATTTATTGATCAATACATTTGGTGAACTAGCACGCTAATTTTGGTAAAACTTTATTTATTTTTGTTGAACAGTAGATTCAAGTAGTGAAAGTTAATAGTATTATATCGAATAACCACTAAAAAGAGTTTATTAAACTCCTAAACTTTGTTGCTGATGCATCATATATGGTCAACAAGATATATAAATATGGAAGAAGAAGAAGATTCGTTGAGTTTTTTGATTATTTATAATATAGGCACATAGTTAAAGTCAATTGTAGTTGAATTCTGCTTTGGAACTTGAATAGGTTGTGACTGTGACTATGACCATCATCCAATACAGTGCCAATACCACCATCGTGGCCATTTGTCGCACCATTACCATGCAACAGTCGCGAACGAACTGTTGGCAACTTTGAATAAAGCTCTTACTACCTTCAGATGAACAGGATGTATTCAAGTTCCAAAACAGAATTCGAACATCAACTCCTTTGACTATTCATATTTATTAATGTCCTAAGCGATGCTTAAATATTAAAAAAAATTAAAAAAATTAAAAAAAAAACGAAAGATTATTTTTTACGTTTTTTTTTTTATTTAATTTTTATTTAATAAATTATTCTCATTTTTATAAATTATACAAGATTGGTATTGTTGTTTTGATCAATATTCTTTTTAAATAGATTTACATTATTTTTAATATATAATTTGTATAAAGAAAAACAACAAACAATGCCACCAAAACCATTTATTGATAAAAAGAATAAACAAGTTTTCAGTTTATACAAATCGTCGTCTAGAGATAGATTCGGTCGTGAAGTATCTCAAGTTGATTTGGTTGAAAAGAAAAAGGTATGATTTAATATAATAATAGATAGATAGATAGATATGTGTGATTATAGAGATTATTAATATATGTTTATTTAATTCAATATCTTTTATTTATAGAGTAATATAAAAGAAGAAAATGTAGAAGGTAGTGATGCTGAAGATGAATATTATGATGATGACGAATATTATGATGAGGAATATGATGACGAAGAGTATTACGATGATGAAGATGAACAATATGAAGATGAAGAACAACAACAAGAAGTAGGTCAAAAAGATAAAAAAGATTTAGAAAAAGACGATCTACATTTACTTGGTTTCAAGAAAGATGGTTACGATTACAGCAAACATATGAAACCAATCGGAGGTGGTGTGTTTATTCCCGCCATATACGACATGAACGAGTTAAAGAAACACAAAGGTGGAATATTAGAGTTGGTACAACCGAGTCAACCTACACCATACATGTACGGTCTAGAAGAAATCAGTAAAAACTATGTTAAAGATGGTATGTTTAATGTTAAAATGTTAAAATGTTAAATTATTATGAGAAATTTCTAACAATATCGTTATTTTTATTTCTATATTTATAAATGATTGATTTTTAGAGAAGGAATTAAAAGGAAAGGTTGATGATGATATTATTGAAGCTTTGGCTGCCAATGTCGATGAGAATGGCGGTGATTTCGAGGAGTTGGATGATGATTTCATTTTGCAGGCAAATGGCGGTACTCTCGAAGGTCTGGAGAAGGAAGTGAGAGAGACACAAAGACGTTTGAAACAGATGGAGTTACTCGATGATGAAGATGAATTATATTATGATGACTATGAGGATTATGATGAAGAAGATGAAGATGGTAATAAGAAACAACGTGTTAAGAAACCTTTGGATGAATTGATGGATCAACAGCTGAACTTGGCGCTGGCAGAGTACGATGACGACGACATCGGTGAGTTGGACAAAGAGCGAGCACAAGGAACCTACAGTACCGACGCCTACAAAGATGTTTTCGACGAGTTCATGGCAGACTACGAAGCCAATCACAAACCGCTGCACGAGCAAATCGAGATTCTAAAGTCGCGTGACAAGAATATCCCGTTGACCGCCGCAGAGAAGAAGAGTATCATCGAGCGTGACTGGGATGCCGAGGAGCGCGAGGAGGTCTCCGAAGAGGAAGAGGAGAAGGAACAGTGGGATTGCGAGACCATCTTGACGACCTACTCCAATATCTATAATCATCCAAAGTTGATCAAAGAGATCGCACCGATCAAGCTGAGCAAAAAGACTGGTATGCCACTGGGTGTGCTGAATCAAAAGAAAAAGATCGAAGTTGTGGAAGAGGAATCCGAAGACGAAGAGGAAAGAGTGAATTTAGGACAATCGAGAAAGAATGAAACCAAAGAAGAAAAGCGAGCAAGAAAGAAGGCAGTCAAAGAAGAAAAGCGAGAGAACAAGATGGTAAAGAAGGAATTGAAACAAGCATTTAAATCAGAGGAAATCAAACAGATGAACGTAATCAAATCACAAAAACTAAATAAATTAGTATCGATTCAATATTAATATAATAATAATAATCAAATAAAGTAAAAGAGTTTGTTAAATAATATTATTATTGTTATTGTTATAAATATTATAATATGATATTTATGTAAAAAGTTAAATGCTAAATAGTATTAATAAAAAAAAAAAAGAGATGATTGGATGGATGTTGAGTGTAATGTAATGTTATATAAATTTATAAATTTTGAATCATATATGAGGTTGCTTTTCTAGAATAGTAGGTCAAAGTTGTTACTGTTGTTGTTTTGGGTGTTGATAGGTTTGTTGGCAAAATTGTTCATGTTATTGTTGTTCATTGGTGAAATTGGTGTGTTGGCAAAGTTGTTGGAGAATCCAGAGTTGTTGTTGGCGATTGGTGCTGCTGGAGCTGGCGATGACTTGTTTCCTGCACCACCACCACCACCGAACATCTTGGAATCTAACGAAGCAAACTGGCTCGGTGTCTTGGATGCAGAGTTGTTATTCATACCACCAACGGCGCCACTGTTCATTGAGAATGCGTTGGCACCACCACCTCCCATGAGATTTGGTTGGTGTCCTCCTGGAGGTGGCAAGAAGGCATTGAATGTATTGTTATTCATTGGCATACCAGCTCCACCGTTCATCATACCACCGTTTGGCATCATTCCACCGTTCATACCACCCATCATTGGCATTCCACCGTTTGGCATCATTCCGTTGTTCATCATTCCACCATTTGGCATCATACCACCGTTCATCATACCACCGTTTGGCATCATTCCACCATTTGGCATCATACCACCGTTCATTGGCATTCTGTTCATTCCACCGTTTGGCATCATTCCATTGTTCATCATTCCACCATTTGACATCATACCACCACCGTTCATTCCGTTATTCATCATACCACCATTTGGCATCATTCCACCATTCATTGGCATTCCACCATTTGGCATCATACCATTGTTCATCATTCCGCCGTTCATTCCACCGTTCATTGGCATTCCACCGTTTGGCATCATTCCACCATTGTTCATTCCACCGAATGAGTTATTATTGTTGTTGTTGCTAAAGTTATTGTTGTTTGATGATGATGATGATGTATTTCCACTTGCTAATGGATCAAAGTTAAATGTTTGTTTTGGTGGTGCTGGATTTGGATTAAAGTCTAAATTATAATAATAATAATAATTAGTAAAAATATAATTTCCAATAACAAATAAAGAAGAACATACCATCATCAATTAAACTCTTATTAGATTTTGGTGCAGAATGCCATGCATCGAATTGGTCGTCCATGAGCGATGCCTTTGGTTTGGGTAGTGGTATTGATACATTGTTATGATTGTTGTTTGGTTTTGGAATGGTACCATTGTTACCATTACTGTTACCATTGTGGCTGTGGAACGATGAGAATCCATCATCTCCACCTCTATTATTGCTATTACTGTGACTGCTATTGCTGCTTTGGAATGATGAGAATCCATCATCACCACCACCTCTAATAAATCCATCATCTCTATTATTATTATTATAACTGTTGTTACTGTTATTGTTTCTATTGTTGTTGTTATTATTATGTCTATTATTATTATTATCGAATCCACTATTTCCTCTACCATTGTTATGATTATCATAACCACTGTTACCATGGTTGTTGTTATAACCATTATTATTTCCTCTACCACCATGACTGTCATATCCATTTCTTCCATTGTCATATCCATTGTCATGGTTATCATAACCACTGTTATTTCTACGACTGTTGTTGTTGTTGTTGTCGTGGAACGAATTGAATTCATTGGCAGAGTTATTGTTTCTCTGATATTGCTCATTGTAATTTCTCTTGGTAGTCTCATTGAATCCACCGCCACCTCTTCTCATCTGTGAGGCATTACGATAGCCCGAAGAAGCGCCATCTGGTTTAGTGAATTCCTTTCTCTCATATTTAGCACGAATGAACTGTTCCAATGTACTAAATGATAATTATAATTTGTCAATAAACAAACAAATAATAATACCAAAAACTAATTAACTACATACTAAGAGTCAGCATTTGAATCTGGTTTTCTGAAACCTGGTGGAAGAAACTCTTCGTAGATCTGATTCGATTTCTTGTTACCCATGTTCTTCATGTGTTCCAAGAGTTCCGGTGTCCATTTGTCGAGTGACACTGATCTGACCTTTGAGATATGTACACCAAGCGATCTGTGAATACCAGAGCATTTCATACAAATGAAAATTCCAAGATTTGTCGATGCCCATCTTGGTGCTAAATGATTATTATTATAATTATTTATTGATTAATAATTCAATCATTCTAGATCTATATATCTATCTGTCTGTCTGTATCTATCCAATCCAATTCATACCTTTAGTGTTACAATCAGCACATTGTTTATTTTCATCTTGCTTTAGCAAATCTTCGAGTACAGCAATACAAGCCTGACTTACTTTTTCGTCTTTTAATGAACTCATATTGCTATTGTTGTTTGGTCTTCTATTACGATCATTGTTATGATAGTTATTATTAGTATTATTAGGATACATTGATTGTTATTGAATTAATAAAAAAATCTGTAATATTAAAAACTAGTTTATATGATTGATTGCTTGATTGTTTTATTGTTGTGATTGATTATTTGATTAAAAATAAAATTTTAATTTATTATTATCTCAAAAAGATAAAAAAAAAAAAGATACTATTTTATTATTTAATATTATTGTAAAAGTTATAAATGGAAAAATGTTGATTTTTTGTTTTTTTTTTTTTGTTTGTTTTGTTTGTTTATTGCTATGCTTGGTTTGGTAGTTAGACATTCAGAGTTGGAAGATGTCAAAAAAATTAATTTAAATTAAATTACAATAGTTTGTTTTTTTGTTTTTGATGTTTTTTTTTTTGTTATATTTAGTTAAAAAAATAACAATTTGCAAATTCTGCATGCTTATGTGGTTGTGATTTGTGTGTGTTTGATTTATGTGGGTGAAATGAGGTGAGGTGAGATGAGAAAAAAAAAAACGATATTGCTATGTTGCTTGGCTGTAATTCACTAAATTGCAGGCATTATTAATTTAATTTATCAATATATTAAAATATTGTTAACAATATTTTGATTGAACATGATGAAACTTCAATGAACTAAATGTGTTGTTATTGTTATTGCTAAAATCAAACATTCACACCCACACCTATTAGTTATTAATAAGCATGCTTATTTCTTAACAATGATTTGCTATTTTTAATGAATCTTAAAAAAAAAAAAAAAAAAACTAATGAAAAAGAATAATAAATCTAGAACTAAAATGAAACGAAATGAGAAGAGTGATATTGATTAAAATTACTTACTTTAATAATAATAATAATAACTAAACTAAACTAAACTAATATAACTAATTTAACTTTTTAAATATGTGTGTTGTTGCTTTGTGTGTTGCAAATATAAAATAGTAATGATATAAAATAAAATATGATAGATATTATTTAGAGTGCACAATAAAAAAAGTTAACTAAATTGAAACTGAATAAACTAAAATGAAAAAGAGAAGTTGCAAAAAAATAAATAAAAAATTAAAACAATTCAAAAAATATTGTTTTGGGGTGTATAATGCAACCCCCAACATCAATGTGCCTTTTTCAAAAAAAAAAAAAAAAAACTTGCACTTTGTTTTAAAAAAAAAAAAATCAAAAAAAAAAAAAAAAAAAAAAATTCTAAAGACTTAATTATCTAAAAAAAGAGAGAAGCAAGCTAACACCATCAATCAATCATCTCCAATGTATATATAAATATCTTTAATAAGTATTAGTTAGTAGTAACAAAAGTAGTAAAATAAGAAGTGCTATACTGTGTTGTTGTTGTAATTGTATAATCCAAAAAAAACTTTAAAATTTTTTTAAAAATAAATCATAAATAATATATATATCATACAAAAATGGTAGGTTAAGGTTTGATTGATTATCACTATATTATAGATTTGATTTATATATTTATACTCATCATATATTATTAAACACTATATATTATTATTATAGTCTTTGATGAGATTAAATGTATGTGATAGTATCACAGGTATATGTTTCTTTGAGAAGATTTGGAAATGGAGTGGAACATCTGTTGCCGAAGGTATTTGTAAATTGGTATTGACATTCCATAAGTTATCGAATGAAATAGGTGATACAGGTGGTAAGTATACATATCATTATCATTTTGTTGTTACTTTATTAACTGAAGGTGTACTGATTTCTTAGAGGTTAAAAGTGTATTATTTGAACAACCAACGACATCACAGAATCCATTGAGTTTATCTGGTCATGGTATAAGTACGGTTAGTGGTGGTGGTGGCGGTGGCGGTGGAGGTGGTGGCGGTAGCGGAAGTAGCAGTACAACTACGACAACGACCAACGTTAGACATTCGCTACATCATCGAACACCATCGACAACGGGATCGTCATCGACTGCCAAGCGTGTCAAAGTCGTCAATACACCACCACCCATCCGATTGGCATGCGAGAAGGAAGAGAAGATCACAGTCTCGGTATTCTACGAATTGGCAGGCTTTGAAGATGAAATCAAAAAGTTTATCTTGAATATATTGAATGAATTTAACAACAAGTACGCTGCACAACTACCCGAACTACGTCCTATCCTACATGAAATGAGTGAATTTCCAGAGAAATGTAAAGTAAGTATAAACAAACTATCATCATATCGATTTTTTGATATATTAACTCAAATACACTCTATAATAACTCAACTTTTAGACAAAACCAGAAGAGATTATGATTAGATTTAAAGATTTCGAAAAGATTGCAGATGATATAAAGATACAATCAAAGCTTTCATAAAAAAAACAAAAAAAAAGAAAGACAAGAAAAGATAACAAAATAAAACATAACATAACAAAACAAATACAAAACATTAAAATTAGGTAATATTATTGGTACCATCACAACAACAATCAATAATGATATTAATAATAGTAGCAATACTTATAGTATATAATAAACTTAAATGAATATGATATGCGAATCACTAAGATCATTGATATTGACAATGAAAGTAGTAGTACAATCAAAACAAAGTCAAGTAAACATAAATATATAAATCTAATACACAATACAACAATTTGATATAAATATTTATTTTGGGAGGAAGTGATTTGATTGGTTTAGTTGGTTTTGGTTTAGTTTTGGTTTTGGTTATTGTTTTCTAGTTGTCCTCTTCATCTAACATTCTCTCTATTGCACTATGAGCATGTTTTCTAATGTAATGAATTGCATTGTCCATGCTGGGTGTTGGATTTGGGTTGGGTTGAGTGGACATGAATGACGGTCTGGTCGGGGAGGATGGCAACGACGATGGTGAGAATTGCATACGGCCTGACGATGCAGCCATCATTGTACCCTTCTCGAGGAAGCTGAGTAGCGATGACAGTGGCATGAATATCGAGGTTTCGAATTCCGGTCCCATGACGTCGGTCTCGCTCTTGGGGTCGTCGATCTGCGACACCACCTTGAGAATCAGCTGGTCGAGAATGCAATTGTTGCCCTTGGGATCGATCCAGTCTTGGAGTAACTCCATCATACGATCGCTGTCCTTCAGGTTCAGGATGACCTGGTTGATAAAGTGACGATCCTCCATCTTTATCGACTCTTGATTGCGATAGTAATCCTGGAGTTCGGCGATGAACGAGGTCGTTACCACAAACAACCCACGATGCAGATACTGAAGGAATACCGTTCTAGTCAAACAGTAGAAACCCAGAATGGTAAAGTGAGAAAAGAAATCTTTGGGGAACGGACAACTGAGTTCCTCGATGGCGGTGTACAGCTTCTCCATGACACGGAAGAGCTGTGAGCGTTTCGGGTGTGAACGAATCGAGACTGTCTCATGGCTATCGTTGTTTATGATATTCTTTCGGAGGTGTGCATACAGTGTGTTGACAACGTTGATCTGTACATTCTTGTAGCTGTTGGCCCACTCTGTCAGCTTCTCTTTACTCTCCTTCTGTGAGATTTGTAAAAAGTAATCAGCAAGATTCGCCGAGTAACTCTGAATATCACCCAACGGATTCTCCTCATAGCCATCCAAAGAAATATTACTAGCCAGTGCAATCTTTGAAGTTGGAGCAACTTGTTTCTGAGGACTTAGCGTTGATTCCGATCCAGATGATTTTCTAATAGTTGTATCTTCTGATTTAACTGGTAGCAAAGTTAACAAAGTTAATTAAAATGATTAGAAAAAGTAAAAGTAAAATAAACACTACTACTTACAATCACTGAAAAAGTTTTTAAGGAAACCTGGGAATGTCGCCAAGGTTGTTTCTCGTTGGAGAATATCGGGTTTGGTGACTTGGAATGATTTGAGACGTTTCTTGTTGGGATCTTCTTTTTTGGTGGGTGCAATGTTGGCTGGAATCTGGGTGGTTATTGCAGCCAGTTCGAGATCTTTGAGTCTTGGCTTGCTGGTGGAATCGAGTGCCTCGATCGAGGTGACCGGTAATATCTGTAGATATTGATTGTCCAGTTTATTATCTCTTAGAATTTTATAGGTAGATCCCAAGAGATACTCCTTCAAGAGATCCGACGAGATCAGACTGGTTTCATTACAAACACTCGCCAAAATACGAACCATAATCTCACTGTCATTCACATGTATATTGGTGAGATGCATAGCTCTAATCTCCGTACCCGGTTCCAAAGAATATTTGCTAATCGAATCCTTATTAAACAACTTTAAGATTGATTCACGTTCGAATTGGAATCTATAAAGTATACCATGTTGATAATCAAATAAATATTGATCTGTTTTTGATAGTTTGTTAGTTATAGTTAGTTAGATGAGTTAGTTGTTTTTGATAGTTACCTGGTTTGTTTTTATCTTTATGATTGGTAAGGTAATAGGGAATGATGGATGTTGATATTTTGTTGGGAAGTGGTCTGGTACGAGTGGAGAGGATGTCGGAGGAATCGTGTGACGATGCCTCTTTGATCGGTGAAGATAGATCGTAGTGAAGAGTCAAACCGAAACAGGGATCGTGATCGGATGAACAATCGATAAACTGTAGGAAATTACCGGGAATGTAGATCATCAGTAGATTACCGATGCAATCAAACAACACTCTCGTTATTTGAATCGACAAGAATCCACCATCAATACTATGCAACGGTATAGAATATCTAATTCTCTGTTTCAAGTGCAACAAATAAATACTTATTCTAATCAAAGTATTATTACTTTCTTCTTGATGACATAGACATAATCCATTCTACAAAATTTTGTTATAAATATCAGTTACGGATGCGGGTATTTTACAAACCAACAAAAAATACTAAACTAACAACTTACACCATTCAAATTAACAACATGAATATTTTGATAGACTTGTTCTGTTTTGTTGGATAATGACATTGGGAATGGTTGATTCAGTGACATCTTGTCGGTGGAGAGGTTCAGTTGTATGAGGAATTCCGGTTGTACCGATGGTTTGCCGGCTTGGAATGTGCACGATCGGAAGATGTTGTCGGACGGTCCGTTGAATCCCGTGCGATTCTTGTAGTGTAAACTATAGAAGGTCTGAGTGATATCGTCGAATTGATACCAATAGAATTTGCTAAAGATCAGCTCTTTCTTGCCGATCGTCTTTTTGTTGGGTGTCAAGTAGATGCCATTGTTATCACGATGAATCGATAGCTTCACACTGTAACACTCGGTATTCTGTATCAACAGCAAATACAACAGATTCTTATTCGTATCGACATGTAAACAATGATAGGTCAACGGATACGGTGACATCATCTCCAATAGATGAAAATCTGACTTTCTATTAATCTCATGAATATATGATGAATAAACTAAAAGTAGTAAATATACAATATTGTTATGTTTTAGTTAGTAAACGTCGAGTTTGATTATAATTTTAGTGAATATTTATAGTTTATAGTATAAAGTTTTGAGATTATAGTAAATCTAGAGTTTTAATGATTGTTCATAGTTTATAGTTTATAGTTTTTAGTTTATAGATTATAGTTTATAGTTTATAGTTTATAGTTTATAGTTTATAGTTTATAGTTTATAGTTTATAGTTTATAGTTGTAGTTTATATTTTATATTTTATAGTTTATAGTTTATAGTTTATATTTACCTTCATTTTTAGTGTTGACATCTACAACTTTATCAGGTTGTTTAACGGTAAAGAAAAGTAGTGATTTTGTTGGTTCATTGCTTAAACAAGCGCTAATAATAGTACCACAGAACTTTAATAATGTTTCAGGTCTCTTATCACTTGAATATATATCTATTTTATCTACAAATGTTTTTTGCATACCCTAAATGATATTGTTTAGTTAGTATATATATATATGATTATAAGAATATATAGATATATTGACATACATCGGAGATAGCATCACGAGCAATTAAGAATGTACCTGTATTGTCTTTACCGATGATACGTAGATCGATGATCTGTGCAATACACTTTTGTGGGTAGTATTGGAGGAGATTGGAGGAGTCTAGCGAGGTGGAGGCATGTCCGTAGCCAGAGAACATTGCATTGGGATCGAACGACGATGCAGCCGAACGCATCGTCGACATGTCACTGTCAGAGTCAAGCGGTACAAAGTCACTGTCTTCATCGTAGTCATCGTCACCATTGATAGAGCTATTCAACGGTGAACTATTGTTGCTACTGACACGCAACCCCGATGAACTCTGTTGTTGCTGCTGTTGCTGTTGTTGTTGATGTTGTTGCAATTGATTGGCAATGAAATGTGGTGGTGGTGTATTATATCTACTGCTATTACCACTACTATTTCCACTATTATTACCACTGTTATTGTTATTATTGCTATTGCTGTTGTTGTTGTTGTTAACAGTATATAAACCATTGAATGAACTACCTAGCTTGAAATGATCTAACTTATCACGAAGATATGAAGGTGCACGCGTTTGTGACCCAAAATGCGTAGTTGTGACAATACCATTTCCATTATTAATATTACTATTTTGATATGATTGACTTGTATTATTATTATTATTATTGTTATTATTTAGAGCGATAGTAGCTATCTGACTACTGATTGCTTTTGCTTCGGGTGGTAACTGATCATTTGATATTCTCGGTACGACATCATGTTCTAAACTAAATAACTTTGTAAATTTAAACATTGATATTAACAACTAACTAAAAGTTGATATTATATTATTATAAATGTTAAAGAATGATTAAATAAATTAATTTAAAATAAGAAACAAAAAATTAATTTTTTTATTTTTACTTTTTTTTAATCATAGGCTTTGTTTGCTTTAAAAAACAAAAAAAGTGGTTGTAAATTTCAAAAGAAAATTTAAAAACCTATAAAATCAATTTTTACCCCAACATTGTTATATAAAATTCCACTACTATTAAATAAATAATAAACTTTTGAAAATATTTGAAGATATTTGTTTTCCATATGATATCAAACCATTGTCTTGATTTTGTATATATCGATTCCATTGTCTCCATTGTCACCATTAATTATATTGATCATGACCATCATAGTAACTGTTACAATAACCTTTAATATACTTTAACAATATTTTATTATTAAATACTATGAATTTAATTTAAAAAGTAAAATTTTTTTACAAAATATAAATAACCCGTTGTATTTTTTTTGTTTTCTTTTACTCCAGTTGTTATAAGTCAAATAAAACTAGAGAGAAAAACAAAAAAAATCTACATGCCAACCCATTTTTTGGTTTTTGCAATAAAAAAAAAATTGTGGCGACTGCACAACACTTTTTTCGCTATGTCAAGTCAGACTTTGCATAGTCTACTTTTTTTATTTTTTATTAAACTATTCATATATTATATAATCAACAAACAATGAATAAGTGTGTTCAACATAATAAAAAACTTGATATATTATGTACAAGTTGTAATGTTGTAATATGTTATCGTTGTCTCATGTCGAATCACAATCAACATCGTATACTACATACAGATGATATCAAACAATCACTTTTAGATATAGATTATTCTGTTGTTTATAAAGATAAAAGTGATAAGAAAGATAATGAGTTAGAGAATAATAATAATAATAACACTAGTAACGATAATATAAACAAAGAAAATAATAAAAATAAAGATAATATTTTACAAGATAGAATAGAATGGTTATGGAATAAATCAAAAGAGACAGTCAATCATATTCAAAAACTTAGTAAAATGGAGAATGATATCAGTGATCATTTCGAACAGTATTATGAAATGTTAATGAAAGAAGAAAGAAAACTAAAGAAACCTATCATTGATGAATTAGATCAAACCAAACAACAACTCGCTCAAATCATCAAAGAAATACAATCATTACACAATATCATTCAATCAATCACTCCAACTCTTAAACCAGATGAACATAATAGTAATGATAGTAATGATAAATTAGATGATAATCATACAAATAAGAATAATAATAATGAAGATATTCCCTCAGATATAGCAACAATCAATTATTCACTTCCAACATTGGTTGAATCAATTAAACAATCAACAACATTTGAACAATTCATTCATAATAATAGTAATACAATATTCAATATTCAACAACAAAACAACAATGAAATCATTGAATATTTAAATAATAAAAATGAAATCAACAAGAATAAGAAACAAATTAATAATGATAATATCAAATCAAAAAATAATCACAATGATAATTCAATTTTAGAGATCATTCGTAATCATTTCGATCAACACAACATCGATTTCAATCAAATATTAAATATGAATAATTATTTTTTAATTTTAAGGCCTACTGAATATCAGAGTCATTTTGATGGAATTAGATATTTCATTAAAAAAGATCTTTATATTGATTTTATTAATCAATCAATTAATAATAAATATAATTCATGCTTTATCAGAATGGATCAAGACAATGTATTATCATTATACAAAGGTGATTTTAAATCTGGCAATCAATTGGAATTGATGGAGAATCAATCAAAAGAGTTGGTCGAACTATTAGAACAACCTCAAAACTCTGCACCCACTCTCATTGCATCATCAAACACCACCATCTATTTCTTCTTTAATAAAAATCAATTCATTGCCTATTCAATCATTGACAAGACACTCATAAAATCAAACTATTATGGTTTTCAATTAAATTTCATGAATAAACCTGTAACTTGCTTCAAAGAACCATTCTACATCTACTTCTATGGCAAGGGTAAAGTTAGTGGCGGAAATAACTTGATACTAAGATACAATACAATACAACAAACTGTTGAACAATTGTTTGTTGACAAAGACTCGATAAAAAGAATACCATTGGCATTGTTTAGTAGCTATCTCAACCTATACTCGATGTATTATGATGCTTCAACAAAGGAGATTGTTTTAGTTGAGTTCATGTCAAATTCGTTTGAAGTTAGTTTCTCCGTTGCAATTATCAAAAACATCGTACCAACATTTTTCAGCTATTTCTACGAAGGTGCTGACTTGGTGTATCTTTATTATGGCGATGTCGACTCTGACTATTTCATCAAGTTTAACATTTCTAACTCTAAAATAAACATCATTAAACTCGCCACCATCGAAGGACGTGCCAAGGTCGATTCTCGCAACAATAAATTGTTGTTGTTGACACCAATGGCTTCCAATTATGAAATTAAAGAAAATAAAAAGATCAATATTTTCACCAAAGATCAAAACTATGTCTTTTCTGTAAAAGACAAATCATGGCAACAATCTCATCTTCAGTCATCGAATATTCAACATATAGCGAAATATAACAAATAAAAATAGTCAACATTTTAAAAGATAATAAAAGTTTTAATAATATACATTTTTAAAAACAAGTATCCCAAACATTTTATTTTGTTTTATGAGTCAACAACAATGAAATTGTAATATGATTATATAGAATCTATAGTACTTTGTTCTAACTGCTTCATATGAAGTATAAAATGGATGCATATAGGGTGATAGATGCTGATAGATAGTGTTAGAATAAAAAGTAATACAAGTTAATAAGCTGAAATTTTATGAAAAAGTCTGGGTTTCTATCACCATAATAAAATATAATAAGTTATAAACATCATAGAAATAGCTGAAGATTGTTGGTACGATCTTTTTGATAATCGATGCGCAGTACTCGATTTCAAAGAATCTGGTTTGAGGGAATTTGATATAGAATTATAGAATAGATTCATCTCTGGATCATGAACCATTAATCGATAAACTCGCCACCTTTGAAGGACCTGCAAAAGTTCCCAACAATCAAGTTTTGCTTTTGACACCTATGGACTCTATTCGAATTATTTTTTATAAAAGAAAATAAAAACTTTCTCTATTTGTTTCAATTCAGAATATCCGTATTTATTTTTGAAAAGACTTTTTAAATTTCTTTGTAAAGATAGAAAGTTAACCTAAACTGATTTAACAGCATGATGGGGTGAAAGTGGCAATCCAAAGAGCACCATAACCATATGAGTCACTGTCTGCCCAGGTACTATATATTTATATAAATAATATCAGAAGTGTTAATAGAATTAGTATATAAGTAAATTTTGATCTTAGTATTGACGATACATACACATATTTGACATTGAAACCAGTGTTGGTGATATTGACAGCCTTGGCATAGACTCTGAAGTTCTTGTTTTGATTTTGATCAGCACAAGCAATGGCAACACTGACCTTTGGAGTTGTTCCACATGGGAATGGAGTGGCGAACTTCACTGGGAGAAGGTAGAATTTCTCCTTGACATCTGGGTGTTTTTCGTTTGGAGCTGATTGTGGTGGAGTAACAACATGACCAACATCATCAACATAGTTGAAACTACCATGATCAATCATAGTTACACTTCTATTACAACATGTACAAGTCATTTTGAATTATAATTATTAGTATTTATAAATATTTATATTTATATCTTTTAATATTTTGAAATATTTCTACAAAAGTTTCGAGTATTTATATTATTTTGCTATGCTTGATCCACAGCACTGAAAATGCATAAAGGAAGATATTTTAATAAAAACAATTACAAATAATGATGAATGATCGAGATTTCATTGTTTTGTAAATTGTCACCTAACTTAATGCCAACCCAAACTACAAATCAAAGTAAGGTCAGACTTGTTTTATTCATTTTAGGCCAAATTTCCAATCAATTTCTAAAAGTTGCCCATGAATAGTCAAGTTTAAGTTTATATTTGTTTATTTTTATTTTCTATGACCTATTATTTACAATTATTTTTATCAATCAAAATCAAATCTTGATTTACACTAAAATTTTGATTGAACAACAAAACATCTTACTTGGATTGCAAAAAAAAAAGAAACAAGACAGACCCTTTCTTGTAACCCAAAATTGAATAAAATAAAAAAAAAACTCTAATCATATTAACCCCTCTATTTTTAAAAAAAATAAAAATGACCAGGTAGAAGGTTAGGAGCCAGTTTGGTTTTATTCACCGAAAAAAGATTGTCTTGGACAAAAAAATGACAACTTTTTTTTTTTTGGTTCAGATTTGAGGAGATTTTCCAAGACTAAGTTTTGCATCTCTGCACACCACAGATCCTTTGGAAGAACATCCTATGAATGAAATTGAATACAATAAAAACAAATTTGTTCATCAATTTTTCTTAACAAATCTAATTTTCAATAAGTAATAATTGTTTAATTCCATTCCTTGACAGAGAAAAAAAAATTTGTTTCAGGTTCTCTTTCCTCTTTCTCTTTTAGAGACTTTATCTCTATAATTCAAATTCTTATTTTTAATTTCTTCATTGAAATTTAAAGATTTTGAAATTTTCCAATTATTTAATCTTGAAAACAGTATTAGATGAATATTTTATCTGTATGTTTGAAAAAAGTCATGTATTTTTTTTTTTAAAAATTTTTTTTTATTATTTTTTTTTGATGATCAATTAATTTGATTTCAATAGTCATGGTAGTAACTATAGAACAAAGATATAAACATAGATATAAAGTATGTAAAGAGATATTATTGTTTTATGGTGAATTTAGATATATATATGTACAAATGTTGATTTTTATAATTAATACTAATTCTCTATCAAATACTTATCAAATAATACTAGTTTCATCACGATTTTGAAAGAATATTAAGAGTATTCAGAAAGGTGTTTTATGAAAGATGGAGGAAAACACATGGTAAAGACTATGTTGAAAATGCAGAACATGGTGAGATGGTTAGATTGGGAACATCGTCGTTCAATAAGATAATGAGTGTCGTTAGTATGAAGAAGCTCTGTAGTGGTCGTACCGTAGAATGGGATTACATAATTTGGTATAACGTTCTTTCAAACTACCAATGGAAGAACATACCAGAGAGACAACTGATCGCACAGAATGAAGATATCACTAAATTGACAAATCTAATGAATCGTTACTTCTTCTGGGACGACTCAAAGAAGAAGGTAAAGCAGCGTCGATGCAGTCTGAATCTATTTCATGGCTGTCGGAGTTGTCCTCACGAAGAAGACTTTAAAGTCTGGGATTATATGACAAAGGTGCGTGAGCACAACACCGACGTGTTGGTGAGAATCGACCGGACGATGACCAACAAAGATTGGTCGGATGTGTGGCGTGCGTTCCAACAGAACGACGACAACTACCAAGCAGCTCCACTCTACAATGACGATGAACTCAACGAGATGGAACCATCGATGGCCTACAAGAAGCAGGCAGACGAACAAATGACAAAAGGTAACTTTGTCCTAGCAATTCACTTGTTGACACTGGCACTCGACTATCGTGGTGTAACCGAGCATCATTTGGCTGGACTGTTTGAGCAGCGCGCAACTTGTTATGTCCTTTGGATGGAAAAGAATAAGATGGCAATCAAATCATTTGGTAAACTGGCAAAGCGTGACATTCAGAGATCTCTTGCCATTCGACCATGTCATGCCGCTTCCTACTCAGTGTTGGCGCGTTGTCATGATATCATAAATCGTCTTGACAAAGCTGCTAAAGCTGCCTACTTCCACAAGACGGCACTCCTACTCGATCCAAAGAATCAAGCTTTCTTGGACGCCAAGAAACGTTCGGAGGAGATGGCGAAGAGGTATCTTCCATATGCTATGCCAATTCATCCATTGAGTATCGATCCATTCGTCATGTCAAGAGGTGATCTCCCCACAAGAGAACATATGGATATCTTCCAAAGCCTGACTGAAGTGGAACTGGCCAGCTACTACGATGTTCACAAGGCGACAGAGTTTGACGGTTCCAAAGCTCGACGTGAACACTACGACAAATCAACAGAGGAATTTCAACAACCTTCTATCTCCAAAGCGAAGGAGGCGATTGATATATATAGGAAGTCTATCAAAGAGCGAACGATACACGCCGAGTGTTATGTTCGTGTCGCTTGTCAGTATTTGGATGGAACTCTTCGTAATGAACCAGGTGCCAGAGATAAAGCAGTGGAATTGTTAAAGATTGCCATTCAACAAACTTTTGTTTTGTCAACCGGTTTCAAAATCAACAATGGAGTGGGTGAAGCGTATCTTCTTCTTGGAAAGTTGGCATTGGGCGATAAACAATCGGAACAAGCGATCGATTACTTCCACAAAGCAATCGAGAACAACGATGGTTGTCTAACTCTTTCAAGTGCAGCATTCCAACTTGGAACAGTGTATATCAAGAGTGGTGGCGACAGCAACAACATCGAGGTCGAGAGAGGTTTGGCAATATTGAAAGTAGCAGCAGACAACGGAAGTAAAGAAGCTGCCGTTTCACTTCGTGACTACTATCTCCAAACGAATGGTGTCGATTCACCACTGACTAAATATTGGACATCGTGGGTCAAAATTCCACCCAGATGGAATGCTGAACCACCTATCGTATTCCCAGGTAGCGAACTTCAACAACCATTGTCCAGACCAACTGATGCTAATGATAAGAAAATCATCAGCTATTTCCGTTCACTGCTTTTGAAGAACGCCAAGAGTGAAGTGGAAATTCCAAAGACTGCAAAGATGACATTCGAGACGAAATTCCCAAAGCCAAAGTTTGCACGATTCACAGTCGAGGATTTCAAAGTGTCCTCAAAGGGATCGTTGGATATGGGAGATGTCGGTCCGATGGCAGGCTTAGACTTCAAAGCGCTGGGCATGCCAAAGGTCTACGAGAAATGCTATATCGTCGGTACAATGAGAGAACCGGCACTCTGCAAAGGCACCTCTGTCGAACTGTTGATACAAGACGTACTGAATACCGCCATGAGAGTGGAGGTTCGTGGTTACAATCCACGAGTTTTCAAGATCGGTTGTAAATACGCATTCTTTACTATAACCACCTGTCAATCAAAGTTTGATGGTGCCGACCTGTGGTATTCAGAATACATTGCTGTCGGTGGTGCTCCATCATCTGATTCTCTGTGTCGCGCCTGTCTCAAGCCATGCAAATCGAAATGCTCGAAATGTCCAGCAAACTATTGCGATAGAGATTGTCAAGTTTTGGATTGGAAAGACTTGGATCACAAATCACTCTGTGGTGTTAGTTTACCACTCCAAAGAATCGAAGAGAACATCGCTAAAGAATTTGAAAATACCTTAAAGATTGATGATATCCCATTATAAAATATAAATCAATCTTAATATTAATTTTAATAAATATATATATCATTATATAGATATGTATGTACTAATACTCAAACACTTTTAAACTATTTTTATTTCTATGCTGATTTATCTGAAGTTCATTTGTGCCAATTTTAGTTTTTTTTTTTCAGTCAGTTCCAAGTATTTTGAAAAAAATTTAATTAATTTGTTTTTAAAGAGTGAACAAACATAAAATAACATTTATTTATAAACAAACAATGAAACAGTGTGTTATACATAAAGAAAAACTTGATATCTTATGTTCAGATTGTAATGTTGTAATATGCTATCGATGCCAACTTTCAAAACATAAACAACATTATACACTTCATACAGATGAAATCAAACAATCAATTTTAGATATAGATTATTCTGTTTCAACTAATAATGATAAGATAGATAGTGAAAATGAAAAGAAGAACAATAATATAAGTAAAGATAAAAATAATGATAGTACTGATAAAGATAAAGATAATAGTAATATAATTCAAAAGAGAATAGAATGGTTATGGAATAAATCAAAGGAATCAGTCAATCATATTCAGAAACTGAGTGAAATAGAGAATGAAATCAGTGATCATTTCAAACAATATTATGAAATGTTAATGAAAGAAGAAAATAAATTAAAACAACCAATCATCGATGAACTTGATCAAACCAAACAACAACTTGATCAAATCATCAAAGAAATACAATCATTAAACAATATCATTCAATCAATCACTCCAACTCTTAAACCAGATCCAAAGAGCAATGATATCGATAAATTAGATGATAATAATAATAACAGTAATGAATATGATATTCTTTCAGATTCAACAATCAATTATTCACTTCCAATTTTAATTGAATCAATTAAACAATCAACAACATTAGAACAATTCATTCATAATAATAGTAATACAATATTTAATATTAAACAACAAAACAACAATGAAATCATTGAATATTTAAATAATAACAATGAAATCAACAAGAACAAGAGACATAAGAATAATAATAATATTAAAACAAATAACAATGATAATTCAATTTTAGAGATCATTCGCCATCATTTTGATCAATACAAGATCGATATCAGACACATCTTAAATAAGAATGATGATTATATTTCAGTCACTAAAAGCCAAAAGAATCAAAGTTATTTTAATGGAATACGACATTTCATTAAAGAATCACTTCAGGTCAATTTTAATAACTCCAAAGAAACCAGGTATATTATCACAAAGGACAAAGACAATGTTATTTCATTATACAATTGTGATTTCACAACTGGTAATCAAATGGAATTGATGGAGAATGAATCAAAACAATTGATGAAATGGGTCAAACAAATGGAAAAATATCAAGATACCATCTCAGTATTCTTTGCGTCATCAAACACCACCATCTATTTATTTACAAGAGAAATCAGTAAATTCATTGCCTATTCAATCAATGACAACACTTTCAGAGAAGGATCATTTTGTAAACATGATGAATTTGATTTCATTTATCGCGTTAGTACATTCGCTAGTGGAATGTACTTGTATTTCTATGGAATAGACAGAGGTAGAGATGACCAAACAACAATTATTAGATTCAATACATTTCTGGAGGAATTCGAACAATTCCAACATGATAACACCTTCTCCCGTCGAACTATTCCAATTGCTATGTTTGAACTTGCCACTGATGACTCTGAGAACTATTTATACACTATTTATTATGATAGTTTTAACAGAGAAATGGTTTTGGTTGAATATCAAATGTTTTCGACAGTAATCGAAAACACTTATGATATTCCGATTGCTACAGTACCCACATTCGTCAGCTATTGCTATGACGGCGAAAGCAACGTGTATCTTTATTATGGTGATGCAAAAAGTGACTATTTTATTCAAATCAATCTCTACAAAATGGAAGATGATCCTGAAGAACTTAAAACCATTAAAGGACGTGCCAAAGTGACAGAGGCAATTGAGAATCAAGTCTTGGTTCTGACACCAATGATTTACGAGTATGTCGAGAATGATGAAAAGCTCTATCTATTCACAAACGAACGCAACTATGTCTATTCGATCAATAATAACCAATGGAAACAATCTCATCTTAAGACATCGAATGTTAGGATGATAACAGACTTGATGTCTTGATATGCTCATCAAAAATAAAATTATTTTAATATTTTTGCGAAACAACGAAAGAACAACTGCTAATAATTTTATTTGATTGCATTTATTTAAATATTTAGTTCTATTACAATGAATTTACATTGGAGTTACTTATTCTTCTAATGTCTTCAGACATAATATCTAAATGAATTGATAATTTTAATAGATATTATTATATATACTACGAGTTTGAATAACTTCAATAAAGTTGGGTTTTAATTGCTTACGATTATCGTAGTAATCTTTGATATTATTTGACGAATCAAGAAATGCAAGATGTCTCTGATCTATATTTTGATCGATTGATCTTTGTATGAATTCAATGTAAAGTTTCAACTACAAAAGATATTGAAACCTCTTGAACTCGCAAAGCTTTCATTATTGAAACATAGATATTTATTACAATTGTCAAACCATCTCTTACATATGTGTAATTTCATTTTATCCTCCCCTAAAAAATGAAATTAATGCGAGAAAAAAAAAAAGTTGTGCAAAAAAAAACCCAATCATTCCTTCTAAATAATCATTATAAATAACCATCATCAATCTTTAAGATGTTTTCAAATTCTTTAGCGATGTTCTCTTCGATTCTTTGGAGTGGCAAACTAACACCACAGAGTGATTTGTGATCCAAGTCTTTCCAATCCAAAGCTTGACAATCTCTATCGCAATAGGGTGCCGGACATTTCGAGCATTTCGATGTGCATGGCTTGAGACAGGCGCGACAAATCAAATCGGACAATGGAATACCACCGACAGCAACGTACTCTGTATAGTGAATGTTGGCTTTATCAAACTCTGATTGACAGGTGGTGATGGCAAAGAATGCGTATTTACTACCGATCTTGAAAATTCTTGGATTGTAACCACGCACTTCGATTCTCACTGGGACGTTCTCTACGTCTTGTACCAACAGTTCAAAGGTTTCTCCTTTACAGAGTGCCGGTTCTCTCACTACACCCACGAGATAGCATTTCTCATAGCACTGTGTAATGTGAGCGCCAAACAATCCGGCGAACGGACTGGTTGGTCCGGCGTCGATCGATCGCTGTCCGACCACCTTGTATTCCTCGACTTTGAAATGTGCCGGTGGGTATGAAGATTCGAATGTCATCTTTGCCGACTTTGATATTTTCACTTCGTTCTTGGCATTCTTCAAAAGGAGATCACGGAAATTCTTGATGATATTCTTGTCACGCGCGTTCGATGGTTTGGCCAATGGTTTCTGAATTTCACTGCCTGGGAATACAACGGGTGTTACCACTTCCCACTTGGGAGGGAATTTAACATAGGATGTCCAATACTTGGTTTTCGGTGAATCCTCGCCATTGATCTGGAGATAATAGTCACGCAGTGAAACGGAAGCTTTTCTACTTCCTTTGTCTGCTGCTACTCTCAAAATTGCCAAACCTCTCTCGATGTTGGGGCTACCGATCTTGATATACTCTGTACCGAGTAGGAATGCCGCACTCGAAAGAGTTAGACAACCATCGTTGAACTCGATTGCTTTGTGGAGATAGGCAAGAGCTTGTTCCGATTGTTCGTCGGCCAATGCCAGCTTTCCAAGAAGAAGATACGCTTCACCAACACCATGATTGATTTTGTAACCAGTTGACAAAACGAAAGGTTTTTGAATGGCAATCTTTAACAAATCGGTTGCCTTTTGCTTGGCGTCTGGAGAATTACAAAGAGGACCACCATCCAAGTATTGACGAGCGACACCAACATAACACTCGGCATGTATCGACTTTTCTGCGACTGATTTCTTAAACAATTCAATCGCTTCCTTATCGTTGGAGTAGTAAAACGTTTGTTTTTTAAATTCTTCAGTTGATTTGTCGTAGTGTTCACGTCGATCTTTTGAACCATCACCCATAGCTGCCTCGAATACATTGTAGTAGGTGGTTAGTTCTGCTTCGGTGAGGTCGGTGAATACGTTCATATGCTCCTTTGTGGTGAGACCACCTCTTGACATGACGAATGGCATGATTTTCATTGGGTCGATTGGTTTAGCGTATGGCGACTTCTTCTTTAATTCTTCCGAACGTTTCTTGGCGTCCATTAAAGCTTGATTCTTTGGATCGAGTTGGAGTGCTGTCTTGTGGAAATAGGCAGCTTTGTTGTGCTTACTCAGAATATCATGACAACGCGCCAACACCGAGTAGGAAGAGGCATGACATGGTCGAATACCAATAGATCTCTGAATGTCACGCTTTGCCAGCTTAGCAAATGATTTGACAATCATCTTATTGTTCTCCATCCACTGGACATAACAAGTTGCACGCTGCTCAAACAGTCCAGCCAAGTAATGCTCGGTTACACAACGATAGTCGAGTGCCAGTGTCAACAAGTGAATTGCTAGGACAAAGTTACCTTTTGCCATTTGTTCGTCTGCCTCCTTCTTGTAGGCCATCGACAGCTCCATCTCGGTGAGATCGTCGTAGAGTGGAAGTGCTTGGTAGTTGTCGTCGTTCTGTTGGAATGAACGCCATATTCCGTTCCAATCTTTGGTGGTCATAGTCTTGTCGATTCTCAACGAGACGTCCATGTTCATCTGACGCATCTTTGAGGTGTGATCCCACACTTCAAACTCCTCTTCGTGAGCACAACCATGACTGCATGGTCGCTTCTTTAGCTTGTCCTTTGAGTCGTCCCAGAAGAACATCTGATACATCATACTACAGAACTGACCGATATCTGCATTCTGCGCGATCAGTTGTCTCTCTGGTATGTTCTTCCACGGGTAGTTTGAAAGAATGTTGTGCCATGTCTTGAAATCCCAATCTACGGTGCGACCACTGTTAATCTTCTTCATACTCTCCAGACCCATGATCACATCGAACGATGTTCCCGTTGTAACCTTTTCACCATGCTCTGGATTTTCAACATAGTCTTTACCATGTGTTTTCTTCCATCTTTCATAGAAAATCTTTCTGAACACTCTTAATATTCTTTCAAGATCGTGATGAAGCTATATAGATTTGATAAGATTATAGTAGATTGTTTTTAAATAATAGAATTAGTATAATTATTAAAAAATATAATAATAATATTCAATAATAAGTTATAATAACTCTTTAAACATACTTTATATCTATTTTTATATCTTTGTTCTAAAGTTACTACCATGACTGTTAGTTATAGTGTTTTGTAATATTTATTTTTTTAATATTTGGTTTTTGATTTTTTCATTGATTTTTTTGAGTTAGGTACATTGCAATGTAATTTTTTTTTGAATTAAATAAACTGAAAAAGAAGAGGGAAAAAGATTTAGTTAAGTACATTCAAATTTAAGTCGTTTGATTTGATTTTATTCCAATTGTTAAAAAACAATTTAGAAATATTTTCAATTAAATTTACAAATTAAATATTATAATTTATTTTGAATTAAATCATCATATTTAAAGAGTGATTTGTGATCCAAGTCTTTCCAATCTAAAGCTTGACAATCACTTAGATCTATCGCAATAGGATGCTTTACAATTCGAGCATTTCGATGTGCGTGGTTTGAGACAGGCGCGACAAAGAGTATCGGATAATGGTACACTACCGAGTGCAACTCTGAATACCAACTTTTAGCACCGTCAAACTCTAAATTACAGGTGGTTATAGCAATGAATGCGTATTTACAACCGAACTTCCACTATGATCGATGCCGGACCTGTATCTCCTACATCCAGCGTTCGCTTTGAAGCTACCTTGTATTCCTCGACTGGGAATCTCGATATGACTTTGGAAATATAGTTTCGAATGTCATCTTGAACGATGTTCCCACTCTAACCATCTCGCCATGCTCTGCATTTTCAACATAGTCTTTACCATGTGTTTTCTTCCATCTTTCATAAAACACCTTTCTGAACACTTTCGAGATCTTGATGAAACTAGTATTATTTGATTGGTAGGTAGACAGATAAGTAGATATAATACAATTAGTTTTGTTTTTATTAGAAAAAAAATTTGTTGATTGACAAATGTTCTCTTTACATACTTTATATCTATGTTTGTATCTTTGTTCTAAAGTTGCTACCATGACTGTTGAAATTTAAAAAATGTTAAAAACCATTTGAACCCCACACCTGATTAGATTTTTGCTATTGGGGATGATTTAAATCAGTTTTATTTAACTTCAATTGTCAGTTTAATAATTATTTAATTCTATTCAGTGACAGAGAAAACATTAAAATTTGAGGTCAACCACTCAGAAAGGAACCAAGAAATTTTAGTACCTTGTTTAAACACATAATCTTGACAATAAATTTGGCGTAATTGTTTTTTTTTAACAACAAATTTTTTTTCCTTTTTTTCCCCTTCTTGTTGATTCATTTAAGCCACAAAATTTATTTTTAAAATGAAAAAACAAAAAAGTTAAAAGGAACCTTAGTTGTAATAGATAATTCAAAAATATTTATTCATAATCTTAAGTTAAAGTCCACCAATATTAAAAGATTAAAATAGTGTTGGAAAAAAAATAGAAAATCTATTCAAGTATAAAACTGAGTTATGGTTAATAAATGATCATGAACTATAATCTTTAAATTTTTTTCAAATCATTTGTATTGAAATCTTTTTACAAATGAAATCTTTTTGTGTTCAATTTCATTTGATGATCCAAATGCTCTGTGGTGTTGAGATATTAGTTTAAGCACCTCATTTTCTTAATCTCCTCAATCTGAAAACAAAAAAAACAAAAACAAGCTTTTTTTTGTCCCACCTTTTTGATTTTCGTATCTTTTTTCGTTGAATCATGTCTTCCTTGTTTTTTTTGGAACTGTTCAAAATTGTTGTATTGGTTCAACCAAAATTGAAATAATAAAAATAATATTTTGATTGAATAGATTGCAATAATTAAAAATAAAAAGTCAAAAAGTATTTCATAATTTCTATTTCTTTATCAATAATGTCGTTATGTTGATGGATTTGATTGAAGATTTGTAAATTGGATTGGGAATCCAACTTGATGGATGTGTGACAATTTACAAAACAATGAATCTCGATTGCTAATGATTCTTTTTTATTAAATTTTATTATCAAAATATCTAACTTCCTTTGTGCATATGCAATGAATAGTGCAGTGTCAAATAAAAGTATAAATACTCGAAACTTTTGTAGTAGTATTTCAAAATATTAAAACATATAAATATTATTTTTATAAATTCTAATAGTAATCAAATAACAAAATGACTTGTACATGTTGTAATAGAAGTGTAACTATGATTGATCATGGTAGTTTCAACTATGTTGATGATGTTGGTCATGTTGTTACTCCACCACAATCAGCTCCAAACGAAAAACACCCAGATGTCAAGGAGAAATTCTACCTTCTCCCAGTGAAGTTCGCCACTCCATTCCCATGTGGAACAACTCCAAAGGTCAGTGTTGCCATAGCTTGTGCTGATCAAAATCAAAGCAAAAACTTCAGAGTCTATGCCAAGGCTGTCAATATCACCAACACTGGTTTCAATGTCAAATATGTGTATGTATCGTGAATACTAAGATCAAAATTTACCTATATACTAATTCTATTAAACACTTCTGATATTATTTATGTATAAATATATAGTACCTGGGCAGACAGTGACTCATATGGTTATGGTGCTCTTTGGATTGCCACTTTCACCCCATCATGCTGTTAAATCAGTTTAGGTTAACTTTCTATCTTTTCAAAAAAATTTAAATATGGAATTAGATTTATTAGATCTAAATTAAATTAAAAAATTAATAAATAATCTAAAGCAAAATGGTTTCTATCAAATTTGGAAAACAAACACAGTTTTCTTTGAGTTATTTTTGAGGATACAATGCACTATAAAATGTGGTAATGAAAGTTTGTGTCGATGGAACATTTAATTAGAAAAATCAATCGGCCCAATGCAGATTGGGAATAGCACTGATTGGTTAGTGCCACACAACAAGAGTTGGTGACTTGATGTGTTGCTAGATTGCCAAATTGCGGAGAGTACTTGTTAGGTCAGTAGTACTAACCAATAAAGGAAACTTTAATGGGGCCTTTGCTAAGGGTATAGTAAAAAGCTACTGAATAGAGTTAATCACGCAGCCAAATCCTAACCCACTACATGTTTGTAGATGGTATGGGTGCAGTTCACAGACTAAATATTATATAGATTTTTCTGTCGTAGGTACAGATACTGATAAAAATAATAATAGTAGTAGTAAGAGTGGGAATGATCTAGATAAAAAAAAGATATAGAAATAGATAATAATAATAAAACAGTTTATAGATTATTCTGCTGTTTTTTATAACAACAGAATATTCTATATTTAAAAGTGATTGTTTGATGTCTTCTGTGTGATATGTACGATGTTGATGATGATTTAATATATGACAACGATAGCATATGATCGATTTGCAATCTGAACATAAAATATCAAGATCATTATCATGAATATCACATTTATTCATTGTTTGTTGATGAACTTAAATATATCTGATAACAGATGAATAATAAAAAAAGTGAACTCAACAGATTATTTTGTTTAATGAAGAATTAGTTTTTGGAATCTAAAAAATCTACTATTAAAAACAAAAAGATCTGCGATAAATATGAGAATTAAAAAAATATTTATTAAAGTAAAAAAACAAACTTTGATCATCATAATTAGTATTTAATCACAAATATATATAAAAATGCAAAAAGAACTATATTCTGCAATATTTAATCAAAAACCACTTAGAATAAAAGTATTTGAAGATGTTTTGGCTATTGGTAAACAAATCGATCCAAAGGGAAAGAAATACACTTATGAAGCACTTTGGGAGTCTCCAGCAGCCATGGCTGGTAATGGTTATAAGACAGAGTTGGAGAAATACTTCACCGACAACCCATTGGTGTTGAAAGATTTCAACAAGAAGGATATATATGACATCTTTAGATCTACGGTGAAAGCTGGCAATTTAGAGGTTCTCAAGTATCTGGTGGGCGCGATCGATAGGGAGCGTAAATTACTGGGTAATTCAACGATTATGATAGAGTCACGTGATTGGGAAATCATCCATTACATCGAGAGTCTCGAGAGTGTCCAGGTGAACTATGAAAGTGCAATGTCTGAAGCTCCATTGAGTGGAGATATCGAGCGTCTCAAGTATTTTGCTGGAAAGTGTAGAGTATCAAATGAATCGATAGCGATAGCATTTAACAATGCTGCAAGAGTCGGTCGTATCGATATGATAGAGTGGTTGGCTGCGAATCACTCCAAGTACAGAGCCGGAAATTCTATGACCATTGAAGCTGTTCGTGGAGGTCATCTTCACGTTCTTGAATATCTAAAGAAAGAAGCCAAAGATAGATTTACTTTTGAGGACGACGACGAACTTTCATTTTTAACTCTTATCGATGTTTCTGCAGAGTTTGGCCACCTTGATATTTTGAAATGGTTACACTACAATCGAATTGGTTCCGCTACTTCTAGAGCTGCTTACTTGGCAGCTATGAAAGGACATTTGGAGTTGCTCAAGTATCTGTTGAATCATGTTAATGCCGACCTTTCATCAGATGCTATCGATTATGCGAGCTCGAAACACCTAGATATTGTAAAATGGTTACACGAGAATCAAAGTGCAAGAGCAACTACTTGGGCCATGGATAACGCAGCTATGAACGGTCGATTTGAAATTGTAAAGTGGTTAAATGAGAATAGAAGTGAAGGATGTACCCATCAAGCTATGGACCATGCGGCAGGTGGCGGATTCCTGGAAATCGTAGTGTGGCTCCACGAAAATAGAAGTGAAGGTTGTAGTACTGACGCAATGAATACCGCTGCTCAAAATGGCCACCTCCATGTTGTTAAATGGTTGCACGAGAATAGAAGTGAAGGTTGTACAAAAAATGCAATGGACAATGCTTGCTTCTATAAAAATTACGAAGTTGTAAAATGGTTACATGAAAATAGAAGTGAAGGTTGTACAAAAAATGCAATGGAAAACGCCGCTTATTTTGGTGACCTAAGAATGGTGAAGTGGTTGCATGAGAACAGAAGTGAAGGATGTTCAAAAAAAGCTATGGACAATGCGGCAAGTAGCGGTTCCTTGGAAACTCTTATTTGGCTCCATGAGAATAGAAGTGAAGGTTGTTCGGTTAGAGCAATGGATTTGGCTGCATCAAATGGACATCTTTCAGTTTTAGAGTGGTTACATGAAAATAGAAGTGAAGGTTGTTCAACCCGTGCTATGGACGATGCTATTATTTCCCATCATATGCACATATTAAAATGGCTTCATGAAAATCGTACAGAAGGCTGCACAGACGAAGGAATCGATTATGCTCATGAAAATGATTATAGAGAAGTGATAAGATGGCTATCTATCAACAAACCAAAGCAGCATGATACACCCACTGAAATACATGTCGAAGAAGAAGAAGAAGAAGTAGATAGTGATGATGAGGGTCCGCTCTATTTGTAGAAATAAAATCGATTAATAATTTTTAAAAAAAAAACAATTGTTTATTATTTGGGTCTAAAAAGATGTTTTAAAGAAGATTGGAAGTAACCTATTAAAAGATGAATCCATTTGACTTCTGTGTTTTTGAAATTCTACAATCATACTGGTATTGGTAGGAAATACTTTGATAACAAGTCAGTTTAAGATTGAATGATGAAAGAGAAAAAAAGAGAAAAGTTTTGGAAAACAAATAGATAACAACAATGTTGCCGTTTGTAAACATGTTCATTAAATTTATCTTCACAACAACAACCAATAAATATAATAAAAAAGTTAACTTTTTTTTATAACCTATTTTATTGAATTGAAGTTATTATTACTATTATTATTATACTATTAATTTAAAATAGATGTGCATTTTAGCTTTGTCAAGATTAGATTGTCGCCATTTTTTGTCATTGAGAGAATAGACAAAGTTTTGATCTTTTGTGAAAAGATAGATCTTGGTATCTTTGTAAAGCATTGATACGGGGTTTTCTTGTTCTTCTATTGGCAAACGTCCTTCGATTGTTGGGAGATTCTCGTTGGGACTCGGTGATTTATCATAGTTGTCGAACTTTATGAAGTAGTCAGTGTCTTTATCACCATAATAAACATACAGGTATCGATATCCATCAAAGCAAGAGGCTATATATTTCGGTACGATATCGCTGACAATGATATGCTCTGATGATTTAGTTGTTGAATATCCATGGAATAGAACTCGAACGATCTGTTTTTCGTTGGAATCGTAGTGTATCGAGTATTTGGCTGTCTCTTGTAGGATGTCATGGTGAAAAATTGCCATTGGAAAAATGTGATCATTCTCCTCGTTGCTCAACAGCTCGAATTCCTCCAGTATTGTATTGAATCGAACGAGCTTTGTACATTCGCACTTTATATTATCAATTACTCTGAAGGATTTTCCATAGAAATAGAGATTGAATGGATCAGTGAAGGTAGTAGAAGGTGGACTAATGAAAAGAAGATGGAAATTGGATTCATATGATCCTTTTCTGAATGTTTTGTCTTTGATTGAATAGACAATGAATTTAGGACGCAACATAGAGAATATATAGATGGTTGTTTTCGTTGATCCAAAGAAAATGTGTTCTGGACGTACAAACTCTTCCAATAGTTTGGCCAATTCCTTGGATTCATTCTCCAATAATTCCATTTCATTATCCCATTTGTATAATGATAGCACATTGTCATCGTTCTTGGTGATAATATGTTTGATATGATCAGTATCATCGTCTTTTCGATTGTAATCATTAAAACTATATGATTCTTGAACAAAATGTCTGACTCCTTCAAAATAACTTTGAAATTTATCACTCTTGCTAAATACATAACTATCATTCATGTCGATATCATCTTCATCAATATTGTGCTTATCGATGTGATTGCGAATTATTTCTAAAATTGAATTATCATTGTTATTATTATTTGTTTTATTGTTATCATTATTCTTATGTCTCTTATTCTTGTTTATTTCATTGTTATTATTTAAATATTCAATGATTTCATTGTTGTTTTGTTGTTGAATATTGAATAATGTATTACTATTATTATGAATGAATTGTTCGAATGATTTTGATTGTTTAATTGATTCAATCAATGTTGGTATTTCATAACTAGTTGATATATCTGGGAGAATATCATATTCATTATTGTTATTATTTGTATGATTATCAATATCATTATTCTTTAGATCTGGTTTAAGAGTTGGAGTGATTGATTGAATGATATTGTGTAATGATTGTATTTCTTTGATGATTTGATCGAGTTGTTGTTTGGTTTGATCGATTTCATCGATGATTGGTTGTTTCAATTTTCTTTCTTCTTTCATTAACATTTCATAATATTGTTTGAAATGATTGCTGATTTCATTCTCTACTTTCGACATCTCTTGAATATGATCAACTAAATCATAAAGCTTATTCCACAACCATTCTATTCTATCTTGAAATATATAATCTTTATTGTTATTATCCTCATCATTATCTATATATGAACCATAAAAAACAGCAGAATAATCGATATTTAAAAGTGATTGTTTGATGTCATCTGTGTGATATGTACGATGTTGGTGATGTTTCGCAACAAGACAACGATAACATATGATCGATTTACAATCTGAACAAAGTAAATCGAGATCTTTATCGTGTTTATCGCATTTATTCATTTGTTATTATTGATTATATACGAATATAGATGAAAAACAAAAAATAATATGATTTTTTTTTATCGGTTTTAGGGTTTCGTTTTTACTTTTAAAAAGAACTAGCTTTTGGCGCCTTAATAAAAAAAAATTTAATTGGGGTTACAGAGTGATCACGATGATTTTTTACTGTATTTAATACATTTTGCAATTAATCTTTGATTCGTAAACTAAGTCCTATACTGATGTATTTGATACATTTTATAATTCGCTCTCTAATAATAGTGTTACAAATGAATTAATATGTTGCACATTTAATGTTAAAAAAAAAAAAAAAATCATCATGATCACTCAGTAACCCCAATCTACATCCAATCAATGGTAGTGTTGCTGTTTATGATGTAGACAATGTCAGGTAGGTTGAAAATTTGATTTTTATTTGTTTTTACATATTGGTTATTAATTATATCAATAGACACCATGAGAATAGTGTTTTAGTCAAGGATTTGAAAGTTAATTTTATTATTACTCTGACTCTGAAATGAAATGAACATTGGTTGTCTGATAATGAGATTCTTTCCATTCTTTGCGTTTAAAAGAATAGACATACGATTTATCTTTGGTGAAGAGATAGATCTTGTTATATTTGTAAAACATTGTTATTATCGAAGGTTTGTTTTCGTGATTTTCAATATCTATTGGCGCAAGTTCTTCAATTGTTGCGAGATTCTCAATATCATCATAACTGTCGACTTTAATGAAATAGTCAGAGTATTCATCACCATAATAAAGATACAAGTGTTGATCGTCTTTAAAACAATAGCCAATATATTTTGGAATGACATCGCTGACAATTATATTCTCCGATAAAATTGTTGATGAAAACATTTGATATCGAACTCTGACAATTTGTTTCTCCTTGCAATCGTAGTGCACCGAATATTTCTCTATGATATCGTGAAACAATCCAAATGGCAATATATGTTCACAGTCATCATCCCGCAACACTTCGAATTCCTCCAGAAACGTATTGAATCGGACTAAAATTGTTCTATCCCGTCTTGAATGGTATGATTTGCCATAGAAATAGATGTTGAATGGTTCTATGAAGCAAGAAAAAGGTTGACCAATGAAACCAATAGTGTCACTATAATGATAATCTCCATTTCTGAATGTTTTGTCTTTGATTGAATAGGCAATGAACAGTTTTCTTTCCATTGAAAATATATAGATGGTGGATTTTGTTGCGCCAATGAAAATGCGTTCTCGATGTTTAAACTCCTCCAATAACTTGTCTGATAACATCAAATCAAATAATAATCTCCAAGATAATTCAATTTTAGAAATCATTCGAAATCACTTTGTTAATCATAACAATATTGGATTTGATATCAACCTTAATTATGGTTTTAGCTTTGATAAGAGATACATTTATAAATATCCAAGTTATTTCGAAGGAATCAGACAATTAATTCAACAATCATATACTTTTTATAAATATGGCACTTCAACAAATTCGAACAGGCATATAATCACCAAGAACGATAACAACGAGTTATCATTATATAAATGTGATTTCAAATCTGGAAAAGAAATGGAATTTTTGGAGAATGAATCGAAAGAGTTATTATTATTTTGTTTCTTATTCTTGTTGATTTCATTGTTATTATTTAAATATTCAATGATTTCATTGTTGTTTTGTTGTTGAATATTAAATATTGTATTACTATTATTATGAATGAATTGTTCGAATGATTTTGATTGTTTAATTGATTCAACCAATATTGGTATTTCATAACTAGTTGATATATCTGGAGAATATCATATTCATTATTATTATTATTGTTATTTTCTGTATGAATATCATCATTACTATTCTTTTCATTATTATTATCATTGTTATGTTCATCTGATTTAAGAGTTGGAGTGATTGATTGAATGATATTGTGTAATGATTGTATTTCTTTGATTAGTTTATCGAGTAGTTGATTGGTTTGATCGAGTTCATCGATGATTGGTTGTTTTAATGATCTCTCTTCTTTCATTAACATTTCATAGTATTGTTTGAAATGATCACTGATTTCATTCTCTGTTTTTGACAGCTCTTGAATAAGATAGACTGAATCATTAACTTGACTCCATAACCATTCTATTCTATCTTGAATAATATTATTATTATCTTCATCATCACTACTAGCTACTACTACTACTATAATTATTATTTCTATCAATATCTGTACCAACAACAGAATAATCTATATCTAAAAGTGATTGTTTGATATCATCTGTATGATATGTATTATGTTGACGATGTTTCGCAACAAGACAACGATAACATATGATCGATTTACAATCTGAACAAAGTAAATCAAGATCTTTATCGTGTTTATCACATTTATTCATTGTTTATACTGATATCTTTTTAATTATGTATTAACTTTGATCTTTTTTTAATTTTTCGGTTTTTTACAAAAAAAAATGAATTTTTTTTTTAAAAATATGTACATGTTACGTGACAGATGGAAAAACATTAAAATTTGGGGGTCAACCACTCAAATTTTTTTAATTTGCTTCTGTTTTTCCATGGAATTAAACAAATATATAAAGATCTTTCTTTTCACCAAAGATATAAACTTTGTCTATTCTCTAAAGGAAAATAAATAGCAAAATTCTCATCTAAATACAACCAATGTTACAATGATATGACTAGGTGATTTATAAATTAATGTAAAAATAATAAAATTTTTTTAAAACCTAGATTGTTCTTATCACTAAGATTAATTCAATAAACATTTTCTTTTTAATTTTGATAATTATTATTTATAATTTATTTATATTGTCAGTATTTAATCAAAGATACTGAGTGAAGTAGATGATAAAGAAATATATGAAAAATAGACAGAGAATATCTTGCATCCTAAATTCATTGTCTATTATATCAAAGACAAAACTCTCAGAATTGGAGAGTATGAATCCAATTTCCATCTTGTTTTCACTACTCCACCTTCTACTACCTTCACCGATCCATTCTACATAGTGCTTTCACTTTTACAACGATCATGATTGCCTACTGGAGTTAGACATCATATTCAGTGTAAAAATGAGAAATACTCACGACCTTGTCAATTTCAGTGGTGATATAACTAATTTTATAGGAAGAATGTTGATTTTCCTCTTTTCAGACATGTCTTATCTATTTATAGTATTTATGTAGTGTAACAAATTGAATAAATCACAGCAATAAGCGATATTTTTTTTATTTAAGTATATTGTTTAAAATACATTAATAAATATCATTATTATTATAAATTTAGTTATTTGGATATAGTGCAGTGTAAAATGCGGAAATAAGAGCTGAAGGTAAACCTACTAAATTGTCGATTCTCCAACAAGCAGTTCCACCAATACCCATTCCGTTATACTTTCTGTAGAGAGTCGCAGGTGTGTCATACATATACTGTCTAATATTACTTGTAAGCAATACATTGGCAAACGCTACACCGTTCAACTCTTGATATGATACCACAGGATAGTTGTTGACCAAGTTGTAGATTCCGTTGTAACCAATAGAGGGGTTGTTATTGACACCATCTACATTACAGGTAGTTCCAAACAGACCGTAGTCCATTGGTAAGCAATCTGCATAGTATGAAAAGAGCGGGAGTGCCATGATGATCTTGGCGGAGGTGTTGACGTATGGCTTCCAATTATTGACATTGTCTCTGACTGGTTTTATGGGTGATGTTGGTGCCAATGGATTGGAACTCCAGCCCATGTCATAACACATCAAGATGAAGTAATCTGACCAATCGGCATTGTAGAACGGACCAGAGTTTGCTCCACAACCGACAGCCATCGAAGAGACATATTTACTGTTTACCGACTTGAGATATTGGAAGGCGGTGTTTGCCCAACCCTTGAAAGTGGAAGCTTGAGTATTACCGAATTTCTCGATGTCCAAGTGTAGACCATCTCCACCGACCTGAGCCAATAGAGTGACATTACCGATGTATTGTCCGTTGTTGAAGTAGTAGTTGCAATCTATGACATTACAATTAAACTGGATCATGTTGTGAACAGCTACACCTCTATCATGGGAATGTTGGATGAATTCAGTCAACAATGTTTTATTCCATAGACTAAATTGAGTGACAATATTGTTGTAGGGGCTCCATTGGACTATGCTATCGTACACTGACAGCGGTTGGTTTACAAGTGTAAGGAAGGAGAACATCACCTTCTTATTATAATTAACACCTGGTGGGAAAGTTGGCAGAGCACTATATACATTTAAAGATAATGTTACTAAGAGAAATGATAGTAATATTGATGTTTTTGGAATCATCTTTTTTTAATACATATAAATAAAATGTTGTTAAATGATACTAAACTTAATTCATTTAACTGTTTCTCTTCAATTTAAATTCTAAATCCATTTTAATATTCTATCGTATGATCATTTTGAGGGAAAAACAAAAAATATCTTTTATTTCCAGAAGGGTTCTTTTAAAAATCCTAATGGTGACAAGTCATACAAACCAAATGATTGTTACTTCTAATAGCAAAAGTGCACCTGAAAGTCTTTTTACAAAGATTGAAAAACTAGAAACATTGACCCGAAAAATCTTTTCAATTACCTTGTGGGTCAACTTTTAATAAATGAGAAGGAATTTCATAAAATAAGAATATTGTTTTTTATACCCTATTGTATTACTGACCACTCCCTTAAAAGGTCAAAAACAATTTCCATTTTGAGTTTTGTTTTTGTTTTAAAGTTTGCCGCCAAACTTAAAAACACCCCTTCTCTGAAATGAGGGAAGAGAGTATTTGTTCTAAATTAACATTTTAGAATTATAATAATCAAATTAACTCACACTTCAATAATTCAACCATCACAATTCAAACAGTTTATTGACTCGATTTCAAATAGCTAAAGTTAATAATCCAACTATTAAACAATAATTAAATATCTTCGAATAATATCAACATTCAGTGAATCAACAAAATATCAATCTACCAAAAGTAGTTAATCAACAATAAATTTCTTAAATTGGGCAACTGCATTGGTCGAAGCAATCAAACAGTATGCATACCATGGAAAATCCACTATGAAAAACAATTATCCAATTATTCAACACTATCAAATATTATTCTTATCTTCAAATTGTAATCAAATAAATTATTATCTTTAAATTTTATACTGTAAATTATATCTCTAAACTTTATTACATTTATTACAATGACCTTACTTAAAAGATATCTTGATCACCGGTACTCAAATGAGCATCATTTCAATTGATTCGAGAATCATCAATATCACTTTTATTCATGTGGTACAAATTGATTGTATGTCTTCAAGAATATTAAATCAAACTGTACCATTCTAAATAATAATGATAGATATTATAGATAAAATTATTATTTTTTATTAAAAAATGAAAACAATCCACCTTTGTCAGTTGGTTTACCAGAATTTGTATTTCCAAGAGCTTTAGGAGTAACTGAAGAGGGCAATGGTTTTTGAATAGTTCTTATCAATGTAGACTTTGCCAATAAGGTAAAAGCTTCTTTAATGCCAGTACCAGTAACAGCAGATGTCTCTATAAACGGTATTCCCAAATCGTCAGCCATCGCTCTACCTCTTTCATAATCTATGACTCTCTTTTGAAGATCACATTTATTTCCAACCAATATCTTACTACCAGTATGACTGTTGTTATTTAAAAGTGCTAACCAATCTTTTATACCTATTATTATTTAATAATATATAGTTAATATAGTTAATATATTAAATAGTACTCATAGATCTATATATTAAAAAAATAACAAGCTTTCTACCCACTGTTGAATGATCTTTCATCGGCTACATCATAAACGAGTAGTGCACCAACATTGCCATTGACGTAGTTGGGTGATACAAATTTTATATTCTTTCCATCGACATCCCAAATTTGCTCTTTGATTATCTTTCCATCGAGTTCAATACGGTGAATTTTAAAATCAATTCCACAGGTTGTATATCTATTTTGACCACTATCGAGACAATCTTCTGCATAATAATATAACATTCCACTCTAATGTATATAAAGATTAGTTTATTTTATTATAATAAAGATTAAAACAATATTTAATATATTATAATTATCTTACCTTTCCAACATTGGTATCACCTAGCAATATGAATTTGAAGAGATAGTCATAATTGTTTGAATTATTAACAGGTGTAGGAGATACTGCTGTTGTTGTTGACGTTGCCGTTGTCTGTCTTTTTGGTGGTGTTGGATTTGCTGTTGGTCCCCCTACTGATGTCGATGATGTTGTAGAAGAAGAAGAAGAAGATAAGGTTGTTTTTTGTAATGATGTTGCTAACGATGATGTTTTAGATGATTTTGCTATTGCCGTTGTTGGAGGTGGTGACGAATTTTCATTTTTCAGCGATACCACAACAGATTGTTGCAATATCTCTTTGATAAGTTCTAAATCGGTATCTTTAAATACGATTTCATGTTTAACCGATCTATCTATTACATTATTAGAGTGATCTATCTTTATAGATTTAAATTGTGAATTGTATAAAGTTATTAACTTTAGAATGGTGGTGTCAAAGTTATTGAGATTATTCGTTAGATCTTCAATCATATTATTATTATCACAGTAAAAGAGTGTATCATTATTTCTCTCTATAAAGTTTATTACTGATTCTGATTGTTCAATTGATTTAACTATTGATTGTTGATATTGAATATAGATCTGTTGTATCTTCTACTATCGATTTAACTTGATTATCATCATCAAGTTCTACTTCTTTTTTGTTGATATTATTGTTATTAAAGTTTATAATATTAATGATTGATTTCAATTCATTCAATTGTTTATCTAAATCCTCTTTAACGGTATCTTGATCTATACTGATAGGTTTCTTCAATCTATGTTCTTCAACAATGAGGAATTGATGAAGTTTCTCGAAATGATTGGATATCTCTGTTACTTTGTCACCTAATGATGTGTATTGATATGATAATCTTTTAATTGATGTCCAAATATAATTTATTCTATTTTGTATGTAGTTATCTGTTTTATAGTTATGATTACTATTATTTAAATATGAATAATCATTATTGCTTAGATTATTTAAATTCTTTTTTATTTCATCGATCGATTCAACATCATGATCTTTGTTAGATTTGTAATGATTAAAAAAACATTTTGAACACAAAATACTATTACAAGTGAAACATAAATATTCAAACTCTTTTTCATGTTCTGAACATTTTGTTTCTGTTATTTGATTAATATAGTTATTATTACTATTATTACTATTCTTATTCATCTTTTTTATTTATAACGTTATGAGTTAACAAAAAAAAATAAAAATAAAATAAAAAGTGTCAAATCAATTGACAGATATTTTGATTCAAAAGTCTCATTTGATCAGTCCCAAATCTGTTTTTTTTTTTAATTATTTTTTATTTCATATTTATTTAAAATGCATTAATAAATAGTATTATAAATTTAGTAATATAGCTAATGAAGACCAACTAAATTTTAAATTGTCAAGTCTCCAACAAGCAGTTCCCAATACCCATACCGATATAGAGATTGGTTGGTATGTCATTTGTATTGTCTAATATTCAATGTACCGGGAAGGAATACAATGGCAAACGCTACACCATCCAACTCTTGATAGGATTCCGCTGGGAAGTTATTCACCAAGTTGTAGATTCCGTTGTAACCGAGAGAAGGAAGATTGGTGTTGTTACCATCTACATTAGACGATGTTTATCACTTACGCCGGTTCATTAACGATGGTATGGTAGGATAACAACAACTTGTTATTATGATCGACAGCTGGTGGGAAAGCAGCTGAAACACTATCTACATTTAACGGTCGTGTGCAACCAAGAGAACTATTGGTAATATTAATGTTTTTGTATATTCATCTTTTAAATATTTAATAAAATGTTAAGCAGAATAAAAATCAAATGGACACAAACTTTAATTTACTCTCTACTATTTTCACTATAGACACCATGAAAATAGTGTTTTTGTGGCGTTATATATCAGTAAATTTTGTATAATTTGTGACACATTCGTAGCCAAAAAATTGTTATTTCCATGATCTAGTCTGGTGTGAGTTTAAATGATTTATATCATTATTATTAAGTCCTTTTGTCCAGCTTTGGAGTATAATATGACGTAGAATGTTCTCGATTATTATATACTTAGGATGTAAGTATCTAACTACTTTAATTTTTAATCAAAAATTAAATTGCGCAACAATATTTATTTAATTCCATTCAATTTATATCACAAATGCACACAATTTTTATACGAGTTAAATAAATAAAATTTTATTGAGAGATTTATATAGATAAATATTTGATGATTTATATAAATAAAAGTATTATATGAATTATTGAGGGTTAGTACTGAGGTATGAGTGTGTGAATATTCAACTTTTAGTACTTTGATCTCTTGGTGGCAAAAAGCAGAATCGGCAATGAGATGTTTTTGGGGGTCGCTAGAAGGGTTGGCGTTTACGTGATCTTCCAGGAGCTTCTTGGCAACTTCAAGGATGGTTGCTCACAACCAATATGCTTGGGAAGTGTACGAATGATAAATGGGACGCAATGCACGGCATCAAATTTATCGTCAACCTTATCAATTTTGGTGGCCAAATGATACACCAAGATTCCTGTTGGATGTGGCTTCGGAGGAAAAACAGTGTAGAAGGCAGGCTCGACCTTTTGAGTATTTTCGTTTCTTGAAGTACAATTCATTCTTCTGGCCAACATGGTTTCGTCGATACTAATGAATGTGGAGTTTTCCAGGCATCCTTCATACACAGTGCTCAGAGCGCTACACATTTGAGTATGACTGCTTCAGAAAACATAAAGAAAGATGAAATCTTTTCGTATCTGTTTCTGACCATGTAAACTTGATCGCCAGTTGTAATGTGGCTAAAATAGTAATCATTGGACATGTCCCACAGTAATAGCAAGAAAAAGCATAAGCTCTTCCTCAGTCACATCTTTGTAGAGATAAGAGTTTTTTACTAGTACTAGCTTACTAGCTTTTGAGCGGTGTGTGTTTCTTTTTGAAGTTAACCTTACTGGATTTGTATTATTTGTAGTAGTTGTTGTGGTAGTTGTTGTAGTAGTAGTAGTAGTTGTTGTTGTTGTTGTATTTGTATTATTGTTATTTGATGAACGATTTAAATTATTGTTATTGTTGTTAACTAAGTGTTTTTTGAAGGAACTTGTGTGATGTTTGTTGTTTCGATTTAGTTGCTTTCTTGTTCTTTCCATCTTTGTCATTTGCAGGAGCAGTAGTAGGTTTTTCATGATTCAGCTGATGTTGTGGGTGAATGAAAATTTTCATTTTTCAGCGATACAGATTGTAATATCTCTTTGATAAGTTCTAGATCGGTATCTTTAAATATGATTTCATGTTTAACCGATCTATCTATTACATTATTAGAGTGATCTATCTTTATTGATTTAAATTGTGAATTGTATAAAGTTATTAACTTTAGAATGGTGGTGTCAAAGTTATTAAGATTATTCGTTAGATCTCCAATCATATTATTATTATTATTACAGTAAAAGAGTGTATCATAATTTCTCTCTATAAAGTCTATTACTGGTTGTGATTGTTCTATTGATTTAAATATTGTTGAAATTGAATATAGATCTGTTGTATCTTCTTTTTTCGATTTATTTTGATCATCATCATCATCAAGTTCTACTTCTTTTTTGTTGATATTATTGTTATTAAAGTTTATAATATTAATGATTGATTTCAATTCATTCAATTGTTTATCTAAATCCTCTTTAACTGTATCTTGATCTATACTGATAGGTTTCTTCAATCTATGTTCTTCAACCATTAGGAAATTATGAAGTTTCTCGAAATGATTGGATATCTCTGTTACTTTGCCACCTAATGATGTGTATTGATTTGATAATCTATTAATCGATGTCAAATTATTATTTATACTATTTTTTATGTAGTTATCTGAATCATTATTATTGCTTAGATTGTTTAAATTCTTTTTTATTTCATCGATCGATTCAACATCATGATCTTTGTTAGATTTGTAATGATTAAAGAAACATTTTGAACACAAAATACTATTACAAATGAAACATAAATATTCAAACTCTTTTTCATGTTCTGAACATTTTGTTTCTGTTATTTGATTAATATAGTTATTATTATTATTGCTATTGTTATTCATCTTTTAAAATGATATTTAAATAAAAATAAAATAAAAAGTGATCAAAAAAAATAAATAAAAAAAAAAGTTGCGGAAAGTGTGAAGATCATTAAAAAAGTTATTATTAATTTGTTTAATTCAAAAGAAAGGGGTCAACCACCCAAATTTTTTTAATTTGCTTATGTTTTTCCATGGAATTAAACATTTGTTATTTAATATCATATTTAAAAAGTGTTAATGACAGATTGTGGTTGACCTCTAAATTGTCAAGTCTCTAACAAGCAGTACTTTTGATAGAAACTCATGTCGACATAGCACATCAAAGTGAAGTAATCTGCCAAGAGTTGATTGCATTAGCTTGATTAGTTGGCTGGTGTTGGAGTGTTGTTTAGAATGTTTTTGTGGTTATCAAAGTCAGATATAATAGATTGGTTGGAGAAATCGAGAATTTTGTCATCTTGACTGAATAGAATTGAACTGACAAGTTTCCAAATGTGTTGTCTGATGTTCGTCACAGAGGTAGAAGTGAGTAGTTGATTTTCCAGTGACCATTCGTCTTCGTAGTTGGCAATTTGTAGATGTTTGAGGTTGAATTTATTTATTTATTAAATTATTCAACAATTTAAATGGACTTATTAATCTGTCCTCAGATAAAACTATTTCACTTTCACAATATAGATCTTTTAAAGATGAGTGGGAAGACCACAAATCGGACATGTCTCTCTATCATTAGTATCGATCATTGGGAGTAGATTATTTAACTCTAGATGGAGATACTGAATAGTAAATGCTCTGGATTATTCACACATTTCCAGCTCATGCCCAGAGGTTCATATGCCCACAAAGTTGCTCTCAAAGTAGGTTCAGATCTTGATGTAGATCTCATCTTGCCACGTTCTTTTGCCACTTTGGAATCAGTAAAAGATGATTATGATTCATCAGATGACTCTTTGAAACAATTTACAAAGCTTTGCCTATAAATAAAGAGTGCACTAGAAGTTTCCATAAAACGATTGCAAAATGAACCTTGGGGAGCTCTCATGTCAATACCTGAATCAAAAGGAGAAGAAACCACAAGAAGGTTAACAATTCAACTTCATAACACAAGTGTCGATTTATTGATTTTACTACCAATGCTTTACATTTCTGGAAACATCCTTCTTTTCACAGATGATAAAAACTTTTGGAAAGAATCTCATATTCTAACAACGAATTTTAAGATGATATGAAAGATCAAAAGCGATGGCTGACGATTTGGGAATACCTTTTATAGAGACATCTGCTGTTACTGGTACTGGCATTAAAGAAGCTTATACCTTATTGACAGGGTCTTCATTGAAAAGATTGCAAAAAGAAACTATTCAAAAACTTCCTAAAGCTCTTGCAAATGACAATGGTGGATTGTTTTCATTTTTTAATAAATAATTTAATTTTAAACCTTTTCATTACCATCTGCATTTTTATTATTCAAAAGCTAACAGTTCATATAGGTTAATTTATCTATTTTATTTATTATCTTGATTGGTGTTTAAAAGTATTATATTGTATTAATTATAGATGGTTGTTGAATTCGATAGTCTATGACTCTCTTTTGAAGATCACATTTATTTCCAACCAATATCTTACTACCAGTATGTTTGTATTTATTTAAAAGTGCTAACCAATCTTTTACACCTATTATTATTAATATAATTAGTACTTAATTAGAAGACATTTTCCAAAGATAATAAAAACAACTAGTTTTCTACCTACCATTGAATGATCTTTCATCGGATAGTGGAATGTTAATATTATTATGCAGAAGATTGTCTCGATAGTGGTCAAGATATAAAAATATGTTTTAACTCTCGGAGTTGATTATAAAATACGTCATGTTCAACTCGATGGAAAGATAATCTTACAGACAGTCTGGGAAATCGGTGGTATGTGTAAAAAACATTTAAATTCGGCTTACACCAATGGTTTATTACCAGTTGGTATACTACTTGTTATAGCTATCACCTAGCAATATGAATTTGAAGCGATAGTCATATTTGCATGAATTATTAACAGGTATAGGAGATACTGTTGTTGTTGTGGTCTGTTTTTGTGGTGGTGTTGGATTTACTGTTGATGTCGATAATGATGATGTGTTTCTGTTGCTGTGGGTGTTGAAGTGTTTCATTTTTCAGTGATACCACAACAGATTGTTGTAATATCTCTTTGATAGGTTCTAAATCGGAATCTTTAAATACGATTTCATCTATCTATTACATTATTAGAGTTATCTTTAACGATATCTTGATCGATGGTAAGTGGTTTCTTCAATCTATGTTCTTCAACAATGAGGAATTGATGAAGTTTCTCGAAATGATTGGATATCTCTGATACTCTGTCACCTAGATGTGTATTGATATGATAATCTTTTAATCGATGTCCAAATATAATTAATTCTATTTTGTATGTAGTTATCTGTTTTATAGTTATGATTACTATTATTTAAATATGAATAATCATTATTTCTTAAACTATTTAAATTCTTTTTTATTCATCGATCATGATCTTTATTGTAAAGATTGAAAAAACATTTTGAACACAAAATACTATTACAGTGAAATATAAATATTCAAACTCCATTTATCATGTTCTGAGCATTTTGTTTCTGTTATTTGATTAATATAGTTATTATTACAATTTTTATTTCTATTCATCTTTTTATTGATAACATTATTTGTTATCAAAAAAAAATAAAAAAATTAAGATTCTTATTTCTATTCATCTTTTTATTGATAACATTATATCTTATCAAAAAAATTGTTAATTTTAGACTTGTTCATTTTTATTTTTTGAAAATGTATTATTATTATAAATTTAGTTATATGGATCTAATGCAATGTAAAAAGTATTAATGACAGATTGTGGTAGACCTACTAAATTGTCGATTCTCCAGCAAGCAGTACCACCAATACCCATACCGATATACTTTTGGTAGAGATTGGCTGGTGTGTCAAACATAAATTGTGTAACATTCAATGAACCTGGACGGAATACATTGGCAAACGATACACCATTCAACTCTTGATAGGAAACCGCTGGATAGTTATTCACCAGGTCGTAGATTCCGTTGTAACCGACAGAAGGGTTGGTGTTGATACCTTCGACGTTACAGACAGTTCCGAACAGACCATAGTTCATGGCAGTGCAATTGGCATAGTATGAATAAAGTGGAAGTCCCATGATGATTTTGCCCGGTTTGTTGACGTAACCCTTCCACATATTGACGTTGTATCTTACTTCGACGATTGGCGAGGTCGGTGCCAGCGGATTGGAACTCCAACCCATGTCGTAGCACATCAAGATGAAGTAATGTGCATAATCGGCGTTGTAGAACGACCAAGAGTCTTTTAAGCAACCGACAGCCATCGAAGCGATATACTTGGGGTTTATCGATTGCATATGTTGGAAGGCGGTGTTTGCCCAGCCCTTGAAAGTCAGACCTGTAGTAGTATTACTGAAGTGCTCGATGTCCAAATGTAGACCATCTCCACCGACCTGAGTAATTAGCGAGATATTTCCTATGTATTGTCCAGTGCTGAAGTAGGTATTACAATCTACGGCAGTACAATTCACCGGTAAGAAGTTGTGAACGGCGACACCTCTCTCATGGGAATACTCGATGAATTCGGTCAACAATGTTGGATTCCATTTACTGAATGGAGTGACGATATTATTGTATGGGTTCCACTTGATTAGATTATAATAAAATGACATGGGTTGATTAATAACGGTAAGGTAGGAGAACATCCACTTCTTTTCATGATCGACAGCTGGTGGGAAATCAGCTGAAACACAAACTACATTTAAATATAGCGCAATAAAGAGAACTGATAGTAATATTAACGTTTTTGTATTCATTTTTTTATATATTTAAATAATATTTTAAAATGTTGTTGAATGATACTAAACGAATCAAAATTCCTTCAATTTATATTTGTTTCCTCCATAAGAATAAAACAAAACCTAGAAAAAAAAAAATAATATTATTTAAATTTAAATAGTTTTTGATATCTTAATGGAATTTCATAGAAACTGGGGATTAATTTGATAGAAAATAATTAATTATTTGGAGAATTTATACCAATAAAACAAGAACGAGTAAAATGATTCCATTTTTAAATAAAACGATATGCTTCCCTCATTTATTTTGCAACCTTTAATAACTTTGGACTAGTAAACAGTAGTACACTTATATAAGTTATCCACACTACTTTTGTAACATATCATATCAATAGTCATCAAAAAAATAATAGTTTTTATTATTATGATTTTCATACCATAAGATCTAAATGTTCAAAATCATTTACGAAAAAACAATTTCCTTTTTTAGTTGGATGGTAAGTGGGAACCACTTGGGTCGAAAAAAAATGTAGACCAACGCCACACTATACCACCCATCACCACTCAAATGAGGGAATGGATCAACCTTCTTGTGTATGAAAATTGACTCCCACCCATTATCATCTAATCAAAATTCATCAATCATTATAACCCAAGTAAATGTAAATCATTTATAATAATGGTATTAATCTTGAACAAGAACAAAATATTTGTCTGAATTGATTGTAAACTGAATTTTCGTTCATCTTCGGTATTTGCAGATGTTTTATTATTATTTCATTTTATTTTCAACCTTAAAAACAAATGTTAAATAAAGCGTGGCGGCAGACCGAAAGTATTTTTTAATATGAGACTTTACACGATAAATTTTGATGAGGGACCTGCCGCAGCTCATTCAGAGATTTTGTTTTGTTTGTTTGAAAGATGTGAGGTCAAGCTTTGATTAATAAATATATTGTTGTTGTGTTGTTGTTACCAATATTTTAATAATTACAACTCCTTTTCTTTCTCTATATCCTTAAAATGTTGGACTGTGTTATGTTATGGAGTGATGTGGTGGTGTGGTTGTTGGTTAAACTAATTAATGGTGAAAGAAGATATAGACATCAAATCACCCCCTCAATGCACCAAAACCACAACCAGCTCCACCTCTATTTTTCGATCAGTACATACAATCCAACCACACCCATCATTCGATCACTTGAACAATGATTTGCGAGTGAATGTTGCTTCATAAAAAATTTTTGAAGTTTTTTTTTCTTTACTAATTTTTTTTTTTTTTTTTTTTAATTTTATTTTTTTTCAATATATTTATTTCTTTTTTTTTTTTTACTATTTGGTGGCCAAAAAAATTGTTATTTACATGGTGTGGTGGGTTTAAATGATTATTATCATTATTATTAAGTCCTTTTGTCCAGCTTTGGAGTATAATATGACGTATAATGTTCTCGATTATTGTATACTTAGGATGTAAGTAACTAACTCTTTTAATCAAAAATTAATTTTTTTTCACCATAAAATTGTGCCATAAAAAAAAATAATAAATATAGCTTTTTACAAATATTTTTTTTTATTATGGTGATGAACAACAAGACTCTTTCATTGATTTAGACACTTCCATCCAGGAAAAGAACAAGGTTCTTACCACGATTAAAGATAGAAGCAAGAGATAACGAAGTGTTAATTTTACCACCAATGATTTAAATTTTCTGGAAACATCCATCTTTTCACAGATGACAAAAACTTTTATTCTTCATCAAATAATGGAAAGAATCTCATATTCAGACAAAGAATATTAAGATGATATCAAATTCAACAACCAACTATACTTTATACAATATAATACTTTTAAACACCAATCAAGATAATAAAGAAAATAGATAAATTAAAAATTAACCTATATAAACTGTTAGCTTTTGACATATAAAAATTTAGATGGTAAAGTTTAAATTTAATTATTTTTTATTAAAAAATGAAAACAATCCACCTTTGTCATTTGCAGGAGCTTTAGGAAGTTTTGAAATAGTTTCTTCTGCAAATCTTTTCAATGTAGACTTTGCCAATAAGGTAAAAGCTTCTTTAATGCCAGTACCAGTAACAGCAGATGTCTCTATAAACGGTATTCCCAAATCGTCAGCCATCGCTCTACCTCTTTCATAATCTATGACTCTCTTTTGAAGATCACATTTATTTCCAACCAATATCTTACTACCAGTATGTTTGTTGTTATTTAAAAGTGCTAACCAATCTTTTATACCTATTATTATTAATATAATTAGTACTTAATTAGTATACAATATCTATAGATAAATAAAAACAACTAGTTCTGCCTACCATCGGCTACATTATAAACGAGTAGTATACCAGTATTACCATTAGTGTAAGATGGCCTTAAATGTATTTTACTCATACCACCGACTTCCCAGATTTGCTGTTTGATTATCTTTCCATCGAGTTCAACACTGCGTATTTTAAAATCAACCCCGTGAGTTGAAACATATTTTATATCTTGACCACTATCGAGACAATCTTCTGCATAATAATATAACATTCCACTCTAGTTTATAAAAAAGATTAGATTTAGTATAATTAAAGTATTTTTTTGACATTTTTTTGTTTATAATCTTACCTTTCCAACATAGCTATCACCTACCAATATGAAGCTGAAGTGATAGTAATATTTGTATGAATTATTAACACACTGTTGCAGTGCAGGTATAGGAGATACTGTTGCTGTTGTGGTCTGTTTTTGTGGTGGATTTACTGTTGATGTCGATAATGATGATGATTCAACTGATTTTTCTGTGGGTGTTGAAGTGTTTTCATTTTTCAGCGATACCACAACAGATTGTTGTAATATCTCTTTGATAAGTTCTAGATCGGAATCTTTAAATACGATTTCATACTTATCGGATCTATCTATTACTTCTTTAGAGTAATCTATCTTTATTGATTTAAATTGTGAATTGTATAAAGTTATTAACTTTAGAATAGTGGTGTCAAAGTTATTGAGATTATTCGTTAGATCTTCAATCATATTATTATTACAGTAAAAGAGTGTATCATTATTTCTCTCTATAAAGTTTATTACTGATTCTGATTGTTCAATTGATTTAACTATTGATTGTTGATATTGAATATAGATCTGTTGTATCTTCTATTATCGATTTAATTTGATCATCATCATCAACATTTTCTACTTCTTTATTATTAAAGTTTATAATATTAATGATTGATTTCAATTCATTCAATTGTTTATCTAAATCCTCTTTAACTGTATCTTGATCGATGGTAAGTGGTTTCTTCAATCTATGTTCTTCAACAATGAGGAATTGATGAAGTTTCTCGAAATGATTGGATATCTCTGTTACTTTGTCACCTAATGATCTATATTGGTTTGATAATCTTTTAATCGATGTCCAAATATAATTTATTCTATTTTGTATGTAGTTATCTGTTTTATAGTTATGATTACTATTATTTAATATGAGGCATTTCATTTATTGCGATTTGTACCATATTAATTTGGGTGGAATTTCGATCATTATGAAAAGTTATTCTTAATTTTTTGTTTAAATATCATATGTAAAATGGGTTAATGACATATTGTGGTAGACTTACTAAGTTGCCAAGTCACCAACAAGCAGTTCCACCAATCCCTATACTTTTGATAGAGAGTGTCATATGTATATTGTGTAACATTCAATGTACATGGCTGGCACGTGTTGATGTGGGAATACATTGGCAAACGCTACACCATTCAACTCTTGATACGATACCGCTGGGAACCCAGTTTGTTCACCGTTGTAACGGAGAGAAGGATTGGTTTTGTTACCGTCCACGTTACAGACAGCTCCAAACAGACCGTAGTTAGCAGTGCAATTGGCATAGTATCCGTAGAGTGGAAAACCGGACATGATGGTTTGGGAGGTAGTCCTTCCATTTGTTGACGTCTTTCTGACAGTGGCGTATGATGAGTTCAGTGCAAACGGATTGGAACTCCAACCCACATCAAAGTGAAAGTAATCTGCCACAACAAAAAAAAAACAACACTCCTAGGTGATGTTGTTTTTCCTTTTATTTTTTATGGCTGAAAATGATTATGTTTGAGAAGTTTATAATCGCTGACTTGGCAATCTCTTGAACAATAATATGAACTCTTGATTGCATTAACTTGATTAGTTGGCTGGTGTTGGAGTGTTGGATATTAAATTTAGAATGTTTCTGTGGTTATTAAAGTCGGATATAAAAGATTGGTTGGAGAAATCGAGAATTTTGTCATCTTGACTGAATAGAATTGAACTGACATGTTTCCAAATGTTGTGGTAGATAATCACTGTTAGGTCTGATGATTCATCACAAAGGAAGAAGTGAGTAGTTGATTTTTCCAGTGACCATTGGTAGCTGGCAATTGTAGATGTTGTGTGATGTTTTTGGGGTTGAATTTGTTTAGGATGATGACTCATCGACAATTTAAAGAATTTTTTAAATTTTTTTTTATTTTTATTTTGTATATCTAATTATATTACAACAATTATTTATTTTTTATCATTATTATTTTTATTCACGCATTTCCAGCTCATCCCCAGAGGTTCATATGCCCACAAAGTCGCTCTCAAAGGAGGTTCAGATCTTGATGTAGATCTCATCTTGCCACGTTCTTTTGCTACTTTGGAATCAGTAAAAGATGAATGTGATTCATCAGATGACCCTTTGAAACCATTTACAAAGCTTTGCCTAAAAATAAAGAGTGCACTAGAAGTTTCCATAAAAGGATTGCCAAATGAAGCTTGGGGAGTTCTCGTGTCAATACCTGAATCAAAAGGAGAAGAATCCACAAGAAGTATAAAATTAACAATTCAACTTCATAACACAAATGTCAATGTCCATTTATTCCCTAAGCTACTAGACAAAGATGGAAAGATTTGCAATATTGGACCAAAACAAAATGATGGTAGTCGAAATTGGATTAGAGGGGAATACATGACCATCTATGATATGCCCGAGCTAACTGATGAAGGATTGGCAGCACTATTACTTTTGAAGCTTTGGAAGAAGAATGACCTCTCTGCAAATCAAGTAGTGCAAACAAACCTAAAAGGATACAATTTTTTGACCTTGCAGCTGACAAAGTCTGCGCTAGGAAATACTTTCAGTATGCAGATCAGAATCAATCAAATGAGCCGTGTAAGAGGATAGTTTTCTCTCGGTTCCTAGTTTCCGCAACTATCAAATCAATGGTCGATTACTTGATTAAAGGTTTTAGTTATGAAAATAGTGGTGATGTAAATTATGTATTCGCAACAGCAGGAGTAAATCCATTCTGGAACTCTACTGATCACGAAGAAAGAGCACTAATAGTTGCAGCATTAATACAGTTTAAGGAACAGTTTGATATATTATCGCCACAAACACAATTAACAACAATTGAAATAATAAAATAAATAATAATAATAGCTATAATGTCAATAATAATAATTTATACCACAAATAAAAATAATAATGATAGGGGTTAGATGTTAAAATCATTTTACCCCCATACCTGATTAGAAACATATTTAATATGATAAATTTTTAAAAAGCAATATGTACTTGGGGAAAACCTTGTTTTTATTAATTTTCTTTTCGATATTTAATATCTAGATCTATTTATTAATAGTTGTATTTATAAATAAACAATGACACAATGTATTGAACATAATAAAGATCTTGATTTATTGTGTACAGTTTGTAATGTTATTATATGTTATCGTTGTCTTGTTTCAAAACACAATGAACATCATACACTTCATATCGATGACATCAAACAATCGCTTTTAAATATAGATTATTCTGTTGTTATAGATAAAAATAAAAAAGAAAAGAATAATAATAATGATAATAATAATGAAGATGACAAAGATCAAGACAAGGATATCATTGATATAGATAAAATAAAGGATGATAACAATAAGAATGATGATAAAGATAATAATAGTAATAGTAATTATAATAATGATATGATTAAAATGAGAATAGAATGGCTATGGGAAAAAGTAAACAATACAGTCAATCATATTCAGACACTTACCGAAATGGAGAATGAAATCAGTAATCATTTCAAACGTTATTATGAAATGTTAATGAAAGAAGAGAGTAAATTAAAGAAACCGTTCACCGATGAAATCGAAAAAACCAAACAACAACTCGATAAACTAATCAAAGAAATACAATCATTACACAATATCATTCAATCAATCACTCCAACTCTTAAGTCACATGAAAAAGACAGTAATGATCTTGATAATAATAATATTAAAGATGATAATGGGATTCTATCAGATTCAACAATCAATTATTCGCTTGAAACATTGATTGAATCAATTGAACAATCAAAATCACTAGAACAATTCATTCATAATAACAGTAATACAATATTCAATATTCAACAACAAAACAACAATGAAATCATTGAATATCTAAAGAATAACAATGAAATCAACAAGAATAAAAGACATAAGAATAATGATAACAACAAGACAGATAATAATAATCTCCAAGATTATTCAATTTTAGAAATCATTCGTAATCACATTAATAATCATAGAATCAATGACAAAGATTTAGAGCATATGAATTGTGGTGATGTTTCAGTTTCCGAAAGTAGCAAACATCTAGGTTATTTTGATGGAATCAGACATTTCATTCAAAAATCGATTGATGTTGAATTTTATCTCAAACAACCCAACAACAACAGATACATTATCGCAACGGACGAAGAGGATGATTTAAACATAACATTTTACAAATGTAAATTTGAATCTCGCAATCAATTGGAATTGATGGAGAAAGAGTCGAACGAGCTTGCCGGTTTGATTGATTCATTTACAAATCAAATCATTATATTTGCATCATCCAACACCACCATCTATATATTCTTCATCTTTTCTTTCGTTGCTTACTCGATGATTGATGGAGCTTTCAGAGTGGTAGAATTTCAATCTTCTTCTCATCTTGCAAGATTCCTAGGTCAACCTACAAGTTACTACGTCGATCCATTCTACATCTATTTCTATGGCAGAACATTGAAAGGTACAATGATAGTCAGATTCAATACAATGTTGGGGGAATTCGAACACTTGTATTCAGATTCACAATTAAACATCACTCCTGTGGCTATTTTTAACGAATTCTATGATCCAGAGATGCATAGATACACAATTCACTATGATAGTCAATCAAAACAAATCGTGTTGGTTCTATATGTCAGTTTTTCGACTATAGTAAAACGTACTCTATCCATTGTACATGATGTTGTCTCGCCAAAATACATAAGCTACCTCTTCAGAGGAGAAAAAATGGTTTACATTTACTATGGTGATGGAAAACTAGATTATTTCTTGCATGTAAACTTCAACTTGGCACCACTAAAGTTAGAAATTAAAAAGCTTGACGCTATTGGAGGATGTGCAATACCAGATGCACAAAACAACGAATTGTTAGTTTTGCCACCAATTATTTACAACGAAGAGAAACATGATGAAAAGATGTATCTTTTCACCAAAGATGAAAGTTTTGTCTATTCTCAAAAAGGTAGACAATGGAAAAAATCTCATATAAAGACAACTAATATTAAATTTATAACAGATACAAAAGATTACCTTTAAATAGTTTATTCTTTAATAAAATAAAGTATTAATTAATTGTTTATTTATTGTATTTTATTTTAATTTCATATTTAAAATCAATTTATTAATACTATTAATAAAATAATTTAGTTGTATGGATTTAAAGAAATGTCAACTTTTGAAATGAGAGATTGTGGTAAACCTTTTAAAAGTCGATTCTCCAACAAGCAGTTCCACAAATACCCATACCGATATACTTTTGATAGAGTGTCGTCTGACATTCAATGTAGAAGGAAGGAATGCATTGGCAAAAGCTACACCATTCAACTCTTGATAGGTTACCGCTGGGTAGTTATTGACCAAGGTGTAGATTTTGTTGTAAACAATAGGAAGATTGGGGTTGCTACCACCAACGATGTTACAGATGGTTCCGAACAGTTCATTGGACCGCAATCAGCATAGAATCCGTAGTGTGGAAGTCTCATGATGAGTTTGGCTGGTTTGTGGACATAGTCCTTCCATTTGTTGACGTTGTTTCTGTAATCTGATTGTCGGCGTTGTAGAACGACCAAGAATCAGTATTAGCAACCGACAGCCATCGAAGCGACATACTTGTTGTTGACAGACTTGAGATATTGGAAGGATGTGTTTGCCCAGCTACTTCCGAATTGTTCAATGTCCAAATGAAGACCATCTCCACCGACCTGAGTCAATAGAGTGACACTACTAATGTATTGTCCAGTGCTGAAGAAGGTATAACAATTTATGGCAGTACAATTCAGCGATAACATATTGTGAACGGCGAGACCCCTATCATGGGAATATTGGATGAATTGGGTCAACAATGTTGGATTCCATTCACTGAATGAAGTGAGGATGTTGTAGGAGCTCCAATCGACTAGATTATCGTACACTGACAACGGTTGATAGGATGGTTAGGAGAACAACTTGTTATTAAAATTGACATCTGGTGGGAAAGCAGCCAAAGCACTATCTAAATTTAAAGATAATGTTGCAACCAAGAAACTGATAATAATATTAATGTTTTGTATTCATCTTTTATTATATATTATTAAAATGTTTTTGAATGATATGAATCAATGAAATCAATCTGCTCCGATGATTTTTCTTATAAAAAAAACAAAAATAATATGTTCGGTTATTCTTCATCTTCCTAATATCTACCCTACAATAATGAATAGTACATAGTAATTTAGTGAAAATCGGTAAACCAATAAACAAATATCTAAAAGTCTTTAAACATCAAAACCGTTTTAATTAAAGTTTTTAAATGAGGGAAGATGAGGCAAACAAAAATTAAGGAAGAGAACACTTAACACACACAAATGAGGGATTGGAAATTAGTTTATCAATCATGATTGTCATCTAATCAAAATGAACCTCTTTATAAATTTGATTTACTTTTGATTAACTCGCTCTGTATTTAATTTGTTACATTGACCTTTTCTTTACCATGTTATTTATCTAACAACTGGATGAAGTTATCTTTTGGTAAGCACTATCATCTTTAACGTTATAATTATAATGAGACATAATAGATATACACAATAATTGATTATTTATTGATGTTAACAAGAGTATTATTTATTAAAATTTTTGATTTTATAAACAAAACAAAACAGGCTCTTGCTTGTAACCATAAATCGAATAAAATAAAAAAAACCACTCTGATCACATTAACCCCACTAATTTTTAATTTTTTCATTTTTTTTAAAATTAATGAGCAGGCGAAAGTTGTTGGGAGCCAGTTTTGTTTTGATTTATCAATTAAAAAACAAAAAAATGTAGATCGGTGATCGTCAAAAAAAGTCAAAACTTTGTTTTTATTTTATTTTTTATTTATGTATTATTTGGATTTAATGCAATGTAATAGGTGGTAATGAGAGATTGTGGTAAACCTTTTAAAAAGTCGATTCTCCAACAAGCAGTTCCACCAATACCCATACTGACAGACTTTCGGTATAGTGTCGCTGGTGTGTCATACATAAATTGTGTAATATTCGATGAACCTGGACGGAATACATTGGCAAACGCTACACCATTCAACTCTTGATATGATACTGCTGGGTAGTTATTCACAAGGTCGTAGATTCCGTTGACACCCAAAAATGTGCTGTTACCATCGACACGACAAGTGGTTCCAAACAGACCGTACTCCATTGAAGTGCAATTGGCATAGTATCCGTAGAGTGGGAGTCCCATGATGAGTTTGGCCGGTTTGTTGACGGAGCCCTTCCATTTGTTGACGTAGGTTCTGATGATGTCGATCGGTGAGTTCGGTGCCAGCACATTGGAACCCCCACCCATGTCGTAGCACATCAAGATGAAGTAATCTGCAAAGTCAGCGTTGTGGAACGACCAAGAGTTATTAGTACAAGCGACAGCCATCGAACCGACATATTTGGTGTTGTTCGCCCTGAGATGTTGGAAGGCGGTGTTCACCCAACCTTTGTAGGTGGCAGATGTAGTAGTATTACTGAATTGCTCAACATCCAAATGTAGACCATCTCCACCGACTTGAGCCAATAGAGCGATGCTACTATTATATAATCCATTGTTGAAGTAGGAATTGCAATCGGTTTCATTACAATTCAGCTGTACCATGTTGTGAACGGCGACACCTCTGCCATGACAATGTTGGATGAATTCGGTCAACAACGTTTTATTCCATTCACTGAATGAAGTGACGATGTTATTGTAGGAACTCCATTGGACGAGATTCTCGTAGACTGACAACGGTTGATTGTTCAGGAGAAGGTAGGAGAACATCATCTTTTTATCATAATCTACACCTGGTGGGAAAGCAGCCGAAACACTATCTACATTTAAAGATAATGTTACAACCAAGAGAACTGATAGTAATATTAATGTTTTTGTATTCATCTTTTATATATTTATAAAATATTGTTTGAATGATGTTAACAATGAAATCAACTAGATCTAGACATGTTTCTTCTATATATACTTTTTTCCTCAAAACGAAAACATTTTCCCCAAGATAACCAGGCTTTATAGAAGTCAAAATCGTTTTTGCTCTAAACTTTTAAACGAGTGGTTTTTTCAGATATTTTTACAAAAATCTTCCAAAATTGGAATCTCATCATTACTTTACCAACCCGGAAGGCAGTATTCGTGTATCTCTAGTCAGAAGAAGTAAAAAATGTAATGAATACCTGCCTTTACAGTTCCAAGCATCTTTTGAATGAATTAATGCCAAAGAGGGGGTAAAACCATGCATTTTTAAAAATTCCAAAAAATTCGAAAATTTTTTTTACCAAAAATAGATCATTTTTACAGACTTCGGCACGCTTAAAGTTTATAGCCTGACTTCGATAACGTACAGTTAGATCTTACATCTTATATTGCTATGAGAAACTGAAAAAAAAAGGTATCACGAAAAACATCATTGACTTGATAATAATAATATTTTTTATCTGGGTTGACAATTTTGTTCAGTGTTGGCCAATGGCAGTTTTCAACATATTAATACACATTATCTACGAATCATAATCATAATACAAAATCTTCTGAAATTTTATTGATTTTTACTTTTATAAATCGAAATGAAACAAATTGAGATTCATTTTGATTTGGATCATTGAAAACTAATGATTCATAAACAAATGTAATTCCCTCAACATGTTGAGGGAAATAATAAAAGAATATGTTTTAGTGGTGTTTTAAAAGTGAATTTTGTTAGTGGTTTTTTTTCACCAAAAAAGGAAATCTTTATTTTTTACAATTAAAAGAGTGCAAGTCAATATGATTAAAAAAAAGATATTGATATATAAAAAAAAAAATCTTTACGATAGTATTTCTTCAAATAAAAATTATCTTTCTTTGACTTTATTAGAAAATATTTAAACAAAGAATTAAAATAAACCAAAAAAAAATTTTTAAAATAATATTTGGTGGGTCATTCCTCAACAATTTTTGATCAAAAAATAACACCAGTTATTGATATTTTTTATATTTTTTTTCCTTAAAACACTGATCAGAAATGTTCCTTTAAACAATGACACAATGCATTGAACATCATAAAGATCTTAGTCTATTCTGTACAGTTTTTAATGAAGTAATGATCGCACACTTCAATTTATAGATAAAAATAAAAGATGACAATAATATTATTGATGATAAATATAAAGAGAAGGTTACAATTGATATAGATAAATTAAAAGATAATAAAAATAATAATATTATTGCTATTGCTATCATTGAAGGACGTACAATTCAAGTTGACCCAGATGCCAATGAAATTTTAGTCTTAACTCCAATGATCAACGTTTATTATGAAGATGACCTTCCTAAGATTTATCTTTTTTGTCAATGATGAAAAGAAGAATAAATGGAAACAATCCCATTTCAAGACAACAAATATCCAATTTGACTTTATTTTGTTTAAAATGATTGAAAGTTGTTATATTTCTTTGACTTTTAGTATATGTTGAATATTCGGTATCTGAAGATGAGAGTGTTGCCATTGGTTGCCTTTGATTGAATAGACATAGGCTTTATCTTTGGTGTAAAGATACAACATTTTATCATTGTGAACCATTGGTGTCAAAACTAAAACTTGGTTGTTGGGAGACTTAACTTTTGCACGTCCTTCAATGGTTGCTAGTTTATCGGTGATTTTTGGTTTGGTTCCAAAATTGTCCAACTTTAGGAAATAGTCAGAGCTTTTGCGACCATAATAAAGATACGATGTGCCTAAATTAACAGAGCAATAGGTGAAGAATGTTGGTATGATGTTTTTGATAATCAGATAGGCAGCAACGACTTCGTTTGTATCTGACTTGTGTTCAACAAAGACAATATCCTTTGATAATGCATCATAATACATCGAGAATAAGACGTTAAATCTGAAAAACAATGCCAATGGTGTTCTTTCTTCAGAGTATTTGTCAACAAACAATCTTTCAAATGTTTGTGTCATCGTATTGTATCTTACAATAATGTTATTTCCACCCCTGGTAACTCCGTCAATGTTGGTTCTTTCCTTACCATAGAAGTAGATGTAGAATGGTTCTTTGTAACAAGTTACAGGTTGATTAATGAAATTGAAAAAACCATAAAAATTTTCTTTACTGAATGAGTTGCTAATGGTTGAATAAGCAATTAATTCGTCTCTGAGGAATACATAGATGGTGGTGTTTGATGATCCAATGAAAGAAGTTGACTGTACAGAACCTTTAGATTGTTCAACCAATTCTTTTGATTCTTTCTCCATCAGTTTCATTTGATTGCCTGATTTGAAATCCCATGTGTATAATGATAATGATTCATCCTGAGTGATAAAGTATGTATTATTATGTAAGCTATTGTTTTTGTTATCCTTTCGATCAAAATAGATAAAAAGAGATCTTGGAATAAAATATCTTATTCCATCTAAATAACTCTGATTATGGCAAGACTTTGAAACTGAAATAGATTTACTATTCATATTTAATATTTGATTGATATCAGTGTTGTGTTGTTTAAAATGATTACGAATGATTTCTAATATTGAGTTATCATTATTGCTATTGTTTGTCTTTATATTATCATTATTCTTATGTCTCTTATTCTTGTTGATTTCATTGTTATTTTTTAGATATTTCAATGATTTCATTGTTGTTTTGTTGTTGAATATTGAATATTGTATTACTATTATTATGAATGAATTGTTCTAATGTTGTTGATTGTTTAATTGATTCAATCAATGTGGGAATTGAATAATTGATTGTTGCATCTGAAAGAATATCATATTCATTATTGTTATTATTATTATTATCATTGTTATGTTCTTCAGGTTTAAGAGTTGGAGTGATTGATTGAATGATATTGTATAATGATTGTATTTCTTTGATTAGTTTATCGAGTAGTTGTTTGGTTTGATCGAGTTCATCAATGATTGGTTGTTTCAATTTACTTTCTTCTTTCATTAACATTTCATAATATTGTCTGAAATGATCGCTTATTCCATTCTCCATTTCATTAAGTTTCCTAATATGATTAGCTGAATCGTTAGCTTTATTCCATAACCATTCAATTCTATCTTGAATTATATTGTTATTGCTGTTATTGTTTGATCTATTTGAAATCAATGAATTATCTTTGTCATTATTTTTATTACTATTATTATCTTTACTAATGCTATTATTATTCGTTTCATCATTATCTGTAATACTATTATTATTTTCTAATTGATCTTCATCTAGATCATGATTACTACTGTCATCATATACAACAACAGAATAATCTATATTTAAAAGTGATTGTTTGATATCATCTGTGTGAAGTGTACGATGCTGATTATGATTTGTCATGAGACAACGATAACATATTACAACATTACAATCTGAACATAATATATCAAGTTTTTTATCATGTTCAACACATCTAGTCATTGTTTGCTTAATAATGATAATTTAGTTAACAGAAATAAATAAAATAAAAAAACCTCAAGGTCAATCGGTTTTTCAAACTTAGAAGGTATCGTTACCACTCCTATCTTTTGATCGATTATGTTCATTGTTATTTCACCATTTTCTTTTTTTTTTTTTATCTATTATGTTCAGATTGTAATGTTGTAATATGTTATCGTTGTGTTGCTAATCATAATAAACACGATACACTACACACAGATGACATCAAACAATCAATTTTAAATATAGATTATTCTGTTGTTAATAAAAATAAGAATAATAATGAAGATGAGGATGCCAACGATAAAGATAATAACACGGATATAGAAAAATATAAAGATGATAATACAGTTAATGATAATAATGATATAATTCCAGATAGAATAGAATAGTTATGGAATAAAGCTAACTATACAGTCAATCATATTCAGAAACTTAGTGAATTAGAGAATGAAATCAGTAATAATTTCAAATAATATTATGAAATGTTAATGAAAGAAGAAAGTAAATTAAAACAACTTCATTGACGAAATCGATCAAAGTAAAGCAACAACTTGATCAATCATCAAAGAAATACAATCATTACACAATATCATTCAATCAATCACTCCATCTCTTAAATCAGATGAAAAGGAGAAAGATCTTGATATTAATCAACAAATAATAACAACATGTATAATAATGATTTTGATATTCTCACCGATACAACTTAGAACAACTCATTCATAATAATAGTAATACAATATTCAATATTCAACAACAAAACAATGAAATCATTGAATATTTAAATAATAACAATGAAATCAACAAGAATAAGAGACATAAGAATAGTGATATCATTCCATTTGCTTTGTTTAACGATTCATTTGAACCAGAATTGAACAGATTCACGTTGCAGTATGATAAGCAAGCCAATGACATAAAATTGGTAGAATAAGAAAAGTTTTCAACTATTATCAACAGATTCTCTACTATTATCAGTGATGTCAAACCTACATTCATAACTCACTGCTATGAATTTGACCTATTCTTTGTTTATCTTTGTGAAGGTCATCATTCAAAGATTTATCTTTTACAAAAGATAAAAGCTTTGTCTATGACGGAGAGGTTAACAAATGGAAAGAATCACATCTCAAGACATCGAATTTCCAACTTATAACAGATAAAAAAACTATTCTATTTAACATAAACAAGTAATTTTTCATCAAACGAATTATATTTTATCAACCCATATATACCAAAATAAATAAACAAATAATTGTTAACAGTTATAATTTAAATCAAAAAAAAAAAAAAACGTTGATAATATCATCTCATATAATCATGATTGTGGTAACCACTCTGTTCACCCATTTTTTTTGTTTTTTTGCACATAATATAATTCGTTTGATGAAAAATCAAGTAAACCCCCACACCTGACCAGACATGTCAAAAAAACAGATTTTTAGTGAAAATATCAAGGGGTTGGCAGCCAGTTTTGTTTTGAATACCAATCGTTTAAATTAAAATCTCGATATTGTATAAAAGATCACATATCGTGTTTTATAATGATTTTTTTACTTAACTCGTGATTTATATTCACTCATTGTTATAACAAATGATGAGCAACAATAAATATTCTTTTGTACCATTATTAATACTATTACTAGTGTCTACAGTAAAAGTAACATGTAAGAAGATATTATTATATTAATATTTTTAAATTGATTTCATTATCATTATCATACTAACAAACACAATGTTTTTTTTTTTTTTTTTTTGGTAAAAACAAAAAAAAAAATCAAATAATTATTATTTTTTAGATAGAACCGTGTTCATTAGACAATATCAACCAACATTCTTTATAGCAATAACAAATACAGAATGTACATACAGATTTTTTACAATCACAGATTCCGTGCAATGGCAATACTCTGTCACCGGTAGTTATACACTCTTTCCTACAACATGGATTACGCAGTTCTGTACCCAAACTACATCAATAACGTAATGGATGCCTCAAAAATTCCAGCAAGTCTAACAACTTTAGATTTTACAGCCTCTCTACTCTCAAATATATCACAAGAATCTATTGGTCCGATTTCATGTATACGTAAGTCATACATCCATCATATCATACACAACAACAACAACAACAACAACAACAATATTTGATTGATGATTATAATCAACTTGGTTTTTTTTTTTTAATAATAATCTAATCATATTCAATGCATTGTTCATTACTACCCATTAGCATATGTTAAATTTGAAATAGCTTCAGCTTCACCAGTATACCAAGATAGATATGCAATGAGATTCATTCAGTATGTAGAACTTAAGAATCCACTCAACATAGTCAATCCTCGCTATGGTGCAGCAGCTACAAACTATTGGAAAGATATCAAGATTAGAGCAAACTCTTGGTTACCACAAGGATGGGTAACCATTTCATTTAAGGCAACAAGTCTACTACCAAGCTTTGGTTCAGTCAATGCAACTATTTATCCACCTCTATATCCTCAACAATCAGCCAACATACCACAAAACAATCCATATAATAGTAAGTTTGCAAAATTAATCATTTTTTAAAAGTTAATACACAGATATTAAACAATTGCAAAAAAAAGATATTGGAACAACTATTTTAGGATATAATTCAAGACAGATCACTTTTTCACAGATATGTTCACATAATCTTATTTTGAATGTTCAAAATTTGAATTCTGCGCTTGGTTTTGGAGATGGTGCGTTCGAAACAAGGTATTTCCCAGTGCTGGGAACACCAGCGAATGCAACCTACCATATATTTGTCAATGCAACGACACCGACCGGTGCGCTACCACTCTATGTCTACGATCAATCGTCACTGTCCTACCCCGATATCTTTGGGAATACAACGAACCCACTATCGACCTATTCAGGTAAAGGCTCTGCCACTCAAGACAACACAATCAATGGCTACATTCATAATATCAACGTTACACTCTCGGTTGTTGGACTGACACCGATCACGATTTCCTACTCTTCGATAGAGAATCTCAACTACTATCACTACCCTGCTGGATTAAGAACACTCCGAAACGACGGAATCGAAGGTGCCACCTATCAATTCTATTTCGATACGATCTATCCAAACTGCACAAACAATGGTGAATTTATATTTTTCACAACCAATTTCAAACGAATTTCTTTTCAAACTAATTTTGGTCCTTGGATACCAGCTCGTATGTAAAAATATTAACCTTTTTTTATTAACAAATAGTTTTATTAACTATTTTATTTTTAATTTTAGTTCCTTCACAAATAGGCACCTCTATTTATTATCAAGATATACAATACTATCCTGTTTCAACTTTTTCATTCGTAATAAGATTGAATTTGAAAAATATACTATACACTGGAATTAGAGGTGTAGATTTGTATAATACGAAAATCAATGCTTGGGATTTGATTCAAGGTAACCTTAACGAAGGTGTATTCGAAACCTTTATCTCTTGGGATCTAATGGCAAACCTAGTACAAGTCAAGGCACAATCCTACTACCCAAATATAGATTTTGGAAAGGATTATGAAATTTCGGTAATCAATCAAAATTTTCAATTCTTTAAATATATTCCACCACAATTAAGTAAGTAGATTAATAATTAACTATTACTATATTAATTCTAATACTAATATGATTATTTAGCTTCATTTAGTTTAAATGATATTACATATTTTAAATTTGTACCAAATATTGTTGATGTATCGAATGGAACTGGAACTACTGTTTTGGTATTCAATTTTAAAAATAGTAAACAAAGCGATAGACCTTCGATTTATATACCATCAAACAGTCATCTCCCAGGAATTATCGATCAAAACAATGTGTTTACTGGTTACTATAATCAGACAACACAAAATTTCAACATTCCAATTACTATCAAACAACAAGTATTCTCTAGATCACTCGACTACAACATTACAGCTGTACCAACTTATATTTCAAGAGATATGGTTGTATTAAATTTTGGATCAGATGCTTTATTATATGTACATTCTGATTGTAAGTTTTTGTTTATTATAACAACATTCATTTTAATCTTTATTAACTATTATTATTATTATTTTAGTTGCTGATGAAATGGGACCAAATGTTGAAAGTATTTCACAATATCCAGGTAGCACTATAACTATAGGATCTAGTGAGACAAAATCTATTGGTTGGGATTTTACATTGTTTGATAAACCAAGTGGATTCCAATATGGTGTGGCGATGATTACATCGAATATTGACTTTATGCCAATTAACGTGTCGTTCACTGCATTCAATAATACAGATGGCGATGAATTCACTGGAAACTATTCAATTAGAATTCCAATCAATGGAAATTGTAGAAGTGCTGTATATCATATTGATTTGGTACTCTTTGATTATCTCGGGAATGAAGCTGACTCTAGAATCGGTTCAATCTTACCAAAGTTGAATCCATTCTATAAGATGTGGGGTGACGCTACTTTGGAGTCACTCACCAACATTACGGTAACTTGTACGGCAACACCAGATACCACTCCGCCAATCATAACTATGCTAGAGGTACACACCTCGACTATCGATGTTGGATCAAACAATAGATTGTTTGAAGCTAGCTTTACTTTTACTGATGATGATTCCGGTATTTCTACAAATACCAAAGACAATCCAATTGTATATCTATCGACTTACTATGGAGAAACAACAATGTTCAAATCGAAATTTGAATCTATTAGTGGTCTATCTGTAACCTACTCTGTAAGTGGACAAGTTCCATTTGGTTTCGCAATGAGAGGATTTTTCTTGATATCTATATATGGTGGTGTAGATAATCATAGAAATCTCGGTGGAATTACATCGTCAGAGCTAAAGTCTATATATCCTTCGTCATACTATGGTACAACAATATTCAACTTGATATCACCTGTGTTGGAAGGTGCAACGGAAACACTCAAAGAAAGTGGAGGTCCTCTATATATTCGTGGAAAGAAAATGGGATTTAATTACGATACTGTTACTTGTCAGATTGACTATGGTAGTGGATATCAACCTATCACTATAGATCTTCGTTATCCATCTATCTTCCTGATAAACATTGGTACCGTAACTGGACCATCGATTAAAGTACAACTGTTTGTAAACGGATCGTCATCCAATGAATTGGTAATCAATAAATATACTATTCCGCCACCTGCTCCACGTCCTCCAAAAAGAAATTCAACATCAACTACCACTACCACCACTACCACCACTACCATTACCACTACCACTTCAAATGGCGCGACTACTACTACTGATTCGACAACTGGTGTAACATCAACTACTACCACTTCAAATGGCGCGACTACCACCTCAACCGCCACTAATACTGGTACAACATCAACAACAACTACCACTGGCTCAACAACAGGTACACCAATTCCAAATTGTCCAGGTTCAACAACTCCATGTTCAAATCATGGACAATGTATCAATGGTGAATGTTTGTGTGATCGTCTATGGTATGGACCGGATTGTAATTCTAAAAATCATATTCTCCCACCTCCTCCTATACAACCGAATCAGCCTACTATCAATACTACGATTCCTTTCGAAGATGGTTTCAATATTATTGGTCGTATTTCCGTTGATTCACTTCGAGAGATATCATCGAGTGGCGAGATTATTGCGACTTACCAACTCTCCGATTGGGTTCTCTTTAACCTATCTACACCAAGCCAATTCCTCTATAGATATCAAACCACCGTTAAACATTTTACCAATGTTTCAGTGGATGTCGAATTCTTTTTGAACGAAACAACGATAACATTTGCCAAAGAAAACTTTACAATGTTACCGTCAACCATTAAATACTCTATTTCCTTGACACCCTATGATTTCAGCGATAAGCTATCAACACTTCAGATTGTCATGTCTGCAGCACTGGAAACAGAAGATCACGATACTTGTTCAAAGAAAACCTACGGTGGACCAAACGATAATATCAGTTGGATAAAGTTGAATATTGACAATCAGTCGCTCTATGGTAGATTCCTTAGGGTTGCAGAGATTGACCAATCGGTTGTACCCATCACTAACGAGTTGCTGGACGCGCAAATGAATCCTGTAAACAATGAATCCAGTGTACAAACATTCATTGGAATCAACATACCACAATTCGAAATCAATGTTAAACTGGATCCCGACTTTTCAATACTCATTGACAGCGATCAACCTTCAGGTGCGAAATGCAAGAGTAGCAACAAGCTGAGTGCAGGCGCAATTGCAGGTATCACTGTTGGTTGTGTTGTATTTTGTGCTGCTGTAATAGGTGCTATTTTCTATTATAAATCAAGAATGAGAGCAAAGAGATACAACAAGGATATGGAACGTAAATTAAAAAGAATAGGTTAATAAATAATATTGCTAAATTTCAAATATTTTAAGTTAATAATAATAATAATAAAATATTTTATTATTATGCCCAAGTGTTAAATCCTTTCGAGATATATAAATTAAAAATCATTTTGCGAAATGAAAAAAAAGCCGATGGAATTTGCCGATATTTTATGAATTAATAATTGTCTTGCTCTAAAATTAAGAAATTGTTAATATTACAGTTTAACTTTTAAAAAAGGGATTTATTTCGAGTATACTAAAAAGAAAGAATGTTTTAAGCAGTGTAGACAGTCAATTCAGTGAAACCGATGTTTGTAACAGTGAGTGGGAAAGCACCGAAATCTCTCTCGTAGGTGGTGGCAGACATTGGAGCAACATCATCTTCTTCCTCTGGTGAAAGACCAGCTTGCATTCTAATTCTTCCTTCAGTATTGTTAGCATTCTTCACTCCGACTGTGGTCATTCTTGGCCAAACCCATGTGTTAATTCCAGATTGTGATTGACCCTAATGATAGAATAAATATTCAAATAGAATTGAATATAAATATTATATTTTTTTACGATTGTCTTTTCTATTGTTAATTAATATACTTACTGGACCCAAAATCCATGGACCTTCAGCAGAGCAACAAGCCAAAAGCAAAGCAGCAACAAAGAATACAGAAAGAATAGTAGTTGAGGTTCTCATTGTTTATTTCGAGATATATAGTTTTATTTATTTGATTATAAAGTATTATTATTTTTAAAAAGTGAATGTTTATAAATGAATAACTCAAGTTCTTCTGAGATCTGATTTATAGTTTTTAAAACTATTGATATTTTTTAATTTACATTTTTTTTTATTCGGAGTAATCAAAAAAAAAAAATACCGAAGATATTTTTTTGCAATTTTTGTGGTCAAATGCCGATAAACTTGTTCAAAGGTATATTCAAACTTACCTTTTTTTTAAAAAAAAAAAATTAATGTTTTTAATCTTTTCTGATGTATAACACCAACAACATCACACTGCAATTGTTTGTTTTTTGATTTTTTGATCACGAAACGATGGTGCAAAGGTTGATGTCATATAAAGTGAAGCTCTCAAAATAAATAATAAGATTAATATGAATAATAAAAAGAAAACTTTATTGTGAATCACCATAAATATCAACAAAAAAATGTTTACCAAATATTTGCATCATAAACACCTTAAACAAAAAATGATCATTTTATTTTTAGAAATCAAAATACTTTTCATTATATAAATAATAATATCAACTTTTATTTATGTATTAATAATAAAATTCTATGTCAAAACTTTTAATTGTGTCATTACCAGGCAAGATTTGAAAAAAAAATTGTGGTCCTCGATTTCTTTTTTATTCCACATCCAACTTGCTAAAAAAATAAAAAATAAAAAATATAAATATCTGATTTTGTGAAAGAATTGGATATTTTTTTAAAGAGATTATAAATCATTTATTACTATTTTTGGATGGTTGATTCTGTTTTTGTTCATTTTTTCCACTTTGTTTGCTCACTTGCAAAGACTGTGCAAAAATTCTTTTTTTTTTTTTTTTTTATTAAATTAAATTAAATATTTGATGATTTAATAAACTCTTTGAAGTGATGAATTGACAAATATAATACGTATTCTAATCAGCAAGTAAGAGTCACAACATAATCTATAAAAGAACAATAATCAGTCATTTGAGGGTTATTGTTTCGAGCAGATTCTATTGTGCATGTCACTCTGTGGTTCCATGGTATTGCTTCGTTACGCTGCTTGTTTGTATGGCGTTACTCTGTATGGTCAACTGATATAACTTTGTATCTTTCTACTCTCATTAACGTATACAATTCTAAATTTGTTTTAAATAAACATGTCTGTTGTACTGAGCAGTATACAAATCATTCATTCGTTTTATATTAATTATTATTATTATTATTCATTAAAACATCAAATACATTTATTAAAAAAGAACTATTAACTTATTTACTTGTACTATTGAACTATTATCATAATATGTGCACACAGACAACAAGAGTGTCTCAGAAACAACAACAACTCAACAGAGTAGCATAGATACGAACAGGAAGCAATTTCGGAAAGCTAAGAGTTATTCAATCAAATATGTACCGAAATAATAATTTAGTATCATTGGAACTTACTATTTATTTTCAATCTTTGATTAGAGCAATGAAGTCGCAGTTGAACAGATATTTAGTGACTGGGAGATCGATTAATCGATTAGCTACCACAATGTATCACAATACATTAAAAGAACTAAAGAAAGAAAAGAATCTATTAATAGGTATGTTATTTTTAAGAATCATTTAATCAATACTGTTATCATCGGTGTCTACGTCCTCAAGTCAGACCCACGTTCCATCTACGGTAAGCAAGGTACCGGGGGTGTGGTGTGTGTGAAAACTGGAAAAACTGTTATCATCGGTGTCTACAACGAGAAATTGCAACCAGGTGCTGCTGCCTCCGTCGTCGAGAAGCTCGCTGATTACTTGATCGATCAAGGTTATTAAATTATATAAAAATAAAGTAATATATATAAAATCATCCTAAAAAAACAAAACAAAAAATTCAAATTTTTTTTGTGTTTCTTAAAAAAAGTCAAGTCATAATTAAGAATAACTTACTAATGATATGGATAAACTATGAAAAGACAGATTTATTATCTACCATTGTCTTTTGGATATCAGATTGATAAGCAGTTCGTCTTTCTATGAAGCAGATAATGAAGATGAAATCAACACATTGACATTTTTCAAATTGAAATTTAAGAAAAGTGTTTTACATGATTGACAATAGATTATCTAAATCAAAAGAAACAAATAAAATCTACTGAGTTTGACAATATGAAAATTGAATTATATTTTATTTTATTCAACTATGATTGACAATTGAATTGATATAAAAATAGGTGATATGATTGTGATTAAATCAACAGTTCTTATTAATTTACAAATATAATAAATATTACGGATAAACAAAACCTATTACCTATTGTTAACAATTTGGTCCAAAGGGTTAAGACCAGAGAGACTATTAGACTCGCCACTTCCCTGTATAAACATGCAAATTTACTCGACTATCTTGTACAAGAGTTGCATGATTATCAGTTCCTAGCCATAGTCACTCATAATGAATTCCAAAGATTCAAATTGGATCCTCTCCCAAATGTAATTCTTGTCAAAAATATTGGCAAAGGTAAGATTAAAAATAGAAACTTTTTTTTAAATTTTTTTTTTAAAATTAAATAAAATTTCTTTTTAAAAAATAGCTAAATTGAACAATTTAAAGTTTAGACTTCTTGAAAATCCGGATATTGTCCAAGACAACCTTCCTGAAATTGTGTCATATTTCAAAACAGAAGCGATATTCGTTTGTTTTCAGAGAATAAAGTATATAATTCTAGCCGAGAATGATGAACAGGTCAAAGCCTTAGGTGAAATTCAAACAATCATCAAGAATGATATTCAAAAGTCACAGATAGCTACAACTACAGTTCAAGATAGTTCGTCTGATGAGAGGGATTGCTCTGATGGTGATATTTCATCTAATGAGAGTGGATCAAATATTCTCGTGTCATTACCCAAAGGTCCTGAAGCTGGTGTCAAGCAGTCCAATTGTTCTAGATCAAATATTCCTGTGTCATTACCCAAAGGCCCTGAAGCTGTTGTCAAGCAGGCCAATGGTTTAGGATCAAATATTCTTGTGCCATTACCCAAAGGTACTGATGCTGGTATCAAACGGTCAAATGTTATTGTGTCAAATATTCTTGTTCCATTACCCAAAGGTACTGATGCTGGAGACAAACAGTCAAATGGTTCTGAATCAAAGATTATTGTGCCGTTACCCCTGGAACTTGAAAATTCAAAAGATCGTTTAGTGCTAGTACCTAAGGTTCCCGAAGCTGTAAAGAAAGCCGGAGTCAATCCATCAAAGGATTTCCCATGGAATGTATCAATCAAGAAAGTACCTGCATTTCCCGATCAAACCAAGTTGTTAAATAATATAACCAAACCAAATACAACAACAACAACAACAACAACAACAAACAACAATAACAATAACAATAGTAATAATAGTAATAATAATAATAATAATAATAATAATAATACTCAGGTTAAAATAGGATTACCAACCACAGAATTCAAAGAGTATGACAAGTTGGCACCTTCTTTCCAATCATATACTGAACTCAATAATCTACATTATTTAGCAGTACTCAATTACCTTTTCATGTTCCCACATGCATTCTCCTACACTCCTCATCCTGTTGGTATCGAGTTCATTCTATTCCCTTACATTTTCCATCTTTGTAAGGTTGAGAATAACAGGCTAAAGTTCCCAAGTGATGAAATTACAATTAAGTTTATCGATAGTTTTAATTGGGCAGGCCCAGAGACTATTGCTTATCTCAAGTTCTTTTGCTTGGCCAAAAAAGTAGAATCGATGATCTCAATGGAGTTAAGGGTAATGGAAAAAAATTGAATGGTTCAAAAAGGGAAATACTCTATTCCAAGGTTCCTAGGAATACACAGATGATGGTGTTAATGTACTTTAAGAAAAAGAATCTTCCAACACCAGGCTACATTGATATACAATATCAATTCTTCTCTCCATCCAACTTTGATGGTTTATTGTCAATTCATGATACAAGAGATGCTCTATATTTATTAATTTAATCAATCAATGACAAAGAAAGCATTCTCCCAACATCAGATCTTGAAGTAGTTACATACAAGTTGCGTTTCATTTTGGAGGTCGTCAGTTCATTCTGGTTCCCTTTCAATTTTCGAAGACAAATTCAGATACTTATACAAAATATGGACTGTAGAGATCTTATCATTGTCTCTGGTATCGACCGAATCTCAAGAAATACATCAGAGATTATTGAAATATTTGGATATTTCCGGGAATTGGGAATTATTCTGTATATCCATAACCTGAAAACTCCCAACATAAAGTCTGGTAAATATATTGTTGACTTTGGATTCAAAACATTGTTTCATTAGACTATCAATGACCTTTGAAGAGTTTGAAACGGAAGTCCAACAAACCGGATCAAGATACTTTGCTCTATCAAGTGAATATGGATTATATAGAAACGACATCACACCACAAATCATTGGATTACCAAAGTCCACAATCGCAAAGAGATTAAATCATTTTTCTCTCATACACTAGGTGATATTAATAATGTAGCGATCTATTCAAGAATGTCACGTCCTTTGATTAATGGTAAACCTAATAGTGGTACTTCAATCAATGATCAAGTCAAGGTTTCTTATTTAAGCTTCCTAATTGCATGCTGGCAGTTGTATGCTTTTCTCAAAGTGCCAATCCATTGCTAAAGATGGCAATCGATGAATCAACCATTGAAAAACAAAATGAAAAGGTTGAAGAGAAGCTATACGATAATGATCATGGTATCAAAGTAACTATTGAAGAAGAAAGTGATGATGAAGAAGAGAGTGAAGATGAAAAAGAAAAAGAAAAAAAGATATACTTACCAAGGTGGTGAGAATAGCCTTTATCGGCATGTGGCATATATATATGTGAGTATGACATGTTTTATTGTGTATGTGTTATATTATATTGAGAGAGCGGGAGTGTGTGGTGAGTGATAAAAGTATATATGATTATAGTTATATGATATATATATATAGTAGATTGATTATATAGTTTGTGGTTGTGTTAAATATATATACAAATTTATTATTAATATACAAAATTAAATTCAATTAATATTAACTATTATTTATTTAGTTTCTTTAAATTTATTTGTCAAGATGTTATTAATTTATTCAAAGAGATTTGTTTATCAAAACAAATAAGTGCATAGATTAAATGTTGAAATGGATGATCTAGTGAAGAGTACTCTCAAAGAATACAATATCAACCCCCACAAGATTCAGCCTTGGATCATGACATTTACTGGAGCGGATCGATTGACTAGAAATGAAATCATTATTAAATTTGCAAATGCTCTTAATTGTATGATAGTTGGTCTCTTTCCCCCGACTGATTATCTTTTATCAATCAAATCAAATTTCTCTGATGCATTGGTCCAAACAATCATATGCATCAAAGAACATTGTATGGGTGTCAATTAGATCAAATTATTGAAATTATCAAAGTGGTAATTCTTTCGCACCATTCCAACCCTCTCTGTGGTTTCCATTTATTGTCAATTCAAAATCATTCATATTTCTATTCGAAGCTTTGAAAAATTCTCGATTATTCCATGAATACACTGGATATATTATGAGTCCCTACAAATTAGGCAAGTCTGCAAAGGCCATTCTCGGCACAGATGACTCCAAGAATGTCGTTGGCTCTGGCATAAAGAGACCAGCTTCAACTGTTGAACAATCTCCCAATAAGACCAAGAAAGAGAAAGACGACAGTAATCCAAGATCCCGATTGAATATCTTGAATGTCATTTCATATCAGAATCCAGAGTTGGTTGATATTGTACATTCTTGGGTGATGGGTCCTAATTTAGCAACAATGATCAAAGAAGTTGCCAAACTTTTGAGCTACAATAACCGTGGTAACAAATTAGAAGATGGCATTGAAATTCTAGTTAAACATTACCACAACCAAACTCTCAATTCCAAATCCAGTACAACTTCAACAAAAGAACATAGAGATATTGTTGAAAGGTAAGGAAAAAAAAAATTGTTGAAGCATTTTATATTATATTTATTAATATAACTTTTTTTTTTTTTAGTATTCAACGATTACATCATGTTGAAATGTTTGATGTTGACAGGAACTATAGTACCGAAAGCTCTGATCAGCAAATTACTAATGCTCCCCCAGCCAAGTCAAAAGTTCCCAAGCAACAGACTACTCAACCTAACTGCTCTATTTGTGGCATCCGAATTGTATACTTGAAGAAGGATGTTGAAGTGTTGATAAATGGTATTGTTCAAGTAGTTGTGCAATCTCTGATGGAGTTTCTGAAGAATCTGAACTCTTCAAACGTAAATGTCAATACATCAGTGATAAGAATGAAAGATGTAATGAATATATTCCAGTTTATTTAGAAATTGGCAAACTCTGTTTACAACATTTCAAGGCAAACAAAAAATCGAGAAGAGAGTTTATTAAGAATAACAAATAAAGAATGTTTTAAGATTTAATAAATATGATTGCGTTTTTTTACCACAAGGATATATAATGAGAAACAATGTTGAAATCGTAAGTGTATTTATCTGTTTACTTCAATAAAACTACTTTTATCAACAACCATACACACATGAGGACCATATTAATATTATATATTGAAAAATCACGGTATTGTAAAAATTTTTTATTTTTTTTTAACATATTTGTTCGATCACTGCATTGTTTGTGCATATTAATTAATGAAAAAAACAAATTTGTTCTTTTATTTATTTTTAGTTTTCATTGAAAGTAGAGTTTACAATGCATTGCCGCATTGAATATCCATGGTGTTGATTTCATCTTCATTATCTGCTTCATAGAAAGACGAACTGCTTATCAATCTGATATCCAAAAGACAATGGTAGATAATAAATCTGTCTTTTCATAGTTTATCCATATCATTAGTAAGTTATTCTTAATTATGACTTGACTTTTTTTAAGAAACACAAAAAAAATTTGAATTTTTTGTTTTGTTTTTTTAGGATGATTTTATATATATTACTTTATTTTTATATAATTTAATAACCTTGATCGATCAAGTAATCAGCGAGCTTCTCGACGACGGAGGCAGCAGCACCTGGTTGCAAATTTCTCGTTGTAGACACCGATGATAACAGTTTTTCCAGTTTTCACACACACCACACCCCCGGTACCTTGCTTACCGTAGATGGAACGTGGGTCTGACTTGAGGACGTAGTACTTGGTACCGTTGAGGACAACACCAGTGGAAACAACGTTGGCTGGGTTGGTGAAACCACCGATCAAAGCCTTCTCTTCACCGTTCTTCAAGGAGAATCCCTTTGAGGCGGCCCAGTTGGAACCGTCCAAACCAATGATTTGGGCGTTAGCGAAACCAGCTCCAACGAGGTTGTTATCGATATATGGTTGCCAGGCAGACATTATTATATAGTTTTTGGTTTTTTATTTAAAAAAAAATAGATTACAACAAGGGGTTTTTTAATTTCTAAAATGATATTTTAAAAAAATAAATTATTGCAAGTTAGAATATGTTGAATGTAAACTTTTTTGAATATTATAATATTGTTCTATTCAATCTCTCTTTACTGTAAGTTGACTATAGCAAAGAGGTTTATTATTGATTGATATTGTTTAATTCTTACATATGAAATTATATTGTTTAGTGTACAACTGAATTGAATGGAGATCAAAGGTTGCACGCTTGCTTTTTGATGATGAACAGAGCTTGAACAGAAAAATCAAAAAAAAAATTAAAAAAAATTCAATAAAAGATATAATAATTTCTTAATTGAAAACCCAATAAAAGCCATTTTTCAGCTGATTGAAATATCCATTTTTCTCATTGGCTGAGATGAAAATTTGTTTTTGGGTAAAAATATATTTTTTTTTATTTTTTGAATTTTTATTTTTGGTATGAGAGATAGAGATGAATTCGACAAAATTGTTTTTTTTTTTGTTTTGACATTATAAGGTACAAGGAGGAATGAGATTGGTTTTTTAACCACCCCCACTCACAATCATGTGATCATTTCTAAACCCTTTTATTTTGGCCAGGAATGCATATTTTTTGTTTTCATCCATTTTCAAAATATTATTATGACATCTTTAAATTTAATTTAATATATTGAAAAAAAACAATTTTTTTTTTAAAAAATGGTTATTTTAATGTATAAATCTAGATTGGAATTTAATGATCTAATTTAAATCAAGACACTGTTTCATGCTTTTCGTCATTAAAATAAATTGATCCATCACAAATACATATTCAAACAGTTTTCGAAAGTTTTAATTTAGGATAAAGTATTTTTAGGTGTCTATCCTAATCGAATCTATCATTCTATCAACCTCCCCATTCCAAGTTTCAAACCCATTTACCCAATACCAAAAATTAATAATACAGATACTTGAAAAAAAAAAAAAAAACCAAACAATTTTTAAAAGAAATTAATTAAGAGAGTCTACTATCCAAACCCAATAACAAAATTATTTTCTTTTTTTTTTTCGTTTGTTAATCTAACTAGATTCATTCGTTCAATTGTATTTATATATTTATTTATTTATTTATATTTGTTGTTGTTGTTTTCGTTTCTTCGATGATGTTGTTTTAGTTGTTGTTGTTGTCGTCGTAGTTTTTGTACATAAAGATAATGCTTTGTTTAGTTGTTTTTCTAGTTTAGATTGTTTAGCAGGCTCGAATGTTGATCCTATATATTCGAATACCTTACACCACTGAGCTAGAGGAATTTGTTTGTGGTTGTCGAGTACGATGTCCAGTGAGTGTTCCATGTAGGTTTGTGACTTTGGTAGGTTCTCATTGGTTTCGAATTCGATCATCGCAGCGTCGTACAGGTGTTTCGCAGCCAACTCTGGATCGATCGACTCTACCAACTCTGCAAACTGTACACGCAAATCAGTGAAACTCTCGGGTGCATTCGACATTAGATTCTGATAGAGTTCGTCGACGGTCATCCAGGTCATCTGTTGTGTCTCTCTACAGCCACGACCTATACTCTTGGCAAAGTACTTACTGGCTTCAATGTAATCGCCATTGGTATGTAACAATATCATACCATACTTGTAATTTGATACTTTTTAATTAAAGTAAAGTTTGAGTATATATGAGTTGTTATTATTTCTCTCTTTTTTTTTTTAAGCAATATTAATAATAGTTAACTTACGACAATAAGAAGGTAATATATCTAATGCATTCTCACAGTAAAGTTTAGCGTTATTCCAATCCTCTGCTTTAATATATAGACCTGCAATCTCATCGTTTAGTTTTACACTTGAACAAGACTATTATATTATATTTGTTTATTTAGTTAGTTTGTTAGTTAGTTAGTTATTGTTATCTGTGGTAATCTAGATTGATTTATAGATATTTACATTTAATGAATCAAATAATATATTAACTTTATCTCTCCAAATAAAATTTCTTTGATAGGTTGTTAAAGAATATAGAATAGTAATTGAAATAGTAGCTGTTAAACTTATTGCAATAAGTAGTTTGTTGATGATTGATAATCTATTTTTGGTGGTGGAGGTGGTTGTTAAAGATACTTTCTTATTCTTCTTATTCTTTTGTAATCTATTATTACTATTACTATCATTTTCATCCATTTCCTTTTGTAATTTCTTTCTTCTTCTTACTATTGATTCATTTTCATTATCATCACTATCTTCTTTTACTTTGTTATTTACTTCTTTATCTTTATTATTATTATTATCTATTATTTCTTTTTCTTTTTCTTTTTGTTGTCTTTGTTGTTGTTGTTCTTCTTTATAATCTATTAATAAGAATGGTGATGTTAATAGTCTACCTAGGAGTATACAGAATGCAATCGATGGTAGATATAGGTTGTTTTCACTAACAAGTGAATCGGTGTAAAAGAATAGGTTTAATTTAGGAATCATGTTAATTACACCAAAGAGAATGTAAAACAAGATAACTACCGATTGCTTCTTGACGTTGGTGAATAGCAGTGGAAGGAATATAACACTATAGGTCAACAATGTCTGTATATTCAGTTTGTCGGTCAACGATTGAACTGTAGGCAAACAATTGTAACTCCAATCTACAGACAGTGTCTTTGGCACTAACAACAACCATAGGTAATGCGCGTGTGAGTAATCGATGGTGAGTAGACGTGTCAATCGGTTCGACTCGAAACCAACGTGGTTATCTACATATCTTAGTTCACCATAGACTTCATCTACTTCGCCATTGGCAACAGCGTCTGTGTTGATGTAGTAGGAGAACGGACTGAAATAAGCAGATGCCAATATATATTGAATGACCGATATCAATAGCATCGCTACTACGATAAACGATCGTAGGTTACCACGGAGAATGTAATGATACAACGGTAGCAGCAGCATTAGCGCATAGGCAATACCACCTGCCAAACTACCGAGCAAGAAGCAAACCAACGAACCAATTAAACTGTATCGATAGGTCAGTAGCGATAACATAACAAAGTTACAAGACAGCAACACCGATCTACCACTTCCAATACTAGCAACAATCTCACCATTCACCGGATGCAAAACGAATAACAAACTACCGATAAAACATGCAAGATCATTACCAAATGAATGTGACATGCTAGGTGTACTACTACTCTTTAAACTGGTTGTTAGATGTATGGTGAATAGGAATACTTGAACACCTAGAGTTGCATGTAGTAGAACGTTGGAGAGATGATAGAGCTCTGCATCGTCATCGGGTGCACCTGTCAGCTGACTGAATAGACGGTCGACTATCCACGACAGTGTGGTCATCGGTGTTTTGTATTTACTCTTGCCGCTGACGATCTCTTCGATGTTCTGACTCTGACTATTAGCAGATCTACCAGAGAATAGATCAACAATAGCTTCTACACTAGATCTATTGTCACTAGGTAATCTATAGACATCTCTATTCTCCTTGATTAACTTCACTTCATCCTCTGTGAATTCATTTACAAGTGTATTGGAATATATAGAAAGTGTAACTAAAAATATAATTAAACTAAATATTGATAGCTTTATATAAATACTATATTCTTTTAAATTGTTATTCATTCTTTTTTGTTTTCTTGTTTATTTTAAAGTATTTTAAACCTAAACCACTTTAAGACTTTAAAAGGAGGGCAATCAAGATCATAAAAATGAAGTTCACACACACACACCACAAATCGATCAGATTGAAAAAAAATAAATTTCACTTTGCTCTACCAAAGTAACTTTAATGCGAGCAATACTCAAAAAGTAGTATTAATCATCAAAAAATACAAGATTGTATTTTATTATTCTTTGATTTGATTGTTAATTAATCTTTTTTATTTTATTTATTATTATTTTACTACAATTGATTATTAATCTAAAATATTATTGATGTAGATGCACACCATGCTCTTTTAAATTTATCATCTTCAAAGAATAGTTCCCATTGATTGTCTTTGATTGAATATTTGTAATTATTACAGCCCCGACCACCTATTGAATAGAGAAAACTTGAGGTTGATGATTCTCGATGATATATCAAAAAAGCATCACGATATTGGGCAGGAACAGGCTTTAGAGCGATGGATTGTTTGTTTTCAACATTGTATTTGATCAATTTGCTATTGTCCACATTAATGGTGTAGAAATTTCCATTGTTATCATGACATGCTGTGTATGGTCTAATATCAATTTGGTGATAGGTTATCTTTCGATTTGTCAAATCGAATTGAAATAGCCTCTCCTTTTCGTATAATAGTGAATATAATGAACCTTTGAAGATCATTGATGATATTTGATTACCGTTTTCATTAGATAATCCATGATATCTTTCGAATTTCTCTGTCTTGATGTTGAATCGATCAATTCTATTCTTTATTTTATAACCATTAACCAAATAGATATGATCTTGACCATCATAGCAAACTGATATATAACAATCGCCATCTATACCATTCATATAACCAATATGTTCAACTGATTTCGATTTGATTGAGAATTTCATCCATTCGTTTTCTTTCTCACCCCCAAATACATAGATATATTCACCAATGGCAATAATCGATTGGAATGTATCACAAAAACCATAATAAATATCAAACTCTTCGATTGAATTGTTGTTTGATAGGTTAATCAGTGTTGCTCCTCTCGATTGATGTGTTGTGAAAATATATGATGATTTATTATCGTTGCTGTTTGTTTTTAATACTGATGATCGAGTTGTAACTTTAACAAGTTTGATTGATTGTTTGATCATTGAATTCAATTGATTGAAATCATGTTGTTTGATTGATAGTTGATAAAATGATTCGTTATTATTATTATTATTATTAATGATTTCTGATGTTTTGTTGAATTGATTGTTGTATTTATGAATGATATCCAATAATAATGGTGATGAATCATTGTTGTGTTGTTTGATAAGTTCATCGATATTGAATAGATCATGATGTTCATTGAACAATGTTTGATTATTATCAGAGATGAATGATTCTAATGTTGAACTCGATATTATTGATTGAATTATTGTTGTTGGAGAATATAAATCTTTTGTATCTGTTGTATCTAATATCATTGATTCACTATCATAACTCTTTTTATCACTATTATTACTATTACTATTATTATTATTTAATTTATTATTTATATTTATAATATTAACTAAATATTTGAAATGATTTATATTATTATCTATTTGATTTATGATTGTATCTTTATCATTGATAATATCTTTCTTTAATTTATGTTCTTCAATGATTAGATATTGATGTAATTGTTCAAAGTGTTGTTTAATCTCATTCTCTGTTGTTGTTAATGATTGATATTGAGATGTCGATGATTTTAATGATTCCCAAATCGATTTAATTGTTTGTGATAGCTCTGTTTCTTCATTTTCTTCTTTATTGTTTTTGTTATTGTTATTATTATTGTTATTGTTATTGTTATTGTTATTGTTTTTGTTTTTATAATCATTTATTCTCTGTTTCTTCTTTACAGGTTCACTATTATCTTTATCATTATTATCAATAGCACTATCTATTATTATCTCATTATTAAATATATTATTTAATGATTGTTTAATCTGATTGATATGTTCACAATGATTGGAATGATCTGATCGTTTTTTGCAATGATCTACTGTGCATACTGAACACATCAGAATATTACATTTATGACAAATATACTTGAATGTCTTTGAATGATTTGCGCAATTGGTTGTCATTTAATTAAATTAAAAGTTAAAATAAAGGTTCAAGAAACAAAATTGTTAAATTCTATAAAATTGTTAAATTTTTTAACATAAGACAATTTTTAAAATCTTATGACTTATTTTTTTAGTTTTCTTTCATCAGATAACAGAATGATTTTATATTTTTTTTAAATATTATAGGATCTTTTGATTATAATGATGACTAAATTTTTAATGAGCTTGAATATGCTCTAATTCATTTTAGATTAAGCTTATCACACTGCTTACTGATAGTCAATGATTGCTACTTAAATTCAAATTCCATACCAGAGGCGATCATTGTCTGTTCTAGTAGAAGATCCATTAAATTGTTACATGTTTTTTATCTATTTTTTTAATTTAAAAACATAAATATAATGTAAGGAATAGCATTTAAATTAATTAATTTAACAACAATATATAATATATATAATATATAATTTTATTTTTATTTAAAAAACAAGGAATTGGTTTTTTGGTTTATGAATTTAGTGGATATGAATCGATCTTTACCATTGAATAGGCTTTCAATACGAGTTTTAATAGTATAGGGTTGATATTCTTTGATGTCCAATCTTGTAATTGTTTTGTTGTTGAGTAATGAGAGTGAGAACGATTCAATGGCTTTATCAGTTTCACATTTAGTGTCTAGTTGTTTGCTCATAATTTCTTGATAGTATCTCTTATGAAATGTGATACCAAGACGTTTGAGTGATTTGTTTGATTCCAATAGATTGGTGAGTTGAACAAGTTGATCGACACCACATTCAGTGAGTGAGAGATGATTGATTGTTTGATTCGAGTGTGACAATGTTTGATAGAATGAATCCGAGAGTACTTGACATGAGATTGTCAATGATGTTAATGTAGTATTGACTGACAAAGCTTCACAGAGTGCCAATGAAGTTGATTCGATTGACTTTGGAAGTAGAAAATGACCATGATAATCATCCTCTCGACTTCTAATATTATTAAAGGATTTACAATAGTTTTTCAACTCCAAATACTTTAATCGTGTGTTACTTCCAAGCATCAAACAGAATCGTTTCCAATGTTTTAATTTACTTACTACCAATGTCTCCGCCTCTGTATCATCTTGAAAACAACGACAATAGTAGTCATAGAAAAAGCCATTGTCTCGTATGTCGCAATATTCTTCATGATCAAATTCATCTTCATCTTTATCTTCATCTTCATTTTCCTCATCAGCTTCATCTTCATCTTCACTGTTATTAAGAGTCGATCGATCTAATGCATCCAATATACCAAGTGGAGTACTACATTTGAATGAGTCGATGAGAGTATCATTGATAACAGCGTATTTTAGTAAAAAGGCCAAGAATCGATCGCTTGGAATGATAATGTTTCTGAGTGATTTCACTTCTTTGAAGAGGTAACCATATTCAATATCTGGTACTATACCATCGTGATGACCTTCATCGTAGACAAAATAGATTGAATTTGTACGCCATGGTTCGACATACTTTTTATAGTAACGATCAATATTATCATGATCTACAGCGCAATCTATATTCACCACATAGAGATGTACGAATTCCAAAGTATCATAACCAATTGATGATAAATCACCGTTTATATGTGACTCTTCACTATCTGCTTTTACAAACACCTCTAATTTGATCGATGGAAATTGTTCTACGAGTTGTTTTACACGATTAACATCATCTGTATTGATAATCAATCTCTTTAGATTCGTAAAGTTCTTAAGCCAAGATGATTCAGGTAAGAAATCAGCATAGAGATGTGTGATGTTGGAGAATTGGTAGATTGATAGAGTCAATGAGAGATCGTTTTGTAGAGTTGCATAGAATCGATCGGTTCTCTTTGAGATATAATTAAACCATTCCTTTGAAACCAATGAATATTCTATTATTGATCGATTATAATTCAACTGCTTGAAATTCTCTAAACTATCGAATACCTCTTGACCATCAGTATAATCATAGGCATACTCTTTCAAAGTTGGATAGAACGATGGTAACTCTTGAAATGTTCTACGATTACAATAGCAATCGCTATTATAATTTAATAACTTATTTATTATTTCATATTGTAATAATATAGATAAACTTGTAAACATTTTTAATAGATTAATTAATCTAGAGAAATGATAACTGTGTTTTGTGATAATTAAAATGACACACTACAGTGAGCGAGAAGGAGCCTTTTCAGGTCAAAATAAATTGAATTTTTTTTTTTATATGAACGTTATGAAACCATCAAATTTGCGCGCTTCATCATTTTAAAATTTCACCTTCAAAAATACTTCTTTTTAAATTTTAAATTTTTTATACTATTTATTTTTTTAATCAAATAATAATTATTTGTTATTTAGAATTAGAGTATGATTTAGTAGGTAATCGATTGGACAAATTAAAACTTTATTCTTTACAATTGTTTTCTATTTAAGTATGGGTGGTCGACACTAGTTAACCGATGGGTCAGTACACGATTAACAGTATTTGATGAGTTGTTATTCCTCTAGGTAAACCATTCAGAGAGATGGCTTTAATATGGATAGTAGAGACATTGTGTAGTGCAAACAGTTTACCAAAAGTGTCTGGAGAAACGCAGTACAACTGTTGAAGGGGTTTGAATCAAGAGATTTGAAACCGCCATGCCCCCAAATCAATCAGGATCTCTACAATACCTTCATGGAGGCGTCATTTAGTTATTGTCTGTTATAGTGGAGAAGAATCATTAGATTTATGAGCCTCAACATTTAATTAAATCAATCATTGTTAGATGTTTTTTTTATCTCTTTTTTTTTTAATTTAAAAACATAAATATAATGTAAGGAATAACATTTAAATTAATTAATTAGCAACAATATATAATATATATTTATTTTTATTTAAAAAACAAGGAATTGGTTTTTTGGTTTATGAATTTAGTGGATATGAATCGATCTTTACCATTGAATAGGCTTTCAATATGAGATCTAATAGTATAGGGTTGATATTCTTTGATGTCCAATCTTGTGATTGTTTTGTTGTTGAGTAATGAGAGTGAGAATGATTCAATGGCTTTATCAGTTTCACTTTTAGTGGTGGCCAGTTGTTTTCTCATAATTTCTTGATAGTATCTCTTATGAAATGTGATACCAAGTCGTTTGATTGATTTGTTTGATTCCAATAGATTGGTGAGTTGAACAAGTTGATCGATACCACATTCAGTGAGTGAGAGATGATTGATTGTTTGGTTCGAGTGTGGTAATGTTTGAAAGAATGAATCCGAGAGTACTTGACATGAGATTGTCAATGATGTTAATGTAGTATTGACTGACAAAGCTTCACAGAGTGCCAATGATGTTGATTCGATTGACTTTGGAAGTAGAAAATGACCATGATAATCATCCTCTCGACTTCTAATATTATTAAAGGATTTACAATAGTTTTTCAACTCCAAATACTTTAATCGTGTGTTACTTCCAAGCATCAAACAGAATCGTTTCCAATGTGTTAATTTACTTAGCACCAATGTATCCGCCTCTGTATCATATTGAAAACAACGACAATAATAGCTATAAAATTTATAATTCTTTAGTAAATCGATATATTCAGCATGACTATATTCCTCTTCATCTTCATCTCCATATTTAACTTCAACTGCTTTACCTTCATCTTTATCTTCAGCTTCATCTTCAGCTTCTTCTTCATCTTCACTGTTCGTGAGAGTCGATCGATTTAATGCATCCAATATACCAAGTGGAGTACTACATTTGAATGAATCGATGAGAGTATCATTGGTAACAGCGAATCGTAATAAAAAGGCCAAGAATGGGTCGCATGGAATGATAATGTTTCTGAGTGATTTTACTTTCTCGAAGAGGTAACCATATTGAGTTTCAGGTACTATACCATCGTGACCGCCTTCATCGTAGACAAAATAGATTGAATTTGTACGCCATGGTTTGACATACTTTTTATAGTAACATTTAAGATTATCATGATCTACATCGGAATATATATTCATTACATAGAGATGTACGAATTCCAGGGTATCATAACCAATTGATGATAAATCACCGTTTGTATGTGACTCTTCACTATCTGCTTTTACAAACACCTCTAATTTGATTGATGGAAATTGTTCTACGAGTTGCTTTACACGATTAACATCATCTGTATTGATAACCAATCTCTTTAGATTCAAAAAGTTCTTGAGCCAAGATGGTTCTGGTGAGAAATCAGCATAAAGATGTGTGATGTTGGAGAATTGGTAGATTGATCGAGTCAATGAGAGATCGATTGGTTCCTCTGCATAGAATCGATCGGTTCTCTTTGAGATATAATTAAACCATTCCTTTGAAACCAATGAATATTCTATTATTGATCGATTATAATTCAACTGCTTGAAATTCTCTAAACTATCGAATACCTCTTGACCATCAGTATAATCATAGGCATACTCTTTTAAAGTTGGATAGAATGATGGTAACTCTTGAAATGTTCTATGATTATAATAACAATCGCTATTATAATTTATTAACCTCTCTAAAATTTTATGTTGTAATAATATAGAAAAACTTGTAAACATTTTTAATAGATTATTTAATATTTAGCGATTTTAATTAAAATGACATTCAATGAGAGAGTCAAACAATTGTTGAATTGTTTTTTTAAATGACCTTAAACAAAATTCCCACCATTAAATTTTGAGTGAATAAAAAGAAAAATAAAAACTCTTTTTAATACTTTGATAGTCTTATTTTCAGGGAATTTTGATATCTATCTTCTTGAAAAAAAGATAATAATAAATATTTAGAAAACACAAAATAAAATTGATTTATATTTTTAATTATTATTTAAAATATAAAACACTCTGAGTATTATTAATTTGTTTGGTGAATAGAGATTGAAGATTGCGTTGAAATAGGTACTCAATATGAGATCTAATAGTATAGGGTTGATATTCTTGAATGTCCAATCTTGAAATTGTTTTGTTTTTGAGTAATGAAAGTGAGAATAATTCAATGTCTTTATCCATTTTAATCCTAAAAGAGCTTGGTGTATTATTACCTATCATTTGTTGGCAATAATTTCGATGAAAAGCAATTCCAAGTCGTCTGATTGTTTTGTTTGATTCCAATAGATTGGCAATTTGAACAAGTTGATCTATACCACACTCTGTGAGTGAGAGATGACTTATTGTTTGGTTCGAGTGCGACAAAGTTTGAAAGAATGAATCCGATATTACTTGACAGGTGATTGTCAATGATGTCAATGTAGTATTGATAGACAACGCTTTACTGAGCTCCAATGATGTTGATTCTATTATCTTTGGTCTTAACATATGTGAATATGATCGTCTAGTATTGAAAATATCTTGATTGAAGGAACTACAAAAGTTTTTCAACTCAAAAGATGTCAAGCGTGTATTATCAGCAAGAATAGAACAGAATTGCTTCCAATGTTTTGATTTATTTTCAGCCAATGATTCTCATATCCATCTGAAAGACATTTACAACATTCATCTTCATCCTCACCAATTTTATTCTTATCATCCTCATCACCACTGTCCAATGCTCCTTCAGCTAAATCTAATAAACCAAGAGGTGTTCTACAGCTAAACGATTCTATTAAAGTATCTTTGGATAGAATCCTTTGTAATTTTTTGGCATAGAATGATTCGGTTGGAAGGAAAATATTTCTGAGTGATTTAATGGTGAAGATTTTATCATAGAGTATTAAATCGTCACTACCTTCGCTATCATCTTGTTATTTTACAATGGTAATAATATCATATTATAATATACATATAAACATATAAATATAATACTTACAACTTTGATATAAGATTAGGAATTACTTTAGGAATAGTTTTGGTACGAAGAATATAGATTTAATGAATGTAATAAAGTTTAGAGATATAATTTACAGTATAATATTTAGAGACAATAATTTATTTAATTTACAATTTGAAGATAATAATAATATTTGGTAATATTGATAATGTTGAATAATGTTGAATAAATTAGTTTCTATAATGGATTTCCAAGGTATTTATACTGTTGGATTTCTTCACCAGTGCAGTTGCTCAATCTCAGAAATCTGTTCTTGATTAACTAGTTTGGTATTCATTGTAGATTAACTTGTTGGTTATTTCTTTATGTTAACTTTGGTAGATTGATATTTTGTTGATTCACTGAATGTTGATATTATTCTAATATATTTAATTATTGTTAACAGCTGGATTATTAATTTAAGTTATTTGAAATCGTGTCCATAAACTGTTTGAATTGTGATAGTTGAATTCTTAATAAATTATTGAAGTGTCAGTTGATTTGGTTATTATAATTCTAAAATGTTAATTTTAGAACACATCTACAAATACGAGGTAGATCGAATTTACACGCCATGGTTTAAGATTGTTATTATAGTAATCTTCAACAGTATCTCCATCAAAACATCCACATATTTGCTTATAAATGATATCGAAAGCATGGATATGAACGAATTCCAGGGTATCATATCCAATTGATGATAAATCACCGTTTATATTTTCTTCTTGATTTACAAACACCTCTAATTTAATCGATGGAAATTGATCAACTAGTTGCTTTACACTGTTAGCATCTTTTGTATTGATGACCAATCTCTTTAGATTCGTAAAGTTCTTCAGCCAAGATGGTTCTGGTGAGAAATCAGCATAGAGATGTGTGATGTTGGAGAATTGATATATAGAATGAGTAAATGAGAGATCTATTGGTTTCTTTGTATACAATCGATCGGTTCTACTTGTAATATAATTAAACCAATCCTTTGAAACCAATGAATATTCTTTTATTATCGCCGGATTATAGTTCAACTGTTTGAAATTCTTTAAACTATAGAATTCCTCTTGATTTATAGAGTAATCGTACATACATTCTTTCAAGGTTGGGTATAACGATGGAAATGTTTGAAATGATTTATTATTATGATAACAATCGCTATTATTATTTAATATCTTATTTATTATTTCGAATTGTATTAACTTTGATAAACTTGAACTCATTTTTAATAAGGTGGTTAACAGATAACCAAAGTGTTAATTGCAAAAAATAAAGGGTTAGTGTCTCGCCATTATTTTTTTTATTAAAAATGGGTTGTTTGTAATTTAATTTAACTTTATTAGATATTATGTGTAAAGAAATCTATTATTTTTATTTAAAATATAAAACACTCTTAATATTATTTATTGTTTAATCAAAAGATATTGATGATTACAATTGAATATGTTCTCAAATATGGTTCAAATAGTAAAGGGTTGATATTCTTGAATGTCCAATCTTGTGATTGTTTTGTTTTTGAGTAATGAATGTGAGAATGATTCAATATCTCTATCCATTTAAATCCTAAAAGAGCTTGATTTGTTATCACCTGTCATTTGATGGTAAAATAGTCGATGAAATGCAATACCCAGAGCTCTTATTGATTTGTTTCATTCCAATAGATTGTTGTTTGTTTGTTTGTTTGTTTGTTTTATTACAACAAGAGAATTAAATAAAAATTAAATGTTTGTTTTTGAACTTCAATTTTTCATTCAAATTTAATCTTGATAGTTTGTTTTAACACACATCATATAGTTCAGTTTTAGTGGTGTGGTTCATCATAATAAGATTTATCTTTATTATAATATTATCTGTATTACTAAATATTTATGATAAATTATCATATTCATTGTAAATTTGATAGATAAATGTGTGGGGTCAGTAATCACTATCATCTGATCAATCAAATTTAAATGACAATAATAATTTTAAAATTTACAACAAACAACCAGCAATGAAAAATAATAATTATGAAAATAGATAATGATAATAAATTAAAATTGTATTGTTTTGTTTTTTTTTTGTTTATTAATTAGTTAATTCATATTGGTCAGTTGTTAAAACAATGAAGTTACTATTATCTATATTTTTAATAGGTTTGTTAACTTTCTCAGCAGTTGTCAAAGCTGTAGATTTCGATTTGGAAATCGAAGAGACAATCTTTAATTTCGGACCGAGAACACCACCACCACCACCGGTAGTGATCAAAATTGCAAGGATCCGTTCCGAAACCGATGCAAACGTTGTCCAAGTCGTTCTAGACAGCAAGAGTGTTCTAGTTGGAAACCCACCGAAACCAGCGAGATCACTAACCATCCAAGAGATCTTCAACTTTAAAGATATCTTGAGATCACCAGAGTACACCAAACTCGATAAGGTCTCACAGTTTGTCGCTGAAAATCCACCATCCGGTGATACCAAATGGATTGTAGTTATTAGTCCAGAGGAAAAGGTCATTGGATGGATGGCATCGACTCCAGAATCGGGACGTCCATCATTCACCGTAGCATTTGAAAATTTCTACCAATCTAGAATTCCAAATTAAAACATTTTTTAAAGGTCAAGATACACAACCAAAAAATTAATCAACCTTAATTAAAAAAAAAAAGAATAAAGAGTTAATTAAAAATATAATAAATAAATACTACATTTATTTCCTTTGTTTTTTTTTTTGTGTCGCCAACTCCAGTTACCTTGAGCGCCACGAGTTTCCTTTTGTCACGTGACTTTTTAAAAATAAAGAGAAAAAAAAAAGGAATTTTATATTATATTTTTAATCGAAATAATCTTCTATATCTACATCGGAATTTAAAATATCTGAACCGAATCTTGATAGATCGATTTGATTCATCATTAAATTCTCAAAGGTTTCTTCCAGGTCGGTCTCGCCAATGAGTAATGCACCTATTAATCTACCTTCTTGATTCAATGTTATCTTTATATATGATTTACCTGGTTTTACTTTATGATAAATAGTTAATGGTTTACTTGATTGTTGTTGTTGTTGTTGTCCATTATATAAACCAAGCATTACTACTTTCAAATTAAAGAATCTGGTCACGTGTGCAAATATCTCGAATTCGAAACGTGTAGATATCTCGTCGGTATAAGGTAATCCTGTGTGTTTGGCTATGCACTGCGCTGTGTAACGACCCATGGTTCTTGCTTGACTCCACAACTTCATTTGGAACCAGAGTGGTGAAAGGTTCGGCCACTTTGAAAGGTCGGCAACATCGCCAGCTGCAAAAACATCATTAACACTGGTCATCATATTTTCATTTACAATATATCCATCGTTACTACATTCCAAAGTTGAAGTTGCTGAGGTTGTTGGTATTGTTCGTATAGTATCATGATTAGTTAATACACCAGTTGCAGAAACAATAAAATCACATCCATATTTCTTTCCGTTCGATAGCAATACATAAACAGGATACTCTGAATCACCTTCTAAAAGATTAACAACTGTTGTTTCATATTCAATACCTATATTATCGACACTTCCATTGTTGTTTGTCTTTATCTTTGAAGCATCTACACCACCAATAAATTTATATTTACAATACCATTGTGGACCAATCGATGATCGATTAGACATCGGTAGATCTTCTCCATTCAAAGATCTATCTACAATCACTATATATAGTTTTCAATATTAGTAATTTTAATTCTTTAATGAAAGTTAACAAAAAACAACAACATGTTATAATAAAGACATACTTAAATTAAGACTACTATCATCTTTTTTTGTTTGTTGATCACCACCATCACCTAAATGCTTGGAGTCGTAGAGAAACGATGCAGCGTCACTATCAAAGAATGCATTACCGACGTGGTTATCTTTGATCGACCATATCACTTCACACATCGAAATTTCATGTACTAACTCCAGTGCAATTCCACCGTTACCAACGATTACCACTCTTCTCGCACCTAACAATCTTTCTTTTAGATCCTTCACAGTCTCCGTATCTCTTATACCAATAATATATTTCTGTAATTCTACATTCTCTATTTTTATAACCTTAAATATCAATCAAAAGCATTAATTTAATAATCAATTTTGGTATAATGATAGAGACTATACATACATTTGGTCTTGCACCACTACATATACAAAGATAATCAAAAGTCAACTCTGATTTTGAATTAACAACATTATCATCAAGATATACAATATGTTTATCTGTATCGATTGCTGTTACACTAGAAATAACAATTTCAATATTATTATTCTTTTCACCATTGAATAGATCGTTTACATTTGATTCCTTTACTTGAAATTCTTCCAATGTTTTAGATATCTTATTTACATTGAAAACTGACTGTATATATATAATTTAATATTAATAAATATTAAAAATAAATATATCAATTTTAATAATTACTTTTAATAATGGTGATTGAGATATAATGGTTATTTTATCGTTTGGTCTTAAGTAGTTATATGATTGAGCACATGTCACACCTGCAATGCCACCTCCAACGATGATCAAATGTTTCGATTGAGACATAACACAACAGCGAAAACGACAAGACTTCTAAACCCCTTTGCTTTGACTATTTCTCGATTGGGAACTAGCAATCCCGATAAAAATCAACATGAAATTTCTATTTTTTTGTTTTTTTTTTTTTTTTTTAATTTTTTTTGATCATTTTTTTTTTTTTACAATGTGTGTGTGTGTGAATTTCTATGGTGGTGTGTGATCATAATCATTTCAAATTTAAAGTATTTTGTTGTTGTTTTGACGTCAGTTGTATATTTATTATATTTTCTTTTTTTTTTTTTTTTTTATAAATATCTAAATAAATAGATTTATTTAAATATATATATCTTTGACTAAATAATAATAATAGTTAGTTAGTTTTAAATATATAAGATCTATAGATTAAGAATTCAGAATATAATAGAAAGAAAAATACAGAACAATGTTATCATTAAATAAATTATTATTTAGACAATCATTGTTGAACAATGGATATGGAATTAGATTTATGTCGGTTGTTGTCGATGCCAGCAAGGTGGTGACACCGATCAATAAGGTGTTGATTGCCAATCGTGGTGAGATTGCTTGTCGTGTTATGCGTACTGCAAAGAAGCGTGGTGTAAAGACGGTCGCTGTCTATTCAGAGGCCGATCGTAACTCTATGCATGTCGCCATGGCCGACGAGGCGTATCTCATTGGTCCGGCCGCCGCCAAAGACTCGTACTTGCGTTCCGACAAGATTCTCGAGGTTGCCAAGCGCACCGGAGCACAAGCCATTCATCCGGGTTACGGTTTCCTCTCTGAGAACGCCGGATTCGCCGATCTCTGCGAGAAGGAAGGAATCATTTTCATTGGACCACCTTCGTCCGCCATTTTGGCTATGGGTAGCAAGTCCGCCTCGAAAGACATTATGATTCGCGCCAACGTTCCAACCATTCCCGGTTACCACGGTGAGGATCAAGAGTTCGAAACACTGCGATCCGAGGCCGAAAAGATTGGATATCCCGTGCTCATCAAAGCGGTTATGGGTGGTGGTGGAAAAGGTATGCGTATTGTAGAGCGTCCCGAAGACTTGGAGGATGGAATCAATTCGTCAAAGCGTGAATCGAAAGCTTCGTTTGGCGACGACAGAGTGTTGGTCGAGAAATATCTTGTGCATCCACGTCATGTGGAGATCCAGGTGTTTGCCGATCGCCACGGAAATTGTGTACATTTGTTTGAGCGTGATTGCTCGGTGCAACGTCGTCACCAAAAGATCATTGAAGAGGCGCCAGCTCCCCACTTGTCGGAGGAGTTGCGTAAGAAGATGGGAGATGCCGCCGTGGCCGCTGCCAAGGCTGTCGGTTACGTCGGTGCCGGTACCGTTGAATTCATTCTCTCGCAGGACGGCAGCTTCTATTTCATGGAGATGAACACTCGTTTGCAAGTGGAGCATCCAATCACTGAGATGATCACCAAGCAGGATTTGGTAGAGTGGCAACTAAAGGTAGCGGAATCACAACCACTCCCACTCGGTCAAAACCAATTGGCCATTCACGGACACGCCTTTGAAGCACGTATCTACGCAGAGAATCCAGACAGCGACTTTATGCCAGGAACAGGTAAACTCTTACATCTCTCAACTCCAGAGCCATCCTCAACTCTCCGTGTTGAAACCGGTGTACGTCAAGGTGATGAAGTCAGTGTTTACTACGATCCAATGATTGCAAAATTAGTTGTCTGGGATACAAACAGAGAGAAAGCACTTAGATATTTAAGAAATGCACTCGATGAATATCACGTAAGAAGCGCTATCATATTATCATTAATAATTTGGAAAAGAAACTAATTGGTTTTTTTTTATAAATATTTTTAGATTGTAGGATTGAATACAAATATTTCATTTTTGAAACGTTTATCATCACATCCAGCTTTCCAAAAAGGAGAAGTTGAAACTGGTTTCATTCCAATTCATCGTGAATCACTTATGGCACCACAAAAAGCCATGTCAAACGACACCTTGTGTCTTGCCGTTTTATCAATGATTCTCAGTGAGAATGCACTCAACAAGAGTCTGAACGGTGTCAATGGTGGTGTCATTCTCTCACCATGGAGTGCCAGCAACGCTTTCAGAGTAAACAATGTAGCGGAACGTGTAATTAAATTCAATGTAAAGGATCAAAAGATTCAAGTGCCAGTCACCTACAATAAAGATAACAGCTACACAATGACAATGCCAAACGGCGAAAAGCTGACTGTCAGTGGATCACACCTGGACGCCGCCGACCAAACTCTGCTCAAGGCATACGTTGCCGATCGTTTCTACCCGTCGGTGCGTGCCGTCAAAGCCAAGAACTCGCTGTTTGTCTTCAACGACAGCCAATCGTACGAACTGGAGTTGCCAATCGAAGTCACATCGAAGGGTGGTGACGCCGCCTCTGGTTCACTGCTCTCGCCAATGCCAGGAAAGATCACCAAGATCATGGTGGCAGTCGGTGACAAAGTAAAGAAGGGACAACCAATCATTTTAATGGAGGCAATGAAGATGGAACACACCATCCGTGCTCCACAAGACGGAAAAGTAGAATCACTGCCATTCAACGTCAATGAAATCGTTGAAGATAAAAAAGTTTTGGCAACCATTGTTTAAAAAAAAAAAAAACAATCTACAACTCAAATTGTCGTTAAAATAACAAAAAGAAAAAAAGATAAAATTAGTAATTTATATTATAATAATAATAAATCAAGTAACAACCGTAATACTTCGAAATTAAAATATCAAAGATAATAATAAATTGCCGGACGAGTAAATAGTTTATATTTACTTGTCCTCGTACTATTCAAGTGTAAAATCATGATGATCTCGTTCTTTATGTTGCAAGCAAGTATCATGAAATATTTACTCGCTGAATCAATTGAACAGATTAGGAATTCAAGAGAGAACACTTCTGCTGTTTTTTTTTATTTTATTTTGTTATTGTTTTTTCCAAATCGTATCAATTCAATTGATTGAATGAATATCATGTGTATTTTTTTGTTTTTTTTTTTTTTTTTTTTTACGATTGTATGATAGAGCACTTCTGCCAATTTTAATAAAAAAATAACCCAATCAAAAAAATTGTAAGTTCGCGTCACTTCTGCTAAATCTGCCAACACTATTTTAATTTTGAACTATCACACCAAACCACACAATGTTCGATTAAATTTACTTGTACTTTTGTTTTTTTTTCTTTTTTTAATTTTTTTTGATTGATGAGATTAATTATTTTGTTTCATTGGCTAAACACCTACCTATATACCCAATATATAGTTGATTTTTTCTTTATATTTTTTATTTCAATCCCATTTTTTTTTCTCCTGTTGAGTACTCTGTTGATTATTTTAAAAAAACAAATTTATCAACTTTCAATTTCCTGGAAATAAATTGGCAGATGATATAAATACGCTTGCAAGTTTGAGTCTTGATTGACTATTCTATATATTCTCCTCCTTCTATTTTGTTTTATATAGTTAAAGTGTTTAAATAATTTGATTGGATTCAAAATTTTAAGGTTTTATTTGTTTTTTTTAAATAAAGTTAAAAAAATCAAAAAGTGTTCCTAAATTTACAGTTCTTTTTCTCTCTCTAAATTAAATTCAATAGAATCGATCGATCCCACAAGATTCATAGATAGGAAACCAAACTTTAAAAAACTAGTTTAGCTCTTGGATGCAGCGAAAACAAATGGAGGACAAAAACAGGCCTTATAAAGCCTTTCATGAAAGAGTAAGTAATTTTGCAAAAAAAAACATTTAATTAATTAAATAAAAAAACCAAAACAGATTTTTTATTTTAAATTTGCAAACAAAAAAAACTCATTTGCTTTTCAAACCTTTTTTACAAATCCAATCAAAATCTAAACTTTTTTTTATAAACTGATGAAAAAGATAGTTGGATCGCGGTAAAATTGGGTGGTGTGCAAATTTTGTTTGATCGTGTTGGTAAATTTAAAATATTTAATTATTAATGTTTTATCTCATTGTGTTTACATTCTAAAGTCGAAATCACATTTATTGATATTTATTTTTTTTTTCTTCTTTTCTTTTTTCTCTTTTATCTTTATTACAAATAACTATTATAGTCTTTAAATGAAGTGATTGCATTGCAGGTTGAATCATTGAGGGCCACTCGTGAAGGTGGGCAAAATCTAAGTCCATTTGACTTTGTATCTCAAGTCGTTGGTTTAACAAATTCCATGGCTGTTTCACCTGAGAACATTGCATATTTAACTGTAAGTTACCCAAAAATGTCACATTAATCAATCGTTCACACACACACACCACACTCTTCCCTCACCACAAAATACAAAGGATCTTGAATGATTCAACACAATGAAAGAAGATGAATCACAGGTACACCGGAATTTTTTTTTTTTTTTTTGACTTTGGTTTTTTTATTTTTAAAAATTCCATCAGTCGATGACGTTCAATCCAAACCATCCAACTTCAATCAAAACCTAAAGAAATTACAATTTTTGATTAATTTTGTTATTTTTTTTTAGTTTTAAAATTAATTTTATTTTTATTTTTATTCTGATTCGATCCCAACCACATATACTTAAAAAGTGTTGTTGCCGCGGCAACTCTAGCTCAGCAACAATCTCAAATCAATCACTTTTCTTCTGTATATTCAATTCACAAAAAAGTTATATCCTCATTTGTTAACTTGTGATTTTATTATTGAGAAGTTTATTTGCCATTCATTTCTTAATCCATATTACCTATCTATGCTCTTTTCAAAAAGTCTCCACCTAGATAGAGCAACCTCATAGTCGACAACATATAAATAATACATATTAATTATTATTTTTTTAATTAATTGATTATTTTATTTATTTATTTTTCATTTATACTTTGTATAGAGTCTAATGGAACCAAATTTGAATTTGAATAGGTATGTAATTATATTTTATTTAGAAACTTTTTAAAAAATCATGAACATAATAATTATTATACAAAATGTGCACAAAATTGTTATTGTTACCAATTTGTGCTTTTGCATAATAGTGTGTTAGTTTAAATCATAATCATATTCAAGTTTGGAAGTATCAATATAGTCATTGTAGAATATCAAACTTAATTCAAAATGACTTCATACCAATCACATCAAATCAATCAAATCAATCGAATCAAATCAGTCGGTCATTTATTTCAATGGATTGCTAACAAGTTTGATAGAGAATTCTTTTAATAATAATAACTAGTTAAAAATATTGATTATTAGGTATATTCAAATGATTATATCAAAATAATAAAATTATCTACACAATAATTATAATTGTTTGTTTGATCTGTTCAGATCTGAAAGAAATAAATAATAATTTATTTATTGATTGTTGTTGATGAATCATCAAAAACAAATAATATCTTTAATATATAATAAACAATGATACTAACCTATAGAAATAGCCCCTCAAGTCCACAACAGGAGCATACTCAACAAAACGAACAACAAGAAGAACAAGCAAAGTTATCTGATCTATCACCACCTGCTCCCTCGACACCTCCAAGTGAGTTTGATTCAGACTCGACAACAAGAACAGAATCTAGCTCACCTGTGTTCACTACGACTACAACAACAACAACCACCTCTACAACCCCTTCTACCTCTACACCTGCTGTTCCATCGTCTCCACCTTCAGATAGCAACACACATATACCTGAGCAGCCAACACCAGCAAAGAAGAAAGGTCGTCCACCTGGTGTCAAAGTATGTATTAATAATAATCAATTATAATTTTATTATTATTCTTTTATTAACTTTATTTTATTGTTTTACTGTATAGCCTTATGAATGTAGTCAGTGTCACAAGAGAGAAACACCGGAATGGCGTAAAGGTTTTCAAGGACAGCCACTATGTAACGCGTGTGGTCTCAAATTTATCAAAAAGAATAAACAAGAAAAGAAATCAAAAGACCGTCATAGTTTAGGTAACATTCTCAACCACGAAGAAGAAGAAGAGGAAGATGACGACGATGATAAGACCAACAACAACAACTACTCAAGAAAGAGTAGCTCTTCAGATAAAAAGAAGAAGAAGAAAAAGTAATGAAAAAATACAAAATAAATTATAATAATATAGTTATAGTTCAACGATAATAATCATCAACCCTGAAGATCGACCCAAAAAAAAAGAATTTCTTTTGGTCTTCTTAAGACTCCTACTTCAAAACTTAACTTTGCAATCCATTTTATCTTCTTTATTTTGCAAAGTTAAGTTATTAATAAATAAAGACCAAAAAAAAAAAGGTGGTTATAATTTTCTATTTATTTACAAGTTTAAGGTTTCGAGGTGGTTGTTTGGTTGGTTATTATATTAATATATGGGGAGGGGAAGTTGGGTATAAGAAAGGAAGGAAAAAAAAAAAAAAGAAACTTATTGCTTATTTTTTTTTTTTTATGAATCATCGTTTGAGGTATCCTTAAGTAAGAAATGATTTTGTGGAATCAAACTATGCGAATAGATGTGAGAAGAGAGAATTAAGGATGGCGAGGAACTTCTCTTGACGCTGAGCTGTGGCGATGATGGCAGATAGTCGATTGGATATTTCTCGGTGCCAACGCTAAAACGATAGTTATCGATGCGGTCGAAAATCGGTGAACAATAGATATATGAGGATTGAAGAATGTTGGAGGAGCACGACGCTTGCATCCAGTACTCTTTCATCGAGAGCGATTCAATCGGTTGGAATTGAATGGGGAAGCCCGACTCTTTGTCCCAGGTGGTGAGCAAGAGCACGGTTTTACAGGGTTTCAACGGACGACCGATCGGCTGAATCTCCCAACGGTACACCTTGACAGTGTCGATTGTCATAAACTCATTGTGATGCTTGTTGGCACCAAACTGTAAGATGCGACGGTGAATCCTGCCAACGAATGGCTTTGGAGCACGACGGATTCTCTTGATCTCATTGTCCAGCTGGAGGTAGTTGCCATACTCCTTGATGATCGATTGGATGTGATCTTCGTCTTCATTGTCGAACCAACACGGAACGGAAACAGCGGTTGGACCATTGCTAATTGAATAGCGTAGCGCATTGTGAATGTCTTGCTTATTCCTTTCCTCTTCTTCATCGTCTAACTCGCTTTGCACGTCGTTTTCGTCGTCCGTCTCCACATAGAATTTATTCTTTGATGGTGCGCCATTGCTATTATTATGATTGGCACAGAGCTCTTTGACAGGACTGGTAATAGAGTATGAGAAAGTTGGTGGCATTAAATCTTCAAACTCGTCCAACAATGAAAGATCACTAGAGCAAGAACCACTGTTGTTATCGTCATTGTCGAAATCGGAATCACCTGATTCATCGTCTTCTTCTTCTTCATCGTCGTCGTCTTCATCTTCATCATACTTATTGTTAAAGAGATACTTTCTAACGACCAACGATGATGAACTCTTTCTCAGATTGTAATCTTCTTGTTCATAGTCACTGGATGATTCATCGTCGTCTTCCTCGTCATCATCTTCGTATTCCGAAGATGAATCGTCGTCATACTCTGTAGCGGTCTGGTCATTGGTGAGCACATCGTCCTCTTCCTCCTCAGACATGTCAAGATCACTCTGCTCCTCGTCGGTTGAGGACGACTGTAGTTTTAGTGACTCTTCATCTGAATCACTCATATCATCTTCATCTTCGTCGTCGCCATTGGTGATGGTCAATCCGCCAGACATTCTAAAGATATGATGTTCGCCTGACTCTTTCTCACTCTCACTGCTGTCGGTTGACGATGCCACGAGATCACCTGAGGAATTGGTTGACTTTGGATTGTAATGATGATGATGGTGGTGGTGATGGTGATGAAGTTGACCGAAATCAAAGTAGATATTCGAGGGTGAAACAATGTGATGATTGGGTGAGCAACCCATAAGGGTGTCGGCTGCACTTGACATGGTGGCAGTGGTAGATTGATGCTTGATATCAAATTGTGGCATCAATGTATTCATAATGATGTTTGGAAAGAGTTGAGAGTTGTGGTTGTGGTGTTGTATTGCGTTGGAGAATGCGTAGGGTTTGAGGGTGATTGATTTGTATTGATATAATTCTAATATATTATTACTACTAAACTATTTACTTAAATACTATTTATATATTTATATATATATATATTATTATTATTATTATTATTATTATTATTATTATTATTTACCAAAATAGGTTGGTTTTAAAATAATTCATACAACTATCTGTATAATGACTCTGAAATTGATGATGATAATGACAACAATCTACTTCGGCTTGTGGAATTAATGATGAAATTTGATTATGTTCAACTGGTGACAAGGCCATTATAATTATAAGATCAAATAAAACTGTTTTGGTTGTTTCTAATTGATTGTATGTTGCTTTTGGGGGTGGAGGAGAAGTGGAGGTGTTGTTGATTTTTATATAAATAACTACTTATATTATATATAAAATTCTATTTACTTTTCTTTCCTACTAATTAATTAATTAATTAATTACTTATTACTATTATTATTGAATAATACTAAAAAATCAATCTAAATAAACTATTATTTTAAATTGATGGTTTGATTTGATTTTGACTTGAAGATTTGTTAGTTTGATGTTAAATTAACAAACGAATTTGGAATTGATTGACTGACTGATAATTGCTAATGATGCTATTGCTATAATTAGAGCTGCTCTATTATTATTATTATTTCCTGCTATTATGTATATGTAACTGCAGAGAGAGATGCTATTTCAATATACTATTTACTATTCAACTATTTATTTTATATAAATTAATTGTATAATTTCTATAATAATTAAAATAAAATCAAAATTAGTGTGTTTGTTTATATTATTTTTAGTTTAATAAAATTAAAAGAATATTTAAAAAAATTAAAGGAATGTTTAAAATTGAAAAACGAGAAGTTAAAAGCAATGTTATTATTATTATTATTATTTTTGGATTAGTATGATACTATTTTGTGTTGGGTTGATGTCAGTTTTTTGTTATTATTAATGTTAAAATTTTGGTAGTTTTTGGAGCAAAAAAAAAAAAATGAAAAAAAAAATGAACACAAAGAACAAGAAGAAATTGGAAGATGTGGGGGTTGTGTTGTGTAGTTGGTAAATTTGTTTTTATATTGTTATTGTTGTTAATGGTAGCCTGGTGTTGTTGGTACTGTATGTTGATGATGATGATATTAATAATAAAACAATGATATTAAAAAGATCAAAAGTCAAAACAGCCAGATAATAAATGAAAATCTAATCGATAGAATATTTATTATTTCGTTTGTTGTTTGTTTGGTTGGTGTTTGGGTTTTTGGTTGGGTAAGAGATATGAAAAATGTGAATTCGTGTGCAAGAAGAGATAGGAGGGTATAAGTTGAATATCAACAATTAATTGTTAAATCCAATCTAATGATATTATTTATTTATATAAATAACTCGTGTTTGTTTGTTTGTTTGTTTGTTGTTGCAGCAATTAACAAAAATAATAATAATTATGTTCAAGAAACGAGTGTAGTGCCAATTGTTACTATTATTTAATTTTTTTTAACCAATTATTGTTGTTACTAACTTTTTAAAATATAAATTTACAAGCTGTGATCTGATGTGATTGTCAATTGATTACTTTATTAATTAATCAATTAAGTTTTTAATTGTTTTGTTTGTTGTTTTGTTTGCTTTGATGATGATGTGATGAAGAAGACTGACTAAACTAAGTTTATAATTATAATTATTTATTATTCTAATTTTTCTATTCTATTTAAAATACAAATTGTGAAAGAATGAAAAAAAAAAAAAAGTTATTGTTTTAATATATATGGTTGCTTTGCTTTGTTTTGCTTTGCTTTGTTTGCATATATTATGTTCCTTTTTTTGTTTTTTTGGTGTTCAAGAAAAAAAAAATAAATTAAAAATAATATGTTTCGTTTGTTTGAAAATAGTAAGAATTGAGATGTGTGTGCAAAGAAAAACAACTCGATATAAAATTCGTTGTTTTTTTTCAATTTTTTTTTCTTCAAAACTCAACAATCCCATGTATAACCCATTGAAAGGGATATGCATTAAATGAATTTTAATATTCAAGTTTTAATTTTTTGTTTTTTGTTTGTTTAGAATGAAATGCAAGCTTGTAGTTAGTGTAATATGTGATGAAGTGTGTGGTGACATTGTCGAACATAAAACAATGAAATGCAAAAACATTTGATTGCAAATGTAATTAAACACTGAACAATGATAATGATAAAAAACACAATATAATATGTTTGCTCGCTACATTAACAATAATAAAAATTGTGGGGTGAACAACATATATATGGGTAACAACATTAATATGATTGATTATTGTGGTTGTTATTGATAAATGTAGAAACGAGTTGAACTGCAATAACAACATAAAAAACAACGAAAATCTATTAACATTGTATATTGTATTGTATAATACATTATTTTATTTATTATTGGTCTTTGCAATGGGTTGTTATTTTTATTTTATTTTTATTTTTATTTTTATTTTTATTTTTATTTTTATGACGTACCTATACTATTTAGATATAGAAACAAAATTATATTTTTTTTTGACAATATATATTTTACACTATTTTTATTTCTTTATTATATATCTATCTATAGATTAATTAATTTATTCTTAATTATTTTTATTATGATTAATGTTAATTTATTTTGTACAGAAAAAAATGATTATTATGTTTTTAAGTTTTCATTTTTATTATGATGCCCATTTTGCGAAAGAACACAAAAAAATAATTAAAATTATAAAAAATTATTTTGAACCATCTTCTTTGAATTTATTCCCCACCAGCAAAAGTCAGTTCTATCACCTTAAAAAAACAACCTTTGTATTCAAAGCCTTAACATTGAAAAATTAAATATTTAATTTCTCAATTAAAATTCAACAATTTTTTTATAAATAATTATTGTTAGAAAAATAAATATTTTACAAAACTTTAAAATAACATTAATTAATATTGATAAAATGAATTGTGATTCCTGAGATAAATTTTGAATCATATACACAATACTTATAAATAAATCTGTCATTTTAAACATTCATTTTGATAAAAAGTTATCCAAAGTTTTTTTTTTAATAAAAAAAATTAATTTTAATTTTTTGTTTTTTTTTTTTTTTTTCATTTTTTTTGGTCTAAAAAATTTGTCACACAAAAAAATGAACTACTGTTAAGTTTTAAATTCTATCGCAACCGAACTACGGACCACACAGAACTCTTACTCTAATAAATAATATTATCTATCTATATATCTCTTTTTTATAACTAGTTAATTAATTAAAATAATAAAACAACAAGTACAACAAGAGTAGTGTAGTATAATTTAATATTTATTTAAACAATAACAAAATATATAAACAAAAAAAAGTTAAATAAGTTGTTAGAAAAGAGTATTGTTTTGTTTTGTTTTATTTGATTGCAACCCTTTTAACCAAAGGTTGTTTATATCTTACTACTACTCAACTTCATATGTTTTATCAATGAGTAGTAAATAAAAAAACAAAAAAAAAAACTAATGGAGCAAATTAACTATAGTCCTCATATAGCAAGTAAGTGTTAATCTAAATAGTTCATATCTTTATATAATAATATCTTTATAGATGTATTAGTAGTTGTTTCCAAAGATAAAAACAAATTAAAACTTGGGTTGTTGTTTTTTAAAAAATAGTTCGTTTTATTTTTTTATTTTTTTTTAAGGTGATGTGTGTTTTAAGCAAATATTTATTTGTATCGGAATTTCAGTTTTTTTTTTTATGACACTATAATAATAATGTAATGTGACATGACTAACAAACAATAATAATTATGTAGGATTAATTTCAAAGAAAGAAAATGAAATTATTGAATTTGTAAGTGGTAAAAGGATACCGAAACCGGTGGTGGTGTCATCGATTCCGTCTGCTGTGATAGCGAAAGCACCGTTGGTTCTGCGTGGCGAAGGATTGAAGCCGTTTCCAGCGATGTCGAGATACCTCGTTGTCCAATTCATTCCTACTTCGGCCGCCAATGACAATGAGCCAAAGTCTGTGTCGAACATCGATATCAGTCCGTGCTGTGACAGGTGTGTCGTGGTGATTGTGCCAGAGATACTGCCTGGTACTTACAACGTGCGAGTCGGTTTCAACTGTCGAAAGATGGAGCAAGCATTCCAAAGCGATAAGCTTGTTCAGACTCTCAAGATCGATCCATTCGAAGAGTTGAAACAACATCAACATCAAGCTTCTCAACATGCTACTCAACAACAGCAGCAGCAACAACAACAGCAGCAACAGCAACAACAAGTACAATCACAACAACAAACTGTTCAGCAACATCATCAACATAATCATCATCAACAACATCAGCATCACCATCATGGAAATGGACATATGGAACAAGATATGCATATCGACTTGAGTGTCGCGTTGACTTCACATGAAGAGGTGCATCATCAACATCAAGATCATGTTCATCATCATCAACAACAGCAGCAGCAACAACATGAGCATCATCATGATGTTCTAATGACTGAGCCGAGCGTCGATCAAATGGAGATAGTCCAACATCAGGATCATCATCACCATCATCATTCAGATCAACATGTTGTCGACCATACTCAACATCATGATGAACAACAGCAACAGCAGCAGCAGCAGCAGCAGCAGCAACAACAACAACAACATATTGAAGAGGAGCACGAAGATCAAGATCAACATATACATCAGGGTCATGATGCAGGTGGTCTGCAGATCTCAGAGGAACCAATGGTGTCCGTCGAATCTAAAGATACACATCCACATTCACCTCAACACAATGCCTCACAACAGCTACAACCAGTGGTGGTACTCCATGAAGAGAGCGAGCAACAAGTGATTCAACATGGTGGAATCGAAATTGAGACTATCCACAGTCATGAAAACACACCTGTTCAACAACACCATATCGATGATGTACAACAGCAACAGCAACAACAACATATCCACGAGGAACAATCACAACAACAACCAATTCATCATATCCACGAAGAATCACAACAACAACAACACCACCAAGATCAACAACAACAACAACAACAACATATCGACCAAATTCATCTTGTACAAAATAACAATAATAATATTGGTGGTACTGGTGTTGTTCTTATGGAGGAAGAGGAAGTTGTAGTCGATCCAGATCATCACAATCAACATCTTCAACATGCACAATCACAAATCATGCATGATTCTCCTGTGACCACTACAACAACCACAACAACCACTACAACAGCAACAACAAATCATCATCAATTTGACAGTGAGGATGAGTACATTGTTTGGAGTAATGTTATCATTGTACATGTAGAGGCTGCCAAGCATGATAAGATTACTGGAAAGCGTGGATCCATTTCTCAATCCGCTGGCAAGCGTAAGAAGTCCAAGTCGTCAAAGAATGGCGAAGCCGTTCCTGTCAACCAACCACTTAGCGACGAGCTATTCAACCAGATTCTCACTGGTGATGTAGAGATGGTTCGCCAACACATCGACGCCAAGACCCAACAGGAAACCAAAGTATTCGACTTTGACAAGCGTGACGAAGAGGGATTCACACCGCTGCACTACGCCTGTGCCTACAACTGGAATGGACTCGTCGAGTACTTCCTCAAGAGTGGAGCGGACTATAATCGCACCGACAACGAAGGTTGGACACCTTTGCACTGGGCCGTCAAAGCCAACAATATCGAAGCGGTCCAGCTGCTTCTCGCGTTTGGAGCCGACCAATCGGTGCCAAACTACTCGCGCCAATATCCAGTGGAGATGGCGCACGACAAGGGATACAGCCACATGGCAGCGACACTCCAAGGTATAACAGAGCAGGAATACAAAAAAGCTAATGCCGAGTCGTTTGAAACACCGCTCTCCATACTGGCCAACACCTCGGTGCAGAGCGACAACCACCATTCCGCCGACTACAAACTGCTACTGAAGCATGGATACGAACCGTATGTACCCAGCGATAACTTTATCTACAAGTCTGGAATACTTGAGAAACACAACACCATCAAGTTTATCCAATCCGCTGAGAAGCTGGGATTGACTGCCGACCATCGTGCCGCACTGATGCAGGCATTCCGTTCACTGCGGACACTTCGTTACCGTTTGTTTTGGATTATGCTGAGCAATCCTTTGTTCAATAAGTTTTGCGAGTGGGATTCCGAGGGAATACACTTTATCGTACATAATAGTAAAGGTTTGCTCGATGTACTTGGTCTCTACTTTGGTTTGCGTGGTAGTAACTCTGCTGTCGATTGGATGAGTCACTTGGCACGTCGTAAGAGTCCGATGAAGAAGGACATGACCACCTCGAACGGCGGTGACATCTGGACAAATCTTAGACAGGACACCTTCAACTCTTCGACTAATCTCGATAAACTTAAAGACATCACCTCTGAGAAGAAGGAGAAAACCAAACGTGGATCCACCAGAAAGGGTGCCGGTGCTGCCGACCAACAGCAACAACATGCATCACAAGAGCCAGAGACTGCTGGTGGCTTGGAGTTGAACACCTCCCAAGACATGTCTATTGATATGAAGTCGGAGGAGCAACAACATATGGAAATGCAGCCAATAATGACAAGTGATGAAGCAGCTGCACATCTTGCTGCCACTTCCACACAGCATCAGATTCAACAACAACAGCAACAACAACAGCAGCAACACGACAGTCATATGGATACATCTGATGGATCTATCATCCTCGGACCAGGTCAAGATTCAACAAAACCAGCACCTGTTACCGATGGTATTGGAGCTCCTATTGCTGTTGTAGCCGGTGTCGTTCAGAATGGCCATGAGAATGACAATGAGATCGAAGGTGGTGGAGATACTACTCAACAACATCACCAGGATCACCATCATCACCATCATCACCAGGATCATCATCATCATCATCACCAGCAACATATAGTTCATAGCAACTCTCATCTTGAAGATGTTGATCATCAACAATATCAACAACAACAAACAAATACACACCACGACAACTTATCAAATGAACAACAACAACAACAAAATTCACCATCTTCACCAAGTATAACATCAACCACCAACCAAGATTTTACTAACAATTCTACAACCTCTTCCATATCACAAGAGGAACAACAACAACAACAACATCACCATCATCAACAACAACAACATAATTCACCTTTAGAATCGAATATCGAATCTACAATACATGAACAACATGATGATCATCATCATGATCACATCATCACCCAAACAGACCAATCAGATCAAAACGATCATATTGAACAACATCATCAATCTAATGAACAACAATCAACGGATCAACCACAACAACAATTAATTGAAGAAATTGATGATCATATTAATGAATCATAAAAGAAAGAGTTATATATAAATCCTATTTAAATTTGTTATATTAATTTGTTTATGAGCATTTTTTTTTTTTGTCAAAAATATAATCTGATCAAAATTTTTCGTTTTTTTTTTTTTTTTTTTATAATTATCATTTTTTTTTGATTGTGATTATGCTCTGATCATTTTTTAGTTTTTTTAATTTATTCTTTATTATTGTATTATTTTAAAAGTAAATCTAAGAATGTTATCAAGATCATTAGTCAATTGTTTAAATAGATCAATAGTTAGATCAAACTTGTGTGGATTCAGCAGATCATATTCGACAGCAACTGCCGAACACGAATCACAAGATATAGTAACAAGTTTCAAGTCATCAAGCGAGATCTTTGGTAGACCATTCCCAAATGCCGATTCAGTTAGACCATCATCAATAGAAGATCTAGTCATCGAATATGTAGATCCATTCAAAAGAGAATCTGAAGCAGAGACTTATTTTAGATTTACTGAACCAAGAGGTAAATAGAGAAGAAGAAAAAGAAGATAATAATAGATTGTTATCAAGATTTTAACTTATATATTTACAATATTATTATTATTATAAAGATGGATATACTGTAGAGAAATTTTTAAAGAAAATAGGTAGAGGTTGTGATGCACATGTAGAACACTTCCCAACATGGGAGGATTTGATGAATGCCAGCTCCAATAAGATGAAACACGTAAATCAAATACCAGTACAGAATAGAAGATGGATTTTACATTGGGTTGAACAATGGAAACAAGGTAGAAATCCAGTATTAATTTCGAAATCTAAATCAGTTGCTAAAAAGAATTTAAAGAAAGGAACATAAATAAATAATATGAAATAATAATAATAATAATAATAAGATTAATAGATTAATATATAACAAAAAAAGAAAAAATTTTGCAACAAAAGAAGAAAGTTATGTTCTATATATATAAATTTTTTTATATTGTTTTTTTGTTTTTTTTTTTTTTTAAATATTTTATTCTAAAAAGATTTTATGTAAATAACACACTTATTATTATATAGTATATTATTAACATGAAGCACTACCTTGATGGTCACTCGAATTAACAAGTGTCTTCTCCATAACAACTATATAATAATTATGTGGTATATTTCCATGACTTGGGTTTTCGGTAAAGTATTGGATGAAACGTCTGTAGTATTCTTGCCATACGGCTTCGCTGTTCTTCTTGATGATTGCTTTCCATGTTGGCTCAGTGAATGCACAGAATCCACGGAATAATTTCTCGGCAAAATATTTATCACCATGCGACTTGATCAAAGGCTCAAAAGGACAGGCAGTCGATCTGAGTTCACTGAACACCATTTGCAAACCGTGCTCCGACACCTTTGGACTGGCCAACGCTGTTTGAATGTCGTCCATTCCGTAGTATCTAAATGGATATACCATCTTGTCGGCTTCCTCCACTGAAATATAATTATCTGTTGCAAGAGAGTCCCATATCTTCTTTACCTTGTGATAAAACATTCTACTCTTTTCGAAACCATTATTATCATCTGTAAGAAAGTTTGAAACAAAAACTCCTCCAACAGCCAATTCTCTTGCCTAAATTTATTAATTAGTATACTATGTTATTTTTTTTTTTTTTTTTGTTTTTCAGTTAAACTTACACGAGCAGAAAGAATTGTAATTAAATCTAAAACTGTTTCTTTTTTCCAAAGTTTCTTTAGATTATCATCTTGAGTGTGACCATAATATATTGTGTTTTTAAAGGGTGATGTGAGTTTCGAAGCCCAATGGAAACAATTGAATCCAATGGAAAAGTGAATGGAATTTGATGGAAAAACGTTGTCATAAAAGGAGCGACCAGCTGCCATTGTGAAAATATTATTTGAAACCTTTAGGTAACTATCTGGATTACTATTGACCTCTAGAAACAATTGACTGAAATCATTCTGTGGAAGGTCGTTGTGATAAACGGTGATGTCGACAGCACTCATTCTCTTTCTGATTTGTGTGATGATCACTGAGATCGGGAGGAGTGAACTTCTACCATGGGAACAACCAAAATCGGATATGTTGAATGATCTTAGATCAATGTCTTTTAATGATTGGTTATATGGATTTGTCAACCAACAATCGATACCTTTCAATAGAACATCGAGATTTTTTTGGATTGTATTTTGTTGAATTGCACAATTATCATTATAATCCGCTGACATTGGTTCCATTTTTTTTTTTGATTATTTATGTTATTGGAAAATATTTAAAATTATTTGAAAATATAAATATAAAGAATATGATAATTATTTTTAAAATAATGTTGGACACCAACAAAAAATATTTATGCCAAAAATAAGAATAAATAAATAAAGATTAAATAAATAGAGATTAATTGAAAGATCTGGAAGAAAATTAAATTTTAGGAGGAAATTAATTTTCAAATAAATAATTATCTGGAATAGTCTGGCCAAAGTTTGTAGAGAAGATTCGTAAACTAAAGTAGGAGTTGTTTGAAAGAAACTTGTCTCTATTTTGTTTTTCTTATAGTACAATTGTCAGTAACAGGTTATGATTGGTCAGTGAAATGAATTGATGATGATGATGAGGGTGTTGTTTGTTGTTGATGTTAATTAATATATATTCAATTAATAAAAAAGTATAAACACAACACATAAATCTATAATTATATATAATAAATGTTGTAGATAAATTAATGAAATTGTTTTTTACTTGAAATAAAATTATTATAAATAGTTTTTTTTTTTTTTTTTTGTTTCAATAGGAAAATTGTATGGTTGTGCGCCGACTAGGAAAAATAGGATTGTGTAGAAAATAGAGCGCAGAAGCAGTCAATAGTGAGTTTAAAATAACAACATTAGGTAATACTGGTTAGATATTACTAGAATAGACAAGACACCTGATCTATAATCAAAAGATGGTTTATGATAATGATGAGATTGTTTGATAGTGCTTAAACATATATGGAAAAAGCGTTATCAACAATTTGCTAAGAAAGGAAAAGAGAAAGGATTGATTTTGAATATAGAGGAAATTGGTTTAAATAACAACGAGATTAATAATAAATAGACGATTTGGGAGAGTTATGAACACTCCAAGTTTTGATCTGCAGTATAACAAATTGGAATACGCATGCAATGTCGGACTGTAAGAAGGACAATATTAGATTTTGTCCACTTGTGTTTTGTTATAGATATCAGATGGCGTGCTGTGAGGTGAAGGTAATAGTAGAGGGTATCGCTTGGGTGGGAATAGTAGATGGGATGATCAAGTTGTAGTGGTGTGGTGTATGTGGAATATGGAGGTGACTATTGGGGTGGTAACGGTGGGTGTGTGGAATATATATTAAAAAAAGATAAGGAGCACATCTATAACCGACATAAAAGAAAAATTAAAAAATGGACATATAGGATGTAAAACAAAGTTTTAGTTAAAAACAAAGTGTATCAGTGCTCAAATCAAACTCAAACACACACTAAACACATTGGTTGTATATCGTGTCTCACAAAGTATACATAAAATTGACAGCTTGTGAGCATGGTCTGAACAAACAAAACAGGAGGGAGGAGAGAGGAAAGGTGAAATTATATAATTAATTAGTTAAAAATATCAGTATTATCATTTACTTTGTATGATATTATTTAAATTAGATGATAATGAGAAGTAATTAATTAATTCTTATTGAGTGGTAGTGGTGGTACCACCAACCAGTGAGTTCGTAATAGTAAAAAAATTATTATTATGGAAGGAAGGAGGAGGACAGTACTGTGGTTTGAAGCTGTAGGTGTTGGTAAAGTTATTGCAGTTTTTGTTGGATCGAATCGTGCGTGGGAATATCTATTAAAAATGTATATATATGGTATTGTTATACCATGATTATTCAGGTCATTGACCTATATCCAGTGGATCAAACACACAAAAAACATTCACACACACACTGGAAAATTGAAAATCTGATTGTTTGTTTTGTCGATATTTATAATTTCTTGTGATAAACAAAAATAAATAAACCATTGGGGGTTCTTATGATAATAAGATTAAAATCATCAATCAATTTCAAAACAGAAATCGTGATGAAACAAAACAAAAATATGAAGGTAGAAATAAATATTGTTGTTGTTATTAAAATAAAATATAAGAAAAAACAAAAAATCAATATGCAAAATACAAAACATCCATTGTGTTTGTAACCATATTGATACACTGTTGAGCAGGGGGGTTTCACTGTTTAATGATGTGAGTGACTATTCCTTTGGTAAGCTTGTCAATCATTTGTTAAGTATACCAAAAAGTAATAGAGGGAAGGGATTCAATTTTTTTTTTCTCTGTTTGATAGTAATAACAATTTCCCACACAATCAACACACCGACACACACACGCTCATCTAAACAAACACTAACATTTATTAATAAATGATAAAAAATTGTTTATTACTATTAAAATTTTGAAATAAAAAAATGTGAACATAATGTTATTACAATGAATCATTGTAAATAGAGATAGAGAGATAATAGAATTTTAAAATTGACATCCATCTTACCTCCGATGATTCAAAATAAATTCCGTTGTTTTCACAAATCAAAAACAAGTTTTCGAGAAGTGATAAAGTTGAATGAGAGTGAATGTGTAAATATAATAATAAAATATTATAGTGGTTTAGGAAAAAAGGGGGTGTAGGAGGAGAATCAAAAAAAAATATGTGTTAAAATAAAAAAAATTTGATTGACTGGATATATGATAAATATTGTGGAAGTATTAAATAGCCATTGCTATATTTACATGTCTTTATTATTATTTGTTTTCGTTTTTTAACAAATAAATATTGTGATTGTGATGACAACAATATATAATAACAATATGCTTTTAAAAACAACAATGTATAATAAAACAGGAAAAAACCAAACAAATTCTTTTCCCAATCACAAGTGACAGCATCATCATCGTAATCGAACAACATCAACACAACAACAAAAAAATCAATCTGTATTTTTATAAATAAAAATGACTATAAATATAAAAAATATTTTTAGTGTATGGTTGATTGATTGTAGATGAACTCAATATAAGTTTTGTTTGTTATTGTTTTTTTTGTTTTCCTATATATTTAGATTGTTGTAAACTATCATTGTGCAATTTAAATAGAAATACTCTAAATGTTATGGTGAAATGACTATCAATTCACTAAAAGATAATTAAATATCCATAGTAATATAATCGTACCAATGATAAATCTCGTTAAAAATAGATTTAGTTTAAACTAATAATAAATATTAATTTGATTGGTATTAACAGAGTAAAAAAAATTTAAGTGATCATTTTTGTTTAATGATTGGTTTATTGTGTTATATCTTCAATTTCTATTATTATTTACTGAAAAAGGAAATTAAAAATTATAATTTATACTATTTTTATACTATTATTATAAATTCTACGTTTTGAAAATCTACTTTCAGATTTTAAAGATTTAAATTCTTATCATTATTATTATTATTTTTTGAAAATTGATTAAAATAGAAACAATAATATAGAGATATATTAATTCGAATTCGAGAGAAAAGTGTGTTTTTTCATATAAATCATATGAAAATATATTAAATAGAGTTTACAAAAGTGAAGATTAAATTATTATTATTTTTTGATCGATTAATTAAAGATTAATATACCTTTTTTAATTTGATTATAAAATTGGAATTATTATAACTGATATTGATTTAATTATTTTTCAAGAAATGATAATTTATAAATGTTTGATTTCTATTTCTTTTGTACCGCTTTTGCTATTTATTTGCTCTTGTCCTTCTATTGTAGTATTTTCAAACCAATAGGATACTAATAAGTATAAATAAATGATCCAATTGAATCGATTAGAATAATTAAATAGAAATGGACTAGAAATAAGAGACTCTTATAACCTTTGAATTTAATACCAAGTTTAAAAGGTGCTTGCGATGTAGATATTTGTGGTGTTTGTGGAATAAATATAAAAGTATATTTATATAAAAATAAATATATATATAAGGTTTGTTTTGTAGTAGTAGTTGTTGTTGTTGTTGCTGCTGCTGGTACTAGTGGCAGTGGTTGTGATGTTGGAGGTGTTTGGTGTAATGAACGTGCTTTTAAGAAAGCAAACCAACGGTAACAGTAATTGTAGTATTTTGAACTACTTATTTAGTAGTACTATTAGATATTGTCTATATGTGAGTGTGTGAGAGTGGTGTGTGAGGGTGTGTGGTGTCTGTGTCGCAAAGAGGGTAGGAGATGGAAATTATATTGATGAAAGCTTACTGGCTGGATAAAGCAAAGACTAACCGGGTTAACAGTATTTGGAAATCCAAAAGATTCTACTATCTCGAGCAGAAAATGAAACGATATTGATTTGTCAGATTTAATGTTTGGCAAAACCGTTTCAAAACAAAATTGAATTTGGAAGCAATTAATTTTCCAAACAAATTTCTACAACTTTTTCAATTGGTTCTTATTATTATTTTTTTATTACTACTATTGTTATTGTTATTATTTTGTTGTTGTTGTTATTGCTGTTGTTGTTGTTGTTGTTATTGATATAAATTATAAAATTAACAATTTTGAGATAAGATGAATTTGAAATTGATTTTGTCTTTTCTTTTCTTGTTTTGCTATTGTTTTTTTTTGTTTTTGTTGAATTTTAATGTTTCTCTTTGGGTCAATCTAACAGATTAACTGGTATCAAACTATCACAAATTGTAATTATCAATATTGATAGTAGTAGGCATACAATTTATAATGTAGAAGTTAGTTGTTTGTTTTCAATTGAATTGTTTGTCTATTTATAATTTCTACAGTGTTTACATTTACTACTTCTTAATATTAATATTGTGCATTTGATTATGTTATGTTCTGTCCTGTTCTGTTTATAACAATGTGCAATTTTAAAATTACCTATTGGTAAAATTATGATTAATCTAATAATATTTTAAATTTGTATCACTATTATTATTATCTTACTCTAAAAAATATATTATATATATACTTTATAAATATCATCTATCACTTTATCTGTGTCAACAGCATCACACACATACTCACACAGACACACTCACACTCTAACACTCATTCTCACACACAATTATAACACATCAACACATCACACATCAACACATCAAATACCTACACCAACAAATAAACAATTACAACAACAATTACAACAACAACTACTACAAGCAATAACAACAAAAGCAATAACAATAGTCGTAATTAAAGTGACAATAACAATATAACACTGCACTACCAACTAAAGTTAAAATTTTATTGTTGCCAACAACTTATGATAAAAGTATGAATCAAAAAATATCAGTATCTATGCATAGATAAAAAATAAGATATATATTACAGACACGATGATAATACTAAGTATACATACACATCTCATTCACAGTGTCTTTAGTGCAAAAAACGATACCAATATAAATATTAGTTATTTAAACATGGTTTTGGTTGTTGATGTTGTGGGTGTAGTGGCTATCTGTTCTTTGCATACCATCTTGTTGTTGTTGTTGTTATCTATTATTATTGTTGTTGTTTTTTTCATTTTTATTTTTGATAAAGGTAGTTCGGATGATGTATGTAACACTCTTACTGTTCAGTTCACTTCCTTCGATGTTAATAATATAAAATAAAGAAAGTGAAAGAGTAGTACCCACATATGTTTTCATTTTTCTCTAACAACAACAGGCAACAACAACAACAACAACCATAACAACAACAACAACTTTTACAATATCTATCATTGATGAACTTATTGATCTATAGTTTGTTTAATAGACTGTGTACATATCTGGTGTGAGTGTTGGTTTCCACTCATTCACTACATTCACCCTCTTTATCATATATATATATCTCGTTTGCTGCTTTCTTTCCTTTCCTTTTAAACAACTAAATTGCATCAATAATATAATCTATACAACTATTAATATACTAAATAACACACACACCTACCTATTCTATCTATATAGTAAAGACAGCAGTGGATGTGTGGGTGTCCATTGAATTCGCTCATTTGTGGTGAAATTATCTGTTATTGTTGATGTGAAGGTAAGAAATGAAAAACTAAACCTTGAACACTACTTATCGCTTATACAAATAATAAACAACAACAACAATAATAACCAACAACCAATAAGTAATGGCCATAGGATATATATATTAATCACTATTACCACACTTTATTGTGTTGTTGTTTTTTAAGAATAAATTTTAATTATGATAGGTTGATACTACTTCATTAAATAATAATTGTAAAGATTTCACTATTAGTATAAGTAATATTCACCACAAGTTAACTACTACTACTAATAGAAATATATTTAGTAGTGAGGGAGTAAGAGATAAAGACATATTAACCACACCACAACCAAAACCACTAATTAATTGGTAACTCCACAAATAACCACCAAAAATCAAAACTGTTAACTAAGCATAGATTTATAAACGTTGATTCAATTAACTACTTAATATAGTAACATACTTTTACCATTGAGTATTAAATGTGTAATTGTTCTTCTTCTTTTTATTATTATTGTTGTTGTTACTGAAGCTATTCATTCTATATCTCCACAATTCGACATTTCCTTTTTGTTTCTACTTTATTAACATCATCAAAAAATAACCTTCATCATAAATACCAATAAATTGTAACGCTCAAGATAATGTTGTTAAACTCTAGACTCAATAATTAACTGAAAGATTGTTGGTTTGTGGTGAGTTCACGATATAAAAAAAAAAACAAAAATAAAAAAAAATAAACCGTCATTGCGTATACGATCATAATCATTACTTTTTTGTTTGTTGGTTATCTTTATTAATCACTAGTGGACAAAGGAAAGATTAGAGTAAGAGACATCGACAACAACAGCAATAACAACAACAACTATTCACAAGGTAAAAGCAATAGCTTAAACTGTTACTGAAATATAGGTGGTTTGTTTATTTTGTCAGTTTAAGAAATTCTTCTTTATATATATATATATATATATATTATAATCGATCTTTCGATTACCAAACGTTAAATATTATGTTAAGAAGTATAAACTTTGAAATATATATTTTGGTACGAATTTAACAGTAATAGACTGAAACTACAATGATTTACTCTTCATCACTGAACCTGTTAATTATAATAGAATCACTCTAAAAATTGGTTCAACCATGCTTATTAATTAAGGATGATGATGAGTATTTTACAATGTTACTTCTAAATTCATTCTTTATTAAGTTGTCCTTGGTATCTGATGACTTTACAACAAAAGGTAGGCATGATCATATTATTAATGTACCAACCACAGTGCATCACATGTCTTACATAATAATTCTATAAACTAAATCATATAATATTATATTACTTAAAAAATTACATATATTTTTTTATTTATCTAATCAATCTTGTACAACTATTATCTTATAATATTTGTTATCTACTGTATGTTTTGATCGTAAACTGAATAGGTATTTTGATCTTGTAGTTCGTCGAGTCTCCTTTGTATAGTATCTATAACCTTGTCACTCACGCCTTGCAAGAATAGGTGTGTATCGTCAAGAGGCACAACCACAAAGTTTTCTTGTTTTTCTATCCACATAACAAATTGTCTCGTTGGTGGATCACTATCATATTTATATGTATTAATATTATCAATCAGTCATTGTGTAAAAGACATACCATTCTAATAGATAACCACGAAATACTTGAACCATTCTCTAAGTGATTGAATTTAAACCTTGACATTTTTATAAAAGAAAAGTTTGAAATTTTAGAGAGTTATTAAACTAGTTTAGGTTCATAATCATTCCTTTCAAATCAATAAGAATACTTTTATTCCCCAAAGAAATTTCTATAGAACCATATGTTTATATTGTTTTAAGTTTTTTTAAAATATTAAAAAAATTTTTTGAATCATTGTTATCATCAAAGTAGCATCTTAGCTCAGAGGAAGAGCGGTGGGCCCATAACCCACAGGTCGGTCGATCGAAACTTCCAGATGCTAATCCCTTTATTTAACTAGACCCAGTATGCGCGCATATTTACTAATCAATTTGTAAACCAATTAGTTTTCCCTCAATGCCAAAAGGGAAGTTAACGAATTATGATCTTCTCCACAAGCATCACACAGATGAACCTTCTTACATACTCCCCTGTTACAAAGAACCCTCTTATCTTTGGAAAGACTTGACGTTTTTGGCAAAAGTGATAAAAGACTAAAGTTTGAAAACCCCTTCCAGATGTGCTATGAAATAGTATGAATATTAGACGTGTAATTACTACAAATCATCCTCAACAATCGCAGAGCTTCCCACTATCTTCTTCTACTTGTTAAAAAGAATTAGGTTCAGGATCCCGTCCACAAAAAATCGAATAACCAAAAATAAAGATAGATAGATCAAATAGATGAGCGTTCTACTTTGGAACAGGAGTGCAGACAGAGATTTCATAACCAATACTCCTAAATATAATTTTTAAATACTCAACTCAAATATTAAATTTGAGTATTTAATATTTATTATAAATATATATGATTACAAAGTGATTTTCAAAGATTTCTAAAATTGAATAATCATTAATACTATATGTTTTGATGGTATCATTATTATTCTTATCATTATTTTGTATCTTATTCTTGTTGATTTCATTATTATTATTTAAATATTCAATTATTTCATTGTTGCTTTGTTGTTGGATGAATTGTTCAATTAATTGAAATCAATCAATATTGAATATTTGAATTACCATATTCGACACCTCCAAATGAATAGATATAGCTTGATGTTTTGACTATCGATGATACATCAAGTAAGGACTACCATCTTTGATGGGAATAGGTTTAGAGTTGGATATATGGTTGCGCTCAACATTGTATTGGAAGAAAATTTTAAACTTTTGGTTTTATATATTAAAAATTTCCATAGTTATCATTAAATGCCGAGCCTGGCAGAATGTTAATTGAATAATAACTTATTTTTTGGTAGCCAAATCGATTTGAAATAACATATTTTTATTGAATTTGAATATAATGAACCTTTGAATATCATTGATGAATAATGACTATTTTCAATAGGTAACTAACCTTCATTTAGTTGATGTTGAATCAATCAACTTTATCTGCATATTAGGATAATTCATCAAATAGATATGATCTTGAATAACAAACTGATAAATAATAACCACGAAATTTACAATCGGTTTCACCAATGTGTTTAACTGATTTCAATTTTATTGAGAATTTAATCCGTTTATTAGTGTTGATTCAACCGAATGCATAGATATATTAACGATTTGCGACAATTGATTGGAAAGTACAATAAATTCATAATCAAATTTGAATTGTTCGATTGAATTGTTATTTATAGTATAGATCAGTGTTGCAACTCCTTCTAATTGATGTTTTGTGAAAATATATGATGATTTAATTTCATTGTGAAAACTATTTTTCAATATTTATTGATTGTTTAATAATTGAATTAAAAGATTGAAACCAGGTTGTTTGATTGATAAAACATAAGATGTTGATACATCATCGATTGTTTTAGATTTGAATTTTTGTATTTAATAATGATATCAATTAATATTGACGATGAATCATTGTTGTGTTGTCTTTGAAGTTCTTGAGTGTTGAATTGATCATGATGTTCATTGAACAATATTTGATTATTATCTGAGACGAACTTAATTGATAGTAATATTTTTGTTATTGAATATTAATCTGTTGAATCTGCTGTGAATGTATCAATAGTAATACTACTAATATTATTATTAGAAAGTAACCTATCAAAAAAATTGATTATTTAAATTAAATATTTTAATTCATTAATATTTGTATCAACAAGATGTTCAGTTGTATGTTTATGAATTGTTTAAATTTATATTCTTGAATTCATATAAAAGTTTGAAATTCTCTGATATCTGATCTTCATTCTTTCCCAATTGTTTATTTTATTCAATTGACAAGCTTCAGGCAATCCCATATTGATTCTATTCTGTTTATTAAAAATCTACTATCTTTCTACTTTGTTCACCAGTGATCATCTATATCATCAATTTATTATTCGTATTTCTAATATTAATATTATTACTACTAATTTAATTTTTAATATCTTTAACAGATTGTATGATGCTCACTTAACTGAACGTGACTTGTGTGATTTGATGTGTTCGAGATTACATTTTGAACATCAGTTCATTTCAACTAAAAGAAATGAACTCTAATGATTTCAAATGTTGTGAGCACAACAATGTATTTTTATTATTCAGATTTTCTTTTACATTTATTAATTACACTGAAAGTAAATTATAAAAATGAATATTTTTATTGAATAAATTAAATGAAATATAGTTTAGATAAACTAATACAGAACATCAGTTATGAAGTTTCTAAATACATTTAAACTAAAGAATAATAAACCATCGATCATAAAATAGAGAAATAACTAAATGACAAAAAAAATGAATTAAATATTTATTACAAAAAATTGATAAACTGTATTGATAGAAGTTTGCCTTTTTATTACAATATTGTCTTACCTGTAAAGACAAGGATGTTTTTTGTTTTAAAGTAAGTGTCACTATTTGTTCAATACTTTGTTGAATCTGTTCAATAGAGACTAAGTTGACATCGACTTTTAAATATATATAACGGTTGTATGTTTAATAAAAGATTCTTTCCAGCTATACAAAATGGGAAGTTAAACTAGCCAACAATAAAAAGTATATAAACTAATAAGAGAATAGTACTAATCTAAATGTATAACCTATATCTTACTTTTTTTTTTTTTTTACAGTTTTTACTTTTTCATAATTCTGCAAATTGATTGCTATTTTGATTATTATTATAATTATTTTAGTTATTGTTATTTTATAGATTATTAAGTTGATGAGAATATAGATGATTGAATTGGTTAATTTAAAATGAAGAAATGAAGAAGAGGAAATAATAGTTGGCAGACATTTGATTGGTTACTCGGTTATTTAAGTTTGGATTGTAAGTTACTGATACTGTTATTTATAATTAATTTCATTACTGATTTGTGCTGTATATACTCATTTATGATAGATTCATTAGATAGTAGGTTGTTATCGTGGAGAGGAGTACCGCCAAAATAGAATTTCCAGATTTGATGAAAGACCTATCCTTACCGCATGCGCACATATGATTTTAAAATGACCAGTAAGGGATTCGAACCCTTGACCTGAAGCTAACTCTTTTTTGGAGACTTATGCGCTACCACTGCGCCAACCGGCCTTTGATGAAAATTGAAAACCGAAATTCGTGAATTTGACGATTGGCGCAGTATGAAACAGTTCCAAATTTTGTTGGAACTAACCCCCATATAGAGAAAGTATTGGTTAGATAAATACTAATATAACTTTTCATTTCAAAAGAATAATCAAATAATTTTTCTTATAAATCATGAAACTGAGAAGTCCAAAGAAATGTACATTCAATCTTTAACGTAACATACTTCAATGTACATTTAGAACAGACCCTTTTTACCTTCTCCACAATTTTTTCTTTTCTTTGTTGTTTTGTTACTTTTACCATAAATACTGAACATCTTTATTTCTTTTGTCTATAGACACTATGACTGGTATTAAATATTAGAATGATTTAAAAGTGCTGACTCATACTATATCTAATTTAGAGTGAAACATTAATATAAATATAAATTATGAGATAACTTCACCATCACTTATAAATATTCAAATTGAGTAAAATACTACTTCAAAAAAATTAAATGGAGATAATTATTTTATTTAAATATAAGTTTCTATAGTCTTCTAACTTGTGTTGGTTGTGTTTCTGTTTCCTGTTCATACTCAATCTCAACCATAGGTCTTTTATTAGTTTTGACTAATTATTATGTACGTAAAAAAAAGATAAAATATTAATTTGATTAGTTAAAATGATTATAATTATAATTATGGTCAACTTTAAGTCCTGTACTTACCCGATTTTTTAGGTACATATTCTTCTTCGCTGTCATCATCGTCGTCAAATTCACTGTCATCTTCATCATCAAAATCGTATCCGTTATCTTCGAGATCTTGTTCAGCCTCATCTTCATCTTCATATTCCTCTTCGTATTCTTCGTCGTCACCCTCGATATATTGATCTAATTCTTGTTCCATTTCCTCTTCAGCTTCCTCGTTTTCATCTTGAACACCCTCAGACAATAAAACATCATTAACAATCTTTTCTGGGAAATAATACATATTACCATAAGCATCCTAAAAAGTATTAAAATTGTAACAAAAAATAAAAAACATAATTAATATACATATTTTCAAGAAAACACACAACATTAAAACAATAATATTTCTTACCTTATTCAATCTTTCAATCAATTCCTTCTTAATATTAACTGTAAGTTGAGCAGCAACCATAGCTTTTTGTTCACGAGCAGCATCTCTTCTTTCAGTCTTCTTCTTAATTGGTACCAATTCACGTCTATTTTAATAATAATAATAAAAGTTTGTTAATTAGTTTTCATTTAAACTATTTTTTTTTTTAAAAATCTTTTAAATATAAACATACTTGATTTGTTTTCTAAGTTTTCTCATTCTAATTAAATATTGTGTAATCTTGATGTATCTTTGTTTGACACGATGAATCATATGACCTGGCCAATACTCGAGGTTTTTATCGATGGTATCGATTGCAGCCATAAAGTTTTGATCGAGTTTGATTTTCTCCCAGAGCTTGGCGGGTGTGTGTGCACGTTCGATTGTCTTTATATAGAGATAGCAAACACCTTTCTCCTCACGTACAGTTGCATATCTTGAATTTGCCAATGGGCATGATACCTTATTACATGCACCAGAAACATTATATTCATTTCTACAAAACTTTGCTTCTTTAAATCTATAGTAATAATAATAATAATATGATAGAATTGATTAATAAAAGATTAAAAATAACATTTAAAATATATATAACAAAAATGTATATATACATACGTTGTTTTAAAAGAACAAAATGAGTGATTAATCACTTCCCAAATGACATCATCTTGTTGCATTTTATTTTATCTTTTCGTTACAATTTAACTGAATTTATCTATATTCTATTGATATTTTAACAAGAGATTCCGGTTTTGTTTGCTAATATATATGTAAAACACTTTTAGATATATATTTTAATCAATAATAAATAATAGTATAATAAAATAAAGATGAGGTGAAGAGGGAAAAAAAAAAGAGAGAAAATAAGTCTTTTTTTAATCGGTCGTTTTAATTTTTTTTTTTTCATTTTTTTTTTATTTTTTTTTATTTTTTTATTTTATTTTTTTTTGAATTGTAATTAATATATTTATTCAAATCAATTAACTTTGTAATAGTTATTATTTTCATATTATTTTTTGTATTTTATCAGATTACAATATCATTGATTTATTTATTTTTAATAATAATTTATTTTCTGTTTTTTTTGTTTTTCGTTTTTTTTAAAATAATATATATATATATTGTTTTTCAAGTATCTAAAGAATATATTCTTAAAATAAAGATATACATTAAAGTTATATTCAATTTTAAAAAGATAATTAATAAATCTTTTGATTAATTCTATAAAAAAATTAATAAAATAAAAAAAGTTTTGTGTTAGAAAAAAAAAAAAAAAACGAAACATTGATCTATGAGAATTTTTAATGATCAATTTAGTGGTAGTTTGTTTTTAATCAGATCACTAATTAAATAGAATGAGTACATTGTTTGGTGGTCGTCCCTTCAAAGAAGGTTTATATTTAATTAATAAATGGAAGTTTATGACTGGTGATAAGGTAGGTCTTCGTATTATTATGATAAGCAGTGCTTATCATATCAACTAACAAACAGCAACCACAATAACACTACGAATAAATAGTAACAACTACAACAAACATCTAAATCAAAAAAGAATGACCAGCAGTATAGCATACAACTTTTGATTCAAAACAAAAAAAGAAAAAGAAAAAGTCAATTATTAGTAATAATGCATTCATGCAGTTAGAGTTCTGTTACGGTCGACATACATCCTATATCGATCGATCTATCGTCGACAGTTATTCATTCTTAATTAAAAAGTGAATAGTCTCTAGCAAACAATAATGAAATCATAAAAAGAGAAAAAGAAAGATAGATAGATAGATTGAAGAGAAGAGGAGGAGAGGAGAGAGAGAGACTTAATAGTTAGTTATGAAATAAGAAATCAGTTTTATTAATTAGTATGTATTTTTATTTAGGTTCAAATTCTAGCAGGTAGAGATAAAGGAAAGCAAGGTATTATAAAATCAGTTAACAGAAAACATAACAATGTATTGGTAGAAGGTTTAAAGTTGATCAAAAAGTTGGCGAAATCAACAAAGAATCAAAAGGGTGGTGCATACACAAAAGAGGCACCCATTCATTATTCAAATATAGCTCATATAGATCCAAATAATCAGTATGTAAAATCAAATCACACATTCATTGTTAGAAAATCGATAAAAGAAAAAAGAAATCATAATCATCTAATAATAACAATTATTATTATAATTATCATTATCATTATAATTATAGAAAAGCATGTAGAGTACATTTCCAATTGATCGATGGTGTTCGTGAGAGAATCTCGAGAGTAACAAACTCTATTATTCCAAGACCAACAGTTGATCTCTCAAAGAAGTGGCGTAAAGAGAATATCGAAGGTCCATTGGACACTCCTGCTGCTGTCGTCAAACAAAAGACTTACGATGGTGTAGTCGATAGCATAGATCCAAGACCAACCATTTAAAATAACAATAACTTAATAAATAAAATATATAAATATAAAACAATATGATCATGTTACTTACTCTTATAATGAAAACATATTATTAAAAAAATTAGAAATAATAATAATGAATATACATAATTAAATCATATATCAAGAATTCGATGATGTGAAGTTAATGAATTAGATGAAGAGTTAATATAGAAGAATGAAGAATAGATAATATTCGTTTAGTACTAATATTTTAATTTATTTAAATTATGTATTGTGTATATTAATTGTTATTGATACTGAGGCACACCCGTTTCTTCGAAAGTATCATTTTTGAAGAGTCGGTCATATTTGTTTTTTTCTATTTGACATTACCTTATATAAAACCATTATTAAATAGATAGCTTGATGCCAGAGTGATATGTCAAATATCTAAATCCACTTTTGAAATTATTACAAATTAGTTCCAATGATTGTTTGTTTCAACGTTGTATTTGATGAACCGATTGTCCAGTTTAGAGTTTATGTAGAAATTTCCATTGTTATCATGACATACTGAGAATGGTAGAATGTGTATTTGATATTCAGTATTCTTTTTATTTAAATATTATCTATTTAAAAATATATATAAGATTAATCATTGTTTATATTTAAATTGTTTCTTTAATTAAAAAAAAAAAAAAAAGAAACTTGAAATTTTCTTTTTTTTTTTTTTTTTTTTTTAATTTAATAGTTAAAACTAGTTCTTAGAAAAAGTTGTAGATATAAAATATAAAAAGAGATAAATAAATAAATAAAAATGGCAGATATGATTAAAAGTGAAAAAGATGATAATTTATCATTACCAAAAGGTAAATAGTTTGTTAGTTAGTTTCATATCAGTAACTAGTTTAAACGATCGATCGATCGATTGACAAACCAATAGATTATTATACTTATACTACCTATATTTGTTAATAGCAACTGTATCAAAACTTATAAAAGAAGTACTACCTGAAGGTGTAAAGTGTTCTACAGAGACAAGAGATTTGATTTTAGAGTGTTGCGTTGGTATGTTACAATTACAATTTATTATAACTACAATATCATATCAACTAACTAAAATATATAATCTAACTTGTTTAGAGTTTATACATTTGATATCGAGTGAAGCGAACGATATCTGTCAAAAAGAAACAAGAAAAACGATTGCAGCAGAACATGTTATTAAAGCTTTAAATGTAATTGTTCAAAAACAAATCAAATCAAAACGAAACAGATTCTTATTTATCGTATATTGACCGATGTTGTTGTTGTTGTTGTTGTTATTATATATAGGAATTAGGATTCAATGAATATACACAGAAAGTATCGGAAGTCTATGACAAACATAAAGAGGAAGCGAGTGCAAAACCGAGTAAATCTAAAAAGTTTGAAGGAAACAAACCACCAGAACAACTACTCAGAGAACAACAACTTTTATTCGCACAAGCAAAATCAGCCTATCAGAGTAATAATAATGGTGGTGAACAACAACAGCCACCAACAGAATAACAATATTAAATAATAATAATACGAATAATAACAACAATAGATAGATTCTAAAATAAAATATATTTATTTGAAATGTAAGCATTGGTTCATAGCATTGTTAGTCAAATCATATGATTTCAATTCGCTATCAAGGTTTGACTATCATATTGTTATTGTTATTGAATTCTGTGTGATTTCGTTTGTTGTTAATGATGACTCTAATTATTACAATCAATACTTTTGGTAATTATGTCATTATCTAATCATGAAGTACACAAACAAAACGAATACAATAACTATTAACCAAACCATCATCATTGAAATTAAACATCCAATTTTTTGGTTTTTTTTTATTTTATGATGATCATCTCCACCAAAAAGAAAAAGATGTTTTATCCTGTGGTGTTGGTGGAGATTTAGCGACAAATAAAATCTTTAACAAAAATAAATCAAGGCACGCCCAATCAATATTTTGTTGGGTGCTTGATTTTGTTTTTAAAAATATCAATTGTAATGATTTCATCCCTCAACTTAAATGTAGGAGTTGTAGTTTACTCCTATTTGATTTGATGAATCAATCAATCAATCAAATTAAAATTTAAATAAATAAAAAGATATAAATAGTAATAGATAGATAGTTAGAAGATTGTATTTATTTTTATTATTATTATTGGGTAAAATATAATGAGTGAAAAGAGTTTAAAGTCAGCATATATAATATGGGCACTCACAGGTTTACTAGGTGGTCATAGGTACTATCTAGGTCGCTACCTTTCGGCTATCGCTTTCACTCTGACTCTGGGTGCGTTTGGGATTGGTTGGATCATCGATGGTATACGTATGCACGCTATGGTTGACGAGTCAGACTTTGATAGCGATAAAAGAAAAGATGATCGTTGCTGTTTCTTCTTGACGTTCATCCTAACATTGATATTCACCATCGTTTTCCTCATTCTCGCCAGAACACTGGCGATGCATGAGCTCTATCTAACGACGCAACCGGTAGCTATGCTAGGCACCACCGGTGAAATCACCGGAGAGTTTCAAGGTCATCTCAAGCCGGATCACGGTGTATTCAAGCATGTTTTCTTCAAGTATGAATGGACGTTCTCCGATAACACTACGAAAACCACCTCAGGTCCGCACACCTCACATACTTTCAAAGGTGCTGGTTGGCATAACGCAACACTCACATGGAGAAGTCTACTGCCTGGCAACAGTATAACATCGAATGTAACAGTTTCGTGGTACTCGCTTGGCAACAACACAGTTATAATACCAGAAAACTCTGTTCAGCCAGGATCAAACAATACATTTATGAGTCTGGTATGGCCAGATCATATCGTTCCTCCAGCCACAGGTAATATCATAGCCGGTAATGATATCGGTGGATTCACACATACAATTATCAATGTCATCACCTATGATAATAGTTCTCGTTTAACCAGTCTAACAGTTGGAAATGCTACCATTGCCGATGTATTCTCCGATGCTTTTATAGATGGAATGACACAGTTTGATGATTCATCAAACAGCAACAACAATAGCAGCGATTCCTCATCAGATTTAGTAAGAGTTGAAAAAGCTAGATCTAAAAATAATATTAAGAGAAGTTTATTAAGTAATCAAAACCTAAAGTCTGGTGGAGGTGGTAGTAATTTATGGTCAAGTTTCCTAAAGTTCTTGTTCAAAGACCACTCTTTTACTATAGATGCATCTAGTTCCGCTTCGATTTCATTCGATCCAACATTAGAATTCACACCGAATCTTTATCACCGTGTAGTTATCAGTGGTCATTCATTCCAAGAACTGACATTGGTCGCTGAGGGTGAACTAACAATGGGATTCTTGTTGAACGTTCAGACTTCAGACTCACTAACGATCACCCCATGGTCTTACGAGTATAGTCCACCGACCATACTTGGAATCATCTTACTTCCGGTTGTCAACATTCCGCTTGTTGTCAATTGGCATGTAACAATCGGTGTATCGCTATCGGTATCACTCAAAGAGAGTTTTAGTATGGGTGCAACCGATAGTTTCAATGCGAAACTGGGTGCATCCTATACCAAAGAAAATGGATTCACCTCGATATCGTCGTTCAACAGCAATCCAGTTGTGCTGCCTTTCAATCATTCTTCGTCTTGCACATCGTCCATCTCCACAACGCTCGGTGCAGGCATTACTTTTACCATGTTTGGAATCACACCGCAACTCGCTATAGATATGACTGGTGGACTTCAACTGACACGTGGTTTCAACACCAATCCCTATGAATGCAGTTGTATCTCAGCAACAGGAGACAAACAAGTCTATAACAGTCTTAACTTTGTCTACGGACCGTCGATCTCATTGAGTTTGCTCATCTTCTCGAAATCATGGGATATTGCACAACAGACGACAAACTTGGCGGCAACATGCGACAAAGCCATAACTAATTGTGGTGATTGCTATTGTCCGTACATAGGTGGTTGTTGCCCTTGGACGACATGCCCGTGGTACCAGAAATACCAATGTTTGTGTATGAGTCGGTACGATGGCAAAGGCATTTGTGCTACCAATGCCTATTGTGTAGCAGCTACTTGCCGTACCAATGCAGATTGTGCAGCGGGTTACTCTTGTACTATCTCTCAGAATTGTAATCCAAAGAATCAGTGCTCTCAAAATTGTGGTCCACAATCATCATCAATGAGCATCAGCGACAGTATTTATAACAATCCATACGATGATACTCCAAATAGTGGTATCTTAATGTTTGATCATTTTTTGGAAATAGATTAAGAATTTAAGAAACTCAAGAAATTTCAAACTATTTCTTCAAATTTAGTTTTGAATTTTTTTAAATCTGTGAATAAAAATTAAATCATATTATTTGTTATGTATAGTTTAACTCAAATTTAAATTTTCAATAAAAAGGAATTTATTAATGAGTAAAATGTACTTATTTTTATAATTCATTATAACTACAATATACAGCCAATGGAACAATTTGAAGGATGGAGAAATGGTGGGAGGTAACTAAATATTTTTTTTCAAAATCCCAGTTGTTAAAGTAACTCTATTTATTATTAACCTAAAGATAGTAAAAGAGGATTATGGCTTATTTAACAAGATTGATCCACAATTTTATTTTTTTAAATTAAAAAATGATCCACTCCGAAGTGATTTATAATATCTAAAGACATTTGAAAATTAGAATGGTTACACATTTATTTTTTTTTATTAAATATTAAATACAACTATTCGTTTAGAATTACGATTTTAGTGTTAATGATAAAATAGAATATTTGAAGAAAGTAATCTATTTGATTGGTCATTTCGCAATATTCCCATTTATTTTGTTAGAATGATTATCTAAAATTTTGATTCATTCCTTGGATTGAGTAAATATATCTCTTTTGATCATTGGCTAGATAGTAAACCAAATTATGGTTTTTTTTTTTTTTTCGAAAAAGATTTGTTGACTCATGATAAGTCAACAAATTGCAGGTATTGATATTAACCTGCTAGTTCGTGTTTATTTTATATATACATTCTCACACAGGCCGTGAGAAATAGCCAATCAAATATTATTATTGTTTATAGTTATTATTAATTAATAAGTTGAGTAGTATTAGGATAGAATAGATCTAACAGTAGCTGCGTGTTGATGAACAACAGTATAAAGTGGTGGCACGTAGTTGGAAGGATTTAGATTCCAATCAGATTTAAATTAACACGTTATTGCAGAGCAATCGACAGTGATTCCTTGGGAGATAGAATTAGCAATTGTGAAGCTAAGCTTGTGGTAATTGGCATCGATTAATTTGGTGTAATGGGTGACTGCTCTCTTGACGGTATTTTCCAGCTTGTAATGGGTACCATCACCAAACATTTCACAGGACAGCGCCTGCCATAACGAATGTACGATAGCAGCAGAAAGATAGGTGAAGTGGACAGTAGAACGAATAGGACCGTCGAACTTGATGCACGAGTGCTTCCAATTACGAAGTCTATAGTTACAGTACTTGTGGTATATATGTTTGACAGAGGAAAGGAACTGCTGTGAAACTACATTCCTGCATTTGAAGAAGAAATGCTCATGTGGGTTGCAGAGTTCAGTGAAGGTGTCACCACAGAACTCACAGACATGACCAGTGCGCTTGAGTAGTGTTCAAAGCAGGCGTCTTGCGTTTGTTCGTAATAAAGCAAATATGAATATAAACATCAATTTCTTTTTCTTTTTTTTTACCAAACCGCATGCGGACAGTGTTTTTATTAAAGATTGTATCGACATCTGCAGGATTCGAACCTGCGCCCCCGAAGGGATTTCCTTAGCAGGGAAACGCCTTAAAACCACTCGGCCAAGATGTCTTTATGATGTTTTTCCATTCTCAAATCAAAAACATAACTTTTTAATTTTTTCTTTCAACTAAAATTCGATTTTTCCGTCGACAGCCAGCTGGTGACTCCTTGAAATGATATCTGTTCAAAATGATATGTTTTTCTCCCTATGTTCACTTATATTACTCCACTATCATTTTAAATACCAGTAGCAATAAACTCCGGTACAATTTTATTGATATTTAATACATCAATAGATGCGGAACACAATAAAATCCTGCATTAAGTAATTGTTATTCCGGTGTCGTTTGTCCTAAGAATGAACATTCACCAAACCTTTCAAAACAGCAAAAGTGTAAAAGTCTTTTTTTCTTCATTTAAAACACCCGAAATTTCGTTTTAAAATATCTTTTCTCTTCGGATGATTACCATGGCCATACACCATTATCCAAAGTGATCAAATAAATCACTATAACACTTTTAAATAATGTCATACTTTAAAGTAAATAAATCATCAGTTTTATTTATCTATTCTTTATTACTATCCATTATACTTGTTAGTGGTGGATCGCTCTATGGAATCAGAGATCCTCCCGATATGATATCGGATTTACAATTTGTAAAACTAGAATCTGATGGTAATTACACATACCATATGATATTCAAATCTCGTTTTAATATCAACTATTATTATTATTATAATAGGTTTAACTACAACTCTCTTTGAGAATAATATGTCAGATGGATTATATTCAACAGTAGATACCAACACAAATACAGCCTATATCATTGTTGAAAATGTTACAATGTATAGTCAAGTAAAGTATACCGATATATATATACATTAATTAATCTAATATAATCATAACTAATTATTAACTATTGTTATTTATAGTTTAGTTATTTGTTAACTGTTGATCTTGAAACATTTGAACCAAGACAACCTTATATTAATGAGTTACAACCATATGATCTTGCATACGATGTTCAACTCAAGCAGTTGAGTAGTGTATTCTATGATTTTTACAACAATACTATTGTAATTGGAAAGATTGATCCTGTCGATGGAAACTATACAATTTGTCCAGATTTTGTAAGTCAATGAATAAAGAGGAGAAAGAGAGTGAGTGATCATATATCATTAATCATAAACTAATAATCTATTATACAATAAAATAAACAATAGTCAATTCCAATCTTTTGGGAGTTTCCTGCCAATGTAACAGCTACACAAAGTCATTCACATATTGTACTCTCTGGAAATGCCCGAGATGTAATTACTCTATATACCTATAATATGATCAATGGAAAGAATTCATCCATTCCACTATCAGGTCAATATAATGGTCAATATGGTAATGTATTTATATGTATTCATAAAAACATGACAATAATATTTATTAAATTTAAACCATACTACCTCTATCTCTCATTGTATTATGAAGAGTTCTCAAATGTAGTTTATGTACCGGGAATCAATCAGGTTGTTGGAATCATTAATAATCAAGTAGCAGCAATCGATATTGTGTCTGGTAGCTACAAGGTGTTGGCTTCTCTAAATCTAAAGGTTATTGATTATCTTGCGATTACAGCATACGAATCTTTTGTATATATGGTGGTAGAGGACACCGGAATTATCGACACCACAAGAATAGTCACAATCGATTTCTCTAAATCGACACCCACCATAACAAGTCAACTCACTCCTCATAAACTTGTTTCTATCTTCTATCATTGATTAGATAAATGAATTCATTTAAAAATTAAAAATAAAGAATAAGTAGCATGTAAAATTTGATTATGCATATTCAAAATCTATTGATATATCTATTATTGTATCTTGATTTCTTTTTTTTTTTAATATCTATAATATAATAATAAATTAAAACAAACAAATTAATAAACAAAAAAAAGAACTTCAATTTTTGTAAAAAACAAATAAATCTTTTTTTTTGATGGCATCTTTATCTGCATGATGGTGTTAATTTGAAAAGTTTTTGAACAAATCAAATTTCAAATAATGGGGGTAAACTTTTTATCAGAAAATAAACAACAACAATTTAAAAAAAATCTCTTCATCAAGGTGTTATTATTATAAGTGGGAGTGTTATTTTGGTAAACAAAATTTTATTTATTTTCTATCGTTGTAAATAACACATCACAAATCATATTAATAAAATAATAATTTGATTTTACAAAGTTTATAATCAAACTAACAAACAAATAATAAATAAATATAATATATTTTGATAAAACAGATTAAAAAAAAAAACAAACAGATAAAGCATATATATATATTTATAAAAAAAATAACAAATAGATATATTGTTTCAAATTTTGATTAGATAAAAGATTGATTAAAATAAAAATAATATTAAGTTTCAAGTTTTAGAGATTTATAAATAGAAAATTTTATATATATTAAAATTAATAAGTTAAGACAAGATGTATCAAAATACGATGATGATGAATGGTGGTGGTATGAATGGTGTTGGTGGAGTGATGTATAATCAACAACAACCAATGCAGATGCCGATGTCTGTACCACCACAACAGATGTATACACAACAACAACTTCAGATGCTACAACAGCAGCAGATGCTACAGCAACAACAACAACAACAACAATTACAATATCAACAACAGCAACACCAGTTACAACAACAGCAACTACAACAACAGCAGCAACTACAACAACAACAAGCTCAACAACAGCAACTCCAACAGCAGCAGCTACAACAAGCACAAGCTCAAGCACAAGCTCAAGCACAACAACAACAGCAATTACAAAGACAACAACAATTACAACAGCAGCAACAGCAACAACAACAAATGAATCAATCATTTGATAATTCATTCTTTGGTGTACCAAATAAATTACCATCCCCAAATCAACAGCAGCAACAACAGCAGATGCAATTTGGCGTTGTTGAACCAGGAAAGATTCCATCGATTAGTAATGAATCGAAAGCACAGTATTCCAATGTGTTTTACAAGGTTGGAGCTACCGATGCCTCAAAGATGCCCGGTAACATTGCAAGACCAATCTTTCAAAAGTCTGGATTGCCCAATGAGGAGTTGGCAAAAGTCTGGATGCTCTCTGACTTGGACCACGACGGCCACCTCGACCGTGAGGAATTCATCATTGCGATGCACTTGATCTACGCCATCAAGAACGGATTGCAACTACCACAGACACTACCAAAGTATCTAGTACCCGACTCAAAGGTGATCTACTACCAATCGACCGCCACCAATCAAAACGATTGGCAATCGTTTGCACAGACCAACGTATCACTACAACAAAACCAACAACAACCGATTCAACTAGCAGTAAATCAACAAAATCAATTCATTCAACAACCATTACAACAACAACAACAGTTTTTCTCGAATAACCCACAAGATTTCGTACCGGCTCAATATAAACCGAGTGGACATGTCAGCGGAAGTGCCATTACATTCGAACAAAGAGTAGCTTTAGGTGCTGATTTGGATGCTGCACTCAAAAAGAATAAGAATCGACACAATTAAAACTTTTATTAAAATACCTATTTATTTATTATACACACACACACACAATCAAAGATTAACTTAATTTTTCCATATTTGTAAAATATTCTTTTTTAAAAATAATAAACACAAACCTTTTTTTTTTTTTATAATTCCACAAATCATGATTTTCTCTTTCGAACCGAAAGCATTCAACACTGAATCTTTGAGTATTGCTGATTTAAACAAACCGTCTGAGATCTATAACGATACCTCGAAAAATTAGAATCAAAAGATACAACAGAACACTTAAAATTTGATGTGATAAATTGATTTTCTTTACTATTTATTAAATTATTTTTGAAATCCAAATCCTAGTGATTCAGTAGGAAGACCTTAATTTAATATTTAAAAGTTTATCTTATTTAACAATGGGATGGAGTGAAAGTGGCAATCCAAAGAGCACCGTATCCATATGAGTCACCGTCAGCCCAGGTTCTATTAATAAAAATTAAAGTGAATAGAGAATTAATAAATGTTATTTCAATTATTTAAATATTTTGATATTATTTTTTTTTTAGTTGTTGTTGCTACTTACACATATTTGACATTGAAACCAGTATTGGTGACATTGACAGCCTTGGCATAGACTCTGAAGTTCTTGCTTTGATTTTGATCAGCACAAGCAATGGCAACACTGACCTTTGGGGTGGTTCCACATGGGAATGGAGTGGCGAACTTCACTGGGAGAAGGTAGAATCTCTCCTTGACATCTGGGTGCTTTTCATTTGGAGCTGATTGAGTTGGGAGAACTGATTTACCGATATCATCAACATAGTTGAAACTACCGTGGTCAATCATAGTTACGCTTCTATTACAACAGGTACAAGTCATTTTGTTTTATAATTATAAATATTAGAATATATATTTAAAATTTATGTTTATAAAGAATACAAAAGTTTCAAGTATTTATACTTTTTAATTAGCATATGCACAAAGGAAGTTAGATATTTAATATTTAATAAAATTGACCTCGAACTGCAAAGATTGAATTGTTTTGTAAATTGTCACAGACCATTTTCATATCCAATTTACAATCAAGTACCAGATTATTCAATGTAAAATGATTGAAAGTTCTCAACAACTCTCAAATTTTTAAAAAATAATTGAATTGATTGGAATTAAAAATCATTGGAAAGACAAGCCTTTGGACTTCTAAATTGGGAATCGTGTCAGGTTTGAAATCTAGATTGGAAAAAAAATAAAAACAAAAATGTGGTAAAAATTTCATTGAACACTAAGTCATCAGCTGAACTACCACAAAACAACGATTTCTGATTTTTTTTGAGTTCAGACTGTTTTTATTTTGGTCTGAACAGCATGTCCAACGAGATTTTCAAACAACGCGATACTCATCTATCTGCAGCACAGGTTGCCCAATAAAAAGATATAAACAGGGCTTGGAGGCTCCTTTATTTAACTAGTTAAGGCCAGGTTGTATTGTTGAAAACAACATCAACTGCAGTTGTACAGGTTTCGGTTTCTGTACTAATTGACACTTTCTTTGGTTATGGATATTATATTACACTGCAAATAAATATTTAATTTATAGTTTTAATTTTATTAATAATATTTATAACAATTTAAAGTAAACAATAGCAGTGGTCTAGTTATCTCCATCTAATTTTTGTTTTTTTGCAGAGGTTGATGATGCTGTTGATGTGTACATTGATTGATTTCCAATAACAGAACTGATCAAACTTTCTTTTTCATCCATGACATCACTAAATATATCCAAAAGTTCTTTTATACTACCTTCCAGGTTGGAAACTCTATCACTTAAGAAACTAATTGATCCATGTAACTTTGAATGAAATAACAAAACAACAATTAATAAAAAAGAAAAAAACAATCATAATTATAATAACTTACATTTGAAATATAAGTATTCTCTACAGGTAAAGGAGGTATACTATTTGAATGTTGTGAATTATTTGATTCTCTTCCTGCACCTAATTGATAACTAAATTATTTTGTTATTTTAAATAAATAATAAATTAATATTTAAAATAAAGATTATTATTATTATAATTATTAATATTGTAATAACTTACTATGATATAGAATCACTATTTAAAATATAATATGATTGTTCATTCTCTGTTATTGCATTTAATTTATAACCTATTTCATTACTACATATTGGACATGATAATATTGTATGATCTGCTGCTGCTGCTGCTTCTTGTTGTTCTTGTTCTTCTGTTTCTGATGCATCGGATTCAACGATGGAATGTGCAACTCTTGTCATTAGATAACACTTTTGGTTGATCATGAATTGCTCTTGTTCGTCGGTGGTCTCGCTTACCAACATGGTGGAATCTCCTACCACTATATTACATCCAACACAACAGAAAACCAGTATCGAGTTGAAATAATCCTGTAGGTTCAAAGTGTTGTTCTGTGCTATTGCTGCTGCTGCTGCTTGTTGTCTTCGCTTCTTGGTAGATAGATTGTTTGGTGTCGCTCGAGAAGCTGATGTCGGTGGTGTTGTTGCTTGTTTTCGGATTGGTGTTGGCATGATAGGTGTTGTATTACCACTTCCCATTACATTTAATCTTTGTTGGTGGTGGTGGTGTTGTTGTTGTTTGCTGGAAGAGGTGGGTGTCGATGGATATGACCTGTGGCTAGAGGTGGAGCGTGCCGATCCATTGGGAAGTTTAAACGGTGAGTTGGCAGAACAAGGCGTTGAAAATACACCGGATTTGAAATCAGATGTCGGTGTTGAAATCGATGACGTCGATGACATCGGTGTACCAACAGACACTGTTGTATCGGTATCTTCGTCACTGTCCTGTTGTCCGAATTTAGATGGTGTTTTACGATTGTGTGTTGGTGTTAATAATTTTGTGGATGGTGTTAACAATGACTTGGTAGGTGTTGTATTTGCGGTGGATGTCGATGACGATGGCGACGATGATGGTTTCAAAGGAGACAATCCAATGAATGGAATTTCACTTGGTGGTAATGGTGAGTTTGAACGTCGTGGTGAGCTTGAACGTCGTGGTGAGTGTGGTAGTGGTTCCTTAAAGAGCAAAGAACATGTTTCCTTTTCAGGAGTTGTGTGGTGGTGTTGATTTTGTTGTTGTTGTTGTTGTTGTTCAAGCTGGTGTAATGAAAGAAGATTATGTTTTTTCGGTGGTGAACGATGTGATGCCGAAGAGAGTGTTGGTGAGATTCTTGGTGAGCGTGGTGACAGTGGCATTGGCGAGAGTTGCTCCTTTAGTAGTGAGAATACTGCCTGTGGTCCTATGTCTATTATCAACTCATTGTCATCGTTCACCTTGAATTTATCGACTGTGACACTACTACCACTGCTGTTGTCATCACTATTGTTAATTGTAGTGGTGGTGGTGGTAATGGTCGACTTGGATGAGTTTGTTGATGACGGCGAGAGACTACCAACTGAAAAAGATGTTGTACTGGCCAGTACAAACGATGTTGACGACATGGAAGAAGGTGACAGTGTAACTGTAGGTGTCGATGTTGATGAGGAATCTGATGAAGAGTCTTTAGCTAACTTTATACTTTCATCATTATTACTTTCCATTCTTTTTGTTTGTTTTTCACACAATATATTAAAAGAATTATTATTATTATTATTATAAATATATTTATTTAGTGTTCTAATACAAACTAACTATACTATATTTATTAAAATTTAGCTCATTTGGTTAAAAAAAAAAATAAAATATAATAAATTAGAATAGTGCGCCAAAATTTAACACTGCAAAAGGGGCAAATTGTGACTTAATTTATTTTTTCATATTTTGCTCATTAATTATTAACTTAAGTTAAAAAAAATTTATTTATTAATCATTTTATTTAACATTCATTCCTCATTCCATTAATGTATTAAGGTGAAACCAATTATAGTTTAATTGTTGATATTTTTCACCAAATAAAATATCTATTCATGAACAAAATAAAAATATAAAAAATATAATATAATATAAAACAATGAAAGGTATTTCTTTGCTATGTTGAAGAGTTACTTTTATTAAGTTTCTTTACTTCTGAATGTTTTAAAAAAAATTTTACCACACAATTTATTCTTTTGTTATAAATTAAATATAATTAAATTTGATTTCTATAAATAAAATATTTTTGTAAGGTTCTATTATTTGGAGAAGATTTTATTTTATACTATTTTGATTTAAAATTTTAAATGATATCTCAGTGTGGTTATTACCGACCATCACAAACTGATTGCAAATATAACAAATAAATTTCCATTGAATTCTCTCACTCATCTTTTGCGATCTAAATGAGCAATCAGTATAAACAACGATTGTAGGTCATTCTCTCTTCTCAACAAATCTTCTCACATCTTCTCATCAAATCTTCTCACGGTGTGGGGTGGTGGTTTTATAACCTTTTACAGTGTCTTTTTATTGATGGCATTGATAACTAAAAACTCCTATCACTCTCTGTTCGCTGAAATAAGATGCGTATTCTTCGGTTGTCGAATGATTGCACCATTGAAATTATTTCTCTCCCTGGTTTCAAAAAACAAAAAATTTACAAAAATGTTTTTAATAGATGGGAAAAAAAGATCGTTGATAGGGTTTTTTTGCAAGTTTTGCAATTTTTTTTTTTACAAATCAAAAGTAAAATGTCAAGGAAAAGTTTGACATGACATCTGTCATAACCCCTAATTTTTACAAAAAAATTTTAAAATTTGAGATAATATTTAAAAAAATTTATTTATAAATTTTTAAATTAAAAGAATTTAGAATAGGCAATTTTTCTATAAATTAAACAATTGTTCTGAAAATTGGACATCAATCCTGATGAGTTCTTTCTCCTTTCTATTTCGAAGATCCATATATAGTTTATTTTAAAAGACCAATTTTATACTTTTAAATATTTTTTAATATTTATCGGAATAATATAATATTAGAGATAAACAAATAACCCACACTTCCAAAAAAAAAAAAAAAAGTAAATTCGTCAAGATCACCTCTTTTAAGATTAAACCTATATTTAATCATTACCACTCACTATATATTTATATAACCACAACAACCACACTATATTTTCCAAATCAATTTTAAATTTTATAGACCAGTGTTTAACTTAAATTAAACTACCAAACTAATTTACATTTATATAAGACTATTTAAGTGATCTACTGATCATTGTTTTTTATAAATAGTAGAAGTAAAAACATCAAATAAATAATAAATAAAAATACAAATAATAATAATGAGTATTGTTAGTCAACCAAAATTTGGATCGGAGAGATTAGTCCAAGCTGGAAATGGAATGTCTGGGTTTGATGATTCCTATAGTCCAGAGTTGAAAGGAAAGATTCATCCTTTGGATTTCGCCAATATTATGTATCGGTTCAACTATCAAATCGAAGTGTTCTATGGAGCATTCATACAATTCCAAGTCACCAATATAATTACCCTTGTCATTTGTGTAATTCTCTTTATTCTCTCTATTCTCAAAATCACCGATCAATGGTTGAATTTAGAAATCACTGGTGCCATTGGATTATTGGGTGTTGTCGGTATGTTTGCATATATTATAAGTGGTAATAAAAAAGTAAGTAAAAAAAACAAACAATTGAATTTAATTCAAAAAAAATATATGTTAAACTAATAATTATTGTTTTGTTATTCAAATAGATTCTTAAGAGTTGTGAAGATTTTGCTTTGGAGTTAACTAATCGGTATGTTGAACAAGGCATTTCTTTCAGTGTAGAAAAGAAACCAAAAGGTGATCCATTCAAGATGGGTATGATTGTTTTGACAGTAGCATCTTATGATATTATCATTAGATATCAAAAAGAAAACAACAGCCATAGTAACTTCCATAAGAACTATGATCCCATACCAGAAGATATATCTATCAATATGAACACCGCACTCATCAACTAATTTGTTTCAATATTCCAACAAAACATCCAATACCTTGTATTTATGTAAATATAAATTTATTCACCATATTTTATCTATATAAGATAAGTTATGGTCGATATTTATACTCATATACTATCATAAATTTCATAAAATTTTTAATTAAAATAGTAGTAACACTTGGTTAGATTTCGAATTGTTACAATAAATTTTGTTTCCAATTAATTTGTTGTCCTTATTTTATTTATTTGGAAATCATAACCCTATTAATATTTTAAATTGAAAATTAATGTATTGAAATAGTTGATATCTATCCAAATTAAATCGAAGATAATGATTGATATATTAGTGAATTAAAAATTCAAACAGGTAAAATTAAAGTGACATCCACTGTGAAATTCACAGAACCATTTTAATCTAAAAATTCTTAATATTCCAAAAATGTTTACTCATCAATCAGACTCAAAAGTAATATATAACTTTCAATAATAATAGATTAGATTTAATATTCAGTTAAAAATAATAAAAGTTATAACTATAGCCGCAAATTAATATAAAATATAATCAAGGAATAAGGTAATTTCTAAAATCCAAAAAAATGAGAGCATGACGTTTGTTACAATGTATTATTTTATTTGAATTTGTTTTGGGTCATTTCAAGACTTTTATTGCTCCACTTAATATATTATCAACATTATTTCTATTGTCTGAATTGTTTTTTATGGTCTCTTGTGTAATTGATCCTTTACTTTGGTCTTGGCACTGTTTTGATTAATTAGTTTATAGTTAGTTTTCTAAACATTGTGATATCAATCATCATTATTAAAACTTACCCTTTTCTTGATCTAAATTCATCCATATATTCAGCAGAGTCAAACTGAGTGAATTCATTCTCTGGTTTGATTTGTGATTTGGCAATTTCGATTCTCTTTTCGAGTTCATCTCTTTCCTTACGATTCTTCTCGTGTACTTTATCGGTATGTGTCATCAATGTCGTAATGTTACCGAGTAAATCGTCTGATGTCTTCATCCTATTATAATGAACAAACATATCAAAAGTTAATATGATATACTAATAAAAATAATGAAACTTATAATAATAATAATAATAATAGATAGATTAATAGTTTACCAATTATCTAATGTTGTAATGATATTATCTATTTGATTGATAGATACATCTCTACCGATGGCAAATTCAATTTCTAAATGCTTATTCTTTTGATCTAATTTACCTCTAATGATATTCTAATTAGAATTAAAATAATAACAACAATAATATGTTAATACTAATATACAAAATGTTTTAGTAATGATAAATATAGTTGAAAGTAATTACCTGGTAGATTGAATCGATGATCAAATCTTCCAACTCTCTGAGGTTGGCGATACCAAGTTGTTCTTGAAGCAAAGTGTAAGGAATAACCTTTGAGATAGTCGATAAATATACAATAGTCAATTGTCTAAGTTTATTTGTCATCTGTGGTGATAATGCTGGCAAACTATCCTTATTCTCTACAGAAAGTTGATAATATAAGATAAACAATAAACACCATTAATATATATATCAATCTTTATATTAAAAAATAACAAAAAGCAACAATCATTAAACTTACTGATGTAATCAACATAGGTACCGAATGCAAATATATTTAAAAGATCGAATGATGATTTGAACTCTGTTTGTTGTAACTATACATATGTAAATAAAGTTTAATTGATGTGAAGTTTGTTAGTTAGTCAATTATTTTTGAACAAAATTTAATAATAAAATATAAAATATAAAATATAATGAAGTAAGTAAGTAAGTAAGTAAGTAAGACTTACAGCTTGAATGTTTGGCATATCTAGTAATTCACCGAATACATAGACCGCAGGGTTGTTAAGTGCTTGCTCGATCAAGGCAACACATGCTCTACCCTTGTTTGCTTTGGCCAAGATACAATATTGCTTCAAAGCAGTTCCTTCAGTTAATACATCAGCTGCGTGTGTCATTCTATAACTATCTAACTATCTAACTATCTATAACTTGTATCGAAATATTAATAAAACAAAAACAACAAAAAATATATTAAAAATTAATTAAAAAAAAAACAAACTTTTGATGATCATTATTTTTTTGGAAAGCAAAAATCTTTTTTTTTTCTTATTTTAATTTAAATTTCTTGGGGTTTTTTTTTGGTCCTTCAACTGAATGATCATAACAATTTAGGGGAATTATTGTACAGATACACAATCTACATTCAACTTCATCTACAATTTATTAAAATGAGTTCGCGATTATCATTTTAAGAGTTAAAAATATTTTTTTTCTTTAAATGTAAAATCTATCATAATATGTATGGTTGGAAGTGAACAACATTTTTATCAGATTTAGTCCATATTTTTAATAGATTGGTGGGTGTGGAATGCACATTTGATAATTAACTTTTTTAATCCAATGAAAAAGTTGTCAATCATCAAATATTCTTCTATGAAAAGTCAAGATGGTAAAGAGACTACAATTTCCAGAGGCTACGAATCGACCACCAAGGAGGAGGCACAGTCTTGGAAACCAGCTCGAGATAAGGCACATACCACCTATCTAAACACCATGATAGAAATGAATAAGATTGCCAACAATAATTTAACACATGTGCACATGAGAAAGTTTTGTTTCTTTATAAACAACAACAGAATAATCTATATCAAAGTGATTTTTTGATGTCATCTGTATGGAGAATACAATGCTGAATATGATTTGATATGAGACATCGATAGCGTATTACAACATTACAATATGAACAAAAATGTTTGTTGTACAATAATCAAAAAAAAAAGGTTAATATGGAATAGATATTGATTGTTGCAAATCAGCTTTTTATGATCATATCTATTTCGTTATAATTTATTATTATTGAAAATTACAACTTGAATGATCTCATAATCATTCAAACAACTATGATTAACATTTATTGTGCTCGTTTGGGCTGTCTTTAATGATTGTTGGTAAAAATAAATAAAATAGATATAAAAATTTTAAAAAAAAATTCAAATGTTCACAAGTTGAACCACAAAATTTTGGCGGGCTCTAAAGATTCAACTGTCAAAAATAGTTGTAAAAGACAATGAAGTCTTGGGAACATTAAGACTGTTTATTTTATTTTTTAATTTAATAAAAACATATGATTTTAGAATAGTTTGTGTATTTATTTATCAATATATATATTATATAGATAAGATATTTCGTAATGAATATTAATTTAAAATCTATTATAAATCAGCTTCGATCAAATGGTAAGACTAAGCATAATATTAAAAGTCAAAATTTCTTCATGATTTAAATAGTTTTAAGACTAACTTTAATTTATATTTATTTAGATCAAACAGATATTTATAATGGATATGATCAATTAATTAATTATGTTAAATTTAATATCGTTGAGGTAAGTGAAGTTGTTTTGGTTTCGAAACAATAAATAAATAATATGGTGATTTAAATAATTAACAAAAAAATATTTATAAATATAACTTTATAGAGTAAATCGATTATAGATATTTTCGAATTTATTATACCACATTTGATGGACCAGGAAATCAGTGATGAACTTCACTCAAAGGTATTGGAAGTTTCGAATTTCATGATCGATTTCTTTGCGGAGGAGCATCAGGAGATTATCGCTGTGCTGTTGGACACCATCAGTCAGTATGGATTCATCGGTAACGAGAACAACGACATCGTCGAGAAGGTAGAGAATCTGATATCTACCATACTGAAATGTGGTGGACTGGCTGCCGTCGATATGCTGGCACTCCTCTTCTCGCAGTGGATCTGCGACGATTCCTGGCGATGTCGACAACACATCGTCAGCCTCATGACAATGGCAATTACATCGTCGTTGTTGGACGTTTCCAGCTTGATCGCGAAATATCCCGATCTAATTGAAAATGTATTGTCGCTGCTTGGCAATGATATGGACGATGAGGAGCTCAACCAACTCGTCTCGATCATGCACAACGAAGCCAAAGATAGTTTAGAACGATTCATACTCTCAACACTCAAAGACAAACAATTAAAATCACAGTTAATTAGTAAATTGGAAATACATCATCCAATTGTCTCAACACCAACAGAGACAACAGTGAGAGCAACCAAACCGACTTCATCTATTTTTAGTAGTTCTATTAAACAAAAACCAACTTTATCATCTTCAACAATCAAGTCCAATAATAACTTATCGAAATCAACAACAACAAGAGCAATTGGATCTAGACCAACTAAAAATAATGATCCATTTGGAATGTTATTATTAAATCAAGTAAGTTATATAAGTTTATTAGTTTGTTATATTTATCATTATTTATTAATCTTTATTAATTATTATCAATTAAAACAACAGGAGTTGGATGAAGAACAACTGGAAAGTAAATTGAAAGAGATCATTGATAAATTATCAGATTCAAGCTCTGATTGGAGTATAAAGGTTAATAACCTTATAAAGTTACAAGTTTTAATGAGAGCTGGTGCTGCAGATCTACCTATATTCCATAGTTTATTCACAAAGTTAAGAGATCCATTAATATCACTAGTAAGTATTGGTTTGTTTGTTTATTAATATATATATAACTTTACTAAATAATATATTATTTATTATGTTTTTAGGTTAAAGATGTGAGATCACAATTGATAAAAGAAGCATGTGCAACCATTGCTGTCGTAGCGGAATTTATGAAGAGTCAATTCGAACCATATGTCGATAGATACATTGAGCTTTTGTTAACGAATGTTATAGTTACAATTCAGGTATGTTAACACTGTGTCAATTTATAATATAAACAAAAAGCACAATTATATTAACTAATTAATAATATTGTTTATAGATTATTTCGCAATCAAGTGATAATTGTATTAAGAGCATCATTACAGCATCGAAATCGATTAAAGCTCTACCAAGATTCGCAGAGATGTTGAAGCACAGTAAGAGTCCTGTAATGAGATCGAAGTGCCACGAGTATATACTTTTACTTTTGCAAATTGTATCGCCAGCGATATTGGAGAAACAAGAGGATGCTCTTGAGAGATCTATTCGTGCAGGTGTGAGCGATGCCGATCCCAACACTCGAAAGTTAGCAAGACAGTCGTTCCTCGCCTACTCTGCACACTTTCCACACAAAACAGAACAGCTTCTCCAGTCATTCGATTTAAGCGCCAAGAAGCTAATCATCAAAGAGATGCAGTCTTTCAATCCAACATATGAACTATTAGCATCATCATCATCATCCAACAACAACAATAATAATAACGTACCAAAACAACAACAACATTTCACAAAGAATAATAATAATAATAATACAAATAATCATCAAGTTTTATTTAATTCAACAAAGAATCCAATAACACAAACAACAAAAATAACAACAACAACAACACCAACTACAACAACAAGTCATCAGATCAGACCATTAACAACAGTATTGAAACCAACATTATCGAAATCAACAACATCATTAGCAATTGCGAATAGACCAGCTACACCTTTGAACAATGTATCATCCAACGTTGGATTATTAAAGAGAAAGCCAATTACATCATTATCTTCAACAACATTATCATTATCATCATCTACAACTGCAAAAACAACAGCAACAACAACAACAACAGCAATGATAAAACCAACTTCAACATTATTACAAAAAAGAGGTTTTAATAACATCGACGATGATATGATCAAATCGAATCTTAAACATATTAAATTAGACAAGGAGAATCAACATCATAATATATTACACAGTAGACCACCAACACCAATCGTTCCTTTAACGACATCTATCAAACTTCACTCTGTAAAGAAACCTCCAACCATTCCAACATCAAAGACATCTCAACAATTTGTATCATTCTTTAACAATAATAGTAATAATAATAGTATTAATATTAAAAATAATAATAATAATAATTATGAATTGAAATCATCAGTTTCTTCAGTACCAACCACAACAGTAAATCAACAACAATTAACTATTTCACAACTACTTGGTCAAAATAACATCAACAACAACAATAATGTTAATATTAGATATAATAAAGCGAATCAACAAACAACAAAAACAACATTGACATCGATCATGTCAACACCACCACCAGCATCACAGCAAAACAGACCAAACAACTACTTCCAAAATTCATCGAAAAAAGCAGCCATGCCAAACAGAACATTGATGCCATTGTCATCTTCAATCAACAGCGAACTAAAAATATCAGATCTAGGACTGTAGTATTTAATTAATTACTAATAATATCAAAATCATAAAAATAAAATAATTTTATCTCTTCTTAAATCTTCTAAAAATAATTTATTTTAATTCTACAATTACAAAAGTGTTGTCTAATCAGATATATTTCTACTATAGGAAGAATATATATACTATTCTAAATAACAAAAAAAATAAATAGTCATATACTACACCCAACTCAACTTTAAATTACAAAAGAACAAAGATAAAGTATTAAATTATAATTGATTTATTTAATATTACTATTTTTTTAATAATTGATTATTAATATTGCATCTTTAAGGTCCACTAACTTTGTTCTTAATTAATTTGGTAATGACTATGGTGGTTGAAAAAATAATTCTTGTACATGAATTTATTGCTTGTTTTGCACCAATTGATTGAAGGAAGGAAATAATTCCCCATGATCCTAGTTTAGACATTAAATACGAAGCAATTGAATTTTTTACTATACCAAGAGGACCAAAACCAAGTGCTTTTACTATTATAGGAATGATTATGGGGGACAGATAATACGAAATAATAAATGTATTAGGGTCCAAGTCTATCTTCATTTTATTTGTTATTTATTAAATTTGGTAATATAGAATAGATTTATTCGTTTATGATTACACAATAAAACCAACTAAAAAAAAAAAAAAAAAATTTATTTTTATTTTTTTATTTACAAAACTTAAAACTCAAGAGTTTGAAAGGTTGAAAAAACCCACTCACTCTCTGAACATTAAAATCAGATTATTTTAGTAAAATAAATAAAAATAGACTAATTTTTTATTATATTTTTCTTTCTTTTAGTATTAAAAATTAATGTGCAGAAAGGAATAGTATGATCATATTTATTTTATTTTCATCTTGTTGAAAGCTAACCTTATTTAACAACATGATGGAGTGAAAGTGGCAATCCAAAGAGCACCGTATCCATATGAGTCACTGTCAGCCCAGGTTCTATAAATAAAAATTAAAGTGAATAGAATTAATAAAAATTCGGATTCTACAAAGAAAAAAATATTAGATTACATACACATATTTGACATTGAAACCAGTGTTGGTGACATTGACAGCCTTGGCATAGACTCTGAAGTTTTTGCTTTGATTTTGATCAGCACAAGCAATGGCAACACTGACCTTTGGGGTGGTTCCACATGGGAATGGAGTGGCGAACTTCACTGGGAGAAGGTAGAATCTCTCCTTGACATCTGGGTGCTTTTCATTTGAAGCTGATTGAGTTGGGAGAACTGATTTACCGATATCATCAACATAGTTGAAACTACCGTGGTCAATCATAGTTACGCTTCTATTACAACAAGTACAAGTCATTTTTTAGTTTTATTAAAAATATATATTTAAATATTTGTTTTTATAATTTGATATTTTACAACAAAAGTTTCAACTATTTATACTTTTTAATTAGCATATGCACAAAGGAAGTTAGATATTTTAAAAAATTAAAAAATTAAAAAATAACCATTAACCATCGAGATTCATTATTTGTAATTTGGATTGGTGGCAAATTACAAATAAAACTACTGTTATACTCCAACATTTCCTTTTTTGAACGAAATCTCCAATCAATTTCAAAAGGAAAGGTACCCATTATCAACACTCTAGGCAATCAAAGTAATTCATCCTGATTTTTTTTTTTGAACTTTTATTGAAGAATATTTATTGTCATTGGGAAGACAAAGTCTGATCTTCTTATTTGATTTGTAAAAGGTATCAAAATCTTGGGTTTGTTGAAATTATGAGGATAAACAAATCTGAACAAAAAATTTTTGAACACAATTTCGAAAAAAAGTCACCAAGATTCAGCGAAAAAAGACAAAAATGAAAAATAATGAACCATTTTTTGTACAAATAGGGTGTACAAATTCTAATCATAGCGTCCAGATAAATAATAGATTTTTGAGGTACAATCTTTGGAATCCATAAGACAATTTGAGAATTTAAACCAACTATTTTTGATTTCTGAAAAAATAATTAAAAAAAATAATAAATCAACAAATTTGATATAAAATAATAATAAAATATTTGAATCATTAGTTAACTAATAAAACTTGATAAATTTAATTAATTTGTTTAAGTGATCTTCAAAAAGTGGAATATTTATTAAGAATCTATAATATTTAAGTTAAATTTTTTTAGAAATAATAAGTTTATATAATAATTGATCTAATTGTCCTGAGAATTCACTAGAAGAACCACCCCACATCCAAAATTCATGATTTCCATTTTCATCATCTTTGGTGAAATAATAAGCGCCAATTGGAATTGGTGGAGTAATTTGTTTGTTTGTCAATGGATCGATTTGTGCTGCAACTATAACTCTACTCCACAGTTTAGTTTTGAAATCAAATCTCCATACATCGTTGTAGTTTTGACCTGTCCAACTTGATCCACCAGTAAGGATAAGTGCCTTCTTGTCAACATGAATAATCTTTGCGTTATCTCTCTTTCCAGGTGTAACATTGGTTGCTGGAATCAGCTCTGTCCAATAACCAGTGGTAAGATCAAACTCTTGTAGATCTCCCAAATAATTTCTCTCCCCAAAAGTAGAGTTTCCCAATGGATCCTTTGTGTAACCACCATAGGTATATAAAGCGTGCTTATCTCTAGAGTATCCCAAATGATGATGTCCTCTTGGAGTTGGAATGACACCTTTCATAGTTACATTTTTCCAACCGCCTTGCATCAAGTCGAATTCAATGACACCTGTCTGAAGGCCACGTGGTCTATTAACAAACGCTGGCAAAGTTGAACTGGTTCCAAAAATAGCATATGCCTTCTTACCAACTACCTTTGCTTCGGTCGATCTGTTCGCAGAATATTGCTGGTCCAGAGTCTGTGGAATCGAATGCCATGTCGAAGTGGCAACATTATACATGCTTGTAGTGTTAAAAGTAAGGTCCAAACCTCTACGGAAAGGACCGTGACCACCTGTAAGGAATATATTTCCAGTTCTACGGTCAACCCACAACAGTGCCTCTGCTCTAGGTGTTGGAGTGTCTGGCGCCACTAGGTTTCTCCAAACCAAAGTATTGACATCAAGAACTGAAAATACAGGGTGAGGAAAGTCTACTGGGTATGATCCATTCAAACCACCGAAAATATAAAATAAATGACGTTTCTCATCGAATGCACTAGCTCCATCCCACATTGGAGGTGGAATTTCACCTGATTGTTCTAATTTCAACCATAGAGATTGTTGTGCTAAAATATTATTACTCTTAGCAAGTGTACTAATTATAAATAGAATTGTAAATAAAATAATTATATTTTTCATTTTTTTAAATATATAAAAATATGTGATTTTAGAAAACTTTAAATATTATTATTTTTCATAATGAACATAGTATGAACCAGTTCTTTAATATTTTGTTCAAAAATAATAGAAATAAATCAATCAAAATCAATAATTTCTTTTAATCATTGTTGGGTTACAAAATAGAAAAAAAAGTTCAAATGAAAATCTTTGTTTGCCCATCAAAAAAAAACACCAATTTGCTCGTGTGATTTAATTGGCAATAGATCCCAATTTCAAAATCATTTTGATTGGATTTATTTTTATTTTTATTTTATTTTTTAGTTTGTTTGCATTTCGAAAATCAAAAAACATGTGATGATTATTTGGACACCTTCGGAATGATTTTTCATTTTATTTTTTTTCAATTACATCATCAATATTATGATGTTTAATTTTTATATAATAGAAATTGAATCGGTATAATTAATTAAAAGGAGATTATACCGGAAGTTTTACTCATTTTTATTTTTATTACTAAAGTCATTAATTAATAATTGTAAGACAATTAAATAATTCATCTTTTTGTGGATTCTCCCAATTCTATTATTTTATTTTCAAGAGATCAAGAGATCAAGATCACCAAACCAACTTCTTCATATCTTCTTAACCTCAGTTTATTTTAAAAATACAAAATCAAAAGTTCATAATTTTTAGGATTTGTATTCTTGTGTCCTGTACAAAAAGAACACCAATCATAATTATTAATCAATAATATTATCTAAATCAAAGTTAAATTTAATTATTATTTAACTTTTTAACTTAGGTTAAGCAAAGATATCAAGTTTCTAAATGTTTCTCTTAAATTAGTGATGAATGAGTTTCTTCCCAATTCAGAAGAATGCAAATCCAATACAGAAAAGGATGAACAGTTAAACTATTCGTTTTATATTGCTTCGTTGGGACGCCCAAAGGAATTGTTTAATGTATCATTAAGAATCACTAATATCAAGCTATACCAAATTCACTTGATGTTTAAATATTCAATTGAATACAATCAATAAAAAACATAAAGAAAAAATATAGCGTAATTTAAATTAATCAAACAAAATAAAAAAACAACCTAATTAAAATGATTATCTATATTATATAACTACTATTTAATTAACTTTTGAAGTTCTCTTTTTTGATTTTGGCTTTTCTTCTTCCTCTTCTTCCTCTTCTTCTTCAGATGAGTCTGATTCAATTTGTGGAGTTTCAGATTGCTTCTTGGTTGTTGTGGTAGTGGTGGTGTTGGTACTACCAGCGGTGGTGTTTGCCTTGGTAGTTTGAGCGGCGGATGATGATGGCTTGACCATACAGATCAAGAGTGGAAGGAGACCGAGGACGGCAGCACCAATCACTGGGACTGGATTCTCCTTGGCGTAGACGGTGAACATATCAATGTACATCAAAGCTTGGTCAACGAGTGAGAGCTCTGGATTCAACTTTTTGGCTTTTTCTTCTTCCTCCTTGGCTTGACGCTCCTTCTCCAACTTGAACTTTGGAGCCCAGGTCTCGGCGGCCAAACGGTCGGCCTCCGACTTGTCGTGGGTAATGATAAAGTTGTCAAAGTAGATGTTTGGTGACATGGTCCAGATCTCGACACCGATGGCACCGATCTTCTCGACGATGTATGGATTCTCGATCTCAAAGTACTCGGGGTTGGCGATTTGCTTGGCCTTCCAGACACCCTTGTAGAGTGGATTGTCAATCATTGGAGCGGACCACTTACCCTTGTACAATGGGTTTGGAATGATTGGGGCGGCCCACTTTCCACACATACCGTCTTGGCAACGTGGATTTGGGATCATTGGTGCCTCCCATTCTCCGTCGTCTTCGTCGTTCCACTCGGATGGCTTCTCCTCGTCGGGCGATGGGATGTACTCTGGCTCGTTGTCCAACCACTCGGCTGGCTTGACGGCGTCGGGATCAGTGATTCTCGATGGTTGGTCTTCATCCCAGTCGTCTGGCTTGACAGCTTCTGGATCGGGCATCTTCTCGTCGTCGACCCAGTCGACTGGCTTGTGGTCGGAGGGATCATCGATCTCCTTGGGTGGATTGAACGCTGGAACAAAGTTCTTGTGGAAGGAACCCTCGTAGACGTTGACCTGGTCGAGGTAGATAACGAAGGTGTTGTCGGGCTTGATGTGCAAACTGTAGAGATGCGAGAGAGTGTCGGTCTTTACGGCTGGCTTGGCTTCGATCAGCTTCTCCTGGAAGGTCTTGGTGATTGGATTCTTCGATTGTACAATGAAGTGGATACGATTGTCGGAACCGCACTTGTCTGGACCAAACATGATCGAGTACGGTGTGTTTCCATTGACCTGTTCGACGTCGAAATTCTCGGTGTCTTGGAACAACTTGATGTAGGCACCACCACAGTCCAATCCGTTTTGCAACTTGACTTCGTACTGAACCAACAACTCCTTGCCGGTGTTATCGATCGGTTTCACCAGCTTACTGGTGATGGCGTAACGCTTGGCCAACTGAGGGAGCACCATTCCCTTGTCCGATGGATCGAATGTGTTATCGGCAGCACGGATCTCAAAGTCCGCCTCTGAATTGACCGATTTCACCCAACGCGATTGACTCAACGATTGAAAGTCATCAAAGAACACTGTCGATTGTCCCGGTGTAAATGACAATACACTTCCAATAACAATTGATAATATAATTGTTAAATATACAATTCTCATTTCTTTTTAAACTATATAGTTTATTATTTATATATAAATATAATATAAATATAAAATATATTATAAATTAAAAATTAAATAAGTAAAATGATTGTTGCAACAATCTTCAAAAAAAAAAAAAACAACAACAACTTACTTTGGTAGATCTAAAGTGTTTGAAATGAAAATAATAATAAATAATAAAAAAAATAATAAAAAAACACAGACTTATTAAATTTTTGATGAATTGAAGTGTGTGATTTTTAAATGATAAAAAAAGATGACTCACCACTCTTTGCAAAATTATGAAGTTCAATAAAGTAACCACACACCACACACCTCCAATTTTTACATAACACATAAAAGTATTAAAAAAAAAACAATAAAAACTTTTTTATTACATTTTATTATATTCATTTTTCAGTCAGTTTTAATTAGTTTTAGATTAGTTTAATGCTAGTTCTTCTTTATTTATATGTGTGTTAGTTATTAATTGATAATAATAATATAATAATAATAATAATAATAATAAAGTTGACACATTAGATTAAAATAATTAAAATTATATAATTGAATTTACTATTCATCTGATATATGAATACACCATCTATGTCAGGTGGTAATACACCAAAGGCAAATGGCTTGGGATTACTCACTGTATTGCAAACAGAGTTGAGATCGATATCTCAAGAGGCACGTTCAAAGTTCCCTGCCATCAAAGAGGCAAGTGAACGTGGTATTCTAAAATTGAAATACATAGAAGAGCAATCAACATCAATAGAAACATTAATAGTTGGTATGTATTGTATAATCTAGATATATTGTTAGTTAATTAATATCATAAATATAATTATAATATCATAATAGCACTTTCAAAATCAGAAGATGTATTAAAACCATTCTTAATGTCATGTGATACCAAGAATCAAAAGATGGTATCGATTGCAATTGGTTCAATTCTAAAGTTGATTTCTCAATCCGCTGTTTCAATTGTATGTTATAAGTTATTAGGTTAGAGGATATATATATATAGTTATATTAATATTAATAATTATTATTATCACACAGACAACATTACCATTGATTCTAAGTAAGATGTCAATGTTGATCGATATTGGTAGTGAAGAACCGGTGCAGCTAAAGGTTTTACAAGGATTACTTATTTTGATAACTACATTGCATGATCTACACGATGATCTGTTGGCACAGTGTTTGGTATTATGTTTTCGATTGCATTGCAGTAAGAATACATCGATTCAAAAGACATCATCTGCAACATTACCACAAATCACAAGAATCATATTTGATCGTGTAGTTTTAGAGATGAATAATAGTAATAACAACAACAACAACAACAATAGTAATAATGAAGATGATCATCAATCTAATGATGCTGCAACAATGGAACTTAATCCAATTGGTGGTGATCAACAACAACAACAACAACAATCAACTACAGAGTCAACAAATGATGATAATCAACAACATGAAAATAACAATAATAATGAACAAACAACAACTACAACTACAGCAACAAATGAAGATGTATCAACAACACCAAATAATACAGATGAACAACCACAACAACAGCAACAAGAAGGAGGAGTTTCAATTACAAATTCAAGTAATTCATCACCTATTTTAACATCATCGGTTTCTGCAACTGCAAGTACACCGACGATGATCGATCCAGTGTCACCTACACTTGGAAATAACAATAGAGCACCACCATCACTGAAGCCTTGTGCACGTGATGCCTATCTCCTATTACAGGATCTCTGTCATATTACAGGTGGTGATAATCCATGTTGGTTACCACCAACTACCACCATTTCAAGAGCAACCGGTCTAGAATTAATTGAAATGATTATATCTGTACATCAACCAATATTTACACATGTAAGTTATTGTTTGTTGGTTTATTAACAATATTGTAGAGATTATATCCTAACTAACTAACTAAATTATTGTTTATGTCTACAGTTGGAAGAATTTAAATTTGTATTAAAAGATAGAGTTTGTCCGTTGTTGATAAAGTCTTTCAAGTTTAAGATGGACTTTTTCCATACGGTTCGACTAATGAGAATCATTACTCAGTTCATTTCGAAATATAGCGAGGTGATGGTGACTGAATCCGATGTTTTGTTGACAAAGAGTATTAGGATGTTGGAGAGTGATTCCACTCCTTGGATGCAAGTGTTGGCGTTGGAATCGTTCAAGGTCTACAGTGAAGATCCTCAGTTACTGAGAATGTTCTATAAGAACTACGATAAGGACAACAATGCAGCCAAGATCTTTGAGAATATGGCATCGTCCATCGGTCGATACGTTCAGACGCTGTACGTGTTGGACAGCTCTCACTATGTATTCACTAACACCGCAAAGAACAGACTGATGGATATGCTCTGGCAGACCGAAGCACCGGCAGTGCGTGAATCCTACATTATCTCGGTGTGTACCGAGTGTATCACTGGCATCGTCAACTCGGTCGCTGAGATTAACAATCCCGATGTCGACTCTTTTCCACATGGAATGGCATCGGCTTGTTGGGTTGCAGTGTTGGCAGCGATCTCTATGCTACTAAGTAAAGCTGCCGATGAAACGCTGATTCAGATCATCTTGAAATCATTACAGTCGTTTACCAATACCTGTGGAGAGCTGCATTTGTCGGCACCGCGTGATGCTCTGTTGACTTGTTTGTGCAAGACAACGACTCCACCTGCGCTTGCCGACCAACAGCCATCGGACATCTCGATAGATGGCGAATCAAACAGTGGAAGATCATCTAATATGCTTGACAAGTCTGGCAATGCCGACGATAAGAACAAACGAGATCAACTGCCAATGTTAACGCCATCGCAATACTATCCAACCTCGAAAAATATCCTCTCCGTAAAGACACTGTTGAATATAGCACATTGTATGGGATCGGTTTTAGATGAAGCATGGATATTGGTGTTGGAAACACTCGAAACTTGGGACAAGGTTTTGAAAACAATGCATCAACAGCAGCAACAGGAAGAGCGTACCAGTTCATCGTCATCGGTCAACAATGTATCGAGTCCGCGTATCGGACAAGGTGAAGTGCCCATCTTGATAACAGCAATGAACAGTCTCTTTAAATCATCGTCGCAACTCGATGAGCGATCGATCAACTTCCTCTTTGACGCACTTGCCAAGCTGTGTCAACAGACACTGTCGAAATCTGGATTCCAAATTAATTCGCCAACCAATATGTTTGCCATTAACAAGCTGGTCGAGGCATCGATGGCCAATCTCAGTAGAATCGATAAACTCTGGGGATTTGTATCGACCTATATCGTTGAGACATGTAATCATAAGAATGCATACGTACGTCTGTTTGGTGTAGATTCACTCACCAACATCATAAAGACGGCACTCTCCATTCCTGCACCGCCATCCAGCGAGAACGAAGACGACGTCACCGACGAAGCAGCTTCAGAGTCGGAGGATGAATACGTGCCTGCAGCGAAACGCTATAGAAAGTGGAATATCGAGAGAATGCAAGTCGAGTTCTTCAATACCATCGAGGAGATCTCGTTCTCACAGTATGTCGACACCAAAGAAAAGATATTGGAATCGATCCACCAGATACTCTCATCGTCTGGACAGACGCTTTCAACAGCCTGGCCCATTCTCCTATCGATCCTGCTAAGAGTAGCGCAAAACAATGAGAAAGCATTCATTCCCATTGCTTTCGAGAGTCTCAAGTTGATCTGCAATGAGTTCCTCTCGAATCTCACACCCGAGTGTCTTGTCCTGACGATCGAGGTAATCTCTGCATTCGTATCACAGAAATCCGATATCAATATCAGTTTAACCGCTAGCTCTGGACAGCTGTCGGATTTGACCTACTTCTTGGCCAACGAGAATGCATTGGCCACCTCGAAATACAACACTACAACGATCGAACAAATCAATCAATCCATAGATCAAACTCGTAACACTGAAGATAAAGACAGTCAACAGCTTCAAATGAATAACAATAGGTCCAGTAGTAACCGAACCAGACCAAGCATTCCAAATTCCTCACCGTTCTACGTAGAGAGAAAGCAGAGCGTAATGTGTAGAATGTGGTTATGTGCATACACCTCGATGAAACAACTATGTATAGATCAACGTCCAGCAATAAGAAACGGTGTGATCGTTTCACTCTTCCAAACACTCACCAACTTTTTACATCTCCTCGATAAAGATCTCATCGAAACCATACTCTGGAATATTCTATTCCCACTCATCGAAGAAGTCAAACAATGTTCTGAATTAGCTGATAAAGAAAGAATCGATTCAGATTTAGGTGGTGGTGTTATGTTGTAAGTAGTTATTTACACTGTATGTAAATTGTAAAGATATTAACTCCATTATGATTTGTAGATTGGTTCATCATAGTAGAAATACAGCACAGAAACAATGGGATGAAACACAGGTATTACCAATTGGTAGAATGATCATTGTATTCAAAACGTTCTTTGATACTCTGAGTCAGTTACCAACATTCACCAAGGCATGGGAGAAACTACTGAATATTTTGGAGACGGAATCAAAGTCGTCGAGTAAAGAGGTTTCAATGGCATCGATTTCATCGCTTCACGAAATCGTCAATTCCAATATAACCGATGGCTCACACCATGAGCTAAGTGAATCGGTTTGGGAAACCATTTTGAGACTGTCGACAAAACTCACCGATTCCACCTCTGTGGCCAAAACCCTGACTGTTTATATTAAAGTATTTTTAGACCTCTATCAAAAGACGAAATCATCGTTGAATCACGCCCAAATGCTTAGAGTGCTGCAAATTCTCTATCCATTGGGACTCTACATTCCAGAGACAACCACTGATCTATCGAATCCACAAGTTCATACATTACAAATGATAAAATCTTTCGTAAGTTTATTGGTTACTTATTTTAAAATAATAATAATAATAATAACTTTTACTAATTACTATTTATTTATAGCCACCAATTACAGAAGAATTGTTCCCAACACTTATTTCAATGTTATTAAAATATGTATCGATTGGTATTTCCTATGAATACTCACCATCGTCATGTGAAGTAATCTTCCCAAATGTTGCAATCACCAAGGATTTAGTTTATTATTCTCTCATCACTGAGAAATCAATGGAGCTAATCAGTGAATTGTTCCTTCATCCAACAACCACCAATTCAATGAGAGCATCAATCTATGAAGATATTCTTAAAGTATTTGGTTCTGCAATAATGACTAAATATACAAAATATCATTCAAATGTTTGGAAGGTATGATTTAATCAAATCAATTTTACTTTAACATATGAATACTAATTAATTATTATTAATTATTTAAACAGTTGGCAGTATCAAATCTTATAAAGATGTTACCACTCGGTTTACTTTCAATTAATGAAGATTCAAATTCGTTAAATGATATAAAGAGAAATATGATTTGGACAGAGTTGATCGATTCCATTCAGACATTTGTATTACACGAAAGAAATGTGGCCGCCAATTCATTGTCACCCGAGAAGAAAACGGAGGAAGATCGTTACGATGTAGATTTAATTAATGCAATTTCCAAAGAGATGGTTGGATTCTCTGGTATTAGAGTGGAGCGTGTATCGATAATCCGTGATCGTCTGGTTGAGATCCTCAATGAAGGATCGATGCTCTCACCACAGGGCCGCGAAAAAGTATCGCAAGCATGCTATCAGAATCTTTTCTCTGTGTGTGGCAAAGCCTCTACAACCAATTCGGAATCGATCGAGATTGCCAAGATCATCTTGCCAGTGCTATTGAAACGCTGCAAAGAGGTGCTACAGCGATTCGTTGTGGACGAGCGTCAAAGTGGCAATTGTCCGTTGCCCCGCCACCGATTGACAGAGGTATCGTTCATTCTCAAGGAGATACTCAATCTCCAGCTGCAACCGGGAATCTATCAGCCATCGAGCTCCATGAATCCAAACAGCAGTGCACTACTCGGTGGCAAACGACCACATCTATTGGAGCTATTCACCATCCTGAGTGATTGTATATGTACATCGGAGAAAGAAATCAAAGAATTACTCAAAAATATTTTCTACATAGTTGCACAAGAATTTCTATTTTTAGATTCCGCTCCACAATCATAAATATAAATAAATCAAATATAAATAAATTAATCATTGTTTTTTTTTGCACAAACAACAACTACAACAACATAATTAATTATTAAATAGGGAATTCTATATTTTTACAAACTTTATATAATTGATTATTCTCCTGTATCACTTATCATCTGTTTTTTCTAATTTAATATTGGTTTGTGATGTTTCCCATAAACTAGTAGGTGATGTCTTTGTATTGTTGTTGTTGTTGTTGTTGTTGGTTGTGGTTGTGCTTGTTTCGCTATGTGGAACTGTAAGCTTGCTTTGGACGTCGGTGAGGAACGATTCAAATGAAACCTGTGATGTTAATATAGTTGGAGTGGTTGTGTCGTCTGTCATCTGTGCCTCTGCTTTCGGTGCCATTCCACCAAGAAGCTCAGCAACACCACTCTGAAGCTTCATCTGTACTGCTGGGTCCAACTGTGGTTTGAAACCTGCGGCAGCAGCGGCGGCTTGACCTTTCTTCATCAACGCATTGTTCTTTAGATCGATCAACTGAGTAACACAATTTCCTAAATTATAATCGCATGAATAAGCTACCCAATCTATAACACCTTCTTCTACTGTCTTTCCAAATAATTCTTTTAATTCCTATATATAATGATTGTTAGAATATATATGTTCAAAAACATAAGTTCTTTGTTTCGTTTTCTAACTTACTTTTAATATATCTTGTTGTGAATAAGTTTTCTTATTTGGATGAGATGATTCTTTCTCTTTCTTTTTGGTTTCAAAATTCTTTTCTAGTTTCTCTTGTTCTTCGATGAGCTGTAATTGTAGAGCACGCTTCTCAGCTTCGGAAAGTCGGCTTGTAAGTGGTTGTCTTGGTGGTAGTTGTACCGATGGTTTCTCTTCTTTTAGTTTATTGATTTGGTTCTGTTCGTTGACCAACTGATCTATGACCAGCTCTAAATTGCCGTTGCACATCATATAGTAACCTTTCAGTTCAAACTCTTGATAGGTGTTGCCAAAGATGTCCTTCAGTGTCTGTATGTCCTCTTTGAGCTTGGGGAACAGCTGGTTGTCGTCGACCGGCTCTTCTTCTTCCTCGCCGAGCAGCTCTTCGTCTTCGTCCTCGTAGCTCATCGAGTCTGACAATGAAATGGATCTGCCCTCTGACATCTCCTGGGAGTCGTTCATAGTGTCGCCGCCACCGCCATTGTTGTTGTTTCCACCACTGCCATCCAAATTGTTTGGCACCAATGCTTTCGCTTGTTTAGCAATCAACTCTTGCTGGTCATGTCGTTTCTGCAACTCGGGAATGCTCTTCTCGACGCTCCACGAGTTACGCTCGAGAATCGAGTATACTTTGCCATCCTTTTCGAGCAGTGGAAACATCGAAACGATCTGCTCGACCAACTCCAAACGGTCTTGATAATCTAAATGTGGAGTCGCACGGTACGGTGTGAATCTACTGCTTCTATGATGATGCTTGTGATGATCGTCCCCATTGTTATTACTATGATCGTCTTCGTTGTTATTGCCATTCTTATTATATCGATTTGAATCTGCAAGCGGTAGAGATGCCACTTGCGATGGGATTTGTTGAATCGCAATATTATGTGGCATTGGAATCTGACCGAACAAACTAGTGAATGTCTTCTGACTACTTCCAAATCTAATGTTAGTGGGATCGTCTTTACTTGTAGCGGTAGCAGTAGTTGTTGAATCTCCAAATACCTGATCATTACCACTATTGTTGTTGTTGTTGTTGTTGTTATTTATCTTTGGACTTGTTGTTGATGTTGTCGTACCAATACCATCATTTACGGATGCACCAACACCACCACCACCACTATCTCCATTATTATTGTTATTCTGTATCATATGATCTTCCATCGTCTCTCTCTCTCCTATCTCTCTTTGTTCATATACAACCAATAACCACAAACTAAACAAAACTAAACAAATATAATTGCAAATATAACAAATATAATTGTAAATTCAACAATATCTATCTATATAAGTATATAAATATATAATATAACTAACTTTTTGTTTGAAAATTAATAAACAAATATTAATTAGTATATTATTACTCTTGTGTGTTGTTGTTGTTGCACTGTGTTTTTTATTAAATTAAATGTAATTTGTATAGAAATGTTGATATCAAAAATAAAACTTCAACTTATATATATGTTCTCTTTAGTCAATATTTTGTATATTTAACGAGTTGTATATATTTAGCGGTACCTTCTATAAATTTGTAAATATTTATTGATAAAAATTATTGTGCAATAAAAATCAAAAAAAGAAATAAATTAATTTTTAAAATTCTAATAAATTTTTAATATTTGATTTATTAATTTGAACTTCTTTTTTTTTTATTGTGCACAAAATAATTTTTCAACAAAATTAAAAAGAAATTTCATAAATTGAATGACCATCGATCAACATATCTGTCTCTCTTTGATCAGAGTCTAATTCTCTTGTTTATTCTTTTGAATTTTTATTACTTGGTCATAAATTTTTTTTATTTTTTTGTTAATGAATAACATGTTATGAAATTTAATAATAGTAAAGTATTATTAGGACATCAAGGATCAGTTTTAGTTGTTAGATTTAATAGTAAGTTAGTAGTAGTTATTAATAATATTATATTATCATACTATATCTAATATGTATGTATGTATGTATATTAACTTTTAATTTATTTGCCTAATTAGATGATGGACAATATTGTCTGAGTGGATCACAAGACAAGACTATTAAGCTTTGGAATCCATCTAAAGAGTTATTGATTCATACATTCAGTGGACATGGCTATCCTGTATTGGATGTAAAGAGTTCGCCTGATAACAATCATATCTATAGTTGTGCAGAGCGTCAACTCTATCAATGGGATATAACATCAGGTGAAACAATTAGAAAGTTTAAAGGTCATTCACATGTAAAGTATATATAAAGTAGATTGTTTTGTTTTCTTTGTTTTAGTTTATTAATTAAATAATCTTATTATTATTATTATTATTATTGTTATTTATTATATTTTAGACAATAAATTCGATTGCATTGAATAGAGATCAATCCATTTTATTATCAGGATCATACGATAAGAGTATAAAGATATGGGATTTGAAATCTAGAAATGCAGATCCTATTCAGGTGATCGAAGATGCACAAGACAGTGTTACATCGGTCATTGTCAACGACGATGAATTCGAAATCATATCATGTAGTGTCGATGGTGCAATTAGAATCTATGATATTAGAAATGGCAAATTAAAATATGATCAATTAAATCGTAAGTAAAACTAATAACTAACTATCTAACCAACTATTATATCCACGGTTTTTTATCAATTTACTAATAATATTAATTATTAATTATTATGTTTATTATTAATGTAGATGCATTATCATCAATCTATTTAACACATGATAAAAAATGTTTGTTGGTCGGTGCAATGAATTCATCGATTCAGTTGTTGGAGAAGAAAACCGGTGATTTGTTAAATGATTTCTCGGGTCATCGTAATTCGATATACAAACTCAATAGTTGTACGGTGTTCGACGATTCACTGGTGGTCAGTGGTTCCGAGGACAACGACATCTATCTGTGGGACATTGTCGAAGGCAACATCGTTGGCAGACTCAAAGCACATCAAAACGTTGTCACTTCAATCGATACACATCCAAAGCAACATATCGTTATTTCAGCATCAACCGATGCTTCTATTCGATATTGGGACACTCAACAATAATAATAATATATAAATAACAGCAACAACAACAACAAAAAAAAACAACAATAACAAAAATAAGAACCTAACTTATTTAAATTGTATTTTTATAATCTAAAACAAAACAGTGTAGAGTAATTATTAAAGAATGAATGGCTTTCTTCATTCTGATTCCTTGCAGTTTTTGTTTATTTTTACGATTTTCGTTTGAAAATATTGAATTGAAACGAAAACAAAACTATTTTGGTCAAATTTCAATGTAAATGTTGTTAAAGATGGCGCAGAGTCAAATACGATTTAAATCATATTTTAATAAGTAACTATATGATAATCTCTTAATTATAAAATGTGTGACTTTCTTCATTGTCAAAAAGTTCAACAAATTTTTTTACTTTTTTATAGTTAGTTTGTTTGCATAAATATTTTAGTAATAAATGGACGGTTGTTCGAAACATAATAGAGAATTCGAATTCATTTGCTTTGATTGCAATGTTTTGTTATGTTCTGAATGTGTACCACGACATAGACATCATCTATTCGATCATGTCAATGGAATTAAATCAGAACTTATCAATAGCAAGAACAGAATCAATAACAAAAACATTAATAACAACAATAATAATAGCAACCTGCCATCATTTCTGATATTCAGTTAACGATTAAAACAACGTTCGATTCACTAAAGTCAGCAGTCATAGAATATCAACAAAATCGACAAACAGAAGATGAGATATCAAATAGATTCAAAGAGTTGCATGAATTCCTTGTTTTAGAAGAACACAAACTAAAGAAACCGATCATCGACAACAAAGAACAATTGGAACAACAAATCGAAAGTCAAACAACAATCATGAGATCATTGAATTTAATGAATCATCAATTAAACAAGATTATTTCTGATAGTTTTCAACCGAATCCACAATCAAAAGCAACAACAACATCATATTCTTCTTCCATATCATCTTTGGATACAACCGATAGTTATCAAACATCAACAATAATAACATCAATATCAAAATGCTTAAATCATGATGAATTCATTCAAAACAATAATACATTGTTTAATTTGAATTATGATCATCGTTACTCCAACACAAAGAATGATGACCATATATTGTTAAATCTTTTACTTGAACACAACAATACATTGCGATCGTACAATCACTTCAATGTAAAACACAATCAACTACAACAATACAGACTGAACACCAATTATGAACAACTTAATCAAATTAAGAATCAACTTCAGTCTACATTCAAACTTGTATCACAACCAAAGAAGCAGTCAAACAAAAAACCATATATTTTATCAACAGCCAATAGTAAAATATCAGTTATCGATATAACCGATCAAAATAATATTCGTTTCACACAACAAGACATTACCACTATCTATACCAATTTTAATTATTACTCTTGTGTTATTGTTGGTAACCATTTCTATAATTTCGGAGGTGGAATGAAAGTCAAAACATATTTTAGATATTCAATCGACAACCAAACATTTGAAGAAATCGAAATGAAAGGTATTAAGGAATGTGGTTTTGTGTCGGTTTGCTATGATGATAAAAATCATATCTATTTGATGGATGGTTTCAACAGACCTAAACTACTGATCTACAGATTCAACATCATCAATTCAACATTTGAAGAATATTCAACTGCCAAAATATCAAGTTCAACATATCATCATTTTACATTCCATTTCAACAACTGCATTTACAGCTATATACCATTTGATCAGAAGATTCTTAAATTCGATATAAAAATCAAGGCAACATTTGAAATATCAATTAAACTACCCCGTTCCCGAGAAAGAGCAGCATGTACCGATGGCAGAGGCAATATGTTTGTTTTATCAGATACCGGATTTCATCAGATAAATATCGAAACCAATGAAATTAAACAATTAGATAGATCGACAGTAAAGATGGAGATAAGTAACCACAATCTAGTTTACCATCAAACCAATGATCAAAAGATATATATCTACTCAATCCAAGGAAAGAATCAAAATTTTAGATATTCATTTGAACATGATAAATGGGAATCAATAATGAAAAATGACCAAGCCAATAGAATATATTGTGGAAATAATCTATTTCAAGTATAACCTTACACTCATTTATCATTTATTTAATAAACTCAACTCGAAAATATTGGTTGTAATTCGTATTAAATCTTTATATTTGCTATTTGTTGATTCAACAAATTGTCTCAAATTATTAAAGTAAGCATTTATCAAGGTGCTAGCAGTGGTACGACCAATTGATTGTTACAACTTTATTTTTTTTTTATTTTTTTTTTTTCCAAAAAAGATTTGTTGACTCATGATCAGTCAACAAATTGCAGGTATTTATATTAAACTTCTACAGCAAAAATCTGAGAAACAGGACAGAGGTATCAATAGTATCAGACAGATAGAAAGTAAGAAATATATTCTTAGATAGATCTTTGTAATGATTAATATTTAAAAAACAAATTGAATCATTTATCATTTAAAAAAAAATAAAAAAAATAAAAGATAAAATTAATTTGTGCAATATTTCTGAAGTAATAAAATATTTTTTATTATAGTACTTTTAACTAATTTTAATATATTCGACAACTTTACAAGAAATCTCACTTGTCATCAATATTCGAAAACACAAACTACGTTTTTACTTAAAATGAATACTTAACTAAATTTGAAATACAAACAACCAGTCAGGACCTGAATGCTTTTAAAATTATTGGGTATTCATGAGATAAATATATATACTAGATGCAATTCATTCTAAACTCAATAGAGCTCTTAAATATTGTTAATAGAGGTGATATGAAATGACTCCTGGTTACTATCAAAAACCCTATGAATCTCTATGAAAAAATTTGAATCAAATAGTCATCAACTAGGTATATCTTAATCCTATTTATTGATTTTTAAGAAAATAAATTTAAATCTATAAAACAAAAAGTATTTTATTCCTTCAGAAATATTGAATAAATAATTTTTGTTATTTTTTTTTATTTTTTTTTTAAAAAGTTAAAAGTCTCAATTTTTTTATAAATACTAATCATTTTTCAAAGATCTATACTCCCATATATTTGTTCCTTTCTAAAACAAATAAATGAATATATGTCTGATAATTTGATAGCTCTGTTTCTCAGATTTTTGCTGTAGTTCGTGTTTAATATTATTAATACATTCTCATACAGGCCGTGAGAAATAGTCAATAAAATATTATTATTATTATTACTATTTTTATAGCTATAAGTTGAGAGTAGTGTTAGGATAGAATAGATTTTTTTTTTTAAGAAGTAAAAATTGATTTATTAAGTTTTATATTGGGATGGTGTAAACCATCAAGTTTTTCTTTTTTTTTTTTTTTTTTTTACAGTTTTTACTTTTTCATAATTCTGCAAATTGATTGCTATTTTGATTATTATTATAATTATTTTAGTTATTGTTATTTAATAGATTATTAAGTTGATGAGAATACAGATGATTGAATTGGTAAATTGAAATTGAAGAAATGAAGAAGAGGAAATAATAGTTGGCTTTACACACTCTCTAAGCTCACCTACAATAGGCACGTCGATAGATTTACCGATGAGGAAGTCAAGAAACTCGATAACATACTGTCTTGGTACCTGTGGTCGTCCAACTCAAATCCGTTCATCGATTCCAAGAAGTATAAAAACACAATGAAAAAGACCATAGCTGTACAACCTGGTTACATGGTGGCATCTCGCATTTGGGACATCCAACTTCGTAATGATGCCCAACACGTGTGGATATTCAACAGATTCCTACTGTCATCCTCTGATCCTTCCAAAGTTTGTTATTATGCCAGTTGGCTATCTCAAATCCAATGCAGATCTATCACCTCGCCATATCTCAATCTATGCTACACTCTGTGGCACCAATTGGCAGTTCATCTCAAACATCTTGACAACAAGATCAGATCTGCTAAACCAATTCTGATTGATGGTCTACCACCCAATCTAAAGCAAATCTACGACCACCTATTGATCATCAAACATGGCATCCCATCACTAACTGATGGCCAGTTCCAACTATCTCTACCACCAACCAAATTCGACTACACATCTTACGACAGTATCTTCACCTATATATCGCTTATCAAACACCAGCGTGGACGAAACACTGTCTTCCGGTTCTTATTATTATTAATGTTATAGTAATTAATAAGTTGAGTAGAAACAAAAAAATTTCTTCTGTATGCGCGCATTATGGTAGTTTTGATTTAAAAATTTGTATCAAGAATGGGAATCGAACCCATGACCCAAACCGTGTTAAGGTTTTGTGATAACCAACTACACCATCCTGACTATTGATGAAATTGTCGTTCATTTTCACGTTTTGTTTGCCACCTCTTCAAATGCAAAATACTCAACACCTACAAACCTATCATAAAACGGATCTTACACAAATTTACAGGGGAAACTCTCGACTGGGAGTTGGACATCCTCAAGATGATAAGCAAAAACGAGCTACACCAAAACGTAATTGCTATCGTACTACACCAGGTCTGGATCCTTCACTGCAAACTCGCACACAACTCCCCCATCACACCCACCACCTTCTATCACGCAACAACCAACAACATTAACAGACTAGCTAAACTAGAATACCACAAACTAATCAGAAAATCAAAACAAGACTTTGGTCGAAACAACTCAAACATTCAAGCATATCAATCAAAATGGCTGAAGAAGCTAGACGACTTCAAACTCATCTGGCACCACCAAACCTGGAACTTTCCAACGCCATCCCATCTCATCTGCAAATAAACAAATAAAAATAAAATCCATTTGAGTATTCTTCAAGATATGAGAATACTTTAAAAAAAAAAAAAAAAAAATTTTGTTTGTAATTTCAATATTATTTTTCCATTTTTGAAAACACAATCAACTGGGACAAAAGACTTAATTCCTAATTCTGCAAAGACACTCTTTCAAAATAAACCAATCACATTAATTTGAAATGGATTGATTCCTAGTATATCCCAAAGATGTTTAATATAGGAAGATCTGATTTTAAAAACTATTGAGAAAGAAATTTCATATCTTGAAGAATACTCAAATGGATTTTATTCTTATTCGTTTATAGTGAGGTGGGATGGCGTTGGGAAGTTCCAGGTTTCGTGGTTCCAGATGAGTTTGAAGTCGTCTAGCTTCTTTGTTGTGGTAGTTGATGATGATGATGATGTTGATGGTGTTACTGCTGATGCTGTTGTTGGTAGTGGTGGTGAAGGTGTTGACTCTTCCTCTTGTTCCTCGATCATAGTCTCTGGTGTGGAGTGTGGCGACAACAATATTATAGGCAACTCTAACGGTGATCCACCATCGCTATCCTCCTTCTCTGCACTGTTCAACTGTCTAAAGTTAAAGATAGTCTCCAATATCTTATCGATAATCAACTCCTTGCTTCCAACCTTGTTAATCTTCAAACCTTCGGCCACAGCACGAACCACCGGTGCCTTTACATTCTTCAAAAACGACTCTGTTCCTCTCATTATTATTTCATCTTTTATCTTATTACTTATAGTATTGTTGTTGCTGTTGCTGTTGTTGTTGTTGAGGTTGCTGCTGGTTCAGTATGATCTAATTTTAAAGATTGACAATATTGTAACTTCATTGAATCGTCAGAGTTGTCGAGTAACCAGTTAATTCCTCTACATTTGATGTGCGACGATAGGAGTTGGTAGAAAGAGAGACGGTGTTCGTCGGCGGCAGCAGGATCGGCGCGCAGGAATGCATGGTTGACGAGCACCTCTGGCGAGCCGAGTAGCGAGAGTAACGCCGGGTAGATACTGGGTTGCAGACATCCGGTAAAGTCATCGATACCAGTGAAACCGATACACTCATTGACGACGTGTAGTAACTTTAACTTTGGTACTTTCTCTATGGTCTCGTCAATCGTTAGATGGTACATCTGACTGACCGACTTTATTCAATTGACTATCGTTTCTTTCGGTACCTGCGAGAACAACCTAACAATCTCTGAATCCTTCAATATAAACAGCACACCACTACCACCGTGAAGCGATGGTGTATTGCCAATTGAACTAGAGGAATTTATCTATTGATTAGATACTGTCAGAGAAGTCGTATTCAGTACTGGTGTTGAATTAACTGTTGTTTGTTGTTTATTTTGATTTTTAATATATTATTGTTATTATTACTATCATCATTACTATTATATTATCTATACTATTTATATTGTTATCATCTTTATTATTATTATTACTATCTAGAATTTGATGTATCTTTCATTTTAACATATTAAATGAGTAATGTTTGTTACATTTAAATTATTAAAAATGATATTTTATTTTTTTTGAAAATTGGATTAAATGGTAACAAGAGTTTAGATGAAATTTGTTGTATATTATCAGTTGGAATGGATGTAGTAGAGAAGTTACTGTCCGAGATAGCAGAGCCAGATCAATATACTGTTATTTGGAAATAAATAATACTTTGATGTAAAAGATATTTATAATTGATTGATTATTAAATATTTATTTATTCATAATTCGATTTTCTTCTAGGGTTGCTGTTATTTTATTATTTTTTTTTGCGAAGATAAAATCCAGTAATTATTGATCCTCTTAAATCTCTTTGCCAACGATGATTTGGCTTATCAATAGAAGTATTTGAATTTACTAATGTTTCAAAACCATCAAAAAGGATAGTACACATTTTTAAAAGATTAAGAATTTTGAGATCTAAAAAAAAGGGGTATATTCAGTTTTTAAAACAAATTTACCTTTATTTAATATAGAATGATATTTCTAATATATTTACTTTTCCATATGGATTAATAAACTTTTCTTTTATTTTATTGCGTAAAAAATGTTGTAGTTAAATATAATTTTTTTATTTATTGGAATTGAAATTGAGGTAGATGCACACCAAACTCTATTAAAATCATCATTTTCAAAGAATGTTTCAGATCGGTTGTCTTCGATCGAATATTTGAAATTCCCGTGCTCAGCACCAGAAAGCGAATAGATATAACTAGAAGTTGATGATTCTCGGTGATATGTCAAATAAACATGACTATCTTTGGCTGGAATAGTATTGAGAGTGAATGTTTGTTTCTTTTTAACATTGTATTTGATGAATCGTTTGTTTACTCGATCGTGTATGAAGAAATTTCCATTGTTGTCATGACATGCTGAGTATGTTGAAATGTGGATTTTATGCCTTGTTATCTTTCTACTTGTTAAATCGAATTGAATTATCATGCTACTATTGTGAGGTACTGAATACAAAGAACCATTAAAGATCATTGATGCTGCATGTGGACCATGTAATTGTTTTCTTTGCAATGTTTTCTCCAAAGTGTCTTGTGAATAAATATCATTTTCGGAGAATTCAAGATATCTTGCAAATTGCATTGTCTTGATGTTGAATCGGTCAATTCTATTGTTTGTTTTAGCACCATTAACAAAATAGATATGATCTTGACCATCATAACAAACTGATATAAAATAATCGACCTCGATTCCAGTCATTTGACCGCAATGTTCAACTGATTTCGATCGAATTGAGAATTTCATCCATTTACTTGGATTGCTCAAACCACCAAATACATATATGTATTCACCAATTGATACAATCGATGAATCCGTATTATTAAAATCATAATCCAATTCTAATTGTTCGATTGTATTTTTGTTTGATAAGTTGATTAGTGTTGCTCCTTTTGATTGATGTGTTGTGAAAATATATGATGATAACGATGGTTCTATGGGAGATCCAATCTTTTCAAGTTTGATTGATTGTTTGATCATTGATCTCCATTGATTGAAATCTGGTTCTTTGAGTAATAGATTATATGATTTATAATAATCAATATATTGTGAAGATTTGATGTGTGTGTAGAATCTTTGAATGTAGTCCAATAATATTGAATCTGAATTGCTTTGTTCCAATAGATTTAGATGATCATAGGGATTGTAATAATTATTGTATTTATCCTGATAGAATAAAGTTTGAATATTCTCGTCTATGAATGATTTTAATGATGAACATGACGATATTGATTTCATTATTGTTGTTGGAGAATATTGTTCTGTTGTATCTCCAACCAGCAAGATAGATTCATTACTATACTTATCATTACTATTATATATACTATCAATATTTTTATTTTTAAATTTATAAATATTATTATCTTTTTTATTATTTAATAAATTATTATATATATTTATAATATTAACAATAAATTTCAAATGATTTATATTTTTATCTATTTGATTTATGATTGTATCTTGGTCAGCGATGATTATTTTCTTTAGTCTGTGCTCTTCTATTACCAAACGTTGATGTAGTAGTTCAAAGTGTTGTTTTATCTCATTCTCTGCTGCTATTAATGATTGATATTCTGATGTCGATGATTTTAACGTTTCCCATAGAGATGAAATCGATTGTGATACTGTTGTGGTAGGAGATATTGAAAGGACACTTTTGTCTAATCTTTCAATAAAAATGGGATTATTGAATAAATAATATAATGACGCTTTAATTTCATCGATATGTTCACAATGATCGGAATGACCTGGTTTGTTTATAATATGATTAGACTTACAAAATGAACACATTAACTTATTGCATAGATGGCATATAAAATCAAAGGGTTCATCATGTTTTGAACACTTGAATGTAAAAATGGATTGTGATGATTTACTTTTTGAGATTGGTAGTTCTATTGGATTGGGACTGGGTAGTTTGATTGTGAAGTTATATGATTGCATTGGTGGTTCTGAGTTGATAATATTGTTATCATTTTTAGTATTATTATTATTGTTACGAATGTGCGAATAGAATTGATCATTGTATTTACTAACAATATCCGAAAGTGTTTGTGATGATGATGATGATGATGATAAATTGTTTTCCTGTAATACTTCTTTGATATCATTGTTCAACAAAATCTGATCGTTTTCTTTTTCATTGATAAATGAATTCATTTCTGATGAGCTGGCAATTTGTTCTAATAATGTTGCTGTTGGTGTACTATTAAATAAAGTTGAATTGCCTATCATTTGACTTTTAAATATTCTACCCATCATATTGGTCGTAATGTTTAATTCTTTTAATTCATTCAAACTTTCATTGATATGCTTCTCTATCATCTCTCTATCCTTATCGATCAATTGCTTAAATTTGTTTTCCTCAGTAGCTAGATACTCTTGTAACTCTTTGAAATTCTGTAACATCCTATTCTCTCTATCCAACAGCTCCTTGAATTTGGTTGTCGATGATTTGATCGCTTTCCAAGTTGATTCTCTCTTTGATTGTATGAATGAAGAATAACTGTTGTAATCACTTTCGACCTTTGGTATACCAGATGCTTGGTTATCAAGATCATAGATACTCTGTTTGATTTCCGGTGCTACTGATTCGATGGGTTGAACGTTATTTGTATGAGTTGGTTGCTCAGCCCCATGAGCGAAAATACATATTGGACACATAAACTTCATACATAACAAACATATGTATTTATGAGTTTTATTATGCTCATTACATCTTTTTTCTCTAATATCCATTTTTATATTATTTTCAAAAAACAAAAAGATAACTAAGATATTTAGGAAAAAATAATTATTTAAAATGTGGTGAGAAAATAAATTTTATTTTTTGGAAAGATGAAAAAAATATTTGGAAAGCCCAACGTTACATCAAAAAAATTCTGAACTATTTTTTTTTAATAAAATGATTTATTATTTTTTTTGAAAAAATATCTTAGCAAAATGATTCCTATGATTTTGCACAAAAACAAAGTTTAATATTAATATTATCATATTTAATTTAATTTTTTTTTATTAGAATGACTCAGTGCCAATGTCAAGTAAAGAAATGCAAAGTCATATGTTTTAAATGCAATAAGTTAATGTGCACAAAATGCGCATTTTCCCACATTCATCCAGACCTTTTATTTAAAAATCACATACAAAATATCAACCATTATTTAGATAAACCCAAGGAACACCCAAAAGCAACCCTCTTGATCAAGACTCTAATAGATTCATTATGGAGCTTAATTACAGAATCAACCCAAAGATATCACACTTTAACAACGACCGAGAGAAATATAACAACGCATTTCCGGTCTATATATGATAAAATTATGCTGCAAGAGAAAAGACTAAAAAGGCAAATACAACAGGAGCAAGAGAGAATAAGCAAATACATCAATAATAAAATCAATGAATTAAAAGAGTTAGTAAAGATAAGAGGAGTTTATAAGCTATTAAATCCAACTTCAACAAAGAGTAGTAGTAGAAGTGACAACGAAGATGGACAATCAGATTTAACAGGCATAGACGATCCAATAGAAACACTAACGAAATCAATTTCGGAATGCCAGAATCTGGAAAATTTTATCGAAAATAATATCAAAACATTGTTCCAAATAGATCAAAATCATATCGACCGACTGCTGGTGCAACACAAGAAAGAAGATCGTCCCAATCCATCCAATATTGATGAACTTCTCGAACAACACAAAAATGATTCATCTTCATTATTATTGGATGTTATTCTCAAGTACAGCGAGCAGTTCAAACCAGCAGATTCCCTAAACAATGACAACAACTACAACGATCAGTTTGTTTATAGAGACTTTCAGTTATTGCTCGAACAACCTAATTTCGATATATTCAATTCAGCAATACAACAATCAATTCAAGTATTATTAACAACATTCCCACAGAGCAACACCGATATCACCAGAAAATATATATTCGCCACTCACCAAAATGAAGGAGCAACCCTTATCGACACATCAAACAACAATTCTATCGAAGAATTTAAATTTGATCACTGCTTTAAGCAAACCTATTCATCAATAATTACAATCGATGAATATATCTATGTATTTGGGGGCTATAGTCATCAAACCCAATGGTACAGGATTTCAATCAAAGATAAAACCATTGCCTTTGGTAACATGGAAGATATCGATCCCGGTTGCGCTATATCAGTTTGTTATGATGGTGAAGATCATATCTATTTGGTTAATGGTTTTAGAACAAATAGAATCGATCGATTCAACATCAAGACAATGCAATGTCAAAAATACCATCAACTACCAGATCAATATCACGGTCAACAAGTATCTTCGATGATCTTCAAAGGTAAACTATACTCAATACCATTCGATAAAGCAAGTATTATTGAATTTAATTTCGCCAACCGAAATATTGTTAGTCACTCCATTGGTATAAAACCTTTCACAGCCTGTCACGATAACAATGGAAATTTTTACATACACTCACGAGATCTAGAATTACGAGTTCCAAATAAATTCATCAAATACAATGTTGAGACCAATGAAACAAACAATCTAAATCCAATACCGGCAAGGGATGGAATGGTATTTTTATTGTTTCGGCGAGAGTCAGAAACATCAAGTTTTATCTATTCATTTGGTGGTACTCGACCTAATGATAATTTCATATATTCAATTGAAGACGATCAATCTGAACAATTCTTTAAAGTTGATACATATCGTCGGGTATGGTGCGGATCTGCATCAATCGATTTAATAAATAAAATTAAATAATAAAAATAGATAAAGAGTATCATTTATTTGTAATCAGAACCTCATTCACTCTTTCAAAGTTAATAATATAACATTACCAAAAACCATTGAAATCAATTTACAACTTTCAGCTTTCAATTAAAAAAGTTTTTATGCTAATACTTTTGTATTATTTAAACCATAATCTTTTATTTTAATGAGTTTAAAAAAATGTTGTAACAATAATTTATTGTGTCACATATCTATTAAAATGTAATGGATATCTTCCCACAAGTTATTGTATATTAAGCAAAGTTAGTACTTTGTTTCTGTGATTGATATAGAGATAGATTGTTGTTGTTGACTTTTCTTGTTTAGTTGATTTTTTGCTTGATTTCTTTGTAGTTGTTTGCTCGAACTGCAGCTTTGGAACCTCGTGATCTCCTGAGAATCTACGAAGACTCTTCTTATATGCCTTGGTCGGTGTAATTACTTTCTTTCTAATAATAGGCGATTTCTCCTCATCATCTTGGACATTGATTTGCTCCTTGTCGCTGTTCTCGCTCACGTCACTAGTTTCAACTTTAACGACTGCATCATAATCGTTTGCTTCATTGTCGTCGTCGTTGTTGTCGTCGTCTTCGTTGTTAACATATGAGTTCAATCCTACTTTGGTGGGTTTATCTTATCTCGGCTTCTTTTAACAATGTTGTTATCATATGGTACTGATATTTCGATGATTTTGATTGATTTCTTGGTTCGGTTCTTAACGATTAGATCTGGTTTGTTGGTTTTGGTCAGTGCATTATCGAATTCTGGCTTCATGTACATTGGGATCTCAATGGTGTCAGACTGGTAGACTGCTCCTGGCTTGTAAGATATTCAGCATATCTTTGAGTATCACCTTCACTACCATGTTGTGTCTTGGTATTATACATAGTAGTTTCATCGCGTGGCATGAGGATACAATGTGCTCTATGGACTCTCTTGCGGCATGACACTTTCTACATTTTGGATAGGTTACGGCATTTCCCATGACTCCTTATGCTGAAAGGGTGTTCATGTTCTCTGTCAGTGCAAGCCATAGGTGGTGGTCAACATGTCGCGGTATGAATCTCCATTGGGCTATCCAGTTTCTTGCCATGTTTTCTCTGTGTTTGATCCAGAATTTGGTTCTAGCTGTTGGTTCGATTGGGTGTTGTTCTCTATATACATTTTTTAGGTGAGCTGAAATGGTGTTTGTGATTGTAGGGCTGCCATCGTGATTGTATAGCATTGTTTCTCCATCCTTGTCTATTTGCCATTTACCATCTTTACTGATTATGAGTTTGTAGTCAAATGATTCCATGTGTCTCATTGCGCTGGTGTATAGTGGGTTCTTCGTATCAAATGCATAGTTCATAAGGTCTTGGTTTCTCCTTACCGAGTGTAGTTTATCCTGTTAAATCTTACATGTGTGATTGGTCGGTTGGCTTCGTCCTCTTTGTCACCTCCCTTGTGGATCCGGTATATTTTGGTTCACAGAACCATTAGGGAACTCCATGATATCCAAGTATAGGTACTCATTGAAGGCTTCAGCTAGGTCCTCATGGTATCTCTTAATACTCTTAATCCAGTAGTTGCAAATTCCATCTGGGCCTGGAGCTGACTAGTTCTTCTTGTTTTTAATGTAGTTGGATATGTCAGCTCCTTCGATTTCAAAATTGATAGCAATTCAAGAACATCAAATCTATCTTTCACTTTCTGTATCCATTCAAGTATAGTTGGTTGCTTCCGTAGATGGTGGGTTCCAGAGTTGGCTCCAGAACTCAAATGCTCTCGTTGTTGCAAAATGCTGACAAAAGCTATGCAAAATTATTTCTTTTTTTTGTGTGAAACTACACAATTTAAACTTCGAAGTTCAAATGTCAAAAGAGATGAAAAGTAAAATTTTTAGACTTAAACTATTCAACTGGTTGGATTAATTAAATTTATTTATGTTTATTTTTTTTTATTATTTTATTTCTTTAGTAAATGGAAAAAGAATTATTTAATAAAGTTTTAATTAAAAATAATGTTTTAAAGGTTCAGATATTTAATTTTGTATATCAAATCAATAGAATACACACAGACGATTCATGTCTTCAAAGAGAATGTGATTTTCATGAGCGTAAATCACTCTATCATATGATATTGTATGGTAGAACAGATCTATTCTTCAAGTATGCAGAGTATCAAGTTGTACCAGAATCAATCGCCAATGATAAACCGTCATCGATGGTGTCAAACAAGCAAAAGAATAAGAAAAAGGAAAATGTTAGTCTGATCGATATGTTACCAGAATCCGATTCAATTCTTTTGAAAGCAGCATTTAGGTGTTGTAATCTCAAAGTAGTAGAGTACCTACTCAGTAGAAGACCAGATCTATCTATCTCCGAAGGTGCACATGAACCAACTCAGTTACAAGTAGCCAAGAGTGGAAATCTACAGTTATTGCGACTGTACGCCCAGAATTCGCTAAGAGCATTGACCAGTAGCGTAGCAAAACCATCATCGACGATATTGTCCAACAATATTCTAGGTTATTTCAAGATTGCTATTTCCATTGGAATCGAAAATGGTGATCTGCCATTGCTCAGGATAATAGTCGACGAATGTAGAGCAGCTCTGGTGAATGTCGATAATTATATGATGGGTAAAATCAAGTATTTACATCGAATCGATCTAAGAGAGTTGAGTAAAGATGAAACACTCACCCACCAGACTTTGGATTTCTGTTTAGAGAATGATATCCTTGGTAGTCAGTGTTGGAGATTAATAATTAGCGGTGCGATATCCGGTGGAAATTGGAGTGTACTTCGTTTTATAGTCGATAGGAAACTTCAACACTACTTAATGGAGGAGATCGATTTTGTGCGGATGCCTACCAACCATATTTCTAGACACGGTATGGAGATGGTGGAATTTATCATTGCCAACTGGCCAGATCTACAATTCAATATGGATTCAATGATGGATGCAATCAAAGCCGATCGACTCGATATCTTTAAGGTGATGTACCAACATTCCGGATCATTGATAAGTGTACCGCAATCGCTAAACTACGCTTTGCGTACCGGTAGTAAATCGATCATCGATTACATCCTAACAGAGTTGTCCAGTCATATCAGATCACCACTGCCAATACAACAAGTTCATCCAAGTCTACTATCGAAAGAGTTTTTTAAAGATCCAATTGTACAGAAATATTTTATATTCTCAGGTTCACATATGTTAAAGGATATCATTGAATTTGACCATAGCAGAGAGTTGGTCAATTACATTCTATCGTTGGAGATGTCGACGGATAATAGGCCATTTATGACAAATCTTTCAATCGATTGGAACCAAGGAATGATGAAAGCATTCGAACAATTAGACCTGGAATTAGTCAAAACCATATTGGAAATCAAGCCGGATGTCAAGTATACTTACCCTCTGGTTGATCCATCTACTGTCGATAGTTCCAAGTATTTAATGATCATCGAAGTGCTGGCATCGTCTGGTGTAACAATCAATTTCGATCATCTACCATTAATCCTACTCAAAGCCAAACAATATCCATATATTATGGCGATTCTAAAGGTACTGGATAACAACAATCACAACTATTACTCTAAGTTCAATAGTAATTTAACTGATTCTGCTATTGTCCAAGGTCTTTCCATTGAGTTTATCGACTATCTCCTTGGACTGCCCATACCCAATATCAATAGTAAAGATTCACTGTCATACGCCATCAAAAGAAGAGATCTTCCACTGATTAAACTTCTACATCAGAGTCACCAGGTCCCATTCAGAAGTAGAGAATTCCAATCTTTTTTGGAGTTAAAACAAGATGATTTAATAGATAGACTGATCATCGATTATTGTGAACCGAAATTACTTGAATCGATGTCGATATCGTGGATTTCAGTGGCATTATTAACTTCATTGGAAATGAAACGATTGGACTATGTTAAGAAATTAAGAGATTATATCGACTGGGTACCCAATCCCTTCCAAAATCTTTATATGGATATTGGTAAAAATCATAGATTGGTCATCTACAAAAATCCAGAGATACTCGATATCCTTGTAGATATAATCATAGAATTTGTGAATATAGACACTCTACTTAGAAATATACTGTCGGATGATACCTCCAATTTCGACTGTTTTATGTTTGTTTACAATGCATCAATAGAAAAGCTACAGCGGCTTCCATGTATTTTCGGTTTTGAGGATGGTGAAGAAGATGAATTCGATGACGATGAACAAGAATCAGTACACATCCCAACATGCGAAAATACTCATCCAAATTCGGCACTTGTCAAAAACAACAAGTACAAAGAAATAAGAGAACTCATCAAAAGAAAACATATAAGAATAGGATCTCCTTTCCTAAATTTAATTAGTGAAACAGCAATCCAACATGGATACTTAAATATATTAGATATAAAAATGTATTAGAAATAGTATTTTAACAATATTAATTTTTATTTAATAACAGTATTCAAATATGTTTTGTATTTTACATTGAAATGACTGATGCAGATCCACAAAGTGTTCTATTTTTATGATGGATCAAAAATAATTGATATTTTATTCTTTTTTTTTTTTATGTTTTACACAAATATATCTAAAAGTGTATTTTCGCATAATAAAAAGATATCTATGTCAAATTCATGTAATACATTTGATATTCCTTATAGTTTGGACACATTTGAATTCGATATCATTATATAGATAGACTTATTATCTATCTTGAACAACAATATATGTGATAAATTACCCATTTTTAAAAAAGATAGATAACCAAAAAGAGTAAGTTAAAAACAAATTATTTAGATCTAACATCGAGCTTTTTTGGGTGGCACAAAATGAAATTACACTTTTCCAAGTATAAATAAAAAGCTTTAAAAAATGTTGTTTAAAAACTATTTTTAATAAAATTTGAAGGTTAAAAGAATTATTTATTTATTTGTTGTTGACTTATTAAAAAGTCATCTTATTAGTACAGTACATTCTCTAAAAAATTAAGAATTATATATTATGAAGTGATTGAGGCGGATCCACATCGAACTCTATCTGTCTTATCCCCAACCATGAATGGTTCGGATTGATTTGATTCGATAGAATATCTAAAGTTACCGTATGTTGCACCACCAAATGAATAGATATAGCTAGATGTCGGAGATGCTTGGTGATATAAAAGATAAACAACTCCATGCTTTCCAGGAATAGGATTGAGGTTGGTTATCTGACTTCTCTCGATATTATACTTGATGAATCGATTATCTTTGGAATGAATGTAGAGGTTACCATTGTTATCATGGCATGCTGAGAATGGTTTCATTCCTATTTTGTGTATTGTAATATTCTTCTTTACTAAATTGAATTCAAAGACATCCTTCTCCATTGGAACTGAATAGAGTGATCCTTTATAGATCATCGAGCATACTTGTTTCCATAGCCTTCTGATAACGGATAGTATTTCTCTAACTGCTTTGTCTTGATGTTGAATCGATCTATTCTATTGGATTTCTCACCGTTGATCAAATAGATATGGTCTTTACCGTCGTGACACACCGATATATAGACATCGCCATCGATACCTTTCATCTCACCGGATTGCTCTATCGATTTCGATTTCATAGAGAATTGGTACCAATTATCCTTATTCAGATAGCCACCGAATATATAGATATTCTCTCCTATCGAGGTGATTGATGCATTGGTGAAATCAAAGGTATGTGAAATATTCACTTCTTCGATCTCATCGTTCTTCGATGTATTGATCAGTGTAACACCATTCCAGTGTGTGGCAAAGATATATTGGTCACTACTGCTGCTCGTTACTGACTACCGGTGCTACTTTAATGGAACTATCGATGATCGATTGTAGTTGTTCGAAATCAGGTTGTCTAGCAGTTATTTTATATTCTTTAGTTTGTATATTAAATAGATCATTATTGTTATCTTTATAATTATTATTAATATCAGTGTTGTTGTTGTTGAATTGATTATTATATTTATGAATAATATCTAATAATAATGAATCTTCATCATTATTATGTTGTTCTAATAATTTATCGATATTGAAATGAACATTATTTTTATGTTGATTGAATAATGTTTGATTATTGTTATCTATGAATGATTGTAATGTTGAGCTCGATGTTATCGATTGTAATATAGTTGTTGTTGAATACTGCTCTGCTGTATCTGTAACTATTGATTTGTTAATCTCTACATCTTCATTACTATCATCATCATTATTACTATTATTATCTTGTTTATTATTATCTAACTTATTATTAATATTTATAATATTAACTAAATGTTTTAAATGTTCTATACTATTATCTATTTGATTAATGATTGTATCTTTTTGGTTGATAATATCTTTCTTTAATTTATGTTCTTCTATTACTAGATATTGATGTAATTGTTCAAAGTGTTGTGATATATCAGTCTCTGTCTTTTGTAGATCACCGAATTGCTTGCTTGATAATCTGAGTGATCTCCAAATCGATAATATCTTTCTTTTTATGAATGTATTATTATTGTCACTCTTATTATCATTTTCTTTAATGTCTATATTAAGATGATCTATAATGTCATCATCAGTGTCGAAAATAGAGCTTAAAGATTGTCTGATATCATCTATATGATCGTACTGGTCGGTATGATCATGATGATTCTTACTATGATTGATTGTGCACTTTGAACACATTAACTTATAACATTTATAACATAGAAATTCATGTGATCTATTATGCTCTGAACATTTCATTGTCAGCTTTTATAACTATTTTATCTTTTACTAATTGTGATAATTGGAAATTGAAAAGTAGAAGTTCAGTTTAAAAAAAAAAAAAAATAAATTGTTTTTATTTTGATCAAAGAAATGATTGATACAATAAGGTTTTATTTAATTAATACTTTAAAAGATAAGCTAAGAGTATTAGGTATTATTTTTGAAATAGAGAAATTCCACAACCCACTCTGTTGGCTTGGTCATTTTCCAATATTGATTCCCATTTATTTAGTTCGAATGAATATCTAAAATTCAGATCCTTTCCTTGGAATGAGTAAATATATCGTTTGATTGAGGTAAATCATATTATGATTGTATATTTTCACATTCGTGGGTGGTGTAGATTTATCCAAGTTTGTAATTTCATTGATTTCGATATTTATCTGTTGAAATCCATATATATATATAAATTAGAACAAACAAATTACCTTTGCCATCGGTACGTGCGGCTCTATGTATGGGACTAGGAATTTCTATTGGTAATTGAACTGGCAATTTGGTTTTTTTGTGATTATATCGAATTTGATAATCTTATTAACTTCTGGTATAAAGATGTAAAGGCAGTCTGTGTTGTGGTGTACATTCAGAACACATCAAAACTTTGCAATCATAACAAATCAATTTTAATGATAATATTCAACTGTAAAAAAAATTTACTAAACAACTTTCATCTGTTATCTAAAAAACCTTACATCCTTTCGTAAAAAGTGTTTTATTTGATTTGAGAACCAGATATTATGAAAGATCTATGAAATCACAGGTCTTGGGTATCAAATTACAGATAAAACTGAGGAGGTTGGTGGAATGATAGGATTAACATTGTAGAAATGAGCTATGGATTAAGGAACTGTAGCTACAATAGACCCAACAACTCCGACAAGATCAAGAGATTCCGGTTTTACCTTGAATATATCTTCGCAAATTGAGAAGAAAAAATGTTTTGTTGATTGCCTTTCATAGTAATACTAGATGTTGTGTTTGTAGATTCCAGATTCAGAAAAGTGGCTATTTTTTAGTTCAGCATAGTTATGTCCATATTTTACTAGTGTCTTTTTATAAAACAAGTTCATATGAGAGATGGGATCCAAGTTGCGATAGAGGAATTGCATTAATATTAAAAGTAGTGGTAATCATTAAATCTTTATCGATATAAAATTTAAAGTAAAAATCGAATGAAGATTAATGAAATGAGTATAGTGTTGCGAAAAGTTTAAATATTAATTAAATTTTTATTATATTATTTATAATGGATCAATACTATTATTTTAAAACAAAATTCTACTGTTTTAAGATCTGATAAAGTGTAAGTCGAATATTATTTTTGAAATGATTTATTCTCTTGGAAATTTAAAGGTTATATATGAAACAGAGTATTTGCACAATGTATTCTATTCGATTGGTCATTTTGTAATATTGATTCCCATTTATTGTGTTCGAATGAATATCTAAAATTTTTATCCTTCCCTTGGAGTGAGTAGATGTATCTCTTTTGATCATTTGATTGATGATAAATCAAATTATGGCAGTTCATTTTCATATTCGCAATAACTGCTGTAGATCTATCCAAGTTTGTAATTTCATTGGTTTCAATATTGATCTGTTGAAATCTGGTATCAGATAGAAAAAACAAATAACCTTTGCCATCGGTACATGCCGCTCGTTGTTGTAAATATTGCGATTCGATAGGTAAGTCGAATTCCACTGTTTTTTTGGTTTTTATATCGAATTTAACAATCTTTTTAGCATCTGGTATAAAGCTATAAATACAGTTGTTGAAGTGGAAAGTTAAATGATGGTAGTATTGACTTGATATATTGGCAGTGGAATATTCTTCAAATGTTGAGCTGTTGATGTTGAATCTGTAGATATGTAGTATTGGTTTGTTGAAACCATCCATCAAATAGATATGATCTTTACCATCATAGCAAACCGACACAGCACAGCACCCTTCAATACCTTTCATTTTAATTTCATCAAATGTTTGGTTGTCGATTGAATATCTGAAATATTTTAGGACTCTGCCCATGCCTGTACTTCCAAATTTATAGAAATGGTTACCAACAATAGTACAACAATAATAATACAAAGTGCTATTGAAAGTTGGGATGTCTTGTTGTGTGAAATGAATATTATTATGATCGGTTATATCGATTACCGATATTTTACCTGTGGTATCTGTTGATAAAATATATGATTGTTTTTTTGGTTGTTGTTGTTGTTGCTGTTGTGATACAAGTTTGAATGTTGATTGCAGTTGGCTTTTTATTTGATTAAGTTGTTGATCATTGGTAATCAGTTGGTATTGTTGTGGTTGGTTGTGTTTTATATTGTTGTGATTGTTTGATTTCAATGTATTGTTGTGTTCAAGTATAACATTTAACAATGAATGGTCATCAATTTTATTGATTGAGTATCGATTATCATTCAAATTGAACAATGTATTATTGTTTTGAATGAATTCGTTGTGGCTTGAAGATTGTGATATTGATGTCATTATTGTTGATATTTGATAACAATCGGTTGTATCTGCTGATAATGATGATGTCGTTGTTTTTGTTGATTGATCTTGTTGAATATTATCAGTATCATCAGAAATCAGATTATTTAATTGATGATTCATTAAATTCAATGATTTCATGATTGTTGTTTGACTTTTGATTTGTTGTTCCAAATGTTCTTTGTTGTCGATGATCGGTTTCTTTAGTTTGTGTTCTTCTAAAACAAGGAATTCATGCAAATCTTTGAATCTATTTGATATCTCATCTTCTGTTTGTTGTAATTGTTGATATTCTTTGACTGCTGACCTTAGTGAATCGAATGTTGTTTTTATATTTGATTGAATATCGAGTAATGATGGTATATTGCTGCTATTATTACTATTATTATTATTATTATTACTACTGTTAATCTCTGATTTAATTCCATCGATATGATAGAATAAATGAAGTCTATGTTGTGGTGTACATGCTGAACACATCAAAACATTGCAATCACAGCAAATCAATTCGTATGTTCTTTTATGATTTGAACAAATGTTCATTTTTATTTGTTTACTCTTTGAATGGTGAAAGATAAAATAATAAAAATCTAAAAAAAAGAATATAACTTTTTTTTGATCAAAAACCAAACTTTATTTTTTTAAAGTGATTTTTAAACAAGGGTTTTGTTTAAGTGTTTTTATTTTAACATTTAAACATACGAGTAATTACATTGTGCATACTCTATTTCAAAAATAATCTTCAGCAAAAACAATCAACTCTAAGCATATCTTTAAAACAATCCAACTATTTTTTGATCTAAGAACAAAGAATTAATAAAAAAAAATCAATGAATAGTTAACAGTTTACAAACAAAAATGCATTTTGATTGACAAACCCTTTCATATCTTTGAATATTTGCAAATATATTTAATTTTTTAGAAAAGGCGAACACATCTATATATTCGGTGGTTATTACAATGCCAACAAATGGTGTAAACTATCGGCTAAATCAAAGTCTATCGAGCACATCGGCGAGGTAGTGGTGATTGATATTGATTATTTTATATCGGTGTGTTACGATGGCGCCGACTACATCTACTTGGTAAACATTCCACGAATAGAATAGATCGATTTAATATTAAATAAATAAATCTTATTCATTCAAATAAATAAATGAACTTTACTAAATTTGAGGTTAGTGTTTTCTTTTCCTTTTCTTATGTAATATATATGATCTTATTCTAAATTTTATTCGATTGGTAATTTTATACATTCGTTTACAACATTTAAAATTGATGAACTTGAATCTAAAGCTGCAGAAACTCTTTCTTTATCATTTAGTTGTTTATTTACTATAAATATTGTTTTACTCGGTTAATATGTATTTATATTTTAAAAAATTGATATCGATATCGATATCGATAATTACCAGATTGTTCAGATGAATGACTTCCCGGAGTAACTTTTACATCTACTTTGAAACGTTGTGGTAAACTTCTAGAGAGTTTCTCTTTGATGGAAAGTCCGATGATGTTTGCCATTGAACAGTGTGGTACGGTCGGTGTGAAATATAATCGAATGATATTGTTGCTGATGTCGATCTTTATGTTCTCGTGTCTCACTACATTCAATTGCTCCAATGTCAGCGGGTGTTCTGGATCGTTTATATCTCTAACCAAATCAAAGATCTCATAGACATCGAAATCATCGGGTGTCTCTTCATCCTCTGTGAATCTCTCATTATACAAACTACTATTGTTCTCTGATTCATCTTTACTATAAACAACGGGATTTGGATTAATAAATCCTTCATCTTTTTGTTGTTGTGACATTGTTATTATTATTATTATTATATTATATTATTCTATAACTTTGATTCTTCTTTTAATTAATTAATTAATTAAAACAACAACACAAACATACACAGAAAATCACTTTAACTTTTTTTTTTTTTTTTTTTTTTATTGTTCGATTTTGGTGTGAACAAAAAAAGTATTTAATTTTTAATTTATTTATTATTTTTATTTTTCGTTTTCAAACACTTTAAATTTCTCCTTTTCAGAATCTGAAAATGATTGACATTCATGTGATTTAATTATTCTTTTTTTTTGTTTTATTTTTTTTATAAAATCAAAATTATTTATAAATAGATAGATATGGATCAAATTAGAAACGGATGGTTTAGTGAAATCAGTGAATTCTGGCCAGGTAATTCATTCTCTCTTCAAGTAGAGGAAGTCTTACACCATGAGAAATCAGAATATCAAGTATGCAAATGACAATCAATCATGATTGATTTAGTAAAATAATCTATTTTATTAATCATTATTATTAATAATAATATTATCTATCTATCTATCTACAATATTAGGATATTTTAGTTTTTAAATCAAAGACATTTGGTAATGTTTTAGTTTTGGATGGTGTTATTCAAGCAACAGAGAGAGACGAATTCGCATATCAAGAGATGATTACACACGTACCAATGTTTGGACATCCAAATCCAAAGAAGGTTTTGGTTGTCGGTGGTGGAGACGGTGGTGTTTTGCGTGAGGTCGTCAAGCACGACTGCGTTGAATCCGTTACATTGTGTGAGATTGACAAGGGTGTCATCGAAGCATCACGTCGTTTCCTCCCAAAGATGGCAGTGGGATTCGATCATCCCAAGGTGAACCTGTTCATTGGCGACGGTTTGGAGTTCATGCGTAAACACAAAGGTGAATTCGATGTGATCATCACCGATTCCTCCGACCCGATCGGTCCAGCTCAAGGATTGTTCGAACGTGCCTACTACGAGTTGTTGAACGAAGCGTTGGCACCAGGCGGTATCGTCTGTTCACAGGCCGAGTCACTCTGGCTGCACTTGGCAACCGTTAAAGGTTTGACCACTTTTTGCAAAGAGATTTTCCCACATGTCGAGTATGCATACACCTCGATTCCATCGTACCCAGGTGGTTCGATCGGTCTGCTCATCTGTGGTACCAAGAACAGCTCTAAAACACCAGTTCGTCCAATCACCCCTGAAATCATCGAAAAGATGCAATACTACAACGAAGCAGTACATAAAGCATCATTTGTATTACCACAATTCGCCGTTAAAGAATTGAACATCTGAGAAGAAGATAATGAATAACAAATAAATAAAACAAAACAAAACACCCCTTTTTTTCTATTTATATTTGCTTTCCTTCTTTTTTTTATTATAAACACAAAAATACAATTACATACAAGACACCCTAAGTTGTCATTTAAATTACTTTGTAGGAGTTTCAAGATATCACATATTTCTAAACAAAAATAGCTATTACATTTTGTGTGGAGTATTATCTGTTTGGAATTTCATTATTAATCAGATATATTTAAAATGTTATAACAAAGAAAGATTAATAATGATAAAATGCTAAAGTATTTAAATAATTTGATTTATTATTTATTCGTTATCATAATTATTCTTTCCATAAATGTTTGGAAGTTTAAATATTGTTTTATTGTTGTTGTTTTTCGAAATATTACGCTTTTGTTTGATTTGATGACGTTTTTGTTTGATTGAATAAATTTCTAAATTTATGATTTATGATTATTGTTTTGTTTGTTTGTTGTTTATCTATTTACAGGTTCTTTGATTCTTGTGGGAGAGTGCTAGTGATACTTTGGAGCTTGGTGTCTTACCGAGAATGTCCGATATCCATAGACTGATGTCCAAGACCTTGTCGAGGTTCACTTTACAATCGATTCCCAAATCCTTCATCATATACAGAACGTCTTCGGTCGCTACGTTACCAGAGGCGCCCACTGCGTACGGACAACCACCGAGACCAGCCACCGAGCTATCGACAGTGCTCACACCAAACTGCAACGCCGTCAGAATGTTTGCCAGTGCCTGTCCGTAGGTATCGTGGAAATGCACCGCCAAATTGGCGAGAGGAATCTCTTTCGACACCGCCGAGAGCATCTTGAAAGTGGCACCGGGCGTTCCAATACCGATGGTATCGCCCAGCGATATCTCGTAGCATCCAAACTCATAGAGTTTACGCGATACCTCTGCTACCTTCTCCACAGAGATACGACCTTCGTACGGACATCCCAGAACACAAGAAACATAACCTCTTATCTTTATATCGTTTTCCTTTGCTGCGTCACAAACATCTTTGTAGCGTGCCAAACTTTCCTCGATGGTGACATTGATATTTTTTTTCGAAAAACTTTCGGATGCCGCCGCAAACAACGCGATTTCTTTTGCACCCGATTCCAATGCCGATTTAAATCCCTGCAAATTCGGTGTCAGTGTTGGATATGAAACTCCCGGTACATGTTTTATTCCTGCCATAACTTCTTTACAATCTGCCATCTAAATAAATAAATAAATTATTTAAATTTATAAAAATTAATATTAATATACTGTTAACAGTATTGTTACTTTTTGTATTTTCAATAATTTTATGGCTATTATCATAATCTTGATACTTACTTGAGGTACCCATTTTGGTGATACAAATGAAGTTGCTTCTACTACTGATAAACCAGTACCTGCTAATCTATTGATTAAATCGATCTTTACATTGGTAGGTACTATTTGTTTCTCATTTTGTAAACCATCTCTTGGACCTACTTCGACAATCTTTACATACTCTGGGAATGGTCCGAATCTATAATACATTTAATCATGATGTTTTAATAAATGAATGTGAATTGAAATCGTAAACATTGCCTATGATTAAGTAATTGACTTACGTTTTAACATCTTGTTTTAATGTAATTGGATTAGTAACTACTGTAATGAATGATCTACTATTATTATTAATATTCTTATTGATTAATAGATTACTATTAAGTAATCTACTCTTTTTACATGCATTAAATATTGAATACATTATATATATATATTGTTTATTTATCTGTTTATGTAACTATCTATATGATTGATTGTATATAATTTTTGTGATTATCTGAATGAATGATGAATTAAAGTTTAAATGTATAAATAATTGATGATATTAATAATTAGATGATAAACACCTTTTTCTATTTATATATATATTATGTTTAAAAGAAAAGATTTAGTAAATAAGTAAATGTAAATCAAGAGTTTTGAATTTAATTAAATTTGAATTTGAAGTTGATTGGTATGCGTGTGGTTTTTAATTATGTGTTTAATTGTAAATGAATGTGTGTGTCGTGTGAATCTACTACTGTGCTGCTTATAAAGAATAAATAAATAAAATAAAATAAAATTTACCACCAACTTTTTTTAGTGAAGTGAAACAGGAGATAAGATAAAATAAATAAATAAATAAACAACAAAGATATATATATTTATTTTTTATATTTAAAAATAAAAATTAGAAAAGAAATCTGAATTTTAATGTTGTTTGTTTTGTTTTATTGTTTGTAGAGTGTGTTGTTTTGTGGTTTCATTCTTCTTCCGAAGGTCCTCGCATTATTTTGAATAAAATAAATTAAATTTCAATGTTAAACAAATTGATTTGTTTTAGTGCAAAAGGGGGGGTTTTTTTTTATTTTTGAATTGAAATTGAAACATGTAAATGACAACAAATCAACGATTACTTGATGTCATTAAAAAAAAATTTTGTTTTTTTTTCAAGTTCCCAAAAAATCGCCATTTTAAAAAAAGAAAAAAATTATTTTTTGAACTTTTTGTGAGTCATATGAAAAATGTAAACTAAAAATAAAACAAAAGTGTATGTTCACCAAAAGAAAAAAAAAACTGAACAGATTTTTTTTTAAAAAAAAAAAAAAAAGGAAAAGTTTAATGAAAAATAATATTTTTTCTATATTTTAGCAATCATTTATTATTTGTTAACAATGGATTCAGAAATGATTAAAATTATTATTTGTTATCAAATCCAAAATGATTAATTAGAATTGTTTTTTTTTAGTTTGATTTATTTAACTGTTACAATTTCGATTAAAAATTTGGGATTCACCAGAGTAATTATAAACCGTCCATCGATTAGAGTATACATGCAAAGTAGCTTTTTTGTTTTTTTATGTTTGATTTTAAACAGTTACAAGATCAAGTAATAATTTCTTGAACGTACCAGAGTACTTGCTTTGAATGGCCATTTTGAGATCCGTTCCAAAGAGAACCGAGTATGCCTTGGAGACTTCATTGATGAATGGTTGACAGTATACAATGTTTCTGATGAGAGATTCAATGTTGTTTCCGACACTGGTTATCGATTTATGTAGTAAAAATGCAAGTAGTCGAATGAATCTTGCGAGAAAGAAACAATCAATTTGAGGCCTGATCAGATATTTCCAGGGAACGAACCCTCGATTGCCTTCTCAAGTACCGCTTTTCGTGGACGGTCTCGTAGATTCTAGCGATCTCACGAATCTGGAGGAAGTTTCGGACAAGATAAAGTCGGTAATTTCTTTGTTTCAACGGATTTGTACAAGGGTTTCAGTGTCGACACCAGCACTTGCTTGATCGACAATCCACGACTCGACACGTGACTCAAAGAGTGATTCGAGGCTATTCTTGTAGTCAGCGCTAGTCTCTGATGAGGAAATATCATAATTCAAAGACTTTTGGGCTTTGACCGGTAGATCACGGTAATTTTTGCCTTTTGAGTGTTGTTTCTGGTGACAAGGATCTCTGTGAGGACTTCGTTGTTTGTACCAATACTTTTCATCGCATTGTTGAGAGCATCAGAGTCTGAAGTAGCTGGATGGTCAAGAACGCAACCAAACACTTCTCATAGTCACCATTGGTCTCAATGACGCTGCATTTTATTAACTTAGATAACTCCCAATAAAAAAGCACAATATAAGCTAATATATTTATATTTTACAAAATTTTCTACAATTTTTTTTATTATATCTTTTTTGTTGTTATTATTATTATTATATTTGATTTGGAATGATTAAAATTATTATTTGTTGTCAAATCCAAATGATTGAATATTATGTATGTTGTATTTTTTTTTTTGTTTTGTTTCGAGTTTGATTTAATTTAAACAGTTACAATATCGATTAATAATTTCTTGTAGTCACCGGAGCAATCCTTTTCGATGTCGTATTGGAGAGTCTTTCCAAAGACAACATGGTATGCCTTGGAGACGGCGGTGATGAATGGTTGACAGTATACAACGTTTCTGATGAGTGTTTCATCGTTGGTTCCGACACCGGCCATCGATTTGTGGAGTACACGTGCAAAGTAGGCGAATGAATCCTGTGAGAAAAGAACGATCGATTTGAGTGCCGATCTGATATCACCAGAGAATTCACTCTCGATTGCCTTCTCCAAGGAGTGCTTCTTGTGGATGGTCTCGTAGATTCTGGCAATCTCACGAATCTGGAGGAAGTTACGGTTGGCCAAGATCTTGATAAAGGTCTTCTCGTCGGTTCCGATCTTTCCTTCACCGGCGTGGTAGAGTGCTTCGGCGTCGACGGCGGCACGTGCTGGATCGACAATCCACGACTCGTCACGTGGATCCAAGAGTTCTTCGAGGAGGTGCTTGTAGTCACCGCTAGTCTCTGAGGAGATGGCATGTTTCAACGACTTTCCGGTTTGGGTGGCGTAGATCTGGGAGATTCTTGCCTTTTGAGCGTTGTTTCTGGTGACGAGGATCTCTGTGAGGACGGCTTCGTTTGTACCGACACCCTTCATTGCCTTGATCAAAGCTTCGACGTCAAAGATGGCTGGATCGGTCAAGAGTGCAACCAAACCCTTCTCAAAGTTACCAGAGGTCTCAGACTTAATATCCTTAATCAAATCTCTACCGACATGAGTGGTGTACTCTCTGATGATACCGGCACGCTCTTCCCAATTACGATTAGCAAGAATAGTGATCAAAGTTTTTTCATCCTAAAAAGAAAAAGAACAATTAATAAACTTTACTTCTTTATCATACTAAATAAATATTGGTTAATTATAAACAATCTATACATACAGTTCCAATTCCTTTCATTGCTTTTCTCAACATATCAGCATCTTTCTTGAGATCGTGAGCAATTGAGAATGGAGTGTAACAGGCAAATGGTACGGTTGGTGCTTGCATTTTGTTATAGAAATGAAATTAGATAATTATTTGTTTGAATAAAGAAGATGAAAAAAATTAAATTAAGTAAGTTGTCTGTTGTTCTTTTAAAAGATTAGGTTTAAATAGTTTGATCCTAAAGTCTTTTCTTTAAATGAAAATAATAATTCACTAAAATTGTGCAAAAGATTATTTAATTTAATTAGTTTTTTATGTAATTCAAATAATATCTCACCATTTGGTGTGGGGTTTGATCATTTATAATTTCTTTTTTTTTTGTGTTTTTTTTTTTTTTGTGTTTTTTTTTTTTTTTTCATTTTTGGTATGTTGTTGATTTATACAAAGATCTGAATGGGGGTGACTCCTTTAAAGCCCATCAATCTCTAAAACAAAGAATTTAAATCAGTTAGTTAAAAAAATAAAAATTAAAGTCACCAAACTAAATAAACTCCTAAAATAAGGGATCACAAATTACTTCATGATATTTAGTTTTGACGTTTGTTGCGAAGTGTAATAGTGAGAAAATTACAACCCATTATTGTAATATAAGTGATAGAAAAAGATTTTTTGTTTTTTTTAGTTGATGTCTTGTTTAGTTTGATTGTTTGATTGTTTAGTTTGTTGAAAAGTGTAATTTTTTGTTGTTTTTTTTCATAATCGACAGAGTTTCTGACCGACTGTGTGCAAACAAATCAATGGTAAACCAGGGTATGAAAGTTTCATTTGTTTAAAGTTAGTTGCCTAGTTGTAATCTCTCAGGTATTAGCATACTGATAAAGGGGTAATATTATTATTATTGTAATAGTTCAACACCTGTTTATGGGTGATATTAACAACTTGAAGATTATTATTATTCTTAAATTGATCAAGAATGGTTAATGATTGTTCATTTTAATCACTATTAAAATTATTTTTTAAAATTTTTTTTATTTACTTATGCCTCTAGAGTTCATTTGCAGGCTTTTATAGTTTGTATTATTATATTTTGATTATTTATTTTTTCGAAATACATTCAACAATAATTATTAGTAGCTATGAATTCGATATTGGAAAAACTTGATATTTATTATTCTTGGTGATTTAATATTCACAATATGATATTTGAAAGGAATTGAATTTAAATATATTTGTTTTTATATTATTAAAATTAACATTATATTCGAAAAGTGACAACAATGATCTGAAAAGAGATCATAGAGTCATTAGGCCAATGATATTGTTAGGTAAAAAAAATAATAAATTAAAGACAATGAGTTGTTATATATCACCGGTGATTTCTTAACAACGACCGGTGATTTCTTAACAACGACCGGTGATTTCTTAACAACGACCGGTGATTTCTTAACAACGACCGGTGATTTCTTTTAACAATCCACCTAATCATCTTCTCTCGAAATGACAAACTAATTTCTCCATTACTTGAAATCTTTGCTTGGCCATCCAGGTTTGGATGTTTCTTTTTGAGGTGATTAGAGCCTGAATTGGTCTGGCTATGTCCAACGTCGTATGTAAAGGAATATTTACAATGTCCAATACTACAAACTGCTTTTCTGGATCCATCTGAGAAACATCTTAATTGGAAATGTTTCCATATGTGTGATTTGAACTTTGAAGTATCTAATATTGAATAAGAAGAAGATGATGTTGTGGTTGTTGATATTGAAGCTTCTGACTCTGAGTCACTCATTTTTTACCGAACCTCAGAGCAATCAACAAACACCAACTTCAAGGGTACCGATGGCAATACAATACAATCACAAGAATATTGATTAGTTGCGGAGCTATAGCACTACCAAGTGGGTCACTTTTAGCCTCAAGAGTTCCAGAAAGTTGGGATATCCAGATGCCCAGTCTTCATCAGCAATCCTTTTGTATCCTCCTATTAAATGATACCAATTAAGATAAAATAATAATAATTATAATAAAATAAAATAAAATTTTTTTTTTTATCTATCTATGAGATTTTTATTTCTTTATCATAATAAAAAAAAATTAGACAATATTGAAATAAAAATCTTATTTAAAAAAAGTTTATTTCTGTTTTGTTAAAAGTAGAGCAGTGATGTATTCTCCTGAAATTTGATTGTTATGAGAATCCACAAAGCCTATCTTTGATAAATTGCGTGTTGAATAATAATCAGGATAGAATTCTTTGATAAATTCAAGTGAATCATTTGAATTGGTTAACACCAATGCTTGTATTGTTTGGTTGTCGACACCAAGATAAATTTCAAGTGTTTTTAGATTTGAAAGTAATTTGTTTTCATTCTTTGAGTCTTTGTGATGCATACCAATAATGAATGTTATCATTGATTGTGGTAAAGTCATTCCAAAATAACTACTCGTAAGATATTTACTAGAAAGTGATAATCTCCGAAGTGATGATGGAAGTACACCGACTGATAATATTTGATTGAATTCATCTCCAAGCACCAATGATTCAAGTGATTTAGGTAACACACCGACTGATAATATTTGATTGAATGAATATCCAAGCACCAATGATTTCAGTGATTCAGGTAACACATCGACTGATAATATTTGATTGAATCCATCTCCAAACACCAATGATTCAAGTGATTCAGGTAACACATCGACTGATAATATTTGATTGAATGCATATCCAAACTTCAATGATTCAAGTGATTCAGGTAACACACCGACTGATAATATTTGATTGAATCTATTTCCGAACACCAATGATTTCAGTGATTTAGGTAACACACCGACTGATAATATTTGATTGAATCCATCTCCAAACACCAATGATTTCAGTGATTCAGGTAACACACCGACTGATAATATTTGATTGAATGCATATCCAAACACCAATAATTCAAGTGATTCAGGTAACACATCAATTGATAATATTTGATTGAATGCATATCCAAACACCAATGATTTCAGTGATTCAGATAACACACCGACTGATAATATTTGATTGAATCCATCTCCAAACACCAATGATTTCAGTGATTCAGATAACACACCGACTGATAATATTTGATTGAATGCATATCCAAACTCCAATAATTCAAGTGATTCAGGTAACACACCGACTGATAATATTTGATTGAATCCATATCCAAACTTCAATGATTCAAGTGATTCAGGTAACACACCGACTGATAATATTTGATTGAATCTATCTCCAAACACCAATAATTTTAGTGATTCAGGTAACACACCGACTGATAATATTTGATTGAAATAAAATCCAAACTTCAATGATTCAAGTGATTCAGGTAACACACCGACTGATAATATTTGATTGAATCCATCTCCAAGCACCAATGATTCAAGTGATTCAGGTAACACACCGACTGATAATATTTGATTGAATGAATATCCAAACTTCAATGATTCAAGTGATTCAGGTAACACACCGACTGATAATATTTGATTGAATCCATCTCCGAACACCAATGATTTCAGTGATTCAGGTAACACACCGATTGATAATATTTGATTGAATCTATATCCAAACACCAATGATTCAAGTGATTTAGGTAACACACCGACTGATAATATTTGATTGAATCCATCTCCGAACACCAATGATTTCAGTGATTCAGGTAACACACCGACTGATAATTTTTGATTGAATCTATCTCCAAACACCAATAATTTTAGTGATTCAGGTAACACACCGACAGATAATATTTGATTGAAATAAAATCCAAACACCAATGATTTCAGTGATTTAGGTAACACACCAGCTGATAATATTTGATTGAAGACAAGTCCAAACACCAATGATTTCAGTGATTCAGGTAACACACCGACTGATAATATTTGATTGAAATTAGATCCAAATGATAATGATGTCAGATTTGGAGGGAGTGAATTAGATTGCAATGGTTGATTAAATTCATTTCCAAATTCAATTACAGTGATATTGACTGAGTTGTTTTTGAATGTAGTGTTTAAATTAAATCTTATTGTATGTTGATCGATGATAGTTTCAATATATTGGTTTAATAATTGATTCAATGATTCTCTATTCTTTGGATTCTGATCTAGCAATCGATGAATAAATTGAATCAATTGTTTTGAATATCTGGATTCTGAAATGATAATTTCACCAGTAGATTTGAATCGTATATGATTATTTCGATCATCTTGATGACTGATCAATTTAAATATTCAAAAATAACGAGTTAGTATCTGATTGATAACAATATTTTAAATATGATTATTCGAGTATTTACCAACATAATAATTTAAGTATCGTTGATCCAATTGAAAAGATGTCACATGATTGTGCATATTGTCGTTTGATTGCTTCCTAGTGAGTTAAATAGTTAAAATAGGTTAAAAATATACTTAATTAAACGAAAAACAATTTACTTACTGGTGAAATATAACCAATAGTTCCACGAGTTGCATTTATAAGTGAATTTGAATTCATATTAGATATAGTTGGATATTTTATGACAACAGGTAGCTCAAAAAATACTTTTGCATCTTGATATTCAATGGATATTGATTCATCAATGAATTTACAACATCCAAAATCACCAAGCATCAAACTACCACCATCAATGAATATATTTGAAGGTTTGATATCACAATGAACAATTCCATGTTTATCAAGATCCAAAAGAATATTAAAAAGTTGTGAAATATAATTACTAATATCTGATTCTTCAAAGATTCTATTATATTTAAATATAGTGGTTAGTATAATATTAATCCATATCTCTATAAGAATCAAATATTTTATGTTTTTATACCTACATATTCAGATCAATTAAACGTTTATACTTTTGATCAAGATCACCGCCATCACAATATTCAGAGATGATATGAAAGATTTGGTTGTCTTTATCATGATGATAGTCAGCTAGTTGAACAAATCTTGGATTACCTTTGAGTAATTTCATTGCTTTGATTTCATTCTCAGCTCTTTCATAAGATTTTTGATTTTCTTTATAGTTTATCTTTTTATAAATATACTTTTGTATTGATTTTGTTAGTCTTACAAAATGTTAATTGATTAAATAGATATCAAAATGATCTTACCAATCTTTGGTCAGTTCCACACACTAAAAAAACATCATTGATATTATTACTGTTTGGAAATCTTGATATTGAATGATATTGTTTGTTATTAATGATATATGATTGTTTGAAATAGTCAAGATTGGTTAGAGATTTTTCAATATTGATTGTGTGAGATTGTGATTTGTTTACCAACTCTGCGTTAGATATAGGTATAGAATTTGACTCTATTATGGATTGCGATGATTTTATTGAGATTGGTGGTACGATTTGATTGATATTGGGTATTTTATTTGTGAATTTATCAGATTGTGTTTGTGATAAGGAGTTGGTATTGTTGTTATTGTTATTATTGTTACTAATGTGTGATTGAAATTGATCATTGTATTTATGAACGATATCCAACAATGATGTTGAAGGGGGTGAACTGTAGCTTTGAGGAATTTCAATCTGATTATCATTGAACAATGTTTGATTATCAACATTGATAAATGATTCCAATGAGCAAGAGCTGGCAACTTGTTTCAATAAATTTGCTGTTGAAAACTGCAGAGATGAAGATATATTGTCGGTATCATCGATTATATTGCCTATCTTTTGACTTTTAAATATTCTACCCATCATACTGATCGTAATATTTAATTCTTTTAATTCGTTAATACTCATATTGATTTGCTTCTCTAGTTCCTCTCTATCTTTGTCGATCGATAGCCTAGCTTTACTTTCCTCAGCTTCCAACAACTCTTTTAACTCTTTGAAATGTTGTAATAACTTGTTCTCTCGATCCAATAGATCTTGATATCTCGTAGTTGATGACCTAATCGTTTCCCAAACTGATGCTGTCTTTAACTTTATGAACGAATAATATCTATCATAGTCACTCTCTACTCTATTATTAAAAGATGATTGACTATCATTATTATTATTATTATCAATATGTTGATCATCTTTAGCGTCAATGTGCTGACAGTGATCGAGATGAGTTGGTTCCTCTCTGTAATGAACGGAAATGCATTTCGTACACATTGACTTTTTACATAAATTACATATGAACTCTAGTGATCTCTGATGGAGAGTACATAAATTATTATTCTCTTTATCCATATTCATATAGTTAAAAAAAATAAATAAACAAATTAGAGAAAAAAAAAATGAAATATTTTGAGATTAAAATTTTTTTTCTTTGGGTCATCAGATTTGTTTTTTGTAACGTTTTTTGTGAACTCAAATTCTTGATTTTATTTTTTTTGTTTTTTTTTTCAATTTTTTTTTCAGAATGACATTGTGTGAAACTGTTTTTTTTAATAAGACATTATACCTTTTTATTTTTAAATTAGTTCAATCATAAATCAATATAAATGAATTGTGAAAATCATAATATTAAATCCACTCATATATGTTTTCATTGCAAAAAGTTGATTTGCAAACAACATTGTTTTTGTGATCATTTCAAAAAAACTCATCGAGAACAGTTAGATAAAATAGATTTATATTTAAATGACGTAGAAGATATCAAAGAGTATTTAAATAAATTTTTTCAAAAAAATCAAAAAAATCAACAAAATCAACAAAATCAATCAGAAATATTCATCGAGTTCTTAGCAGAATCAATTTGGAAAGTACTCAAAATTTCAACGGATCGATATCTTTACATGTTGGAATCAGAAAAAGAGATAGCAGAGTATTTCAGGAAAATACACAAGTACTTTACAGATCTAGAGGCAAAGTTTAAAAGATCCATTTTTGAAAACAAGGACAAATTAAAAACACAAATCAATAGTAAAGTAAAAGATTTACAAGAGTTTATAAAGATAGCAATAGTAAATAGTGAAATAAGTACAAATAACAATAATAATAATAACAGCAACAATAACAACAACAATAGTAACAGCTTAAATGGTGCAATAGATAATAACAGTAGTGATGATATGGATTGCAGTCAATCAGAAACAAAATCAAAGGAGGAGCCCAGTCAAGATCGAGCCGAACAATATTCAATAGAATACATAGCGAAATCAATTTCAAATAGCTCGAATATACAGTCGTTTGTTAATGCCAACAGCCAGACTTTGTTCAATCATAATGTGGACGATACTATTAATATTTTACGAGAACTTCACAAAGATGACACAGATTCAATATTATTGGATGTCATTCTTAAATACATGAAAGAACCCAATAACCCAGCAGCAGACCTAATCAGCAATAACTTCGACAGCGACCAATACTATAATGACATTAGGCTATGTATTAAGGATATTGATTTCAGTAGATTCGGCCCGATCATACAACAAACAATAGGTTTAGTGGCGTCAACACTTCCCCCAAGTAAAACCGATTTACAAGGAAACTACATCATGTCTACGTACCAATCAAACGATGCCACAAAGATTGAAGGAGGAGTCACTCTTATCAACACATCAAACAACAAATCCGAGGAATTCGCTATTGGACATTGTTTTAAAATGACTTATTCATCGAATATAACAATTGGTGAAAATATCTACATATTCGGTGGTAAAAATAATATAAATCAATGGCGCAGGATTTCAATCAAAGATAAATCGACTATCTTCGGTGAGATGATTGGAATCCAAGGTGATTGCTTTATATCAGTTTGTTATGATGGTCAAGATCATATCTATTTGGTTAATGGTTTCAAAACCAATAGAATCGACCGATTCAATATCAAGACAATGCAATTCGATCAAAAATATTTTCAATTTACAGTGGATTATGGTCAACAGGTATCCTCGATGATCTTCAAAGGTATATTATATTCCATACCTTACAATAGAGATTTTATTATAGAGTTTGATATTGCAACCAAAACGACTGTTGAGACCAAATTTCACCCTAACTTTAAAGCATACACAGCTTGTCACGATAACAATGGTACGTTCTACATTCATTCACGAGATCCAGAAGTGCAATTCATCCGATACAATGTTGAAAGCACTCCAAAGGTAACCAACAATCTACAGTTAATTCCTGACTTAACCCGGGAGAATGCATACTTGATGCTGATGTATCAGCGTGAATCTTCAACATCAAGTTTTGTCTACACATTTGGTGGTACTAAATATGGTAATTTCAGATATTCGATTGAAGATAAACTATGGGAACAATACTTTATGAATAATGAAAAAGATGGAAAAGAAAGGTTGTGGTGTGCATCAGCACCAGTGGAAATAAAAAATAAATAATTTACAATTTAAATAAACCTATTATAAATATTTTACAATTTGAATAATATATTGTACATTAATACTATCTTTCAACATTAAATTTGAAATCAACTAAAAAAATAATTTAATTTAAAAGCAAAGTATTCAGGAAATACACGAGTTCATTCGCCGAAGGAGATAATAACAAAAAATTGATAATAGTTACACTTTCTTAAGAGCCCAGCAGGACAATACTTTTAATAAATGCTCAATGTTTGATATAACGTATTGATCGGAGAAAATAACAACCATCAACATCACAACTGCCGATCAAACAATTGAAATCAGTAACAAACGAGAGTTTTGAATTTCTAAAAGATCATTTGTTTGATTTGTTTTCTATAATATGGACTTTTATTGATTATTAATTAGATAAATTGATTTAACTTTGAGGTTGCAGCAACATCCTTCGAAGAGCTATACATAGTTCTTGGGTTGGTTTGACTTGTTAAAATCTGCCATCAGAGAATATACTGTCAGGGTCATCGGCTCTTCTCGATCCATCTTCTCTATCTCTACTGCCCTTGAGAGTTACCTTGGCATTCGGTTTATTAGTGGTGATCATGTCTCTAGCCTTACATTCATCAGCTTGATTAAAGTTGAGATAGCTTTGTTCAACACGCTTCGCTGTAACACATCCAAGTATGCAAATGTCCTACTTAAGTTATTCTATCATCTGTACCTAGTGTTGCAGACATAGGTGCCATAGAGATGATAAAATGGTTCTGCTCTTGTACAGATATTACCTATAGATATTCTGCTTCCACATCTATAACTTAAGGTTACTGCATAAATGGGTGGTCTAGGTTGGAGTGAATCTGGTAAAAAAGAAATCGGTGGTACATCTAATATCGTTAAAGGTAATACAGTCTCAGGTAATGATGTGGCGAATCTTTTCTGGCGAGCTAGATTCGCTAGGTGGAACGTACACAACTTACCTAGGTGCTCTATAGGAGGTGGAATAGTCGATTGTCACTAGCGACCATCGTAGTTTTTAGTCTCTTGTCTAAACTGATCAAACCAGAGTACCGACTTTAATGAATGATTCGGGTTCAATATGATAGCGACACTGTCCCACAAAACCAATCTTTTCTCACTATTCATATATCCAACCGTCTAGATTTTGCTGGTAAAAACTAACAAGCTAGTCTATATTTTTAAAAACAACAAAAAAAAAAAGTATTATTATCGGTGTTATATGTGAATAATTAAGTTACACAGTGATAGCATACGTTACTCAACGTTCATATCAAATTATTTCCATAAAAGCAATAGTATGATCATTTCCTTGGTGATATGTGTACAGTAACGAGTATGGCATCTTAGTTTATTAAATATATTAAAATTTTTGTTACTATTGTACATGTGCTCTATACAATTAGTAATCAATAAATATAAACTTTATATTGTGAATATTTACCTCCAAACTAAACTTTGTAGTATCACTATCTTTTGTTATACATATTATTTGCTCTAAATTCTGTAGCATTGAAAGAAATAATTAGATTATCATATATATATATATAATATAAAAACTAACTAAGTAACAAAACAACTTACATAATAAATATTTTACATCAGTCTATTTAAATTGGTTGTTGCTTGATACTAATATTCGCATTCTTTTATTAATCTTGTGAATTAAAAATAAGCATTGAAACGATGACTCATCGTGATTGACTTGGTGTCTAGCTTTCTTAAATCTCTGTTTGAGTAGTGATAGATGATATAAACTATTATTTGTTTATTTTGTACAAATTCTGTTTCATATGTTAATAACTAAGTTTATGAATTGTTAGATGATAGGTAATAATAATTGATTTAATAAAATTAAAAAAATTGGTTTTTTTTAAACGTTACTTAATATTTTTTTATGGATGAATCTAAACAACATTTAATATTAGTTGATCAACCAGAAACAAATTCAATATTTTCAGTATTATAAACCTATTCATTTTATGATAATATAACATTTATACATTCAATTAATAATTAAAGTATTCAATTAAAGTTGACTATCATCATTTGGTTAGTCGACGTAGGTTTCCTCATTTGAACTACTTTGACCAAAACACTGTAGGAATCCCTGTAGTGAGTTCAAAATCGGGAAGAGCTAGCTGTTCATACAATCAATTAAGATAATACGTACCCAACATTACCAACTTAAAACATGTTTTTCCAAGATTTTTTTTTTTTAATGATCATTAAAAAAAAAATGATTATGTTAGCAGAATACCAACATCAAAATGTACAGTATTATATTATATATCTATTTTATGATAAAAGAATACAAGTTTAAAGCGATAAAGTTATCAAACGTAATGCATATCAATTAACTGTATAATAGATTTACTTACTTTTTATGTAATTTTTACAAAACAGTTCTACTAGATTTCTTTTTAATGATTCGAGTTTGAAAATTCTGGTTGTACATGAACTAACAATACCCACCAACTATTGAGGATATTACCAGCTTAACCAAAACCCAATCAATTGCAAATTATTAGGTAGAAAACATTCAGATATTACCAAGTTTATTTAAATGATACCAATTAAGATAAAATAATAATAATTATAATAAATTGAAATAAATTGTTTTTTATCTATCTATGAGATTTTTTTTCTTAAATTAATCCAAAAAAAGCTATTAATCAAAATAAAAAAATTAGACAATATTGAATTAAAAATCTTATTTAAAAAAGTTTATTTCTGTTTTGTTAAAAGTAGAGCAGTGATGTATTCTCCTGAAATTTGATTGTTATAAGAATCCAAAAAGCCTTTCTTTGATAAATTGAGTTTTGAATAATAATCAGGATAGATTTTTTTGATAAATTCAAGTGAATCATTTGAATTGGTTAACACCAATGCTTGTATTTTTTGGTTGTCGACACCAAGATAAATTTCAAGTGTTTTTAGATTTGAAAGTAATTTGTTTTCATTCTTTGAGTATTTGTGTATACCAATAATGAGTGTTATCATTGATTGTGGTAAAGTCATTCCAAAATAACTTCTCGTTAGATATTTACAAGAAAACGATAATCTCCGAAGTGATGATGGAAGTACACCGACTGATAGTATTTGATTGAATTCATCTCCAAACACCAATGATTCAAGTGATTTAGGTAACACACCAACTGATAATATTTGATTGAAGAATAATCCAAACACCAATGATTTCAGTGATTCAGGTAACACACCGACTGATAATATTTGATTGAATCCATCTCCAAACACCAATGATTCAAGTGATTCAGGTAACACACCGACTGATAATATTTGCTTGAACATATATCCGAGCACCAATGATTTCAGTGATTTAGGTAACACACCAACTGATAAAATTTGATTGAATGTAAATCCAAATGATAATGATTTTAGTGATTCAGGTAACACACCAACTGATAATATTTGATTGAATATATCTCCAAACTTCAATGATTCAAGTGATTCAGGTAACACACCAACTGATAATATTTGATTGAATGTATATCCAAACGCCAATGATTTCAGTGATTTAGGTAACACTCCGGATGATAATATTTTATTGAATCTAGATCCAAATGATAATGATGTCAGATTTGGAGGGAGTGAATTAGATTGCAATGGTTGATTAAATTCATCACCAAATTCAATTACAGTGATATTGACTGAGCTGTTTTTGAATGTAGTGTTTAAATTAAATCTAATTGAATGTTGATCGATAGTTTCAATATATTGGTTTAATAATTGATTCAATGATTCTCTATTCTTTGGACTCTGACCCAACAATCGATGAATAAATTGAATCAATTGTTTTGAATATCTGCATTCTGAAATGATAATTTCACCAGTAGATTGGAATAGTTGATGATTATTTCGATCATCTTGATGACTGATCAATTTAAATATTCAAAAATAACGAGTTAATATATGATTGATAACAATATTATAAAAATGATTATTCGAGTATTTACCAACATAATAATTTAAGTATCGTTGATCCAATTGAAAATATGTCACATGATTGTGCATATTGTCGGTTCTTTGCTTCCTAGTGGAGTTAAATAGTTAAAATAGGTTAAAAATATACTTAATTAAACGAAAATAAATTTACTTACTGGTGAACTATAACCAATAGTTCCAACAATTTCAGTTGCATTTATAAGTGTGTTTGAAATTGTTGTATCATAAATATTTTCCGGATTGGAATCACCTGTTATCGCGACAGGTACCTTTGTATCTTGATATTCAATGATTGTTGATTTATCAATGAATTTACAACATCCAAAATCACCGAGAACCAAATTCAAAGTTTTATATGTATTATCAATGAATATGTTTGAAGGTTTGATATCACAATGAACAATTCCATGTTTGTCAAGATCCAAAAGAATATTAAAAAGTTGTAAAATATAATAAATAATATCTGATTCTTCAAAAATTCTATTATTATATTAAAAAAAAGTTGTTAGTATCCGATCTCGATAAAATTCAAGTAAGTTTTATATTTATATTTATACATACTGATTTTGATCAGTCAAACGTTTATACTTTTGATCTAGATCATCGCCATCACAATATTCAGAGATGATATGAAAGATTTGGTTGTCTTTATCATGATGATAGTCAGTTAGTTGAACAAATCTTGGATTATCTTTGAGTAATTTCATTGCTTTGATTTCATTCTCAGCTCTTTCATAAGATTTTTGATTTTCTTTATAGTTTATCTTTTTATAAATATACTTTTGTATTGATTTTGTTAGTCTTATAAAATGTTAATTGATTAAATAGATATCAAAATGATCTTACCAATCTTTTGTCAGTACCACACACTAAAAAAACATCATTGATATTATTACTGTTTGGAAATCTTGATATTAAATGATATCGTTTGTTATTAATGATATGTGATTGTTTGAAATAGTCAAGATCGTGTATGGATTGACTTTTTTGAGTATTGATTGTGTATGATTGTGATTTATTTAATAACTCTGAGTATAAAGATATGTATATGGGAGTTAATAAAAAGAAACGTATTATTATTAATTGATATTGAGTATCGACTGTATCTGGAATTTCAAGCTCATCATTTTCCTTATTAATATTTCCAATTAATATGATATTTCTGTGTTGTTCATTATCTTTATCTTTCAAATGATTATAAACTAAAACTATGTATTTCTGCATGAAACTACAAGCTCTAAATTTCAAGATCTTCTTTTCATTGATTAATCTATCTGTTTTCTCGGAATTATTAATGACATGAGATTGTTTGAAATAGTCAAGATTGGTTAGAGCTTTTTCAATATTGATTGTGTGAGATTGTGATTTGTTTACCAACTCTGCGTTAGATATAGGTATAGAATTTGACTCTATTATGGATTGCGATGATTTTATTTTTGAGATTGGTGGTTCGATTTGATTGATATTGGGTATTTTGATTGTGAATTTATCAGATTGTGTTGGTGATAAGGAGTTGATATTGTTGTTATTGTTATTATTGTTACTAATGTGTGATTGAAATTGATCATTGAATTTATGAACGATTTCCAATAATGATGAAGGAGGTGAACTATATTGTTGTAATACTTCAATATCGCTGATGCCGGAGACTTTCATATCCAATGCTTTGTTGAACCAAATCTGATCGTTTTCATTGATAAAAGATTGCAATTCTGAAGAAATGGCAATTTGTTCTAATAATGTTGCTGTTGAAACTGGTTTAGTCCTAAAATTTGAAGACGAGATGTTTCCACTTCCAATTGCATTGCTTATCTTTTGACTTTCAGCTACTCTAACCATCATACTGTTTGTAATAATTAATTCTTTAAGTTCGTTCATATTCTCCTTGATTTGCGTCTCTAGCGTCTTTCTATCCTCATCGATCAACTGCTTAAATTTGTTTTCCTGTGCAATTAGATAGTCATGTATCTCTTTAAAGTGTAGCAGTATCCTATCCTCTCTATCCATTAGCTCCTTAAACTTGTTTGTTGACGATACGATCGCTTCCCACATTGAATCTATCTTTGATTGTATGAATGATGAATATCTTTTGTAATCATTGTCAACCTTAGGTGTGCCAGATGCTTGGTTAACAGGATCATAGATACTATGCTTGATTTTAGGTTCTACTGATTCGATGTGTTGAAAGTTCTTGCTATGAGTTGGTTCCTCAGTGACATGAGTAAAAATACATAAAGGACACATCACTTTCATACATAAAAAACATATGAATTCGTGAGCTTTATTATGCTCATTACACTGTTTTTCTCTAATATCCATTGTTATTAATTAATTAAAAAGATTACTGTATGGTTGATGTAAAAAATAAAAGATATTATTTTTGAAAAAAAAAAATGGTGAAAAAAATTAAAAATTTTTATTTTTAATTTTAATTTTTTTTTAATTTTTTTTTAATTTTTTTTTTTTTCTTATTAATTTTTTTTGGTTTTGATCAAAAAAAAAAATGTCGATGTTCACAAAAAGATTCTTTTACAAACAGTTTTTGTATAGCATATTAATTTTTAAAGAGGATGATATGCAAAGAGCATGATAAGACTTGCGATAGCATATGTTTTAAATGCAACATTTTAATTTGCACAAAGTGCTATGTTGAGCACTTTCAACACCCGGAACCAGCTTTGCATATAAATCACATAGATAAGATCAAATTGTATTTATCTAATCCATTTGGATACACAGAATTAGAACCTATATTGATCAAAACGAAAAAGGAGGAAGAATGGAGCGAAGCCAAAAAATTATCCCAAAAATTTCTTTCTTTATCAGCTACCGAGAAAGATATAAGAGAGTTTTACTGTGAATTACACAATTTCCTTACTCTTCAAGAGAGCAACGAATTACAAAATATAATAGAAGAGAAAGTAATATTAGAAGAACAAATCAATAATAATATCAATAATTTAAAAGAGATAGTAAAGTTAATAGATTCTTGTAAGCTGTTGCATCCAACTTCAACAAATAGTAATAGTGATAGTAGTAATAGTGGAGATAGGCAATCAGATATGTCACAAATAGACACAGAAACACTAACGAAATCAATTTCCGAATGCCCGTCTCTTCAGACGTTTATGGAAAATCATAGGAGAACATTGTTCAATGTTCAAAATATTATCGACCAACAACTACAGCCACACAGAAATGACACCACCCCATTCACTATGGATAACATTCTCCAACAACATAACAATTCACCATCATTACTATTATTGGATATTATTCACAAGTACAGTCTGCAATTCAATCCAGCAGAAAAACTAAACAACAATAACTACAACAACAACAATAACAATAATAACAATAACAATAACAATAACAACAATAACAACAATAACATTAAACTATCTCGAAAGCCTGTTATCAATAAATTCATTTCTTCTTTTAAAAAAAAAATAGATGTATTGTTTCCAAAATACAACAATGACAATAAAGGAAGATATATATTCACCACCCACCAAGATGAAGGAGCAACGCTTATCAACACATCAAACAACAATTCAACCGAACAATTATCTTTTGGACGATGCTTTAAGCAAACCTATGCTTCAATAATTGCAATCAATGAATATATCTATGTGTTCGGTGGTTCTAGCCATCAAACTAAATGGTGTAAGATTTCAACTAAATCGAAATTAATTGATCATATTGGCGATATGAAATCAATCTCTGACGACAACACAAAGATTGAAGAAATTGAAGGTGATTGGGCTATTTCAGTTTGTTATGATGGTCAAGATCATATCTATTTGGTAAATGGTTTTAGAACAAATAGAATCGATCGATTCAACATCAAGACAATGAAATTTGAAAAATATCATAAACTGCCTGTCCATCACGGTCAACAAGTATCTTCGATGATCTTCAAAGGTAAACTATACACAATACCATTCAACAAGGATTTTATTATAGAATTTGATATTGCAAACAAAACAACGGCTATTTCTCATATTGGTACAATAGTATACACAGCCTGTAACGATAACAATGGTACCTTCTTCATACATTCAAAAGAACCAGAATTAGGTTTCATTCAGTACAATGTTGAAAACAAAAACACAATCAACCTAAGCCCAAACAATCTACACCCAGCTCCGACTAAGTCTGGAATTGTATTTTTAATGTATCACCAAGAGTCAGAAACATCAAGTTGTATCTATTCGTTTGGTGGTGTGGATAATGGTAATTTCAGATATTCGATTGCAGATAATGAATGGGAACGAATCTTTAAAGATGATAAATATTATCGGTCTCGGTGCGGATCTATATCAATTATTTTAATAAACAAAATTAATTAAACTAATAAAAATGGATAAATAATATTATAGATATAATCGATAGATAGTATTTTTTTCATATTTTTTTATTAAATAGCCGGTCAAATATATAAGGTGATGATAACTTAAGTGTTGTCAGAAGTCGGCTGCCACAATGATCCTATAAAAAGTATTGTGGTATCCTTGACCAATCAACCACCGACATAACCATTTTGACAAATATTCTGAATAAATAGAATTTAAATCTGAATATAAGGATGATTGGAGAAGCTAGTCAATACTTATGGATGAACAATCTACAAAGTAAACAATAAAATTATCTAGTCTATTCCATGGATTCGCGATTGGGTAGGAGTGAATCCACAAGCATCGGTTTGAATCTAGATCGTAATCAGGGATGTCAAACAACACTCGAAGTCTAATTCATGTTTGATGATTGATGGCGGGATTAGTGCTCGGCTACAGTTGTTTTATCGGGCTTGATTGAGGTTGGCTAGCAGATGTGTTGCCGTCTGGGTAGGTAGTTTGAAGTTGTTTTGCCGCTGGATCTCTGTTGGGTTGATGACTGGAGACTATGAGGTGGTGAATCTGGTAAAAAAAGAAATCGGTGGTACATTCTCTGGTAATGAATTAGCTAATCTTTTTCTGGCGAATCTAGCTATAAAGCATTAGTTTTGACCATGTCGCTATCATATTGAAACCAGAACTTTAATTTAATTAAAGTGTAGACAAGAGACTACCATGGTAGTCGCCAGTGACAGTCGACTTTCACCTCACATAGCAACTAGAATGTGTACGTCAAAACTAATGCTTTATAGCTATTCATATATCTAACTGTCTAGATTCTGCTGGTAAAAACTAAAAGTCTATAATTTAAAAACAACAAAAAAAAAAAAAGTATTATTATCGGTGTTATATGTTGATTATTAAGTTTGTCAGTGATAGCATACATTACTCCACGTTCATGTCAAATTATCTCCAATCGATGGATGATCCACTCTAATTGGCATTTGTGTGACTCATCTAATTACCATTGATATGCTCTTTGTCTTGACTGTCTTGACCAATGAGTGAGAATTGTCTAAACCAGCACTAAGTACGTTCGTTTTACTTGTGGAATCACTGTGATCTTAACTAATCCTAATTTTGAGATTCTAGAGAACCACCTTCACCCATTTCCATCATAGCAATAGCCTGATCATTACTTGGCGATATGTGTACAGTAACGAGTATGGCATCTTAGTTGATCAAATATTTTAATTGTCTATAGAATTAGTAATCTATAAATATAAACTTTTTTTAAGTGAATACCATACCCATACTAAACTTTGAAGTAACACTATCTTGAAATATATTGAGAAAAAGTAATTTGATTTGTTAATCTAACAATATACAATGATTTGTATGTGTATTATTTTATTTAAAATTTGAAGCTTTGGTGTTGAATTTCTCTAAGTCGTTAATAAACTTATTGCCTGATATTAATTTTTGAATGATATTAATTGATTTTAATTTTTTTGTGGTTTTTGTGGTCACAAAAAAATTTGAACTTTTTTTCATTCAAAAAAAAAAAATGTGTGAACAGCAAAGAATGTTGTGTATAATATTAGATACAAATTTTATTAAAATAAAAACTAATAAAAAATTAAAGATAATGTAAATGATATAATTACACTTATAACTGTGAAGTGTTTATTTAATTATTATTCATTCTATTACAACTGGCCACAGTGCTGTGTGATATTAATTCGATATTTGTACAGTTTAGAATTATTAGTTTATGTTTGTGTTAACTGTCAATGAAGGGTTACTGGTTTGATTGTTGTTCTGTTGTAATGATTGCGCACAGCAGAGACCCAGCCAAAAATGCTGATAACCTGCTAGATTTCTAGATTACTTTGCTATTCAGCAAAGTAAGTCATATTTGTGTTGTTTTGTGGGAATGTTGATGATGTTACTGTTATTGATTGTTGGATGATCGACCTGAAAATTTTGAAATCAATTTCATTGAATAATACCTTAAATTCATTATAAATATGCTGATCATTGATGTTGTTATTAATATTATTATTATTATTATTATTATTGTTTTTTAGGGGTTCTGTAGCTTTGAATTTCGTGTTGTATTTGAGAAGCGAATCCAATAATAATAATAAGTCATTATTGTGTTGGCTACGTAGTTGGTCGATTTCTATTTGATCCACATAGAATAAAGTTTCCCTGTTAGATTTGATAAACGAAAATAGAGACTTGCTATCTGAAATCGATTTAGTTAGAGTTTCTATAGTCGATACATGTGTTTCTGAGATATCTGATAGGTTATCTACTACATTTGTACTTTTAACTCTTTCACTATTAATACTATTGTTAGTTGAGTTTATTACATTATTTATTTCTAATATCTTTACTATCTCTTTTAATTCGTCGATTTTATTATTGATATGCCTTTTCATTATCTTTTTCTCTTTTCTTATTTCTCTTTTTTTCGAAAACTCCTGAGCCATAAAAAAATTAAATATTTCTTCGAAATACTTTTTTATTTGTTCTTCTTGAGTTGATAATGTTTTATATCTGTTGGTTGATATCTGGATTTCACTCCATAGTGATTCTTTTTTCCTCTTGATGAATACGTGTTCATCTGTTGATACTTCGTGCTCAAATGAATTATTCAAATAATCTATGATTTCTCCTATATGGTTTACAAACAATGGATGATCTCTTATGTGGCCAAGCATACATCTTGTGCACAATAATTTGTTGCAAACAAAACATATGCTCTTAAATTTTTTATTGTGCTCTGTGCAAACCATTCTAACAAAATAGTGAAAAAAATAAAAAAGATTTATCTTTGATGTGCAAATTATTTTTTTGATCACCATAAGACATTGATCAAAAAAAAAAAAAAACCAAAAAAAATTAAAAAAAATTAATATTTTTATTTTATTTAAATTTTTTTATTTAAATATTTTCAAAAAATTTTTAATTTTTTAATTTTAATTTTTAATTTTTTTTAAAAAGTTTTGAACTTAGATTTTTATTTTTTTCACAAATCAAAAAATTATCACTTTTTCCATATTTTTTTTTTTTATTAACTATTAAATAATGGATTTTAGAGATAAAAGATGCAAAGTGCATCATAAAACATATAAATTCATATGTAGTGTGTGTATGAAAATGTTGTGTCCTCAATGTATTTTCATACATGTCAGAGAGGAACCGACTCATGCCAAACAATGTCAGCACATCGATACAGTAGAGGATAATATCATGCAGAGTATCTATGATAATGATAACCAACCATCCGCCAAGGTCGAAAATGATTATTATAGTTATTCAACTTTCATATATTCAAAGAGAGATTCTGTATGGCAATCGATTAAATCGGCAACAACCAAATACCAAGAGCTGTCGGATCGCGAGAATAGTACATTACAACATTTCAAAGAGTTACAAGAGTACTTAATAGCAGAGAAAAACAAATTCAAGCTATCGATCGATAAAGATAGAAATACTCTGGAGAAGCTAATCAATGATCATTTATGCGAGCTCAAAGAATTAAATATTACAATCAATATGATGGGAAGCATAAAAAGTCAGATGATAGGCAATGCAATTGGAAGTGGAGATTTATCATCTGATACAGCTTCACAGTTTTCAACAGCATCTTTATTAAAACAAATCGCAAATTCTTCATCATTGCAATCATTTATCGATGAGAATATGGTCAATAGTGATGGTAAAGATAATACGGAATTATTGCAAAACTACAATTCACAACCTACATCATTAGTAGAGATCGTACATAAATACAATAATCAATTCCAATTGCATACTAGCAAAAACAACAACAACAACGACAATGATCAATTTCAATCACACATTAGTAACAATAATAACAATAACAACAATATCAACTCCTTATCACCAACACAATCTGATAAATTCACAATCAAAATACCCAATATCAATCAAATCGAACCACCAATCTCAAAAATAAAATCATCGCAATCCATAATAGAGTCAAATTCTATACCTATATCTAACGCAGAGTTGGTAAACAAATCACAATCTCACACAATCAATATTGAAAAAGCTCTAACCAATCTTGACTATCTCAAACAATCTCATGTCATTTATAATTCTCATAGAGAATCATTGAATCAATTATTAAACCAATATATTGAAACTATCATTGATCAACATTCAATTACATTTAATTTAAATACTACATTCAAAAACAGCTCAGTCAATATCACTGTAATTGAATTTGGTGATGAATTTAATCAACCATTGCAATCTAATTCACTCCCTCCAAATCTGACATCATTATCATTTGGATCTAATTTCAATCAAATATTATCAGTCGGTGTGTTACCTCGATCACTGAAATCATTGAAGTTTGGATATAGATTCAATCAAATATTATCAGTTGGTGTGTTACCTCAATCACTGAAATCATTGGAGTTTGGAGATGGATTCAATCAAATATTATCATTCGGAGTGTTACCTAAATCACTTGAATCATTGGAGTTTGGAGATGGATTCAATCAAATATTATCAGTTGGTGTGTTACCTGAATCACTGAAATCATTGAAATTTGGAATTTACTTCGATCAAATATTATCAGTCGGTGTGTTACCTGAATCACTGAAATCATTGGAGTTTGGATATTATTTCAATCAAATATTATCAGTTGGTGTGTTACCTGAATCACTGAAATCATTGAAATTTGGAATTTACTTCGATCAAATATTATCAGTCGGTGTGTTACCTAAATCACTTGAATTATTGGAGTTTGGATATTATTTCAATCAAATATTATCAGTCGGTGTGTTACCTGAATCACTGAAATCATTGAAATTTGGAATTTACTTCGATCAAATATTATCATTCGGTGTGTTACCTAAATCACTTGAATCATTGGAGTTTGGAGATATATTCAATCAAATATTATCAGTCGGTGTGTTACCTGAATCACTTGAATCATTGAAGTTTGGATATAGATTCAATCAAATATTATCAGTCGGTGTGTTACCTGAATCACTTGAATTATTGGAGTTTGGAGATGGATTCAAACAAATATTATCAGTTGGTGTGTTACCTGAATCACTGAAATCATTGAAATTTGGAATTTACTTCGATCAAATATTATCATTCGGTGTGTTACCTAAATCACTTGAATCATTGGAGTTTGGAGATATATTCAATCAAATATTATCAGTCGGTGTGTTACCTGAATCACTTGAATCATTGAAGTTTGGATATAGATTCAATCAAATATTATCAGTCGGTGTGTTACCTGAATCACTTGAATCATTGGAGTTTGGAGATGGATTCAAACAAATATTATCAGTTGGTGTGTTACCTGAATCACTGAAATCATTGAAATTTGGAATTTACTTCGATCAAATATTATCAGTCGGTGTGTTACCTAAATCACTTGAATCATTGGTGTTTGGAGATATATTCAATCAAATATTATCAGTTGGTGTGTTACCTAAATCACTTGAATCATTGGTGTTTGGCTGTGAATTCAATCAAATATTATCAGTCGGTGTACTTCCATCATCACTTCGGAGATTATCGCTTTCTAGTAAATATATAACGAGTAGCTATTTTGGAATGACTTTACCACAATCAATGATAACATTCATTATTGGTATAGATCACAAAGACTCAAAGAATGAAAACAAATTACTTTCAAATCTAAAAACACTTGAAATTTATCTTGGTGTCGACAACCAAAAAATACAAGCATTGGTGTTAACCAATTCAAATGATTCACTTGAATTTATCAAAGAATTCTATCCTGATTATTATTCAAAACGCAATTTATCAAAGATAGACTTTGTGGACTCTCATAACAATCAAATTTCAGGAGAATTCATCACTGCTCTACTTTTAACAAAACAGAAATAAACTTTTTTAAATAAGATATTTAATTCAATATTGTCTAATTTTTTTATTATGATAATAGCTTTTTTGATTAATTTAAGAAAAAAAATCTTATAGATAGATTAAAAAAAACAATTTATTTCAATTATAATAATTATTATTTTATCTTAATTGGTATCATTTAAATAAACTTGGTAATATCTGTATGTTATCCTACCTAATAATTTGCAATTGATTGGAAATTGGGTTTTGGTTATACTGGTAATATCCTCAATAGTTGGTGGGTATTGTTAGTTCCGCCGATGAAGCTATCAACTAGAAGAGTTGTTTATCATCGACATAGTGGTAGCTTTTTTGTAACGACACCGACATGAGAATCTTATTAGAACAATCTAGGTACCACTACATTGTTAACCAACCAAAGAATTTGTTTTGAGAATGTTTTCGCTTTATACTCTTCATACTTTGGTCTGATAGAGATTTCAAGTAGCTCTCGATTCTATTTTGAAATTCTCATTTGATTCAGTATCGAAATTGCTATGAAATGCTGGTGGGATAGATGGTCTTCCTCTTCCTGAGTAGGTATTGGAGGAACTGATCCCAGACTTAGTTGTGCATATAATTTTTCTTAGTTGACCATACTCGGATTAAATGTTAGTTGTCATAGTCCTCAGCTCTTTGTTGTTCCTTGATTGTGTATTGTTTAAACAAATTATAAAACTATTTAATATAAGATTTTATTATTTATATTTATCATCGCCATGGTTTCGTTGGTTGGAATTCACACATTGCACTGTCACCGGTCTTCAACAACGGTTCGTTCTCATCCTTTGGAATGACAGCACCGCTACGACGATCGACCTTATCGATAATGTTTATCAAACGACATGCAATGTGTGAGGTGTGACAATCTACGACCGGTGTGTATCCAACATGGATTTGACTGGGATGATTGACAACGATGATTTGTGCTACGAATCTTTCGCATTCCGCTGGTGGATCGACAGTTGTCGCCATTCCAAGCAGACAGTGGAATGAATGGAATCTTCTCAGGATTGTAACCGATCTTCTTGATGAAACCGGATGTATCCTTGACAATCTCATTGAAACGTGACTCTGAGTAGTTGGTTGTCTTTTCGTCGTCCATCTTGTTGACTGCGAAAATCAATTGTCGGACCGAGTGTGTAGGCCAAGAGAGCATGCTCACGAGTCGAACCCTTACGATCGATACCGGCTTCAAACTCACCCTTGACCGAGGAGACAACCAATACTGCACAGTCGGCTTGTGACGATCCGGTGATCATGTTCTTGATGAAATCCTTGTGGCCTGGAGCATCAATGATCGTTACATCGTATCGGTCAATGTCGAATCTCATGAGAGAGCAATCGATAGTGATACCACGCTCACGCTCCGACTTGAGATTGTCCATCACCCAAGCAAAGTTCCCTTTCCCTATTTGAGCGGATTGCTGTTCATACTGCTCCATTGTTCGCTTGTCAACTCCACCACATTTATAAATTAAATGTCCACTCAATGTTGATTTTCCTAGTATATGTTTAATATATTAATATTTATTTAAAGTATGTACTTATTTAGTAAAGTATAGTATTGTTACTTACCGGCATCAACATGACCAATCACTACAAATATTGATACATGGTTTATCTTTTCACATTTTAGATTGTTGTTTTTGATGTTATTTATTATTGATTAAAGTGATGTTTGATATGTGTTAATTACGATAAGGATCTTCTTACTAAAGATGTACATATTATTGATATATTAAACTGATTTATGATTTGATAAACTAACAAACAAATAAGATTATTTATACTTTAAAACCTTAAGCTAAAATCTAAATTGAAAAAAAAGAATGTTAGTGTTCCGATATTTTTCATTTCATAAGTTCTCAAGAGAGAAGTAAATAAAATGGTGGTATACATTGATTCTGAGTTTAATAACAAACAATCGTTCAACCAAGTTTACTTTTGATAAAAAAGAGTAAAAATAGTAGATTTCCTGATACATACAACCTTATCATAAATGTTTTACTGTATTTAAGCAACTCTGTATCGGGAACACTTATTGAATGGTAAAGATTTTCTTGTTTAACTTTTAGCTATTCTTGTTGTTGTTACTGTTGTTGTGGTGCATGTTGATGTAGATAGTGTGTTGGTACACCTGCAGCTCTCTGAAAACTCTATAATTCCACTTCATCTATAAAGTCTATTAAATTGAAAGGAATAATTAGATTATAATAAATATTTTACATCAGTCTATTTAAATTATTGTAGACAGAATATAATAAAGTAGATTATTGTTTGAATTGAAGAAAACAAAAAAAAAAAAATTTGGTTTAGCAAAGATATTTTGTTTTAACGTTACCATACATTTTTTCATTGGATCTAAAAAGTTTGAAGAATTTGATTAACTTCAGAAACAACAAATTTACAGTCTAATAAAAAATCTTAAATTTATCTTTTTTTTTTTTCAAGGTAACGTTGTTTAGACTGCATTTTTCACTATTCCTATTTAAAAAAAATTATTAATATTATATTTATCTTTTTTTTATTATTATTATTTTATATAGAAGATGGATAGTAGAGTACAGCCAACGCAGCAGTCTCTGCAATCATTAAATAGGAAGACTGAAACTGATAGTAGTAACGATAGCGATCATGATAATAATGAAGAAGAATTCCATTTCCCTAAAACCATTAGATCAGTGTGGGAATCATTAAAATCATCGACTTCTCGATATCAATCATTATCATCAACAGAGAATGAGATATCGAAATTCTTTGAAAAATTACATCAATATCTAATCATTGAGGAACATAAATTAAAGAAAGATATAATCAATGAAAAAGATATTATCATTAATCAAATAGATAATAATATTAATCATTTGAAATATTTAGTTCAAATTATAAATATAAATAATAAATTAAATAACAGTAATAACGATGATAGTAGTTCTGATAATGAAGATAACATTTATGCGAGTAGTAATAGTTATGATAATCAATCAATAGTTACAGATACTATAGAACAATATTCTACAACAACAATAATGGAATCAATCTTGACAAGTTCAACATTAAAATCATTCATCACTGATAATAATCAAACATTGTTCAATGAACATCATGATCCTTTCAATTTTGATGAACTTATCAAACAACACAACAATGATTCATCATCATTATTATTGGATATCATTAATAAATACAAAAATCAAATCACTTCAATATAACAATAACCATTCATCGGAAGATTATAAATTAATCATAAAACAACCTGATTTCAGCCAACTGAAATCAATCATCAAACAATCAATCAAATTAGAAAAGATTGCTACATCGTTAGCATCGATAAACAACCATTCGATCTAAGAATTCGAAATTGTTAAAGATAATAAATCATCATATATTTTCACAACACACAAATCAGAAGGAGTAACACTTATCAACACTACAAACAACGATTCAATTGAAGAATTCAAACTAAGTTATAATAATATTTATACATACCAATCGATTGTTTCCATTGGTGAATATATCTATGTATTCGGTGGTTATGACAATGAATATAAATGGATGAAATTCTCGATTAAATCGAAATCAGTTGAACATTGCGGTGAAATCGAAGGAATCGAAGGAGATTATTGCATATCAGTTTGTTATGATGGTCAAGATCATATCTATTTGATTAATGGTGTCAATGTAGATAATAGAATCGATCGATTTAACATCAAGACAATGAAATTTGAGAATTGCTTGTTGCCCACACCATACGGAACACAGATATTTTCAATGATTTATAAAGGCTCTTTATATAGCATACCATTCAATGTAAATAATATTTTTCATTTGGATTTGACGGATAAAAGAAAGAAAAAATATCATCCAATTAACATTGCATCGTTCTCGGCATGTCACGATAGCAATGGTACTTTCTACATCTACGATCAAAATCACAAACGGTTCATCAAATACAATGTTGAAGAAAGAGAGGTAACCGAACTCAATGCTATTCCTTCAAAGAATGATAATGCATTGTTGATGTATCATAGAGAATCATCAATATCTAGTTTTATCTATTCATTTGGTGGTGCTAAATATGGTAATTTTAAATATTCAATTGAAGAGGAACAATGGGAACCATTCTTAAAAGATGATAAATATGACAGATATGGTTATCCATCTGTATCTATCACATTTTAAAATATAACACTCAACTAAATTAGTTACTAAAATTCAATTGGATTAATAAAAACCTTTATCTTTTATTTTAAAATATTATTTTATGCTATATTAGATTATTAAATAAAGGTTTTAAATAATTACTATTAGTTATTGTTTCAATTTATATATAATTTTTTAGATTTCTTTCAAAATTCTCTCTAACATTTTAAAATTTTTATAAAATTTTTTAGGAATGTGTACTATCCTTTTTGATTAGTACTTTCAAATGCTACGATAGAAAAGTTTAATCATCGTTGGCACAGAGATTTAAGAGGATCGATAATTACTAGATTTTATCGTCGCAATAATAAAAAATACATTAACAGAAACCGATACTCTAGAAGAAAATCGAATGAAAAAGATTGGCCAGTTTCCTCGACTCTTAGCTGTAAATCAGTAAGTTCGGCTTCACGAATGATTTTGTTGCTAATTGTAGTATCAGACCATGATGGAAATACTCTAAGCTCTACCCTTTTCTCTAGTCTTCTATTGAACCCATAAGTGAGAACTGTTTATGGCACCAATACAGATATAGTTTCTTGCCTCATTCAGCTAGTAAATGTCTTCGATTTTCTTCTAGAGATTATCGGTTGCTGTTAATGTATTATTGTTAATGCGACGATAATATCAACAACAACACCTACAACAACTACATGAGATTATATTTTAACAAAATTCAAAAACAACAACAACAAGATCATCAAACACAAGAGTAACAAACAGAACAACAACTACACCCGTAGGTAAAAAGATGAAAAACAACCACCAGTTAAAAACACAATCACCAAGCGATACTACTAGTCTCTACCAACAACTACATGAGATAATTCAACATCATCAACATCATCATCATCAAACACAAGAACAACAAACACAACCCAAAACAATGATAACAAAGTCACTAACAACTAATGGAGTATAAAAATAAAACTAATACATCTATTAATTAGATGCATTATCATCAATCTATTTAACACATGATAAAAAATGTTTGTTGGTCGGTGCAATGAATTCATCGATTCAGTTGTTGGAGAAGAATTGTTATTCTAAAATCTATGAGTTTGTTGTATAGATTTAAAAGATTCTGATGATTCCAAAAACTTTTTTTGATTTAGATAATTATTGAAACTTATATATGAACTTCCAAATATTTATCAATTTTTTGAGTATTAATCGATTATTAATTAAACAACTTGATTTCGACCAAATTTAATAATCAATCAATTATAAATATCTTTTACATCAAAGTATTATTTATTTCCAAATAACAGTATATTGATCAGGCTCTGCTATCTCGGACAGTAACTTCTCTACTACATCCATTCCAACCGATAATATACAACAAATTTCATCGAAGCTCTTGTTACCATTTAATAATCGTTTCTTATCGTTCTGAGGTAGTTTCTCCAACAATTTAAGATTGTTTAGAATTGGATATCTCTGTTTTCTTCTGAGGAATCCATTGATGACACCGAATATAATAAAAGATCGTTCATCTATTCCCAACGACGTCAATTCATTCTCTGTACAATACTCTCTGAACGGTGTATCGGTACTCATATTGGCATACAACATGAAGATCGTCTCGAACGAGCAAATCGTACTGCCAGGTGTTGTTATAAACGCTGAACATTCACTCTGCATATCTAAATTCGATGCCAATTTTCTTATCAACGGTGTTGGATTATATATATTTGAATATTGAAATATATCAACCATTTTAACAATACTATAATATCTATATATAAATTATCAATCAATTAGTTAGTTAGTTAATAAAAAATAAGTATTACATATTTATTATAAACACTTACACTAAATGTTTTATACAAGATTTAACAAGATTAATATCGATTTCAGTTAGTTTTGATATTCTACTGACATAGTTGACACCGTCGATATACGGTAGTATCTGTAGTAGTGTTAGATCCCATTCCGATGCATTGGAAGTGTCGATCTCTTCGATGAGTACAGGTACTTGATGGTCTAGTATCTCTATTGGTTCAGGTGGTTTGTTGAATAGCTTTACGTTGATAGTGTTGGCATCGTCCACCGTTATAGTGCTCTCACCATAGCTATTCAACTCTATATACAAAGTCTCTAGAATCTTTAATAGATCTGGTTGATCTCTAACTTTTGATTGATTAAATAAGTATTCTGTTTCTGTCTAGTAGAATAAACAACAAACATTAAAATTTAAAGTTAATTAACTATAAATCTCTATTTATAATGATTATGGTTATACATACCTCTAATGTTCTAAGTATTGTACCTAACTTTCTTATTATATTATGATAGATAGTTGTATCTGTATGTTTATCGAATACCATTGCCAAGTTGAATAGTAATGCATTTCTATGATATTTTACATCTTGTAATAACACTGGATAACCAAGTATCTTATAGTCGAATGCAGTCAAAGTGATTACTTTTCCACACAACTTTGGTTTCGGTATAATAAACTCGGCAAATCCTTCAAATACATCATTAGCTATAAATCTATATTATTAATTAAAAAACTTATAAGTTAAACATCATATATATATATATCTAATCTACATTTATTTTATTAATTAAAAATAAAAAAAATAAAAAATAAATAAATATAATAATTATAGTTAACTACCTACCCTTCAGGATATTGATAAAATATCTTTGTACCATATATATTATGAAATTCACTATAGAATATACATTTAATGGGTCCTTCCATTGATCATATTATATGATATGTTTGAAGTCATTTATTAAATTTTGTAAACCAAAAAAAAAAATTTAAAAAAAAATACTGCAATTTTCTAAAAAAAAAAAAAAATATCATTTTTAATAATAATTTAAATGTAACAAACATACACTCGACGATATATATATAATATAATAATATGTTAAAATGAAAGATACATCAAATTCTATAGATAGTAATAATAATAGTAAAGATGATAACAATATAAATAGTATAGATAATAATGATAATAATAAAAATATAGATAAAAATAATAAAAATGAAAATGAAATGAATATTGATTTAAAAACAGAAAGTAGTAGTAATAATAGTAATAATAGTAATGATGATGATAGTAATAACAATAATAATAATAAAAATCAAAATAAACAACAAACAACAGTTAGTTCAACAACACCAGTACTGAATACAACATCTCTGACATCTAGTCAATTGATAAATTCATCTAGTTCAATTGGCAATACACCATCACTGCACGGTGGTAGTGGTGTGCTGTTTATATTGAAGGATTCAGAGATTGTTCGGTTGTTCTCGCAAGTACCGAAGGAAACGATAGTCAATTGTATAAAGTCGGTCAGTCAGATGTACCATCTAACGATTGACGAGACCATAGAGAAAGTACCAAAGTTAAAGTTACTACACGTCGTCAATGAGTGTATCGGTTTCACTGGTATCGATGACTTTACCGGATGTCTGCAACCCAGTATCTACCCGGCGTTACTCTCGCTACTCGGCTCGCCAGAGGTGCTCGTCAACCATGCATTCCTGCGCGTCGATCCTGCTGCCGCCGACGAACATCGTCTCTCTTTCTACCAACTCCTATCGTCGCACATCAAACGTAGAGGAATTAACTGGTTACTCGACAACTCTGACGATTCAATGAAGTTACAGTATTGTCAATCTTTAAAGTTAGATTATACCGAACCAGCAACAACAGCAACAACAACGACGACGACGACAACTAATACAACTACAACAGCAACAGCAACAACAATAACTATAAGTAATAAGATAAAAGATGAAATAATAATGAGAGGAACAGAGTCGTTTTTGAAGAATGTAAAGGCACCGGTGGTTCGTGCTGTGGCCGAAGGTTTGAAGATTAACAAGGTTGGAAGCAAGGAGTTGATTATCGATAAGATATTGGAGACTATCTTTAACTTTAGACAGTTGAACAGTGCAGAGAAGGAGGATAGCGATGATGGATCACCGTTAGAGTTGTCTATAATATCGTTGTCGCCACACTCCACACCAGAGACTATGATCGAGGACCAAGAGGAAGAGTCAACTCCGTCACCACCACCAACAACAACAGCACCAGTAACACCAGTAACACCATCAACACCATCATCATCATCATCAACTACCACAACAAATACTACTACCACTTCTACACCTAATAGAAGAGCATCTACAGCAGCAGCTATAGCAGCAGCGAACAACTTTACCGGTACAACAAAGGTAAAGATACCTCTTAAAAACTTTTCAACAACTATCACTACGGCAGCGGCAGCAGCAGCGGCGGCAGCATCTTCGTCATCATCTTCATCTTCCTCAGCAACATCAACAACTTCCAGTCCTATTAAATTAACTAAATATCAACAACAACAACAAAAATTACAACAGCAACAGCAACAACAGCAGCAACAAGAAAAACAACAAAAGCAACAATCAATTAAAGAAAAGAAAATAGTGGAAGAAGATGCAAGACCAGAGTTAAATGCATTTGGAAGAGTAAAGAGAAAACAGAAATTGAATATGAAGTACTTTAATTCCGATGATGAACAAGTCAATGTCGAGCATGAAGAGAAACCCGTTCTTCCTAGCCGTACGGCTATGAAGGAGATGACACCATCAAAGAAAAGTACACCAGTAGTAGAGAGCAGCAGTGACGAAGAGGAGAATGTCGATGCCGAGGAATCAGACGATGAGAATTCCGATAACGATGAAAAGAGCAGCGATAACAGTGACAATGAAGAAGAGTCCGGTGCCGAAAACAATGAAGATCAAGAGGATTCGGACGACGAGGAATCAGATGAGGGAGTAGAGCAACAAGCAAAACCAAAGAGAAAGAGAAAACCAACCGAATCAACCATGAACCCATTGTCATTGATAGTTAAAGGAATTTCAAGAGAACAACTTCATACTTTGTAAGTATATTAATACCCTCACTCTTATTATCAACTAAATTACTAACCAATTAATCACTGTTGTATAATAAAATATTAATATCTAGATTCCATGCACCAGATCTAAAAGCATATTGTAAATTAAATTCATTAAGATCAACAGGTTCAAAGAGAGATATAATGAGGAGAATTTTATTATTTTTAAAGCGAGGAACAAACACCAATAAACAAAAAAATAAAGTGGTTCCATCTCCAACACCATCGTCAGCCTCTGACGGTACAACTACTACAACAACAACACAAACCACGACAACACCTCAAAAGTCAAGGAGAGAAAAAAAGAAGAAAAGGAGAAGAGCTTATTAATAAAAAAATATAATAACTATTTACGAATTTTTGAAATAGTTTTAACAAATCATTATAAAAAAATTGTTGTTAGTTAACAATATACATCAAATTGGTCACTATTTTTAAATTGAAATTACCATGATAATAACAATTGAATAACCTTTTGTCAGTTTTTTCCAATTCCCACAATATCACTCTCTCCATCATGACCTTTCATTCTAGATATATTTTCTTTATCTAAAGCATTCTATTAATGTTTGATTTTAGTATTTATTAAAATGATTCTTTCTAATCGAAATATAACTTACATTATTGCTATTGCCACCTTCAACTTCACTATTTTCGCTTTCACAGCCATTACTCATGATATTCAGCTCCATTATTAATTTATGTGTGTTGGGTTTTTTTTATACTTATTAATTATTGGTTAATAAGTATACTTATTTTATCTAATTTTAATATACTGTCTTGATATTTTTTTAAATAAATAATAAAGAAGGTTAGAATGGATTCCAAAAAATATTAAAATATTAAACTATCACTGTTTTATACTTTTAATAAATAAAAAAGTTTATTTTCAATCTTGAAATTTTTTATGAACAGATTGATAGATATTTTTGATTCTCACTTCAATGTCTCAACATTAATTGGTTCTTTGCGTAGAATGGTTATTGTTGTTGTTGCTGTTGGTGTTGTTGTTGTTTTTATTAATCTTTTTTAGGCCTGTTGTTGTTGTTGCTACTGTTGTTTGATGATTGTACGAACAAGGGATATATTAATTCTGTACCAAGGAGTCCACAAACTACTTTGATCAAAAGGTGCAGTAAGATTTAAAGTAGAGGAAACTGGAGAAAATGTAGGTAAGATTTGAGCAAATGAAGATACTATTCTATCAAAAAAAGTTTTATCCTAATATTAAAAATTAATAAATAAATTTTAAATGAAATTAAATATTAAATTACTTTTTTATGATTTATCTCTATTTTCCTTGGTCCTGTAAATCGAAATAATGATGTCCCACATTTTCACCTGTTTCCTCTACTTTAAATCTTACTGCACCTAATTTATACAAAATTAAAACCTTTTTTTTTGATATATAATAAATAGTATAACAGATAATTAGAATATAAATAAAATTTTATCAGTATATATATTTAATAATAATTTTTGAAATTCAAATTTTTTTTGATGTATGTATTTACACAAACTAAATTATTGTTTAATGATGTCAAAAAAACCCAAAAATAATTATGAAGGTAGGTAGAAAATTTTTTTAAATAGGATATGAACACATATTCTTTTAGTTTTACTTTAGTTGTTATAAATATTAAGGATATTTATGATTCTCTATGATACTTCAACAAATAGTCTCACACCAAACTAAGAGACATCAACCATCTTATTGATATTGATTTCTATTCTATTCATACTTAAGTAGTTTCTTCAAGTTTGTTAAGATTGGCACCAAAAAACAATCAAGTAAGATATCGCAACTATTGATATTAGGTTTTAAAGTTATTACACTAAGTATATATATTTAATATTGTAATATCTACATGTTAAGGTGTTTTTCTTTAGATTGAAATCTTTGACTTAAAGGAAGAATTACAACTTTAATTTGAGCAGCAATAGTTATAGAGAACAATTATTGTAAGTTTGTTAAACTCTTTTACAGTATTATTAATAAAATGTACTTATAACTATTTATTTTAACTGACAATACTAATTAAAAGTCTAGGATTAAAAAAAAAAGAGAAGGGATTAAAAAATAACCATTTAATAACTTTAAATTGATAGTTTATTAATATTTAATTGATCTACATCCACAATATTCTCTTTCTAATTTGTCATCTCTAAAGAATGTTTCCCATTGATTGTCTTCGATTGAATATTTGAAATTACCTGAATCTACACCAATCAAAGAATAGATATAACTTGAGATTGATGATACACTAAATTCATCTCATAAGCTTCAACATGAGAAATAAGATTGATTGTTTGGTTTCAACATCGTATTTGATGAATCGTTTGTTTTCAATATCGTAAATAAAGATATTTCCATTGTTATCATTACATGCAGAGATTGGTCTAATTTCATAATCGACGTCGATTTTGTTTTCAGTAAACGTTCTATTAGTCAAATCCATTTGAATCATCATATTCTCTCTGAATGGTATTGAATATAATGAATCGTTAAAGATCATTGTTGATTGCGTAAGTTGTAGATTGTTAGAGCGATCAAAAATTTTGAATTTAATTGTCTTTATGATTCAAAATCATAATCAATATTGAATTCTTTGACTGAATCGTTGTCTTATAAGTTAATAAGTGTTGCTCCTCTTGATTTATGTGCTGAGAATAGGTAAAACAGTAATAATAATAATAGCAAAGATAATGATGATGATGATGAAGAATCAGAGTTATCAAAAACAATCAAATATATATGGAAATCATTAAAATCAATGACATCTCATCGATGTCAAACATTATCATTAGCCGAGAATGTGATTAAACAACACTTTGAAGAATTACATCAATATCTTGTAATTGCCTATGTTGAATGACTTTAGTGATGAAGGTAGATAGTTATCATTGTCCGATTCTTCCAGGTGCTACAACCTACTCTAAAGTAATTACGGTTCGGTGCCAACTATAATCATTTTCCAAATGTTAAAGACCCAAATAATTCCTCTTGAATAGATCCTTGGTGTACAGTCTCATTAAAGTCATTGTCAAAAGTCAGCTCCAAATCTTGTGAATCACTTTCACTCGTTGTATATTGATTTTTTGATTGTATCATTGAATAAAAAATTATAGAATAACAAAATGATGAAAAAAAATGGTTTTGATTAATTTAAAATGAAAATAAACAATTTAAATTTCATCATTGTTAAAAAGAAAAAAAGATCTTGATTTTCACCCGAATAATGCTATAATGCGAATTTTTATTTCTTTTTTTTAGGTAATTTTATTTGTTTTAAATAAAACGATTTCAGGTGTCGATTCACCTTTAAGGTCAAACACAACTGAATAAAGATGATCTTTCACAATTAGATATATATACTAATGTGCTTTACATGTTGTATTGGGGATTATTTATTTTTAGTTGTAATATCACACAAATCTAATTGATTGAAAAAAGAAAAATAATACTAAAAAAAAAATAAAGTAGTTATATATTTGCTTTTTATAGCAATAAAATGGGTTGTTGTGATTTAGATCGTGATAAAACCCAACCTACACTTTTTATTTTCCTCTTTTCATTATTTATTTTAATTTATCAAAAAAAAAATAACATAGATAAAGATATCCTAAAAAATGCTTTTTGTTTTATTATTATATTGAAGAGGAACAGTTCTAAATGATACACCAGGACGCTCAGGAATAGGATTCATACAATATGATATCCAACTGTTGCAACAGGAGCTTAATGGACTTCCGCCTCGTTCTGCTCAATTAAATATTCAAGGAACCCTAGATCTTCAGAACAAACTACAATCACTCCAATGGCGGAAGTCTATTAAGCTCCTGTTGCAACAGTTGGATATCATATTGTATCTGATTAATTTCATTGTTGACAGCATTTATCTGACCATGTACATTTGGGTGGTGTTGATTTACAAGTAGATTGGTTCTGCAATAGAGATGTATATTACGATCGGGTCCATCATTCAATATCCCAGATTCAACTCCTGCCATTATCCAGTCAATCATTTTAACTTGTTGAAAATCCAATCTGTTATTCTGAGAATGAGGGTTGTAAGAGAGTACTTCTACAATAAAGTTTGGTGGATGGGGACTGATATGATTATTTTGAATATTTGGGGGTCAAGATTATATATAGAATGAGTTTTGAATGCTACATCATGATGACTATATTATAGTATTGTTAATAATATTCGAATAATAAATTAACAATTATAACATACTAATGTGCATTTATATGTAATAGTCGAAACTCTGATTGTTCATTACAAACAACTCCAAGGTTGTTCTGATCATTCCAATTTGAAACCTTATGTGGTTAATGTTAATTTTTGAATGATTTTTGTTTATTAATTTTAATTTTTTTTTTTGTGTAATAATAAGGTAGTTATAGAACTCTACAATTTACCAGATAAAAGATTCAGTTAGTTGGTGTATCAAAAAGTAGCATTGATATTATTCTAGATGAATACCTTGTTCATAATCCGTTGACCCATCCAAACTCCACTAAATTCCTACGACCATTTGATAGGATAATAATCACAATGTTTACATACAGGATTTTTATTTAGGATCTCAAGAACTACAGTTAATAGAGTTAAAATGGCCATGATTGAATATTTATCAAGTAGAGTTTATACAAACGAATATCTCCTCCTCAACCTACATTGATAAATCGATACACACACTCTAACTCTATACAAAGAACTGATAGTTATAATTCTGATCTATCAAATAGAGATAGTGAAGTTTTATTTCTGTAACGATAATATTATTGGTTCAGTGGATGGTACAGAAGTAAGAATTGAATAGCCACTTGACTTAAGATTGGATATTGTTTTATTCAGATAAGAAAAAGCAACATAGTATCACTAGATTGTTTATTGTATCTATCGCTTCTGGTACAATCTAATACATGTCAAAGGCCTTTCCTGGTAGAGTTAAAGATGATGCCATTATTCACATACCATGAGTGGCGTCATATATCTTGACAAAGGAGATCTTATTGGGTGACAATGGTTTTAGAGGAATGGAGGCTTTCAATATTATAAACACTGGTGGAATTGAAATGCCTTTATCGAATTTACATTCAAAGTATCGTGTGATTGTTGAGAATCTTCTTGGTAGAAGCAAAGTATTCAAATGTCTTTCTGAATGTTTAGATACCCGGGTAGATTGAATGAAGTTCAAATATGTAATCTAAATGACCACTATTGGAGAGCTGGTTGTCTATGTTTATTTCGATATAAAAAGAACTTGTGTAAGAAGTATATTCTCTAAAATCAATTATATATAATCATTTATAATAATAAACAACAAAAAACGATTATTATTTAATAAAAACGATGTATTAATACTATTAATAAATCATAGAAACCCTTTGATATTATTATATATGAAATTTTATTTATTATTAATAATTCTTTAAATATTGAAATACTCTTTATTTATTTATATATTTTGTCTTATTATTGTTGAGATTGGTTAACTTTAAATTATTTGTTAATATGTAATTGATACACATGCACATGTATCTCTATTGAAATCGTCATCTCTAAAGAATCGTTCACACCTATCTTCTTCAATCGAATATTTGAAATTACCAATTTCATGACCACCCATTGAATAGATATAGCTTGATGTCTCCGATTCTCGAATATACATTAGATTACCTCTTTTGACAGGAATCTGGCTGAGCCTAGTCGATTGTCTGGTTTCGACGTTGTATCTGATGAATTGGTCCTTATTGAATATGAAGAAATTACCATTGCCGTCGTTACACGCTGAAATGGCGCAGGTGGCAATCCTGTGTTCTACGATCGTTTTGTTGGCCAAGTTGAATTCGAATACATAGAGATCATCGTATGGCACTATATATAACGAACCTTTGTAGATCATTGTCGATACTTGGCAATCGTCGAACACCCACGGTAATTTATGATAGGCTTCGAATTGCAAGGTCCTAATGTTGAATCGATCGATACGATCGTTTCTAGGATTACCGCCCATCAAATAGATATGGTCTTGGCCGTCGTAACAAGCAGCTATAAATGCACCACCCTCAATCACCTCGGTATTGGCAATGAGCTCAATCGATTTCGATCTCATTGAGAACCTCACCCACTTCAATGGATTTCCTTGGCCCCCGAATACATAGATATGTTCACCAATCGAGACAATCGATGAAGTCGTACAATGAAAATCATAATCCAACTTGATCTGCTCGATTACGTTGTTGTTTGTTGTGTTGATAAGTGTTACACCTCTTTGACGGTGTGTCGAGAATATATATGATGATTTATTATTATTATTATTATCTATTGTTAATTTATTTTGAATTGTTTTTGATAATTGTGATTCATCTTTATTTTCGTTATTATTATTATTACTATTATTATCTACTAGTTCACAATGAATAGTATGATCAAGTTGTTGTTTACAATGATCAAGAGTGCATGCTGAACACATCAATATATTACATTTATGACAAATATATTTTAATGTCTTTGAATGTTTTGTGCATTTAGTTGTCATTCTATAATTATTCGTTCTACAAAATAAATAAAATGTAAAACCTTCAAAATTTTTCTGCTATAAAACAAAGATTATTTTGAAAAAAATCTAAAAAATTATTTAATTTTTTAATGGTTTTTTGAGTTTTGCAAAGATATTTAAAAATATCTTTCTTGGATATCAAAAAATTATGATTTTTTATTTTTTGGGTTAGTTCGTGCATTAAAATTTTATATTTTTATTCGTTTATCTCTAAGAAACACCAACTTTCCTCAATTTGTAGAATGATTCTTGAAATTTACACTGTAGGAGTGATAATTATCTAATTTATTACTAATAATTATAATTAATATTATTATTTAAAACTAACACATTTTCAAAAAACAAATTTTGAACTAACACTTGTTTTGATCAGAGCTAATTATAGGCTTTTTTTTAATAGGTATGTTAAAAATTTAATTTAAAAAAAAAGTGCTGTTTCAAGTTTAATTTGGTTTTTTTTTTTTTATATTTTATTTTATATATTAATACTTTTATACTTATATAAAATAAAATATAAACGATATATATATATAAAATAATAAATTTATTTGTTTTTTTATAACAAAATTATAAAACAAAAATTATCATGAAGTGTAAAAACGATCATAAAATCCAATTTATTTGCCAAAAATGCAATGAACTGATGTGTTCAGCTTGCATTCTCGAACATTGTGAGCAACAACCAGATCATATCACCCATTGTCTACATATCACCAAGATAAAGTTATTATTAGATAATATCATTGATAATATTGGCGAGAGTAGTAGTAATAATGAAAATACAGAATCAGAATTCATAAAGTCTACGAAATCGATTTGGAAATCATTAAAAGCATCGACATCTCGATATCAATCATTATCAGCAAAAGAGAATGAGATTAAACAATACTTTGAACAATTACATCAATATCTTGTAATTGAAGAACATAAACTAAAGAAAGATATCATAAATGATAAAGATAAAATCATTAATCAAATAGATAATAGTTTAAACAATTTGAAATATTTAGTTAATATTATAAATATAAATAATAAATTAAATTGTAGTAGCGATGATAATAATGATAATGATAGTGCAGATAACGGCTATGATAGTCAGTCAATAATCGAAGATACAACAGATCTCTATTCAATAACAACAATAATGCAATCAATCACAACTAGTTTATCATTACAATCATTTATTTTAGATAATAATCAAACATTGTTTAAATATGATAAAAATAATAATTATTTCAATATTGATGAACTTCTTAAACAACACCACAATGATTCATCATCGTTATTATTGGATATCATTCATAAATACAACAATCAATACAATAAAACAACGGAAGTCACAGATAGTAATAAAAATCATTCAACCTATGAATTATCTATAAAACAATTTGATTTCAATCAATTAAATTCTATGATCAATCAGACAATCAAAATAGATAAAATAGAAACATCAATCCAATCAACATCACCAACAAAAGCAAATAAAAATGATATATCTGCACAGTCATCACCAATAAAAACAATAACAACAACAAACAACAATGAAAATAAATCATCATACATTTTCACAACACACATATTAAAAGGAGCAACATTAATAGATATATCAAACAACAATTCAATCGAACAATTTAATTTTGATTATGATTTTTATTGTACATACCAATCGATTATATCAATTGGTGAACATATCTATATATTCGGTGGTATGAAGAATTCAAACAAATGGATGAAATTCTCAATTAGATCGAAATCAGTTGAATATATTGGTAAAATGGAAGGTATTGACGGTGATTTTGGAATATCAGTTTGTTATGATGGTCAAGATCATATCTATTTGGTAAATGGTTTTGGAACAAATAGAATCGATCGTTTCAACATCACGACAATGCAATTTGAGAGATATCATAAACTGCCTGAAGACTATGGTCACTCGTTGATATCAACAATGATCTTCAAAGGTTTATTATATGCGATATCTTATGATAAAAACTTGGTTTTTCAATTCGATTTAACAAGTAAAACTATAAAAAATCATCATCAAATTGACATTAAAGCACACACAGCATGCCATGATAACAATGGAAATTTCTATATATACGATAATATAATCAGAAGATTTATAAAATACAATGTTGAAAACCAAAAAACAATCAAACTTAGTACTATCCCGGCAAAACAAGGTGATGTTTATTTGATGTATCATCGAGAATCATCAACATCAAGTTATATCTATTCATTTGGTGGTGTTAAGTATGGTAATTTCAAATATTCAATCGAAGCAGATCAACATAAACCATTCTTTAAAGAGGATAAATTTAATAGAGGTTGGTGTGCTTCTATATCAATAACATATTATTAATTACAAACAAAATTTTGCAAATAAAACATTGTTTAAAAAACAAAAGAAAAATTTATGAAATAAATTACAAACAAAACGTGAAAATGAATAACAATTTCATCAATAGTCAGGATGGTGTTAAAGTGGGTGATCACTCTTTGGAGTGATCCATTTTTATTTCCGTAATAATTTAAATAGTTGGTTTAAGATTAAAAAAATAAAATTAAATGGACTCTCGTTTGACAGGCGAGCTTAGCTATAGGGATCTTAATTAGGTTGTGACCCATTGGTTCTAATCGTTTCGTCATGAGTTCCTTCCTTCCATTTGCGTTACCTTAGGCATTACCCTCCTTTGTTCGTATCAACTGAGTGCAAGAGCTGAAGACTAGACGACAGGGATGTCTATGTTTTTTGATTTTTTATTTTGGCTCCATCGGTTCGGCGTTCTCGGCAAATGGGAAACTTGTCCTTGGTGTTCTTGTAGATTAGTAGGTGAATCTAAGAACTTTGGTCATCCAATTGTTAATCTTGTTCTAACGGAGTGCAAGCGCGGGCATGTAGGGTCACTACTCCTCATGGATAGCGTCTAAGCAGGTTAACAACTCCTGCCAGTAAGAAGCGTCGCTGCCAGTTGACAAAGCTGGGTACACGTACACATATCTTAACTTAACATACCTGGGAAGAAAAAGATGTAGAAAAGGGAGAAAAAAGAAAAAAGATTTAAATTCGAAAATAAAAGAAAGAAAGGAGTGGGTTTTGGTGCGAAAAACCACTTTACTAAAAAAAAGTTATTTAAAAACTTAGTAAGAGAGAAAAGAGTACAAAGTATTTAAATAACCACCACCTTAGACTCCTAATACAAATAAATAAATAAATATAGATAGATATATGCACGACAGAATTTAGAAGTGGAGTCAAAAGTGCGCTTGCGCACACTTTTGACCTGTGTGAACGACGATCAAAAAATAAATAAAAAATTAATTTTAAATAATTTTTATTTTCGAAGTTCTAAATAAATAAATATATTATACTTATTCAATCAGTAAGAGAGAAAAGAGTACAAAGTATTTAAATAACCACCACCTTAGACTCCTAATACAAATAAATAAATAAATATAGATAGATATATGCACGACAGAATTTAGAAGTGGAGTCAAAAGTGCGCTTGCGCACACTTTTGACCTGTGTGAACGACGATCAAAAAATAAATAAAAAATTAATTTTAAATAATTTTTATTTTCGAAGTTCTAAATAAATAAATATATTATACTTATTCAATCAGTAAGAGAGAAAAGAGTACAAAGTATTTAAATAACCACCACCTTAGACTCCTAATACAAATAAATAAATAAATATAGATAGATATATGCACGACAGAATTTAGAAGTAATAGTCAGGATGGTGTAGTTGGTTATCACAAAACCTTAACACGGTTTGGGTCATGGGTTCGATTCCCATTCTTGATACAAAATTTTAATAAAAGCGGGGAAAATGCGCGCATTTTAGTTTTGATTTTAGTCCCTATAAAACAACTGGTGTCAATAAGTCAAGAAACTCGATAACATACAGTCTTAAGACTGGTACCTGTGGTCGTCCAACTCCAATCCATTCATTGACTCCCAGAAGTATAAATACAGAGCTGTACAACCATGGTTACGTAGTGGCTTCTCGATATGGGACATCCAACTCGTAAGGATGCGCAACACGTGTGGATATTCAACAGATTCCTACTGTCATCCTCTGATTCTTCCAAAGTTTGTTATTATACCAGTTGGCTATCTCAGATCTATCACCTCACCATGTCTCAACCTATGTTACACTCTGTGGCACCGATTGGCAGTTCATCTCAAACATCTGGATAATAAGATCAGCTAAACCTATTCTGATTGATGGTCTGCCACCCACTCTGAATCAAATCAACGACCACCTATTAATCATCAACATGGCATTCCACCACTAACTGATGTCCAGTTCCAACTATCTCTACCATCAACCAAATTCGACTACACATCTTACGACAGTATCTTCACCTATGTATCGCTTTACAAACACCAGCATGGACGAAACACTGGTCTTCCGGTTCTTCTCGTTCGCTTTTCTGGCTTGTCTTAACACCATTCTTGAATCCTTACAGCTTTTCAGGTTGTCACACGATTCGATTGGACTATTGAAGATGCGTATCAATTGGTAAGAAGAAAGGACAACATCACGACTCTTGCTTCACTTGTCTTTAATCAAATCTGGAAATTCTATTGTAAATCCTATTTTGGCGGTACTCCTCTCCACGAAAACAACCTACTATCTGACGAATCTATCATAAATGAATATGTACAGCACATATCAGTAAAGAAATTAATTATAAATATCAGTATCAGTAACTTACAATCCAAACTTAAATAACCAGTAGCCACTCAAATGTCAGCCAACTATTATTTCCTCTTCTTCATTTCTTCACTTTCAATTAACCAATTCAATCATCAGTATTCTCATCAACTTAATAATCTATAAAATAACAATAACTAAAATAATTATAATAATAATTAAAATAGCAATCAATTTGCAAATTATGGAAAAGTAAAAACTGATAAAAAAAAGAAAAAGCACCATCCCAATATAAAACTTAATAAAACAATTTTTACTTCTTAAATCTTAAAAAAAAAATAAAAAAAAAAAATTTTGTGGTAATATTCATTGAAAGTAGTTTCAAACAAAAAAATTAAAGATTCTTGATTGTTCATTATGTCAGGAGTCAAGATAATTGGTCATTAGTTGAATCCAAGGATGTACAGCAAAAATCTGAGAAACAGGACAGGTATCAAATCATCAGACATATATCCATTTATTTGTTTAGAAAGTAACAAATGTAGATCTTTGAAAATGATTTGTATTTATTAAAAAATTGAGACATTTAACTTTTTATAAAAAATAAAAAAATAACAAACAAAAATTCACCGTGTTATTTGTGCAATTTCTGAAGTAATAAAATACTTTTTGTTTTTATTGATATAAATTTATTTTCTTAAAAATTAAATAATAGGATAAAGATATACATAGTTTATGTTTATTTGATTAAATTGTTTCATGAAAAGATTCATAGAGTTTTTGGAAGTAAAAAGGTATCATTTCATATCACCATTATGAACAGTATTTAGAGCTCTATTGAGTTTAGAATGAATGGCATCTAGTAAATTTATCTCATGAATACCCAAGAATTTTAAAAAACATTCAGGTCCTGACTGGTTGTTTGTATATCAAATTTAGATAAGTATTCATTTTAGGTTATGAGATATTGTCATCAAATTCAAAACATATTAAGTTTTTGAATTTGATGACAAGTGAGATGTATTGTACAGTTGTCGAATATACTAAAATTAGTTAAACAAATTTATTTATTAGCAGATCTATATCATACTCTTAAATTTCCAAAAAATCTGGGAATCTAGAGCTTAAGATTGTTTGTCTAAGGATCTGGGTCCATATTAAATTACATCGAGTAAAGATTGAATTTGAATCTACCACTTTCAACTTAATAATAGAATATAAGTTGTTCTATATTGGGAACTCCTTAAAAGAATAACTTTTCTTTATGTTATACTCTCCTTGTTTATTTTCGTTTCATCTGTTAAATTACTTTTTTAAAAAAAACTATATCTTTGTTTATGTAAAATCAGTTAAAAACCTTTACATTTTGAATATGAAGAAGAGTCTATAAATTTTTTGTTTTTGTACTATTTGTGAAAGTAATTCCTTAATCCTTTATTATTCTTCTAATAATGTTATTGATTTATCATTTTAAAAATGTATTGATATCCTTTTTTTTTCAAGTATTTAATTGTTTTGGGTTTGTTTTAGTTTTTCTTTAGTCTTGAAACTGATGAAAATTAGAATTGTATTTTAAACCAATAACTTCTTGTGCCTTTCAGTAATCCAAATCAAGTATTCCATTGATGTATACATCAACACAAGCTCATCATTACAATCTTTGATAGATGTGAAATAGTCAAACCTTATTCGACCAACATCAAATCAAATACTGATAAACTATTAGAACTATATGATAATGATTCATCATCATTGTTATTAGACATCATTCATAAATATAACACGGATGTGCTCTTCTGATGTATCATAGAGAATCGCCGACCTCTAGCTATATCTATTCGTTCGGTGGTGTCGAATATGGTAATTTCAAATATTCAATTGAAAACAATCAATACGAGCCATTCTTCCAACATGATATATTTCAAAGACAGATGTGTGGATCAATTACTTTTTAATACTGTAAAATAAAAATCAAATCAAAAATTATCTTTTTTTTTTTTAATAAATAAAATAAAAGTTGAAAATAAAGTAAAAATTGATATTATAAGTTGATAACAAAAGAATAAATGAACTTCTGGTCCTGATTCAAGTCTGTTAAGAAAAAAAAAAAAAAATTTAAAATAAGTTTTATAAAGTGAATTAATATTTGGTTTTTAACTCTAAACTACAAGTAACAATGAATTTAACATTAACTAATTTATAAATCGTAAGATATTCATAAAAGAAACAAATAAAATAAATTTTAAAAAAAAATTAATAGAATTTGAGCAAAAAAAACAAAATTAAAAATAAAAATAAAATTTTTTTTAAAATGAACATCAACTTTAATTAATTTTTTATTTTTTTTTAAATTATTCATTTGATTGTGTTTTTTTTTTTGTAAATAAATATATTACATCAACCATCTATCTTTTTTTTTTTAAAACTTTAATTAAAATCGTTATTTTTTAAAACCTATTATTAATTATTAATTATTATATATAAAATAAGTAAATAAATATTAAAACATGTCAGAACAAGATAAGAAAGAACAAGCATTACAAGCATACAGAGATAGATTGATCGAACACAAGAATGCAGAGTTGCGTCTCAATAAAACACATGAACTCGTTAAGAAATTAAAGAAAGACTACGCAAAGACTGAAGATCACCTCAAGGCAACTCAATACATTGGTGAAATCATTGGTGAAGTTTTAAGATCATTAGATGAGGAAAGATGTATGTAGATGGTCTATTTCTTTTTATTTTAAATTATAATAATAATAATAATAATAATAATAAACATTACTAACTACTATTATTATTATTATTATTTAATAATTAGATATTGTTAAAGCATGTAATGGACCAAGATATGTTGTACGTTGTTCAAACTATCAAGATAAGGCACATCTTTTAGTACCAGGTGCACGTGTAACTCTTGATCTCACCACTCTCACCATCTTAAAGATTCTACCACGTGAAGTCGATCCAATCATCTTTAACATGACAACAGAGAACCCAGGCGCAATCAACTATTCCGATATCGGTGGTCTAAATTCACAAATTAGAGAGTTAAGAGAGGTATGTGGTTTTTAGTGTATACACTATATATATAGTTATACTATAGTTTTGTTTTAGAATAGAATGAAATTAACTAATTTAACTCTTCTATTACTATTACTATTTATATATTTAGGTTATTGAATTACCATTGTTGGTACCAGAGTTGTTTGTTAGAGTCGGTATTAAACCACCAAAGGGTGTGTTGTTGTACGGTCCACCAGGTACCGGAAAGACATTGTTGGCCAGAGCGATTGCAAGCAATTTGGATGCCAACTTTTTAAAGGTTGTCTCTTCGGCCATTGTAGATAAATATATCGGTGAGAGTGCCAGAGTGATTCGTGAGATGTTTGGTTACGCAAGAGATCATCAGCCATGCGTTATTTTCATGGATGAAATCGATGCTATCGGTGGTCGTCGTTTCTCTGAGGGTACCTCTGCCGATCGTGAGATCCAACGTACTCTTATGGAGTTGCTCAATCAGATGGACGGTTTCGACACCCTCCAGAAAGTAAAGATCATCATGGCCACCAACAGACCCGACGTTCTAGATCCAGCTCTCTTGCGTCCAGGTCGTCTAGATCGTAAGATTGAAATCCCATTGCCAAACGAAGCTGGTCGTGTCGATGTATTAAAGATTCACGCATCCAGTATAACTAAACATGGTGATATCGGTATGTGTTATTATATTTATTGTCGTTGAATATGTTTTGTTCTAATTTTATGATTTTAGATTTCGAAGCAATTTCAAAGTTGGCCGATGGATTCAATGCAGCTGATCTTCGTAACGTTTGTACTGAAGCCGGTATGTTTGCTATTAGAGCAGAGAGAGATTATACAATTGAAGAAGACTTTTTCAAGGCTGTCAGAAAGGTCAGTGACAATAAGAAATTGGAAAGCAAGCTCGAATACAGCAAAATTTAAACGTGACCAAAAGATTAAATTACTTCCAGACTACAACCGATTCTTTTATCATTATTACTCTATAATTGTATTATTCAATATTCATCAAACATAAATCAATAAACATCATAAAAAATATATAAAAACCCAAGAAACATATTATAAATATGATTTTATTTATCATTAAAGTTTAAATTCGATTTAATTTTATTAAATATGAATTAAGCCCAATTTTATTATCATACAACATAAATATTTTCTTAAATTGGTCAAAGATTTGTTAAAAAACAATTTTTTTTTTTATTAAACAAGTAATTGATCAAGTATGACTGCAATCTGCACAAAACATATTAATTAGACAGATTACGTTTCGAAACGATTTATCAACAAACAACAATGATAAACAATCATATATTTTTGAACACATAAATCAGAAGGAGCAACACTTATCAACACATCAAACAACAATTCAATCTAACAGTTTGAGTTTGATTTTGATTTTAGCAGTACATACCAATCGAATGTTTCAATTGGCGAATATATCTATGTATTCGGTGGTGAAGAGAACCCAAACAAAAGGATGAAATTCTCAATTAAATCGAAATCTTTTGAACATATTGGTGATATCAAAGGAATCAAAGGTGATTGTTTTATATCAGTTTGTTATGATGGTCAAGATCATATCTATTTGGTAAATGGTTTAAATGTAAAGGATAGAATCGATCGATTCAACATCAACTCAATGAAATTCGAAAGATTTTACAGAGTTTGGTTTGCAAGAATCAACAATGATCTTCAAAGGTTCATTATATTCAATATCATTCAGGAAGAATAGGTTATTTCAGTTTGATTTGACAAATAAATTGTGAACAAAACATCAAATTGACTTTCAACAAATAATAGCTTGTCATGATAACAATGGAAACTTCTTCATCTACGATACAAACAAACAAACATTCTCAATACTTTTTCTTACCAAGGTGGAATAGATTTTTTGGTGAACCATCGAGAAACATCGACCTCAAGTTTTATTTATTCATTTGGTGGTGTTAAAAATGGTAATTTCAAATATTCAATTGAAGAGAATCGATGGGAACCATTCTTGGAAGATGATAAACTCATAAGAGCTTGGTGAGTATCAACATCAATAATATTGTGATTGTAGATAATTACAGTAACCTAAATAAACTATTTCGATTAAATATTATTTTTTATAGAAAATTATTAAAAGTTGATCTATTTTAATTCTTATTTGTAAAGAGAATCATTCCCTATTTGAAAATTAAAATTGAATAAAAACAAAGTATTAGAGTTTTAACTATTTTACTAATTGAATACACGTACGTGTGTATCTAACTTTTCTTTTGCCATTTGCCTTTCAAATAAATAATTAAGATAAAAATCACAATCTCTGAATTCAGTAAATATCACAAAAAAATATAAACTAACTAAAGTAAATATCACAAAAAAAAAAATCTTCTTGATGTAAAAGACAATAGGGGTAAACTTTTAGACTTAATTTTTGACTATTTCATACTCTACAAATTTGGGTGAGTGAAAAGGCACCCATTTTAAAGATTGATTTTCTTAATCAAGACTACAATATAAAGTTATTTATAAAATGAAAAATAAATATATTTATATAATTACTATTTTTATCTTTATTCTTTCGAATTTTTCATGTATTTCAATTAACAATGCAGACTACATAGAGAAAAGTAATTCAGTAAATTTAATGCCACCACCAAACATTTCTTTGATTCAATATGTAAACAATAACCTTACTATAACAGGATATGCATTTCTGAATCCAGTGGCGATATTAGGAATTTCATGTATAAACCTTGTTATTTCCGCTACCAATGTAATGACTTGTCAGCTACAAGATGTACCTAATCGACAATACAATATCCAAGTTGAATGTTACGGGCAAATTTCAAATGTCTATTCTTTTACAACACCAATCTATTCATGGATGACCAGCGTCAATCTAAGAGTACCATTAGAGGAAAGCAAAGTCACTGTTACTGGTGTAAATTTAGCAGCAACCACTATCTTTACAATTGGAGGAACCAATTTAAATTTAGCTAGCAGGTCAATCAACGCCAATAACACTGCCTTTGAAGTCGATATACCCGCCAATCCAGTAGCTGGAAAAGTGATAAACTACGTTCTAAGTTCAACCGGAATGACGGTAATTAATAATGTAGTTATAAATTCAACATATACAGGTATGAAACCAAAATCAAATCCATTCTTTTTGTTTTGAATATCATTCTAATTATTAAAAATTTTTATAGGTATCACTATTATGGATGATGATGTAGTTCAGAATGGTAATAAAATTACAATTACAGGTACAAACTTTGACTTGTATAATGGAAATTTTTCATTGAATGTTGGAAATGCATCCTACGATATTTTATGTCCAAACTTTGTGTCATGTATTACAACTGTTCCAAACACAGCAACCAATGGTCTTTTTGTCATTTATTCGAGACCATCAAAATATGTGCTATGGCAATCGAATGAAGATTGGTGTAAGTACACTAGTTTTATACTTAAAAATTTGAAAATTATAATTTACTTACAATCAAATTTTAGTACCATACATTTCTAGTGTAACTCCAAATGTTGCAAATGTTACAGGTCAAGTTGTACTTTCCACCATATTCGTTGATCGAACAACTATGGTTAGTACCGACTTGAATGGAAAATATAATGTACCCTGCTCCTCTGTTGATGGAAAAACCTTTGCACTATCGTTATTCCCAAAGTTTGTTGGAACCGTTAATTTAACCATTTCAAATCTACAATCAAATATGACTTCCCTCCCTGTACCGATCTCTTATCCTGGACCTATTATAAACTCCTTTGTTGTAAACCCAAATAATCAAAGTGAGCTATTAGTAAATGGTAGCTATCTTGGTTTCAGCGATGTAACCACATATCCAGGAATGCCTTTGACCATTCCATTTATATCGGGTCTCTCGAAATCAAGATTTGGACCAACCAACTACAATACCAACCAACATATATTTGACAGTTTTACGGTACCACTACCCAATGACGCCAGATCTGGAACATACAGTCTATCGGTTGGTACTAAATTTACGGTTGGTACAATCTACCTTACACCTATCATCGAAAAGATAACCAGTCCTCCTGTTCAAGGTGGTAGCTTTACAGTCACAGGAAAGTTTATATCACCATTGTCGTATGACTCTCAAACGGTTTTAACAATTTACTTTAACGGAAACGATCCTATGAATTTAACCATGCTGACCCAAACCTATCCATATATAATGGAAATATCAGTAGGTCCTGGCGTAGGAAGAAGGGATTTAGCTTTTTACAATCCACTGAATAGTAACCCTACCCTCTTTAACGTCTATTACCAAGCACCAACTATCTTGTCTGCAACTTCAACATATTTTGGTACTCCAGGAAATGTTACTATCTTTGGTTCAAACTTTTATTTGTTCCAAAATAGTTTTGAAGTCGAAATTGGCAACAAATCATGTGATGCTTTTCTGGTTGAACCAAATATGATTGTCTGTCACTTTTCGTCGGATGTAGCCAGCCCAGATGGTAGTCTAAACATAACAGTAACCATGCTAACTCAATCGTTTTTTGGTCAACGTTTCATCTATTTACCAAGTGAACCAGGCTGTGTCGGTTGTAATTCAACCAATGGTCAGTGTCAGAATGGATACTGTATGTGTAATAATCAATATGTTGGTGTCAACTGTACTATTAGAATACCAGAGGCAGCAGAAGATTTGCACGCAGACATTCCACAACCTTTGAATGATACCGTCGCCATGACTCTTGGTTCTGCAGCAAGGAATGTCCAATTTAATATTTCATTGGTTTCCATCTCGGAAAAGGATGATCATGGTGCCACTATCAAGTCTTACCAATTCTCGGATATAGATTGGACGTTGTTGTCATCGCCTGGTACACCAAACACCTACCCTCAATATAACTATAGAGGTATATTCAGTGTCGATAGTAAATTGGTGATAGACGTAGAAATGCTTGTGTTTACCAATCAAACTAAATACAATTTCCAAGGTGACATCTTTACAGCACAAAACAACTCGATGAAATATGTAATAACCATCTCCAATTGGACTTTTGGAGGTGCTCAAAACACACTGGAACTCTCATTCCTAAATGAAGCAGATATCAAGGCTAAAGTTGGTGGATGTAGATTTAATGGTCTTCTATCACTGAGAACCATGGAGATTGTTCAAGATGGATTATTGTTGACAGCATTCTTTTCAGATAGAATATTGGTTGATGGCACCGTACAATACAGTAATGTCTCTGCACCAGATTCGAAATCATCGACAAAGGAATCTCTTCAAGTCTTGACAACAATAACAATTCCATACTTTAAGAAACAGGTTGTTATCGATCCGAATTTCGGTGCACTAGTAGCTTTCGATAGTTCAAGTAGCGATAGTCCTTCATCGAATACCATCAATTGGAAGATACCGGTCATCGTTGTTTGTGTGGTCGTTGGTGTAACCATCATTGTAATCACTGTAGTCCTATTAAAAAAGAAATATAGCGTCGAATTTAAATTGGCAACCGTTAAATTAAGAAATTTGTCAAGATCAGATAAAAAAAGAGTAAATTAATAAATATGTATTTATATTATTATCTAATTGATTTGATATTTAAGTGTATATAATATATTACTTTAATTTATCTTCTTAAATGACTAGATATTGATGTAATAATTCAGAGTATTGTTTGATATTATCATTCTCTTCTTTGATAAATCTGATTTTCTCTTTTAATGTTCATTTAAATAAATATAATATTAAAATGATTGTATGTTCACAATGAGTGTCGATGTTTATCGTTAAAAAAAAATTGTTTTTTTTTTTTTTATGAGAAACCAACATGTAGCTACTCCGTCAACAAAACAATGTTTATCAGTAAAAGATAATTGTGTATTTGTTTATTTATTATTAATTAATATACATTGTTGCATAATAAATTCGATTATGTATATATTTTGTATTGATTATTATTATTAAGTTTTAATTCTTCTTTTGAGCAGCTACTTGTTCTTCATAAGCATCCTTTGCTTTTTCAATGTTATACAAATAGTTTGGTGGTGTGTAAGCACCGTCAGTACCTGTTGGATTAGAAAGATGGTCTCTCTTGTATTGTGGAGTAAATGAAATCATCTAAAATAAATAAAAAACAATTGATATATTAGATATATTGTTCTAAAGCAACAATATTGATGATTCCTTTATAAATATGATGATATTTACATCTTGTGAGTTTCCATGCTTATCTGAAATATGATGTAACCATGAATGCCTATATATATATATGTTATCGATTATAATGATTATTAAAATGTTATTAACAATCTGCTATCATCTAATCTATCTCTGCTAAACCTATATATAATTTGATTACTTACCATTCTGGTGGAACGGTAGTAGCCTCTGGTTTGGCTGGATCGGCATATTCTACCCATCTGTGTCTACCTATAGGTTATGAATTGAAGATCAATCAAAAGTCATCTCATTAGTTGTCTGTTCACAATGCTTATCATCTAATATTCTGATTTTTCTTACCATGTGGTTCATTTAGATTTTCAAAGTAACTGTTATAATGATTTTATATATGTTAATAAACTGTTTTGTTGTTTGACTGATAGATCGATTGATCGATTCATTGATCATGATCATAGATTCTATAATATACTAACCTGTTTCCGAATACATCTTTTCCGATGACGTTACCATACTTCAATTCACCTGTATAATATAATGTTCTGATGGATGGTCCAACACCACGTTGTAAAATACCCTTGAAATATCTAGCTAATTCCATATTTATAAAGAGAAAACGATCAAATAATTAACAGAAAATAAATGATAATGAAACCATTTAAAAAAAAATTAAATTTCGAAAAAAAAAAAAAATCCAAAAAAAAAAAAAAGCAAAATGATGAAGTGATCATAGAGTAACATTCAATTGTTTATGAGCACATATATTTTACCGATCGATTGATTTAAATTAATTATAGATAGATTAAACTTGTTAAGTTTTAACAATCTTTATTTTTTCTTTCTTTTATCTTTTAATGAGAATTTCTTTTCATAAAACTCTACAATCTTTTCATCAGAAATATTATCTTGAGGTGATAAGGAATGTGGGGCAACCAATTGATAGGATTTTCTCATTAAATCATAGAGTTGATCTTTGTGGTCGGGATACAGAGTGATATCAGTATACATTTCCCAAAGACTTTGGAGTAGTTTGTTAAGTTTAGCTTCTTCAGGACTGATTGTAGATGACAAAGTTGTTGTCGATTGTTGTTGTGTAGAAGATGGAGATCCAACTGTTGGGTTGTTACCTTCAGTAGAAGTAGTAGTTGTTGTTGTTGTAGACTGTGTCTGAGTAGAAGAAGTTGCAGAAGTTGGAGAACTTGGTGAAGTTGGTGGTGACACAACTAAATTGATTGGTTGTTGTGTTTGTTGTTGTTGTTGCGATGATATTGGTTTTTGCTGTTGTTGTTGCTGTTGTTGTTTATGTTTTTGTTGATCTATGAACTGGATTTGTAAAACTCGACAACATGCACTATAACAAAGAATAGCTTCGTTCTTGAACTTGTCTTCTTGTTTCAGCTTGGCGTGGACAACGTCTAGGTTGGTATAGTCACCGTTCTCCTCTAGCAATTGGATAAAGAATCGATAGTATTTCTTAAAGTATCGATCGAGTTTACCGTCACCAAGATAACCTTCATTCCACAGATTCCAAACGGCAGCACGTGACAGCCTAGATAACTTTGGTTTCATCAACCTGATGAATTCCTTCAAGCTATTGGCCATGTAATCTTCTTTAGTTGTTTGGTATCTAATTGTCCATGCAACACGATAGGATGACTGGTGATGATACGAAACCAAAGATTTACAACAATTCAGAGCTGCCAGTGAATTATCAATAAGGTTCTCCCTTCTCGCCTCCAAAGATAAAGGTGGTGTAACAACGACCACTCCCTCTGTTTCAAGATTACTATCCTGTGATAAATCAAGCATGTTTACATCAGTACCATTGTTTTCTTTATCTTCACTATTATTATTATTAATGTTATTGGTTGTATTTGTAGTGGTTGAAGTTGCAGGGGTTGTAGTTGTAGCTGTAGTTGGTGGTGTAAAATTATATTTCTCTAACAATGTTAATAGTGTATCATTAAGTGAACTCGAAGAGTATGGTAATAACAACTTTAATCTACTGGTATGCAATCTATACAATGGATCGATTGGTGGATTCTTCTTTGTCAAAGGAGGAAGTAGTTGTACAGCATTCCAAAGATAATCAAAGTAAACTTCAGGTGCATCACCAACCTTAAATGATATCTTTCCATAATATAAAGGATAGCTATTAAGAATAGTTATTAGTAATCATTAAAGTTAATAGTTTGATGATTGATTGATTACTTACTACCAAAGATCATTGGTTGCTAATTTCTCTGATTGTTCAAAGTATTTTAATGCCTCTTTAAACAGTGAATTTAGGTTGGTTGGATCACTGGCAAACTCTGGTGAAGCAAAGTAATGTTGTTCGTAGAGAAGTAGTCCGAGATATCTGTAGATCTCTTCTTTGGGTGTGAGTAGTGCTAGGTGTTTGTAAATGAGTCTGAGTTTGGCGTAGAGTTTCCATATTTCTTGTTGGATTGCCGGTGTGTTGTGAGACAAACAACCTTTCTCAGCGGTGATCGTTGTCACTTCACTTTGGAAACTCTTGGAAAGTAACGTCCACGAAAGAATACGATTGGGATTCGAATAGAGATCTTTCTTTAGCAACTCTTCTTTCAGGTGGAGATGTTTGTCGTTTGGCAGTGTAGATGCATACATATAGTAGATATCGGTGTAGATGTCGTCAAACAATGGATCTTGCAGCGAGAGCTGTTTGTCGTTGTTGAAAAGCTGAATTTCAAAGTTGACGCGTGGCGGTGACACTGACTCGGGAAACTCGACAATCTCATCGGATTCACCATCAAAGTATTGATTGATGGTGGCGCGATATCGAGTGACACGCTCTGGTGGTTCCGGGAACTTGTTGTACAATCTCTCCACCAGATCCTTGAACTCCTTCTTTGTGGCGATCGATTGTAACAAACTGATTGCCTGATTGACTTGACCGTTCAACGGTAGATTTATTTCCTCTTCCTCACCAGCAATTATCTTTAGCATATAATAGATCTGTACATAGAGATTCGGTGAATCCAATTCCATTGCCAATGATTGACATTGATGATCTTCAACATTATTCTAATAATAGTTAATAATAAATGTTTGTTTAGTTAATAATAATGTTATATATCTTATCTAATCTTACAGTTAATTTAATAGAATATAAACAATAAAAACATTGAGATAGATCAGTGAATATCTTTAGAATAGCAAGTTCAGGTCTGATTTCGTTAAAGTCAGCAGGATTGATTTCAATGTCAGGGTTGATAATGAATTTAAACGATAACTCCAAGTAATCTAATAAGAATCTATCATTGGATCTACATTGTTTCTTCTTAGCAAGTTCAGCATGATATCCAGAGAGTAATGCCAATTTATTCGACAACGTTAACTCTGTATTCAAATCGAATTGATATACTTTTATAAATAGATTTAACCAATCATATAACATCTAAATAATATAATATAAAATATTAAAAAGTAAATTAAAATTACAACGAAATGTTATTACATCGATCAATATTACTAACTACTTACATTCTTTTTAAAATGTCTATATAATTGTTTTGTTAAGATAGAAGATAAAGTAGTTAAAGGTTCTTCTAATGGTTCTGGTTTCACTATTTTACATCAATAATTGAAGTGAATAAACAAAAGTAAGTATACTATAGATGTAATGATATTAGATATAATGAATTACATACTGTTTAAATGTGAAAATACTTGGTTTAAAGTTTCTAAAGTAGAATTTGCCTATAAAATTAACATATTGTTATGTTATTTAAGTTGATTAGTTAGTTAGTAAGTTATATTGCTATAATAAAAGTTTATATTAATAACTTACAATATTATCATTATAATTTAAAGTTAATTCTTTCATTAAAAAGATTGACATTTTAAATACACCTTTGATGTTTGATGTGTTTAGATAGGATTGTAAGAGGTATTCAATCATGTTGAGTTTCGATCGTGTGTTGGTGTCGATGATCTCACGTGATTTAAAGTCGGTGGTGGTGGTGGTGGCTGGTGTGCTGGCGGTAGGGTCAAACAGACAGAAGGCATCAGGGAACAGAGGATCCAGTATGCTGATGACTTTGGTGAATTCACCGGTTGCATAGAGTTGAGAGGCACGATTCTTTTCCTGTTGGTCTTGAAGTGTCTCGATGCGCTCGGACAACGCCGATTTCGATATGTATCGGTCGTGTTTACAATGCTGCAGAATGATCAGTGCCGACGGGTTGTGTTGAATCCACTGTTGGAATCGTTCATCACAATTACCGAAATAAACACTCGCCAAGTTGATATCACCAAGATACTTGGTGTAACGTGCAAGCAACCAATAATACCTAATACAATAATAGGTATCTTCATTGAATTGCTCACGATTACTATTCAACAATTGCATCATATATGATAGATCCAACGATTGTATTGCAATATCATTACTATAACTACTATAATAACCATCTTCTTTCTTTTGTCTTTTTGTTATTTGTTGTTGTATAATATTATTATTATTACTATTATTACTATTATTATTGTTATTATTATTATCATTTGATTGTTCTAACTTTGAGAATAGATAATCGAATGATAGTTCAGCAAAGAACAATATATACTTTTGAAAGTTTGAATTGTATTTGTTGATGATGTTTGACATGTTTATGAGTTTGGCTATCAGTGTTTGATCTATCTGTTGATGTGACATCGTTATTTTGTTTAGATACGATATGAACCAATCGATAATGGTGTATTTAAAGTCAGAGTGGTTAACGTTGCTAATGAATTGGTAGACCATATTCTTCTCGAAACTCTGACTGGTTTCGACGTCGACCTGTGCAGATTGTTGATGAAGTAATCGTTCCTGTAGCAACTGATGTTGTAGCTGTTGTTGTTGTTGTTTTGGTGACTTTTGTTGTTGTGAACCATCAACACCAACAGCATCCTCTGAAGTCAAAGAAGAATCTACATTCATGAAATTCAAACTGTTCATAACGTTCGGTGACAGCAATTTAGTTGTCTTCAACGTCTTCTCACCGAAATCTACTACCTCTTGTGATTTGTCATCGTATTTATTACCGACGGCACCTCTTGTTGCTCTTCTCTTTGCAACCAACTGTGTTGTCGTAGAACCAACAGAAGCAGCCGCAGCAGCAGTAACTATACCACTACTACTACTATTCAAACTATTTGAATTAGAAGGTGCAGGACTACTATCTACTATTACAATTGTACTTGTCGGGTTATTTACAATACTATTTGAACTATCTGTCATTGTTATATCTTTATCTTTCTCTTTTTCACTTTCCTTATCTTTCTCCTTTACACTATCCTTCTCCTCTTTTTCAGGTTCATTCTCCTTTTCTTTTTCTTTATCAACTTGTTGTTCTACACTCATAATAACATCATTACTACCTGTTAATAGTTGTTCTGATTGTTGTTGTTGTTGTTGAACATTTGTAGCTGTAGCATTAGCAGTAGTTGTTGTTGTTGTTGTCTTTGAATCTATTAATATTTCTAATGGTTTATAAAGTTGAAATTGTTTTGTTTTCTGATCCTCATTACTATTACTATCTTTAATTTCTTCATTATTATTACTACTATCTGCTATTACTTTTACTTTTTCTTTATTATATAGATAATAATAAGTTATACAATGATTCCCAAGTCAACTTTGATAACTTAAATTCACTCTTCTCATTGATGAAAGTATTAAAAAGATTGGTACTACCACTACTACTATTTGCTGTATCTTTGTCTTTACTATTGTTTTGAATTGTTTTCTCACGTTTAGCAACTAACTTTCTTAAATAACCCATTGCCATCTCATTATTTACTATTGCATTTCTTATAGAACTATTATTGTTATTATTATTATTAGTTTGTTGTTGTTGTTGTTCTTTTTCAAATGATAATAGTTGTTCTAATAATAATATTCTAGAGTGTGATGAATCTATTTGTCTGGCTTGTTTAACGATGACAGTGGCAGCTTGGTTATCACCGATGATATAGAGTAACTCTGCCAAGCGTTCGAGTGACATCCAATGAGTGGGTGACAGTTGCAACGCTCGTTCGAATGCAAGACGTGAAACATTCCATCGTTGTAGCTCACCTGCCAGCCGACCGATATGGTACCATACCAACAGGTCACTCGCATCAATATCGATTGCCCGCGTGAAAAAGTTGAGTGCTCGCTCACGATCATCGACCAACTCGCTGATGGTAGCAAGATTCTTCAGTGTCGAGTACTTTAACACTGACATCGTTGTGCTTGTCGACGACTGTTGTTCCGATGTATTCGAGAGCAACGGTGAATTCAAAACATCATGATAGAACTGTTGTGCCTCCAAGTAGTTCTCTCTTTGTTGTGCACGAAGAGCTTTCTCATAGGTTCGTATATTACTAGCTTCTAATGCTTCGATTGAAACGGCAACATCAGATTCATCATTTTCATTCTCTGAATCGCCTGCATTAATAGCGGCATACCTAATCTATAAATGATATGATTGATTTCATTTTTAAATTAAAATTAACACTTTAATAACTATATATATAAATAGATAGAAAGAAGTTCGCTACTTACCATAACGATTATATTTATATAATAGTAATAAACTCACTAACTATTAAAGATGAAATGAACTTCACTAATAAATTAAAAGGAACCAAAATTCAGTTTATTAAAAAAAAAAAGAATAAAATCAATTCATTTTGCGTGGTGACCAATAATTGTTTTTTTTTTTTGTTAGATAATAAGAAACTAAATCTAATAATTCTTTAACTCTAAGATTACAGTTATAGATTTGTATCTTCATCTTCGGTTCTAATAAATAAAAATAAGATAAAAAATTGATTATTTTTCAAAATTTTGTACTGCATCATCACATTTGGGTTTAAAAATAATAGAATGATCAAGGTAATTTGTAATAGAAAAGTTTAAAAAGTACTCTTCTTGTTCTATCCGAAATTGTAATGGGTGTGTATTAATTAATAACATTACAGTTTCTGTTACTGTAACAACAATTCAACTGTCGATCAAAACATAATGTTCTATGAAGCTAAAAAAAATCTTCAAATCTCAAAAAAAAAAAAGTAATTAATTAATTAATTTTAATCTTTCACACCAGCTAGATTAACTTTAATTAGGCAAAAAATTAAAATAGTGTTTTGATGATTATAAAAAAAAATAAAATCTAATGGTTTTGATTTGACGTGGGTGAAGTGCACTTCAAAGAATAATGGTCAATCTACAAAAGTAAATAAACCTTGTAGATTGACCATTATTCTGATGTACCGTTAAACAATTAACAAGGTGGAATTGATTGCAAAATATCGTTCACCCATTTTCAATTAATAATAATGAGTTTAATTCGAAAAAAACAAAAAGTTTTATCTATAAATACAGCTCCCTTCAAACTTCATTATCATTTCTTTACAAATATATATAAATAAATGTCTATATTTTATAAAAAATGTGCCATTTTCTTGGTAACATTATGTATATCAAGTATGGTTGTCTCCAAGTCTGAAGTTTTGGTTGAATTACCACATGAAGTTGCTAATCATGGCCGAGATACCACTCATAACTCTGAGTGTCCAATCGTTACATCCAACACACTCACATCTGAATCAAGAAAACCAGGAGCTAAGCGTGATATTGAAGCATCATGGAAGAAAGAACATTATACCACCGAGCCAATGGAACCTGTAAACTTCAATGGTACCTATGTTCAATCACCAGAAGAGGAAGGTGAAGACTTTGACATTTTTGCTGATGGAAAAGGTGCTACTGTCTGGGCTCCATGTATGTTTTCAGCAATTTAAATATATTTTTTTTTTTGTATTAACAACTTTTATTAAGTATCACCACCTGCAGGAACATTGTATACTATTCGTGGCAGTGATGAAAAAAACTATATCTTGGGTAGAAGTCAAAATGCCAATATGCGTATCGTCAAGAAATGCGGCAGCTATTGGTACCAATCAAAGTTATACTTTAAGAGTTGGAGACAAGTAAAACAAGACAACAAGTGGAACCAAAACACAATCAAATTGGCCGTTGCAACTGGTACTCGAACATCGAATTCCATTGACATCTCACGTCCAGTTTCCTTTGAGACCAATAGAGAAGACTACCAATGTCCAAGTGATATGAAATGGGTTTATGGTAGTGCACCAGATGGAAGCTTATGGCTTGCCAACATGATCATGTCGCTGATCGATATCGTCTCTGGTAATTTTGGAATGACAAGAAGAGGTCTCCAAATCTTAGATTCAGACGTTAATGGTATCGCAAGAGGATGGAACACCGTTGCCTCTGATTGTGCAACCACGTTCCCTCCTGAACATACTTTAGTACCCTCTATCTATGCTTTGGAGGATAGTGGTAACAAAAGATATATGTACAAAGTAAGAAACAGACATGGCTACCTCATTGCTGAATGCAATGGTGATGCTTTGTGGTTCAGTAACAATGACAAAGACGATACCTATGTTGTCTTCACTCCAATGTAATTCCAATTAAAAAAATAAAATTTATTAGATTCATTGAAGTTGAAAAAAAAAATAATAGAAATACAACTTAGATTCTAATTTTGCTAAGGGAAAAGGCCATTAATAAATTAAAGAATCAATTTTTTGATAAATTTTCAAAAGACAAATAGTATATTAATCATTTTATAAAATATTTTATAAAAAATGTGCCATTTTCTTGGTTACTTTATTTTTATCAAGTATGGTTGTCTCCAAGTCTGAAGTTTTGGATGAATTACCACATGAACTAATATTAATTTAAGAAGAAAATCCACCCACTAGAACTTTTCTATTTTAAATTAATAGTAAAATAAATAACAATAATCTATTTTACTTTTAATTTTCTTTTCTTTTTATTGAATCATTCTTTTATTTCTATATATTCAATTATAACAATTTTTCTTTCCTTAAAATTGGTTCTTGAGATTGGATCAAGAATTTTCTTTTCCTTGTTAAATTAGATCTCTATTTTTCTATAAATATCAAATTGTTGGCTATATCAAATCTAAAGGAATTTGTAAAATAGATAATCTATTTCGATTGGATTGGTAGACTTTTGGTGGTAAGACAGATGTTAAGGTAGAGGTATGGTAAGGTATGAACATATTCAAAATATAATTTAAATATATAAAATTTCAAAATATTTAACTGTTTTTTTAAACTATTAATTCATATATTGTTTATTGGATCAATTGTTTGTATATTTAATTGAGTGAGATGATCGGTAATTTTTTCAATTCGGACGGTATGTTTAGATTCAGTTGCCATGTGTTTGATTTGTACAGAGTTGGTCAATGCTTCTTCACCACCGACGACAATGACAACTTCCGGTTCATAACGTTGATTTGCGTTTCTAATTTGTTTGGAGGTTGACAAATTCAAATCAGAGACAATCACTGCATAGCCTTGGTGTCGAAGTGTTCTCGCTATGTCTCTTGCCAACTGAACGATCGATTCGTTACTCTCGAATGTACAAACAACAATCGGCTTGGTCTCTGGCTTTAACAACTGTTGATCCATAAACATCAAGATTCTCTCCACTCCACACGCCCAGCCAATCGATGGTAATGCCGCTGATTTCTGTGATTTATAACCAAACTTATTGGCCAGACCATCGTAACGACCACCACCCAATATCGCCAGAGGTGGTGCCGATGATGTCGTTGTTTCATCGCCAACAACCATCTCAAATATAGTATGATTATAATAATCTAATCCTCGTACTAAATTATGATCCAATTGATATTTCAATTCGAATTTATCCAATCCATTCAATACCTTATTAAATCTATAATTGTTTATTATTAATAAACATATTCATATATTTCAACTTCTGTTGTTGTTGATATTAACATACCTATCTAAACTTTCACTATTCAGATAATCAAATAACTTTGGTGCATCTTTACTGATAGCTTTATCTTTTACATCTTTTGAATCTAAAATTCTCAAAATACTTCCTCTATCCAATCTATCCTGTGAATCTTTTGATAAACTTTCTCTTCTATCTTTATAATATAATTCTAATTGATTTAAATATTTACTTCTAGATTCTAAATCACCTAATGAATTTATCTTTAACTAAATAATAATAATTATAGTATTTATAAGTATTTAATTCACCACAATTAATAAAATATGTTAACGTACAGTATATTTATCATTGGTAATAGATAATTGATTTAAAAACATATTGGCACAATCGATTACTTCGACGTCAGAAGATGGATCTGATTCACCGAATGATTCGATTCCGAGTTGTTCGAATTGTCTTTGTCTTCCACGTTGTGGTCGTTCATAACGGAACATAGGTCCGCTGTAAAAGTATCGTTGTGGCATATGTGCAGCCGATTGCTCATTGACCACCGCACGAACTACACCTGCTGTATTCTCAGGTCGTAAACAAGTCATCGAACCACCGAGATCCTTGAATGAATACATCTCTTTCGAGACGATATCACTGTCGTCGCCAACCGATCGTTGAAACAGCTCGGTGTGTTCAATGATCGGAGTGGACATCTCTTTGAATCCATAGATCGCTGCAACACGTCTACCTACATTACCAACGAATTGATACAATCGCTTCTCCTTTGGGAATATATCTATTGTACCTTTAATCCTTGTATACATAATAATTTTATGATAATATTGTTTTGTTTTTTAATCTAATTTTTAAGTTTTAACATCTGATCATTGATCATAAAACACACATAAATTTTATCCATTTTTAGATAAAAAAAATTTGATTGAATTTTTTTTTAGTTACAAATTTTGATGAGATTAAAACAATCACCCCATTCATTGAATAATCACAATAAACCTGAATCTTAAATATATCTTTTTTTTTTAATTTAATTATTCTTCATGTTTATTTTTTAAATTTACAGTTTTTTTTCAAGTATGATAAGACAAAGTTTAATTTATTTGAATTATTCTATAAATTGATAATATTTAAAAGAATAACTTGTAATCTTTTATTTTTATAATCAATCCTTTTTTAATACAATTAATATATATTAGAATATTTTATAAAATGGAAAATAATAATACTTCTATTTGTATAAAAAATCAAATTAATAATACAGAGAGTTCAATTTTTAATGGTTGTCATACAAATATCAAAAGCAATACCAAAGATAATATTTTTAACAATACACCAACCTCTAATAGAAAAGAAAAATTTTCAACATCACTAATGGATATTGAATATTTATACCCTATCAATGAAATTCAATTTACTTGTTTGGAATTAAATCATTCAATTAAGAATCCTATAAATTTGCCGTCTTTCCACATGCTTTATGAAACAGTAAAAGAAGAAATTCCATCATTTGACCTACCAACTTTAAAATAAAAATTAAAGAACTAGTTTTAGTTAACTATTTATTTATTAAATTTAGAAACAATATATAAAAAATATATAGATCCTTCTTCCTTTATTTTATAATTAACCAAAAATAACAAATAAAAATTAGTGAATGGCAAGGCATATTGGAATGAATATTCATATTCTTTTGTTATTATTTTAAAATATAGTAATTTTTATTTAATTTTTTTATTTATTTTTATTTCTTTGATAATAGTTTCTTTCTGTTTTTCGCTTCGAATGGATCACCAAGTTGGTTGGATACCTCACGATAGATTGGGCTCTTTAGGAAACGACTAAAGGTATCGACACGTAGCAATTCGAATGCCGATTGACTGGAAATACGAATGGCCACTTCGATTTCTTCCATGTTTTTGTTTTTGAGTGCATCACGCATTTGATTCTTGACCTCAATTTCGAGGTTGACTTCGAGTGGCGATCCATCTTGGAAGAAATTATCGTAGATGTTCTGAGCGGATGCGATCGATACTTTGGTGCCACGGTTGGCATATCGCTCCAAATCCATCCAGCAGAGCAACAACTCCTCGCATTTCTCAGACTTTACAAATCGCTTGAATGCATCCAACCACGATTGATCTGTTAAAATAAAATTGAATACTTCATTGGGTTTGTCAGAGGTTGGCGATGTTTGTGAGGCCGACAAGCTTGGTGAGGAAATGGTGGCGGCACCTCCACTGACGTTGATACTGTAGTTGGGAGAATGATGATGGTGGCCGTGGTGACCACTGCTGTTGAGTGTTGGCGAAGATGAAGATACAATGTAGTCGTTCAAGTTACTGCTACTCTTCTTGTTGGAGAGTGAGGAAACCGACATGATGTTGGGTGAGAATATTTTGGAGACGTTGAGCGCGCTGCCAGAGTTGCTACTGTTACCGGATGATGAGAGATGTGGTGAGTTGTTGTTGGTGGTGGTTGTTTCATGGTCTACACTTCCACCGGAAGACGATAAATCGCCGGCGGCACTGTTACTACTTGAAGTCAGTCCACGCTTTGGTGGAAGTGGAGGAAGTTCTTTGAGATGCTGAGCGCTGCTGGGAGGTGTACCGTTGCCCGGGCTCGGTCTTACAATACTATTGCTTCGCTCATTGATGGGCATCAAATTGGTGCCTGGTTTGATGGAGGTGAGACGCGCGGGCGGTGTCTTTGCCTTCTCCTTTGAGATATGCTCAAATTGTTGCTCCACTTTATTCTCACTTGGTTTGGTACGTCCTTTGTCTTTTTCGAGATATTTCAACATCTTTTCTTCACGTGCCATCATGTCTCTGCAGACTTGGTGTTGAAGGAACGCAGGGAAGTGCGAGTTGGTCAGTTGGAAAATGACATCCTGCAGCAGCGAAGCAAAGAGTTCACGACTGATATTCTTTGAGCTGATGTTGTCTTGGATGGTGTTGTGATAACGCGAGTTGCTAAAGGTGGTCAACTCTTTCTCAGCGTTGACTTTCAAGTAGGTGGTGAAAATATCCATTGCGTACGACTCGAGATATTCGTCCGAGAGTTCACGATACTTGTTGACCTCCAACCAAAAGTAAACCATGTTTTTAGCTTCGGTCTGTGAGACTGACAGTGGCGATATCATCGAGATGATGGAACGTGGCGACAGTGAGTTGGGTGAAGGTGGCGAGTTGGAGAGTGGAGTGGTGGGTGGCGATGTCGTAGGACTGCTTGTATTCGCGGTGGAACGTGATAAATATAACAGGAAATACTCTAAACCGATGGGATTACGAATGAGTGCATCCAAACTCTGTAGGAGTGCACCCAGTCCTTGGGTGGGGGCAGTATGTGACGCCGATTTGTTCATGAGGATGGCGGCGTGGTAGAGCGGCGACTTGACAAACAGTGGGAATATCGAGTAGTTGAGAATGCCCTCGATCGACTCTACCGAGCTGATCAACGACGGGAAGAAAGGATCGTCGGTGAACAAGTTGAGACGACGCTCCTCGATTTCATTACGCGACTCAGAGTCAATGTTAATCTCATAGTTGGCACCACTCGCAATATAGTTGTTGTACACATTTATGTATTGAGTTCTGATGGTTTCGCGATTCGTCGACAGATTCTCAAGGTCGTTCTCCAAACTCTTTATGGATTGAGCGTCGATCCAAAACAATAGATTCTCCAAACCATGTTGTTTCTCTGAGAACATTGTAAATGCCTTTAAAAATACTGGGTCTAAAACAATCTCTTTGAATGATGATGGTGGTTTATAACTTAATTTTCTAGTTGTATTATTCCCATTATTATTATTATTACTATTATTATTATTATTATTACTACTATTTAAATCTGGAATTGCATTATAATTATATTTACTATGAATTGTAGTTGAACTTCTTACACCAGTATCTGGACTAATTGAATCCATTTTTCTACCAAAATGTACTAAATGATGTAAATTTAATATCTATAAAAAATTAAATTAGAAATTTAATTAATTTTGGTTTAATTTGATATGTTTCTTACACTTTTAGATAATGTTAATAAATATTTATGTCTATTTCCACAGAATTCACTTAGCTCTGATTCTAATAATGATAGATAACGTTGATATTGACCGATTGAAGATGTTATCTTTGCCATTACCAAAGAGATCTTGTCGTTCTGGCTGTCTGACGATGATTTTGTATTTTTTATAAGTAACTGCTTCAATTCTCTTCTATATTGTATTGAATCGATGAGATATTTGTCGACCTCTTGCTTTAAATTCTTAAAAGTTTCAGTATGATCAATTGCAACATGATTTTCAGATGCTGTTTCCAATAATAATTTACATTCTCTCTATAGATTATAAAATTAAATTATATTAATAAAAAAAAATATATTAATTTCTAATTAACAATTAAACAAACATACTAGTGAATGTGGTAATAATTGATTGATTTCCTTATTCAATTGTGACATTGTTACAGATAATTCGCCAATATCTGGTATTTGTAATCCAATTTTATGTAAATCACTTGCTAAATTGAAAGATGAAGCCATAAATGCTAAAATTTTGATAATAATAACAATATAGTAATAAAAATTATTAATTTTTTGAAATTGTCTTATTTTTCATTTCATTCAATAAATAGTTATAATTACCTTCAACTTGAGTAACAAAATGTTTTGAGCCATCCAATGCATTATTCAAAGACAAACATAATGTATGTAATGTATGAATATTTTGATTGTATTTTCTTAATGATGTTGGATTTATTTCAATTGAATCCTCTAACAACTATAATTAATTTAAATGAAAAATTAATAAAATTAATAAAAACTTTTGGTTATTCCAAATAATTAATGAAAGAACTACTTACAGTATAACCCATCTTTTCTAATTTTACTTAATTAATTATAAATAAAAAATATTTAAAAATGTATATCTAAAAAATAATTATAAATGATTAATAAATATTTTAATTAAATTGATGGAAATGATGTTTTTTTTTTTTTTGATTTTAATGTTGTTTTTGAGAGATAGATGAAAGTGATTTTCAAAATAAAGTCCTCCAAACTTTGCCTGCCCTACATCAAATTACACTGACAATGTTAAAGCAAAAAAAAGATTTAAAAACAATCATATTGTCAATAAAAAAAGAACGAAGAGTAGATAGGTAGGGTTGAAATATAGTGACAGTAAAATGTATGATGTTGGTGATGATGCTGTTGCCAAGAGTTAGTGAGTAAGTGAGTGAGTGGTGTGGTGGATGGATGTTAATGATGTCTATGACCATTGGATTAAAGAATTCTATTTGAATTTATCCAAGATAACGCATTATTTGCTCATCAAAAAAAAATAATTATAAAATGTTTTATTTTAAAAATAAAATTAAAACGACAACTACAATTTTACTGGGTTTTAACTATGCTATTTAAAGAATCTGATCTGAACTAAATAATGTAATAAAATTTAATTTTAAAATGGCAAGTGTTGTTGTTTTTGTTTTTGCAGCTGCTCCTACACAACTCAAACTAACTTAATTGTGATGAAATTGAATGAGAATGTATGTATATACAACAAACAAGAGGCAAATATGTATCTATTAACAAGAAATCATGGTTGTATTTCATAATGTAATACTCCTTCCCTCTTAAATTATGATGTGAATTGAATCCACATAAATCTGAAACTAGTTTGAAAAAATGGTAGAAACCGATTTGAAGTTGAAGTGATGGAAGTTGTGAGGGTGTGATCTGTGAAAATAAGAGTGGTGAAAAGCTGATGTATTTATTGTTACTTTTAACCAAAAAAAAATGACTGATTGATCATCGTTAAAAATGAATGTATTTTAAAAATCTGATACAATATTAAAAATTTTTAATATTAACACACATCAAATCACATATCATATAACCACACACACACACACACAAATAACTATTAACACACAGTACAACACAACATAATATTTATTTATATCATATCGATATTGATATTGATTAAGTTCAACTTTTAAATTTTAAACTCTTTGAACTAAAACTGAAATGAAACTATTATTAAGAATATACATAAATTCTCTTTCTTATACACAAATCTAAACTAACCATCATATTAATTGTTCACAGGGAAAAGAGGTGATATTATAAATAAATAAAAAAGACAGAGAAGCTAAACAAACTAAAATAATAAACTAATGATTATGAGTTGTGTTGTTGATTCAACATTTTTGTTTATATATCTTTTGATGATCATCTATTTTTCCAATAAATTCATTTGATAGGTATTATATGATAGAGTTTCATTTTAAGTAACAAGTCACCTTTTTTTTTATCAAATAATATAAATGTAATTCTGTATAGGAAGTTTGTTGTCTTTGTAATCATACTATGGAAGTGTGTAGTTGTATGATGTGTATAAGATATATTGGTGAATTTAGTAAAATGACACTATATGTAAAAGTGTTAAAGAAGTTACTTATATTGTTATAACAGTCACACACACACACCACATTTCTAGAACTCACATATTGAGTTCAATGAATTTGTTTATGTCAAACTCCACTCTCTGCTCTGCTATGCTCTGCTCTGCTGTGTTGTTTATTTGAAACGAACAAATATTTAAATATAGCTACATCGATTGACTGACTAACTCTACAGAATGGAAAAACAAACAAACAAGTAATAATAAATAAGATGATTTGCTTATAAAGAGAACGATAAAAATAATAATAAAAAAAGAAAAAAGACACCCAAAAACAAGATAAGACTTTTACAAGAAGTGATTGATTTTGACTGATTTTGATTACTATTCAGATAAAATTACTTTTTCAGTTAAGATACGCTGCTATAATAACTATTATTATTATTATTATTATTATTATCTGTTTGCTAAATTAATGATTACTTCTATTCTATTGCTAATACTGTTACAACTTGATTATTTTATTTAATAATACAACTATTTATAAATTTATAAAAATAGATAAAAAAAAAAAAAAGATATGAAAAGATATGAAAGATATGTTTTATTTGTTTACTTTCTCTAACTATTATGATCAAACAACAATACTTTTCCAATCTATCTTCTTCTTCCTTTTTGACGCGTCAAGATAGATTGATTAAGATAAAGTGATAAAACAATTTAGAGAAATATCAAAAAAACATAATTAGGCTGGACCTCTCTGTTTTTTTTTTGTTTTTTGTTTGAATTTTTATCAAAACTAATAGTGTTTTTGGATGGGTGCATCATAGACCAAAAGAAAATGAAAAAAAAAAATTGCAAAAACTGGTAAAAATCTGAAAATATCTTTTAGATTTTATTCGCTTTGAAATTTAATTTTTTATTTTTTTTTAAAAGACCTTTGCTTTGCAAAAGAGGTAAGGTAATTCATAAATATAATGATTAGATTTTGATTTTTTGAATTCAAAAAATAGATATTAAGATCTCAATATCTGAATTTTTAAAATAAAAAAAATCAATTTTTATTTTTTTCCTCATTATAATTTACAATGATGTAATTGTGTAGTACAATAAGTAGTTAGTTAGTTTGAAATGTTATTGAAGTAAATGATTATGTTGTGATATTAATGTATTGTTAGGTAAATGAAAAGTTTGAAAGAAAAGTTGGATTTCCACTGAAATAATATTATAATTATATGTATTTAGAATTTTATTTACAATTTGGATAGCCGGAAAAAGATAAAAAAAAGAGTTGAATGGCGATGGCGTTTTAAAACTTTTTTTCATTCCATTAATTTGTGTTTTCATTTGATACCATGAGTAATGACCTCAATAGATCTACTAAACTAACAATACCGACTAGTTTGTTCTTTTCGTTGACCACCCACACTCTATGTACACGTTCGTCGTTGACCATCTGCCAGATCTCTTGGATCGGGGTGTCGAGAGAGCACGTCTTGAATTGCTTGAACTGCTTGCCATCTCGCTTCTGTTTGCTCTTGAGAAATGTCTTTACGTCTTCGAATATCAGATCGAGATTCTTCTCGTTGATGCCTTTCCAGCTGTCGGTGCTCACTTCGTTCTTGATTTTGCCACGGTCATCCACCACTGCCACCGCACTGATTTTGTGGTCGTGAAGTAACCGCAGTACTTCAATGGTTGGGGTCGACTGGTTGACACACTTTGGATTGGGATGATAGAAGTTCTCGACTGTCGATTGACTCTGTACGATTCGCGAACGTATCAGCGGGTTTTGCCATGCCCAAATAGCTAGATCGGTTTGACTAATAACTCTATTCAAACGTGGAACACCACCACCACCGCCGCCACTACTACTTCCACTCCCACTTTCCAAAACTGGCGAAGGCACAGAGTAAACTGGAACTCTATGACAACCCATTGCGAACAACTGTATCAGATTGAATACATTGTCCATCTCTGTAACCACAGGACACATTGTTTCGACATCATTCGATTTGTTGATGACAACAGACACTGGATCCAGATTCAATTTAAAATAATTCATTCCCAACAACTTTGACGGTTTAATATTACTACTTCCACCATTTGCATCCATTTGTTTTTTAAACATTGCTAATACATATTCAACTATAAATTTGTTAATAAATTATTATTATTGTTTTATATAATTAATTGGTCCTGTAACTTACCAATATCAAACATATCAACTAAACCCATACAACCAAGTTTTGGATCGATTACAGGACACGATGATATATCATTTTCAGAGAGTACTTTGAGTGCCATGTCAAGAGAATCTGAACGCTTGACAGTGATCAATGCTTTGTTCATCCTATTCGATGAAATTACTTTTGATATGTTTTCATTTTTCAAATCGTTTGCCAAGTTCGCATCCATCTCAGTGAATACCTCTACAAGATTGGAATAAAAGTCAAGCTTTTCCTTGGGTGTACTAATATAGTTTAAACAAGATTTCTCTCTATACAATTTCGAGATTGAAACTTGTTTTTGTTTATATCTGCTATTACTATTACAATTCTCTTGTTTTTGTTGGAGTTGTTGTTTTTTACTCTTTACAATCGGTCCAAAAAATAGAATACCTGGAAAACTATTTGTTGGTTGACTATCACCATTATTATAATTATTAATACTTGTAAATGTCATATTTATGTTTATTATTGGTTTTTATTATAATGTATATATATTTAGAAATAGCAAAGATAAGATATGATAAGATAGTAATTATTATTATTATTATTATTATTATTATTTTTTAATCAAGAAAAATAGAATGTTTATTAATCGTTTCGAGAATGAAAATGAATACTTTAGAAATGATTTTAATCCAAGGTAGTCAAGCGATTGGAGTACAATGAATTTCGAATTCGTAATAAAGATCAATAGAAATGAAATTAAATAATGAAGAGTTTTCCTCTTTATAAATCTAATAGATTTCTTGTTGAATTTAGAAAGGTGTTTATAATTATTATGATGGCGATGATGCTTTCTTTTAATTTTATGATTTTTCAAAGTACTCATTTTATTAATAATTTTAACTACCAAATTGATTATATTGTTTAATTAAACGATATTCATTCATTATTGTTTTCTGATTTGATCTAATTTGATTGTTTAATTTGTTTATTTGGCCAATTAAATTGATTGATTGATTATTTTTAAACATTGGTAATCTCAATTGTTATTATTTGTTTTCTCTGTGATTCGTTTTTGGCCAGAGAGTAATATGAACATTTTCAGACTGTACAATTTTATAAATACATTTTATATAAAAATGGTACACACAACACGCAATTTATAAATTGATCGTATCGACATGGTCAATACAAAAACAATTTTATCTTAATCTAGATATATTTAATTGGATGATCAATTGAATATTGTGGTGGTGGAAAAAACAGCGTGTGTATGAAAATCAAAAAGTGTGTGAATTTATACCATGTGTTATCGATTGATGGACTGTCATTTGTTTTATGGATAGGGGTATGAAAAGGAGACATTTACTTAAATTGATTGATTGATTGGATTTGTTAACCACACACACACACATACAAACAGAAACAAATAAATAAATGTAGGAAACAATAATAAATGAATAAATGTACATTATCATTGATTGATTGATTGTAGTTACAATAGCCACAAAACTAATGGATTGATTGGTTGGATTATATTATTAATATGATGACAATCAAAAATGGAATTCAAAGTGTAAAACTATTGGTTTATGCTAATTGTCAAAGATTTAAGATAATATTAAATCTAAACACAAACACATCGGAATTGTTTAAATGAGATTTTTAGATTTATCGTTTCATATGAGCGTGTGAAGAACAGCTCTGAAAACATAATGAATGTTGATTGCCATTCAAAAACAAATGTAAAATTAGATTCTTACTCAGCAATTTATTTCGTAATTTGATCGACCAATTGTTATTATTTGTTTTTCGACTATTTATATTTGTTTACTGAGTCTGAATGTTATAAATAAAATAATTGGTAATGTTGATCATTGTTATTATTTTGTTTCATTCATTCATTTTGTTTGTTTTTTTGTTTAAAAAAAAAGATAATAAATTAAAAACAAATATTTAATAAATATTCAGTTAAAAATGGATAGCTATTAACTAGAATTTAATGATTTGATTGATTAATCCACTGCTTCTGCTGTTAACTTCTTTTTTTGTTACTGTCAAACAAACACAAAAACAAATACAGTATTGGTCAATGATATCAGCTAATAAAGGATAGAATTGGAATTAAAGGAAAAAGTGGGTTGATAAGATAATAATAAGTGTGTTAAAGTAGTTGTTTTTTTTTTTAATCTTTTTGTTATTCGTTGTTGCTTTACCAAATGTATACAAACACAATTGTACACACACTTGATAATATAATACATTTTTATAATAAATAAAACAACAATACAATTGTCTTTTATTGAATTACTCAAAGAAATGTTTTAAAATAAACAAAATGAAACACAAGTTAATTCAAAAAAAAAAAAAAAATTATTTGAAAAACAACAAAAATGGTTGGATGAAATTATAAACTATCTATCTTTCTCTCTTTTTATCTATTTTTTTATTTTATTGAAATAGTTTAAAAAAAAACTTGATATATATGTAGAAATGATCATAATAAAGTTTGATTACAACTTCACAGCTATGATATTACTTACTTTTTTGATAAATGAACGAAAACTAAATATGTCAACTTAATTAATATTAAAGTTAACTAAACTTGACCTTAATAAGCAAATATTAAAGAAAATATGTAAAATTAATTAAACTTATAAAGTATAAATAGTCGAAATTATAATCTATGAGAATGAAGTTGACAAATATTATTGTCAAATATGATCTTATAAAATAAACTAAAAACAAATAAGTTGTGGTCAAAAAACAATTCCTTTATTAAAATAAATTGTATTTAAATTTTGACATTTTTTTCTTGTTTTTTTTTTTTTGGTTATGTTTGGGATCATGATGAGGTGTGATATTTTTCATTTTTTGTATGGTCCGCCTGGTAAACATTTGTAAAAAAAAGATATTAATATTGTTTTCTATATAAATATTATTTATTTAATATGAGATCAATGAATAATATATCAATTTTTAAATATAAAATAAATGTGAGGTTTAAAAAAGTTTTTTTTTTAATACCTTTAAAGATTTACAAATAAAACAAAAAAAAAACATACAAAATAAATATTATGATAAATAAAGATTGATTTATAAAGGAAATAGTAATAAAATTCTCTCTTTTATAATATTAATCTTTTAAGTTCAAATTTTGATTTATTTCTTAAGAAAAACCAAAAGTGTATAAAAATTTAATAATTGTTTCAATTTAGAGTCAAAAAAAACTTTTTTGTGGAGTTTCCAAAAAAGGTTAATTTAGATACTAACAAAAATCATGTTAATAAATAAAAACTTTCTCACCCATGAAAAAGGTACTCTTTAAATACAATCCATGATATAAGCAAACAAAAATCAAAAACAATACAAATAATATCTATATTCAAAATATTTATATCTACAAAATTATTAATATCACAAATAATAAATATTTACTAAATAAATAAATAAAATAATGAATGTATTTATTCAAAAGACAAAGGAAGCACTTGGAACCAATTCAATTCCATCTGTAGAACATCCCGAGACCAATCATCTTAAGGACACTGGAAAGATTTTAAAGGCTGACTATGATGACCTATTATCAAATACCCATAGATTTATTAATGCTATTCATGGTAAGAATATAATAAATATATATTTTATTAAGTAATTTATTTAAATATTAATTATCTTTTTTTCCATTTTTTTTTTTCATAAAATAATATTAATTTTTCATTTTTATATTAGATTTCCAATATAAATGGGAAACATTAACCTATGTAATAAAGTCATTTGGTGTTGAACAATTCACAGATCCACAGCCGGTATTGAGAATTGCAGAGATCAATAGAGAGTTACAATTGTTACTCTATCCAATTATTCAATCTGCCAAGTCTGGTTTGTATGCCCAAACTGAAAAGGTCTATAAAGGCGATGTTGCACAAATCAAAGTTGAGCAATCCACTCTCGATAGTCTACGTCTCAAAGCCGATGCCTCACAAAGAAAGTTTATTAAATATCATGAAAAGAGACATCCTAATCCCGTAAAGTTAAGAAGAGTATGTTTGTTTTTTAAATCTAAAATTAATTAATTAGTAGATACTAACAATATTATTATTATTATTATTATCTTTCAATTTAGTATGAAGAAGAAAGAGATAAAGCAAAGAAGGAATATGATGAAAAGTTCAATGTCTATTGTGATTTGATTCATTCTCTCGAGTTGCATAGTGATGGTGTTGTGGTGGAGAACGTACAACGTCTCATCGATGAACTAAAGATCTACTTCTCTGAGGGCTATAGAATCATCGACAAGTTCTACAGAGAGGAGTTCTTGTCATATCCCGATACACTCACAGTCAACTCTAACATTGAGAGAATTGCAATGTCATCCATGGAAGGTGAGAGACTTGACAAGACTTTAGAGAGACCACTCCAACCAATTGAATAATAGAATCTATCACATCATCCCTATCTATTCATCTTTATAAAGATTTAAATAATACTCCAATGAAATCTTTAAATGTATATAAAAAAAAAAAACAAAAAAAAAAAAAAAAAGAAATTTTAAATAACAACAACATAACAAAACAATAATTATTTATAAACAATGACAATAAATATAATAATTATTATTTTTTTTTAAAAATTTCAACCTATTTGTTTGTGTTTTTTAAACTAACACATAAGTATAAAGATTATATTTATCTTAACAAGTGTTTGATTTGTTTGAATAATAAATATCTAATTTTTAGTGTTAATTAAACACACTACATTTGAACACACACACAAAAATTGAATTGTTTTTTTTTTTTTTTTTTTTGAAGATGACATTAATAAAATAACATAAAATTATTTTTATTATTATACTAAAAAAGAATTTATTACTTTAATTTATTAAATATCATTGCAATTGTAAACAGTTTGATATTTATTTTATTATTATATTACTTTATATATTTATAAATATTATTATTACATAAAGATTATCATCTTTATGTTTTTTTAAAAACTATTTATTTAAATAAAATAATAAAAATAAATTAATTTTATATTTTATATATAGATATAATAATGGATGTTACAGATATGAATAGTAACAGTAGTAGTAGTAATAGTAGTAGTAGTAGTAAAAAAGATAAAGATGAACAAATGTATGATTTGGAGGATAATGATGTAGATTTGAATGAAGATAACGATGAGAATAGTGACGATGATGATGACGAAATAGATGAAGATATTTATAGAATCGATGGTGAGGATATAGATGATGACGATGATGAATATGAAGATGATGACGAGGATGAAGATGATAAATACTATAGAAATAAAAAGACAACAAGCATTGCTGGTAATAGGAGAGTTATAAATAGAACAACCACTAGTACCACAACCAATAATAATAATAATAGCAATAGTAATAAAAAGATAGCAGATACTTCAACATCATCGGATGACGAAACCAAATTCAAGATTATACCATACGCAACACTAAAGGCAAAGTCACCAAGTAAAGGTATCCTTAAGAACAAAAATGAAACACCACAAAAGAGAAGAATCGTTTGGGATGAAGATAACCTCACCATCAACGAAAGTCAGAAATCCGCTACAATGAAAATAGATGAACCAAAGACACCTTATCATTATTATGAATCTGAAGAAGAAACAGGTAACTAATAGTTTAAAGCAATACAATATAAATATATATTTATCGTGTTTACTAAACCACTTATTATTATCGTGTTTAACATAACACACACAGAGGATTCAAAGAAATATTTGGAAAAGAGATTTATGGAGTTGGAGAAAGCACTGAAGAAAAAGAAGGGTAATCATGAAAAGAGTGAATGGGATACCTCGGATGAAGATATTAAATTGTCAAAGGTTGGTGGTCAAGTTAAGATACTGGAACAAAATGAACATTCTGGTGAAGCAGAGGACAATAATAATAATAATAATAATAATAATGGCAATGAAGATAATGATGCGGAGGAAGACGACCAAGAAGAAGAAGAAGAAGAAGAAGAGGATGAAGAGGAGACAGAAGAGGATAGAGTGAAACGTGAGAAATTCGATAAGATTAGAAAAGCACATTATAACGAGTTCTTGGAGTTGCGCAAATTGAAACATCATTTGGATGACGATATGGAGGACGATGACAACGATGGTGATGACGACGAAATGGCAAATGACGTCAATGTTGAAGATCCAAACGCAGCGGAATCGACAACCACCACCACTGCAACCAGTGAGAGTACAAATCAAGCGAAATCAAAGACACCATCGTCAAACACCACCAAGAGCAACAGTAGTAGCAGTAGCAGTAGTCCAAACAAACAAGTTAATTTCCAATCGAAACCAAAGAAAAAAGTTGTAATATAATATTGTCAAGTAACACACACACACAGTAAAACTCTCATTCCTTTTCCCCTTACCTCCCTCCTTCCTTTAGCCAAATAAAATTGTAATCTTTATTTTAAATAAATAAAAAAAAATGGATGAATGAGTTATTTAATTTACTAAACTAAAAAGAAGATAAAGATATAGTTTTTATTTTAGATTAATATATCTAATAATGTATATATATAACTTATTTAGTTATTGTGTCGGTCGTATCTTTTATTGTAATATATTATTTTTTTAAACAAAGAATATATCACCTTTTTTGACATAATTGTTCTTTAGAATACTTGGAGGCACTGGCAAGAGCCATGTAAATGAAAAATCACCAAACACCGATGATAAGTTGTTGATCAAACCCTTATCGTATTTCTTGGTGGGAGTTACTTGATTGACCAACTTTTTAATTGATTTTCTTCGAATGTCTTCTTGTTCGATGGTGGTCATGTTCCGACAGAGCAGCAAAATCTGTGAACACAACAGAGCAGTGATCGATATCTCTGTCAACACCATAACAATAACTAATAAACCTGAAATGATAACATGTGAAAGATCTATAACTGGTAAAGAATTTTCCTATATTTTTAAAAAAATAACATATCAATATTAGTATATGACAAACAGTGACCAAAATCAAATAAATAATAGTAAACATACATCTGATTGAAAACTTAAAACTTGGGTAGCTCGTGCAATTAACAATAAAAAGAAATAAATGATTGATATGGAGGAGTAGAATAAAAAGAGTACAAAGTATTTATGATTGAATACTCCAACGCAATTTCCAATCCATATGCAATGATGATCCATTCTAAGTACACATTTTTTACAAATACTACAATGATGTGCTCTTTCTGGTTTAAGCTCATTACATTTATTACAGAATCTAATATTTTACAAAGTATTAGCATTGATATATAGGATAATTTAAATGAATTGAATTATGTTTTGTAATTTACCGTTTCTCTTCTGTATGATCTGATATTGGATAGATTAAATAATATGAAGGTGAGAGAGTGTCTTGAAATTCTCCTGGACTGGTCGTCGAACATAAATAATAGGATATCAAAATAAAAATTGTAAACATCGTTGAAAAGAATGAATGTACTACGCCTCTAGTAAAAGTATCGGGATCGGACATCCAAGGAAATATCGAAAAATTGAGTATATATATATATGGGACAACCACCAGGAATAGTACCAGTGATTGGCATCCAAACCTTGCTACAAACGTCTTTCCCATCTGTGTGTGTATATGTGTGATGTGTAATATTTAAATAATTATGTGTAATTCGATTTATAAAAAAATGATTAAAAGATTATTAAATCTATAATTGTGATATGTTGTTATTGTTTGTTTTTTGTTTTGTTTTGTTGTTTAAAGATTATATGATTATTTAATAATAAACCAACTAATTAAAGGGTATGATACATTTATAAATGTTACAAAAAAATTATTAAAATAAAAATTATTAAATAAAATATTAAATTTAAGATATATTATGTTGATGTTTAAATGATATTGACTGATTGATAATGATTACGAATCTATATATATATCTTGATTACTTTTTTATAATAAATATTTTAATTCTATTTCTAAATATAAACCAATATAAAATATAAAATGAAATGATTGAATAAAGTTGGATATTGTTATCAATTATTCTATTTTCTCTATTATTCTATAAATATTATATATCTGGACGGACGTTCTCTCTCTCTTTCTATCTCTCTAAATTGATGTTTAGCAAGCACTAACTAAATCAATGCCGCTCAGCTGTGTGTATTATTGCTTTCTGCAGGGTGCTAGATAAAACCAGTAATAATTGCAATTGCTATTCAATTCTCTCTAGTTGAGGAGGAACGGTTGAAATTTGGTCAAATATATATAAAATTGTGTTGTGTTGTGTTGTGTTGGTGTTATATATAGTTGAATTGTTTGATTCTTTATAAATAAAATAAATAAAATAAATAAATAAATAAAAATGATAATCTAGTTTTTTTTTTTCCTTTTTGTTATTAATTACTGCCTGTGTATGTGTTGTATCTTTCAACTTTGCTTTGCTACTACAGTTAGTTATTGTAAGTTAAATAGTATACCCTTTTGTTATTTGTGTGTAATAAAATTTAATTAAATTCTAACTTATGATGCTTATTACTGTGTGAATGTTGTTATTTGTGTGTGTTTGTGTGTGTGTATGCAGTGTTATTTATTAAGGTTTGTGGTTATTTTTAATGAGTAGTTTTTTTGGTTTATGAATAATAAAAATTTTTTGTTTAAAAATTTTTTGTTTTTTTCAATTTTTCAAGATTTACAAACACTGGGAGATAAATCTTAAACTCAAAACAAACTTTGCACTTCAATTTTAAAACATCATCACATTTTACTTGAGAATAGTTACAACAACATCTAAGAGAAAAAGAATAATACAACATAAATATGAACATAACAAATTCAAAAATAAATCTAATTAGTAAGGATGTATATGTTATTAACTTTAGTTTATTGTTAACATTTTATAGCTCATTCTTAAAGAATTGTTAACAAATGTTTTATGTTGTACGGATAAATTAGTTGCCATTTAATTAGATTTATAAGTTATATTCTATTACACAAATATTTTTAAAACAAACTTTTTTTTTCAGAATGAATCATATTAATTTAATTATTTATTTGTTTGTTTTGTTTAATCTATTATTGAAGTAGATGAACACCATTCTCTTTCGAATTTATCATCTTCCAAGAATGGTTCCCAATGATTGTCTTCGATTGAATATTTGTAATTACCAAAATTAACACCACCAAATGAATAGATAAAACTTGATGTCGATGATTCTCGGTGATACATCAAATAAACACGATCTTCTTTGGCAGGAATAGGATCGAGATTGATTGTTTGTTTGTTTTCAACATTGTATTTGACGATTTTTTTGTTATCTTCTTGGTATAAGTAGAAATTGCCATTGTTATCATGACAGGCCGAGTAAGCGCTAAGTTCAATTTTATGAGTTGATATTGTTTTATTTTTCAAATCAAATTGAATCACCTTATTTACTTTGGTTGTTATTGAATATAATGAACCGTTGAGGATCATTGTTGATATTTGTTCACCATATTCATCAGGTAATTGATGATATCTTTCGAATTTCATTGTCTTGATATTGAATCGATCGATTCTGTTCTTTATACGATCATAACCATTAAACAAATAGATATGATCTTGACCATCATAACAAACTGATATATAACTACCACCCTCAATACCTTCGATATCACCGATATGTTCAATCGATTTCGATTTAATCGAGAATTTCATCCATTTGTTTGGATTGTTGAAACCACCGAATACATAGATATATTCACCAATTGAAACAATCGATTGGTATGTACCTCTAAAATAATAATCAAAATTGAATTGTTCGATTGAATTGTTGTTTGATGTGTTGATAAGTGTTGCTCCTCCTGATCTATTAGTTGTGAAAATATATGAAGATTTATTATCATTGTTGTTTGTTGTTGTTGCTGATGATAATAGTTTGATTGATTGACTGATAATTGAATTCAATTGATTGAAATCAAGTTGTTTGATTAATAATTTATATGACGGGGTTTCATTTTTTTTATTATTATCATTGATTTCAGTTGTTTTATTGAATTGATTGTTGTATTTATGAATGATATCCAATAATAATGATGATGAATCATTGTTGTGTTGTTTGATAAGTTCATCAATATTGAATGGATCATGATGTTCATTGAACAATATTTGACTGTTATTTAAAATGAATGATTGTAATGTTGAACTCGATGTTATTGATTTCATTATAGTTGTTGGAGAATATTTTGACGTTGTATCTTCAACCATTGATTGACTATTATTACTATTACTATTATAGTTATTATTACTATTATTATCTTTTGCCATTTTATTATTTAATAATTTATTATTATTTAATTTATAATTAATATTTATAATATTAACTAAATATTTCAAATGATTTATCTTAATATCTATTTGATTTGTAATAGTTTGTTTATCATTTAAGATTGGTTTCTTTAGTTTGTGTTCTTCAATTACAAGATATTGATGTAATTGTTCAAAGTGTTGTGATATCTTGTTCTCTGTTGCTGACAATGATTGATATTGAGATGTCGATGATTTTAATGATTCCCATATCGATTTTATTTGTATGTTGATGAATGTACTACTATTATCTTCATTATTATTATTGTTAATATTGTTATTGTTATTATGATTACTGGCCTCTAATATCTCATTGTTCAAAAACATATTATCTAATGAGTGTTTAATTTGATTGATATGTTCACAATGAATTGAGTGATCTAGTTTTTGTTTGTAATGATCAAACATACACAAATAACACATTAGTTCATTGCATTTGTGGCAAATAAACTCCAATGTTTTATTATGTTTTGTGCAATCTTTTGACATTTACTACTTTATTTATGAAACTAAATACAATAGAAAATTAGAAAAGAAGACAACGAATTTTCGAAAGAAAAAACAAACAAAAAAAAAAATTAAAAGTTCCTATTTATAAAAAAATCTTTTTTAGAAGTTATTGATTTATATAGACACAATTATAAGTATCAAATAAAGTTGTTATCGTATAAAACTGCTCTAATTTTCTATATTCAATTCTTGTTTGTGAACTCTTTTAATTTTTGTCTTATGCACATCTTATTTTTCACCTCATCAAAGCTTAATATGAAAAGAGAAAAGTAAAAAAAAATGGTATACAAAAAAATAGTTCTTTAAGATATTTAGCTAGATTTTATTTAATTTGTTATTGTGGTAGATGCACACCATGCTCTTAAACATTTATCATCTTTCAAGAATGATTTCCATTTGTCCTTTTCAATTGAATATTTGTAATTACCAACTCCAGAAAACAAATATAGAAAGCTTGATGTTGATGATTCCCGGTGATACATCAAATAAACACCTTCTTTTTTGGTCGGAATCGGATTGAGATTGATTATTTGTTGAGCTTCAACATTGTATTTTATGACTTGGTTGTTATGATAATTGTATATAAAGAAATTTCCATTGTTATCATGACATGCTGTGTATGGTTCATGGTAGATTTGATGATGATTTGTTATTGTTTTATTTGCCAGATCAAATTTAATCATATTAGTTTGACCGTATGGTATAGAATATAATGAACCTTTGAAGATCATTGTTGATACTTGTTCACCATATTCATCAGATAATTGATAATATCTTTCAAACCTCATTGTATTGATGTTGAATCGATCGATTCTATTATTATAACAACCATTAACCAAATAGATATGATCTTGACCATCATAACAAACTGATATATAATAATCACCCTCAATACCTTCGATATCACCAATATGTTCAATTGATTTCGATTTAATTGAGAATTTCATCCATTTGTTTGTATTGTTCTCACCACCGAATACATAGATATATTCGCCAATTGAAACAATCGATTGGTATGTACTGCTAAAATCATAATCTAATTCTAATTGTTCGACTGAATTGTTGTTTGTTGTGTTGATAAGTGTTGCTCCTTTTTTATTGTGTGTTGTGAAAATATATGATGCTTTATCATTGCTTGTTTTTGTTGAAACTGATGATAATAGGTTGTTGCTTTTTGTTGTTATTGATGATTTAATCTTTTCAAGTTTGACTGACTGATTGATAATTGAATTCAATTGGTTGAAATCAAGCTGTTTTATTGATAGTATATAGGAAAAATTATAATTATCAGTGATTTCAGTTGTTTTATTGAATTGATTATTATATTTATGAATGATATCCAATAATAATGATGATGAATCATTGTTGTGTAGTTTGATAAGTTCATCATAATTAAATGGATCATGATGTTCATTGAATAATGTTTGATTATTATCTGAGATGAATGATTGTAATGATGAACTTGCTGTGATTGATTTCATTATTGTTGTTGGAGAATAGTCTGTTGTTGTATCTGATATCTTTGACTGACTATTATCTTTTGTTTCGGTATTATTATTATTTAATTTATGATTTGTATTTATAATATTAACTAAATATTTCAAATGATTTATATTATTATCTATTTGATTAATGATTGTATCTTTATCATTGATAATATCTTTCTTTAGTTTATGTTCTTCAATGATTAGATATTGATGTAATTGTTCAAAGTGTTGTTTAACCTCATTCTCTGTTGCTGATAATGATTGATATCGAGATGTAGTTGATTTTAATGATTCCCATATCGATTTAAGTTGTGTGTTGATGAATGTACTACTATTATCTTCATTATTATTATTGTTAATATTATCATCTAATATCTCATTGTTCAAAAACATATTATTTAATGAGTGTTTAATTTGATTGATATGTTCACAATGAGTAGAATGATCTAGTTTTTGTTTGTAATGATCAAACATGCATAATGAACACATCAGTTCATTGCATTTATAGCAAATATACCTAATTGTTTTATTATGCTTTGTGCAATTTGATGTCATTTATTACTTGTCTACAATAGAACATATAATTGTTGTATAACATTAGCAAAATTAAAGACAAAAAACACAAAACAATCATTCATGATGATCTCTTGCAAAAAAAAAAAGTGTGTTTATTTAAAATTTATCATTTGTAATTACATTGATAACAGGTTGTTCCATTTTCATAGCGATCGGATGGTTTAACTTGGTATCAAATTCAGTCTTGTTCTTATCAGTAAATTTAAATGAATGCTTTTCTAAATACTCACGAGCCTCTTTATCATTTGCGAATCCCAATGGTGTGATTTGTTCCAATAAAATAGTTGGTCTAACACTTTTAAAACAATAATAATAATAAACAAAGTTAGTTTGATAAATTCAAAACATTATATCATATTAAGAAAAAAATAAACACATACGCCTTGGTCATAACTTGAAGTGCAGTTATTCTGATTCTTGGTGATATCTTATCCAATATATAGTTCTCCATATTAAAAGTACTCTGACACAATTTAAAGTATCTTATAAAGTTGTTGTCATAGAATGCTGCTCTAATCTTCAATGCATACTTTACACATTCTTGTGCTGCCAAATCTTGTGTTAACTCTGAAAATGTTTTTGTCATATCTTTTATCATATATATAATATAAAATTGAATTAGAAATAAACTATTCAAACTATTCATATAAGACTTGACATACCTGTGCTATTATTCTGAAAGATACAATATAATATTCTATAAGCGAAAAACTCTGCTACTTTACCTTTATTTCCTGGAATCTTATATAGTTCGAAAAGTTGTGTTTGACATTGATTGAATTGTCCTAAATCTCCCTATAAAATTTAATAGAATATGATAATTGGTCAATAAACATATTGAACTTTGTTATTATTATTATTATAATTATTGGCAACTTACATTTTCCATTGCTAATCTTGCATGAGCTTCATAGACATCGATTGAGAATTGATTCTTGATGTTTTGTACTCGCATGTCTTGTCGCATCGATCTGAATTGCTCACAGATATAGGTGTAGTCTTGTTTGTCTTTCCAGTGGCGTTTGAGATGATCGAATGTCTTTCGTAACGTTGGTTCGGGTCTGACGGTCGATGGATCCGGTGCCGATGTCAATCTGAGGTATGGCTTCTCTAGGTCAGTACTGGTTCCTTTGATCGTCATTGAATCCCAATCCAGCTCACCGCTATCTGTATATGTCTGATGATGTTGATTTCCTGTCGATGTCGATAGACTCGCTGCTGAAGTTGCTGAATATATTCCGAACCTCTGATTTCTCTTATTTATATTATTTTGTGTATCATTTAAATCGTTTCCACTATACAACATCATCGTATCAATAATCGATTAATATAAATTTAAAACCTAATACCTAATATTATTTTAGATTTATACATACATATTCTTTCTCTTTTTATTTACTATTAAGCTTATTCTTTGATGAAAGTGGAATGATATCTTCTTTTGCATTCCATTTATCTCTGATTTTATTTTTTGTTTGGTTGTTTATTAATATTAGTTAGTTTAGAACATATATATATATATATATCTAAATAGATAGATCCTAAAACTTACAAAATAATGATAGGTTGTGAATCCCAATCGATTGAATAGAAATCAGGTTTTTGCTTAGCATCGTTTATCGTTTGTTTTATCTTTTGTTGAATCTCGTCTAAATCTTCTTTCGGACATCTCTCCAGTGATTTACTTACATATCTATTTAAACTCTCTAAAAATTGTTTCTTTGGTATCGTTGGTTTACCTGTTGATGATGTCGATGTTGTTGTAGTCGTAGTAGTTTGTTGTGGTTGTTGTTGTTGTTGTTGTGGCATTTGATATTGTTGTGGATATACCTGTTGTTGATAACCTTGTTGCTGTGTAATCGATTGGAATGGTTGTTGTTGTTGTTGTTGTTGTTGCGGATAACCCTGTTGTTGTGCTTGCTGTATTTTCTGTGCCATTGTCATTGTTTGTTGTTGATGTGGGGGTATCTGCTGTGCTGCTTGACTCTGTGAAACCTGTTGGTATTGTTGGTATTGCAGTTTCTGAAGCATCAGCTGCTGTACTCCCACCGCTGTATTTGGGGTTGCCGAACTCGAGTTGGTGCCACCTACTGCTACGCTATCGGTCTTTTTCGACTTGGGTTTGAATACCGGTGGAGGAACGATCGTATTCGTTTTATTCGGTACCATTGAAAATTTTATTGGTTGTTGTGGTTGTTGTTGTTGTTGCTGTGATAGTGGTTGTTGTGGTTGCTGTTGTTGTTGTTGTTGTTGTTGCTGCTGCTGCAGATGTAGACTATTCATTTGTTGCATAATTTGTTGTTGATTATCAAAGTTATTGTTAAACATTGGTTGTTGTAGTTGTTGTTGTTGTTGTTGTCCTGTTGTTGTAGTTGTCGTGGTTGTCGTAGGTAACGTGACATTTGTATTATTCGATTGATTATAAAAATTTTGGTAATAAGGTGTATTCTGCATATAGTAATATTGATAAAAGTAATTCGGATCCATTTGTTGTTGCTGTGTATTATTCATTTGTAGTTGTTGTATTTGTTGTTGCGTTTGTTGTTGTTGTTGTGGAATGTTCATCTGTTGTTGTTGCTGCGTTTGTTGTTGTTGTTGTTGCTGAATGGTCATCTGTTGTTGCATTTGTTGTTGGTGTAGATTTGCCCAGTAGGTTGCCATTGCATTCGGATCCATCATGTTGGTAGGTGACCCAGACGATACTTGTTGTTGTTGTGGTTGTTGTGCTGTATTCATTGTTGATTGACTATTGTTGTTGCTGTTGTTGTTATACATACCTTACCTGAAAATATATATATAAATAATATTATATTATATTCTAAATCACTAAAGATCAACAATAATAATAATAATAATGATGTTATCTATTATCTATCCCTTTCTTTGTTTGTTACAAGTGTATTCTATTCTATTCTATTCTATTGTATTGTATTCTATACTATTATATAATATTATACTAAAACTAATTGAACAAACTTTTAAAAAAAAAAAAGAAAGTATATAGATTATTATTTTATTTTCTCTAATTATATAATATTTATTTTAATTAACAAAAACTAAAACAAAAACAAAAATAAAACAAAGCTAAACTATGTTTCTTTATCTGATTTATATTAATATTTCGATTATTTTATTTAAAAAACAAAAAAAGAACAAATAATTGTAATAATAATAACAAATCTTTTTAACAAACTTCTAAATTCTTTCTTGTTTTATCTTATTTTTCGTAAAATAGTAAAGTTGTAATGGTTCTACTCAAATTTATATTTGATTTTGTTATAAAAGTTATCTTATTAAGAATTGGCGCAATGTTTGTTTATTTTATTTTTTTTGTCCAAGTCGAATGAAAAATTAAAAGTAACGTATTTTTTTAGAAAGTGAATTTTAGTTTATTTATTTAATAGTATCTATTCTTTACGTCCATCAATTTACATATTCTTTTAATGTATTTTGTTTAAATTTAGTAATAAAATTAAAACATTATTAATGGTGTTTTTTTTTTTAAAAAAAAATTTTACCATTTTTGTAGTGAACTTTGATGTGATTTAACAATAAAAGACCAACAACATTAATATATTAATGCTAAAAATAAAAAAAAATTGGTCGACTGATCATGATTCGAAAATGAACCAAATAGATTAATTTAATATTAAATAAAGAAATGAAAGAAGCAAAGAGTTAAAGGAATAGAGAAAAGACAAATAAATGTATACAACAACATTAGCAATAGAACTAATTCTGTTATTGAACTCTCACCGGTCGTACTATTCCAACTCTAATCAATAAAAGAATTTGAATCATCTCACCTTTAAGTCTTTGTTTATTATCATCATTGAATCATTGTGATCAATCACAATTTGAGGTGAGAATGGAGAGTGATTGTATTGAGATGAGAGATAGAATTGGAGGGATGGTTTGGATGAGGAATATATACATTGTCTTTATTGGATTGTTGTTGGAGACTACTGGATCAAAGTGCTCTGCGAGAGTTGGATGCTTCATCACGGGAGATTTCGGTTGGCAATTTGTTGGATGGAATGCAGGTCTACAGCGTAGAATGGAGGAATAATGACACCTGGTGGCAAAGGTGGTGCTCCATTGAACAGTTCAACAGTTGGTATCTGGAGTTGGTAAAGTGGAAGACCAAGTGCATTACAAGGATTTTGAAGGTTGAGGGGATTGGCTGGATTGGCTACAGGTGGAGGAGTCCCAACTGGAGGCATGACACCTTCATAGCCTTGAGGAGCAGCATATCCAGGTGGAGATATGGGAGGCAAGTGTCTTTGGATTGTATTGGTGACATCCAAATGTGTCGTTCCACAAGAGATGATCCTGACAGGATTTGCTGCTGCACCATTCTGATAGTACAAAACAAGCATCGCAAAGTCTCCATTGTTTCTGGGATAGATCTTGACACCAATAACGATCCTGATTGTGCTTGGTATTGCAGCCACCGCAGGGACACCAGGAGCAGGAAGCACAGCAGCAACACGATCCATGAAATAGTCGAGGCACTTTTGATGTAACACTGGAAGTGATTGAGACTTGGCTGCTTCGATGACCAATGTTGGGTAAGGATTTCCATGACCATCTGCCGAATGATTGTTGTGGACTTTGGGTCGAAGAGGTCGCAAAGATTGGTCTGGCTCAGCATTTGCATGTCCTGGTTGGAGGATCAATGTCGCAGCTCCTCCGGTGTGCAACAAATGTTGGTTTGGGAATGTTTGAACCCATATCATATCCTTGATCGCATTGACAGTGCATGAATGCGCCATTGAGGGTACTTCATAGATCCATGCCCTTCCATCTCTAAACCATATCCTCGACTTGAACTCAGATCTCTCTCCATCCTTTTGTCTTCTTGCTATAAAAGTATTATGGTTGATGGGTCCAAGTTCAACTCCTCCATCGGGAACATATCCTATCTGGATATAGATGAGGATGTTAGTGATATATTTCTTGCAATACAATTAAAGTCATACTTGTCGCAAATAATCTATTTTATTCGACCAACCTCTGATCCTTTTAACTACCTCAAGCACTTCCAGTTGAGACTGATTTGTTGGTGATGAGAGCGCAAGAGAGTCGATATATGGTTCAGTGTGTGCATGCTCTTGATTTGAAGAGGAAGAGGAGGAGGAAGAGTACAGTTGCTGAGTCATCGGTATTGCTTGATGATCACCTCTTTGTTTCTTTTGAACAGTGACATCACTGCCTTGATTTGATCTCTTCAAATGAATAGAAGTATCATCACCTGTATTTGCCATGACAAGAGTGTAGGAGACTCGTTATTTGGTTCAGTGGTACCAGATCTTGATTTGAAGATGTTTGTGTGTATGTATTCCTTCTATCTGTACAACTATAACTACGAAGAGAGAATGATGATTAGTGAGGAATATAAATTATCACCTATCTTTTGTAACTAATATATATAATCCGTATATTATATTTTTATAGACTATATAATCTTTCAAATAATAAACAAATAATTAAATTATATGATATCAAAAAAAATAAACAAATGATTAACAGTTCATATTATGATACATTTAATAAATAATGTTCCTTATAGAAGTAAAAAACAAATAAATAAATAATAGAAAAGACAATAATATTATTAAAAAAGATATTATAATTTTTATTGGGCTTTTTCAAATGTCAATTCGATTTAAATCTTTCAACTCTGTGAATTCACAACCATTACAATAATTACAATACTCCACGCTCTATAGTAACAATCTAAAGTTGAGGAAGACCATGAGCTATGTAACAGACAACTCTTCCTCATATGTCTCTGTACAGAAATAACTTCTCTGAAAGTCGCAGGTAAGCTAATTTCCATTTGTCCTGTAGGTGACTCGGTATCTGTCTGATCGACGCAGCTTTCAAACAATTCGAGAAGGTTCCTATCTCTATTATCATCTGGTCTAGTCGACTCTCTTGTTCCTTGATCAGTGGGAACCAAGGTGCGGCGGACCACAATGGGAACACCAGTGTTGACGAAGTCCGATTCTCGTCGTCCCACTTCGCTATCGTTCTCGGTATCAGTTTCGGCGGTGGAAACATGTAAAGGTGATGTCCATTCCTCCATTTCTGGCTGAAAGCATCCTTCTGGAATGTGCAATATGGAATTGTTCTTCTGTTCGAATGTGAAGCAAATAGGTCTAATGTCTTCTGTTTCCATGATCCTGTGGTACCATTCCTTCTTTAATGTCCATCCGTATCTGATCTCTTTCTTTTTGTTGTTTTCTACTCCTCTTGATAGATTGTCGGGAGTTAAATTGAACGTTCCCGGAATGTGTTCGATCATCACTGTAATATTCCTTTTTAGACAGCTTTTCCAAAACTGTTCGATCGGTTTCAATAACCTTTCGATTGGTCCACCTTGCTTTTGAACGTATGACATTGCTGTCGTATTGTCTGTCCTTATAAGTAATGTTCCGTCTTCCAATCCATCTTCTACCATATTGTACGCTTGTATGATCCCATGCGTTTCTCTCCAATTTGAACTGTTTTTCTTTTCTAATTCTGACCACTCTCCTGAAAATTGAAACTCTGTTCAGTCTAGATGTGTAAGTGTTGCACCCCAACCATACTCTGCTGCATCTGTTTGAAGTATCCAATCTGCTTCTGTTTCCATTGCTAACGGTTTCCCGTTCCAATCCTTTAACACTTTTAACCACATCACTAACTCTTCTTTCACTTCCACTGGCAACATTATCATCTTGTCCCAGTTTCCTTGATTCTCTCTTAACGACGCTACCAGAAATCGATGAACCACTCTTTGAAATAATCTCTGAGGGATCACCCTTAATGTCGTTAACTTTCCTTTTAACCCTGCCGGTAATCTCTGAACTTCTTGTCTACTAATATGTGATGATAAGCTTTTCTGATGTCTTTCTATATCATCCAGTTATCTTATTAAGAATTGGCGCAATGTGAAATTTGATGTGATTGAACAATAAAAGACCAACAACATTAAATATATTAATACTGTTATCACGTACTTTAACAAAGAAGACATGGAGCCAACCACAATATGCTTTTAAAAGTAGTCATCAAATATATATGAATACAAACAATCTCAATCGACTAAAATAGATTTGATGTACTTAACAATCAACAATGCTATTAATTAACTATCTATCTATTACTAATACAACTAAAAAAAAAATAATATATTTTTAAATTTAATAATATTAATAAAACTCAACTTATTTATTTTTTTTTATAAAAATTTGATAAAATTTTGGGCATGATGAATGTGTCATTTGAAATTTCCAAAGGTGAAAGAAATCAGCTGAAATATTATTAAATATTGATATTTAATATTCGTTTATTCATTTTATATGAATATAACAAAAAAGTAAATTATTATATATCTAAAATTCAATAGATCTATTTGTTAACATTTAATATTTCTTTAACAAATAAAAGATAAAAGAATTTGGAAAATTTTATCTAAAATATCTGGGGGTCACCAAATTTCCCTTTGATAAAAAAATAAAAAAAATCAAAAATAAATTAAATTTTAGTGAAATTGGGTTGTTAATTAAAATGCTAGCAGGCAGGTGATCTTTCATTCGTGTGAATTTTTGATATACATATTTAAAATATAATTGTAATATTCTAATTTTAGTATTTTAAATAATTATAATTATTTTGTAATATTATAATATATTTATTTAATATTATATTATATTTATTTTTATTTATATTATTATTTTGTATTTATTTAATATTATTTTATTTTTATTCATTAATATTAAAAAGTTAGTAGTAGTAGTACTATTATATTATAATAATAAAAATGTTATCATTAAGTAGATTCTATAGTAGTGTAGCACATCGTAGTGATGTCGTTCGTTTGGTGAATGGATTTCGTTTGCATGGTCATCTGAAGGCTACTGTCGATCCGTTGGCCAGACTCGAGAGAAAGGCATCGCCATTGTTGACACTCGAGCACTACGGTTTGAAGGAGTCCGATGTCTTCAAGCCAACTGCCAACGTACTGAAGCAATTGAGCAGTGAGAAACCATTGTCCGGTGTAATTGAATACCTCAACGGTGTATACTGCGGTGACTCCACCGTGCAATTTGAACACATCGAATCGGAGGAAGAGAAACAATGGTTATACGACACCTACGAACGTATCCAAAACACAAAGCATACCGACGAGCAAAAGATCAACATTCTCAAACAACTAGTCAAATCAGAAGTATTTGATCATTTCATGCAAAAGAAATTCCCAACTACCAAACGGTAAGATTACATTATATATCAAATCAAATCAATCGACATTCAAATCAATTAATAATTGTTCTCATATAATTATCATCATTAATCAACATATAGTTATGGTTTGGAAGGTAATGAAAGTATGATGGTTGCTTGTGATGCTGTTTTCAGTGAGTGTGCAAAGGAAGGTGTAGAGAATGTTGTTATTGGTATGCCACATAGAGGTAGATTGAATTTGTTGGTACAGATGTGTAATTACCCAGCAAAGGATCTGTTTTGGAAGGTAAAGGGTAACAGTGAGTTGCCACCAGGTGTCATTGGAATCGGTGATGTTCTCTCGCATATCGGTGTTTCGTCGGATGTCAAAGTCGATGGTGGAAAGGTTCATGTTTCATTGATGCAGAATCCATCGCATTTGGAAGCGGTCGATCCAGTCTGTCTAGGAAAGACACGTGCCAAACAATTCTATACTAACGACCAATCACGTGATCGTTCCGTTTGTTTGATGTTGCATGGTGACGCTGCTTTTGCCGGTCAGGGTGTTGTCACCGAGACACTGTCACTCTCACAGCTCCCTGGATTCACAGCCGGTGGTGCCGTGCACATCGTCGTAAACAACCAACTCGGTTTCACAACCATTCCATTGAATGGACGTTCCACTCGTTACTCCTCGGACATTGGTAAGTTTGTTGGATGTCCAATTATCTTGGTCAACTCGCAGAATCCAGAGGCTGTAGATCGTGTCTGTCGTCTCGCCGTCGAATATCGTAATCAATTCAAGAAGGATATCATCATTGATTTGATCGGTTGGCGTAAATATGGACACAACGAAGTCGACGAACCATCGTTCACCCAGCCAACCATGTATACAAACATTCGTAAGCGTACATCGATTCCACAGTTGTACGCCAAGATGTTGGCAGCCAGCAATATCTACTCTGCCGAGCAATTGGCTGAGTTTACCGCTGCCGAACAAAAAGCATTGGAAGATCAATTGGCTTTGACCAATGTTGTTGATTTCAACTATTCACCAGCCGACCATTTGGAAGGACAATGGAAGGGATTCGTACAATCGACACGTCTTGCAACCACTCAACCAGAGACCGGTGTCGACAAGCAGACACTCTTGAAGATCGCTGAGGATTCAACTAAAGTTCCAGAGGATTTCACTGTTCATCAACGTCTGGTTCGTTCATTCTCAAATGCTCGTCAGGAAAAGACAAAGCAAGGATTGGCCGATTGGGCAACTGCAGAGGCAATGGCCGTTGGTTCGCTCATGAAACAAGGATACAATGTTAGAATCTCAGGACAAGATGTTGGTCGTGGTACTTTCTCACAACGTCACTGGGAGCTCTATGAACAATCGACCGATCGTGTCTACCAACCATTGAACAACGCCGGTCTCCCAGGAAAGCTGACTGTTGTCAATTCCAATCTCTCAGAGTTTGCCGTGCTCTGCTACGAATACGGATACTCCTTGGAGTCACCAAAGACCTTGCCAATTTGGGAAGCGCAATTCGGTGATTTCTTCAATGGTGCACAGATCGCCATCGATCAATTCGTCGCCAACAGTGAGTCGAAATGGTTGCGTCAATCCGGTTTGACTTTGTTGTTGCCACACGGATTCGATGGTGCCGGTCCCGAACACAGTTCCTGCAAGATCGAACGTTTCCTCCAACAATGCGATACCGAAGCAGTCGATGTTAAAAACCCAGAGAAAGTAAACAAGGAAACCAACATGTACGTAATCAATCCATCGACTCCAGCCAACTACTTCCACGCTCTCCGTCGTCAGATGATTCGTAACTACCGTAAACCACTGATTGTCGTCGGTCCAAAGGTGCTACTCCGTCATCCAGCTTGTTTCTCGTCATTCGACGAAATGACACCGGGAACCAGCTTCCAAACTGTCCTTCCCGATCCAGACACCGTCGCAAATCCATCGGCAATCGAACGTGTCATTTTCTGTTCCGGAAAGATCTTTTACGATCTCCAAGAGGAGAGAAAGAAACTCGGTGATACCACCACCGCCATCGTCAGATTGGAAGAACTCTCGCCATTCCCCTACGAAGGTGTCGAGCGTGAACTCCAACGTTACAGCAACGCCAAGGATTTCGCTTGGTGTCAAGAGGAACAACAGAATGCAGGTGCCTGGAGTTTCGTCGAACCACGTTTCAAGCAACGTTTCAGCGAAACCGCTCAAATCAGATATATAGGTCGTGAACCACTTTGCGCAAGTGCAATCGGTGTTTCATCCATTCATAAGCAAGAGGTTGCTAAATTAATGAAAGATGCATTCGCTAAACAATAATTATAAATAAATAAATAACCAATAATAATAATAATAAAATAAAAATAGTAATAAAATAATAAATTAATAAAAATAATGATCCATCATCAAAAAAAAAAAAAGGATAATTAATTATTCATATTCAAATATTTAGCAACAAAAATTACTAATAATAATGTTCTTAAAAAAATAAGTCTTTTTTTTTTTTTTTTTTCAACACACAACTACATATCCAATTTCTTTTAAAAAAAATAATAATAATATTTGTGTGTTGACTTATTTTTATTTATATAAAAAATGAAATTATTTGTGTGTTGAATTATTTTATTTGTTTTTAAAAGAGAAGTGTGGTTGAAGATAAAAAAACAAATAACTTTAAATATGTTTTAAGTTTTGATTTATATATATAATGATGAGGAATAATATTTAATACAAAACGTTTACAATGAATGTTGTTTTTTTTTACTCAAATACACCCCCTTTAATACATATCACATATTGTTTTTATTTTGATTTCTTTTTATATATTTCATTTATGTACATGTGAACAAACATACAAATACTAATATATAACTTCTACTTGTAGAAAGAAGTACAACTACACAATTCTACAACTGTAAACTTCTTTTAAAAATACTCTAATTGCGCGTCAAACGCAATGACTTGGCCATAGATAGACAAAAATTCAAATATTTACAAAAAAAGATAAAATATATATTTATTACTTGTTTGTATTTATTCTTTTTATATCAATTCATATTTAATATATAAATTTATTTAAATAATTTATCATAGTTTATTATTAAAATATTCAATATAATTAGTAGTTTATGAACAATACATCAAAGTTGTATAATAGTAGTTGTAGCACAATTAAAATTAAAAAGAAATAAATGTTTTAGAATAATTATTAAGATATCTATTCAATTTTAATTTAATCATAAAATAAAAGAAGATTAATATTTTTCACAAGATAGAGTATTTCTATCTTTAAAATCAAAAAACAGGTAAATATTTTATATAAAGAGTCAAACTCTTCTTTTATTGTTTTTGATAATTTTGATTGAAGAAAAACAATGAAGTTCAACAACTCACAAGATGATGATAATAAGTTGTATTATTAGTCATATAAATAGTAATTGAATTTATTTATATATAATAACCAAAATCTATTTAGTTTTGTTTTACTTTTTAATATATATATATAATATCTGTAATTTTTGTTTTTTAAAAGATCAATAATACATTGATTTTACTTTCCTAAAAAAAACATTTTTTATTATTTCATCAATCAAATCTTTTTATTATTATTATTTATTGATTTACATTATTAAAAAAAATTACTAAATTTGGGAAATTCATTAGTTTGTTCAACTTTATACCAAATATTTTTATTTTATATTTTTATAGAAATGCAATACTTTCACCAATCTTAATAATAATTCTCACAATCTATTACAATGATTTTGATGATAATAGTCATCAACCTAAAATTTTTACTTAATCATACATATAATCGAAAAGTGGTTTTTAAATACTTTTATTTTTTATATTTGTTTTTAAAGTGGTTGGTTTTTGGTCTATCAAATGATATAGAACCACAAATAAATAAGTACACACAAATTTTACTATAGATTCTTTTGTTTTATTTTATTAGTTTAACAATAATCATAAAAACATCACTCACACTCAACACACATAATAAAAAAAAAGACACAATTACCCCTATATCATCAATAATTAATTCTAAAACTCAAAAAGTTTATAAATATTTAAACTTTTATGTGTGAGTGTGGTGGTAGTGGTTACTCATTGCTATAATAAATAAATGAGATACCTTATTTGTTATTTTTCTCAATTGGCATACCAATATATCCATTTATTTTAATTAGGTTATTTGTGTTTGTTTGTGTCGTTGTTGTTTAAATATGATTCATCTTTTATTCTTTATTTCAAATATGGAAAAATCAATTAAACATCTACATCATCAATCCAATGAAATAACAATGTTTGATATTATAATCATTATCTTTTACATTTTATTGTTAGTTTTAACAAACCACAAACAAACAGCTTCTATCATACCAATAAATTTTTATTATTAACAGTAATATTCATAGTTTATAATTTTTGATTGTTGTTGTTGTTGTTGTTGTTGGTTGTTGTGTTGGTTTTTGTTCTAATAAATATCAATCGTCATCACATATTAATATTGTTCTTTGTTATTGAATAACATTATTAATATTAGTATTATTCGGTTACATAGTAATAACAAAACATACATACATATCAAATCAAATCTCTTTAGTTTTAAAATCAGTATCTTTGTCGTCATCAGTTTCAACCATCAATTTAATTCTCACCAGTCCACTCACACATACCAGTCCTTATCATCCTAATCATCCTAATCATCATCATCACATTTCAAATGTCTTTCCAAATGTAAAAGTTCTCTTTATATTGAAGTATTATTCCTATTTTCATTCCATCAACAACATCAATATATTCAATATAGTTTTATCAGAGTTAGTATTACCCATTAATTTCTCAAAAGCTACATTAAAAAGACAGTAAGTTTATTATCATTCTCATAAAATCTTGTATATACAGCTTATATATATATATATATTTTTCAAAAATCATCATTTATAATCTATTGAGATCCAATATTATTCATATTTTCGAATCACTCTCTTAATTTTACTTGGTATCTATCATTCCATTTCAAGATCTCCATATAAAAATATTGATTGTATTTTAAAAAGCACACGCCAGAAATCATATCTTGACAAATTTTAAATTTCCATTGACAATCTTAATTTTTTGTTCAACTCTAACCACCTTTCTACTTATCGTTTAATCCCTTGTTGTTGGTATTACCAAGTGTCTGGTGTATTCTATTCATACATCACATTAATATTAATAATATTGTTTTGTTCTTTGGTTGAATCTTTAGATATTAACACTCGAAACTGTAGCATGATTGGTAATACCAATTCAATTTAATATTTTATCAAGTGTACATTATTTGACATATTTTTCGATCGACACTAGTTTTTATTACAGTAGGATTGTTTTTATTTGTTATGTTTGTCCACAAAATTTAAACACCACCACAACCACAACTCACTGATATCTTTATCCACACCACCAATTAATTGTTTATATATTTGCAATTGTTTTTTTTAAATAATAACATCGAAAGACAAGATAATTATCATCAATATTTTAATTTTTTGTTCCAAACACCATTGCATGATATAATGTTAAACATCTTGTTTTCACGAAATTCATTTCCCACTGCTCTATTATTCTTTGGTATTTCCTTTCTTCACAATAATAATATCCAACCAATAAATAACGATTTTAACACACCCATTTGTTAGGTCTACATGTCTAAACAACACTTGTATTACTTAAGCAAACAGAAGTACTTTATTAAATTAAAAAAATTAACATTTACATATACAAATTATATTTTTCCTTTTTTAAATTATACAATAACTGTTTATTTTATTCTATATTACTTTTTACTATATTCTCAATTTTTTATTTTATCCATTAAAACAATACTTTTTAATCTTAATTAATATACTATAATTTTTTATATCTTTAATTTTTTTTTATCTATATAAAATTAATCAATATAACCAATACTTTATCTAATTTTTAATAATAATAATAATTCTTTTTATTTTTTTAATTTTTCAATAATAATATAATTTATCTTTAAAAACAAAAAACAAATAATTAAAATACAAATAACCAAATATATCTATTTTATTTTTATTTATTGTAAAAATACATATTAAAAATCATCTATAACAACATATTAAATTTTTATATAAATAATTTATTTTTTAATATTCATTGTAGTCTCATTTTATAATTCTTTTTTGGTAGTAAATTTATTACTTACCAAAAAAAGATAATTTTGTTCCATCCACACTTAGGAGAAATATTAATACAACTTTAATATATTGTAGAACAAAAACATGTTTACTTCAAAGAAAAGATCAAGTTCTCTCACTATTATTGATCCAATGAAACTTGAAAAGTGTGACATGCCAAATAAACACCAACAATTAAATCACTCCAAGTCATATTTAAATCAAATAGTGTCGCTGAACACCTCAAAGTTACCACAACAAGAGGGTGCCACTGAAATATGTTTGGATCAATCACAGAACCAACTCCAGAATACATCGTGCTCTTCTTTGGAGAACAATCACAGTCAATCAAACCTAAATCATTGTTTATTGAATAATAATACCAGTAGTATATACAATAGTTTAAATAATTATCGATTATTCCCCATTGCACATCACCACAACAACACCAATCTATTAAAGAATCATAAAACATTTAAATCCCTATTCAAATCATTCACCATCTTCCAGAAAAAGAAAGAATGTGATCCAAAGATTACAGAGTTTATAAAGATGGTCGATACTCACAGGGAATTCTTTAAGAAGGCTCCAGAAATCGATAAATTTGTTTTAACTCTTTCCTATTTATATTTAAAGAGAGCTTTTCCAGATGAATATATAACATCAGATGTTTTCTTTTATGCTTTATATTTAGCTTGGGTATGTAATATTTTTTAAAATTAAATAAATAATGTTTATTAACATCTTTTATTAATATTAAATTATAGGAAACGGAAGAAGATTCAACATTAGGTCTTGAGAGTATTATTCATTATGTGATTGGAAGTTATCCATCATCAAAAAACAAAGATAAGAATCAGAGAAAACAAGAGATTTTAGAGTGGAGAATGAGACTACGACAATTCCACAACGGTAAAGACATTCTATGGAAAGTATTAGACTACAAGACAGTTATCGATTTCCCACAAATTCAAAAAGCTTCAAAGACTTTTCCACATCATGATATTCTAAAGAGAGAGAGAACCTATTCTCAATCAATTAAATTCTTTTAATAATATAGATAAATATTTATATACATAATTATATATACATACAGTAGTAATACAATTATTAAAAAAAAAAAAAATAACATTATTTATTTATTTTTATTTTTATCCCTCTATCTCTCTCTCTCTATTATTATCCTTTTAAGTTTCTTACCTACTTCCCTTCAAACATTTCACATAGTTTCAATTAAATCTATTCTATTTTTTTAAATATCTTTCTATATTACTTTATCTATCTATATTATCTATCTATTTATTTTGCAATCCATTCACATGATATCAAATTTTAATATATAATAAAGTTTTGATACATTCTCTATCATGATATATATGTGAATAACATATATACATTCTAATCTAAATATTTTAATATTGTATACATTGATTTGATTTGATTTATTTTTGAGGTTGTTGTTTCTGAATGAATTAGTATGCACCTTCTTCTTCATCGTCATCATCATCCATTTGACTGTCTGTTGCTTTTCCTCCTCTTTGTAAATCCTGATCGTCATCAGAGTCATCGTCATCCTCTTCATCGGCAGCTCTATTTGAATGATGATGATGAGCACCCATCATCTTGTCATCGTCATCGTCATCGTCGTCCTCCATCTTGCTAAGATCCTCTTCCTCGTCGTCATCATCATCGTCGTCATCATGTTGATTGTTAACATTACTGATTTGACCTCTCGGTGTAGATGATTGATCTTTCTGTGATTCGATACTGCCTATTCCACTTGAAGCCAATGACGACGGTGATGGTACCGATTGTACGGCGTTGCCAGCACCCAATCCAGCGCCCTTATTAATGAATATCTTCTTCTTCAAACTATTTGGTCTACCGCTGCTATCATCCGTAGATGTTGTAGTGGTTGTTGTAGTGGTAGTCGATGAACTCTCGTCAGTACCATCATCTTTAGTTGCTGCATTCTCTTGTAATTTCTTTTGAATCTTTTCTAATCTTCTACTGTTGCTTCTTGTCTTTGGTAAACTATTTAAATAGATCATCTCCATCTCTGTTTCTACAAGTGATGCTCCACCCTAAAAAAAACAAATTAATAAACATATAATTATAATAATAAATGATCTATATTTTTTAATAATACCTCTGTTGTAGAACCTCTCTTTGATCTTGTTCTAATTGTATTTGATACTTCTGCAGCTTTATTTGGTACATTATCTTTTGTTCTTGCAACAGCTTGATTACCAACAACAGGTTTCTTTGGTTTCACTAAATAATAATAATAATAGCAAGTAATAGTATTATTTCTATTAATAAAAAACCAAATTCAATGATTGTGTGATTATGATTAACAAACAAACATACATGCTATCCATTTTAATAGTTTCAAATGACCTACAGTAACCCATTTCTTCTCCCATTTCGTTACAGGACCTTTAAGTTGTTGTTTCTTCGCATTCTGTAATAGCAATGTATGTTGATGTCTCAATGCTCTGTTACTTGCATCTATTCTAGTAGACATATCTCTACTTTTGAAAATTTATAAAATAAATATATTAAAAAAAAAAAAAAAAATTAATAAATTGAAATATAAATGTGTTTTAAAAAAAAAAAAAAAATTCAAATTTTTATACGTTAAAAAAAACTAAAAATTAATCAAAAAAAATAATCAATTCTGCATAAAAATTTGAAATTTCAAACACAAAAAACGGTTAGTGATATCATCTCATTTTATTTTTAATGAAAAGTCTAATAAATCGGATTGATTGATTATTGCTCCTGAACCATTGGTTTGATATTTAGCAGAGCCACACAATAAGAATTGTTGGTCGTTCAATCTTCTGAGGAAATATTTGTTTCTATTCACACTTTGCAATAGTCGGATGTTGGTGATATTACTTGGTATTCCTTCGGCACCACCAATCATTTGAAGTGTTTTTTTAGTTATAGTTAGGGTGCGAAGTGAACTCGGTAAGTCTTTCCATTGGAACAAATGATAGCTTAGTAGCGCGAGTGTCTCGACACCATCCGGTAGTGACTCGATATCACAGCCAAACGAACACACTAGCTCCTTGCATAGCGGTAACATATCGGATCGAATCGTCTTACTGAAATCTCCAATCTGTAAATAGTCCAGTCGATTCTCTGGGAATATAAAGATATCTGGATCATATTTGCAACCAAGTAGTGCCATTCGTTTTAAGTTTGAAGGCAACCGACCAATTCTACCTTCATAAGAAGAGATTCTACTCAGATCTAAAGTTTCCAACCGATTCAACTCGCTAAATATATCGATTTCCAATGATACACTCCTGGATATCTCTAATTTCCTTACACCACTAGGTATAAATCCTTTGGTCAGGTGTTGTTTCGATGTTATCAAAATGAGTTTGCTAATATGTAGAGGAATGTAGTTATTGCAATCGATCACATCATCGTTACTGAAAACAACTGATAGTTCGGTAAGAGATGCTGGTAGATTTTCTCTTATAGACGATTTCAGCGATTGGAATGATATGCTTAACTTTCTTAGGGTGCTTGGTAGCGATCTCAAAGTACAATGCAATATAAAAGTGCTAACACATCTAAGTTCTTGTAGGTTGGGTGGTAATGATTGGATTTCGAGTTGAAGAGTTTGATTGCTATCTACTAAGAGTGACTTTAGAGAAGTAGGTAGTTTTTCGGATCTGATTGGTAGGTTCCAGTACAAGTGGGTGAATCTCTCCAGAGCAACCGGTAGCTTGTCGTAGTCAAAATCACCATAAACACAAACATCCTTAATATTCGAAGGAAATCGATCAAATAAAATGCGTCTGCTATCTAAAGTTATTTGATTGACATTCGATCGTTCAAGTTTACTTTTAAACTTGCTATCTAAATCGTGTGGAAACAAATAGTGAAACTCCAACTTTTTAACAGTACTAGGTATTTCTAATTCTTTAACTTTATAAAAAAGTTAAATATAATATTAATATTTTAGAAACAACATTATTCACTATTTACTTACAATCACTTATAACTATTATATAATCGTAATTGTTTTTTTCATCGGGTTGATCTGTGTAGGTGATCAATAATGAACAATTTGATTTCAATTCCAATGCTCTCTTTAATAGATTCTTGTATGAATTCAATTGAAATCGAGGATATTCATTATCTATAGAATTTGAATACCTCTGAGGTATATTATCACAATTTAAAAATATATATTTATCTCTTTGTTGATAAAGTTGTTTACAAACTAAACTGAAACATATCTTGTCAATATTCTTGTTTAAAAATCCAATGATTTTAGATAATATAACATGTGATAGTTTTAGTACATAATTGTTATCTTTATCATTCATTGTTTCGATTATGATTGTCTAAAAGATTGTGATTGGTTGTTACATTATTCGGTCTATGCTAAAAATAATAAATCAAATAAAAAAACAGAAAAAAAACAGAACATTGGTAAGTGCAGATATTTTAATATAATCTGGATTTGAATATATTTATTTTTTATCTTTATGAGCATAAATAAGTTTGAATGTTTATATTATTGTTTTGTAAAAGTTAGATGTTAGTTGTACGATTAAAATAGATTAGATAGATTGAAATGATTAGAAATGTGCATACTTTGGACTATAATAGTTTGGAATATTTCATAGGTGTATATAATCAATATTATCAGTTAAGAGAGTCTAATGATGAAGATACAATCAAGTTACGAGCAATGTATGTCCAGTTCTTTGCAGATTATCATAAATCTAAATATAATCACTATATAGATGTTAGCGGGTATATCGAATTTATTGTCGATGTATTCTATGATCCTTCGATTGAAGTATTCAAACGGATTCTATCGATAAGACCAATCGTCTATAAACCAACAACAGAGGAAATAGTAAGACATATTACAAATGATAAAAGAGTAAATAAAAGTATAATAATAAAGGTGAATAACAATTGACACTAATAGTTTTTATTCTTAAACTATAGTTAAAGGATTGGTTTAAGAACATGGAGAAATCAGATATTAATCAATTGAAATACAGGATCAAAAGTTATAAATCTACATTCATAGAGTATTTAGGTAAAAATAAACAACCTACATTCGATTATGATAACTTTTATAAGTTGGTCAATGATGGTTGTGATTTAGTTTATAAAGGTGAAGAACAACATGATCATCAGCCAAAACAATCCGATACTTTGGAAACAACGAGTACATTTAGTGATATCATTGTAGAACAGATTATTTCCTATTCACTAAAATCCAACGGTCATGATGGAGAAAGATATCAAATCGTTAAGAACAGAGTGTTAATCGATAACATTCCATATGCTGGTATCAGAATAGTTGAACTGGCAACAGTATCTAAACAATTCTTTAAGATTGTTTCTAAACTCATAAACAACAGTTATTTCTATTGGAATGGTCGTTTCGATTTGAACAATCAGTATTGTTTAATTAGATCACCACCTCTCTACTTTGAATACGAGTCTATCCGAAATATTCAATATAGACAATCTGCTATTGACAATGTCCATCTACTGATGTCAAGAGTGGAGACATTCTACTTGGAATCCGATGAAAAAGATATATGGGTAACAGGTTGTGGTGAGACGAGCTCTAGGGATTATTTTACCAGTTCGTTTGAAGATAAACAATATCGAATGTGTGTTGAATATCAAGGTTATTTGGTGTATCCGCCAGCAACGCCAAATCTAAAGAATATAATTGTCACAGAGAGCTATGCATTAGGTGAACAAAACAAACTGTTGGAACACATCTTCAAATCGACACCCAACGGCAATGGCTATGGAATCGAACACTTTACTATTACATTATTTAAGAATTTCGAAAACTTTCCAATGTACAATGATATCAACTTTTTAACAACCCTGATAGAACTACATGGTCCAACATTAAAATCAATTCATCTACATTACGATCAACTTGAAGATGCCGATATGACAGTTCTTATGGAATTCCTTCGCAAAAAACTTTCTTGTTTTAAAGAAAATGGTATTTTGTTTGACTTGACAAACACAGGTAGTCTCTCTTTAAAACATCATTGTACTAAAGATAATCCAATCCATCAATTTTTAGTCGACCAAGAGAAACTATTTACATCAGATTATCAAATAGATAATCCAGCTGATAAATATGATTATCGAGTTTATATTTATAAAGAAAAATTAAAATGTAGATTAAAAGAATAAAATCTAGAGTTTTCTAAAGATCTGTTAAATTGAAATTATTTTATTTCTATATATGGTCGCACTTTATGATTTGAAATGTTCCACATATTTTATTTTTATAATGAAATGTTCAATAAATCACACTGGTTGATTATTGCTCCTAAATCATTGGTTCGATGTTTTCCAGAACCACACAACAAGAATTGATGGTCATTCAATCTTCTAAGATAACATTTATAGGCTCTTCGCTTTAGTCGGATGTTGGTGATATTACTTGGTATTCCTTCGACACCATTTAGTTGGAGTGATTTCTGAGAAATAGTTAGAGTGCGCACTGAACTTGGTAGGTTTTTCCATTCTAAATGGTGGTTGCTTAGTAGCGCGAGTGTCTCGACACCATCCGGTATTGACTCGATATCACAGCTATAGGAAAACACCAGCTTCCTACAGCGTGGTAACATATCGGATTGAATCAACTCACTGAAACGACCATTCAGTAAATAATCCAGTGGATCCGCCGGGAATATACAGACAGGTGAATCAGCTGTATTCTGATAGTCAAGCAGTTTCAATCGTTTGAGGCTAGCAGGCAACCTACCTATATTGCCTTCACAGGAATAGACTCTGATGAGATCCAAAGCTTCCAACTGATCCAACTCGCTAAATGTATCGACATCCAACGATACACTTCCTGTAATCGTTAGCTTTCTTACACCACGAGGTATAAATGCTTTTGATAGCTGTTGGTTTCGAACTGACAAACTGAGTGATCGCACGTGTTGAGGAATGTAGTCATCTCGATCGATAACATCGTCATTCGCAAAGAAAACTGATAGCTTGGTAAGAGATGCCGGAAGATAATCTCTTTTAGAAGAGTTCAGCGATCGAAATGATATACTTAACTTTCTTAGGGTGCTTGGTAGCGAGCTGGGTAACGTGCTATGAGATTGAAAAATGCTAACCGGTCTAAACACTTCTAGGTTGGGTGGTAATGATTGGATGTCGAGTTGAACAGTTTCATGGCTATCTACAATGAATGACTTTAGAGAAGTCGGTAGTTTTTCCGGTCGGATCGCTTCGCAGTATATGTTGATCAATCCCTCAAGAGAAACCGGTAGCTTATCATAGTCAAGATTACCATAATTAGTAATATACTTGATATTCGAAGGAAATCGATCAAATAAAATGTTGCGACTATCTAAAATTAATTGATTGACATTCGATCGTTCAAGTTTACTTTTAAATTCGCTATCTAAATCGTGTGTGAAATCAGAATGAATATCCAACTTTGTAACAGTACTAGGTATTTCTAATTCTTTTACTATAAATATATGCTCAATCAATTAGTTTTATTTATTTACTTATTTTATAAACTATTAATACTTACAATCATTTGTAATTAATAAATAATCAAAGTCGACACCATCGAGATGATTGGTATTGACGATTAACAATGAACAATTTGATTTCAATTCCAATGATCTCTTTAATATATTCTTGTATGAATTCAATTGAAATCGAGGATATTCATTGTCTATAGAGTTTGAATGCCTCTGTGATATATTATCACAATTTAAAAATATATATTTATCTCTTTGTTGATAAAGTTGTTTACAAACTAAACTGAAACATATCTTGTCAATATTCTTGTTTAACAATCCAATGATTTTAGATAATAAAATATGTGATAGTTTTAATACATAATTATTATCTTTATCATTCATAGTTTTACTATCTAAATGACAATCATTGTCTTTTACTTTTACTATGTAGATCTTAATTCTAAATTTTTACAAAAAAAAAACAAAGAAAAAAAACAGAATAGGTAGGAATCAAAATTGTTTACATCCCTATTTATTCGGTTGGAATGGTTCTAACATTTTAATTATTATTTTGTGACAATGAGACAGTGAGATTGAAATGATTAGATTGAGTAGCTACTATATTCCATTAGTATAGAATACACATGTAACAAACAAAGAAAGAAGGATAGATAATAGATAACATCATTATTATTGATTATAAAAATCTACACCAACAACAAATGCAACAACAGATGACCATTCAGCAACAACAACAAACGCAACAACAACAACAACAGATGAATATTCCACAGCAACAACAAATACAACAACTACAAATGAATAATACACAGCAACAACAAATGGATCCGAATTACTTTTATCAATATTACTATATGCAGAAAACACCCTATTACAAACATTTTTATAATCAATCGAATAATACAAATGTCACGTTACCTATGACAACCACGATAACTACAACAAAAGGTCAGCAACAAATACAACAACCAATGTTTAACAATAACTTTGATAATCAACAACAAATTATGCAATCCCGTTAGACTTAGATTCGGAGATAACGATCCCACTTATAAAATGAAATACTAGTAATATTCTTTGGTAAAAAAATTAACTTTTCAAATTGCTCTGAAGAATGATAATATGATACGAAATAAAGTTAGACAAAACACATGTTTATCATTTTTATTACTTATGATCATAATATGTTAAATTTGTAGTCATGTTATGCAATGAATCATCAAATCTCGGCGAATTTTTTATTTTTGTTCTAAAGACAATTTTCCTGGCGATTAAGTAAAATCGGTTATTTTTGACTTCTTTGGTACCAAGCCTAAAAAATATCTTTAAACATTAATGAAAAGACAAGAGGTAAAAGTTATTTAAGATGGTCGTAAAGTTTATTGAAATGACAAAGCAAATTAATTAATTTTTGATTACCGAGAATATTAAATTAGTCATCAGATTCTAAATACTAAGGAACAAATCTATTATAAATGTTTTCAAATTCAAATTCTTTTTATTATTCATCTTTTAAATTCCGTAAACAAATATTACAATGGGAGAAGAAAAAGTATTATTATTGGATGAAGAAGAGGTGAAGGAACCAATCACCTATCAATCACCACCATCACCAGCTTATCAATATCAAGGTCAACAACAACCACCTGTTTATTATAATCATAGTATTTATAGATAATTTTAAAGATAATTATTTTAAACTATTGAATAATTTATTAATAATTTATTTATTCAAAGGTTATCCACCACAAGCCTACCAACCGCCACAACAACAATATGCCACAGTAGATATCAGTGCTGACCACCAATTAACTCATAAAAGTGAAAAAGATTTAAATAACATGTTGATCATCCTTTTAATTGGATTCTGTTTCAACTTTGTTTGGTTCGGTGGATTCTGGTACTTAAAGTCACCAAACAAGACTGCTAGAACCTTGGCAATCATTTCGATTGTTTTATTCTTTGTTTCCTTTATTCTTTCTATTATTATACTCAGCATTATCTTGTAATAATAGTGTTAACTAACCATGGTTATTAATTTTGGCTATCGACTCCCTAATGAGATTATTAATATTTATAAATAAATTATTTGTTAATAATGATTATTTCATTCATTTTTAAAAAAAAAAAAAAAAAAAAGATATAATTATTAATGTTTAAATATGTAATTTATAATTTTATTTATATAGCAAGGTGATGGGAACCTGTCTCACGACTTCTAATATCCAATAGATTCAAAATTATTTAATTGGTTAACCCATCCCACGTTCATTGTAAGAGGGTGAACAATCCAACACTCTGCGAATCTGCTTCTGCGCAGTGATAAGAAGAACCGACATCGAAGGATCAAAACGTCGCTTTGGGTTTGTTTGAATTTGCTTACTCGCGGAACTGAAAATTTTCTTCTCGCATTTTCTTGATCATATCAAATGAAGTCAAGCCAGGCATCCAATAGCTTCAAGTCATCTTTTCTTGTTAGTATTATCGTTGATCCCATGTGTGATAAGACAAAACGAATATCATTCATGCATGAATCTGATAGTAGAATCATTATTCTTAAAATTAATATTTGTTGTGATTAAGCAATAAAAATTTTAAAAAAAAAGAGTTATCAACTTTGGTTTTTTTTTTTTTTGTTTTATTTATTGCTTTGTATTTGAGATTTTAGAATCTAATCATTGGTTTTAGGAAAGTTATAAATTCTTTTTTTTTTTTCTTGTAGATTTCAAAATCTTGTAATTGGATATATTAATTAATCATTTTTCTAATGAATGTTAGATTTTAATTAGATAAAAAAAGGATTGTAAAAGTAGGTAGAAATTTCTTTTGACTTCTTTGGTTACCAAGAAAAAAAAAATCGAGTAAAATTGTGTGGGTGGACAATCTTATAATAAAAAATAGTAAACGAAAACCCTGTTTTTTTTTTTTTTTTTAGATTTTTTAAAGGTCGAAATATCATGATAAGATTAATTTTTGATTGCTGAGAATTGTTTTTTTCTTTAAAAAATAAATGTAATCTTTATACAAAAAGAAAACAAATCAATCAACAGTTCTTAAAAACTATTTAAACAAATCAAATTTCACTAATTGATCACTTTGAAATCTAATAACATAAAACAAATAAAGTTAAAGATGGGAGAAGAAAAAGTATCATTATTGGAGGAAGAGAAGAAACCAGTCACCTATCAATCTCCACCACCAGCTTATCAATATCAAGGTCAACAACAGCCTCCTGTTTATTATAATCAAGGTATATATTAGAAATTTAATAAATAAACAATATAATAATTAATTAATATTAACAATTTTTTATTTATTTATAGGTTATCCACCACAACAACAAGGTTATCCATCACAAGCTTACCCACCACAACAACAAGGTTATCCAGCACAACAATACCAACCACAATATGCCACAGTAGATATCAGTGCTCACCACCAAATCACTTGTAAGAGTGAAAGAGATTACAATCACATGTTGGTTATCTTTTTAGTTGGTTTCTGTTTCAGTATTGTTTGGATCGGTGGATTCTGGTATCTCAAGTCACCAAACAAGACTGCTAGAACTTTGGCAATCATTTCTATTGTTTTATTCTTTGTTGGTCTTATTATTTCTATTATTCTACTCGGTATTATCTTTGGTGTTAGTGCCAACCATGGTTATTAATCATTTCCTTTATCAATGAGATTATTAATATTTATTAATAAATATTGTTTCTAAATATTAATTATTTCATTCACGCAAAAAACTACTTGTAAATAAATAAATTAAATTTTTAAAAAATGAATTAATTTTAATGTGTTTTATTATCAAAAAGAGTTTATATGAATCATCTGTATTTGAAATTAAACAAATTTTTGATAAAATAAATTATTTTTAAAAAAACAAAAGGTCATAATCATGTTTTATAAACAGTTAGTTGTAATCAATATCTCATATTTATTGTTTATTATTTTGTGGGTAACAGGATGTCATCGAAATTTAGATTTTATCTATAGGCAATCAACTGTATAAACTCTCAATTGACCAGATTATGAGTATGTTAATGTAATAGGAAAGCGATTAAACAGAATATAAATTGAAGGGTGATAAGTAATAGAGTAGAATTTATAGATATTGTAATACTTAGTGTATATGGATTTTGAATGTGTATGATACAAAAGAATCAATCAAACAAGAAAGAAAAGAGTTATCTCAATAGAAGTAAACAACATATAGATTAAAGTACAAATATTTAACTGCAGTTACTGAAGAGCACATGAGGCAGAAAGAGATAATATTCAAATATTAGATACTATGGAAAGTAAGATGGATATGAGGAGAGATTGTAAATTAAATATATAGACAAAGATGTTGTTTAGAGAATTTATCTGGACAGTTTGCTTACTTGTACAATAAAATGTCACGTGACACACAGTGCGACTTACATTTTTTAACAGATATAAATAAAGTGTTAGATTTGCTATTGTAGAATAAGATCTCTTTCTGCCTCATGTGCTCTTCAGTAACTGCAGTTAAATATAGGAAAAGATATAATATAAATGACAATAGGAATATATTTAGTACTAGCACTTGTTGGGAATAGATATGAAGATAGAGCGTAAAATTTTTTTTTTTTTTTGTGAATTGAATGTTAATATTAGATTTGTGATTGTTTAATAAGATAGTAAAATAGTTAAGGATATAATAGTAATGACAGTATGAAGCTATTTAGTATTTGCACGTTTTGGAAATAGTTGTGAAGATAGATTAAAGGTACAGTGTATGTTGAAGTTTTATATTTTTATAATATTGACTATCGAACGCATGCGGACTTAATTTTTTGGAAAAAGTCCTACCAGAGGTGGGATTCGAACCCACGAACCAAATGGATGAGATCTTAAGTCACACTGCTTTAACCAGCTTACATACCCTGGTAATATGATGAAATCTTTTTTTTTCATTATTAATTTTATTTCGCAGACGTTTTTCCAATAAAATCTTACATATATTTGAATTAAATTTTACTATTTTGAATGATACAAATCATACATTAAGTTTAATGCGACGTTAAAAAGTGAATAAGTCAATTTTATTCATCATAACGCTGGTTGATACAGTAAAATGGACGCGGCTCAATGACGCCGAAACAATCAAACAACTAAATATTTTTACATTGGTTTGGTAAATAATATTTCAAACAAATAAAGTTTCTAATTTACTTTCTTGGATACCACTTTGTTATCATTAATATTAGTTAGTTCTGGTGCTTTTTTTTTTTTAATTCTTCATTTTAGTTTTTTATTTGCCAAACTTGCCTAATAGATATGACCTGAGAAATTTTTTTTTTTTTTTTTTTTTTTTTAAAAATTCAAAAAATTCTAAATTCTAATATTATTTTATTTTATTTTATTTTTATTTTTTGATCAAAAAATGAGGGAATGAGGGAATGAGGGAATGAGGGAATGAGGGAATGAGGGAATGAGGGAATGAGGGAATGAGGGAATATCTTCAAAAAATATATTGTAAAACAATCAGTATTCTAAGTTATCATTAACATTGTTTGAAATATCTTACATATTAATTTTATGTCAAAAGTTAAGCAATTTTTAAAAAAGACATTTTGTGCTTTAAACCAAGATGATTTCAATCAAGAAAATGAATTCTCATTGATTTCTTCTTTTATAAAGGTATTATACTGGATTTTCGAGATAGTTTTTTTATGATTAAATGCAGAATATTAACATTGTAATATATGTATATTTAAATAGGTATTACTCAGTGATTATGATATTACGAATGATATCAATCAGTTTGATGATGTTAAACAATGTATATCAGAATATTTCAGCCAAATTAAAACTGATAAGACATCAATCAATCAAACATTTATCTCTAACGCACTGAATTCACCACTTTTCAACGATTTCTATTGTATCAGTTACTTACTTTCATTCTGTGAGCAACCTGATGTTCTGGATGTATATCTGTATATCTTTTTCAAGAGCATAGAGATCGAAAATTCAATCAACTCCATTCGACGTTTTTCATTGTTAAACATATCACTCGATATTGAATCTTATTTTTTTAAGAGTATCGAGGATGAACATAACAACAAAAATAGTATTTCAAATCTGTCAATTCAAAACAAGACACTATTATTATGGTATATACTGAATGTCAATGCTAGTTTACTCGAACAAATATATAAAAACGATAAATACATATTCCGGTAAGTTACTTACTTTCTATTGACAACAGTAGTGTTATAAACTAACTTAATATTCATTCAAGTATGTTGGGTAACGACGATGATTCACAATCAAATGAATATCTTACATTCTTTAATATTTTGATTCATGTTGGATGGCTCAATCCTCAGGAGAAAGTCAAAGAAGAACACCAACACTGGTTGAAGAAAAGAGTAAAAGTCAAACAAAGTGCTCTTATAGATTTGTTTTTATCAAGCAGTTCAAACAAGAAGATACTAGTTGGTTCATTGTTTAAAATGAATTCATACTTTATCAGAGATGTTAAAGTCGATTCTATTGTTCAACGATTGGAAACATCAGAGTTTGGAGAGATGATGATTCGTCAATTTCCATTACACGTTGGAATAAGGAATTTGGAATCATTGGTTATTTTCGACATCTACAGAGTGAGAGCCATTGAAATGCCTTCCAATCTTTTTCATCATATTTTGGAATATATCAAATCGAATGATGTGGATATTACGAGGTTATTGTCAAGGAAACTCTACATTAATCACTCTGGCAGTTCATTGTCCAAGATGTTGTTGTATTTTTATCAACGAGTTAAAGAACCAGCTATATTTAGAGTATTGGTTAAATCACTCATTCTCATGGAATCATTAGATCGCGAATTAATTCAAAGTGTTCTTACACCGTTCAAACTAGAGTTTCTTCAATTTTCGAATAGCTATGTCCGAGAATTTGTATATCTTTCCTATCGAATGAAATTCCTGAGAATGGTTTCAGGATTCTTTACAGATAAGCATTTGCAGATCTTTCAACCCAGATTTTGTAGTACTTTCAAATATTGTAAATTTGCTCTCTCTTTGCCATGTACAACTACAACCAGCTTGATATTGGACAACAATATCAAAAATATGGGTGCTAAGGACATTGGTTCGATGAAATTTCTCATGGAAATCGAGAGTATTGACAATATTGTGATATTTTTAGAGTTGTTGTATTCTAAATTCGCCATAGATTTTGTTATTTGCGATCCATTCGCTTCAATTGGCTTCAAATTGTTTGATAGGATACACAATCACGATCCAACTTTAATCAACAAAATATTCAAAAAGATAAATCACCAAATAGTTTTCAACATCATAGTATATCAAAGATCTTTTTCATATATCAATCGATTCTTTCCAGAAAATCAGAAATCACCAGTTCAACAATGTTATTTAGATTGCAATACCACCAAACCCACACCAACTCTAAATTATGTGGTTCTAAAGCATATCATTTCAATGTTACTCTTTGATAAATACTTGGATACGAAATCAAAGGTTCAGCTTTCAATGGTTTCCAAAATTTTCTTCAACTGTTGTTCTTCTCTCTTTACCAATATTCCAAACGTGACCATCCGAATTTCAAGCAGGCTCGAATATATTGGTTCACAGTTTGGGTGCTTAGTTCGAAGAAACCACCTCCTCACTTGGATGACACTGAACTTAAATATATTCCCTATGCTATCAAAACGGAATTTCTTGACAATCTAGAATCATATAGAGATTTTGGAATTGGATATTATTCTCCTGAAACACCGATCTTTATGAATTTGAAATTCCTTAAATTCAGAAGATCGGTACACGGAACAAATACTCATTTTCAAAGATTGTTGGATGCAACTAACAAAGATCAATTGGTTTCGGTGGAATTTATTTTTTCAAATGTAAGCACAATGTTGGTGAATGAAGAAATATCATCTCTTTTGGAGCTCAGAAAATCCAGTCCCAAGGTCAACATCTCAGCATCTGTTTCAACAACTTCTATCGCCATCGACAATCCTGATCAACACTCTCTGATCACATCCTATTTTTTTAATTCAGAACCCCCCAAGAATATAATTCTTTCCAATCTTAGAAAGATAGCAGTCAGTAAATTTAGATGTAAGAATTTTGACTGTATGACACATATCTTTCAGACTTCGCCGAAACTAAGATCGATCAAACTCGATCCAACTCTAAATCTCGAGTTCTTCATTGGATTAATTAATCTGAATCCAAACATATGGAAATTGACTATCCAATATAATATTTTTGTAAATAATGTTAATAAGATTGAACCCATTTCATTAGTAACCCAGTTAAATCAAGTTTTCGATATATTAAATCAAGAAAAAGGACAACAAATTAAAATAGTAAAATTAATTTACAATGGATTCAATGGAAATGATATCTATATTCCAATGTTAAATCAATCACTTTTATCAGACAACTTGGTTAATATTGGAAAGTTTCGACCTATGGATGATAAACTGTATAAATTCAAAAGAATAACAGATTAATAAAAATAAAATTATTAAAAAAAAAATTTTATTTTAATTAATATTAATTTGGACATACCAAATTCATAATCTTTAATTTTACAAATGAAATAAATTTTTAAAAAAAAAAAATGAGTTAAAAAAAAATCTAAAAACTGATTTGTTTCTCCTTTTATTTTTTTTTGAAATCCTATAAATGAAAGATAATAATAAAAATAATATATTTGTAAATCTATCATATCCTTTACTATCAAAGATATTAGGAAGTTTGACAAATCATTTGGATCAGCTTTGTTTTAGTTTAGTACAAGTTTGAATTATGATCTTTCTAAATATATATTAATTTAAAAAATAAAATAAAATGATCAAATAAATATATATCTATCTATTAGTTTGATAGTAAGTGGCAAAAAAATAGTATTTTTACTGTAATTGTTAATCCTTACAGTTTTAGGAATTTGGAAAAAAAAGAAATCTCAGCCGTGAAAGTGTCAATTCTGAATGTCAAGTAAAAGATCCACTCACTATCAAGGGGTCTATCCCAAAGTGGCATTATTTAAACTATATGAATACTATGTGAAGGAAATACGATGAGTTATGAAGAGTATAAAAAAATTAAAATAAATAAAATTTTTTAAAATAATTATTTTAACATTTTATTAGAGAACAGAAGTGAAATTCAAAAATTTTTAGACATAGCGAATAACGATACACAGGAGGGATTAAACAATATTCTAGTAGTATCAAAGATGTATCATTTAAAAGTGTATATCGTCAAAATTTGGAATCAATTTGATAAAGTGACTCTTCTTAGATGACATTCAAATATATTAAGAACATTTTTAAATATTTTCAAATAAATCTAAATTTTTATAATTATTTAAAAAAATATTTTGATTTGATTTTCTTTTCCTATTTTAAATAATTTGTTTAAATTTTAAACCAATAAGGAATTACACAATTAAATTTGGGGTTTGGGAAAAAATAAAAATCACAAAGAAAAAGACAAATACAGTAAAAATTTATTTACTGTACAAAAGAAAATTAATTAAGATATTCTATCTTATGTTGTGGGTGGATATTTAAATATGTTCAGTGAATCCAGAGTTTGCACTAAAAAACATGGGCATGAGGACAGAAACTTTGTTGATAATAGTAAAATCCACTAAGTTTTTATTGGAAAAAAAAACTGCGAAATAAAATTAATAGTAAAAAAAAAAGATTTCATCATATTACCAGGGTATGTAAGCTGGTTAAAGCAGTGTGACTTAAGATCTCATCCATTTGGTTCGTGGGTTCGAATCCCACCTCTGGTAGGACTTTTTCCTTAAAAAATTATGTCCGCATGCGTTCGGTAGTAAATATTATCAAAAAAAAAAAAAAGAAAAATTCGATGGTTTACACCATCCCCAATATATTACTTAATAAATCAATTTTTACTTCTTAAAAAAAAAAAAAAAAAAGTAAATATTATCAAATCTTTAATAAATAGGTATCAGTCTATTTATTTATTAATAATCAACTCAAATAATTTAAAGACTATTCAGAGTTAGTGTAAGAACTTGTTTTTATGTTTATTAAATATAAATTGATCATACCTATTCAGAGTTAGTGTAAGAACTTGAATAGTAAAGTTGATTGTTCGTTTTTTGAATAGAAGTTGAGTTTTTTAAAAATGAAAAATAATTTGAATTTTGAAAAAGTGGTATTATCGTTACAAATCGAAGTGATTGACGGTGTTATAAAATATTGTCCAAATCTATAAATGAACGTCTGAAACATGAGGTTGAGAAATCGATAGCAATACTCAGAAAGATTCAATTAACTTTATCTTAATTGTTAAAGTATTCTACAATTAAAATCATATAAAGATAAATGTTATTATCTATATACATTAAAGATCAAATAAAGTTAAAACTTAAATCTTTTCAATATTTATTAACTTTGTTTTTAATGTATTTAATGTATTTAATTATACTTATTATTTGAATATTATTGGTATTTGAAAAATGGATATTCAAAATAATTATTTCTTTTTTTTGGACAATATATTAGATTAATGTATTTTCCAATTTAATTCCTACAATGAAATACACCATTATCTAGATATTCATCCAGATATATTCATCCAGATATAGATAAATTGAGAACTGCAAGAGAATAGAAAAAATATGAAATCAAATTCTGATAATCACAAAACAAGTAAAATTGATCTACTACTAAAAAATATATATCTTTAAAATTTGTAAGAAACACATTCAATTACATCCAAAGCCAAAAAGTGTGGTGAATTGAAGATTTAAAAAAAATTCTTGTTATTTATTAATTTCCCGATTAGAAAGCAATGGTTGCAAACAATAGATTAATATTATTCAATATTATTAATTTTCAACACGGTGAATACTCTATTACTATAAGGAGTTATATGTATAATTAATTTCAATGGATATGTCATATGTTGTCTCACTGTGATAATGTAATAAAGTTAAATAAAGAATAAAGAATGAATTATAATATTTAATATCTTTTGTACTTTACAACATTTAAGTTTAAAAATGAGTATATAATAAGTTATAAAATTTATCTTTATTTAAAGTTGAAATAAAGTAAAATTTGAATAACTTTTTAAGTATTGGTCGATAGCATCTATCAAACTGGATTTGTCAAAAACGTCAATCCTTCGCATGGATCCATTCGCCGATGATTCTGCCACATATTCACCTTCATTCAAAGATCTAAATACCAAACTGCGTATGTTTGATATGTTCTGCGGTCGTCCCAACTCCAATCCGTTCATCGACTCCAAGAAATATAAAAACACAATGAAAAATACCAGAGCTGTGCAACCATGGTTACGTGGTGCCATCTCGCTTTGGGACATCCAACTTCGCAATGATGCGCAAAATTTGTGGATATTCAACAGATTCCTACAGTCATCCTCTGATTCTTCTAAAGTTTGTTATTATACGAGTTGGCTATCTCAAATCCAATGCAGATCTATCACCATATCTTAATCTATGCTGCGCTCTGTGGCACCAATTGGCAGTTCATCTCAAACATCTGGACAACAAAATCAGATCTGCTAAACCTATTCTGATTGATGGTCTACCACCCACTCTGAAGCTAATCTACGACCACCAATTGATCATCAAACATGGCACTCCTTCACTAACTGATGGTCAGTTCCAACTATCTCTACCACCAACCAAATTTGACTACACATCTTACGACAGTATCTTCACCTATGTATCGCTTATGAAACACCAGCGTGGTTGAAACACTGTCTTCCGGTTGGTTTACAACAAAAACAAAGAAAGTGAACTGTGCTTCGCATACTGCTCTGACCCATACATCCATACATTCTTTAATTGTCGAGCAGTTATGCACAGATTCAATCTTAACACCATTCTTTAATCCTTACAGCTTTCAGGTGGTCAACGATTCGATTGGACTATGGAAGATGCGTATCAGTTGGTAAGAAGAAAGTCACATGTCTTTCATCAAATCTGGAAATTCTATTGTAAATCCTATTTTGGCGATACACCTCTCCACGAAAACAACCTACTATCTGACGAATCTATCATAAATGAATATATACAGCACATATCGGTAATGAAATTAATTATAAATATCAGTATCAGTAACGTACAATCCAAACTTAAACCAATAACCACTCAAATGTCTGCCAACTATTATTTCCTCTTCTTCATTTCTATAATAACTAAGAAAAACATTTAGACTATTAAAAACTAATGAAATATTTGAAAATGTTAATCCTGATGCTTGTTATGAGTTCTTTATCGAAAATCATCAAGTAAAAGCATAAAAATAAAAATATCTTGCAAAATTAATTAAATTTCGATTTTTCACTGAACAGCTAACTTTTTTCCAAATATAGAATAATTTGTTTTTACATGCTTTCACCCACATTTATTAGGAATGTAAATGCAAATGATATTTTAGAGGGTCAAATAATAGATCCATAAATCAATAAAATAATATATCATAGTATCTATTATTTTATTAACTCATTGATATATTATTTTATTGATTTATGGATCTATTATTTGACCCTCTAAAATATCATAGTATGATACTAGTATAGTTAAATTGTAACTTTAACAAGAGTTAAAAAGACTCCAAAAATAGAATCTATTTCTATGAGAGCGATTCTCAACAATATTATTGATTCTGATCTTATCATAAATATTTTTTTGAATTAATTCATTTATTAATCATAGATTCCAAAGTAAATGAATCATATCAAGTCGTGTGAATCGAATAAATAAAAATGATTTATTATTTTAAAACTGAAACTATATGTTTCATTCTTGATCACCACTATTTACAAATTGTCATTGATCTTTGGAGATCTGCTCTAAATGTTATTGTTTCTGCGTTACATTTATATAATTGCTACTGTTATTAATCTTATAAATAATATTTCCATTTGTTGTAGTTGTTGATATTAAATCTATCCTATTGAATGACATCTTCTTTCAGTATCTGTTATCTAAATTTATAATTTCCTAAATGATAATCAATAAATATTTAGTAACATTCTATTCTATTAATTAATAAATCTTTTTTCTAGAATCATTTTTCTTCTTCTAATTCTTTTCTCTTACTTGATTGAAGCATTGTCTTTTAATAACCAATCGGTTTATTCTTCATCTGGGTATCATATCTCGTTGTTTCTGTTTACCTAGCAATCTTTTATTATTGTTGATTTTGTAACTTTCTATTATCTACTTTTGGTTGTTGTTGTTGCAGTTGCTGCTGCTGCTGCGGCTGCTGCTGCTGTTCATTAATTAATAGAATGTTTACTAAACATTTATTGAAGGAAATTATGGTGATATCAACAACAGCAACATCAACAACAAGTTGAATAAATTAATGCTTATCTTACTGTTAATATATCTGTAGCAATTTAAAGATTGTCTTGATCAAAATCATTTTCCAATGCCTGTTGAAATAAAATCTAATTATAAACTAACTTGACTCTCTCTCTATATGATTGTGGTATATTAGATAATTGCAGTAGATTTACAAATGTTTAAAATTATAAATTTACATACCTCAATAGCAATAAGAACACACCTTGGATTTGTGTATAATCTGTTGTATCACCTGGTCCCATATCTATCATTATCATCTGAAGCAGGAAATGTATCTTCGTCAGTCGATCGATACCAATTCTGAGTACTTGATTCTGAAATATTACTATTATTCACCTGTGTATTGTTGCTATTGCTATTGTTATTGTTATTGTTATTGTTATTGTTATTGTTATTATTTGTAATAGTTTTTTTCTAGAATGTAAAGATCTTTTGATTCTAAATATAAAACATATTTTTTTCAATTTTTAATCTGTACTAAATCAATTTAAACCATTTTTACATAAAAACTTTGATAAAGAAAAAAAAAATTAGTTTGCTTTAGTTCCATATGATTTTCGTGTAGATCACCACTGTTTATTTTTTTTAAAAACAAAAACCAATTTTTAACCTATTTCTAACCCCCCTCCCTACCATTAATATATTCTAACTTTTTAAAATTCTAAAATCTGCCAATTCTAGCAAAATCACTTGCAAGTGTTTTGAATTGTGATTTTGAAATAAAAAAATTTTGTTCAATCAATTTTGCAATTGATTGATTTCCAGGAAATAAAATAGCAGATGTTCATATATGTTTTCTCTCATTTTCCCCAAGATCTTTTGTTTTTTAGAACGAATACAAGTATCACAAAAAGAGAATAAAAAAAAAAATTTCTTTGTTAATTAATAATTATTTATAGTCATACATATTAAAAAAGATTATACAATATGTCTGAAGTGGACCCCAACAACAGTTATATTTTGACTGCAGAGGAGGAAGATGAAATCTGGGAGAATGTATTTATCTATTTCTTTTATAAAAATTCAAAGTCATCCTTTATTTTAACTTTATTTTTAATTTTTTTAGGTATATGAACAACTCACAGATATTCAAACACTTCTTTATAGATGTTCGAAAAATCAAGCAACAGCCAATCCCCAAGAAATCATTCAAAAACTACTTGTCATTGCTAGATATGTTCAAGAGGTAAGTTTTATAAAAAAAATGTATCCCAAAATAAAATTAACAACATTTTTAAATATCAAAAGGAATACAACTTACCAAATCAAATAACAGAGTACCCTCATGATCCTTTTACTACCGACGATAATTAATTAATTAACTGTTGTTTGTTCTAGTTTTTGGTTTACGATCTTATCATTATTATTAATAAAAAATAAATAAATAAATAAATCTCTTTTTGAGAGGTTTGGTTAATTTTCGTTTTTTATTAATCATCACTAAAATCCAATAGTTCTATCATTGGTTGATAGCATTCCATGTGATATTCAATGAGTCGAATATAGAGAATCTTCATATGATATTTATATCGCTGATAGAGTACTATCAATATGGTTATGAGGATCGATATCAGACCAAGAATGACCAGAGTAATAATGAGAGGTTTACGCCATCTTCTGATTTGTTCCAGACAGTTTTGATCCGGTATAACAATGAGTACCTGGTAATTGGGATCGATAATTGCAGAGTTTTCAAAGTGTGGGATACAAATGGCAGTCAAAAGTCCTGCACTACGGTTATAGTGAAGATCTTCATTAGTTGGAGTGGTTCCATCTTCGAGAACTATCACTTGACTGTACTCTAACCGGTCATCAACCAATATACGATCGGAATAGTATGCATGTAAAATACCATTGTAATCAACAATCTCTACTTCTCTTAGCGATCCTTTTTGATTTTTGTAACTGTTGGCTGTTGCAATGCATGTTTCTTCTTTCGCAGTGGATTTGGTTAGAACCAAAAGCTGTAGTGTATTTAGAGGATCAACAAACTTCCAATTATTAATTTCGATTTGATATTTCACAGAGTTCTTTCCAACTGTAAAAATGTCACCTGCAAAATTATAATCTCCATCCTGAAGGAATACGGTCAGATTTACTGTGATATCTACAATTTCCAAACTGGTTTTATATTGAAAGAGTTTAACATTTGGTTTTGGAAAATTGATTGTTTCTTGATCGTCACTACTACCACTATTATTATTGTTGTTGTTGTTATAGTTATTTTCTACATATACATTTGTAATAGAATTAACAGTCCAATTTGAAATACTACTAAATTCAACTTGATTGATGGTGGTCATAGTTGGTGACACTTCACGTAGACCAATTATAGAGATATTAAATCCAACTGCAAACTCTGCTAATCCTAAAATGAGATCAACGGAATTGAGCGCTGGACTAGGTAAATGAGCTTCAACAACAACTTCAAGTGAGCAATCCAACCCTGTATATCCGTCAGTACAAACACAATGACCATCTTCACATTGTCCATAGACACATTGGTACTCGCAAACATCCGGTTGGACACTGTAGATAAAGGTTGGAGCTGTCGTATTGTAACCATCGATTTCCACATAAACTTGTAATGTTATATTACTCTCCAATGAAAATGTACCAGTTGTTACTCCATCTAGTTGTATTTGGTTATTGTATGGTAGTAGTTGACTGATAGGAACATTGGATGCAAATCTACATTCCAACATATCATAATTACTGTTGACTCTTGGGTAGGTACAAGGTATACCACCGATGGTAACAGCAACATTGTTGGGTGCAAAATTGCTTCCGAAAATAGAAACAGTACCCGGTCTACCGAAATGAGTGGAAGTGGTCGATTCAATCGTTGGCGATTGGTAAACGATATCAAAAGTCACTGTATCTTGTCCATTATTGATATAGAGTGTCTTTTTACCACTACCAGGTGGTGCATTACAAGCCAGATAATAAGGTGCGGTACTGGAATAAGCCAAATTCAAACTTGTACAATTCAAATTCTCGATGGAAACGAATAATGATTGTTGACCAGTCCAACTATAAGGTGCTAAATAATAACCTATTATAGTTATCATTGATCCTGTTGTTGCTGGTCTATTTTCAATAGATTGAATAAATGGATCTAAAGTGAAATTACTAATTAGTAAATATAAATGAAAATTAATTATTAAATGATTTGTTTTTTTTTTTACTTACACACTTTAACAGGATAGGAAAATGAAGTTTGTCCATCGATGGTAATATTAAATTCACCGGATCTAGAATCATATGGAATCCATGCAACAATCTTGTCGAATGATGTATAGGTGGTAGTAAACTCACCAGATGACAAACCATTGTATGTTAGTACCGGTGTATTCAATCCTGGGTAGAGAGATCGGTCTGCTACACCTAGGAATTGTCCAACGATGGTGATGTTTTGGCGATATTGGATATCAGGTGCAGTGGTAGTGACTTTGGTTACCACTGGCTTTGGATAGACAACATTGATTCGATTCGATGGAATTGGTACGTCTGGGTTGGACAAATCGACAATGCTAACAGAGATATTTCCAGTGGACATTGGTACTGAATGAATCACTATCTGACTCTCTGAGATTGTAACATTTGGTAGAGAATAATTAAAGAATCTAACTTGTACGCCTTTATGGAAGAACAGCCCATTTACGATAATTGGATCTTCTGAAAGTGGATTAATAACAGCCGGTGTTATATTGAATATCAATGGTGTCCAAACCATTATAGTCTGAAATAAAGATCTTCCGGTTCTACTGAATATCGATACCAAACCACTGGTACAACCCTCAACCATGTCAAAAGTACATTCCCAATTAGTACAATTAATATTACCAGGTACACCACTTCCAATCTTTAACTTCCAATCTTTTTTATATAAATCTAAAAAAGATCCACTAAAAGTAACAATAAATTGATTTTGTAACCAAGTAGTATTAATTGTGGCATCTATTTTAATATTTAATTGAATTAGTAATAAATCAAAATCAATTTTAAATAATAAATATTTACTTGTATAAATAACAACAGCTTCAACTCTTTGGATTGCATTAATTTGTTGATATTTAACTGAATATTGTCCTTCTATATCAGAAGGATCGGCTATACATGTAAATGATTTTTGATCAACAAGGAATGTTACATTGGAGCAAGTTGAAATGATAGTAGTATCTCTTTCTAGTGTTACGATTGGCAAGCTGGCTTGGCTACCAAGATTGTCACCAACAATAGTTAAAATCGATCCGTCAAAAGGTATGTACTGTGGAGAAACTGTTTGTATCCAAGCATACTGGTTGCTCTGAGTATAACTATTTGATTGTTGTCCATTTGCAGTAATTGAAAAATTAACACCATTAGGTGATTCTTTTAACTGACAATACAGCTCACCACTTGAAAACAACTTGATATAATTACAATTCAAATTATTTATCTGAATTGGTTCAGCGAAATTACTACCCATGATAGTAATATAATCATTTGGACATTTAATACCACTAATAATAGGTGCTAAAAAATAGAAAAGATAATAAAATATAATTAATATAAATAATAATTATTATAATAAATAATTCAATAATTACCTGGATAATCTAAAAATGTATGAATTGTATATGATAATGATTTCTTATCTGAATTTACAATTGAAATGTCTAATGGTTGATTTACTCCTGAACCTGGTGGTGCTATAATATCTATGGTTTTGGCTTTGATGTTGGAAGTGGCAGTGTTATAGGTTTTGCCGTTGAATGTGTAGGTGATGAAATAATTGAACCAAAGGAAATTAGATTTCATATGAACGGAATATGGTGTGCCACCCGCCAATGTTGGTACTATAATTCTCGGTATACTGCTATCTACAACTGGATTTTGCAATCCATATACAATAACCAATGGATAGGTATCGGTGGTGGTGGATTCTATTCCTATACAACCTTGTGTCGCTCCGTTAAAGTAGAATCTACCTGTTAGCAAACCAGTGGCATTTGTCAATTGCGTTGTATAACTCTGGTTATTATAAAGCAGTTGACTATTGATATAGAGAAGATCTGCCCAAACTTTATAACTTCTATTGCCATTGGCGAATTGGTTATGTACAAACTGATACAACTCGGTTGTATTTATATTTGCCAAGTGACCTTGGCTGTAGAGCAGCTGATCCTGTGAAGCAAATAGCAATGATTGTTCAAAGGTTGTTGGGTTACCAAAGTAACGGTAGAATAACCCGGTGGTTTGTTCAAAAATAGGGTATTCATATTGGTTGATGTAATATCGAGTGGGAATGGCGGTGTTGGAATTGTAGGTGATTTGTATTGATGTGAATAATTGTGATTTTACGGAATTCAAAAGAATTGTCTGTGGAGTGGATGTGAAATTATAATTGATGATTGAACATGGTATGCTATTTACAAGGATGGTTGCTGGCGTTGGTGATATCAGTGATTGTTGAAAGTTGGCTCCGTAGATGGTGGCCGATAGATCGTTGGAATTGCCTTTGATGGCTACGATCCACGGCGAATTAAATCTGTATACAAAATAGGAATTCAATGTTCCGTCGGCAATGGAGATATTAAAGATTCCCTCATAGGTTTTAAGAGTCTCTAACCCGCACTGAAGACTTGTGGTTTGGTTGACTACCGTTGGAACCAGCGATTTACAATTGACATCATTAACTCTGACTGCCCATTTATCGGCTACTTTTAGATTGCCAATGGTAATAAAAGTTGAATTTGGATTGGCTCTTGCTATGGTTGGAGCAATCGTGCTTTCATATTCGATGATAACCAGCTTTTGATCAGATGGTGTGGTGTGTTGCCATTGACGTGCCTGTTGGAGTGTGGTAGCATTGAACCAGATATGTGGAGTGGACTGATTGGTTGATACTCTCCAGTCTGCACAATATTGGTAGCATCTAGCTGGAAAGCTAGAGTATAATGTTTGATTACGGTAGATTCCTGTTGTCCATCCCCAGCGGCTATTCTCTGTGTCTAGCGGTGCCAATGAAAGCCAAATTTCCTTACTCGGTATAGTTGAATCAACTATTACTTTTTCGATAATAAATTGTAACTCTTTATCATCATTAATTGTTAAAAGATTCCTATTATTTTAAAAAAAAAAAAAAAGAAAAGAGAATGAACAGTCACATTGTGATGATATGATATTATTAATAATCAAATGAACGTATTTAATATGACAAACTTTTTTCAAAAGAATAGTTACCCAATCAAACCATTATATTGATATTGTGATTGAAGATTGACAGCTTCTGTAAATGTATATTTCTGACTACCTGAAATCAACTGGTAGTAATGATTGTTTTCTGAATTGTAAATTGGATCATAACCCAAAATGCACGTGAACAAAATACAACAACTTAATATCAACAACAAAGTTGTTGGTTGTTTCATTTGCATAACAATCTTCTTTCTCTATGACCAGGTTTACAAAAAAAAAAACAAACGAAAAGTAGAAAAAAGGTGCCAATATTAACTGGTTGTTGGTGATCTTTGGTGGTTGTTTTAGTGTTGTGTTATTTACAAGGTGAGAGCATTGACATTAATAATAATATTGGTATTGGTTTTATTTGTTTATTTAAAAGAATATCTACAAATAGTATGATTCGACGAAAAAACAAAATGGTTCATTCAGCACCAAAAGAAAAAACCAAACCCTTTAATAAAAAGGAAAAAAAAAAACTTGATACATCATCCCCAACATTAATTGATATCTTCCTCCGTTTGTGTGTTGCAAAATAAATAAATAAATAAAATATCGGCTTCAAAAAGTGTTTATTCCCACTCTAAAGCTTTGCACAGCCCAATCAAAAACAAAAAAAAAAGAATCTCGATTAAATTTTGATTTTTTGTTGATTAAAATTTTCGTTTTTTTTTGATGTTCAAATCATATTAATTTGAATCTAAGGCTTTAAATATATTATTATAACTTATTATGATTATTGGACCGATTCATTTATGTGATCAAAATGATAATTTCAAGTGATTATTGTTGTTTGGTATGACTTAAAAATAAATAAACATTTCAATCAACTTGTGTTTTGTATCAATGAATAGAGTATGAGCAAAAATAAAAAATAAAAAAGTAGTAATCAGATTTAATCGGTATAGAGTATTATTATTTAAATAAATAAACACAATATTTATTGATATACTGCAGTTACAACGTCATATTTCTGATCCTCTAATTGCAATCTACAATAATTATTTCTATCATCAGTATTTATGTGTCATAAACAAAGTGGTATCTTTTTTAAAAATCAATACAGTTTAATAGATTTTAATATTCATTGTTTTATTAAAACAATAAAGTGTTGTTTATATAATTATTTAGGTTGTCGATAATATTAAGTTATCATTATTATATATTTGCTCTAAACGTTGTATATTCGAATTTAGTTGATTGTATTGATAGTATTCGATAATATCAATATGATTGTTTACTATTGCCAACTCGATATCTAGTGGTAGTTTGAGTTTAAGATCTTGATGAAGATATCGGAGTAGGTTGATTTGTCCTCTGATGAATATTCCTTCGAAGAGATGATCGGTCTGTATCGATCCAAAGTTATTATTACAATACTGAATGACACGTTGGTGGAACGATCTATCACCAAAGCAAAGACAGTACTGCCAATGTGACGATATGATCAGTCTATTGGTTGACTCTGACCAATCCATTAGGATATAGAGTATCTCCACTTGACCAGCCATAACAGCCAACTCCAAATACTTATTGCTATTGCAAACCGACGCCGAGTAATATTCAATGATAAATAGGACCACCGATTTATAACCATAGTAACAAGCATATTGGAATACGATGGTAATTATATTCTCTTGGAATCGGTAGAGTTGTGAGAGTCTAGCAAAGTTGGTAACCAAGAATTCAACCGATTGGCAATTATTATAGTGGAAATAGAATGGTGTCGGTGTGGCAGTGTCAAGGTTATTCAGATGGTTGAGTAGGTATTCCAGAACGTTCAGGTGTCGCTTCGAAGCTGCAGTGTAAACGGCGGAACGGAAAGGAGCCTGGCAATGGCCAATTAGAAAAGCTACTGAATCGATATCACCTCTGTACGCTGCGTTATCTACGGCGAGATGGGTCAGTCTCTTCACCTTCCCATAGAGATAGACAAGCTTATCATAGCTATTGGCAAGATCCAGTACGTAGTCGAGATTATGTGCGTAATCTAATGAATCGATGTAACAGAGTTGTTCAATGGTACCGACTTCACTGCAATACTCCAATAGCAATGGTTTGATATGAACAGGCAATCTATCGATATATCCAATTAGATATCTTGTAATATCCATAGATCCAAGTGAAATTAAATGTTTAACTTTATATTTAATTGTAACAGAGTTGTATATGTCTGAATTTGATAGTAATAATTCAAACAATACCAATTGATTCAATATCAATTGATTACCAGAAGAAAGATGAATCACTCTTTTGGTAATCTCTGATAATAATGGTAACTCTACACCAATAAACTTTTCTAATATATAAATAACAATATTTATATGATTGATTGTAATACTATCAATTGGTATTGCATGATCTATATAAGAATAAAATTCACTTTTTGTGAATTCAATTAAATTATTATTATGATTATTATCTAATAGATATCTAATAGTTGGTAGATCATCTATACATTTTAATATATAATAAATTGATATTGAATTGTTATAGTTATTACTATTATTATTATTATTAATATTACTATTATTAATTAATATATGATAGATAAATAGTATCATATCTTTTGATTTTGATTCTATTGCCAATTGTAATATATTTAGCTTTTTATCTTTAATTTTTGTTGTTGTTGTAGATAATAATAGATCGATAAAAGTAGATGTATTATAATGATAAAGATAGTTTATGATTTGATAACTTCCACTTTCTATTGCTATGAGTAGAGAGTTTGTTGTTATACAGGTCATAGATTGTTTGTAGAAATAGCAGAACACTTGTAGGTCACCATCATTCTTTAATAGCGATTCGGTGTGTCTGACGATGGCTGAAGGTGTCAAGCAATACCGATAGATATGACCAAGTTGCTTCCTACTCCCGATCAGTTCGAAAAGCGTTGAGAAGTATTGAATACCCAACGATCTACTATGCTCGAACAGAGTATCTAGCGAATGTTTACTCCATACCAATCGATCACCTCTAACCAGTTTGTCTAGCAACAACGCAAAGTATCCATTTCTACATATCCATTCGGTGTCATTGATATCGTGGTAATACCTCACAAAGTGATGATACCGCACTGTAACAGTGGACGAAAGTGTTCTACCATAAAAAAAGTGAACATCCGATATTATTTTTATATACTCTAATATCTTTTTAACTAATAATTTATTTTTTACAATTTTAAAGAATATTAAATTATTATTATTACTATAATTATTATTATTTTTAATTATTATCATTTTTATACTTTTTGTATTTATTTATAATAACTAATTTGTATATTGATTATTGTTATACTGACGATAATAAATAATAATAATATGAATGTAATGTAATGTTACATAACATTAACAACACCATTTTTTTGTTTTAACATAGATATTACTTAATCACCAACAACAATTGTTGTTGATTTAAATACTGGGTTGATCAATTGGGATTCACACAGATCTATATTATGTGGCTAATATAATGTTCAAATTCTTATTCTGATATCTAAAACAAATTAAAATAAAATAAAATCATTTGACCAAAAACCACCCAATACCAGAATAAAAAAAAAAAAATGAGTCATCAAGAAAACGAATAGTTTAATGTGAACCCACAACCCTCTTGACATACTGATTGAAAATCAATCATAATCAAAATCTCCGAAAACCGTTGGCATCATAAAAAAGAATAATTTGTAATTATTAATTTTGTTTTGATTATTTATTTATCAATACACCAATGTTCGTTTAAGAACTTTGGTTGTACGGTTTCAACAAAGTTTCTACGCCATGCTCTGATGAATTTTTTGATACCTTCGTCACCGTCTGCCAATACTTTATCCATTACTTGTTTTTCATGAGCAACGTAGCTGTCATCCTTATGCTTTGGATTCGATTGTACTAGACGAACGACATCTTCCTCAACCAACTCTTCCTTACCCAGATAAGTCAATACCTCCTTTCTCATGTGTTCGATCTTTTCCAATGGTATATTAGGTTTCTTCTTTGCTAGTAGTCTCTTCACTCCATTCTTATTGCTATTACACTTTGATTTACAACTATTACTGCTGCTGCTTCTTTTACCTTCATTCTCCTTTTCATCACTTTCATTACCTTGATTTTCATCATCATTGCCATTCTCTTTCTCTTTCTCCTCTTCTTCCTCTTCTTCGTTTTGGATTTCAACTTTCAACTTTGAAGTCTCCTTGAAATAATGACCAAATAATACAATTGCATGTTTAGACATCTAAAGTAATAAATAAATTAGTTATATTGTATGGATGATTATATATATATATGTATGAGCTTACTCTTAATAAATCTTTATCAATGATTACACTACTGGTGTTTTCAAATGGTACGTTATATTGATCGGCAATTACTAGTTTCATGAAATGAAGTCGTTTGTTCATTGTGAAATGACATTCCGAACAGAGGATAACAACGTCGTGTGAAGAGTGACTCTTGATCTCCACTGGTAGGTATTGTCTGTAGGAGTGTGGTACGATGGAGTGTCTCAATATCTTCTTGGTGGTACCACAGACAACACAACGATTCTCCTTGTGCGACAAGTAATATGCGTCATCGGCATGACCGTTTCCTTTCGGTGTGAATGTCAATTTGATAGAGAGTGGATTCTCACAGGTGATAACACCGAGATTACGCTCGAGATACCACTGCACTTTCTTCTTACTGACGTTACACAGCAGTGTACCGTCCGGTCCGTACAACGGACAATTATCATAGAGTACACGATCGTCTCTACCGAAATTCATCGATGATTTCGACATTCCCTTTTGATTATTCTTTCCCGCTGATTTACTATGTCCATTACCGCTGCTATTCTTATCGCTGCTATCACCACTCTTGGAATCACGTATTTTGAAGTTGGCATTGATAAAGGAACGACAGAAATCCATGGACGAAGGTGTCGGTTCGTCAGGACAAGACAACGCTCTGTTTCTTCTGTAGGTTTGTAGCATTTGTGTGTAGATAGCCAGTGAGATCCAAGCGTCACATGCAGCGTAGTGAATCTGCTCCGCTGACAGAGTTGCTAGTTCCCAGTGGCTGCATCGAACCAAATGATTCTTATCCAAATTGCAACCGTTCAGCGTGGAATAAGCTAGACTGGCCAATCCATTTCCTGCGTAGTTGGTCAGGCGAGCCAGTGGAACCAAGTCGACACATCCCTTTGTGAGAATATTGAAATTCTTGAATATGGTGGTTGCGTCTTGATTGATGGCAACACCGACCTTGAGAATACGCGGATCCGTTAAGATGGCAATCAACGACTTTGGAATACGAGACATCTGAGTCATCTGTAAGAGATAGGCGTCGGTTGCCGTTGATATTTGGATAAGAGCGACACGTGGACTCTTCTGAGAACTGCCAGCACCAGATGGTAGATGATCATGTGCCCACTCTGCATCCAATCCAAGTACAACCTTATCGGTTGCTTCAATTGAAAGACCTGTTTCATCAAGTCTTTTGATTGCAGGTGATGATGTCGAGGATGTCGATGATGATGAATTGTTGTTGGTAGTGTTTGCTGTTGTTGATGATGTTGATGATGTTGTAGAAGATTCATCTGAAGTGTTGGAGATGATTGCTTCATCTATATTCACTAAAGGCAGACCTAGTGCTGTCAAAATCGAATTGTAAAGATCGTAAAGAAGTTTATCGGCTTCATCAACATCGTTCAATACATGAATATTGACAGACTTTGGTAATTTAAAATATTCTTTTGGTACAGTTGTTGGTTGTTTACCATTATTATTGCCATTGTTATTGTTTTGACGATTACTGTACCACAGATAAGATGCAACTAATAATGATGCAACACCATAACCTAACATTCTAACCATTGATTCAAATGATGAGTTGGATGATGTTGCATTGAAAACTGTTGATATTGCTGATGATGAAGATGATGATACCATTATTTATAAATATATATATTAGTTGTAAAAAAGAAAGTCAAAATAGAATAAGTTAAAAAAATAAAAATAAAAAAAAATAATAATATAATGTTACAATAAATAATTCTAAAAGATAAATAAATAAATAAAGAGAAAATTACGATTTTAATATGTCTAAAACTAAAAATAAACTTAATATAGTCTCATTTTGCAAAAAAAACTGTTAAAATGTTAAGTTTGCCAAAAAAAAAAGAAAAAAGAAAAATCAAAGAATGACACATATCTTTTTTTCTTTGAATCAATAAAAAATAGTGTTGTGTCAGATTTCAATCAATTCTTTATGAAATTTATATGATTATGATTATTGATTGTCTGAATCAAATAATGTGAATCTCATAGAATTATTATAGTACAATATTAATATATTAATTAAAATTTTATTTTAAAAATTAATTAAATTTACTTTTTATATAATTTTTTTTTGAATAAAGACCATTTGCAGAAATAAATAAATAAAATTATGTTTTATCGGATTTTAATTTCTGCATCTTCATATTTAGTTCTTCTATTGATTTGGCTTGTCTTTTGTTTTTAAGTGTTATGTATGTGATGGTTCCTGCTATGGCTATGGCAATGACAGCAGCGCCAACAGCAATACCTATGATTTGATATTTACTTAATCCTGATGATTTACTGTTACATTTTGAATTTGGATCGTCGGAAGCAGGTGTATTATCTACAAGTATTGAGAAATCAGGATCAATAAGAACCGATCGGCTGAAATGTGGAATGTCAATTCCAATGAATGATTGTGTTGTTGATGTTGTTGAAATAGGTTGATATTGATCGTCAAGCACTCGGTTTATCACAATCATTGCATCATCATCGACAACAGCTTTCTCAATGAATCGACCGTAAAGACTTTCATATCCAACTTTAAGTTTGATCCATTGTAATTGTTGATCTTTACCGTCGGATGTCGATGTTGTTCCAAATGATTTCGATGAACAATCATCATTTGCACCAATGAGTGTTGCTGACATGATAACTTGGAGTTGATTGAGATTCGTCAAGAATTCATAAGTTGAAATGGAAATCGAGTATTTTAATGATGATTTCGACATTGTGTAGTTATCACCGGCAAATGAATAATTGAATTCATTCAAGAACCATTGAATGGTAATGTTGAATTGTGTTGTGTTTTTAATTAATGTTGAATATCGATATTCAATGAAATCTGGGTCGTTTACTTTTGTTAGATTTTCAAAGTTCCATGAATAATTCGATAACTTGTATTCTGCAACAACATTTCCAATATCATTCAATTCTCTCAAAGAATCAATAGATAGCTCTGATATCAGAGTATTATCATTTGGAGTGATCACTGTTGTATTTGTACCTGGTGTAGAAGGATTTACATTTGGTGGAGGTGATGGAATTAATTCTATAAATAATCATAATAATATTAATATGAAATTCTAATAATAATAGTTATATAAAATAATAGATTTACATACGTGATGAACAATCTGGACCAAAGAAGTTTTTAAAACATTTACATTCAGAGTTTACACAATTTCCATTTCCAGTGCATGTTGGATTTCCTGGACATTGTTTTGGTGTGGGTGTAACTGGGGGTTGTGTTGTAGTGCTTGTTGGTGTTGGAGTGGGTGTGACATTCGGTAGCTCCAGTGGCGAAGTAGGATAAATTGTCAAGACATTGGAACTGAATGTCGATTTCATTAGAACCAGTTCAAGACTATAGAAATTACCAAACGATGGGAAATTAATAATTATATATGAATTTCCCAACAATGAAACCGAAGATCTTGTTAGATTTATCATAACTTCGCCATTGGGAGGTGATAATTTGAAAGAAATCTGATTCAAATCAGTACCGAATTGATATCCATAAATAGTTAATTGTCCACCATCTTTAGAAATCGGTTCATAACTTTCTAAATATGGATAAGCTATTATTTTTAATAATAGAATAATTAGTATTATTTTTTTTTTAACATTATATTGAAATTAAAAAAATAATTACTCTTTGAAAATTGTCTTTTTAAACCAAAAGAAAAACTTGAAGCAGATAATTCTAATGGAGTGTATCCTATTAGATTATAATAGATATCGGATATTCCATAGATTGAAATATAGAAATCTGTGGAACCAAAACCATAGGGAAGTATAATCTGACAGGAAAATGAGGCGTGTGTAGAGTTGGACGAGAGAAGAGCCGATTGGAATTCAACAGTGGCCTCGTACATTGATGAGACATAAATGGTAGGCGCATGATCGGTATCGATATTCGTATTATCTGAAATCTGATATAAAATCGTAGTCGATATATTGCTGACACCAACATCCACTATTGGTCTTGTAACAGAAAATCGGTCTAATTTGGGTGCTACACCTTCTTTCTCAGCTAATAATAATAATAATATTATTAATAAGTGATTAATTTATTATTAAATGGATATTATTGATACTTACTTCTTGGATTGGTAATGATTGTCAAATTCTTTTCCATTTCAGTACCGTAGATTTTCATGAATGGATCTGTATAGACGAAATCGATTTGATTAGGTTTTTTAAATCCTTGGATTTCTCTGTCGGCAAAAGAAGTAGCAATATTTCCACCATTATCCACTGCATATAGAGATAGTGTATAGTTCTCGGCAACATTATGAGGTATTGATATACGTAGAATGTAGATACCCACGTATTGGTCACCTCCAACTCTATCAGTTACTCTGAAATAAATAGGTCCAGGAGCAATCGGACCAGAGTGATAATTCGAAGTGACATTAAGATATCCATTTGAGAAACCATTGACATCATCTTCTATCGTAATCTCCCATCCAATAACATTTGCTTGATAGAATGTTTTAATAGAGGTTACAATTGGACCAAGTAAATCGGCATCTAAATATTTAAAAGTTTGTTGTTAAATATATATTAATAAAAGTTCTAATTAATAATAATAATTATTATTAATTATTCTATACATACTCTCAGATTGTAAAGTTAATTGTGATGATTCACCAAACTTTGCACAGAATTGTGAATTTCTTATTGGTGGTTGAGTTAGTAAACGGTATGGAACCAAACCTTCGAAAGAATTCATTGGAATCAAAAATGGAATGACATAGAGTTGGAGTGTCGAATTCCATTGACCTGTGAATTGTTTCTTGTTTCCATTGAAATCTTCATTGAAGATCTCCAAAATCGGTTTATAATCTAATCTATTGTTGGTAGAAGTCAAATTGAAATAAAAATAATTTACAACCGACAAATTAGTTACATTGACAACTTCATTTGCAAATCCAACCATTGAAAATTCATTTAAAGGTATATTAACTGTGAAATATAATAAATAATTAGTAACTAATAATTATATTCGTTGATAATTAATACAAACATTGGAATTGGTATGGTGGTAAAAAGCTACCTAATGTTGGTATGTATGAATTCGGTGTAAATGATAATAATGCCATTGATTTACTATATATTTCTATTACTAGATCCTGAGCAACACCATCAACCAAATCATATCGACAAACTTTCTCATAGATTCCATTGAATGCATTTCCAAATACCAAATCTTTATCGAAAAGATTGCAACTTCCAATTTGAATCTTGTAGACACCATTGAGCGGTTCACTCAGTCCAATTTGAATAAAGAAAGAATAGGTTCCAAATGGTGTTAAAGTTATATTATCTACTTTAAGCATTGTTGGATCTATAAATTTACAGATAAAATAATAAATGATATAATATTAATATTTTTAAATTAAAGTTAAAGTATTAATAATAAATATGTATTTACTTGCTACAAAACCATATGGAATTGGATGATAATCTACATAGAAAGCACCAGTACCGTAGTTTGTTAGATTTCCAATTAGATGAACACTCTTTGAAAATGAAAGTTGTGCAGTTCCATTCATATATCCAAAGGGGAAGTTGTATTTACTATAAAGCGTGTGTGGTAATAATTGACCAGTTTCATACCAATCAACATAGGTTGACATTTGATTCGGTATCAATCTTTTGATAAAATATAGTGCAAATTTACTATCACCATTATTTATATACATTCCATTTGGTGTTGCTGCTCCATCATTATAAATTTGATCATCTATGTAAAGAAAACAAAAAAAGTTAGCTAAAATGATATTATTATAAATATGGTAATTTATGTATTTACTAAAAAACATTGATATCAAAGGTTCTACAGTGGTCATAGTTGCATTACAAGCTCTGAAATAGAAATAGGTACTTCCTAGTTTCGGTACAATAGCAGTGATTAAGGTTGCTGACTTTTTGTTTCCTTTGACAGGGTACAACGCAGTATCTTGAATCGGTGTTTTAGTAGCATAGAACGGTCCAGGGTTGAGCAGATCAACTGAGAACCAAACAGGTACACTCGGTAAGTAAGAGTTAAAAGTAGGTCTCAAAAGATTTGGATATGATTGATTGTTTAGTACTTGTATTACTCCATCTAAGATGATGATGATGATGATTTTCCAAAAAAAATAAAATAATATTATTAATTATTTTGAAACTAATTAACATGGTTCTTTTTTAAGATTTTTTTATGTAAGTTAACTTACCTGTTGGTGAAAAGAATATATTATCTAGTGGTTGTGTGAACTTAACATCTGGACCAACTGAAATGGTAAGAGTGTCACTATTATAATCAAGTTGACCTGGGAATGGTACAATCGTGAGAATGAAACTGAAATAGCCTTTCGACTTTGAATATCTGGGTGTAGCTGTGCATTCAAATGCTCTCGCATCACAAACTAAAGAGAGTAAAGTATAATTCAACTCTGGAACATCAAATACACTCTCATAGCTTTGAAATCCCAAGTTAAATGTTTGTTGCCATGCTGATATACTAGTAATACTAAAATTTGGTACATCTAAAAAAAAATGATCAAAAAAAAAAGTCCCAAAAAAATTACAAAAGTTAATAATTTTAAATGATTTTGTTTTTTTTTTTTAATTAACTTACTTAAACATTTAATTTTATTATCAGAGTTTTGAAGATAATATTGTCCACCTCCTGTGCAATTGAACATGAAATCCATGATAGATTGACCAACATTATAGGCAAATGTATAATAATGGTATTGATATTGATTGTCAACTACTATTGAATCTTGAGATATATAATTTCCATTATTAATAACCACGTTTATTGGTGATGTACATCTAGCAGGATCAATTTTAAAGGCAATCTTTGTTTGGCATGAACTAGTTAAAGCATTAAAATAAGTGGGATTCTCACTAATAAATTCATAACTAAGAACTTTATTTAAAAATTAGAACAACTAGTTAAGTTTAGAATAAATAAAAAATTATCTTACTATCTAATGAGTCTACTTTTACAAAACAAATAAAAATATAAAAAAATAAAGAAAAATTAAAAAATAAATAATTTTTATACATATTGCAAAAAAAGATAAAAAAAAAAATAGAATCTAAATATTAATATTATTTAAGTATCCTATGAATCTTTATTAAATCATTCTAAAAGTTTAAAATGGTTTTTTTATTTTTTTGATATTTTATTAAAATATCTTTAGATATATACTTTTTCTTTTCTTTTCTTTTCTTACCACAAATAACATTAAAAAAAATATCGGGGCTTGCATTCCGAATTAAGAAGATGGGAAGTTTTTTTTTGTGAAACCCATTTGATCAAAAATTGATCACGCAAAAAAATTATTAATTTTTTTTTTTTTTTTTTTTTAAGATCGATCCGAAAATTTTTTTTGGTGAACCCCAAGGGTTTGGCTTTTGATAAGGGTGAAAGATATTTGTGTTTTTTCTCTTTATTTAAATTTTTCCATTTTCATATTCAACTTGTTAATTTCTTTGGCTTGTTTCTTCTTTTTAATGATGAAAAAAACTGTTGCACCAGTTATGGCTATGGCAATGACAGCAGCGCCAACAGCAATACCTATGATTTGATATTTACTTAATCCTGATGATTTACTGTTACATTTTGAATTTGGATCGTCGGAAGCAGGTGTATTATCTACAAGTATTGAGAAATCAGGATCAATGAGAACCGATCGACTGAAATGTGGAATGTCAATTCCAATGAATGATTGTGTTGTTGATGTTGTTGAAATAGGTTGATATTGATCGTCAAGCACTCGGTTTATCACAATCATTGCATCATCATCGACAACAGCTTTCTCAATGAATCGACCGTAAAGACTTTCATAGCCAACTTTGAGTTTGATCCATTGTAATTGTTGATCTTTACCGTCGGATGTCGATGTTGTTCCAAATGATTTTGATGAACAATCATCATTTGCACCAATGAGTGTTGCTGACATGATAACTTGGAGTTGATTGAGATTCGTCAAGAATTCATAAGTTGATATTGATATCGAGTATTTTAATGATGATTTTGACATTGTGTAGTTATCACCGGCAAATGAATAATTGAATTCATTCAAGAACCATTGAATGGTAATGTTGAATTGTGTTGTGTTTTTAATTAATGTTGAATATCGATATTCAATGAAATCTGGATCGTTTACTTTTGTTAGATTTTCAAAGTTCCATGAATAATTTGATAACTTGTATTCTGCAACAACATTTCCAATATCATTCAATTCTCTCAAAGAATCAATCGATAACTCTGATATTAATGTATTATCATTTGGAGTGATCACCGTTGTATTTGTACCTGGTGTAGAAGGATTTACATTTGGTGGAGGTGATGGAATTAATTCTATAAATAATCAAAATAATATTAATATGAAATTCTAATAATAATAGTTATATAAAATAATAGATTTACATACGTGATGAACAATCTGGACCAAAGAAGTTTTTAAAACATTTACATTCAGAGTTTACACAATTTCCATTTCCATTGCATGTTGGATTTCCTGGACATGGCTTTGGTGGTGTGGTTGTTGGTGTTTGCGTTGGTTTTATTGTTGGTATTACTATTGGTTCATAGTAAGATTCTAATGGATATATTGTTAATAGATTTGATATATATGGGTTTTTATACATTGTCAAATTGTAAAAAGACGAGTTGCCAAAAGATGGTATGGAGATGATTAAATAGCTGTTTGTAACTATCGGTTTGTAAGTTGCTGAAATGGTATAAGTCATAGTATCATTTGTTAATGTAAAAGAGAGTAGACTCGAATTTGAACCAAACTGATATCCATATACTGTTAACATTCCACCTTCTCTTGAAATCGGTTCATAACTTTCTAAATAAGGCGCTACATAATAAAAAAAAGTTAATATAAAATAACTTAAAACATTTTTTTATATGTTTTTTTTACTTTTTGTAAAGTTTCTAAAAAAACCGGATGCTTCTACTCCTGCATATCCATAAAGATTATAATAGATATCGGATAATCCATATACAGCAATAAAGAATTCAGAGGAACCAAATCCATACGGTAAACTAATATTACTGTACATTTTGCAATATGTTGAATTTCCTTCTATAAGATCTACTGGAAATTCAATTATATCTTGATACAAAGAAATCACATAGACGGTTGGTAGATGAAAATAATTAAATCCAGAATCATCAACTATTTCAAATATAAACTGGTTGGTAGAATTCTGGAATCCAACATCCACAGCTTCATTTGTTAAACCAAAACTGGCAAATCTTGGTGGATTAAATTCCCTTGCTTTATTAGTTGAAAGGAAGATATATAAAGTTAAAAAATTTTCAATTTATATATTGAAACAATAAAAAATACTTACTAGTACCTTCTGGATTTGTAATAATTGTCATATTCTTTCCGATATCTGTATTATAGATTTTCATAAATGGATCTGTATAGATGAATTGTTTCTTTAATCCTTGAAACATAGATATCTCTCGGTCAATGATAGATGTCGCAATATTTCCACCATTATCCACTGCATAAATCGATATTGTAAAGTTATCTGCGACAACATAAGGTATTGATATCCTAAAACTATATTTTCCAACATACATATCACCACTCATTAATATCGTTGGACTATTAAATGGAATCTTTGAAACCATACAAGAAGGTTGATAAAATGAAGATATACATATGTAACCTTCTTTAAATCCATTAATTTTATCCTCAATGGTAATTTCCCATCCTATTGTAGAGTTCTGAGAATAATATGTTAAACCTGTAACCATTGGACCAAGTAAATCAGCATCTAATTTTTAATAAAATAATAATAATATTAGTTTTTTGTTTAATATAGTTTTTTTTTGATGAAAATACTTACTCTTTGATTGTAAATATAATTGTGATGACTCTCTAAACTTTGAATAAAATTCTGCATTACTGATTGGTAAACGGGAGAGTAATCGATATGGAACCAAACCTTCGAAAGAATTCATTGGAATCAAAAATGGAATGACATACAGCTCTAGTGTTGAATTCCATTGACCTGTGAATTGTTTCTTGTTACCATTGAAATCTTGATTGAAGATCTCCAAAATCGGTTTATAATCTAATCTATTGTTGGTTGTTAAATTGAAAAGGAAATAATTCCAAACTGATAAATTGGTAACATCTACATTATTTTTTGAAAATCCAACATATCCAATATCATTCAATCCTACATTGACTAGAGTAAAACAATTGATTAATAAATTAAAATTATATTATATATATTCTAATTACATTGTACTGTTGTTTTGTTTAAATAGGAACCTAAAAACGGTACAACAGTATTTGGTTGAATTGAAGACATTTCCATTGATCTACCATAGATTTCAATTACTAGATCTTGAGCAATACCATCGATAAAATCATATCTACACACTTTTTCATAGTAACCTTTGAATATATCTCCAGATGCCAAATCCTTTTCATTTAGAGTGCAACTACCAATTTGAATCTTGTAAATTCCATATTGAGGTTCATTCACACCAATTTGAATATAGAAAGAATAGGTTCCAAAGGGTGTTATTGATAAACCGCTTAATCTAAACTGTAGTGGTGATCCTATATAATATTTATTAATGTATATTTCTTTTCGTAAATTATATTTATAATATTTACCTTGAGGAGTAGTTGGAAATATTTGATAATTAGTATAATATAATGCAGTTGCATAATTCGTTATATTTCCTGTCAGTACGGAAACTACGAATGAGGCATTATCAATGGTTCCATTACGATATCCATAGGGATACTTGAATTTTGAAAATAATTTTGGAGCTGAGCTACCATCTGGAACGTACCAACTAATATAAGTGTTCAGTTGATTAGTTGTTTGTCTTTTTTCGGTTCCATAGACAGTAAAACCAAATATATAGCCATAATTACATTCTGATAGTGGATACAATGTATTGGTATCAACTAAAAGAATTGAAAAATTAGAATATTATTTTTCTTAAGAGTATTTAGCAGTATATTAATATTTACCTAAACTAAAATTATATTGAATAGATGGCAAAGTTGTTTCTTTGTTTAAAACCTTTGACATAATATTGATTGTTCCTGGTGAACTTGGTAGATAAGGTGAAAGATATGTAGCAAAACTTGAGTTTCCTTGAACAGGATATAAAGGAATATCTTTAGTTAAGATCCTAGTAATATGGAATGGACTTGGATTGACAAGATCGACAGAGTTCCATATTGGAATGTTGGATATATAAGCAGCGAATGGTGGTTTATTAACACTTGGATATGTTGTATTTTTATTGATTACCGTTGGTAAAGAATCTAGTTAGATTTTAATTTTAAGGTTTATATTCATGTTAATAAAGGTTTGTTAATAAATAAACATATATATTTACTTGTAAAGAAATTATTCTCTATATCGATAGAGTATATAACATCATCGCCAATCAGAATTGACAATGAGAGAATGTTATAACAATTATTATTTCCTGGCAATGGGATTATTGAAACAGTAAAATATGATCCCGTTGTTAAAGAATAGGTTGATGTTATTGAACATTTATAGCATATAGCATTACAATTGAGTGCAGGTAGATAGAATTTTAACTGTGGTAGGAAAGCTACTGCTTGATATGTTGTAAATGTTTTCGCGAAAGTTTCGACAAATGGTGATAGCTTTACTACACCTATTGTTGGTACATCTAAAAATAAGATTATTAAAAAAGAAGAATAATTAGTGTCAATTAAGAAAATTAGTTGATGAAATGATCTAATAATCAATTATTTACCGTAACATGAAAATATCTGGGTCATATTAGTGTACTCATTTGCAAAGCCAGTACAATTCAAATCAAACAACATAGGATATTGACCAGTAGGATATAAATAGGTATTGGTAAAATATTGGTATAGATTATCAACGCCAAAATAATCTGTCGATTGCAAAGCACTATTTCTTGGATAGATGTTTACAGATGAAGAACACCCATAGGGATCTACTTTGAATGTCAACTTTAGTTGACAATACCCTGTATCTTTATTTACATAAACTTGACCATCACTTAAAAACTCTAATTTTAAAACTATATAAAAAAAAAGATTTATAAATATTAATCATTTTCAATCAATAAATCTATAATAACTAGTTTTACCTTCGAGCGAATTAACATTTTCACAAAATACATATAAAATTGTTATAAATATAAATACAAATTTTGTATGGTTCATTTTTATTACAAATTTTTGACTAAAATAATACTAATAATCATTATTAAAAATAAAATTGTTGGGGAAGGATTCAGTTAAAAATCTTCCAGATCTTTTGGGGTTTTTGGGTGATCGCACATTTTTTGCGATTACAACACTCATTCCGATAAAATACTAAATTTGATTTATTCTCTAAACAAAGTTGCTTTTTCGTATCGCTAACATTATACAATTGAATTTTATATGGTTATTGTTGATTTGATTGTGTTTGATTCAAATAAAAACCAAAAATTTAATATTTAGTGTAGATTGGCGTGAAAGATACCAGCTTTATCCACTATTCAAGGAATCGATAGAAATTAAAGCTCACATATCGTGTGTTGAACCATTTCTATTTGATATATGTGCTTTATTTAATCAGTAGGGTCCATTGTTAAATATCTATTTCGCTAGTTGCCAATCATTGATTTTCTCATATAAATTTCCCATATTACAATAACCATTTTTTGAACACCAATTTTTGATTGAAGATCTTTGAGAATTTGATTGAATCTTTCATAACATTGATAAATATGTCTGTCCCTGTATTCTTTGATCTCTCGGGTTCGTTGTAGCTTGCTCCGAACTCCGATGCAGATTGGAAAACTCATTTTACCCATCGAAAAACAGAGGCCAAACTCTTTCAAAATTTTTTTAAAGAATAAAACAAACTTTATATTCTAAATCTACTATAAAAATACTTTCTATTTATCTAATTTTTATTAAAATCTAACAAGGTTTGATATTTTATTTTATTTTTTTAATATTAATCTCTAATGCAAAAACTTAGAAAAAAAAATTGTCAAAAACAGCCACAATCACTATCATTGAAAAAAATTTAACATTTATCAAATTGAACAAAAAAAAAAACAAAAACTGTAGTTGAAGTTTATTCATTAATAAAAAATAGATATTTATGGTGAAGACAATTATGTTGAAATGGAAGCAGATCCACACATTATTCTATTTTCTTGCTTGTCATAATTTTTGAAGAATGGTTCAGTTTCGTTTGATTCAATCGAGTGCTACCAAACGAATAGATAAAACTTGATTTTGGAGACTCTTGATTTCTATCTTTGACTGGAATAGGCTTAAGGTGGGTTATTTGTTTGGTTTCGACCTTGTATTTGATTAATCTATTATTATCGGAATATATAAAGAAATTATCGTTGTTATCGTGACATTGTTCAATGATGATCATGATCCATTCAATATCGATAAACTTATCAGGGATTATAACAATAACTCATGATTATTATTATTGGAAATAATTCACAAATACAACAATCAATTCAATTTGATAACTGAAATCATTGATAAAGATAATAATGAAACATCCTCATCAATTCAATAGTCATCATATAATTTATCAATCATACAACTAGATCTCAATCCATCAAATTTGATAGAATTGATGGATCATCATTAACAAACAATAATAAATCATTATATTTATTCGCAACACACAATTCAATCGAACAACTCAATTTTGATCCTCATAAATCAAATTATGATTTTAATAGAACATATCCATCGATCATTTCAATATGTGAAGATATCTATGTACTCGGTCATATTCATCAGGTAATTGAAAATATCTTTCAAAAGTCATTGTCTTGATGGTGAATCGATCGATTCTATTATTATACCAACAATTAACCTCGATGATATTCAAAGGTTCATTATATTCTATACCATACGATCAAACTAAGATGATTAAATTTGATCTGGCAAATAAAACAATAACAAATCATCAAATCTAAGATTAACCATAAACAGCATGTCATGATAACAAGGGAAATTTCTTCATATACGATAATAATAAAAAACAATTGATCAAATACAATGTTGAAAACAAAAAATCAATCAATCTCAAACCTATCCCGATCAAAGAGAGTGATAAATTTTTAATGTATCACCGAGAATCACCATCATCAAGTTTTATCTATTCATTTGGTGGTGTTAAACTTGGTAACTTTAAATATTCAATTGAACACAATCGATGGGAGCAATTCTTCAAAGATGATAAATTCGAAAGAGATTGGTGTCCATCTACCCCAATAATATTTTAATAATAAAATAAATCAAGAATAAAATTTTGAAATAAAGTTAAAGTTAATCCAATTCATTCTGATTTTTAGTTTGGTTAAATATATTTGAATTAAAATTTATTTTGTTTTTTAGATTTTATTAAATAGAACCAAAAATGAATACCTTAATAATGTACAAAATTAAATTCCTATCTATAATTTTTTTAGATCTTTACAAATATTTCAATATGGAATAAATATATTATTCTTCCAAATCGTTTTTACTCTAATTAAAAAATATTAGTTTTTTCATCATTTTCACAACTAATGAAATGTTTCGATTTAAATTTAATAATAACAATATAAATAGATTAATTAATAATGTAACAGTTGATAGTGTACAATCTTTTATTGCTAGACATCGTCAACTGTCCAATTTTAAGAGAAACTATTCAGTTGCAGCTACATCTGATGTCACAGATTCACAACCACAACAACAATTGTCAAGTAAAGCATTAGAACATAAAGTAAGTAAATCTATTGATATATATCATTATGTTTAATTAGCATAGATATGTATATATATATAATGAAATACTTATTATTATTATATGATTATATGACTATATATGACGATAGAGAACAAGAGATCAAGTAGTTACCGCATTCTCAAACCAACTAAGATTATCGATTATTAATCTGACAAAAGCAGCCAATGTCGGAAAGACAAAGCATGGTTTGAATAGCACAGAGACAATGCAATTAGGCAAGATGATGTCAGGTGTGTCGTTGTGTGCCTCTTTTCTCAGTGATGAAGAGCGTATCAGTGCTCAGATCAAGTGTGGCAATCGTAATCCACAGTATCTCTATGCCGAAGCTATTCAAGTCGGTGAAGTACGTGGCTATCTCGTTAATAACGAATCGATTGCGGAACAAGAGAAAGACTATCGCTATCGTAAAGAGAATCCACCAGTCGGACTGTTTCAATTCAATAAGATCCTATACGGTCAGAGCAAACCTGTCGAGAGCACAGTTGAACTTGAAGATTTCACCATCACCACTGAATTCCAACGATATTTTAGCTTGTCTGAACAAGTACCGACCGTTATATCATTGGAGCATGAACATGACTCTGACGGTACAGTAACATTCAACGGTGGTATACTTGTACAATCGTTACCTACCACACCAGACTCAACTATGCAAGCCGTACAAGAAAGAGTTAAACTCTTTAAAATCGATACACTACTGAACAAAGAAAAGAAATCATTAGAAGAGATACTTAAGCTGATAGCTCCACATCCAATAGAGATTATAGGTAGTACTTTTGTTGACTTCTTTTGCAGGTAAATAGATCTACATATACAATACAATACGATCATTATATATACTAATATCTTTATTTAACAATTATAGATGTAGTTTAAAGTCATTTAAGAGTAGATTAATAACATTAGGATTAGATGAGATCAAATACTTGAAACAACATAATCATGATACTCTAAATTGTAACTACTGTAATAAGAAGTATGTTTTACAGAGTCAAGATTTCGATGATATGATTAAATCAATAGAAACATCACCTGCTTCAACAACAACAACAACAACACCAAACAATCAAAACAATAAAGATTAATAAATAGAGAGAAAGTTTTTTTAATACTTTCTTTACTTTATATATTTTAGTTTATTTTAAATTTAATTTATGTTATTTTATTTAATTTATTGTAAAGTATTGGTGAAATATCTTAACATACAAATGTTGGCATGGAACATCTTTTGTAGTCTTGACCAACCGATTTGTTGTGATTGTTTCAGTTGTTCGAGATCCTCTTTGAAGTTCTCAGAGTATAGCTGATCACCGTGTACTCGCAACAACATTGTAACCAACGATTGAATCATATCGAAATCATCGTTACTACGAAGTTGGTAACAAAGGAAATCTACCATCATATGAATATCGATACCAGCATTCTCTGTAGTAGAAAGTGATCGTATTTCATAATCAATAGCAGAAGGTGTCATCTTTTTAAATAATTTCAATACTTTACTATCTACATTATTGTTAATTACAAAGAATATAAATTATTATTAATATAAACAGATCTCAGCTTATTATATTAAACTACAATGTAATAACTTACAATTTTGTGATTTATATGAATTCTCTAATGCTTTTGATAATATAGTTTTCGCATCATTATTAAAACTTCTTGAAAATCCATTGAGCTTGTTCTTCTTTAATACCTTATCGTTACTTGTTGAATCATCTTCATCGTCTTGCTCTGTTTCGTCGTTTGGTGTAACCCAATCTTCCCAACCCTCGGGATCTTTCTCTTCATCATCTTCACCATCTTGTTCTGTTGATTTACTATTATTATTACTATCTTTCTTTGATTGCTCAGAAGCAGTCTCTGTCTCTGTAGCAAACTTTGGTTCCAATCCTGTGATTGTCGATAAAAAGAATGGTGCCAACTCTGGTTTCATTTGTGAAGCGATTGGTTTATTACGCTTCTTAATGGTATCTAGATTCAACAGGGTATTCCACTTTGACTTTTGTATCTGTGTCAATGTAATCAACGATCCAATTTGATCTACAATAACATGATTCTCATCGTCATTCTCTTCTTGATTGTCTTGATCATTATTATCGTTGTCATCTTCCATATCGATATCATTTACAGGTACACCTTGATCTTTATCTACTTCCGCTTCTCCTGTTTCCTTATCGTTGCTATCATCTGATGAGATTGATTTTTGGTCGGATTGATGTGATGGCATGTCGAGGTAGGTTGGAACATCCGATGGTTTCTCGAGCATGGTCGATCCAAAGTATGATTGATTGGTCCAGAGATAGACAGGCAGCTGATTCTCGTGAGTGGAAATGAGGTAGTCTCCTCTTGGTGAGAAGGCAATCGATGTCAATTTCTTGTGAACCAAGAACCAGTCTAGCAATGCACTCGATGGGATGTCGTATACTCTGAGTTGCTCCTCACCGGCAATCACAAGCCAACGACCGTCCGAACTGAAACTAATATCAACTACTGTTTGACCGATATCGAATACTCTTACTGGAACATCTTGAGCAATGTCAAACACTCTCACAACATTATCACCGCAAACCACTGCATACAATCCTGACTCTGCGTGATGCTTGATAGCGAGTACCTCTGTACCCAACGGTATGTTTCTGTCGATTGTCATGTTGGAGAGCAACCAGAATGTGATTCTTCCATCGATGGAACCGCTTACTATATATTTATTGGTTGGATCGACAAACAATCCACTGATGGCATTGGAGTGTTGATACTTTGCATCGACTTTGCCACGTTTCAAACCGGATTGCATGTTGTATTTGGTGATATGTCCGTTGACACTACCCAATATGGCGAAATGTCCACAAGTTGAAACGGCAATACTAGAAATATTGGCACCGGCATCCATTTGATGTTGTCCAATGGTGAAATTCTCTACGTTCCAAGTACGCGCGATACGCTGTCCGTCGGCGGCACTCACCACCGTGTCGAAAGCACGATGCTGTCTGGCATTGCAATCGAATGCACGCAGCTGGTCAATCTTACTATCCTTCTTACTCAACACACGATTCAAGAAACTGTAGTTGATATTCATGTGACGCAGTGCACCGGCCGACATCGTAATCATGTCGTCGTCGGTGAAGAATCGGATTTGGCTGGGTGGCGATGGGTGTCCACTACGCTCACGCAACAAAATAGGTGCGCTTCTAGTTGTATCGTGGAAAGTCCATACTTTCAGTGAGTTATCATTTCCGTTGGTCAACATAATCGGTTCGTCACGGAAGTACTGTGCGGCACCGATCGCGCCAACATGCGCTCGCTGCGACACGACCAATCGCTTCTTCTCCAAATCCCAGATATTAATCTTTCCTTGTGCGTTTGCTGTTGCCATATGAGCGGTTCCATCGCTACGGAATGAAATAGAGGTGACTCCACCCTTCTGAGAGAGTGTGGCGACAGTCGCGTCCGACTTTAAGTCGTGCAAGATGACACGACCATCGGCAAGACCGATCGCTACAATATTGATTGCAGGCGATTGAGCAATCGAGAGAACAGGTGATCCCCAACCTGCAAAACTATAGATCATCTTCTTGGTCTTGAGATTCCAGAGTTGAAGTGAACCCTGTTCCGATCCCAACAACACCTTATTGAAATAGTTGGCTGGATGGAACATCGTTGTAATTCTAAATTGTTTAGCATCGATCGATGGCAATTGACTGGTAAATTTGACTCTACTCTCCAAATCCCACATCATCAACTCATTGTTCTTTGACAATGAAAGCAAAATATTATCCAAAACCAATAATCCTGTTACTGAAGCTGAATGTCCTGTAAATGTATTTTCAATATTCTAATAAAATAACAACGATATGAATCAATTAACAAATAATCGTTTCTTCAATTTTAATAAATTCAAATTTGCTAAACTACTACTACTACTTACAGGTCCTTTCCATAGATTTATATTGTTCTTTGAATTTGTAACATAGAATTCACGTGCATAAAATTGCATTGTTTTTATTTTTCCTATTTGACTTGCAGATGTCATATATGGAATCAATTTATCTGACTGTAGTTTTATTAATACATAGGTAATAGATTGAATGATTATATTAGTATAATTTTAATAACAACAATGATTGACTATGATGTTAATAATAGACATACATGTATAAGCTGGAAAGAATTACCAATAGATACCATGATGGTATATATCAGATTCTCTGATTTCAATTGGAATGGTACATTCGATGTAATATATCCCAATGCTCTGAATGGTCTAAATAAATGATTATCCATTTTTCTTTTATTCTATTTATTATATATTGATACTACTAACTAATATCAAAAAATCTAAACCAATATAAACTTTTTAATATTAAAATAGAATAAAAATAAAATAAAAATAAATAAATAAATAAACAATAATGGTAATCTATCAAATCGTTCGTTTTTGTTAAATTTAATTTTTTTTAAATTTTATGAAAAAAATAGTTTGCAAAAGAAGTTCGAAAAAATCGACTTGAGACTTGTGTGAATCAAAAAACAAAAAAAAAAAAAAATTAAATATTGATTAATTTTTTTTAAATATATTGAAATTGATGTTCATCCTTACTTTAATCATTTAATTTTTAAAATTTTTTAAAAAAAAAAGATAGAATTTGTTATTTTTATTTATTTTTTTAATTAATTATTTCATTTTTTTTATATTATTAATAAGTTACATTATATATATATTTTTTATAGATTAGTTTTAAAGAGAAGAGTTACAAAAGATGGTAAACAAAGAAGAGATTGAAGATGAGATGATTAATGAAGTAGCTCCAAAGGCTTTGGATGAAGGTGATATTGCACTTTTAAAAAGCTATGTATGTATTTATTCAGTTATTTATTCATATGAAAATTATAGTTATTAATATCAGGATTTGTTTGTTTGTTTGTTCTATTGATTTATTAATTAATCTTCATAGGGAGTTGGACCATATACTAAATCAATCAAGACGTTAGAAGATGATATTAAAAAGATGACAGCAAAAGTAAATGAGATATGTGGAATTAAAGAATCAGATACTGGTATTGCACCACCATCACAATGGGATCTCATCGTAGACAAGAACTCAATCAATGAGGAACCACCCTTACAAGTAGCACGTTGTACAAAAATCATTAATCAAGGCACTCCCAACGCCAAATATATTATCACTGTCAAGCAAATCGCCAAGTTTGTAGTGGCACTCGGTGACAAGTTGTCACCAACCGATGTTGAAGAAGGTATTCGTGTTGGGTAAGTATAAATTAAAATATTTTAAATTTTAAATATAAATACAATATTAATATAAATATAACTATCTACTATATCTTATTATATTAAAGTGTTGATCGTAATAAATATCAAATTCAAATTCCATTGCCACCAAAGATTGACGCATCAGTAACAATGATGCAAGTTGAAGAGAAGCCAGATATTACATATAAGGATGTCGGTGGTTGTAAAGAACAAATTGAAAAACTAAGAGAAGTAGTTGAAATGCCATTATTACATGTAGGTTTAATTTAATGAAAGTTTGGAATATGTGGAATGGTGGAAACTAAAGTGACACCAACAACCATATATCTTACTTTTCAATCATTATATAATTTAATTTGTTGTTATTAACATTGCTTTAAATTATTATAATAATAATAATATTGTAGCCAGAGAAATTTGTAGAGTTAGGTATTGATCCACCAAAGGGTGTTTTAATGTATGGTCCACCAGGTACAGGTAAGACATTGTGTGCACGTGCTGTTGCCAATCGTACCGATGCAGCATTCGTTCGTGTCATTGGTAGTGAGTTGGTCCAAAAGTATGTTGGTGAGGGTGCCAGAATGGTTCGTGATCTCTTCCAGATGGCACGTTCCAAGAAGGCCTGTATTATTTTCTTTGATGAGGTCGACGCCATTGGAGGTGCCCGTTTCGATGATGGTGCCGGTGGTGACAATGAGGTGCAACGTACTATGCTCGAGTTGATCAATCAGCTCGATGGTTTCGATCCACGTGGTAACATCAAGGTGTTGATGGCCACCAACAGACCGGACACACTCGATCCAGCGTTGTTGCGTCCCGGTCGTTTGGATCGTAAGGTCGAATTCGGTTTGCCAGACTTGGAGGGTCGTGCACACATCTTTACCATCCACGCCAAGACAATGTCGTGCGCTCGTGATATCCGTTTCGAGTTGTTGGCTCGTCTCTGTCCAAACTCGACCGGTGCCGACATTCGTTCCGTCTGTACTGAAGCCGGTATGTTTGCAATTCGTGCACGTAGAAAGATTGTAACAGAAAAGGATTTCTTGGAGGCCATCGACAAGGTCATTAAATCATATGCTAAATTTTCTGCCACTCCAAAATACATGGTTTACAATTAAACAAACAACCAACCAACAACAAAACATACAACTCACTCATTGTCATTACAACAACACAACAACCAACCAACCAACCAACAAAACAACGAAAAAAAAATTATTATTATCACAAGATTGTATACATTACTATATATAATTAATTATTTTTTTCTATAAACTAAACCAAATTCAAATCATTCCAACATTTAACAACAAACAACAACAAAACAACCAAAATAAAACTTTAATGTATAAAATAAAATATTCTATTAATCTTAAGAATTAAATAATAAATGAATAATAATCTTTGTATGTGTATGTATGTATGTCAGACCGAACGGGGTTTCAACTTGTTTTAACAAAACTCGAAGAAGCAGTCAAAGAAAGAGTGATCGAATTTGCTATCAACTCAGATTACACAAATATTATATTAATCAAAAACTTTAATAATAAAAAAAATAGTTTTGTTTATATAAGATTAATATGTTTGATTTCCAAAACATATTTAAATATGGTTGTGTTTAATTTATTAAAAGGATATCCTTGATAAAGTAATTCCAATGTTATGGTGATGACTTTTCATTGAGAAGTTTGGCGAATTGCTCTGGTTTAATATTAAAAGTTGCAATGTGTTGGAAAAGTTCGTCATCGTCAATGTCTGGTGGCAGATGTGTAAGCAGTGTCATACATTGGTCGAAATCACCAGTCTCCAATTCCTTTGAATACATCTTTAGGATTCCCAGTGCCACTTGGAAAATGAAGGTCTCTTTCTCTAAAAAGAGATAGTCCCAAACGTGTGTAGCTACATCCAGTGGCAATGCCTTTGAAAATATAGTAAGAACCCAATCGATCATAAAAATATCTGGTTGAATACCCATTTCCTTCAGATGTCTATGTACTTTTGGTATATGAATTTGTAAAAGTGAATCCATTGCTCTCATATAAACTTCCATCTAAAAAATAATTAATTATTAATATTAATCAGAATTATTATTATTATTTAAATAGCTAGTACTACTTACTTGTGGTAAATTCATTGTATAGAAAGTCATATAACATGGATTATTTAAAAGATTTGATAAACAAACGAATGCTTGATATTCGTCTAAAATTAATAAAAATATTGCTGCCAAGTAGGACATTCCTTGAACATAGCCAACGTCCGGTCGATAGCAAACGTAGGCTTCGAGTACAGCAGCAAGCTTATGGTGATAAGGTCCTTCATTTTGAAAAATCGATAACATTGGAAAAGTTCTTGGTAGATCCAACTGAATAAGTGTAACAGTACCTTCACGACCCAGTGAAGATTCTCCTTTTTGTTTTGCTCTCTCTGCTCTTGCTCCAAAAATTGAAAATAACTCTAAATAACAACAAATCAAAATATTTGTTAATATTTAGATTGCATTCCAATCAGACATATAATAAAAAAACATACCAGGTGTAATGTTTAAATCATTTCCAATTAATAATGGCCATGCTTTCTCTCTTGATAGTGAAGGTATACCTTGGAAAATCAATTCTTTAACTTTCTTTGATGATTTCTTCTTCTCCCAATTCGGTAATATATCGTCGTTCCATATTCTTTATAGCTTCTTCCATTCTCTTTTCTCGTTCTCTTCTTAACTTTTCTTTTTTCTGAGTTTCTTTATCTACATTTTCTGTAATTATTAATATAAATATAAATGGTTTAATAAGTATTTTCATTGCTTCTAAAATTGCTATTTTTGTTTCAAACACTTACTTCTTGTTGATGTTGGTGTTGATGAACTATTACTTGACATTAATGATGGTGATTCATAGGAGGATGACAGTGATCCATTGCTTGAGTTCGAACTAGTTAATGAACCGAATGTGTCATCTTGGTGAATTCCATTGCTAGAGTGTGTTCTAAGATGACCATTCGATTTCGATCCACCGCTAATCGTTAAACTACTAATACTATTGAAACTACTACTTAAATCTTGGAGGAATCCATTGATTCCATTTGATTTACTGGTGGTTGTTGTTGTTGTCGTTGTTGAAGTGGCTGTTGTTGATGTTGTTGATGATGATAGTTGTGGTGGTGGTGATGGATCGTCTGGTAGAATCACTCTGGGTATCTCACGACATACCATTTTGAGTGCATCGATTTCCTCTCCCTCCATATCAAGTGTCGAGATGTAGGCAGCCAACACCGCCTTTGGTAGATACCTGCAGTTGTGAATGAACGATTGCATATCGAGTCCGGCATAACAATCTTTGTTCTCACAGAGAGGTCTCCATCGAGAACAGACACGTTTCACCACAAAGAGATCGTGATAGCTTAGAAACTGAAACACACGAATCAACAGACTCTCCTCCATGAGCAACGTCAGATCGGTACCTGCCAACTCTTGAAATGAAAACTGTTGTCTTGCTCGATTATATAATCTTTTATATGATGATGATGTTGTTGTTGTTGTTGCACCATTTATATTATTATTATTATTATTTATTTGAATCGAATTAGACTTTCCATTTAATACAGGTGAAGAACTAACTGGTGTTGAAGGTGATAATCTAACGGGTGAAATTGATCTATTCATCATTATTTAGTTGCTCTTTTTGTTTAAGTTGTTATTCTTAAACTAACCCAACTCCTCTCTATAAACAATTATAAAAATAGTTGCTATATCAATAAACAAACTATTAGATTAGATATATCTAAATATCTTATTTTCTATCTCTTCCTTTTTGCTATTTATTTCTATTTTATATAAATATAAATCTATCTGTAAATCTTATCCTGTATAAATAAACAAACAAACAAACAAACACAAACAATCTCTATTGTTTTTTTTTCTCTTTTCTTTATTTATTTATTTAGTGATATAGAATTTACTTAATATATAAATTAATAATCTACAACTAATAATACAGTATCTATCTATCTATAAATAATAATATTAACAAAATAAAAATTAAGATAACAATCTTTTTTTAGATATAAAACATGTCAAAACAAAAAAATTTCTATGATTTTTTAAATTAAAAAAATTATTTTTATCTTTGTTGTTGAAGATTTTTTAGATTGATTTGAATATTAAATACAACAAATAAGATTAGAAAATATAAATAATATAAAAGGTGTAATTATATTTTACACTTATTGATAAATATTTTTAAAATAATATCAAAAAAAAACAATGTTAAAATAATAAAATTATAATTTTAATGATATTTAATATTAAAAATCGATAGTTTTTTTTTTTTTTTTTTTGTTTTTGTCAGATTTATTTTTTTGTTCTCTGTTTTTTTTTTATGGATTGTATTTTTTTTTTTTTTGTTTTTATTTTCATTTTTTTTTGTTTTCATTATCTACATCGATTAATTAGATTTGATTGCTATCAATCAATTAATTTGACAATGGCAGATAAACAAGGATTTTTAACAAAGGAAGGTGGTTCCATAAAGACATGGAGAAAACGATGGTGTGTACTTAAAAATGGCTCTATATATTACTCAAAGAATGCTGTACGTATACACAACAATCACATATTCATAATCATATTCAATCAGAATAATAATAGTAATAGATTCATAGTCAACCAATACAAAATAAACAAAGTAAATCAATCTACATTCATTTTAGTATAACAATGTGTGGGTGTGCATACTAAAATTTATTTTTCATACAACACAAAAATCCAATGGAAAAAATAGATTTATTTAAATACACACACACAAACACACATACAGACAATCAAAATCGAAAAATATAAACAAACACTCATACAAACACTATAATAATCAGATAACTTTAACTAATCATTTTTTTTTTTTTGTACTAAAAAATATTATTATCGATTATTATTTTACAGAATACTTGTGAATTGGGAATTATTCATTTAAAGAATGTTAGTAGTGTTGTTCAATCACAGAGAAAAAAGAAGAATTTGTTTGAGGTGATAACACCTGAGCGAACCTATTATATGAAGGCAACTTCGCCAGAGGAGATGCAATCTTGGATCGAGGTGCTGAATCGAACACTCGGCAAGATGCGTACCACTGCAAAGGAGCGTGTCGGTGTCGAGGACTTTGATCTGCTGAATGTCATTGGTAAGGGTAGTTTTGGCAAGGTGTTGCAGGTGCGCAAGAAAGACACCGGTATGATCTACGCGATGAAGGTGCTCAACAAGAAGAACATCTTGGAGCGCAAGGAAATCGACCACACTCGCGCCGAAAAGAATATTCTCCAGAAACTGGTGCATCCATTCCTGATAAACTTGAACTACTCGTTCCAGACCGACGACAAACTCTACTTTATCATGGATTACATCAATGGTGGTGAGCTGTTTTTCCACTTGCAGAACGAGGAGCGTTTCGACTTGGATCGTGTGCGTTTCTACTGCGCAGAGATCGTTTGCGGCTTGGAGTATCTTCACAACAGCGGTGTATTGTATCGCGATTTGAAACCAGAGAATATACTGCTGACCTCGGATGGACACATCTGTCTCACCGACTATGGCATCAGCAAGGAAGGCCTGCTCAGCGACGACGATCGTACCGCCACATTCTGCGGCACTCCAGAATATCTAGCGCCAGAAATTCTCAAGGGTGAAGCCTATGGAAAAGCGATCGATTGGTGGTCATTCGGAACACTCGTCTACGAAATGCTCTCTGGTTTGCCGCCATTCTACGACTCGGACATCAGAATTATGTACAGTAATATCATGAATCAAAAATTAGTATTTACACCTCAATTTTCATTAGAATCAAGAGATTTCATTTCTTCAGTAAGTTGTTAATTATTATTATCATATTGGAAAGATAAATTTGAATTATTAACAGTTCATTTTAATTGTTTTGTTTTTTCTAGTTGTTGGAAAGAGATCCAAATAAAAGATTAAAAGAAGCGAAAACAATTAAAGCTCATCCATTTTTCCATGGTATAGATTGGGAGAAATGTGTTCGTAAAGAATTGAAACCACCATTTATTCCACCAGTGCAAGGAAAGAATGACACGAGTCAAGTGGATGCTGGATTTTTAGCAGAGACTGCCAAACTCTCTGCAGAGAAACCAGGATTGAGCAGTTCAATGCAAAAGAATTTCGAGGATTTCACATTTGTAAGCGAGAGTGAACATTTGAAAAGACCTGGTGCAAAAGTTTAAAACAATCAAAATATAATAATAATAATAATAATAATAATAATAATAATAGTATTATAAATCAAAAAAAAAACAATGTCCAATATAATAACAATAATAATAATAATTAATTGTATAAGAGAATTCTTTTCATTTCACACAAAACCAATATTTTTTTCAAACAAACAAACAAACAACATACCATTGCAAAATAATCAATAACTTCCAAAAACCTTTTCCTTTTTTAATATCAAACAATATAAACAACACGCCACACTTTATTAGATTTTATTATTCTTGTAAAGTTGGTATATTGGTTATTCTTGTTTTTTCACAAACTGTCATTGTATTTTTTTCTTCTTTCTCCACAACTAAACTTAAATAAATAAAGAATATAATTTTTGTTTTTTTTTTACAAATTGTAGTTATAACTTCACTTTTTTTTTTTTTTCTGTTCGTTTTTACAAATAATATCTATCTTTTTTAACCGACAAAAAGTGTTCATTGTATTGTTTTCTTTGACAACACATCTTGTATGGCAAATTTTCATGTAACCCCAAATTTGGACAGAAAATTTTTTTAAAGATTCTTTCAAAAATTTTTAAGATTTTTGGTCATTTCTCTTCTAATGGTGAGTTTTTGATCAAAAAAAAAAATAATAATAAAGTGCATAGCTTTTTTATTTTTATTAAAAAGTCTTTGCATTTACGATCGATTTAACTCTTTACTTTTATACTTTTTTTTTTTATCAACTATACAATATTAAATATAGTTATTTATTGTTAATATTACATTTTTGTATTTCACTCTTTAAAGCTTTAAAGTTTAATTATATTGTAGTAGTAATTCATGATTAATATATTTATAATATAATGAAATATTATTCATAAGAAAATATCAAATTGATATAAAACAAATAATTAATTCTATTAATAAATATAATATATAAATATATAGTAGTAATAAATAAAATAATAATATTAGATAGATTATATAGATTAAAGAAAAAAAAAAAACAACATTTAATATGTTAATTTTAAATAGTAGATCAAATTTGATATGGTTTTTCATAGTCATTTTGATTTTAAGTGATGATGGTGGTGGTGGTAGTGGTAGTGGTAATGGAGTAAAAGATTTGAGATCGATATCGATGTTGGTCGATGCAATGATATACACTGATCAGAAAATATCGTTTTCAAATCAATACTATATGGTTACTTCATTTGGTTTCGTGGCAGGTGGAAACTTACAACTCAACGCCACAATAGATTTACCCAATGATTTTATAGATACATCAAAACAACAACAAGATAAAGATTCAACAGCTATTTCACCAATGTCAGATGGTATTGGTATAGTAAATAAGGGTGGTTTTAGTAAGTTCTATTTCGACTTTTTGACATTGTGGATCTGTGAGGACAACGACTATCAGAGTCTGATAGGTAGTTCGCCAAACAATGAGATCGAAACGAAGCTGTGTAACAGTCCAACCGATGGAGTGTGTCCGGTGCGCAATGTCAGCGTCACCCAAAACTTTACATTCAGTCATACCTTTGAAAAGGCAGATCTCTACAGAATCATATTGCTGAAATGCAACGGATCCTCCACAGTGGAGCTAACACTCGACTACACAATGATGAACAATGGACATCATCTCTCACTCGGCTACATACAAATGCCAAGTGTCTACATGTCGATGGTCATCGTCATCGTAATACTCATTTCAATTTACATACTCTATCTCGCAAGATATAAGCGATTTGTAAATGAAATACATATAATCATTTGTAAGTATATATATTACAGTCAGTTATTATCATTTTATTCAAACAACATAAACAAAGAAAAGACTAACAAGTTCTTTGAAAACTAGGTATAATATTAGGATTTAAATTATTATTATTAGTTTTATCATTTTTATATTGGAAGACAGCGGATGTCTCTGGACATTTCAATTCGATAACGAATAATATGGAGAATTTGTTTTTCTCTGTCGAGGAGACAGTGTTTTTCGGTGGACTTTTGTTGATGTCGAAGGGCTGGCGGATTACAAGGGCAACACTACCACCGTCCGAGGTGCGGACGATTTCGATTATCATGGTGTTGCTGCTCTCGGTTCTGATGTTCTTTAGCTTCTACAACGATGTCTACTACTTCCTCAGTCTGATGATTCTCTATTTCTTTATGATGCCGAAACTCTTTACCAATATCACCAAGAATCTGCGGCTACTAGAGACACACACCACACTGGCGCGATACACCAACAACGCACGCTCTGTACATATCTATCAAATGAAAACACGTGCATTCCAATACTTGAGAACAGCGGTTGTCTTGTATCTCGGTGGAATCCTCATTGTAAATAGTATGCGTATCATCATGGTGTGGTTCCTCTATTGGGTAACCTTTAGTGTTTCCGAACCAATGTCAATGGTTATGCTCGCTTTCCTTTGTATATTATTTAGACCATATTCAAGAAATCCAATATTTTCAAGGTAACTATAATTCAACTCTTCGAATATTACAATCAAACCAAACTAATATCATTTTTCATCATAATAACAGCTCAAATTTAGATTCAATGAGTTTAGTAGAGTTAACAAGAAGTTTAGCAGAGATATCTTCACAACAACTGGATCCAATGGCATTAGTAAATTACTTTGATGCAAAGACATATGATCCAAAGAATTGTATTATCATAGATTATCCTGGAAATTCACCTTCAGCATTAGGTGTATTAGAATAATATAATAGTAATATTTCGAAATTTTAAAAGAAAAATAACACGAATAACAATAATATAGTTTTAAAAATGTATATATATATATTAAATAGAATAACATAGTAATATAGTTTCAAAGATATTTAAAGATTTAAATAAAACTAAATATTCTTTTTTTTAAATAATTAATTAATACACGACTGTCCAACCGAAATTTTGCAAGCGAAAATAAAAAAAAAGTCAAAATTTTTTTAAAAGTGTAGCGATTTGGTGGTGTGTTTATGATTGCATTAGCACCCATCATTTTATCATTTTTCATTGTACAGTTATAACTATTATTTATCATATTTTAATTAAATAGTATAAAAACAATGATATCATCAAAATTGTTTTCATCAATGACGATGAAAACAAATTTGTTGAATAAATCAGTATTAACAACACCTGCAGCAACATCGTTGCTGTCATGTAGTATAACATCGAGCTCGAACAGACAATCATATAGTAATAGAACAGCAACAAAAACAATAGCATCATATACATCTTTATTCAATAATAGTAATGGAAATGCATGTAAATCATTAGTTATAAGAGATCATAATATCATAAAGAATAGATTACCATTATTATTCCATTATTGTACATCAACAACCGTTACTTCAACTTCCACAACCAATGCAACTGCAGCTGAAATTATATTAGATAATCAACCACAACAACAACAACAACAACAAACTCAACAACAGCAAGAAAAAGAAAAACCAAAAGTAGTTAGTAAATTTGGATTTATGAGAAAAGGTTACTTTAATTTAGTTAAATTTCCAATTTCAGTTTATGTAACATTCACTGCTGTCGCTGGATATGTAATGACTGTTCCAGTGGTGGATCCACTTACTCTGGGCGTAGTGTCGTTCGGAACATTCATGGCATCGGCATCGGCATGCGCTCACAACCAAGAGATGGAAGTAAACTACGACTCAAAGATGCCACGTACCAAAACACGTCCATTGATCACCGGTGAGATTAAACGTGACACCGGTTTCCTCTTTGCTCTCGCCACCGGTGTTATCGGTTGTGGATCACTCATTTTGGTGCATCCAATGTGTGGAGCACTCGCCATGTCCAACATCTTCATCTACATCTACTACACACACTTGAAGAGAACCACCTCGTTCAACACTTGGGTCGGTGCTATCGTCGGTGCTATACCACCACTCATCGGAACCGTAGCTGGAGCACGTGAGATTGAAGCGATCGGTGGTTTACTTGCAACCGTTTTGTTCATCTGGCAAATTCCACATTTCTTGGCGTTGGCCGAGAAGTTAAAGTCACAATACGCTGCCGCTGGCTATAGAATGCTACCGGTGACACATCCAACCTGGAACTTCCCAGTGTCGTTGGCTCATGCTGTGGCCGGTGTGATTGCACCACTCGCCATCTACTATACATTCGACCCAAATATCACTTTGTTTACAACACTTGCATTCTCGGCATCGTCTTTTATCATGGGATTGGAGTCGGTATTGGAACATCGATACCAACAAAAGATAGCAGAGGCAGCAGCAAATGGAATCAAACTACCACCACAATCAAGAAAGCGTGGTGTATTCTTCTTGTCTCTTATTATGCTGCCACTCTCACTCATCATCGGTATGCTCTTTAGATTACCATATGAATACTTTTATGAAACTCAAGATAAACAAGGTCAAACAAAAGAAGTAATCAGATATACAAATTAAATTAATATTTAATCAATAAAATTACCAAAATAAGATATATCGGTAGTAAAAAATGATTTTACTTTTTATTTTTGGTGTAGAAATTTCAAATATTCAATTGAATCCAATCAATGTGAACCATTCTTAAGAGATATTTTGAATCATAATAGAGCCTGGTTGTTATTTTAGAATGGAAATGATATCATATATTATACATATAAACATATCCTAATTTTATATCAAAGTTGTAAGTATTATATTTATATGTTTATAATTCTATATACAATCTATCACAAAGAGAGAATTGAACATATAAATATAAACAGTATTCTCTCTTGGTGATAGGTTGTTTCCAATTTTTGATTGCTAAGATTTTTTCATTTATAGGAATCAATTTATTATGACCAATATGGCCGAGATATTCAAGTTAGTATTGACCTAAAATACATTGCTAATTTTATTTTTAATTTGTTTTGATTTAATAAATCGACAATTTATAAAACATCTTGAGTGTTTATGTCTTCATCGTCAATGTTTGTTTTGATTAACAAATCATCGAGGTAATAAGTAATTTTTTGGCAATTAGATTTCTTTGGATTAGACTGTTCAGAGTCTGAAAACAAGATGATGCGTTAGTGAGTCCAGTAAATTGGAATACACCAAATGAATTTCGAAATGCTGTCTTAAATTGATTATTTTCATGAACTCTAATTTGGTGGTATCCTTGGAGTAGATCAATTTTAGAGAAAAAGGACACCATCTCTTGTAAGAACTTCAGTGATGTTTGGTATCATTGATAGGTATCTGTACTCTACACAGAGTCTCCATCTTTCTTTTTAATAAATAAAAGGGGTGCAGCTAATGTGGATTGAGATGGGGTGATTTGCCCGTTTTCCAAATAAGTGTTTATCTGTTTTTCCAATTCGTCTAAAAACGAATATGGGATCGGATAATTTTTTGGTTTTGGGGTTGGTCAACCGTCAAATTTATTTTAAAAAGTGTGGTTAGAAATTTTATTTTCAACTAAAATGGTTTGAATAGAATCATTTAGAGTATTAAATTTAATAGCTAGTCCTTTAATGTTGTTTTCTTTATCAGCATCAGGAAAGATATTATTTTATTTTTAAAATCAATTTTCAATTTTTTTCAAAATTTAAATTTTGTAACGTCTCTATTCCCAACAGAATAAAGTTTGTTTTAGAATTGATTATATAAAATTAAAATGTTTTAAATACTTTATTGTTAATAGTTATGTTTTTATTGATTTGCTTAGATAATGTAGACTATCTTTATTGATACCATTCAAGGTAAAGTTGACATTTGTTAGATTCTTGATGTCACTTTCCTAATAGATCAAATGAGAGTAAGTTAATGATACTACAACTGTAAATAAAATATTAACATACATGTTATTGATGGTTCCAGGGATCTAACATAAGAATGAATTAGCTTGCTTTCTTTGGCCAGTGGCTGGATCGATGCGTTGGCCAAGAGATTAAACGAATTGGGTCGTAAGCAACTTGATGATAAACTCCGTTTCAAGAGAGAAGAGAAAGTCATGCACTTCACCACTCGCAATCATCAACCGGTAGTGTACAATCCGCCAAACGTACAACCAAATGTTCCTCAGAAATGATCACCAAACAATATCAACAAACGATCGATCCGCACATTCAAGTGTTGGTCCAAACAAAACTAAATTCATCAACAAGAAGTCGAATATTGGTACTTCAAGTACCGTACTTGCTCCATCTGCAAGAAGGGAAACCATCTTCCAAATGAATGCTTCATTTTGTAAATTCATAGACATCAATCCAGCCACTGGCCAAAGAAAGCAAGCTGATAGTGTTGAATAAATGTTGGATAATAAATTCTTATTATTATTCTTATCTTCAAATTGTAAATCAAATAAATTATTATTTTTAAATCTTATTGTAAATTATATCTCTTGAATTAATAATTTATTCTCAATAAATAAAGTTTATTTCTTTGATTTTATCAAATTTTATCAACGACAAGATCCACCGATTTCCGACTTGTCATCAGTAAATACAAATGAAAAAGCATTACCTTGATCCATTCCATAGATTATACTATCTTCACAAATCAAATTGAAATTGTATGATGAATCGGAATTTGGTTTCCAGAGTGGTGAGAAAGATACAGTTCCATTTTGTCTGATAATGATACCACTTCTATCGTAGAATGAAGTTTCTTGTCTATTGATTCCAAATGGTTCTACCACACCATTAATACATTCAGTTTGGCCACTTGAAAGGACTGCAAATCCATCACCATTCGTTAAAAATCCACCATTTGGATACCTTGTTTGTTTTTAGTTTATAACTAGTATCAATATTCATTCTATTTTTAAAAATAAAAAAATAAACAAAGTAAATCAAATACTTACCAATATAAATAATGACGTGTATAATATACATTTCCATCATGTAATGTTGCAGTCATCGATACTATATGTTTTGAATTTGGACCGAAATATTTAGCCAATGAACTAGAGCAATTAACCGACATACATCCTATTACAACTAAACCAATAAATAATAAAAAAATACAAATAAATCTATTGTAAATATTCATTCTTTTATTTTCTTAAGATTTTATATTAGAAATAGATTTGTTTAAAAATATATAAATAAATAGATAATAAATAATACTTTGCTTTATTCTTACTTTATTTTTGATAAATATAATATAATATATCATGATAGATATTCGAAAATCATTGAAATGAAACACGAGTAGGGTGTGTATGAATGCGTGTGAACATGGGTTTAAATGATCTTGAATTGAAACTAACTATCTATCTATCCTCAAAAACACACACTCACTTTAATAATAATATTATATACATATATATAATTTGTTTTAATAAACACACAACAACCACAATAATGACTATATATCATAATGAGATTGAATGAACATGAATTAATTGAGTCTTTAATTTAAATTGATTTATAAATTTTTATTATACATTATTTATTTTTATTTCTTTTCTTTCTTTCTTTTTTTTGTTTTGTTTTGTTTTGATATTATTAATTAAATAAGTTTTGAATATTATTGTTATTTACAAAGAAACAAGTAAAATTATCTTGTATTGTTGTATTGTTATTATTTTTTCTTTAATGTTTTCAATAGTGTTGTTTGTTGGTGTGCTAAATTAAGTTGTTGAACTAAACCAATTTCCAATCTCTCTGAAAAAGCTAATGCATCAGTCAATTCTTGAATTTCTTGTTCTTTTGTTTTGTTGTTGTTTGTTGTTGTTGTTGTTGCTGTAGTATTAGTTGTTTTTGTTGTTGAACCTGTAGTTGTCTTCTTTGTTGAATCTTGTGTAGTAGTTGTCTTTTTACTACTACTATTGCTATTACTATTAGTTGAAGGTGTAGGTGCTGGTGTTGGTGTTGTTGTAGATGTACTATTGTTGTTGTTGTTGTTGTTGGCTACTACTTCAGCATCTGGATTATTTAATAAATGAAGTATCTGACTATAACAAGGATGTACTACATTACTACTATTACTACCACTGTTTGATGCTATCAAATTCAAAGTTTGATCCAACAACTTTAAACCTAGCAATATATTTGGTGAAGCTGTCTGATTCTTATCTCTTAATAATCTTTGATATACTTTTGTTGCATTTTCAATTGATTTATGTAATCTTTTGTAAATAATAAATGTAATATCAGTATTTATATAAATGAAATAAGGTAACTATTAACTATTAACTTTTAACTATTATTATTATAACATACTTTGCAATTGGATCAACATTTGATGTATCTTTATTGGCGGCATCTTGTTTCAGTTGATTCCACTGTTGATCGTCAACTGGCTTTCTTGGTGATGCTTCACTCGGTTTCAAACGAAAGAGCTGACCGTCATCAGAGAATGGGTGCGGTGCAATATGGTCGAACACACCGCGATTCCAAAGCATCTGTCCGTACTCTGATGCTTTGACACGCGACACCGACATGTTGGCTACCATCCAATCGATCACCTCTGATCCCTTGATAAAACTATCACCACTCAACTTTGGTATGATACCTTTGGTCGAATCTCTAAGTTTAGATTCCAATAGCTCTACCTATTATTATTTGTAATATATACATAAATAATTATAATAATAATAATATTATTAAAAAAATAATTATTAATCATCATGATATTATTATTCCTTTTTTTTTTTTTTCTCTTTTTGATAATACTACTACTACTAATTAGTATATATTAGATAATTTAATTACTTACTTCATCTTCCCTAAGTAAACTCATCTTTTAATATAAATAATAATTCAAGTAAAAATGCTTATTTTCTTTTTTTTTTATTTTTATTATTATATAATCACAATGTTTTTTTGTTTCAGCCCCATTTAATTTTAAAATTATATAAAAAAAAATTCATTAAAATGAAAATCCGATCGCACAACCAATTAGATTACATCGCGATTGATATAATAATCTTTACACCCACACATGAAGATCCTATCATGTAAATCTTATCTAATTAATTTAATTGTTATCTTTTGTATTTAAAATAAAAGTAAAATGAAACCTTAATATTTGATTACTATTTTCATTTATTTTTTTTTTCATTGTTATAGTTGGAGATAAAGGGTGACTCATCACTTGACATGTCTACATATTAATTTTGTCTCGCAAAGAAAAGAATAAAATTAATAATAAAAAAAAATTTATTGACTTTTTTCACAACAACGTGGTGAACCTGGGTGTTAAAGACGATGATGCATTATAAAAAAGAAAAAAAAAAAAGAAAAAAAATAAACAAAAGTCAACAAACCCTAAATTGGCATATGAAGTTGTTTATTATTTTTTTAATTTAATATTGTTGGTGTGAATCATATTCATAGAGTGTGTGTGTATGATTATAATTTTTTGTTTTTTTTTTTCTTTATTGACATAGATAGATAATAAAATAATAATTGTATTTATTTGTTTTGTTTTTTAAAATAATAAAACAAAAATAAATTAAATCAAACTTGGTCGTTAAAAAAAAAAAAAAAGTAAATATAAAAAAGTGTAGAATAAACAATATAGTTTGAAAAAAAAAAGATGGGTCAAGGAGCATCAAGAGAAGTTTATTTAAAAGCAATCGATACACTTCAACAACAATCGGTTGGTCAAGATGATGAGCTATGGCAAGTCGTACTCACACAGACACTGGATGAAGATACCGTCATCACGGTCATCAAATCAATACGTGATCATCAACCTGATAACCTATCAATACTCGTTAGAAAAGTATGTAATTTATTTATTTTGATTAGTTAATTTTTATATATATTAATAATTGTTGTTTTTGTGGCATTTATATTTTTACCTACTACAACACTTTAAAGTTAATAGAATATTTAGCATTGATAAAAGGTTCACAGAGAGGAAAGAATACTGCCGCTGACTTCCAGAGAGTTAATGTCTCGCTTAATTATCTCTGTAGAATTATACCGTTTGTTTTGGATTGTTCACAAAAGGATTTCTGTGAATTGATATTTTGGCAGAATAAGATCATACCTTCTGCAAGATCACATTCATTACCACCTTCAATCACACCTACAACAACAACAACCAACAGCCAAGACAATCAGGAATCATCATCAACATCAACAACAACAACAACAGCTGAATCAACTGCTAATAGTTTACCACAACCAAAATTAGATGAAACACATTTGATTCCAACCTCTACAACAACAACAACTACTACTACCACTGGTGAAATTAAAGATGAAGCATCACAACCATTACAACCATTACAACAACAAGACAAGACACAACCATCACTTAGTAATCAAGTCGATTCCACTCCGTTGGCTATAAAGTTGATGGAAGTATTGTTGGATCTCCTCTTCCATCCAGGATATACTTTGGATGCTGCAGCTTTCCAAACACCCACTGCTCAGTTACGTGAGTTGTTCCCAGAGCAACTGCCAAATGAGCTGGCATGGCAAGCGGGATTCGGAGCAGAGACCGTAAAGAGTGGTGCTGCCAAAGCATATTGGCTCAATCGTATGGCAGTGTTGCAGTGTATTCTTGCGTGTCTCTCAGAGCAACTCTATACCAATCAAGAGCAATCCTACAATTTCCGATCGAAATGGCTCGATTGGCTCACTCACACTCAAGACTACTACACCGAGACACTGCTCTACTCGTTGATCAACACATTCTGTACCTATGATCCAGTCGGTTGGGGAGTGCCCTATAACCATCTGATGTTTGCCGACGATCAAGAACCAGTTGCCAAACTCTGCATACAAATCCTAAACGTACTCATCAGTTATGATCCACCACAACCAGGTACATCTCCATCACAAACAACAGAATCTGTAAGCTTATTATTCACCAACCAAATTTTTTAAACAAATACTAATAATCCTTTTTTGTTTTTATATAGCCAAACAAATTTATAAATTTCTTAAAGAATTTAAAGAGAACAAGAGATTTTGGATTCTTCTTTACTCATTTCGAGAGAATTTTGGGATTACCTTTGATGGCATCTCATACTCGTTTACCTCATTCCACCAAAAAGATAGAATTACATCAAGATCTATTAATTACTTTTTGGAGAATGATATCAATCAATCATGTAAGTACTTAAAAGAAGTTTAAAGTAGGAGATGTTAAAGATCTTTAACTAACAATTCTTTTACTATTAATAATTTAGGATTTCTTAAACTTTGTAACTACCAATCCAAGTTCTCCACAATTTTTAGTTTCATTATTACAATATATGGATGAAGGTAGAAGAAGTCAAAGTATGTATAATTATTAATTATCATAGAATCAAAATCAATATAATATTAATATTTATTTAACTATAGCAACTCATGGATTGGTTCAAATTGGAACATTCATTTTATTGGTATTGTCGGGTGAAAGAGATTTTGCAATCTCTTTGAACAAGCCTTTCAACGGTCATATAGTGATTGATATTCCAAAGCCAAGTGGATACTCTGACTTCCTCATTATCGTCATGTATCGACTGTTGATGGATAACAACGATAAGCTAGAGAGTATCTTTGAGTGTATTCTCACAGTGTTGTCGAATCTTTCACCGTACATGAAGAACCTCTCGATGATCACCTGTGTCAAGATGATGAAGTTGTTTGAGTATCTCTCGTCGCCAAGATTCCTCTTTGCCAACAACCATAACCATCGTTATGTACATCTCTTGCTGGAGACATTCAACAATCTCCTGCAACACCAATACGAGAGTAACACCCGACTGCTCTATGCCATCCTCAGATGCCAGAACCAATTCTCCAAACTAGCATATCTAAAGATCAGTAGTTCAGTCAAACCAATGCCATCTGACCAAACACCAACCGATGAGAAATCGTCCATCTCTGAAGTTGACTCTCAGTTGCAACAAATGAACTTGGAGTCTTCGTCATCATCGTCATCAACATCACACCAAAACGAACCACCAAAGGAATCACAAAAGAGTTCAACTGAACATATTCACAGAGAAGAACCACCTCCCTTAGATACTACTCCAAAACAACAACAACAACAAGAGGAGCAGAAATTATCACCAAGAGAACAACAACCACAACAACAACAACAACAACAACAAGTAGTTGATACAGTTACACAAAAACAAGTTTGGATTCCAACAGATGAATGGCTTCAATCGGTTAAAAAGAATTTACCACTAGAGAACATTCTCAAAGTAATCACAAATCTATCTCCACAAATTCAGAGACTTTGCACTGGATCTGGATCTGATGAGCAAAAGATCATGGAGTACCTCAAGATTTCAACTACAGTCGGTTTGTTCCCTGCCGCTGGACCAATTATGACAAGAAAGTATCATGCAAACCCTATTACAAAATCATGGTTTATTGCTTACATGTGGTGTATCATCTACCTTGAGAATCACTCACCCCCACTTTTCCAACACACCAACATCAAACTTTTCCAAGTCAAGCATTAAACCAATCAATCAAAAAAAATAAAATGAATCGAATAAACAAAAGCAGTATATGTAAATATTTAACAAAGTATTGTATCATGCTCAATCATCTTAAATTTTTATTCTTCATAATGTGTTACACCGAACTTCGGGTTGTGCAATGGAATTTTTGGGTTGGAAAAACCATTTTTTTAATGAAAGAAGTAATAAGTGATTTAGATTTTATTAGTATTAATGATAATAATATAACATGAAAAATCATTGTGCAGAGCATACAAGATCACATGAGTTTGTGTGTTTTGCTTGTAATGAACTCATGTGCTCAAGATGTACAATAAATCACAATAATGACCACCCAGATCATGTTCAACAATACGATCATATCGATAATATCAGACATTATTTAAATAATTTGAATTTATCAGAATCAGATAATAGTAAAAATAACAACAATAGTTATAATGTTAATAATAAAGACAATTTACATCTTAAAGCGATTTGGGAAACATTAAAGACATCAACATCTCTATATCAATCATTATCAGCAACAGAAGATGAAATCAAACAACATTTTGAACAATTACATCAATATCTTGTAATTGAGGAACATAAACTAAGGGGACCAATCATTAATGATAATGATACAATCATTAATCAAATAGATAGCAATATAAATCAATTGAAATATATAGTTAATATTATAAATTTAAATAATAAATTAAATAATAAATTAGAATATAACAGTATTGATAATAATGATGATAGTCAGTCAATAACAGAAGATACAACCGAACAATATTCAACAACAACAATAATGAAATCAATCATCTCAAGTTCATCATTAGAAACATTCATCTCAGATAATAATCAAACATTGTTCAATGATGATCATGATCCATTCAATATCGATGAACTTATCAAACAATACAACAATGATTCATCATCATTATTATTGGATATCATTCATAAATACAACAATCAATTCAATATGACAACTGAAATCAATGATAATAATAATAATAACAATAAAACATCATCAATACAATCATTATCATACAAATTAAAAATCAAACAACCTGATTTCAATCAATTGAATTCAATTATCAATAGATCAATCAAACTTAATAGAGTCGTGGAATCATCATTATTAACAACAAACAACGATGATAATAAATCTTCATACATTTTCACAACACATAGATCAAGAGGAGCAACACTTATCAACACATCAAATAACAATTCAATCGAACAATTAGATTTAAATTATGATTTTTATAATACATACCAATCAATTGTTTCAATTGGTGAATATATCTATGTATTCGGTGGTTCCGACAATCCAAAGAAATGGATGAAATTCTCAATGAAATCGAAATCAATTGAACATATTGGGGATTTCAAAGGAATCAAAGGTGATAGGTATTTTCCGGTTTGTTATGATGGTCAAGATCATATCTATTTGGTTATTGATTTTCCTAAAGTTAAAATCGATCGATTCAACATCAATACAATGACATTTGAAAGATATTATCAATTACCAGATGAATATGATGATCAAATATCAGCGATGATCTTCAAAGGTTCCTTATATTCAATATCATATAAAGAAAATAATATATTAAAGTTGGATTTGGTAAATAGCACAATAACAAATCATCAAATTGACATTGCACCATTCAGATCATGCCATGATAACAATGGAAATTTCTTTATATACGATGAAGTCACCAAACGATTGATCAAATACAATGTAGAAAGTAAACAATCATCCAATCTCGAGCCTATTCCTAAGGAAAATGAATGTCTATTTTTAATATATCACCAAGAATCACCAACATCAAGCTTTATCTATTCATTTGGTGGTGTTAGACAAGGCAATTTCAAATATTCAGTCGAAGACGATGATTGGAAATCATTCTTGGAGGATGATAAATTCGATAGAGAATGGTGTGCATCTACATCAATACAATATTAGATAAATACAAAATTACAAAAAATTAAGAGAATCAAGTAAAGCGTTGGTATCGATAGTAGAGCAAAATAATAGCTCCTTAACGTTAACTAACAATCATTAAATAAAATAATTAACTAATAATTTAATTTTACAAACGAAACTGGCAAGGTTTAAAAAATATACATCTTTGTCTGACTTTTTAACTATCTCTATTATTTAACAAATTTCAACAAATACGATTAATGTAGTTATTGATTCAACCTATTTTTATAAACACGCTAGTTGTTGTACTTATACTATTCAAAAATACATATTAATAATATTATTGAATTATACCATACACATAGATATTAATTATAATTTACAAATTTTTTTTTTTATTTTTTTTTTTTAAGCCAACTCTGTAATAATTTGGATCCTTATTGATCTGATTGATCTGTGTCACTTGAACAAAATCTGTGAATTTTTATTTTTTTTTTTCTATCTATTTTTAAATTCTTTCAACAATAGAAATTATATTAAAGAAAATTAAAGATTTTGATTTTATATCTCTAAATAAGTAGTTAAGATGTCACAGATTTTGATGTAACAAAAGATAAATTTGATTATGGAGTTCTTGGTAAATGGAATGTTAGAAACAAGTTTCACAAAATTCTTGTTAAGGTTTCAGTTTTGATGATGGATGAGAAAGGTCGTAAGACTCTAACAGGTCAGGTGTTGGCGCCTAACGAGCTAACTTGGTACTTTAGCACAGCACATCCTCTAATTTTCGATGTTTACGACGAACAAAACAACAAGCACGAGTACCAAGACAAATACTACAACCCATATATGAACAACAACTCTCACGATGACTTTCTCAATAGTATTACCTCTTCCATCAATAACCTCAATGGTGACATAAACAAGCTGAACAACTACAATAATAATAATAATAATAGAAATTTAAATAATCATAATAACAATAACATTTATAATTCCAACATCAATAACTATTATAATTATAATACCAATACAAACACAAAGATGAATACATCTTTACCACCCCATATTGAATTTCCTACGAAAACAGAGCTTCCCGCATTTAATTACAATACAACAAAGCCTAGTGCAAAATGTCCTCATCCATATGTAGAGTGGATTACAGGTGGATTTATTTGCAAGAAATGTAATGAAGTTGTTAGAACCAGTTCATGAACTCGCTACTTAACAAGAGTTCATCACTGACTACCAAATACATTAAATAAATCATTATTAGTTTCAAACATAAACTTTAACATCTTTATTATTTGTACTAATAACAACTTTATAAATAATGAATATACTGATATATTAATTATAATTAATTTGTTTTATTTTCGAAAATTTTTTATTAATTATAATTAAAAAATTAAAGATCACAAAGTTGTTTTTTAAATTAATCAGAACTTCAACTTTAAATTTATTCCATATTAATAGATAAATGGTATCATACATTTTCCATACATATGCTGAAGGTATATCCTTGATTGATACAATTAACAATACAATAGAAGAGTTGAACATAAAGAATTGTTTTTTCGCTTCATACGAATCAATGATTCTGGTTGGTGATTATATCTATATCATTGGTGGATGGCATAACCGAAAGAAATGGTATAAATTTTCAATTCAATCGAAATCAATTGAATATACTGGTGATATCGAAGGAATAGAGATTGGAGATTACGTATCTATATGTTACGATGGTAAAGATTATATCTATTTGGTTAATGGGTATGAATCGACATCTTATAATATAGAAGATAGACTTAATATAGATAGATTCAATATCAATACAATGATATTCGAGAGATATCATCAACTAAGCAATCATTATAAACGACAAATATCAACAATGATCTTTAATAACAACCTATATTCTTTGGCATTCAACAACAAGAGAATGTTATTTAAGCTAGATCTAACTAGTCAAACAGTAACAGATATTGAAATCGATATTAATACTAGAACAGCATGCTATGACGATAAAGGAAATTTCTATATTCATTCCAAACATAATAATCGATTCATAAGATTCAATGTCGAAACCAATCAGACAACTAATTTAATCAGTTTACCAGAGAAAGAAGGTGATGTTTTTCTCATGTATCATCGAATGTCACCAACATCAAACTATATCTATTCATTTGGTGGTGTAGACTATGGTAATTTTAGATATTCCATTGAAACTGACCAAATTGAACCATACCATACTGACCTTCCTTATCATAGCTACTGGTATGGTTCTTTATCAATTCCATATTAAATTAATATTTAAGAAGAATTTTTAATAAATAACTTTATTATAAATAGATGTATTATTACTTTTGAAATTTGTTGATTTTATTATTGAGTTTTGAGTTTGTGCCTATGACCAATAATTGGTAATGGACTTGGTGCATATTTATAAATCCTTTGATTTAAAAACTATTTAATTAAATTGTAAAGATGATCAAATATCAAATAGATTTTGATTTAAGTCAAAAAAAAAAAATTAAATAAATTAGTAATTTATACTATTATTAATATTTTCTATGGTTTACTTACCTTCTCATTTATTATCCAAGTTGTCTTCTTGCAATATCAATTTGTTGCTTCTCTGAAGGATTATTAAATTGACGTTTATCGAGATTGGCGACAATTTCTGTATATCCTGGGCCACTGTTGATCATAGTACGCATGATATTTGTTGTAGCAGCTGAATCTTGTGTATGATGTAATTTATATAATGAATTTTCTATTTGCCCACCTTTACCATAAACAGAGCTTTGTGTATAGTTATCACTTTGAAGATTATATTCTTGTTGAGAATGTTGATTATTATTAGTACTATAAAAAATATTATTGGTGGAATGTGCATGACCCATAATATCGTTTTTAGCTGCTTGTGAAGTAGTATTATTATAAGATTCTTTTAATATACTATTTGGAATTTTGTGGCATGATTCTTGATCATCTCTTGTTGGATTATTTTTAAGATCAATACTACGTGATTCTGTGGCTGATTGTTGTCTGAATTGTTTAGATGATACAGACATCTTATTTTATGATAGTCGTGAAATAAAATATTATAATTTATATGGATAATGAATTAAGTAAAAAGAATATTAAAAAAAAAGGTGAGAGTATAATTGTAAAAAAATATAATAAGTGATGATAAATAGTTTATTGAATTAAAATAATTGGTTCAAGTTTTGGTTGAACTTAAAAGATTAATTAATCTTTCAAAAAAACAATTTCAAAAAAAAAAAATAAGATTGATCATGATTAAATTCGGGGTTGGGCGGGATCGGGTGGGAATTTGGTGTTTCAGGCAATTTGTGTACATTGTTTTGATAATCTATTTTTATTTATCAAATCTCAAGTTTGTTATAAGCTGTAAATAGTATTTGGTGAAACAACAAACTTGTGCCTCTATGGCGATTTTACCCCAGGTTAGGATTTTTAAAAATCAAACTTTGAACAAAAAAAACATGGTTCAACATATTCAACATCAACAACTAAACCATCCCCAACAAACAGAAGCAATATTATATTATATTATATTATATTGATCAATGCATATCATCACCTCTTTATCTATCATATTAGCAGTTGTTTTATAGTATCTAAACTTATTTTAACGATATAATTATCCAAAGTGATTGGTTGCACAGCATAACCATTAGTAAGAAATCTGATTATATAATCATCTATTTCTGATTTATAAGTAACTTTTGATATATTGAATCCCACCATGTTCTTTTGTCGACACCTTCTAGCTGTCCTGCAAACACAGATTCACCAATTTTATATTTAGGTTCTAGCATGTTGGTTATTTTTTGTTCGTTGATATAATATCTTGCTATTAATATTATTTAAACAATTTATTCAATAAATTTTTTTTTTAGTCGATCTTTTTTTTTTTTTTGATCGATCAAAAAAATTTAATATTGGCAACCTTGGCTGACAATATGTATTTATTATCATTTTTGTTATTATTTAACTGATATGTGTTGTGTGACTAGAACTTCAGATTTATATGTTTTTTAATGAAACGAAATTTGGTCGTTTTGAGTTGATTCGATAGCTCCAACACTATTATATTTATCAGTATAGAGAATGACATTAGATTGCAAACATCATAATAATTATGTGCTCATTACAAACAACAATTAGATCATTCTGCTCATTGTCAACATATCAATCATATTAAACAATCATTAAATAACATATTAGTTAATAATTATCAAGTAGAATATAACAACAGTATTGATGATCTTGAAGAAGAGTCTGAGTTATCAAAGACACTTAAATCGATATGGAAATCATTATAGACATCAACGATGTCATCTCGATATCAATCATTATCAGCAACAGAGAATGAAATTAAACAATACTTTGAACAACTACATCAATATCTAATCATTATAGAACATAAATTAAAGAAACCAATCATTGATAAAGATACAATCATAAATCAAATAGATAATAATATAAATAGAATGAAATATATAGTTAATATTATAGATTTAAATAATAAATTAAATAAGAATAGTAGTAGTAGTGACATTGCTGATAAGAATAATGATATTGTGTCAATACAACCAAACAATATTCTTCAACAACAATAATTCAATCAATAATATCGAGTTAATCATTACGATCATTCATCTCAGATAATAATCAAACATTGTCAATGATGATCATGATCCATTCAATATCGATGAACTTATCAAACAACACAACAATGATTCATCATATCATTCATAAATACAACAATCAATTCAATAGAACAACTGAGATCAATGATAATAATAATAATAGCAGTCAAACATCACCATCAATACAATCGTCATCATATCAATTATCATTAGTAATACCGATTTAAGTTTATTGAAATTGATGATCAAACAATCAATCAAACTTGATAGAATTGTTGAATCATCACAATCATCATTAATAAGAATACCCTTCTATTATAATAAATCATCATATATTCTAACAACACACAGATCAAGAGGAGCAACACTTATCAACACATCAAACAACAATTCAACCGAACAACTTAATTTTGATTTTGATTTTAATTGTACCTACCAATCAATGGCTACAGTTGGTGAACATAGGTGGTTTGGAAGTAAATGTTGATGTCGATGATTCTATTTTTCAAATCGAGAGGTTTGAGATTTGTTTTTCGAATGTTTTCAACATTGTTAACAAACAACCATCATAATCATTTTGAAACCCAATTATGAAGGAGAAACACTAATCAACTAAATCTGTTAATCTTTAAACTAATTTCACAGTTTTAATTTATTGATTTAATTCTCTTTTTTATTAATATTTATCCGAATAAATCATCTAGAATTTGATCTTCTTTTGACTGAGGGTGTTGTTTCATTTTAATATAACTTTTATTTTTAATTCACTTGTAATCTCATCATACTATAATGATCGTGCTAGCAACTTGGTAATTTATTTATTGAATGTGATTTTTTGTTATTTTTGTCTTATTTATCTAGAATACATCATCATGAAAGGTGTGGTTATCACATTTTGAAAAAAATTTTTTTTTTTTTTTAATTTTAATTTTTATTTATTGATTTCTTCAATAGTAAAGAGGGTCTCTATGTCTTTTATCAGAGACGAAAGTATGTCATAGCTCTCGAGAAAGAGAATACAATTTCATAGATCATTACTTCAACTTAATCAGAGTTTAACTATTGCCATAGACAATTCAACAAATATCAATACTGATGGAAAGGATATAGAAAGTTCATCTTCTGTCATTTTGAAACCTCAATCGATTGAGGAGAGTTTGGTTCATTGGTTTGGTATTCAATTATCTTTTAATGGTACCATTCTCTTGTACCACGATGGCTCATCAGGTTGGATTTCAATATTTGTTATCCAAGTTTTGCGAGTATCGTTGTAGAGTGGTCAATGGTAAATTGACTTTTCAAAGTGAACATCTGGTTCGTAGTTTCTTGGAGAAACATTATTATCTTGATAAAGATCTGCTTTCTTTTGTATATTTTCTTTTGACAACTCATGTAAAGTACTTGTCGGAGATCAATGGTGTTGGTTGCCAGCAAACTCCCAAGAGATTCAAAGTGTTTGGTCTTAATTTGATTTAAGAAGAAATACACTCCTACCCCAATCGCTCTATTGGATGATGAGGAGATAAGAAGCAATTTAATGTCATACAAGATATGCACTTAATAGTTAAACTCTGATTAACTTGAACTAACAGTATATGAAATTGTAATCTCTCTTTATACCAACAACGGTTTTTCACAACGAAACTCTTAATCCATCTTCAAGTTCAACTTCAAAGCCAGAGCACAAGAAGCTTTTAAATGAGTATGTATTAATTTTATTTATTAATTAATTTATTTATTTATTTTATTTTATTTTGTTTAATTTAATTTAATTTATTAATTTATTTATTTTATTTATTTATTGATTTAATTAATTTATTATAGAATTCAAGCTCTTCATCGTATTGAGAGATTCGATCCAACCAAAGAATACAATGATAACTATGCATCACCAAATCCAGATGAAATCAGAATGAGTGAACCTGCTAGAAGACTGCAACCTCAGAGTAAGAACTGTGTGATATGCACAAAGAAACTTATCTATATGAGTAGCTGTCCAAGAAGTGGGGTGACTATTGCAGTACAGAGTGTGCATTGGAAGCTGGTGAAGATCCAGAGTCTGATCTTTTTAAATCTGAAAGATGTATTCATCAAGAAGGTAATATGAAATGTAATTCATTGATCTTAGAATATTCCAACAGTAATTCAAGATGTATCAAGCACCACGCAGAATATAGAATGAGAAGACAAAGAAGACCAACTTTAAAGAAGACAAATAAAGCATAAATTTGATTTAATTTAATATAATTTTTTTTTTTTTTTTTTTTTTTTAAAGAATTTCATTACATTTATTAACATTCATTATTGTTTACTTCTACAACTCTGATATTATTTTTTTTTCCTATTACTAAACTTTTAAGATCGAATTATAAATATTTCATCAGCAAACATTCTTTTAATCGAAATTGTTTTGTCTGTTTGATACTTTGATTCAATATTGTTTATCCATTCTCGTAAGTTGTAACCACAATATTTGAATAGAGTTTTTAATTGTAACTATATAGTAGCTAACCAACCAATATTATAGTTAAAGTAAATAAATAATAGTTAGTATGGATAATTACCAAGAGATGATCGAGTGATCAGCTCTCGGATGATTGACAAAGATAGGATGTAAATACGCTAGCGTATTTAGATTTTATAGGTACACATCTTTGGCAACAATATTTTACTCTATGATGGCATGCTTCACGATGATCCAGTCTTCAATGTGTTTTTCTATCCTTATCAATACGATGATGTGCACTTAAAGGACAGTGTTGTTAAAGTGAAGGCTCTTATCTTCATACACCAGGCTCAATATCAACAATATGAAACTGATGTGTTCAGACTTTTAAAGTAGCGGTAGTGACATCAGCAAATTGAAGGATCTTGATTTGACTGAGCAGACATGGCGTTGTTCTTACCATAATTAACCAAACTATCAGCAAAGATTGGAACCTATCTAACATTCTATTATTCATACTACTCACTATAGCTTTACACAGAGTTTAATGTTTCGGGCAAGATAAAGAGAGTATTGATCGCTTGACCAACGGCAGTGGTTACGTGATTCCGTGTTTATCATTGATACTCAAATAAATCCAACATACAACCAAACAATCAAACAATCAAACAATCAACATTCAAATAACTAAACAATACAACTATCATACAAATAAACATATTCTAGAAGACAAATACAACCATTCAATCATTCCTAACTAACATACAAACACAAATAAACAAGCAAACACAATCAACAAACATTCATTCTAAATATCAATATCAATAAATTTTTTTTTTTTTAATTATTCCAAATGATGGCCATCTCAGCCTGCCTATGGCCGAACTGCTCTAATAATAAATAAATACGAACTCTACAGTAGTATCATGTCCTACACCTTTACTATAAGTAATGGAATATTCCATCAGAAGTTCAAGATGAATTAATCACCACACTCTCAATATAGGATTAGAAGATAAACTTTAAATAATACAAATAAAGAATAATTTTGATTATTATTTTTTTTGAGAATATATCGTATTATCTAACACTCCGATGAAGTGACTGTATTTTTTATTAGAAGAAAGTATTGTGTGTCTATACCTTTTCGTTTCATTCACCAATTGGGAATTGAATGATCTATATCATTTATTCTTGTGATTGTTTAGTTTCATTGGACAGAATAATCACTAATTACTTAGGTTGGTGAACTTATCTCTATTTTGAGCCGAGGGTTATTATTAGGATAAATTTTATTTGGAATTTGAATATGAATATCAATTTGAATATAAATATGAATTTGAATATAAATACATGAATATTTATTTAATTTTCATTTATCCGCAAGCGGTACAAATACGTAAGAGATTCGAACTCATATCTCAATAGTAAATGGGTTGAATACTTCCATTTGGGTTAATCGAAATTATAGAAGGAAATTAATTTTTTTTTAATATTTATTCTGCATTTTTGGTCAAATCCAACTTACACTCAAACAAGCAAATATAGATAAACATTCATTCAAACAAATACACAGATCTGAAACAACCAAACAAAGAAACATAATTTAGCAGAATACACAACCATTACATTCCACAAGCAATCAAACAAACAAACCTTCCAATATTCATGCAATCACTCTAACATTCAAACAAATCATTAAACAAAACAAACATAATAATCATATTAAATAGGAAATAAAGAATATGTTTTTTTTTTTTTTTTTTTGATAATAATATATTTAATTGGTAATTGTGATTGAATTTTTTGTATTTTTGTAGTATCTTTTTTATCTGAATAAATCATCTTGAACTTCTTCAGCATTTGCTTGTGGGTTGTTGTTGTCGGCATCTGGGAATTTAAAGTTATTACCGAGACCACGGGATTGTACCAAGGTTTGAGCAAACATTTCGTATTTTCTGATATCGTTGTCGGATACTGATCTTCTGGCGAACTTCATGGCCTCTTCAAAGTGTTCACGAGTGATCTCTGGTACTGGATCTTCAGTGTCCTCTTCCATTTGGTCACCGGCTTCTTGACGACGTCTGGTGTCTTCAATGTCACGTTCGATCGATTCACGAATGGCCAACTTACAGGCACGTTGACAGATGGCAGTCAAATCGGCACCAGAGAAACCGTGAGTCTTTTGAGCCATGAATTCCAAGTCGACATCCTTGCTGACTGGTGACTTGTTGAGACAGGCCTTCAAGATGTTGACACGCGATGGTAAGTCTGGTAGTGGAATGTAAATGAGTTGATCGAGACGACCTGGACGGAGAATGGCTGGATCGATAATATCTGGACGATTGGTTGCACCAATGATGAATACGTTCTTCTTGACACCCATACCATCCATCTCTGTGAGGATCTGATTGATGACACGATCACCGGCACCACCGGCATCACCATTGCTGCTACCTCTGGCACGAGCGATAGAGTCCAACTCGTCAAAGAACAATACACATGGTGCGGCTTGACGTGCCTTGTCAAAGAGCTCACGAACGTTGGCTTCGGACTCACCGAACCACATTGTCAACAACTCTGGACCCTTGATAGAGATAAAGTTGGCTTGACACTCGTTGGCGATGGCTTTGGCCAACAAGGTCTTACCGCAACCTGGTGGACCGTAGAACAAGACACCCTTTGATGGTTGCATACCAAACTTTCTGAATTTCTCTGGGTGTTCCACTGGGTATTGGACGGTCTCCTTGAGTTCACGCTTGACATTCTCGAGACCACCAATGTCCTCCCAGGTGGTAGTTGGTACTTCGACGACGGTCTCACGAAGAGCCGATGGATTCGAGATACCGAGGGCAGTTCTAAAGTGGTCTTGAGTGACGGCCATCGATTCCAAGATCTCTGCAGAGATAGTGTCGTCTTCGAGATCGATGACGTCCATCTTTTCACGAATACACTGGAGAGCGGATTCAGTGCAGAGAGCGGCAAGATCGGCACCGACATAACCGTGAGTCTCATTACCGATGGATTCGAGATCTACGGATTCATCCAACTTCATGTTCTTGGTGTGAATACGGAGAATTTCGAGACGACCGGTGGCATCGGGGATAGAGATATCGATTTCACGATCGAAACGACCGAAACGACGCAAAGCTGGATCGATAGAGTTTGGACGATTGGTGGCACCAATGACAATGACGTGGGCACGTGATTTGAGACCATCCATCAAAGTCAACAACTGTGAAACGATACGACGTTCTACTTCACCCTGAGTCTTTTCTCTCTTTGGTGCGATCGAATCAATCTCATCGATAAAGATGATCGATGGAGCGTTCTTCTCGGCCTCTTCAAAGGCCTTTCTCAAGTTGGACTCTGATTCACCGGCCAACTTTGACATAATCTCTGGACCATTAATCAAGAAGAAGAATGCACCAGTCTCGTTGGCGACGGCTCTGGCAATCATAGTCTTACCGCAACCTGGTGGACCGTATAAGAGGATACCTTTGGGTGGCTTGACACCGATGTTCTTAAAGAGCTGTGGATGACGCAATGGCAACTCTACCAACTCACGAATCTGACCTAGCTGCTTTCTGACTCCTCCGATGTCGTCATAGCCCACTTCATCCAAACGATCTTCATCTTCACGTTTGACTGGATCACCTTCACAGTGAATAAAAGTCTCTGGTGCGACGATACAAAACTCGGCTGGGTCACACTCGACCACCTTAAACTCGACGGCTCTCATACCACCACGCACCAAAAAGAGATCTCCCTTTCTGACTGGACGGTAGGCTTCGAGGAAGTAGGGTTTCAAGTAGAGATCAAAGAGGTTTCCAGAGAGACCTTCGATGGTGTCGTCGATTGGCAACACATGGATACGCTTACCGTACTTGATGTCGGTACACTGGTGAACACTGACCATATCACCGAGACGAACACGCAAATTGTTTCTGACGACCTTGTTCATACGGATCTTTGATGGATCGACACTGGCATCCATCAAGACGATACAAACAGTGTCTCTACGCTTCTTACCCTTGATGAGTAGTGTGTCTCCTCTAAACAATTGTAAGGTGGTCATTGTATCTGGATGTAGAGTGACAACAGAGTTGTCATCATTGATAGCTTCCTCTACATAGAATCTATTTGGTGCTCTTTTACGTTCCAAAATTGGTACATTATTATCTTTTCTATAAAAAATTATTTTAGAAAAAAAAAATAAGAAATTAATATACTTTTTTTTTTTTTTTTTTTTTTTAAATCTAAATCTAATCTTAACTTTTTGATAACTTACTCTTCGATATCAGCCATTGTTTTATATATATATATATTATATGTCTTTATAAAAATGTATATAAAAAATAAAAATTACAATTAAAAAAATAAAATAGAAAAAGTTTTAAATAAAATATATATCTAAATGTTTAATAAATTAAATTTTGTTAGTTTATTATTAAATATTTAATTTATTATTTATTAATTTTATATTTTATTTATTTTATGTGGGTTTAATATTGTTGTAGTTTTCTTATTTCTTTGGTGAATCATCAAACAAACTTAACTTCAACAAACAATTTAAATTGGAATTTTTTTTTATTTTTTTTTTGTATTTTTTTTACATTTTTTTTTTTAATTCTTTGTTACTATTGATTTATCATTTTTTTTGTAGTTTAATCAAATATAGTCACATGTCATACATTATTAATGAACTTTTCGATCAGATATGTAAAGATTGATCAGATTTGTTTGATTATTATTTTGTTTTTATTATTATTATGTTTTTAAAGAGTGTCCAAAAGACTATCTTTATCATTTATATTTTCTACTTACATAAAAAGATAATTTACAACAGAATGAATATATTAAAAGAAAAAAATGTTATTATATATAAAATTAAATATATATGTATATGTATAAAATTGGTAAATGAAAAAATAAAAGTGATTTAAAAACAAAAAAGTACTCTTTTAAATTAAAAAAAATGTGATCATCAAACTCCCCCAAAAAAAAAGAAACCAAATTAAATCAAACAAAAATAATTAAATTCTTTTTTTTTTCGCTAATTGGGTGGTGCATTCGCAAACTTAAATTCCTCGAGCTACAATTTAATCTTTTCTTCATTGAATTAATTTAGCCTAAATTTCATTGAGTTTTATATTTATCAAATACCATTTTTAGGTTTTTTTTTTATATTATAGTCAATATTGGTCAAGTCTATGAGAAATCTTTAATTAAATTAAATTACAAAAGATCTAGAATGTCATATGATAAAATAGTTTACTTTTACAGTCATTTGTTTTGACTCATCAAAAAAAAAAAAACAGTAACTATTTGTTTGTAAATTTATCAATTTTACATCAAAATTAAAAAATAAATAAAAAATCAAATTATTAATTTAAAACAATATAGTTAATAAAAAGATTGTTGGAAATAGCACTATTTATCTGTATTTAAATAAGTCTACAGACCAACTGACTAATTAACAGTTAATTTATTTTTATTTTTTAATTTTTATTTTTCAAAAAATTTTTTAAAAAATTGAAATGTGTTATTAATATGGTGCAAAAAAAAGGAGGGAAATTATTGTTATTAACTTTAATTTAAATTGCATTTGAGTGTTACACTTTTTCTTATTTATTAATCGAATCGATCTATAGATATATAAAAATAGTAAAAATATAATATTGCAAAAATAAAAGTAAAATTAGTAGTTATATATTTTTTTTTTGAGGGGATGAATAATACATCATCCAATAATAATAACAACAGTGGCAATGGAAATGGCAATGAAACTATACACGAAACAACAACAACAACAACAATATTAGGTGATTATAGTGTATCATCAAGTATATCAACATCACCTTTATCACCTGTTGTTCCAACTACTACTACAGCTACAACAACTAATCGTAACAACAATAATAACAACAGTATGAATAGTAATGACTTTGTATCAAGACCATTGGTTGTACCTGCTATTTCACCACTTTTAACACCTCAACAGCATTCTATTGGTTTGAATATGAATAGTAACAATATTGGTAATAGCAATGATATTGTTGAGGATGAAGATGAAGATGAAGATGTAGATATGACATCTACGACAACAACAACTACAACAACTTCAACATCAACAACATCAACAACAACAACAGTAGCAACAGCAATATCAAGTCCAAGTCCAACTTCAAACACAAATTCACTAGCTTATATTTATGAAACAATACCATCACCTTCTTTTATGAGTAGTAGTAGTAGCAATAGTAATAGTAATAATCAAAACAGTAGTAATAGTATCAATATTAGTAACAACAACAACAACAACAATAATAACAAAAATAACAACAACAATAATAGTAGTAGTAATAAAAATATGTATAGAAATAATTTAAATACAAATGTATCGATAGATGATAAAGAAATCAATTTTATGGTATTACAATGGCTATCTAGGTTGTCTGTACCTGACAATCTGTTTGATGATCTCTTTAACTATATGAATTCAATCGATTCACTTCCAGAGAGAACAGACTGGCTTGGAAATACTCATAAGCATAATTTCAATGAATTGGTATGATATTAAAATAGATTTATGAAATAATTTTAATATTAATCAATTCATCAATTAATAAAATAATAGAGAGATAAATATAAACATTGTAAATCAGATCATTTAAAGCAATTATGTCATTCATTGTTAACGATACAGAGAGAACAAGGTCATCTTTCACAACTACCTTTTCAAACCAATACAATTCTTGGTGATGGTTATTATTCATTGATTTCAAATAGATCAAACAACAATAACAATAGCAGCGGCATTAATAACAACAATGCCAATATATATTCATCAAATACAAGTACACCAATATCAAGAAATTTAGATTATAATCTTCAATCAACTCAATTGAATTCAAATAATGCACATCAATATAGAATCTCTGGACTTGTACCTATGATGTTACAAGATTCATCAAATGCGGCAACTTCATCAACAAGTCTAATAAATCAACAACAACAACAGCTACAACATATAAATAATAATAATAATAATAATAATGTATTTAATATTAATAATAATCAAACATCTTTACAATTACCAACAACAATAACAACATCTTTAATACAATCAAATTCAAATTCACCATTTATAAATACAACGCCAAATTTTAATAGTAATAATAATAATAATAATAGTTTAAGTATTAATGAAATTAAGAATAATATTAGAATTAAAACAACATTGGATGAGTTATCAAAACGAAGAAATGCATCAACCATACAGAAATACGCAAACTCTAAATTCAATATTGAGGAATGTCCAATAGGTGTAAAGATGATTGCATCAGAGATTGATTATCTATCACCAAAGTATTGTAGATCAATACCATACTCTATGGTTAAAGAGTATAAACAAATACTTGGAGTTCAAGGTCATCGTGCACCAACCTACTGTTTCCTTTATGATAAAACTGGAAAGATATTTATAACCGTAAGTTTATTTATTTAAAAAGTTTTTATTTTTAATTAATTGAATCAATATTAATTATTATGTTTTGTTTATATTGATCAACTTCATTAGGGATCGGATGATCATCTTGTAAAGATATGGTCATCTTATACAGGTAGATTATTATCAACATTTAGAGGACATGGAGGTGATATCACAGATATGTCTATAAATTTCGATAATTCAATGTTGACATCGGCGGCCAATGACAATATAATTCGTGTTTGGAATATTAATAATGCTGCACCGATCGCTGTACTATTTGGACATGAAATGAATATAAAGAATTCAATTACATCGATTTCTTTTTGTCCTTCACCAGATCGTAATATTATACTTAGTTCTGATTCTTTCGGTGTTTGTAGATTATGGGATATAGATCAATTAGATAAAGTAAGATCATCATCATTTATTAATAATTCAATATTTATTAATTAAATTTCCATTTTATCATTATTATTTTTAGTCTGTTGTATTACAAGAAGCATCACATTCATCAGTATGTTGTGCAATGTTTAGTAAAGGTGGAAATTTAATTGCGGTTGGAAGTGGAAATCAATTGAAAATTTGGTCACTTGAATGTTATCCTCCAGTTTTAGTGAACACTCTTGAAGGACATACTTCTGCCATTAGATTGATGCAATATGGTAATAAGAGTGATGCTATTATCTCTGGGTAAGTAATTAGTTGTATTTATATTCATTATTATTATTAATATTGTTGTTTGTTTATAGTTCTGAAGATGGTGTTATAAATATTTGGAGAAATACATACGGTCATAATTGGGAGAAACTATCGTTCAATGCAAGAGGTAATCAGTTGAATAAGAGACTGAAAGCAAAGTTGAGAACTGTTATATGGTCGTTGGATGACCGGTATATTATATCGGCGGATCATGTCATTCGTGTTTGGAATGCAAAGGATGCGACGTTGCATTGCGAGTTGACCGAACATCTGTCCGATGTCTTTGTGATGGAACCGCATCCTTTCGATAGTCGGTTGATGATGAGCGCTGGCTACGACTCACAGGTGATCCTCTGGGATATCGAGAAGGGTGTCATGCTAAACAAATTCTTGTTGGAAGCCGGTGTCAATCAGATTCAGATTTCCGACGGTTGTTTCTCACCCGACGGTATGCAATTTGGTGTCACCACTACCTTTGGAAAGTGGTATCTGTTTGAGCTGGGTGGCGAGTCGGCACTTACCTCTGGAAGAATAGAGAATACTCCGTGCGAACAGTTCTTCCACACCGATTACCAGCCTGTCGTTCGTGATATTCATGGCAATGTGTTGGACGAGCTCACTCAGACACCGCCACACATGATGCCACAGCCAACCTTGATCAACTATCAAGGTGCTGCCTACAGTTACCAACCTATTATTCCACCTCGAGGAATGCCACCCTATTCAGAGTCACCTCAGTACTCTAGTGACATACAGCGATTCCGGTACTTTGACAAATATGAGCGGTCGATTCAGGCACGTCCAAAACCAGTCGATCGCAATGCACTCGCCGCAGCTACGCCAGCAATGGTTCCAATGGTGATTGACCCACCTCCGGCAAAGAAAGCAGCTGCTAGCAGCACAGCTAGAAGTGGTGGAGCTAATAGCAATAGTGCTGCCGGTGGAAACACCAGTAATAGGAGAAACAGCCAAGATTCAGTGGATGTTGATGATACCGATGACTTTGATTTCCCACTGCCAAGCGATAGTTCCGATGAGAGTTTTATTGCTCCATCTTCAGAGGATGAGGAAGAAGGAGAAGGAGAAGAAGAAGAAGAGGAATATGGAGCTGGCAGTAGTGTATTCGATGGGAATGGAGGTGACCAGTCCGATCAGAGTATGGAGAGTGATAAGGATGATGACGACGACGAGGACTATGATGAAGCAGAGAATGGCTCGGACGAAGAGGACAATCTCATTCAAACGAGAAGTCAATCAAAGAAGGTGTTGGAGCGAAAGAAACAAAGAATACTACGTAGTAATAAGGTGCTTACTAGGAGTAGAGCTACCTCCAAGGAATTGGATGAAATCATGGAGACTCTAGGATTACCGGATGATATTGAATCGGAAGACGATGATAATGACGATCCAACTATTACCTACGATGAGAATGGTAACTCTACAATGGTTACCAATAGACGTGCTAATCATCCGACCAACAACATTGCATCCAACAAAATCGATTTTAGAGGTCAGTTGAATGGTAATGATTACGAGGAAGATGAATATCTATCGGATGATGAAAACGATGAGTCCGATGACGATGATCAAGATTATCAACAGTCAGATGATGAGGATCAGGAAATGACATCAGATAAAGACGACAACAATAATAATAGTAATAGTATGGAGAAACCTGTAAAGAGAAAGAGAAAGCCAAAGTTTGCACTTAGTAAGAAACATCATTTGACTCATTCCACTGGCAGCAACAGAGGTACCACTAAAAAGAAGACCAATAGTAAAGCTAATGTTACTGCCGCCAAGAAAGAATCGATATGTCCGAAATGGTTGCGAGTTGAATCAGTCAACCCATTGGAACCATCGTATTCACCACAAATCGGTGACAGCGTTATCTATTTCCATCAAGGTCATAAGAAATACATTGAAACATTCCCAGATGAAACTGAACAAGTTGAACAATCTCAACTTTCTACCGCTGAGGAATGTAATATTATAAGTAAGTATCGAAAGTGTTAATATGTTCGAAAAGTAATTAGTATTAATTAAAAACAAAAAATAATATAGATATTAAATATATTATTGCATCACCAAAGTCTGTAAATCCAGGATTACATCAAGCAGAGATTACTCTTTCAGTGTTGAGTACTGGACATACGATAAGTGTCCTCTATCATGTAAGTGATATTCCAGATTACCTGGTGTTGGCATCGAGAGTTAGGAAATCACTAGAGAGTCATTGGGCAAGTGATGATCAATTCAAGATGTTCTATATCGATGAGAATCAATGGTTCACAGGTGTAATCACAGAGGTATCGCCATCTGATCCAACCTATCCTGACAGTCTGTGGGAGCGTATCGTAGTTCGATGGGATCAAGACGGTGGTGAAGGTCGTGTCAGTCCATGGGAGATTGAACTCGTCCACGAAAAGACATCTTCCACCCCCGACAACAACGACAACAACAACAACACACAAGACGATCCATACCAAACATTAATCTACAAACTATTACATTCAACAGAGAATAACAACAAAGATAAAAGTGAAATCATTGATAGTGAAGGTAAGTAATATAGTTCATAGTTTTTCAAATATAATTTGGATATTAACATATAATGGTGGTGTTTAGTTAAAACAATATTGTTGGAGAAATTAGGTGAAATTGTTGATGAGGATATTTGTGAATTGTATAGAGAACCAGTTGATTTGGAGTTGTATCAGCTATATATACATTATGTTGCTCATCCAATGGATTATGGAACACTGCTATCTAGGTTGGAGAATAATTATTATCGTCGTGTGGAGGCAGTTCGATTCGATGCCGAGTTGGTCATGAGGAATGCATTCACCTATAACCAACCGAATACTACTATTGCCAGGAATAGTAAGACAATCTATCAGAGTGTTTTGGCGGTGCTAAAAGACTATATGGATAAGGATTATCTCAGTAATCTGAATGATGATTCATTACTCAATCAATCGCAACCCGACGATTCTAAAGAGAATTCACAATTGGTGACCAATAGCAATGGTATTAGTGGTAGTAGTGTTGAGAAGAAAGATGAAAGAGATGGAGGAAAGATGCTTGCAGAGGTAGATACCAGCGATGACATTGACTTGGATGACGAGTTATTAAATTTAACTTCAACAACAACAACTACAACAACAACAACTACATCAAACAATAACAATAGTAATGTTATTGTTCCTGGAACACCAAGAAGAACAAGATCCACTGTAAATAATAATAATAATAATTTAATGCCAAGTACACCAACAAGAAGAACTAGATCACTTATGTTACAGCAGCAACAACAACAGCAACAACATCAACAACCTAAATCTAAACCACGTGTATTAACAAGACTGAGGTTAAGACAACAACAATATGAAGATGAAGTCGGTGAAGATGAAGAAGAAGAGGAAGAAGAGGCAGCAGAGGAGGAAGAGAATTTCGGAGAAGAATCACAAGACGATGATAACGACAGTTTCCAAAAAACAAATAACAATCTTTTTAGTGATTTCGAAGAGGATGACGACGACTTGCTATCCAAGAAGAGAAAGAATATTATTGAAGAAGTATCACCAATTCAGAAAAGACAAAGGGTATCAAATAGAAACCTAATGTCTGATTCCGAGGTTGAAGAAGAAGAAGATATTTGAAAATAAATAATAGTATACTTTTTACAACAATGTAAATAATTTAATTTTATTATTATTATTATTCTGATTGATTGTAATCAATCATTGTATAATAAATCTATCTATTTATCTTTTTATTTTATTAAGAACTTATCATTTAAAGGTAATAATAAACGAATGGCATCTGCACCCATAGTATAATATCTGTATAGTCTCTTCAGTCTAATGAATCCGAGATTCTCATATAACGATATAGCTTGGAAGTTTGTAATGATGGTTTCCAAAACAACTTCATCACATTGTAATTCTATCAATTTTTCGATTGTAATCTTAATTAAAGATGATCCTATTTAGATAATAATAATAGTAGTGTAAGTATTAGAATTTATAGTTAGATTGTTATTAGTTGTTTTGAATGATTGTTTGATAACATACCAATACCCATTCTTCTATAGGTTCTATCTACAACGACCATACCGATATAACCTCTCTCTAGTAGTTTATGTTGTGATTTCTTTGATATGATGACACCTACCAATCGCTTTTCCTCTGGATTGGTCACGTCGTGTGTTAGAAAGCAGAGATGTGGCCAATTGTTCAAGAAGAATCGATAGGTGAATATAGAATAAGGTTCAGAGAGTTCGTTTTCTATCAATCGAATGATACTCTCTATATCCTCCTCACCTCTATATACACTGTATTGAAGTTTACATTCTACTTGAACATCGCTATCATCTTTCTTAATAGTAAGACATTCTAGATTGTTTAGTAATCTCTTACTGATTCCCTGATAGTCATTGCTGCTATTATTATTATTATTATTGTTTTCATTTTCTTTTATTTTTGCTTGATTACTATCATTACTACTACTACTTGCAGCACTATCTATATTTATATTACTACTATCAGATTCTAACTTTATATTACTACTACTACTAGTATCATTGTTATTATTATTTTCTTTTAAATCAGACATTTTCTATATTAAAAAAAAAAAAATTAAATCTATTTTCTTTGTCTGAAAGATCACAGAGGCTGTTGTGCCTTTTAAAAAAATTTGGTTCATTCAGTTCTCTTTTTTATTTGATTAAATATTTAATCATTATTGCTTTAATAAAAATTAGATAAAAAGAATCTCAAGATTTTATCGTGCTTTAAGAATATTAAAGAGTTAAGATTTGTATTCCTATGACATAAAGCGAAATCAGAGAGATAATGTTATTTTATACAATTTCGATCAAAATCTTAATGATTTTGTTGTTCAAAAAAATCATTATGTCTTAAAAAACAGATGATCCCCAATAAAACAAAAATTGAATTAATAATTATCCTCACACTATTATGATGTTGTAACTCCAACCATGGAAAAATTTTTGGATGATCACCAAAAATATATTGAAAGAATGGATACATGGTTAAATTCAAAAAACATAGCTCTCAATCAATTGATTGAAATTGATTATTTTAAAATTGATTGGTTATTTATTAAAGATTTAATGAAGTATGGAAAGCAATACCACATAAGATATATATCTTATAGTGAAAATAGAAAATAAAATGATGATTGCTGTGTCGTCTTATTGTAATAGTCGGGGTTGTTGGAGAAGAGATACTATCTATTGTGTTTATCGTTGCAGGTAGTGTGCCGACTGGATTACCTTTGAAAAATTTAGATGTGACTCTCATTTTTCTTACCGAGGCAGGGATCGATTCCAGCGGACTCTCAATCTTTTGATGATTAGTTAAAACAAGCTCCTCGACACCATCTGGTACTATTCCTGGCTTTAGCTGAATATAACTATCGATTATTAACTCTTTAACTCCTTTTGGTACTCTTGGCGATTTGCCGCCCTCTATATCTCGGATACTAATAAAGAGAGTCTCTACAGAAAAATCTGGTATTTCGCAAAATGTAGATAGCTCACATTTTAAGTCTCTAGGTGGTAGAATTCTTTTGATACTCTTTGGAAGCTGACCAATCGTTAGACCTTCACTCCAACTGACATTTAGTAGGTCAAGTTCTTCAAGTTGGTGTAAGGTGGAGAAAACATCTGGCTCACACTTGAATCTATCATCATAGGAATAGAACTTTAGTTTTTTGATACCACTTGGAAAGATTGACTTTGTTATAGTTATTGGTACTGATAGGTTGATTGTCAGGTCGGTAACCGACTCTGGAATGAACCAATCCGACTGATTTGTATCATTAACGTGTAACTCTAGCTTCTTGATCGATATATTCGATAGGTTGTTTGATGACTTTAAATCTCTCCATATCTTACATTGTAAAGAAAGAGATTGTAATGTCGATGGAAGTGGAGCGGTATTGGCCTCGATATTCTGACCAAGTCGGAGTTCTTCGAGTGTGGGTGGCAATCCTTTGAGATCGATCTTACATAGAGATGGTTGTGTAGTATTCTCTAAGGCTAACGATCTCAGAGTAGACGGTAGTAAAGAAGTAACTAGTGGATGATCCAACGATTCAATCGATAGATTGATCAGTCCAACGGGCAAATGATTCACTATAAAACATTTGTTACTTTTTATATGTTTTATGTTGGCGGGAAGTCTATTGAATTCAAATTTGAGTACATCGCCAATGTGAAGTGTATTGACATTGGAGTTGGCCAGCGCATTTAGAAATTCATTAGTTAATGCTCTCTTGTTTTTACCATGAAATGTTATTCTACAGATAGAAGTTACTATATCAATATTGTCTAAATGCTTTTTATTGCCATCTTCTATAATATTATATAATTTATTAGTTTTACTACTAAAGATTATTCTATTAAATGAGTAATGTGGTAATTACCGTAGTCTTGAAGATAATGATATTCCTTTTCTATAGAAGGTGGGATTGATGGTGATCCAAATGTTATCATTAGAGTACAATTTACTCTTGGCTGTTGTAATGCCAGCCTCATATCGTTGACATATGTATTTAATTTGAAATTACTAAGTAAACGATCATTGTGAATCGGTTGATCAGGTATATCGTCACTATTTAATCTAAAGTATTTATCTTTCTCATTAAACAATCTCTTACAAGTAAGAGTTAGACATATTCGATCAATGTTTTCTTCTAATACATCTATTATTTTTGATAACAAAATATGTGGTAAATTAATAAACACATTGTTTTGAATATTGTGATTCATATTATTATTGCTATTATTAAACCTGATCATTGTCATCTTTTTTTTCATAACTTAGGTTCCCCATTTTTTTTTTGGCTTGAAAATAAATAGAGGAGTAACGTTTAAATTGGGACAATAAGAGTATTTTTTGATTTGTCATCGTTTTAATCTGCGTCATCATCTTTTCATATTTCTTTTTATTTTCACCAAAAATTTCTCAAAAATGAATAATTCCTTTTTATTTAATATTTTATTTTTTTTATTTTTTTATTTGAGTTTGTCAAATTCGATTGAATATTTTGGATCAGATAGACTAGAAATTGACAATCTTTATCAAATTAATAAACATTCTATTGATCATCCACTTATAGTAGCAATAGATTTTGGCAATTCAAATTGTGGAATTTCATATTTAACAACACACAAGCAATCAATAATCATACCCGATATTGATGGAAATCTATCATTACCATCCTATGTTAGTTTTATTAATAATACAATTCTTGTTGGTGAAGAAGCAAAGAATCTTGTATTTTCCAATGGAAACAATACAATATTTAATTTAAAACATTTGATTGGTAAAAAGTATGATATATATACAATTTAATTTAAATTTATTATTAATTTTATTTATTTTTATAGATTTTCAAAGATTGAAGATATTGATAAGTTACCATTCAAGATAATATCAGATAATTTGGACAATCCAAAAATTTCAGTTACAGTAAATGGTACAGAGAAACTTTATTCACCAGAAGAAATTCTTTCATTTATTTTCAATAAGCTGAAGAGAAATTCTGAAACATATTTAGGTGTACCAGTTACAAAAACAATAATTATATGTCCATCTTATTTCGATAGTTTTCAACGAGAAGCCCTTAAAGATGCAGCAACAAAAGCAGGATTCGAAAGTGTGTTTAGAATATTCGATGAAACTAAAGCTATAGAATTAGAGTTTAATAGACGTCTAGAATTCGATTCTTCGATCGATAGATATCATTTGGTTTTAAAAATGGGTGGAGATTCTTTTGAAGCTTCTTTAGTTAGTGTAGATAGAACATATTATGAGAACTTCAAAGAGTATCCTATTGAAATACTTGAAGCTGAATCTATTCGAATTGGAGGAGATGATTTCACTGAAAGTATTGTTAAATATCTTTTGGATGTTTTCAAATCAAAAAGTGGTCTTGATGCGAGTTTTGATATGTTGACAATGGAAAAGTTGAAATCTGCATCGGAAAAAGCAAAAATCGAACTTTCATTCTCAAATTCAACAATCATTCAATTCAATGATTTCTTTGGTGGATTCAATCTCAATGAAACACTGAGTCGTTCGAAATTCGAAGATCTAAACAATCATCTCTACCCAAAGTTCATTCAATTAATATCCAAGTTGATGAATGATTCTTTTTTGAAAACACAAGAGATTCATTCAGTTTTGATGACAGGTGGTTCGACTACGATGCCAAAGATAAGATCAATTGTAAAAGAATATTTCAATGGTAGAGAATCATTGAATCATCCAAGACCAAGTAGCGTCATTTCTATTGGAGCTTCTCTATTAACTTCTATTTTGACATCTGGTTTTAATGATTATCCATTTTGCGAACTTTATTATGAATTTCCTAAACAGCCAATTGGTGTTGAAATCAAAGGTGGTTTGATGTCGACTGTCATTGGTAAATATTCTTTTATTCCGAGTCGGAGAATAAAACAATTCTCAACTACTGTAGATTATCAAGAAAAGATAGAGATAAAAATATTACAAGGAGATAGTCAACTTTCACAAAACAATACTGAAATTGGAACAATAGAATTGTCTGGTATTTCACCTGCTCCACGAGGTGTTCCAATTCAAGTAGTATTTGAATTATGCGCCAACTTGGATTTGGAAGTTAAAATTACAGATCTTTCAAATGGAATTACCAACTCGACAGTTATTCCAATCGAGAATGACTATGGCCAATTTGATTTTCAAGATCATTATGAATTTGAAGATGAACAAGTCGAGAGAATCAAACTTTTCAATTCACTAAAGGACTATATCAATAGTGTCAAGTGTATGTTGGAAATCAATCAAGATAATTATTTTTCAGAGGTGAAAGAAAATATTTTCAAAATCATATCATCAATGCCAGATAATGTAACATTATTCCAAAGCTCAATTAATGAAATTCATTCAATTCTTGACCCAATTATCTCTTCCATTTACTCTAAAATCGATTTTGAAATGACTCGAAATAATTCAGTAGATATAATGTCTGTAAAAATTTTACACCAACCAACTTTCAACTTTGTAAATCAATCATTGGTAACCAGTATTGATGAAATGGATACAAAAGTTAAGATCAATAAATATCGACAACCAACAAATGTAGATTTCGTTCAATTTCCACAGATTGAAATTATTGATGAATACAATCATCGTTTCCCATATATTTATTTATATAATGAAGAGATTCAATTATCAGATAAAATAGATTACATCCCATTTTCACTTGGTATTGGAACAGAACGAGGAGATTTTATTCAAGTTATTCCAAAAGATCTCAAACTTCCTATTCAGAGAAGTGAAATAATAACCATAACTTCAGATTATGAAAGTGTTATTTCAATCCCAATCTATGAAGGAGATCCAGAATTACATTCAGATTCCAACAATCATTTGGGAACGTTGTATTTGGGAGGAATATATCCAGCTCCAAAAGGAATTTCTAAAATCCAAGTAATATTCGATATCAATATTAATGGAAGTTTCACAATCTTTGCAATTGATCTTGGAAGTCGAATTTCAGCATCTCTTGATATTCTTGAATACAAAGAGCATTTAAATAATGGTTATATCAATGTTGCTTCACAATTCTTTGAGAGAGTCAAAATTGGAAAGAATCTTAGAGAACATTTAAATTATTTATTAGAATTGGTCAATCCTAATCAACAAAGTGATAAACTCTTTGACATATTGGCCGAAATTGAATGGTTAGACGATAATTTGTTTTCGGAAACATTTGAATTAATTAAACAAAAAATAACGAGATTCAATCAAAAATTAGAAAATCTACACTATAAAATAAAAGGTAGTAATTAATAAATATAGTTAATTTTTATACCATTCTTTTTAAAAAAATGATTCTTTTGAACGAGGTGCAACTATTAGGCTCCTCACTTTTATCAGGTGTCATGTATTCGAACGCTTCAGGTTTCATCTCTTCTTTGATTTTAAAAGTATTAGGTTTTACTGTTAGTTTTTGATGTGCTGTTAATACTAGATACTAGATTGATCGTTATACATGAAAGTACTAGAGGCCGAACCAATAGACAACCTTCATTCTTTTGCACTTTCTATAACATTTATGTTGATGTTTGTTCTTCTAACAACTTATTCTTCTTTTACAATATTATGAGTTGACTGAATCATTTAAAATTGATCCTTAATTTATTATTTATTTTACTAAAAGGATTATCTAAATTAAATAAATAGGTTTCTGCTTGTTAATGAATATTAAAAAAATTCGATTCCCCCCACCCACAGTCCAAATTGTTTTTTTTTTCATTGTTGATTATTCGTTTTCTATTTCCATGTGTATTAATTATAAATTTATCACAACTAAATAAACATAATAATCACCCACAACACTTTGTGAAACACTCCTTATTTATTTGAATTTTAATTTATTTTTTAGTTGTATATTCTCATTGTGTAATACTATACTACTACTATCACCACCACCACCACTTCTCAACACTATTGACACCTTCAATTATTATTATTATTATTATTGTTGTTGTTGTATTATAATTATTTATTTTATTTTATTTTTGATGTATTATATTTAATATTTCAAGTTCATTGATTTTACATCAACTATCTTAATATTGGTTGATTTTAATATTTTTTTTTAATATATATATCTCTATAGTTTAATATTTTAATATTTATTTGTTAATATAATATATTTGTATGATAGATGGAACCTTTTATAACATTCGATGATATTAGACTTCAGTTCAATAAGAATCATAATCAGTTTAGACCGAATAATATAGTGTATGAAGATGATGACAATACTTTACACAACTTTGATCCTATCGAGCATCTTAGAATAGAAGATCAAGATGAAGATAATGATAATGAAGAATATAGTAATGAAAGAGAGGAAGAAGAGTTAGAGGAAGAAGAACAAGAAGAAGATAGCAACACTTCATCCTCATCAACAAACAACCCTTTAGTTAGATCATCTACATTATTAGAGCATGATCATATAGACAATAATAATGATGATAATATGGAGAATATACACAGCACAACAAGTACATATAGAAATAGTTTAAGTAGGAGAAGTAAAAGTTTAAATTTAGATGATTTAGATTTAGAAGATCATGATGTATATAGTAATAATAATAATAATGAGAATAAAGATGTACAAAATAATAATAATAATAGTGTTAATGTAGATAATAGTGATGATAATGAAAGTGATAGTAATAGTACATCTACTACTACAACCTCTACTTCTACAACAACTAATACTTCACCAATAACCAATTTAATAAGAGATACAACTGATAACGACGAAGAGGAGATGAGAACAATGGACGAGAAAGTAGATGAATTTGTATCGTTGATCATTCACGAACCGCACACCGGTCTAATTATCTATGATAACTATGGATTCCTAGTGGAACAAGACATGGTTCAGATTCATTTGATCTACAAAGACAAGTTTGTGCGACAAGAGAAGCAACGCAAACAGCAATGGTTGGATTTCATCGAGGCTAATCCCGGTGCTTTTCATCTGTTGTCGCTGTCACAATCACCAATGGCATCGGCAACTACCACCTATCGTCGTTCCGAACCACCCAAACCACTCAAGGATATGATTCGTCGTGGTGTGCCCACTGACTTTAGATCTTCGGTATGGCTACGCTGCAGCGGTGCCTATCTCCGACTGGCTGCCAACCCAGACGAATACTATAACATCCTCAAAGTCTACCACGGAAAGCAGTCGGTTGCCACCAAACAGATTGCAATGGACATTGACCGTACTTTCCCAGACCACAAATACCTAAACACACAAGAACACATGGAAACACTATCAAGAGTATTGACTGCCTATTCTTGGAGAAATCGTAATTATTATAATAATCCAAAATACAACAAAACAACAACAACAACAAATATTAATATTATTATTATTATTATATATACAGCTAAAGTAGGATATTGTCAATGTATGAATTTTATTGTTGGATATTTATTATTACATATGAGTGAACATGAAGCATATTGGGTATGTTAACTTTGTTAATTTAATCTAAACTCTCGATTTTTAAAGATGTGGAACTATTGACTAAATGTATGAAATTACTTTTTTTTAGACTTTGGTATCTATTATTGAAGATATATTACCAAGTGAATATTTTACTTCTACTATGATCGATCTGTCTGTGGATGTTAGATTTGTTTTTGACGAGATTTTACAAAAGAAACTACCAAAGCTTCATAAGCATTTTACCACTCTCAATCTATCGTTGCCTTTGATCATGACACAGTGGTTCCTATGTATAATGGCCACTGCAACACCCACTGAAACCACCTTTAGAATATGGGACGTGTTTTTCGCTGAGGGTTCAAAGGTTCTCTTTAGATTTGCCGTCGCACTCTTTAAGATGAATGAAGAGAAACTACTAACTTGTAAAGACTACAATACATTATATAATTTAATAAGAGTATGTATAATCCATATCGATCAAAAACCAAAAACTAAACAAATTATTATTATCTCTATTTAAAATATAGAAAATACCATCAATGATGTATGATGCTGATGCTTTGATAGAGTATGCATTTAATAAGATTGGATCGTTGTCTATGAAATTGATCGATCAAAAAAGAAAGGAGAGTAAAGTGATTGTTTTTAATGAATATATAGAGTTCCAAATGATGAGAAATGGAATAAGGAAAGATCAAAATAATAGTAATAAGAACAACAACAACAACAGCAACCAACACAGCCCTAAAAAATCTCCTACACTTTTATCAAAGAAAAAAACAACAACTCACAAAGAAGCATGAAAAAAAACAAATATTAATCATTGCTCTTCATTTTGTGTATTAATATATAAATTAAGATTTCTATAATAAAAGAATTTAACCATTGATTTTTTCATTACCATGTAATCCTACCAATTTAAATGTTTAATAGAGTTAATTTCTTTTATTTCTTAATCCAACAACTAACTCCGAAAAGTTCAAAGTTAAATTGATATCAGATTTTAATAATAAAGAATAATGAGTCCGAAACAGTTTGATAAATCAAACTTTAATTAAATTTTATTAATTATTGTGTTTTTAAACTTTCTTAAATTATCTATTTGAGGAAGTTCATAAAAATTTATATTCATTATTATTATTACTTAATAATGAATGGATTGGATTAAACTCTGTATTCCAGGAATCTATATTTCTCCAAATGAAAAAAGTACAATCTATACAATGGACTGAGATGTTTATCTAACAACTTATTTCTTAAGTTGTTGCATTTGGTTGAAAAATAGAAGTGGTGAGTTCATAAAGTTACCTACATCGGCTGGTGTAATGTAGATAGTTGCATTCTGCATGGCTTGTGCTTTGATCTTGGCCATCTCCAATTCAAAGAGAGCAGGATACTTGATGTATAGTTCACCGCTGAGCTCCGATACCTTTCGTTCGGCTTCCGCTTTGACGAGGAGTGCCTCTGCTTCTTTCTGGGCTGATGAGAGCTTAGCCTGAGCTTCGGCGATAAGTGCCTGACCACGTTGTGCAAGTGCAATGTTGTCAGTCTCTGCTTTGAGACGTGCCTCGGTAGTCTTGATATCGTACTCCTTTGCCAAACTAGCTTGTTTGGTAGTGAATTCTGCGGAGGTCACCGATTGTCCAGCCAACTTCTTGGCAATCTCTGAATCAAGAACTTTCATGGTTTCTATTTGTAGACGTGCCAACTCGATACCATATTCACCGAGATCTCTTGCCAAATGAGCTTTAACACGATCCTGAATGGTTTGGATTGCATTGTCATCCGACTTTTGACCTGGTTTGGTTTGAGTAAAGTACATCACCTCTTGGAGTGTTGACAACTGAATTGCTTTACCCATGTCGGCAAAAGATACGTTCTCAATGTGATTGATGATTCCTTCTTTACCGAGCTTGGTAATGGCGAGTTCTGGATCGACAATCTTGAATGCGACTACCAAGACAACACCGACTCTGAGCGAATCACGAGTCTGGAAGATCTTTAGATTAATCTCGTCAGAGCTGGCATGTTTATTGTCGTTGTAAGCAGATTGCTTGGTTTCTTTACTTGGGAACAAACAAGTTTGGAGGGCAGTCGAGATGAATCCCTCGAAATTATGTGTTGGAGAATCGATAATCACAGGCTTATCGTCCTTTGGTGTTGGAATGATAGTCAAAATACCATTGTTATAAGTAACAGCAACCTCACCAGTATGAGGAATCAAACGTTTAATTGAACCATGACAGATATATGGTTCAGTGGCATCGTAAAACATCGAAGATTTGTCATCCTTCTTTGATTCCTTTTGTACCAATTTAAATTGTGCATCAACAACAACATATCTAATAAATAAAGAATGATTATTAGTTAGATTTCTATTATTATTTATAATAATAAACATACGGTTCTCTTCTTGATTCAAAGATATATGGTTGAGTACCAATCCAAACTTTAGCTAGTTTACCGGATGGAACTCTGAGAATGTTGATGGTTGAGTGAGAGATGTATGGTTCGTTTTGGTTCTCGAAGGCACTCTCATCGAATTGGAATGTTGGATCGATGATTACATGTGGACCTTCACCGTAGAGGACTGGTCTGTTCTTGGTGAAAGCCTTGGCGTAGTGACCTGGTGGAACTTGGAGTACATGCTTACCGTAAGCACCATAGTATTTGGCAGTCTTTAAGATTGGTCCAATATATTTAATGTTCACCGTTGGATCAGCAGAATAAACTGTACTGAAACGCTCACCACGTGGATCGAAAAGTTCAGCAACTTGATTACGATGACCCAAAACAAAATAACTATATTAATAATATAACATTAATAAGTTGGATAAACAACTACATTTATGATATATATAATAATAATATTAATAACTTACGAAATATCAACTCTATCGAGTGCACGACCCAATAATGGATTGTCAGTAAATGCAGAACTCTTGATACCCTCGTTGAAACGTTCCAAGATGATTTTGGCTTGTTGTTGAGCAGAGGCATCGGCAAAGTCTGAACGAATGACAATCTGTCCAACTTTGAGATCATGATTAACGTGTTCGTGATCGTGATCCGAAGAGTAAGTCGATGCTTCAGTACCACCGAAACGTTTCATTGATGATTGAGAAGATGAACTTGATACATTCGATACACTCCTTACAACCTTTTTATTATCATTATTAATATCGATATGATCCATTGTTTATTTATTTATATATAATAATAAAAATTGTATAAAATTAAGTAAAATGTACAAAAAATAAAAAAGAAAGTTATAATTAATTAACTAGTTAGTTATCTTTAATAAAGTAAGTTTGTCTTGTTGTTCTTTTTATATAAAATGAAAATACGAGTTGATCAATTTCAATTTATAGCAAATTCAAGTCAATTGTATAATTCTGATTCAATTTCAAAGATACATTTAAAAATAAATGACATACCTTTTTTGATCTTAAGAAAGTGATTTTTCGATTCCGACAGTTTGTTTTTTTGCCCTGGGAAAAAATTTGGTGAAATGATTGGTAAAAAATAATTTTAATTCTTTAGTTTTTAAGTGATCCTCATCGCATTTCGACAACCAGGTTTAAAAACTATTAAAAATCAACTTGGGAATTTAAAATTCATTTGAATAGTTATTTTTGATCCGAACATTCATTCAAATTTAAATACTATTTTACTTACCAGGTCCGATATCAATACTAAAAGGTGATTTTGATCAAATTAAATAACAACCAGGGTAACAACTCTAGAACCAACACATCGATGCTGATGAGGGAAAACACCTTTAAAATAAATTATTATTTTTGTTGTTGTTGCTTACAAAAACAAAGTATTTTTATTCTCTGACTTTAGATGTGGTTTAAACCAAAAAGAAAAAAATAATAATAACAAATTACACAACCTAACGTTATTTTTAAAAATTTCATGAATCATCAATATAAATAAAGGTTCTAGTTTCAGGATGAATACATATATTTTAGTTTTATTTATCTCTTTATCTTTGATATCTGTTACTTTTGGAGATTGTGTATCAGAACATAATGAAGTTGGTGCATATTTGTTTTCTTTAGATTGTCAAGATGACAAATCGATAGATGACACACCAAAAAGTGTTGATTATGACTCTGAATCGGAACGTATAAGATATTGGTAAGTACTCTCTAGTAATACATTATCTATTAGTGCTAATTTAAATGTATTAGGATGAATGAATGTTATTACGAAAAATATAAAAGTAATAGCATTGAAAAGGTAAAAGAAGAGATAAAATTACTTGGTATTGAAGAATATTATAATGTTTGTGTGCAAAGAAAGGAAAATAAATATTTACAATCAAAATTACAAACAAAAGTTAAAGTTACAAACTGTAATATTAAATAATTATTAAAACATAATAAACTAATAGTTAACTATGTTGTATTTATTACCAATACCTAAAGTAAAGTAGATGTACTTATTATTTGATAGTTGTATCTGTTTCTTTGATTATCTTTTTGATAAAATCTATAAGAAGTGTATATTTTTCATCGTTACGATCGATTGGTTTGCAAACAGTTCGATGGTCACCCTTGAGTACTTTGAATTGATGCTGATCTCCAATGAATTTAGGGTTTGCACTCTCTTGGTCGACAATCAGTAGACATATGTTGTTGTTGAGGAAGCATATCTCGTCGGTTTCACCAAAACAAAGAGTGGCAACATTGCCAGCGAACGTTGGAAACTGTCTGGTGAGAAGGTCGACATGCTGACTGCTCGGCAGTAGATCGGATATAGCACTCGTTGTTCGCAGTACATGATCGAGTGTATGAGCATACGAAGCTAGTTTGGCTCCGTAGTGCGGTGTCGAATAAAAGACGACCGCCTTGGTGTTGTCACGAAGCTGTCCGTAGTGTTGCGGATCGTCATTCGCCAGCTTTAGCATCTGTTTGGCAACGAGACCACCAAAACTATGTGTAACCAGTATCAATGGACGAGTACCTACACCTGCCAACGTTAGATTTTCAAGGATGGCTTGACTCTGGTCAAAGAGTGGAGTGGCAGTGCCGCCACCCCATTGCGAGAGGAATATGTCATAGCCAACACTGATAACTCTGACATTAGCGAGGTCTTCAGGTATCCATTTCTGTGGCCAACAAATAGAGGATGTTGCTTCAACGATCGAAGTAGGCAGACTGTTGTTATTGTTGTTATTGTTGTTGTTGTTGGTATTTCCTGCAACTACTAATTCAGGAGTGGCGGAAGATGATGGTGGAGTTGTCCACCAAGTTGAAAAAGGATGTCCAGTTACACCATGTATAAATACAATATCGAAATCGATTTGATGATCCTCATCTGTTGGATACAATAAATAGATTCCCTCTGCATATTTAGGTATCTTTTGATTCGGAGTGGCTATAGACATCTTGGTTCTAATTGAATTGGCTCTAATGAAATCATCTGGTGATTTAGACCATTTTATCAATAAAGGATATATCGATCTATTTAATATTAGTTTCTCACTATCTATTAAAATATTAAAAATTACAATTAAATATTAACAAAGATGTTTATATTACAATGATCATTAAAACTAACCATTAAATGCAATATTAGCAATGATTCTTGATAGATTTCTTATAATTTCACGATCATTCTCACTTGATAATGATATTATCTTATTCCAATTATCCTTTAATAATAGTTGTTGTGTTACATTCTCTATATTAATTAATTTATTTGTATTAGTATTATTATGACTCATCATCATCATAGTCTTTATAAACATTGATTGTATACTTACTATCTCTCGCCATATTAGCTACGGTTCTCGATATATATCTCTTTGAATATTGATCTAATTTCAATATCAATTCAATTAAACTTGATAAGCCATCATTATTTAGTTTAGTATATAACAAATTTGTGTCATTATTTACTAAAAAGATAGTTATAAATTAAATTAATAAAAAGCTAGCAATTTAATTAATAATAGTTATATATGAATAACATACCATATGCAGATAGATTCGATAACAATCTTAAAGATTGATGTTTCGATGAATTAAAAGTAGTTTCTTTTGCAATTAATAGTACATTGAGAGGTGATATTGATTTCCATATTGACTCTGTCTTTTTGGCTATTATAAAAATTAAGGTTAGCATTAAATAATAACAACAACAATCTATTGTAATACTACTTACTATTCATAGATAATAGATTAGCTAGTGCAATCAAAGAAGATAGCTGTAGATTTTGTAATAATTCTCTATCTTTTTCGTTCTTTACAGTCTCATTACCCAAAGAGGAAGGTACAGTTTGATTAACCCAATCATTCAATCTTTCTAACCACCCTTCATCAACTATAATAGATTGTCTATTTTCTATTATTTAATAATAAAATAGTTAATTAGTTTATAATTAATTTAAGAACATAATTATTAATAATGAGTTACCATCATTTTGATTTGAGAGATTTACAAGTGCATTTGCAATGTTTGATTTGATTTGAATAGAGGTAAAACTCTTTCCATAGACATCTGTATAGTTTAACATCTTTGATAGTACATTAAATATCGAATTGGTCGAGTTCATCGTGTAGAACGATAGATTAGCAATAAATATCGAGAGGTTATTGATAATAACTGTATCTCTATTGCTAGGTATATGTGTTTTATGAATAAATATACTATCTATCAATTCAAACAATCCATCTTTATTCTCTGTTTGATCTAAATTTATTAAATATAAATATATATGAATAAATAAAGATAGATATCGATATTCATTAAACTACTTACAATTTACATTTAACTCTGATAGATATTGAGTTATCTCTTGTTTTAATAATGAAGAGAATGGGAGAAGTGTAGAGAGATTGGTGAAACCAAACTTTTGAACAACGATTTGTCGGTATCGTTTATCTTTCGATATTAAACGGCCAAGTGTGTTTGCCAATTGGTTGTCAAGTGCAGGTTCATCTTGAGAGATCGATGCGAGTGAATCGGTTAGCTTCTCTAGGGTTATGCGACTACGCTTGTCAGCTATCAGCAAAGGTATCGATACTCTATCTTTCTCTACAAGTAACTCTAGCATTTCAATAAGGAGTGTACGTGATTTCAGTGATTTCGTGCATTCCATCAACTCTACAACTTTGTTTAGCAATAGCTGGTAGTGAAGAGTGTAGTCAGTAGTAGTAGTACTACTACTACTATTGTCATTGTTAGCACTACCACTGGTATTACTACTATTACCACGACCACTCCTAATACCAAAGAATATGGATTGTTTCAATAACCAAATCCAGAATTCATTCTGCCAAGTCGATCTGTATTTTATTTTCTCTTGTGATAGTTGTTCTATACAGATCTTCTCTATTGAATAGCTGTTGTTGTTGACACTCCAAAAAAGAGATAAACCAGCTGCACTAACACCCACAGTCAAACCTAACACACCATATATTATTAAATTTTTCTTTTTTTGTGTGTTATCTGATTTATTATTATTTTCATTGCTATCATTATTATTATCTTTATTGTTATTACTATTACTGTTGTTTTCTCCTTTACTTTTATTTGATAAACTTATAAAGTGTCGATTACTATTACTATAACTATGTGTAAAATTATTATAAATTCTATGAGTAGAACTACTGGTATTAACAATATATCTATTACAATGATGACTATTTACATTTAAATTGGTCAAACATGATTTAAATAATCTTAAATAACTCATATCTTATATTTCATTTGTTAAAATTATAAAAACATTTGTGGTTAACTTATTTGATCTTTCGATTTGTTTAAAATTACTTTTCAAACGATTTCAGTGAATTTTGCAAACTTGTTTTAAATCGAATTTAATACAAATATTTTATTTTTTATATATCTATTTTTTAGTTATTAAAAATGATATGAAAATTTATTGAGACTCACAACTGAATGAAGTTGTACCTTGACATCCAATACTGTAGGTTGTGATGGTCGGCTCTCCCTCTGAGGTTGAACAATTGTTATCTCCTGGATATTGGTATTCGGTCATTGTGTTTCCACCTTGTATACATTCAAAGATTCTGTTTCCTTCGACACAACTGTTTGTCCAGTAGTATAGATCATAGAATCTTTCTTCGCATTGTCTTCCAGCAAAGTAACTAATTCTGGCATAGGCTCTAGTACTGTCTCCTTCTTCTGGCATACTAACATAATATTTATCCTTAGGTCTAATGTTTAGAGCGATACCAACATTTCCAAGACAAATGATAATTGTGGCCAAAGTAATAATAAAGATAGAGAATTTCATTTTTGTTTTTAAGTGAAAAATAATATAAAATTCAAGTATAAGATTTTCTATTTAAATAGATGTTGATTAATATATTATATAAATTTTATTTCTGATATTATTTTTTAAAATAATATTAATTTTTTGATCATAGTCAGAGATTTTTTTTTGTCAAGCCTGGCATCTCTTTTTTTTAAGAAAGGAAACAAAGAAAACCATGAAAAAAAATCCGTCTTTGCAAATATTTATATTGATTTCTAAATAAGTTTTATAATAAAAGGTTCAATTTGAATCTTGATCACCAACCTAAAATTAAATTTAAAATATTTCTATCTTTTTTTTAAAGATTTTCTAATATCATCTTTAGTCATTCCTTATTTCTAAAGATTTTTTTTACAAAAATTTATATATATAAACACTAGATTAACTACTAATTAGTAATCGGTAAATTAAAAAGAGTAAAAAATGAAATTTAATATTGCTATTTGTATATATATCATTATATCTCTATTCGTACTCGAAAATGCCTTTGCAATGAACTTACCTAGAATTGGCGAACTTATCATTGGAAAACCAAAGAATTCAGTAAATGGAATCTACACTTTAATGAGATACTACTATGGTGAACAATGCTCAGATGACAACTCGATTGTTGGTATCTATTACTTGAATAGCCTATGTACCAATGGACAATTTTACAAGTGTTCTCCAGGATCCGATACAATTCAACTGTACACCTTCCCACTCCAAGATACAGATTGTTCATCAGGACAACCAGAGATCACCGCCATTGAAGCAGGATGCAACGTAACCGTGTCATATACCTGTGTTAACCTATCCATGTAAAAACAAGTTTACATACAAAATAAAAAAACAATAAAAACAAAGAAAAATATATTTTATCCTAATTTTCAAATGATTATTTGGAGAATCATATAAATAAAAAGAAGTTGGTTCCTAAAAAGAAATTTAAAAAAACGGATTTTTAGTTTTATAAAAGTGAGTAATTGTATATTATATTAGTTTAAGATTTTTTTGAATCCAATCTCTACATAAACTAGAGTGACATTTGATGGCTTTCATCGTATATCCCTCTGTTCTGTTGGCATGAAGAAACTGTAGAATTTCCAGCTTGCCATGTACAGCAGCGTTATCAATCGCAGCAGAAGAACAACCTTCGGTTCTATTAAAATGGAGGAATTTTAAAACTTCAAAAGAACCTGAACCAGCACACACATCCATGATCTTTGTCGAAAAAATATCATCCGGATGATTCTCATGGAAATATTTTACAACCTGTAATGATCCCTTCTCGGCGGCACGTATCAAAGCACTTTGGAAATTGTAGGAAGATGGACACTTTGGATAAAGATATAGAAATATTGGAAAGTGGAATATGGCTTGCTCCAACGCTCCTGAAACATCGATGTAATTAACGTTTGTGTATTCCGAACGGTTGTCATAGATATATTTAACTAAATCGAGACGACCTGATCCAATTGCTCTATACATAGTATTCTTATTTAGTACCTTTAATCCCATTCGGTGTATTGGTATTACCAATTCCATTTCGCAAAATCCAACGAATTTATAAGTGTTCAATTGCTGAGGGTATTTGTCGACCAACAATTGGAAAATACCGACATGTGATTGCGAATACTTAAGTCGTGCAGCTATAACTTCATGAAGTTCTTTGATACTGTGTGCATTTGTAATGTTTTGAATAACATCGATCTCCATTGACAAAACATATCTGACAATGTCGATTTTGTTTGTCATGATTGCTTTCGTTAAAGTTGATTGATAATATTCAATGTATCTACAGTTTTCATAGAGAAATTGAAGAATGTCGAGATGTTTATATTCTATCGCCAGAATAATCGAATGTCCATTGAATGCCTGTGGCAGTCTCTCATGAATTATTTTGATTGCATCCAAATTGCCAAGTTGAATAAAATTTTCGATTTGGCCACGTGTAAAGGTAAATTGGATATCAGAATGTTCTCTGAATAGAAGTTGATTGATCTCTTGATTATTGAACGTGAGGACTTGCTTAATGGATTGATTGAAATTTGTGGCTTTAGAAAAGAAGTACCGAACTATTTCAATGTGTCCTCCTTTGGCTGCTGAAATCAATGCTGACACCGCATTCCAACTCTTCTCAGGGTGAAGATCGTATAGATAAACAGCAATTTCAAAATGACCATTCAATGCAGCTTGATTGATTGCTTTTCCTGTAAATCCTTCACTGCGATTCTCACTCAACCACTTCACCATACTGAAATGACCATATTTTGCAGATTTCCTAATTGCTCCAACACTACACCCTTCAGTGCGATTCTCATGCAAGAACTGCACCACCTCCCAATGATTTCCTTTAGCCGCATCGTCCATCGCCAAAGTTGTACATCCTTCACTTCGATGCTCGTGTAAATATCTAACGACATGGAGATGTCCTCTTTGCGCAGCTAAATCCATGGGTTTTGTGCATCCACCTCTCTTGTTTTCTGTCAAATACTTTACGATTTCCAAATGACCACCACTAGCTGCATAGTCTACCGAATTATCTAAACCGCTGTAACGTAGTTTCTTTAGTAGTTCAAACTCTCCGTGCTTTGCAAACATATCTATTGTTGTTGGTGTGACAGTTAAACTCAGAATGACTCGTTCTACGGAATAAAAGTAGTTGGCAACTTCAAAGTTCTTTTTCAAACTGAAAGACTCTACTAGCTTTGCGATGCTATTGATATATTCGTGTTTGTGTAGAAATTTGACTATATCTAAAGCTTTGGATGAGTGCTCACATTTGGCGGCACATTGGCCAATCTCGTCTTTTACAGAGCTTGACGGAATCTCAGTGATCATTGGATAGAGATACTCGACGATATCCAATCTACCAGCGCTACAAGCATACTTGAGAGCCTCCACATAGTTGTTAGAAGACCTGTTCTCAGCCAAGAACTTCACCACTTCGAAACTATCGGACAACACTGCCAATCCAATCAAGTGATTCGACCATTCTTGATCAATGTATTTCGAGTGGAGATACTGAATGATTGGTAGATGGCCGACCGCATACCTAAAAAAGCGATCAACCGTTGCGAAACTACAAAACATCTCAGTAGAATCTAACAGATGCTTCAACTCTCTAAGGTACCCATATGACATTAGAGTCATCGGTGAATGTAAAACTTCATTCCATGGTATCGTTCGAACCTTTTTTTTAACATATATAAAATGAACTTGGTTATAAATATTGTTTAATAAAAGTTTGTTTGCAAATACTGATTTAAATATTCTATCTCTATCACTGTTTCTATCCATTTTTAGCTAAAGATTTGATTACAGTAGATTGTGAAAGAAAATAATAAAATATATTAAGCATTATTCTCATTTTATTTTGTTTTTCTAAAATATAATAACATATTTTTTTTTCTATTTTAATTCTTATTTTAGAGAAAAAACCTTGTTGAGTTGAATTTATTTAGAAAAAATAGGTTTCCTTTAACCTTTTAACAAACTATAGTACTACATATCTTTTATTACAATTTCAAATCAATTAATCTCTTTGATTTTAAAAAAAAAAAAAAAAACAAGTTATTTCTTAAAATAAAAAATACTTGTTTATTAGACTTGTTTAGTTGATTTGTTTTGTGGAAGTACACGTAATTGAGCCAACCAACCACAATCTTGATTGATCTGTTTTTAGAGCAGATGGTAAGACATGAATGGACGTTTATAAGAGATTGATGAAACAAAATTATACCAAAAAATCGTTAAAATAGAAAAATTCGTATGAATGACAAATCATTAGTTGTGTTGTTTGTGGTCAACATTTCTGTAGAACCTTAAACAGTTTACTTGGTATCTTTGTTTGAAAAAACAGAAAAATTTGCTAAAAAAAAAATTACAACTCTAACCCCACAACCCACAAAAATGATCAGGATTTTTGCAAAAAAAAAAAGAAATTAAACAAAAAACAAAAAATAAATGAAAATTAAAAAAAAATGTTTAACCACTAAAAATAAACGTCACATATTTTCACTCAAAAACAACAATTCATACCAAAATAAGATTAAATCAACAATTTGGCTAAAATTTTTTTTTCAAAAAAAAAAACAACAACAACAGTAAACGAAGCAAAACTATTTAAGAGAATGTCTGCAGAGTCTAATTCCAAAAAGAATCAACTTCAACAACAAATAAACAACAACAATAATAACAATAGTATCACTACTGATATAAATACTTTAAATAATAATAATAAAATGTCGAATCATCATCAATCAAATAGTCCAAATACTGTCGCTGGATCAGATGAAGATCTTACCATGCTCGCAAAGATGCAAAAGAAGTTTGTAATTCCACCACCACCCAAATCGTTGGTCGATGGTGCCAAGCGTGACTACCTCTTGGTCGGTGGTGCCTGTGCAACCGTAATCATGTTGTCTGCCGGTGTCTGGAATCACGTCAGAGGTGGAAGTTCCGCTACCACCGGTAAACTCCTCAAAGGTAGAATCTGGGCACAAGCTATCACCGTTGGTCTCATGGGTTTCTACGCTTTCAACTATTCTCAATCCATCGATGATGAGAACAGAAAGAAACAAAAGGTTATCTTGTCTTAAATAATCTATAGAGTATTAATAATAATAATAGTAATTTATATCTTTTTATAAAAAAAACAACAACAAAAAAAAAAAAAGAAAAGAGTTTATAACCGTGTATATAATAGTTTCAAAAACAATCATCTTCATCATCAACAAACAAAACAATCAATTAACACAAATAAAAACATCAACAACAACAACAACAAACATATAAAATAACTAATATGTACAAAACAACAATATAAACAACAAACAATATCACATTTTTAAATCAAATCATTCAAAATCTATCTATAATATAGTTTATAGAAAGATATAAAATCAACAAAACAATATCACAATTATAATCCCTTTCTAATTAAAGAATTATAATATTTAATAAACATTTTTTTAAAACATAGATTATTTTAAATAATCTATGCCTCAATATTAAACATAACATTTACTTGTAAATCTATATACATTTATTTGATTTATTTGTTTATTATTTGTTTTATTAAAAAAAACATTAGAATTGTTATAATTATATAACAAAAGTGTATAATGATATGTATGTGTTGTTGTTATTATTATTTTTGTTTTTAATTATTTAATTTAATTTAATGAATGACTTTACGTGATAATACAATAGCTAAAATTACTAAACCTAGGATTGCGCTGAACCAGAATGTACATGTTTGTCTGCTCTTTAGTTTCTTTTTATCTTTTTTACCTGTACAACAGGTGATACATGATACAAAGAAGGTCGGAATTGCAAAAGCAAATACAACACTGACCAACATGAGAATCGATGCTTTCAAACTCTTTTCGCTGCTGATGCTATATTCGAATGTGAAGTTAACGGGTGCCTCGTATTCCACATAGATAAGAACTTGACCTGCTTTGCTTGTCAACATTGGCTGTGGAGTGCTAGAATCGGTGATGTAGTGAGCCAATTCCTCGTCGGTCATCAACTCACCTGCTATAACAAACATCGTATTATTCTCGGCAATCAAACCCGACACCTGTTGGAAAGTCACGTAGATCTCAGTTGGATAGTAGCCAACACCGATATCCGGCATGATCTTCCAACAATACTGTGTAGAGTCTGCATTGACTGTGACTACACCGGAACTCGAAGTATATCTAGTGCATGTATCTAAATTTAATATATTAAATAAGCAATGAGTGTCATGAGATGAGTGTCAGTTTTTTTTTTCTTTTTCTTTTTCTTTTTTTAGTTTCTTTTTCTCAATATCCTATGTATCTGTCTATCTTATCTATCTTATCTATCTTTTCTTTTATTTAAAAGTAACGAACGAATTAACCTACCGTTTGTATATTGTGAATAACTGTTATCTATTAGAAAGCAACCAATCAATAATACAATTGATAGCAATGATTTATAATTCATTTCTTATTTATCTATATATGACCTATCTTATTATCTATAAATTTTTGTAATAAAAGAATATCAATATTGGAATAAATAAATATAAATAAAAATAAAAAAAAGTTTAACTTGTAAGGTGGTAGGCAATTATAATAACCCACACACCAAGTCTTTTTTGATTTTTTAATTAAAATTGTTTTTTTTTCGATCGATCGATCAATTTATGATGTTTTTAGGTTTTTTTTTATTTTTAATCGCAAATTTAAAGTACCATGATAAAAGATAAAAATAACAGATAATCTTTTTCATTTTAAAAATTTGTAATAGACTAATCTAAAAAGAAAATTGATAATTATATAACACCTATAATAAAATAACAAGTTTCTTTAGATCCATTCCAAACAATTTACTAGATTTTGTTCAATTAATTATATTTTTTTATTTTTATTTATAAATTTCTCAAAAAAAATCATAAAGTTCCACATCATTTATCTACATTCATTCAAGTTCCTCATCACATAGCTTTTTAAAATGTCTTTTCACTGTAATGTAACAAAAGATAAATTCAGTTATGGTCCTATTTGAAAATGGTATGTAAAAATATAACAAACAAGAATCTCAAGTATTCTGTTCAGTTGGTGGACGATAAAGGAAACAAATTAGAATCACAAAGGATATTACAATCAATACATGAATAAGTCTTCCAATGACAACAATACCAATAACCATGGGATACAAGTGGAGCAAATAAAAATGGTTGGGAACAAGATAATAAACAAGTATTTGGAACGTGGTTGACTACCCAAACATAGATCAGTTTATAGAAGGAGGACTTCCAAGAGAAAGACCTTATATTGATCGTTATTAATAGAAAATTGAATTATTTCAATCAATTAATAAAATCTGTTACAGAGCAGGTAGATTTTCACAAGGGACCTAAAATCAAAAAATCAAAGAAAAAAAATCTTTAGTTTTTGATCAAAATCAATAAAAAAACAAAAAAAAAAAATAGATAATTATTTTAATTATATATTATTATTTAATTTTTATTAATTAGTTAGGATTTTGAGAGTTTTTTAAAAATATTGAGGTTGAAAATGAATATTTAGAATTTGGAAATGATTAGTTCCTGAGTATTAAACTCAGTGAGGTTAAAAGATGGTAGAGTATAAATCTTATCATTAATGTGATTAATATTAAGATTAATAAATTGTTTAGTATTGGATTGTATTGATTGAAGTTGACCGTTCAATATTTTCTCTGGTTTCTCATGGGGATTGAAACGGTATTCCAAGATTCTAGGAATCTTATTCATTCTTTTTTCAATATCATTTTGGTAGTATTTTCTTATCACTATCCTTAACAGTCCCAGATCTGGTGTTGGAATAATCTGTGAGGTTCTGTCAATGTTTACTTCAAACTTGAGTTGAGAAGGTTGTCTCATTCTGCTTGTCTCTTTGGGGATTGAGGGGTACTCAATTTCCTTTTGAAGAATTCTTGGTTTAGTTGAATCTCTTTTTAATATTCTAATATAGGATAGAGATAGTTGGTTTGAGAATGGGGAGTCAATATCATCCAATCTATACTCCTTAGTAGCGCCGGTCTTTTGGAACACAGTTTCATGACACATTCTTATCCATTTCTTTTCTTTATCTCTTTCTTCAGTGTTTTTATAAAATAAAATTATAACTATAAATTCATCATTATCTAAAAAATTTCATTAATTAAACAATATATTCTTTAAAGTAATAATTTAACCTACAAAAGTTATCAATTGCAGTTTTTTCATCAGTATATACTTTTACTGGTTCGATTCTACCATTTTCAAAGTGCAAAATAAGATTATTATAGATTCCACCTTTGGCAATCTCTTCGAAAATATAATTAGTTTTAGTTCTTAAAAAAAGATCATCCATTATATTTTTTAATAGTATAAAATTTATATTTATATTAAATTAGAATTTTGTAATATAATTAATATTTCAATTTACAAATAGTGGATTGTTTATATATTTGTGAGTCGACTTTTATACCTTTCTTTTTTGATGTTAAATTTCAGATTTGGAATTATAGAGTGGGAATGGAATTTATTTTGTATAATTTAAACTCACTTGATTTTGGCTTTATTATGTAGAATACATAATGGTGTATACATAAAGGTTCACAATTATGTGAATATCAGAAGTGGGTGTGTTTGAAGTTATATATAGTGGCTTCTTGGAATATTGAATTTATAAATAAAAAATATCAGGATAATCCAAGATGAGTAATAATCAGATATTATTTAGATTTTTCGAATATTCGATGATCTTAATAATGTTTTATTTCGAATATCAATATAAAAAAAAAGATAATATGTTTAAACAAATCAAATGAGATATGATTATTATTCCAATATTCAAACTCAATATTATCAAAGTCCATAAGGTAATTTCATGTTAACAAAACTCTAAAGAATGAAATTATTAATTTAATAAAAGAGTACTATTTTTCCTTTGTTTAATTTTTATTCAATACACTTTAAATAAATTTAATTATCAATCCTACTCTTTATATTTTTGTATTATTCCTCTTTCAATTTCCTTACACTTTCCATTGAGTTTTGATATTGATATGTAATTATCTCTAATTTCATCTTTCTACTACATACTATTCTTTAATCCATTTTCAAACACTTTTTACAGTTTATCAATTTGATTCCCTTATCTGGACTTCTCTGACTTTTCACCCACTTTGGAAGTTGTTTTCACTACTTTTTTTTATCAATGTTTATATGAGAGTATCACAACATTCACACATCTCTAAAAAAGTGACAGGGGGTAACATGTTAACTTACTGCGATAAACTTGAATCCATATTGTTGATCATATAATAATCTACTGATATTGATAGAATCCATTATTTGAATTCTACTTTGTCGACCATTCTTGGAGTACGTCCACTGTACAACTACCTATACTTAATCTATCATTGTCTTATATATCTAACTATTATTGAAAACAAACTATGAGTGATTTAAAATAAATATTTAATATAATAACTCTTTATTTAATTATTTTAATGGATTGTTGAGGTATTTAAACAACTAAGGAAGCAAACTTTGTGCGTCTTGGTTTAACCGTATTCATGCTATGCTGAACCTTTAGAGTTACTTTTGTTTAGGAGATAATTGTTAGAATATTGAGTTGATTTTATTGATTGAAACTTGTATATCTTACATTTGATCAAATGTTTATTAATAATTATGTGAAGCATATTTCTTTCAGCACAAAAAAGGCAGTGCATAATGAAAGAAAAGCAATACCATACTTGGATTTGGATGCTAAGCAGACAGCATTCTGAGCTCTAAAAGATAGTTTGCTTTTGAAGATGAGATTCTTTGTGAAACAGCAATTCTGTTGATAATGTCGGGTCTGCTGTTAAATAGGTTGATCTGATCGATGTAGTCTTGATCTCTGTTGGTCGCCACCTTTTTCAGTTCGATTTTGCTGACCTCTCTCACTATGTGGTTTGAATAATAGACATTGTTACCTTCCTCCGACGAATCATCTTGATCCATATCATCGATATCATCATCGTCTACATCTTCAAAATCATCATCATCATCTTCTTCTTCTTGGAAATGTACATCAATAGCATCGTCTTCATTTGCATCTTCTTCATCATTAGTATTGTTATTATTTATATCAGCAATACTACTAGCGAATTCGTTGTTATTTGTAACATCCCACTCATAATGACCTAAATCTACTTCACCATCCTCACCGTTGTCAGTGAAGAAGTCGTCTGACATTACTTCATCGATTTCATTTTCATCTTCTTCTACTTCTACTTCTTCAAACTTTGAGTTGTTCAAACTTTCATTTTCATCTTCTAAATCTGAATCATTATTATTATTATTATTATTGTTATTGCTACCACTACTACTATTTTTATCTATGTTCATCTTTTATTCATTATTAAATTAATTAATCTACAGAGATTGAAAAAAGAATAAAAAAAAAAGAAAAGGTGTGTTATTTTTTCAAAATTAGATCTATAAAAAAAATATTAAATTTATTCTTTTTTTTCCTTTTAAGAGTTGCAAATAAATACTGAAACAAATTTAAAAAAAATAATGATAGATCTATTTTTTTATTTTTTAATTTTTATGACTTTTTTGAAAAATGAATTAAATTAAAGATCAAGTTTTTACTATTTTTGGTAATTTTTTTTATTTTGTCACCCTTACAACATATTGACATATTGGTGTGGTTTTGAACCAATGATAGACTACCTGCTGCATTCTACAGTTACTTTTCTATTTTATTCTAATTTTTAGCATAACATTGTATGTTGAACAAAATAACAAGTCAAGTAAGGTACAATATTTAATACAATAGTGCAAAAAATATATCAATCTTTTAGACAATAGATTATTTGGTTTTCAAGTTTGTAATTAACAAATTAAAAAAGTAAATTCAAATAATATTATTTTTGTATATATCTTTATTCATATAGAATTAGTATAAACTTATTATTTTATTTTTTTTAAAAAAAAAAAAAGAAATTTTATTTCAGTAAATTAATCAGGTAGGATTTAATTTATCATTTAATTTTATTTATTTTTTTAATTTTTATTTATTGTTTTTTTTTTTTTTTTTTTGTTTGACCGAAGTATAGTTTACATTATTTCCATTAAAAGATATAATAATAATTATAATATCGTTGTTGTTGTTGTTGTTAATTTGAGATATTGTCAATCCATACCATCTGACGACCACACTATGCTAGCAGTCTATCACATTGACCATTCATTAAGAGAATAGACAATTGTCATACATTGAAAATAAAATAAAGTTAATAATAACATAAAGATCGAACCAATGCCAACACGAAAATCAATATTTTAAATATATATCTTGTTCACAATCAAGTGACTTTGGTTATAATGGTAATCATATTGTTAGAAGTAACGATGTTACTATTCGTAGGAGTATCTCTATAACCATATGGAGTTGATACTATAATCACCATCTACAATAACATACTATGCAAACCAATCACCATATTGCACTAACAACATCACACATTAGTAACAATAGAATAAACAGACTTCACTGCCCTATTTAAAATTTATATCACAATCATATCACAAAAATGTATCATTTTTTTTTATTAATACACTTTGATAAGATATATCTATTCAATTTTTATAATTGTTACTATCATCATCTTCAGACTCATGCGTTATTGTTGTTGTTATCATCAAGTTAAATAGTGAAGAGGAATTAGACAGTGTTTCATGCTACTCTATTTCTATCGTTATTTAAAATGTTTGTTTGTTTGTTTTGTTTGTCTGTTTATATTGTAGAAAAAGAAGTGTATATATAAACTTGTGGTTGATTATGTGATTTTGATGGTGAGAAAAAAGGGTGTTGTTTTAAAAATACAACAACTCAAATCTCTGTAATAGCCCCACCATCAATCTTCAAAAAAAAAAAAAAAAAAGAAAAAAAAAAAAAAAAAGATAAAACACACACTATCTTTGAAAATGACTTTATGTAAATAAATTTTTTATAACTATGTTTTTCACTCTCTCTGAAAAAAAACTAACAAACAAAAACACACACCACCATCTAATTAATTAGTATTTTTTAATTAAAATTTTTACTATAATTATTAATAACAGTGTTTTTTAAGTATTCGTATTTTTAAAAATAAACACATTTTAATAATAAATATTCATTCATACATTATAAGTTCAAAGGAATTCAACCAAATCAACAAATAAACAAAAATAATAATAATTAAGAAACAACAACATCATATTCAATATCATATTCATATTCATCATATTTATATATCTTAAAGTACATTTTTAAAAATAAAATTAGAACAAACAAACACATTTTTAAAATATATTTTTTAAAAATTAAAAATTTAATTAAGAACAAACACACAGAGAACACAAACACACACATATAACTTTTTTATATATTTGTATATAGTTTAATTACACATTATTACATTTGTAATTGGTTTATTTATTTTTTTTTAAAATTTTTATTTACATACATACAAAAGAGATAATTTAAAAGTACCAAAGAGAAAGTGAGTGCATATAGATAGAGATAGAGAACATATAGCGTCAATTAGTTAATACCACAACCAATATTACTATTAACACCAATACCAAATTAAAATTTAAAATACCTGTAAATACATATTCGACTTTTAAAATTTATCTTTAAATATATGTATGTTTGTAACATCCGAATGGAAATATGAAATGTAGTGCACAAGCAATTTGACAATTTTGTTTTAAATCCACAGTCCAACTAATAACTTTTAATTTTATTACCAAAATCGTCACTCTTTTGTTTATCAATAATTTAATTTTAATTATCTATTAGTTGTACTAATTGTTTAAATAATTATTTTTCCAATTTCAAATACAACTTCAACCTTTTTTTATTATATTTTCAATCTTTAGAATTCAGAATCAATATTTCAACGAGTAAACAATTATAGTAGTAGAGTTGGATTTATAGGATAGTAGATTATTTTATTCAATTTCCCTATAAACTTGGATTTCATATGATTAATTTGTAAAACAAAAGGTAAACAATTGGAAATCATTATTGTTTTTTTCAAAAAAAAAAAAACAAAAATAATAATACAAGTTAATTCAACAAATTCAATTATTAGTTTTAAATTAAATAATGATGAATAGTATGAATACTTAGATTTACCATCTCCCTTTTTCACAACCTATCATATCCAATTATATCAAAATTAAAATCATTGGTCCAATTAGATATGGTACTTCATTTGAAATCCCGCCATTTAAAACACAATCTTTATCACCCCCCATTCGATTTAAATTCTTTATTTTCACCAACAACAACTACAATAACAAACATATTTCCTATTCATAATTATTATCTATTTCATAATAATATTTTAATATCGCGAAATGTGTTTACACAATAATTTCCAACAGCTTCACTAAAAGATACTACTCTAATCACAATGTCATTATCTCGTTAATTAATAGAAATCCAAACACAGTGAAAGACATACAACCTAATCTAACTACTAATTAATAACGTTGGTTTAAAAAAAATCAAACAAATAACAACATCTTATAAAGTCAAAACTAAAATATTCAAACACATAAATTCCACCCACATATTTACACACACTCACACTGCAATAAAAATTATAACAATACCTATTCAACACATACAGATATTATTGTTTTTTATTGTGTTTTTATTGTTTTTTTTAAAAATCCAACAGTAATTATTTGCATTTATACCACCCCACTTTGGGTAGAAGTAATACACCAACCACTTGTTCTTCTTTAATCTTAACTCCCAACTTAAAATTAAGTTAGTAATAATACATTGAAATCATCGCGATGCTAAACTCAGTATCAATTTTAATTTTGTTATGGCTGTAGTTGGTAGAGTTGAATAACCTTTTTGTTTTTGGGATTGTTTTTGTTGTTGGTGAATCAAGTTGCTAGCTTCCAATTCCATTTTCAATTTTTGTTGACATCCAGATTATCTATTGTTTTGTCATAGTTCTATTGTTTCAAACTTTGTTATTTGTACTAATTCAATATCATTGTTGTTACATTATAGTTTTTTGTTAATTTCACTTTTTGTTTTTTTTGTTATTTTTAAACAATTGTATTTTTATATATTTATATTATTTATTCAAAAATCCCCACTTCAGAATAGCTTATTTCTGTCACCATATACAACCTTTTGTCTTTATTTATTAATTTATTTACATTTTTGTTGTTTTGCTCCGTCGTAAAATAACTTTTTTCACACACAACAATAGCTATTGTTGGAATAGAATAACAATTACAAAACCAAATTTGGATATTAACAATTTAAACTCATTGTAAATAATAAATATTTATAGGATAATCCTTTTTGGAATTAACTAAATTTCAAAAAAACATTAGAAATAGAACAACAAAAAATAATAATATTTATTTAATATATATATACCAACCAATATTCCCAATCAATAAGAATGAGTCAACCATCATTCAAGAGAGGAACACCAGTGATGGACTCAGCTTACAGACCATTCAATAACAACTTTAAACATATACCTCAACAATCACAGGAATTTCCACATTCAGCTCCAGTCACTCCTAAATTTCATTATTCTAAAGAGTCTGTCAGTAATTTCAAAACCCTAACTCAATCACCATCGATAGCGAGCAGTAGCAATACAATAACCATTACATCACCATATAGTAGCAACAGCAACAACAACAACAACAACAATATGATAATACATAGAAATAGAGTGAATACCTCGAATAATTTACACAAGAATACACATTGCGAGAGCGAACCAGCTTCTTTTGCTATGACACCAAGATCCAACTATCAGTCGACACCAAACATGAACTATTCGCCAATGGATATTTCCTATTCACCATTTAATTTAAGTACTCAAACTCCAATGATTACATCGCCAATCGAATCATCCTTATCGGCCAAACAACTAGAGGATCTTCTGAGTCAATTCCCAGAGGAGATTTTAATTACCATTCTTTCCTTCTTGACAACTTCCGACCTTTACAGCTGTCTCTTTGTTTCAAAGACCTGGAGAAGACTATGTGAAGATGAATATATATTTAAGAGTATATGTCAATTTAACTATCCATGTTTACAGAGATATATAAAGCCACCATTTGAAACGTCTTGGAAAAGATTTTATCGTTTAAGAAAAGTAATTATAATAACATCTTTTTTATTATGAACAATTAATACTTACACTATTTATTTATTTTAGGGATCATTTTTAGTTTTAGGAGGACCTGTAGCACAATCTTCTTGTATGGATGATATTTGTTCAAAGTTAAGATCAGTTGGTATAAAGAGAATCGAACATTTCTATACTCAAAAGAGAATCCCAACTCTGGAGGAACTACAAAAGTATGCTGGTGTATTGGTGTACAGTTATAATTCATCGGCATTCATGTGTGGTCAAGCTATGGGTGATGTTCTCGCTGACTATGTCGACAATGGTGGTGGAGTTGTAGTGACTGTCTTTACAAATTGTAATAATCTGCGTAACGGATTCCTCAAAGGCAGATTCCTGGAACAGAACTACCATCCTATCACACCGTCCAGACAACACGACACCAACGGAAAGAAGCCACTGACTCTTGGAAAGGTATTCTTGCCGGAACATCCAATTATGAACGATGTCAAATCGCTAGACGGTGGCAGATCGTCGTTTTACTGTCCAGGAGCACTGCATCCCGATGCCGCTTTGGTTGCTGAATGGTCAAACAACTTCCCACTGGTAGCAGAGCTCAACAAAGGAAAAGGAAAAGTGGTCGCTCTTAACTTTTTCCCACCAAGCAGTGACACTGGTGACGCTAGATTCTGGTCGTCGGCCACCGATGGATCTATTCTCATGGGCAATGCACTGGCATACGTCGGTAAGAGTGCCATCCTAAAGAAATATAAACAGAGTCTCATTGAGGGAGCTACATTTTACAATGCACAGAAAGATGGTGAAGGAGCAAGCAACGGACTGCACGACAAAGATATGTACGGCCACAAGAGAAGTCCAAAAGAGAAAAAGCACAAGTTCCTTGGAAAGTTTGTCTTTAAATTGAAGGTTTTAGTAGGTAGTTCAGGGAGATTATAAAATAGTTTGAAAATATCCAGAAAATTTATATATATATATATAGAATATTATCATCTTTATTTAAAACAACAACAAAAACCTATAAACTTATAATAAACCTGATCTGCACACCCTTCTTCTTATTATATATTTAAAAAACAAAAACAAAAACAATTTACTCTTCTATCTCTTTGTTTTTTTATTAACTCTATAAATTTACGATACATTTATAAAAATAACAGAACAATAAGATCTTTAGATACGATAATTTTTTTAATATCCCATATGGTTATCAACCTCACCATTATAGGTAGACAAAACCTTCTTTTCACTCTCTTTAGTTCAATTGTCTATATCTTCAATCTCTGCATAATTGTCATTAATCTGATTAAATAAATTATTATTAAAAAATGTTATAAAATCATCATATCTCTTTGATTTTTTTTTTTAAATTATTCATTTTTTTTTTTTCTATTTTTTTTGAAAAGAGATTTTAATTTTGGTGGTGAAGTTCAAGGATTGAGGAGATTCTCTGTAAGTATTAATTAAAAATCAATTTAATTAGTTTGTGTATATATATCATTATTATTATTATTATTATAATTTATATAAAGAAAATAAAAAAGTAAATAATAAATAAATAAATAAAATATGACAGATAAAATTAGAGTATTAGTTACAGGTAGCAGTGGATTGTTAGGAAGAGCTTTCATGAGAACATTCGCTGGTTGTGCCGACAAGTTCAACGTGTTGGGTTTGGCATTTTCAAGATATGAAAAGTATAAGAATCAATTCCCTTTGGAGCATGTAGATATCAACGACCGTGTTCAATTGACAGACATTGTAAACCGATTCAAACCAGATGTAATTATACATTCCGCTGCTGAGAGAAGACCTGATATCTGTGAAAACGATAAAGATAGAGTAATTCAACTTAATGTTAAGTAAGTATTATATACATAAATATAATATATTCTTGTAATACTAATATCTTATTATAATAAATTATCTTTAAAAAAGATCAACAGAATTTATTAATGAATTGGCTATGAATGTTGGTGCTTATCTTGTTTTGATTTCATCGGACTATGTTTTCGATGGTGAGAATGCACCCTACAAGACAGACGCTCAAACTAATCCACTTTCATTCTACGGTGAGACAAAGAGAGCATCCGAAGTTGTTTGTTTAAAGAATCCAAGAAATGTATGTTTTAAATATTAAAACAATATAAAAATAATAATACACCGATTGTCTTTTCTATAAAACTAATAATTGAACAAAGATAATTCTTAGAGTACCTGTATTATATGGACAAGTTGAAACACTATCAGAGAGCGCTGTAACCGTAGTCGCAGAACAGATCAAAAAGAATGCAAACGTTGAAATCGATAATTGGCAAGTAAGTGGAAAACTAAATATGATTGTCTTTTGATAATTTTTATTAATATATTATTTATTATCTTTACGTATGTATATATATATATATATAGTTAAGATACCCGACATTGGTAGATGATGTTGCTAAATGTACATTAATGTTAATTTGTAAAAAGAAAGAGAATGGTGATTCAATTTCGGGAATCTATCACTTTACCGATAATCAAAAGCTTACTAAATATGAAATGGCCGTTGTAATGGCAAAGGTTTTAGGTATCGATGCCTCGCAGATCAAGCCTGGAAACAGTAAGCCTTCTGGTGCACCAAGACCTTATAACGCTCAGTTAGACACCACGGCAACATCCCAACTCATCGGTGTTTTGCCATCGACAAATTTCGAGACTGCTATCACCTCAATCCTTAACAACACACCATAAGTAAATACTCATTTTAAAAGTGTAAAATGTAATTACTAAATAAATAATAAAAAATGTAAAAAGTATTCCAGAAACAATCCAAAATAAATTGTCTTAATTTGGAATTCAAAATTTTGATTAAAAAAAAATCTAATAATATCTAAAATTGTGAATAATACTATTTGTTACAATTAACGAAAGATGTTTATCTGTATAGTAACCATCCATATCTAATTTTTATAATAATATCATATAAAATACAAATCTACATAGATAGTTAATTTTAATGTCCAAAATTAAGCAGTTAATAACAAAGACATTTTGTACATTAAATCAACTTGATCTCAATGAAGAAAATGAATTCTCATTGATTTCTTCTTTTATCTTTAAGGTATTTATACTACTTTCTATCTCTTAGATTTTTTTGGTTTGTAATTAAGAACAGATCATTAACATTAACATTGTAATTCATCTAAATAGATGGCCAGTGATAAAGATAGTAATATCGATCTGTTTGATGATGTTAAGCAATGTATTTCAGAATATTTCAGCCAGATTAAATCTGATAAGACATCGGTCGATCAAACGTTTATCTCAAAAGCAATGAATACACCACTTTTCAATGATGCTTGTTACATCGGTTACCTACTTTCATTCTGTGATCATAATGATGTTTTAGATGTTATTATGCATATCTTTTTGAAGAGTATAGAGATAGAATATTCATTCAGTACCATTCAACGTTTTAAATTGTTAAACAAATCGCTCGACATTGAATCTTATTTTTTTAAGAGTATCGAGGACGAACATAACAACAAAAACTGTATTTCAAATCTTTCAATTCATAACAAGACATTATTATTATGGTATATATTGAATGACAATGTTAGTTTACTTGAACAAATTATTAAAAACGATAAATTAATATTTTGGTATGTTACTTACTTTATTGACAACCATTTACTTTAATATTAACTAACTTAATGTTATTCATTTAAGTATTTTGGGTAACGATGATGCACAATCAAATGAATATCTTACATTCTTTAGTATTCTGATGAGTGTTGGATGGCTTAATCCTCAGGAGAAAGTCGATGAAGAGCACCAACACTGGCTGAATAAAAGAGTAAAAGTAAAGCAAAGCAATATAATCGATTTGTTTTTATCAAGCAGTTCAAACAAAAAGATACTGGTTGGCTCTTTGTTTAAAATGAATTCATTCTTTATCAGAGATGTCAGCGTTGATCTACAACGATTGGAAACACCAGAGTTTGGAGAGATGATGATTCGTCAATTTCCATTACACGTTGGAATAAGGAATTTGGAATCATTGCTTATTTTCGACATCTACAGAGTGAGATCCATTGAAATGCCTTCAAACCTTTTTAATCGTCTTTTGGAATATATCAAATCGAATGATGTCAATATTACAAAAGTATTGTTAAGGAAACTATACATAAATCACTGTGGCGACGCTTTATCCAAGATATTGTTGTATTTCTATCAACGAGTTAAAGAGCCAGCTATACTTAGAGTATTGTTTAAATCACTCATTCTCATGGAATCATTGGATCGCGAGTTAATCATAAGTGTTCTGACACCATTCAAACAAGAATTTCTTGAATTTTTTAATAATCGAGATTATTCCAACTGGTGGACTTGCCAAGATCTTAGTTTGCTTTTATCCTATCGAATTAAATTCCTCAGATTTGCTTCAAGATTCTTCACAGACCAAAAGCATTTACAGATCTTTGAAACTGGGTATTTTAATCAAAATTCATTCAAATTTTGTAAATTCGCTCTCTCTTTGCCATGTACAACTACAACCAGTAAAATATTGGACAAAAAGATTAATACTATGCTATTTAAGGACATTGGTTCGATGAAATTTCTCCTGGAAATCGAGAGTATTGACAATGTCGTGGTGTTTTTAGAGTTATTGTACGCGAAATTCCTCGAAGATTTTATTCAATTAGATCCATTCTTTTCAATTGGTTTCAAATTGTTTGAAAAGATACATAATCATGATCCAACTTTGATCAGTAAAATATTCAAAAAGTTAGATGACCGAATTGCTTTCAATATCTTATCATATCAACGATCATTTTCATATATCAATCGATTCTTTCCGGAGAATCAGAAATCACAATCGTTTTTTATTGGCTGTATCACCAAACCTACACGAACTCTCACTTATGTGATTCTTAAGCATATCATTTCAATGTTACTCTTTGATAAATACATGGACACGAAATGGAAGGTGCAGCTTTCAATGGTTTCCAAAGATTTCTTTAATTGTTGTTCATCACTCTTTACCAACATCCCAAATGTGACCATCCGAATTGAAAGTACTATAGATCATATTGGATCGAAATTTTGTTTATTCAAGAAACCACCACCTCACTTGGATTGTACGGAATTGAAGTATATTCCCCTTATTCATATTTCAGAGTGTATTGACAATCTAGAATCCTATAAACAAATTGCATTTGGATATCAGGAAAAGACACCAAATTTCAAAAATTTGAAATTCCTAAAATTCCTAGCAATAGGACCCGGAGGGAGTGTCCAATTTCAAAGCATGCTTCACTCCAACAAAGATCAATTGGTTTCCGTGGAATTAATAACGCAATCAAACTCATTATTGGTGAGTGACGCAATGTCATCTCTTCTGGAACTCAGAAAATCCAGACCCAATGTCAATATCTCAGCATCTCCGTCATCACATTCTATCTCAATTGACAAACCTGATCAACACTCTCTGATCACAACTTGCAGTTATGATATTGACCTCTCAAAGAATATAATTCTTTCCAATCTTAGAAAGATCGTAGTCGGTCCTAAGACACAATATATATGTAGGAATTTTGATCATATGTCGCATATCTTTCAGACCTCTCCGAAATTAAGCTCGATCACACTCAATCAAACTCTAAATCTCGATTTCTTCATTGGATTCATCAATCTGAACCCAAACATATCGAAATTGACTATCCAATATAATATTGGTGTAAACGGACAAAACAAGATTGATCCCATTTCGTTAGCAACCGAGTTAAATCAAATTTTCGATGTTCTGAATCAAGAAAAAAGCCAACAAATTAAAATTGTAAAATTGATTTACATTGGTTTAAAGCAAAAAGAAATCTATATTCCAATGTTAAATCAATCAGTTTTATCAGCCAACTCTTTTAATATTGGGAAGTTTGAACCTATTGGAGATCAACTTTATAAATTCAAAAGATCAACTGATTAAATAAATATTAAATTTTTGACTTTTAGTTTTTTTTTGCAAAACAAAACTGGCTCCCAACAACTTTCGCCTGCGCATTAATTTTAAAAAAAATGTTAACATTTTAATGTTAAAAATTAGTGGGGTTAATGTGATCAGATTTTATTTTATTCGATTTATGGTTACAAGCAAGAGCCAGTTTTGTTTTGTAATTGGTCGGTCGACAAATAATAATTTTTCTGTTTAATTATCATTGACCTGATTTAAAGAATAAGATATAACAATAAAAAAAAAAGTAGATGATCACAAATAATAATACTATAATATTTAGGTTTTCACATTTATTATTAGCAGAGATTACAAATAATCTTGTGAGCAACTTGGATAAAATATGCTTTAGTTTAGTTTGTAGAAAGTGGTTCTATGAAAGAGACAAATATCTTGTTTTACATTATAACTCTAATAAACTAAATAATTTCAATTTCAACTCCTTCGGAAATCAATTAAAATTTCAAGATGTTATTAAAAGTAAATAGAAATTTAATAGCAATGTTAGTGAATTAAAAACAAAAGAAAAAGAAGAACTAATTATACAATTGACAATATAAACAGACAAGGAATTAGAGATCGAAACTCTGAAACTTGGATACGTTTCAAACAGGTCGACAACTAAACCATCTACTTTCCCAAAATATGTTCGTCACATCGAATTCAACTCGTTTGATGTAGTGCTACCTATTCAACTGCCTCATAATCTAGAGGTTTTCATTTGTAGATCGAATGATCAAAAATCATTTGCTATCGAAACAACTTTGATTCCTTTACCACCGAGACTACACACTGTACATATAACCTCAAAGCAATTAGAGGGCTTTAGTATGATGACATCGATTACAACCATGAAAATCAGATGGCTACACAACTCTGATAGACATCTAGCTTCAAGTGATCTTCCTCCATCTTTGATCAACTTAACCTTAACGGTGTCTAATCCATATATCGCTCGCTATGGAACTGGCTTACTGATCAACAGAGGTGTATTACCAAAGTCACTTAAACACCTAATACTTGGAATGAATATTAGTTTAGAATCACAAGATATTATTACTCAGCTTACATCGTTGGAGAGTCTCAACATAGAGATGTCTCCACATTTCAAAATCAAACTACCACAATCACTTAGAAAGTTGAAATTACCACAAAACTTTAACAATGCTATCGATGTGCAATACATACTACCTGATAACTTGGAATCATTGGAATTTGGTTGTAACTTTAATCAAAAGTTATCATACGGTGATCTTCCTGCCAATCTGAAAGAACTCATTTTAAACAGTTCGTACAGTGCAGAGATAACAGTTGGTTCATTCCCAAAGGGTTTAGAGACATTAGATCTTGGTGAATATGTTAACCCGATTGCAAAGAAAGCATTCCCTGCCTCGCTAAGAACAATTCATCATAGTTTCACTTACTATGCCAGTAAACTAGGAACACTTCCTGATTCAATAACATCATTAATCTTGGATAAACATTATCATTTAAGAAGACACACTACCAATTGTTTCATTGTATACTATCTTTATGGACAAACAATGAAAGGTGGATTCACAGATATATCATCACTCGAGAATCAACTTATATTAATAAATTAAATTTATATTTTTTGTGGTTAAAAAAAGAGAAATTTTTTGACCAATCTGGATGATAAAAATATTTGTACTTTTTAACATTTAAAAATCTTATAAAAAAAAAATAGATGATCACAAACAATAACAATAATAACAAAACTATAATCTATAACTTGTCACATTTATTATTAGCAGAGCTTACAAATAGTCTTGCCAGCAACTTGGATAGAATATGCTTTAGCTTAGTTTGTAGAAAGTGGTTCTATGAAAGACACAAATATCTTACTTTACATTATAACTCTAATAAACTAAATAATTCCAATTTCAATTTCAACTCTTTCAGAAATCAATTAAAATTTCAAGAATCAACGTCAATAGTTATTAAAGGTATTATTAGTATAAAGCAATAAAAATTAATATCGAACCAACATTTTAACATTGAATTAAAACAATCAATAGAAAGAGATGAAATACCTAGACAACAGACACTGACAACAGCCAAAGAATTAGAGATCATCGGTAGAGTAGCCAACATTTTCTTAGGCAAGTCGGAATCTATGATTGCTACGTCTATGCCAACAACAACAACAACCAAAAAAATACCTGCTAGCATTAAATCAGTATCGTTCATTCATCCAGTTTATGACGATTTACCTTTGCTTCCTGATCGAATCGACACTCTTATCCTTGATAGCTTTACAAACAAGTCGACGACCAAACCAACTACATTCCCAGAATCTCTTCGTTACCTCGAACTCAACACATTGGATGTAGCACTACCTATTCAACTTCCTCAAAATCTAGAGGTTTTAATTTGTAGATCGAATGGTCGTAAACCATTCGCTATCGAAACAACTTTGATTCCTTTACCACCGAGACTACACACTGTAAATATAACATCAAAGCATTTACAGTATTTTAGTATGATGACATCGATTACAACCATGATAATCAGATGGCCCCACACCACTGAAAGACATCTAGCTTCAAGTGATCTTCCTCCATCTCTGACCAACTTAACCTTATCAGTGTCTAATCCATATATCGCTGGCTATGGAACTGGCTTACATATCAATAGCGGTATATTACCAAAGTCACTTCAGCACCTAACACTTGGAACTAATATTAGTTTAGAATCGCCAGATATCATTACTCAGCTTACATCGTTGGAGAGTCTCAACATAGAGATGTCTCCACATTTCAAAATCAAACTACCACAATCGCTTAGAAAGTTGAAATTACCACAAAACTTTAACAATGCTATCGATGTGCAATACATACTACCCGATAACTTGGAATCATTGGAATTTGGTTGTAACTTTAATCAAAAGTTATCATACGGTGATCTTCCTGCCAATCTGAAAGAACTCATTTTAAACAGTGCCTACAGTGCAGAGATATCAGTTGGTTCATTCCCAAAGGGTTTAGAGACATTAGATCTTGGTGAATATGATAAACCGATTGCAAAGAAAGCATTCCCTGCCTCGCTAAGAACAATTCATCATAGCTTCACTTACTATGCCAGTAAACTAGGAACACTTCCTGATTCAATAACATCATTAATCTTGGATAAACATTATCATTTAAGAAGACACACTACCAATTGTTTCATTGTATACTCTCTTTATGGACAAACAATGAAAGGTGGATTCACAGATATATCATCACTCGAGAATCAACTTATATTATTCCATTAAAAAATTAACACACTCGTATATTTATGAATTAAATTAAAATAAAATTTTTATTTATGTAACATATGTGTAATTTCATTTTATCCCTCCCTCCAAAAAATGAAAAATTTTACACAGCTTTTGCAAAGATAATGCGAGAATATAAAAAAAGCTTTGCAAAAAATATACCCAACCTATAAAATGAAATAACACACATGAGAATTAAATTTTATAATAGTTAAATTTAAATAATTAAAGTTTAATTTAGAAGTGTTTAAAAGGAACACACACACAATAGAGTTAAAACTAAATCATAACAAATTTTGATAATATTTTAAATCATTTTTACATCTGCTCAACAAATAATTCAAAATGATTGCAAACAAGAACTATAAGAATAATAATAATTCTAAAAATAATTCTAAAATCTATAGTTTCTCTCATTTATTATTGGCAGAGATTACAAACAGATTTGAAAACATCTTGGATAAAATATGTTTTAGCTTAGTTTGTAGAAAGTGGTTCTTTGAAAGAGACAAATATCTTGTTTTACATTATAACTCTAATAAACTAAATAATTTCAATTTCAACACTTTCAAAAATCAATTAAAATATGAAGATCCAAAAATAGTGATTAAAGGTAATAACAATTTTATAATCATTTGTTTTGTTAATATAACTAACATTTTAACATTGAATTTAAAAAAACAAACAGAAAGAGATGGAATATATAAAGTACCGATCACCGCTAAGGAATTAGTGGTCTATGGCTATGAAATATTGGATAATGGTTTCTTTGAGAAGTTGGACTCTTTGAGTATTACATCGATTTCAATCATTAATGTTGAGTTAAAGATGTCTGCCATGGCTAGATCGTTGTCAATTATGTATGCATCTCAGGAATCAGACTTTCCAAAGATTCCAGATAAAATCCATACTCTTAGGTTTAGGAAAATCTCAAACAGGTCAAAGAAGAAACCAACTGAATTCCCAGCATCTCTCCGTCATCTCGAATTCCACACGTTAGATGTGACCCTACCAATTCGACTTCCTCATAGTCTAGAGGTTTTCATTTGTTACTCAGATGACCATAAACCATTCAATTTCGATACTACTTTGACTCCTTTTGCACCGAGACTACACACTGTGTTTATAGCCTCAGATCATTTAGATTACTTTTGTATGATGACATCGATTACAACAATGGATATCAGATGGCTACACACCCCTGTAAAACGTCTAGTTTCAAGTGATCTTCCTCCATCTCTGACCAACTTAAGCATTTCAGTGACTAATCCTTTTGTCACTGGCTATGAAACTGGCTTACTGATCAACAACGGTGTATTACCAAAGTCACTTCAGCACCTAACACTTGAAATGAATATTAGTATTGAATCGCCAGATGTCATTTCTCAGCTTACAATGTTGGAGAGTCTCAAAATAGAGATGTCTCCACAATTCAAAATCAAACTACCACAATCGCTTAGAAAGTTGAAATTACCACAAAATTTTGACAATGCTATCGATGTACAATACATTCTTCCCGATAACTTGGAATCATTAGAATTTGGTTCTAACTTTGATCAAAAGTTATCGAAAGGTGATCTTCCTGCCAATCTTAAAGAACTCATTTTAAACCGTGCCTATAGTGCAAAGATATCAGTTGGTTCACTCCCAAAGTACTTAGAGACATTAGATCTTTGTGAATATGATAAACCGATTGAAAAGAAAGCCTTCCCTGCCTCTCTAAGAGAATTACGTCATAACCTCACGTACTATGCCAGTAAACTAAAAAAACTACCTGAATCAATAACATCATTAATCTTGGATAAACGGTTACACTTCAGAAGATACACTGCCAAATGTTTCATGGTATATTGTGAAAATGGAGAAGCAATCAAAGGTGGATTCACAGATATTTCATTACTAGAGAAACAAATTATATTAATAAATTAAAAAACAAAAACTAATTAATAAAAATAAATGATCAGCAATTCGCATAAATAAATACTCACATTGTTTTTATATTCATTTTGAAAAGACTAAAGTATGAGAAATAGAGTGAAATAATATCTATGTTTTTTCTATTTGTGGGAAATTTCCTTTGTTTTTCGATTTGTTTGGTGACTTTTATCGATTTTCAAAATTTATTTATTTATTTTATTACATCTAGCTTGTCAGAAATGTCATCAAGAAATAAAGATAGTGAAAGAGATAGATATAACGATAGAGAATCTGATAGAGATAGATATAGAGATAGAAATAATGATGATCGAAAAAGTAGAGATAAAGATATAGATAATAAAAATAATAATAAGAGTAGGTGGGATGATGACGGTGATAGCGACAACGATAAACATAGAAATAATAAAAGTACTAGCACTAGTAAAAAGAGTTCTTCTTACTCACAAGAAGATGAAGATCATAAAAGATTAAGAGAAATTCAAAAGATTAATGAAGGTCGACGTAGTAGTAGTAGTAGTAGCAGCGGTAAAAGCAGTAGTAGTAAAAGTAATAAAAATCATAGACATAATCCATATGGAGGTCATAATCATCAAAATGACGACGACGAATTTGAATATGGAAAGAAGAAGAACGATGATCATGATGACGATGACGAAGCGGAAAGAAGAAGAGAACAACGAAAGAATAAAGAGAAACCAGATTTCAAACCATCGGGTATATTGATGGATGACTACGCTGCTAAGCAAACAGAGTCTGGTCAGTCGAGTAACGGTAGTAAGCCTACTGCACCCGGTGTAACTAAAAAGTGGTTCGAACCAAGTGAAGCACGTTTGTCACCCTACAAATGGATACTCTATCCATTCAAGAACAACGAGCCATTGGAACCGTACTCTCTAGACACCAGAAAATCATATCTAATCGGACGTGACCGAACTGTATGCGATATTCCATCGGAACATCCATCTTGTTCATCTCAACATGCAGTTATAGTACATAGATTAGTATCAAAAAAAGAAAAATGATGACAATGATGAAGATGACGAAAAACAAATCAAGTAAGTAATTTTTAAAAAAGCTTATCAATATACCATAAATAACTAATTATATATATATTATTACAATGATATTTATATAGACCATATCTAATAGATTTAAATAGTACCAATGGAACAAAGTTAAATTCAGAAAGTGTGGAGACTTGTGTATATATTGAATTAAGATCAAGAGATTTATTAAAGTTTGGAAATTCAACACGAGAATATGTATTGTTACACGAAAACGATATAGATAGTGATTGATTTAACATACTATTCAAACTTAATAATAATAATAACATCATATCATTTATTAATGATTCAAAATAAGAAAAACACCTCACCTTAATTTATTAATTAAAAACCAAACCAAACCACACCATAGTAATTATAATATATTTAATTTTAAAATTCAATCAAATAATAATAATAAGAAGTTACTATTATCTGTTTATATCATTTTTTCAGTATATCTTTATCTATGTTTTTTTTTTTTTTGATAAATTAAAAATAAATAATAAAAAGAGGAAAAAAAAAAGTGTAGGTTGGGTTATTATCACGATCTAAATCACACACAACAACCCATTTTATTGCTATAAAAAGCAAATATATAACTACTTTATTTTTTTTTAGTATTATTTTTCTTTTTTCAATCAATTAGATTTGTGTGATAATACAACTAAAAATAAATAAACACCAATACAACATGTAAAGCACATTAGTAAATATATGTTTGTTTGTTGTTGTTTTTAGGGTTGTGTATCAATCATTGCAAAACACACTACAGAGTTAGTTTTTAACAATATTTTCAACACAAATCAAAAAGGGCAGTAACATAATAATTTTAATTAAGTCAATTAATTAAATTGAATACAACTAGAGAAGAAGAATTATTTTTTTTTGAAATAGAAATCATTCTATCAATAAATTAATCAATCAATCAAAATAAATACTATTTGGTTTCTTTTTCTTTTTTTTTTTTAATTATATGTTTGTTTTAGTTTTATAGTTTTAAATTTATATATGAATGGGTAATAAACAAACAAAAAAGATACAATCAGTTTCACAAATATTTCCACATAATGTTGTCGATCAGAATCAGAAATTTAAATGTTATCTAATTGTGAAAGATCATCATTATTCAGTTGTGTTTGACCTTAAAGGTGAATCGACACCTGAATATGTCATTGGAATAGAATCACATGTAGTTTTATATAAACGTACTTCCGAAAAGCCAACTGTCAATCTTAAATCGGTACGAAATCAACTTAAAAGAGAGAGTCTCAAGATTTTCAACCTAGGTTTGTTCCAACCATCAATTATTCTGGAGCAAAGAGAGCAAGATCTCACTGCACTAGAGTTCTTTCACTGGGCCATGGTACGATTTGGATCAGAGTACATTGGAGACGAAAGTGGAGAGTGGTCAAGGAAATTCAATTGCCAGACCTACGCAGAATTCTTGGTGAATGACATGAGATTAAAATGGCCTAAAGAAGTAGAAATATCAACGGAGCCATTTAAATGTGGACATGATTGAAAAATAAAATAAAATAAAATAAAATAAAAATAATTAAATAATATTGTTGTACATAAAATAAATAAAACAAATATAATTACCTAAAAAAAGAAATAAAAATTCGCATGATAGCATTAATCGGAAACTTTGACCAGGAAGTGCTAGCTTTTATAGCAATAAAATGGGTTGTTGTGATTTAGATCGTGATAATAACCCAACCTACACTTTTTATTTTCCTCTTTTTGTTATTTTAATTTATCAAAAAAAAAAAAAACATAGATAAAGATATCTTGAAAAAATGATATAAACAGATAATCCGAAACATAATGAATGGGTAAAAGAGTAATGGTGGTGGCGGTAAAATAGATAGGAAATAAAGGAGTAATGTAATTTTGTTTATTTTTGATGTCTGATATAATAATACTTGTGTTTTTGTTGTATTATTATATTGAATGATGATTATTTTGAATATTTGGGGGGTCAAGATTATATATAGCATGAGTTTTGAATGCTACATCAGGACGACTATATTATAGTATTGTTAGTAATATTCGAATAATTAATTTACAATTATAACATACTAATGTGCATTTATTTGTAATAGTCGAAACTCTGATCTTGCACTACAAACAACTCCAAGGTTGTTCTGATCATTCCAATTTGAAACCTGTCTAACAAACTCGGCATTCTGACTTCCAGGCTTTTGTGCTATATCTCTTACCCAGAGGATATCTGTACCTTTGTATTCAATTAGATGTGTCTCTCTATTAAGTTTCTCAATCTTGTGAAGTGGATTATAATGAAGAGGGAAAATTGGTAAACAACAATTTAGGTTGTGTAGGAAAAGAGGAGAAAAGTCTATTTGTGTTGCAACAGGAATATCTACAAATCTCTTTTGGTAATTATCTGATGGTAAATGATTGATATCTACAAACTTTTCATACTGATTAACAGAAATGTTCCAAGGTAGTTCTATAGTTACAACAGAGTGATTGATTATTTGTGGATTGTTTAAAAGATTATTATTATTATTATCCATGATAGGTAAAAGAATTAAAGAGAAATGAATTTATAAATTTTGTTTTCTAAATAAAAATAATTATTATGTTAAATTTTTTCAATGATAGTGGTTGTGGCTGTTTTTCATAAATTTCTTTTTCTTAGTTGTCGAAACAGAGATTAATATTATAAAAAATATCAAACCTTCTTGGATTTTAATAAAAATTAGATAAATAGAAAACATTTTTATAGTAGATTTAGAATATAAAGTTTTATTCTTTACAAAAACTTTGAAAATTTTGCCTTTATATTTAGTTGGGGAAAATGAGTTTTCCAATCTGCATCAGAGTTCGGACCAAACCCGAGAGATCAAAGAATACAGAGACAGACATATTTATCAATTTTATGAAAGATTCAATTAAATTCTCAAAGATCTTCAATCAAAAATTAGTGTTCAAAAAATGGTTATTGTTATATGGGAAATTTATATGAGAAAATCGAATGATTAGCAACTAGCGGAATAGATATTTAACAAAGGACCTGATTAACACTAGATTAAATAAAGTTATTATTATTTTGTGTCTAATGCAAAGATTTTTTATCTTGAACATCTATCAGAGTGAGTTTTTTTCTTAAATACTTCATTTTATCAATTATAATTGCAAATAGTTCGAAAAGGAAGAGTGTTTTTAGTGTTTTATTGCTTGTGCTAATAAAAGATGATTTTGAAGGACTGAGAAATTTGAAAAATTTTGCAAAAAAAATTAGAAAAAAAAAAAATTATTAATAGTCAGTTATTTAATTCCCTTGTATATAGAAATATTTAATAAATTAAATATTATCCTAACTGAAATCAGTTATAATTCCTTATTTCCTTAAAGAAATCAACAAAAAATTGCATTGCGTCTATTATTATTACATAAATATTTATTCAAATAGTTTTATTATTATTTATATATCATAATTATGAGTACTGAGTCACAATGCCCTTTTTGTGGAGATTTATTCAACCAAATAACTCTATTTCAACACAATCCTAAATGTTATTTCGATTTCTTCTCAAAAAATGGGATTACTCCACTATGCACATGTAGTACTTGTAAAGGAGAAAGTACACACTCTTCTTCTGAATCCAAAGAAGCAAAAACAACAACAACAACAACACCAACATCATCTTATTCCCCTATCAGTCTTCCAAACACAGTTGATTATGTAGTGAATAAGCTTTTAGATTTCAAACAATGCAGAGGTACGAACTGTGCTGTTTGTAACCAAAAGATTACCAAATCTCCTTTTGGTAAGATTAGAATTGGTAACATGATAGTAATTCAATGCAGGAAATCTCATGTAGTCGAAGTATGTATATATTGATGACCGCCTTTGTTATGTTTTATTAACAATCCTATTAATTAAGGCAGGTGAGGCTACTCTTTTACTTGGCATTCTCAACAATTATGTAAATCTTGTGGAGCAAAATGGTGATGATTACCAACCTGGTGGCCAATCAATATTTGACATTGATTTCGACAATATTGTCAACGAAGAAAGAGAGGAATCTGAAGCTAACAGTTCAGAAGAAGATGATGAGGAGGAGGAATCTGGTGAAGAAAACTCTGATAGTGTTTCAGTCCCAAACTGTTGCGCTAAGATCAATCAGCCTAACAGCCATAAGAAGAGACCTTGTAAGTTGCCAGCCAATCGATTGTGTAAATACGAGTACATTGACGGTACTGTGGTTGTTACAAAGAGCTTTTGTAATATGTATCATCTTATAAAATACTTAGTCGCTCTCTCTGCTAGAGGTAAGTTTATAAATGACTCTGCATCACCAAAGAAGAAGAGAAAGACAACAAAGAATGTCAACAAAGATGATGATGGTGATGATGATGACGATGATGGAGAGAATGATGATGGTGAAGATGATGAAAAAAATAATAATAAAGGAAAGAAAAAATCAGCGGTGAAGATCAAGATCTATTTTTCTTTGTAACCCCATTATAAAATTAAATTGTTGATTTATTTTTCATTTTAAATTAAGCACAACCAAAAAAAAAATTTTTTAATCATTTTGTTATATTTATTGTTATTCAATGATACAATCAAATAATAATCAATATACAACGAGTGAAAGTGATTCACAAGATTTGGAGCTGAAGTTTGACAATGACTATAATGAGACTGTACACCAAGGATCTATTCAAGAGGAATTAGTTGGGTCTTTAACATTTGGAAAATGTTTCGATTGTCCGATTCTTCCAGGTGCGCTACCACCTACTCTAAAGTCATTACGGTTCGGTGCTAACTATAATCAAGAGATTATAGAAGGAGTATTGCCAGAGACACTTGAGAGTTTGAAGTTTGGTGACAGTTTTAATAAACCAATTATGCTTGGAGTCTTACCTCAATCTCTTAGATCAATAATATTCGGAAAGAACTTCAATCAGCCTATTGAAATTGGATCACTACCCGAGAGGTTAGAGTATCTAGAGTTTTATGATGATTTCAATCAGCTATTACTACCCGGTTGTCTACCATCATCGTTGAAAACTCTCATCTTCTACTGGCATTTCAACCAACCAATTCACGTCAACGTACTTCCAGAGAAATTGGATTCTCTAACACTAGGACCAGACTACAATCTACCAATAGAAAAGGATGTACTACCCAAGTCTCTAAGAGTTTTGAACTTTGGTTTATATTATAATCTGCCTATTCTGCCAGGAATTCTACCCAATTCCATTACCGAGTTGAGATTCGATTGGTTCTTTAATCAACCTATCTATGAATTACCTTCATGTTTAGAGGTGTTAAGATTGGAAAGAGACTACAATATTCCATTACCAGTGTTGCCTCCAACTCTTAAATCATTGTCTTTGGGTACAGAGTTTGCCCAAGTAATAGAACCAGGAATTTTACCAGAGTCTTTGACAAATCTATCTTTTAGTGACAAATACAACTATCCAATTCTTCCTGGAACATTACCAAAATCTTTAATTAAACTTTATTTTGGTCATTACTTCAATCAAGCATTGGGGCCAGGTCTTTTGCCTGCATCACTAGAAATCCTGGCCTTAGGTGCAGAGTATTCGCATCCAATTGTACCAGGAGTATTTCCACCTTCACTTTATATATTAAACTTCAATACCAAGACCGATATTCCAAAGGGAGTATTACCACAGTCTTTGAAAACTCTGGTATATTCAAGCACTTTTCCAATTATTTCGGGATCGCTGCCTGAATCTGTCGAATCAATAGAATTTGGTTTTCAATATAATCATCCCATCAAAATAGGCGATCTCCCAAACCGGTTGAAATCGTTAAAGTTTAATGATAACTATATGCAAACCATCCATTTCGATACACTACCTTCATCACTAAAGTCATTCAACATAGGCAAGAATACATATCAAGTGGACTCATCTTCAAGAGGAGAGATCCTAAGTCGCCCAATTGAATGTTCAATTAAGAGTTATGCTGCAGAAAGTTTTTTAAATATAGAGTTGCATTTCAAAAACATAACTAGTCATATATTAGTTGTAATAGTAACATTTGGAAATGAATTGTTAGTTGAACAGGTTGGGGAAAATACAAATCATGAACTAAAGCTAACTGGTTTGAATATAAACAACCATGATATCAATATGGTAATATTGAAAAATAATGATAAGTGGATATTGAAACGATTACAAATCTTAGCAACAAAATCAGCATATCATGTTATCACAATTAATTCAGTGAATAATTATATAAGTAATTTCCAACCTGATTTGTTTTTCAATGAAAAAACATTCATAATTAATTCCAAACTCTATTATTACATCACCAAGTTTTCCCAAAGTTTAAATGAAGTTTATTTAGTTATCTCTAAAGATACAAATATGTTGGTAAATTTTTAATCATAAAAATTAATTAGGTATTTTTTACTAATAAAAAATATTATAGTGTGCCTACAAAATAAATAAATATGAAGATCGACCACCAAGTTATTATTCTAGGTTAGCTAATGAAGTAATAACAATGACACTACTTTCAGGAAAACCAAATTTTGTTCAAATGGTTGATAGTTTTGATGATGTAGAGAATAAAATCTATCATATTTTGACAGAGTATTGTATTGGTGGTGATCTAAACAAATTATTTAGGATAAAATCTGAATCAAAAGAGTAATTATTGAATTCATATTCTTTAATAAGCAATTCTCTAACTTATTTTTTTAGAAAATACTTTTCAGAACCTGAAATATGGAATTATATTTCACAATTGTTTTATATTTTAAAAGAGTTGGAACACATTGGAGTTATACATTGTGATATCAAACCGATGAACATATTTATCAAAAATGGAAATTTAGTATTAGGTGATTTTGGATGTAGCACATTCAACGATAACAGTAAAGAATTTAAAACAATTGATTGGGCATCAGTACTGGCTGTTAAAGATAAACCATGCCTTGAAGCTGAACCAGAATCACTCCCTTCCGTTTGTGACATTGAAGAACCAAACTCTATAGCCAATGTAACTAGAGGAACCAAGGGTTATATTGCACCAGTACGTTATCATAATATTTTTTATTACTTAAAAATAATAATTAACATTTTTTCATCAAATAGGAGGCTATTTTTAAATATTATAGTCATTCATTTGATATATATTCTGTTGGGTCAACTATTCTGAAGTTATTATCTTGGTATGATTAAATAGTTTAATCTTCAAATCATAATATATTTATTTAAAACCATTTTATTTATTAAAGTCACGAAAAAGATATAAACAATCATATTCAATTTATATCAGATAGAAATAATATTATTATTTCTTCTCAGAGATATTCAAAACAATTAATTGATTTTGTGACAAGAATGTTGGACAAACAACCTCAGAATCGAGAATCGTTTCAAACTATTTTGGATCAACATGTTGATTTCCAACAAACGAGTATTAAATACAATATTGATGCACCGTTCCATACAAGTTCTACTTTAATTTCTGAAATATGTTTTGGCTCTAACTTCAATCAAACAATTGAGCCCATCACAATACCATTCAGTGTAACATCAGTAACACTCCTTTCATATAAAAAACCTTTATTAATAGGAGCACTACCTTCAACATTAAAATCTTTGATTTTAGAAGAAAATATACACCATCCACTACCTGGTGTTCTACCTTCATCTTTGGAAATTCTTAGAATTGATTCTGGCCCAATCGTATACAGTTACTTTCCAAAAACTCTTAAAGTTTTAACTCTTGGTTCTCTCTTTAATTTCCCATTACATAAAGATATGTTACCTCAATCTTTGCAATCATTAGAGTTTGGATATTCTTTTGATCAACCAATGGAGGATGGAGTCCTACCAAATAAACTCCAATCTCTGAAACTTGGCTTTTCATTCAAAAGTCACTTGATCCTCCCAAGTTCATTAGAGTATATTGAGTTTAACAATAATTACCAAATTGATGATGGATTATTGCCAGATACCATTACACATATTGTTGGTCTGAACTGTCCATTAAAGCCAGGTTTACTTCCTAAATGTTTAGAAATTTTGGAGTTTGGATATTCATTCAATCAAGAATTAGAACAAGCTGTTTTGCCAGAGAGTTTGAAATCATTAGTATTTGGTTCCAAGTTTAATAAGCCATTAAAATCTGGGATTCTTCCAGAATCTTTAACCTCTCTAACTTTTGGTGGTTCATTCAGGCAACAAATTGACTTTTCATTGCCTAGTTCTCTTCAATCACTAGTCTATAGGAATCTGGATGGTATCAAAAGCTTCAGCGAAAGATTGTTTTTGCCCAAAATTTGTCCTGGTTCTCTACCAACTTCCCTTATCTCTTTGAAACTTCGTGACTTGGAATTGATAGATACACTAAAATCAAGTAATTATGAAAACAACTTTTATTCTGACCATCTGGTAGAGTCATCCAACTTTTTCATAAAACCAATCATTAGTAGCGACACCAATTTTTATATTCTTTTAAAGAGAGCTATGGGCCAAGTAGTTATATTGATATCTGGTAGGAACAATGAAGATGAACTATTTGAATCAATCTTGCAACTTAATTATTTCAATTCAAAGAAAAAAGTATTTTTTTCAACGAAAAACTGTAATTCTATTACAATTACCTTGGTTTCTGTTCAAGATAAGTGGATTTTTTACTCATTCAAGTGTCTTCCTGGTTCATACGAAGTCGATTTTGAATATACCTATTCATTCAAATCACATCCAGATGTCGAAGATACCTACCAGGCTATATCATTTGACTCTTATGAATTCTTTGTTTTGGCAAAATATATCAACTCGAATGAATGGGATGATACTAAGAGTTATTTAGTTCAATCTAAACAAGATTTTAAATTGGTAAATATTAATAATTTATATTAATAATTTATATTAAGAATTTTATTTATCTAATATATTTTTATGAGATAGTATGTTTACGAAACAACCAATTATTTAGAAGCCAACAACCAGAATTGTTTACTTAGACTAAGAAATGAATGTAGAGCAATAACAAAATTCCATAAAGTACCAAGATTTATACAACACATTCTTTTAATCGATGATACTGAAGCTGGAACAATGCATCTGTTCAAAGAATATTATGTTGGTAGAAATTTAGAATATTTAATAGAATCGAGAGCACTAAAGTATGTATTATTTGAAACTAAACTAACTTCAAACATCAAATTAACATTTTTTCAATTATGGAGGAATGAACATATCAAAGAAGAAGAAATTAGACATATAATTCCACAGATTTTTGATATATTGGCTTTGTTGGAAGCTCATGGTGTTACTCATGCTGATATCAACATTTCAAACCTATATATTAAGGGTCAAGGTTTGGTGCTAGATGGTTTTAAAAATTGTTCATTTTTAGAGGATATCCCTCAGGCTGAGAACATTAAATTCGATCATTCATATGCTATCTATTCATTTTCTTTAGTTCTTTGCAAACTTATGTCTTTGTAAGTAATTTAAATACTTAAAACTTTCTGATAACTAATGTGATTCATTTTTTTTATTATTTTTAGTGATATAGATTCAGAAGGAATTCATAAATCAAAACATTACTATTCAGATCAATTGGTGAATTTTGTACAATTAATGTTTCAAAAATACCAAGAAATGAATTACAATTCTTTTTTGATAGAATGGAAAGGAATTTCAAGTTGAATAGTTTTAATATAAATTAAAGTTCAAATAAAAAAGTTTTATTTAATTAATTTAAATTGACGCGGATCCACACCACTGTCTTTGTTCCCTATCATCTTGAAATATTTGTTCAGATTGGTTGTCTTCAATCGAATATTTGAAATTACCATATTCAACACCACCAAATGAAAAGATATGACTGATTTTTGCGGAAAATCGATGAAACTTTAGAAAAACTTCGCTATTCTTTGCGGGGATTGGACTGAGATTGGTTATCTTTTTCGTTTCAACATTGTATTTTATGAATCTATTTTCTTCTTTGGAGTGGATATAGAAATTTCCTAAATTATCATGACATGCTGTGTAGGGTTTAATATCTAATTCGCGGCTTGAAGAAACTCTATCTGATAAACTTATTTCAACTATAGATCTTTTACCGCTTGATATTGAATATAGAGTTCCTTTAAAGATCATCGTCGATAGATGCTCACCACCTGTAATTTGGTTATGGTATATCCACTTTTCGAATTTCAATGTGTTGATATTAAATCTATCGATTCTATGAGAGGAAATACCATTAACCAAATAGATGTGATCTTGACCGTCATAACAAACCGATATTAATCGATCACCTTCGATTCCTTCCATCTCGCCTATATGTTCGAATGATTTCGATACAATCGAGAATTTAAACCATTTGTTTGGATTGTTCCAACCACCGAATATATAGATATATTCACCAATCGAAACCATTGACGAGTTGGTAGCTCTAAAACAGTAGTCAAGTTTCAACGGTTCAATTGAACTATCAAGAGTATTGAAAAGTGTAGCTCCATTTTTCTCACGATGTGTGATGAAAATAAATGCAGCTCTTCTCGATGTTTCTGCCAAATTGGTTAGCTTGTCTATAATAGAATTGAATTGACTCAAATTGATCTGTCCTATTGAAATTTGAATTTCTTCTTCATTGTTCTCCTCTGACAACTTTAAATCTTTGAATTGATTATTATATTTATGAATAATATCTAATAGTAATGATGATGAATCGTTGTTGTGTTGTTTGATAAGCTCATCAGTATTGAATGGATCATGATGATCATTGAACAATGTTTGATTATTATCTTGTATGAATGATTGTAATGATGAACTGGATGAAATTGAACTAATGATTGTTGGTGTTGAATATTGTGTAGTGGTATCTTCTGCAGATTCTTTTTGATTAGAATTTGGTGATTCTTTTTCATGATTAACATTTAACTTATTATTTATATCAATGATTTGATATAAATATTTCAAATGCTTAATATTATTTTCTATTTGATTTACTATTGTATCTTTTTTAATGACGATTGGTTTCTTTAGTCTAAACTCTTCAGTGACTAGATATTGATGTAATTGCTCAAAGTGTTGTGATATCTCATTCTCTGTTGCTGATAATGATTGATATCTTTCTGATGTTGATTTCAATGATTTCCATATTGCTCTAATAGTTGAATTTAATGCATTACTATCGCTACTACTATTATTATTATTACTATTATTTTTTTCATCTATTAATAAAAAACTGCTTAATGATTGTCTGATATCATCAATGTGTTCATAGTTTAAAACATGATCAGTATGTTCTTTATTATGATTGATCGTACATCTTGAACACATTAATCTATTGCATTGATAGCAAATAAACTCTAGTGATTTGAGTGGGTGTTGTGAACAAATATTTGACATTCTTTATCTATAAATGGTATATCTATGGTTTTGATCATAAATTATAACTTTAACAAAATAAAATTAAAAATAAAAAAAAAGTAAGTTTTAAAAACCTAGATTTTAAGGGGGTGGTTATTATCTCATAACCTCAGATCGACGATCTAGATATTTGTTTTTTTTATTTATTTATTTTTTATTTGCATTAACTTTAAATATCATTTTATTTTATTTCATTTTATTTTATTTTATTTTGTATTGTTTATTATTAAATTATTTATTAAAAAAGATATATATTATAGAGATCTAATAAACATTAAGTATGGTACTTAAATGTATGGTACATCAAGATAATGATGTTGATTCGATATGTCTATCTTGTAGACTATTGATTTGTCAGCATTGCAAAGCAGATCACGAAGGTCATGAGTTTGGTGATGACCAATCGTTGAATGTGAAGAACAATGCTATTGTAGGTGAACGATTGCAATCTTTGTGGTCTATGGTAATCAAGACGATCGGTCTAATCAGTCATCATGAGAATCAAGAGGAGACCATTCACTTGTTCTTCGAGCAACTCTACAACTTCATTATGGTGGAGGAGCGTAAACTTATTAAACCAGTCGAGAGAGAGCGTGAGAAGAATCAAAAGAAACTGGATATCCTACTCAAGAACATCGATGGTTTACTCTCGATTCTAAGTACCCGACCGATCATTGACATTCAACAACCAACCTCTGAATACGAAGATGGTGAACCAATAGAATTCCAACCAGATTACAATCAAAATAGTTATCTTGAACAATATAATGATAATAATAATAATAATCAGAACAATACATTAAATAATGATATATATAACAATAGTAATAATAATAATAATAATAATAACAATTTCGAAGAAACAAGAGTGTTTAATCATACATTGTCAGCATTACCATTCGATCAACTAAAGGAATTAGTTGCACAGTATGATTCAATAGAGAAATTCATTGATAAACATACTATTCAATCGAAAGCAATGAAATCATCTTCATCTTCAATCGATTTCGGTTCAGCATTCAATAGTAGTAATCATTCAAATTGTAATGATAATATTAGTATAATAGATAAAGATAAAGATAGTAATAATAATAATAATAGTGATAATGATAATGATAGTCACAAAAGTTGTATGGATTCTTTAGTATTGTCATCGAATATAGAAGAATTATATAAACAAATAGTAAAGATAGAGGACACTGATATGGATACTATAAATTCAGAGTTGAAGAGTTACGATGATTTCGAGACTGGCGATGTGTTGTGTGGCTTCGGTTTCGATGCAGAGTTGTTGGAAAAGGTGAAGAACGACTTGAAACGAGTCTATGAAATCGACTTTTCAACGATGGAACAACGTGACGGTGGAAGTAACTACAAATCATATAGAATAAACCATATTTATATTGTTGGTGGTGTGGTGTGCGATGCTGCCGACTTGCCAATGCAACTGTCGATGCAGAGCTACAGTATTACACATGACAGTTGGTCGTTCATCCCTACACACATGGAGAGCGCCGTAATCAAGCCGATTAGCAATGTATTTACCTCGGGTGTCAGCACTGGCACTCATATCTATTTGTTTGGTGGTCACCAACATTCGAACAACTACTACTGCTACGATATAGAGCAACGACAATGGGCAAGACCGATGGCAAGGAGAATGTTGGTGCGTGGTGGAATGGGTGTGTCGGCATGCTACGATGGAGTGCGCTACATTTACTTGACCGGTGGATTCGAAGATAGTAAATGTTTGGATAGAATCGATCGATTCGATACTACTTCCGGTCAGTTTGTGGCGAATGTAGGTAAACTTACAGAACCACTCTATAATGCATTCACTTTTTATCACAATGAATTACTCTATGTCGTTGGAGGTTGGAAGAAAGAACCACATTGTACCAATAACTGTACGCTGTCCATATACAAACTACAAGCTCCAAGTAATGATCAACAACCAATACCTGTTTTATCATTCCAAGTATCTGCTCATCCAACTGTTAACAGTAACAATAACAATAGCAATAGTAGAGGAAGTAAAAGAGATAATAGTAGAGGGAAGGATAATAAAAACAATAATAATCATACAGAAGAAGTTTATTCATCGCTGGTTTTGGAGATGCCATTGAAGTCAACAAGTGGTGTTGAGAAATGTTGTTTCGATCCATTGTCAAATCATCTTTATTATATGGGTGAGGATGAAGTGTTCTTCCGTTTATCGATTAATTCACAATCGGTTGAAATTCTACCACCTCTACCGATCGAATCAACATCGATCGGTGCTTCGCTCTTATTCGGAATCGACAACATGTCCAACCGATATATCTACTTGGTTGGTGGTGAACAACAAAAACTATTCCACTTTGACCTAAAGACATCGACCTGGTCACAACTACAACCACCACCCTATCCAACTTCATTCCAATCTGCTATTGGTCTACTCGAACAATAATAGCAATAATAAAGTATTCAGTGGTAGTGTTTGAGCTTTTTTTAATAATAATTACAAAAGATTTATTTATTATATATTTATTAAATATTATTATTTATAACTATCAAATTAATGATAATTACTCAATATGTTTGTTTGGTTGTTGAAAAAAATTGATAAATAACGCAAATTTATCTTCTCTTAATATCATCGACTGGTCTGATTAATCTATTAATCATATATAGACCTTCTTGTTTCAGTTGTTGCGCAACTGTTAGCTTTTTCCTTCTTGGCTTTCTGGCTTTGGTAACTGGAATCTCAGGCTCCTCCTCCTCTACTTCCTGTTCTTCTATTTCAATTTCCTGTTCTTCTACTTCTTCCTCTACTTCCTGTTCTTCCTCCTGTTCTTCCTCCTGTTCTTCCTCCTGTTCTTCTTCCTGTTCTTCTTCTTCTTCTTCCTCTTCCTCTTCCTCCAATTCAATATTTAAAGTCGATAACTTCTTGGTAAGATTAATAGTAGCTTCATAATCTTCCTCATCCTCGAATACATCCTCAATGTCGTCTTCTTCCTCCTCCTCCTCTACATAATCATCTTCATCTTCTACTTCTTCCTCCTCTTCTTCATCAACTTCTTCCTCTTGCTCTTCTTGAACTGAAACTTGAACCGGTTGTTGGGTGAGGTTGGAGTTGTTTCTTTTTAACTTTGAAAAAGTAAATTTCATTGGTCTGTAGAAGGTTGGTGTCGATGGTAGACTGAGTTTTGAGGATGGTGGTGTCATTGCGATCATCTCTTTGTAGGATTCGAGTTTGGATGGTGTCTTGATTGGTGTTTTGGAAGGTGTCTTGGCTGGTGTCTTTGGTACTGCAAACACATGATCCGATACTTCTACTTGAACAACAACGTTAGCATTTGGAGTTGCCTCTGGGAATTCATCTGGAATAATACCATCCGATGACAAACGAATACAATTGTCTATGTTGGCATCCTCTGGAATGTTATGTAACGAACTAAAGAACTTGTGAGACAACAGGACATAGGGTGGAACATAGCCTTCAGAGATTTTCTTTTTCAAATTGTTGAGTAACAATCGCTCTTCCCTGTTCTTTGGATCCTGGAGATCTGCGATTCTAAACGATTTCAAGGATGACGCGAGATTGGTGAGATCGCTCGTTGGCAGGAAATAATTGGAAGATGCATTCTTCTGGTTGAAAGTAACAGTGCCGTTGGTTGATATTCTGCTAAGTCCGAAATCGTTGATCTTCACTACAACACCATCGACCAACCAAGTTCTATATTTACGACCAGTGTTGACTTCATCGCCAATGTCATCTTGGTACATGATATACTTCTTTCCGGCTGGAAGAGTCTGCAGTAGGATATTACCAGTGTGTAGATCGTTGTGTACGAATTCCAGCTCCTTCTGGGCAATGGCGAGAGCATAGAGAATTTGGAACAGTATCGATTTGAACAGTTTGAGAGTAACCATACTCTTGGAACGGTAGTCAGAGAGTGTCTTGAGGTTGGCATACTCGAGAATGAAATGCATGTATTGGTTGGTTTTAAGAGTTGGATCCTTTGGAATAGCAGCAGCAGCACTATTTGCTTTTGACTTTACCTGTTTGGTAGTGTCCTGGAGAACTTGGTTGAGACGACTGACATCACCACTGTGCGGAGCAGCCTTATACCATTCTACCAATCTCACAAAATTAATTGTTTTATTCTGGTCCATCAACTTGTTGAGATGTTGAAATATAATTAACTCTCTATAACATTGACTCTGTTTATTGGAAGGTGAAGAAATATATTGTCGTTTAACAGCAAACTCATCAATACTACTACTACTATTATTATTATTATTATTCTTTTTTTTTTGTTGTTGTTGTTGTTGTTTTACAAAGAAAATATGACCATTTTTACCACCGGTTGGTTTCAATTGATTGTTTATAATATATTTACTATTCTCTTTATTATCATTATTGAATTGTTTTTTTAATAGATTATTTGATTTAGATAGATAAGATAGATCTTCTTCCTCTGAATCAATATCGTCGTCGTCATCCAATTTTATTTTCCTATCTACACCACTATGCACACAAAAGTAGCTGTCAGGTGTTTTCAATAAATGATTATATTGATTACTTTTATCGATTGATGAATCATCTCTATTATTATTTCTATTACTGTTTGTACTACCTTCAGTACTATTCTTAAAAGATAGTACCATTGTTATTAAAAATAATAATAATTAGAAAGAATTAAAATTAAATAATTATTTTTTTTTTAAGATTTTGAACCATCAAAAAAAAAGTTCAGTTTACAGTTGTTCCATATGATCATTTTTCCCTCCAAAAAAGTTAAAATTCAAATTCAAATTTTTTTTAATATACCTCTATTTTGAATAATAAATTATGGTCGTCAAATATTCAATACAAAGAATTTTGAATTAATAAATATGGATAGAAATAGAGAAGATAGAGATACATATATAGAGAGAGATAAAGAAAGAGAAAAAGATAGAAATGTAAATAATAATGTAAATAAAAAATATAATAATAATAGCAATAGTAATAGTAATGGTAAATATAGTGATAATAAAAGAAATCATTATAAACCATATAGTAGAGATAGTCATAATGAAAATAATAAAAATCAAAAAATAGATAAAGAACAATGTAAAATGTATAATTTACCAACAAGTAAGTTTTAAATCATAACAAAACAAAAACACAAAAAGAATACTTACACATTATTTCTCTTTTTTTTATTAAAATAATAAATAGTTATTACATCACAAAAAGAAAGTGATCCTGTTAAATTGAAAACCAGACAAAAAGATATTGATTTTGGTAAGAATACAATTGGATATGATAATTATATAGCTCAAATACCAAGGTAATAAATAATTCTTTAGTTCCGACGACCAATAATGTTTTTTGTAGATTACTTACCTATCAACTTTTATTGTAGACATAAACGTGAAAAACAACATCCAAGAACACCAGATAAATATCAAAGATGTAGTAGAAGAAGCTGGGCTGGTCAAATCAAAAAATGGAGAAAAGAATTACATAAATTCGATCCTAATGCTACAGAAGAAGACGACGATGACAATTATATAAGCGATACTATTAATAATAAGAATGACAATGATGAAGATAATAAAGAAGATCAACAACAACAACAACAAGTAAATAATGATAAAGATCAAGCACATCAAACAGACGATACCGATGATTTAGAAGCTAATCAATTATTATTATCATCTTTATTATCGACAACAACGACAACTACCACAACCACTTCAACAACATAATAAATAATAGATATTATAAAGATTTTTTTTATTTATTATCCAATCAATCTTTGTCATTTTATTGTTTGACATTCTCTTTAAATATTAGATTCTCTTTCTCTTCTACTTCTTTTAGAAATTGTTGAACATTTATAGAGATTCGAGGATGAAGTAACATTGATTCAGTTACCCATTTCTCACCTTTACTGTAATCATGTTGTTTGTAGAGTATTCCCAGTATCTCTAATTTGTCGAGTTCAACACATTGTTCTTTTAAATAGCTAGAGCGTGGATGCTTCGCTAATATACCTTGTTCCAATAGATATCTGAGTGTTTCTATTGCGTCAAACTTTACTAGATCTAGTAGTTGTTGTTTGCTTATCAGTTGGATAATTAGTTTGTTCTCGTGGAGGAATTGGATGATCTCGAGGTGATTCTTTTCAATGGCAATACCAAGTAATTCAACTTTGTTGGCGATAACCACATTGGGATTAAGATCGTAGATAGTTTGAAGTATATCTCTACAATTGTTGAAGACCGCTGTCTTCGCCGTTGAGTAAGACAACATTTGTTCGGTACTCAACGAGTGTTCAAAGAGATATCTAAAGGTCAACGGCTTGGCAAACTCGATAATGTTACGGTGAGTTGCATGTGGCATTGCAACTCGTGGAAGCATCGCGCTTAGAATTGCGACATTGTCAGAGTTCAATATCTGATAGTAGATATTCTGGTCGGGCACTACATTGTAACGTTCCATCAGATAGAGAATCACTTCAGCAGACGGTCCTTTATATCGATAAAACATACCAGAGAAGATCGATCTTACTCTTTCTTGCATCGATCCTTGATTCTGAAGTTTCGGTGCCATATAACGTAGTGTTTCATAGTGACCATTGATTGCGGCATTCGTTACTGATTCCTCGGTGACCTCTCGATGCTTCTCTTCCACCAGATAGCGAATTACATCGAGATGACCGTTTCCTGCTGATTTGTTTACCGCTACGATAGTACAACCTTCGGTTCTATTGGTGAATAGATATTTTACCACATCGAGGTGTCCATTGCCAGCTGCAAAGTCAATGGCTGCCGATGAAGATGGCCATCCATTTTCATGAAGATAGATTACAATCTCCATGAATCCATGCTCGGCAGCACGAACCATCGATGAACCTAGTTTCTCAATGAACGGAAATCTCATTAGCAACATCTTTATAATCTCGAGATTACCATGGTCAATTGCCGGATCCAAATGAATCAAGGTCTTTAGATATTGATTCGATACACTTGGTTTGAAGTGTTCCAAAACCACTCTTATCGTTTCCAAATTACCAGAGCGAACGGCATTCATAACAGCGAGATGAGAAGGACAAGGAACTTTCATTGTCTCCAAAAGATATCTAACTACTTTAGTTCCACCTTTATAGCAAGCTGGTTCTAAAATATTATTGGAACAACCTTCTGTTCGATTCTCAAAGAGATAACTCAGGATACTAATATGTCCACCCAAAGCAGCGCGATCCATAGCATCGGTTGTACAATGAGTTTGACTGGGAGGTAGATTGGATAATAGAAACAATAGATTGGCAATTGAACCCGATTGAACTACATCATCTATTAAGCTGTAAGAGGTTTTAGCTGTTTCTTTAGAGTTGTTGTTGTTGTTGTTGCCTAAACGATTCTTTTGATTGTCGGTGATCTTATGGTTATCTGAATTGATAAAGTAATGTGGAAACCGCTGATAAACCAATTCCAATAGTTTAACATCATTGTTTTTTCTGATGAAATCCCTAAAATAACTTGAACTGAATGTAAAAGTTGTATCTTTCAACATCTTGTAATAGATTAAATCGAATCTATTGGATTTTAATAATACATGAGTTGGTGTATTTATTAATCTGTAACTTTTAATTCCAAGATTTCTGTGAATAAAAGTTACACAATCCATTAGATAATTAAATAAATATACATTATTAATTATTTTTCTAAAATTTATATCTATAGTTATATCCATTACTATTCAACAAATATAATATAAAATAATTAAGATCAAAACATATATAAAAAAAGATATTCAAATTTTTTTTTTTAATAGATATTTCCATTCTGAATTATTTCAGATGATTTGGTAAAAACACATCGACATGTCTGACTTGTGAAGATAGCTAATTAATTAGATTTTTTTTTACAACAATTATAATAATTAATTTAATTATGTTTAATGTTTATCAAGCGAAATTAGAAGATGTAACTAAAATATTACCTCTTTATTTAGGATATAGAAGGTTTTACAAGGTAGATGAGTCAGCAGAGTTGGCAGAGCAATTCCTTAGAGATCGTATCGGTCAGGGCGAATCGATCGTTTACTATGTTGCAGAGGAAGCTGGTGGTCAACCTGTTGGTTTTGCACAGTTGTATCCTTTGTTTTGCTCGCTTGCAATGAAGAGAATATGGTTACTCTACGATCTTTTCGTTGCACCAGAAGCCAGACAACAAGGTATAGCAAAGCTTCTCTTGAATCGTGCTGATCAGCTTGGTAAAGAAACAAATTCCGCTTTTATCATGTTGAGCACTGCCACCGACAACACAAAAGCACAATCACTCTATGAGAGTCATGGTTATATTCGTGATAATCAATTTTATACTTATAATAAAACATGTTAAACCAACAAACTACAATAACAACTACAATAATAACAATAATAATTATAATTAGTTAGTAATTTTAATATTATTTATTAGTTAAGATAATGAATTAAATAAGTTATTTGTAAAACTAAATAAATCATATTTCGGAAGACTATTGAAAAAGCGATCGAGGAAATGAGATTTATGAAAGATACCCGATACTAAACCAAATTGCTCTGGTCTACCAAAGATGAGATAGTAATTATCGTCCAGCTTTCTGATTTTACAGAGAACTCGGTAGTCGTAGTTGATGCTGGTGAGGTTTATATTGACGATTGTATTCGGTATCGATTTGAATCCAGAGAGTGTGCAATCCAGTGAGAGTGTCTTTACGGAATCAGAGATAACACCGTCCTCTATCGTTGTCATATTGGCAAAATAACTCTTTAGCGAGAGATTCTCTACCGACGGTGGAATCGATCCTCTCTTTAGACTGTCGGCTTCGTAGGTATCCGCCAAGACAAGTTGCTTCACTGAATTCGGTAGAACTCCAGGTGGAATTGCCAAGTTGATATTGTGACCGAGACTAACTGTTTCGATACCATGCGGGATGGATCCTTCCTCCAAATCGTGGAAATAATGATCCAAACACAATTGGTTTATCTTGACATTGTCCAGCGAGTGTTTATCCAACTTGACATTGCCGATGACCAGTTCTTCAAAGTGGAAATTCACACCGACCGGGAAGATCTCTTCGTATAGATATTCAGTAAAGCTGATATTCAAAGATTTAACAGACTTTGGAATAGCACTGCCATGTATAGTACATTTATGAAGAGACAGACTCTCAATGTTTTCCGGTAGATCACCTGGATTCAATTCAAAAGTATCTTCACCAATGAGCATAAGATACTTTAGATTGGAAAGCGATTGGATCTTTGGAATCCAGAGGTTCGAGAAATTATGAAACTTTAGCTTCTCAAGTGATGCTGGCAGTGAGTGTAAACTACTCTTAAAGTTACGACAGATCTCTAGATCGTTCAACAACGGTGGAAGTACATCTCTACCAAGCGGTTGATTGAATTTGCTACTCAATCGGAGGATTCTCAATGAGTCGGGAAGTGAACCTGCTTCAAACGGTTGATTATAGACGAATCCAAAGTAGAGGTGTTCCAGACCCGAGGGAAGTGTTCCCGGTGCAATGGCATGGTCGAACAGATCACCCAAACCCAAATACTTTAAGGTGGAAGGAAGATGACCTGCTTCCAACGGTTGATTGAAATTATAACCCAAGTTGATCTTCCTTATGCCCTCTGGGAAGAATCCAGGTGTCAAACGCTGGTTGAACTTGTTAAAGACGATTGTCTTTATACCGATTGGAAAACCACCCAAAGGCAACCCCCAACAACCATAGATATGAACGACATTAGAATATAACAATAGTCTACTCAAATCAGCGTGATGTTCATCTCCCGTTCCACGAACCAACAATGTATTTATATTTCTAGGCAGTGTTTGTATATCTTTTATATTATCTAAACTTTTAAAAACAATGTACATCATTAGTATCTATATCTCTAGTGTGGTGTATTATTATTATTATTTTTATCCGATATTTACTTTTGTTTAAAATATAATCATAATTGATTGCATTTAATATATCATTTGAAATATAAAGATCACAATTATTCTTTGTTGACAACGATCTTAATAGGAGATCCTTGTAGGAATTTAAGAAAAACTCTGGATACTTATTGTTGTGTTGTAATTTCAGAGAATCAATGTTGAATGCTAGGTATTTATCTCTATCATCGAACCATCTCTTACAAACCAAACTAAAACAAATCTTGTCTATATTATCTGTTAAATAACCAACAATTTTTGATAATAAAAGATGTGAAAAATTAACTAAACTTCCTTTATTATGATTATCTCTCATTATAATTATTATTTTTATTTATATAAATTTATTGTTTTATTACTGATATTAAATTGATTCTATAGATATATTAATTGTAAATAAATAAAATCAGTAACAATCATTTTAAAATTTAAAAAAAAAAAAAAATAGAACATCCACATAGATCTATTTTTAATTCTTTGATTTTATTTCTTCAAAAAATTGAAAAAGAATGTTTTTTTTACTACAATTCTAACAATTTTCTTCAGATAATTTTCATCAATCAACGAATTAATTAAGATTATAAAAGTTGCTTCAACAATGCATATAATATCAAAATCAAAACATAACAATAAATTAAAATATAATATATATTTAATTAAGTAATAAATCAAAAACAAACAAACTATGGAACCACAACAATTTAAGAGAACATATGTATTAAAAGGATATTACGATAAAGAAGTCGTTGCTTTTACATTAGAAAATGTGTTTTCAAAAGAGGAATGTGAACAATGGATTGCTTTAACAGGTAAGTTAATATTTTAATAGTCATTTTCTATGAATATTATATTAATTTCATTTATTTCAAAATAAATTCACAGAGAAACAAGGATATGAACCAGCTTTGGTTAATGTTGGATATGGTAAACAAGTGTTGATGACCGATGTAAGAAATAATGATAGATGTATTATAGATAGCGAGGAGATGGCAAATAAGATATACGATAGAATCAAACATTTGTTGCCTGCCGATTTCCACAATCACGATATGATTGAGTTAAATGAGAGACTGCGTTTCTTGAGATACCGTGGTAAAGATCAAAAGTTTGAACCTCATCAAGATGGATCGTACCAACGTACTGACGGACCTAAGAGAGGTGATCGCTCACTTGTCACTCTTCAGCTGTATTTGAACGATGTCGAGCAAGGCGGTGAAACTACATTCTTTACTGGCAGTTGGAGGGATGAAAAGCGAGTTCCTGTCAATCCAAAGGCCGGTATGGTTCTAGTTTTCCAACATAATCTTCTCCATGAAGGTAGTCCATGTACAAAAGGTGTTAAATATGTCATGAGAACCGATGTCATGTATAGAGAAAGATCAACATTAAAGAAATAAATAAGACAACTTTAATTAATTATGTAATAATAATAATAATAATAACAACAACAACATTCATCTTTATTTTAGTTCTAACACTTTTATTATTATTTTTTGAGAAACAGATATGTTTGGGTTAATTGAGATTGATCGATGCAGACCCAGACCAATATCTTTGATGGGTATCATCTTTGAAGAACGCCTGGCATGTATCAGTCTCGATGGAATATCTGAAATTACCATAGCCTGCACCACCAAATGAGTATATACAACTTGATGTTGATGATTCTCTATGATATAGCAGGTAGACTGATCCTTCTTTTGCAGGGATTGGAGTGAGTTTGGTTATTCCTTTCGTTTCCACATTGAATCTGATGAATCGATTGTCTGATGAATGAATGTAGAAATTTCCATTGCTATCATGACATGCTGTGTATGTTCTGAAGCTAAGACACTCATGGACCAATTTGGTTTTTGTTGTCAAATCAAATTCAAACATAGTCTGACTACTGTATGGAATGGAATACAATTTACCTTGGAATATCATCGTTGATACTTGTCGACCTCTGAGATCACCTATCTCGGGACTGTACGGTTCAAATTTCGTTGTATTAATATTGAATCTAAAAATTCTTTTGGCATCGCCATTCGCCAGATATATATGATCTTGTCCGTCATAACAAACTGAAATATAGCTGCCAGGATTGACACCCTCCATCTTGGACACATTGTAATTTTTCGATTTCACAGAGAACTTTATCCAATTGGATTGATTTGATCTACCACCAAAGATATATAAATATTCACCAACAGAGATTATCGATGAATATGTGCTACAAAAATCGTAATCCAAATTAAATTCTTTGGTTGAATTGTCTGATGTGTTGATCAATGTCATTCCTTTTGAATGATTCGTTGTTATTATATATGATTCTTTAATATCATTATTATTTGTGGTAACTACTTTTGCTGATGTTTTTGATAGTTTAATAGATTCCATGATTAATGAATTGAATTTATGTAAATCTGGTTGTTTTGTTGAGAAGTGATATTCATTTATGTTTTCATCGATTATATTTGTTGGTGATATTACTTTGAATTGATTATTATATTTAAAAATCATATCTAATATTAATGATGACAGTGAATTGTTGTTATATTGTTCAAGCAAAGTATCTTGTTTGTTATTACGATAGAATAATGTTTGATTATTATCTTTGATAAATGATTGTAATGATGAACTTGTGTTGATTGATTTCATTATTGTTATTGTTGAATATTGATCGGTTGTATCTAAAACTACTGAATCACTACCATGATCATCACTGAAATCATTACTATCTTTATTAATGATATTATTTTTATTATTACTATTTATACTTATTATTATACTATTAAGATATTTTAATTCATTTATATTCTTATCTATTTGATTAATGATTGTATCTTTATCGTTGATAATATCTTTCTTTAGTCTATGCTCTTCGTTGATTAGATATTGATGTAACTGTTCAAAGTGTTGTTTGATCTCATTCTCTGTTGCTGATAATGATTCATATCGAGATGTTGATGATTTTAATGATTTCCATATCGATTGAAGTCTTAATTCAATGAATGTAGATTGCTTCAGATTAATTTTACTATCATTATTATTATTATGATCATTATTAATATTATCTAAAGATATATTATTTAAAGATTGTATTATGTCATCTATGTGTTCAGAATGTTGAACATGATCGGGTTGATTTTTGTTGTGTTTGAACGCACATCTTGAACACATCAATTTATTGCAACTAAAACAAATGATTTTAAGTGATTTATTATGTTCATCACAGATAAATGATTTACAGGATAACATTTTGAAATTAAAAAATAAAAATATACAAAAAAATATCTTTTGATCTGTTCAATAGTTATCAATCAATTTTCTGGTTTAAAGTTCATGTTTTTTAAAAAAATGATTTTCATATTAAATTTTTCACCTAGATCGTGCAGCCAAAAAATGCCAGTAATTTACTGTGAAAAATTTAAATATTTAATAACAAAAAACAAAACAATTACCAATTTATTTTTCAAAGAATTCATGACATTCTTGATTTGACCAATTGTTTTGAATATCTTTCTATTCACGAAAAACTTGCAACTCAAAAATTCATCCCAAGACTTAACAAGAATTCTATCATATTGTTAACCATTTATACTTTGATGTATTTAACTAAACCAAGTTATAAATCAACAAATTCTATCTTTGTTGAACTTAGAATCTAAACAATAATAATCAAACATGTAAATCTTAATTATTATAATAATCAACCTATCTCTTGTTTTTAATCTAAAGTTAATAAAATTAAATGAAATGTTTTGTAAAATCCAAAAAAGCCATTCATTCTAAAAAATCAAAATTTCTTCTCAAAACGGTATTCAAATAGTAACCAATCAAATTTCTGGTTTTATATGAAAACCTATTTTTAAAAAAACGAACTTTAATTTATCAATAGCTCTGGCTTCATTAAACTATTTAGATGACATATATAGAGTGTGAAGGATTATTTCAAAAAAACCAAAGTTAACATTAGGAATAACTTTTGTAAGATTATTTCTTTTGAATTTAGGAGAGATTCTTGACAACCTTAATCAAAATAATTGTTTAAAAAATAGTGGATATAATATTGATACTCCCCCCTAAACTGAATCAATAAAAACTAGAAGTAATAAAGGGGTAAAGAGAATCTCTCCCTATATGTAAAAGTGTGTATATTATTAATACAAAATAAAAAAAAATTCAGCACGAATTATTTAATTCAAAATGATATTAGATTTAATATTTTCATTTGATTTCACTTCAAAAATTAAAAATATTATAAGTGGTATTCACTCTAAAAGGATAAAGTAATAGAAGAATATTATTTTTATTGAATCATTTTAAAAGTTCAACAAAAAAAAATTCTAAATGATTTCTCTAAAACAATTAGTTGAAAAAACTCCAAAGAGTTGGTATTCACCAATGAACCCAAATGATAGTTGGGACCTAGTGAATGGAAAAATCGAAAAATTTGGTATCGTAAATGAAGATAATAGAGAAAGATATGAACCACTCTTAAAAGGAGTTTCAATATTTGTAAGATACGTTTGGCCATCAGTTGATCTCACTACTCTGGCATTGGGTACTCAATTCAGTATTTTTTTGCGCATTTTCGATGACAATATTGATACCAGTGAACCAGAATATGCAATCAAACATATCAATAGAGTAATCAATATAATTAAATTTGGAAAACTCGAAGAAGATCCAACACCTATTGAAAGAAATTTGTTTGATCTTAATCAGAATTTGGACGACAGATTTGGAGAGAAACTTGCATTGATCAATCTGTTCAGAAATTCTTTGTTGGATTATTTTGACAATCTATTGGCATGGCAGAATATGAAGGTACGAAATTGAATTTATAGATTTTACAATCATATCTATTTATTAATTATTTTTTTTAATTAGAAATTAAAAGGTGATTTAAGTATGAATTTATATTATACTCTAAGAAGATATAATTATGCTATGATACCTTCTTTTTTCATAACTTTAATCTTCACAATGAAAAGATTAAAGTGTGAAATAATTCTTGATCCTTTGTGGAAAACTATTGTGGAGCTTTCAGGAAACATCTGTGCCATTTACAATGATGTATTATCCTATGAAAAGGAGATGAAAGAAAATGATGAAAGAATGAATAGTTTCCATTTTATGAAAACTCAAAACAATTGGTCAAATCAAGAATGTCTTGAATTCTTTGAAAAAGAAATTGGTAATTGTTTTGAACAACTTTCTATTCACGAAAAACTTGCAACTCAAAAATTCATCCCAAGACTTAACAAAGAAGATCAAGAAGAATTCTATCAGATTATTAATAATTTACATACTTTGATACATGCTATATTATCTATGTATTTAACTAAACCAAGTTATAAATCAACAAATTCTATCTTTGTTGAACTTAGAATCTAAATAATAATAATCAAGCATCTAAATCTAAATTAATAATCAACCTATCTCTTGTTTTTAATCTAAATTTAATAAAATTAAAAATATTATGTAAAATTTTAACAAAGTATATAAGTAGTTTAGTTAAATTGTCTTGGTTTCTTAGTGTTTTATCTTCATGCATAAAAAGAGTTTGGTTAGTGAGTGACTGTGGTTGATTTAGCACCGCACCAACTTCTATTCTCTTTGTCCTCGGTTAAGAATGGCTCCGATTGATCGAATTCGATTGAATATCGGAAATTATCATTAGATATACCTGAGAATGAATAGATGTAGCTCTTGGTGGACGATGCTCGATGATACATTAGATAGACACCGCCATGCTTTGAAAGGATCGGTTGGAGTTCTGTGATACGTTTGGTTTCGACATTGATTCGCACGAATCTCCTCGGATTGAGTGAATGAATGTAGAAATTACCGTTGTTATCGTGGCACGCCGAGAATGCATTCAAATCGAGTAGTTCGTGTTTCAACTTGGTATGTTCTGTCAAATCGTATTCCCAGTAGACCTTTAGGTTGTAAGGCACCGAGTAGAGCTTGCCACGGTAGATCATCGTTGCTATCTGTTGACCGTATGCCAGCCGACCGTAGCTATCGAATCGCGACAACCGGATATTGAAGCGATCGATTCTATCGGCTGTTCGACCGTTGACGAGGTAGATGTGATCCTGACCGTCGTAGCACACTGAGATGTTGGTATCACCGACGATACCAGACATCTCGCCAAACTGCTCGATCGCTTTCGATTTAACCGATATCTTACACCACTTACTCTGATTGACATCACCACCAAACACATAGATATACTCGTCGACAGCAACCATCGATTGAAAGGTATCAAAGAAATTATAATCGAATTGCAACTCCTCGATTGAATTCTTATTTGAAAGGTCGATGAGTGTTGCACCTTTTGATTTGTGTGTTGAGAGTATATATGATTTCGGTTTATTACTGTTTAGTTTAATTGAATCTCCAATGATTGAATCTAATTGTTTGAAATCTGGTTGTTTTATCCTAATATTATATGGATCTCTATTATTCTGCTCTTCTTCCTCTTCTTCTTCATTATCAACTTTTTTTGTTGTTACTGTTGTTATTGAATTGAATTTATTATTATATTTATAAATGATATCTAATAATAAAGATGAAGTATTGCTATATTGTTCTAATAGTTCATCAAACTTTAATAAATCTGTATTACTATCGATGTTGAACAATGTTTGATTATTATCATTAATGAATGATTGTAATGATGAACTTGTTGTGATTAACTCTGAATATGATGCTATTGTATATCTATCTATTATATCATCTGTTTCATTATTATAATTATCATTTTCATTACTATTATTATTAATATTACTATTATTATTAATATTATTATTATTATTAATTTTATTATTTATATTTAAAATATAATTTAAATATTTTAATTCATTTATATTATTATTTATTTGTTGCTCTATCATATCTTTATCATTGATGATTGGTTTCTTTAGTTTATGTTCTTCATTGATTAGATATTTGATGTAACTGTGCAAAGTGTTGTGATACTTCATTCTCTGTTGCTGATAATCTTTGATATCTTGTTGATGATGATTTCAATGATTTCCAAATCGATTTTAATCTTGACTCTATATTAGAGTGGTGATTGTTATTATTATTATTATTATTATTATTACTATTACTATTTTCAAAATCTTTTGTTGAAATGCTATTTAATGATTTTACTATATGATCTATATGTTCAATGTGTTGTGAGTGATCAGCTTGTGATTTATTATGATCGAGAACGCAGCTTGAACACATCAATCTATTACAAATGTAACAAATACTCTCTAGATTCTCACTATCATGATCATTGCACTTCAACATCTCTTTAATATCCTCCATGTAATTACAACTATTAATTCTATACTGATCAAAATGTTTAATTAATAAATCAGTTTTTGTTTAATTATATTCTACTTAATCAATTTAATCTTGATTATCTAAAAAAAAAAGTAGCCCGATCATCATTAATATCAAGGTGTTGTAATAAAATATCATATCTCTTGAATGATCTTTCGGAATTACATAATCTATTTTTTTTTTTTTAACTTTTCCAGATATAGAGAAACCATCATGATGATCACAATTAAAAATAAAAAAAAAAATAATTTAATTTCCGATTTCTTTTTTCATTCCCTAAGTCTCTAATTATTTTATTTTACAACACACACACACACACAAATTAGATATAATATTTATAAAACCAATTGTATAGAATGAAAACATATCTCATTGTGGTAACTATTGTGTTGGTGGCAGTGTTGTTGACCTATAAAAATAAAATAGATCATCCTGCCAAGAGATATGCTAAAGGTGATGCAGTACCCATTTTAACAAACAACCGATTGTATTCAAGACATACACTTATCTTACAAGACTATCATATTCTATACAATCAGATCTGTAGCAATGACGATGATATCTATAATAAATTAGTACCGGAGCGTTGTAACGTCGATAGAATATTAACAAACAATGAATGGAGTGTTAGTACAATTTACAATGTAAGTGTTATTTATTTATGTTGATTGATAATGTAAATAAATATAAACTAATCATAATCTCTTATCTATAGATTACATATTTAAATGATATTAAATGTAATGTTATTAATGACAATCATTTCAAAGATTGTACGGATACACATATCGATAATGTACAATTAGAACTTCTAAAGATCTTGATCGAGAATCAATATCTCTATCAATTAAGATTGGATCAAGGTATTCCAATTAGTAATATATTCAAACCTGGATATTATCAACATGGTTTAAAGATTGGTTCAATTTTTAAAGTATTTAATTAATTACAACTAATTAGTTGTAAAGGAAAATGATGATTATAAATTATATAACTAACTTTTTTTAAACAATCTTATAAAATATATAATAATTAGGATAATAATAATAATAATAATTTATATATAAATATTAATAACCATTTAAATATTAATATTCTATATTCACCAGAGAGTAATAATATCGTTGGATTGGAAGCTAAAGCAGAGAGTAGAAGACACTCGATGATCAACAAGGGTGAATGTACATTGGATACGAAACCTGCAACGTTGTTGTTCTCTACTTCGTCGATGGACTCTGTCATGAGAAGACATCCATTGGTTTGGAGTTACAGTGTGACATTCAAACCAGTAGAAGACGTACAAGAATACTATAGTTTTAATAATAATAATAATATTTTCAAAGCTCTACAATCAAACAACACTACTGCTAATCTCTATTTATTATTATCTCTATCGCTATTAAGTTATTTTGTATATATTATCATTAATAACTTATCACCTTCAACAACAACAACAACCAATAACAAAAAGTTAATTGCAACCATTCCAAATACACCATTGATAAAGTCACCTTCTTATCTCACACTACACTCTATGCTTGTTGGATATGGTGCACAACTACTTGTCATCCTATTGGTTCTATTGTTCTCCTCACATATGACATGGTTATCATTCAACAGTATCATTACAATTAAGAGTGGAACTTTTAGTTTAATTCAATTAACATCGTATGTATATTTATCACTTTAAATTATAGATCTTTAAAATATGATTATTTATTAACAAAAACAATTATTCATTAATAGATATATTGCAGGTTATTATTCAACTTCAAATTATTTATTCTTTAATACAAACAACAATAATAATCAATGGATAAAGATTTGTTTGATTGTAAGTGGAATGAATAATATAATTAAAAATTATCTAACTAACAATCTTATTGATTTTGATTAATAATAATAGACAACACTATCATTACCATCATTATTATATATTATTCTATTGGGTAATAATATGATATTGGATGAGTATAGATCGACTGCAGCTATGCCATTGTTATCGATATTAAAGACGCTTGGATTCTTCATTGGATTCTATCTACCGGTTGGAATGCTCGGTGGATACTATGCATCAAAGAATCAGTATTCATTGTTGAAGAACTATAGATCATCGTCAGATAGCACTGTTCAGAATATAAAGATTTATATCTCAGTGCCAAGAGTAATCACCTACTTTATGAAGCCGGTTGTCTTGATTCCATTGGTTGCACTAGCACTCTATTGGCTACCAAACAACACACAGCAACTGTTCATCAATGGCGATGACCTCGGCTATCACAGTGAATTCACAACCATCACAGTTCAACTTGCACTACTCATTGTTACAACCATATTATTAACAATCATTCAAACCTATCTATCAATTATCAACAAAGTAAGCTAAACAAACTGAGAAATTCTTAAATTCAAAAGATATTAAAACTAACTAACTAACCAACCTATCATTGCAATTAGTATGGAAATATTTGGTGGCTACCAATGATAACAAGTTCAGTGTTGTTAATATATCAAATTGCCAATATCGTACAGAATGCAGCTAACTACTCTGATCTAAACGGTACAATGGTAATCTATTATACAAAGAGTATTCTATATGCTTTGTTCACCTCTATTACTATTGCATACATCTCAATCAGTACTACAAAATGGTTGATTTCAAACATACTTTCAAATAATTCAAAGTAAAGCAATAAACTACATCGATAAATAATATTGTATTGTTGATCTATTTGTTTGGATTGTTTGATGGATACTATTGATGGTTTTAAAATTTATATTATTATGTATAGTTTATTTTTTTGTTGGTGTGTCAAATATTTTTATCGAAACATTTTTCACACACACAAAAATTATTCAAAATATTAAATTTGGTGGCTGTCTATTTTTTTCCTGACTTTTTTATGCCTGAACCTCCGAGTGGTCCACCTGCTTTTGCTTTGGCTTGCATCTCCTTCAATTGTTTAGCCTCTTCTTGTTGTTTCTTTTGGAAGGCAATGTCTTCCTATAATTAGAGTAGTTTATAAGGTTAGTAATGATTGGATAGTTTAATCTAGTGTCTTGAAGTTACCTCATCTAATTCCTTTCCTTCCTTCTTTGGGGCCTTTAATGGCTTCTTCTTTCCACCTTGAATATTGAAAAGATTAAACATAATATCAACGTACATCATTTTTAAGATTATTATTGTTATTTAATTTTACAATTTGTAATTATATTTATATTTCGTAATATAATAAGTTAAATATATATTTTTAGATAAATATTTGATCAACAATAAAAAATCGATATTATGTTGATTTATAAAGTAAGAGATTATATATAATAATAGATTATATAGTAGATGATTTGATTGGTATGTTTTAATAAATAAGAAATAAAGTAATTATTATAATATATAATGAATAATTTAGTTAATGAATTTGATGTAATAATTGTAGGTATTTATAGAAAATCAAATTTGATTGTTAGTTATATCATCTTTTAGGTAGTTTACCAATAATGGTAATAACATATATGTGTGGGGTATTTAAAAGGTGAAAGAGTAGTAAGAGGTGGAAGAGGAGAGAGTAAGTTGTCGTAAACAAAAATTAATGTATATATATACACATATACTGTAACCAAAAAAAACACAACCGCACAACAGGTAGGATAGGTGTCGTAGAAAAAGAAAAGAAGGTGCTAAATAGTGTACGAATGGATAGATTTAAATGATAATGGAATGTTCGAAACATAATACATACCGTCTTTTCCTGTCATCTTTAACTTGTGGCTACAGTATCAAACACTGGTTATAAATGAATTTTAACTGAATTGTATTAAATAATAATATTGTTTTGTTTATTATTAGTAAAAATGTAAGTAAATCTTGAAAATCACTATTATTAAAGATATATAATTATTATTATTATTATTATCATATAATATTACATAACGATAGTTGAATTCAAAGAGAGAACAAAACAAAACAAACAAATAGACAAATAAAGAAAATGAAAAAAACACGCACACAATTGTAATTAGGTGATTATTGGTTAATTAGTTAAATGGTTGGTTGTTTATTCGATTGGTTGGTTACCAAGGTTGGATATAGAGCAAAAGCTAAACGTGAAACTACTTGATACCTACCTCTCATGAGTGTGGTTGTTGTTGTTGTTGTAACTTTACATCTATAAACTGTTAAAACAAAACCTTTAATTTTTTCAAAAAACAATCTTTAAACAACAACACATATGTTAGGATATATGATATGATAGTGGTGGGTTTATTTGATATTGATAAAAACAAAACACATTAATGTGATTATAAAATTAATAAGGTGATCAATAAATTGTGTTTGTGTGATCATCAGTATTTGATTATCTTTGATAGTTTGAAGTAATTTATAGTTATATATATTAAAATAGTTATTGATATATAAAGATTAACATTATCTGTTTCTATTCAAACAAAATTACTTAAACTCTAGAGAAATTATCAGATTGATATTTTGTTTTGTTTATTTGTTGGAATGAATAACATGGACGTATAGGTATGTTGTTATATCATTTAGTTGATTGAAAGTTGACAACCATGGTTGGTTTATCTTTAAGCTAGATTTGTTTGTTTTGTTTGCTTTTGATCTTCTATTTTATATCTACTACCACAATATAAATCAATCTATCTTTGTTTTTTACTACAGCGAAGAAATATATATATATATAAAACCTACCTGTAAGATTTATTTAAAAAAATAAAAAATAAAAAATAAAATTAAAATTAAAATCGACTGGTTGTGTGTTTCTTATTTTTTTCACCTTATTTTTTTTTTAAAGTTTTTATTTTTTCTTTGATTTCACCATTTTTATATGTTATAATATGTTGAATTGTTTGGATCTAATCTTTCTCGATCTGTGATTGGATGTGAAATCAAAGTAACAACTTGAAAGAAACCCATTCATACCATTTTTTTTTGTTAATGGGCAAAGAATTAAATTAAACCATAATTGTTACCAACACCAAAAATGTAATAACATAAATAGAGTTACAAAAATATATTGATCGGAGGGCTTTTCAAGTTCGTTACTTCGATTGTTCATTCGGTCTTTGGTTCGAATCCAAATATTAGTGCTGCCAAAGTGCTAAATTAGCTCAGTGGTAGAGCAAATGATTATCATTTAAAAAATATCTCTCACGAACTGAGCGATCCCTCTTTTTTTAACAATAGAATTTGTAGTATACCACTTTAGTTATTATAAAAAAAAAAAAAAACAATAGAATTTGTAAATCCATAAAAGCTTTTTAATACAACTTTTAATAAAACATGTTTTCCACTTTAGTTATAAAAAAAAAAAATACTAATTTTGAGGACTGCTAAGAGGCTAAAGCATTGAAGGAGATGCAAGCCAAAGCAAAAGCAGGTGGACCACTCGGAGGTTCAGGCATAAAAAAGTCAGGAAAAAAATAGACAGCCACCAAATTTAATATTTTGAATAATTTTTGTGTGTGTGAAAAATGTTTCGATAAAAATATTTGACACACCAACAAAAAAATAAACTATACATAATAATATAAATTTTAAAACCATCAATAGTATCCATCAATCCAAACAAATAGATCAACAATATTATTATTTCAATTATTTCGATATCGATGATTAGTAGTTCATTTTTTTTTTTTTTTTTTTTTTTTTTTTTTGGATGCATATTCTAAACTATTATTTGAGAAAGTTAGCAATCCATTCAAGACCATGAAAGAATTCATTATCTTCGTTTTGTACACTAAATCTATTAATAAAAAAAGAATATTTTCCTAAAAATGATAATTCCAATTTTTATTTTCTTGGATTTTTTTCTTTTATTTTATTTCTTTGAATAATTTGGATCTTGATTAATCGATCTATGAAAAAAAACAACTTAAACCCCATTCACAATTAATTTTTTGATAAAGGGCAAAGAAAGTAAAGTAAATTAAATTAAACCATAATTGTTACCTTTGCCAAAAATGAAATCATATAAATAGAGTTACAAAAATATATTGATCGGAGGGCTTTTCAAGTTCGTTACTTCGATTCTTCATCGGTCTTTGGTTCGAATCCAAAAATTAGTACTGCAAAGTGCTAAATTAGCTCAGTTGGAAGAGCAAATGATTATCATTTAAAAAATATCTCTCACGAGCTGAGCGACCCCTCTTTTTATAATTGTATGAAAATGAAAAAAAATTGATTTAAATAATGACTTATTATAATAAAAACTAATTCTTTATAGAATTTGACAAACGAAGATATAAATATCTAAATTATCTAAATCGATTCTATTTAAAAATAGATGATAATAAGATTCAGAATGAAATTCCATTTCAAAAAAAATTAAAAAAAATTTAAAAAAAATGAAAATTTTTAAACAAAATTTAATATAAAATTGAACATCTGACACTGATTTAGTAAAGATAATAAAGCTATATATATATATAAATGGAAGCAGTTTTAAGTGCATTAAAGACAGGTCAAGTCATTCCTCAATTCCTTGAGGCATCTTTCAACCCATGTATATATATGAAAACATAATATAATTAAATAATAACAATACTCTTGCAAGTAACTCACACCACTCATTTTCTTTTGTAGCAACATTGTTGACTGTAACATATAACAATAAGCCAATTGTAGCTGGAGAGATTCTTACTCCATCTCAAGTAAGTTTGAAAAACTAATGATTTAGATAGAATTCTAACAAGAAGAAAAGATAAAGATTACTTACATGTTAGATTTTATGTTATCAAGGTTACTCAACAACCAACTATTCATTACGATGCCGATCCAAATGCTTTCTATACTTTAGTTTTCCTTGGTATGTTTTATTTTAGTTTAACAACTGTTCTTCAGTCTTTATTATTATTATTAACTAATAATTGTTTTTATTTGTTTCTATTGTACAGACCCAGATGTTCCATCACGTGCTGCGCCAACCTTTGGACCATGGCTTCACTGGATAGTTACTAACATCCCAGGTAACAAGTTGAGCGAAGGTGAGGTCTTGGCAGAATACATCGGATCAGGACCACCCGAGAAGACTGGATTGCACCGTTACTGCTTCTTCATTTTCCAACAACCAAGCAAGCTCAAGTTCACCGGTGAATACATCTTACCAACCACGTAATGTATCGAATTGATCAATCATCATAATCTATCTATACAACATTGATAGAATGTATTTATGACTAACTTAACAATCAACTAAACCTAAACTAAATTAAATAGTGCTGCAAAGAGAGATAAATATGAGTTTGAAAGATTTGTTACAAAGTGGAACTTGAGTGTTAAGGCTGCCACTTTCTATGAGGCCGAGTTCGATGATGCCGTGCCAGGTCTCTACAAAATGCTAGAAACAGTTAAAACTCAACCACAATTAATTGAATAAACAAGTTCTAATAAATTGTTTGATTCAGAATACTTAAAGAAAGAAATCTAATCTTATTAAAAAGGTTGCAAAAAGCTTGATATGCATGATAAAACAAAATAAAAAGTTTAAAAAAAATAAACTTTAAGAAGATCTATATGAGATTTAAAATAGAATTTCCAAGACTCTGGTAATAAGACTTCAATATCTTTCAAAAGATGGCTTATCTTTGGTGTTTCCATGATTCTCTATGAAATAAAAATAAATATTAACCTCTAATATTCTTATATTTAAAAAAAAGAGTATTTTTATTTTTTTTTTGATTTCTAACTAACTAAGGCAATAAGAATAATAAAAAGAGGCCCACAAAGAACAAAACAACTGAGACTTTTGCCAAAATTCTGGTTGAATTATGCTCTGAATCAATATAACGAAATCCAAAAAGCCAAATAAATTTAAAACAAAAACCACACAAGAAGACAATAATCATGTTTCTGAGATCCTTTTCTAGTTTTAATTCAGTCTCTAAGAATCATTATAGAAAATGTTTTTGCTCACATTAAAAAGTGGGCAATTACATGTAACATTTTCAGATCAAAGGCTAAAAGTGTTAAACAATTACTGCTGTCTCTCCATAAGAGGTTCTACATATAAATTTTTTCGACTTTTTCGACTTTTTTTTTTTTTACTTTTTTTACTTTTTCGACCTTAACTTATGAGGGATCAAAAAGAAACTGTTTTTATCAATTACCACACTTTAAATATTTTTCATATGATATTTAGATAATTGATATCAAAAGATTATTCATATATTAAAAAACAATGAAAAGAAAACATGATCAGAATAATATCAGTTCAAATGTTGATAATGATGCGCTTCTCCAACCTGTAATGGCATTTGATCATGTTAATAGGGATCAACAAACAATTGTGCTACCATCAGGTGAATCAACAACGAAAGAACAACTTTTATTAAAAGTAATCGATCTTTATCCAAGCTATGCTAATACTTATTACCAGTTGGCATTAATACTTGAATCCGAAAATCGATCATCAATCACACTTAATAATGGACAATCAATGACTACAGAACAATTATACTTGAAATCAATAGAGTATGATCCAACCAGTCACAGTTCTTATTATAACCTTGCAAATACACTTTCAAATGGTGAATCAATCAAACTTAATAACGGACAATCAATGACAAAACAACAATTATACTTGAAGTCAATAGAATCTGATCCAACCAATTCCAATCCATATTATAACCTTGCAACGACACTTTCAAGAGGTGAATCAATCACACTTAATAACGGACAATCAATGACAAAACAACAATTATACTTGAAATCAATAGAGTATGATCCAACCAGTCACAGTTCTTATCATAACCTTGCAAATACACTTTCAAGAGGTGAATCAATCACACTTAATAATGGACAATCAATAACTGCACAACAACTATTCTTGAAATCAATAGAATATGAACCAACATATTATCTGTCATACTACAGCCTTGCAAATACACTTTCAAGAGGTGAATCAATCACACTTAATAATGGACAATCAATGACTGCACAACAATTATACTTGAAATCAATAGAGTATGATCCAACATATTCCAATTCATATTACCAGTTGGCATTAATACTTAAAGCCGAAAATCGATCATCAATCACACTTAATAATGGACAATCAATGACTGCACAACAATTATACTTGAAATCAATAGAATATGAACCAACATATTATCGGTCATATTATAACCTTGCAAATACACTTTCAAATGGTGAACCAATCACACTTAATAATGGACAATCAATGACAAAACAACAATTATACTTGAAGTCAATAGAGTATGATCCAACCAGTCACAGTTCTTATCATAACCTTGCAACGACACTTTCAAGAGGTGAATCAATCACACTTAATAACGGACAATCAATGACAAAACAACAATTATACTTGAAATCAATAGAATGTGATCCAACATATTTCAATCCATATCATAGCCTTGCAATTACACTTTCAAGAGGTGAATCGATAACACTTAATGATGGAACAACAATGACGAAACAACAACTATTCTTGAAATCAATAGAATGTGATCCAACCAATTCATATTTATATTATAACCTTGCAACGAAACTTTCAAGAGGTGAATCAATCACACTTAATAATGGACAATCAATGACTGCACAACAATTATACTTGAAATCAGTAGAATATGAACCAACATATTATCGGTCATATTATAACCTTGCAAATACACTTTCAAATGGTGAATCAATCACACTTAATAATGGACAATCAATGACTGCACAACAATTATACTTGAAAGCAATAGAATGTGATCCAACCAATTTTGATTCGTATGATAAACTTTTAATTATACTTTCAAGAGGTGAATCTATCATTCTTAATAATGGACAATCAATGACAAAACAACAATTATACTTGAAATCTATAGAAGGTGATCCAAGCAATTACTATTTATTTTGTAACCTTGCAAATACACTATCTCGGTATGAAACAATAACACTCCATAATGGTGTTCGAATGACAAAACAACAACTATTATTGGAATCACTAAGAAAAGGTCATAGACGAAGTATGGTTTACAAATCGATTGGACTAACTTTGCTGAACAACAAACAAACGATTACACTTCCAAATGGTGAACAAATGTCGAGAAGACAACTGCTTCAAAAAGCAAGAGAATTGTACTAAAATTAACATTTTAGAATTATAATAATCAAATCAACTCACACTTCAATAATTATTAAGAATTCAACCATCACAATTCAAACAGTTTATTGACGCGATTTCAAATAACTAAAGTTAATAATCCAATTGTTAAACAATAATCAAACATTTATTCAACACTATCAAATATTATTCTTGAGAGTTTTGTAAAAATATGTTACCAGGGTGAAATTTTTATTGAGCAACATTTCCATCAAAAATTAATAACTGTATAATCAGTACATAGATCTAAATATTTCATACTTTTTTATTCATATTTGTCATTACTTTATTAATCTTTGGAGATTCTTGTTAACCTATTTAATAATAAAAATTAATATAACATATTGTGCATACAGATATTTCGAGGAATGAGTAGACTATTTTTTTTTTTGAGATTATTTATTTAGTGTGTAAAATAATATCGACAAAAAGATTGTTAAAGATTCTCTTAAACCAATTGGCTATTAATGTTTTTAATAGATTCATAATAAACTTTGAATGTTAATTTACATATAGAGTTGTTTTTTATTTAATTCCATATTAAAACCTTAGAAATTAGTTATATCTCTTCCAAAAACAAGAGTTCTTAGCCAGTCGAATGGAACTTGGAATTTACTTCTTAGTGAACCTAATCTGGTGAGATAAGCCGATCTCCATGCTATCCACGCCCAGAGACCACTTGCCTGAACAGCATTCGTTTGGAACAGTGATGATTTACGTCCAATGTATGCAAGAATACCAAAGTAATGGTATACAAATGGTTTGGACTCCAACTCTTTGATCGAATTGTTGAATTGCTCTGCCAGGTAGATACCTTGTTGTTGTGCAACCTGAGCGGTTGCCGGCAAGTTGGTTTCATTGACATTGGAACAGTCACCGAATGCAAATATATTCTTTTGACCAGCGAGACAGAGATATTGATCGACTTGTAGACGACCTTGTTTGTCCTTTGGGAAGGGCAGTGAGTTGATAAACTTTTGTGGTGCGACACCGGTTGACCAGACAAGCATACCATATGGAATCTCAGTGCCATCGGAGAGAATCACCTTCTCCTCGTGTACCTCTTTCACCGGTGAGTTTGTACGAACATCCACACCCGATGCCTTGAAATTCTCCAGTGCTTTCTTCACCAGATTCTGGTCGAATGCACTCAGTATCGACTTTGATGCTTCCAACAGTGTAATCTTCACTTCGTTCATCGGTACATTAGGGAACCATCTAGAGATGTCTTCACTCACCAAGTCATTCAACTCTCCGCAAAACTCAACACCAGTTGGACCACCTCCACAAACAACAAAACTCAACAACTTTCTTCTCTCTGCCGGTGTAACATCTGGTAGCGATGCCATTTCAAAACAATATATAATTCTTTGTCTAATTGATCTTGCCTAATAGTAAATATATTGGTAACAATTATTAATATTGTTTGATTTTGTTTTGCTTATGATATTTTCCAACATACTTGATGTAATTCCTTTAGGAAAAAAGAGTTTTTCTCTACACCCGGAATGTTGAATGTGTTATTTCTAGCACCGACACCGATGATGAGGTAATCATAGTCGATTTTGAATGGTGTTTGGTGATGAAGTGTAGAGAGACATTCGATTGACTTTTCTTCGTGATTGATCTTTGTACACTCTGCCTGTAGGTAGTTGAAGTCGTCTTTAGCATTTCTAACGGGTTGTGCGACCGATCTAAATTCTAATGTTCCCACTGATGTACTAGCCAACAATGGTGTAAATAAAAAGTGATTTCTTGGACTTACCAATGTGATATCAAAATTATCACCATTTACTATATTAGAAAAAAAAGAAAAAGAAAAAAAGAAATTTATTAATACACCTGATAGCTATGATTGTTTTTCAGTAATTCAGTATCATTATTTATTACATTTCTTTAAAAAAGCATAAGATGACCATCCACAACCAAGAATAACAACTTTTGGCTTAACACCTCTTTGTTCTAACTTTCCAATATGAAGATAGTTTCTCTTTGATATTATAGCATTATTAATATTATTACTATTGTTTAATAATGTTGTTGTGTTTATTATTCTATTTCTAATTTGATTATTAGATGTTGTTGTAGTCTTTTGTATTAATTTAAACATTTTTGAAAATTAATTTAAATTTAATTAATTTAATTGTTGTTTATTATTATATTATAAATTAAGATTTATATTAATTATTTACATTTTTAAAAACAAAAAAGCTTTAATTTATATTCACTACAAGTTTAATGTAATTGAACAGACAACACAATATTAATTTTTTAATCTAATTTTTTTGTTTTTTTTTGATGTTTTTACCAGGTTGATTTGTAACCACACACGAGTTAAAGTTGATCCATCATATGACAAAATGCGGTGTCATATGTTGGTATTATTTAAATGACTTTTCTAAATTAAGAGATTCAAATCAAATCATGCTGTCATTTGTCGTTTTTTTTAATCGTCATAAACAATCTATAAAATTTCTTTTAAAAATTAAAAAAATAAAATAATAAAATTTCAAATCTTGATTGTTTAATAGAAATAGATACTATAATTTAAAATTATTAGAGTTTATAAATAGGATTATTTTGTTTTTTTTTTTTTTAATTTATTTGAAAGATTTTTTGAGAAATTCAATATGTGATGTTCAATAGTTCGTTTTTTAAAAAAAAAAAAAAAAAAGAAATCTGAAAATATTTTAATTGAATTTAATTTATATTTATATAAAGATTGTTATTAATAATTAGTAATGAATGCAGAGGAAGTGGTTTCATTAGAATATAGTATATTTAGTTATATTAATAATGGAGATGAATCGAAATCTATAAAGTTGTTACAAGACGACCATTCATTGTTGTTTGCAACCGAAGATCACTATGGTCTCACCATCTTGCATTTAGGTGCACAAAAACGTTGGTCAACCTTTGTTAAACTTATATTGGAGATCTCTAGAGATTTCAATGATTTCGATGTTGATAAACTAGATCTGAATGGTAACTCTGCACTTCACTATGCTTGTTCACATTCAATAGCAGAGTTAAACAATACAAATGTTGTTGAACAATTACAACAACAACAACAACAACAACAAACATCAAATAATAACAATAACAACAACAACAACAACAATAATAATAATAATAATGAAGAAAAAGAAATGAATCAATTGGAGATAGTTGAATATTTATATGATAGAGGTGCAGATGTAAATTTAAAGAATAAGATGAACTATCAACCTATACATTTGGCTTGTAAGACTGCTTGTTTTCGATTGGTGGAGAAGTTGCTAGAGTTTGGTGCCGATTGTAGACTGCCGCATGAACGTGTATTGGATGTCGATTTGATGTCGTTGCAGCTAAAGTCGTTGTTGCCGCTGACTGGCTACGAGCAGAAGCGATCCGACGAAAGAAAGCAATCGATCATTCAGAAACTAGGCGGTAAAACACGTGGTCTCGTAAAGAACGGTCCGACCTGCTTGTTCTACACGCTGTCCAATATCGAGGTGCTCGCCAATCAACTCGGCGAAATAAGAGAGCGACTTGCTGACAGCGTAGATTTCGAATCGTTCCTTCATAGAGACATTGAGTATATATCGTTGGTTCAGCTGCTGCTGTCAAAGGGTGTCAATGCAAATGCTATCGATATTATCAGTGGACGTACTGCACTGTCAGAGTTTATCTACCGATTTCCTTCGACCGACGAGCAACTGGCGCGTCTGACGCGTAACAACCAACTGAACATTCCACTGGCAATTGCATTCAAACGGCTGCTAAAGTTGTTGGTTAAAGATAGTTCATTCAATTTGGCGATATGCGATGACAATAGTTTGGACGACATGCAAGCCGGTGAGACTGCACTCATCCACTGTGCTGCCAACCCATCTAAACTGCTGCTACTCTCAACCATGTTACAATTTATAAAGGAGAACAGTAAAATTATTAGCGATGTTTTAGAGTCAAAGAATGCAAAAGGTCAGACAGCATTGTTTGTTGCATGTGCACTGGGTAATTTGAAGGCTGCTCAGTTGTTGTTGGAAGCGGGTGCCGACGCAGATGCCGTCGACAACTTTGGTAATCTTCCGATTCACGAAGCGTTGTCGTTTGGTTATTTTGAGATTGCCAGGAAGCTGGTGTTGTGTGGCGCCGACGTGAATCGACCGATGTCAGTCTATCCTCAGTCGACACCACTGCATGTCGCGGTGCAGCTTGGCGATCTTGAAATGGTAGAGTTCTTCCTGAAGAACGGTGCACTCCTGGATTCTCTGGACGGCGAGAAGCGAACACCGCTACAGGTTGCAGACGACGCCAACGAAGAGATCATCGATTATCTACAGGGTCATGTTCAGGTGTCGTTGATACACGAGACATCGTTCGTTGTATCGAAGCACGACTTTCAGAATGAACTGAACTCGCACGTCAATAATATATATGGTTCGCCGAGAAACAGTGAACAGCAACGCAAACTTCAAGTGGTGAAGCGTAGCGGCGACGAGAGCAACTCCACAGGAGTGACAATCAAGATTCAAGATACAATTAGATCGAACGGAATGCGTATAAAGATTAGAGAGAAAGGTGATCAACTATTTAGATACATCAAGCTATATAACCTTTCATATCTGCATCTATTGATGACCATTCAAGATAGATTCGGTAAATCAAGTGAATTACCACTCGAACTATTCGAATCGTCTATACAATCAATAGTATTGCTACCAGACATTTCAATACAAAATGATACAGATATTGAATATCTAAATGATAACGATCAATTAGAAGTAACATTCAAATAATAAAAACTAATATGATCATATTTCTTGTATAAAAACACAACAACAATATTTAAATATTGAACATGAACTTCAAAAAAAAATATCTAAATTTTTATTTGAATTTTAATTTACATTTGGTGTGGTAAAACAAATATTTTTTTTTAATTTAATTTAGAATTTTTTATTATTATTAATGGGTCATTGCTTGCAAAGCAATCAAAACTAATAAGTTTTTTTAATATCATTAATAATAATAATAATTTATAAGAATATTTTAATAGAAAAATGAAAAGATTATCAATTGCATTATTAAAGTGTGATAAATTTGTACCGGAATTACAAAGTAAATTCGGAGATATCGATGTTCAATTTACAAATTTATTAAAAAAGAACAAGTTGGCAACAGTTGATTTGTCAGTATACGAAGTCACTGACTCAAAGTTTCCAAAGTGGGATGATGTTGTCACAAATAAATATAATGGATTCATTATATCAGGAAGTAGACACTCTGTCAATGATAACGTTGAATGGACAAACGCTCTAAAAGACTATGTTAGAATGTTAGATACCAACAATATAAAAACTGTTGGTGTTTGTTTTGGTCATCAAGTAAATATATAAATATTCATTCATAGTTAGTATCTTAATATATTTAAATATATTAACAATATTGTTGTTATTGTTATTATTAGATGATTGCAAGTGCTTTGGGTGGAACTGTTTCAGGTAATCCTAAAGGTTGGCAAGTCTCCGATAGAGATTATCTCATCAATCCGACTATATTGACAGGATATGGATTGCTACCAGGTGCAAAGGAGACAGAGTTGGTTGTAGATATCATGTGTATGAACAAAGAGATGGTCACTCAGAAACCAAAGGATCTCATTTGCTATGGTGGCAATGAGATTTGTGCAAATCAGGGAATGATCAATTCGAATTTCCTTACATTCCAGGGTCATCCTGAGTATACACCGGAATTAATTAAAGAGGTATTGAATCTTAGAAAAGGTATTATACCTGACGACGTCATTGCAGAGGGTATCAAGAGAGCCAATGAATCTCAAATCGATTATGAATGGTATTCTAATCTTATTGTATCATGGTTCTTATTGAACAAATCCAAAAAATAATAATAATAATGTATTTTAATAATTTAAGAATAATAAAAATAGAAAGTTTAAGGTTGATTTTTATCATCTTCAAAGGTTGGTTCCCATTTATTTGATTCTATAGAATATCGAAAATTACCCACTTTATTTTCAAAATAATAGATAAAACTTGATGTCGGAGATACTCGATGGTACAACAAATTACTAAATTCTTCTGTGTTGTAATGCATATCAATGAGATTGATTTGTTGTTTGGTTTCAACATTGAATTTAGCTAATTGGTTTTTGCTTTCATTTTTAATGTAGAAATTTACATTTTTGTCATGATATGCTGCTTCTGGTAAAGTTTAAAACGGTAGCTCGGTTATTCTTTTATTTTCCAAATCGAATTGTAAGATCAATGGCTGGTGCCGTGATACTGAGAATAATTTACGTTTGAAGAGCATTGCTGATAGTTGTATTTGATATAAACTATGTTTTTCCTCGATTTGTTTGTCTAGAAGCTTTTGTATCTTTGAAAAAGTTTGAAGACAATTAAAAAATCTGATTTAGTGATGCCAAGTGTTGAATATTTCAAGTTAATTAAATAAAATAATTTTATTTATACTTTAAAGATGCATTTGACAACTTTATCTATTTTTTTTTAAGAGCTCTCAAGCTATTGCCTAAAAAAATTTAAAACTTTTTTTTTTATTTTTATTTGAATTCATTTTTTAAAGTGATTCATTCGCAAGCAACTTTGATTATCTATTTTTTTATGGATGTTCATTAGAGATGAATCTTCAAAAATATATTATAACAACACAAAAACCATATAGTAAGATATTTTGGCCAATAAGATGTAATGACAAGAAATCTGGTTATTTGATTGGTTGGAATACTAGAAGTTTCGTTGCATGCGTCATCGATATCATATCCGATATATCGGTAAGTTATCTCTTTTATCTACTACATATTGCTTTAGAGATTATCTATATTTATTCAATTCGAATTCTATCTAGTTACAAGATTTAGAGATAATATTGAAAGAGTTAAACAATGATAAGAGAATGGCATCGTGTCCTGTTGGACAACCTAGAGTGTTAGGTGAATGGTGTAATAACAGTTTGACAACAACCTCAACGACAACGACAACAACAACAACAACCGATAGCAATAGCAGTAGTAGTCTTGGTGGTGGACCAAACAATCTACATGATGTCGACTTTTGGATATCGATGGAGAGATCGGTTGGCTCTGGACATCCTTGTTTGAAGAAGATCTATTGCAATGAATACAAGTTTCAAACATCGTCACAGATTGTACTCTACGATGACACATCGCCTTATTACTATACATCTACACCTATTTCATTAGTACCTACTATTGCAGGTGATAGCAATAGCAATACAATCAATAAACATAGTACATCAACATCATCAAAGACAACGAGTAACTCTGTATTCTCACCAGTTGCAACATCGACACCAACAACAACCAACAGTTCAACATCGTCACCATCATCTCTATCTTCAACGAGTACAACTAGCACCAAACTTAAACCAAATACATCTGATTTAGAATCTACTTTTAAACAAGTATGTAATTAACATATATATATATATATATATATATATATAGTATTGACAAACATATTCACTAACTAATTAATAATGTAACTATTGATAATATCAAAGATTAACTGTTCGAATGATATAAAGACAATATTGAATGAGACAATTGAAAAGTATTATAGATCTACAAACAACAATAGGAATCCATTACCATCATTACTATCGATAGACAGTAAACCAAATTCGAGATCTCTCTTTTCAAATTCATTCATTACATTGAGAAAAAGAAAGAATTCTCTTAAACAATCAAATGATAATAATAGTAGTAGTAAAGATAATGATAGTAGTATAGATAATAATAATAATAATAATAATAATATAGATGATAATAGCAATAATAATAATAATAATAGTAGTAATATAAAACAAGATAAAGATAATAATAATAATAATAATAATAATAGTATAAAAGAGAAATCAAAAAGAGTTATTTGTGCACCTCTATATCTATTAATAATAATATTAAGATTGTTTGAAAAGATATTATTAAGTGTATTGAATATGGATGCACCATTCTTAAAGAATAAGAAGTTAAAGGATCTAACAACACTTGGTAGTACACTGGATAGTAGAATCGATGAGATTAAACTACTCATCAATCAACATCATCATGTAGAAGAGAAGAAATATTGGTTAAATAATAATCAAGATCGTGCTTTATTAATAGAGTATGTAAATATAAGTGTGTTAACACTTTTAAATATTTTTTAAAAAATATAGTAACTAACTAAATATATTTATCTTATATTAGATATAAGAATAGGTTTTGGTTATTGATAGATGATATTGTATTGGGAATACTAGCAGGTTTATTACTTAATTTCTTGGCACCGCATGTCCTATCAGCTGTTGCAAACTTTAACTATAAGCTGACAAACGATTTCCTAAAGAATCTTATTTTGTGGCTGATGGGATGGCCTGCTGGCTTCAAATTGAACGAAAATCTCGATAAATTCTTTGGAAGATTGATTCTTTATTATATTGATAAATGGAATTGTAAGTTATAACTATTTATTATTATTATAACAAACATTATTATATTAGGATCTTATTATTAATTTAAATCGTAATAATATAGTGATTACTACAACTATTGCACCACATGGTGTTATACTCTTAAAGATTGTTTGTATGAGTGGTGTATTTGGTGTGTCAGTGTTGATCAGTATCATCATCGATCTATTCTCTATATTCACTCTACATATCTCGGTATTCTACAGTGTCTCTGCAAGATTCTATCTCTTACAACTGATGCTTTTGAAATCTCTATGGAATCTATTTAGAGGTAAATGATCATTAACATTACTTTGTTAACATTATAAATACATAATAGTTTGTTAATACTAATGTTATGTTGTTGTTGTTGTTGCTGTTGCTGTATAGGTGTAAAATATAATCCACTTAGAAAGAGAACGGATAGTTGTGATTTCGATCAATATCAACTGTTGCTAGGTACATTGTTGTTTACGTTGATCTTCTTCTTGTTCCCAACGACTGCAGTCTACTATTTCTTTTTCGCTACGTTCAAATCTAGTCTGACTGTTGTAATGGCGTTGTTCTCACTGCTTTTACATCTACTAAAGACATTCCCACTGTTTGGCATGCTAGTTTACTTTATCGATCAGAAATACCTACCAAATGGTGTAACCTTTACAGTTAAGAACAATGAGAATACAAAGAAACAACAAGCAACCTTAACAACAACGACAATAACTAATTTAGATCAATTACAAACACCAACAATAACATCAGGAGGTGGTAGTAATAGTAGTGGAAATGTAAACAAACCATCTTCACCTTTATTACATGGACAAACAACTACAACTACAACACCCAGTGGATTACAATCACCATTACACCAACGTACACAAAGTGGTAATCTCGATTTGTTACCTTCACTGCAGCAACAACAACAGCAACAACAGCAACAACAATATATGTTATCACCCAAGACAGGACTTGGACATCGTCGTAATCAATCTCTATCATCGTCGACATCGTCACCGATTGGACCACGTGTATCTACACAACTGGAAATAACCTATGTCCATATCAACATTGAACCTATCAAGTTCTGGGAATTGTTTTCACATACCATCAGCCTGATCAGCAGTGTAGTTGCATTCTATCATCCAAACAAACTTGCTGCATCTTTCTTTTTAGGTAAAACACCAAAGTAAAAGTAATTTGTTAAATTTTTTTCTGTTTTTCAAGAGAATAAATCATTTCAATATCAAAATTAAAAAAAACAAATAAAAAAAACAAACAACACACACAACTAGATTTCTTTTAAAAATTTTCTCAATAATTTTTGATTGTTTCCTTTTTTTTGTTTTGAAGCACTTTTCACACCCCTCATTGTCAATGCCTAGGATGAAAGTACTTTTTTTTTTTTCATCTAATTTAGTTAATTTTATTTATTGTCTTTTTTTTTTATTTTATTTTATCAATTGTTTTATATTTTATGTATTGTTAGTTAGATAATTAATTACTTTTTTTTTATTTTTAGATTTAAGGTTATAGATATAGATATTTTAATAGTTATTTAGTTAGTTAGTTTTATAGGTTTTTTTTTTTTTTTGATAAAGAAAGGAAAATGAGTGGTAAAGTAGATGAATATCTTGCTCAGTTGATTGATATGGGATTCGATCCAGAGGTATCGAGATTGGCGGTGGAACAGACACAATGCGCATCACTGGAGAGAGCCATTGAATTTATCTATAGCTTGTCGAATTCCGGTGCAGTACCAGACACCACACCACTGGGTCGTTCCAATACACCAACAACACTGCCCACCAATAACTATGTGACGAGCTCGTCGAATCTCTCGAGACAAAACTCGGCGACACCCACCAAGAAGATCAGAACCTCGATGAGAGACTCCAATGAGTATGTCGACTCGGACGACGAGTACTACCAGGACGTCGACGACTACCAATTCGACGAGCCCGTCATCGAAGCAATGACCACCTCCAACACTGTCGTACAGGCATCGGAAATCATTGCCAATGCACTCGTTGAGATTCAGCGAATTGAATCGGTAACAGAGACTTCTCCATGTGCTGCAACTCTTATGTTATTGAAATATCAGTAAGTAGTTGTGTTTTTTTGTTTTTTAACAAACATAATCAAATAACAAAGTGTTAACATTATTATTATTATTATTATTCTTTATATTTATATTTTAGATGGAATGGTAACAAATTGTTAGAACAATATTATGAGAATCCAGATAAAGTAAAAAGATTAGCAGGTGTTCCAGAAAAAGAAGAATACACTGCTCTTCAATCGACTAAAGAGGATTGCTCTGTATGTTGTGATACAATGGATAAGAAGAATACTTGTTATTTATCATGCAAACATTATGTAAGTTTATTGATGATAGTTAATTAATTAATCAATCATTTTGAATCAAAGATTATTAACTATTTTTTTTTTTTTTTGATTTGTTCTAGGCATGCACTGATTGCTGGTCGAGCTATTTAACAATGAAAATTCACGAAGAAGGTGAATCAATGGGTATTACATGTATAGGATATAAAGTAAATATTATTATTTAAAAACAAACACAGTCACTTGTTGGTAACAACTCATTAACGCAATTGTATTTTAGTGTGGAGTTATTGTATCAGATAGATTCATTCAAGAGGTAGTACCAAAAGCCTATCCAAAATATTTAGAGAGATTGGCACAAACCTATGTAGATAAAAATCCAAATATGAGATGGTGTCCAACTGCTAATTGTGGTAATGCATTGAAGGCGTATGTTTTTATAATTAGATTTTTCTTTTGAAAAGGTAATATTAACTTTTTAATTATAATTATAGTGATAGTCAAGCGGAATCAGTTGCACAATGTTCATGTGGATTCAGAATGTGTTTCAAGTGTAATCAAGAATCACATGTACCAGCAAACTGCGATCAGATCAAGTTGTGGAAGAAGAAAAATCAAGATGATTCAGAGACTGCCAATTGGATCCAGTCTCACACTCAAGACTGTCCAAAGTGTCACTCATCCATCGAGAAGAACGGTGGTTGCAATCACATGACATGCAAGAAATGCACACATGAATTCTGTTGGGTTTGTATGGGTAATTGGAGAGGTCACAGCTCATGTAATTCATTCAAGAAAGAAGATAATAGTAATAAGTCTGATTCAAAGAGAGCTCTTGAAAGGTAATTTTGTTAATTAAGTTTTTCAAATTGATTGATTTAATATTAACACTAACATTATGTTATTATTATTATTATATTTATAGATATTTGTTTTATTTCCATCGTTATAATACTCATGAACAGAGTAAAAAGTTTGAAACTAAACTCAGACAGGATGCAATGAATACTATTTTTGCGCTACAGAACAACAAGGATAAGCGTTGGATCGATGTCAAATTTATTGAGTCGTCGACAGAGACTCTGATTCAGTGTAGAAGAACCTTGAAATATACATACGTATTTGGATTCTATTTGCCAGAGGGTGCCGAGAAGAATTTGTTTGAGTATTTACAGTCGGATCTCGAGAGAACCACCGAGAAGCTCTCGGGTCTTTTGGAGAAGGGTGAAAATCAAAACGTAATGGAACTCAAGGAAATCACCAATTTGGCATCGACCAAACTCAACCATCTCCTCGACGGTGTAGAGGAAGGTTTAACTTCTGGCGGTAAAAAAACAATTAGATAAAAACACAACAAAACAAAAATCAAACAAACAACCACCAATCAATCAATCACAGTATAATAATAGTTCAAACATTTTGGTTTAGTTTTTTTTTTTTTTTAAAAGTTTATATTTTTTGATTAGTAATAATAAATTAATTATTTGCGAGATAATTCAAATTGTTATCATTATTTATTTGTTACAACAATATTTTCAGATAGCCATTGTCCTTCTGCTATTCCTTTTCCATGTTTGGCGTTGATCGGTTGCACCTCTGAAAATCTTTCTCTATCGCATCCATCAATTACAAATATAATGCCATCATTTACAAATTTGTAGAAATACCTCCACCTTGATCTTATTAGAAAGTGTCTATTCTCAACTATTGTATTACTATATTGTTTAAAAGCTGTAAAATTATCTTTACACATACTACTTACGAGTTACTAATTTAAAGGCATTCGGTAATAATCTTGATGTATCTATTTTATCATGTATGATTCTATTGAGAATAGTTGTTTTACCTGCACCATCTAAACCCAACATCAACACTGAGTAAGGTTGGATTGAAGGGTAGAGTTTCGAATAAATCGATCCCATTTCTATTATACATAAATAAACTTCTCTACTATTTATTATATTTCCATCTGATATTTTCTTTAAATAAAAAATTACAAGAACACGTGGCAATTGCAACATAAATCTAAATCAAATTTAAACAAAATAATTTTTATATTCATTGGATATCTTGGATGCTTCTATCTCAAAATACTTTACTTTTTCTTTTCGGACTGTTTGTAAGATATCGATTAATATGAGTAAACCTAATAGTTTTTCTCTCTTTTTTGCTTAGTCTCACAATCATCAGCTATTCTTCCTCTTCCTCTTCTTTTTGTTTTGATTCAACTCTTCTATTGAACTAGTTTTTGATTCTTCTTCTTTCTTCTTCTTCATACCACCGATCAATATCTAGCTATCTTCACTTGACCTCTTTGATGTATTTCTCAATAAAAAACGCTCTCTTTTGATACAATTTAATTGTACATCTTTAATAGCTCTGATTTTAGAGTAATATTCTCTTCTATTATCTCTACAATCATATTCATAGATTGATCCAACACTTCTATGTATTTGTTCCAAATTTCTCTCGAGTGATTGATTTATCTTTCAAGTCTTTTAAAATGTGTTCTTTCATTTTATAGGTAGTTTTTTTGTTTTGCAAAAGCCGTGCCAAATTTGTTCATTTTTTGGGTAATTTTTTGCTCTCTGTATTTTATATGTTGTTGGTTGTTTGTTTTATCTGCACCATCTAAACCACATCATCACCTGAATAAATAATCATTATTAGTATTTAACTTATTATTATTTTCCAATTATTATTTATAGATAAAATCAGGTCAACTTTCAGATATGTTTTCTTGCTTTTCTTTGTGGAGATTCGATTTTAACTCTCCACCTTTTTGTCTATTAAATTTTTCTCACTTGACCAGTTTTGTGTGGGGAGAGTAATATAAATTTAACACATTTAATTTTTTATTTTTTACATATATTTGTTTTTTTTATAGATTTTTTAAAAATATTATTTAAATTACAAAAAATTAATAATAGGTTTTTTTTCTTGAAAGTTATTAATAGTAATAGATTTCCTAATAATGATAAATATTAATAGTTCTTTTATAGAACCCTAAGAGGAAATCCATTCTATTATTCTTTGTCAAAAAATAATTAGTTTTGTATCTATAGGTGAATGAAAATTTATAGATATACATTTTGTAAAGATTTATTTACAAAATTTTATTTAATTTATTTTTAAAAAGTATTTAAACAATGTTTTGAATTTAAAATTAGAACAAACATATTTAGAAACCAAAGAATGAAATTAGTTTTAAGTTTATTTATAATAGTTTCAATTTTAAACGGTTGTCTCTCGACAACTATTCCCTCTGAGCCACAAAGAAATATAACATGTGAAGAACAATGTCCTCATGAAACACATACCATCTGTGTTAATCTTGATCATATATTAAGATGTTTTCCACAGAGTAAATATTCAAAAATTAATTAAATTAAATTTCATTATCTTTCCTATAATTTTAATTTAAACACTTTTTTTTTTCAGTCAATCCTTTAGTAAAAGTAGAAAAACAAATTAGATCTCAATGGATGGTAAATTTAAAAGAATCCTTAAGCCTATATGATTTCACAGTAACAAATACCCATCCAATGCCATTGTACTTCTTTGGTATGAGAATTAACATCTGTGATTCCATTGAATATGACAAAAACACAGTTTCATGGAATTTCAATCTGACAAGAATCTATGGAGAATGTTGCCTATTTCCAATTGGTTGGAGCTCTGGAAAAGTTTTACTTGAACCGGGTCAATCCTATACCTTTGGTTTTGTAGTACCAACTTCACTCAATATTGAATATGAATTAAATGGTATTAGATTTGTGTATGAGAAAGTTGATAGTACACCATCAAGATTCCAAGGTGCTAAATGGATAAGATAAAAATGAATAAAAATTAAAAACTCAACTAAATTAATGATATGATCGGTTTGTTTTTTTATATTTTTAATTTTGTTTGACAACTATTTTAAATTATGTGAAGATAAAACATTTACACCCAAACTTAATCGAAATAAGTTTTCTACAAGAAATTAATTTGATATGTGTATATCACCTATATTCTGTATTGATATTAATTATCATCAATTAAAAATACTTGAACAAAACAAAACTAACTTCCTTGAACATTAATTCCAAAAAAAAAAAAAATTTAAAAATAAAAAATAAACATGTTGATTTTTTTAACACTATTGTTGTAATTTAAATAGATTTTGAATGAAACAAAATTTAAATACTAGTTTTGTAAATATCTATTATTTCTATAAAATTTTTGATTTTTTATAGTTCAAAAAATCTTTTGATTCATTTGTTTCAAAATTTTTTTAAACAAAAACGATGCTGAAGAATTTTAAAAAAACATTAAGATTTACAATATTTTTATATATTTGTTTCAAAATGTCAAATCTATTTGAAAATTTATCACATATTATATTATCAAGAATCATAGGAAATCTATCAGATATCGTCGATAGAATATGCTTTAGTTTAGTTTGCAGAAGATTCTATTATGAAAGACATGCATATCTAAACTTTTTAGAAACTGTTCAAGATAACATCAGAAATAAGCTTACTCTTTCAAGTTCTTTTTATTTCAATTCCTATAGAGATATTTATGATAGACTCGTCGAGAAAAACAAACATAAACATTACTCTCAGTTGTTAATCCTAAACAATGATCAGCCGATGCTAGATCAATTTCATAAAATATATATTGTTTGTATGTGATATAGTTTAGAGAAAAATATTTAAAAATCATTCAATCTGATCAATCAACTATTATCGTATATGTATATCAGACTACAAAGATCTCAATAATTTCGAAATAGATCAACATTGCAAAGAAATTATCATTCTTGGCGAATCTTTTAATCATCTGAGACTTACCAGTAACTTTAAAGAAAAGTTGGCTCACTCCAATGTACACACTTTGGCATTCTCCGAATTTGTTGATGTAGCATTCGACCAATTTCCAAGCAATCTAAAGGTGATGGAAATAGAATCTACCTACCTACCATACCTTCCATCATCTTTAGAAAGTCTGACAGTGAGACATAAATCAATGGACCCGATCACTTTAGATTTCGATATATTCCATTCACTCTCTGAATTAAGATTCCGAGTTACTGACCAGAGAAATCCTATAGTTGCAATCAAGTCGTTTCCACCCAACCTAAAGACACTATACATTCACTACTTTTCAGCGAATATTATCGGTGACCAACAACCCGCATCCTTACCATTATCAATACAAACCATTGAGATCAATTCAACGGCATGGATTAATCTAAAATCTACAATGAATTTGAAAGATTACCAGAATCTAAAGAAAATGGTTATTACTTTGGAGTTGGGTGATCAATACTTGGACATCCCAGAAACTGTGGAGGATCTAGCATTTAACTGTAGTTTCTATTTCACTTTACAGAAGAGCATCCTACCAACAGGAATTAAGAGATTTAAAATCAACAACTCTAAAATACATTTCACAGCAGACGTATTTGCAGACTTTAGTAGCTTGGAATCTATCGATCTTCGAGAAACAACCGCGAAAACCAAATATCCTATCGGACAGTTACCTGGCAATCTTCAATTTTTCAGACCACCAAACAATCATGAAAAGCCATTACCTGATGATTTCTATTCTCTACCAGTTGGCGACTTGTTAAAAGACCTTCAACTCTTGTCTGTTAGTCAGGTAATCCCAGAATCCGTCAAACATCTAACTTTTAGTGATCAGATGTACGGTCAAACAATACCAGTTGGATTGATACAACAAGGTGTAGAAACAATTGATTTCTCTGGATACCTTGATACTGTTCCAGAAGGTGCAATTCCACCCTCAGTAAAATCAATAACAGTTGTGTCTGAATTCCTTTACAACAACCCATTGGATACACTACCAGCAACCATATCCAATATCCAGTTAATATCGATGCAAAATTTTAACTTTAGAAGATATAATGAATCCTTTATTTTGACCACTGATGATCATATTATAAAAGGTGGTATTTTACCTTCCGCCTTCATACACGACATTCTTTTAGAATTTCAAGACGACGATTTTGATTTTTCATAAAATTAAAATTATTTTTTTATTTTAAAATGTTATTACTATCTACAAATGTCGTCGGTCGGACTTTGATAAACTCTTTAATTTGATTGTTGCCAATTTAAATTCGTATTTATATTTCTTTTTAATAATAACAACTGATAATACAATAAGTGTAGCACCTAATATACTACCAACGATGATCACTGGTAGTTTCCATTTGTTTTCTTTCTCGGAAGTCGAACATCCACCACTTGAAGAATCATCACTTACTGTCAAAAGAGCACCAAAGTTTGGATCGATAACGGCTTGATTCTCAAAGTGTTGAATGGTCATCGTTGTTGTTACAAAGAGTGATCCTGCTGTTGAACTGTCAGTTTCAGGTTGTGAAACTTTACTGTAAGCAATTCTACCATCAACCAACATTCTATCAGAGAAATAGGCTGTCAAAATGATATCACCTTGAACAATCTCCATTGTTCTCAATGATTTAAGACTGTTGCTTGATGTTCCTCCAACTTTGGCTTGAACATCATCACCACACACCGATTTAGAATTGTCTGCCTTTGACAAGAATGAAAGTTCCAATGTGTTGAGTTTATCAGCAAATGTCCAATTGGAAATTGTGATTACATATTTCATTGAATTGTTTTGAACTGTGAAGATATCTCCTTGAAAGTTGTATTCTGATTGATTGGTGAAAACTGTTGTTTCCACATCGATTGTCAATTTGGCATCGCCATCAAACTTTCCTTTGTAGTTGAATACTAGAGAGCTATTCGTTGACTCTGATGTCCATTTGATATCTGAAAATTGATATGACTTTACGGGATTGCTTGATGAATCTCTCTCTGTAATCGAAACAATTGAAATATTGAATTGGACATTCTTCTCTGCTGAACCAAGTACCATTGTAACTGTATCATTCTGTGGCTTTGGAGGATCAATATTCTTTACCTCTGATTGAGTTGGTAGTATAATTTCAGTTGTGCAATTGATACCGGTAAATCCATTCAAACATTTGCAATATCCATTCAAACATTGTCCATTTACTGGACTGCATCCATCACATTTAACAAAATCCGGAAGGTAAATGAATCCTTGCGATAAGTATGATTGTCCAAAAATAGTTACATTTACGGTTAAACTTTGACCATTGCTTGGTACATCAGATGCAAAATCACATATGATTTGGGTCGATTCTACTTTAGGATTGTCACATGATTTGTTTCCAATTGTCACAGAGAATGGTTGGAAAACTCCAAAGTTTGAACCAAAAATAGTTACTGGTGCCTTTGTGTTAAAATAGGTTGATGTAACTGATGAAATTGATGGAGTTTCATAGTAGACGGTAACAGAAGAATTGAATAGCGAGTTATCCATCTTTAGTTGTTTGGATCCGATTCCAGCTGGCATGCTGATTTCAACATTATATGGATAGGTTTGCGTAAGCAAAGTAGCATTTGCTGGTTGGTCATCAATATAGACTTTCATTACTGAAACACCATCAAAAGATATTGGTGAAATATATTTTCCTGTGATTGTAATGAAGCCACCAGGTACAGGTGATTTAGTTACGGTATCTATCTTTGGTGTTAAGTTCATTCTGGCTAAGGTAAACTTCTTTCCAACCAATATACTAAAAATACCGGATCTGGCATCATCAGGAAGAGTGACTGTAAAGTTGTCGAAAATGTGTTTGTTGACATCGTAATTGGTTGGTCCAAATCTGGTTTTCGAGAGACCTGATATAACAGGAATACTGAGAGGTTCGTCTGGATAAGTATCTGTATCACTGAAACCAAGATAACTACCAGTAAACAGTAATTCATCGATATTATTTGGATTGACTATGGCACTGCTAATAATGGGACCAGGATAGTCAATCCCATAAGGAAGCGATATGAGATTCAAATTGGAATTAACAAAAGTAAGATTGAAGGAACCAACAAACTTTGGGAAGTTTGAGAGTGTGGTATTATATCCGCTTCTAGACTTTCCAAATACTAGATATTTTCCATTAAGATAATATTTAACAGCCAATAATCTATCTATAAAAAGTGCTGATACTACCATACCTCCGTTTACATCAACAATAGGAGGAATAGCTTTCAAAATTACAGGTGCTAGTAAGAACTATTTTATTAGTAATCGAAATTCAAACTAATTATTTAATTTAAATACTTACTCCAAGTTTTAGTTTCGTTAAAAAGATAAGAATTGGAAGGTTTTGAAAGTATTGTAAATACACCATTGCTGGCTGTGTCAGGAACAGTTGCAATACATAGATTTGGTTTTTGACATAAAACATCAAAAGTTGAATTTCCAACTACAAAAGTGAAATTTCCGTTGTACAAATTAAAATCTTCACCTGTAACTGTTATCGTCTTTCCGTATTGTGTTATATTACTGTTGGAAATTGTAAGACCTATTGAATTATAAATTAATATATTGAATTATATTTTAAAATTTATAGTACTGACCTGTATAGGTTGAGTATAAAACACCATTATTAATGACGGGGTTTCCAGTATTGGCGAGGTTATAAAAAACTGATCCACCTGCGTATAGATTTCCTGGTACATCGACTTCGAAATACGAACTATTAATTAATCTGCCTTGCACTGAACTTCCTGAAATCAAAAAAGTCGGATTTGATCCCAAGTAGACTCCAGATACTGTGACTGTACTTGGCTCCAATGATACTTTGGTTGGCACACTGGTGATCCAGGAGTAAATAGGAGTTGTAAAAGTGTAAAAATTTGAGAGTTGTCCAGCAGATGAAACTTGCCAATTGAACGTAGTAGAAGGAAGATCTTGAAGTTGACATAATATTCTTCCACCTGCATCAATAGCGGGACCACTACAATTAACACCATTCACTTTAATGGGTGTAGCAAAACTTGATCCAGTAATAGTAACTAGAGCATTAAAAACAACAATATTGGAAATGGTTGGTGCTAAAGAAAAAAAAATTAAAAAAAAGTTAGACTTTAAATAAAAATAAATTTAAAAAACAACTTACGATTATAAACCTGTCTAATTGTGAAATTTCTCATTTTGTTTTCAAAAGAATTACCAATTTGAACACTGATATAGTTAACTCCAGAACCAGCAGCAGCACGAACTGAAAAAGTTTTTGACAAAAAGTTAACTGTAGGTGAACCTAAGGTATAGTTGCAGGTAAGAACTGGTTCGACTGAAAAGAAATTAGAACTCATTGCAACGGACACAACTCCACCAACTTGAGCATCTACAGAATAAATTTGAGGTTTGGTATCAAAGGTCAATGAACCATAACCATAGGCAAGAATGACATGGAAATTGGGTGGGTTTGTTATTGATGCTAATTGAGTTTGTGTTACACCAGTGATTTGCTTTGAGCTACTATCGAAATAGTAAAATGGGCCACTGACAGAACCAGAGATTGTCAGAGTAAGAAGTTGGTTATTCCAGTATGTTCCAGTTGAATTTGTTGTGATAACAGTCCAATAGTTGGCAATTCCATCGACCATAAACTGACTTGTGAAGAAATTACCGAGACTGGCGCTAATAACCTCCAGTGCAGGAGTTGGTGTATCGAATAACAAAGTGGAAGACTGCATGATTTTACTAGCGACAGAGTAATCATTGACATTTGGGAAAAAGCTATAGAATCTTTGAGTTCCACTATCAAAAATTGCAGCTCTGTTGATGGACACATATATTTGTGCATTTGTAAAAACTAGTTTTATGGAATAGACTTTGTTGAAGGCATCTGAAATTGTTATATCCCAATAGTCTAGTCCTAAATTTGTTGTAGTTCTTGTTGGTGTTCCCTTTAGACTAGTACCAACTACCAGGAAATTGGACTCTGTAGCGACCATTGACGCACCAGTCACATATAATCTATATGCTGTTCCTTGTATGTTTCTGATGGAATAAACCCATGGCACATTGAATTGATATGTGGTAGTCCATGTCTGCGTAGCTGAGGATAATACAACCTTATAAATTTTGCTGGAAGCTACAAAGCTAGCGAGTAATTGACATTTAGTTAAGACACCTTCGAACTTAAATGATTGACAAGCAACTCCATCAATAGTCATACTGACAATGTTTGACTGATTAAAGTTTAAAACATTTATAGACTGAGAGTTCATCTCTTGGAATGTAAGAATTGGTCCATCTGGTATGGGTTCCCACTCTATAACCATGAATTTCTTGTCGGTTGCGCTTGCAGGGTAGAAATTCATATCGGTTCCATAAGCTTTGAAATAAAGGTGTGGCTGTGAAGTATTGAGATTTCCTGCGAAATCACCACAGAACTGATAGCATCGCTCTGGGTAGGTGGTGTAGAAAGCTTGTGATCTGGCAGTACCATTTCGCCATGCCCAACTATTCTGGTCGGCATCCATTGGAACTGCTCCCAGCCATATATCTAAATTTAGCATATCATGCATTAGATTTAATATAAATTTATATTCCGCATAATCATTTAAAGTTAATAAATAACTAAAAAAAAAAAAAAAAAAAAAAAGTTAAATTAAAAAAATATATAATTTATATAAATAATACAAACTATTTATAACTTGATGACATATTAGTATATGTAACTTGATAATTTAAAGCCTCTTCATATGTGACTGGATTTGAATCATCTAGAGGTTGATAATAATGTCCATTTGCAGGATTAGGGTAAGCATACTGATTTACAAATCCTGAAGCTATAGATAGAAATAATCCAATAAAAATAAAAATAATAAATATTTTCATTAATTTATACAAAAGATATATTAAAAATATAGTAGTTTAAAAGAAACAATAAAATAAATAAAAAAATATATAAAGTTGTTCGCTCCGGTCATTAGAAAATGTTGCACCAAAAAGTCTTAAAGTACCTATTAAAAAAAAAAAATCGATATCGAAAATCATCGAAATTTTTAAGTATTTCATCCACCACAAAGTACATCTTTTATTTGAATTTTTATTGATCAAAATGGTGGTAAGGCTTTTTATTTTCTCAAAAAAAACTTATATTTATATTTAGATTTTTTTTAATGACTTTTGGTCGGAATGATCGTGGTTTGAGTGATGGTTTTCAAAACGGTTTTAAATTTTTTGATCAAAAAAAAAAAAAAAAAATTTTAACAAAATTTTGTATCTGTCTTTCACAAACATATTATTTATTTTTTTATTTATTTTTTGCTTGATCTTGAAAGACTTCTCAACTTGATGGTTGCACTTTTAAGTTTATATCTGAAATTCTTTTTAATGACGGCTGTTACTACAAGCGCAATCAATACGGCACCCACCACACTACATACTACGATAACAGGTAACTTCCAGTTATTGTTGGATGATGAACATTCGGATTCATCGTCGGATACAAGTAGTGCTGCAAAGCTTGGATCTAGAACTACTTGATTTTCAAAATGCTGGATCGACATTGTTGTCAATACAAAGAGAGAACCATCTTTGGTTTCGTCGGTAGGAGCCGATACCTTGCTATATACAACTCTGCCGTCTAATATCATTCTATCGGAGAAATAGGCAGTCAAAATGATATCACCTTGCACAATCTCCATCGTTCTCAATGATTTAAGACTGTTGACAGAGGAATCACCGAATTTAGGTTGAACAGCTCCACCACATTTTGTTTCACTTGTGTCTGCCTTTGAGAGGAATGCAAGCTCCAATGTGTTGAGTTTATCTGCGAATGTCCAGTTGGTAATGGTGATGACATATTTCATTGAGTTGTTTTGAACCGGGAAGATGTCACCTTCAAAGTTGTATTCTGTTTGATTGGTGAATACAATAATTTCGACAGCAATTATCAATTTGGCATCGGAATCGAATTTACCGATGTAGTTATAGGTGTTATTAGTTGCGGTTGTTGACTCGAGAGACCACTTGATATCTGAGAATTTATATGTTTTAACAGCTACACCTATCTCATTCATCTCACTGATAGTGTGAATGGAGATATTGAATTGAACGTTCTTCTCGTTGGAACCTAGAACAACTGTGACTGTATTATCCTTTGGTTGTGGAGTGTCAATCACTGGGGTCAGTTTATTCTCTGTGTTAATCGAATTCGAACAGTTGTTACCAACATATCCAATATTGCACTTGCAGTAACCATTTACACATTGACCATTCTGTGTGTTGCATCCTACACACACAGATGGAGGTGGATAGTAAATGAATTTGTCGGCAAAACCAAACTGATCTCCAACTGTTACATTTACAACAAGAGTACCATTGGCTTTAACGTTTGATAGAAAATCACACTCTAACTTGGTTCCAGTGCTAGGATCCAACACAGTTGGATTAGCACATGTGGCGTTACCAATTGTCACAGACAAACCTATGTTGGCAAAGTTTGTTCCAAATACAGTAACTTTACCTTGTATATTTTCATAGGTAGATGAAGCAGATATAACAGTTGGCGGTTGATAGGTAACATTGTAAATGAAATACTCTTTAAAGTTGTAGAGCTTGAGTGATTTTGAACCAATTCCTCCTGGAACACCGGAGATTTCGACCATAAATGGATAGTTTTGGTTCAACAATTTCACTGGACACAAAACACCATCGAATGATGCCTGTAAAACAGATTCTCCAGAGTAAGATAGTGGTGAAATAAACTTTCCGGTTATCGTAACTGCTCCTCCGACAACTGGTAGCTTTGTTATTGATTCTACAACCGGTGGCAATACTAATCTACTAGTATTGGTCTGACCGGCAACTGTAATTTTGAATTGTCCAGAACGAGCATCGTTTGGTAACTCCAGATTAAAGTATCTGAATACATGAGAATCGTAGATGGTTGGAGACAATGATTGGGTAGAGATTCCGGTTACCACAGGTAATACCAATGGATAAATATTGTAGTTGACGAGGTTAGAAAATCCAAGATAGGTTCCATTGATTGTGATTTGTGATATATTATTTGGATTTACAGTGACCCCTGATACAATTGGACCATGGAAAGTCATTGCAATAGGCTCAGATGATTCTCCAGTGGCTATATTTTTTAGTGTGAAATTGTGGACTCCAACCCATTCGCTGAATTGATACAATACATAGCTATCTGTGGACCTGGCTTGAGTGGGTACTAGGTATTTATCATCGAACAATGTATAGGCAGGGGTATCGACATCAATAAACCGCATATTCAAAGAGATTTCACTTTCAAGTGTTACAGTAGTACTACTGATATAAGTAATAAGTGGTCCTATTTAAATATATGATTAAATAATTGGTTGATTCATTTTGATAAATTAAAGTTAGTAAATGAATATCATGAAATTACACTTAATATTATAGATTTAAATATACATACTCCATATTTTGGAAGTGTTGTAAACTAACAAGTTAGAAGGTGTTGATAAAATAGAAAACACACCATTTGATGCTTCTTTTGGCATTGTGACTAGACAGATTGAAGATGTTGGTGGACATTCGGCATTGAATGAACTGTTTCCAATTTTAAATTGGAAATTTCCATTATACAAGTTAAAATATGATCCGTAAATTGTTAACAACGTTCTGTTTTGTTTTATATTATTTATACCAAGATCTTTTTTTTTTCGCAAAGAAAAAGTTAATTATTTAATTGAAATTAAAAAAAGTTTAAGGTAACTTACTCATATACCTGCTGGATTGGTAATTCATAAGTGTGCTAATTCCTGTATTATTTAATACAATATAAAAGCTTACATCTGATGTTTGACTTGCTGGTAACGAAAGTTCATAAGCCGATGTGTTGATCATTGTTGCTAGAACTTCCGAATTAATTGATTTGATTTGCTGATAAAAGCTAGGATTGCTACCAAATTCAACACCGGTAACTGTCATTTTGCTTGGTTCCATTGGAACATCACCACTTTTATAAGTATACCATGAAAAGTTGGGTGTTGTAAAACTAAATGTTGGGCTTCTAACTGTATTAAAAGTATCTACAAGATAAATTTGGTATGTACCAGGGAAATCTTGGAACATATATCCCAACTCGTTGACCTCTGAACCAGTCCATATGTTTTTGAATCCCTTAACTTGTAAACCATATATAAAACTAGTACCAGTTATTGCTAACCTTCCTGTGGTTGGATTGAAGGTAACAGATGTAATATTTGGAGCTAGAAAAAAGTTTATATTTTGTTAAAACAAATAAATAAATATATATGTGAAAGAAATAGTAATGAAAAACTTACTATTGATAGAGTATTTGAATGTAATGGTTCTATCTTGAGTGTAGTTACTTTTAATTGTAACTTTGGCATAGACGATGTCATAATTTGTAGCTTTTGGAACCATTACGAAAATAGATCTGCTGTTAAATTCGGCAGTGGTTACAATACTGCTCACATTTGAGGTGATTTGTACTTCCGGTGCAAAGAAATTGGAAATCATTGGGATTACCAAAGTGGCACCGGTACCTGCGTCGGAACCAAAGCTGTAAGGTGTGGACATTAGTGCCTCACCATATCCGTAGACGAGAATAACACCCATGTTAACTCCAACGTATGCATCTGCCTCGGCTTGAGACATTCCAACGATGCTAGGTCCCAGAGAGTTGTAAAAGTAGTAAGGACCTTGAGTTGTACCTTGAATAGTAGCGGTGATCGGCTGGTTGTTCCAAAAGGTTCCACTGGAGTTGACAGTAATCGATGTCCAATAGTTTGAACCGGAAAATCCAAGTTTTTGGTTAAAGAATGTATTGAGATTACTGGAAACTACATCCAAAGCAGGAATGGCAGTATTATACATCAATGTTGATGCTGCTGTAATTTTACTGGCTAGAAGATAGTTATTGATATTTGGGAAATAACTATAGAATCTCTGAGTTGTACCATCATAAATTGCTATTCTGTTGATAGTGACATATAAAGATTGTGTGGTTTGAATCTTTAATTTAGAAACAGCAGTAACTTGATTGGCAGGTATAGTCCATTGAAGAATACCGGCACTGGAAGCACTTCTAGATGGTGTGTAAAGAGTACCACTTACTGACAAAGGATAAGCTTCGATAGGTGAGACAAGATCCAAATTGATACCTTGGAATATATATGTGTTGGCATCCTTTTGAACCATTGAAAATATCCATGGAGAATTGAATTGGTATGTGGTTGTCCAGGTATTGGACCCGCTGGTGATAACCAATGGGATTGATCTTCCGGATTTTATCAATGACGGCGAAAGAAGGCACTTGGCAACCAAATTATTTTGAACTATGGAATTACAAAAATTAGAACCTTCGAATGTTATTGCGGTAATGCTTCCAATATTGTTGAGTGTAATTGGAATTTCAGTGGCTGTTGAATCTTGGTACATTAAAATAGGACCGTCAGAAAACTGTTCAAATTCTAGGATTACATATTTCTTTGAGGTTGCATCGGCACCAAAGAAATTCAAACTGGCTCCATAGGTTTGGAACCAAAGGTGTGGCTGTGAAGTATTGAGATTTCCTGAGAAATCACCACAGAACTGATAGCATCGCTCTGGGTAGGTGGTGTAGAAAGCTTGTGATCTGGCAGTACCATTTCGCCATGCCCAACTATTCTGGTCGACATCCATTGGAACTGCTCCTAACCAAACATCCAATTGGATGGATTTAGTAAGGTTCATAATAAATTGATATTCCGCATAATCATTTAAAGTTAATAAATAACTAAAATTTTGATTGAAAAGTGTAAGTATTTCTTTTTTGTTTTTTGTTTTCAAATCTAAATTTAGATTACAAACTATTTATAACTTGTTGAAATATTTGAGGTGAAATCGCTTTGTTGTATATTTAAAGCCTCTCCATATGTAAAAGATTTTTCATCTAGATATTGATAATAGTGCCCATTCGAAGGATTATAAATAGCCGCTGTATTGGGTGGGGAAATTGCTGTGTTTATACTGAAAAAATAACAATTCAAAATAGATAACAATAATAACAAAAAAGTACTAGAAATTGATTTCATCTTGATAAAATAGGAAATATATGAGCAAGTAGAATTAATTATTTATAAATAGGGTAAAAATTTGATCAGCACAAACAATGCTTATTTGATCATGCTAAGAGGGTTGCGGTTTTTTCTACATCATCTGACCCATTTAAATAAGAGTTGAAAAAAACAATTGTTTTTTTTCCTCAAAACATTTTTTTTCGGCAAACTATTTTTGCATAAAAAAAAAAAATAGAAATTAGTTGTAATCATCGCCCATAGTAAAAAGGATTACCAAGTTATTTCTGTATTTTTTTTATAGTTTTAAACAACTTTTAATACCAAAAATTATTTAATTTTATAAAATATCTTAAAAATATCAATTTGTTGTTAATAGTAAATTCATAAATACGTGGAAATGTTAGTGGGAAAATGTGAATGAGATTAGACTGTGATATCTCAAATCTATCTTTTTTTTATTGTGCTGCTGTTTGTGACATCTGAATGACACATTATTAATTACAAAATATTAATTTTTCTCATGTTATTTTTTTGTTAAAAAAAATATTATTTTTCTCTCAGAAAATTTCAGAAAATTCTTCAATATAATAAATACACATAATCAAACATATATATAATAAGTTAAAATTAATTCTATTATCTATATACAAATACAGAAAGATTGATTAATATTTGGTTGAATTCAACAAAACTTAAAAATTTACTATATTTATTATGATACTATTTTGTCAAATAAGGAAGTTCCAAAAAAAGAGAAGGTATTTTCTTGTTTTTTTTTCTCAAAAAAATCGCAAACAATCTGAAGAAAGAAAATAGATCGGTGTGGGTTGGTTCAACTCAAAAAACCATTATAAATTCCAAAAAGCTTGCGATCTTTTTTTTCATCAATTCATTTGAATTTAATTTTTAATAATTTTTAATTTTTTTTTTTTTATAATCTTCATCCATTGTTATTTTTTCATATATACACAGATATAGTTACAATTATCACAATCATAGTTTTAATTTAGTTTAATAGTTTTAAAGTTTAGTTTTTTTTAATAAAACAACAAGTCAATATAAAGATGTCATCAGCTGTCAAGATTGCCAAGAAGTATAAGCACAAGAAGGTAACAAAGGTAGCCAACGCTAAGGGATCCGCTGCTTACAATACAACTGGTGATGCTCGTGTTGATCTTTTCTATTTAACTGCTCGTGGTATTGCCACCGAACAATTGCATGCCCTCTTGAAGGCTTCATGGGCTCAGTCACCAATCGACACCGTAAAGATCGTCTTTTACAATCGTGATTGCCGTGGTGGTAAGGGTGAACGTGAAATCTTCCACCAATCTATTCTCTGGCTCCAAGAGCACCACCAATCGACCATCGAGAAGAACTTCTCGCAAATTCCATTCTTTGGTTCATGGAAGGACGTCAGCAAGCTGATTGGAACCAGCTTGGAGCCAAAGGCCTTGGAGATGTTTGTCCAACAATTGAAGCGTGATGCCGCCGATATCCAAGCCAATCCAAAGGCCACCGTCTCACTTGCCGCAAAGTGGGCTCCAACTGAAGGACATGCCGAAGATGTCGCTTCAAAGGCTGCCAAGAAGTTGGCCCTTCTGTTGGGTGTGAATCGTCATACTGCTAAAGCCGAGTATAGAAAGCGCTTCTTAGCTCCATTGCGTAAGCAGATCAAGATCACCGAGAGCTACATGTCACAGGGTCAATGGGACAAGATCGATTTCAGCAAGGTTCCATCGCGTTGCATGAAGTTGCAACGTGTTGCTTTCGAGCGTCACGAACCAGAGTTGTTCAAGAAGTACACCGATTCATTGGCCAAGGGTGAGACCAAGGTCAACGCCAAGCAATTGTTCCCACACGAAATCGTAGCCTCCTACTTCAGTGCATCCAAGGTCGACGAGATTCTCGAGGGTCAATGGAAGGTCTTGGTTCAGGAAACTGCCAAGCTCGGAAGTCTCCGTGATTGTATTGTGCTCTCCGACGTATCCGGTAGTATGAGTGGTCGTCCAATGGAAGTCTCAGTCGCCCTCGGACTCTTGATTTCCTCACTCACCGAAGCTCCATTCAAGGATTTGGTCATCACCTTCCACGAACAACCAACCTTCCATACCATCAAGGGAGAGAACTTGTACGAGCGCGTCAAGGACATCATGGGTATGGCATGGGGTGGAAGCACCAATTTCAACACTGTCTTTAAGATTATTTTAGAGAAGGCAAAGGCTGCCAAGCTCCCACAAGCGGCCATGCCAAAGAAGCTCTTTGTAATCTCTGACATGCAGTTTGACTCTGCCGACTCCAAGTTCAAGTCAAATCACAAGGCTATGATCCAGCAATACAAGGAAGCCGGTTATGAAGCCCCACAAATCATTTACTGGAACGTAAATGGTGCCTACACAACCACCCCAGTCGGAGATGCCAGCATGCAAGGTGTTGGTTTGGTCAGTGGTTTTTCACCAAGCATTCTCAAGTCCATCATCGAAGTCGGTGACACCTCAACTCTCTCCCCATTGGCCTTGTTGCAACCAGTCCTTGATGATAAGAGATATGCTGATTTGGCTGTTTAAAAAAATATTTATATATAAAAAAAAAAAAAACAAAAACAAAAAAAATATAATAATGGGGAACATGTTCAAGTGTTAATCAAAGATCTGATTACACTAGCCATCAAATATAAAATATTTTATAAACAAACAAATCAAATAAATTTTTTTAGTGTATAATATAATATAATTTTTTTTTTTAAAAAGATACAATTTAATCGTGTTTATTTATTTATTGATTGATTTTCTTCATTTTAGATCCTACTATTCTAATTTTATATCTTAATTTCTTTTGTAAACCTACTATACATCCAATTAATAGAGCCGCACCTACAACACTACAAACCACTATAACTGGTAGTTTCCATTTGTTTTCTTTATCGGATGTCGAACATTTAGTGTCATCAGTGACCAGTAGTGCACTGAAACTTGGGTCTAGTACTGCATTTCTATCGAAATAGGGAATAGACATGGTTGTCCTTACAAAGAGTGATCCTGTTGTTGAGCTATCGGTTTCGGGTTGTGAAACTTTACTGTATGTAATTCTACCATCGACCAACATTCTATCAGAGAAAAATGCATTCAAAATGATATCACCTTGAACAATCTCCATTGTTCTCAATGATTTAAGACTGTTGCTTGATGTTCCTCCAACTCTGGCTTGAACATCATCTCCACACACCGATTTAGAATTGTCTGCCTTTGACAAGAATGTAAGTTCCAAATTATTAAGTTTATCAGCAAACGACCAATTTGTAACTGTGATGACATATTTCATCGAATTGTTTTGAACTGTGAATATATCACCTTCAAAATTGTATTCTGTTTGATTTATGAAAACTGTTGTTTCCACACCAATTGCCAATTTAGTATCTGCATCAAATTTACCTCTGTAGTTGTATGTTAAATTGGAATTAGTTGATTCTAATGTCCATTTGATATCTGAAAATTGATATGATTTGACTGTTACGCCCAATTGATTCTTCTCAGTGATTGAGTCAATTGAAATATTGAATTGAATATTCTTCTCTACTGAACCAAGGACAATTGTAACTGTATCACTCTTTGGTTGTGGCAAATCAATTACTGGTGTCAATTGATTTCCTGTATTAACTTTAATGCTGCAATTGGTACCGGTAAATCCATCTTTGCATTTACAATATCCATTTAAACATTCTCCATTCTGTTTAACACATCCTAAACAATCAGTAGGATTCGGATTATAAATAAATTTATTCTCTACAGTTGAAATTCCATAAACAGTAACATTCACCGCCAATGATGAACCATTGCTATCTACGTTTGATGCAAAGTTACAAATGATCTTAGTTCCAATAGTATCGATTTCTACATTGGTGCAGGGAGCCCCTCCAATGGAGACTGCAAATGGTTCATAGAATCCAAAACTAGATCCAAAAATGGTTACCTTTGATGGAGTACCGTAGTAGGTGGATGATACAGTATTGATAATTGGATTTTGGTAAGGTACATTGAAAGAGATATTTCTTGCACCATTGTCGAGAGTTAGTTTTGTTGAACCTGAGCCGCTGGGTACAGTGACAACAAGTTTATACGGGTATGCATTATTAATCAGTGCAATTGGACTGATTTTCTCACCATAGTAAGCAATCAAAACCGTATCGCCAGACATTGAAATTGGATTTAAATACTTTCCGGTGATTGTGAAATTACCACCTGACACTGGAGGTAGAGTTATGGATTCAACGACAGGTGTAATATAAACAGTGTTAAGGGTTGTCACTTTTCCTTCAATTGAAATACTGGCCACACCAGTTCTTGAATCCAATGGAAGATCCACAATGAATGATGAAAAAATATCTTTGTTTCCAGAGTTACTAGGACTAAGTGCACTGGTTGACAGACCGTAGATATATGGAATAACAACACGTTCAGAGGGATATTCTGCAATGTTATTTTGTCCGAGGTAGCTTCCTTTTACTACCAATGTACCATTGGTCTCGTAACATTCCGTTATTATAGGCGCTTTAAACGATAATGTATATGGGGCGGATTCAAGATTCAAACTGGGAACTTTAATAGATAATAAAAAATCTCCTACCCATCTTGGAAAGTTTGCAAGATAGTAGGTATAGCCGATTCTTGAAGGAATAGTGAGGATATAGCCATTGATATATACCTCAAAAGCTAGATCCTCGACAAATAGGATACCCACTGGATATGGATTATTAATATCGATTGGTGGCAATGTGGAGTTAAAAATGACAGGAGCTATTTATAGAATAACAATGAATATTAAAACTAAGGAAATTTATTAAAAGTATTTTATAAAACTTACACCAAAAAGTACTAGGAAATACAGTTATAGAATATCCATTTGGCAATGATTTGATTTGAAATAGACCATTGGATACATTAGGTTCGCATTCAATAGTACACATGGTAGGATTGCATTGCGCAACCATTGAAGCTGCTCCAACTTTAATACTAATAGTTGAATATAAATCGAAGTAAGATCCATAGAGAACAATTGATGATCCGTTTTGTATAAAGTTTCTAATTTGAAAATCTATAAAGACCAACTAGAGTTAGTTGTTAACTATTATATTAAAACATCAGTTAAATCTTTTGTAACAAACCCGTATATGTAGAATAGTCAAGAGTATTTTCAATTGAAGGTAGAGCATTATTGGTGATTGTATAAAATATTTTTTGATTCGAAGCGGAGGTTCCAGGTAAAGTCACAGAGAAAGCGGTGGAGTTTATTGGAGTAAGAGCTCCTAAAGATACTGCATTTGCAGAAATGACAGCTGTGCGATCAATATTGTCACCAGATAGGGTAATAACGCTGCTTTCTTTAGAAACTAGGGTTGGAATACCGCTCAAGAAGGCATAGCCGGTTAGTAGAATTCTGAGTGGGGTTGATGTAACACCATCCACTGTAACTTGAATGGAGTAAGTTCCAGGTGGTGACTGAATAGTACATTGTATTGATGTGGTATGTATAGGGAGAGGGTTGATACACCTTATTCCCGTGATACTGCTTGGAGTACCTAAATTAGCTCCTAAAATCGATAATATATCTCCATCTCTAGTTACACCAGAGAGCTCTGGGGTAGCTAGTTTAAAAGAATTTCGATTCAATATTTATTTATATAAAGGTACATTCAAATTAGGATAATAACTACATACCTCCAGCATCTATTCCATTTATTATTATAACAAATAAATATAAATTAAATAGATATTTAATCATGATTTATTGAAAAATATAGAATTATTCTTAAAAAATATATGGTCAACAAAATTGTCGACCAAGATGAAAAAAAAATGTAACTGGGGTGCGTCGAATCAAAAAAAACAGATATTTTTGCAAAGATATTTTTGAGAATATTCTTTTCAGGGATGTCATATGACTTCGATATGATAAGATTTTATTTGAAGTCGGAATTTTTATTTTGAACAAAATTTTATTTTACAAGTGTCGTCTATCTGATTTCGATAAATTTTTTAATTTGATTGTTGCCAATTTAAATTCGTATTTATATTTCTTTTTAATAATAACAACTGATAATACAATAAGCGCAGCACCTAATATACTACCAACGATGATCACAGGTAGTTTCCATTTGTTACTGTTATCGGAACATCCACCACTTGAAGAGCTATCGTCCAAAGTCAAAAGAGCACCAAAGTTTGGATCGATAACGGCTTGATTCTCAAAGTGTTGAATGGTCATCGTTGTTGTTACAAAGAGTGATCCTGTTGTTGAACTGTCAGCTTCAGGTTGTGAAACTTTACTGTAAGCAATTCTACCATCGACCAACATTCTATCAGAGAAATAGGCTGTCAAAATGATATCACCTTGAACAATCTCCATTGTTCTCAATGATTTAAGACTGTTGCTTGATGTTCCTCCAACTTTGGCTTGAACATCATCACCACACACCGATTTAGAATTGTCTGCCTTTGACAAGAATGAAAGTTCCAATGTGTTGAGTTTATCAGCAAATGTCCAATTGGAAATTGTGATTACATATTTCATTGAAGGTTGTTTTGAACTGTGAAGATATCTCCTTGAAAGTTGTATTCTGATTGATTGGTGAAAACTGTTGTTTCCACATCGATTGTCAATTTGGCATCGCCATCAAACTTTCCTTTGTAGTTGAATACGATAGAGCTATTCGTAAATACTTGAGAGTTGTTTAATGATCCCATTGTCCATTTGATATCTGAAAATTGATATGACTTTACAGGATTGCTTGATGAATCTCTCTCGGTAATCGAAACAATTGAAATATTGAATTGGACATTCTTCTCTGCTGAACCGAGGGTAATAGTAACTGTGTCATTCTTTGGCTCTGGCAAATCGATTTTATCTTCTTTCTTTTGTAGTTGGGCAGAGCAAGTAATACCGGTAAATCCACTTTTACATTTACAATATCCATTTATACATTCACCATTAACAGAACATTCTGCAAGACATTTTACAGGTTCTGGGTTGTAAATGAATTTCTGGGATAATACAGATATACCGGCTACAGTTACATTTACCATAAGAGTTTTGTCATCGCTTGGTACATCAGATGCAAAATCACAAATGATTTTGGTCGATTCTTCTACTAGAGGATTGTCACATGACTTGTTTCCAATTGTTACAGAGAATGGTTGGAAAACTCCAAAGTTTGAACCAAAAATAGTTACTGGTGCCTTTGTGTTAAAATAGGTTGATGTAACTGATGAAATTGATGGATTTTGATAAGCTACATTTTGAAATATATTGGATGTTGGATTGGACAGAATCATCATCTTGGTTCCAGCTCCGGGAGGAACAATGATTTCTAGTAAATTTGGAAAACCCTGATTGAGTAGTCTGGAAGTGGTAACCGGTTTTCCATCAAAGCTGATGTCCAAAATAGAGTCTCCGGAATAAGAGAGCGATGCAATATATTTTCCAGTGATTGTAACTGGACCCCCCCAATTTATAGAAAGGTTGGCTAACATTATAAATCTCTGGTGAGAAATAGAAGGAATAGGGACTCGATGCTTGACCTTCGACTGTGACTATAACTTTTCCAGATCTTGCGTTATTCGGTAGATTATCGATCGAGAATCCTTCGAATAGCAGGTTGTTACTAAGTAATGGTTGTGTAGGTTGTAATGATAGACCGGAAACTGTAGGAATTGATACGGCTATCAGAGGATAGGTTCCATTATCGGAGAATCCAAGGTATGAGCCTGAAATACTCATTATATTAGTCTGACTGCTAAAAACTATATTTGAAATCTTTGGTTTTGAGTATTTTAGAGTGACACCTTTAGAATACCAATTGGAAACAGTTTTAGTTTTAACTATATGACTACCAACAAACTTTGGGAATCCACCCACTTGAAGAGTGAATGCAGTGCTTTGAACTACTGTTATAGGATAACCAGATATTAAAACTGTATATAGGGTGGGACCATCAGTAAACATTGAACCGAGAACCATGTTTTGAGTAACGTCGACAGGATCATAATCAGCAGGGATAATAACAGGACCTAATAATAACAAAAAAAAAATAGTTTGTTTTTAACGTACGTTAAAAATAATGTTATAGTTGGAATACAAAGTTTAAAATATTCTTACTGAATGGAGATGCAGAATTAGCTGTGGATAATTGGAGTGGCTCTGAAGTAATTGTAAACATTCCATTGGTATTAGTTGAGGAAAACATGATGTTACACATTGTATCGTTACAAGTTTGTCCACCAAACGGTTGTCCATTGACATTCATTGACCATGTTCTAAAGTACGGGGCAAAATTGGTACCAGCAATAGTGAAATTAAGATATCCATCTTGTTGAATGCTATTAAGTTTGAATTCTATTAAAATAATAATAGTTGGATATTAAAAAAAAACGAAAATTCTATATCTTTGAAATCATTAAATAATTACTCTCTTTGGAAACCATTTGACTGTTTTGTATAACATAGAATCCAGTGTTGGATATTTGAATTCTAAACTTTTGACCTTCAAGAGAACCACTCAGGAATGGGAATGTATAGCTATTGTCATTGATTTTGGTCGGACCAATTACCACTGCCGCATCACCACTTGTCGTATTTATAAAAGTAAATTGAGGTGAAGTACCAAAGTTTACACCAGAAACTGTAATATCGCTACCTTCCAATGAAGCGGCTGGTGGATAGATATTATCGATAAATGTGTATACATGAGACATATCGAATAAGATTGAGTTTGTAGGTGTACTTCCAACTACAACACTAATATTGTATTCTCTACTGGGAAGATCCTGTACTTTACATTTGATCTGGTACACATTAAGGCTTAATATATCACATTTGATTCCAACGATTGTAGCAGGGTTTTGGAATTGTTCTCCACTGATTGTTAAAACTCCATTCTGAGCATAGCTAATATCATTAATAGATGGTGCTATAAAAAAATATGTTTTAATAATTTGAAAGATAGTAAGTTAAAATCAATAATTATTATTATTTTTACCTGCATAGTTAATTTGGTAAGTAAAGGATCTTTCAAACAAAGGATCTTCTTGATCTTTAATTGTGAATTTAACCAAATGTTGGTCTGTACCAGGACCAATATTAAAGTTGATAAATTTCGTATAGTAGTCGGCGGTTGCTGTGCCTGTCATAGTAGTACTATTTAGTGATTGATAGGTAATTGATACCAGAGGTCTTAAAAAGTCTGTTTCCATATCGAGGAACAGGTTATTACTACCGCTAACAGATACAGTCATAGGTTGTGGGGTAGAATAGGTGGGCTGTCCATATCCATACACCAATATCAATGGCATGGCCAATTGAGGATTGTTGTCTCCAACAACTTTAGCTTGTGATCGATCATAGTAGAACGGTCCATTGGCATCACCAGAAAATGTGTCACTAAAGAAATTGCCATTCCACAGGACTTCACCATTAGAAATTGAAACATTGGTCCAGTATTTCGATGATTGAGTTAGGCCGAATTCAGATTGGAAGAATGCTGGTAGTTCAGAGTCTATTTCCAATGCCATTAATGGTGTGTCATAAAGGAAATTGGATGCCACCATAATTTGCTTAGCAAGATTGTAGCTAACAGAGGTTGGAAAGTAACTATAGAATCGGTGATTTGTTTCGCGGAATATTGCAGGTCTGTTACTTCTAATATAGTATTTCGATGCCTGGACGATGGAGATTGGGTATTTAGGATAAGAAGTACCAGCTGGAAAATTAACTTGAATTCCATTGATCCCTCCGCTTATCACTATTGCATTGTTGGAGGTAGATGCAGCAGTTCCAATTTTAAAAATACCAGGATCAATTGATTGCAATTGAGTTAAAGAAAATCCAATCATTGAGAAGACACCATCACTTTGTAGTTGTCTAACACCAGAGATCCATGGTGAATTAAATTGGAACCAATCTTCTACCACTGCAACTCCATTGGCATCTGCTTTTCCAATGACTTTAAATGGATCGGTGTATGCAGAAGCAGGTCCCGTGAGATCAACATACTCAAGATCTCCTGAGCCAAACGGATTAAAAGAGGTAATATCAACACCATTGACTTGAAAATAGTTGATTCCTGCTTGTTGTCTACCGGACATATAGAGTTTCTGTGTTGGGAAATCAGAGTACATTAAATTTAAGGCGGTTTCTGGCAACTCGTATTCGAAGATCACCAATTTCAAATCGGTCTCACCACCACCATAGAATCCTCGGTTGCTGTAGCTAGCGTAAAGGTAAGGTTGAGAGGTATTGAGATTTCCCGCGAAATCACCACAGTATCTATAGCAACGCTCTGGGTAGGTTGTATAGAATGGCTGTTGTCTGGCAGTACCTTTTCTCCATCCCCAGCTGTTTTGGTTGCTGTCCAATGGTACTGCATCAACCCAAAAATCGGTATAATAATTTATCTTGTTTCCAAGTAAATTTAAAATAAACTGATATTCTTGCTCATCGTCCAACGTCAAAAGATGTCTATGTAGAATAAAATACAAAAATTGTAAAATTATTATTATTGAATAATTAATTAATTAATAAATCTATCAAATAAAGGTAACCAATCATCATTTTTGGTTATTTTATTTTGATTTTATATAGATTGACATACGCTTTATAAGCTGGATTTGCAGCAAGTGTAAGCCCATCATAAAGTGATTGATTTACTGCTCCAGCATGAGTAAAGATATAATCTTCAGAAGTAAATAGATAGTAATGACCATTATTTGCGTTGAGTTCGGGGGTGGAATAAATTGTTGTTTGTACGGTATGTTGTGGGAGAATAACAAAAATGAGAGAAACAAAAAATAATGTTTGAGTGATGATGGTGGTGGTGGTGCTAGCAATAGTAAATATGTTGTTAGTCTTTGTGGTTAAGATTGGCTGTTGTTGCTTCAAAGGCAACAGCCACTTTACCATCTTTATGTTAGATTTATACAAAGAATATACTTTTTCCTTAAAGTATGAAAGTACAAAAATAAATTGTCTGTGTGTGTTATAAAATAAAAAACTTATTAAATCAATAAAGTAGAAGTGGTACACTTTCTCACCTCTATTTTTAAACTCCACAAAGGATTTAGTTGTTGGTTTTTTTTTTTGATTTTTTTTAAAGAAAATTGTGTACAAAAATATCAATTCATCAAAAACTTTGAAAAAGATATGGTAAAAACATCAAAAAGGAAATCGACGTTTTGTTAAAAAAATCAAAAAAAAACCAAGGGACATTGTTCATCAAAATTTGCAATTTTTTATATTTTGTTGTGTAAACGAAGCAGAGTATTTTTAATTTTTTATTTGATTTTTTTACAGTCAGGATAGATCTGATGGTAGATAAAAAGATTTAATAGATTAATATTTTACTAAAATCAAAATCTTTTCAAACATGTAACAATTGTTTGAGTTATCATGTAATAATCCAATTAAAAGATAAATAATGAATGATACAGTTTTTACTGAGTTCTCAAGTTTTTTTTAAAAATTATATAATTCACGAGTAAATTAAGATAATAATCTTATTATTTTAATTTTTCGATATTATAAATAATAATAATAATCTAGATATTATACATATAATAATTACAAAATGATATATACTTCTAAATTGATTATTATCTATTTTTTAGTAATTATTTTTATTGGTTTTGTTCAATGTTCAGCCAATTTAGAAAGAAATTGTCCAAAATATAAAACGAATCCACACATGTTTTGTTTTTGGTTTGATGATTCAGAATGTAAGATTGATAGTGATTGTGCAGCACAAGGTCAGTTATGTTGCTCAAGACAATGTGAAACCTACTGCTATTGAACACTTTTTCTCTCTCTTCCCAATACTTTTCTTGTTCTCAAACTATCCCTCTCCACTTTCTTTCTCTTTCTCTACTTTCATCTCCTCTACTCCTCTATTCCTCTTCTTCTTCTTCTTATTTGTCTAACATGATTTTAGACGCATCCTCTAGATTTGTGTACATCTTTTTACTTTAACCTTTTATTTATAAAATAGTAGTAATTTGTTAACAAATCTAGTTTAACGACAAAATTAATAAAAATAAAAAAAACCAAAAATATTAATTTAGAATTATTTTAAATAGATAGAATGATAAATGATTATCAATAACAATAATTAAGGGTTGAAAAAAAAAGATAAGATGAATATCATAACACCAATTTCTTGGAATTTTTTCATGATAACATGTGATTAAAAAATTTTAAAAGAGTTATCTGTTTTTATATTATTATCATCATATTAGTTAACTTTTTTTTAAAACTATCAGATATAAATAATATATAAGAATGACAAAAAGAAAATCAAAAGGACCTGTAGATATCGATGATAATGATGAATATAGTGATAATGGCAATAATATTTCATTGGATTTGAGTGACGATGATTTACAGGTTGTTAATAGTAGTAAAGTCACACCAACCAAGAAAACAAGAAACAATTACAATGTAAATAGCAATAATAATAATAATAGCTTTGATAATGGATTAGATGATAATTATATAGTAGAAAATAATAATAATATTAATAATAATAATAATAATAATAATGATGATGTTGACTTTCAATTCGTATTTCAACTGACACCGGATCAACAACTACAAGATAGAGTATCAGAGTTGATAGCAGCTACATTTGATGCACAGAAATATAAACAAACACCTCCGCTATTACTGAATTCAATACTCTATTATGAAGTTAGAGATAATTCTTTTGTTGATAAAAATATGGTATGTTTTGTTGTTGTTGATGTGTTGTGTTGCTTACTATAGATAAAAGAATTAATATTTGCCTTATTGTGTTTATATAAATAGTTAATTTTAAAAAAGAAAGGTTTTGTTAGAGTATTTAAATTGATGACTGGTAGCAATGACTATTGCATCGTTAGAACTAGAGACTATATTGCAAAGATCGAATCTTTGAAAGTAAAGGAAACAACAGCAGCAACAACAACACCGACATCAACAACTACAAACACTTCAAAACAACCAACAACACCAACAACCTTAAGTCATAATGAGATATTAGACAGATTTATCAATCTTTTAATACCGAAATTCACAGATACCTCTATATTTGGTACGAAACTTCAAATGATAATGGAATTGACTTCACAGCAACTTGAACATGCAATTACGTATGTTGTAATCAAATACATGTGGTTTATTAATAATTAATTTTACTGATTAATACCAAACATATTTAAATACCTATAAACTAGTATATTAGTACAATGTAGTATACTTTTATTGAATGGTGACAGTAATTACTTATTTGCAATACCATCGTCTGGTTTATTTATTACGGATTTAGTTAAAGGTAGAAAAGAACTATTATCAATCATTTCGAAGCAAAAGTATAAAGAGATGCTCTTAACTGTAGGTATTATTATTAAAATTAATTTAAGCAAAAAATAAAACATAATCAACAAACATGTTAACAACAATCAAACTTGAATCTTTATAATAATAATATATATTTAGGATCTTAATAAAAGAAAATTGAAAACATCTAATATGTCTATATCACTTTTACTCAAAGATTTAAAGAATTCCAATCAATTAAAGAGGTAAGTAGTAGCGCAAATCAAACAAGTTTAATTACTTTTTTAAATATTTATTGTTTACTAATATGATCATATTATAAATTAGTACAATGACAACTGCAGGTGAACTTATATCGTTTGATAAGAATAACTTAACATAGTCTTTGCGCATAATATAAAATGGCATTTGCAAACCATCGCCACAAACAAAAAAGCTTTGATTTTGCAACTTTTTGACCCTTTTCACAATTAATCTTGACTAAGCAGGAGATTGACAGTCAGAATCAATTCAAGACCCAAAACATCGAAAATCGGTAGATTCGAAAAAAAAATCTTTAAACGTCAAGGTGTTTAAAATAACCCCCCTAAACGACACATCTTTCTATTTATTTCGAATTAAATAAATATTTTATTTATTTTATTTTATTATTTTGTTTTGTTTATGATAATCTAATCATGGCTGTTGTCAATGACTTTTACATTTTTGTTTGATTATTATTATTATTTATTTATTAACTTTATTTATTTGTACTATTAATATTTATTTACTTATTTTTTTTAACATATATAATTATATTTAATTTAATTTTGAATGGAAAGTGCAAGTGCAAGTGGAAGTAATAATAGTTTGGGTGGAAGTTGTTGTAATGGAGACACTAGCAATGCTAAAGTCAGTAGTATGACACAGTTACCGATGGCTGCAACAGGCGACACTATTATCTTTGCGAGAATAGACAATGGGGAACAACATCATGATGGAGATAGACATCATGACCATGCTCCCGATAATAGAAACATCCATCATCATCACCATGGACATCATTCACATCCAACCTGTGGATACACTGTAAAGGATGAATATGATCAGCCAAAATCTACCGATAAACCTAAACATGATCACCACGACCATCACCACAAACACGATCATGATCATGAACATAAGCATAAACATAAAGATGGAGAGGGACATGAGCATAAACACAAACACAAACATGACCATGAACATAAGCATGGAGAAGGTCATGAACATAAGCATAAACATAAAGATGGAGAGGGACACGAACATAAACACAAACACAAGCATGACCACGACCATGACCATAAACATGACCATGATCATAAACACGATCATAACGATGGAGAAGGTCATGAACATAAGCACGATGATCATGATGATCATGATCACAAGCACAAACACAAACACGAACATAAACATAAACACAGTCACGAGCATGAAGTTGGAGACAATAAAGCAGATCAAGCAGATGTAGATGGAGTAGTTCAAAGCCATAAACACAAGCATGACCACGACCATGAGCATAAACATGACCATGAACATAAACATAAGCATCACGACAAGGTAAATAACTATAATAAAAGATTTTATTTTATAATAATTTGTGCTAACTATTCATTTAATATATAGGATAAACAAATTAAAAAACTTAAAGATCAAGTAGATTATTTATCAACGACACTATCTTTGTTGACAAAGAAATTTGAAGAGGCAACAGTGTTCAAGAAAACTCAAAGAAAATATAGATTTGGATATGCAGATTGCTGCCTGTTCCCAATGGATTCTCCATCTCCGGTGATCAGTGCTTCCTACCAATCTGGAAAGCTAGCAACCGGTAGCTCCGATAAATCAGTACGACTCTGGGATTGCGAGACACATAAACCGCTGATGGCAATGACTGAACATACAAGTGGTGTCAACAGTGTACAGTACAACCAACAAGACAATATTATTCTGAGTGCAAGTTGGGACAAGACCGCCAAGGTCTGGGATCCACGTTCCGGAAAATCGGCTATCATGACTCTCAAAGGACATACCAATGGAATTAGAAGTGTAGTGCAACGAAAGCCTGGATCTATTGTCACTGGTTCCGCTGACAAGACCATCATGGTTTGGGATCTGGCAACTCAGACTGCTACACATACACTCAAGGGACACAGCAACGGTATCTACCAATTGAACATGAACAACTCGTATCTACTCAGTGCATCCGGTGACAATACAGTGCGTCTTTGGAACGTCGACAACTCAGAGACCGTCAAGACATTGAATGGACACGAGAGAGATGTCTATTGTATACACTCGTACGGTTCGATCGTTGCGTCGTCCGGTGCCGACAAGCAGACTAGAGTATGGGACTTGTCGAGTGGACAATGTTTATACTCAATCAAACACCAGCATATAGTTGGCTCTCTCAAGATCGGTGTAGAAGGTAAATACTTGTTCTGTGGACATGGTAATGGTGATATTGCAATCTACAATCTAAAGGATAGCTCGCCACTTCGTGTACTCCGTGGACACACCGAAATCATCAACGGAATCGAACTCTGGGAGAATGGAATGATTACTGTATCCTCTGCAGCAGATTCTATTAAGCTTTGGAGTTTCTGTGAATAAACAAAAACAACAACAATTTATAATAATATATGTAATATTATTAAATTTCGAAATATTTACAAATAAATAAATGTCTGTTTATTAATTATCAATAGTTAGAACTTATTATTATTTATTCAATAATAACATAAAATGACAAAAAAAAAAAAGCTTACAAGTATGGAACTATGACTATAGAATGAAAGTGTATCACCTATTTTTTAGTACAATATTGATACAATTATATCCAATAATCATTGTTTTAAAAGCTCAAGTCAAGCTAAATATATAAATATACTTAATGAAAAAGTTTAAAAACACAATGAACTTCATGAAAATTAAAAGGAATTGGAGTGGGGGATGTGTTATTGTCAACCACACCGATTACTTATTTTCGCTCAATTTTTTTTGTTTTTTTTTTTTCGCTCATTCATTATGATAAAATCAACCTCGATTTTTTGATTTCTTTTTTCGCATCACCTCATATAATGTGATCTTCTCTTGAACTGGTAAAATCATCATAATACAATCATTTTATTTTTTTTTGATTTCTTTTTTTTTCTTTTGTTTTTTTTTTTTTACAAACTTTTTTACAATCTGAACTGATGTTGTTGGCTTTGACCAAACACTAATCCTTAGAAATCAAAAAAAAAAATCATTAATAACAATACTACTTACTTTCAACAAACAATTAATAGTATCTAATACTCCAATAATACTTCTCAAAAACAACAATTTCTTCATCATTCTATAATTAATAATTACTATTGTTTTTTTTATATATTAATTTATACTCTCGAGAAAATGTTGTGCGAAATTAATGTGTGGAGTAACTTTATGGTTACATGGACACTCCTGAGTGTTGCCGGTTTGTTTTTCATTATGTTGCTCTCTGGTATTGTATTTATGAAATACTATGTCAGACCAACCTATGAAATGTGGAGATGGAAAACCAATCCAAAGTTCCCATCTGCTGAAAAGGTAAATAATAATAAAATAATTGTTAAAATATATATATATATATTAATATTAACGGTTTCAAAATTAGGTTAAAGATGAAATCTTGATGATGTTAAAGGGTATGGTTACTGCTACATTCTGTCCAGCTTTGGCCCTCCAACTTGCCCAACGTGGTGTTACCAAGGCCTACTGCGGTGTTGGTGACTATGGTTATGGTTATTTGATTATCTCATTCTTTGGTGTATGGATTGCTTCAGACTTTTACGAGTTCTTCTACCACCGTTTGGGACACAAGTTTGACTTCTTCTGGAACATTCACAGATACCACCACCAATTCTACAATCCATCACCATTCGCCGTTATTGCCGACGAGTACGTCGACCAATTGGTCAGATCCGCCCCACTTTTGATTTTCCCAATGATCTTCCCAATCAACATGGACTTGATGTTCTTGCAGTTCGCCATTTTCTTCTACGGTTACGGATCGTACTTGCACTGGGGATACGAGTTGAACTACCCAGATGCCCATCACCCAATCGTCAACAGTGCATTCCAACACTACCTCCACCACGCCATCTCCATCAAGAACAAGCCATACCACACCGGTTTCTTCTTCAAGATCTGGGATCAATTGTTCGGATCCATGTACGACGGTGAGTGTTTCTGCTGCAAGTGTGAACAAAAAAAGGTAGAGAGAACCAAAGAAAAATGGTTGGCCATCGAAAAGCCCGATTACTCTGTACTTTTGAGACCATCATTTTGGTTTTCATCAAACACAAAGAAAGCAGAATAATTCACCAACTTTTCACACAAATTAGATTTTAAAACTATCTATTTTTTTTTTCATTTCGACGCTTTCTTTATAATAAATACAAAATATATGTAACAACTGAACATCTTTTTTTTATTTATTTATTTATTTATTTTAATTATAATCACTTATCACTTAAATTCAATTCATATAAATAAACTAATCTTTTACAGGGAATAAGTACCCAAACTGTTCGATTTATTCCCAATCAAAGATTAATATTTATTATTTTTTTCCTATTAGGGTTACAACACCCCCACACAAAATAGTTTATATCTAGATCAAAAAAATAATTCATGGTAACACATTTTCGATCCATTATCAAATTTTCATTTAAATTTATTAAATTATTTTTTTTTCGTTGTGACTCCTCATCACAAATCTAAGATAAACTTTTATTGATTAAACCTTAACCGTTTTATCAAAATAATTATTATTTCAAATATTAATATATACTTATCTTATAGTAATAGTTAAGGAAAATAAAGACAGATAGATAGTAGAGTTTTATAATTATTGTTGTTTTTTTTTTTTTTTTTTTTTATAACTTACTTTTAAAATAGCTATGGTTAGCGTGATACACAAAATCAATCAACTAAATGGTAGAACTAGAGTTGGAAATGAAATTAGATTGAATGTTTCAATAGATCCAACACAGTCATCACAACCAATCTATATAAATATATGGGATGAATTCGATGCAAAGAGCTACGATCCTATTTCATTTATATATGCTGAGATACTAAAGCAATTGGTCAGTGATGGTGATAGATTAGATAACACAGAGATGACCGGTGTTTTCTATAATCCATTGGGTGTGAAACCAGCAATCAGCATCGTCGACTATATGAAGCGTTTGGTAACATTCCTAGGTTGCAGTTACAGTTGTTTCATCATATCCCTCATTTATATCGATAGAATGCTAAAAAAGGAATATACACTAAATTCATATAATGTTCATAGATTTGTATTTGGATGGTATGTATTAATTTTCGATCAATTAGATTAAAAAATGAACTAACCAAAAAAAAAACTACTTTTATTTTTGGAAATTCGATTTGTAGTGTTTTGGTTTCCATTAAATTCTATGATGATTATTTCTATCCAACAAATGTTTATGCAAGAGGTAATTAGTTATTTGACCAATTGGCAAAATCAGTGTAAAACTAATCTTTCGTTTTATCGAATAAATAGTTGGAGGAGTGTCTGTTAAGGAAACAAACGAAATTGAAAGAAAGATCTTGGAGGAATTGGAATTCAATATTGTAGTAAATGAATTCGAGTATAATCATTACCTTAGTGGTATTGATGAACGTGGTTACATCATATCGGATATCATGAATCAACAAGAGGAGCCGGAGGAGTCTGACACTGAGGAGTCAGAGGACACCACATTGACCACGGACGAAAGTGAAGACTGTATCATTCCAAAGTCTGCTTCAACCGGTGCTTCATCAAGCTCTCTAGCTTCATCAACAAACACCGCAGTATCACTAGTAGTAAGCAGTATTAATGAAATTGACAATAGTAATAATATAATCAAATCAACAGATACATTTGTACAGCAAAATCAACAAGAATCACAACAACAACAACAACAACAACTTTTACACAATTTAATTGAACCAATGTCAACAATTGATATTCTATCGAAATCAAGTGGTATCGACATTCCAAGAGGACCTCTCAGCACTAGATCGAGATCACTATCTAATTCATATGACATGGCAATGTTCAAGAGTCGATGTCCACAGCTCTTCATTTCGCCATCACTAAAGCATCGCTACAGGAGAAACTCATATAACCAAAAGCTTTTAAACTCAACATCATCAGGGACAAGCGAAATGAACCAATCACACTAATCATTTATAACTCCATTGTATATATAAATAAACATACAGAATAAAAATTAAAGTAATCTTTCAAATTAAACTACTGTTTCTTGATGATCAACATAATAGAATATAAATTTAAGATTTAATTTGGATCCAAGAATTCCAACGAACTAGGTAACGCCATAGAGCTGATGTCCATGTTGAATGTAAATGGTAAATAGAGATCTAGGTCCTTCCAAGTGTTGTTGCTTTGATAGATTCGATAGATCCAATGTTTCCAAGTTTTGAAGCGATGTAAATGTATACTTGTCGAATATAACACTACTACATAGCTTAAAACTTTTGATATTGGGTGGAATTGTATATTTATCTTATGTATTTAACTTTGAGATTATATCTGGGATTCTTAGGTGAGAAGATCAATAGTTTATAAATTGATTTTTGATTGATTGATTCCTGAAATAGATTCATATAAGAATTCAATGTAAATTGTTTACTATTATTGTCGTTGGGATCTTTTAACAAAATACTACTAAAGTCTTTACAGTTGAACAATAGATATTTATTTCTATTTTCAAACCATCTCTTAAAAACTAAACTAAAACAGATTGTATCTATTATTTAGTTTAATTTTGAAAAAAACAATTTAATAAATAGTTGTTAATTAATATCTGTGTTCATCTTTATTTGAACTATCAAAACTAATCAGAGAAATTATTGTCAACTTAAAATTGTATATTTATTTTCTGTTGTGTATCTTTAATTTTAATTGAATTGCAAAAATAACCTGTTACATTTTGATTTACTCCAAATAAAAGGAATGATTCTTTGGATAATCGTCTTGCTTTGAAGTCTGTTGATTTGAATCTGAAATTGATTGAACTAATCGTTTGTGGGATTTGTATTGCTAGTGACATTGGGTCTAAATCCTTTGTGAAAGATATCGATCTAACGGTTGGTGGTATTACATCTGGAGAAATCAACAGTGGATTTTTGAAATGGAGAGTCTCAACTGATTTCGGAATCGATGAAGCTTTGAGTGTTTCACTATACATATCTTTGGAGAGAGCCAGCGTCTTGAGTGACTTGAGTACAGATAATCCTTTGATTTTATAATCAAAGCTATAACCTAGATCCAAGAACTCCAACATCCTAGGTAACACCATAGAGCTACTGATGCTTTTGTTGAATGTAAATGGTAAATATAGAGATCTAAGACTGTTTGGGAGAGTACCAAAGTGTTGATGTTTTATTGTTGATAAATCCGTTAGGTCCAATGTTTCCAAGTGTTGAAGCAAACTAAACGTATTCTTGTCGAATAAAGTACTACCACTGAGTTTTAGATATTTGATATTGGGTGGAATCATTTCACTTGTGATTTTCACACCAAAGAAACTATAGATTTCAAGGTGGGTGACACTCGCTGGAATATCACCAACTTCAAGCTTATCACCTGAATTCTGACAGTCTATTGTGAGTGTGTGAATTGATGGTAGATGCTTGATAAACTTCAAACTATCTGGTGATATTGTTACGATTTTTAGTGTTGATGGAAGTTGATCACCGTCATCCAAATGTTTTTTAAGGTTTACGATTGGACAATACAATTCCTCTAGATTGGGTGGTAGCATTCCGAAATTGTTTGGTCTAATTCCATAACTAGAGATCTTTAAAACTTTGAGTGATCGAGGAAAGAGAGATCCATCTATACGTTGGTTGTATGCATCGGTATTAAGAGATTCCAATTCCAATGGTAATACAGATTGTTCTATTGGAGACTCAGAGATGATAGTTTTGATACTCGATGGTAATATCCTACTGATTCGCATGCTACCTGGTTGATCGCTAAGAAGTTGAAGAGTATTGACATTTGACCTTTCAAGTTTATCAATGAAATCATCGTCAATAACTATACAATTATCCATTATAATCCAATTGCAATTTGATGGTATTTCGCTTCTCTTAAGTTCATCTATCAATTAGTTATAGATTGATTAGGTTAGATATATATTTGAACTACAATTATTATTAAACAAGCACAAGAAATAGTTACCTAATGTTTGATAGTAATCGGCATTTGTATCTTTATTTTGCAAGTATTCAGATATATGATCATATCTGGGATTCTTGGGTGAGAAGATCAATAGTTTATAAACTGATTTTTGATTGATTGATTCCTGAAATAGATTCATATAAGAATTCAATGTAAATTGTTTACTATTAATGTTGTTGGGATCTTTTAACAAAATACTACTAAAGTCTTTACAGTTGAACAATAGATATTTATTTCTATTTTCAAACCATCTCTTACAAACTAAACTAAAACAGATTGTATCTATTATGTCATCAAACTCTCTTGCTATTTTATTTAATAAAAGAAATGGTAATTTCACAAACAAATGGTTATTATTATCATGACTACTATTATCTATACTATTATTATTCTGACTTTCTTTCTTTCTTTTAGACATTAATTAACTATAACGGTTTGTTTGTTGATTAATTCTTTTCTAATATATTTTCGAAAAAAATCTTTGTTTATTTTACAATTCTTTTGTCTTTTAGTTTAGTATTTTTTTCTAAGAAAAAAAAAACAATTTAATAAATAGTAGTTGGTATTTGATATCTGTGTTGATCTTTTGTCTGGTTATTTCTTCTTGTTATTGTTGTTGGTGGTGGTAGTTGTTGTTGTTGTTGTTGTGGTATCTTCTTTCTTTGATACACCCAACGAGAAGAATGATTCTTTCTTGGCATGGGAAGTGTTGTTGTCTTTAGAAGAAACCGAAAGAGACACAGAGGTAGTAGTTCGTGTTGGTGCAGTTGGACGCAATGTAAGAACACTTGGTAGATTAGAGTATGCATTAGAGGTAGTCTGAGCCAAGTTGGCATCGGTAACTGCCATCGATTTCTTCCAATCGATCTTACTGATGAATGCAATCGTCTTGATGAACTTGTCTTTATTCTCTGCATTTGAAAATTGAATAAAGTAACATGATCTCTCTGTACTTAATAATACACAATGTTTAAAATCTGCATATATATATATATATATAATATGTATATACAAATGTAATTAGTATATCAACGTTGGATGTCTATTGTATTAATTAAATTCAAAGAATATTATATTTACCAAAGATATTCAATACATCAATGATTTTAGTACTCTTCAAGAGTGAACAATCATTGATAGTCCAGACTTTACTGGAGTTCAAGAGATTGGAGATTGATGACTTTGGTGGCTTTGACATCAAGAGGAAGCAATCGTTGAAAATACAGAATGTATAGTCCTTGCCAAGTTTAAATTCCTCTGGGAATACATCCTCTACCTTGGCGGCAGACTTTGTCTTTCTGTGCTTATGAATTCTCTTGATGATTGCCTCCTCTTCTTTAACAGGATACATACTGTGAATGGAGCACTCACCTGTTAACTGTAATTTTCTAAATGCTTCCATAATATTCTAATGTTTGCGAATGATAACAAATTAGTATGTCTATTGTTGACTCTATCTTTAATAGATATTTTCAACAACTTACCACTTTATCAATTAGACCATCTTGGAATTCTTTTGCTTTACTTTGATTCTCATCATCTCTCTTTGCTTCATTGATGAATGAAGTTACAGCTTTAATATTACTAATACATGTTTCCAATATCTTAATATTGGCATGTCCAGCTGGTGTACTTTTTAATAATTCCTAAAATTAATGATAAACAAGTAAGTAAGCAAGCACAGTAGAAATAATGCAAAAGAAATCTATCATACAGTTAATAATAAAACATATCTCTAAATTAATTGAAAAAGAAATTAGTTATAAATTTAATCGTAAAATCTATAATTATTGGTTAAACATACTGGTAGTCTTTGAACTGGCATAATCAATAAAGAATTTAGATCTTGTCCATTTGAGGTTGAATCTGATCTAGCTTTCTAGAAATATTCAAAGATAATAAAATGTTAAAATTATTTCATTTCTTTAATTTAATTTGATTACTTGCATCTAAAAATGTAGAAACAGATGATTTCTTTCTGAGTCTATTGAGAGTAATCATAATATTATCATATGACACAATATAGGCACTATATATTTTGAAATTTCCTTTCTATTTGTTTTCAATAATAATTAACAGTTAGATTGATTGATAGATATTGTTAAAAATATATTGTAAAAAATAGTAATTACATGTTTGTTAAAAATATCAGTTATGGCAATGGTTGATTCCAATGATGTTTGTGGTTTCTTGGCAGTGGGCGATGGTTTTGAAATGGTTGTGGTCGTTACAGTTGTACCATCGTCATTGGTGGTGGTTCTGGTGAGTGGTATCGGTTGTGATGCCCAATTGAAAGAGTTGTAACAGATAGCCAACTCTTGGAAGAAATCACGATGGAACTGAATGATAGGTTGTATCGTTGAGAATAACTCTGCCAGACTCTCTTTCTTGACAATCGATTTCTTGGTCATTGGCTCTATATATAGGTCTTCAATGACACACATATAATTAGCATAGCTTCTCTCTGTCTGAAGAATCTCCTCTATGATCTGTTCTCTTTTCTTCTTTTGTGGATCATCTATCAAAGAATTCAATAGGAACAAATAAATCAATTAACATACATTTCAAAACTCCATATATATATTAGTACTCGTAATATAAAAACATACTTTCTTCAATAGGTCTTGTTTGTTGATTTCCCATGATATAAAGATAATCTATACAATACAAATAAATATTAAATAAATAATAAAATAATTAAAAAAGAATATTGAAATGAAATAAATAATTAAATCATGTGACTTTAAAAAAGGTTAACAAGAAAAATAAGATCAGAATAAAATCATTCACAACAAAAAGAGAAATTAATGATTAATTTTTTTGTTAAATGATTAGATTAATTCGGAGGTCATAACACAAAGGGGGGGAGTGTGAAAGTTTTTGGTTTTTCAAATAAAAACGCCAATCCGAGGTACCATTGCATTTTTGGTTTTTTTTTTAAAGTTGATAAATCACAATGGGTGTTCTGTTTGAAGCAAAGTTAAAAAGGTGTTGTATTTATCAAAATAAAAAGCAAGTGATTATTCTTTCTTTGGTTTTGGTATTTTTTTTTTATATATTTATATTTTTTATTATTTTTATTTTTTATTTTTTTTCCTATCTGGTGTAGGTAAAATTTATGTTGTCGGTAGAGAATTGTTCACCATCATTGCTGACTTTAACAGTGACAGAAGTACCACTTTTAACTGAACCTACACGCTCTGGTGCATTGCAAATAATAGTACCCTTTTCATAAAATTGACCTGCGGATTGCATCGGACCAAATGCAACACAGAGACTTTCGGTCTTGACAAAATTAGATCCCAATACAACCATTCTTGTATTGGGTGGACCCTGTGCTGGAATCACTTCTGTAACAGTTGGTGGTAATGGTACTATATACAAATAATAAATTGATATTAATTAATATATATTATCTTTAAATTGAATCGAATAGATCGATATATAGTTTAAACTTACCATCTTGTTTATCAGTTAAATAAATAGTATGTGAAAAAACTTCAATTGGATCAGATAGAACTGATGCCTTTGAGATTGTTTGGAAGTCGCTTCCAATATAACGCTTTAATACAAACTTGAGTCGGAAAAGTGTTCTTTGTTGTTGTGTGGTTGAGAGGATTTTAAGTTTTTTGAAAGGAGCAAAGACACCGTTTGAGATTCTTGAGATCTTGTTACCATCGAGACAGGTTGCTAGCTCAGAGTGATTGTCATTACGTAGGAGAGATGCTTCTACAAAAAAATTGGAGAGATTTGCTGTTTCGACACCGGGTCCACATAACATGACCGATGGGAATGGTTTTAGAATTCTTTGATAAACCGTAGTCGATGGTGGTTGTCTTGCAATCTTTAAATAAAATGGACTAATAATTGAAAATAAAAAATAAGGAAAAATAAAAGAAAATTTGGGAAAATAAATATTAATATACAACAATCAATTTTCGTTAGTTAATAGAGTTGAGTAAACACATACCAATCATCGGTGGTTGTTGAAGATGCTAAAATGGAGGATTCAGAAGTATTGAGTAGTAGTGATGATTCATTCTTTACAAGTTGTTGTTGTTGTTGTTGTTGGAGTTGGAGTTGTTGTTGCTGGAGTTGGGATTGGGAGGTGCTTGGTGATTTGGGTATGTTTTGGGAGAGTGTGTTGTTGATTGATTGCATCTGTGGCGATTGGTGCATTTGATCACTTGGAACTGAGCCAAATGAATTTGAAAGATTGAGTGGGAATAGTGGTATATTGAAATCCGGTATTAGATTTTGGGGAGGTGTGCTGGTTGGGTTGATCAAAGGTGAGTTGCTATATTGTTGTGGTGGATTCTGGAGTTGCTGCTGTTTCTGCTGTTGGTGTTGGTGGTGTTGGTATTCAAAGGGTTGTAACAATACTGGTGGGTAGCTGGTTGCCAAGATACGCTTGAGTTCGAGCACGGTCGCCGACTCGAGTTGGAGAATGGCGAGTAGCACAGCCAGCATCTTCTTGGAGAGCACGGTGAACCACGAGTGGAAAGAGAGCAGCTCGTTCATGGGGAGCGACATCATGGCGGCGATGAAATGGATGATTTCCACGGGGATCGATGGGTCGATTTGGAGCAGACGCTGGTTGGTGAGGAACGGTGTGGTCTGTGAGCTTGTCGATGATTCGTTCTCTGCGTTGAGCTGTCTCAAGGTGTTGTAGTTGATGTGCTGAAAGTACTCTTGAATACGCTGTAGTATGGAAAATTGGAACTGCGGTGAACCGGGTGGAATCAAGTTGTTGGTGAGCTGGAACAGCTGGACGTAGCTGACGTGACCCAGCATGTTGGAGAGCTCCTTAAAGTCGAGAAATAGCTTGAGAGCGTGGTTGCTTGGTTCGTTTGCATACGACACGTAGTTGGAGAAGTTGAGCTGGTCGATCATCTTTGGTATGTCACTGAACATCTTTGTGATGAGCTGGAGTCGCAAGTCCTCAGTGGCATGTGGTTGAAGAGCACGACACAAGAAAAACAAATGCTGAACTGACTCTGACGATAGATTCCGTAGTGACAAACACAACTCTTTCAATTCCGCTTGGAGATCCATTCCACCAAATATATTATTATAACTTGAATTCAAATTCTGTTGTTGATTATTTTGTTGTTGATGATGATATTGTTGTTGTTGTTGTTGCTGATGTGAAGTCGATGAATGTAACATTGGTGATTGAATTGGTGATGATGGTATTTGTGGTGATGATGGAATATGTATATGTTGTTGTTGTTGCTGCTGCTGCTGCTGGTGTTGATGTTGTTGCTGTTGCTGTTGCTGATATGATTGAAATGTATTATTATTATTGAATTGTTGTAGGTTGTTATTATTATTATTAGTTGTTGTTGTTGTTGTATTTATATTAAATATATTGTTTGAAATACCAAGGTTTGTTTGTTGAAGCTGCTGTTGAAACGATTGAAATGTGTTGCAACTTCCATTTTCGAAAGCATTGACGAAACCATTGAGATCCAATGATTGTGACATTCTAAAGTTTGAGAAATCCGATAAGTTTGAGTGATCACCGAGATCACCCATGATGCTATCATTATTATTTGCCATCTCTAGTATACTCTAAGTGACGAACAAATAAAAATGAGATTATAATGTTGTTGTTCTTATTTTATTATTGCTACTATTATTTTTAATTTTTTATCTTTCTTTTTTTTTTTTTTTTCTTTCTTAACTTCACTTTTATTTTATTTTTATTTTTATATAATAACACTAACTAATACTAATAAATAACTAATAACTATTAATTTAAATAAATAAGTCTTTTTTTTTTTTTTTTTTTTTAACTTGTACAAACAAAATTTTAATTAATCTATATTTATAAATATTAATAATAGTTGGAGATATGTATAGTTTATTTATATATATAATTTTAATTTAAAGAAAGATAAGAAAAAAAATTAAACAACAAAAAAGATTTAAAAAAAAAAAAATAAGTTCAAGTTTTTTTCTTTTTTTTTTTTTTTTTTTTTCAAAAATCTAATGATTGTTGGTTTCACTAAAAAAATTTGTTAATGAGGAAATGATTTTACAAAACAAATAAATAAATTTAATATAATATATAAATCTAAATTTATTTATTTATCTATAGATAAGTATTTTAAACGATTTATTAGTTATTAACAAAATTATAATTATTTGGTGGTGATTGAAGGAAAAGGAAAATGTGTGTGGGAAGATTAATAGTTTTTCTATTTTTTTTTGTTTTTATTTTTTGTTAATATTTTTTTTTTTGCTGTTGATTCAAACCTTGGATACTCTATGACATCAGTGGTTTGTTTGCAAAGTTTTTGAAAAATAAAAATTGAATTTGAATAATTTTCATTTATAACGGTACTATTGTGAAAGAAACCTTGATCAAAAAAAAAAAAAAAAAAAAAAAAATTACAATTCATTGAATTAATAATTTTTTTTGTTAAATTTTCACTTTCTCAAAAACTATTAGAGTAATTAATTATTATGATTGATTAATATGACAACACAATCAAAGATTTTTATTGTTTAGTCGAACAATTTTTAAAAAAAGAGAAATTGTAAATTTATTGTTTCTCAAAATCATAATTAAATTTGATTGTTGGATTCGAAAAAGGGTGTGAAATGACACGACATGTGGTAAGTGAGAAACTATCTTTTCCTCGATCCATAAATCCCGGAGTTTCTAAAAAACATTAAATAACATTTTAATTTGAATATTCCAAGTACTAAGTTTAATGATGGTGATCTTGGTAGGATGTAGTGGTTGTTGGTTGTTGAACTCTCCATTGTTCTTCATCGATGCTTTCTTTGAAGAACAATGAGGCATTCATTGCCACTCTATCTAAAAAGTTGTAATTTACTATTGGTGATTTTTGATATGTATTTTGGTGATGTTGATTTTGATTGTGATGATGGTGGTTATTGTTGAAGTTGTTGTTGTTGTTGTTGTTGTTCGGTGTGTTCAATAGTGGTGGTCCACCAAATGGAGTTGCTGTTGCTGCTGTCGCCAATGGTTGATTGTCAACGATTACATTGGACCATGCCCAATTCTTGTTGTTTAAAAAGAAGATCAGTTCAATGTGACGCTCGGTATGTCTTTCATCGACCAAGTTCTCTTGTCTGACCAGTAGAGTGTCACCATTGCTTCTCTCTTCGAGTGTGACCAATAGACTACTGTATCCGCTGTTGTTGTTGTTGTTGTTGTAATGATTGGTGGACGATCGATCAGGTAAATTTGAGAATGTATTCTCTTTTATCTCTAAAATATGCTGACTGACACGAATATAGTAGTCCAATGGAATGGTAGTACTCTTTCCATTCGTGAAATAGTTCATAAAATGCGATTTGATCTCCATTGCCGCCATGTTGTTCTTTTCCCAGAGTTCGTTGGTATTGGTCACGAATGGACGTCCCCAATTCTTTCTCTTATCACTATCCAGTAGTGAAAATAATATAGATGATGGAGATGATTGTGTTGTAAATACCTATTTTTAGTTAATATTAGAAGTTAGTATTATTATCATATGTAAATCATTGATATGAAATTTCCAACAGGTAAAAACTTACAGCTTTATAAACATAAATCATTTTATGCGCTGATTGTGAATTGATATAGTCTTGTATATCTTGATATTTCACACCTAGCTCATTTTCAACTTCATTTGAACTGGTGTTGTTTAATAAATTATTTACACTATTTAAATTGTCGATCTTATTATTATTATTGTTATTATTGATGATGTTGTTGTTGTTGTTGTTTAAAGATGATTTCTCCAATGGGAGATTTGTGAAGTTAATTCGATTCTCTGGAATGACCATACCCATGAGAGATACTCCATTCTTTTGGAATATTAGATTGAAATGATGTTGTTGTTCGTCCAGGAAATCGAGAATGTCCTCAGACTTTTTCTTTGGATTCAATGAGAATAGGCTTGGTTGGTCAAAGTTTGGTTCTGCTTTGATGGATTGTTGATCATCCATCTTTCTCTTGTTATTATTGTTATTGTTGTTGTCAATGTCATTAGACATTACCGATGTCGTTGTGATAATCTCACTACTATCTTTATCTACAAAGTTATTGATGAAAACTAAATTCTTGAATGGTTGATCCGCCTTTTCCTTTCTTTGTTTCTGTTTCTGTTGTTTCTTGGTTGGTCGTTTCTGTGGAAGATCGCCGTCGAAAGTTGGTTCCAACTCGATGAAATGCTTGAGTTTTTCCATCTTGTTGATTGTCCAACTGTCGCATTTCGCAATGAAGGGAACTAGCCATGAGTCCCAAACTGAGGGTGGATTGCACACCTTGAAGTCGTGCACAATAACATTGGTGATTCTCGAGGTATTCGGATTAATTTCCTCGACTGTGAAACCGGAAATAAGTTGGGTACGCATATACTCTGGAATCTCTGGACAGAGCGGTGTCTCAACGGAGCGAATCACACGGACATAGCTCTTGGGCAAGTGGGGATGTGGACCAGAGTATTTCACCAAACAACTGTCTCTTCCGGGCAACCAGAGATGCGGACTTCCATGCAGCAAAACACAATCCTGATAGACATTCTTGTTATCTATTAAATCAGTTATCTTTGTACATGATGAAAAATATTTATTCCAAAGATGTAATCTCTTTATATCGGACATAAAACTCATCACTGTACTTGTAGATCTTTTGTTTTTTTTTTTTTGGAAAAGAATGTTAATTAAAAAAAAGAAAAGAGATTTGAAAAATATGGAATAAGAATTATAATGAAAAACTATTTCCATCAAGAAATTATCAATATCAAGTTTGACCTACTTGTTTACAATGATTTCAGATTTAGAAGAGTGAGTAGTGTTGCTGAGTGGATTCTCACGTTTCCAATACTTAATTCCACCCTGATCTCCTACGAAAACCCATTTGGTGTTGGTAATTTGGGCAGAAAGTTCCAGTCTAGACTGCAAAGCAACGGTCCACAATCTTATTTTTTCTTTTTCAATAAATTCCTTACTCAAATGAGAAGGAATTTTAAAAACTTCATCTTCCTTAAAATTCGTCATTCATTATCACTATTTTGAAGATGTATGTATCTGAGGTGAAGTTTTTTTTTTTTTTTTTTTTGATTTACTTTATTATTATTATATTGATATAAAGAAGAAGAGGTATGTGGAGGAAGAAGAAATAAAGAAGAGGGAGAAGAAGTTTGAAGTTAAGTGGTGGTTGAACTTAAACTACTATAGATTTTACAAAATAATATTATATAAAAAAACCTTTAAAAAAAATGTAAAAAAGTTGTTGTTGGATTATAAAATCGACTCTAAGTAGATATTTTGTATTTTATCATAATATTTATTATTTAATCGATCGATTTATGAAATGGTTCAAAAAGATTTAATATCTTTTTCTTTTTAACGAGGTTATACAGGAGTCAACAAAAAAATAATTCTAAATTATGAAACCAACTGACCTCTAACTGCAAATTTGTTATAAAAAAAGGATTGAAAAAAAAATAAATTCAATCCATTTCTATCAAAAAAAAAAAATGAAAAAAAGAAAAAAACTCTGATTATTACAAAAATATCTAAAATTTGGCAAAAAAAATAATAAAAACCATCAAAAATGGCAATTTTGCTACGGTTTTTTTTTTTTTTTTCACTCAACCAAACGGAGGAGCTATCTAAATATAAATCATTATTATGAGATTCTGAAAGCGTTGGATGGAAGAATAAACAAACATTACCACTCTGGTTTTACTAATTTATTTACCCAATATATAATAAAATCGAATAAAATAGAATTATAATTTTTGGGGGTTAGGGTGTCCTTTATTTTATTTTAATTTCCTGGTTGTTGTCGAGGAGCAATGACATGACATTGAATTAATTCTGGTTGTTTTTAGTTTTAGTTTTTTTTTTTTTTTTTGAGTAATCATCTAGATGATGAGCTATAAGCATCACTGACAGTCATTAGATATTCGAGGGTGGCCGATGATTCTCTGTCGGTGTCAATATCAAAGTTTTGATTGGGGCGGTGTATACGCTTGTGGGTCATTATCTCTTTAAATGATTTCGTAAGCGGTGTTAGATACTGATTGATGGCATTACTATTTTGAAGATGACTTAATATGGTTGTTGATGATGTGTTGTGGTGGTGGTTGGTCGTTGACTGATACACTGGGTAGTGATTTGGTTTATCAACATGGAAAGGCTGTCTGATATTGCAGATCATTCGGTTCATTACATTCGAGTAACATCCCTCTTTGTTTGACAAATGTAAATTCAACTCCAACAATTCCTTCACCTTCCCGTAATCACACACACCCGGAACAATATCACCTCTTATTGAAATGATTTCATTCAATGGTATATATCTATCATTAACATACTATTGTAGTGAAGAAGTAGAAGTAGTAGTAGTTGTTTAAATTAGTTTATATTAGATCTATTATGAATGATAACAATTGTTCGTAACACATTATGATATTTGTTATTCTTACATTTTGTAATTTTGGAGAAAGGAAATTCATGAGTGGATTGGCATAAAGTGGTACTACAGTTTGAGTTGATTGTTGTTGGTATTGTTCCAACATCTTTTCGAAATGGAATGCATTGATATCGCCTGGGTAACTGGTAGATAGCGAGCATATATTCTTATGACTACCAAGTGCCAAATGTTTACAGAAATCAGAGATTCCAAGATTAAAGTTTGATCGATAGTAAAGTGTTGTCGTATCTATTGTCGCTGCAATAATAGATGATGTTTGATATCTATTACTCATCTATATATAAATATATATAGTATTAGTTTTGTTTGTTTGATGATAGTTTGATTAGTTATGTTTTGTTTAATTACATACATTCAAGAGATTACAGCTTTGTTGTAGGTTTGACCAACGCTGTGCTGAAAGTGGTATATAGAGTGAAGATTGTTGTGCAATGTTGGCAATGGTGTGAGCAGAGTTGTAGATACGCTCATCGATTGCAGACTCCATGAGACTGCTGATCGATGAAGAATGTGGAGTGGTTGCAAAAGTCACGATTGGACGTGAACCATACTCATCGTGAAGATGTTCATAGAGCGACGAACAAACACCACCCCAAATACCATCGACATCCGTAAAACATTGGAATCCAATCATTAAATCACATTCTTCCATCATTCTTCTCAGATTATCTTGATAATGATCCAACTATTAAAAATAATGTTATTTAAACCGCATCCAACAACATTAGTACTAACGAATAGTTGTTATATTTCTTTTTTAATTAATTTACATACGATTTCATTTGATTGTTCTAATAAATCGATTCCATCACTAAATAATTTACCAGATATATTGTTATTCTGATTGACTTGTGAGAGTGTTACGATGTTATTAGATGTAAGATCTGTCTGTAAGTAATCGGACCAAAATTCAAAGTTTGACAATCTATTATCTTGTTCTGGATCATCTATATTTATAGGTGATCCAATTGGTTTAGTTTCATATCGAACTACATTATTATTATTACTATTATTATTGTAATTATTTTGTTGTTGTTGTTGTTGTTGTTTATTATTTTGATTGTGTCTATATACAACTCCGTCTTTATTCATAGCACCAAAGTTATCAGCATAGTCAAATACTAATACACGAGGAGTATACTTTGTATTATCATCTCTATTATTGGAAGCTCTAAAGAGTAACGAAGGATTTATCTCGAATTCTAATTTATTATTAATGCTATAGTTATAGTTATCATTCTATTTATTATTATTATATCATCGATAAGTTTATTAGTTACGTTTGTTTGTTTGTATTAATATTTCATAAATAGACATACCTGTATATTCCAATAGTGTGTACCAATGAAATTTGAAAATGTACCAACTTGCAGTGTAATAATTGAACTATTAGTACTAATATTATTATTATTTACATTCATATTGTTTTGTTGTCACTTTATAATATTTAAATATGTTATAATTTAATGTTTCGGCTTTATCCAAATTAAAATTAAATTTACCAAAATTGGAAAAATATGAGATTTGAAGATCAATTGATTATAATTGTTTTTAAAACAATAAGTGAATAGTTTTTTTATTTATAATTATGTAGTATTGTTTGTTTTAATGTTTAAAAATACATTGTCAATTATGTATTGATCGATATTAGATGAGTGAGTTTAGATTTGGATTGTTTTTGTTTGGTTGTGTCTGGTTGTTGTTGTTGTTCATTGGCGAACTATTGTTGTTATTGTATTGTGTGAAGTTAGAGTATGGTGATTGATATGGGTTCGATGGTTGTGGACTTGGCATATAAGGCGTCTGTTGGAATGGATCATTATTGTTTTGATATTGATATCCCATTGGTTGTTGTTGTTGTTGTTGCTGTTGAGGGTTCTGATACATTGGCATACCACCTCTCATGTTTTGTTGTTGTTGTGGTTGAGGTTGTTGATAAGCCATGCCTCCAAATGGATTACCAGATCCACCATTCATACCATTATTCATACCGTTATTCATTCCATTGTTCATACCATTGTTCATGTAGTTATTATTTGGAGATGGTTGTGATAGAGCATTGTAGTTTGGAAAGCTTGGGCTGAATGGATTGTTAAAAGGTGGTGGCATTGGAGCAGAGGGTTTAAGTGGTTGATTGTTTGATTGTGGTGGTGGCATGATTGCTGGTGTTGACTTGGCAGTTTGTGGGATGTTGTTAGTGTTGTTGCTATTATTATATGGTGTAATTGCAAATGGATTGGTCGATGTATTTGGATTGAATGATGGTGCTGTTGGTTGTTGTTGAGGTTGTTGCTGTTGCTGTTGATTTCTATTTGCAAGGAATAAATCAAATTCATCAAATTGTTGTTGTTGTTGTTGTTGTTGTGGTTGGAATGATGGCTGTTGTTGAGGTTGTTGCTGTTGTGGTTGGAATGATGGCTGTTGTTGTTGTTGTTGATTATTAGAGGGTGAATTATAAATATTATAGTTTAGATTTGATGCTGGAGGTTTGTTAAGTAATACTGGTTGTTGTTGTTGTTGTTGAGGTTGTTGTGGATATCCATTATTACCATTATAATTTGATGTAAATGGATTGCTATTATATTGTTGTTGTGGCTGTTGTTGTTGTTGTTGTTGTTGCATTTGTTGTTGTTGACCAATGTGATGATGATGTTGTGGTTGTGGAGGACCAATGGAAAGAGTGTTGAATTGACCTGAAAAATCAATGTCTCTCAATTCGTTGACTGGTTTCTTGGCGGGCAGTGGAACTGGTCTGTATCCGTTGTCGACAAACTGCTTTCGCTTGGCACAACAATTATCGTAGTCTTGGAATGCACGAACCAACTCGTCGTTCAACAGCAACAGTGTTTCAAGTTCACGCTCCGATGCCGAGCCATTCTGAATCAACTCGGTCACTTTGTTTTGATTCTCCTTGAGCAGTGTCTTCAGCTCTTGGAGCAGTGCATTGTCGGCGGGATCTTCCTCTTCGACATTCAAGAACGACACCATCTCTTGGAACACAGAGAGACTGCCTTTGATCGATGAGATATCTTGGTGAACGGTTGTATAGGAAGCAAGACTGGTCGGTGCTGCTCCCGCTGACGACGAGGTCGGTCTGGAGGCAGTGTTGTTGTTGCTAGAGTGTGCTGATGGTGGTGGTGGCATCATCGATGATTGTGGTCTTGACTGCGAAGAAGGAGGAGCACCTCTTCCTCTATTGAAATTTAGTACAGGTGCATCCGGTCTCTTTGGTGGGAACTTGTATCCCGAACGCTGAAGAAAAGAATATGATTCATAGTAACCTGGAATGTCTTGTCTATATTGAAAAGCATGTCCCCAAGTATCTACCAATTCCAATGCTTTATCTTTAACATTCTCTTTTGTCTAATATTGATTAAAAAAAATAAAATAAAATAAACAAAATTCGTCAATAAAAAAAAATCAGTCTATTTATAAATTATTATTATTTACCTTTCTATTCATGATTAACTTTGCTAATTCAGTCTGAAAAGTTCTTTCACCAAAGAATATATGTGTACATTCACAGTTTTGTACGAGTGACTCTGATAACTATATTATTTTAAGATCTTTGGTAAGTGGTGATTGTTGTTGTTGTTGGGTTGTTGTTGTTATTGCTATACATACTTCTAATGCTAACATAATAACTCTTGATTTCTCTTTAAATCTCTTCAAGATTGCTCTGACAACACCTCTTGCACTATAATTTGAATGATTAGTGTCTATCGATCAGCAGCTGATGCAAACACATTTAAAAAATAACATACTTTATAGAATCATTATTTAAAATATCACATATTTGTAAGCAGGTGGTCCAATCCATCTGAATCAAATATTCAGATGTAGCTTTATCGACCAACTCTACTGGATTTGGTGACATTTTCTATGAGTTTAATCTTTTATAATATATATATAATTGATTTTAAAAATACAAAAAAATATTTAAATTAAGATTATTATTTGTTTGTTTGTTGTTTGTTAATATTTAATATATATATATAGATATAATTAATATTTTAATTTGAAAAAATAACAGTATGAATCCCTGTGATCCTGTTGTGTAAGTCTAAATTTCTACCTGTTATTTCAAAAAAAAAAAAAAAAAAATATAGTTAATAAAAAAAAAATTTAATTTATTTTTTTGGATCACAAAATTTTGTAACCCTTTTTTTTAAACCAGGTTTTATTTTCATTAATTCGGAGTTGATCGATCTAAACAGATTATCAATTAAAAATTATATTAGTTTTTTTTATTTTAATTTTAAATTTATTTCTATAAAAAATATATATAAGAAATAATTTATTTTTGTCTTTTTTAATTTATTTATTTTATTCAATTCAAATACAGTTAAAATAAAACTTTGACGACAAAGAATGTTATGTATCAGATTTAACAAAAAAAAAATTCTGAATTTTTGTTAAGGTGGTGTGAGATGGAATGAATCCTCGTTAAACAAGATCTTTATGAAAATTTCTTTTTTGTAAAGATGTAAAATTTTAATTAAAATTTTAATTTAAAAAAAGCAATAAATTGCAATTTATTTATTTATTTATTTATCTTTAGTTTAATCAAAAAAGATAATAAAAGTAATAATAACAATAATATGACAGTTTCTTTAACATGGCCATGTATAGTTGAAATTCTAGATTTCATTTATTATGATAAATGTACACCGTTCCGAGCCAAACTTGAGCTTGGTTTGGTGAGTTGGAGAGTATTCAATTATATGTCCGATAGAATCGATGGCTACACATTGTCCGATGATCATCCCGATACTCTATTACAGCATCTCAACAGTAGATATTGTATATTGAAGAATATTAGATTTCTCAAGATCCTTACAAACAAGGCGTTCGATGTAGAGAAGCACCGTCAGTTGGCAGAACGACTCGCTCATAGTGTAGTTCGTCTCACCGTTGTTTGTCATTACCAAATGGCATTGGGAGCAATGCAGCTACCGCCCGATGCAATCAACCACCTGAACGGCCTCACCGGTATGCTAACCAAGGTCAAACAGATTCGCTTCTGGCTGTCACACAACACTCAGGCATTCAACGAGATATTCAATGGATATGCCACCGACAACATTGAGAGTTTCAAATTGTTCAACCTCGAGGAAAAGGATCCACTTGCTCTAGTCAACTACGACAACTACCTATTCGCTTCCAACCCAACACAACTCCAAGAATATCGAGGACTGCTTTTGCCCGTATTCCTCTCGAACATTGAACCGTTCCAGGCGAATCTCACCAAGCTAGCTTTGATGATAGAACAACCCTTGATAGGAGAGACTTTCATCGACAAGACATTACCAAGTATGACTAGTCTAAAAAGCTTAAGATTCACCGTGAGAGTCCGTTTAAGTAAAATAGATCAACATCTTGCAACCTATTTAAACAACAACAACAATAATAATGATAATAATAGATTGGAACATTTACATCTAAGTGGTTATCTATTGAATAATGATCAACTACTTGAAGCAATTGTAAATAATAATAGATTAAAGACATTGTCGATTCCTGGTGCTTTCTTTAATAGAACCATTACACTCAATCTCTCAAAGCTGACTATCTACAAACCACAGGTTATCAATTCACATTTCCTCGATGAAGCTAGCTCCATGATAAAGAGAATCGTGCTTAAAGACAGTGAACCTGTGACACCACCCATCTTAATTTCCTATTTCAAAAACAATAGATATTTGCAGCAGATCAAAGGTTTGGTATATAGCTCTGCACTAATGAACGCACTAAAGGATAGACCAGAGACAGACTGTCTTAGAGCAATCGAGTTGAAAGTAACCGATCCTAATTTAGCAGTTAGATTTATTACATCCAACATTGCAAGCTGTCAATCAATACACAATGCTAAAATAGCTTTCTCAAGAAGAATAGACATACAAGCAGACTATGATCCATTTAAATGTTTCACCAAAACCAATCCATATAACTTTTTAAAAATATCTTAGTTTACAGTTCAACAATAAATAAATACATTTATGTTAGAACCAACTTTAAAAATAAATAAATAAATAAATATTTTTAAAGTTGTCCAAGTCATTAATACTTAATAAATAGATTAGATTTTAAAAAATAATATAAATTTTATTTATTATTAATAATAGCTTTTGTCAATATTATGTATATATTTAATATTTGTTGTTGTAAGAGGAGACTCTTCCCAATCTTTTGAAAATAAAGAATATTTAAAACTTTTATCTGTAGTGAAAAGATAGATAGTCTCATCAACTTCGATCATTGTTGGCAAAATCAATAGTTCGTTTGGTACATCTGTCATTGCAAGCCCTTCAATTGTAGCGAGATTCTCGATGAGGATAACTCTACCAAATCCTATTTTTAAGAAATATTCAGAGTTTTCATCACCATAATAAAGATATACTTTATTATCCCCATTAAAGTAATAGGTGACATATCTCGGGAACACTTCACTGGCAATGACATGTCTAGATATAGCTTGAGTTGAAAACATCTGGTATTTGACTAAGCATATCTCGTGAGATGTTTTATCATAGTACATAGAGTAACTTTTGGACTCTAAGAAATCACTATCGCTAAACAACGCAATTGGAATGATATATCTAGCATCTTCATCGGCTCTCAACACTTCGAATTCCTCCAATATTGTATTAAAGCGAATCATACTTAATGTATAGTCGTGTGATCGACCATAGAAATACAAGTAGAATGGATCGACATATTGAGTGACCGGTTGACCATCGAAAGATAAATCGAAACCTAAATGATATGTTGCTTCTCTGAGAGTGTTGTCAATGATTGAGTAGACAATGAAATGGTTTGAAATCATTGAGAATATATAGATGGTCGAATTTGATGATCCAATAATGAAAGAACCACTATCGTCAATACCTCCTAACATTTCTCTCAACTGATTCGATTCTTTCTCTAACAATTCCATTTGACTTCCATTCTCGAAATTGCATTTGTATATTGAAAAAACAGAGTCATCATCCATTGTAATAAAATACTTTAAATTGACTGCTTCATATTCTTCAAAATCAACATTGATCGATTTTTGAATGAATAGTTTGATACCATCGAAAAAACATTGCTTTTTTCTATAATCTGAAGATGTAATAGAACCTCCAATATTGGTAAGGTGATAGTCTTTTATCTTATGATTGTCAAAGTGTTTACGAAGGATTTCCAAAATAATATTATCTTTGTTGTTACTATCAATTGACTTGGTGTTATCATTGTTCTTGTGTCTCTTATTCATGTTGATAATCTTGTTTTTATTGATATACTCTGTGATTTCATTATTCTTTTGTTGGTGAAGACTAAAGATTGTATTACTGTTGTTGTGAATGAATTGATCCAATGATTTTGATTGTTTAATCGATTCAATGATTGATGGAAGTTCATAATTGATTGATTTATCTTCGAGAATATCATAATCATTATTGCCATTATTACTATCATTGTTATTTTTATTATTATTGTTTTTATGATTTTCACGTAATTCATGATCATCATTATTCGGGATAAGAGTTGGTGTGATTGATTGGATGATGTTGTATAATGATTGTATTTCTTTGATGAGTCGATGAAGCTTTTCTTTATATTCATCGAGTTCATCAATAATCGGTTTCTTCATTGCTCTTTCTTCTTTCATTAACATTTCATAACATTGTTTGAAATGATCGGTGATATGATTCTCGATATCAGTCATCTTTTGAATGTACTTGGTTGTTCCTTTAACTTTATTCCATAACCATTCTATTCTCTTTTGAATTATATTTACTTTATCTTTATTATTATCACTATCTGTACTAACAACAGTATCATTATCTTTGTTTTTATTTTCTGCTTCTTTTTCATCATTTGTTTTATTATTAATATCTTTATCTAATTCTGAAACAACAACAGAATAATCAATATCTAAAATTGATTGATTGATGTCTTCTGTGTGAAGTGCTCGATGTTGATTATGCTTTGAAATGAGACATCGATAACATATGATCTCATTACAATCTGAACATAATACATCAAGTTCTTTATTATGTAGAGTACATAGATTCATAGTTTGCTTTGTGTTTATTTAATTAATAATACTTGTCAAAAGAATAAACACAGATTCGTACATGAAAGATATGCAGAAAAAAAAAAAAAAAAAAAAAAAAAAAAAGTAAAGTTGGTAATAGGTAACGAGGTCTACCTACGCACGAATTCAAAGATAACATGTTATTTATTGTTTTTTTTGAAATGAATATTAACTAACAACAAGAATAATAATCATTTTTCCATAGTTTATAAAGTAATGATTGCTTTTTTCTCTTTCTCTCCTCTAGATATTTCTGTTGTTGCGAAGGCGTTGGTAGATTCCAATAGGGTGACCCGTAGTTCGCATTCCAAAACGACAAGAAGTTCTCTTTAATGCCTTTGCTGAATGGGTACTTCATTCCTTTACACTTTCTCAGATAGGTTATCCTATGATATTTTTGAGCTTCCCACGACGATTGGTTGGTGATCACCAAATAGGAATGGTACGCCAACAACCCGATTGGCATGAACATCATTGCAAAGGTAATAACGGTTGGGAACCACATTACTAGATTTGCTAAAACCCAATCTTTCCATGTTGGTGCACTATGTATACCTGTTAATGCCTATAATTATAATTGATTATTATATATTATATTGTAATAAAGAATAATAAATAAAATTAATTAAACAACTCTCTTTAGAAAGTAGTAGTTGTTATTGTTGTTCAACAAACATACTATTTGAAAACCTAGAATCAATAAAACAAGTTGAACCACTAAAAAGATACAAAATGATTTATGATTGTATTGACCGACACAACAACCAATGAAGAAACAATGATGATCATATTTTAAAATACAACGATTACATCTCTTACAATGCTTTGATCTAATTAACTGAGAGAATATCAAGATAATTATTAGTTTAATATATATTTAATTTTAAACTATTAATATTACTACAACATACAACATTACGTTTACATATATTACAATAAGGTTGATCTTCACCACTTTCTTTATCTTTATTATTGTTACTCTCCAAACTATCTAAAAGTTGATCCATTTCATTATCTTTATTTACATTATAATCTTCTTCTATCTGTTCATCATCTTTATTATTACTATTGATATCAAATTCTAGTGATTGACGATGATGATCATCATTATCATCTGCAAATTCATCATCTGATCTTTTAAGTTTAGATTTATTACTACTACTATTATTATTACTGTTGTTGTTATTAATATAGTTTGAATTGTTGTTGTTGTTGTTGTTGATGTGTCTATTATTACTATTGTTGTTTGGTGGTGATGCTGGAAGATCGTCTGAATAGCCAGGAGATTTCGAAGCAGCAATGAAAAAGACTATGAATGTAGAAATGAAAATGGAATGTGTCCAAATCAGATAGAAGTAGTCTCGCTCTTTGAATGCAACATTGAGATCAGTTCCACTTCTAACTGCCAACACCAAGTATATTATAAGATGTACGATGGTATATGCACATTTCACAACGAAACCTTCCCAATCACCTAATGCACCACCTTTCTTTCTTATGATTCTTCCATTTGCATTACTACCACTATTACTTCTACTATTACTTCTACTATTACTACTACTGCTACTACCTTTAACAACATCTTCAACTACAAATCTATCTTTATCATCGTCGTCGTATTCATTCATTCGTTCAATCAACCAATCAGCAACACAAATTAGAGATAAAAATAAAAATAAAAATAAAATAAAATGAAAATGAAATATAAAATAACAATAAAACTTTAATTAAATAAATATTGAAAATCACAAGTCGTTTTTGACAATGAATATTAATCTCGCTCGTTATATCCATGGATTTATGACAACAATAATTATCATTACTGATCTTTATTTATTTTAAATGTTCCGATTACCACTATACACAAATAGGAATACAATCTATATAATATATTTCTCTCAATAATTATTTATATAATTGATAATAAAAATCACATGACTGATTACACACTCATATGAAATCACCCCATATAATTATTATTATCATTAATAATTAATTTCATTTGATTTGATTCTAATATATCCCTGGGTGGGGATATAATGATATTATACTATACTCTCAGAATATATATAAATTGATTTTTTCCACTATTACTTTTATAACAATAGTTATTCTTTTTTAACTAAATTTGGTAATTTTTTTGTTTTCAGTCTTTTTTTTGTAAATAATTAAATACAGTGATACAAAAAAAAAAACAATTGATTTAATTTTATTTATTGTAGATAAGATATCTATCTATTCTATTCTATTTACAAAAAGAAAGACATAATCAAAAATAATAATAATCAACAAATAAGATATCAAAAATATTCTTTTATTTTATTAAATGTTTTAAAAAAAAAGTTTTATATTTTATTTATTTATTTATTTATTAGTTAGGATTAATAAATTTAAAAAGTTAAAAGAGTAATTAATTAATTTATTTAAAGTTTATAATAACTGTTATTACAAATCAATATCATCATCAACATCACCATCACACTTCACTATCTTTTAAAATCAAGAAGAGCATCGATGAGGGGAAAGTCGAACAAGTCCAAGTTTAGTTTATGTTACATTGTAGAATCAATCAACACAGTGTTGATAAACAAATTAATACTTTGAGATGAGGTCTCAGACAACACTGTGTTTATCATGTTGTTAAAGTAATTTCCAACTATTTTGTCTAGTTTTTTTAACGTATTTTTTTGCAGACAACCTTTTTGTAACTGAAAAAAAAACTTGATTATTTTGATATAAAAATTTTTTTTTGTTTTTTTTAATTAGTTTATTTTATAAAATTCAATCGAAAATAACCTTTATCTTTTTAAAAATAACAAAAAAAAAAAAAAAAACAACAACATAGTCAAAAAATTAATTTTCTCTCTTTTTTTTTTTTTTTTTTAAAAATAGTTTAATTCTTATTTCTTTTTTATTATTGTTGTATTTATTTATCATTATAATAATCATAATCAAAATCAAATCTTATTCTTTTTTTTTTAACAAACAAACAAACAAACAAATAACCAATCATTTTTTTATTTAATATTATTATTATTCATACTTTTTTTTTAACATAACATTATAATTATTAATAACTAGTAGATAGGATAGATATTGAAAATAGAGTATTAATAAAATAATAACACAACAAACAAACAATTCAACAACAACAAAAACCAAAAGAATCATTGTTTTCCCTCTATAGAGATGTAAGAAAAAGATGACAGGAGTTCGTAGCACACTTCCAAACCCAGCCTCCTTAGTCGAGAGCTCAACACATAGATTCCTCATCTTTGATGCCCCAAACGATGACAATTTACAATTATATATTAATGTATGTATCGTCTATTAAATTATATATAATCAAATAATAATAATAATAACAATGATGATAAATAAAATAGGAACTTAGAAAATACAATATATCACATTTGGTACGCGCATGCGATCCAACCTATTCAACTGAACCACTCCAATCGATCGGAATTCAGGTTCACGACATGCCATTCCCTGACGGTGGTGCACCTTCCGATTCAGTGGTTGAAAACTGGTTAAAGATATTAAAAGATTCTTATAAGTAGGTTTTAGCAATAATTACTTTATTTACAACAGCTAGTATGTAGACTAATATTATATATATAATTATATTATAATATTGTAGGAAGGATGGAAAGGAGACAGTTGGCGTCCATTGTGTTGCTGGACTTGGAAGAGCTCCAGTGTTGGTAGCTATTGCTTTAATTGAAGGTGGAATGAACCCACTTCAAGCAGTGGAGTACATTCGTGAGAGAAGAAGAGGTTCAATCAACATCAAACAAATTCAATATCTTAAGAACTACAAGAGCAAGAAGAAGGGAAGTTGTCTCATCATGTAGACAATCAACCAGAATAACAACAACCAAATCATACCAAATCATACAACAACCAAATCATAGTAATCAAAAACTAACAATTTATTTACACGCAACATCAAAACAACAAAAAAAAAAAAAGCAAAAAACAAATAGTAATTCTAACAATCAATCAATCTCAGCAACATCATATCAATAAAGTAGTAATCAGCAAAAAACAATAATAATAATAGCAAAAGTCAAAAAAAAAACAATATATATATAAACAAAACAAAACAAAACAAAAAAAAACAATCAATCAATCAATAATCAAATCATCTTGTTTCAACTTAAAATACACCATTTGGATAAAAGAGTTTTGGAGAATTGTAGTAACAACAACAGTAGTAGTAGTAGCAGCAGTAGGTAGTTCATTCCTGGATTTGAAAGACACGCTTTTGTTTGTAAATTTCTATTTAGTATTGTATTATTATAATAATTATTTATTATTATTATTATCATCATCATTAACAACAACAACAACAAACACATTTAATATAAGATTGCTGGACAAACGACAAGCAATATTACATTATTTGTCAACCACCCTTTTAACAACAACAACAACAATAATGAATGAGTGGAGACACATTCACTTTACAAAGAATCGAACACGATACGGTTTGATCTGCATTGTGTAACCAATTCATAAAGACGAATACAACTCCACTAAAACCATTTTACAAAATCAAATCAAATTTACTTGTGCACAAAAAAGCTCTCATCGATACCACCTGCAACCAACAACTACAATCAACAATACAATACAATTCCTTCCCAAGTATGCTTCTTTTTTTATTCCAAATTTACAACAACGACTGCCCAGTGCCAACAAGAAGTAAAGTTCCATACTGACCAGTCTAATCCTGGTACAAAAAAAAACAGAGTCTTTTGGCAGATCAGTCAATTTTTTTTTATTATTGATGTTGGCGTAAAAAAATAATAAACATTTTATTTTTATATTATATGACCGATTAGTCTATCTCCTTTATTTATTTTGTAATAAAGTTTGAATTCCTGAATTGAAAAGAGAGTTCAAACGTGGTCATTTTTTAAATTATTTTTGAAATGAAGTATTCACATTCACACACATATAACAATTTTTTTTTATTTTTATTTTTTTAATGAAAAATAAAGTGGTAAAGTGTGAACAATTTTTTTTTTAACATTTTGTTTAATTAATTATTATTTATTCATTTTTATTTCTATTTACAAACCTTTAATAATATTTATTTTTATTTATTTTGTACAAACACCCACCAATCATGATGAAGGTAATAAACTATATATCATCAAACAAACAAACAATCAATCAATCAGTAAACAATGAAGGAAAATATAAAATATAAAAACAACAATGAATAGATGAGTAGATGAATAGAGATGAATAGTAGATGAATAAACAAATAGCAGTGAAACACCTAAAAGATATACAAGATTATATATCAACTATATTATTAAGATTTAATAAGGTTCATCTTTAATTATAAACGACTAAAGAAAGAATGTTTAAACATTCTTGTTTTGGATAATAGATGATTATAGATAAGGATATAAAACAAATAGATATTGAGATAGAATTGATAGATAATAATTGTTTTATTAATAAAGTTGATATTAATAAGATAGTTTGTTTTTTTTTTCTTTTCAATAACAACAATAATAATAGTATTCGCCTTTTCATGATGATGATTCATCGATAGGAGTAAATAACGATCCAATACAGACGACATCGGATCAACAACAGCAGGGAGCAGCAAGTGCACCGAAACACCCAGTAGCATTATTCTTTCATTTCTTCTTTAAAGTATCAGCAATAGTAATCTATCTACTTGCTTCGTTGGTCGGACTTAGCTTTGTTATTGCTTTTATCGTTATTACATTGTGTGCTGCATTTGACTTTTGGACTGTAAAGAATGTATCCGGTCGTCTATTGGTAGGATTACGTTGGTGGAATGAAATCAAAGAGGATGGAACTGATCGTTGGATTTTCGAATCGTTAGAGGTTAGTAATAATGGTTAACTACACACATCTAGGTTATCAAAACAAACTAACAAACAAACTAAAATATTATTCGATATCTTTTAGAATAAGAGTCAAATCAATCAACATGAATCATTTTTGTTTTGGGTCGGTGTCATTGGAGCACCATTAGTTTGGATATTGCTTACAATTTTCAGTATAATTTCACTTCTTAGCTTGAGCTTTGGTTGGTTGGTTGTAGATGTTGTTTGTCTTGCACTGACCGGTGTAAATGTTATTGGTTATATAAAATGTGCTAAAGGTATGATCTAAAGACAGACAGACAGATAGATATATATTATAAATAAGTATAATTTGACTAACTCTTACACTTTATTAAAAATAGATGCAAGAAAGAAGGTTAAAGGAATGGCACAATCATACATAGTTGGTTCAATTGTTAATCAAGCAATTAGCAGAGTTTAAAAAAACAATACACAGAGATATATATCAAATTATTCAAGACAAATCAAATCAAATCAAATCAAATCAAATCAAATCAAATCAAATCAAAACAATATCGACAAATTTAAAATTAACTTTAATATTCAACAACAACACAATCAACATTGCCTATCTTTCAATTTTAACTTTACATATTCATTCACTCGCCAAATCATAATCATCACACAACCAAATCACATAAATAATGTATAGATCATCATTAATTTAACATTAAAAAGCTTTAATGAATTATTATTTCTTTTAACTTGTATAAAGACTTGACTGTTATTTGATTAAAGTAATAGTGTTTATTTTTATATTATTTTACATAAAAGTGATATTCTTTAAAGTCTTTTAAACTCAAAGATTATGTTTAATTTGATTTCATTTCATTTCATTTGAATCTGTTAGATGATTCATTTATACTAATAATAGGTTAGTTTATGGTTGATGTCTGAGTGTGTGGAGGTATCATCAATCAAAAACAAAAGAAGAGGATTTATAAGATAAAGTGGAAGAAGAAGAAGAATTTAGTTGATTGAAAGAAGAGGGAAAATCGATTTTGTTTGATTCTATTAAAAAAAAAGTACGATTGATTAATTAATTTATTTCTTTTGTTGTTGTTGTTGTTGTTGGTGTGGTTGATTGTAAAACTGATCCATCTCTTTGTAGAGACGATTGTGAATGACTTGTCTTGAGCTAGTTTCACCGTAAATCCAAAAACCTGCTACAAAACCTGATGAAACAATGAATGCTCTAATGTTCCATGATAATGTTTGTCTAATTCTTGGTGCTAATCGAATGATTCAGAGTATGTCTCAAATAAGTATACGTATATATATATATATATTGGAAGAGTAATAAAATCAATGAATACATACAAAAATAGGTACCAGCAGCGACTAAAGCAGCGGTGACACCAGTGTAAATTAAACCACCTTTGATTCCTTGTCTGAGAAATACTTGTCTACTCTCTTCCTCCTCTTGTGATCTTCTTGCAAAGTATTGTTGTTGTGATTCCTTCTTGACTGGTGCACCTGGACCACTCAAATCTTCGAATGGTTCTCTTTCAACTCTTTTATTTTGTGACATTGATTGTTATTATATATTATTATTAGTAGTGTTAATAAATAAATAAATATATTATATTAATAGTTTAATTGTTGTTTTAAATTGATTAAACGAATGACTATTTATTGTTGTTTGATCGCGATTTGGTTGTTGTTGTTGCTGTTGCTGCTGTTGTTTTAAATCAAAAGTTGCAGTGAAATTGGTTAATCAATAAACAACACCACCCAACCACTTTCATCTACCAAATTTTTTGAATTTTTCAAAATTTATGAATTTTAATTAAAAAAATTGCAAAAATTTAAAGACTGGTTGATCTTGGACATAGAAAATACGTCATTTGCTTATTGATTTACTGCATTCATACTTTTGCCGAAAAAACTTACGTTATATTAACAACAAAATAGAGCATTTAATTAAATAAATGTTTACAGCAAAAAGCAACATCATCATTTTAATAGGTTTTTGAAAGATTCGTTAAAAAAGATATTTTATCTTAAGAATGTCGATGATCATTACCATTTTAACTATTTATAGTACTAGTCAACAATGATAATCGTTATTAGCAATTTAGCTATTAATATTTCTTTAGATTAATTAAAAAAAAAAAAACAAAATATTCACATTTATTATTTAACAATATTTGTATTAATATTAATTTTATGAACAATATTTAAATATAAAATAAATAATTCTTTCTTATTCTATTATCTTATCTTTATCCTACCATCTTAATGTATCAGGGAAGTATTTCTTGATTAAAGATTGGTAATATGGTTTTAGTTTTTCAACATTTACAGGTTCTGCGTCTTTTGAATAAAGATCAAACTAAGATATTGAAAATAATATTAGTTAACTTTTAAAATAATAATATAGATAAATATATTTTAAATTGCTATATATATAATATTTACCATATTAAACTTCTTTACCCATTCCAACATTTCTTGATCTTGTTCGTTGGTGATCTGTTTGTATTGATTGTGTTTATGCCATGGATAGAACGAGTGGAATCTAATCATGTATAGCGCTTGCTTTGGTAGTGTAGAGTTGTTACCGATGCAAACCTGGTAGAAGTACTCGTCGTGTCCCCAGCTCATGACGACATTCTCTAGCCCGCAGTGTTTCTCGTAGACACCGCACTCTGTGTTGTAGAGCGAGTTGTTGTAGTCGGGATTGTCTTTGAAGTACTCATAGAATATATTGCTCTCATCGAATCTGCATCCCACAGGGAAGGTGTCGCCAACTACCGCCCATTGAGGTTCGTTGAAGCGCGGGTTCAAGAGAATCTTACCGAGGTCGTGGATGAATCCAGTGAGGTGGAACCAGTCGTACTCCTCTCCCGGATAGACCTTACGTATTGCCTCGGCAGTCTGGAGAAGATGGTTGATCTGTGGGATGTCAGAGTCCGGGTCGGATTCATCCACTATCGTATTGAGAAGCTCGGCTGCCTCCCACACCGACATATTGATTCCGGTCGACAGCGAACCGTATTGATCCAATTTCGACTTGGCATATTCATAGGTTTGTTTGGTATGACTGTTTCTGTATGCTCTCGACACTGAATCCTGTAGATGGCTATCCTCATAGTTTCTAAATGTGTCTACCTCTTTTGTTGGTTCAAATTGTAATGTTGGATGTGCGACAACAACTGTTGCACTTGGAGGTAATTCCGATTTTATCATAATTATTTACTTTTTTAATTAAATTTTTAATTTATTAATTTTTTTAAATTTTAATTATTTGAATTTTATTTATATGAATAATCTTATATGAGAGGAAAATGACAATAATGAAATTGATTATGAGAGATAAATGTTTAATGATTTAATATTATATGTTATATGTTTAATTCTATATATATTAAAAAAAAAAAAATAGAAAATAAAAAAAAATTAACCTATTGAATATTGAATTTGTAATCAATATGTCAAAATACTATTAATTTTAAACCGATTCACATTATTATTGAGTTGTGAAATATATTTTTATTTATAGTAGGCAATAAAATTTACGCAATCCTTCAACTACTTTCTACTTCCCCCCTTTTTATTTGATTGTTCTCTTCAATGGTAACAAATTACCTGGTCGATAGATTGTAATGGGGTGTGTGTGTTTTTAAATATTTGTTATTTTGTTTTTTTTTGTTTTTTTATAAAAAATCAATTTAAATAAATAAATAAAAAATCTAAAATGATAAAACTAAGACAAGTCTTATAAAAATATCAAACTCTATATTTTAATTTAGTAAAGTATTACTTTGTTAAACATATATCTCCGAGTAAATTTAATTTCGGAATTTATTTTATTTTATTTTTATAAAAATTGTCATTTTAGGCCAAAATAGGTGATTGTAATTGAAGAGAGGTTTTTGCTCACCTTAGTTGTAAACAATCATACTTTTTTCAACATCACAACTGAATGTCTTTGATTTATTTGAATTCAAAGGCAAAAATAAATAAAATACAATTATAACATCATCATAGTAATTCATTATAGTAACAAATAATCAAACAACATCATCATAATTGTGCAAAGTACAAATAGGCAATACTAAAACACAACTTTATTATAACTTTCAATCTTATTGATTTATATTTGTTATAAAAAGTATTAATAACTTTCGATAAATATATCGCATTAAAGTTAATCTATTTTTAAAAATCGTCATTGATTAAAAACTTTATTGTTTTTTAAAATAAATGCTTATTCTTATGCTTACTTCAACTAACCTATTCACCATTAGTTGAGCTTACACAATGTGCTCAAGACAACCAAGCTATAGCTCGCTTTAATAATACTAGAACATTCTTGTTAAACCAAATTGAGAGTGATATCACTGATTAATAACAACCTAAATTGAATAGTGAATTTGAACCATTTTATTCAACAGAACATTCTATCTCTAACACTTCTCACCAACATCAGCACCCACAATCAATCAATCAATCAAGCCACACACTAAACTCAAAAAACACAAACAAACACACCTCAACACTTAACACTTAATTTACTTACACACTATCTTTTTTTTTTTTTGACCTACCATTCACTACAACCTCATTCAAAGCTAGCTTTGTTGATGTAATTTTATCTCTTTCTTTCTCTCTCACTTCTCTCTCTCTCTAAACTGTGTGTTCTAATAATGAGTTTATTAAAAAATAAATAAAAATAAATAGGAGTGCGGGAGAGAATGATGATGTTAATAAATATATAAATTATAATATATAAAATTATTAATAATACTAATTTTGAATCTGTTATTGTGATGATTGGAGACCGTTGGAGATCAAATAGTCATTAAAAATCAGCAACTCTCTTGAAACCAAACTAAAATAAAGCAACAACAATTAATCTTATCTTAATAAACTAAAAAATTATTACCAAATAAATATTAATCCAGTAATAAAATAAATTTCACTACAAAGAAGAAGAAACTAATTAGATACAGTAAAAAACAATCAGTAAACACTAGAGAAAACAACTACCAATAAAAGCTTGTCAAACAACAATTAATCTCTAACTCTGTTCTATTTATTTAATTTTCCTTATTCCAAAATCAACAATAATATCAAAAATAACAATAGTTTCATTTTTCCTGCATCCTTCAAGTTTGAAAGAATTAATTTTATATTTTGGTGTTTTTTTTTTTCTTTAGATTATTTAAAATAGATTGGTAAATATATTAATAAAATAAATACTACATAAATAAATAATTCATTCATGTTCAGAATCAATGGAAATAAAATAGATAGAGTTTTTTTTTAGCATCTTAGATTATTTTAGATTGTAATTACTGTTTTTTTTTATTATTATTTATTCTCATAAAGTTACAATATTGTTTAAACAACAACATTTATTTATCATACATTTCTAATTTTTAATTAAAAGAAGTAATAAGTTAAAGTTGAGATTTATTATTAGTTCTTTGAATCACAATCGATTACTAGTTGACACGACCGACTGATTTTAATATTTAATCCAAAACAATCAAGCAAAAAACAAAAAAACCCAAAAATACTTTTCATCTTATTTTGCAAACTTTATTATTTTGTTTTTTTAGCACCACACAAACACAACTATTTCTAAGACCAAGACAAAAAAAAAAAAAAAAAAAAACAATCAACAAAAAAAAAACCGTTCATTCGTGTTAAAAAATTTTTTTTTCAAAATATCTTTTTTTTTTTTTTTTTTGTAATCAATAATAATATTTACCAACCAACAACAACAATCAAACAAATAAAACAAAAGCACAAAACAACAAACAACATAACACAAACCAAATAATAATAATTATAATAAACATCATTTTTTGATAATTTTAAATAATTCATTATTATAAATATTAAAATATATATCTTTTATCTTTTTTTTTTTTGTTTTTTTTCCCTTCATTTCATTAAATTTAATAAATTTATTATTAAAAAAAAAACTAGTTCATTATTTATTTGTATATTAGTAGTAGTAGTCAATAACCAAATTCATTCACATATATCATTTTAAAACAAACTTTACTCATTTTTATTTTATTTTTTTATTTTTGTAATATTAGTATTAGCAGTTTGGACAAATCAACCAACATTATTTTTTTTTTAATTTTTTTTAATTTTTTTTTTGTGCAAAAATTAAAAAAAAATATTGTAGCAAGATCTTGAGTTTTAGTGGTGTGCGCAAAATCAACCAAAACAAGATAAAGATAAAGATATAAATATTGGATTAGATAATATTTAGCAAAGAAAAAAATAGAAGTAAAATCGATCAAAATCAATCAATATATAAATAAACAAAACAAAATAGTGATAATATAAGAAATGGGTAAAACTCATAGTAAGGAGAAGAGATCCTCCAGTACAAAGTCACCGAAGCAAAGCAGTACTGGAAAACCAAAGCGTGGAAGTGTAAAGAATCCAGAGGGTGGAAGCGCCACTGGTGCCGACAAGCACAGCAATGGATCGGTCGAAGCGAACAACGCCAGCATCGACGTACTGAGCGCAGCCACTGTCGATTCGACTTCGCAGCAACAGTCGGCAGCTACTTCCCCACAGTCAGAGCAGCAGCAACAACAACAAGATTCAACATCACCAAAACAACCGGCTTCACCATCACTCTCACCTAACAACGGTAGCTTAAGCAATAACAACAACAATAACAATGGATCGTTGAATGACAACAAAGAGAATGGTGCCAACGTTGTCGACAGCGCCAGCACACCAGATTCGCCATCGACCGCTGGCGACGATGACGAAGGTCCCGAAGAGATCATCTTCTCAAAGAATAAACAGACCGTAACCAAAGACGACTTTGAGTTACTCACCGTCATTGGTAAAGGAAGCTTTGGAAAAGTAATGCAAGTCAAGAAGAAGGATGACAATAAGATTTACGCCATGAAAGTTCTCCGTAAGGATGCAATTATCGCCAGAAAACAAGTAAATCACACCAAATCCGAAAAGTCCATTCTCCAATGTATCTCACATCCATTCATTGTCAACTTACATTTTGCATTCCAAGTATGTTATCATCATCATTATTAATTTATATTGTATATTAAATAGAAGAATTGAAATAACTAACAACTCTCTCTTTTTTATTGTTATTTTATTTTATTTCTTTTTTTTATTATTATTATTAGACAAGAGATAAACTCTATATGATTTTAGATTTTGTAAATGGAGGTGAGTTATTCTTCCATTTGAAGAGAGAAGGTAGATTCTCTGAAGCTAGAGTTAAATTGTATGCTGCAGAGATTGTTTCGGCATTGGCACATCTTCATCAACAAGAGATTGTATATCGTGATTTGAAACCAGAGAACATTCTACTGGATTCAGACGGACACATTTGTATAACAGATTTTGGATTATCCAAGAAGATTGAAACTACCGACGGTACCTTTACATTCTGTGGTACTCCTGAATATCTTGCACCAGAGGTACTGAATGGTCATGGACATGGATGTGCTGTCGATTGGTGGAGTTTAGGTACTTTATTATTTGAAATGTTAACTGGTTTAGTAAGTGTTATAATTAGAGATTGAACTATTTTAGTTAGTTAGTTCGTCGACGAACGTAAGAATAAGATTATTAATTATTTGTTATTTTCTTATTACAGCCACCATTCTATTCACAGAATGTTAGTATGATGTACCAAAAGATTCTCAATGGAGAACTCAAGATTCCAAGTTATATTTCACCAGAGGCAAAGTCACTGCTCGAGGGATTGTTGACTAGAGAGGTCGACAAGAGATTGGGATCAAAGGGTGGCAATGAAGTAAAGAATCATCCATGGTTCAAGAATATCGACTGGGAGAAATTGGACAGAAAGGAAATAGAGGTACACTTCAAGCCAAAGGTAAAGTCTGGAACCGACATCAGTCAGATCGATCCACTGTTCACCCAAGAGAGACCACTAGACAGTGTTGTCGAAACTACAACACTCGCCGATGCCGTTAGCAAAGATAATAGTTTCGAAGGTTTCACCTACGTTGCTGACTCTGTATTAAAAGATTAAATAATAATAATAGTAATAATAATTAAGTTATTTTAAAAAACAAACTAAAAAAAAAGAAAATAACAAAAAAAAAAGAAACAACAACAATCCAATAATATATTATTAGTAACTTTATCTATCTATCTATCTATAACAACAACAACATTCACTCCTCCTCCTATTACCACAACAAACAACTCAATACCATTTGTAGAAACTATTAAAACAAACAATCCAATTTGAAAAAAAACCAAAATAATATAAACTTCACTTTAAAGTTCTTCTTTTATTTTAAATATGTTTTTGTTTATTGATTTATTAATTGAATTCTTAAGATAGTATTAAATGTTAAAGTCAATCAAATAAGTTCAATGAAAATTAAGATAGACTAATTTTGTCCGATGGTAAACTATCTTTTGGTAAGATTGTCTTTTACCTTTGGATTTTAAACCTTTTTTTAAATTTTTAAAAAAAGTCGTTAAGTTAATTACACCCAAGCTTTAAAAAACTTAAAGAGTTTTTGATTGTTAAAAACAGTGCCTTTAGTAAACAGATAAAAGATATTAAAAACACACACTATTTCAAAGAGATTAATAACTCTGTGTGTGTGTTTAACTTTTTGAATTATTCTATTCCAACAATGAATATTATAGCTACTTTTAGAATTACTATGATGGAAACAATCACACATGGTGTTTTTATGGAAGTGTACCAAAGTGTGGAGATTGACAATTCAAAAAGATAAGTAGAATTATCTTTTCAAAGATTAATCATTTGTTTTGTTTTTATTTGCTTTTTCTCTATGTAGAACTACAATCAACCAACCAACTTCATTTCGGTTATACAAACCATGACAATGATGATCAACATCATCATTCACCATCATCACTACTACCACTCCACATTTCACACAAATATTCACCTTACACCTTATCTATTGTTTTAGCCATGTCAACCAACTTCCAACACAAAAAAAAAACAGTGTTATACCACCACTCTGAGTGGTTGACATTTAACAAAATCAGAGTCTCTGCAATCTCATTTTTTAAATCGAATTCCAAATTGATTATTATATTTGTTGTTGCAAAACAAAAAGAAAAGAAGAAAGAAAGAATGTTGCAACATTTATATCTCTATATATATTCTATTATTAGTAGGACTTAATGGGTGTGTTTGTGTTTAGAGATAAGGCAGTGGATTGTGTATCCTTTTGTCATTGTGTTAATATTTGATCAAGTTGATTATCAACAGAGAATAATTTACTATTATTTATGATCTGAATTCCTTTAAATCAAACATTCAAATTAAATTATTATAAACAAACACCACCACATTTACTTTTTTTGTAAAAAATTAATATTTTCAAAGAGTTGATGATGTTGTTTTTGAAGTTAATGATGCTTTATTGGACCTCTGTGAATAATAAAAATAAAAATTCACACAAAAAGACATTAACACACACATTTAAATCTCACCTATAAAATAATGAAAAATGATTTCAATCTTGAAAAAGCTGTGGTTATTTTTAAAACTGGCGGTGTGTGTATTGCGTGTGCATTTATTAAATGTGTTTGTATCAATTGATTTTAAACACCTGCAGCCTTTATTATTTGATCAGGTGACACTAAACAAAGGCACCTTCAAAGTTTGAGATCGCTTTTGTAAAACACTCAACCAAACAAACAATAATTGGAAACAACTCCTAACAATAACACCTCAATGTGATAATTGAGATTTGGCATAACAATGTGGAATGTGTGTGCAGAGGACTCATTTCCTTTACCTTTTTCTATTTGATTGCTAATAGTGCTTGTCTGATGTGTCTAAATGTTTAGAGTGTTAGCGTGTGGTGATTGTGTTTTGAGTTGAGATGTATTGCCTAGGTTGTAAAGTTACACAATATACTGATATACAAATTGACAGATGAGGTATTCTTTTTATTTATGTCACCTATCAACCTACTTGTATTGTGATTCAAATCTATATAAAATATTAACAATTTTAAACTATTAACAACATTTATTTTATTTAAATTTTATTTTTCAAGAGAGAGACCTCCAACTCTTAATTTCTTTTATAGGCACCTGAATTGCTCTTCATTCATACATAAATACAATACATTCACAACAAAACAAATCCAACCCACATAATTATCTCTTTTCTATTCTTGTATCATTGCAAATAATTAATCAACCGATTTACTTACCATATATTTCAGTTTTTTTTATCACACAGTGTCTTTAATCAAACAATATTTATTCACAAGTCCCTTTAAATATTTATTTTTAAAACAATCCTGTTTATATTTATTTTTAACAAATTATTAATCAATAATAATTTAAATTTACCTGATTTTTTTATCTTTTTTTTTACAATATTCAAACACAACTTTCATATCCGGAACTACCACTGTATATAATATTATACCTCGACTGTAATACCTATTTAATCTTGCAAACTTGTACTATTTATTTTACTGTAAGTATATTCATAGGAAATCAAAGATTGATATCATTGCCAACTAGAAATGGATTTTATGGATTTATTGAACACGCTCATCTATCATATTAATAATCACCAAATTCAACCCACAATCAACAATGACTAAATCTTTTAAAGAAAAAAAAATGCTATATAACAAATGCATAAAATCCAATAATAGTAACAATACCATTTTTAATATTGCTACCTCATCACCCATATTATATATTATAAACACTCCATACAATCGTCACTAACAATACCTTTTCAAAAGGTTTTTAGTAGTGAGTTACAACTTGCGATATGAAATTTTTTAAAGCTAATTTTATTGTTATATTTTAATGATTTTGTTGTTTTTAGAATTAAAGTAGATTTCAAATTTATACGAAACCACTTCAAATATCATCTCCTCTCTTTTTTTGTTTCGGAATACCAATTATTTTTGTATTTTACCCTACCATTCTATTACTCAATCAATAATATTTATATAAAACAATTTTTTATCCTTTCAGTGTCTAAATCTAGATATCCATTACCAACAATTTCCATATTATAAATAACTTTACACTCATATCATCACTTTATTTTGTTTTTTTTTTTTTTTTTATCACCAATTCCTACAACAAACATTTGATTGATCACACCATTTCAAAAACAATAAAACATAAATCGCACAAACCACTAGCACCACCTAAAAAACAAAAATAAGTATCATGATCAGTGTTTAAAGTGGGGTGTGATAATAAATATATGTTTGTTTAATATATTTTTGAAAATAGTGTTGTTTAATCGGATTCATAACTGATGCTGTTGTCAAAGAGCATCATCACAATATTCAATTGAGTGTTTTTTGTTCCTGCAAAATCAATATTGGATTTGTTTTTAGGATGTTGAATGTATGTTTTGTATATAGTACCTTATCTATTGAACGCCAACCACATCAAAAATTTAGATAAATATATCTTTATAAACCACTATGCTAATATTGATATCATATCACCTGCAAAGAATATGACTGTTTAGTGTTGTACTAATTGCCAGTCTCTTCCATTCAATGATCCATTTACAATTTATTTTAAAGAAACTACCCCTTTCTATTCTATCAATCAGATATGTTAACAATCCAAATAATTTGATATCAGTACAAACAACTACTACCACTTCAATCAAATTTGGGTCATTAAAAAAAATGAAATGATAATTTAATTATTATTTTTGTTATTTATGTAACTTATTTTAGTTCCTCTTTTTTTATTTCAAATCCAAATACACAATTATTGTTGCTTAATCAATCAAACATCCAATATCGTATTTTGTTACTGTGTTAAGTTTTTTGGATTATAATTATAAAATAATAATATAAAATTTAATCAAAAATAGTATTGATAAACATTTTTTTATTCTAAAATCATAATAACAATAAAAATACCTCATAATAATATCTCAATATTCAATTCTCCATTTAATTTTTTGTTGTTTTCCCAATCAAATACATTTTTCCATTATATAAATCCATTTCGAACCAAAACACAAATATTGGACAATCGATAATAATAATAAATAAACAAAACATTGGAAATTCAATTTCTAATATTTATTTTATAGATATATGGAAACTCCAGAATCTACACTTAGTGATCATTCACAAATGAAACACTCTGAAGTTAGCTCCGAATCAAGCTCTGTGGCAGGAAAGAACTATTGGCTATCGAAACAAGTATGGATAGATTCATTTTTTTACTTTAAGATCTCTGCGTAAATATCAATATAGAATAGTTGTATAGTAGCTATTGCATTATCTTAACCATTTTGTATTTTTCACAACACCACAGTTGGTTCTTTGGTAACAGTGTTATTACTAGTGCGATTACAGGTTCGATTTGGCCATTCCAAATTTTTGCACTCGTAGGTGCAAAAGATAAAGAATTTTACTCTGGTATCATCCCAATTGCTGGTACCCTTTTAAATCTTATTATGTTGGTACTCGTTGGATACCTAAGTGATGTATTGAAAACTCGTTTTGGAAGAAGACGTCCATTCATTCTTGTAAGTCCAAAACAACAGCAACAACAATATCAACAACAACAACTAGAATATTTTACATAACTAACCATTTGATGATTATTATTATTATTATTATTGAATAGGTTGGTTCTATTATTATGATTGTTTTCTTGATGGCAATGGCACCATTCAAAGATCAATCATACTCTGTAGCATCATATATAGGATATAATATTGCATACAACTTTGGACAGGGTATGGCAGCTGGTGCATTCTCTGGTATCATTCCAGATATCGTACCACCAGAGAAGGTTGGTATTGCCTCTGGTTGGTTAGGTGTCACCTGGTCACTCGGTTCACTTGTCGGTGTTTTGATTAGTGGTAGAGCACTCAACGACTACGCTGCTCACCCAGAGAACACACAGTTTGTAACTGTCAACGGTATTATCTGTGGTATCTTTGCATTCAGTTCGATCATCGCCGTCGTCTTCCTCTGGGAGGACACTCAAGACAGCTTCGAGTTCAAGGGTACCGTCATGGGATTCTTCAAATCACTCCACTTGCCAGTCAAGACCTACTACAATTTCTACTGGGTATTGTTGGCACGTTTCTTCAACTGTATGGGTGTATCGACAATCGTTGGATACCTCTACTATTTCGTTCTCAACATTCTCGGTAGGGCCAACACCATGGACTACTCGCTGGTGTACAGTGTCATGATTGTCTTCTCGATTCCATCATCGATTGCCGGTGGTTATCTCGCTGACTACTTTGATACCAAGAAGATGGTGTATGTCGCCGCACTCATTCAGTCCGTAGCCATCTCACTCTACATTTTGATCACTCACCACCCATCGTGGGCCGGTATGTTGGTGTTGGTCGCCCTGTTTGGTGTTGGTTACGGCTTCTATCAATGTGTAGATTGGGCACTGGCACTTCGTGTACTCCCACAGAAACACATCGGAAAGGACATGGGTGTATGGCACATCGCCTTCAATTTGCCATCGGTCATCGCTCCACCAGTTGTCAGCGCAATCTTTAGAATCAGACAAACCGATTACAACTACACAAGTTTGGATGCCTACTACCGTGATTGCTATAGTATAGTGTTTGGTATTGCAGCCATCTACTTCCTATTGGCAACAGTGTTGATCTATCCACTCGAGGTTCACAAACCAGAACAAAAACGTAAAGACGAAGAATCCGTTCACCACAAGGATACTAAAATGACTGAATTCAACAATGAATCTGCAACCATTGAAACTAACTAACTAATTAATTAATTAATTATTACTACTATATATATCTTTAAAGTTTATATAATTAATCATAACTAATCTTTAACAAAACAAAACAAAAAAACCTTTAACAAAAAAAAGAAAAAAAGAAAAAAAGAGAAAAAAAAAAACAAGATTCAAAAATCTTTTACAACAACATGTTATATAAATCGATGTCGACAAAATCAACCAAACCATCAAACTTATTAAAATCTATTTCAAGAAAAAGAAAGAGATCTTATTATTATTTTTATAAACAAAATTAAATAAAATTTAATGTATTGTAATATTTATAAAAAAAACTATTTATTATCTTATCTTTATAATTTGAATAAAAGATTGATTATACATAATCAATTAACTAACGTGTTTCTTATGATTATTCATACAAACAGCTCTCTGCTGAATCGATTCGCAAAATTAAAGTCTTGCTGAGCCTCTAATTTTTTTCTGCATAAAAACAATCGGAAGTTCTATTAATTTTGAAAATTTTGTTTTTTTTAATAAAATTTGAAAATTTGACGACAAGGTGTGGGAGTGCGCACACACCTACTGTTGGATAAAGGATTGCTCTAGAGAATTTTGACTTCCTTTCGCTTGACAGATATATAGATCAAAATGGTGTGTATCTATGATACATCTTCTACTCTTAAGCATTACATATAGTTTAGCAGATTAAAGATGAAAGGAAATAGAATATAGAGGATAAAAGATTGATAGGATAGGATTGATGATGTGATGAAAGAATCTATGTTTTGCGAAAAAGAGTAGAAGAATGTAGTATTTATTAGTCAGTGTTTCAAATTCTAACATAGTTCAAATAATAGGGACGTGTTAGAACCAAGACCGTAAAGAGAGCCTCAAAGATCCTCATTGAAAAGTACTACCCAAGACTTACCAATGATTTCGACACCAACAAGCGTACCTGTGATGAGGTTGCTCAAATTCCATCAAAGAGATTGAGAAACAAGATCGCTGGTTTCGTCACTCACTTGATGAGACGTATCGAGAGAGGTCCAGTTCGTGGTATCTCCTACAAATTGCAAGAAGAAGAGAGAGAGAGACGTGACAACTACGTCCCATCTACCTCTGCCATCAAGACTGAGAAGATCCATATCGACGAAGATGTCCATGAGATGCTCAAGTCTACTCTTGGTAACTTCTCTTCCATGACCCGTATGTATCATATTATCATTTTCATTCAAACAACAACTAACATATTGATTACTACTCCTACTATTATTTATAGAAATTGTTGTTGACCACTCCAACACTCACAGCAACAAGAAGCACCACAGCAACGTTAAGAAGAGATCCAACAAATAAATTGTCTTGATCATCCTTTTTACAAATAAATAAAGTTGCTTGTTTTTAATAAGTCACGATCTATCTAAATAAATGTCATTCAAAAACAATTTAAACTACTACTATTGATTGTTAATTCTATTCTTGTTTTTTTTTTTTTATGATCAACTAAGTTAACATAAAAAAAAATTGAATAAAATAAAATTGATTCTAATTCAAAAATAACAATAAACAAACATAAATATATATTTGTGATTTATCATTCAAATATTGTATTTATACCCTTCTCAACACGCGTATATTATGATCATTGTCTGCAACCTGTTTTAAATTTGTTTGATTGTCATTTTTTTTTTTTCATTCCCAAAAAAATTTCACGTAATTGATTAATGATTAGTTTCGATTGATCAAAAAATTTATATCATTATTTATACATTTAAAAGATGTCAGTAGCAACAGGTAAAGCAATTGGAGCATCATTTCAAAAGTTATTGAGAAAGAAGACATTCAGACATATTCCACATGGTTTGTTGAAGCAATATCCAGAGTATGTCGTAGAGGCACTCCCAGATACATTCGTAGAGCAACTACCAGCAGTGCCAGCTGGTCTCGTAAAGATTACATTACACAAGAGTCCTGTCAATGGTAACCCTGCTGTTAGAGGTACTCTCGCTGCACTTGGTTTGGATAAGCGTTATAAATCTATTGTACAAAAGAATAATCCACAAATCAGAGGAATGATTCATAGAGTAATTATAAATATATTGAATTGATTAAATCGGTTAAACTAAACACACTAACATTACATATTTATATATATTTATAACAATCATTTAATAAAAATAGGTTAGAACACATGTTTCAGTTGAAGAAGTACCATTACAATAATTAAATAATAATATAATAATAAATAACATCTAAAAAAAAAACAAAAAATAGAGATACAGAATTTAGTTGTAGTAATTTTATTTATCAATATTGGATTTGTTATTGTCATTGTTAGTAGGTAGTATTGCTATGGTTGGTGAAGAGGATGATGATGATGATGATGATGTTGACGATAGTGACATTGTTGGATTAATCATGTTAAACATATGTTGTTGGTTATTGTTTGTTTGCCTTTCGACTGACATGTCTATTGATGGTGAGTATGGTAGTGTTTTAGGTGTATTGCTGGTTGTTGTTGTTGTTGTTGATTGACCAAGCATTCTACCTGGTCCTGCGAAATTGTTGTTGTTGTTGTTGTTGTTTCCACTACCATTACTACTTCCAGTAGCGTTTCTACCGCTACTGATATTCGATACGAATCTATTATACCAACTAGAGGCAGATGTTGAATTTGATGACGATGTGTTGTATAGAGATGACGTAGATCCATAGTTTAAATTGGTGATATATCCACTGATAGATGTAATTTGACTCATAGCATCCGATAGCTCTATCTTTATTAGCGTTGCATTTGATGGTATCAAAGCATCAAGTAATCCAATAGCATCTTTAAAAGTAATCGATTCGGTTTTAAAAAAAGTTAGAACAACAATTGATAAATTGTTAAAAAAAAAAGCAAAGTAATACTTACACAAGAAACCAATGATGATACCACTAAGATGACCAATGAATGAAACATTTGGCATTAGGAATTGAGCAAGTAACAATGCTGCCCATGGATATAGTTTTAATGGTATTTGTATTTGTGCGAATAAACTAAAAGTTATTATAATAATATATATGTTGTGAGAATTTGTTGTATTTCGTTTTGTTTATAGTAGTAGTAGTAGACTTACTTTGTACTATGAATACTTCCATAGCATTGTATTTCGAGTAGAGCAAAAATGACACCCGATAAACCAACTGAACAAGTGTAGAGTGAATTCATGTAGTTTAGTGGTGGATACGATATGAGGAATGCAATGGCAAATGACATGAGAGAAACCAGTACACTGAATAAAAGTATCAGGTAAAAGTGTAAAAGCGTTCCAAACTTGGTACTCTCTAGTGATTTCAATTGAATAAAACTAGACATATTAAATAGTATATGAAGTATACCAGAGTGAGTGAAAGCACTCGCCACTAAAGTATAAACTACAATGATCATTCATTAGATTGGTCAGTTAACTTCCGACAAACGCGCAATCGCCTTTGAAACTTTAAGAATAGACATACATTTACTAAAGTTTAGATCTAATATATTGGTTGGTGAGCTACATAGTGTATTGAGATAGATACGGCCAGTCGATGTCAAAGCAAACACCAACATACACAGCAGAAAGTAGAATCTAGTTGATAGAGGTATCGATGCTAACCAATGTTTTGTTTTCTCCACAATAGACATAACTATTTTTTTATTTTATTTTTATAAAGCTTTGATCAAATTATCTCTTTATAAATTAAAAATAAACAAATCACCTTCCAAGAATTAATTTATTGATTGTTTTGGTTTCATGTGTGGTTTTTGCAATGTGGGGCTTTGATGAATCACCAAACAACTAACTTATTTTTTTTCATTAGAATATATTACATTCATAATCTTATTTATTAAATCGATATTTACTGATCAGAAATTGCTTTGTGTAGTTTATGTGTAGTTATTTTTACTATTATTTTATAAAAATCTGATAAAAAAAAATAGTAACTAACTCATTCAATATTTACAAGATTGAGATATTGGAATAGAGCTTTAACCAATGAATTTCTAAATTCATTGACCAACTCCAATGTCAATACACTTCACATTGGTGATCAATTTTTATTCGAATTCAATAGACTTCCAACCAATATAAAGCATATAAAAGTAGTAAAAATACTACATATCGATAGAGTTGTTGAATCGTCCACTGGAAGCTTCTTTGCTACCGTCTACTCTGAGGTCATTGGTCATAGAGAGTACTCCAGAGCCATCACTATAAAAGATCGATTTCAAAGGATTACCAGAGACACTCGAAAAGTTTCGACTTAGCAAGGAGTTCGAATGGCTTCCATCGACATTACAATCTCTTTTTGTACAATATATAAGATGAGATTTAAAGGCGGGAATATGGTATCTGTTCTATGTTTTACCACTACGTTCGATCTCTTATTGGATGACCAAAACAATCGGAGAGAGTAGGGGTGGCAGAAAGCTGTTCGATTACGTGTAGCAGTACCACTGCCTGGTGCTGTCATTTAAATTGATAATAATAAAAATAAAGGTAATAGAAAGAGCTGTAAGTTTTAAGCTGTAATGTGATGTTCTAGGTAATCAGGTAAATTAGTGGTGATAAGTTTACTGTTGCGTATACCAGTCTTTGTTGAAGTTGTCGATGATTTGTTTGATATTCTGTTGGTATATGAGTGCCCACTCTTAGTTGTTTATGTTGATGAGTTTGTTGTACCAGAAGGTGGCCATTTCTATGAATTTGTCACATATAGTGAGTACTACCATTCTAAGATTGAACATGATCAGTTCATGGTTGAATATGGGAAGTATTTCTTGATGTATTAAAACTTTAATGGAAAACTCTAAACTTTAAAAATTGGAAACAGCTGTAATGAAAGGAGGTATATACCACTGACGTATGTATGCTTATCGGCATAAGGATTGACCAGATACCTTATGCCATACCTTTTTTTTTTTTTTTTTTTTTTTTTTAAAGTATTCTCATATCTTGAAGAATACTCAAATGGATTTTATTTTTATTTGTTTATTTGCTGATGAGGTGTGATGGCGTTGGGAAGTTCCAGGTTTGGTGGTTCCAGATGAGTTTGAAGTCGTCTAGCTTCTTCAGCCATTTTGATTGATATGTTTGAATGTTTGAGTTGTTTCGACCGAAGTCTTGTTTTGATTTTCTGATTAGTTTGTGGTATTCTAGTTTAGCTAGTTTGTTAATGTTGTTGGTTGTTGCGTGATAGAAGGTGGTGGGTGTGATGAGGGAGTTGTGCGCGAGTTTGCAGTGAAGAAACCAAACCTGGTGCAGTACGATAGCAATTACGTTTTGATGTAGCTCGTTTTTGCTTGTCATCTTGAGGATGTCGAACTCCCAGTCGAGAGTTTCCCCGGTAAATATGTGTATGATCCGTTTTATGATGGGTTTGTAGGTGTTGAGTATTTTGCATTTGAAGAGGTGGTGCTCGGTGATCTTGATCGGTGGGAGACCTGTGAATACGAATGGTAAGCAGTGACATCTAGCGAAGAGTTTGAAAAGAGTGTCTCGCCCTTTTTGGTCTTTGATCTTGGCTATGGTGGTGAAGGTGTCCGGGAGGGAGAATCCTTTGCTGATGAGGATTTCCTGTCCTTTTGTGGTTGGGGTTGGTTTTTTGTCAGAGTTCATTCTTATGAATGTTCTGTATATGGTTTTGAGTGGGATTATTGTGTTGGGTGTTACTGTGATTGGTTGGTTGAGGTGGGGGGTTGTGGCCATGCTCGTTGGCAAGCTTTTTCCAAGCGTTTTGGCATTTGGTGAACAAGGGAGATGGTGACATGTGCCCAGTGAGGTAGTTTCGCCAGAAGTTGAGCATGTCGTGGTTGGAATTGTCTTTGATTGAGAGGAAGTGGTTAGAGATCCATGCTTTTTGAGCGAGTTCTCTTACCGGCATGTTCCAGAGGCCAATGCCTCCTTCTTCCCAGCTGAGAGAAGCTCTTTCGATTCGCATTCGGTTTTTGTATTTGGTATCTGTGTCTAGATTGCTGTTTGTCGAGAAGATGAACCAGTTTGTGAGTGATTGGAGCGTGGTGTTGTTTTGTGGCGTGAATCCGTCTATGTAAAGGTGGAAGTTGAGTTTCGATAAGATGTAGGATTTGAGAACGGTGACCTTGCTTCTTAGCGTTCTGATTTTGTTTTTCCATGTGAATAGAAGGAATCTGATAGAATTGAGCAGCTGATCTGTTTTTGACACTAAGCCGTTGTCACTGAAGTGGATGCCAAGGTATCTTTCTGGTTCGGTGGAGATTGGGTAACCATACCGCACCATCGGCACAACAGCCTTCATCAAAGGGCTTGTAGCTCAGATGGTAGAGCGCTCGCTTAGCATGCGAGAGGTAAAGGGATCGATACCCTTCTAGTCCAAAAGTTATTTTATAACTTCAACCCCGCAAGCGAAAGTTTGCAGTGATCTCAACTGTCTGGCTAGCCCTGTTGTGCTTGCTGTACTCTCCCACCGCTGTATTTGGTGTTGCCGAGCTCGAGTTGGTGCCACCTACTGCTACGCTATCGGTATTTTTCGACTTGGGTTTGAATACCGGTGGAGGAACGATCGTATTCGTTTTATTCGGTACCATTGAAATTTTTATTGGTTGTTGTTGCTGTGATAGTGGTTGTTGTGGTTGCTGTTGTTGTTGTTGTTGCTGCAGCAGATGTAAACTATTCATTTGTTGCATAATTTGTTGTTGATTATCAAAGTTATTGTTAAACATTGGTTGTTGTAGTTGTAGTTGTTGTTGTCCTGTTGTTGTAGTTGTCGTGGTTGTTGTAGGTAAAGTAACATTTGTATTATTCGATTGATTATAAAAATGTTGGTAATAAGGTGTATTCTGCATATAGTAATATTGATAAAAGTAATTCGGATCCATTTGTTGTTGCTGTATATTATTCATTTGTAGTTGTTGTATTTGTTGTTGCGTTTGTTGTTGTTGTGGAATGTTCATCTGTTGTTGTTGCTGCGTTTGTTGTTGTTGTTGTTGTTGTTGCTGAATGGTCATCTGTTGTTGCATTTGTTGTTGGTGTAGATTTGCCCAGTAGGCTGCCATTGCATTCGGATCCATTATGTTGGTAGGTGACCCAGACGATACTTGTTGTTGTTGTGGTTGTTGTGCTGTATTCATTGTTGATTGACTATTGTTGTTGCTGTTGTTATACATACCTTACCTGAATAAATATATATAAATAATATTATATTATATTCTAAATCACTAAAGATCAACAATAATAATAATGATGTTATCTATCCCTTTCTTTGTTTGTTACAAGTGTATTCTATTCTATTTCTATAAAATATTATACTAAAACTAATTGAACAAACTTTTAAAAAAAAAGAAAGTATATAGATTATTATTTTATTTTCTCTAATTATAATATTTATTTTAATTAACAAAAACTAAAACAAAAACTAAAACGAAAACAAAAATAAAAATGAAACAAAGCTAAACTATGTTTCTTTATCTGATTTATAGTTATATATTAATATTTCGATTATTTTTTTTAAAAACAAAAAAGCAATAGAACTAATTCTGTTATTGAACTCTCACCTGTCGTACTATTCCAACACTAATCAATAAAAGAATTTGAATCATCTCACCTTTAAGTCTGATAATAAACAATCATTGAATCATTGTGATCAATCACAATTGGAGGTGAGAATGGAGAGTGATTGTATTGAGATGAGAGATAGAATTGGAGGGATGGTTTGGATGAGGAATATATACATTGTCTTTATTGGATTGTTGTTGGAGACTAGAGGATCAAAGTGCTCTGCGAGAGTTGGATGCTTCATCACGGGAGATTTTCGTTGGCAATTTGTTGGATGGAATGCAGGTCTACAGCGTAGAATGGAGGAATAATGACACCTGGTGGCAAAGGTGGTGCTCCATTGAACAGTTCAACAGTTGGTATCTGGAGTTGGTAAAGTGGAAGACCAAGTGCATTACAAGGATTTTGAAGGTTGAGGGGATTGGCTGGATTGGCTACAGGTGGAGGAGGCCCAACTGGAGGCATGACACCTTCATAGCCTTGAGGAGCAGCATATCCAGGTGGAGATATGGGAGGCAAGTGTCTTTGGATTGTATTGGTGACATCCAAATGTGTCGTCCCACAAGAGATGATCCTGACAGGATTTGCTGCTGCACCATTCTGATAGTACGAAACAAGCATCGCAAAGTCTCCATTGTTTCTGGGATAGATCTTGACACCAATAACGATCCTGATTGTGCTTGGTATTGCAGCCACCGCAGGGACACCAGGAGCAGGAAGCACAGCAGCAACACGATCCATGAAATAGTCGAGGCACTTTTGATGTAACACTGGAAGTGATTGAGACTTGGCTGCTTCGATGACCAATGTTGGGTAAGGATTTCCATGACCATCTGCCGAATGATTGTTGGGGACTTTGGGTCGAAGAGGTCGCAAAGATTGGTCTGGCTCAGCATTTGAATGTCCTGGTTGGAGGATCAATGTCGCAGCTCCTCCGGTGTGCAACAAATGTTGGTTTGGGAATGTTTGATACCGAATGATATCCGTGATCGCATTGACAGTGCATGAATGCGCCATTGAGGGTACTTCATAGATCCATGCCCTTCCATCTCTAAACCATATCCTCGACTTGAACTCAGATCTCACTCCATCCTTTTGTCTTCTTGCTATAAAAGTATTATGATTGATGGGTCCAAGTTCAACTCCTCCATCGGGAACATATCCTACCTGGATATAGATGAGGATGTTAGTGATATATTTCCTCTGCAATACAATTGAAGTCATACTTGTCTCAAATAATCTATTTTGTTGGACCAACCTCTGATCCTGTTGACTGCATCAAGCACTTCCTGTTCTAGAATGGGATCAGATTCTGACTCTGGATAGTAGGGTAGAGACTGATTTGTTGGTGAGGAGATCGCAAGAGAGTCGATATATGGTTCAGTGTGTGCATGCTCTTGATTTGAATAGGAAGAGGAGGAGGAGGAAGAGTACAGTTGCTGAGTCATCGGTATTGCTTGATGATCACCTCTTTGTTTCTTTTGAACAGTGCCATCACTGCCTTGATTTGATCTCTTCAAATGAGTAGAAGTATCATGGCCTCCAAATACGCCTGTATTTGCCATGACAAGAGTGTAGGAGACTCGTTATTTGGTTCAGTGTGTACCAGCTCTTGAAGATATTTGTGTGTATGGATTCCTTCTATCTGTACAACTATAACTATGAAGAGAGAATTATGATTAGTGAGGAATATAAATTATCACCTATCTTATAAAAAAAATAAACAAATGATTGACAGTTCACATTATGATACATTTAATAAATAATGTTCCTTATAGAAGTAAAAAACAAACAAATAAATAATAGAAAAGTCAATAATATTATTATTAAAAAAGATATTTTAATTTTTATTGAGGCTTTTTCACTTTTTATTTTTAAAAATTAGTATTAGTTTTCTGTAGTTTTTTGGGTATTATAATGTTCAAAAAAAAGTGAAAATTACCAAAATTATTTCAAATATCAAGTATACTTGACTGGTACTATGAATATAAATAGAGTGTCGATTCCATACACACTTGTAAAAGACAAATTACAGAAAAAGTATGACCAGATCTCTCACTACAATCATTCAAAATCAAGAGGATCAAAATAATACCAATATATTCCTTTTGCGCATATGAGATACTAAAGATGTTATATTTTTATCATCCAAGTACGATTCAATCCAAGAATCAAATTACCTATCCACTCGGTCCCAGAAGATAAAAGCCTCTCACAGACAGTCCTCCACAATCGAATCAATCAAACTACCCAAAGTTATGGTCCAATACAGATTGAATATGGGTTTTGTAGATAATAATGATAAATTAGTAAAAGAATTTGGCTTCTTACATCATTCCCGTCGTTGATATCTCTCTATTTTCTGGTATCTATTTGAATGCTCCATTATCAATGCTTGGAAACTTCACCTCCACGCAAACAAAAAATCAACCATTCCAACTCATTCCAACTCAATTCAACACAATAAGGTCTATACTACCTATATGATTTCAAATTAGAGTTTGTAAAACAATTAGGAGCAAATAGAACCTATAGCTGTAATAAGCCTGGTTCTGGCTGAAATTTGACAATTACACAAAAATGATAAACCGTAAGAGAAAATAATAACTTTTTCTATTTAATATCATTTTATTCCAAATCTCATGTAGATTTCAAATATGAAGTCTATTTTATTCAAGTCAAATATCAAAAACAGTGTTTTTTACTTTTTTTTTATATATAAAACTAAAAATTTTGCTCCTTCGAGGGTTAAATGTTAAACAACAAATAGCGCACTGCTAATTATTTATCTATTCAACGACAACTCTCTTAATACTCTTGCTTGAACATCCTCTTCTTTTGAGCAACGAACAAGTTTATCGAGTGATGTGTGATCCAGGATTCCATATTGACAAAGACCTTCGGAATCTGTTCCAATCACTAGATAATGAGTAGAGTCGATTCTTCTAATATCATAGTTATCCAAATCCAATGCAATCTCAATTGAAGTGACGCTATCAGGCAATGATTGTATTGAGTTCTTTCTGTAGAATGACTTTGTTGTGCAAACCGATCTAACTGACCTTGGAATGGTTCCTTCTGAAATCTTTCGACTGTACATAAAGAAATTGAGTGTCTCTAATGAGCTGGGCAATGATCCAACCAACAGCTTTTGATTGTAAACCTGGCTGAATCTGAAATGGTTTACGGTATCTGGTATCGAGCCTGCAATCAATGGTTGGTCATACGACGTTCCTAGATCGAGATACTCCAGTCCAAGTGGTAGTTTTACATCTTGTCCAATGACACCACTGTCAAAGTTTGAGGGAATAACAAACTTTTTGAGAGTCGCAGGTAGTGTTGGTAATGTCTTTTCATTGTGAATGTCCAACATGTAAATACGTTCCACTCTATCCATCAAGGTGAATGCATCCAACTCGATCGTATTCTCACCGAATATCTTTAGTTGTTTGATGTGTCTCGGTAACATCTCTTTAGTTATTGATATATCATTTACATATAAACTTAATCGTTCCAGTTCCTCTGGGAAATCGTCGCAACTAAAGAGTGGTTGTTGGTTACTTCTACTTATCTCTACGTCATTGGCGTTGATAAACAATACAATCTTGGTAACATTTGAATGTTTAAACTGTCTTATCATATTTGGTCTTATCTTTATCTTGTAGAGACTCTCTGGCAATGATGTAGTAGCTACTACATCATCACTGCTAGCACCAAAGTCAAACTGTACCTCTCGAGAATGGCATTCCAAGCTACGTAGATTTGGTGGTAGTTTAATAGGCTGAGTTGTTTTCATTCGTGGGTCTTCAACACCCAAAAACGTGAGTGACTTGTAACTTGTCAAGTCTATCTTTAGATGATCGGATGCACTAATCATAAGTGATTCCAACGATTCCGGTAGTATCTTCAAATCTTGACCACACAATCGTAGTAGTTTAATTGATTCGGGCATTCGATCGATTTGAAACTCTATATCTCTGCATCCAATGAATTCAATTGATTCTACATTCGATTTCATCAATCTAGTTGTAAAAGACTGATCGACAATCTTATTGGCTACTCTTTTAAAGATCAATGATCCAACTACCTCTGTTATATCTACATCATCTAAACTCTTATTAACTATTATTATTATTACAATATAATTGGTTTAATTAATAAAATAGTTATCATTGAAGATGATTATTATCATTTTTCACATACCATCATTATAAACTTCTAATTGATATAAAGATTTCTTTGAGAAATCAATTGATTTTCTATATAGATGTTTATAAGAGTTTAAATAACACTTTGACGTGAAATAGTCTCTTATTTGATCGTCATTTCCTATTTCTTGATGAATCTGACGATTTACAAACACTGGTTGAAATGTAAAGTATTGATCTCTATTATCATACCATCTCTTACATACTAAACTAAAACAAAGCTGATCCAAATGATTTGTCAAACTTCCTAATATCTTTGATAGTAAAGGATATGATAGATTTATAAATATATTATTTTTATTATTATTATCTTTCATTTGTGGAGATTTCAAAAAAAAAATAAAAGGAGAAACTAATCAGTTTTTAGATTTTTTTTTTAACTCATTTTTTTTAAAAATTTATTTCATTTGTAAAATATTTATAAAGATGATGAATTTTGTATGTCCAAATTAATATTAATTAAAATAAAATTTTTTAATAATTTTATTATTATTAATCTGTTATTCTTTTGAATTTATAAAGTTTATCATTCATAGGTCGAAACTTTCCAATATTAACCAAGTTGTCTGATAAAAGTGATTGATTTAACATTGGAATATAGATATCATTTCCATTGAATCCATTGTAAATTAATTTTACTATTTTAATTTGTTGTCCTTTTTCTTGATTTAATATATCGAAAACTTGATTTAACTGGGTTATTAATGAAATGGGTTCAATCTTGTTATCATCACTCACAATAATACGATATTGGATAGTCAATTTCCATATGTTTGGATTCAGATTAATGAATCCAATGAAGAACTCGAGATTTAGAGTTTGATCGAGTTTGATCGATCTTAGTTTCGGCGAAGTCTGAAAGATATGTGTCATACAGTCAAAATTATTACATCTAGTTAATGTAAAGTATTCACTGACTTCTATCTTTCTAAGATTGGAAAGAATTATGTTCTTGGGGGGTTCTGAATTAAAAAAACAAGATGTGATCAGAGAGTGTTGATCAGGATTGTCTATGGCGATAGAAGTTGTTGAAACAGATGCTGAGATGTTGACATTGGGACTGGATTTTCTGAGCTCCAAAAGAGATGACATTTCTTCACTCACCAACATTGTGCTTACATTTGAAATAAATTCCACCGAAACCAATTGATCTTTGTTAGTGGCATCCAACATTCTTTGAAAATGAGTATTTGTTCCGTGTACCGATCTTTTGAATTTAAGGAATTTCAAATTCATAAAGATCGATGTTTCAGGAATAGAACATCCAAATCCAAAATGTCTATATGATTCTAGATTGTCAAGACATTCCGTTTTGAAAGCATAGGGAATATATTTAAGTTCAGTGTCATCCAAGTGAGGAGGTGGTTTCTTGAATAAGCAAAACTGTGAACCAATATATTCGAGTCTGCTTGAAATTCGGATGGTCACGTTTGGAATATTGGTAAAGAGAGAAGAACAACAGTTGAAGAAAATTTTGGAAACCATTGAAAGCTGAACCTTAGATTTCGTATCCAAGTATTTATCAAAGAGTAACATTGAAATGATATGCTTTAGAACCATATAATTTAAAGTTGGTGTGGGTTTGGTGGTATTGCAATCTAAATAACATTGTTGAACTGGTGATTTCTGATTATCTGGAAAGAATCGATTGATATATGAAAAAGATCTTTGATATACTATGATGTTGAAAACTATTTGGTGATTTATCTTTTTGAATATTTTGTTGATTAAAGTTGGATCGTGATTGTGTATCCTATCAAACAATTTGAAGCCAAATGAAGCGAATGGATCGCAAATAACAAAATCTATGGCGAATTTAGAATACAACAACTCTAAAAATATAACGATATTGTCAATACTCTCGATTTCTATGAGAAATTTCATCGAACCAATTTCCTTAGCATGCACAATTTTGATATTGTTGTCCAATATCAAGCTGGTTGTAGTTGTACATGGCAAAGAGAGAGCAGATTTACAAAATTTGAAAGTACGACAAAATCTGGTTTGAAAGATCGTCTGCAAATGTTTATGGTCTGTAAAGAATCCTGAAACCATTCTGAGGAATTTCATTCGATAGGGAAAAAGATATACAAATTCTCGGACATAGCTATTCGAAAATTGAAGAAACTCTAGTTTGAACGGTGTAAGAACACTTTGAATGAATTCGCGATCTAATGATTCCATGAGAATGAGTGATTTAACCAATACTCTAAATATAGCTGGTTCTTTAACTCGTTGATAAAAATACAACAACATCTTGGACAATGAACTGCCAGAGTGATTAATGTAGAGTTTCCCTGACAATAATCTTCTAATATCCACATCATTCGATTTGATATATTCCAAAATATGATGAAAAAGATTGGAGGGCATTTCAATGGCTCTTACTCTGTAGATGTCGAAAATAAGCAATGATTCCAAATTCCTTATTCCAACGTGTAATGGAAATTGACGAATCATCATCTCTCCAAACTCTGATGTTTCCAATCGTTGAACAATAGAATCGACATTAACATCTCTGATAAAGTATGAATTCATTTTAAACAATGAACCAACTAGTATCTTCTTGTTTGAACTGCTCGATAAAAACAAATCTATTAGAGCACTTTGTTTGACTTTTACTTTTCTTCAAGTAGTGTTGGTGTTCTTCTTTGACTTTCTCCTGAGGATTGAGCCATCCAACATGAATCAAAATATTAAAGAATGTAAGAAATTCATTTGATTGTGAATCATCGTCGTTAACCAACATACTTGAATGAATATTAAGTTAGTTTATAACACTACTGTTGTCAATAGAAAGTAAGTAACTTACCGGAATATGTATTTATCGTTTTTATATATTTGTTCGAGTAAACTAGCATTGACATTCAGTATATACCATAATAATAGTGTCTTGTTTTGAATTGACAGATTTGAAATACTATTTTTGTTGTTGTGTTCATCCTCGATACTCTTAAAAAAATAAGATTCAATATCGAGTGATATGTTTAACAATGAAAAACGTCGAATGGAGTTGATTGAATTTTCGATCTCTATGCTCTTGAAAAAGATATACAGATATACATCCAGAACATCAGGTTGCTCACAGAATGAAAGTAAGTAACTGATGCAATAGAAATCGTTGAAAAGTGGTGAATTCAGTGCGTTAGAGATAAATGTTTGATTGATTGATGTCTTATCAGTTTTAATTTGGCTGAAATATTCTGATATACATTGTTTAACATCATCAAACTGATTGATATCATTCGTAATATCATTATCACTGAGTAGTACCTATTTAAATATACATATATTACAATGTTAATATTCTGCATTTAATCATAAAAAAACTATCTCGAAAATCCAGTATAATACCTTTATAAAAGAAGAAATCAATGAGAATTCATTTTCTTGATTGAAATCATCTTGGTTTAAAGCACAAAATGTCTTTTTTAAAAATTGCTTAACTTTTGACATAAAATTAATATGTAAGATATTTCAAACACAATGTTAATGATAACTAAGAATACTGATTGTTTTACAATATATTTTTTGAAGATATTCCCTCATTCCCTCATTCCCTCATTCCCTCATTCCCTCATTCCCTCACCAAAAAATAAAAATAAAAATAAAATAAAATAAAATAATATTATGAGATTAATTTAAAAAACCTAGTCAAAAGATTTTAAAAAAAAAATAATTTCTCAGGTCATATCCCTCAGGCAAGTTTGGCAAGTAAAAAACTAAAATGAAGAATTAAAAAAAAAAAGGCACCAGAAATTCTTTACTAATATTAATGATAACAAAGTGGTATCCAAGAAAGTAAATTGGAAACTTTATTTGTTTGAAATATTATTTGTAAGTGAACAAAATAAAAAGAATAAGATTGAATTTAAATTATTCTTTAAACACCAAGCTGAGATGGGTTTGGTCTGTTCTCTGGTTTTGAGAAGTAATTATTATCATCATTTGGCTATTATAATAAAAGTTAGATAAGATCCGTATACCTATTTAATCATCATTAAAAGAGTTTTCTTATAATACCAAACCAATGTAAAAGTATTTAGTTGTTTGATTGTTTCGGCGTCATTGATATTTGTATACTTGATCAATTGCATTCCAGTGAGTTTCATCTTTCCATAATAACAATCAATTAAGGTTGCACCACTAATATCGATGGACATTACATCGAATTTAACTTTTTCATGATCTCTACCCTAGCTAGAACCTGCAACTGCGCTATATTGTCTTTCACAACCATTAATACGGATTCTACAGATTCTATGATTTAATTAACATTAATATATATAATAATAAATTTTTCATTTCAAAAGATCCAGTTTTTAATAATTTTAATTTTTTTTTTTTGTTTAAAAAAAATATTTTTGTTTTTTTTGACTTTCCTTTCCTGTTTAGGGTGATAAAGATTTTTTAAATCTTGGTGTTCCAGAAGATAGAAACAAGTAATTTCAATGTCATCTGTAACAAAAAAAATGAACAGTATAAATATCTTAAATCACTTTTTTATCTACCTTGAAATTTCAATAAAATAAAATGTTACCAAATAAAAATAATAAAAATAAATTTGTAAATTTGTGTAATTTTTTATTATTAAAAATAATCAATCAACTTGATAATAATTTAGATAGGATTTGTTTTAGTTTGACCTGTAAGAGTTTGTTTAGTAGAAGAGATAAATATCTATTGTTCAATTTTGATTACGATGATTCATTTCATCTGAATAAGCATAGTTTTAACGAATTCTACTTACGTTCATTTATAGAACAAGCCTTAAAATCAATATCCGGTAAAACAACATTAAATCTAACAGGTAGGTAGATATTAAATCTGTATGAAACACTCTGTAAACAAAAACCAATTCTAATTAAAATTTAATAATCAAAAAGATGAAATCGATATCGATAATGTCGATATAGATCAAACTATCGATTATATTAGATTCGAAAAGAAAGCAAACCTATGTAGATTAGAAGAGTCTTTTATTGAGAAGCTAAAGAAATCAAATGTTACAAAGTTATTGTTGACCAACAATGTCGAACTAAATTTTCAACGATTCCCAAATTGTATAAAGACTTTGAAGATTGGATCGTTCAACGTGAATATGAAGCTGTTGCCAGAGGAGTTGGAGCGGCTCTATTATGTTTCACTGGGGAGCCCACAAGTACAACCAGATTGCTTACCGCAATCATTGACATACCTCGAGATATCTGGTCGTTACTTGACAAACAATCCCGTTGCATTACCACCCAAGCTACTGGAGCTTAAACTGTCGTCCACCGAGATGGAAATCAACGAATCTTTGCCATTGCCACCACAGCTGAGCAGTGTAGTCATTCATTCAAGATGGTTAAATTACTTTAAATCTACAACAACGATCACCTCAATGGTTCTCTATCTATCAAACTACACACTCAAGGTTGGCGATATTCCAGAGTGTGTTCGACACCTAACACTCAAGTTGGACTACAGTAGCGATACCGTTGAGTTGGTGCATGGCTTGTTTCCATCAAAGCTTGAGACTCTTGTAATTCCATGGGGCACACTCAGACTAAAGAGTAAAGCTATCTTACAGGAGTTACTGTATCTGGAGGATCTAAGATTACATCATTTAGAGTGCCTAGAGATAACGGATGCTCGTCAGCTAGTGCTACCACCGAATATCCGAAGTTTCAAGATTCCCGAGAGTTTCAATGGCGATCTCTTTGTCACTTGTGAACAGCTATTTGCCAAAGGTTGCAACCAACTCAATAAGCTGATACTAAGCGCTCACTATGCACATCCACTGACCGACCGATCGATACCAGCTTCAGTTGAATCAATTGACTTTGATACCTACTATCAAAATGTACCAATCGATGTGATTCCCACCTCTGTTCGAACGATTTACATCTCTACATTGTACTTACATCCAAATCCTATCCAAACAATACCACAAACCATTCAAACGATTATTATTAAAAACTTGGGAACTCACTATCAATTCAGAAGATTGACAACCGAATATTTAATTATGGAAGCACACAATGAACAGAAACAAATTGGTTCAATAGTTCATTATTCAAATATTAATAAATTCATTTTTAATTGGTTGTAAATTAATTCTGATTGACAATTCAATAATTATCAATGATTTATTTCCTTTGACTCTTTTTATTTCTTACGAGAATTACACTTATAAAAATAAAAACACACAAAAAAATCGGACCAATGCATAAATATGGTTGGAGAATACGGGTCGTTGTCTTTCGCAAACTGCCAGATCCATGTCAAGAGTACTCACGAAAGACTAAAGCCCAAAGTCAGGATGGTGTTAAGTTGGAGATCACTCCAAGGAGTGATCCTTTTTATTTTCCTTAATAGTTTGTGTTGGTTGGATTAAGATTTGATAAATAAAATTAATTGGGTTCTCTTGTATGACAGGCGAGCTTAGCTGCAGGGATCTTAGTTAGGTTGTGACCCGTTTGTTCTAATCGTCCATCTTGAGTCCTTCCAATCAAACTACCTTTGGCATTACCCTCCTTTGTTTATACAACTCTTAGTTGAGAACTAGACGACAGGGATGTCTATATTTTTGATTTTGATATTATTATTATTGTTATTATTATTATTTTTATTATTATTTTTATTATTATTATTATTATTATTATTTTTTTTTGTTTTGTTGTTTTTTTGTTTATTTGGTAGTAGTTTATGAAGATTGTGAGTTGAATATATTTAATTGTACAGTTGGATCATCTGTATTGATGTTAGCCTGTGCAATACTTACTCTCACTCTTTCTTTAATTATTTTGTGGTTTTTGGTATTAGTTGTTCCAAGTATTTCTTTGATTGTTAATTTGATTAGTTTTGTTGGGATTTTGAATGATTCAAGTGTTTTGATTAGATTAGATGGAACAGTTCCAATGAGTGTTATTAAATGATTTATCAAAAATACTTTATCGTTGATTGTGTGATTGGTATTTGTATTGTTTATGATTGTTAATTTGTGATTAGGTGGGATTATATTGTTTAATTTGGTTGTATAAAAGTTTAAGAGTGAGTTTCGGTGTTGACTAGTAGCGGTGCATCTCAACAAGATGTGGGATGTTGTTTCTGGTTCATTCTTACCAAAGTCAGGATGGTATTAAAGCTGGTCACCTAGGTGATTCCAGAATATTTTATTTCCTTGTGTATTCAATCAGATTGCCCGTAGGCTTTTTTACAATATGTGTTATTTCTAGTCTTTAGTTGATGGGATACTCCAAGGTCGAACTCTGGTGGCTGTAGTTAGAAGTTCTGTGTTGCATCCACGTTTGTTGCTGTCGAGGAGCATATGGGCATCACAATCTGTCTTGAAACATCTTCGGTTTTAGTCTTGCGTGAGTACTCTTGACATGGATCTGGCAGTTAGAGAAAGACAACGACCCGTCTTCTTGGTTCCAACCATATTTATTCATTGGTGAGTTTTTATTATTTATTTTTATTTTTATTTTTATTTTTTATTTTTCTGGATTTCCATATTATTAAAAAATTGTTGTATAAGTTAGAATCTTTGATGGGTAGGTGTAATTTAAAAGTTATTATTTGTTTGGATGAGTTGTTATTTCTAGAAAATAATTTTTCAACGTCAGGATGGTGTAGTTGGTTATCACAAAACCTTAACACGGTTTGGGTCATGGGTTCGATTCCCATTCTTGATATATATTTTGTTTGATAAAACCCTACATGCGCGCAATAAGATTTGGTTTTATGCTTGTGGAACATCGTCGAAGGACGTAGTTAGTGAAATGGTTCATTCGTGGGCCTTCAGTACTTCGACCCGGGTTCGAGGCTCGGTAATGACTAAGTTTCCCCGCTACCGGAACGTATATAATAAAACTGATGTCCTAGGAGCCCATGGGGCAATACATTGACACCAACTCGTGAGGAGGTGATAAAAAACACCTCCTTAGTGCAATGGACCTAAAAAAAAAAAAAAAAAAAAAAATGCTTGTGGAACATCATAATTAGTTAACTTCCCTTACTACATAGAGGGAAAACCCATAGGTTACATTTTATCAAACCAACCACCACTTCACACTGTTCATCAACACTCAACCAGTTTAAGTATTTATAACGACTTGAATTTAAAACAATATTTTGAAATATTCAAAGTTTTATTTAAAAATTCTTCCCTCTAAAATATCATTTGAATATACATTCCTAATATATCGAGGTTGAAAGTAAGTTGACCAATTTCTTTTTTTTGTATATGTTAAAATGATATTTTGTAGGGTTGGTTAAGCAATAATTAAAGACATACTCTCTTCTCTGAAAAGAGGTTTACCACCAAGATATTTTTTACTGTATAAAACTCTTACAAATAGATAAGATGAAAGATAAGAGATGGAACTATTGAGGAAATAAATGATTAACGATCTGAATCCTGTTACTGCGAAATAATAGAATTTTGATGTGGAATCATCAAATGAAATATGATATAAACTAGAGAAGAAGTACTGATATAGGATAAAGAATACTATTGTTCCAGTGTTCATTTCATATACTCTCCAATTCCAATTGTGAATCTAATTTTAAAATAAAAAGATGATAACAGTAAGAGTAAAAGATCTTTTTCAAAAAGTAAATCCAACAATTCAATACATTACCTCATATGAAAGGAATAGTAAAGTGTAATTGAGAGCAACGGAACCAACAAAGAGAGCTGAAAATATATATTCAGTTGATACATAGCTGTAAATATCGAAATAGGTAAATCGTGAGTAGTTGGCATAGTCGTAGGTAATAAACTGAGCGTTAAATTCTAAGGTATTGGTGAGTCCGAATAACACGATTACTAAGAATGTAATTCCTAATTTACTTGAAGGATAGATATGTGGTGATGCTGAAGGTTGAATTGGTATCTCAGGATGTGATTGTTTGTTGGCAATAAACAATCCAATGAATACCATTGGTGTATGAACAAATATCCATATTACAAAACAAACAACCATGTTTTTAAAGGATGGTGTGTTTGTTGCTCCAACTGAATTTGAAACAGACAACATAAACAAGATATAGTATGAAAATATAATACCTGGAATTAAAAATGATATCTATAAAATCTCATGTTAATAAGTGACTTTTTAATAAATCAAACACTAAAAATGATTCATTAAAAATATTAATACTTACTAAGAATGAGAATTGAATATCAAATTTTAATCCATTATTCTTTGCATTCATTGATTGATAAACTCTTTTCGATGCATATCCTGAAATAATACTATTTTGGTATAATTAAGTTTTCGTGGAATAAAAATGTTAGTTGAAAAGTATGTAAATTGATAATTATGATTGTTATATTTACCCAGTGAATAAATAACAATACAAAAGATTGGAATGAAGAGATCCACTGTTTGAATATGGTGGTATGATATTCGATAATATCAAAGTGATTAATACTGTGATGAACAATTGGAATCCACCACCAACCAAACTTGACAAGATCATCGGATTCTTTGGTGTTCTGAAAACATCATGTCTTACAGCTTGTAATGAAATTGCAATCTTTTGATAGTCAAACATTCTGGAGGTCATTCTTTTTCTCAAACAAAGCGGCACTTTCTTGTAGACAACATCGTTCGATAGTTCTTCCAACGTCTGTGCACTTAGAATTCGCTTTATTTGCATATATATTGCAATACCTGTCAAGATAAAGATATAGATAAACAAAATAATCTTGATTGTACTAGCACCAACTAACACACTGGTATGTTCATGGTCAATCAGCTGATCCCATCGATGTTCCCATGTGACATTGCTCTCCTCAAAGGCGACCGCGTAAGTGTACAACAGAAACTCTTTGTCACTATCTAGATATTGGTTGCTGCCATTAGAGCTGATAATACCGTTATCAAGATAGTTTTGCAAGTTGAATTGTCTGCTCTGTGGTAAAACACGGAGTCCAACGATTGTATACTCATCTTCGCTAACTTTGTTATACTGAATTGTGAAATATAAATAGTTGTTGATTGTCAATATTTCCTGATTACTTGCTCGATCGAACCAGTAATTTCCGATATTGATTGCATTGTAGTTTGCAACCCCACTCCAAGTGTAGGCAACAAGATCATCGATTTCCATCTCAATATAGTATCTCTCTTTGATAAACTCTGACAGCTTATCGTTGGTATCTCGATAACTAAAGATATCACAACCAGAGTATTTATTGATCTCTTGATAACCTGATGTTGGTTGCAAAAATGTTACCTAAAAATAAAATAATAAGTTAATTATAAATTAACACTTATAACAAATAATTTCTAAATAAAACATACATTATAAGGAGTGAGTTGTTTTCTTTCACCATTTAAAACTTGACCGATAGTTTCATGAGACGATAAACTACCGTTTTCAGGTTTACAAAATGGTAAATCATAGTATGAATAAGAGAAGATTTTGTCTTGCGAAATCAACTTGTTCACATAGATCGGCAGAGGATCTCCTATTTTGTATGTTTTTTTTTTCTCTAATTGTAAAGCATCGTTTGTTATAATAAACAATACTATAACTAAAACAATAATATAAATATTATTATTTGATTTCATTTATAACAATTATGTATAAAATGTTTAGTGATTATGTTTTTTGATCAAATGAGGGATTTGGTTTTTTGTTAGTCCAAATTTCCCGAAACAAATCACAAAAAAAAAATAAATTATAATTCTCAAAAAATTAACAAAAATATTGTTGACTTCTTGGTCAAAGCTTTTTAAATCTGAAGAGTCATCTGAAGCTCATATTAGTTAAAGCCCCTTTAACAATTTATATTTTTATTAATTTTAATCACTTATCTTAAGAGAGGTTTGCCACCAATATTTTTTTGACTATAAAAAGACAATCAATATTGGACAATGAAAGATAACTGTTGATTAAATCGAATAATCATTGCTCTGAATAGTGTTTTGATGAAATAATAGTATTTTTGATCTTTTGCATTAAATAAAGAGCCATTTTATATATATTATTTATAAATATTTGAAAATAAAAAGTTTATTTTAAAATTTTTATAGTTAAGCAATAATTAAAGACATACTCTCTTCTCTGAAAAGAGGTTTACCACCAAGATATTTTTTACTGTATAAAACTCTTACAAATAGATAAGATGAAAGATAAGAGATGGAACTATTGAGGAAATAAATGATTAATGATCTGAATCCTGTTACTGCGAAATAATAGAATTTTGATGTGGAATCATCAAATGAAATATGATATAAACTAGAGAAGATGTATTGAGAAATAAAAAAGAATACTATGGTTCCAGTGTTCATTTCATATACTCTCCAATTCCAATTGTGTACCTTTAAAAATTAAAAATAATAACAAATAGTAAGATTAATATTTTTTCAAAAAGTAAATCCAACAATTCAATACATTACCTCATATGTAAGGAATCGTAAAGTGTAAATGATAGCAACGGAACCAACAAAGAGAGCTGAAAATATATATTCAGTTGATACATAGCTGTAAATATCGAAATAGGTAAATCTTGAGTAGTTGGCATAGTCGTAGGTAATAAACTGGGCATTATAATCCAAGGTATTTGAGAGTCCGAAAAACACGATTGCAAACAACGTAACTCCTAACTTACTTGAAGGATAGATATGTGGTGATGCTGAAGGTTGAATTGGTATCTCAGGATGTGATTGTTTGTTGGCAATAAACAATCCAATGAATACCATTGGTGTATGAACAAATATCCATATTACAAAACAAACAACCATGTTTTTAAAGGATGGTGTGTTTGTTGCTCCAACTGAATTTGAAACAGACAACATAAACAAGATATAGTATGAAAATAGAATACCTGGAATTAAAAATGATATCTATAAAATTAAAGAATAATTAATAAATTAAGTACTAAAAATGATTCATTAAAAATATTAATACTTACTAAGAATGAGAATTTAATATCAAATTTTAATCCATTATTCTTTGCATTCATTGATTGATAAACTCTTTTCGATGCATATCCTGAAATAATACTATTTTGGTATAATTAATTTTTTTTAGTCGAATGAAATGTCAGTTGATCAAGTTTGTCATATGATTGTTTTGATTGTTATATTTACCCAGTGAATAAATAACAATACAAAAGATTGGAATGAAGAGATCCACTGTTTGAATATGGTGGTATGATATTCGATAATATCAAAGTGATTAATACTGTGATGAACAATTGGAATCCACCACCAACCAAACTTGACAAGATCATCGGATTCTTTGGTGTTCTGAAAACATCATGTCTTACAGCTTGTAATGAAATTGCAATCTTTTGATAGTCAAACGTTCTGGAATTCAGTCTTTTTTTCCACCAAAGCGGCACTTTCTTGTAGACAACATCGTTCGATAGTTCTTCCAACGTCTGTGCATCTAAAATTTTCTTTATTTGCTTATATAGTACAATGCCTACAAAGATAAAGACTTGGATGATCATAATAATCTTGATTGTACTAGCACCAACAAATACACTGGTAAGTTCATGGTCAATCAGTTGATCCCATCGATGTTCCCATGTGACATCGCTCTGCTCAAAGGTGACCGAGTAGGTGTACAAAAGAAACTCTTTGTCACTATCTAGATATTGGAAGGTGCCATTAGCGCTGATAATACCGTTATCAAGATAGTTTTGCAAGTTGAATTGACTGGTGTATGGTTCAACACGGAATCCAACTATAGTATACTCATCTTCGCTAACTTTGTTATACTGAATGGTGAATGACAAATAGTTGTTGATTGTTAAATGTTTTTGATTGGTGATTTGATCAGTCCAATAATTTCCTAAGCTAATTGCATTGGATTTTCCATTTCCACCATACGAGATGGTATAGGCAACAAGATCATCGATTTCCATCTCCATATAGTAACCCGCTTTGATAAAATCTGCCAACTTATCGGTGGTATTTCGATAACTAAAGATATCACAACCAGAGTATTTGTTGATCTCTAGATAAGTTGATATATCTGGTTGAAAAAGAGTTACCCTTAAAAAAAAAAAAAAGAATGTTTTTTGTTAATATTCTCTATTTTTTTCTTTACAATATTCTAAATAAAACATACATTATAAGGAGTGAGTTGTTTTCTTTCACCATTTAAAACTTGACCAATAGTTTCATGAGATGATAAACTACCGCTTTCAGGTTTACAAAATGGTAAATCATAGTATGAATAAGAGAAGATTTTGTCTTGAGAAATCAACTTGTTCACATAGATCGGCAGAGGATCTCCTATTTTGTATATTTTTTTTTTCTCTAATTGTAAAGCATCGTTTGTTATAATAAACAATACTATAACTAAAACAATAATATAAATATTATTATTTGATTTCATTTATAACAGTTTAATTAATTAATGAACGATTGTTTTTTAATCAAAAGATACAAATGAGGGATTTGGTTTTTTGTTAGTCCAAATTTTCCGAAACAAATCACAAAAAAAAAAAAGGTGTGTCATCATGATGTTTGAATGACTCACCTTTTTTGATTTTCATTTTTATTCCCAAAACTGATCAACATTATTCCGAAATAATAAATCTTTATTTAACTATTAATTACAAATTTTAAGAGAGGTTTGCCACCAAAGTTATTTTGACTATATAAATATCTCACGAGAATATACGATGAAAGATATGAAATAGAACTGTTGATAAAATATATGATCATCGCTCTGAAAAGTGTAATGAAGAAATAATAGTATTTTGAAGTTGGATCAATAAAAGATACTTTACAAACATACACTGTAAAGAAATATTGGAAAAAACTAATAAAAATGAATGTTGTACAATTCATTTTATATGATCTCCAATTCCAGTTGTGTAACTACATTTTAAAAAGAAGCAGATATTAGTTAGTTAATTTGATAAAAGAAGAAATGATTGTCTTCTGACACATACCTCAAAGGCAAAATACATTAGAGTATAGCACATGGATATGACCATCATAAATAATGTAGTTATTAAATATTCGGCTAACAAGTAGTGGTAGGCGTCATAGAATTGAAATCTTTTATAGTTGGATAAGTCCGAATGTATAAACAGAAAACTACCAAAGAGAATCGATGAGAAACCAAATGTAATATTGGTTAGCATCGATAGACCTGTTCTTATTGGTGGGTAAACATGTGGTGATACTGAAGGTTGAATTGGAGTGTGTGAATATGGGTGTTTGTTGGCAATCAAAGTTCCAAAGTATACCATTGGTGTATGAACAAATATCCAAATAAAAATACAATAAATAATATCTCTTGGATATATTGAGGTAGTTGCACCAACCGAATTTGATAATGATCCAATAATCATGATATAATATGAAAAAAGAATACCTGGAATTAAAAATGATATCTTTTATATTTTTAAAAAATAATATAAATAATTAATAACTAATTTTATTTATTTAAAGTATTTACTTACCAAAGCCGTGAATTTAATATCAAAATTTAATAAATTAACCTTTGCATTCATTGATTGATAAACTCTTTTCGATGCATATCCTGAAATAATTCTATTTTGGTATTAGTTTTTTAACATGTAAGAATATGAAGTTCAAATCATATTTGATTTAATAGTTACCCTGTGAATAAATAGCAACATAAAAGATTGGTATGAAGAGATCCGCTCTTTATATATGGTGGTGAAATGATTGAAATAAGCAAGGTCATTAATCCTGTGACAAACAATTGGAGTCCGCCACCAACCAAACTTGACAAGAGCATCGGATTCTCTGGTGTTCTGAAAACGTCATTTCTTATATTCTGAATGGAAATTGCCATCTTTTGATAGCTAAAATATCTTGAAGTCATTCTGCTTCTTATAAATGGAGGCAAATAATTATAGATAACTTCGTTCGATAAATCATCTAGAGATTGTGCATTAACTAGTATCTTGATGGTCATGTTGTAGACAATGAGACCTACCCCCAAATAACCTGTCAAACCAACTATACATAAGACACTACTGATAATTTTTGGTAGAAAATTTAGTACCAATTTGTCCCAACGATGCTCCCATGTAATATATGCCACTTCTTCAAACGTGATAGAATATGTTTGTAACATAAATTGATTTTCACCTAACGGTAAAGTGTAGGTCTCTTCCTCCAGCTCCCGGTACTTAAAGAAGGCTTGCTCATTGTATTGAATGGACATTGGTTGAGCTTTAAATCCAACGATTGTGTATTCATCATCTCCAAGATTGTTATAGAAGATTGTGAATGATAAATGATTGTTGAAATAGACTTCCTCTCCATCGTGTGATCCAATTGCAATAGCATTGAATGTTCGACCATTCCAGTTTTGATAATATGCAATGAGACCACCCACTTGAAACTCATAAAAGTAATCATTCTGGATGAACCTTTTCAATGTTTCTGTTGCATATTTCTCAGTGTAAGGACTACAATTGTCAGTTTCATTATTTATTACTCTGGTCGTAGACGTTTCTAAAAATTTAAACTAATCAAAAAAAAAAAAAAAACAATTAGCCAATATCTTAAATCTAATTTATAAAATAAAAAATGATTAATAATTTACACTATATGGAGTGATTTGTGCTTTATCACCATTTAAAATTTGACCCAAAGATCGATGTGATTGAGTTAATTGATATCGCAGTTGCTCTGAACTACATGGTAAACTATTATAATACAAAAGTAAAGATATTGCTTTTTGATTTCAATTTGTTTACAACGATTTGCAAGCTATCTCCTTCTTTATAGATCTTAAAAATTCTACGATTCAATGCATCGTTATTATAGATAAATAACACTGTTATAACAATAGCTATCAGCCAAATGGTGTTGTTTTTCATTATTTACTATTATTTTTTAGGAATAATGTTATTATTACTTGACATGTGATTTGAATAACCTTATTACAAACAAAAACTGAACACCTAGTCAAAAAACTAAACACGTGGTAGAAAATGGCTTTTGAGACCAAAGCTTTCTAAAAGTGAATTTTTACAAAAAAAATTTGATGATAAAGTTCCGAACCCAATCAACAACCAATTTCGTTCATGCAAACTGTGATCTTTAAAGAGAATCTAAAAACTTTTTAAATTTATAAAAATAAATTATCAAAAATAGAAGGGTTAGAAATTAAAGTTAACAGGGGTGAAAATTTCGGGGGTTTATGATCAAAAAAGATTTTTAGATTCTCTTAAGCTTACAAAATTATGATCATCACTTTATTTTTTTAATGACAGAAATTATTAATAATCGTGAAAGTAGTAGTAGTAGTAGAAATATTGACAATGATAAACATCCATTAGTACATCTACCACATTTAATATTGACAAAAATAACGGTAGAACTGAATGATAATATAGATAGGTTGTGCTTCAGCTTGGTTTGTCGGAGACTATATGATCATAGAGATAAATATTTATGGTTCAAATGTGATGGTCTATCTCAAACACTCACTGATTTCAGTAAACTGGAATGTTATCACTTGAAATCATACAAGAATATCGTAGAGCACTCAAGAGATCTAAAATCAAATTGTACATTATTCATAGGTTTTACAAAGGAAATCAATCAACTAAATAATAATAATAATATAGATTATTATTATAACTGTGGTATGTTTGTAATTAAAAAGAATAAATTTTATAAAATAATAAATAATATTAACCTATAATATTATATTAGAAATTAATAATATAAATGAAATTGTTATAAATGAAAATGTATCGAATGTTGTATTTTCATTGTGTTGTGTCAATAAAAGAGTATTCGAATCTTGTGTTCTCTATGAGAGAATAGCTAGTTCGAATGCCGATACATTGGAATTTAGGTGTAATGTTAGGTTGAAGGCTGGATCGATTCCCAGCAATGTTACCACGATTCACTTTAGTGAAGCTTTCAATGAGGAGTTGGAAGTCGGTTGTCTTCCAGTGAATCTGCGGCATCTTGAGTTTAAATGTGGATTTACAAAGCTGTTGCGACCAGGTGTGCTACCTCCCAGCCTAAAGGTACTAAAGTTGAGATACTACAACAAGAAGTTCCTACGTGGTGTACTACCGAATGGTTTGGAGACACTCGAGTTCTTTTGTCGAGATAGCAACATCGACGACGCCGTGCTACCACCTACCTTACTGACACTCAGTGGTATACCTAGCACCTGGCTCAAACACATAAAGTCACTGACAAACATTAGAAACATTGCACTCTACCGACAAAATACCAACATTAACCTAAGCAACATACCAAACACTGTAATCGATTACCAACTAGGATTGTACAGTGACGATTTCAAACTCACCGGTCAACTTCCATCATCAATACAATATTTAGATTTGGGAACATGTGAATTAGATTCATTTATAAATCAAAATAATAATAATAATAGTAGTAATAATAATGATAATAATGTAAATGAAGAACAAAAAGATGATTATTATTATCATTTTCCAGATAATCTGTTAAATTTGGTTATTGGATTTTCAAGTTTGCAAAAGATATCTCCAGGGATGATACCAAACACAGTTAAAGACCTGACTTTAAGTGATAACATAATACATTCATTGCAAGTTGGTTCGATACCAGACTCTGTGGAAATATTAAGACTTGGAGGTAACTGTGAAAGTATTCCATCGAATGTCATTCCAGCAAGTGTAAAGAGACTTACAATCAACATTGAATATTTTTTGAACAATACAATCAATAGCTTACCTGCAACAATTGAAACAATAGTTGTACAATTTCATAGACTCTCAAATGTATATAGTTTTGACATAAGAAGAATAGATATTCAACAAAATAACAATAGTAACAATAATGATGAAAATGACAATATAAATCCAAATTATCAAAGCATTTTAATGTTAGGTGGAAAATCAGATATAGAAGGTGGATTTATAAATATGGATAATTTCCAAAAGCAAATCATTGAAATTATCAATAATAGATTTAAATAATAAATATATTTATTTTTAAATCTGTTTTTTTTTTTTTAACTTTTTTAATTGTAATAAATATGTAATTTATATGTATTTATATATGGAAATAAGAAGCTATTTCTTATCGGATACTACAACATTATATTGTTTTCTAAGACGATCTAGATTACGGCGACGTGAATTGATGAACCAATTGGAGACTTGAGCAACAGTGAGTCCGGATTGAGAGGCAAGCTCTTCTTTCTCTGATTGAGTTGGGTATGGTTTGACTAGATTATTAATGAACCACTCCTTGAGTACACTTGTTGCATCTTTCGAGAGGTTGCTGTTTTTCTTTGCTTTGGAACGCAGTGAGTTGAGATCACATGGCTGGAAAGAGCTGTTCTTCAAAACGGAGACATATCGTTTGTAATACATTTGAACGCCTTCGAAATGGACTCTCGAGAGGTTATGCAATTCCTTCATGACTTCAATATACTTGCTGATGTACTCCACAAGATCCGGTTGATTATCTAGTGAGCCAAACACCTGATGAAATAGAGAAATGAAAATATTGATATCCGGCTGTCCATTGCTCTCAAAGTAATTCTTATCAACATGAACACTATCCCATATGGAATTACACAAAATTGATAGTAATTCAGATTCATTCATCTTCATATGATTTTGGTTCACAGTACCTTGTTGTTGTAATTGAGTTTGAACATAATTTGAACTGTCCATTTTAAAATCTAAAAATAAAAATAGAAAAACAAAAGAAATAATTTTTATTAGTTTCCTTTAATTATTGTTTATATATATGTATTATTTTTAGGATCAAATTGATCCATAATTATCTTTCTTTAATTAAACAATGAAATACTAACCTAGAATTCTAGAATTGATAATAATTATACAAAAATGAACTTATTTAAATACTCTATTTTTTTAAAAAATAATTTATTAAATTTAAAACAAATGGCATTTTATCATTGATGTATCTAACAAATTTGCAAAAGATAAGATGATAGTTGATGTTGTTTTCAATCTATGATGTAGTTGTTTTCATTGAGATGGAGTGACACATTTCAAAATTTCGATTAAAATATTAAAATAGCGTTAAACTATTTATTATTTTCAATGATTACGCGCAATCTTGAAAAATCAATTATTGCCTAGTTTTAAAAATAACAAAATCTGATGTAATTTTTAATCTTATTATATAGTGATTTAATAACGTGCTTCTTGTTTATAAGGAAACACAAATAAACAAACAAACACACACACAATTGTGAATTAAATGATGTTAATGGCAATGAAAAATCATCAGAAAACTTTTGGCAAAATTTTTTTGACAAAAAAAGAACACCACTTGATTTTTATGTTTTGCAAATGGTGCATTTTTTAAAATTAATTTATATTTATTTATTTCTCTTTTTATTTATTATATATTATATATATTTGTAGTATTTCAAAGTTTGTTTGTTTGTTAGTTAGTTGTAAAAATAAAAATAGATCTAGAGAAGAGAGAAAGAAGATAAAATAAAAAAAATGAACTTTGATGATATAAAAAATAAGAGAAAAAGTATCTTCTTTGGAGATTCTGAATCGAGTAGTGGAGATTTGAGTGCTTTCACAAAGCGTGGCACTATCACTCCAGGAAAGATAGCGAATGCACGTGAGGGTGAGTTGTCACAGATGGAAGACACAGAGTCTGAACAGAAATTTCAAGAGATCATCGAACTTTTGGTGACCGGTGGTTACTTTCGTGCTAGAATTCAAGGTTTGTCACCATTCGATAAGGTTGTAGGTGGTATGGCATGGTCAATCACCGCTTCGAATATGGATGTCGATGGTGATCTTTTCTTCCAAGAGAATTCAAATATTCGTCAAAAGATGTAAGTAGTCAGACACTGTTTCATTCATTCATTCATGATTACTTTTATATGTATATATTAATACCTGCTTTATACACACCACTATACATTAGTGCGTTATCTGAAGAGTTAATTAAAGCGTTGAATAGAATGAAATGTCCATTCCCACTACAGGCACAACAGATTCAAGGTCTCAATTATATCAATTTGTTCCCGATTATTAGATGGCTGATTGCCAAGGTTATCGAGACACGTGAGGAAACAGGTGATCTTTTGAGAATGTACTCGCAATCGATGTTCAATAAGGATTTCAAGACACCGGCTGACGTTGAAACCGCTACCAATTTGGAGTTGTCTTGTAATTTCGTGGAGAATGTAGAGAATCGTTATAAACCAACCAGAAAGTTCAAGCGTGCTCAACTCGCCAATCCTACACCACAACAAACACTTTTGGAGTATGGCAAACTTCACCGTGTCTCACGTCAACAGGCATCGGACAAGTCGGCTGCCAGTCAAAAGTTGGAGGCAGCACTCGGTGGCAAAGGCGCCGCTGCCAACGCCGAGCCAGACGACCACGAAGAGGAAGAGAAGCGAATTCACCAGATGATGAAGGGAATGAAGGGTGTCGAAGGCGATGGCAGTGGAAAAGTCAGTGGTAGCGTACTAAAGAACTATTTGCCATCCGACGAAATACAGGATTTGAGCGATCGTCATGCCGAGGGCTCCGGAGAATCCGGTGGAAAGATGTTTGGCGGCGAGAAACTTCATCGCCAAAAGGTGTCGGCACTCGAGAAACAGATACAACAAAAGAAGGAGGAGTTGAAGCGTTTGGCTGCCGAGCACCGTGAGCTTGCAGAGCGACTCGAAGAGATGCAAAACGATGCCAACAAGCGTGTTGCATTCAACGCGCGAATCGTCTTGGAAACAGAGAAACTCGACGCACTCGAAACACCAGAGAACACAAAGATGTTGAAAGCGCTGCGTGGCTTGGTGTTGCTCAACGAGACTCTGATTGCTCAGGAGGCAAAGTTCAAGGAGAGTTGCAAGCGTCAGATGGCAGAATACAAACAAAAGATTGCAGAGCTTGTCAAGGGCGACGACATTGACGAGGAAGACACCGAACGTAAATCTCAGATCAACGCCGCTTTCGATGCCGACGTCGAGAAGCTTCAGAAACTCAAACAACTACTCAACAAGAAGAACAGAGACATTTCGCTGCTGCAGCGTCACATCGACGAACTGCCAAGTCGTGCGGAACTCTTGCAGTACCAGCGTCAGTTTGTGGAGTTGTCGGAGCAGTCCGATGCCAAGTTGACAGAGACACGTCAGTACTACACTACATACAACACACTCGATGACAAACGTCAGTTGCTTGATAACGAGCTTTCCATTCTCCAATCGATACAGACCAAGTATAATGTTGCAATGTCATCGACTTCAAACAAGGAGATGTTTATCAAATCGATGGATAACATCATCGACGGTATCCAACAGGTACTCGACAAAGCAGATTCAAAGAGAGCAAACGAACGATCGAAACACAGTTCTCTCTCTGATCAATATCTACAATTGGTCGAACAAGAGAGAAACTACTACAAATTCACCAAAGAATTCCAAGAAGAGTGTCGTAAGAATGAAATTCTTCAAGCTAAACTGGGTGAACTCACTGCTCAATAAATTTTAACAAAACAACAACTGTGATCATCATCATTACTTTACTAAAAAATATATTTATCTTTTCAAAAAATAAAAATAAAAACATAAAGATTTTTGTAATATTAATTTAAAATCAGATACGTAATTGGTGTGTTGTCTTTACCAAAAAAAAAAAACTTGATCATCATTCACAAAGTTTTTTTTTTTTTTTATTTATTTAAAATTTTATCATCATAAAGATAAAAATGATAAGAAATAGTTGTAGTAGATCAATAAGATTATTATTAAATAATAATAATAGTTATCAATGTAGAAATATTAGAAATATAGTTACTTTATCTAGTATGAATAATTCTAGATCAAATTTAACTTTAAATATCAGAAATAATAATAATCATAATGTTGAATATCAAAACATTAGAAACTATTGTAGTAAATTAAATGATAATATTAATACAGATTCAACAACAACTCAGCAACATCAACAAACAAATAATAATAATAAAGTAGATGAAACTATCGATGAATTCAAAGCATTGATTTTAGATGGTGCTTTGAAGAATGTAGCACTCTATGGTTGGAGCGAAACCGCTATCTCAAAGGCATGCACTGACTTGGGATACGAACCTACACTACACTCGATGTTTGAAAATGGTGGTTATGATCTTGCATACTACTTTGTTACAAAGTGTAATCGTCAGTTGAGCGAGAAACTCACACCAGAGATTCTCAGTGCTCTAACTCAGCGTGAGCGTGTCAAACTAGCCATCAAAATGAGACTATCAATGATCGCACCATACATCAACCGTTGGGCAGAAGCAATGCAAGTTTTGGCTCATCCAAGAAATATTATATCGTCAGCACCATCGATGGCTGGTCTTGTCGATGAAATATGGCACTTGGTGGATGATAGATCAACCGATGTAAATATTGATCAAAAAATTAGAAAAAAGTAAACTACTATTACTACTATTCGTATAACTAACATTTTATTTTTAAATAGTTTGAATGGTATACAAAGAGAGGATTGTTAGCTGCTTTATACACTTCTTCAGAATTATATATGTTAAATGATACCACTCCAGAATTTGTCAGTACATGGCGTTTTGTTGATGATCGTGTTGATGATATGATCAATGTATTAAAGTTTAAGAATGATGTAAATATAATAATATTATAATTAACGATAGATTTATAAAATTAATTTTTTTTATTATTTAAAATAGATTGGACAATCAGTATCACTTACAGCAAATATGTTATTAAACAAACTTAACAAGAAATAATAGAATCAAACCACTTTAAAGTTATATATGATTTTCAAACATTTGTTTTTTTATTTTATTTTATTTTAATTATCTACCAATCTATTGATTGCCATTAATTGTTGTTGTGGATGTGATTGTTGATTTTCTTGTTGTTGTTGTTGTTTTGGTTGTGGCTGTGTAAACTGAGGATATGACAGAGTTTCGGTGATTGGATTGGGTATCGAGTTGCTCGCAAAATGTGGTGATGCCAAAGAAGAGATTGGTGTTGATTGAGCTGATGAAATCGATTCCTCTGGAACCTGGTAACTCGGTCCATTTAAATTGGACAATTGTAGTTGTTTCTCTTCAATATGTTGCTGGATGTTGACGTACATATTCAAAATCGACTGTATCTTGCTCTCACAAAGTTGATTGCTTTTGTGTGCTACAATCTTGATTATACTCTGTTGGATCCTTTCCAATTGTTCTTTAAGTTCTTTCATTTCCTTAACTAATTCTTGTCTTGCGTCCAAATATTTTTGACCTATAAAATAAAATAATTAAAAACTATAGTTTGATTCTATAAAATTATTATTTACATACTTTTTCTTACTTCTTCTAATTCATCTTCTTCACCTTTTTTTCTTTTGTCTCCTCCTTTCCTTGAGTTTTTTTTCTTTTCCAATAACCATGGATTGACATTCACCTTTAATTTCCAGAACCCATTTTGTCTAAAATGATCCATTCCAGATTCAAAGAGACCTTTACTATGACTTAGCATATCTTGGATCTGCTTCTTCCAATTATCTGATTCTAAATAAAATAAAATAAAAATTTTTATATTAATAAGTATTTTAATAAATAAAAATAAATTATATTACTTTTTCTATTTATACAAAGTGTATTCCAATGTGAAGTCATAAAATTATAAACTTCAGTTTTGAGATTAAAAAACTCTTTGCCTTTATAATTTTCTCCAAGTGTATAAAATACAACTCTCATTATAATAGCCCAAGTAGGATTTTTTACTAAAATATTAGGGCTTCCTTCTATACACATTTTACAATATGCCAAATCACATGCGATACGTTTTCCTGAGGTTTGAGGATTAACTGAAGGAGATGAAGAGCTTAACATATCTGGAGAAGATTGTTGGTGGGTATTTGTAGGTGATGAAATTGGGGAGTCAGTCGAACTATCACTATCAAACACGGCTTCGGGTTTGGTGTTTCTGGGATTTCTGGAGATAGGGGAAGACTGGAGGTCAGGAGTAAACTTTTTGTTTTTGGAACTTGTAAATTTGGTCTGACATTTTGGTTCAGAATTAAAATGGTAAATACTATTGGATGAAGGAGTTTGTCCAGTAGATTTAGATTCATTTAAAATTAATTGGGGTACTGGGATAAAAGAATGTCTGATATCATTTTGTGATAACATTGGTGATGTAACAGACAATGATCTTTCATCTTTTGTTTTTTGAAAACAAAGATTATTATAAGGATTTGAGAAATGTGCAGCGGTTTGACCATTGGTATGACCAAATTGGAAGTGTGGATCCATTTTATCAAAATATATGAGTTTTAGAGTATAAAATTGATTAAAAGTAAAAATTTAAGTATCAATTTAGGATTATTTACAAAACAAAAAACAAATAGATAAATAAATGTTGTTTTAGATTTACACTCTAAATGATGTTGCAAAAAAATAGTAGAGAAAGATTATATTTATATAGAGAATGATATTAGTTCAAAAATATTTACACTATGTGAGAACAAATTGTTGTAGTAGCTGTTGGATTTCAAAAATGGAGCCGAAAATAGGGTATGATAATATGTAAAAGGTAGTGTTTTCTTTAGAGAACAAAAAGGTTCGATCAACGATGTCAATACCGACTATGTAATTTTTTTAAAACCTTAAATTATTCACCAATATTATTACTGAAATCAACACATATAAATAACACAACCAAACAAATTGACATAGGTAGCAAATATTTAAACCACATCCAATTATTTCAAGTTGAATCCTCATACCAATATGAGTAATATCATATAAACCAAATTTTGTTTACTCCCTATCTTTCAATATTAATATAACATAAATTATTATTATTTCATCACTTTTATATCTATCCTCAAGTTTTATTTTGTTTATTTCAAAATTAATAGTAGAGAATATCAATTATTCTATCGTAAAAAAAAACCACAATATAAAATCACTGATTTCTAATACAAGTGGTTATCATTTTCATTTTAAACACACCTGGAATCCAGATTGGTGAGTGAACTACCCATCAACTCACCACACCACCACTGCTGTTAAATTAAAAATAAAATTACCAACGACATATATAACTTAACAATAATGTTGTGATGCACCACATCATTTAAATTTGTTAAAATAACCAACACGGTTATCAATGAACAACAACAAAAATTGAAAATTATTTTTAAAATTTTAATTAACACAACCATGTTATATGTATTATATTGCATTGAAAGGACAATTCATTCATAAAATTCTATGATTGAAAAAAAAAATAGTGATTTAAAAAACATACAGCCAAACATAACACAATCATTAATTATTCATTTAGAATTAAAAACATAACATTGGTGAGTGATGAATTCTATATGTCTTGTTTAACAGCAGTACTCTATTGTAAATTGATCAATTACATGTTTCACGATTTAACATATGATTACTCTTACCTTCACATCATCCATGATTTATTTATATTTATTATGGTTTACTGTCCACTCCTCCATCGTTCTAATGGATATGCACTCACCTTTTATTAAGAATGTGGGTGGGTTGGTGGTTAGTTGAGGGGTAAATGAGGGGCAGTTAACATGATGATGATCACCAATCTACTTTTTTTTTTTTTGATTTTCTATCAATGCCTTCACAGTCGTATCCACTAATCTTGATCATCAATACTTGTAATGATTAAAATGGATACATGTAATGAAAAAACAAGCTTTCCAAAACGGTAACTTGTTTTCAATTTTAATACCAACTATAAATATACTCATGCAGACTATCAACAACCTACATTATTTATTTATCTGTATATATAACATTTCTTTGATTGTGTCATAATAGTAGAATGATTACATCAAGCATTCATCCGAGCAATTAATGGATGTTATTGTCAATACCTTCATTTTATATTCTAGAATTTTTGTTTTTTTTTTTTTTTGTTTCTCAATATGATTATCAGACTTTTAAATGCTTGAGTTTTTTTTTTTTCGTTTAACTTAATAATATATTTGTTATAAAAAAAATGCCCATATTTATTTATAAATTAAACCCCAAGGGGCTATTCAAATCAAGTAATTTGTTATATATTTTTTTTTTGTTTTTGGCGCTTGGTGGGTTATTAAAATATTGTAATCGACAGATTTTGTTATATTTAGGTTTTTATCTGTGCACTTCATATATAAATAAATAAAATCTATCTCAGGAAAATGATCACTTTTGTTTGTTGTTTTTGAAAAAAAATATCATAATAAATTAAATAACATGTTATTGTTTATTTGGATGTCGATATTCCTTGAAATGAGCGGGGTTCTTTCTATAACATCTATCACTGTAAAAAAATAAATAATAATGATGATGAATAATTAATAATGAATTCATTTCATATAAAACAAATTGTTCTCATAATTATATGAGCACTTGGTTTGATTGATTTGAATAATACATACCCATACATGCACATTGGTAATTCTTTTTGTGGAGTTGCTGGTTTTGGTGCTGGGACTGCAAATTTTGGTGATCCTTTGGGACTTGCAGAAATCGGTGAACCTCCATCACTTAAATTACCATTGCTGCTGATGTCACCAGAGGAAGTGCTCATTGCTGAGAGATTGGACGATGTCCTTTGTTTGATCGGTGAAATAGGTTTCAAATCTTGATCCATCCTCGAGTTATCCATTTCTTCGTCTGTATCGGAATCATCTTTGGCAGTGGTATCAATATTAATAATATTATTATCTTTGTTGTTATTTGTTACCGTTATACTTTTATTATTAAAACTACTACTACTACTACTACTATTTTTATTATTACTATTATTATTACTATTATTAAAAGAATTTGATTGTGGAGGAATTGTTGTTGTTGGTGGTGATGAAGTTGATGATGATGATGATGATGTTGTTGTAGATTGTACATTGCTCGAACTCTTTGATTTCTTCAAAGTGTTGGTTGGACTGTCTGTTGAAGTACTACCAACAACATCGTCGGTAGATGCTGATTTACTGACTCCATTCATCAATCCATCCTCTGATTTTCTCTTTCCTAAATATCTGTCATTTTCATTCTCTTTTTCAAGTAATGATTCCAGTGATTTGCTCTGTAATTGTAGGTAAAAAATTTAATACACTAAAAACTATCAATATTGTTTTGATAAAACACTTACAAGATTATACCACGGGTGATCCAAAATTTGATCGCATGAATAACGTTTCATTGGATTTACACATAGCAATCTCTTTATGAGATCTTTAGCTTCTGGAGAAATCTGAGACCAATCTTCGTCAGGGAATTCAAAGACTGCATTTCGTATCTGTTCGAAAATCGATACATCTTGACTGTCATCAAATGGTGGATATCCACATAACCTTTAAATAACAAACAAACAAAATAAAATTAGTTTGATTGATTGGATTATCGTTGTTATTTTCATTGACTTACATTACATATAGAATTGCACCCATACTCCAACAATCAACCTCTTTACCATAACCACCGACACTTGAATTCGTCAGGATCTCAGGAGCAAGGTATTGTGGAGTACCACACATTGTCTTCATGAAACTACCTTCGCTGATGGAGCGCGATAGACCGAAATCACTCAGTTTTATTGCGTCGGGCATATCCTCCTTTCTATACTTCAACAGAATGTTCTCTGGTTTGAGATCACGATGTGCAATACCCTGATCATGTAGATATTTAACTGCATTGACAATCTGTTTGAAAAACTTCTTTGCTTTGTCCTCTTTATAACATGAACATGTCAATATATCATTTAATAATTCTCCACATTCGACTCTATCAATTGATCGATTGATTGATTTAAGATGATAGAAATTAATTAGTATATATATATTAAAATGTATGAATATTCAGTGATGGTGATATGATATTTACAATTCTAAAACAAGATATAAAGTCTTCTCTGTGTTGAATACCTCTTGAATGTGAATGATATTCTGATGGTTGAGTTGGGTGAGGATGTTGACTTCATCCATGAGAGCATCTTTTCTGGATGATGAGTTCATAAAGTATTTCTTCTTATCGACTATCTTTATTGCGAATTTCGCACCTGTCTTTTTGTCGACTGCCAACTTTACGGTTGCAAAGTTACCTGCACCCAATGTCTCACCGATATGATATTTCTTTTGTGGACCACCTTCTTCATCATCTTCCTTTTCACATGTTTGATAGATGAATGCTATTTTCTCTATAATATTATATATATATTTCAATTTGAATTGGTAATTTAAGTAAGTTAACAAATGAAATGAACTAATCAAACAATGTTGTTTATAAAAATATTTATTACCTTGACCTTGTTTTTTACTTAAAACCAAACCGATTTCTTGTCCACTTGATAATAAGAAACGGTTACCCTTACCAACCTTCATACCATCGACATAAGTACCGTTTGTACTCTTGTCATAGAGGAATGCAATGATTGGTCCATGCTGATCATCACCATCGTCACCTTCTTTCTTTATTGAGCAATGTCTATTGAATAATAATAATAATAATAATCGTTTGATTTGATTTTAGAGAATGTCGTTAACACTTTGAAACTCATCAAATAGTATGGTATATCAATCAAATTTGATTGAAAAGAGAATAGAATGAAGAAAAGTAAAGAAAAGAAAAGAAGGAATTAAGAAAAGATTTATATGATTGTTTGTCTGATGATTTGATTGATATAATATTGATTGATTGATTGATTGATGATTTGATAGATAGATTGTTTGATTGCTATATGATATTGAGTTTAAACTTACGTTCCAGATATATTCATATCATTGAAATGTATTGTACTACTTGGTTGTCTACCAATGACGATTTCATTGTCGCACAGTGCAAAATCGGGATATGCAGGATTCAATGATTTCAAAACAGCCCATCCAGTCTTTTTTCCTGCACCAAGGTCATCATCGAGCTCAACAGCCAATGTACATGCCTGCGTAGCGTCCTCTGACATCTCTAACTATAATCTAATCTAATCGAAAAATCTATAATATTTATTTTATCTTTACAATCTAACCTTTCAATAATAAAAATATATAATCTATTATAAACAAAATATAAAACAACAAATAAATAAATAAACAAAACTTAATAATAGAAACCTTTAATCGAATTAAAAATTAATCTAGTCAAAAAAAAGTTTTTTAATAAACTTTGCAAAAAATTTTAATATTTTAGATTTAAATATGTTACTGCAGTGATAGTTATTGATTGATTGTGCAAAATATATGATTGTTATTGCAATTTATTTTTTTAGTATAGGTGATAAATAAAATAATTTTTAAAACAAACTTGTATTTCGTTCCCTCAATACATCAGAAGTTACTTCATGTACCACCATACCCAAAGTCCACATTGCTAAAAAAAAAAAAAAACAATTTCTTCAAAAAAAAAATTCAGTTCTAAGAAGTTGTCATTCTTTTTCTCACAATACGATGTTTTTTGATGGTTGTAATAATAATTATTTGTATGTTTGTTGGTTTGTTTAGAAGACATTTGATGAACTTGAACTGTATTATTATTATTATTTGTTTGTTTGTTTGTGTTTATTATTTATTATTTAATTTATTACAATCTACATTCTTATATCCATAACACAAACAGTGCTGTTCGAAAAACATGTTGATAACTTATCACCTGTACTATTCCAGCAGACATCGAAAATACCTCCACTACCTCTGTGCGTTCTCACCAAAGAACCATCTTTGACAGACCATATGTACAAACACTTATCGAACGATCCACTTGCCAAGTATTCTCCATTTGGACTGAATGATACTGTATATACAGGATCACTTTATTTTTTTTAATATGTTGGTTGTTAAACAAATGAAATTAGTATGAGAAATATGAAATTTGATTACAAAAAAAAATAAGAATAAATAGACATACGTATGTTTTGTAAAATTATGTATACAAGCACCAACTTCTACATCCCAAAGTTTGACTGTACTGTCGAACGATGCACTTGCCAATACAAGATCTTTGTTGGGATTTGCAGAGCCAGGACCGGTGGGACTCCATTTAATTGTGTAAATCTCTTTGGTGTGTTGCTTTAGATTGTGTACGCAATCGTCGTTCTTCAGGTTCCAGATTTTCGCGGTGGTATCATCGGAGCAACTTGCTAGGAGTGTACCGGATGGATCCCATTTGATTGCGTTGATTTCATCGTCGTGACCCTGGAACGTCTTGATTGGACGGTTCTTTCCGATCTCACAGAGATGAATGAGTCGATCGGTACTACACGATGCAAACTGCGTGTTGTTTCGCCAGTCGATGTCGAGTGTCGGTGCAGAGTGGAATTCAAACTGCTGCAAGACAGAACCGCTCTTGATGTCCCAAACGATGGAAGTCTTGTCGACCGAGCCACTCAGCAAGTAGTCACCCTTCTTATTCCACTTTAGCGAGAAGATCGGTGCTTGATGTTGTGATAGTACATGCATCAAGTCACCTTTGGCAGTCCATACTCTTGCAACACCATCATATGAACCCGTTGCCAACAATGATCCATCCAACTGTAAATATAATAATAGCAAAACAATGAATATTTATAAATATTATTATTATTATTATTATCAACAATAAACAAAATAATGAATAATCAATAACTTACATTCCAATCTAAAGTTGTAACATCAATTGTTTTTGGTGATTGTACGTTAAAGTGATTCAAGACAATAGAGTTTATCGGTTGTTTCGAAGAGACTGGTACGTCAGTGGGTAATGCCCAGATACGAGCAGTACTGTCACCACTACCCGATGCCAATAATGAACTTGTTGGGTTCCACGAACAAATAAACACTTCATTCTTATGTCCTCTTAGAATGGTTACATCTGACTCGGGTATCTCTGCTGTTACAGGTGGTGCCGGTGTAGCAGTAGCCGTTGTCGATGCACTCGATGACAAAGTTGTACTAGATGAATCTTTATCTTTCTTTTCTTTATCTTTTTCTAAAAGATAGAAAAAAACAACAGAGTTTTTGTTAGAATAATAACAAACTTTATATAAATAATAATAATAATAACTTACTACTATTTGGTGTATCTTTCATCTTTATATCTTTGTCTTTATCTTTATCTTTATCTTTTTTATCTTTAGATTTCTCTTTGGTGTTGTTGCTGTTGTTGTTGTTATTGGAGGGAGTAGAGTCGTTCGATGTTTTTGATGATTCCTTCTTGATTTGCGATGATGAGACCGGTGTCATTACGACATCTTTGTCAGCAGCAGCAGCGGCAGCAGATTTATCAGATTGTTGTTGTTGTTTCTTGTTCTTTCCTTCTTTCTTTATGATTTGACAGACGTGTTGTGACACCAATGAGAATGGTTCATTGCAATTCAGTTCGGTGCCATCCTCTTGAAGATGTGTTTCAACCTCTATATATTGAATACCTTTTTGTAGCACCGATATCAGTGAACCATGTGGTATATCATCGGATACATTGACAATCTCTGATTTCGCTACACAGCTTTCATTAAAGAAAGTAAAAGCAGAATGATGAAATCCTATATATTTTAAAATGAATTTGAATCAAAAGGTAGAGATCATATGATTCAAATTTGAATGTGTTTATAATGAATGAACGAAGAGCAATTCACAGTAACCATTTAGAGTGTTTATAAGAAAGTGATCATTGATTGATTGAAAGAACGATGATAATAAAAAGTAAATTGAATGTATTAATAAATATTAATGTAATGTAATCTTAATATTAAAGACTATCTTACCAGATTCTTGTAGATATTTGTATATTAAGAAATTTACTTCATCACTTTTTATACTCATTGAAGACATGACTTTTCGACTATATTATATTATATTATATTTTTGTTGTTGTTGTTGTTGTTGTTGATTAAATATTGTAATGTATAGATGTCCAACAAATTAAATTTAATAAACCATTATGATACGATATAAAACAAAATTATAACTGACTTGTTGTTGTTGAATTCAAAAAAATCGATCTAACTGTTGATAATTCAAATTTAAAAAAAAAAAATTAAAAAAAAAAAAAAAAAAGAAAATTCAAAAAAATCTTTTTTTTTTTTTTTGATCTTCTTTGATCGTTGTATTTATTCATTGTATACCCTTGAACAAATATAGATTAATTAATACATAGTTTTATTCCAACATATAAATTAGTTTAATTTCAGTTAATCATCTTTTTTTATTTTTATTTTTTTCAGAAAATGAACAATATAATGTAAATATTATGTACATTGCAACTACATCAAATTAAATAATGAGGAATGGAATATATTGTTTAGAATGAGGATGAGGAAGATGATGTATTTTTTAATAAATGGAAACGATTTTTATTACCATGATCGAATGTTAGATTAAAAAAAGTTAATCTTATCAATTTGATGACCTCAACATGAAGTTAACATGGTCGTTTAATATGGTAAAGGTTGTTTTTTTTAGTGGTGAAAATTGAATAGTTATAACAATACTTATATCTCTAATATATCTATTCACACATCTCACCTCAAAAAATATATTAATTAAAATGTTTGAAAATTAATGTATAACTCTTTCAAAGTTCAAAAGAGGGGTGACCCACGACCACTCTCTTCTCTCTCTATGTTTCCACTACTTATAGATTAGATAAAGAGTGAATTATTAAAAGAAGAAAATTAGTAGTTTAAACTACTTGATTTACTTGAGGTTTTCTGTTGTTGTTAATTTTAAATTAGATTAACTATAAACAACCTAATTAATAAACATAAATACTAATACCAATTTAAATTGGATATACTCAAACTTTATTACCAAAATAAGTTTGGATGATGATGACAAAGTAAGTTGTGGAGTTAATATAGATAAAAAGTAAGGTAGCTACCTCATTTAATATATATAGTTATATTTAAAAAAAATAATAACCGAAATACCAAGATATAGATTTAAACTTCTTAGCAACCGGATATAGATTGAAAAACAACAATAACAATAACAACAACAACAGAAAAAATAATAACAACTTAACAACAACATCAACAACAGCTCTGATAGATTTGAAAATGTGGGGCACTAAACTAGTTGCTTTAGTTTATCTACTACTAACAAAAAGGAATGGTTGGTTCTTTATTTTATATATTGGGATATAAATTAGTATTCCACGTGTATGCATCACCTTACTTTGCTAATATACTAATTATTGTTTTTTAATCAATTGATGGGCGTAATATTCTTAATATAAGCCAATGATGATCATCATACATGAAATGCCAATTCATACTACAAAGATGCGCACCCACCACAACCAAAAATTTCACCAAAAGAATCAAATCAATCAAAAAATCCAATAAATTATAAAAGAATTCGTTTAAATCAATTAAATCAATAGATAATTTTATACCAATAATTTATTTAAAATGGAGATATATATTTATAAAAGTGGATAGATTGTGTGTTGAGAGAGTATGGAATAACAGATTTGGTTTTTTTTTTAAAATTTGTTATTAATTTTGATTGATACAACAACAATGTGTATATTTCAATACTAAATATTAAACTACTATTAGCGTTAAAACGCTATCCTTTCAGGATCAAATCAACCCCAGCAGTATAACAACCAATCAACCACTGACAACTTACCTTAAACTAATTTACACCACACACGCATACAAATCACTCACCCACATATAGAGTACACTATCTCACACCACACACATACATATAAAACTCAAACTATGCTCTTACCATTAAAGTTAATCTATTAGATCAGGTGTGTACCACAAACTCTAGAAATCTATTTTTATTAACCTCTTTATTGGTACCAATAAAGATGTAAAGGAGAGAGATGTTGGTTGCTAATTTATTTATTAAAGGTGTAATGATGTTGATGTGATGATATTCATGATGATCATCAAACCAACTACATTAAATGTATGTTTATGGTTTGAAACATTGCAACTCAATTATGTTCATCAACTACCAAAAGCAAGTACAACAAAACAACAACAATTCGAAAAAAAAAAACCAACAATCGACTCCCACTAAAATCATCTTATTACTCCACTTTAAAATCATCCCAAACAGTAACCATAACTATAAACTTCAACACAACAACCACGATCACCACCACTAATTAACTAATCAAATTAATTTTAATGAATAATTCATTAGATACCAATCCAAGTAAGTGTATGTAAGTATTTCTCCACCGGATACTCTCAACTCAACTATCATTACACAATATGATATTTATATATATATTATCTTCACTCTTTCAAAAGAAGATGATGAATGATATTTAATATATATCGTTCTATATATGTTTATGTGCTGTGTGTACACCAGTGGTGTGATGGGTGTGTGGCGGGTTGTCTTTACACTGTTTAATGTGCATTCCTACTACTCAGGAATTTCTACTACTACATTTTCTAAATTTAAAAACAACTACACTCAATTGAGAACTATTGAATTTTCTCTACAACTTCACCTCTTGTTTATTTTTTCTTGTATAATCACAACAGTAACAATTGATATATCCATTTCTATATTTGTAATGGTATAATGGTTTGGGTGGATACTTTAACTTGATCTAAGATTCAATGATTTTTGGTATAATGTTGAATGCAAACAATGTTAAAGTTTCAGAATTCACTTTCAGAGTTCTCCTTATAAATACTGCTATTTTCAAACAAATTTAATACCAAATCAAATAAAATATTCAAGAAACCAAGAAAACTAAAAAACTTTTTTTAAAAAAAAAAAAACAATATATATAACAATTTAATATATTAATTAATTTTAAAGACTTAAAATGTTGATCAGTATGTTTAAATTAAAATAATTCTTGTTTTTATTAAATCACTAACTAGTTTTTATTTTAATTAGAAAACCTTGCTTCGTTAACCTCCCAAACTTCATCTTCCAATCTTTTAAATCAAAAGACCCAAATTCAACAACAAACTACTCCAAATAACACATTGATCCAACAATCAACTAACAACATTGCTTGGTGCATTTGGTAAATTATTTTCCACTATACAATTTCACATTTAATTTATTTAATCAATATAAATTAAAAACGGACTCACGTAACACTTTATGACAAGGTTACTTTTTTGTAAATAAAAAATAATTACACAGAAATAAAATATTTAAAAAATACAACTTCTCCAACTGATATATATAATTTAACTAATAAAATCGATAATAACTATAATTTTTTAATAATCTATTATAAAATTTTTATACAATTATTCACGAGTAGAAAATATTGAATTAATTTTCTGAGATTCTGATTTATAAAATAATATCTTTTTTAACAGGAAATATACAAAAATCTCAAAAATAAGGTGATATTATCAAACTAATAAAAAATGAATGTTTTTATTATACCAAATTATATTATAGATTTAATTTAGTTGATAACATAATTTTCGGTTTTTACAACTTTTGAATCAATTTATATCTTTTTTAGAAAGCTACTTCTCATAAACTATTTAAAGAAGTAATAACGATGTTTTCCATTCATTTACTTTGTTTCCATTTAATCATATTACTTTAAATGAGCTAAAAATATGAACATTAAATTTCTATTTTTTTTATTCACTCTCTATTTGACTTTCTTTTTCATTAGAGGAGAAAATATTCTTGATACAGCTCATTTCCGTAACTATAAATTTCTATTTAATTTGTTTTTTTTTTAATATAAATTAATGTATTTATTTTAAATTTAGAAATCTTGGATTATACTGAAGGATCTGTAGAGGGACCTGTTGGTTCTTTGGATATTCATGAATATGGTCTTTATGATACAGCATAATGAGAGTCCTGCACCATAAATTTTGAACAGTTTACAAATTCATATCTTTTTTTTTTTGATCAAAAAATCATAAATGGTAATAAAAAGTATTTTTAATTTTCTTTAATAAATTAAATAGATAGTATATTTATTTAAAAAGATCAATAAATTTTACTTTTTATTTAATAGAGTTTTGGAACATCTATCACTTAGTTTTTTTTCTGAAAATTGAAATTTTTTGTTTATTTGTTATTTTTTTTCCCTGCTAAAGATGCATAATAAACAAAGTTTAACAATTTCAATAGCAGGGAAATCAAATGTAGGAAAGAAATCGATTAGAGATAGATATCTATCTAATAAGAATAAAGATAAATTGCCAATCAATTATGCGATGGTCGAATTTCAAATGAATGATGTTACTTATAGGAAATCACTTGGCTTACTAACATGTGACATTGTCGACAATGGCAAATATAAATTCTTTGATGTCATTGATGCATTTGTATTGGTATACGACGTAACTAATTCAAAATCAGTGGATATAATGTTTAACTTTTATAAAAAGATAATCGATCACCATTATAATAATAATAAACATAAAGAAACAACAACAACTATTTATAATTCATCAACAACAACAATATTAACACCAATAGCAATCATTGGAAATAAATCAGATTTAATAGATTTTGAAAATCATCAAGAATCATCAGAAATAATCGCGAGAGTAGATCAATGGTGTGGAGAAAACGGTATTAAACACAAGATATCAATGAATACGGATCATAGCTATCAAGAAACGAACAATATCAATACAATCTTTCAACTATTATTAAATGATATGATGTCAAGATATACAAGTACAAATACAAATATATTAAGTTGTGAAGAACAACAATCAACACCGTGCTGTACTATTACTGATAATAAAGAATGTGGATCTTCTTCTTCTTCTTCTTTATCAAATGAAGAATGTAAAAATAAATGTACACAAAACGAAACTAATAAAGAACAATCCTGTATTATAATGTAAACCATTATTATTACTTTTCCAAATGTGATCACTTTTTTTTTTTTTTTTTTTTTTAAAAAAACAAAATTATTATTTTTTTTTAAATTTTTTGTACAATCATTGGTTTAAAAGAATATTAAAAAAGAAGATTATTTAATCACAATATAAATTAGTTATTAGTTATTAGTTATAAGTTATTATATATTTATGTTAGTTTATTGATTGTTTAATTCAAAGTGTTTAGTATCAGGATATAAACAATCAATATTCGATTTTGTTGTTATTAATAGAGATAGATACTGTTATATAATTTAGATTACAGTTATTAAAAAATAATGAATAACAGTTTTAATAGTGGAAATGTACCAAAAGAGAATACAGCTATTTATAAAGATCTAAGATTATCTATTCAATCATGGGTTGCACCATCTGTCTTGGTGATAACATCACCTACAGTAACGAAACTATTTCAAAAGATGTCAACTACCACCGGTAACTCTTTTACCGATATTTTGAATCAATATGTTAATGATAAGCGTAAAGGTAGTAATATTTCAATTTACTGAACCAACAATCAATATTTATATAAATATACCTTATTAACATTAACACATTCAAATCAAACTAACAAACAAACAAACAAACAACAAAACTTGTAGTATCAGTAAAAGTAGGTGAATCATACTATGAATTGAACGAATTAAAGTTGAATTTCATTACGTTGCAACATCTTGAACCCGCCAGTTTTACACAGTCGATCACCGACACCTCGACTTCAGTAGATGCAATGGCAACCGATGAATATTGTTCAAACTTTAAGATTAGAACAAAACAAGATGTTCCTTATTTTCATAAAGGTAATAATTAGTTGTATTAGTAATATTGTTTATAACTAACTAACTAACTAATTATTAATATGTTGTTATTTTATATATATTTATTAGTTTGTCAAGATCCAACACCTTGGTTCGAGAAATATAGACATCATTACTTGAAATCATGTCATAGTCCAGAGTTGGAGACATTCTCACATCCGATTGCAGTGATGTTGATCGTATCGAGTGAAGATTCGAATCCAATCGGTTTGTTGGTGAAGATGTTTGACAGTGCGAAACCACCTGCCATCTTCCAGCAGTACAACGCCGATGCAAACATACCAAAGATCTATATTCTCGTGCATCCAGAGAACTCTGAGGTCGAATCGGAACGACGTCTATCAGAGATGAAGAACACGTTCGGTGCTACCAACTCTTACCTCTTGCGTATCTCACCGAAAGAAGACGATGGTGGTCTCACCTACGAACCGTCGACCGCCAACAACAGCAACCCTCTCTACACGATCGTCAGTGATCTAACAATGAAACACATTCCAAATTTCATTGAGAAATCTATATTGGAATTAAATGATACTGTATGTATAAGTAATAATTGTTATTGGCGCCAGATCAAGTTACTAATAGATCTATCTATCTATGCTTATATTGAAATAATTATAATATAGATTGTTGCAAATAAAAAGAGTTTCTTCTCAAAGATGAAATTGAGAATTGGATATAAGAAGAATGAGGATGAAGCAACGTCGGCTGTTTCCGTTGAATCTTGTCAACGTAGATTATCAGATCTCTATTTCCTCTTGCAAGACTATGAGAATGCATTATCGAATTACAAAACACTACTAAAGGAATTCAGTGCCGAAAAGACACCAAATCATTATGCTGCTACCTATGTAAGATAGAAAAGATAATTTAGCTTCTTTATCTAAAATGGTTTATTAATTAAATTAAACTTTAATATATATAGGAAATGATTGGAATATGTAATTTTATGTTGAATAAAGAAACTGAATCACAGTTTGAAACAGCTATCAATAATTATACGAGATCGGGATTGAATGCAGCATCGGTTCGTGCAGCGATGATACAAGGTGAGATATTGAAACGAAAGTCTAGCTACAAGTTGTTGGCCGATCTCTACAAATCGATTGCCGAGCGAGAGATTGATCCTTTCTGTGCTGCGGTGTTGTTGGAGCAGGCCGGTTTCTGTTTGTTGCAATACCCGGCACCGTCGTTCAGAAAGGCATGTATGCGTTTGGTGCTTGCCGGTGACAAGTACGCCGAGGCATCGAAGCGCAAACACGCATTGCGCTGCTACGGATTCTCCTATGGCGTGTACGAAGGTCGCGATTGGAACTACATCGACGACCATCTCCATCTGGCGTTGGTGCGTTACTCGTTCTTCCAAGGACACACCAGCGACTCGATTCTGTTTGTCAACAAACTGCTCGAGAAGAACTGTCAGTCTTTCCAATCGCAAAACTCGATCATTCGTGAGTTCCTTTTCATCTCGAAATCCACTGCCAAGGACAACTATATCGGTGAGTTGCCGTTGCCGTTGATCAACAACGACCGCACCCAAGTGTTCCTCTCTGATTACTCGACAGAGTTGAATCAGTTGGTTTGGCAAGAGATGGAAGAGGCGTTCAAGAAAGAGGCATCTATCATTACAAAACCGGTGCTACAGGGATTCGATTTGTGGCGAAAAGATCAATTCCAAGAGGCAGAGAAAGAGAGAACCATCGTCGTTGAGGAACCGATCACAGTCGAATGTGAAATTAGAAATCCTCTGCAGGTTCCACTGCAATTCAACCGTGTACACTTGGTTGCCACCTTTAAGAATTCGCAGACACAAGAGGAAGAATCCAATATGTCGCCACTCGACGACGATGCTCTTGCCGCAATGGACAATGGTCAGACACCATTCAAAGTGGAATCGATCGATCTCCTTCTTGGACCAAGTGAAACAAAGAAATTGGTTCTATCGATCATCCCACTCAAACAGGGTCAACTCATTATCAAAGGACTTGGTCTATGTATGTGTGGTTCCGTTTGGGGTAAAAGACAATTCAATTTAAAACAAAAGAGATTAAACAAGTATGTAAAAAACAAAAAAAAAAAAGATTAACATATAACTTTTGACTTTATATTAATATTATTTTTTATTTATTTTTCCAATAGAACAAGACAACAAAGAGAATCAGTTGTTTATGAACCAAATTTAACTTTAACTTTTAGTGTTACTTCACCAATGCCAAGATTGGAAACACAGTTTATTGAATTCCCGGCTGCTCTTAGTCATGGTGAAATGAAACAAGCAAAATTACAACTTAAAAACTGTAGTAATAAGATGGGTTTGAAAAATGTAAGAGTAAGACTAAGTCATCCAACTCTTTGTTGTTTTGGATCAAATAATAATGGTATGTTAACTGTAAAAAAAAAAGAACTTTGTTTTTAGTATAATGTTATTAACTTTTTAAATATTTTTCAGATGCCAGTATATTGAGTACATTGGATTCATCGATTTTATTGAATATTGAATTACCACCTGGTGCAACTGTGACTGTTCCTTTGTGGGTACGTGGTTTGGTCGTTGGAAGATACAATCTGAGATGCTTGGTATACTATGAGTCGGAAGCAGGTAACTCTGATTTGAAGTATCGTCTCGCTAGATGTCAAACCGATTTCGATGTGAAAGCATCACTTCGTATCTCAACATTCTCACAGCAATCATCGACCAATCTCAACAACTACTTGCTGGGAATCGAAGTTGACAATCCAATTATCGGTGGTGGTGGTGACGTCTTTTATTTGAAACAGATTTCATCGATTTCCCAGCACTGGAAGATCACTCCACTCTCCTACAAAGAAGACGTACCAAACAATTCGATTCTAACATTGCATCCAGGTCAATTCACCAATTTATTCTTTGGAATAAGTCCAACTGCAGAGCAACAACAAAATGTTAACCAACAACAGCAACAACAACAACAGTTAGCCATCACCAATATATCGTTCGATAAGAATGAACCAATGTATGACTCTTCATCATTCCCTGTTTTCCAATTTTTGGAATACGAGAAGATGTCACATCACGATTATTTCCAGGGTGCATTGAGTATGGGTGGAGCTGCTCCTGGTGGCTCTGGTGGACACAACTCAAATCATATGACAGCCAGCAACGTTGGTACTGCCAACAGCAATATACAATCATCGAGAGAATCACTCTCTTTGAAATCACCAATTTCAAGTGAGTTTACGCTTGGCGAGCATCAGAATCTCTTGGATCTCATGTTGTTCTGGGAGTCGGTACCCTCATCACCTTCACAGAAACTTGTTCCAACAACATCATCAACAACAGCACCAACATCGACTACCCTAGCCAACACTATTGCAACCATTCCATCAACCGGTGGTAAACCAACTCCAAGAATGGGAGTGTTGAATGCAACCTCCATTTCATTCCTACCGACACACTTTAACGACACAACGCTCGCTACACCATGGGGATCTTGGCGCAATACTACGTCGCCCACCGGCAAGTCATTGATGTACGTCGACCCATCCCTTAGATTCCAAGCTCCTCTGCGTCATCAGTTACAGTCGCCACTTTCAATTCAACACGACTTCCAAAAGAACTCAATCTGTACAACACCACTTAAATTGCAACTCTCGAATTGCTCGCCAACTCACACACTCCAACTATGTATCGATACACTTTTACCACATGAAAACCTAGATGTCACCAGTCAACTTACATCGCAATACTTTTGGACTGGAATCACGCGTTACAACATTGAACTTGCACCACTACAATCGCAAGAGCTTCCTCTCAGCGTTTGCTTCCTAAGGGCTGGAACATATAATATCAATCGTTATAAAATCAATATCAAAATCAATAACAGTGAGTTCTCTAAAGATATTTATTCAACAGTTCAACATTTAATTGATGTAGAAGATTCAGAATAAAATAATTATAATAAAAAAATATGATATTTTTCACTTTATTTGAAAAAAAAAAAAAAAAGAAAATTGTGTATGTTGAACGAGTGATCCAATTCAGATCGATCCTTTGAACATGTTCGCTTCGATTTTTTTATTAGCGAATTTTTCAACAAAACATTGTTTGACGATCATGAATTCGTTGAATAAAAAAAAAATGATTATCATCTGAAGTTTTTTGATTTTTTTTTAATCAGTAACCAAACTATTTAAACTATTTGCAATAGTTTCCAAACAGTATTTTATTTGTCATTAGCAAAACAGTTAAATAACAATGACTACATCATCAAGTAGTTTCATTCAACCTTTTGTAGAATGGAGACAAGCTGAAATCAAAAGTTTTTATCCAAATAAAGATTTGGGCAATTTTGCAGAATCTGTTTTCCAAGCAAATATTTATTTAAGTAATTCAACTTTTATAAATGGATTTGATGTTGTCAAGCAAAAGTCAGATGAATATTTTTTAAGTCTTATCAACTACTATTTACCACCACTTGGTCGTGCAGTAATTGGAAACCAAAATGCTCCTTCGCTAGAGATGATTCAAAAGACCAATTGCAATTCATCATTCAAATCATTCTTTGAAAAGTATTCGAAACTGTTCTTGCTTCAAATGCTTTTCAAGGAAAAGAATAGTACCCGTTATCCAACACCGATTCGTGGCGATAGAGTCGAACAAGAGATGAAGGCAATGAACAGAGATTCTCTCCTAAGCACTCTCACCATGCGACTCTACTACTTTGCACTCAGAGACACCTGTCCAGGGTTTCTTCCGTTCATCTATAATGCCCAGAAAGTCATTCCAAACGTTAGATCCTACTTGAAGACACCCGCCATGGTTCAAAGGTATGTCTCTACAGCGTACACTACCAACAAATCAAGTGAAGCCAAACGTAGCCCTCTGGATTCAACTGCATTCGCTGAGCTCAAATCCAAGTTGGATTTACTGGATCCAACATTTGCTCTCTCTTCTGAAATCATTGGATTGTATAACAATGCGTTGTTGGCACTCTATGCTTCACAGGATATCAAGCAGACACCCGTCACCCAGAAGATCTACGAGGAGACCATCCAATATTTTATCAAGAAAACCGAATCATCGAAAAATGAATTCCTTGAAACTGTGAAAAGATTAAAGGCACTCTATCAAGGCAGTGTTATAACTTTATCTCAGAAACTATCACAGGCGTTCTTCTCTGTTGCTCAGAAAGCTACCATTGAACTTGGAAACATCAGCGATAAACACATGTACACATTGGATAGCACTCGTTACATATTTGAACTCAGTAAAACCAAAGGATTTGCAAACAACCCTGCATTTACACAGTTGAAGAATGATGTTAATTTCTACAAGTTTTCCAATGGTCTAATGCTTGGTTGTCAAATCCTTACGATTGGTTATGGATTGCTTAACTACAACAAGATGGATGTTTTCGAAAAGACATTGTTTTGGTCAGGTGCTGGTTTGACAATCGTTGATCTTGTCAATGTAGTGGGTAGTAGTTTGTTCAACACCAATATTTTTATTTTTATTGGTCAAAGGATATCCAGCTACACTGTCTACAACAAAACCGCTACAGTTGCCAAGATGCTCACCAACGCAACGAAATTCACTGGCAAGTTTTTCATCTACATTTCTAAATATGTGACCCCGGTTCTGCTCGTTGTAACCATTGGATTAGCTGCTGCTGATTGCTTTAATGCCGCCAAACAACAGAGTTGGGGTATGTTGGCGCTTTCAACCATAGAACTATCGGCTAGCGTGGCACTCTTGGTAATAGGTTTGTTTGCCGTAGCTCCATGGGCTGGACCTGTGATAATAATTTTGTCCGCAATTCTTGTTGTGACATCTCTGGTCAAAGCATTAGTTCCGATTGTTGTGAAACTCATTGATGAATTCAAGAATGGTACTCCGGAATACCAATTCATTTATTCTGTTGATCAATATTTCAGAATGGATGAAAATAAATTCTTTGCTTATGCGTGGTATACCAACTACTGTTTCTGTACACCACAGCAAAAAAAAATGTATGACTATTTGAAAACTCAAATGACACCAGAGGATCAGAAGATACTTAATGACTATAGATTAAAACCAAGTTATAAATAAATAAAAATATTTCGATTGAAATAAAAAAACTTTTTTTCTTCTTTTTTTTTATTCTTAATTATAGGTTGACACAATTGAAGTCTCTGAATCGTTGAATCATGAACATGTTTTATCAGACAACTGTTGAGCAATATTAGGATAGAATAGATCTAACAGTAGTTGAGTGTTGATGAACAACAGTATAAAGTGGTGGCACGTAGTAGGAAGGATTTAAGCTTTTGGAGCAGATCATAATTAGTTAACTTCCCTTTTGGCATAGCGGGAAAATCCATTGGTTAATTGGTATCTATCTTTAAGAAGGTTCATCTGTGTGATGCTTGTGGAGCAGATGATAATTAGTTAACTTCCCTTTTGGCATAGTGGGAAAACCCATTGGTTACACTATCTTATTTTCTTACCGCATCCGGACACCGGAAAATTTAAATTGTTTTTAGAAGGTAACAGGCGGGATTGAACCGTCGACCAAAGGATTTGCAGTCCTCTACTCTACCACTGAGCTATGTCACCTTTCGATGAAGAATTTGTTTTGGAGATGGTGCGGTATGGCATAATGTAGAATCAATGGTGCCTTTGGTACATACAACTCTGAGACAACTAAAGAAGGTCAACCTACTGTCCACGACCTACCCTACTATCATCATAGAATCACCCAATACAATAATCCCACTCAAAACAAAATTTTAAAATGGATCATTGATAGCAACTAAAAAAATAATTTTAATGGGCTATTGATTTTCAAAAATTTCAAAAATAACAAAAGAAATAAAAATAACCCATTTGGCAACAGAGAATTTAATTTTTTTTTTTGGTTTTAATAAGAATATATTACAAACCTCTAAAATGGTTTATTCACTTGAAAAACAAAAAAAAATTAATAAACTGTGCTTTTTGTTTTCAAAAAAATAATATTTAATACTTACTGCGTAAACGCAGAAACCAAAGTTTGTCGAAGTCTTTCCAAGACCGGGGTATAATGATATTGACTTTGTTTTCTCGGTTGGATACTTAAGTTGGCCAGGCTTCCCAAGATCCAAGTATACAACAGCAATTTCCAGCAGAAACTGTCTTACAGAAATATAGATAATAATTATCTTTCCACACGAGTTAGTTTGAGTTTGGGTTATTTCACTTTTTTTTTTTTAAAAAATTAGTATGTAGTTTTTTGAAAAAAAAGTGAAAAAGACAAAAATTAATATGTAAAAATATTAAAATAAAAAAAGTGAAAACTTAAAAGTTCAATTTTTTAATTAAGAGGGAAACAAATTTGTCAACCACTCAAATTTACTGTGAAGTTAAACAATGTTCTTTACTCTATATATTTATATTAACTTAAATAATTAGTTTTTTTAGATCTACTAATTTTACAAGCTATTATTTTTTCAAGTATTATCTATACTATTTTTAAATTAAATTGTTATGAAAAAGAAAGAAAAAAGCAATATACAGCCATCTGCAATCGATATACGTACTTGCAGTTCAGATGAGTTATCAAAACTGTTGAAGGATCAACTCATTCAGCTATGTATCATCAATAGTATCAAGGCGATTAAAAGTGCAAGGAAATCAACTATTATCAAACTGATAATAGACACCAGAGATAAACGAAATGCATTGGTTTCATTTAGAAATGAACTTTCATTGTTGAATCGAGATCAACTCGAAAGGTTCTGTTTAGTGAATAATGTAAAAGTGTTCGAGAATACTAGGAAAGAATGTCTTCTTCAATATTAAAGAAGCACAATATGAATTACAAAAGAAATTGGTCGATGATAATCCATCGAATAAGTTCCACAGAGGTCATGTCGAATACAATCTTCCAGTGATGATCATCACCAAGATACTTAGATATTGTTGGATACTATCTACTTCGAAACACAACTCTCCGTTCCCCCTTTACCGAGAAGCTCTACAACTGACATTAATCAACAAACAATTCTTTGGAATTGTCAGTCTGATGTTTAACAATGTTAGAATTCATCAATCTTATCAAAAGTAAGAAGTTTAAGATATAATGTATCTATACTTTCTTGTTTATTGTTATTAACTTTATTCATTCTTACAATCGAGACAACCATTGGTGATATACCCTCAAATTCATAGATTAACTAATATATGGTGTCCAATCAAACATATTGTCAAGCTTGATTTCAATCTTTCCTTGTTTGGATCGTTAATGGGAAACATTTCTACACATTTAACATATATCTTGTCGAGGGTTGAGAAACTACAAATTCATTATGATTATAACAATAAAGGCAATCTAAGAGTAATGTACATCGAGAAACTTTTGTGTATGACCAATCTCCAATCTCTTACTCTCATTGATTTATCATTGGATTTGCCACATATCAAAGCATTACGCATAATCAATTCGCTTAGGAAGGTAGATCTAATACAATCATTCATTAATCGTCCACACGAAGCTTTTACTCTACTTTGTAGTTTACCGTTGCTCGAAACAATCAAAGCTAAAAACCTGAATGTCACTTGTATTGCAGGCCGAAGAGCGACGTACATCAAAAAACTTTTAGGTATCAGTTTAAAGCAGGACGATAATAGTAAAAGCTTTGAATTTCCGAATCTTCAAAAGATATCGTTCACAGACAACCCAGAGAATCATAAATTGTTCAACCAGTTCTCTTTTGCGAATATCACATATCTATCGGTTTATTTGATTTCATATATAAAATATTGGGTACCAATCTTGGAGCAATTAAAATGTTTGGTCACACTCGAGGATCAAACATTTCATATTACATCATATGGTCAATTGATGAGTAATGAACTTAAAAACATAGCACTGCCAGCAACACTATCTCGAATCATCATCCATGTCAGCACTGAATTGGAAATAAACAACTATTTGATTGAAATGGGTTATCATTACTCGAGTCAACATATTCTATGGACAAATGATAGATTTGAATTCATGAAAACTAAAAAAATAATTTTTAATAAAAATTTAAAGTAAAAACACACCTCAAATCTTTGTGTTTATTAAATTCGATTTTTTTAGTGTGTTAATTAAATATCGATTAAGATTAATGGCTTATTATTTATTCATATATTATCTATATTTCTACAATTTTCTATCTCGATTATAATGAAACAATAATCGAATATATTTCTATATTAACAAAAACATAGTTTTCAAATGTACAGTTAATTACTACATAGAATATAATCATTAATATTATAATAAATCAAACAGACAATCAATAATGAATAAGAAAGAAACAAATATTTCTTATTTAAACAAATTTAGCGATATACTTACATGTAATATAGATGAGTTATCAAAGCTATTGAAGGTTCAAATCTATCAGCTATGTGTCATCAATGGAATCAAGGTGAAAACAAGTTCAACTAAATCAACTCTGCTCCAACTGTTAATAGACAAAAGAGAGAAACATTATCGATTGATTTCATTTAGAAATGAACTTTCATTGTTGGATCGAGATCAACTCTATAAGTTCTGTTCAGATAATAATGTAAAACAACATCATTCTACTGGTATAGATATGCTTCTTTTACAGGCAATCGATATTAAAGAAGCACAATATCAATTGCAAAAGAAATTGGTCGATGATAATCCAACGATTAAGTTCCACAGAGGTCATGTTGAATACAAACTTCCAGTGATGATCATCACCAAGATACTTAGATATTGTTGGCAGTTATCGACGAATCGCCATAGTCCTTTATTCTCATACCGAGAAGCACTAAAACTGACACAAATTGACAAACAATTCTTTGGAATTGTAGGTCAGATGTTTAACAGTGTCAAACTTCGTATTCAAGCACCGTAAGAACAAACTAAACATATACTTTCAAATTTGCTGTAACTAATACTTGAAGTTTCATATGAATACAGAAAATCTGAATTTCGTAACGCAACAGAGAGAGAAGCTCAAATTGTTCGACTTACCAATGCATGGTGTCCAATCAAACATATCGTAAAAATTCAATGCAGCACAATAACCTTTGGATATTTAATGGAAGTACAGTCTGCTCATCTCCAACATATTTTATCAACCGTTGAAAAGATATCTCTCTATAAAGAATCTAATCTCAGGGTTCTTAAAGCTAAGAGCATATCTGATATTAAATTTTTAGCCAATCTTCAATCACTCAAGCTCGAATATAATCACCTCTCTCTAGATCCCTCGGAGCTCCAAGTAATTTGTGCAATCAGTTCACTAAAAAAGATAAACATTATTAATGTTTTTGGGTACCCAGATGACACTATCTATTCATTATGTAGTTCTTTACCGCTACTGGAATCAATCAAAGTAAAGAACCTCGATATCGATACTATTCCTCACGCCAGTCACTCTAGAATCAAAAAACTTTCAAGAGTACTTTTGAAAGCGTCATTCAGCAGCTTTGAACTTCCCAATCTTCAAAAGATATCATATGAACCATACAATGGAGAGCAAATCAACGAAAACCATATTAAATTCCTCACGCTATCGAATATCACACATCTTTCAGTTTATTTGAAATGTAAAATCGATGTTTGGATACCAATCATAATTCAGTTAAAGTGTGTTGTCACTATCAAGGATTTAGAATTTCATCAACAATCCGATGGACAAGCATTCAATAACGTACTCCAAAACTACACACTACCACCAACACTGTCACGAATCATCATTCGAACCAAAACAAATGAATTTGATCCAAACAACTATTTGAATGATATTGGATATCAATATTCAAATACCTATTTCATTGGTGACTATCGACATCGATCAATGGTTTTTAATAAAATTAAAATTTAATTTGTTTCATTCCATCAAAAAACAGAAGAAAAATATTAAAATTTGAGTGTTGGATTTTTTTATTTATTTAAAAAACAACATGTTGAACTGACAGAATATTCGTATGATGTTACATTAGATATGGATCAAAGTATCATATCATTTTAAGTACCAAAAAACTATTATTTATTATTATTTATTTGTTTAATTTTTATCTAACGTTTTTTTATATTTCTACTTTCTATTTTTTTTTTAAAAATAAATAAATTAAACATAAATAGATGCACCCAAACTCAAACCATCTCGTATGCAAAGATAATTTATTATCTATATTTATGTAAGAGAGTTTCTGCTGGAAATTGCTGCTGTATACTTGGATCGTGGGAAGCCAGGCCAACTTAAGTATCCAGCCGAGAGAACAAAGTCAATATTCTTATACCCCGGTCTTGGAAAGACTTCGGGCAAATTTGGTTTGTGCGTTTACCCATTAAGTATTGAACTTTTATTTTTTTTTTTTTTGAAATCAAAATGCACAGTTTATTAATTTTTTTTTTGTTTTTCAAGAGAATAAACCATTTTAGAGGTTTGTAATATTTAACAAGCTTATCATTTTAAAAAAAAAAAATACATTTTATTGTCGTTTGGTAAAAGCTTGATTAGTTCTTGATTTTATTAAATAAAAAATAAATAAATTTTGTATTTTTACTTCATCTTCTTCTATTTGATTTAAGCACATTATCCAAAATATGACAACATACACAACCAATCAATAATGAATCATAACACAACAAATAATACCAGTGATGATCATCACCAAGATAATAGGATATTGTTGGATGTTATCTACTTCGAATCGTTGCAATCCTTTATTCTCATACCGAGAAGCACTACAACTGACACGAATCAAATAGCAATACAAAAAATAATAATAAAAAAATAAAAATATTCAATAATAATAAAGAATAAAAATAATAAATAATAAATAAAAAAACACTTTCGGTATGCCCCACGCTTCTAGGATTCATATTTTTATTTATTTTTATTTTATTTTTATTTTTTGGTGAGGGAATGAGGGAATGAGGGAATGAAGGGGAATATCTTCAAAAAATATATTGTAAAACAATCAGTATTCTTAGTTATCATTAACATTGTGTTTGAAATATCTTACATATTAATTTTATGTCAAAAGTTAAGCAATTTTTAAAAAAGACATTTTTGTGCTTTAAACCAAGATGATTTCAATCAAGAAAATGAATTCTCATTGATTTCTTCTTTTATAAAGGTATTATACTGGATTTTCGAGATCGTTTTTTTATGATTACATGCAGAATATTAACATTGTAATATATGTATATTTAAATAGGTATTACTCAGTGATAATGATATTACGAATGATATCAATCAGTTTGATGATGTTAAACAATGTATATCAGAATATTTCAGCCAAATTAAAACTGATAAGACATCAATCAATCAAACATTTATCTCTAACGCACTGAATTCACCACTTTTCAACGATTTCTATTGCATCAGTTACTTACTTTCATTCTGTGAGCAACCTGATGTTCTGGATGTATATCTGTATATCTTTTTCAAGAGCATAGAGATCGAAAATTCAATCAACTCCATTCGACGTTTTTCATTGTTAAACATATCACTCAATATTGAATCTTATTTTTTTAAGAGTATCGAGGATGATCATAACAACAAAAATAGTATTTCAAATCTGTCAATTCAAAACAAGACAATATTATTATGGTATATACTGAATGTCAATGCTAGTTTACTCGAACAAATATATAAAAACGATAAATACATATTCCGGTAAGTTACTTACTTTCTATTGACAACAGTAGTGTTATAAACTAACTTAATATTCATTCAAGTATGTTGGGTAACGACGATGATTCACAATCAAATGAATATCTTACATTCTTTAATATTTTGATTCATGTTGGATGGCTCAATCCTCAGGAGAAAGTCAAAGAAGAATACCAACACTACTTGAAGAAAAAAGTAAAAGTCAAACAAAGTGCTCTAATAGATTTGTTTTTATCGAGCAGTTCAAACAAGAAGATACTAGTTGGTTCATTGTTTAAAATGAATTCATACTTTATCAGAGATGTTAATGTCGATTCTATTGTTCAACGATTGGAAACATCAGAGTTTGGAGAGATGATGATTCGTCAATTTCCATTACACGTTGGAATAAGGAATTTGGAATCATTGCTTATTTTCGACATCTACAGAGTGAGAGCCATTGAAATGCCTTCCAATCTTTTTCATCATATTTTGGAATATATCAAATCGAATGATGTGGATATTATATTATATTTTGATAAATGTAAAAGATTATTTTCAAGGAAACTCTACATTAATCACTCTGGCAGTTCATTGTCCAAGATATTGTTGTATTTTTATCAACGAGTTAAAGAACCAGTTATATTTAGAGTATTGGTTAATTCACTCATTCTCATGGAATCATTAGATCGCGAATTAATTCAAAGTGTTCTTACACCGTTCAAACTAGAGTTTCTTCAATTTTCGAATAGCTATGTCCAAGAATATGGATATCTTTTTTCCGATCGAATGAAATTCCTCAGAATGGTTTCAGGATTCTTTACAGACCATAAGCATTTGCAGATCTTTCAAACCAGATTTTGTCGTACTTTCAAATATTGTAAATTTGCTCTCTCTTTGCCATGTACAACTACAACCAGCTTGATATTGGACAACAATATCAAAAATTGTGCATGCTAAGGAAATTGGTTCGATGAAATTTCTCATGGAAATCGAGAGTATTGACAATATCGTTATATTTTTAGAGTTGTTGTATTCTAAATTCGCCATAGATTTTGTTATTTGCGATCCATTCGCTTCAATTGGCTTCAAATTGTTTGATAGGATACACAATCACGATCCAACTTTAATCAACAAAATATTCAAAAAGATAAATCACCAAATAGTTTTCAACATCATAGTATATCAAAGATCTTTTTCATATATCAATCGATTCTTTCCAGAAAATCAGAAATCACCAGTTCAACAATGTTATTTAGATTGCAATACCACCAAACCCACACCAACTTTAAATTATGTGGTTCTAAAGCATATCATTTCAATGTTACTCTTTGATAAATACTTGGATACGAAATCTAAGGTTCAGCTTTCAATGGTTTCCAAAATTTTCTTCAACTGTTGTTCTTCTCTCTTTACCAATATTCCAAACGTGACCATCCGAATTTCAAGCAGACTCGAACATATTGGTTCACAGTTTTGCTTATTCAAGAAACCACCTCCTCACTTGGATGACACTGAACTTAAATATATTCCCTATGCTTTCAAAACGGAATGTCTTGACAATCTAGAATCATATAGACATTTTGAATTTGGATATTCTATTCCTGAAACACCGATCTTTATGAATTTGAAATTCCTTAAATTCAGAAGATCGTTATTCGGAACAAATACTCATTTTCAAAGAATGTTGGATGCCACTAACAAAGATCAATTGGTTTCGGTGGAATTTATTTTTTCAAATTTACGCTCAATTTTGGTGAATGAAGAAATATCAGCTCTTTTGGAGCTAAGAAAATCCTGTCCCAATGTCAACATCTCAGCATCTGCTTCAACAACAGATATCGCCATCGACAATCCTGATCAACACTCTCTGATCACATCTTGTTATTTTGATTCAGAACCCCCCAAGAACATAATTCTTTCCAATCTTAGAAAGATACAAGTCAGAGAAGACTTTACATTAACTAGATGTAATAATTTTGACTGTATGACACATATCTTTCAGACTTCGCCGAAACTAAGATCGATCAAACTCGATCAAACTCTAAATCTCGAGTTCTTCATTGGATTCATTAATCTGAATCCAAACATATGGAAATTGACTATCCAATATAATATTTTTGTAAAAAATGATAACAAGATTGAACCCATTTCATTAGTAACCGAGTTAAATCAAGTTTTCGATATATTAAATCAAGAAAAAGGACAACAAATTAAAATAGTAAAATTAATTTACAATGGATTCAATGGAAATGATATCTATATTCCAATGTTAAATCAATCACTTTTATCAGACAACTTGGTTAATATTGGAAAGTTTCGACCTATGAATGATAAACTTTATAAATTCAAAAGAATAACTGATTAAAAATATATAATAAATAAAAGTATATTTTACATGATGTATTACAAGTAATCGTAAATGATATTATTGGTGGAAAGATACAATAATAAAAGATATTGATAAATATATAAGATACATGAACTTTATATTCTCAATCTCATCCAATAGGTTGTTTAATAAAAGTTTAATTTTTTGAAAGACGGTTTTTTTCTTTTTCATTTTAATGAGGTAAGAGTAAATTTTAAAATTAAATGAGAATAATTTTTTTATGATCATTCATTTTACATTTAAATAAATTTGGACAATGAGTTTACATTCTAGTTCAATCAGTATTTATTAATAGTGAAGATGAATTTTTAAAGTTAAATAATGATAAACAGATTGATGACATAACTTTATCTCTATTTAAAATCCAACGATAATCGATTAGATCTAGCTATCTTTATTGGTTTTTTCGACCACCCACCAACTTGATAGAACAAACACAGCCTTGACAAGTAATTTGGCCAAACACGTCAAGTCTCTTGGAACAAGTAGAGTTGTTAAAAACGATTTTTTTTTTTTTTTTTTTTTTTTTTTTTTTCAAAACATGATCAGCCAACAAATTGGAGGTATTTATATTAACCGGCTAGTTCGGGTTTTATATTATATATACATTCCCACACAGGCCGGGAAAAATACCCAATAAAATATTATTATTATTATTATTATAGTTTATAGTTATAATTAATTAATAAGTTGAGAGTAGTGTTAAGATAGAATAGATCTAACAGTAGTTGAGTGTTGATGAACAACAGCAATACTAAAAATTTTATTCAAATTATACTTTATTTCAGCTTCTAAGTCATTTTTCGAATAACACATTAGATATACTTGTGTTAATTTTTAATTGGTTGAAATTTTGTTTAAAAATTAATAAAAACACTAAAATGTATCTCTGTGTGAAATAAATGTGATGTGTGAAACAATAAAAACACCAACAACAATAGCATATATGATTACTGATAATTTTTTAATTGGTAGTATATATAATTATAATTAATAATCAAACACAACACCACCAACAACTACAACAAGATAAAATTTAATAAAAAACAAACCAAAGATAGGATGGTGATTGGGCTTTAGTTTGTTAAATATGAAATATCAATTCAAAAGAAATTAATTATAATAATCTTACCATGTTACATAAAAAATAATAAATAAATATAAAATATGTATTATATTACTAATGTTGTAATTTATTTATTATAAATTTATAATTTTAGTAAGTTAATTTTATTTATTTATTTATTTTATTTAAATTAATTTGGTTGCTGTTTATTTATTTATAAACTTGGATTTGGTTTTTAAATTAACATTTTATTCTTATTACTAAAATTATTTAATAATTACAAATAGAAAATGTCAATACCAACAGAAGTGGAAAAAAGAAAACGATTCACTGGGAATTGGTTTTTGGGTTTGATAAAATATCATTTTACAAATAATGAATATAAAAGAAGTGAAGAACAAATTGAGAGAGAGAAATATGTATTGGGGTGTATACCTTTTAATAGATGGTTTCTATTTCCATCGGCAGTTTTAATTCAACTATGTATCGGTTCGCTTTATTCATGGTCAATTTATAATAAACCAATTGACAAAGAGGTGAATGGAAATGAGAATGAAGGAAAGGGGCCAATAACATTTTACATTGCAGTTGGTGTATTTGGTTTTTCTGTTGCCACAATGGGAACCTGGCTTGAGCGTAATGGTCCGAAGATGGGTATCTTCTTTGGTGGTTTATTCTTTTCAGTTGGTCATTTAGTAACAGCTCTTGGTATTCATCTTAAACTGATGTGGTTAATCTATATTGGATATGGTATTCTCGGAGGATTCGGACTTGGTTTAACATACATATCCCCAGTCTCCACACTACAGAAATGGTTTCCAGATCATCGAGGTCTGTCTTCTGGTTTTGCAGTTTGTGGATTTGGTGCTGGTAGTATTGCATTTGGTCAGATTCCATTGCCAATCATTGAAAAAGTTGGTCTATCTCTGAACTTTGTAATACTTGGTTGTATTTTCTTAACGATAATCCTGTCACAATGTCTACTTATTAGAGTTCCTCCACCTGGATACATTGTAAATGGAATGAACTCAGATAGAGAACTTGTAGATGAGAATGGACAAATAATCACAGAGGAATCTGCCAATAATCCAGATATAGAAATATTAGAGATACCATCGAAGGAAAAGATACCGACAGAAGGAGAGAATGAAAAGGAGGATAAAAAGGAAACAGATATAGTGATAGTTGATGAAAAACAACAACAAGTTCATCAACAGCAACAGCAACACTTAGGTCAATCGACAACACAAAGAAGGAAATATACATTAATTCAAGCTTTGACAAGCAAGGAATTCATATTGATTTATATTATGTTCTTCGCTAATTGCCTGTTTGGTTTGGTTGCAATCTCACGTTTATCGAATATGATTCAAGATATTTTCGGTCAGTCAAAGAGTACTGCTTCCATGGTTGTATCGGTCAATGGAGGTTTCAATCTATTTGGTAGACTAGCATTTGCAACTACATCGGATTTAATAGGTAGAAAGGTTATTTTTATATTCACTCTTACCTGTCAAGCAATCATTGTTGGATTACTTCCAACCCTAACAAGAGAACATGAATACGTGGCATTCATAGTTGTAATATGGTTACTAACTGCTTGTTATGGTGCAGGTTTCGGAATGATTCCTGCTTTACTCTGTGATTTGTTTGGTTCTAAGAATGTTGGTGCTTGTCATGGTGTAATTCTTACTGCATGGAGTATAGCTGGTGTTGGTGGTGGTCTATTATTCACCGCCATCTTCAACAAAAAGAAAAGAGAAGGTTATACTGTTAATGATTATCAACCATATGCTGTAAGTATAATTAATTACAACAACCTTCAAACAAACATCAACTAACTAAACTAACACTTTATCAACTATTAACCAATTAATTATAAAATAGGTCAACTTTTATTGGATCCTAGCTATCATATTGATGGGATGGTGTATTATATTCTTTGTAAGAGTAACACCTAAACATCAAGGTAAAATACCATTACACAAAAGAATAATAAACTTTACTGTTGGAAGAATGGTCTATAAATAAAACAACTTGAATAACAACAATAACAACACACAAGAATTTAACTTTTCCTTTACATTTTACTTTACTTTACTTTATATTTATTTATTTATTTTTATTCACGAGTATAAAAAAATTGTTTTTCAAATAAATTTCGAACACAAGAAAATTGGAATTGTTATTTGTTTAAACAATTATAACTTTTCTTCACTTTACTTTTGAGTTAAGCGCGTTAATTGTAATTTACCACACACCAAAGACAAGTCTATTCAATCAATATAAAATTACTATGAGTGAGCAAACAGACAAGATTATTAACTATTAATACTTTTAAACTCCTTTTAGTAATAGAGTATTCAGCGTGTTAAAATTTAATATAGAATAATATTTATCTATTGTTTGCAAACATTCTTTCTAATCGGGAAATTAAAAATTAATAAGATTAATATTTCCCTCTAAAATATCATTTGCATTTACATTCGTAATATTAAATTTTTCTTTTTTTTTTTTTTTTGTATGTTAAAAACAATGATATTTTGTAGGGTTTTAAATCTTCAATTGTTATCTATTTTAAAAACATTCAAATGGTCATACTTAAAAAGTTACAGTTCCTGGAAACAGAAAAAACATAAGTAAAATAAAACCCTGAAAGCGGAGTATATCCAAAAATAGAATAAGTTGAGAAAATCAATAGGGTAATATGATTGGAGTCCGTTTTTTATTTTATTTAATTTTGAGCAAACAACTTTTGTTCTTACAAAGTTACTATCTATTGTATTCTCAACCAATTGAAGCTATATCGTCGATTTGACTGTCAATGATTGGGTTTGTTTTCGTGGTTGTGAATCGGTTGTTCGTCAGGTCTCATGCTATTGTTGTAACTACGCATGCCTCAAATAATACATCTTTTTAAAGTACTGATATTCATAGCGATGATGAATATCGGATCCGCTTGAATAGCATCGTTCACTACACCAGTAGACTTTTTTTTTTTTTTTTTTTATATATATTTGATACACTACTCCAAAAAGTTGTGACATGTCTTCTTTCAGAGGAGATCACTCTCGATCGAGAGGAACGATCTTTCAACCAATACAATCTCGCCAATCTCAAAGTCTTTGCTGGCAAAAGTTGTTGATATTTTCTTACTTTTTTTTTTTAATTTCACACTTGGCACTTGGTTGATTCGCATGCGGGCATTCAATTGGTAAAAGAGTGCGCATGCCGAGAATCGAACTCGGGCCTAAACGATGGCAACGTTCAATTCTACCACTAGACCACATGCGCTTGTATGATGGAATTTTCTTTTTTTTATTTCACTATATTCGTTTCTTTTTCACAAATCAAGTCCAACCACGAACTGATCCTGTTCAAACTTAGATGGTCGTACTCGATTGGAGATATGGCCACCTTCTGGTACAAACTTATCAACATAAACAACTAAGAGTTGGCACTCAATTACCAACAGAATCATCGACAACTTCAACAAAGACTGGTACAACAGTAAACTTATCACCACTAAGTTACATGCTTACCTAGAACATCGCATTACAGATTAAATCACAACACTCGGCTCTTTCTATTACCTCTATTATTATAATTATGAATTAAATTAAAGAAACAGACAGCAGTACCAAAAACCCGCGGTGCAAGTGATGTGTAGTTGAATTCATTAATGTGTTATTTCATATTATAGGTAGGGTTTGTTCACTAAATAAAACTGTAAGAGGAATTGATTTGGAAATTTTGTTTTTTTAAGTGACAATTCAAGGTGGAAGTTGAGTTTTTTAAACATATGTGAAATTTCATTTTATGCCTCCCCAAAATGAAAACAATTTGCACGAGAATACAAAAAAAGATGTGCAAAAAACAAACCCTACCTATAATATGAAATAACCTTAGGATAGAATAGATCTAACAGTAGTTGAGTGTTGAGGAACAACAGTATAAAGTGGTGTCACATAGTTGGAAGGATTTAGATTCCAATCTGGATGGGATTGCCCGGTATGACTTTGGAGAAGTGATTTTTTCTAAATCCATCTAATAAGAATGGAATCATTTGAAGGAAGGTGAAGAGGTTGGGTTAGTAAATTTTTTGGCAGAATCAAGCATGGATGACCAAGTTTTGAAGTAACCAAATGAGTTGCTTCTGTTTAACAACAGCAATCAATTCAAGACCCATATCTTGTAAGCAGCAGAGCGAAGAGATAAATCCCACAAATTCAGACCACCATCATTCCAGTGAAAGCAAGACCTGTCCCGAGACATCAAAGCGGTGAACTTTGCTTTGGCATCAGGTGCACTTTGAGGAACCAAGCAATGAGTCTGTTGACAAGTTTGAATTTCTTTTATTTATAAAAATGGTTTAATAACACCAAAAAAAATTTTTATTAATTTAAATACCTCTACCATTTTTAAATTAATTTTTTTCATTTAAGCTTGACAGGTGTTGGTGATTCAAGATAGAAGAGCATGGGAAGTACAAAAGATTTAATGATAGTTGATTTCGCTCTAAGAGTAAAAACTTTATACTTATAGAGAGCTAGGTTAGCTTTAATCAGATTGATTATACTTGCCAGTTTGGAGAATAATTCGCTGATTTTGTAAGCTTTTTTTTTTTTTTTTTTAAAGTAGAATGCTAATCTATTTAATCTAACTATCTTTATTATTTGTTATTGGATTTTTTGTGGATCGGAACTAAGAGAGTGTCAGCCAACTATTAGAGTGGTTACTGGTTTTTTAAGTTTGGATTGTAAGTTACTGATACTGTTATTAATAAATAATTTCATTTCTGATAAGTGCTGTATATATTCATTTATGATAGATTCGTTAGATAGTAGGTGTTTGTTCTCTAGTTGACCAGGTACGTTAGAGGAAGAGATCGGAGTCTTGGATGCGATCAGGGTTGCTTGGAATACATCCGACGGGAGTGAGTCTGGGTGTGTGACGGGAGGGACGATATCAGGAAACAAAGTAGAAGTTGATGGGATTGAATCATTATCATTATTGCTTTCGAGATCGTTCATTGTAAGATCATTTGTTGTGGTTGTTGTATCAATAGGTGCTGCTGCATTACTGGTTGTTGTGGTTGTTGTTGTTTGATCAGTTGGATCTGACATTTCTTATTCAAGTGATAATTAATAATAATATAAAATAATGTTTTTAATAATATCTTTATATAATTTAAATCTTTAACTTTATTTTAATTCTTTTTCTTATTTATTTAATTTCTTTAATTTTATATCTTCAATATTGAATAATTAATTGAATGAATCTTTAACGTCGCGTTAAACTCAATATATTCATTATTGAGAAGCTTGACGGCTGAGTGTTGAATACTTAATTTAAAAACAACAGAAACAACAGATTCTAATTTAATTATTATTTTGATCTGTTGTTTTGAACTATTACTTATTTAGTTGATTAATTAATTTAATTAATTATAATTGACTGTTTCTTATATGTTGGCTGGTGATTATTATTGATGTTGATTGATAGGTACCGGTATTGCCTTGGCGGCTACCTTATTGTCCTTAGACGCACATTCTTTGTTTTTGTTGTAAGCCAATCCAGGAAGCGAACGAGAGAAGAACAGGAAGACAGTGTTTCGTCCACGTTGGTGTTGATAAGCGATATATAGGTGAAGACACTGTCGTAAGAGGTGTAGTCGAATTTGGTTGGTGGTAGAGATAGTTGGAACTGGCCATCAGTCACTTCAGAAAGTCGTACCCCACTTATTTCAGTTTTTACAAATTTGGAATAATAAAAAATGAAAAAAAATTTGAAAAAAAATTTGAAAAAAATTTGAAAAAAAAATTACATCACATTAACATCTATTTTGATCGATTATGCGATAATATATCAAATATTAAAAATTTAAAGCATATCAGAACAAGTTCAGCAAATATGAATAGATTGCAAGATGAACAGAGTTCACAATAAAAGAACTTTAAAAAAGTAAGAATAATATTAAAAAATAACTAAATATTTTGTTTTATTTTTTTGTTTCTTGTTTTGCTTCTTGTATTGTATCTTCTTATCTTGTTTCTTGTCTTGTTTCTTATCTTGTTTCTTGTTTTGTTGTTTATCTTGTTTCTTATCTTGCTGTTTATCTTGTTTCTTGTCTTGTTTCTTGTCTTGTTGCTTATCTTGTTTCCTATCTTGCTGTATCTTCCTTTTCTTTTGTTTAATTCTCTCTTCTTCTCTTTTAATCTCCTATAGTCTTCTTCAACTACTTTCTGAAATATGGCTGGATGTGTTAATTTGTTTTGTGAATGTATTTCCAAAAGCGATTAAATTATCGTTGAATGTTATGTTCTTAATATCATCACATTTTTGGTTCATAATATCATCTAGTATATTCTTAATGTTGTTGATTTCCAATCTGATGTTTGTTGATTTCCATTTGGCGAATGATATTTCGACTACATATATCACCATCAAAGCACAACTCCAATTCGAATACCTTATCCAAATATTCATCATCTCTTTCTGTAGTATTACAGTCAAGAGTTCTTAGTAACTTCTTACTTCTACAAATAGATTCTTTTGTTCTAAATATCGATCCAAACACATGTCAATTTGATTAAATGTCAATCCACCAATACCTTCAAATACTTTGAAAACTTATATATAACTAGTATATTAATTCTAACTTTTTTTTTTTTTGTAAATAAATAGGTAAACACACTGAAAACTATAAATCTATTAAGATGTCAAACAGGAGTAGACACAACAAGGTTATTTCTCTCTCTTTTGATCTGATTATCCAATTGTTTTTGCACCCTTAACATGTGATTTCGTCTAATTCCAGTTTATTATTCGTTTCCCAACAAGGATGTTTGGTTTTCAGATGCTTGCATAGTTTGATAGAGTCACTTTTACTTGACAGTTGTTATGACAACACTGCTTCGAATTTATATCTGCATTCACTTGGAGTGGTTGCTCCCAATGTGACTTTTTCATTTCATTGGGGTGCTTTTCTCTCTTGTGCCTATTGAGTTTGGTCAATTCACTATAAGAATATAAACAATGCTCACACTTGAATTTAACACTATTAACGTGGTATGTATTTATTTTAGAAACTGAACTATTACTATTACTAATACTACTACTACTACTACCACTACTACTACTACTAATATAATTATTTTCATTTTCAATCACTTCGAACAAAATATTTAAGCCATAATCAGCCGAAACGTGATCTCTTGGGTTATCATTTATTATTTCAATTTCCTCATCATTGAATACACACTTCTTGTTATCATTTTCTTTGGTAGACTCTGGTTGCTCCAACTTAAACTTAACATATAGTTTTCCATCTTTTAAAAAAAATCATAACTAGAATAATATAATATATTCTGTATACAGGTAACAATTAAAAAAAAAAAAAAAAATTAAAAAAAATTAAAAAAAAATTAAAAAAAAATTGTGGGTGACCACACAACTGCCAAAATTTTTTTGTTTTTCAGTGAGGATGAGAATCTTGCTTGGGGTTCAAAAGTACCTACTACGTTTTACCAAATATAGGTGCTTTTTTTTCAATTATTTTTATAAAAAACATGCCAACAATGTGTGAGATAGGGGTTTAAATCATTTTTTTAGACGTACGAGTCCCCGGAGTGTTAGTGGTGGAATGCCATGCTTGACGATCAAAAGGTGGTCGTAGATTTTCTTTAGATCATAGCGAGATGCCACCACGTAACCATGGTTGTAAAGATCTCGTCTTTTTCATTATGTTTTTATATTTCTTGGAGTAGATGAACGGATTGGAGTTGGACAACCACATGTACCTTCTTTTTTTTTTTTTTTTTTTTTTTTTTTTTTTTGCAAAAAAAAAGATTTGTTGACTCATGATCAGTCAACAAATTGCAGGTATTGATATTAACCTGCTAGTTCGTGTTTTATATTATATTTACATTCTCACACAGGCCGTGAGAAATATAGCCAATAAAATGTTATTATTATTATTATTATTATTATTATTATTGTTATTAATAAGTTGAGTAGTATTAGGATAGAATAGATCTAACAGTAGTTGCGTGTTGATGAACAACAGTATAAAGCGGTGGCACGTAGTTGGAAGGATTTAGATTCCAATCAGATTTAAATTTACGCGTTAATGCAGAGCAATCGACAGTGATTCCTTGGGAGATAGAATTAGCGATTGTGAAATTAAGCTTGTGGTAATTGGTTTTTTTGCCGCTTGCGGTCCTTTGACACATACTAAAAATGTGCGCATGCCGAGAATCGAACTCGGGCCTAAACGATGGCAACGTTCAATTCTACCACTAGACCACATGCGCTTGTATATTTCCTCATTTATTAATATATTTTTTTATATGTATTTTTTTTGTGAAAATTTGATTCAAATTGCAATTTTATTTTAGGTACTCAAATTAATCTACTCTAAAAAGTATGTTTCAACTTGAACATGTCTTGAAAACAAATCTATAATTTATTTAAAACTAACATTATCTATTAACTTCTGACTCTCTTTTTTGGTCTATCGTTATTGTCATCTTGATCCTCTGTCTTTTCTTCAACTTTATCTGTAACTTTTTCATCAATCTCCTTTTCTGTTGTTTTTGATGTATCCGCTTCTTCGGTTAGCGTGGTCTTGTTCTTACTATCCAATAGGCTGTCTTCTTCTTCCATTCTATTCTTTTCTTGCTCCATCATTTCTTTTGTTACAGGTTTATAAATATGTTGTGAAATATCCATCCACTTCATTGCTTGCTGTACAGGATCGTGGATTGTAGGTTTCTTCTCTCTATTCCAATAATTGAATGAATCAAACTTTGAAAGCAACTCCCATTTATTAGCGACTGTATCATCTTTTATACTACTGTTACTGTTGTTACTATTATTATCAGCTCTATAAACAAAACCATTATAACATGACGGTAACTTTAATGATGTACCATATAATCTTATACCTCTAAAAGTTGAACTTAAAACACCTTTTGTTTTTGTTTTTGATTTTAATGTAAATATATATAATGTTTTACTTTCAAAAACCGATTGTTGATTGTATAATTTTGAATTCATACCATCTTCATTTTTAATATGAAAGAAACTAGATACTTTTGCATGACCATTATGACCAATAGAAAAAGGTAACAAGTGAAGATTGGTTGGATCGATACCCAAAGAACATTTTGATATTTCTATTGATGGTTTCAACTTTGATTTCTCACCTCTAACACTACTATCAGTTCCTTTAAATATAATCATTTTAATAATAGAATACTAATAGTTTTAAAAAATAAATATACAAAAATTTAAAATAAAAAAAAAATTTGAAAAAAAGCGAAGGGAAAAAAAAAAAAGTAAGGTCACGATTTCTTTTGTTAGAGTGATCTTTATGAGATTTCTATTTAAAAAGAAAGATATTAAATATTATTAAAATAACTTTATGAGAGTTTGAATTTGTCAAAAGTTCTTAAAAAAAAAAGAAAAAAAGAAAAAAAGACAATTTTTTTTTTTGTTTCAAATTAATTTAATTAAATGAACAAAAGTTTAAAAAATAATAACAATGAAGATAATACTAGTAATAATGAAAAAATCATAGAATATGATATAAATGGTAAAGAGATTTGCTTCCTTTTTAGAAAGTTTGGTAAATGTAGATATGGAAAGAAATGTAAAAAATCACATCTTCTCAATTCAGAGGCAACACCAACCACTGTTCTTACTCGGCTCGATCCAACTATAAAACAACCACCTTCCATCATCCAGAAGCTACTATCACTCTTTAACTATAACAATGTTAATATCATCGATAGTGCTCATCCTCCCATTGAAATACAAATGTTACAATCAAACATAAAGATGTTAAAATCAAATAAACGATTAATTACTCAACAACAACAACAACAACTTATAAATAACAATAGAATCATATTAAAAATTAAAAATAATAATAACAATAATAATGATAATAATAGCAATAATAATAGTGTTGTAACAATAAAAAAAGATATATTTAAAAGAATGAAAAAACATCATTGGAAAGTAAGATCTATCATTGGAACGATGTTGTCTGGTAGTCAACCTTGGGTATATTCAAAAACAATACAACAACAAAATGGAAGAGGAACAAAGATAAACTTTAATAGAATGAGACCGTTTGTCTATTTACTGTTAAAGTCGGTGTTGTCTGTTGATTTGGAAGATCAGTGGCTACAGTGTCTGGGTAATACTATTGTTTCGATGTGCCACACTGCTGAACATCCACTGGAGATAGAGAAATGTCTGATTGCCTGGGGTATAACAGATATCTCTGCACGCAAACTATTGGTACTCCTATGGAATACAATGGTACAATCATCAAACTCCAAGAACATGACTGCACCACTCATTCAGAACTGTGAAAAGGAAATCAAAACATCACACATTCAATCGATAGACTATGCTCGTGCATGTCAATTTACACTCAACCAATCTAGATTCTCATTAAACACATTAGATAAATCAATTAGTAATCTACAACAACAACAACAAACTGTAAATAATAATAATAATAATCAAAACAATCAAATCAATATATCACTTCAAAGATTAAATCAAATCGATGAAGATACAAAACATATCACCAATTGGAAGGAAAAGAAAAGAAAACAATTAGAATTATTAATTTAACTTCTTTTTTCTTTTTTCTTTTTGATTTTTTTTAATTCTATTTTGGTTGAACAACTTTTAACAATAAACATAGTTTATTTTATTTTGTTATTGTTTAAAGATATATTATTACAATATGTTTAAAGCAATTATGTATGTATTATTGATTAAACTATTATTAATATTATTATTAATTAATTGAATGATAAGTGATACAGAGAGAAGTAAGATATTTATATCTGTATTTCAATGTCTCTCTATTTTTGTTGATTTTATTACTTTGGAGATCAATAGCAATGCTATTCATATGTATTCTTTTGATGGTATAAATGATGATCGTAGATATGATCGATTAGAATCTAAATATACTTTCTATCATAATAATATTTAGGAGCACAAGTATTATTCTTGGATATTATTTTTGATAAATCATTCTTTAGTGATTTCTTTATGTATGTTTAACAAATGACCATTAAATTATATATCCTCATATACTAATGTTTTATATTAAAGTGAAAATCCTATTAGTATCGTTTTGAAAGTTGAATTGGTTGATCTTTGTTTGAAGAATAAAAACTCGATTGATTCTATCGTCGTTAAATACTATGATGATATATTTGAACTCATATTTCATAGAACCGGTGGTTACATATCAACCCACAAGATACCTGAAATGTTATGTCAATCCTCTGGTATACCAATCGATCATTCAATCTTTTTTTTAATTACAAACTAATCACCATCTGAATTTACATTTGTAATAGAAAAAATAGTTACACCTGATCTTAAATATGAAAGTGGTAAGTTATTTATATAAATAAAGAATAGATAGATCTAAAGTTGCTCATATAATGAATGAAGAGGTACTTTTTCAAAGCTATTTATTAATAGAGGTACTTGCTGAGTTGAAACCCTTCAGCAAATTCCCTTTAAAGATAGGATTGAATGAAAACTGCTTATTGTTTGAAGGTAAGTAATGTATTTGATTATCTTTTTCTAAATAATTTACATAGTGGAAGAAAGCATCTGACAAGTTGGTAAAGTCAAGTATCACACTCTACAACAATGTATGTATAAGATTTAATCAGGTTGCAACAAAGCATTGTGTTACTAATATTCGAAATAACTTAGAAAACAAAAGACTTCTTCATTATCGGTAAAAGTGTATTCGACATTGAATTCAAGAATAGCTACTTCTTAAAGTTAGATAAAGTATTGAAAAAGTTGTCTGTCAAGGAATGTCTCTTACAATTCGGTCAAGATCTTCCATTATCTATGATTTTGTATGTTAATATATAAGCATTCATTTTACTAAATTTACAAACTAACATACCTAATAAGTAATACATACAATTTATGTACATTCCAATTCTTTCTGGCACCAATGATATGAGAAAAGATCCACAACAATGTAAAATAAATAAAAAATGACAATCAAATGTTATTGTTATTATGTGTATTTTATAATATTTATTTTTACATTGACTAACACTATAGAATACCATGATCTTAAATCATTATATATTCAACTATAGTAAGTAATAATCATTCGAATAGTTTCAAGTTTTATCTTGATCACAATAATAATATCCACAGTTCTTTTATCTCTTTGAATGTTTTGCAATACACTGCTTGAATCGCTGAAACTCTGTATTACAAATATTATGCTCTATATTATCTAGATTCTTAACAACACAACCCGCATATGCTGCAGACTACAAATAATAGAAGATGATAAAGTTAGTTTTTAAAAACCAAATATAATCATTAATATTAATTAAAACCTACCTCTATTGAGCATTTACTCAATGATTGAGCAACTCTCTGTGACCATTTTGTAGTAGTTGAACCACTCATTGCTCTACTTTATATATATAAAAAAGACTAGTAAAATTTAATCTTAAGTTGTAAAATTTTTAAAGAAAGTTTTTTTTTACAAGATTAAATATTATTTTTATTTATGATTATTCTTTTCCATTTCAAGTTCGATTTCAATTACTTTTTCTAAAGATTGATGGTGAAATTTGGCAGAGAAAGTACGTCTTTCACTCATTCGCTCCTCGGGGTGATTGATCTCTCTCTTCTCTTGCTCTGTTAATACAAATTCAAACTCTACGTCGGCATTTAACTCCTTGTTCAATGCCTCTAGAACGGTCTTGGCATCGGATCGAGCGTCGATTCTCTCTTTGTGTTGTGAGATCAACGATGTGAAGTCCTGCTCGGTAACAAACTCTGCGTGTTCCAGTCCGTCGAGTTGTGGTCGTGACGGCTTTGGCGAGGGTAGCTCTACCATAGGTACCAACCGTACCGATCCGTCGAGTGGATCGACGTAGCGCAGTGGTTCCGCCAGCTTGAACGTACTGATCAATCTGCCGTTGACAGGTGTCTCTGCAAGCAACTGATGTCCCGACTCGAGAAACTGTGACTTTTTCAACTGGTAGTTCTCTTGCGATGACACTCTATAACAGATATGATCGGATTGTAATCCATTGACATCTATACCTTTCTCCTTGAGATGTCCCAACAATATTCTCAAGAATAAATTGTAATCACCTATAATCTCTTTTATATCAACACCTGTCATAATATACTTTGTACAAAAAATAAATATCAAATCTTAATTTTGTTTTTTTTTAAAACATTTTTTTTAAGATTCGTCTGACTAAAAAGAATCGATTGATCCTCGGAATTTCAAAAGAATCAAGTTCTTTTTATAAATATAAATCTCATCAAAATATCTTCATTTACAGGTTTATTTAATAAAAGAACTATTAATAAATAAATAATATATTAAAGAATAAATATCCAATAATAAACTAATTCCCAATAGAATATGAAATTTCTTATTTGGACAAGAGATTCAATGATTGGGTTTGGGTGTTTAAGTAAATTACCTTCTAAATCATCGTGTTGTAGACCATATTTATACTAAGTGATGATTCAAATATAACTTATCTCGAGATGATTCAGAGATATCATTTTTTATTATTTTTAATTTTATTTTTTTGTTTATCTGTTAAAATAAAAACTTGAGCAAAATTTCTTATTTTGGAAAAGTCCTAAGATGTTTGCTCAACAAAAAAATAAAATTAAAAATAATAATTATCTCGGAGCTCCTTATATTATTTCGGTACATCTAACTCCTATTAGTACAAAATTATTAATATTTTTTAAATAAAAATTCATAGATTCAATCAGTGGATATTATTGGAGGGACATATCTATCAAAACCGAACAAACTTGGAATTTGGTTTATTCCTACTCAAAAAAAATATTTATATTGTTCCAAATTTTTCAATGATTTAAATACATCTATAAATTATAATTAGTTAGAGTTTGCTTAATCAAAACTAAATTCTATATAGAAATAAATATGTTATTTTAATAAGTTAAAGATTGTTGTTTTATTTTATTTATTTTATTTTTTATTTAATTTAAGATACCGCTCAAAAGTACAAGTATCATTGGTTAAAAGTGGTTGATAGCACCACCATATTAATAAAATTTGCCTCAATGAACAGTATAAGACATGACGTGGGTGTTGAACATTACTGAACACGCAACAACAACACTGAATGCCACATCGACTTAGGTGGTAACATGTCAGCAAAAAATACAAAAAACAAAAAAACAGGGTTCATAAATTTAAAAGGATCCTCTGATAATCGATGCAAGCCCAATCATTTCATTAAACAACCGGGACTAATGTATTTTCACACAACAATTTAATTTTTAGATGTTAGAGAGGTACCAATACCAAAAGAAATACTAAATCATAAAGCTCGATGATTCATCTGAAAACTATTGAAAAAAAAAACAAATCCAATCAAATTACACAAATTAAAATCGGTGAAGAAAATAATGCTAATCCAAAAACATTTATACGAAGGTGTGGGGGTCAGTTGTTTTCTGTTTTGTTTGTTTTTTTGATTTTTTTATTCTCATTTTTTTTTGACCACGTTGCAACCAGCATTGCATTTACCACAACAGAAAAAAATAATAAAAAAAATAAAAATAAAATAAAATTAAAGGTACTTTGGAAATTAAGAATTTTTTGAGGAACAACACTAAACAAGCAATAAACATTTGATTGTTAACTTTTTTTATTTCAACTTTAGTTTAATTAATTCCCAACATATCTCTATTTTCTATTATTATCTTTTTTCTAAATAAATAATAATATTAATCAATATATATATATAATAAATTTAATTTAATTTAAATTTATAAAAATAAAATATCGTAAATTTTACATATTTCAAATCATCATTTAGTTAGTCTAGTTGTTGTTTTTAAAATAAATATATAAAAAAATAATAAAAATAAAAATAAATAAATATATAAAACAAAAATAAATAAAATATAAATAAATAAAAATAATAAATAATAAAATAAAAAGTTATTGTAATAAAAAATAAATATATATATATATAAAAGATGGCAGATATTGATAATTCAATTACAAATTCATCAAATGAACTTTGGTTCAACTTTATGCAACCATTGGGAGGTGGTATGCAAACTTTACAATCACGTACATCACCGGTCGCATTGAACAAGTCTGTTGAATTGTTGAATTTCGAATTCGGTAATGGATACAATCAAATGCAATCGTGTGGCTCAACTAAATCGAGCACCGGTTTCATGACACACAATCCAATGTTGATGTCAAACGGTATGCATCAGGACGGTGAAACCAGTCCATCATGTTACCTCAACCTCAACAGTAACGACACACAATCATCACAGGAGATCCCGGCCACCAATTTCGTCAGTCTCCCACAGTTTATCGACGAACAAACACTCTCGTCGTCGCCAGTGCCATCATACTACTCGTCATCGTCCTCCACACAGTCGTCGCCAATCCAAGACTTCCCAACATCGCCACAACAACAAATTCCAACCTTTTCACCAGAGTATAACATGGTCTTTAGTTTCGTACAACAAAACACACCAAAGTCCGATATAATTCCACTCGTCAACCCATTTACAAGTCAAATCAATAATAATAACAACAACAACAATCAATCAATTAATAACAACCACCACAATAATCAAATTAATACACAACAACTTATTGCACCAATAATAGATAATAATAGGTAAGATTTTTATTATATTCCAATTTTTGATAATAATAACTGCCCACTATTCCAAATCATTTGATTTACTAATAGTATTTACAATTTAGTTCCGATTTCAATGAAATGGTTGACAAACCATTCTCCAAAGACAACTTTATGAATCAATTAAAGTCGATTGTCCCAAGTTTTACTGAGCATTCAGAAGCCTATATATCCGATGACCCAACTTCATCCTCTGAGAGCTCCCAAGAATCAGAGTACGACCACCTACCAACCAAGAAGCGTGGTCGTGATGAAGACATCGATACATCTGGATTTACAGTATTGTCAAAGGACCAGGTACTTAAATTGTCGAGTAAAGAGATTGAAGAGTATGTCTCCAAGTTGAAACAACACCACGTTCTCACTCCATCCGACGAGAAGGAGCTGAAAAAACAGAGACGTCTCATAAAGAATCGTGAATACGCTTCTCAGTCTCGTTCACGTCGTAAGGTCTACGTAGAATCGATCGAATCGAAACTACAAAAAACCAACAACGAGTGTTCCAACATCAAACAACAGCTCACTGAAATCAAAGAGGAGAATCGTGAACTCAAGAAACAACTCTTCTCTCTCACTCAAACACTTAAAGCCAACCCATCGTTGGCAGAGGCATTCGGTAAGATCTTCTCCATAGGCAGTGCTGATTCTAAAAAAACAGCTGCCACTCTTTCTCTATTTGTAAGTAATTAAAAAAAAAAAAAAAAATAACAACAACTATTATTGCATTCATCGATCAAAGTTCTAATAATATCTTTACATATATTTCTTCTTTTTTGTAAAAAAAACAGGTATTTTTCACTTTATTTACCTTTACTTTCCTTCTTTTCCCTTCTCAACCAACTTTTACTTTATCACCAACTCAAGGGTATGTATTTGATATATATGTTATATAATATAACAAACAAATCTCGTTAGTTAGCAATTTATTAATATTATCTCTCATTTATCATCATTTACAGTCAAGAATATTTCAGAAGACATTTGCTCAATCTCGATACACCAGTATCTATGTACGATACCACCATTTTATTAAAGAATCAACTTATGACAGAAACCAAGAGATATATATCAATGATGCTTGGTGGCAATTCAGATGAAAAACAATTTGCAGACAATTCCTTCGTCAATTCACTCAAGAACAAATCAGATTTAAATTCAACAACAAAGTCAGCATCAAAAGAAAACAATGCACCAGCCGAGCAAAAATCAAACAAAAGACACAAACCAACTCATGTAGAAACTCCACCATCATCACCTGCAATGTCATCGCCTATCTCTTCATCCGATTTAGAAGATGACATCTAAACAATAGTTTAAAAAATAAATTAAAATCAAACTTGTACAAATTTATAATATAAACATATACAATAGTCTGCTCATGAGGTAACTTTTATTCATATAAATCTATTTCGATTGGCATAAGACCTATCTTGAGAAGCATTCTTCGGATGTTCATTACAAGATGTGATTGTGCATGGTTTTGTGTGCAACCAAACAACCATATATACCAAAAAAAAAAAAAACATCAACATACGATAAGTTAGTTAAAGATTATAATAAAGTTTGAATTTAGTCTATAAATGTGTTTTTTTTTGTAAATCAATTAGCATCTGTGCTGATTTGAAATTTTTTGCTGATATCTTTAGCCAAAAATATCAAATCTTCTCGAAATTCAAGATGGTAAATGAGGCATTTCAAATCAATGGAATGATTGTCAAAAAAAAACAAAAAAATCTTTAAAATCAAAAACCGTACGGGGACACAAAATAAAGAAAAAAATTTGAAATCGATGGGGGATACCAAAAAGTGAGAAACAAATTAATATGGCTTTAATTTCTCAAACAAATTTGTTGAATTTTTTTAATAAAAATTGAGAAGTCATTTAATATGTATGATACTTCTCAACTTTAAATAATTATTTAATAGTTTCTATTATAATTCCCTATAATAATGCCTCATCCAACTCGACCAACTCTATAAATAATCCCATTGTCATCTTGAAATTTCATTCAAATCAAAAAACTTTGTCACATAGATAAGCAACTAAACAGTTATATCAAGTATTAGCAACTAAGTTATTTCTAAACTTTCTACCTTACCCTATTTTTAATTGTTCCAATTGAAAAAAGGTAAATTATGTAAGATAGTATTAGAAACAAGATTTTAAATTCCCTTTCCATATCCCAAGCCAAATCCAAATAACCAACTCCTCCATCATTCTCTTTTTTTTTTAAAAAGAACTAAACAAACAATCAAAAGTAAATATAATATTAATATAATATATATCTGTCAAATTGAAAATAATATTAATTTAACTTTTATTTTTATTTTAAATAGATGGTCAAGTTCACAGTTGATAAGATCTCACAATCAATGAATGAAAGAAACAACATTCGTAATTTCTCAGTTATTGCTCATGTCGATCATGGTAAGACTACTTTGTCTGATTCTCTCGTTGCACGTGCCGGTATCATTCCAGAAGGTAAAGCCGGTGATCTCCGTTACATGAGTGCACGTGGTGATGAAATTGCTCGTGGTATCACCATCAAGTCGTCCAGTGTCTCTTTGCACTTTGAGTTGCCAGAGTCTGCCCCATTGCCAGCTGGTTCAACTGACCGTCAATTCCTCCTCAATCTCATTGATTCTCCGGGTCACGTTGACTTCTCTTCTGAAGTTACTGCCGCCTTGCGTGTCACTGATGGTGCTCTTGTCGTTGTCGACGCCATCGAGGGTGTTTGTGTCCAAACCGAGACAGTCTTGCGTCAAGCATTGTCCGAGCGTATTGTACCAGTTCTCTTTGTTAACAAAATGGATAGATTGTTCCTGGAACTCCAGGTCGCACCTGAGGATGCCTATCTTGCTCTGCGTAACGCCATTGAAGCTACCAATGCCGTCGTCCAAATGGGTGAGAATCAAAAGATGCTCGACCCAAAGGTTGGAAACGTTGGTTTTGGTAGTGGATATCAAGGATGGGGATTTACTCTTGAAAACTGGGTAAAACTCTACGAAGCCAAGCTTGGACTCTCCAAGGAGAAGCTTCTCAATCGTCTCTGGGGTGACAACTTCTACGATAGCGTCACCAAGAAATGGGGACCAAATCAAACTTCTGAAGATGGACGTACTCTCGGAACGTGGATTCTGTCGTCTCATCTACGAACCACTGCGTGCTCTCATCCTCGCCGCCAAGGATGAATCCAACATCGATAGTCTCATCGGAAAGTTGGACAACTTGGACATCAAGCTGTCCAAAGCTGAGCTGGAGTTACGTGGTAAGGATCTTCTGAGAACTGTTATGAAGAAGTTCTTGCCTGCAGATGAATGTATTCTCTCGATGGTGGTGCATCATCTGCCTTCACCGATAGTGGCGCAGCGGTACCGTACAGAGTCACTCTACACCGGTCCAATGGACGACGAGTGTGCTAAAGCAATGAAGGCTTGCGATCCAAACGGTCCAGTAATGATGTTCGTAAGCAAGATGATTCCATTCGGCGAACGTTTCGTTGCGTTCGGTCGTGTCTTCTCTGGAACCATCACCAGTGGTCAAACCGTTCGAATTCTCCAGCCTTCGTACGATCCCGAGACCAGTCCAAACGACTTCAACACCAAGAAGATCACCAGTATCGTTTTGATGATGGGCCGTAAGAGTGAAACCATCGAAAGCTGTCCATGTGGTAATATCATTGGTTTGAATGGGAATCGATCAATATCTCATTAAATCGGGAACGATCACTTCTGCACCAGAAGCAAGAGGTATTGTCTCCATGAAATTCTCTGTGTCTCCAGTGGTCAAGGTGGCAGTCAAACCAAAGGATCCAACTCATCTTCCAAAGCTGGTAGAAGGTATCCGTAAGGTAATCAAAACCGATCCAGCCATTCAACACTACACCGCCAGCACTGGTGAGCAAGTTCCTGGCGACAGTTGGTGAACTCCAACTCGAAATTTGTCTCAAGGATCTACAAGAGTATTCCAACTGTGAAATCGAAGGCATCCAATCCAGTGGTAAGCTATCGTGAGACTGTCCAAGGAACATCGCCCGTCTGCATGGCCAATTCGGCCAACAAGCACAATCGTATCTATGTCAGTGCCTCGCCACTCGGTGCCGAGTCTGCCAATCAGATCGAATCGAAAGAACTCGATCCAAACAGCAATGACATTGCCGGAAGAACACAATTCTTCGTTAGAAACCACAGCTGGGAAGCGAATGAAGCCAAGCAAATCTGGTCGTTCGGTCCGATTTGAATGGACCAAACATGTTCTTCGACCGAACTGTCGGAACGCAGTACCTCAATGAAGTGCGTGACTCGATTGTCCAGGGATTCCAGTGGGCATCGAAAGAAGGTGTTCTATGTTCCGAAGAAATGTACGGTGTTCGTTTCGATATGTCTGATATCACTCTGATTGCCGACGGTGCACATCGTCGTGTTGCCCAAATCATGCCGGCATCGCGTAAGGTTCTCTATGCCGCCGAACTTTCCGCTCAGCCACGTCTGTTGGAACCGATGTATCTTGTCGATATCCAAGCACCATCGAGAGTGCTCAAAGGTGTTCACAAGTGTCTGAATCGTCGTCGTGGTGTCACCATCTCTGAAGAAGAGAAGCTCGGTATGAATGGAGTGTTCTCAATCCGTGCACATCTACCAGTCTCGGAATCGTTTGGATTCAGTGCCTATCTCCAATCTGAAACCAGTGGCTTAGCTTTCCTACAAATGTCATTCGATCACTGGTCGATGATGTCTCAAGATCCACTCGAACCAAATTCAGTCACCAACAAGATTGTCCAAGACATTCGTGTAAGAAAAGGTTTAAGACAAGAGATTCCACCACTAAACGAATTTTTAGATCGTCTCTAAGATGACAATTATTTTTAAAATAAAATTTTACAATTTTTTTAAAAAACAATTAAATCATTGAAAAAAAAAAGGATATCAATACATTTTTAAAATTAAAAATCAATAACATTATTAGAAGAATAATAAAGGATTAAGGAATTACTTTCAGAAATAATACAAAAAAAACTTTTTACACTCTTCTTCATATTCAAAATGTAAAGGTTTTTAACTGATTTACATAAACAAAGATATTGTTTTTTTAGAAAAGTAATTTAACAGATGAAACGAAGATAAAACAAGGAGAGTATAGTATAAAGAAAGGTTATTCTTTAAAGGAGTTCCCGATTATATAACAATTAATATTCTATCATTAAGTTGAAAGTGGTAGATTCAAATTCAATCTCCATTTAATTTAAATGGAACCAGATACTTAGACAAACAATCTTAAGCTCTAGATTCCCAGATTTTTTGGAAATTTTAGAGTATGATATAGATCTACTAATAAATAATTTGATTAACTAATTAGTATATTCGACAACTGTATAAGACATCTCACTTGTCATCAATATTCGAAAATACAAATTATATTTTTTACTTAAAATTAATACTTAACTAAATTTGATATACAAACAACCGGTCAGGACCTGAATGTTTTTTAATTTCTTGGATATTCATCGATAAATATATATACTAGCCATTCATTCTAAACTCTTAAATACTGTTAAAAATGGTGATATGAAATGACACCTTTTTACTGCCAAAAACCCGATGAATCTTTATAAAAAATTTTGAATCAAATATCAAAATCTAAGTATATCTTAATCCTATTAATTGATTTTTAAGTAAATAAATTTATATCTATAAAAACAAAATGTATAGGATATTGATCAACTGTGTAAAATGCGCGCATTAAGGGATTATTTTGTTAATATTTTATATCAAGAATGGGAATCGAACCCATGACCCAAACCGTGTTAAGGTTTTGTGATAACCAACTACACCATCCTGACTTTTGATGAAATGGTAGTTCATTTTCACGTTTTATTTGTAAATTATTTCAAAAAATTTAAAATTTGTACAAAAGTCAGGATGGGGTGAAAGCAGTTGATCACCTAGGTGATTCCAGAACATTTTATTTCCTAGTGAATTCAATCAGATTGCCTGCATGATTTTTTTTACAAATTTATGTTATTTTTATCAAAGTCTTATGAATACTCTTACGAATCACTTAAATTGTTTAACAATTTTGATATTGATTTTATGTTAAGATAAAAACTTTGAATTCTAAAACTTGTTTACTTGATTTTGTTTTTGAAAACTCCAAATTTATAAAGCAGGTTCTGGACTCATCATTAAAAAGTTCCAAGTTAATTTATTATTTTTTGATAATTGCAATTCAATATTACAGTTAAATATGGATGGACTTCAAGAAATAGAGTACTATGATATTAAAAGTAATTCAACTATTATTGAAGATAGAGATGATCTTCAAACTTGCATCTCAACACTAAAGAGTTTGATTTTAAAGACATTCGGATCTCTTGACCACAAAAATTTTAGTAAATACAACGATATTTATTTAATCGCTGTTGTATTAAATGTATGTGTAGTTAGTCTATTTTAATAATAGTTTATTTTATTTGATTTGATTTTATTACTTTTTACTAATCAATTGTTATTATTACAACAGTGGATAATAGATAGAGATACCAAGCAATATAATGAGATTAAACAATGCATTTCATCTTATTTTAAATGCTTTTTAAAATACTCTCTCAATTCAGAGTTGAATGAATTGTTTATCTCGATTGCATTGAATACTTCATTGTTCAATGATATCGGGGTCACTAAATACTTGCTAACATTTTGTAGTTACACCGATGTTAGAGATGCATTGTTACACATCTTCTTTGTTAGCATCAAGCATACAACACAATTCTCTGTTGATGATAGTCAACGTTACTCTAAATTAAACCAATCTTTATCTATAGAGTCGTATTGTTTAAATTTAATTAGCGGCAATCAACAACAAAACCAACGATCACCAACAAAACAAACAAAGATATTATTACTTTTGTATATTATCAATGATAATCCATCATTAATTAATCAACTATCAGATTATTATCAAGATATATTCTTGTAAGTAGAATACTATATATCAAAGACAAAGAATTAATTTGTTGTTACTAATATATAAATAAATATTATAATAGGTATATAGATGAATATCTACATTTCAATGATTATTTGCGATTCTTTAGGTTGTTGGCAGAACACTTTGAAGTGAATGCGAAAAACAAGTTACTTGTTAAGAATCGATTGTTAAATAACGATTCTAAACCAAGTGTGTCGGTAGTTCACTCGGTATTTCACAGGTTCCTAAGTGGTTTAGATTTGAAATCTATCATACTCTCTGTGATTAGTGTAGATTCAAAGTTTCGTTTGGTAGACGAAACCAATGAAGCAGAATTACAAACTCTAGAGTTTGGAGAGTTGATGATCGGTGCATTCTCTATCAGTGGTAGTGGCGGTGGAATAAAGGCACTAGAGTCATTGGTCTTGATAGATATCTACCGACAAAAGTCTGTTCCATTGCCTTTGAATCTCTACAGCCATCTACTAGAGTTCCTTCAGATCAATAACTTTGATTTGGATGACAAGCTAACCATTAAACAATACAATCAGCAACGATTCATCCAATCTCTGGTTTATATCTATCAGCGTGAAGAGAAACCAATGATTTTGAGGACATTGTTCAAGTCGCTCTGTCTGTTAGAGTCGCTAGATTCCAGCTTTATACACTCTGTTCTCTCACCGTACAAACAAGAGTTTCAACAGATGATTCTATCCAACCGTAGAATGGTTTCGCAACTTCTCGATAGTCGAACAGCATTCCTCATTATCGTTTCAGATCTGATAGGCGGTCACGATCAAATCGATATCGTTTTGGAAATGATTAAGCAACGTGAATCTTGGAATTTCAAAATGATCGAACTTACACTCTGTCTGCCCTCTTCAAAAGAGTCATTGTTAGGTACTCTAACACACTTGGATCCATACATGCTCGATCTATTCAACAAGCCAATGAACTATCTATTGGATTTCGAGATTAATAATGTCGCTATATTCATGGAGTACATTTTCACCAACCACTTGGCATCTGTGGTGAGACTCAAACTATTCCACACAATCGGTTATCAATTGTTTGACAAGATTTACAAACACAATCCAAGCTGTATCACCAACATATTGGTAGTTGCCAATCTTTCATTTTATTCGAGCTTTATCAGGAACCTACCAGCTTTTTCGTATATCAATAGATTCTTACCCGAGAATCAGATAGTAGTAAGCACCAAGCCAATACCAAAACTAAGCTTCTTGGTTTGTAAACATATCATCACACAGCTATTGTTTGATAAATATTTGGATACAAAATGGAAAGTGGAGCTTTCGACAGTTTCAAAAGAATTCCACAAATGTTGTTCAAATGTTATCACCAACAATCCAAATGAAACCATAAGAATATCAAGGAGAATCGATCATGTTGGTTCAGAGTTTTGCTTATTTAAGACACAACCTCTCCATTTGGTAGAGTCTGAACTCAAGTATATTAAAGATGATTGTAAATCAGCTTGTCTCGACCATCTCGAATCTTTCACTTTCATCTATGATGGACGGAGAAATGCTCTGCCAAAGAACTTGAAATTTATAAAGTTTGTCATTCCCAGAGCAGCAAATACACCGGTGGAACTTCAACCGCTTTTGCCAACCAACAAAAACAGTCGTCTGCAATCAATTAAGCTATACTGCAATAATCTAGCTGATCATGTTGTCAAAACAACACTTCAATCACTTGCAGCCATACAGAAATCACATCCCAAACTGGCGATCGATGCATATATCAAACAAAACATTTTATCATCCACTATAAATAACCTTTCGTTGGTCACCAAGTTGCAGAAAGGATCAAATATGTATTTTGCTGGCTACCAATATCCCAAAGAGAATACATTCCCTAATCTCAGAAAGCTTGTCATGCCAATGAATTTCAATGAGAGAGGCAATGATCTAAATCATACTTTATATATCATAGAAACATCACCAAAGTTAAGATCGATCACATTCACCAACAACCTCGATACAAAGTTTTTGCTGTCGTTCGTCCAGGTCAACAGAAATATTTCACGATTGGTTTTCAAATACAAGATTAAAGAGTCTATTTCTCTGCCAAATTCAGTTATCGGAGAACTAAACAATATATTTTTGTTATTAGAGAGTCCCGAGCTTCATCAAATAACACATCTTAAATTCTACATCCAATACCGTCTCTACGAAAATGGAACGAAAGTCCACTTACCAATTATCAATACCGAGCACTTGACAAACAAACTCATTGATATAGTAGATTTTAAACCAATTAAATCGAATCTAATGACTTTCTACAGATAAATAATAAATATTATATTACAAAATTAACTATTTATTTCTTGTTATTACAGATTGTGTTAAAGTGATGAGTAAATCTCTTGATTGTGATTGTGGTAGTTTCATCAAAAATTCAATAGATTTATTGCAATACTCAATTGCAAGTGATTTCGTTTTCTCAATGGCATTACTCTTTAAAACCAATTGATTAGCTATATCAACATCACCACTTTCAGAAAACTTTCTATTGATCAGTACTTCCAAATCGGGATATTCTTCGAGTGCGAAGAGTACAGGTGCTGTTGCCAATCCAAGTGACATATCAACCGATGCCGGTTTACCTAAAGATTCAGAAGATCCTGTTACATCCAGCAAATCATCAATAATCTATTGATTTGGTAAGTAAGCTTTGCAAATATTTATATTAATCAAGTTACTTACTTGAAAAGCCAAACCTAAATTCTTTCCAAATTCAGTTGCCATATTTGTCATGTTTGCGTCTGCACCAGAGAGAACTGCTATTGATCTACAGCCGTTTGCAAAGAGCGACGCCGTTTTGAGATAGGTCTTTCTAATGTAGCTTTCGAATGAGGTGGAATTCGACTTGATCTGCATCAACTCACCATCGACTAGATCCGATATGATATTGGAGACAAGCTCTGTGACATGATGATTTCTCAGTGTGGAAAGCAAAACAATGGTTCTGGCGGTGAGGAAATTACCACAGAGAATCGCGAGTTTGTTGGAATAGGCACAATTTACGGATGCCATCTCACGTCTTGTATCGGCACCATCGATTACATCGTCGTGAACCAGACTTGCCGTGTGCAGCATCTCCACAACCTGAGCCAACTTCAACTGTGATTCTGAAATAGGTTCGCTCGGACAATCGTTACTGGTGATTGCACGCGCCAGTAGCAGTAGAACAGTCGGTCGTATACGTTTACCCTTCATCTCAAAGTAGTAGGTTCCGATGCTTTTCAGTAGTGGATGCGTTAGCTGAGTTGGACCACCTGCATACTCGCCGCTTCCTTGAATGCCATTGGTTATGGAATCAATGATATTAAGAGACATTCTATTAAGATCCTGCTCAATCAGTGAGTAGTCACTGTGACTGGCTGCCTGTCCATTCAATCTATTGAGTGGATCTAACATCTGGACACTGCCAGTCTCTTGTCTATTACTATATCTCTCAGCATCATAACTGCTTTGTTCACCTACATAAAATGATTTGCTTGTCATTTTTTCAATAAATTTATTTATAAATGGTTCCATATTTTTTGTAATTAAAGTATATCTTTATCTTATCTAATAATATAAAACATTGATTTTAAATTTTCAAATCATTTTTTTCATTGTTTAATTTAAGTGATGACAGATCACCCCACTTTTTTTTTAAGAAATATAATCATTTTAGATTTTTTGATTAAAAATTATAAAAATTAAATCTAAAAAAAAACAATATTTGTTAACATATATTATAATCTATAACTTTGATTTATGACTATCTAATTAATAGTTTTTTTTTTAACTATAATGCAAAAGCTACTTACTTTTTTTTTTTGGAAAAAAAAAAAAAATCAAATAATTTAGGTAATTATGTGGTGTTGTGTGGTTTTGTTTTGTCGTTTTTTTTTAATCAAGTGGTACAAACTCCAATCCCTACAACAAAAGTCGACGATTCATTAACGATGCAAACACATAATTGAAAAAAAAAAAATGATTTTTTTTAAAAAAATAAAATAAAAAAACTATTTTTAATTAAAGAAGTTAAGTTAGTCCGTAATTCACATTTCATTATTTATATAATATTCAAGAAAGATATTTATTTATTTCATTATTTATATTTATAATATTCAACAATATTATTATAAAAATAATAATGAAATCAAAACAACAACAACAACAAATACATTATGATGTTGATGAATCAGCATCATCGACAAATAATAATAGTAGTACACCAAAGAAAAAACAATTGAAAACACCAAAACATCGTTTGAGCGATGGTAAAACAACATTGTCTCCACAGGAATACGATACATTGAATTTCTTTTATAAACCACATACTTTACTCTGTCTAGCGGTAGCAGGTATCGTAACGATATACTTTGCATTCAACAACGAGCAATCATCAGAAGGAAATGTTAAAACGTAACTATCATCAATCTTTAGTTAATTCTTTGACACTTGCAAGTAATATTAAACAAAACTCTCTCTATTTTAATTTTTGATTCTAAATCAGTGGATTACTTGGAGTATGTGCAGCTTTCCTTTTGTTTTCAATGTTACAGATGAGAGATGGACTCTTTGTTCGTCCACATCCAGCATTCTGGCGTGTCGTCATGGGTATGGGTGTTATTTATTTATGCGGATTAGTTTTCTTGTTATTCCAAGTAAGTGTAAAAGTGTTTAATATATTCTTTGCAACACAATAACAACAACAACAACATTGACATTGGAAGGAGAATTCTCATCATTAACCAATTTATTTTTTGTTGTTATTATTACTTTAGACCGCAGATGACGCACGTTTGATTATGAAACATATCGATCCAAAACTTGGAGTGAAACTACCAGAGAGATCGTATGCAGAGAATTGCGATCTCTACACACCAGACCACCCAGAGTCAAACTTTAAGAATCTCAAGGACACTGTCAACGATGAATTCATTTGGGCTCATCTATTTGGTTGGTGGGGAAAGACCTTGCTTCTTCGTGATCCAATCTTGTGCTGGACTCTCAGTATAACCTTTGAAATTTTAGAATTGACATTTGCACATTGGTTACCAAATTTCCATGAATGTTGGTGGGATCATGTAAATTATCATCATACATATAATAATTTATTTATTTATTTGTTAAAACTAACTTTAAATTTATTCTATTTATTGATAATCATAATCAATAGATCATTTTAGATATCTTTGTTTGTAATGCACTCGGTATTGTTTTGGGTGTTTTGACGATTCGTTATATGAAGATGAAGGAATACAATTGGACTGGTGCCAATGACAAGACAAAGAAGAAGAGATCTCTCTTTATCAAAGCATTGAAGCAATTCACACCACTGCAATACGACGATTACAATTGGGAGATCTTCTCCGAGTGGAAGAGATTCGTTTCTATTCTTTTCGTTATTGTTTTGGTATGTAACTAATTAATGATGATGATGATGATTCATTTTAGTAAAATAAGTGAAATCCTAACTAATAATATTATTATCTATAGATCTCTGTTATTGAATTGAATGCATTCTTCTTAAAGACATTATTGTGGATTCCACCACCCAATCCAATCAATATCTACAGATTGTTATTGTTGTGTTTGATTGGTACACCGGGTCTTCGTGAGTACTATCAATACATTACCGATAAGCAAACCAAGAAACTCGGTACCATGGCATGGATCTGTATTGCTATTATCAGTGTTGAAGTACTTATCTGTGTCAAGTACGGAGGTGCAATGTTCTGGGCCATTCCAATGCCACCCCAAGTTAAATACCCATGGATTATAGGTCTCACCATCTTTACTGTTGGTTCGGTATTCTATTTCGGTTTCTACAAGAAATCAAAAAAGCAGTCGTCTTCTTCAGCAACAAACAAATCAATCGAAAAGACTGAATAAACGAATAAAATTACATACACATTAATTGAATAAAATCTAAATTTTATTATTATTATTATTATGATTATTTAACATTTATACATTTTGTTTTAAATATTTGATAGACAATCTTGTTTGATGTAACATATGATCTTATACAGACTGGAAACTCTTCATAGTTTGTTAAAAGACTCTTAATTATATGTAGAGCACCCTTGTAGGAAGATGGTAATATATCTTTTGAATCTAAATTGGTTTGACTAAAGAAATATAACTAATATCAACAACAACACAGTTAATAATTTAGATTAATTAATAAAAAATATAAAATAAATGTAGCAGTCATTCATAACTTACAGCATCATCTCCATAGAGGTATACTGGAAGTTCACCGGTTGCATCGGATATCAACAGATTCAAACAATAAATCCATTTTAATTTATCATCTGTATCACATTTTTTGCAACTGTAGTCTTGTAGTGTTGATGGTGTGGGATCCTGGAAAGTCATACAAGATTCACATAAAACTTGTAACCATTTTCTTGAGAGTTTCGGATGAGATTCATGAAGTTTAACCATCGTCACAAATATATTTGGTGTCTATTGTTAATTTTGTATTCATCATTAGTGTTTCAACTCTATTATGATAAAGTAAAACATTTTAACTTACTTTACATTCAAGTATATCTTTTATCTTTGTGAAAACTGCAGTTTTAAAATCTACAACTAGTTACAAATCACAGGTTAATATGACTGATAAATAAGTTTAAGTCTGTTTAAATAAAGGATACTACTACTTACTAGTTGAAATACTTGGTATTTCCGATTCATTTAATTCATTGTTGTTGTTGTTGTTATCATCTTGATACTCGCTCTTTACTGTAACATCTTTAATATTTGTTAATTGATCTACTTTCTCTTTATGTTGACTGTAGTAGTAGTAGTAGTAGTAGTATTTTAAATGTTATTAGTGTTTGTTATTTGTATTGCTGTTGTTGCTATTGTTGTTATTCATAGTACTTTACCGTAATAACCGTTTAACTCTTGGATCATCTGGTGATAAGATGTTAATCCTTGAATTTGTTCCATATTTCAATTCTTTTTGTTGGTACCAATGAACTCTTACCTTTATAAACAATGCCCATGTATCTGTTGAAAGTGATTCGATATGACTGAAATAATCAAACCATACATTCATAGTGATAGTTGTATGTGATTTGACAACTCTGTCCTTTGGATCGAAAATAGCTTGTCCAGTGCCATCCCACAACTTTAACATTATACACTTTTGATTTGCCGATGAACATCTCTCCACTACCTTTGCAATTATATTCACCCATGAATCTTTTTCAATATCTTTTATATCATCTATACCAACTACTTTACCAGTAAAACTATTAACAACATTATTATTATTATCATTATTATTATTATTATTATTATTATTATTATTATTATCACTACTATCATTATTATCTAATTTTCTTTTCTTATTTATATTCAATAACTTTATTTGATTATTATTATTATTATTATTATTATTTGTTGTTGTTGTTGTTGATGTTGATGTTGATGATGTTGCTGTAGCTGACTGAAAATAACCTTTATTCTCAAATGAAATAATGCTAGCTCTTATCTTATCTGTCATCTTAAAGATGGTTGCTCTCTCGAGTGTTTTCAAGTCGATAGGATGTAGAGGTTCACCATTGACAAAGACATAGCATCTAAAGTCCGTATCATAGATATTGGCTTTTCCATTGACCTGATCATTATAGGTGGATCTCTATGATTTATTAATAAATGAGATCAATCAATAAAATGAATGTTTAAAAAACGAATAAACGAGTAACTACACTACTTACACGTAAACCTGAACAAACCAAGATATTACCAATCTCAAAGTATTGTAAACACGATTGATCTTTGAAGAATATGCTAACGTTCATCTTTGATTGCTCACTGTCATAGATCAAGAACTTTTGGCAGTATTCACCAGACATTGGTCTAAGTTCCTCCAACTTATCCAACACACCTATGACATTGAATTTATTGGCTTTCGATATAACTATTTCATTTATAGATTTGTAACTACAATAATATAGTAATATAGTAATAATATATCATGTCAATAATCAAATAGAATCTCTAAATCATCATGATGGTTATATATTATTTTTATTTACTCATCCATTTTCCAAAAAATGATTAATTTTTTTTTTTGAACAACCAATGTATCAGAACAACAACAGAAAAATTAACAAATTTTATTCAAAAAAAATAAAATAATATAATATAATATATTATAACATTCTTAATGAATTCAAATTTATGATCATATATTCTTATAAAAGATAAAAGATCAAGATTTTTATTATTATTAATACTAATAATAATTTTTTGTGTGATAACACCAACACACAAATCTGCTGAATTCAAAAAACAAAAAAAAAAAATTAATTTTTTTTTTTAGAATAATAACTCTGGTTTTTTTTTTTTCATAGTCTTTAGTTAAGTTAAAGAACACTTTTTTTTTTTTGATAGATAGATAGCTGCTGTTTTTTTATTTTATTTATTTTTGTTTGAAAATTTCAAAGTAAAGTATGTTTGTTTGTTATTTTAATTAACTATTAAATATATATATATTAACGGTATTCTTATTTTTATTTTATAGATAAAATAAATACATACAAACAGATCGAAATACCTTTTCTTTTTTGTTTAGACTTCTTGAATTTCAATCAACTAATCTAATCAATTCAATTCAATTCAATTCAATTTATCTCATAGTAAATATTCATTGCCAAGTGTTACAATTATTGATACTTCCACAAACAACAAAGTTAATAATAGCTGAGCATTACTTCAACGTAGAGAGACCTGTCACGCACAAATTTGGTCATTTGGTTCAAGCAGTAAGACAGTATTACTATTAATAACATCAATACAACAACCTTTTTTTTTCTTTATTTATTTATCTATCTATCTTTATATATTATAAATTTTAAAGTAACATGTTATCTCCTCAAGTATCACCTTCACCAAATACTTTGAATAACAATAGTAATAATAAGAACAATAACAGTATAAATAATAATATAATATCAACATATCCAGAGTATACATCAATGACTACAAAACAACAACAACAACAAGTATCGGAAGATTCAAATGGCAGACCAATTCACGATATAGCACAAGAATTTACATATCGTCTGAAGGATCTTACCTATAACGATGCTATTATCATTAATAAACTGATGCACTTTGCACAAGATAACATCGTAGCTGCCAAAGAGATATCAGCACTCATTGAAGATAGAATTAGAAAGGTATGTTATCAAATATCAATATTATTATTATTATTACTCAATCACGTCACCGCACACACACACACACAAACCTCAAAAAAGAATACATAAAAATAAATTCAAAATCGTTTTTTTTTTTTAATTTCTCTAATTCTAAATTATTTATTTACGCAAATCTAACAATATGATTATGATTATTATTTTTATTTTATTTTCTTTTGCAAATAAATTTATTATTATTAGAGCGTAAATCCAAAACAAAGACTTGCTGTTTTGTATCTGATGGACTCGATCATCAAGAATGTCGGTAAGATCTACAAGCAGTTGTTTGCCCGCGACATTGTAAATACCTATTGTGCCAGCTTCGAAGCGGTCGACGACACCATCAAGACGTCTCTATTCAATCTTTACAATACTTGGACCGGTTACTTTGACCCTGTATTGTTAGAGAAGATCCAACAGCGCTGCGGTGTCGAAGAGATGGCCAGAATTGCGATTCTCAAGAAACAACAAGTGAAACCTCCACAAAAGACTGGTCATCCACAGAAGCCATCCTCATCATCATCATCATCATCCAGACCAACAATTCCATCACCAACCGGATCGCAACAACCACAGCCACATCCACAAAAACAACCACCATCACAACAACAACAACAACCATCTCAACAACAGATATCATCCCAACAACAACAACAATTATTACAACAACAACAGCAACAACAACGAATGCTGCAACAACAACAACAACAACAACAACTATGGACTCAACAACAACAACAATCACAAAATAAACTTAACGTAGGAATAAATATTTATGATCAATGGTCAGGATTACTTACCCAAAATAACTATCCCAATATATATAACTATGATATGCAACAACAGGTACAAGATCCCAGGGTCAATAAAGGAAGTGCTCCTAATTACTTGAATGGTCAGTTTAATAATCAACTAAATCAACAAAACAACAATATGATGACATCAAATAATAATATGAATATAATGAATAATGGAATGATGAATAGCCAACAACAACAACAATTTAATAATAACTATAATAATAATAATGTGGGAATGAATAACTATAGCCTTAACAATATGTTCCCTGCCGGTGTGAATAATAATCAAAATTACAATAATTTTAATAATATGATTCAAAGTTTCAATCTTAATACCAGTGGTTCAGTACCAAATCAAACCAATATGAATCAACAACAACAGCAGCAGTGGAACCAAAACAACGCTGGAAACTATTCATATTTCAATAATATGAATGCTTCCAACTTGTTTATGAATGGTTTGGGTGAGGTCAATCCCAACAATAATAACAATAATAATAATATTACCAACACCTTTCAACAAGGAGGACAACAACAACCACAACCACAGCAACAACAACAACAACAATCGAATAACCCCAATGCTCAAGAGGAGCATTCTCAAATCCAACAGGAACAATCGCAATTGTACAAGATTATTGAACAATGTGGTACCATCCTTGCATCAGAACCGGAGAATGATCAAGTGAAAGCACTGTTGACCGAACTGGAGAATACCTTGTACCGTGGTTCCTACAATCAAGCAAATTATGCCTTCCTCAAGCAAAAGTTTACCAATATCACTGGTATCTCAATTCAAGCATCCAATAGCCCTCTTCCAATTGGAAACGTTAGCAACAACATCATCAACAACAACAATGCTACCAACTCAAAACCATCCGACGATTCTACCAGCAAGGATGACAACACAACAAGGTAATTATTAACTATTATATTTAATCACTAACCAAAGTATATATAGAAACAATTATAGCTAACCGACTGAATCCTTTCCTTTTTTCTTTAACACCAAATTCCATATACAATCGGCATTTAATTATTGATGTTCAACTTTTTTCATTTATTTTGAATCAATAATATTGTTGTTGCAACAATGTTACTTTATAATAAATTTATTTATTAATGAATGCTTCTTTCTGTTCTGCGGGGTGATCTTACTCTGTTTGTTTGTCAATGTCTCTCTATGCGCGACTTGACAATCAATTCACACGATGATATTGCGTAACCACCACCAACACAACCACCACAAAATTATACGACTACTCTCGACAAACCGACAAACCAGTGAGCCATTTAATCCAGCCGTGGATTTGTATGATGCTCTTCCGCTACAGTGCAAAACATGTGCATTGAGATTCAACGACGATGAGTTGTTTAAGTTACACATGGACTGGCACTGGAGAGTGAACAAGAAAGAGAAGAAGAAGAAGAAGCAAGCAATGTCTAGATCTTGGTACATCACCGAAGACGAGTGGATCGCATTCGAATGTGGAGTCACCGAAATCCATCACGAACAACCAGGTAGGTTTTTATTTACTAACCTTTTTTTTTATTTTATTCAACATCCATCATCATCATCTATCTCCTCCGTCATCTTTTTCACTTTCTTCTTCACTTTCTTCATCCTCATCTTCACTATCTTCACTATCTTCACTATCTTCACTATCTTCTATATCATTACTATTACTACTATTATTCATCTTTGACTTTAACCAATAGCTGAATCTTTTGCGAGTTTATTCTCCTCTGTTTCGTTTGTATCGTTTGACTTGTTATCGATTGGCATATCTTCGTCATCATCGTCATCTTCACAATAATAATAATAATATCATAGACTTTCTATCTATCTATTAAATTATAGCAATGTCAACAAATATATGATGTTTTACATTACATTAAAAAAGAAAAAAAAAAAGAAAAAAAGAAATGATTATTATTTTAATCTCAATGTTAGACTTTAATATTTATTATCATTTGATTATTATCATTATATATGTAATCTTTATGAAGATGGAGGCTCTTAGTTGTTTAAATTTTTCTTTAAAAAAAAAATGTTAATTTTTTTATTTTAAACTTATTATTAATATTATTTCTTTCTTTTTTTTTTTTTTCTAATCTATTTTTTTTTTGATAATAATCAATAGCGTTACCTTTCTTGAATGCCAAAAACAAGAAAGAAGATGAACAAAAACCGTTACCGAATTTGGTTGCTGACGACGAGCAACCGAATTGTCCAATCTGTAGAGAAAAGTTTGATAAGTTCTGGGATGAGTCAAACGAGGAGTGGATGTATCGTGCAGTGGAGCTGAATGAAAAGATCAATAAAATCGTTCATGTTAAATGCAATGGTTCTCCTAAATTAGATGATACCAATGGCATTAATAAAACACCTTCACCACCAGTGTCGCTCTCGTCATCTTCAACAACCATTAACAATACCATCAATAACAACAACAACAACTACAATAACAACAACAATAGCAGCAGTGATATTAAATTGGAGGATGTATCGATCATCCCATCACCAAAGCCATTAACAAAAACCATAGATAAAAAGAGAGAACTGGAGGTAGAACAAAAATCTGAACTGATTGAATCAAATTCTGATTCACCGGAGAGAGATGCAAAAAAGCTGAAAAACGAATAAACACTTTTTACAGCAAATCAACCAACAACCTTTTTTCAATTTGATAAAGAAAAACAAACAGATATTAAACCAACAAATACATCTAAATAAACTTAAAATTTGTATACAAATCACTTCACGAATTGCCTCAAAAAAAAAAAAAACAAGATATTTTTTTTGCTTGAAAGATTCACAATGGACTTTTGAACAATTTCTATATTTATTATTAAAATCAAATTAATTGTAACAACAGAATTAAATAAATTGTTTTAAAAAATGACAGTCAAATGTGCTCAACATCAAAGATCACATGAGTATTTTTGTTTTAAATGTAATAGTTTGATGTGTCCAAAATGTATTATCATTCACAACAGAGCAAATCAAGATCATTTAGATTACCATGATCATATAGATAGTATCAGACAATCGTTAAGTCATAATCTTTTAGATGTTGTGAGTGACAGTAATTCGGATCATAATATTAAAGATCAGAGTGGTGATCAGTCTGATGATATAGATGATAGTACTATCATAAGTAACACTGTATTCAGAGAGAAAATAACATCACTTTGGAGTACTCTAAAGTCATCGAGTGACAAATATCAATCATTAACTACAACCGAGAATGAGATCAAACAGCACTTTGAACAGCTCCACCAATATCTTATTGTTGAAGAGCATAAACTAAAGAAAGATATCATCAATAATAAAGATGCGATAATCAATCTGGTCGATAATAATATGAATCAATTGAAATATTTAGTGAATATCATTAATATCAATAGTAAATTAGATAACGATAATGATAATAACACTGTTGATCAACATATTAATAGTGATAGCAGCAACAACAACCAAGATCAATCAGTGATAGCAGATACAACAGATCAATATTCAACTATAGCTATTATGAAATCGATTACATGCAGCTCATCATTAAAATCGTTCGTCAAAGATAATAGTCAATCATTATTCAGTCATGATCAAAATCAATTGAACATTGGTGAACTATTGACACAACACAACAATGATCAAAATTCAATCATATTAGATATTATTAATAAATATAATATTCATTTAACAACTGATAGTAATAATAATCTAAGTGATTGCAATAATGATACTGATTATAAAGTATCTATTAAACAACCGGATTTCAATCAATTAAATTCCATAATACAACAATCAATAATATTAACAGCAACATCACCACAATCCACAGCATCAACATCAACAAATAAATCATCTTTTATATTGGCAACACATCAATCAAATGGAGCAACACTTATTAATACATCAAATAACACAACCGAAGAATTACAATTTAGTTATGATTTCTTCCAGACAAGTTCATCGATGGTAAGCGTTGGTGAATATGTTTATATCTTTGGAGGTGTTCCCTATCGCAACAAATGGTTTAGATTTTCATTGAAATCGAAATCGATCGATCATGTTGGAGACATGGATAACTACTTTGCCGATTGCTTTATATCGGTGTGTTACGATGGCCAAGATCTTATCTATCTGGTCAATGGATCAATGATGAATAGAATCGACTATTTCAACGTAAGGACCTTTCAATTCGACAGACTCTACATGCCGAAAGAGATACTCGGTCAACAACTATCGTCGATGTTCTACAAAGGTAAACTATACTCAGTACCACTGCTCAAAAAAGTAATTGCTGAATTCGATTTGACAAGTAATCAACTAATGTTGAAACATCCAATCGTCTCCTGTCCAATGTCGGCGTGCCATGACGATAATGGAAATTTCTTCATTCATGGTTCAGATGGTAGTCTAGTTAAATTCAACGTTGAAACCAAACAAACAACTAAACTAAACGTTAAAACAGGCAAAGCCGATAGTGTTTATCTATTGTATCACCGAGTATCAGCCGCAGAGAGTTTTGTATATTCATTTGGTGGTGTGGACTATGGTAATTTCAAATATTCCATTGAACAGCAACAACAACAACCATATCTTATTGGTGATAAACATGTTAGAGCGATGTATGGATCTGTATCATTTTAAATGTTAGTTAGCCAATTTGTATTTTCTAAATAAATCAGTCAGATTTAAAATTAAATTAAATTTCTTTTTTTTTTCGTATCGTTTTTTTCTAAATTTATCTAAAATTTGATTCGTTGAGATCAGTCTTTTTTCCAATCATGTCGTCATCGGATGAGAATATAAAGATGGAAGATGTTGGAGAACAACAACAAATAACTACAACAACAACCAGTACTGATAGTACAACAACTAGCATACCAACACCACCACAACGTAATCCAATAAATAATAGAACAGAAAAATCTGTTGGAATAGAGTGTTTCTTGGGTACAAGTGCACCTTGGACAGGTATTTTAAAGCAACGTTACGATGATTTCATAGTAAATGAAATAGATATCAATGGAAATGTTATAACATTGAATTCAATTACCGATACTGAGCCTGTATGTTGTCTTAATCATTATAATAGTTATAGAACTTTTTTATTTATCTTTTTTTTATTTTTTAAATTAATATAAAGACAGAAGAAAAAGAACCAGAAAAACCAAAGGTACAAGAGGAAACTAAACCTGAAACAGAGGTTGTAGAGCAACCAACAATCTCAGAGAAAGTAGTAAAGGATTTGGAAGATATTGTAGGAAATGAACAAGCAACGAAATTCTTAGAGTTTGTCAACGTGACATCAAAGAGCAATCCGAAATCAAAGTTCTTGTTCGATTTGATACAAGATAAGGAAAAGAGAACATCTCTACATCTTTTAATCAAACATAGTTTCAGAATGATATCAGAGACAGAGAATTCATGTGTTAAAGTACTTTCATCATCGTATGTTATTTATTATTACTATGAATTATAGAGCTATCTAAACATTTCAAATGTAGATCTTATTTACTTACTATTTTTTTATTTACCTTTTTTTTTTAAAAAACAAAAGTCGTGGTAGTCGTGGAGATAATAGAGATGCATGGCCAGCAGGTAGACCCAAGTATTTACAATTTGTTTTGTTCAAAGAGAACAAAGAATCGATGGATGCTTTCAATATCATTTCTAAACAGCTAAAGGTCAATCAGAGAATCTTTTCGATGGCCGGAACCAAAGACAAGAGAGGTGTGACCACTCAATCGGTGACGGCATTCAAGATGAATCACAAGAGATTGTTGGGTGTCAACAGCAGACTCTACGGTATGAAAGTCGGTGGTGACTTTAAGTATGTCGATAAGCATCTGCAACTCGGTGACTTGAGTGGCAATCGTTTCACAATCGTAATCCGTGATATCTCTGCCGACGACCAATTGGTAGAGTCATCGGTGGAGCAATTCAAAAAGACAGGTTTCATTAACTACTATGGATTGCAGCGTTTCGGAACGGGATCGGTCAGTACCCATCAAATTGGAAAGTCAATCATTCGAGGTGAATGGGAGGAGGTTATCAAGTTGATGTTGTACCCACGTGAAGGTGAGAAAGAGGAACTCAGAGTGGCAAGACAGAAATACAAGGATTCTGGTGATGTCAAGGCACTGATGAGATCGCTTCCCAAGTATATGACTTCAGAGATTGCCATTTGCAAGGGTCTGATCAGAGATCCAAGAGGTTTCATGAATGCATTCGACAACTTGCCAAGAACCCTTAGAATGTTGTACCCACACAGCTATCAGAGTTATATTTGGAATAGAATGACTAGCGAGAGAATCAAGTTGTACGGACACGAATTACCGGTTGTAGGTGATCTCGTTGCTGTCGACATCGACAAGAAAGCAAAAGATGACAATGAAGCAAACAATAACAACAACGAAGGAGAATCAAATGTATTGGAGGACGCTCAAGACGAAGAGGTTCCAGACGATGACGATAGTGATTTCCATATTGTTCATGTCACTGAGGAGGATGTAAAAGCTGGTCGTTACAATATTTCACAAGTAGTATTACCAATGTTTGGAAACGATGTACTCTATCCACTTAACAAGATTGGAGAGCTTTACAAACAGGTCATTGCCGAAGACAACATCACCGAAAAGAATTTCACAAACAAGTCAAGAATCTACAACCTCAAAGGTTCATACAGAAAGATCATTTCCTTTGCCAATGACATACAATACAAGACATTTAGATACGATGACTATACAAAGGCACTTACTATTAACGATTTAGAAAGATTAAATGGTAAAGAAGAACCACAAGATCAACCAAGTATGTAAATCATCATTGTTTAAAAAAATAGTTTCTAAACAACCACTAACAATTATTATCTTGTTGTTATTTTAGATGGAAAGTTTAGAGCACTGAGAATATCATTCAATTTACCGACTTCATCATATGCAACCATGGCATATAGAGAGCTGTTGAAACTTACTACTGATATTTTACCACAAGTAGCTTTAGGAGAGAATTCTAAACAAGCGATTAGTAACAATAACAATAATGATAGTTCAACTATAAACGAAGATAATGCCGAGTCGAATGAAAATAAAAAGAGAAAAATAGATGAAGTAGTATCAAAAGAGGAAAAAGAGGAAGAGGATAAAAATAAAATAAAAATAGAGAAAACTATCTAAATAAATAAAAATGATAGTCAAAAGATAAAAATTTATGTTTAAATTATGATTTACTTTTTTTTTTTTTTACTTATAAATAATTTTATTATTTTAAATATAAATATAATTATTACTTTTGTCTTTTGGGAGATATATTGTTATTGTTGTTGTTGTTATTGTTATTATTTGGAGAGTTGGATTGAGGTGTACCATTTGGAGATGATTGTTGGTTGATGGGAACTGATGGTGGTGATATGGTTTGTTGTGGTGGAGTGTTTTGTGTCATGTATGGAACTTGTTGTGTTTGGATACTGAGCGAAGGTGGAGATGGAATAGACATTACACTATTGATATTCTGACGAAATTGGCTATTCTTTGTTGCTTCGGCAATAGCACTCATGATCATCGGATTTTGTAAATTCATCATACCAGGTGGCAAGATACCTGGTGGCAATGGAGCAGATAGACCTGGTGGCATCTCCATACTGCTGGGACTACCATTTGGCGAACCATTTGGACCCTTTGGGAAGGTGAACGAAACTGCTTGGGTGATAAAGTTCCTCAGGTACATAAGTTGCTCTCGAATTAGTTTGTTTTCTGAATTAAGCAACTCTGTTCTTGCTCGGAATTCGCTGTTGTTGGTTGTTAAGTCATGGACTTTTTTCTCAAGGTCTTGAATATAGGCCTTTTGTCTTTGTCGGAATAGTTGAGCAGCTTCTCTGTTTTTTACCAATCTATAAGAATAATAAGAAAATGTAAATATTTTATAAAATTATAAAATTTAAATATTATTTTTACCTTCTTTGTCTTTTCATATGTTTTTCTTCTTCTGGGTTTACACTTCCATCTGGAGTTGGAATTAACATTGTACCATTCTCACTCTTGACTGGTGTTGAAGTGATAAACTTTCTCTTTTTAATCTTGTTATCGTCTTCCTTTCTTTTAGCAGATGTTTTATTATTGGTTACACTGTTAGTTTTAAATTAAAGTTTAGTAAATAAAATTAAAGATTATTAAAATTTCCACTTACTTTTTGTTGTTTGGATTATTATTGTTATTATTTTGTACAATTAATGGCATTTCATAAGCAGATCCCGGAACAAAACTAAATTTAATTAATAGATTTAAAGTTAGATTTATAAAATATATTATAAACTTATAAAAATAAACTTACTAATGTTGTTTCATTGGTTCATTTATAAAATCTATTTTCTTTAAAACATTATTATCTTGGGTAAGTGAAGAATCTGGAACAATTCCATTGGAATATGAATCTTCAAGCTTTACTCCATTGTACACTAATAAAGTTTTATTAGTATCATTTAATAATAAAAATAAATTATTTTGATTACTTACTATTTAAATTTAATTGATTTGGACTACAATTAAAATCTGGAATGATATTCATTGAATTATCCTTTTCAGAGGCTAAGAAAAGAGAATAAATCTGCTCTTCCATACCACCATTATGAATAGGTTGCATTTGTTGATGTTGGGAGTATGATGGTTGATGTTGTTGTTGAAGGTTATGATGTTGTTGCTGTTGTTGATGATATGGTGGTAATGGAGTAGAAATTTGAATGGCTTGATTAGAGTCTTTCAAATGATGTTGTTGTTGTTGTTGCTGTTGTTGTTGGTGTGACATTTGAGGTGGTTGATGGACTTGTTGATGTTGTGAAAAACCATTTGTATTTCCATTGTATCCATTTGATGATTGTGGAGGAGCTTTCTTATTGTTGAGATTATAGGTTCCGTTGATTCCAGATGGATTTTGCATATTAGCACCATTTGTATGCTGTTGAACTTGATTGTTGACATTATTGTTATTGTTATTGTTGATTGGTGGAGTGGTGTTTGGAGTTGTGTTTACATTTCCAAATTTGTTAGGACTGTCTGGTACAAGACCAGAAGTGAAATCCAAACCCAAATCATGGTTTGGAAATAAACTGTAGATGGAGTCACCTTCTATTAGACTCATTAGGTAGCTATTGGTAATAAAGCAAGTAATAAAAATATAAAGTATTACTGTTGGCAATCTAAAATATTTAAATGTATACCTAATAATTCGGAGAGTAAATTAGAAAATGACTAACAAACAACAATTGAATTCAATGGATTTGTTTATAGATGTTAAAGAGCTTGGTGGCACTTTAAAATATAATAATTTTAAATTAAAAAGCAAAAATAAACAAAACAAATAAATAAATAAATAAAATTATGTTATATTATTATGATATTACAAATTATAAAAATAAAATAATAATATATACCAAAATATACCAAATAATGATAGCAATGAATTAAAAAATAATTAAATATTGTTGTTGTTGCTGTTGCTGTTGTTGTTGAAACATATAACGTGCTGTACAATACTGAATCTATTATGATGTAGACACTAACTATTGGATAGGATTATAACAATAAAAAAGTTATAAATTGTTGAATGTCAATGTGAAAATTATTGTTTTTTAAAAAAAAATAACAACTATTAATAATTATTAAACAAATAGAATTACTTTTATATTGAACAAAGTAACAAAATCAAAAAAAACATGCTTGTACAATAAAATGAATATTACCTTTGGATGTGAAAGAAAATAAATATTATAAAAAAACAAGGCGTACAATATCTTGATTTGATTCAAAGTTGCAATTGGTATTGTAATTTCTTTGAGATATGAGGGAAACTAAAAACTGTGTTATTACTATTATTAAGGATATCTATAGAATTGAATTAAAGGTTTAGTTGGAAAGAATAATGGACACAACAAATAAGAAAGAACGAAAGTATTGGCGATAAAAATTGGATATGAGGTGGCGATGTCAAATAGTCGATTTTAAAAGTCAGGAAGAAATAGGGATGATATTTTTAAATTAAAATTCATAGGTGATGTTGGGTGGATTATGTTTCGGGGCATTCAATTAGGGTTATCTATATAGAGATATGTGGTTGTTACTTGTGTTGTGTGGGCGTCTCTTTGTCTTCATAATAGTAGAATAAAAAGATTGTCAAGAAAAAAAAACCAAAACCAAACAGAAATAAATTTTGGAATGTTACCAGAAACACCTAGTACTAAGTCAGCTGTAATATGTCATTTGAAAAAAATAAAACAATAACAATGTGAAAATAACATAACCAAGTTAGTGAGTATCAAAGTGTTTTAGTGAGTTTGACTTATTGTAGAGAAAAATACAATGCAGACATGTATGTCTCTACCATCAAGAACGAATATTCCTATTCATCTAACCCACTAAATTGGAAAATTTGTATACAACCACACAAAGCACACACTCAAAATTAAAATAAAAACATTATAGATAACTATTTCTTAAACACTGTAATATATTATTATATGATTTATATAAATAAGAAAAAGAAGTAGTAGCATTTAAAATGGTTGTTGCTCTTAGAGATTGATAAAATCCATTGGGAAATGACTATCTTTATATCTATCTGGTAGACATGTTATCATCATTCCCATTCAACAACCCCACACCACCATATAAGAAAAAAACAAACAGAATCAAATTTTAAAATAAATATATAGGAAAAAATCAAAAACAATGAGAAAAATCGGTGACTATTTAAAAAATAATGTGTTGTGTTTATATATGTTTTATAGTTGTTATATGTGTTTTGTTTAATTGTGGTGTGTTTGAGTGTTATTTAAATAGATATTTTGTTTATCACAACAACCACAAAAAAACAGAAAAAAAAAAAAACAAAACAATTGTTTCTTTTGATATGATATCATATCCATAATCCGTATAACTTTAATTTATGGTAAAAATGAAACATTTTTTTAAATATAGTTATTATTTTATAACTCTTTAAAATGATTTAGACTGTATTATAATTGATTTAATAGTTGGAAATAAAAATCAAATAAATTGATTAGAGATCGAACAGTCATAGAGTTAGATTAAAATAGATAAAGAGATATTATTATTATTATTATTATTATGAAAAATGTTATTGATTTTGATGGATTATTGATTATCAATTATACAAGTTGCATAGTGAAAAGTAAAGTAAATCAATGACATTTGTGATGAGTATAGAGCTTGTTGAATTGATACAATTTGGAATGGTGATGATAAAGGTGAAAATAAAGTTAAAAGAATCAACTGTTTGATTGGCTGATTTGTTAACAACTAACTACACAACCCGTTTTGAAATAATTAAACAAATCCATCCTTTTAAAATAAAATTAGTATATTAGAATAAAACGACACAACTATCTTAATATTCAAAAACAAATTGATTATGTTGAAAAAAATAATAATTATAGAAATTTTCTACAATTAATATAAAATTGAAATTGAATTGATATTAATTTTAAAATAGTAAAATTATTCTTAAAAAATAGATAGGTGATTTTAAAAATATTAATATCTTTCTTACCATAAAAAGAATGAAAATAAATAAATAAAGAATGATAAAAATAATAATTCCTAATAATATATTGAGAGAAAATAAATATATATTAATATAAATATAATAAATATTTATTACTTAATTGTTATAATTTACCTTTTATAATATTTCTAATATTATTGTTGTTGTTGGTTCAAATAGTATTATACTCTACTCCCTCTCTTAATATTATTATATACTCTTATGTTGTTGTTTTGTTGTTTTTGTTGTTGTTTTTTTTCAATAGAAGGTAGAAACTAAACTTGGAAATTATAGTTATACTAATTGATAAATTAAAAAGAAATGTATAAATATTTTTAAAAATTAAAAAAAAAAAACAAGAAAAGAAAAGAGTAAAGTGCCAAACAAACGACCAAACAAACTAAAATCAAAATTCTATCTATCTGTTTAATCCTGCTGTTGTTGATTTTGTTATCATTTATCTTATCAATGAAAAAAAAAACAAAACAATTTTATAACGGTAAATGTATATGTTTATTTTTAAAAAACATAATATTTAAAAGTTAGTTGTAGGGGTTGTGTGTGAGTGTGGTTGTTTGGTCTGTCTCTGTCTTGAAATAGATAAACCAAATTTAAATATATACTTAATTGTTTGGGTGGGTGTGTTAAATTTTAGAGTGTGTTTCATTCATTCATTCATTCATTGTTAGGATTCTACAATCAAACCACAGTTTTAAGAGATAATTCGATTTAAAAGAAAGTGTGTGGTGAATTGGGGTTGTCTACAAAATCAATATATATTGTGTTGGTGTGTGTTGAATTTGTTTGGTGTATGTTCACACCAAGCCAGAATATTGTTGTATGTGTGTTGTTGTATTCTTCGAGATGATAGAATTAAGTATCTACCTCTTTATTTTCGCTATTGATTTAAAAAAAAAAAAAAAACCTATCTTTCACCACAACACTACAGAACACTTTAAATATACTATATAAATAATTATTGATGTGTAACCAATGAAAATGACCATTATTAGTAGTAAAACGTCAGTAATAAATAATATTGAGAAACAAATGATCCAAAATTATTTGAAAAGCAAGAAGTAACTAGTTATTTATGTTTGTTTCTGATTCTTCTTTTTCTTATAATTTTAGTATGTAATTGTCAACCGTTTCATTGATTAGTTAACTAATCATTCTAACGGAATAGTAATTATAATTTACTGCCTTATATATTAATTTTAATAATATTTTTATTGATAAGTTGATTTTCAAAAACAAATAAAGAATCATTGACCTATGATACATCATATATTAATAGAGTTAAAATAGATAGAAACAAGAATAAATGATGATGTTATAATGATGGTGTGATTGGTGTAAGAAAAAAACAATGAGTATCAATGAGCTGTTGTAATCTCACCCTAAAAAATAAAGTGAATTAGTGCCCAGGCTGATCATCATTTTCCGACTATTAATAAAATCAACTACACCGAAAGAAAACAGCAAAAAACAACTAAAAAAAATGAAAAAAACAGTCGAACATTATAATTTTTTTTCAAAAAACATGTTGTTTACCCCCTTTTTAATTAAAAAATAAATTGAAAAAAAAATAATTCAAAAATAAAATAAATAAATCAACTTAATTCAGTTAATGTTATTGTGTATTTTAATTAATCAGATACATAACCCGCCCTAATGATATAAATATATCTTTTTTTGATTGTCAGCAAATCAAATAATAATCAATCAACCAATTAAATAAATATCCAAATCAAAACGAACATCAACACTATTATTATTATTATTATTTAATTTTTATTTTATTTAATTAATAAAATCTAGATAAGATTTTATTAAATATATTTATTTATATAATATAAATTATCATAATAAATAATTAATTAAAATTATATATATATATACATATATTTATGTCTTGAAATAATAATAAATAGATTTGGAAATAAAATTTTTTTTAGAGAGAAAATCTTTAATTATATATATTATATTTACATATAGATGTCATCATTACCTTTTATTCCAAATGAAGGTGATACTCTAGATACTATATTTGTTACAGTGTCGTCTAGTTTCACTCTGGTCGGCTGTTGTTTTATTATATTTAGTTATATCTATTTCAAAGAGCTTAGAGAGTTCAATCTAAAGTTGGTTTTCATTCTAACGCTCAATGATCTCGTAATTTCACTTATATTCTTAATCAGCACGCATATCAGTAGATCGTACTCAGAGATCGTACGAGAAGCACTTCCTTTCATATGTAGTGTGCCCGATACACTACTTCACTATTTCTTTATATCCTCGTTCTTTTGGAGTGTAGCAATTGCTCATACATTACTTCAAGGTAAGAATAAATAATGTAACAACTAAATCGCCGTTCTTTATTTTGAAAATAACTAACTAGGTACCTTTTTGTAAATTAATTAGTAATTGCATATAATAATATGAATGTTGAATCTGTATATTATAAATTCTATCATATGGTTGCATGGGGTATACCTTTCCTCTTGATATTCAGCTTATTCCTAACTCGATCACTACGACATGCCGATTGTAGTCGTTTTGATTCATTGTATCCACATCTTTTGTTCTTTATTCCGCTTCTGGTGGCACTGCTCTACAATGTGGTGGTTTGTGTAATCGTCACTCGAAAACTCAAGAAAGATTACAGTCATTACAAAGCACACTCTCTGAAGGATACGAGCATTGCAGGCATCGCAAAGACTAGTAGTGCGAGCAGCATTGTTTCATCGTCGTTCAACGAATTCGTAAAGATTGTAGGAACACCAAAAATCGTTAGAACATCACTGCTTTTCTTGATATCGTTTGCATTCTGCTGGCTCTGGTCACTGGTTGTCGTGGTGCTTATCATCGTCAATCCGCTTGGTTGGCACGACAGCCCAACGATGACATTCTTCCTTCGCATGTCATACATATTCACACCGCTTCAAGGATTCCTAAACTCACTAATCTACGGTCTACACGAAGATCTCTGGATCAAGATGAAAGAATCCATGAGAAACCGATGGAACTATTGGGTCGACCCAAACAATCACTACATTGACGAGTACAATCCCGAGCAACCTTCATTCAACTACGAAACCTATTACGAGGAGTATTCAGATATACATAGAAGTGCGAGCGGTGGAGATATCTTTATTTTCAACAATGATAGTACGACAATCAATTAATTTGTATAAATTGTTAGCTTAAAACCATCATTTTAATAATGTCTTTTTTTATTTGTATTTAATATTTAATTTGGAAGAGCAGATCTATAGAATCTACTAAAGTTTGCATTTGGTTGAAATTGTCTAAAATTAATTGTACTATTGTTAATGTTTTGTATTTTAGTTATTTTGCCTCTAACTTTTGTGATATTAATGATTCTAACATGAGTAATTTGTTTTAGCAATGGATGACTCAATGTTTTGAATATAGCATTAATGTCAACAGGATAATCTAAGGTGAATTCAAAGAATCTGATCTTCAATTCCGAAAAGTTGGGATTAAGCTTAGCAAATTGAAAAAGGAAGGGAAGTTCACAGGTGTTGTTCAGTGTAATCGAAGTCAAGTAAGGTGATGTTTGCAAAATGTTCCATAATTGATCACCTTCACTAAGTCGAGCTCTGTATTTGTCTGGTAAGACCAACTTTCTCAAGTTTGACAATTGTAGAGGTATATTATTGTAGTACATTTCATATCTGTATTTGGTTATCAAGGAAAGTTGGTCGATCGATACATTGGTGAATTTTGAATGTTCAAATGTTGTAGAGATCTTCAAATTAGGATATGAATTTCGAAGCTGAACGAGTTGTGACATAAAAATACTATGTTCAGTAGTGCTCTTGTTGATTGATTTGAATTTAAATGATTCCAATCGACTTAAATTTGATCTGTTGTTTATATAACTCTCTAATTCACTAATATATTTGAACACAAAAGTTATAGATTTCAAATTTTTTGGGAAGTCATTAGTTTTTAATGTTCCCGAATTAAAAGTGAAAGATTCGAGATTGTCTAGACAATCAGATAGGTGAGAATCTGGAATATATTCGATTTCAGAGCCAGCCAAGTGAAGAGGTGTTCTCTTGAATAAACAAAAAGTTGAACCAATATCATTGATTTTACTTGAAATTCTAATGGTTGGATTGGCAATATGAGAAAAAATAATAGAACAACAATTGTGGAATTGTTTGGAAACTCTTGAGAGATCGACTTTCCATTTTGTATCAAGATACTTGTCAAATAACAATGGTGTGATGATTTGTTTCCAAATCAGGGTGCTTAAATTTGGTAATGGTGTTGTGCAGCAAGTAATCTGATTCTCTGGCAAAAATCGGTTGATATACGAAAAAGAATAATGATATCTAACAAAATCGATTAAACCAGTGGGGTAAGGGAATTTGAATAGTTTAGGGATTATATTTGGATTGTGATTTTGAATCTTTTCAAATAATTTAAATCCCAAAGAAAGGAATAGATTACTCCTAATAATAACAAGTAGAAAATTATAGAAAAAGAGTTCGATGAAAATGGAAACATTTTCGATACTTTCAATTTCCAAGAGAAATTCCATTGATTCATAAATGTATAACATTGAAATTTTTGGAACAATAAAACGTAGAATGTCCAAAAGGTCGGTACTTGAAACATGAAGTCGAAGAAGGAATTCGATAATCTTAAAGTCGAACTTCTCTAATCCCTTTTTGATTGCAGAAAAGACAACATCCATTTGTTGTTTTTCTTTAAAGAGTAATGTAGAACTCGATATGAGGAATGGTAGTTTATGACGAATAAGATCTGACATTACTTTCTCATTTGACAAAATAAGTTGTTCAAATTCAAGACTGAATGGTTCGAGTGTATTAAGAACATAACCAGTACCACCAAGTGACTCTAATACTTCAAAGCAAAAATCATTGGACAATGACTCTAACTTTAAAAGAGAATAAAAGACTATCTTTAATAGAGTTGGGTTCTTTTCTACTCGAAAAAGATAAACCAATGAGTGAACTATCGATTGATAGTTTGGTTGAATTGATAGCCCGACTTTAATGTCGCCTATGATTGGAATCAATTCTAAAAAATGATTGTAGAGATTTGAGGGAATAGGAATTGCATGTTGTCTATATATACTTATGAGTGTAAGTTGTTCCAAAGTTTCATTTTTGGAGATTGAGTTAATTAAAATCTCTCCAAACTCTGATGTAGATAGTTCTGTATTGGAAGGATCATCAGCCAAACTAAAATTCGAATCCATTTTTATCAAAGAATCAATGACCAAATCCAACTGTTCAGAAGTAAAAAGTTGGTTGATGAATGGATTATTTGAAATTGATTCACCTATAGTACAAGAGCTTTGTAACAAATCATTCTTTACCAATAATATAAAGAATCTTAATAAACAATCGAGATTAAACTTTTTAGAGATGTATCTATTGGAAAAATGATCTTTAAATTAGTACTTATTGATAATTAATATATTTAATAAACTTACAAATATAAATTTATATAGTTGGTGCTTTTACTTTCAGTATTTGATTGATCATGGAGAATGAGTACCAGTACTTGCATCTTTACTTCAAATGCCCAATTTTTGGTACACTCTGAAAAGAAATCGCTCATTGGTAATGATTTGTTTAAGAATGAATATCTTTGATAATCCTCAATGCTGAGTTGAGTTTTGTGTTTGAGACTCGATAAAAATATGTTGGAGTACAAATATAGAATGTCATCATGTTCACAAAACGAAAACAGATATTTGGTGATATCTGGATTTGTAAAAAGTGATGAGTGGAGCGCATTGGAGATGGTCTTTACAACAATTCTAGTATACTTGAAACGTTTGAAGAATGATGAAATACATTGTTTTACCTCAAAGAGATTATCGGTATCGATAGGCGAATTAACCTCTGGATCAAGGTTGATCATTAACTATTAAAATTTAATTGTTAAATAGACTTGTATTCTCTTTTAGATCTAATATTCTATCAAGTAATACATACCTCTAATACTTTAGAGATTAAATGAAAATCATTGCATTTGATAAAATCTTGGTCATTGATTTTAAAGTATGTAGGAATAATTTGTTTTAGTTTGATAATTGGGAATTCAATGTTAGTTAGTGTCATTGTTTGATCATAGTTCTAATTTAGTTTTGAATCAATGAATTATCTTATGATCAACAATTTGCTTTTTTTTATTCAAAAATGATCGATCCTTTGTCCTTAAAAAAAAAAGTAAAAAAATAACACTACACCAATCATATTTACCCCTATTTTTTTTTTTAAAAATGGAATTTTTATTAAAAGTCTATAAAAATTTATAAAACTTGCATCATTTGGTTTAAAACTATAAAGATTAATAATGTTGTTTGTGAGTTGATCATGGTTTACCATTGGTATTTCGATTTCAGCGGAGATGATTTTCAATTTTAATGATTTGATCGATTTGAACTCTTGTTGTTCCAGTGTTTCGAGCAACTTCTTTGCTTGTATCTCTATTTTGTCAAATTTCACTGAGTAAACTACAAACTTTACTGATAGTTTTGAAAATCGTTTGTTTGCCAACACCGGCTCTATGTCAAAGCAATTGATAAGTGAAACGGTTTCCAGCTTTGGCGAAAGATCGATAATAGCCGAGAGATGAGGTTTGGCTGTGGAATCTTGAAGTGACAGTTTCCTGAGGTTGGTCATCGGGGACAACGCAAATAGATTTGTAAAACAATTTCCAAGCTCCATTCGATAGATAAGATCCTGTTGACTGGGTGACACTTCAAAACTGATATCCGAATAGTTGTGCTCTGGCACCTTCACTTCAATATGTAATTTTGGCTTAGATTGTTTGAGACTGTCCAGTAGCGAAAGAGAATGGTAATAGTGTGTCAAGTTCTTGTAGGTAGTATAATATTTACCAAAACCATCACCATCGTAAACTATAGATTCCAATCTATCGTTGTCATAATGTCGGATGAATTGCTTCATGAAATGAGGTGCTTTATATCTTATCTCATAACTAAAGCTGTAAGACTCGTCATACTGTTGCTCTTCACAGAAATTACCTTCTCTGTCGAAATAGGAAAACATTCCAATGCACGTAACTAATTTATCATCTTCTTCATCATCATTATCATCATCATTATCATCTTTATTATTAGTTCCAATGTAATCTGTTTCCCTAAATCGAATATTTCTAAGGTTCTTTGCTTCGATAAAAATTGATTCTACAACATGTTCTTCGTCCCAGATACAATACAACTGAGTTAGAGATTCGAGTGCAACAAGACAGGCTTGTTTGTACTTCTCTGGGATGAAGACAAACTCTGTGTTTCTGAGGTGGAGTGGTGCATTCTTGAATAGACAATATGTTTTTCCTATGTTGATTTCACTTAATATATGGATGGAAGGAATCGGGCTACTTGATAGAATCGATGAACACCAAGAGTGCATTAACTTTGAAACAGTTGATAACTCTACTATCCATTTCGATGTTGAATATTTATGATGAATAGCCAAACTAATTATTTCCTTTATAATAAGATTACTAAGATTATTACTATTCCGATTGTTGTTGCTGATAATGATGGAACTGTAGTTGATAATGCTGGAATTGGTTAGCTTTTCTAGTTTTCTAATATTTCTACACCCTATGTATGGTGTTACTGATTGTATAGGTAGTCGACTACTGAGGAACTGAAGATAATCCTCTGGGATGAATGTGTGTTGGAATACATAGAGATATGATTTGATGATGCAAACAATCGACTGGCAATCTAATGAATCCATAGAGAGAAGTGAACTCCAAAACATTTTATAAAAGACACCTCCTCGACGAGAAGATAGTAAAGCTAAGGATTTGATAACCAAAGGTTGGAGTGTAGGTTCTACTCTCTTTTGAACAAGTTGTTCTTTGATATCAGTTGCTCCAGCAGAGAGAGTACATTCCAAAGTGTATGGAATTTCCAACGACTTTGATGGATACACTGACAATAACGAGATTGTCTCTAATCTCCTGAACACAATGCATTCTGTAAGAAGAGAACCTAATTGAATCAAAGTTTGGTTATCCAAACGATTCAAATAGTTTAATATTGATTGGGTATCAACATTTGTAAGTGATCGCTCAAAGATATAGCGCTCCGATAGGAAACTAAATGATTCGAATAACAATGACAGTGAAATATCGTTGTTATGTCTTTCCAATCTAAAGTTGTCAAAATATTTCTGAACCACTTTGATAGTCTGTTCAGTAACGTTGACATGATCTTTGATCAATCTAAAAGGTTGAATAAAGTCTTTTAGACAAGTAATAGAACTAGTTAAATATCTAAGAAATAATTGCAAATTAATTAAATTTGAAAGAATAACTTTAATAATAAGTAATATGTTTACTTACGATAATAGATCTTGTAAATGTGTTGATAGATCGGTAACTTTTGATGGATTCTCTGTGATGATGGCAAGCATTAATGGATACTTTGATTGGTCACTGATTTTAGAATCACCATTTTTGATTAGCTCTGAGATTACAATTGATTCTATTGGCATTGATTGGTTCACCATCGAATAGTGTTCCGTTAGACTATTTCGGTTGATGACGGTATTACTACTAGTACTACTACCACAACTATTATATAATAGATTCAACAAGAAGTTACAGAGATTACCATCACAGATTGTCTTTAGGTATTTTAAAAGTCTAACATTGAATATTGATCGGTTGTGTCTGTAGAAATACTCATTGTCTTCAGCTGACAGATCTGCTTGACCAATGAAATCTGATAATAATACCTTTAGTTTTGGTATATCATTATCAACTTGAGCCTTTTCACTATCTTCATATTCAACATCATATCGATACAGCAACTAAAACAATGATTATAATAATAATAATAATAATAATAATAATAATAATAATAAATTCAAATTAACACCATAAAATTAAATTCTGATCATGATTAATATGATAGTAATAGTAACATACATTTATTAAAGAATAAAGGTGTTGATTTTGCTCATGATCATTGTTCAAACAATGATAAGACACCCCATTACTTTTGCTTTGCTGAATCTCTGCTTCGATTTGCTTTAAAAATAAATTATTCATTTACAATTAAAATAAAATTTGGGTGCTAACGCACCACTCTTTTAACGATTTAATGAAAAATTTAAAAATACCAAGAATAAAATTTAATTTAAAATGGTTGTTGATTAAATTTTGATTGGATTGATCAAATTTTTCACTTTTGATTTATTTAATTTGTTGTAAGTAACTTTTAATATAAATATGGTTTCCAAAAAGAAAAATAAAAGATCACATAAAGATATAACAAAGACACCTAGCTCACCATCTGATAGAAGTGATGACAATGCACCTATAGATACTGATACATCGAAAAATTTAGATCTAATTAACCAGCTACTTAATAATGGAACTGATATCGATGATCTCTATCTAAAGGTAAGTAAATATATATAAATATAGGATTTTTAGAAGATTGCTAATTTTAAAATTAAAAAAACTTTGAAATACTTTTGGAATGCATTGTATTTAGTCTGCAAATATTTTTGATAGGATGTTTAGTTCAACTCTGAGACATGCACCTGGACTGAGTGATGATGATGATGGAGATTTCCATCTTGAAATTCTGAGCGAATTCTCACAATTGATGAAAGCTATGGAGCCATACTGTGACCTTGAAGAACAACAACAAGATGAATCACACACAATCACCGGTCCCCAGGTTTTTGGACAAGTAACCAACACCCAAGCCAAACTACCAAATAGAAGTGAGAGAAGAAAAAGAAAATAAAAAAAGAATAATAAAAATAAAAAAAAAGCAATCGATTGTAATTGGTCGTTTGGTTTTGAACCACTGTACTTATATATATTTTTCTATTTTAATTATTTATCTGTAGAATTTACAAAGTGAAAAATCTAGTGGTTTAAAAGTTTGAAGGTTGATGATGTTGTTTGTCAGGTGGAATTGATTGATCATTGAACTCCGAACTTTGTTGCCATTTGGAGGACCGAATTGAAGTTCAATCGTTAGTTTAACCAACTGGATGGATTGGTACTCTGGTCGATCCAGAATCTCAAAGATTCTATTGATATCGGCAAGGGTGATGTTTTTCTTTGGCACCTTTCTTTGTTGCGAACTATCAAAGGTGAATTTGATTACCAACGTTGAGATATCTCTGGATTGCAAGCACTGTAGATGCTCCTCTTTGAGTGAGTTGACAATCGTATACTTTCTGATGTTCGGTGCATTGTTGAGGATCTGCATGATATTGTTACTCGGTGGTTTCTTGTAGTCGTGAACGAATCGCGCCAAGCTGAGGAGCTGCTCCTGTTGTGGTCCGCCAAATCTGAGTGGTGCTTGGTTATATTTGTTGGTGAACTTGGTTATGAGCGATCGCTCTTCAGAGTTCACCTCAAAATCCAGCTCACAATCCGGTACGTTAACATCGATGTGCAGCGTTGGCATAGAGTGCTTGAGGACGTTGAGCATCGGCAGTGAGTGAAAGTAGTGAGTTGCACGATGGTCGATAACATCCTCCTTGTGGTTGTGAGTACCGACATACTTTACCACCTCCAGCTTGGCGTTGTTATAATGATTGACGATCGATTTCATAAAGTGATTGGCTTGTCCGAATGTCCAGTCATCGGTTCCATAGCCGTGGCCATAGTTGACAGGATACACCTGGCCAGTGAAATTGCCTTCCCTGTCAAAGTTTTGTGTTACTCCACTGCATCTATGGGTGGTAATGATCTGCTTGGTTGTTTTCGACAGTTTTCTACCAGAGTTTTGTTGGTTGACTATCGATTTGTTGATGCTGGTTTGCACGATATTGAGTACTCGCAGGTCTGTGGCGCCTATCAACTCCCAAACTATCGATCCCTCATGTATGCAACTGTAGAAATACTGTGTCAACGACTGCAAACTATTGAGACACACTTGCTTATATTCATCGGGTACAAACTGTATCTCTGTGATTGCCAAATGCAATGGTGGTATCTTGAAAAGACAGTAAGGACGACCAACATCTATACGACTCTTTATCTCCAAAGAAGCAACCGGATAACTAGATAGAACCGTTGAGCAAATCTGATGAAACTCCTTTGATACCGTTGACAATGCCATCTTCCATTTAGTATCGATATGTTTATCAAACATTAACAACATTACAATATCTTTTAAAATCATAAAGTTGAATTGTTTACTACAACAAATATTATTATTGCGATTATTATTGTTGTTGTTGTTGATAAAGAACTTATAAAGATATTCTAAATCATCTATATAGGTAATAATATTGGATAGTGGTAATGTTTGGATTTTCGAGATGAAGCTTGGATTGTGTCTGGCTGTCTTGAATATCAATTCCTTGAGAATGTCTTGATTTGGATGTGCAATGATGACGTCGTACTTTAACTTGAATAGCTCCTCAAGGTAGAGTGATAGGAATTCGATGTTATCGGTAACAGAACTATCGTTAACAACAAACTTTCTTGCATTTACAGTCGTCATACAATAGTTTATGGTGTCCTTTGGTGAACTGGTAGCCATGATAAACTCAACCAATTCCGAGGAAATGCTAGAACGCTCTGCAAATACATTCTCCATGATAAAAGCAACATTGTCTTGCGTTAGACATGACGCCACACTATTCCAGTAATCTTTTCTAATTTTGAATGTGTGAACAAAGAAATTATCTGTCAACTTGTAATCTACATTATATGTATAACTTGAACTGTGACTATACATATTATTATTATCGCTATTCTCATCGCTTTGAACATTCCCATTTCCATTACCATTTCCATTAGCATTAACGTTTGTATTAGTAGTGGAAGTAGTAGTAGATTTGCTGGTTCTCTTTGCAGATGAACGTTTGTTGTTGTTGTTGACAATCGAGATATTACAATTATCTTTGGTAAAGAACAATTGGAAGAGATCTCTATATCTATTGTATACTTGTACTACGAATTGTTTATCCAGTGAACTTAGTATACATAGATACTGGAAGATCAAGTTGATAAACTTGATGTTTTGTTTGAGGTGATAGAGATATACCAGTGACTTGATGACCGATTGTTGATACTGTGGTGTCACTCTTGTTTGAAAGATCGAGTACAAGTGATGCCTTGGTACTTTGTTCAAGATGTTTGTATAGAGATTATCGGTGATTGTGAGTGATCGTGATTGATAGAGCTCTACGACTGCAAGCGACTCGAGATCGCTAAACGACAGACTCTTGCTCATCAGCTGATCGATCTCCTCTGACATCAACACAGTTCCATCCAAACCACTGATAAACTTGTAGCGTGAATCGATATCTATTCTCGATGTGATAAGCTGTACCAATTCTGCCTCCGACCATATGAAACGACCAAACAACTGACTTGCCATTGCCAATGACATCTGGAATCTGTCATCTCGCGCCAGTCTCGCCATGTAATCCTCCGAGTTGTATCTACTCAAACTAGATCTCACCAATGAGATATTGTATTCATTCACTTCAAAGTAATCTTTAAGCATTCCAAAATATCTAATAAACTCTACAAATGTTATAACTGAACATTTAGAATACATAAAACTATCAAATGAATCTTAGTCAATGGTTTGTTTGAATTTCTATGCTACGCTATGTTTATACATACTTTAAGATATCATTTTTAATATTATTATTATTGTTGTTTAATGAGAGTTTAGAGAGAATGTCAGCGTTACTATTTAACATTGCAAGTATCAGGTTGGATACACTTGGATTTGATGTTGTGTCGTTGTTGATCATTTCAATGGCTAGCGATTCAATGTTGAAACACTGATTGATATTGGTGTAGTGTTGGCAGAACATCTTTGAGTAATAGCGATTCTGGTAGAAAAGGATGTTCATAAACTGACGACGCAAGTCAGTCTCACCACAGAATGATTTCAGATAGTTGAGATATCGACAGTCTTCAAACAACAGACAATTATGATGATAGAGGTCTTTGTACTCTGTTTCGTCATGTGGCTGATAATAAGTAAAGAAACTTGCTAAACCACTTTTTATATCAGACAATCTTGAAGCAATCAATTCATCTTGATACAATTGATTATCATAATCAAAAAGCAACTATAAATTTGAATCAATCAAACATTTATAAATGTTTTAATTAACTATTATTAATAATCTCTATTAATTGTTAAACAACAACAACAACAAACCTTTGTAATAAAATAAACAATATCATATTGATATGTAACATCTCTATAGAATCTTTTAAAATAATCGGAATCTTTAATCAATACAACTAGTGGATCAATATATGTACATCTTATATTTTGAATATAGTTATTCGTACTATAATTATTATTATATACAACATTATTATCGCTATGAATAAATGTTAACATTTATATTTTATATTCTTAAAGTGGTTTAATTATAATAATAAAAATAGTACTATAAATATAAATAAATGCCATTTTTGGAATGCAATGTGTCAAAAATAATAAATTTTTTTTTATTAGCACAAAGTTTTTCATCAAGTGAATATTACAATAATTAAATTTAGAAAATAAGGTGATTTCTCCTTCTTTCTTTCTTTCTCGGCAGAGTTGATTTGTTTTGCTTTACTTTATAGTTGTTTAATTTTTGATTCAGAGAGATTGGCTATCTCCTTTGCAATGGCAAGTGAAGCTGTTGCAGATGGTGATGGTGAATTTCTTACGTGAAGAATCGGCTTGTTGGGTGGCTGATCAAAGACGAAATCCTCGACGATCTCACCGTCGGAACCCAAAGCCTGTGCTCTTACACCACTGCCTGCATACTCAATCTGATCGACTTTGAGGCTGGGCATGTACGGCGTGAGAGTCTTGAGAAATGCCGCTGGCGAAACGTCGCGAACAAACTCATCGACACCACGACGCCAGTGTTTCAATGCCAACTTTGGCAGACCACTCTCCATCAGCCACTCATAGATATCTTTAAAGTTGAAATCGCTGTACTTGTAGCCTTGGCGAGAGGTAGCCAGCACGGCATTCGGTCCCAACCAGATCTCACCGTTGATTCGCTTGGTGTAATGTGTTCCCAAGAATGGGAAAGCAGCGGGTGGCACCGGATATACATTTCCTTTGATCAGATGACTGTACTCCTTTTTCAACTTGAAGAAACTACCTCGGAACGGCACAATCTTTGGCTGCTCCGCTCCATATGATTTCACAGCGACACGATCACTATACAAACCGGTACAGGTAATTAGAAACTTGGCAACTACATCACCTGTTATTGCACCACTGCCACTTTTAATAGTGATTGTATTGCTCTGTTGATTATAGTCGAATTCGTCGGCTTTGAAATTCAACTTGATCGTGCCACCCAGTGATTGAACGTCTTTTCCGAGTTGTTTGGCGACCAGTCCAAAGTCGGTGATTCCAGTGTTGGGCGAGTAGATGGCACGCAACCCACTGACATGCGGCTCAATACGCTTGATTCCCTCAGAGTCGAGCATCTCCAGGCCTTCGACACCGTTATCAACGCCACGCTTAAAGATCATCTCTAGCTTGGCGATCTCCTCCTCGGTGGTGGCGACAATCAGCTTACCGCAGCGCTCATACGGAAGTTTGTTGCGCTCCAAGTACTCATACATCAGTCGGCAGCCCTGAGTGCAAAGGCGTGCACGTGCACCCGGCTTGTAATAGATACCGGAGTGAATAACACCAGAGTTGTGTGAACTCTGCTGCATTCCTATCTCTGACTCCTGCTCGAGTACCACCAGTGACAAATTTGGATTTCTCATTAGCAATTCTCTTGCTGTTGCAACACCAACAATTCCACCACCTACAATCGCAACATCAAATGTATTTCCATCACTTCTTCTTTGTTTAGTTGTAGTACTACTACTACTACAATATAATCTCCTAGTAGTTCCAATGTTAATTGGTTTTATAACTGATTTTCTTAAATTAGAAACTAACATTTGAGTTCAAAAGAAAAAATAAAAATGACAATAAAAATTTAAAATTAATTAATTTTTATGTTCTGATCAGCACACTGGTTCTTTAAAATCATCGATCTATATCGATTTATATTAAACATAAATAAAGTGCCACCCTTTAAAATAAACAAAATACTCTAAATCAAATATTTTTTATGCTCCTTTTTAATTAATTATGATCTTTTTTTTCTTTAATAAATCAATAGCTAAATGTATTAATAAAATTATAATTATTTAGGATCTCTAATAATAATGAAGAAGAAGTGTTACTTGAAAAAATTAATCACATAGAACTTCAAAAATTTAATAAATAACTTAGTAAACATTTGTTAATTATTTTCAATTATAATTATTCCCAAGAAATTTTCAAAATAAAAAAAAACGTACAGAAACCAAATAAAGAAAACACTCACTTTTTTTAGAACCATTGTATCGTTTGAGTGATTAATAAGAATAAATTGGGTAGAACCTTTATACCGTCATGTCTTTAAAGACAATCATTGATAAACAACAATAATCCATTATTTTTTTTATCCAAATTTTTTTTTGTTCATTCATATAAATATTTAAAAACAATGGATGAATAAATTTGAATAATTATTTAAATATATATAGATAATAGAATCAAGATAGGATAGATACTTGTAGTTTATTTAATAATTAAATTTTGATTATTAAAAAAATATATTTATATGTTGAAACGGAAAGAGTTATTTTCAAAACACTGCTCAGTGGTAATGGAACTGGCAGTGATATTGTTGTTGCTGATGGTTGGTGTTGCCAACGCCGGTACTTGTATTGAAGGTTATAGAGAAGGCTATTATTCACAGTTCAGCTATTACAAAGATTCCGCTTTCATCACATACAAATGTGTTGGATTTTCAACAACAGATGACAGTGGACAGAGTGTATGTAGTCAATGCCTCAGAACGATCAGCACCCTAGGTATCATACTGATCGTTATCGGTGTAATACTAATCATGCTATTGCTCATGATTGCACTCAAGAGACAACATGCCAAAAGTGCAAATGAACGTATAGCCCAACTCAATGCCCAACTCAACAACAGAAGATCTAACGACAACAATCGCAATGAAATTCCAATGTCACCTATCCGAAGACCACCCACCACCAGCAACAACAACAACAATAACAACAACACAAACAACAACAACAATAACAATCAATTGAATTCTGATTTTGTTCAAATCCCACAGATAAATGAACCATCTCCACAAATTGTAATAGAACTTACTAAAGCTACCGATGAAATAGATTAATTTAATAAATAATCTTAATCAATAAACATGTAAAAATTGTATACTTAATCAAATATTTCTGTGTGGTCTGCAGTGTGGGTGTGAAAAAAAAAATTGAAAAAAAATGAAAATGAATAAAAGACAAAAAAAAAAAATCGAAAGTAAAAAACTAATCATTATTTATATTCATATCTGATTGATTCATTTATTAGATTCTTATTTATTATAATATAAATATATAAAAAAAGAAGAGAAGAATAAACAATGAATTATAATGGATATTCAGTTATTTTGTCGACATTGAAATTACAAGGATCGTTGACAAGACCACAGATTTGGCATTTGGTTAGACAGAGCAATCTATTTCAATCGTCACTCAACTTTAAGAGTAAATTGGATACTCTGCTCAGCACAGAGAGAATCAATAGAACATCAGAGTATCAATACGATGCCAAGCGTGGTAAGGAGATGAAGAATCTCTTCAAGTACAGCTTTATAGATAGCCACGAGAGAAATCAATCGATCGGCGACGACATCCTCGATCGTGTTAAACAGAGCATCGACCAAACACTAGAGTCACAGCGTATCAAGACAGAACTCGATATTCAAATGAAAGCCAAACAACAAAAGGAATTGGAAGAACGTAAATCAAAGATCGTCGAAATCAAGATACAAGAAAAGAAGAAGAAAGACGATCAAGAACAACAAAGAATACAACATGCTTTGAAAAAGAGTTCAAAAATGTATAAAAATTAATAAATTACCAATTAGAAATAGATAGATATATATATATAAAATTAAACAAAGATAATCTTTTTTTTTCTTTTTTTTTAATACTAATTAATAAATAGTATTATATTTGTTTGTTTTTTTTTATTTTAATTTATATTTTATTGAAGGAACTATACAGTTTTATAAAAATTACACTATACATTTATATTTATATTATGATTACTAAGTACCAAACCATCTAATAGAATAGTTTCTTAAATAAAAATGCCATTAATAATATAAAAACAAATACTATTAATCTATCTATATTGGTAGTCGATGGTCTTGTTATTGATTCAATTCTTCTTGTATTGATATTAGTTGTTGTTGTCGTTGCATTTGTTATATTATTATTATTGTTACTATTATTTTTTATTGATGCTGTTGTCGAAGAAGATGAATTTGATGTTGGTGCTGGTGGTAATTGATCTACAAGTGTATTTGGTTGATTTATATTTCTTTTAATTATGGTGGATTCCTCCTCTGTTGTTTTATCATTGTTCTGTTGTTCTTGCTTTTGTTCTTGTTGTTCTTGTTCTTTTTCTTTTTCTTGATGTTCTTTTTCTTGTTCTTGTTGTTGTTGTTGTTGTTGTTGTTGTTGTTGCTGTTCAGTTGCGGTGTTTGTTATTGACGATGAATCTTTTGATTCTGTATTTAAAGAAGTTGCTGTAGCTGTTGTTGAAGTAGTAGTCGTCGTTGTTGTTGTATTATCAATAGTGACTGTAGACTCTTTCTTTACTACTTCAGGCAGTGCAGTCTTGTTGTGAGTTCCACACTTTGAACAACTCCAATTGACTGATTTCAAAGCTAATGCTTTTCTCTCGGCAGCTGAATAGTCAAGTGCGCCAACTGCGCCTTTTCCCTCTGTGATCATGAATCCTATCAATGCAACTAAAACAGTTCGAACTAATAAGATGTAACAATAAGTAAATGTTAGTGAAATTCGATATAATTGCTATTACTATAATAGTCTACATCTACATACTACTCCAAGAAGGTTGCCATGTCTCAGGATGATGTGCTGATATCGATAAACAAATCTTGACACCAGCTTCAAATCTACCATTGGGCTGTTTAATAATAATAAAAGTTTGTTAATTAGTTAGTTCGCCAAAGATATAGATATGATATGATATGATTAATAACACATACAGTTAATAAAACAATGTTGGGTGGTTTAAATGGGTAGTCTGGAGGTAATATGATTCTACCATGATAGATTCCACCTTCAAACTCTGTATCTTGAGCACCTCTGATTGTAAAGTGCCATTCGAATATGTTATCTTCCAATGGGAATGCTGTATAATCAGGAGAAGAATCTTGCTTGATCTCCTGAGTCTCTCTCATAATTCTTTTAATTGCTGAATTATTTGTATTCATTTTTTATTTATAAATATAGATATAGTGTTTATAAATATTATATTTCACTTTTGATAATCTTTTTTATCTTATATTATCAAAAATAACCAAAACATAAATATTAAATTTTAAGGATTTAACTAACTAAACTATTATTATTAGTAATATTGATAGTTTGTTTTTTATGTTTTTTTTTTTGTTTGTTTTGTGTGGTAGGTAGGATATGTGAAGGATGAATTGTACAATTATTATTTTATTTTAATTTAATTTTATTTTATTTTATTTTTTGAATATTGGTCGACCAAAGAAGAATGTATTCAAACTAGTTATTAATTGTTGAATTAAAAATGAATTAATTTATTAATAAAAAGAGTTTTATAATGCGTCACCTCAAATATTAATTGATATTTTTTGTTTTTTTTGGGTAAAAAATTGAGATGATGGTGGTGTTTTTTTTTTTGAAAAACTGAAAATAGTTGGTTATAATCAAAATTTTTTCGACACAATTAATTGGCACCTAACATAAAAAGTAATTTAAAATTTTCCAGATTATTTTAATAGTTTGGAATTTCAAGACCTTGGAAAAAATCATATAAATAAATCATAATTTATTTATATATCCAAATAATTATAAACTTTGTTGGTCAAAAATATGTCCATCTTTGAAATAATAAAATGATAAACAAATAATATCTTTCCAGTGTTGGTTTTCCAAAACAAAATGGATAACAAAAGTGTTTTAAACTGAAATATTGTTGTTGTATGTTGTTGGTTACTGTGAACAATTCAATTGAAACCGAACAATAATAACATGATAATTGGATTTAAAACAAAGATTGATTTCACCTTAGAATTTTTTATTTAAATTTATTTTTTCACCAATTTTTTTCTCTATTCAAAAAAAAACAAAAAAATAGAGAATTTTAAAAATTCAATTTTTGTAAAAATTTGAATGAACAAAGAAACACAGAGTTATAAATAAATAATTGTGCACATTAGATATCTATCTATCTTTAGTAATAGTTTTTATAAGATTAAAAAAAAAAAAAAAAAAAATTTATTATTCTCATTTTATTATTTAAAAGAGAGATCAATAAGAAAGATATCAAAACTTGATAATAATAATAATAATAACAATAATTAATGAACCTATTGCTTATTAAAGAAACAAAAACATAACCATACTAACTATTTAACTACATATATTTTGTATAGTTTGTTTATTATTTAGTTTATTTAATTATCTATTTAAAATTATATAAATTATTGCATTTTCTTTTTCTCATACTATTATTATTACAACAACAATGTGATTCATCAACAACACAACAGATACAAACAATTATTATTACTCTTTGATTTTATTTTTTTTAACTTTTTCAAAATTTTTTTTATTTTATTTTTGCTGTTTTAAAAAAAAGTGTGGGAAAAATAATCACCGCCCAAAAGTGAAAAATATTTTCAACACAAAATAATGAAAAAAATAAAATAATTAAAATCAAAGAGTGAGAGTGAAAAAAAAAAAAATAAGTAATATAAAAAAAAAAAAGTTAGTAATAGGTTTAGTTTAGGTCTACTTTTAATAATTTATAAATATAATATAAAACAAAAGAAAAGAAATAAAAAAGAAAACAAAAAAAAGCAAAAAAGAAATAGAATATTTATTAGACACAAGCAATGGATGAAGCAATTGTAAATAAAATAGGTGATCGTGATCCAAAAGATTTCAAGACATTGGTACTCGATCAGAGAAGAATACAGCGATTGGGTGATCTCAGACCTTTCACTGAGCTCGAGATTCTCTCATTGAACAATTGTAATCTACAGTCTATAGAAACACTACCTACACTTCCTAAACTTAAAAAAGTAATAATTATTTAAAAATGTCCAAACAATTAACCATAATCGATCGACCATATCTAATTTTTTTTTTTTTTTTTTAATTTATCAAGCTTGAATTAAATGATAATAGAATCTCTGGTGGATTAATGGTTTTGTGTAAATTCGAAAGATTAGGATCGCTAAGTCTAAGTGGTAATCAGATAAAGACATTTGAAGAGTTGACTCCACTTGTATGTTTCACACACACACTACACACTACTGTGTCAATCATAGTCACTTCACACGTGATTTATTAATTTACATTTTTTTTTTTTTTAATCTTCAGAAAAATGTGTCGACTCTGCAATACTTGGATTTGTTTGGATGTCCTGTAACTTTGTTACCAAATTATACAAAGAGTCTATTTTCAATGTTATCTTCATTGGTCGGTTTAGATGGTTTTGATAAGTATGTTAAAGATAAAAAAAAAATAGAATATAACATTAATTGGTTAATTAACTTTTTTTTTTTTTTACTTTTTTTAGTAAATGAAAAGATATTGATGTTGATGCAGATGATGAAGAGGAAGATGATGAAGAAGATGATGACGAAGATGAGGAAGATGGTGAATTTGATGATTTGATCGATGAGGATGGCCAAGAGAATGACAACAACCAGGAGCAAGAGTCTGAGGAATCGAGTGACGATGACGATGACGATGATGAGGATGAAGACGAAACAGATGCACAACCAGGTCAGAATGGACATACCTCTGGCTTGAGAATCCCAGTGACAAACAACCATAATAGATTGCAAAATGGCGGAGGAGGTGGTAACCAAGAGGATGACGATGAGGATGACGACGATGATGACACAGGTTATGACGATGATGATGACGATGACAACGATGCCGATGAGTACGTCCAGACTACTACCACCACTACCACAACCACCACATCGACATCGACTTCCACCACCAACTCGGAACTTGGCGACTCTGACTCTGACGATGACTCGGATCAAGACGACTCTGATACAGGCCTGAACAACAGCGGCAAACACTCCACCTACAGTAACAAAAAAATCAGCACCACCAGCACAACTAGCACTTCCAATAACAATGCATATCAGGCACTGAATAACTATAATGATGAAGACGACGACGACTATGTGCCGTCGGACGAAGAAGAGGATGAAGATGAAGAGGATGACATTGACGAGGAAGAGGAGAATGAAGAGTCACTGGACGACGATGAAGAAGATGAAGACAAATTAGTTGAACATTATAAAGCACTCAGAAGCAAAGGTATCAAGCCAGGCGAAGAGGAAGACCTCCAAGATGATGAAGACGACGAAGACGATGAAGAATCAAGTTTTGACCTAAAGAGAAAGAATAATTCACAAGAGAAAGATTTCCCAATTCCAAAGAAACGTGCACTATAGTTTTTTTCAAAAACACGTTGGAAAATTAAAATAAATAAAATTTAAATTATTTAATATTATAAAAATAAACAAAACTAGCTAACTAACTATAGTTTTAATTTTATTAACTAAAGATTGTGAATTGGTTATTTAAATGAAAATATCAACGGTATCTTTGGTAGCGATATTTAGTAGAACGGTGGTGATAACTTTGGAATCTTCTTTTCCATCGAAACTCGAGGTGTGGAAGATTGCACTGTAACTGTCGTTGGGTGGATTGAATTGTTTCTTTATGAACTCCATGATCTGGTTGATATCCTTGTCTTGTCCGGTGTAATCTGGAAAGTGTGACTTAAACTTGGCACCGGATTGTATCTTCTCGGTGAATCGCTCTTTCTCGGTGAAGAATATGATCGAGGGTGTATGAGTGTGCTGTGAGAGTGTACGGAAGATCTGTATGCTCTGGTGGAGACTGTTGACCATTGGTGTTGGTTGTTCGTTGTTGTAGTAGGTGAATGACATCGAGGACATCGAGTTTGAGAATCGCTTTGATGACTTTTGGGGTGTGATCGATGCGACCGACGTTGTCGATTTCGTTCTAACAAATATCGGATTGACAGCGATCTCATCGAAAGTAGCCAGAGAGCAACACCATATAAATGCCTTTACATCAGAGAATGTCTTCATCCATCGTCTATCCATCTTTCTCACATTGATCGAAGATACATCGGTTATCCTAATATCACCAGAAATAATATACTCTGGAATCTGATTAATTGGATATTCAACCAATTGTAAAATTTCATTATCATCCAATAACTTTAAATCACTTCCAAATACTCTATCCATAACTGAATATTTACTAATAATAATAATAATAATAATAATAATAATCATGATTAATAACATATCTTAAACATAACTTTATCAATAATAAATATTTACTCTATTAAAATTTGATAAGATTTAATGAAATTAGGACGATATGCTTTGTATAGCTCTTGAATGACTGGATCTGTCCATAGTACTTTTAACTCTGCCAATAGTAGTGGTGGAATAGGACGTTGTCCATAAGGATCGTTCTTGATTCTAATCAACTTTGCTAGTATCTCTTGTTTCTTTGAATTGAATTGATCCGATATTTTAGTGCCTTTTAAAACTGTATTTAAATTGATACTATCCTTACTATCATTACATATCGACTGATTGTTAATTAAAATACTATTGCTGCTACCGCCACCGCTACTATTATTATTTAATGAGAACGTTGGTTTCTTTGGATTGCTTCTCTTTTCTGGTGGAAGATAACGTTGTTTTGGTTCGTAATGTTGGAATATATAGGAAACTAACAATCTAAGTATTTGAATGGCCATATCTATCATGTGATTGTTATAGTTCATTCTATCATAGTCATTTACACCACTGTAAATCTTAATGTTATTCAGTACGGAATCCAATCGAGATTCGCCAAGTCCATAGGCAACCATGTCATTTGATGACCTCGATACAATCTCCTCCATCGCCTTTGAAAATCTGTCGGAAGATTTCGAACTTCCACTGGTTTTCTTATAAGGATTACCTTGTGAAGCTGATTCACTTGTTAATGGATCATCTATACTGATTATATAATTATATAAACTAAATATGTAAAGAAGAATCAGAAATCAATAACCCAAAAATAAAAATAAATTCAATAAATGTTGACAACATTTACTCTTTACAAGCATTTGAAACTGATAGTCTTGATCTTTGATCCGATAGAATACGAGCTGCATCTGCTCTGGCAATTAAAGTCTCTCGTAACTGTAGCAGCTGTAATTGTTTCTCATCTGCAACCAATGTTTCTTCATCTTTTCTGGCTGGGTCATCACATCCATTATATTCGTCGTTTTCACATTCGAAATCGTCAACAGTATTATTTTGTGTTGTTGTATCGTTACTATTAATATTATTATTATTACTACTAACAGCACCAATATTTATAATATTATTTACAGATAAAGATGATTCCAATACTATACTTATATTACTACTGCTTCTGTTCATATTTAAATGAGAACTACTACTCTGATGACTATTTTCATTAAAAATAATATTTTTACTAAAATTATTACTATTTCCAACTGTAGTTGAAGTAGAACAAGAAATAAATGACATTATAATATTATACTCTTTTCTCTACTAATAATTATTAATTTAAAAATATATAAATCTATATTATATGTATATGTTTATATCTAACTTTTATTAATAAAACTAACTAAACAATAAATAAGTGATATGATCAAATCACTCACTCAACAAGTATACATTTTTGCTTTGCTTTGCTTTGTTTTGTTTAACACTATCTCATAATGTATAAATACCTCACGTCACATGTAACACACCCACCTTATCTTAATCCACACACACTTATAACTATATTTTGTTGTTTTTAAAAACCAATAGTATTTCATACAAAAATAAAACACATCTTAATTTCTAAAAAAAAACAGATTAAGCGTGATTAACGAACTTCTGCTTGAAAACTAAATTTTTATTTTTTTGAATTAAATTTGAAATTTGAATTTTTTTAGTGTGGATTGTGAGTGAACCCACGTGACGACTGCTCACTCACTGGATACTGACTGTGCTGCACACTCACACACCGCTACCTCGACTTTGATTCATAATACTTTTGACAAGCCAGGTTAAACTCATACACACTCATCACAATGGTATTTATCTATCTCTATCGATTTCAAGACTATGATTCATCGTTTAACACAGACCTCTACTCTACTACTTCTACATTATAGGCCAAGAGAACTAAGAAAGTCGGAATTGTCGGAAAGTACGGTACCCGTTATGGTGCTTCCTTGAGAAAGCAAGGTAATTATTAGTTTTTAGATGATTGTATAGTATAGTTCTAACATAAACCAATCATAACAGTTAAAAAGATGGAAATCACCCAACATTCCACATACACTTGTTCATTCTGTGGAAAGGTAAGAGATCTCTGATAAGAATGAAAGAATCTATAGTTTACTAACAAATTTATACAGGATGCTGTCAGAAGAACCTCAGTCGGTATCTGGAAATGCAACGGTTGCAGAAAGACTTTGGCTGGTGGAGCTTGGACCATGTCCACTGCCGCTGGTGCCACCGTCAGATCAACCATCCGTCGTTTGAGAGAGCTCAACGCTTAAACACGTCATTGGTCTATAATAAGAGTGTGGAAATAAACAAAATTTTAAAAAAAAAAAAACAATTATCTTTATACTACTTGGATCAAAAGTTTAGATAACAGGTTAGGTTGGTTAAGTTCATCTTTTAAGTTTTTGTTCCAATACGTGTGAGACAACTATACAAAATTTATCATTCGTTTCTCACTTTTTTATTTTTCATAAATATATGACTTATAAGTATAAAAGTATTACTATATATCATAAAAGAAACGAATAGTGTTTTGGATAGCATATAGAATAGAAAAAGGAATAGTAATGAGAGTATTGATTCGATTAAATTGTAAAGTTTATTTATATTTATGCTTTAAATTTAAAGACTGATTTAACAGTCTTACCGGTTGTCTTGCATTTGGCGGTAACTGTGATCTCTGTTAATCCAAGTTTCATTGATACCATAGTTTTTCTTTCAGAGTATGGAACGGACATATCAATTCCAACAACGAGGTCACCAATATGTTCAACACCATTTTCGACAGTGGATTTAATATTTTTTCGTTTACCTCCATAGACAGATATCAAAGAGTTTTCTACTTTCTCTGTCAGTGGTGGGAATTCATTTGTCCACTCTTCGTCGATGTTTGTGGAATCTTGATACTCAACAAATTTAGTAAAGGACTTCTGATAATATAATTTACCGTCGAATTCGACAATATCTGAAAGTTTATGAACATCGGAATCATATTTTACTGAGGTAGCAATGCCAAGGGTTATTGGTTGACAACGTGTTGTGATAACTTTGGGATTGTATCCAAATCGAACTGAACCGATACACACTGCCAAGACTGGTCTAACGTAGCTGATAATCTATAAAGTTAGTTAGTATTGGTGCGCAAAGATAATGAGAATATAAAATAGAATACATACTTTGGCATTTGTATAACTAAGTTCCTTTTCAATATGGGATCGAAGAAGTTGATTATGATTGAATCCTCCAATCAAAAATACAAAATCCAATTTATTGTTGATTGAATCTTTAGATACTTCATCTTTAATACAATCAGTGATTGAATTAAATAGTGGTGTAAAGAAGTTTATCCAAACAGTCTTTGGAATTGTTAGTTTTCTGGTATTATTGTTATATGATACATTTGAACTTCTATTAGTATTGAAAATTGATATTTTAGTTTTGAAAGTATTTTCATCCATATCAAATACTAGTTTAGGGTCTAAGAATATCGCTTTTGAGTTTGATTCAGAATCAATTGATTTCTTAATATCTTCAAATCTATCGATAAATTCAATAAAGTTTGGAGTCACTTTATATTTATCAACAATATCTTTTCCAACCAAAGATTCCTAAAAACCTGATAAAATAGTCATTTACCTAGAGAAAACTTTCAAATTAATAAAATGTTTAAAGAAATATTTAATTTCCAAATAACATACATATTTACCACCCCAATTTGACCCAAAAGGTGCAACAATTTGCTTTAGCTCTTTATTATCTATTTGTAATACTAAAAGACAAAATTAGTTTAATTTTAATAGTAAGTAAATAGAATATTTTAATATTTACCAACGAAATCAGCAGTTCCACCACCAATATCAACAACCAAAATCTTGTCACCCTCCTTGAAATTATACATTCCTTTGTTCCCATAAATACATTCCAAAGCAGCTGCTTCTGGTTCATACGCTAATATTAATGAATCTTAAATTGTTGTTTGATTAGAAAAAGAATTTTAGATAAAAATATTTAATTTTACTTTGATCATGTTCATGAATAAGTCCAGCCATGATTGCACATTCTCTCATGACTTGTTTGGCATAGTTGTCCCAAATAGCTGGAATTGTTATAACCCATTGAATATTTTCAAGTGGTACCTGGTTTTGGTATTTACAATCCAATTCATTTATAGCAGTTTCCATCAGACTCTTTAGAACCTCTGAAATAATTTGATGAAGCGATGCTGTTTCATTCTTATTATTATCTGAGGGAATAGGTTTTCCTCTTCTCTCTTTATCAAATAATAAAATCTTGAAATCAGAGTATTGGAAAATATCATCATCTTCATCATTATCACTAATAAATATCTTTGCTTCATATCCCAATTTTACAAGCTTTTTATTCTTGTTCAATAAAACAAATGACAATGTCTTATCATACTCTTTACCATTCCAATTTGTTTTTGCAAAGATCTCTAGTTCTTTATCTCCTTCAGGAAACTTGGCATGACTGATTCCAATTCCATGAGTACCAAAGTCAAGTCCTACAATATGTGTTTTTTTAATATGCATTTTGTTGAAAACTACTTAATTCTTTGTTAATATATTTTAAATGGTTTTCTAAAATTTATAGTAGTGTTGAAAATAAACTTAAAATTTTAATTCTATTCATTCTTCTTTTTTTCTTTTCTTTTTTCATTTTAAACCTTTATTTTTAAGTAAATCAACAACTATGCGGTTGATCCTACAAAATCTGATTAGATTTTCTTAAAAATGATCGTGGAATCATTGATTTTTTGAAAAACAAATTGTTTTTTTTTACTTCGCGACTTAGATCATCAAGTTCTTAGAGTGTTTTAAATTAATTAAGCCAAGTTAAATCAAATGACCAAGTTTTATTTTAAAATCTAATTTAATTTTTTTTATTAAAATAAATTTTACTTATTTTTTTTTAAATCAAAATTTAATTTAATTTATCTCTAAGATTTAGAAATATTAAAGTGGAGCAAATAAAATGTAAGAATCATTATTTTAACAAAAGTAGAAACTATCTTTTATTAATTTATATTCTAAAAACTTTTATATAAGGTCTACAAATGAAATAGAAAAGGGAGAGGATTGGGAATCAGGGATTAATATGTGTTTGGAATTCATTAGTAAATAAGTTGTTGAGAAATCAAAAGAAATTAAAGAGTTAAAATCAAAAGTTGGACAATTGGAGGAAAATGCAAGACTTTATCAAATCAAAACATCAACACAACTCAATAGTGAATTACCTATTATAAGTGATATTCAAATCAATTGGAATAGTCTATCCAGTGAAATAGATGACCTTTTGGAATTGTTGCCCAACCTTGGATTCTTTGAATTAATGAGAGATTTTTTTAAAAACTATCTCTCAACTATCGAGAAACAGTTTAATACTATGAAGATCTTTAAAAGAGATGAGGATTCACAAATCCATAAATACAAGAGTTATCTAAATGCTTGCAGTACAGATTTATATGTTTTAACAAATAATTTAGTAGTTCCTCTGAATCAAAAATTACTCGATTCATTTTCTCCTATGTATTCTGAGGAAGAATGGTATGTTCAATAGGTTTTTATTCTTATATTCAACATAAATTAATATTTAAAAAATAGGAAAAAAATCAATATAGTATCAATAAAGATGTATACTTTAATATGGATGGTCTATCTTTGCCAGGAGCCATTAGTTTTCTTAGAATCAAAAAAAAATAGTATTACTAAAGATTCAGAATATGAGTATACCAAAGTTGAAATTATCCCATCCATTTTCAAGTCATTCACACAAACAATCTTAATCCCAGAGAAAATCTCTGAATGGCGTGAACCACTCGGATCAAAAAGAAAATCAAAATCGAAAAAGGAAAAAATTTCTCGAGATGAACTGTCAACACACATGGCAAATGGTGGTAACAAACATAATATTGATACTCAACAATCAACACTATCAAAAAATAATAAAGAATTAAATGGAGTCCATCAAACTTTGATGTAAAACATTTCTGTAATCAAGATCAAATAAAGTTATAGTTGAATTTTTTATTTAGATACTACTAAATTTGGATCCTGTTTATGATTCACCAAAAGTAAATATATTCTTCTCACAAGAGAGTATTCAATATGAGATCGAAGAAGTTGATTATGATTGAATCCTCCAATCAAAAATACATAATCCAATTTATTGTTGATTGAATCTTTAGATACTTCATCTTTAATACAATCAGTGATTGAATTAAATAGTGGTGTAAAGAAGTTTACCCAAACAGTCTTTGGAATTGTTAGTTTTCTGGTATTATTGTTATATGATACATTTGAACTTCTACTAGTATTGAAAGCTGATATTTTAGTTTGAGTCTATCATGCAACCATTATCAATCTCTAAAAACAACGAATATTAGAATGCGATTCTTAAAGTTTTGAAGTAAAACTTTCCTCTATGTTCAAGATAAAATAATCTATAGTGTAAAAATTAGAATTTTAAAAAGAAATCTTGTTTGTTACTTTTAGTTAATTAACGATCTTTATCAAATCTGAATACTTTTATGATAAACTTCTTAATGAGAGTTTCTTTTAACAACCACCAAACCTCTGTGATATTAATAACTTATTAAATATTTCTCAATCTGAAAGATTCTAAGATAAACAAGTTTTCTATAGATAAAAATCAAAGACGAAAGTAAATGTTTAAGTTCGAAAAACAAACGAGCTAATGACAAACTTCATGATTTCTTTCTAAGTTGAAAAAAAAAGTGTTGTAGCAAAAAAAAAATAAAAAAAAAATAAATAATTTAAATTAAAAAATAAAGATACAATTATAAACAATTTAAATTTTTTAATAACTTATTATTGGAATTTTTTAATTTATAGAAGCGTGGAAACTTCAACAATCTATCTATCTATTTATTTGTTTTTGATTTTAATGAATATATATACACAAGTTTAATATATAGTTATGGGGTGGAGAGATGAACTTACAGTTTTGATTCGTTCGGAATCGATAACAGTCTCTAAAATCAGATCTTTGACCCAGTCTCTGTTGAGTAATGTACAAAAGAATGTCAATGTATGTCAATGTTGTTTTGTTTTTAAAGGTTTAGCACAAAAAACCTATCAACCTATAAATGTACTGAGTCATTTCTTTGTTTGTTTTTATTGATTAACTATCGTACTAGTTTATAGATTACTATGTAAAGTCAATCGATGAAACACTTCACCAATGTAAACCCTTTCAGATATTGAACTGTCTCTATATCATCGATGCAATTCTAAGAGATGTATCACATATTCAAAATCAAATAATGTATGTAAATTATTATTATTATCGTCTTTTAAAAGACTCTTTAGAATTTGATTTAACATGTTCTAACAACAATAATCTATCTTATCATAATATATACAATAAAAGATTTAAAACGTTTTCTGATTCATTTTTTAGTACTTTGTTATATTACGAAAAGAAAATCATTGAAACAATACCAGAACAATATATTGTATGTTTAGATAGATAGATAGATATTCATTAATACATCTAGAGATTTTAATATTAATATTGGTGATATGTGTATTTCAAAAACAGACAAAGCTATTACGATTATTAGATAATTGGATAAAGAAAGAATTCTTTTCAATAGAGTTACTAAGGAAATGGATTAACAAACTACAGATGGAGATGGAGACAGAGTCAATACCGATAGTGGTCGATAAGCAATACCTTAGTAGAGGTGATTCTTTGGTAAGTAGTCAGTTGCAAAAGAGAAAGTTGGAACTGATAGAGAATTCACTGGATATCTTGATGCCCGAAACCTCTGGCGAAGTCGATGGTAACGATCATTCTCACCAGAGTTTCAATAATGGTATCACCAGTAATCACAATGATAGTGGTTCGACAATCAGCAATAGTGTATTCAGCATTGGAATGTTGAGCAGTGGTAGTGAAGTACTAAAGAAGTTGAAATCACACCATAATTCAACAACATCAAACCACCAATCATCTTTGTCAACAACAGCAACAACATCTGTTAGAGCAACAGGTGGTAAATCTCTTTTATTACCATCATCGTCATTCGATGACATCATGAAACTCGATAAAGTTAAACACCTATCTTTGAACACCTCCATCCTGGATCTACCCAATGAAATACTTTCAAAGATATTCTCATATCTAAATGTTTTAGATTTAATGAGATTTAATTTTGTTTCAAGGTATTATACAATTATACATTTATATTTATAATATTTTTTATTCTTCTTATCTAATTTATTAATAATCTATGTTATTTTAAATTCTTTTAGATTTTTTAGTAATTTTACAGAGAATTGTACATTTTGGAGAGAACTATCATTTAATAATGTAAAGAACTTTTCAAACAATCATTTGTATAGAATTATCCAATCATATGGAAGTCAGATTGTAAAGTTGGATCTCTCTTTTTGTAACTACGTAGATAAACGCGCGGTAAACATGATAGTTACTTATTGCCAGTCGATTCAAACACTCTCTCTTTGTAAATGTCCACTTGGCGACGAAGATCTTGCACAGTTTTTGAAATATTTAGGAAACTTAAAGAACTTGAACGTTTCACAGTCAAGTTATTCCAATAGAATGCTTGTAAAGTTATTTGGTTATCAAGGATTAAAGAAATTAAATATTGCGTAAGTAATAGCTATTAAAACAATATAAATATCATTTGTAATTTTAAATCTTTTTTAATTCTTATATCTTTCTTCTTTGATATGTTATAAATATAAAGTTGTAGTCATGGTTTATTAGATGGATTGTTTTTAAAACCATGTTTGAAGGTAGCGGATTCATTAGAATGTTTGAATATCGATTGTTATTGTAGTACTTTTATAGGTTTTGGTGTGGCGGGTGCAGTTCAAGAGTTTTTGACAAATAACAACACATTAAAGACGGTAAAGCTGCATCACATGTTGATTATTGATAATTATCCATCAAACATAGCAGTTAGAACAACAAACCTGTGGAAATTTGTAAAGTTTAATGACTGTGCCTCTACAAAAGAGATTTTGACTAATATATCAAGTAAACAATTGAATAAGAGATATTATAATGGTTGTACATCTATATTTGTAAGTATGATAGGATTTTGGTTATGTAAGATTATTCTTACTAATTAACTTTTAAATAATATTACAGTTGGCTTCTGAAGAGGGAAAGTTGGAGCAATTGAAATTACTGATAGCAAAGGGAGCTGATCACACAATATGCAATTACCATGGAATATCACCTATTATGGCATCTAGAAACATACAAACTGCCAAGCTTTGGATTGAGAAAAAAGTTGAGCCTACCAACAAGACTGAAAGTATGTATTATTATAGTTTAAAAGCTTATTGAATTATTATTAATATTATTATTACTAATATTAAAATTATACTTTTTTTTAGAGGATTTTCTGTCGGTAATAAGTGTTTTAGAAAAGTATTATAAATATTTGAAACCAAACATAAGTGATCATCCTTCGATTGATGAGGTGAAAGGTGAAGAGCTAGAGATTCTCCTGACGGTGATTAATACCAACTCTGCGGGTGGAGAAGTGGTAGAGTTAACTAAAATATTGACTGCATCGTTTTTAAAGATACCAAGTCTTTTAAAGAGGTATGTAACGATATGTAATTGATTATTTATTCCAACAACTTCTCTAACTGACAATGTCAACTTTTTTTATTTTTAGAATTCTTGAAAATAGCAAGAGTAATAGAAAATCATTAATTTATTCAACAATAGGAGATGATGATTTCTTTTGTAGACATATTCAACAAAAGCTAAAGAAATCACAGCAACAATCAGTTCTATTAGATTTACTGGCAATGGCTTGATGGTTTTCAAATTAAATTGTTATTTTATTGTACATTTTTTTAAAAAACAAAAACTGTTTCCTCTTCTAACGACTGAATTTTTTTAATGAATGACTGCATGCTTTAAAGCTTCCAAGATCGATTGCTTTTAAATTATGCGAATTGATGATTGGTGCTTTCTTATATGCCAAATCATCAGTGAATTCCATCTGCAATTTGATCTGTCGAATCGATTGGTGTTCAGGCATTGACAAGCGTTCAAAAAGACTGTTCAGAAGATCAGGTTGCAGGCGTTGATTCACTGATTTGAGACAGTCATCCACTCTAAAAGTGAGAGTGATCTTGGTAATTCTTGGGTGAATAGTTCGAAGTTCGAGAATTTCAATTAGCTCCTCAACTGTGCAATAGAGATTTAGGTTGGTGATATATAGAGCATTTTCAATGATTTTGTTTACATCCAATGGTCCGATCGTTAAATCCGACAATGTAATTGACTTTAGGTTTGGATATTCCAGTTGCTTTTGATCTAAATCGTTAGTGTGGAAATAGTTTAATTTGGTTATGAGTGCCAAGTCTTTGGGAAATTTCAAATTTGGAATATAGTTGGGAAGTTCCACGTCGATAACAAGATCAAGCTTGGATTGGTGAAGTCTCTGTAGTAATGGAAGTACAGTAACGTAAGCAGTCTCGAGTGGATCGTAGGAGTTATCCACATCAGAGTATCCAATATATGTAATTGATTGAAGTTTGTCATTGTTTTGGCGGTCAAGAAATTGTTTGAAAAAATGAGGATCTCGATAATTGTGGTGATTCTCTCCATCTATATTGAATGAATTGTGCCTTCCATCACCTATTTTATAGAGTCTGTTAATCTTGTCTGTGATCGAATCCACTCTTATCTCCCTATAGGTGACATGACTCAGATTATTTGATTCTATCGTTTTGAAATAAACATTTGAGTTATTATTACAGAAATAAAATGTTTGAGTCAGAGATTCGAGACGGTCTAGGCACAATTGTCTTTGGTGCTCTGGGATATAAATCAATTGGGAATCTATAATATGGAGTGGTGGATTCTTGAAAAGACAGTATGGATGGCCAATGTTGATTTCACTTAGGATCTCGATCGATGTGATTGGTAAGTTCGATATGGTATTGGAGCAAAACTGATGAATATCCTTTGATACAGTAGATAGTTCAATCAACCATTTTGTTTCCAAGTATTTATCGAAAATTAACATGCCAAGGATTTTCTTTAATATTACAAAAGGTAGTTGGATGGTACTTGTTTCTACTACATTATTATTATTAAAGTATTTATGAATTGATTTACACTCGTGGAGAAAAGGAATGATATTGAAAATTGGAAGATGTTCTACGTTTTGAATGATATTTTTAAAAGAATCTGGTTTCTCTTTAGCCAATCTTTCAATAATTTGAACATTGTAATGCATTAATTCAATAGTAAAGCACTCTGTGAATTGATAATTCAAAACGATTCCTAGAAATTCGATGTTATCTACAGAGTATAAACGTTTGAGACCTAGCTCCATCGTATATCCGCTGTTGGCAATATGAACAACCAATTCTTTCTTGAATTTCGTTAACATGATAAAATCCACAAGTTCTACCAAAAGTGGACCCTGAATATTATCAATTTTCTTTAAGATGTATTCGCATTGGTCTAAAGGAAGAGCTGGTGCAATTGCCTTCCAGAAAGAGATTCTGTTGGAAAAAGTTGGTTCTATCGAATGTTTTGCCAGAAATTGGTTTTTAAATAACAATGGAATGAGGCTAATGATTGATAGAACTATCGACTTTGGAACAGAATCAAAGCACCATATTAAAACAAAGACCAACTCGATGTATTTCGGTCGATTATTAAATTTGTAGATATACCAGAGACATTGAACAATCTGTGTCTGGTATTGAAGTCTGATGTCATTGAATGCCTCTTCTGCAGGTTGAAAATAATAAAAGTTATTCTCAATGTACGAGAGTATGGCAGTTGGCAAATTGATCTTGTTCACTACATAACAATAGAGTACGGCAAGACTCTCTAGGTTGCTCATATCTATGCTCTTGACCAACTGGCTAACAATCTGCTCCGACTGCAACTGTGTGGTACTTAAAGATTTACAATATTCAATTCTCGCATCTAAATCTATCTTTGACAGTGATAGAATATTCCACTCGTCGTCATCAATGAATCTACTAAACAAAGATCTATCTAATATCATCTTATCATCCTTATTGTTCAACCTATCTAGAAACAGTTTAACTAAATCTACATTCCCATTTTTCACTTCAAAATATTTATTGAACAACTTAAAGTAGTCAATGAACATATTCGAATCAAATGTTTCACTTGAGAATACTATATAACTATAAATTTAAATTGGTTAGGATTGAATGTGTAGTTTTAATATAAAAATATAAAACATACTCTAATATTGATTGATGGTGTGATGTCAATTTTAAATAATCATTGCTTAGATTATCTCGTTGAAGATGAATGAGAATTAACATTGCTCTTGATTTAGATGATAGTATTTTACTGTCTCTGTTTACCAAGTGAGGTGCAATCGATACGATATTAAACAATAGATCTAGTTGTTTGTAGAGTTCAGTGTCATGAACAAAGTATTTGTAATTCCTTTGGCAGAACAGGTTTTCAAGTAAAACTGAACAAAGATCATCGATGTTACAGAATGACTTGAGATGTCCAATAATACCACTGTCTTGATACAAATCTTTGAACAATCCACTATTACTCTCTGATGTGTAATCTCTTAGGAGATTAGATAATACTAATTGAATCACATCCTTATTCTCAACATAATAAGGTTGTAATATATTTTCTTTATTGTGTTCATATAACCACTGAGATTAATTTTTTATTATTAAACAGTTCATTTAACAAACAAAGAATATTAATTGTTATTACATACTTTTGAAATATTGATAATCAATTCATTTTCTTTACAATTTTCATTTATTTGTTGACTTTTGAAATAGTCGATATTATTCAATATCTCTATTATATTATTATTATTATTATTCATTGTAAGATATACAAATATGTTTAAAGTTGTTACAAAATGATATTTTGTAGGTTGGTTGTGTTAGATTAATTAAATCTTTGAAATCGAAAAAAAGATTTATAATAAAAATCGGAAGATTTAAAAATTTTGGGAATCATGGGAACTCTCAAATGGTGATGCTTGGGGTGCGAACTGTTTGGAAACATTACAACTTGGTAGAACTCCACCTTGAGCAATAGTTTTCTCTCTAAATAGATAGAGAAAATCTTTATCATTTCCAACACTAAGATTAATATGTCTTGGAGATATTCTCTTTACCATGGTCAGATGTTTTGTTTTTGAATAAAGATTAATTACAAAATATATGTTTATAAAGTGTGTTACTTACTAGTTGCTTCAATTCATTTGCTAGTTTTGAAGAGGACTCCAATAGCTCAGCAAGTAGATAATCAAGGAGACCACCGAGGAATACGATCGATGTCTTACCGATGGCATAAAACAGTGCTGTTTGCTTAACGCTGGCACGTAGTCTCGGTATTGGTATCATCGATCGGTCTTTGTGTGCATCCTTTGATGTCTGGAATGATTCGACGGCATTCATACCGAATTGTATTCCTTGTTTCTGAAGTTCACCACAACCAGACAACTCGATCTTTGAAGCAGATACCATTGTTTTCAATTGTAGTGTTCTCTTCTTTGAAATGATCATCAACTCTTTGGCACGATGAACTATCTTCAATGTGAGGTCTCTAGCAAATGAAACGACCACTCGCATTGCTTGAGTAGAGATCGTCATTCTCTGAACATCAACAGTAACATTCCTGAGAATCTTGTGAATGATTTGTGATTCCCAATTTAGATTATTATTATCCTTTTTTATTCTTCTTTGCATCTTTGTTATAAACAATTTATTGCTTTTATTTTGGTTTTGAAGAACAACAAATGCAACATTGTTGTTTTTTTGCCTCAAAACGAACAATCTTAAAAATGATTTATCAAATTGTGCAATAAAAAATACTAATACCAAGAAAAATATAATTAAAAAAATCATAAGAATTTAAAAGGAATGTTTTAAGGCAAAAAAACAACAATGTTAATGTTTGATTAAAGGGTTATTATTTTTGTTTTAAATGGGATTGAACTTGAAAAATAACACCAAAAAAAAAAATAACTATTATTAAAAAAAAAAAAGGTTTTAATTTGAAAATTATAATTATTGACTGATCATTGATTATGATGACCATTCAATGTTAAAGTAGTTGTCGAGTGGAAGTTGAAGATTGTCGATAGAAAGTGATTGTGTTAATGTTGAATATGAAAAGCTGTTGTATGATTTGTTGTTTACTGTGACTTGACTGGTTTTAGCGGCACCATAGACAACTACTCTGTTGATAAAGAGTGAGGAGATGTCGTAACGGTTGACCAGAACCGATGATTGTAAACTTATCGATGAGGAAGAGGATGGTTGTGCTTGGAATTCCAATAGTGAGTATTGTCCTTGTTGGTAGGTTGAAATCGAGATACCGTCGTCGAGGAAAAGCTGTCCGTATGCAGAGTTGTTGGCGGCGAGTGCCACTGTCAATGTGAAGGGCAATGTACGAGCGATGTGTGTGGTCACTGGAATCGATCCTTCTGGTGGAACGTATTGTCTTGTTGGTTGAGTTGGGATGATAGCACCACCACGAAGATGAACGTTGATGACATCGAGTGGCGCATCGAGGGTTTGGACTTGTCCAACCGATTGCAATAGCGAACCGTTGAAATAGTCGTACCAAACATCGACTGGGAAGTAGGCGTCGACTGTTGTTGCATTCTCTGTGAGTACTGGTGACACTAAGATCGATGTTCCAACGAGGAATTGAGTGTCTAGTGCATAGGTGTTGGTATCGGTTGGATACTCAAAGAACAATGGACGAACAATTGGGTCTCCTTGAGCATGAGAAATGTAGAACAGTGTGTAATAGTATGGGAGTAGTGAGTATTTCAAGTTGATGGCGTTGATGGTGATGTTGATAACCTGTGGACCGAATACATATGGCTCTTGGGAGATGGTATCGTTGTTGTTATGACTTCTGGAGAATGGATAGAAGTTACCGAGTTGAATCCAACGAGCACAGAGATCTAAAGTGGTGTTACCGATCAAACCGCAAATATCGGCACCGACCAAACCTACTCCAAACATATTCATGTTCAAGATACCCGGAATCGAGAGGTACATACTACGATAGGTGGATTGGTTGTCTCCCAACCAATGAGCATGGTTACTACCACTTCCAGCAAATGTGGAACGTGAGATGACGGTTGGACGTTTCTGGAGCATCAGTTCTACAATGAGAGAAGTTGCATAACCCTCAGAGTATCCGTAGAGACTATGACTGTTGTAGACAGAGGTGTTAAAGAAAACTACTGAGGACATGTTGATTGTTTTAGTGTCCAAAGGGAAACCACCTGGTAAGTATGGTGGATAATTTGGATCGTAGTTATCTACTGGTCCAGTATTACCATTCTCATTTTCCTCTGAGCAATCGCCATTGCAAAAGTTGGAAATCTCATTCATATCGATCCAAACACCGTCAAAAGGCACGATGTTATGGAAATTTTGCAATTGAGTTCTCCAGAAGTAATAGGTCTTCATATTTCCAAAATCTGGGAAAATGACATCACCTGGCCATACAACTCCAGTTGCAGGTGTTCCATCTGATTTTTTAATATATCCTTCAATCTGACAAATAAAACAAAAAAAAAAAAAAGATTAGAATGATTTCAATTAATAAAAATAATTTAAAATACATACGGAAATCAAATCATTATATGGTTCATAGGTATCATTGATATGAATTCCAGGATCGATAATCATGATATAATGTTGATTGTTTGAATGTAACCAATCGACATATGCTGTCATTTCAGATGCTGGATAATTAACTGGATCCAATGTAAAATCTTCAAACTTATTCATATAATCGATATCATTCCACATTGTTTCTAACTATAAAAAAGAATTGTGTGATTAATAAAATAAGAACTAGTTCTGATAATAATGAAAAATTAATATATATACATACTGGAATACCATATTTAGCATAATTTAAAGCAACTTCTTTCGATTCATTTACAGATTTGTATCCCCAACGACATTGATGCCATCCCAATGACCAGTATGATGGCATTGCAGTGGTACCAATGATTTCGGTGTATTGACGGGTAACATCGACTGGTGATGGTCCCATCATAAAGAAGAAATCGAGAATACCACCAGTGACTTTGTAGGTTAGTGAGTTTGGTCTCATGACAATATCCATAGCATTAGAATTGAGGAAAAAGACACCATTTGCATTTCCATTGTCCATCAACTGCATATAGAATGGATGTGAACCGTAGACATTCAAATTCTCTGGGGTCGGTTGATCTTTATTCCAGATAGTGTAGGTAAAGTTATTTTGAAGACGAAGAGGAGCAGCACGCTCACCGAGTCCATAAATATTTGGATTAGTCTCTTGAAAAGTTGTTGTCAATTCTAAATAACGGTCTGAAAACTAAATATATAAAATAAAGATTACTAATTAATTACTTATTATTTAAAGATAAATATATAATCAATCCACTTACAATTAAACCATTGGTTGAACAATCAAGTGGTGCAGTTGTATTAAATAAAACGTCACCATTTGAAACACGTTTAATTGAGAAACCGAATGAACTCTGACTGAATTGAATGTTGTAATCGATAAGCGATGGCTTCTTTGTTGGGAAGTTGAGCTTTGAAATGGCTGGTGGTTGCCAACGTTCGCCGTGAGTATCCTTAATCATGACTTGAATGATCTGTTGAGTGTGGAAGATGACAAACAGATTCAAAACGGGTAAATCATTTCCATAGGGACCTGGTGTATTCATGATTAACTGAGCAGAGTAACCGTACTTTGTACTCTGAAGGTTTGACAATGAATATCCTGGACATTGTTGAACTTGTTTTTCAGCAAATACAATCGTTTGTAAAATACATAGAAACAACACTACCAAAATTGGTAGTTGTCTATTATTCATTCTATTACTTATTATTTAATAATAAATATATAAATAAATTTTATCTAAAACTAAAACATCAAAAAAGACCAATCTTAAAACCAACTACTGTTTCAATTAAACAAAATCCAAAAAAATTTTGCAAAAAAAATCTTTAAAGTCTTTAAAAATTTTCAAAGCATTTTTCAAAATGTTTTTGCATCCCCCAAGAAAGTCTTTGGGACCTCTTTTTTTTTCAGAAAATCAGTGCAAAACCCAGGTTACACAATTCGCACATCATGCAAATAAGATGATTCATCTGTTTTTTTAAAGTAGTAAAATTCACCATCACACAAACTATTTTTTGTTTAAAATAATAATAATAATACAAGAAATGTTTTAATAATTTATTTTTTTTGTTAAGTTCTTATTTTTTGTTTTGTTTTGTTTTGTTATTATTGGATGATGGTTGGTTTATGACCATCTTACAATGAAACTCGATGATATCTGTAGTGTTAGGTTGGTGATGGATAGAGTCTGGTTTTGAGTGTTGTAAACAAATGAATCGTAAGGCTGGTCGTTGATTGTGACTTGTGATACCTTATTCGATCCGTAGACGATGATTGTCTCCACGAGATTTGGTGTTACATAATTGTTGTGTGTAACGGTCGATGTGAATTCATATTGTAGTGGTTGTGTTTCTTGGAGGAAGAAGTTGACCTGTGTGTAGTTGCCACTCTCAAATGCATCTACAGTGATACCGTCGTCAAGATACAACTCACCATACGATGTACTGTCACCGACGGCAACAATCAAATGATACGGCAGAGTTCTGGCAATCGCAGTGGTAATTGGTATTCCACCAGCTGGTATCTCGTAGGATGCTGTTGGTTGAGTTGGTATAATATATCCACCTCTTAGATGAACATTGATAACTTCGAATGGTGCCGGTAGAGTAACGTTCTTTCCTCCCGGTTGCAAAACACCAGTGAAATAATTATACCAGATATCGTCGGGGAAATAAGCATTGACTGTAGTTGCTCCTTCTTCCAAAACTGGTGATACAAGCAGACATTCACCAACTAGGAATTGTTGATCGATTGCCAAGGTGTTGGCGTCGGTTGGATACTCAAAGAACAATGGACGAACAACAGGGTCACCGAGTACATGTGAAAGATAGAACAAGGTATAGTAGAATGGTAACAATGTGTATTTCGTATGGATAGCTGCGATTGCGATACTTGTGACAGTGTCGTTGAATACATAGGGTTCCTGAGAGTTTGCTGTTTTATCATTGTGATTTCTGGAGAATGGATAGAAGTTACCGAGTTGCATCCAACGACCGCACAACTCTGCGGTGGTGTTTCCAGAGAATCCACAGATGTCTGCACCGACCAGCGGTATTCCAAACATGTTCATATTGAGAATGCCCGGAATTGAGTAGTACATATCGCTGTATTGGCTGTTGTTATCGCCTAGCCAGTGAGCAGCATGGTTACCCGATCCAGGGAATGTAGAACGTGTAACAACAGTCGCACGTTTCTGAAGGATTTCAATGACGGCATCGACTGTTGCCAGCGACTCTGTATAACCATAGAGATTATGTGTGTCGAATACCGATAGATTTCCATATTGGGTAGTTGTGAGATTGATAGTGTGCTTGTCTAATGATATTCCACCTGGCAAATAGGGTGGATTGTTTGGATCGAAACCAGACATCTTACCATTATCACCATTACAATTTCCATTACAGAAATTAGATACTTCATTCATATCGATCCAAACTCCATCGTATGCCACTGTTTCTTGGAAAGTTTGAAGCCAATTCTTCCAGAAAATATTGGTTTTTGGATTAAAGAAATCTGGGAAAATAGTTGATCCTGGCCAAACTACTCCAACAAATGGTGTTCCATCACTTGCTTTAATAAATCCTTCAATCTGTTTATATTATAGTTTAATATAATTAGTTTTTAAAGTATTTGAATCGATAAGCAATTTACTTACATTTGTTAATTGTGAATATGGTTCATAGGTATCATTTGTATGAATTCCAGGATCGACAATCATGATATAATGTTGATTGTTTGAATGTAACCAATCGACATATGCTGTCATTTCAGATTCAGGATAATTAACTGGATCCAATGTAAAATCTTCATATCTATCCATATAATCGATATCATTCCACATTGTTTCCAACTATTAAATATAATTGTGTAAAGTTTGTTAATTTTAATTTTCAAATTAATTAATATTTAAAAAAACTAATACATACTGGAATACCATATTTAGCATAATTTAATACAACTTCTTTCGATTCGTTAACGGATTTGTATCCCCAACGACATTGATGCCATCCCAATGACCAATAGGATGGCATGTAGGGTGTACCGATGACCTGTGTGTATTGTTGAATGACCTCAACTGGTGATGGTCCCATAAAGAAGAAAAAGTCTAGAATACCACCAGTGACTTTGTATGTCAATGTCTTTGGTGCAATAACTACATCCATAGCATTGGAATTCAGGAGGAAAACACCAAATGCATTTCCACTCTCTTGATTCAACTCCATATAGAATGGATGTGAACCGTAGAGATTCAAATTCACAGGAGTACCTTGATCCTTTGCAAACAAAGTATAAGTGAAATTATTTTGTAATCTCAGCGGTGCAACTCTTTCACCTAAACCATATAAATTTGGATTTTCAGTTTGGAATCTAGTTGTCAATTCTAAATAGTGATCTTCATACTAGAATATTTTCAGAAAAAAAAAATTAGAAAGACAAATCCATTATTATTTTTGGAAATAAATAAACATTGCAATCTACTTACAATTAAACCATTGGTTGAACAATCGGATGGTGGAGCAGTGTTGAAAAGTACTTCACCATTAGAGACACGAGTAATAGAAAATCCAAAACTCTTGAGAGCAAACTTTATGTTGTAGTCGATGAGCGATGGTTTTCTTGTGGGATGATGCATTTGATTGACGAATGGAACTTCCCAGCGTTGTGTGGCTGGATCGATAATCTTGACTCTGAGAATCTGTTGTGTTTGGAAATATACATAGAGTTGTAGTTGTTTGACATCGTCGCCATATGGACCTGGAGTGACAAGGCTGAGCGCAGCAGTATATCCATAGCTGGTTGGTGTCAGATTCGACAGTGAATAGGTTGGACAGTTGTCACTCGGAGTTTCACTACCGTCTTGATATATTATATTACCATTGTTATGGCCATTGTGATTATGAATATTATTGGCACGTGATGTTGTCTTCGCCAAAACAAAAACATCATCATTAATGGACAATAATAAAACTATTGTTGATAACAAAAACAACAACACTTTAATATTGTTATTCATAGTTATTACTCTTATTATTATTATTATTTCTATATATATAAAATTTATAATTCTTCAAGTTCAAAATATTTTAAAGTTAAAGATTTGATTTGATTTGATTTTGACTTTGATTGATTTGGTTCTGATTTGTTAAGAACGAATAACCTTAAATAGTTATTTTTTATATCATATGTGTTATTATTATTATTTTTGTGTTATAAAATTATATATTATTATATGATAGTGGGTGGTTATATTAAATTGTGTTGTGTTGTTGTGTTGTGATATTCTAACTTGATGATGATGCAAATATCAATGTTTGAACTAAATAGTCTGAATCTGCAGTTGTGATTGATTGTTAATCAACACACAATTTATTTAGTTGTTGATGTCTAGTAGACAATAGATAGATAAACGACTACAACGATAGATTTGCATATATATATGCAATTTGTCTTAATCTGAATCCGCAAATGAAAAGTTACAAAATAATGAGGGATATGATATAAATAAAAATTTTTAAATCTATTTTTTTTTTTTGTAAACATGAAAAGTTTTCATCAGAATCCACAAATTACCCATTATTAGATATTTTTTTCAAATGATTTTGAAATTAATTTGGGAAAAATCGAAAGAGTTTGATTGTGTGAGTGCATCGAAAAATCAAAATACAAAGGATCAATATTTGTGTTTTTATTTAATTAACTTTTAGTGTGTTTATTATTAAAGTTATTTAATTAAATATGAATATATATTGATAAGTTAGGATTGTTTTATTTTATTTTTTTATACAAATTTATTAATTATTCAATTATCTATGTGCTGTTGTTGTTGTTATTGTTATTGTTTTCAGTTCACTCAATCTTTGGTTGTGATTTAAAATATTTGATTGCAGATATACATTTACCTAGTGTCAAGTTGTAGATTGGATGAGTCGGTTGCAACACTAATCCACCTTCCAACTGAGTTACATCTTCACTTGTAAACTTTGGCATCTCTTGAACAGTGTCATTAATCGATGAAACTGCCAAATGAATATCATTATGTTGTGAAATCGATAAACCTGAAAGTGTATAACATGTATGATAATAATCTCTACCCCTATATTTATAAATATCATAATAACGAAACAAGTTAACATAACAATGTTTTGTGTTGCTTTTGTTTTTGTTAATCTTTCTTTACTTACTTTTCAGGATGATCACTAAATCCACCTCTTTTATCTTGACAGCATACAAGACAATAGTTTTGAAGTTCGAGTTGGTTGAATAGCTGTTTACCGATCTGTTGGTTACCGATGTTTTGTTGCGCGACACTGCCAAGGTGTGATTGGACAATGGGGAATGCTGCACCCTGCCAAAAAGTATAGCAGGTATCAACTAGTTTGTTGGATCTACCTTGTAGTCCACCATCGTATTCCGGCTGACGATTGACTAGCCAGCGCAGCAGTGACTCGACGTCAATGAGGTCGAACCGCTTGAGTAGCGAGAGTGCCGCCACCGCACAGTAGGTGTAACCACCGTGTGCCTCATTCTTTGGTGTTCCACCGAATCCACCTTCATACGTCTGACACGCAGCGAGATACTCTGCGACGCCCGACATCAACCGCGGTGTTGCGATATCGAGTAGCGAAGCGATGACCACCGCACAGTAGGTCGAGCGAGAATCATCTTCACCGTCGGCTTGTGTACGGAAAGAACCGTGATCGGTCTTCATCGCCAGTAAGAATCTATACATTGATTCACGATCTATCACTTTATATGCTTGTTCAGAGTTTAGAGCCAACAATGCATTCACAGCGGCAAACGTTGAAACTACATGTGACTCTTGATCGATGCCACCTGCGAAACCACCACCTCTTGACTTGTTTTGAAGTTTCTCGAGGAATGTGATCGTACGTGGAGTCAGTTCATTCAATCTACTATCTAAATCACCAAGTAAATCCAGAGCATGAATCACCCAAAAACAAATCCAAGCTCTACTAGAATCCAAAGATTGATGTGATGTATGTATATAATCTACTGCGCCATTTAAGAATGTTTTTAATGCTTGTTCATTTACTTCAGCTCTAAAAAAAACAAAAAGATAATTTTAATATTATATATTAACAAATAAAGCTTTAAATTTATTATTAATAATATTATATATATATATTATACTTTTTATTTGATTTATTAAAATCAGATCTCTTTTTAAATATTTGTTGACTGATTAATTCTTGAGCAACAATAGTTTTTGTTACAGGTTCTTTTTCAATGGTTGGTTTTGATTGTTTATAATCTTCATCTGTATCTATTTCTATTTCTGATATATTTGACATGTCTTTTTATTTATTTATAACTACAAGTTATTAATAATTAAAAATTCAAACTTTGAAATTGAATTATTGATTTGTGTTTGTTCAGGTTTTGATTTAAAAATAATTATATTCATTTCCCATAATTTATTAAAATTTCATAATATTTGACAAAAAACGAACGATTGTTTTATTTATTTAATTTATTTATTATAGTGCAAAGAGAAGGAGGAGAGATGGAAGAAGATAATAAAAGAGTTAGAAATTTTATAGATGAATATTTTATAGATCAAAAAAATGAAGAAATTATAAATAGCAGTAATAGCAATGAGAATGATAATAGTGGAAATAAGAATGAATCAAATAGATTCTATTCAAATACATCAATATTTAATAAAGATTCTGATAGAGTTTCTGAATTATTGTTGGCGAGTGCACTGGATGTTGTTGGCTATAGCGATTGTATAGTAACACCTTTTGGAGATCGTCTGTTGACGTATTGCGATTTCACTGCTTCTGGAAGATCGTTACATTCAATAGAAGAGTACCTGATGCACGAGGTACTTCCTCTCTATGCAAATACACATACACTCTCGGATGCAACCGGTCTTCAGACAACTCTATTCCGTAGAGAGGCACGTGATATCGTTAAGCGTGGATGTCGTGGTAGCAACGTCGAAGATGTCTTACTCTTTGTTGGCTCCGGTACGACAGCAGCGATTAACGCACTCATTCATATATTAGACATTCCACATCTCTCATCGACAACAACCCATAGACCACTTGTAATTCTCGGTCCATACGAACATCATTCCAATATATTACCATGGCGAGAAGCTGGTTGTGAGGTGGTAACTTGTCCAGAGTCAACAAGTGGCGGTGGATTGGACATACAATTCCTTGAAACATTGTTAGCGAGAAACAGTAGAGCAAACAGGTTGATAATTGGATCGTTTTCAGCTGCCTCCAATGTCTCTGGAATTATGGAAGATACGGTCGGTGTGACTGAGGTTTTGAAGCGGTACAACGCGCTAAGCTTCTGGGACTACGCTGCAGCAGCACCTTATGTACCAATCGATATGAATCCTCATAACGATGCACGCTACAAGAAGGATGCTCTGTTCTTTTCACCGCATAAGTTCTTGGGTGGCGTTGCAACACCCGGTGTTCTATGCATCAAGAAGACACTGCTGAGGAATGCCATTCCTCATCGACCTGGAGGTGGATCCGTACTCTACGTCACGTCAAACTCAACGACTTACCTCTCAAACTTTGAAGAGAAAGAAGAAGCCGGTACACCCGATATCGTTGGAAGTATACGAGCCGGTTTGGTATTCCAACATCGTGAATCGATAGGTGTCGATAACATCTATCAATTGGAGATCGAACATAGTAGACAACTTAGAGAAAGACTTGTAAAGATAAATAATTTAGTATTACTTGGTAACTTGGAGATGAAACAACAACAACAACAACAACAACAACTTCCTATATTCAGTTTCTTGGTTAGATATGCACCGGATCCATCATTGTTTTTACATCATAACTATGTATCGGCATTGTTGAATGATTTGTTTGGTATTCAGACAAGAGCTAGTTGTGCATGTGCAGGACCGTACCTTGAGAATCTACTGGGTTTGAATCAGAGAGACAACGCATCGTTCTTAGAGTCAATCTTTGAGAAACAAGAGATTGTCAGACCTGGTATGGTACGATTGAACATCAGTTACATTCATACCGATCAAGATGTAGAGTTTATAGTTAGTGCACTCGAGTTTATTTGTCAACATGGTTGGAAGTTCATGCCACTCTACACCATAGTAGTATCAAGTGGTGAATTCAAACATCGTTCCAAACTAAATAAGATGCCTGAACGTCGTTGGTTAAGTAGTATAAACTATAATAATAATAATAATAAGAGTAATAGTAGTAATAATAGTAAGAAGATGATGAACTATCAAAGTAAAAGAAAAACAATAGATTTAAGTGGTTTGAATGAAGATGACGGTTGTCAAGTAATGGATAGATTAATAGAGGTTAGAATGAGTTATTTGCGGGATGCACACAAGTTGTTGAATCAAATGTTGGAGAATCAACCAAAGATTCTACCAGATCAGTCGTCTATGTTGACAGAAGATGCTAGAGATCTGAGGTGGTTTGCATTACCAACTGATGTTTCAATCGTTTTGCAATCGATGAACAGTCAAATAGATATTAATTTAGATACAACAACAACAACAACCGATAATCAAACAATCATATCAAACTTATTGTCAAGAGAGATCATAATTAAACCACACAAAAGATATGTAGCTGGTACAAATAGTTTACAACTATATCAATTAAAAGAGATATTAGATTCAATATATAAAGATAATGATGATAATAATAATAATAATAATAATAATAATAATAATAATAGTAGCAGTAGTAATATCGATCAAATTATAAAAGATCATTTTACATATCCAATTAAATCAATTAATCATCAAATTATATCTAATCAACAAAATAATAGTAATAATAGTAATAATAATAATAATAATAATGTTATTAAAGATGAAGATAATGCTTCATTGAATATGGTTTGTCCTCTTAAACCAAAGATAATCGATAATAGTTTAGTAGAGAGTAAAATATGTGTAAATTGTTATCACGACCATACTTCACCAAATAAGAAATTAAATAACTCTACAACTACTACAACTACAAATACAACTACTACAACAGCAACAACAAATATATCTTCAAAAGAATGTAGATCATGTGAATGTGTATCATTTGTACCAAGAATGGAAGGTAATAAGAAAGAACAATCGAATCTACAGAAAAAAGTACATTCCAATGTTAGTCAAACCATTTTGAAATACAACATGATCAACGACAACGATAAGATCTTGGTTGGTGTATCCGGTGGCAAAGATAGTCTTACTCTTATTCATTCACTGATAGACATTAGACGTCGTTCAAAAGCCAAGTTTACGATTGCAGCATGTACGGTCGATCCCCAGTCCGACGACTACGATCCCTCACCTCTTAAACGCTACTTTGCATCGCTAGACATTCCTTACTTCTATGTCTCACAGGCAGTTATGGATGCTGCCAAGGTCTGTATGAAAGAAGGCAGTAGTCGTGCAAGTATCTGTGCATTCTGCAGTAGAATGAGACGTGGTATTCTCTACAACGTCTGTCGACAGAACAATTTTACAACGCTGGCACTCGGTCAGCATCTCGATGACCTGTCAGAGAGTTTCGTGATGTCGGCATTCTACAACGGTAAACTCAGTAGCATGAAAGTCAACTACATGAACGAACAAGGCGATATTAGGATCATTCGACCACTCTGTAACCTAAGAGAGTCACAAACCAGACAATATGCAAGACTAATGGCATTACCTGTTATAAGTGAAAGTAAGTTGTTTTTTTTTTTTTAAACAAACTCAATCAACAAATTACTCTTACTAACAATAACCAATTATTATTAGATTGTCCAGCTTGCTTTTCAGCACCAAAAGAAAGACAAAGAATCAAATTGTTACTTGCTAGCCAGGAGAATGTCAACCCCATGATACATCACAGTATCTTTGCAACCATACAATCATTGATTTCCGTTGACAAGACCGATAGAATTTCAGGAAGAAGTGTAAACAACTACAAAGAAGGTTTAGACGTACAATCTTTTACAAATGAACAAGATAAACAAATAAAAGAATCAGATCATTGATTAGTGGACACGTCATGACTGACAAATGTTTGTTTTATTAAATGATAATATTGCCAATGAAAAAAAACCAAAAGACAATCTTCAAGCTATTTGCTTTCCAAATTTTTATGCTTCTCTACTATAATAATAATTTTCATTTTTAATTAAGGTTTGAAAATGAATGAAATGTTTCTAAAAAAACTTACAATTCTCCTTTAGATAATAAAGATGTTATGGGAAAATTGTTGTTATTTTGATGTCCATGATGATGATGGGGAGGATCATTATTTGATTCTGCACTGGTTGAAATTAGCAAACCAAGAAATATTACCCATAGAAATAAGAGGAATATTAAAAAGTTCATTTCTTAATATTATTTTTTTTTATTAAAGGTGAGTACAGTAAAAACAAAGAAATAGTGAACTTGTAAAATTTAGTATAAACACATTTTTAAATAAAAAAATAGTACTCATCACAATTAGTTAAACCCTTCATAAGTTCAACTATTGAAAAAGTCAAAAGTGAAGAATTGAAAAACAAAAACCAATAATATTTAAAAAGTGATAATCAGTAAGAATATTTATATTAAAAGGACTGAGTATTTTTTATTATGATTCTACTTTTTTTTGAACAAAATAAATAAGATTTTTAATCTCCTCTTGGTCGTAGGGGTTAAAAGTGTGGATGGCCAATCGATTGGTATTTGACTGATCCGCAGATGTAAACAAACTTGATATGAATGCTCCTGCTTCTCTAGGGTCATTAACTCTATTATACTCGGGGAAATATTGTTTAATTGGTTTTGATTTTAATTTATCCTCAAAAACCTCTTTTCCACTGAGTAACACCACCACTTGTGTTGATTTGAATTGTCTTTGATTAATTATTTTTCTAAAGAATTCTATATTCTCTCTAAGTCTATTATTTTTTACTATTATATATTTATTACTATTAATACTCTCTTCAGTAGTATTATTATTATAAATTTCTTTTATATGATTATTATTATTTGGTTTATAATTATTATTTAAAATTGGGATATCTTTTTGTGAGTAAGGATCTTCACATTGATGATCATATTCATTTAAACCAAAAAAGAATAACAATACACCAACATTTGATTCTTTTTTTATATTTTTAAGTAGAATAGATGATAGGGAATCTATAGGTTTAGATTCCTTACTTCCAAACTTCTCAATGATATTAATGAATTTATAATTCAAATTATCCAATTCAACTCTAGATACATCTGAATTGGATCTGTTCAAAGTAGAAACTTGAACCTCTGAGGTTGTTGCCATAGATAAAGCATCTGGATGGACAGAATTTGCTAATTGTAAGAATCTCGACTGTTGGTTAAAAAGAAATTATTAATAAATATAAAATATTTTTGAGAAATTAAATATTTATTTAATACCTTTCCATTAAATCCATATCCTAAAATTAATATCTTTATTTTTTCATTTTTTCCTCTCTTTGAAATTATAGAACCCATTCCTTTAACTCTTACTCTTTTGAAAAATAAAAAGAATATTTTACAAGTAAATTTAGATTTATAGGTATTTTGAAGTTAATATTTACTTAAATCAAGTTGTTGCTTTTTGATTAATCAATCGATTCAATAAATACTTTTTGGTTAAAAAAATATATATATGTGATAGTTACACTTTTTTATTCAATTCATTTTAAAATTGTTATACTACAATCTATTTTTAAAATACATCTCTCCCTCTCTCAAAAAGAACAAACTCACTTCACTTGACTTCACACTTTACAATATATTTATTACCACAATTGAACAATAAAATATCAGTTCTCTCAATGATAATAAACTATTGGCTCACCAAATATTGTATTTAACTTTTATGTGTAAAAGATGTAAATATAAGGAAAGGTGAAAATTCCCACCATCGTGATCATTTCCAAAAACATCTTTTAGTCGATCAACACAATGCCAATTATAATACCATTTTCTCAATCTCATCTATATCATTTAAATATATAACAGTTCTTATAGTTTGCCCCATATTATTTTATCTCTATACTCGACAATTATGTGTATGATTAAAAAATATAGATCACTAATAAGTGTTAAAAAAATAAACATTGATGTTGTTTATCATTTTTGTTTTATTTTCCCCCACCCAAAAAATAATAATTATTTTATATGTTAACACCATCTTTTTTTTGTCCTTAGATTATTAAAGTAAAAAATATATTTTTTTAACACTTTTATTTATCCTTTTTTGAAGTTAGTAGTGGTAAAATGAACATTAATATCGTTTGTATTTTCAATGGAATAGGATTGATCCTACTCAACTTTCAAAATCAACAGAAGTGTTTATGCAAATTACTCATTTTATGAGTTCAAATCAATAATAATATTTTAATTGAACAAAAATAATATTAAGATAAATATTTAAAAAAATATTAATCATTTTATATATCTAAAGTTTCGTTTTTTTTTTTTTATATCTTTTAGATTTGTTTGTTTTTATACAAAAAAAAACTAAAAAAAAAAATGAATAAATTATTATTGGATAAAAAAGGAAATTCTCATTTCTTTTAAACAAACAATATGAAATTGAATAAAGTAATTATTTAAACTTTTTATTTTTTTTGTCAATATGGAATTAACAAATAATATTGAAAATGATAAAGATAGCAGTAATAATAATAATAATACTTTAAATATCGAAGCAAAATACGATATAGAAAACAATGATAATACTAATAAAAAAAAACATACCAGACATAGATCTACAACCCAACAAAGCTCAACCAGTAATAAAACAGATAATACTATTGAAGCCTTAGAGCTACCAAATGATAAACTCGAAAAAGATGACCACTCTTCTATTAGCAATGAAAATACTATTGAGACAGAATCAATTGCAAACTATTCTAAACTTATTAAATTAAAATATTGGTGGTGGGATAAGGGTATCTCTTCTCTTATCTTTATTTTCCATATACTTTTAAATATTGGTTTAGTTATTAAAATTATTTTTCGTAAGTAGAAAAGAGTTCAAATCAATTATTCTGACTAACATCCCTTCTAATATTGAAATAATATAATTCTATATAGATTTCAGAAAGAGTGAATTCTATCCTTTTTTTGGTATAAGTTTACTTACAGCTAGAGCTGGAGCTGCTATTATTAATATTAACTCAGCACTTATACTCTTACCGGTTTTAAGGAATTTCCTATCATGGTTACGAGGAACTTGGATATCAACATATGTTCCAATAGATAGAAATCTATCCTATCATAAACTTTGTGCAATAGGAATTGTAATTGGTTCAACTGTTCATTGGTAAGATTTGATTTGCTTAAAACAAAATTGGTTGATTTTAAAAAAAAAAAAAAACTAAACAATCTCTATTTTAGTATATCACATTATTTAAATTTTAGAACTATTCACAATAGTAATATTGAGACACTTGAACAGTATGGACTCTCAGCAGAATATGTATCGAAATACTATCTTTACTATAAAAGTGTACCTGGAATAACTGGTCATGTTTTAATCGTTGTACTTTTACTCATTTGTTCGTCGTCTGTGGAGAGAATAAGAAGACCAATGTTTGAAATATTCTACGTGACTCACCACTTATTTATTGCCTATTTTATTCTGTTGTGCTTCCATGGTTATCAACAAATACTAAAGGTTGCGCCAAATTCATATATGTGGGTAGGAGCTCCTGTATTGTTCTATGTAGTGGAAAGAGCAATACGACTCATTAGAGGAAACAGAGAAGTAATGCTTCACCTAGCTAAACAACACCCATCAAAGGTATTAGAGCTTCGAATGAAGAAAGGAAACTTTATTTACAAACCTGGACAATTTATATTTTTAAACTGTCCTAGTATTGCAAACTATGAATGGCATCCTTTTACAATAACATCAGCTCCAGATGAAAACTATATTTCTGTTCACATAAATGTATTGTATTTTCAATTATTATTATATTGTTTATTTTAAAAATTATAATATATTAACATAAATTTGAAATAGATTGTTGGAAATTGGACAGGTAAACTATATAAATTGATGAATTCAAATGAGAAATTGGGAGTTGTTCAGAATGAAGTGTTGACTGGCCCAGATGGAGGACCAATTTTGAAAATAGATGGTCCTTTTGGTGCTGCAAGTGAAGATGTATTTAACTATAAGGTATTGGTTTTGGTTGGTGCTGGAATTGGTGCCACTCCTTACTCTTCGATTCTCAAGCATATCAAATATCAATTGAAACGGTTGATGAGCGAACAATCGGAACAAGGTAAAGAATGGAACTTGCCCATTGAGAAAGTATATTTCTTTTGGATTTCAAGAGATAAGAATTCATTTGAATGGTTTACCTATATACTTCATGATGTCGAATCAGAGTTGAATGATCTGGTGGAAATACATACCTACCTCACTGGTGCAATAGAGATATCCGATTGGAATGCTATTGTCGATACGATTGGAACGATGGATACAGAACAACATTCCGACTTTATTACTGGTTTGAAGTCACAAACCTTGTTTGGTCGGCCTAATTGGGATGTCGTATTCCAAGAGTTGACAAAGATACACAAAAAGAATACGATTGGTGTATTCTATTGTGGTCCGCGACCATTGGCAAAAGAGATTAAAAACCGATGCTCCCAATACAACGGAATGGAAGGTTGTCACATTATATTCCACAAAGAGAATTTCTAAACAAAATAAATAAATACTTTTAAACAAAACAATTTGGATTTGCGTTAAGAACTCAACAAAATATTTATTTGAGATTTAAAATTTAGATAAATTAAAAAAAAGGTAGAATTACATAAGTATTTTCAAAGCGAGTGACGTGGAGTGATAATATACCCAGCAAGCACAACTATTTTACTTTTGTTTCTGTTCTTTGTTTTCATTTCTCTTTGTTAATCTCTGGTAGTATTTGTCTGAAGTACCACACAATTTATCAAGATAGGTAAAAGTTGATGAATAATTTCCAACCTTTTAAAATAATAATAATCGAAAAGAAAGATATATTAATATTTGAAAGTACTTTGTTTAAAAATGATTAAAAGAATTAAACTTACAAAGGTTTCATGATGGAAATCATGGAAATGAGAACCACCCCAGAAAGGAATGAAATTGGTTGGGTTCCATGGGAAATCGTAACCGCTGTGACACTCGACGGTTTGGTAGAGACGGATAGCCAACCAGGACCAGAGGGTGAAGAGATCACGAGTCAGGAGGAATGGACCGAGACAGGTACCAACTCCGAGAAGCAATGTCTCAATTGGATGGGCGTATTCGGCTGTGATACCGAATGGTGCAGAGTGGTCGTGATGAATCTTATGGATGTGTTTATACCAAAAACCTTGGTGGAGCAAACGATGAATCCAATAGAAGTAAAAGTCTTCGAGGAGGAATGACACTGCCAACACGAAAATTAAATTTGGCAATGATGGTAGAGGTACTCTTGAACGGAATCCAAGCATTTGGATCGCTGGATGAAATACAATTATCATTGGTAGTTGGACGAAAACATGAGTAAAGAAGATCTTTGCTAAACAATTTAATTGGGTCTTGAAATCGTTTCTCTTGGTCTACATATAATAATAATAATAATAATAATAATAATAATAATAATAATAATAATAATAATAATAATAAATATAATTAATATTGAAATACTGTCTAGACAACTTAAATTGTAATTTTAAAATACTTACTGGTTGAAGTTTATACTTTTGGAAAGCTGGGATGAAATCACATAAAAAGAATGGGATGTAGGCGGCGAAATAGAAAATTTGATGAACGAAAAAGGTTCCGTACTTAAGGAGAAAATCTTCACCCCAATAATCAACGAATTGGAACCAATATGCTTCAAATCCGGTTGTGATAGATTCCATGATTCTTGTCGAGATATTTAAATAATAATCAAACAATTAACAGGGAAAAGTGTATTTTATGAAATATATAAAAAAATAATAAATAGATTAATAGTTCCTATAATTGTTAATAAATAAATAAAAAAGTAAGTAAATAGGTTCAACAATGGTAATGATCATAATTTGTAAATGAGAGAAATCGATTGACATCAGAAATTTTTTCATATTAAAAAGGTCATTAATTTAATCTGACCATTTATAAGAGGTTATATTTTATATTGGTGGGTGTTGGGTGTTGTTGTGTTAAAAGTTCTTTAATTGTATTTCTATTTGAAAAAAAAGACCTTATTCTAATTTTAATATGTTATATTTTTATATTATGACTTTTTTTTTTTTATTATTATATAATATGTGTTTTGATTTTAAATATGATAGTTTTTACCTTCGAATTAAAGATGAAAGGAACAACAGTCTATTTGTTAAAGATGAAAGAAAGAGAAGAGAGTGAAAAAAAAAAAAGAGATATAGATAGAAGAGGAATAGTGTGAAGATGAAGTGAAGTTTGTTCAGCGTTCAAAAGTTTCTATTTTATCATAAAAATAAAAAATCTGTTTTTTGTTGCAGTGATCGCTTTTTTTAAAAAATTAAAAATAAAAATTCTAAAAAAAAACTATTTTTTTTGACCATCAAAAAAAGTCACCTAGCACTTCATCATCTTCAAAAAAAAAAAAAAAAAAAATTACATCTAAAAAATCAGACACAAAAAAAAAAACGAAAGTACAGTCATTGTGTCATAACTTTACTTAACTTGTAATGTGACACCAAATCTTATTATTATGATTACATTTTTAACACAATAATGATGATGCTTGCTTTTTATTTTGTTCAGACTGAATTTTTAAGTGGGGGACCTGGTCAGGTTCACTATCACCTCATTTATTTATTATTTTACTTTTTGCCTTTTTTTGTTTATCACTTTTATCGGTTGTTTGTTTTCTAAATTTAATTAAATGATGATCAGAATAATTAATATATATTGGTTTTTGATTTTATATTTGTAAGTAACAATAATAGATATCTATCTATACATACCTCTTTGATTTCTTTTGGAAATAGGGTGATGCACCATCGTCTTGTGATCCGGTTGGCTGGAATTCATCGTCATCATCCAACACAGTTGCGATTTTCTTCATCGTACCGTTGTTGAAATCCTTGACGGCCTGAATAAATTGCTCACCATACTTTTCGACTCTGGTGTTGGTAAAGTATGAGCAGTTTCTGAGCTCTGCAAGGGTTGTCGGTCGTTTCTCGACGAGATCGTCGAAAGCACTGTTCTGAATGATCATGTGAGGAGGTAGTCCAGCATCTTCTGCAATCTGGGCACGTACGTCAATGAGATATAATCTCAACTTCTCTGGACCATCGTCACCCTTGTTCTTGTTGCCGTTGACGCTGATATTCGAAATGACCGATTGTCCTTTGTCCTTACTGGATCCCGATGACTTGGCTCTACATTCGATCTTGATACGTCTGCCACTACTAAAGAATGTAGTATTATTGACTGATTTCGTTTGTGTGATAGTTCGATAGGCATTGGCGACGTGCACCTCCTTGAGAATATTCAGAGTAACCATTTTGTGAACCAGTCTATCAACATCGTTCTTATCGACGTTCTTTCCTGAACCGTGTTGTTTGTGGTTTTGATAATGCTTTTCAGTGATCTTCTTGGCTTGCGACCCTTTGAAGATCTCAAGGATAGTACCGAGCGGTTCGTCCACCGACTGGAATATCTTGTAGAGATTGTGAGCGTCTTCAGTGAGATCCTTTGTGATGATAGGATCGTCACACTTGCAATTGTCGCAAGTCTTGGCGCATATAGTTCGGTCAAACTGTTCACCCAAGTACTGCAGTTGCAACTGACGACGACAATCCACAGAGTTCTCGCAGTACGACACCATCTTGTTGAGATTATCCTTGTTCTCGCGAATCGATTGGTATGTACTTCCCTGACCGGATGAGGATTCTAAGAGGGAGTCGATTCTATATTTATCGGCGTAGCTGTAGTAAAGAATACAATGGGCAGTCTGACTGTCTCTGCCGGCACGACCACTCTCCTGGTAGTAACCCTCCAGTGACTTTGGCAGCGAATGATGAATAACAAATCTGACATCCGGTTTATTAATACCCATACCGAAAGCAATGGTTGACACAATGATTTTAACCCTATCTCTTGTCCAATTCTCCTGAGTTCTCTGTCTATCTTCCGGTGTCATCTTGGCATGATAGAATTTTACTTTTAATCCTTTTGACTAATGAGATTTGAAGGAGTGAGAATATTAATATATTATACAATTTTAGTATTATCACAATATTTACATACATTTAATTCTTGTGCAACTTTTTCACATTCAAAAGTAGAGAAACAATAGATGATACCAGATTTCTGTTTATAACCATTGGCTGTGATAAACTCGATGATGTCATCAATGATTGACTTTTTCTTTTTGACAACGGCGTAGATCAGATTCGGTCTGTTGAATGATTGTTTAAAGGTGATGGAATCTTTCATCGAGAGATTAAAGATGACGTCTTGTTTGACACGTTCCGTAGCGGTGGCAGTCAGCGCAAGAATCGGTAGTTTAGGAAACTCACGTTTTAAGATGGCGAGTTGTTTGTAGTCCGGTCGGAAGTCGTGTCCCCACTGACTGACGCAATGCGCTTCATCAATGACCGCACGAATCAACTTGCCTCTGCTGTTCAACTGGTGGAATAGCGAGATGATCGAAGTCGATTGTACGACTTTCTCCGGTGTCAAGTAGAGTAGCTTTATTGTTGGATTGTCACTGCGCAGCTCCTTGAAGATTCGCGTCTGCTCCTCGCTGCTGATGCTACCGGTCAGTGCGGCGGTTGGATACGAAAGATTCTGTAGTAGCATGACTTGATCTTGGATGAGTGATATCAGCGGTGAGATAATGATGGTTAGACCGTCTGCTAGCAGTGCAGGAATCTGGTAGCAGAGTGACTTGCCACCACCGGTTGGCATCAACACAAAGATATCGTGTCCTGCCATCGATGCATTAATAATCTCCTCTTGATTGAGACGGAACGATCGATTACCAAAGATATTTCGATTGGTTGAATTGATTTTCTCTGACCACGGGAACTTTGCCTTCCATTTGGCAAGATGTCGTTCATCGACTTGCACAGAGATTGAAGGTGGTGCTACAGATACCATAGATGATGTACTACTATTAAGAACACTACTATTAAAAATACTATCATTATTATTATTATTGTTGTTGTTTGATGTCATTGTTGTTGTAGTTGTCGATAGATCGAAATCATTATAATCAAAATCTAGATCGATTGCATCTTCAGCATTCATTAAATTTTGTTGATGATTATTACTGTTGCTATTGTTACTATTACTGGATGTGGAGGTAGTAGTTGTTGTTGAAGGTGCGGATATTGTCATACCAGTATCATAATAATCATCATCAAATAACATACTACTGTTATCATTATTGTTATTATTGCTTTCATAGTCATTATTATCATCCAGAGTATTACCAAATTCAAAATCATCTACATCGTGTGCATCTATACTTGTATCATTATCCATTGGTTTACTATAATTAGTTGAAGCTGAATAGTTATTATTATTATTATTATTATTGTTATTGTTATTGTTATAGGTTGAAGATGAATAGTTATTATTATTATTGCTATTATTATAGGTTGATGAAGATAAAGATGAAGTATAATTATTATTATTATTGTTGTTATTATTGTTAAAAGTAGATGAATAGTTGTTGTTGTTGTTGTTATTGTAAGTTGAAGAGGTACTATAGTTTGTTGTTGAAGTGGCAGTAGTAGTTGAGGTAATATCTTGTCGTTGTTTAGCTTGACTATCTCTTGTTTGCTCCAATTCAGCAAGTCTCTTTGTTATCGCTTTCTTTTTCTTTTTAAGATCATCCAGTTTATCATAACGAGCCAATCTTTCAGAATCAGTGACAGGCTTTGATTCCTTGACTTTGGTCTTCTCCATTGATATATCACAAAACTCTGCTTTTACACGTAGTATTTGAATTTCAATTGATTCGCTTCCATTGCTGTTGCTGTTGTTGTTATTATTATCATTGTTATTATTATTATTATTATTATTATTATTATATGCTGATACTCTTGTTGAAGATAAATATGATGATGATGATGAAGATGTTGATTGTCTTTTAAAATCCATATCATTCTCGAAATCAATACCATTATCGTTATAGTCATCGTTGTTGTTATTGTTGCTATCATCGAATGATGCATTTAGATCATCTGTTGTCATTGTACGTGGAGAGGTAGTAAAAGAGTTACGAGTGTTGAAATTGGTTACAGTAGTTGATTTACTAGATGCCAATGATGAAGTAGTTGTAGATGAGAGCTTTAAAGGCATCAAAGGTGTAGAAGAAACGTTTCTAGATGGTGCTGGTGTAGATTTAGGTGTCGCTGAAAGATCTACATATCTATCATTGTTGTTGTTGTTGTTGTATGCACTTGAGCGTGTTGCACTGTTATCTGAAACCTTTGATGATGAAACTTTACTAGTATTATCACCATCAAAATCTCTTAAGAAATCATCATATCCATTGTCGTTATTATTATTATTGTTGTTGTTGTTATTGTTGTTTGTTGACATATTTGATGTCGAATTCGTATTTGTATTGGTATTTGTTGTGGATGTAGATGTCTTTGATTTAGGTTGTAATTTAAGTGTTATTGGTTTGATACCAGGTGATGTGCTGTTATTATTTGGTGAATACGTAGATGATGTAGATGATGATGATGCTGCTGGAGCTGATGATATCGATGCTATATTATTGTTTGTAGATGCATTAAACTTAATATTACTACTATAATTATTTGAATAGTTTGGTTGTTTCTTTGGAATTAACTTAAATATATCTTTAAAAGCACCCAGAGATGTAACTAATGTTTTATTATTTATATTATGATTATTTATATCTTTTAAACTTATAAAATCATCAACTACATTTGTATCATTATTATTTCTATTATTTGAATTGTTGTTATTGCTATTATTATCAAAATCTACTAATGTATTGTTATATAATTTTAATTGATCTTGATAATTATTATTTATTACTTTATTACTTGTCATTGTCCTAACTAACTAACTATCTAATATATTTAGTTAACATCTCAATTATATCTACTTTATAAAAATTTCAACCCGATTTTTTTTTCTTGGAATTCCAATTAATTGTGGAAAATTAAAAAGAAATTTAAAATTTTGTAAAATGATATTTTTTATTTAACTTTAATTAGTTAAATAATAATATAGATGAATATTAATAAATAAATTAATAATGTGATAATTATTTAATGTTATTTATTCTTGTTGTTGTGGAGGTTGAGCGGTGGCCGAAGAAAGACTTCCAGAGGTTGAGATACGACCGGTGCTGGTACCAATGCTACCGGTAGTTGAGACCGCTTGATTGGTGATACTACCGGTGGTGGTAATGATGTTCTTATCGGTGGTACTTCCTCCAGTGGTAGTGACTTGAGATCCAGTGGTTTGTGAACCGGTGGTCGATGTGGTGGTGGTGGTGGTAATTGGTGTTCCACATGCCAATGGACTGTTAAGTGTGATAACATATTTACAGGTAGTAGTTTCAACGGCAGAAACAACTCTGGTCGGTCCAGTAGAACATACCATTTCGATGGTTGCCGATCTGGAAATTGTACCTGACTTACAGGAAGTTCCACCAGTGTATAGAAGAGAACCACCAGCGGCTCCATTTGCTATTATTTTTATAAAACATTTAAAAAGAGTTAATAATTAATTTGACGAGATAAGAATAAACTAAACTAAACTTACCCAGTGGACGAACATATTGGTTTGCTATACCACAGTTGGAAAGCATTTGGTTTTCATATCCAGTTTGACAGGCACCACTATTAGGATTGACCGCAGTACATCTTTGATTGATTCCACAAACGTTGAAATAGTAGATGTTCTTACCTGAATCTGTGAAGGTGAATGTTTGATTTTTTCTTGAGAATAAAAAAAGTGAAATATTAATATTATTGTATTTGAGTAATTAAATAGATAGATAACAATACATTGAAATTATAGATGTGAGTGCTAGTTGTCAAAAAACAATTATCGTCAGCAATAGTGACTTGGATCACAGCATATAAAGTGACCAATAATGATAAAATTAATTTAGTATTATACATTTTTTTAAAAATATTTGTACAAATTTAGTTGTTTTTTATCTATTTAAATAGAGCTGCTTTGGATTAATTTGGTGATCAAGAGATTTTGTCTTTTCATCAACCATCTATCGCAGTTTTTTTTATTTTGCAGTGAAAAGTAAAAAATTAGTTTTTCTTAGATTTGGATGTGTTGTGGGCACTCTCTTTTTGGTGGGAAAAAGTGTACGTAAATTTCGAAATGAGGGATGAGACTGAAAAACAAACCCAAAAAATTGGAATCAATTTAGTAACTACTATTTAATTAATTTTGATGTTTTTAACTCAACTTTGTAAAGCAAAAAAGAAAAGAAAATTGCTTTGAAAGGATCGCCACTCCATAATAAGTAAATAATTGCATCAATAGCTTAACAAATCTGCCCAATCTTTGAGATTTCGAAATTTCGATAAACAATATTGGTTTAGATGACGTTGAAGCTAAATCCCAAACCCAGTAAATATTATGTTGTTATTTAGCATTGTGAAAATTAATAAATATTAATTAATCATACTTTTCTTTTTCTCTCTTTACAAATTCTTAAAAAATAAATATTTTTATTTATTTATTTGCATTTGTAAATATTTATTTTTTGGCAATTTTATAAAAAATGAGAAAAATGGAAATTTGTTTTTAATAATATTTTATTAATTTTGAGAAATTTTTAGGGTGTATTAATACAATTCTCTGCAGAGATTAAAAACCACAAAACAAAAAAAAAACAAAAAAAAAAGAAGAAGAATAAATATTTTAAACAAAGTTATATAACTATATAACTGTATATATATTATTTTTTTATATAGTTTCATTTTTAAGTGATATAAAATTCATTTTTTATTTTCACTTATTATTATCGTCATATTATAATTTAGACAAATATTAATTATACAAGCATTGTTAAAATTGTATATTTAATCTTTCAATCTATCTATCAATCAATCAATCAATCAATCAACCTCAACATTTCATTTTCTTTCTTTTTTTATTTATTTATTAATTATAAATATTAATTCATTCATTTAAAAAAAAAAGAAAAAGATTCATTTTTATATTATTATTCAAATTTTTATGTATATAATCAATATCAAAAGCATTCCTATCTCATTACAAAATGAATATATCAAAACCAACATCATTTTATATACAACAACAACAACAACAGCAGCAGCATTCAAGTAAAACAGCAAGTCAAAGCGTAGATTCAATTAAACAGAAAAATCAACAACAACAATCAAATGAAAAGCTAATAGCTAAACAAAGATTGCTATTTTCAACAGTCTATGCTGAGCCACTAAAGAAAATCGAGCACAATATCAATGTTCTCATTCAATGTGGTTCCATAGACACCAGTCTACAACCAACCACACAATACGATTCATTTGAACTCTTTGAGTTCTCTGGTGATTCAATTCTTGCAAAAGAATTCTCAGATAGAACTACAAAGGTATCATGATAAGCTATAATCTAAATATTCCACCAGCCAGTCATTCAACTAACACAATTATTATTATTACTATATGTACTATTAGTATCCAGGTGCATCACCTTATATTTGTACATTGTTCAAGTCACACGGATGCTCTAATGATACACTAACATTCTTTTATCATCTGTTGCACATCTCGTCGAAATTACTCGACGTGCCACCCACCATCCCAAAGAAACAGGCCGACATTATGGAGGCAATGATTCACGAGTTGTATCATGCGCAAAACAATATTGCCAGATCGACTTTGGAGATGTTCATCTTGGTGTTGTTACAATACACCAATATCACATTTCATCATTCCGATCCAAAGTTGTGTGCAGAGGTCTCTGCTATCAACAACAACGCACTACTCAACCTTTTTGACAATGACTCATACCTCAAGAGCATCTCATTGGCCAGCATGATTGCCGTGCCAACACCAACACCCTTACCATCAGTACCATTAACAGTACCATTAGCCGTACCATTAGCAGTACCATTACCAACATTAGATTCTTCTTTTGCCACTTCATTAAAACAACAGCAGCAGCAGCAACAAACAACAAAGAGTGTAGTATTTGATATCAAACCAAAGATGGCTCCGGTATCATTAAACTTCAAGCTAGAGTCTCTTTTGGAAACAAATACTACTCACACCTCTAAATCTATGGTCATCACTGGTGATCAAAAACAATCAAAGATTGTCAATATGATCACAGACCCACAGAATACCCTACTCTCACCATACACATTAGGTTTCCAATCAAGCCATACACAACCAATCAGTTATTAAATTAACACAGAAATCAACCTCCCCCCCACCCCCACACAATAATTAAATAATATTCTATCATTGTCAAAATAATATACCTACATTCACTATTATAGGTAATAATAGTAAAGTAGTTATATTGTTTTAACAATATCAAAGGTTAAATCATAGTTAGTGAATTCACCAACTATGATTTAATCTTTGATTTCCGACTATTCAAAACAATCAATAGTAGTAGTTCAGGAATTATAGATATTATTTTTCTATAACTCGTAAAACATGTAGTTACTAATCATTAGTTTACATTTGTAGAAAGATAAAATTTATAATTCCTTACCTAATATTAAACAACAAACAAACTAAAAGATATCGCTAAATACACAAATACATTTCGAAATAATAGGTAAACAAATAAAATTAAAAGTTATATATATTTAGTGTTATAACCATTATAATAAATTTATTAAAACGATGATTATATTAAAGATTTATAATAAATCTTCATCTTCGTCGTCATCATTATCGGTTGATTGATCAAAGTTTGAGGTTAAAACTATGTTGTTAATTGAGTTGTTGTTGTTGTTGATTGATAAATCGGCATTTGTTGACTCATTATCATGATATTCTTCTAATGCGATCGATCGTTTCAAGTCATTGACACTGCTACCAAGCAATACTTTGTCGTCGCTGATTGTGTTGGTTGCGGTGGATGATGAATCGTCTTCATCGGATGACTCTTTGTGTTCGCCGGTTGCTGTTCGTCTCTTGATGAGATCGCCTGCTTCTCCCTCCTCAACGGATGACTCTTCACTGGATCCCGTTCTCTCGAGTGCCTTCTTCATTTCCTCGTGCCAATTGATTCTGGCCACGTAGAAACCGAGCGAGAGTGCTGCCGTTGCCAATCCAATGCATAGACCCCACCATAGTCCATACACCTTGTGCATGATTACGAATGCAAACACACAGGAGAATGGCAAACCAATCACGTAGAATGCAACGAAATTGGCAATGGCACCGATGTGGTTTCTTCCGATACCTCTTATCACTCCTTGACACATCGTTTGATATCCGTCAAACATTTGATACAACGCAGAGATTGGAAGGATCTTTGAGACGAGTAATCGCACCTGTTGATCCTCAGAGTAGATCGATCCAATGTACTTTCGCGCGGACAATTGAATGATCGATACCACCAGCATCGTACATATAGCCATTCCAAGACTGATACGAGTGGCTCGCTTGGCTGCGTCAGGTTGACGAGCTCCAAGGAGTTGTCCGATTCTCACTGAGAGTGCAATCGAGAGTGAGAATGGCATCATGAATGTGAGCAGCGTGAAGTTCATTGCGATCGAGTGCGCCGCCAAACTGACGGCATCGAAAAGACCAGCCAGAATCGTAAGGATTTCGAATCCACAACCTTCGAACGCCATTTGTAGACCGGCTGGAATACCGAGGGTGAGGAACTCCTTGATCGGTTGCCACCGTAATGATTCTCTGGAGAATCCATACCAAGTTCTGATGGGCTGTTTGTAGAGCTTGAAAACGATAATGTATACAAGCAGCGAGACGCATGCTGCAAACTTGGCAATGCTTGTCGAGAGTGCACTACCGACAACACCCATTCCTTCGTACAAACCAAAGCCGTGTACCAAAAAGAAATTGAGAATGGCATTGAAAATGTTGAGGACGACACCGACAATGATCGATGGTTTCATAATGCCTTGAGCTTGCAAGTATTTCTGGAGAATTGTGAGGAACGTTCCGAAATAGAGTCCTGGAATCATTCCATAGACGTATTGACGTGCATACTCTGAAACCACAGGGTCTTGGTGAAGCACCAACAGGATGGGTTTGGTTGCGAGCCATATAGCATTGACAAAGACGCAGCAACCAAAGGAGATGATCATGGCGTGTTGCACGGTCAGACTGATTAACGTATAGTTCTTGGCACCAAAGGACTGACTGATCAGTGTATCCATGGCATTGAGAGCACCAATGGCAATGGCAGATGTTGCGAATGTAAAAGTATTTCCAAGTGCTACACCGGCGAGTTGTTGTTCTCCGACATGACCAACAAACACCATATTTATAATTAAATAAGCAACATTATTTAATATATTGGCAATTAAAATTGGCCTAATAAATAAGGAAAAAGGAAAAAAAAAAAAAAAAGTAAAAATAAATAATCTAAACATAGCTTATGAAACAATCTAGTTTTTTCATACCATGACCAATTTAAAAGTAAGATGATTTCATCTTTACTTTCTCTGAGAATGGATTTAGAACGATCCACCTGTTTCTTAAGCAGATCGGCTGTATTTTCTAACGGATTCATTTTATGAAAAAATTATTATTATTATTATTAATGATGAGGTAAATGTATATGTAGATGCTGATGTAGTTGTAATTGAAAGGTTGGTGGTTTTATAAAGAATGGTGACCTCATTCGTGAAATAGTGAAATTAAAGATTAACTTGTAGAGTTGCTTATATATATAAATATGTGATATATTTTATATATATAGATTGGTAGTAGAATTTAAAGTAGATTTTAAAATTTGAGAAACTAAGTATTTTTTATTAGTTTTCTGGTTAGTGAATGGATGAATGTAGAATGAAATGAATAAAAGTAATAATTATAAGTATAATTAATTGTTTAATAATGATTATTCTCAGAGTTGGAAATGGAATGTAGGGGTTAGGGGAAAAAGAACGAGAGAAGTGGAAAGAGAATGTGTTGTTTGGCTAAAAAAAAAAAAGTAAAAAAAACTTAAATCATATGAATCAAGATCATTTTTCGTCGGTGAGCGTTACTTATTATTATCAAGATTTTTCATTTTTTTTGCTCAAACAAAACGAAAATAAAACAACGCACTGTTTAAATTTCGAGAAAAAAAAAGAATGAAATGTTGTTTTCTGTTCTCTGGTAAATAGATTGCTTTTTTAGATTTGTAAATTAACGAGGTAATTATTTATTTTTTGACCAATGGTAACAAACAATTTCTAAATATAAAATCATAATCTTGTGTTGACAACTTGAAAAAAAGAATTCTGAGTTTGTTGTTTTTGTTTACTTATCAGTACCAGTTTTAAAGAAATATTGATTAGGAAACTTTGACATTGTTGTTAAAATTAAAGTTGATCACTTGAGAAAACGTCCATTCATTTTGTGGTTAACAATAAATATAATTAGTCATATAAAATTATCATAGAGTTTTCCTATAAATAAATAGAGGATAAATTATTTATTTTTCATATCTTAGATAAAACAATTTTAATAAATAATTTAAAAAGAGTTAATAAGACAACACCTGGTTTATTAAAAACCTGGTCTTAAATTGGGTTTTTAGAATTTTGAATTGTTTTTTTTTTTTGTTTTGTAGGAGGTGATTGATGTCACACCTGGTCATTCTAATAAAAAAAACAAAGATTTTATATTGTCAAACAACGATTTTTATTATTTTTCAATTTCAGGTTGAAGTTATTTGTTTCAAGATCAATTGTTTAAAAATAAACCCAAAAAGATTAATTACAATTAAACAATTTCATCTATTTTGTTGTTATTATAAATTAATAACTTTTAGTTATAGATATGTTTTTACAAAAAAGATCAGTAAATTAAAATATTATTTTTTAAGACTTTTTTTTGCAGCATCAGATATTTTTATTTTAAAGAATCAAAATTTTCATTCTCAAAGATATAAAAAACATCAATTTCCTATAAATACAACACCTTTTTATATTTATATTTTATATATTTATAATATAGCTATTAAAAAAAATAAATTATTATTTAGTTGATAAAGAATAATAAAAATATTGAATAGATATTTAAAAGTGACTTGTGTGTGTGGGTGTGTTTGTTACTTTCGGTAAAAGTAATCTGAATACGACGGAACATCCATAACAATGTTGATGGAAAGTGGTATTATCGATTCTCTTCATGAGGAGAATATAGAGGTTGATCAGTTGCCTCTGATGGTGCCCATCATAGATGAATACATTCATACCTACAATGATCCTTCGTCGTTGGCAAGTTCGCTGTCATCGTCGTGGATGTCACCTCCTAAAAAGCGAAGACCTCCCAAACATGGTAGACTACACTCGAGTGACGACACAACAGATGATTTCATAGATTTAAATGGACATTCCATTGGTAATCACAGTCACAGTCATCACAGTCATCATCATCATCATAGGCATGCTCATAGAAATGACGATAGTGTTGATAGCGATGATAGCAGTGGAAGTGAAGAGATATTGGAGATGACAGATACCGATCATTCATCGGCGAGGATGTCATTCATTTCACACATGTCGACTCCGTCGGCAGCATCGCCACTTTTTCAATCGCCAGGACTCTACTCAATGTCCAACTCATCGGCGTCGACCACCAACGACAGTCTCAACAGCAACATCAATCATATGTCACACATTACATTGGATGACGATATCGAGACGATGATAGCATCGCCAACCAAACATTTTCCAAGACATTACTACCGACATAGTATTATGGATCCAGTTGGTAGAGATAACAACCATCATCAACAACAACAACAAAATACACAGACATTCAGTAATCACAATAATCATAGTAATAGTAATGCAAATAAATACAATACGGCGGTCGGATACAATGAAAGTCAACAACAAAAGAAGAAACAATATAAAGATCATTATAGAAATGACTTTTTCGGGTTCGTAGCTCCACCTTCTACTCCTACGAGCAAAACACATGGAAATTCTTTGGTCGACGATGAATATAGTAGTGATAGTGATGATCCCGATGAGAGTGAGAATGAGAAGAAGTATAAATATATAAAGAAACAAGCAGCGATGCAACACAATTTCAACAACAATACTACGGATACACAAAACAGTAGTTATAATCATAATCAGAGTGGCAGTGGAAGTAGTAAATATAACAACAATAGTAATCAACAGAGTAGTAGCAGGAGTAACAGTAATCATTCTAGTACAAACAACAGTAGAAATAACAGTTTAACAAATCTAAGGCAACCACCAACCAATGTAAATAGTAACAATCAAATGAGTGGTAAAATGGAATTTGACTACCGTAAGCCTGAGGAATTTCAACAGCTTCTAACAAGGATCAAAGAAAACTCTGCTCACTATGGTGCACAGTTTAACGACTTGGTAAACAGAACAAAAGTTATAAATCATTCTGTAAGTATAATGTTATTGTATTTAATAGATGAATGACTTTTTGTAAATATTAATCTTCTTTAAATTTATTTTTATAGATGAGTCATATCATGATGGAGAATTTCGAAAACTATTCAAAGACATGTACTGATGTATTAGACGAAACTTATCATAGTATGGAATCAATGAAGACACTGATTAATAGTATGGAACTATTGAATAGTGATCTATTTCATGTGTACAAATTAGCATCTCAAATGTAAGCAAACCATTATTATAATCACATTAATGAACTATAAAAGTAATAGACTATTAACCACCATTTTCTTTTACATACTATTATTAGTAAACATATTAAAAAATCATTAGACCTTTTAGATATTTACGTATCTAGATTACCTTCTATAGATTAAACAAAATAAAATTAATGTTTATAGTATTTATGAATCTTAAATCAAAGATTAAAACAAGTGAATGATAGCTATTATTAACTGTTTAAGTGAATTTTAAAAGATTTTGATTTATTATTTTAATAAATGTCGTGAAAAATTATCTTGGTTATACATTGGTACGATAGTTTGATTGGGGTTTGAGTTATTGTTGTTGTTGTTGTTGTTTTGTTGGTGATGGTGTTGGTGTTGAAAATAAATAATGTTGCACCTTATAATGGTGAGAGTTAAACGTTGTCTGTTTGGTTTATATATGGTATATAGATAATTGGAGTTGTTTAGGTTGTTGTTTGTTTGTTTAGTTGGTTTGTTTGTTTGTTTTGTTATTTTCTTAAACTTTTATCAATTGTACATAGTTGCTTGGGAATCTACCGGCTGAACCTTTTTCATTTGATCCGTAGAACCAACCTTCATCTTCGTATTCAATGGTCAGTGTTTCACCTTCTCTAATCTCTAGCTCACCTTCGCAATCAGAGTGGTAATCGTATAGAACTTTGCATTTTCCACCGGATACGTCTACCTTTTTCTTTTGGGAGTCTGTCGATTCCACAAAGTTGCTTGGGAACATTCCGATCTTGCCGTCACCGCCAACAACACTTCCTTGCCACCAGCCACTCTCGTCACGCATTATCACTTTGATGACGTTGGTCGACTTGAACGAGAGTTCATTCTCCTCGGTGGCATTGTAATCGTAGAGTGCGCGCACCGTCTCGTCGTTGGATTGCATATTCATGGCACTGGCAGGTTTGGGTGGCAGTCCGGGAAGAGGATCGTTTCCAGAGTGAGTGGAGGACGACGATGAATTCAGACTTCTACGTTGTTGTTGTGCGAGTTGTTGTTGGGAAATCTGTTGTTGTGCGAGTTGTTGCTGTGATAACTGTTGTGATGAAGTCAAACTATTCATATCAACACCGTGTTGGATGGGCGAACTCGAGGGTGACATCACCATGGAAAAAGTAGTTAAATGGTTCGATGGTTGATATGGTTCATATTGTGCTTCTGGTGGTTTCTGAGCACCCGACATCTTTTCCAAAATAAATGATTGAATATCTTTATCTCTATCTATACTTTCAATACTCTTTTTAATATTCTTGAAATATTTATAAAAAGTACAAAAATAAAATATAATGGTTGGCAATTGTTAGAATATTGATCAACAACACTCAATATAATAATAATATTAATAATGACATACTTCATTATGGGTAGATATTTGTGCAGGCATTGTTTCAGCGTTATTTATGACATCCAATAGCCAATCTTTGGTTCTGTCGATACGATCGACTTCAAATCGTTGTAGGTCGTCGAGAATCTTTGGCATTTCATCGTGATAAAACTTTGATTGATTCTGTTGCAAAACCTTGACGCTGTCTCTGTACTCATTGTCTGCCTTGTCGGCTGCTTTGGTTGCCGACTCTAGATTCTTTCTTGCTTTCTGTTCCTTTGCACCAGGTGGTTGTTTAGAGAGTTCTTCGTGTGCCTCTTCTTGTTTCTTTTTCAACTTGTCATAATTAATTTTCGCTTTTGATTCATTATTCTCTGCTGCTTTCAAATCTTTTGTTAATTTCTCACCGGCTGCTACCAACTAAAAAAAAAACAAAAATTAAAAATAAAATAAAGTATTAATAACCATATAATCTATTATTATTATTATTGCTATGATCATTGTTTTTTGTATTGTTACTATTACTTACACCTTTTCTTTGTTTTCTAGAATCTTCAAGATAACTGTCGATTCCACTGACAATTATTTTTTCCAATTTATTTGAAAACTCTTCGTGTAACACTGAGATTGCCTCTACTTGATCACGATAGATCTGCCATGAATCACGAATTGTTCTATATTGATTGTTGAAAAAATAAGTTAAACTGCGTATTAATATTCAAAATAACAATTTCATAAACATACCCTATTTCCATATCTGGTGCAAATGATTTATCTTTACATAATTTAATCATACTCTTTGAGTATAATGATTCTATTTGTTGTTGTTTTAAAAGGAATTTACTCATTAAATTGGTAAAAACCTTACCATTATCAACTTTTTTGACCACTCCGTCAAATTTATCCTGATATTTATAAATTTACAAAATTAATAAAACTTGATAATTTAATATAAATAAGGACCGAATTGCTGATAACATACCCAAAGATCTTCTGAAAAACCTCTAGTCTTTATGGTTGCTGCCATTACGGATGTTCTTTTAAGATTAAGTTATTATTTACTTAATATTATTATTAATTTTGTTTTTTTTTTGTTTTTTTTTTAGTTGGTTTGATTTAAAATAAATAATTTATAAATTAATAAAAGTTGATTGATTTTCTAATACTACAATTATTTGATTTTTTTTGGTGAATGATAGAAAATATATGTTGAAGCTCAAAATTATGTAATTATATGTTTGTATTTTTGAACGTTAAAATACAAATTCAAATTATTGATTTGGTTGAGTTTAAATTTGGATTTTTGATTTTGAATTTGCGTTGCGCTGTTGATGTTGTTGATATCTTGATTGTTTGATGGAATGTCTTTCTGAATGATGGAATCCACACCGGTGTAATGTGGTTCGATTTGATTATAAACTAAATCTAGAATTGATTGTGTGAATATATAAACTAGCTGGCTGGCTGGTTATTTATTTATTGTAAAGCTAAGTCAGTTAATATCAGATTGAGGAGTATGTTATTTCAAATATAGATATGATATAAATATGGAAAATGAGTGGATGTTCTATTTACAATTCACTGCAATGAGGAGCAACAGAGTAAGCTGCCACAAGTGAATCAAAGTGTGAGATGCAACAACAATGATAATTATAATAATAGATTGGAGTGAGAAAAAAAAAATATGGAATGGTTTGGATCAAATATGAAATTGCTATAACAGCTAATATAATATTTGAAATAACAAATTAATTTTAATTTATGGTGCAAATAAAGTTAATTAAGGTTGGTTGGTCGGTCACTTTCAGTTATTTATTATCTTCACTTACCACTCCACTATTATTTCTTATTAATTATAGCTTAAAAAAATATATATTCATTTGTATACCTTAATAATACTGTTTTTTAATTGATTAATTGAGTATGAGTGGTGTTTATATATGGAGTGATGACATTTATCAATCAAATTCGTTTTATTCCTAAATGTCGTGTGAAGTGCATAAAAAAAAAAAACTAAATATATATATGATATTTATTTGCTTGTGTGTATGTACTTATGTACTTGTGTGATTGTGTGTTGATGTGTGGTGTGTGTGTGTTGGTTATCTATTGATTTAGTAGTCGTTTGGAATATATTAAAATCATATTCCGGAATGTCATGGTGCATCAGAAAGAAGATGTGAAGAAGTGATAGTCATAATCATAAGATGTTATTTTTGATCTACATACATATTTGGCAATTTAAGTAAAGTAGCAAATAAAACTGGTTGTAAATGATCTAAAAATAATCTATATTATTATTGTTGATTTATGAATGGTATAATATGTTTGTTTTGATTGATTTGGGTTTATTAATTAAATGTTTTTGGTTATTATTTATATAATATTGTATTGTTTTTGAAAAATAATAATAATAATAATAATATTGATTATAATATAATGAAACTAATATTGTGTAAACAAATAAAAATAAAATAAAACAAAAAGTATTACTCCTCCCACTTTAATATGTTTATTTGTTTTTATTTTCTAGTTTAATTTAATCAACAACAATAACAACAATCAGTAATAGAAACAATAACAATAGAGTATTAAAATTAAATTTATGATTGATTGATTTATTGATTGAATTGTATGATGATGATGAATGAATTGAAGTTTTAATAATAATCACATATATATATTAATTATATTGATGATGATGTTTGTTTGTTTGTGTTTGTACTTGTACCTAATATAAATCTTCGTGAAGCAATAGCAACAATAACAATAACAACAACAAACTAAGCAAAGCAAAGCAATTACAAAACAACACATAGCTAAAACACCCACCAAGCATATATCGCATTAATCAATGATTTGATTACCAATTTAATTATTGCCATCATATTAAACAACATCATCAATTACCACTACCACCATTACCATTTCAAGGTACTACTAAAACAAATAAAGCAATTTCCTTTCATTTCTGTTTTTATTTATTTTTTTAAAAACAAATAAAAAGTATATTGTGGTCACACACTAATATGATACATATATCAAAACTTTAACAAACACACACTATCTTTTTTGTTTAGTGTTGTGTTTTGATTTATTAGTGTGAATTCTTATGATTTGTTTTTTATTATTGTGTTAGTGTGTATGTGTATGTGTATGCTTATCAATCAAAGTGAAAACAGTGAAACGCAATTGGTATATATGTTTAATTGTCCACATACCAACTACGAGGTAAAAAAGCAATTAAGGAGTAACTATCACCTGCATTCATACACTTATTTAGGACTGGTGTTAATAAAACTTAAATGAAAAGGAAACACACAACAAATGAATTGATCATTGGTATATATTGCAGATATGATTAGATGAGTGAATTGATTTGTGTGTTGTGTGCGTGTAATTGATGTATTGTATGTATTGTATGTGTGTCACTGAATTGCATTGTTGTAACTATTCATGGTTGATTCTTTTAATGACTGATAAACAATAATATTGATTGATCAAACAAATTGGATATTTGATTAATCAAATGTTCAACACCGATGTTTAAAGGGGAGGAAAGAACTCTTGATTGATAAGATTGAAGCATTGATCACCACCAGCTACATTTCGAATTCTAATCATTGATATTTTTGATTTTGCCGGTTATGTTGATATCAAAGAAGAGTCATCATCATTGTTGGTATTAATATATCGAATGCGAAGTGTTAGATAACACCACAAATACGAAATGTGTTTCCAAAAATAAACAATATCTTATCTGTCTCTCTCTCTCTCTCACCCTCTCTTACTAATAGTTCTTATTCTTCTTCCTCCTACTTTTCCTATATTTGTTGTATTTTTATAATTATAAATGACCTACTACTACTAAGCTAAACTAATAATCCTTTGAGAATATTCTGATTTTTGATTATAATCTAATCCAGAATTGGAACTAACCAGCAAAGTAAAATATAAAAATAAAATAAATAAATAAAACAATAATCTTTAGCTAAAAAAAACTAACAAACTTTTAATCATTAATCTTATTTTTGTTTTTTTTTTTGCATAGTTTTTTGCAATTTTTAAATGATTTTTTTTGATATTTTTTTGCAGATATGATTGACCGTTTTTGGTAATAGATTTGTTACAATAAAAAATCGTTTATTATCGAAATTTGGTGTGATTTAAAAATAAATCAATCTTGAGAACATTTTAAGTTTATAATTTTTTTGTTTATTTATTAATTTATTTATTTTTTTAATAATAATATTGAGTACGTAACGATTTTGTTTGTTTAAAGATGGCGTGGGGTGTTTTTATGTTGCTGTTGTTGTTGTTTAAAGTTTTGGACCGGCAGCAAGTACTTCGGCTGGAGCTTTGTCTTGATATTTCTTAAAGTTCTCGATGAAAAGAGTGGCGAGCTTGGTGAGTGTTTGTGTGTATTTGGCTTTGTCTGACCATGTGTTGGATGGCATCAAAATCTCCGATGGAACACCTGGACAGCTGGTTGGAACGTGAAGTCCAAACACTTCCATTGGGGTGGTTGGTACCTTTTCGAGTTCACCACTGTGGATGGCGTCGATGATGGCACGAGTGTAGGCGAGTTTGACACGCGATCCAATACCGTAGCTACCTCCGGTCCAACCGGTATTGATGAGCCAGGCGTGTGATTTGAATTTCTGAAGTTGCTCGGCGAGCATGTGGGCGTATTTAGTTGGATGCCATACAATGAATGGCTCACCGTAGCACGAGGAGAAGGCAGCGGTTGGCTCGGTGACACCGACTTCGGTACCGGCAACCTTAGCAGTGTAACCCTGGATGAAATGATACATAACTTGTTGTGGTGTCAGCTTGGAGACTGGTGGCAAGATACCAAAGGCATCACAGGTCAACATGATGATGTTCTTTGGATGATTCTTGGAGAGCGCTGGGAACTTTGTGTTGGGGATGAACTCCAATGGGTAGGCGCAACGGGTGTTCTCTGTGATGGAGATGTTGTTGTAGTCGACCTTACGAGTGTACTCGTTGTAGACGACGTTCTCGAGGACGGCACCGAAACGGATGGCGTCGAAAATCTCTGGCTCCTTCTCACGCGACAAATCGATGCACTTGGCATAACAACCACCTTCGATGTTGAAGACACCGTGGTCGGTCCAGACGTGCTCGTCGTCACCGATCAAGTAACGGTTTGGATCAGCGGACAAAGTGGTCTTACCGGTACCGGAGAGACCAAAGAAGAGAGTGACGTCACCCTCCTTACCTTCGTTACACGAAGAGTGGAGTGGAAGAACACCCATCTTTGGCATGAGATACATCATGATGGTGAGGACACCCTTCTTCATCTCACCGGCATACTGGGTACCGAGGATGACCATCTCACGACGAGCAAAGTCGAGCGAGACACTGGTGGCCGACGACATACCCTTGGTGAAACGATTGGCTGGGAATTGACCGGCGTTGTAGATGGTGTAGTCTGGCTCACCAAAAGTCTTGAGCTCCTCCTTGGTTGGACGGATCAACATGTTGTTCATGAAGAGTGCGTGGTAGGCACGTGCGCAGATGACACGTACTTTGATACGATAGGCTGGATCCCAACCGGCGTAACCGTCGATCACAAACAACTTATCGACGGTGTTGAGGTAGTCGATGGCACGCTCACGGTTAATCATGAAGGAGAGATCGTCCAGTGGCATATTGACTGGTCCCCACCAGATGTCGTTGGAGCTCGATGGTTCCTGGACGATTCTCTTGTCCTTTGGTGAACGTCCGGTCTTGGCACCGGATCTGGTGACGAGAGCACCGGTGCTGGTCATTGCAGATCCAGTTTCATGAGCCAATGCCTGCTCGTAGAGAACTGGAACTGGTGGATTGTGGAAGATATTGGTTTGCTTTGTGAAGTGTTCATCGAGATGTAAGCTATCAACATCTACAAAAAAGAACAAACAGATAGAGAGGAGAAGAGGTAATTAACCAAATATATTTACATATATACTTGAGGTTAGTAGAGATTGGTGTTAAATTAGAGTTCTTCCCTTCTTACCTAGGGTGTCGGCATGATCGTGACTCTCTGGTGGAACATCTGCAGTCGATGCTGACAATGATTTTGAAATTGATTGTGCAACTTGTTGATTAATGGCAGACATTATTATTTAATATATATTTATAATATTATTATTATTATGGTTAATATTATTATTACTAATTAATTATAGATACAATATATATAAGATAAGATAAGATAATATCTAATAGATTTAATTTCAATTTAAATTTAATTTAAAATTTGAAATTGAATTGAATTGAATTGAAGTTGAAGTTGAATTACAAAAAAAATTAAAAAATAAAATAAAAATAAAATCAAATTATTATTTTTATATATGTTATATAAATGTTAATTATGATATGATAATTATATTATATTCATTTAACGTTTAAATAATAATAATAATCTGAAATCTTTTTAATATATAAAGGTGATTTTTTTTTATTTTTTTTTGGTTTCTTTTTTTTTTATTTTTTGTTTTTTTTTCTAAGTTCTTCTTCTTAATGCACCAGAATAATTCATAATCATAGGTAAACAAGTGTTCTAGTGCCTTTTTCAAACACCCACAAGTTCACTCACTGCATCTGTTTCATCCATGAAAAAACATTTAATTTGGTTTATTTTTTCGTTTTTGTTTTTTAATTTTTTATTGTTGAGTGAATATGAAAATTTTAATGCACACGCAGCACTCTAAAACAAAAAGGCATTGCCGATGAATAATTTTTTCACGGACCGTGAGAAAATTGCTTTTTATTGATTTTATTGATTTTTGTAGTGAGATCACACACAACCGACTTTATACAACACATAGCAAGCAGAGAGTGTTAACAAACAAAATTAGTGCATCACAATTCCCTTTGCAGGCAATAGTTAATGAAAGTTAAATTTCCACTTGGTTTTTGTTTTTTTTTTGCAATTGTGTGATTAATGATTATAAATAGAGTATAAAGATGTAGTTAATCAAATTTACTGCCACTTAACACATCCCGAAATGTTCTTTTAGCCTTCATCTCCATCGCCATTGACAACCAAGTTTTTTTTTTTTTTATTAACCGATGAAATTTAATGTGATGTGGATCCACATCATTCATCAACTGATATGGTAATCAACAGTAAATAATAGGATTACTATCAATAGTATTATTAAATGAAATGAACAACTACTTTTTTTTTTATTAATGTTTTAGTAAAAATAAAAGATATTTTAATTATTTATTAGTTAGATTTGACAAATATTATTAAATTATATCTATTTGAAAGACAAATTTATGTTTTAAAACAATAATGTTTAAAATATATTATTTATAAAATTTTATAAATTTGAATTCAAACTCTTCATCGTAACCTTTTCTGCACTAATGAAATTTCGCTTGAAACGACAACATATCAACAACACATGCAAATAAACAGGTGTTGAATGAGAAGAAGAAAAAAAAAAACGACATTGTACAACCTCTTGGTTTAATTTTTTTTTGTTTTGTCTTTCAAATGCACAAATCATCTTTCATCTTTCAAAATATCTTTCAAGATATTTATTAAGATTTGAGTGTGAGGTTAGATATTTAAAAGTATCTCACCTTGCTTTGTGTAAGATATTGTACACTATTTTAAGAGATCTTAAACATAAATATGTAAATTGCTTTAAGACAACAGACAGACAAATGACTCAATCAAAATAGAAAACTACTTGAACTTTTCGCTCATTGTTCACACAAATTGCAATTTTATTTTTATTTTTTTATTTTTTTTTTTTTTTTATGCAGGCAGATTTCTATTTTATTATTGAAATAAAAGACTGTTGTGGTCGAATCACGGTTTTTCAAAAGAATTTCAAATGAAAAGCTAAAAGTTCCAAAAAGGAAAGTTTTTGACTATCGGTTCAATCAACTTTTTAAAATTAAAGATGATTAACTAATTAATCATTAGCTTCTCTTATGGTCGAAGCTTCGACCCCACCAGATTTTAGAAAGAATCTGTAGTTTAATGTTGTTATCATATCTAGATTATAAGAATTGTTGTTTTGGGTGGGATTTTGGTAGTTTACTGGTGGTTTTTGGGATTTAATACTATTGGGTAAAATGAGGACTATCCACATTATGGCATCATCGTTGTTCAATATTGTTTGACAAGCATACTTCGATCTCACTGTTGTTATTAATTTATTAACACTATTCATTCATTTGTGCTATGAAAATGAGGAACGCACCAATCAACAACATACATCAAATTACTCTTTTCTATTTATGGAGGGTTACATTAATGATACTAAAGATTCCACAAACAACAACACAACCGTATTTATCTCCTCTTAATTGGTTCAGTTTTAATTGATTGATTTTTTATTTTATTTATTCTTAATTTAATGTTTATTTATTCATATTAATCACAACACAAATTTATACATACACATTTTCTGTACAGAAAATCATGAACATATCGTATGTATGAACCATTGAAAAATGACACTTTTTTCCTGATTAGAGATGCGTTTTGCAACCCACGCTAAAAACAACACAATCCATAAAAAAAAAAAAATCATAGTCGACCGAATTTAGAGTTTTTCTTATTTTTTTCAAGATGCGGCAACCACAGTGCTTGGTTTTTTTTTAATTACTTAATTTTTTTAAAATGAATTCAAATTTTCGAAAAAAAATAAACAACCAAAACGGGAGAAATTTATCGTTTTTAGTTAATTTGAGAAATGGTTGACCATAGTGAATGATAGTTTTATGTTGATTTTTTGAAGTTTTTATTATTTTTTTTGTTTCATGCAAATTGTGGTTACGATCGCTAACAAAAGAAACAAACGATCTTTTGACCAATGAGAGTGCTCAACACTATGGTTTTTACACCCCGCTAACAATTCAGCGAACTGCAAACAACAGATCTTGGTTTTTTTTTTTTTTTTTTGGGTTTAATCTGTTTGGTTTTTGGTCAGATACACATTGAGATACATGTGAGACACAAGTATGTGACTCTTACAAAATTTTTATCACTTTTTTTTTTTTGTTGTTTTTTGTTGTTTTTTATTTAGAGACGCCACTCTGGTGAGAATGCGACTGATTTTGGAACACTCATCCAAATTAATTAATTAAAAAATTAATGGGCTTCAACTTTAAATAAAAAATTTAAAAAAAATAGATGCTTTCTCATCAACACATTGTAAATTCAGTGCAAGATTAGTTGTTTTCAAAACAAACAAACCACACACCTATACTATCAAGTAAACTTTCCACCGCCACCACATAATTATTGAATTATCATTTTTCAAACAGAGACAGTACCACCCTCTAAGCAGCAAAAGGCTGGTAGTTTTGCCACACAAATACATCATCACAGTTACATAGGTTCATATTGTGTGTCTCTAGCACTGAGTCGACTCGACAGCTTCCTCCTCTTCATCATCCTCATCACCATTGTAATTTATTAATTTTTACTACTCTTTCCAAACTTGTCCAACGTCCAACCATACACCATACAACATCCCACACACCACTGTTGGCACGCATCGTCCCACCAACAACCAACAGAAACTAAAGATTAAAGAAAATAGTAGAATGTGGTACAACATGTTATAACTTTTTTTATTTTTAATTTTTTTAATTTTTGTTTTGTTTTGTTGTTTAGGTTTGTAAATTCTTAGATGTGTCAAAACTTGAATTATTCTAACTTCCTCATTTTCTTAATTCATCCACCCATAAGATTTTATTTTTTTTATATTGTCCAATAAATTATATTTTATAAACGGTCACCTGTTTTTTTTTTCTAAATCCATCGCATCTCACATTTAATCTTTTCACCTCATCTTCAACCTTACTCTAAACCGTCGGCAGTCAAGCTTGTCAGTGTAGCAGTTGACATTTAACAACAAAACACCATTATAACATTATCCAAATACTTAATCTACCAACCGGCTACCAACATCACCACCACTATCAGCCATATATATAAATTACTCTTACAACCCCAACCCTAATTTGACAGATTTGATTTGGTATGTTTTCTTTCACTTGACACATTTCATAGCAAATCAACATAACAGTTACTGTGGACTTGTTGCGAGTTATCTATTGCGGCAGCAAAAGCAAATACCTTTGTCAAACAGTGATCACCTGTTTTATGCCTCCATATTAAGAGTGTCAGTGGTTTGCTCAATGATCATTGTGTACCGGACCTCAATCATTACGATCCTTACGAATTTAGTTGAATTACAGTAACCAAATTCATCTCAACTTTTCACACATCCAACAGCAACAAATTGGCTTTGACCAAACAATCAATCTTGCGAACATACCGATTTTTATCTCGTTTTTTTTGAATATTTTTATATACTATCCTCTCTTGCTTTTTTAGATCGCTTGCTTCACAACCACTCTCTTTAATTTCATTTTTCGACCAACCATTTACAACTTCCAAAATTTCAAAACTTCATTAGGTAAAATTCTAACTTGTCTTTAAAAGAATTATATAAATATATAAATTATACATATATATATATTTATCCTTTTATTATATAAATTATTTTAGTGTTTACTAGTAATAGACACTTAAACTAAACCGACCTGGCACACCTTCAGCATTATTTATTGGCTTTGTTCTTCAATTACATTACCTAACAGTAATTTAAAAGGATTGCAATCCTTATAAAAAAAAAACAAACAACAAAAAGGTAACCCACTCTTGATTTATTTATACCTCTTTACTTCCAATCGACAAATTTAGAATTTTATCATTTTTTATTTTTAATTTTTAAAAAATTATTTAATTATATTATGAGTTCTCTTATCTGGAAACAAATTGTCTTTGTTTATTTTATCTCTCCTTAGCTACTTTCTCATACTTTCTATTGGCTCTGCTCTCTAAATATAATATTTTTTTTTTTGCTTGCCCACAACCATTAAATTTTTATATATCAAATTTTCGTTGATGACATTACTATTAATTTTATGTTGTTGTCAAATTATTATCACCACTAAACAACAACCACTACTACTCTTTATATCAATCATCAAATTTGTTTATAACAACCAATAGGTGTTATAGTTTTATGATAAAAATAATATAACGATGGCACTCTGTATATTCTCCTTGGTTTGGACTGTGTCTATCACTTTATATATTTTTAAAAGTGTTAGTTAATAATGTTGATAGGTGATAACTACCCATTTCCTCAATCTCCACTTCCTCACACAAACCTATCTCAAACTCTTCTCAAATTCTCATCCAATCATCCACCGTATCTTCACCTTAAAAAGGTATACCTTTTTTCAATGAGAATAATAATAAGTATACCTTAATGACGATAGTGATAATGATGTTGCTCTTGCTTCCGTTGTGACACCATACTCACTCACATATTTATACTATATTCTAATAATTATCCTATTGAACACATACCCACCATACAAAATCAAACACAAACGAAATACAATAAGATCTCGAGAGAAATGAGTGATATAAAAGAGATATATGTTTTTTTGTACACACAAAGCATTGTAGCTCCATTTAGTTTGCTTGTTTTGTCATTTATTTAAAAATAATTGTCTTTGTAGTAACAAAATTTTATAAAGTTCAACCCTTGTTGCCCAACATAAATCCATCCAACATCAACCTACCACCCCATCAGTGTTGCTCATTAATTTAAACCACAACATCAACATTTGATCATCATCATTATATTACCACCAACAACACTCCAATAAATCCATACAACAAACACACAACACAATAGTACTAAACTCTTAGTACTGTTCAAATAACATATCCATTCATATGGATGGTTTATGTTTTTCTTTTGGATTTAAAAATGTGATTGATTTTTGGTAAGTGAGTGTGTTGTGTTTTGTTGATATAGATAGAAATTTCGAGTGACCCACTTTGTGTGTGCGCATGTGTGTATGGATATCGGAGTGATGATATGTGATGATGGAGTAGTCTACTCAATTTAAGCTCTTATACTAAACCACTAAAATACACAAAGTCACCCACACACAACCAACCACTAAAATATAAATTAAAATTCACATCTATACCACATAGTATGTACATACAAAATAATCAAATCTATTTCAATGTATAACTATGTTTATTGTTATTGTGGAGGTTTATTTTATTTATTATTTTTATTTTATTTTTGTTTTTGTTTTTAGAAATTGGTTGTTTGATCACTCATCACTTAACTTCACCTCTAACACTATCAAATCTTTCTGTAACGAAACGTCAATTAAAACACTCATCACACACACACATAATTTTTTCATGAATGGAGTGATTTGATTGTTTGTGTGTGTTTTTGTTTGTGTGTTAATTAATTATTATATACATATATAAATATGATACATTTATAAATATTTGATTTTATATCTCTGTTCATTACATTTTGGTTTTTTCTGTTTTTTTATTTTTATATTATTATCACAAACACACACACACATCAAAATGATAATAGTTACCCCACCAATATCTATCTTCACACAATCAACACTTCTTTCCTTCAAGTGTATTTACTGAATAGATGATAATATATATTGGTGGTACTGACAATCTCAAGAGTATTTGCCAAAATATATACCTTTGTTATATTTATTTTTTTTAGTTCTCATCGATCACACATAACTGCTACTTTTAATTAGCTATAAAACAAATTAATTATAGTATAGTAACAGCAAAGTTACTCAATACATTTTTGTTTTTCTTATTTTTTGTTTACATTTTTTTTTTCTCAGTCACCAAGTACTATATTCATAATTCATAATTTATTACCAACACAATAGCAACATCAACAAATATAAATAGATATATAATTACACTTTTTTCAAAATAACGAATTAGATTATTCTTTCATTAGCTTATTTATTGTATCACAATTGTCAAATATTTAATTCATCAATCCTTGTTTGCTTGCTTTTATTATTATTATAATTATTTTTTTTCTGTTACTACACCAAGTGTACCGTTATTTATTTGTGTGAACAACAATAATAATTTTTTAATATTTTTTTTTATTTTATTAAGTTGGAAAGTGTTGATTTTGACAAAGTACCCAACAATCACTAAATTATAAACTACCTATTTCCAATCATCCATCCATTGTGCCAACATACTTATTCCTCATATATCACAAACATCGTCATCATAAATTATCCACTATAATTGAATAGCTGCTCAAACCAAAACCAATAAAACCATTCAATCCTTACCACAACAACAACATTTCGTTTAATAAAACCATTAAACCAATAATCAAACAACATCAAATCAGTTCCTAAATTTGATTCCAAATGTTGGGATAATAATAGCATTCGTAATAGCAAATCATTTATTTATTTATTTATTTTATTGAATCATTATATCCTGAATTGAGGATTGTTTACTTGTTGGCAACTAAATCATACATTGTCTAATTTCAGCAAAAAACCATTCAATCATTCAACATATTATTTATAGAACCCTACACTTCTTACAAGCTACTCTCTAACTTCCATCTTTACTCACTTGTGATTGGCGTCAACCAACAACATCATTTATTTCTTTATTCTTTTCCTCTGTCCTGTCCACTCATTTTACTTTTAATGATTTAAAGTAGTCGCTACAAAAAGGAGATAAACAAAAACTTTTTTCTTTAACTAGAGAGAGATAATTTTCTTTTTAGATTTCTAAATTATTTATTTATTTATTTATTATTTATTTATTTATTAAATTATTTATTGTAACAAATTTGTTATTCCAGTTTTTTTATAATCAATTTTTCATATCTTATCTTATAATATTTGAATTCAAAACAAACCTTAAAAAAAAACAAACAAAAAGAAATATTATAATCCAAAATTATTTATTTATTATTTATTATTTATTAAATTAATCCAAAATATTTATTTATTTAATCAAACTCAATCAATTATTTATTTATTACTTATTTATTAAATTATTTATTTATTTATTTATTAATTAAACAACAAACTCAATATTAGAATCCAATTATTTATTATTTATTAATTAAATTATTTATTTTTTTTTCAAAATTTTAAAACTCAAACTCTTTTATAATTTGTCCTTTGGTTATTTATTTATTCCATTCACGTCTCATTAACTCAATATTTCTTATCTTCACATTCTCTCAGTTAACGACAACAAAGTCCCTCTCCGCCCAAATCATTCAACAGGAACTAGTATCAGAAGCAGCAGTGCAGAGTTTCAATTAGAGCCGTATTATTACTATAATAATCTCTCTATTTGACCAGCCGCCTTGACGAATTTTAAAAGGTATGTTCATTTTTATCATTTTGATATTAATTCTAGATGAAACCATCAAACCACCAAATCAAACCTTTTAATCCATCATCAAATCTCACAAATGTACCTTAAAAAGAAAAATGCAAACAAAAAAAACCTTACGCTATTGTTGTTAATCGGTTTTCTTTTGCTTATTTTGCTGTTTTGTTTTTGTTTTTTTTTTTTTTTTTTGCATTTTTCACTCAACGGTGTTTTCAAACAAAATTGAAATATCTCACTCAGAAACATCATCATGAAATCACCAATAATATCCTTTGACCACCACACCGCCCAAATTGAAACCCCCACTTGTTTTTTTTAATTAATTAATTAAGGTTGTGGGGGTCGATTCGTGATTTGAGTTGTTTTTTATTTTATTTTTTATTTTTTTCTTTTTGATTTTTTTATTAATTTCTAAATTTAATGGCACCTATTATTGCTCTTTCAATTAATTAATTGAACAACAACACTACAAAAATTAAAAAACAATAATTCAGTTTCATACCAAAATAATCGACCCACGCCTCCTCATTATCATTCACACAACTACAACTTAATTAATCCCTTTTGACATATATCAAATCATCATATCCTTGAACCACCAACACCCCACTAACGATCAGTAGTGTTTTACTACTTGTTAAAATTTATTATTTTTAAATAACTAATAAACAAATCAAACAACTGTACAGTTGTAGTAGTTTTGTCTACAATTGCTTTTATCACACCCCACCACCACCACATCTCAAATAATATCATCATTAATTATAATTATCAGTAGTAAGTCATTAGTTTGCCATAAATTAAAACCAACCACCCACACAACACACTTCTGAACAGATAGACAGAGCCTCTGCAACATCAAACAAACACATCACCACCAACCTGACAACACAGGCTAATTAATTAATTAATTAGAAAATCACCCAACCAAACTTTTTGAACAATACAAGAGGCTCGCTACTGGCTGTTGTTTAAATTTTTAAATATCATTAGTTTACACCCAACACAACACCGACTTTTTTCAATTAAAACATCTTTCAAAATCTATTTGGATACTATTTCCACGATATATTTAAATGCCTGGTTACATAAACCACTGTTCTCAATCTAATCTCTAAGAGATTATAATACTGTGGTTCGCCCACCACCATCACTTATCATGGTTGTCCATCCCATTTGCCTCTCACCTTTTTAATATTTATTGATTATATTGATCCCAATCTTCACAAAATAGTCTTTTTTTTTTACAAATAAGCAAATAATATATATAACAAATATTTTAATTGTAAATAATAATAATAGTCCACAAATCTTTTTTTACATTTCATTCAAAGATTTGTTTTATAGTGGATTTCCTTCAATGATTGAAAGGTATCTAACTCTGAAAAAAAACAAAAGAAAAAAAAAAAAAAACAAATCAATCGTGTGTGTTGACAAAAAAAAAAAGAAATCTTGTCCACAAGAGATCTACTCCTTTTTTACTCAATGCATGCATGACTGACTAATCACATCAACCACCACATTCGATAACCTTTTCTCTTAAACATCATCACCATCCATTCATTCCCACATACCACAAACATAGAAATAAACAAAATTCAAAACACACACACAACTCCCTCCACATTCCACAAACTTAAAAAGCAAGCACACCACATCATAATCTGAATATTATTTTAAAAATAATTTTTGTTTTTTTTCCTATTATGTTACTTAAAATTTGATGTCAACAACTTTGACTTTATTTTCCAAAACCAATAATATAAAATTATTTATCTATTATTTCAACATCCACCCCATTCAGCACTAAACTCAAAAGAATAACTCCACACTTCACACCTTCAAACACTACCCCAAGTTGCATTTGCCATATATTTTTTAGAAAAAACTAAATTTTTAAAGTCATAACAAAAATTGAAAAAACAAAAAATCATACCCTTTTGTTGTGTAATTGAATATTACCAAAACATTTTTCAAAGTAAATAATAAGATATCTATCGCACGCTTGAATTTGCAAACTTTGTCATATTTGTCTTTGGTTCATCCATAATATGGTTAGGTTAAGACATTTGTCATTTAAATTAAATGTGGTCTCTCATGTATCACGGTTGAATATATCGCAACCAACCAAATTTCCCTTAAACTCGTTAGTTATTTTAAAAACAGAGAAATACATACCCACATACACCAAAATTCATTGCTAAAGATCATCTTTATCTGCCATATTTCCAATTCTCAACCAATTACCTAATTCCTTTATTTCGAAATAATATTTGATATCAACCGCAAGAAATACTAACTTTAAAACTTTATTCTTTTCATTTCTTTATTTTTCTATCAATTAATTTATTTTTGATTATTATTTATATTATTATTCTAAATCAATTTATTAATTCTAAAAAAAACTAAAAGATTGCTCCACCTCTTCGACCAACTTTCATCACCCCAATCTCCCCACCCACCAATAACTCCTCTTTTTTAAATAATAACATTACTACAACCACATCCACAACAACAACAACAACAAATAGTAATAATACAAACAAGTCCGACAATAGTAAAAAGATGGAGATTTTGCCACAAAATAATTATTTATCATATTTGGCCTCGGCAGGTGCTTCCAATTTGCAATTACAAAATATATTGTTTGGAAATGGCGAGAATCCATTTGCATCCACTGCAAGCTACATGAAGCAAGGTTCATCCACCTCCACCACTCCAACGTCCAACTCGCCATCGCCCTCACCAAACTCGATGATCAGTATCAACCAAGCAAACTGGAGAAAGTGTTGCACCAACGCATCATGTCTGCTATGCACTCGTGGCACCCCACGCTGTCTCTCAATGAACCATCCATCATGGACTTTGATTCTGCGTGTTGTATTTTACGCTCTTGCCCAGATTCACCAGGACAAAGAGTTTTTCAACCTCAAGAAGGAAGTGTATGTCTACCTCAACGATCACTGGGATATCCTCTCGCCAACTCAAGCTCAGTCCAACAACTGGAAGCGCCAAGTCCAGGACGCCCTCTCTCACTCACGCTTCTTCCGTTCCGGTCGTCACACCCTTCGTTGCAACGGCTACTGGCAACTCAAGCTCTCGTGCAACCCATGGAACTATAGCAGCAGCAAACAATTCGAAGCTCTCCGATTCGAAGATGTCCATCCACCCTACTCACCATCACAACAATCGCCACCAATGGCACCAGAGATCTCTTGGCGTATCAAATCGCGCAGCTCACCATCCAAAGACGATCTCAACAACAACAACAACAACAAATCCACCACTCCAACCTTGTCATCAAAAATCACAACATCATCTTCAGGAAATTGTAATAGTTACAGTCCATACCAACGTTATGATAAAGACAAGATCATGGATATCAAAAAGTTGTTATCACTAGGTGTTAACAGCAACAATTCAAATAACAACAACAATAATAATATATCAGTACTTGACTCTGATGAAGATCCATATGATATCTCTTCACCATTGTCATCAGATAACTCCTACCATGGAAGTTCGCCATATAGCCATTCCGTTTCCACCTTTAACCAACCATCCAATTTCAAATTCATCCACCCAAGCAAGAAAACCACCAACACTTCTTCGCTTTCCCCGATTTCATCACCATTCCTCACAGACTCCAATGATATAAACAACAATAACAATAACAACAGTTTCTCAATGACTTCATCTTCTCCATCGTTTGCTCCACCATTCCAACTCACTCCACCATCCAACTTGACCTCAACCACACCAAACAACAGTACATCACCAAAGCATTTATCATCGCCATCCAAACTCATGAGACCGGAATATGGAGATGATCTCATTGTTTCCAAGATTCACCAAATGAAATCAATTCTAAATTGTACAGATTAACAAAACAACCCAACCAAACCAACACACAGCAAACGAAAACAAAAAAATCATAAAAAAAAAAAAAAAAAAACCAAACAAAACAATAAGAAAAATCAAACCTATATAGAAGCCATCCATTCCCCTGTCCAAAATCAACTAAATCCCCCCTTATTTATTTTTATATAATACAGAAATCATATTTATTTATGTAGAATTCCCCATATAACCAATCCGGATTCAAAAAAAAAAAAAAACAAACTCCCCAAGAAAAGAATGTAATACAATTTTTTTCCACTCTAAATATTGGATTCTCAATGTACAGAAATTATTTAAAAACATATAACTGTAGAAATTCAAAAGAATATAAATAAATTCAATTAAATTTAAACAATAAAAAAAAAAAAAGAATCGTATAATCTAAATCTCATAAAGTTTTTATTTATTTTTTAAAAATATTATATTTCAATGAAACTCTCTGGACCACCAAAATAAAAATTGAGACTAAATTATTACTTTGAAAATCTTATCTGTGTTTATTTTATAATAATTTTGAAAACCCAAAAAGTTTTAACTTTCAAAAAAAAAAATGGTTTTAAGATTGCAAAAAAAAAAAAAAAAAAAAAGACAACACTGGGATTGATCAATCTTGAAATCAATCATCATCATGATTGATAGTCGATTCACACTATTACTTCCTCTTCATGTATATTTAGAAAAGTAAATTTTTTTTTTTTTAATAGTTATCGAATACATACCTGTACATAGGTAGAGATTAAGTTATTATAGCAAGAGTAGCAAGTAGTGGTACAATAATAATAATAATAATAATAATAATCATCGCCATCATTGATCAATCATATTACACCATATTAGTTTAGATTTAGTTTAGATCGTATGTAAATCGTGTTATTTAAAAGTTATTCACATATTTTGTTTTGTTTTGATAACATTTATAGGTTTGATAGTTAGTCAGTCATTATTTAAGTTAACTACCATCTGGACACTATCATACATATCTGTGTGGGTGTGTTGTTTTAAATATTATAATATTAAAATAATTATGTGTGTTTATTTAGTTTAGTTTAGTTTAGTGTTTGTTTGTTTATTAAATAGTAAGGAATAATAGTAGTAGTTTAATTGATTGAGTAGTAGGAGTATGAATTAATCACTATGTATTGTTTTTAAAATATTCATCTATGTGCGAAATAAAAAGGTGTGTGTGTGGTTTTGAATCAATTCAGAGCGAAACAATAGATTAGTTATAGTTTAATTTAAATTTATATGTGTGACGTAACTAAATAGCTATTTAACCAACAAGTCAAGTTAAATACCATATGGTTCACTCATAATAACAAGTACTAGTATCAATTAAATCAACCTCAATCAATCCAATCATTTTTCCAGCAATTATAATATAAATATATTAATAAAAACAATATATATTGTTTTTCTATTGCAATATAATTTTTCTTTCTTTCAACAATAATTGTTTGCTGACTTATTAGTTTTATGTCTTTTAATCATTTTTCATATATATCTTTTAATAATAGGTAGCAACAAGCAAATCAAATCTTTATTTTAGATTTACCATTACTTAGAGTTAAAAGTAAGATAAGAATCTGGAATTACCACAATCAACAACAGGATAGATAGATATATACATATATTATTTGGTGGTGGTGTAGTAGTTAATACTATTACTACTACTATTATTATGTGTATACTATATAGTATACAATACAATCATCTCATCTGTTATTTCAATTAGTATTTTAGCAATCATTTATTTATACATCAATAGAATACTACTACAACAATCAATCATCATCATCATTAATAATAATAATGATTATGAATATTATTGTTTATTTTTTTTTACTTGTTCGATCGAATGTTTGGAAAATTCTCTCAAGATTATCAACATTATTGTTATTTTTACTCGATATGATGGAAAAGATAAACACACTGAATATCAAAATATTATTAATTAATTTTTAAAAAAATACCCCTCAAAAATAATAAAAAAACGATTATCAGCAAATTAAACACATCATCTTATTTTGGAAATCTAATAATTGTAATACAAAAATTAATAATTAAAATAATAATAAAATAATAATATTTGTTGATTTTGTTTGGGTTGATCATCTATCATAAAGATATATCAGCATCATCATCATCCTCATCTTTTAAAAGCAAATTCTAGCTTATCAAATCAAATCATTTAATCATTGAATATATATCTTTTTTGTCTTTTTGTTTGTTTTTATTTTTTGTTTTTACTTTTAGTTCTGTCTGTTGTTCCTGTGTTTCTTTGTTTAATGATTTTATAAATATATAATATATTTAATATTAATATCTTTTTTTTTATTTTTAGATCAATTCAGCGCGCATATATATTATTAGTAACACAAAGCATCTAATTTTATACTGTTTATTTTTAAACTATATAGCTTTTATATAATTTATATATTTAGCAGCCTAATATAACAAAAACAACAACAGCAACAATCAATATAACATTCAACATTAGTAAACAGTAATAGCGATAGTTAACAACAACAAAAGTAATATAATAGAAGTTGTGTGGTGGTGCTAAAAACAAACAATTTCATTCACAGCCAAAACACACACACACTCTGTAAAACACAACACCGAATAATTATAATATTTTGCGAGTTTGGTAGTTAGAGAGTGTGGTTACGAATAGTTGATCGTTATTGGTAACACTCAATCTACACACAACAATATTTAAAATATTACATACATCTTGATCTAGAGCACTGGTATCAATCTGAGCTTACTCTTTCAATTTAGCAACAAACATACAGTACTGTTTGTGGTTGGATTGCGATCTACACATTAAAATATGGATGAATATGAAGAGAAATCGAGTCAAGTGATAGGTGTGCTTCAGAAGCTCTCCGATGCAAGAGCTAAAAAAGTGTTACTTGGATTCTGTCAAGATTTAATTAATGTTGAGAAATCAACTATTAACAATAACAACACCAACAACAATAATAATAATAACAGTGGTAGTGGTAATAATGTTACTAAATCATTAGTACAAAGTTCAACATCAGTTACAACAACAACAACGACAACAACAACTAACACAGATCATCTACATTTGTCATCTTCTTCAAGTTTAAATGGATCTAACAGTAATATCAACAATAGTGGCGGAGGAGGTGGAAGCAATACAAATGCAACAACAGGAAAATCAATTCATCTAATTGATCTTTGTCATAGTCATGCTAAAAGGTCACTCCATTCAGGTAATTTATTAAAACAATTAGTTTCTTATTAAAGTTAATTGTTAATTGTAGAGTTTTAATATTAATTTTTATATTTGTGTTTTTTTAAAATCTATTCATTATTCACAGCACAACCAAGTATACTTTGGAAAATATTGGAATATTCAATTGATGAATTGGATTACTTGGAACAACTGTACTACCAATATAAAGAAACAAAAGAAAATCAAAGATTAGTTCAAACTACAACTTCCAGATTGGACGAAATTGCATCGATCATTGCTTTTCTAAATAGTCCTGATAAAGCAAATAGTAGCAGTGAATATGTAAGTATTTAATCGTCCATTCTATACATTAATATATATTTCTGCATAGTATTTATATTAACAACCATTAAAAATAGTATCAATTATTATCGACAGTTAGTGCTCAAATGAAAAGAGTATCTTTAAGATTTAAAGGTACTGCTGATAATAATCAATATACTGGCGTTGTAAAATATGGTTGGATAGAGAAGCGATGTGGAAATAAACAATCTTTTAGAACATGGAAAAAGTATGTAAAATTTAATACTTTCCACTTTTGAGATGGAAATGTTTGATATTAATAATCTTTATTTTTTATTTGGATATCTATCTATATAGGATGTGGTTTATTTTGAAATCAAATGAATTGCAATATTATACAAAGGATAAAGGATTGTCAAGAAGAACAAGTGGTACAATTCAGAATGGATTGGAAATCATCAATTTGGAGGGTGAGATCGGAAAGAAAAAAGAAGGTAAAGGTTGGAAAGTTCGATGGATGAAACTTTTGGATAATTCTCTGGTATATTATAGAGCTCAGAAAGAGAAGGAACCACTTGGTATCATCAATCTCAGTGAGTGTGAGTGGTGTGATATCTACAAGGACGTGTCCAACAAGTTTGTCGTTACACTGAAAACCGGAAAGTTCTACTTCCAAACCAATTCGAAAGACGAGTTGACTCGTTGGGTCAGTGCAATCAAGTCGCGCATTCCAACGAACCAATCGATGCAACGAATGGACCTGGCACAGTTTGCACTCAAAGGAATCGTTTACCTTGCCAATGTAACCAGTGTCCAAGACTGTAATAAATTCAATACCCAACTGAACTGTATAGCTATCACCACGGAGAAGAAGAATTTCTATCTCTCTTTTGACAACCCACAAGACAAGAATGAATGGATGAAGCTTATCACCGATAGTGCTAACAATGCTCACAGTCGAGGTGCACCCATTGGCCAGAATAGTAGCCAGTTACCAGCTTCATCGGGTAGTGGATCCGGTTCCATTAGAAAGTGGGAGGTTGGACAGATCACTCAATCACCTTCCAAACCTTTGTTGACCATAAATAACACTGGAACCAGTGGAGGTGGTAGTTCGATGAATCTCAGTTCCGAAGACATTAAGAATGAAGAGGACATTGAGTATGGATCTCAGATCATAAAGAAATCACGTACCTTCTCCAAATCTGTTACTATTTTCAATTTCAAATCGCCATCCAAGAGTCCATCTTCGTCCGGTGCAGCAACTGCACAAGAGAAAGATGACAGTGACGAAGGTGACAGTGGTGAAGATGAAATCCTTCAGATTCCACATACTCTCAAGTCCGAGATATTACGTCGTTCTGCACATCATATGTTGAAGTCATTCAAGATTGAAGTGTTTATACCCTCTATTCCCGAGCAGGAAACACTGACTTTTCTATGTCCAGACCATGTTTTGGTCGATCAAGTCAAAGCTCTCATCTTTAAGAAGACACCGACATTGGAAAACCTACCAATTTCCGAGTATCGTCTTGGTTTGGACGAAGACAATCTCTTGGAAATTGAATTCCTAAAGTTCATCTATTGCAATACAATGATTGAATTATCGCTAAAGACCTGTGGTATTGTCAAGATTGGTGTGTTTCATCATCGACGAGACAGAAGAATCAAAGAGAAGTTGTACCCCGACAAATTCAATCCGTTACTCTCTTCATCGCAAGAGAGACTCGGTGCAGACTATAGTCCAACTTCCACCAAAAGATCCATCAACCTGTCCACATCTTCAGCATCAGCATCTGCTGGTTCCGCTGCTGCGACCACCGACAACTCTTCCAATGCCATACAAAAGCTACTAGACGATACAATCCTCAATGCATCGCCATCTTCTTTTAGATCATCAAGTACACTCTCATTGAACAGTAATAACAGCACCAACAACAACAACAACACCGACAACAACTGTAGTAATAATATTCAAAAAACACACTCAACACCAAACTCAACACTCACCCCAACCTCCACATCACCATCGATAACAACCAGCTATTTGGAAAAGAGAAACAATAGTAAGACAAATATTATTTCGACTGTACCATCACCAACTACTGGCTTGAAACGACAACCACTTTTGCAATCGTGCCACGGTTGGATTATAGAGCCAACTTCAATGTCATTGAAATCCTACAACTGGAAAATACTAAAGACAGAGACCAACTTTTATAGAAAGTCATTCCTCGATAGCGAGTGTGTGGTCAGTTACTTGGGTGTAGATCAAAAAGTTGGTCCAATTGCATTCACACTGGTTCGTACCGACATTGATAACTACCGTGGTATCTTACACACCAAGCACGGAATCAAAACCACCTGGGTCGATATAAAGACAATTAATTTCGGAAACATCACCTCGCTTTCAAAGAAACTAAAGAAGAGAAAGATCATCAGTCACCTTATTGGTTTGGTAGATTCAAACATCGAAAGTAAAGTACTCAATTTGGTAACGAACCAATCGGAACTCCAAAAAGAATTATTATCACTCGAAGAGCGTCAAACAACAAGTGGATTCAAATTTGGTTTAGTGGTTTGTAAAGATGGACAAATTGTAGATGATGATATTTTTTCAAACCGTAAGTTGTTTATTTATTATTGAATTATGATAAATTATTAATATTTTATCGTATTTATTTAAAAATATATATAGTTTCTGGAAATAGTGATTATGAAGAATTTTTAGATTTGTTGGGTAGTAGAATTGAATTGATGGGATGGCCTAATTATTCAGCTGGTTTGGATGTAAAGAATAATAGTACTGGTACACATTCATTGTATACAGATTTCAAGGGTAACGAAGTGATGTTCCATGTTGCCACAATGTTGCCATATACACCTGGTGATCCTCAGCAAATCGAGAGAAAGCGTCAAGTTGGAAATGACATTTGTGTTATTGTATTTAATGAAGGCAATCACAGTTATATTCCATCGATCATCACCTCACAATTCAATCATGTTGTTATAGTCGTACAATTCGACAAAGCCTCAAATACCTACAAACTATCGGTAGCCACCAAAGACGATGTCGAAGCATTTGGTCCACCAATTCCACAATCCTTAAAGAAAACCGAAATAAGAGAATATCTTTTAACCAAGTGTAAGTTTTTTCCCTCAGGCAATTTATAAAATTATTTTGTATTAATTAATATTTTATTATAGTGATCAATGCCGAAATAGCATCATTGAACGCACCTGTATTTTCAAACAAGATCATCCGCACAAGAGAAACCCTTTTGAAATATTTCATAGAACAATATACTTAATTAATAAACCAAGATTAATCTTGGAGAAAGTTATATATATATTTATTGTACATTTTCCTAAAATAAAGTATTTATAAATATTTGAATATTTGTAATGAGAAGCCATTACTATTAGTTTTAAGCTAAAATAAATCACTGTTCTCTTAGTGTCAGCAACAACATTTGAAATCTCATGAAAAAAAACTGACAAAGAAGAATAAAGAGACAACCAAAATGAAACTGATTGGATATTTTATTTTGGTAAGGGTAATTTATTATTTCAAATAACAACACCTCAATCTATCCAATCATGAACTTCTTTTGAATGTATTTTATAAAACTCTCAAAGATAATATCTGTTGTAACTAAATTTCAAATTGTTATAGTATTTCTTTTTTTCTTTAAAAGAACTATCGGTTTGTTTTTATTTTAAGTAGATTCAGTCAAACTTTGCTTATTTTTAATGATTTCAATAGTTGGACTGGTAACCTTATTTTCTTTTAATACAGCGGCAATTGATTTACGTAATTTCTTTTCGCTAGCTGCTGGATCAGCAATTACTTTAATAGTTCCGACAACAATCTCTTCACTGTGACTCCAGAAATGGAAATCTGTGTATCCTATTACGCCAGTAATGTTTGTAATCTATGATTAAATAACAAAAAACAAATATATATTAGAAAAAGATTAAATCTAATATTGATTATCTATAAAAACATACTTGTCCAATGATTTGATTAATATTTTCATGAATTGGTTCGGGTGTGCATTGTAGAAGAGTCTTTGCAGTGTTGGTAATCAATGGGATGACACTCAGGAAAATGAGGATACTGATGCAGAGCGAACAGATTGGATCGGCAAGAGTATATCCCCAGATCTGAATGATGAGCGACGATACAATGACACCAACACTTCCAAGAGTATCGGCAAGAAGATGAAGGAATACACCATCGATATTGACACTACGCTTCTTTGGTTGATTTGGCTCATCGTGTGCACTACCGCCATGTGAATGACCGTGGTGACCATGAGAATGACCACCGCCACCACCTCCATGAGAGTGTCCATGATCACCATGGAATGAAAATACACCAACCATATTCACCAAGAATCCCAATACAGATACCAACAATAATTTATCGGTATTAATTTCAGGTGGTTCCATAAGTCTAATTAGATAACAATAATAATGGATAGTTAGTAATTTAGTTGTTGTTGTTGTTGTTTAAAATTGAATTGAATTGATTTGATTTTGTTACCTTTCAATTGATTCCATTAGAATTGTAATTGCAATAAAAATAAGGAAGATACCATTGACGAAACCTGATAGAATCTGAACTCTACCGTAACCGTAGGAGAATGATTCCGTCGGTTTCCATTGTGAAATGACCTCTGCCACCAGAGCGATAAACAAAGCGGTGGCATCGAACAACATATGACAGGCATCGGTAATCAAACCCAAACTGTTGGTCCAGATACCATATGCCATCTCGACAAACATAAACATTAGATTGACTACCAAGAATGTAAAGATACGACGACTCGTTGGCTTCTCAATGATCTGCTTAACGATATCCTTCATTATATTGGCGGCACCAGCTGAAGTCAGCCCAGTTCCACCGATTGCACCTACCATTGGCATAGATCCAATGATTCCACCAACTTGATCCATATATCCACCTGCTCCACCTGATTTCGAGAATAATATATGAATAGCTAAAAAAACAAGAAAAAGAAAATTAATCAAATCATATTATTACTATTATTAATATTGTTTTCCATACCAGTTATAATCAAAATAAAACTACCAATAATGAATGGAGTGAATAAAGTTGAGAATCCATAAAACAATCCAATTAAAATACAGAGAATAAAGGAGGCGGTAAGTGATGCCTTACTGAAAATTAGGAATCCCAATTGTTGTTCGATGACAGTGTCGAAATGATGATTCAAGAATATACCAAATAATGAAATAAATAACAATTGAATGAATTGATAAAATGTTGGAATAAACTAATAATAATAATAATAATAATTTAATCATGTTAGTAGGATAATAAAATGATACAATATATTATGTTATTATTATTATTATTAAACGACTGACTTACAGCTAAACTATTGATATTATTATAGATGGATGGTGTCGATATTAGGTATTCCAAAAGTTTCAATGAAAATAGTATTACAGAGGAACCGAGTAGACCGAGAACGTAGATCTTTGATTTCCAAGGCGATTGTCTTGCACCGATGGTCGATGATCCGCTATTATCGAGTGATCCACTGTGATGCCACTTGTAGATCATTCCGCTCTTGTATCCCAAAAGTGAATAAATAAACAAACACAATCCTCCAAACAATGGCAATTGATAACCTATCAATGGTAGTCCATTTTCAGTAGCTACACTACCAAACAATGGAATCGTAATATATCCAATGATCAACATTAAAGTTGCTCTTCCCTAGAAAAAAATATGTAAATAACCTTTGTTAATTTCCAATTGTTGTTGTTGTTTTACAATAACATAACATAAACAAACCTACAATATCATTACCAATGAAGTTTCCACTTTGTATATTATTAAATAACACTGGATATGTTTCAAATGTATAATCTGTCAATAGTATTGTACTAAATTATTTAAGTTGTAAGTTTAGCAAATATTCGAAGTGGACAATGTTATTTAAATCTAGATGTGTATTTATATAGCTACCCTAATGGACCAATATATTTTAAACCTGTATTCCATAGTAATGCAACAACAGTATAGAGAGCGGAAAACAAAGCAATCTGAGTGAGTTGTGTTGATTTCAATTGTGGAATCGATAACCACAACTTTTCGTTTGCAGCAAACAGCAGTGAAGCAATCAATGTTGTATAGGCAGCTACATTAACTACACTCATCGATTGCAACAAAAAGAATGCAACAATCACCGAACATACTCTTAATCCTTTACTTCCGAATAGTAACAGTATAACTGATTGACTGAATATAAATAATACAACAAAAAATTTTGTCGTTATAAGTATTTTCTTCTTTGTGATCACAACTTCAGTAAATGTTACTACTACCTACCTATTCTTTGAATATCTCATCATCTTTTTTTAAAATAATTAAAATAAATATATATAGATATAGTTTCAATATATATATATATATACTATTTATATTTAGATGTATTTGATGACTTTTAGTTTGTTTGATATAAATATATAAAGTAAATTAGATCGATTAAAAAAAATGAACAGAACAAAGTTTGTTAATATTAATCAACAACAGGTTTTTTCACCCCTACAAATTTTTAATCCAGGTGACTCACTTCACCACTCCTGACATGTTTTTTCATTCTTTTTATTCTTTTAATTATTTTTTTGACAACAAACACCGTCGTCGTCTTTCGCTTTTTAATATATTACTACTATTATTAAACAATTATTAAACAATTATAACATAATTCAATCATGTCAGATAAATTCTCATCTATATTAAAATTAACGGAATTAGATGATTTTATAACACCTTCACAAGAATGTATTAAACCTGTGGAAATAAGTAAATCAAAGGTTAGTTAGTTAGCTATTTAGTTAGTTAGTTATTATTGGTTTGTTTTTTGATGTTAATTTAAAGTTTATTTACAATATTGTTAGAAATCGACTAAAGTAGATATTGATAAAGATGGTAGTTATGTAGAGATTGATGAATTTGGTGAGAAGACAAAGTTGGAGAAAGCTACAATTACACTCAATGACTGTTTGGCATGCAGTGGATGTATCACCTCTGCAGAAAGTGTTTTAATTACAGCACAAAGTATTACAGAGTTTCAAAATGTTCTAAATGCAAATACATCTTCAACAACTGCGGTGGCCATCGCCAAAAAAACTATAGTTATCTCGATATCACCACAATCAAGAGCATCGATTGCTGCTCATTTTAATTTACCAATTAAAATTGTAAGTATAATTACCTATTAATAAGTTATTATAGTAGTAGTTGTGATATAGTTAATTATATATTAATAATATTTTAATTTATGTTTATGTTTATGTTTATGTTATGTTATGTTATATTACTTATCTTATAGGTACAAAGAAAATTAGAAATATTATTTAAAAGAATATTGAATTGCGACTATGTATTTGATGTTTCATTTGGAAGAGAGTTCTCACTGTTGGAGTCGGCAGCAGAGTTTGTAGCGAGACATAGGAAACAGCTGGAGAATGCACCTCTACCGATGCTATGCTCTGCATGTCCAGGTTGGATTTGCTATGCCGAGAAATCACATGGTGAATACATCCTACCATATATCAGTACAACTAAATCACCACAGCAGATCATGGGAACTCTTGTAAAGTATTATTTAGGTGAGAAGTTTTTAAATAAAAAGTATGTATCCATCCATCTATCTATAAAATACATTAGCTTACTAACAATAATTACAACATTTAATAATAATAATAATAATCAGACCATCAGATATATATCATGTTACAATTATGCCTTGTTATGATAAGAAATTGGAAGCGAGTAGATCGGATTTCTATAATGATATATTCAGTTCTAGAGATGTAGATTGTGTATTATCGAGTTCAGAGGTTTTAGATTTGTTAAAAGAGAAATCGATTGATTTCGTTGGTTTAGAAGATAAAGAAGAAGAGATTGACCCACAACAACAAATGTTTAGATATTTAGATAGTGAAACAGGTTCACCTTATGGAGTGGAAGGATCAACCGGTGGATACTTTGAATTCCTCTATCGTTACGCTGCCAAGGAGTTGTTTGGCGTCGAGGTCAAAGAGATTGAATATCAAGTGGGAAGAAACACCGATTTCAAAGAGGCATCGCTGGTTGTCGATGGCAAGAAAGTGATGACTTTCGCCAAAGCCTACGGATTCAGAAACATTCAGAACGTAGTCAGAAAGATCAAGATTGGCAAGCTGCCCTACGATTTCGTTGAGGTCATGGCATGTCCGTCGGGATGCATCAACGGTGGCGGTCAAATCAAAGCGGGAAGCGAATCACTACGTGACCAAAAAGTTTTGATTCAACAGGCGGAAGATCGCTACAATGAGCAACAACTACTACAGCCACAACAAGATCAACAAATCAATGAGATCTACAAGCAATGGTTGAACGGTTGTTTCTCGGCCGAATCCAAAACCAAGCTACACACTCAATATCATATGATTGAAAAGAATAAAAATGCGTTATCCATCAAATGGTAACAACTAAGCGTTATCGTTACGATCTACCTAATAAAATATTATCTTTATTTTGATTATCTCAATGAAAATCAAATCGATTAATAACAATAATATCTATCTATCTATTTTGATTCAATCAATCAATCAATCTGGACATTCAGATCATCGATTAAATAGTTGGATATTCTTGAAAATTTGTGAAACGATCAACTTACAATACTCGAATCTCAACCACCCTCACAGTCTACCCCCACACATACGCAACAACCAACATCAAACCAATAAAAATAATCTCAAATGCACCACCACTAAATTTCTTTTTATACATTTTCTCTCGTTTTATTCAGTAAATGAGATGATGTAGATTGTTTTATTTTAGTTAGTCAAGTTGTTGTTGTTGTTTTATTAAATAATTAATTAAATTGTAGTATTAGTTAGTTAGTTGGTATTGAATTAGATTAAGTTTATTCGTTTCTTTCTCTTTTTTTTTTTTGTAATTATATTATTATATAGTTAGTTTTAATAGTTTATCTATTTGTTTATTTTTATCTAGTAAACTAAACTTTTATTCATTAATTTATTCATTAATAACATTAGTTTATTATGATAGAATAAATAATAATCAATAGAACATCTTCCTTGGAATATCGCTTGCTCCCCACAGCTCTGTCTAGAGAATTCTACACTCAAACTTTTTAGTTATTTCACCAAACAAACAACAAAGAATGGGAAAGTTATCTGTTGATTTATTGGTTGTTAACACTGCCGATCTTATTCGTATGAAACAAGAAGAAGCAAGAGATTCGATTGTCGGCTTGATTTTAGCTGCGAAAATATCGGAACCTCAATTGTATGAATATTATAGAGTAAGTTATTGTTATTATTGATGTTGGTGTTGATGAAGAAGAGGAGAAAAGAATATGAAAAAGCTAGCATAAAAAAATGCTATGACAATAATAATTATATTTTGTTTTAGCAACATTAATAATTAATTTAACATTTTGAATAGGAAATGATTAGTAGAGATGACTGTAAAGATTTAGTACCTTGTCTTTCAGAGAAATTCAGTAATAACATGACAACCGTTAGAATTCTTACGATCAGAAAGGAGCTGTGTGCAAGCGTACAGAAGATTCTCGATGAATTTAGAGAATCGATCCAAGAAGATTGTTCACAGTCATCTAGAGAGTTGGCTATCAACACATCACCTTTATTCGCGCCACTTTTCTGTCGTCTCAAACAATTGGAACAATTCTTATTTAGATTAAGTTAATTCTATTCATATATATATCTATATATCTATTTGCATATATCTATCTATCTATCTAACTATATAAATCTATAAATTTATCATTATATATCCATTTAATCTATATATTACTTTCATTTGATAGATCGTTCTTTCGTTGGTTCGTTCTTTTCATTTGATAAGATCATAATTCACTGGTATTTAACAATTATAAATAATCATTTTTTTCATCATTACGCTACCATCAATAAACTATTATATATATATGAACTAGTTTGCTATATATATTAATTATATTATTATACTATATTATTTATTAATAATATATTTATTTTTGATGATATTATAATGTTACTGTTTTGGTTTGGTTGGTTGGTTGGTTTGAATAAAGTATGAGTGAGTGATTTGTATGAATCGATAATGACGATAAAGATGACTATAATATTATTCAATCATTTTTATCATTTCTTTTATAAACTATCTTAACTATCTATTTATGCTGCAATTGTTATTGTATTGTGTTATTTAGTGAATGAGATCTGTATCTAATATTCTTCAGTTGAGTGTGGCTGTTGCTTAGCCAATGCAGCAGCAGCATGAGCTTCTGCTTTCTCTTTAACCAAATCATTCTTCTTTTTCATTCTTAAAATATATCTGTTGGTTGATTTGATTAGTAAGTTAGAACTGTTAACAAAGTATATAATTTATAAATTGATAAATTTTGTCATACTCATCGTATTGGCATTGTTCATAAGCATGTCTCTCATCACCACACTTCCATGGCAAATAATATTCCTTTACTCTACATTTGTTCAATGGAATCAAAAGATGTGCACAATAATCTCTGAAATTCAATGGTACATTGTTGATCTCTAATTCCTCTCTGGTAGCAATCATAACTATTATTATTATTCAAAAGAATATAAATAAATAAATAAATGGTATAAATTAATAACCACAATCACACTATATTCTTTCTATCTAAATATAAATATATATATAATTTGATTCCTGTATTATATAATAATCAAACTGCACTGCTAGATTATAAAAGATATTCGTACCTCTTGTACCATCTGGATTTACAGTCATTGGAGCATCGTGACCCATGTTTATCTATATCTGTTAAATTAAGTAGTAATATATATAAGAAGATGCAGAATAAGTGATGACTATATATTATGTGGTAAGTGTTGTTTTTTGAGTTAATCGAAAAAGATACTATGCTCACTGCAAAATTTCATTGATCATAGAAAAAAAAAGTTTTATCAAAAATAAAAAAATTTAATTTTTTCTTTTTTTTTTTTTTTTAATGATCATCAAACATTCATAATTTTTAATAACATTTTTTCAAAGTAAATAAACAATTTAATATATACAGGATGGCACAGAGTTTCTTAAATAGATTGATACCAGCTGCATTGGGTATTGGTACTGCTATCTCATTGATTGATAGTTCAATATATAATGGTAAGTGTGTGGATGTGAACACATTCACTTAGTTAATGATCAACATGTTCAAATTATTATTAATCACAATTCCAATTCAAATCAATTCAAATCAATTTAAATATTAAATTAGTCGATGGTGGACAGAGAGCAGTTATTTTCGACAGAATCTCTGGTGTATCGGATAAAGTAGTTGGTGAAGGAACACATTTCATTATTCCATGGTTACAAAAACAATTCATCTTTGATGTAAGATCAACACCAAGAAACATTAGATCAGAAACTGGTAGTAAAGGTAGGTTTGTAAACTTTATTTTGACCAAATCCAAGAGTTAATGTGGTAAACTAATCATTTTTTTTGTTAAATATGTAACTTGGTAATAGATTTGCAAACTATCAATATTTCACTTAGAGTATTGTTTAAACCAGATGTAGATAAATTACCATGGATTTACAGTAAATTGGGTATGGATTACGATGAGAGAATCTTACCGTCGGTTGGAAATGAAGTTTTGAAATCAGTGGTTGCCCAGTACGACGCTGGTGAGTTGATCACCCAGAGAGAGGCGGTTTCACGTGAGATTCGTGAAGCTTTGACAAAGAGATCGGCAGAGTTCAATCTGTTGTTGGACGACGTCTCCATCACACACTTGAGTTTCTCACAGGACTTTACCAGTGCCATCGAGCACAAGCAAGTCGCACAACAGGAAGCGGAGCGATCGAAATACGTCGTCATGAAGAACGAACAAGAGAAGCGTGCTGCCATCATCAGAGCAGAGGGTGAGTCTGAGGCTGCCAAACTCATCAGTCAGGCACTACAATCCGGTCCAGGTTTCATTGAGCTTCGTAGAATCGAGGCTTCCAAGGAAATCGCCGAAACCCTTTCGAAATCCGCTAAAGTTACATACATGCCAAACACTGGAAACATCATGATGAACATGAACATGGGTAAATAAATAAATAGTAATTGTTTTAGTTTTTTTTAAATTAGCTTTTTTCTTTTTTATTTCATTTTGGAAATTGTTGGTATCAACAACTTTGCCATACAAAGTTGATGTTGTTGTTGTTGTTGTTGTTTTTTATGTGATTACATTTGGTTCGGTTCTTTTAGTGATTTCTGTTAGTTTTGATAATTCCAATGCAATGGAGATTAGGAATTTCAGGTGAGTTTGAGTGTCGTTGAATAACTTGGATTCTTCTCTTTCGTATTTATCAAAGTAGACACGAATGGTGGCACCTGTCGATCCAGTTCCACTGAGACGATAGATGATTCTTGAACCGTCAGAGAAAATGATACGTAGTCCTTGGTTGGAGGAGACTGATTTGTCGATTGGATCTTTGTATTCAAAGTTGTCGGCATGTTCAATGACGTAGGTTTGTCCGTCTTTGTTGAACGATCGTCCAATGAGCGATCGGTCAGTGATTCCATCGGATACGACCTTCATAACTTCGTCACCGAGCTTAGTATCCACCTCTTCATAGTCGTAACGACTGTAGTAGTTACGTCCGTACTTTCGCCAGTGTTGGTGGACGATCGATTCAATCGATACGAACGGTTTGGCGGCGTCGGCGTTGTGCACAGCGAGAATCTGTAGCCATGCGCAAATCGCCCAGATTCCGTCCTTCTCACGAATGTGATCGGAACCGGTTCCGAAACTTTCTTCACCGCAAATCGAGAGAGTATTGGCGTCCATGAGATTACCAAAGAATTTCCAACCGGTTGGCACCTCAAAGAATGGGATCTTTAGATCTTTGGCAACGAGATCCAAAGCGGCGGAAGTTGGCATACTACGAGCCAGTCCTTTAAGTCCAGATTTGAAATAGGGAATCGATTGATAGTTGCTGGCGATGACGGCAACGGAATCCGATGGGTTGACAAAGAATCGTTTGCCAAGCACCATGTTACGGTCACCGTCACCATCGGATGCACAACCACAATCAAACAATCCTTTGTTCATCTTGTCAACGAGCTCCGGTGCATAAGTGAGATTTGGATCGGGATGTCCACCATTGAAATCCTCGGATGGCACACAATTGATGAGATTGGCCAGTGGAACACCGAGAAGATCGGAGAAGATACGCGAAGCATAGACACCGGTAACACCAGACATCGCATCGAAATTGAAAACAAAGTCTTTTCTTGCAACCAACGACTTGATTTGGTTGAAATCAAAGATGGACTTGAGAAGCGTGGCGTATTCACTTACGGAATCGATCACCTCCACTGTGAAGCTCTTGAATTGAGTGACACCAAGCTTCGAGAGGTCAATGGCGCCAACGACATTCTCTGCGATTCTAATCTCTGAGATCTTGGTGGTCTGTTGGTAGATTGCATTGGTGATCGATTCGGGAGCGGGACCACCGTTGGCAATGTTGTATTTGATACCAAAGTCACCGTTGGGACCACCTGGATTGTGCGAGGCAGTCAGGATGATCGCACCGAGTGCTCTGCGTGCGCGAACCACCGCAGAAATAGCGGGTGTCGACAACAGACCGTTCTGTCCGACCAAGACCTTTCCGATGCCGTTGGCAGCGGCAATACCAAAGATCACTTGAATCGCTTGCTTATTGTAGAAACGACCGTCACCACCGACCACAAGAGTGGCACCCTTCAGCTCGTTAGCATCCAACACATTGAAGATCGATTGTACAAAGTTGTGTAGATACAATCCATTTTGAAACTCTGTAACTTTCTTTCTCAGACCGGAAGTACCTGGTTTCTGACCCGAAAATGGTTTAGTCTCCAATGTTTTAGTTATCAATTCTGGTTCAATCATAATGAATTCTTTGTTAAAACTAAACTAAACTAAACTAATAAATAAAAAAGATAATAAATAAATATAAAATATAATGTAAAATATCTGTCTGGTGTGTGTATAAAAATAAAAAAATAAAACAACAATAATAACAGATGACTTAAATTAAACCAAAACTGTTCAATCAAATTAATTTAACCAAAAAAAATAAACACTTTTTTTTTTTGTTTGGGAACCACAAGTTTATTTGATTTTTATTTTGATTTTGTCCAAATAAGGGTGATTGGCTAAAAAAAATGATAAGAGATAAATTTTTTAGACACCATACCATTTATTAGATAACTTTATTTTTTCAGTTATTTAATAAAACAAATAACATTTTGGAAAAAAAAAACAAAATAAAATAAAAAAAAGATATTTTGATTTTTACCCGATTTTCTATGGATAAGTTTTTTAATATGAAGAAAACTATGATTAAAGAGGTAACTCTTTAGTGTTTGATAAAGTATTTTCTAAACATGTGTAAGAAGATGTAATAATTATTACAAAAAATCAAAGAATGATGTTTTTCAAAAACAAAAAACAAAATTTTTTTTTTTTTTTTTTTTTTGTTCGATCAAGACACTTCAGATTTCTTTTTAATCATATATTACATTTATATTATTACCATCATCATTTAATATATAATCAATCTATAATATCAAAATAGATCAATTCAATAAATTAAAAGATACAGTCATGAGCTATTTCGAAACAAATACATCACCAGGACCTTTCAATGAAATCGATCATTTAACTTCAAGTATGTTGCAATGATGAAATGAATCAATCATAGATGAACATTAATCAATAGGATAATAGCATTAATCATCATCATCATCATCTTTATACATGCAATTTGATTTTTAATCAATCAATCTTTTTTATTATTAAATTATTATTATTATTATTGTAGAGAATATAGATTATATTAATGATTTTCAATATGGTGTCAATATATTCTTAAAGAGAAACGTTAGAAATAATTTTACGACTGGCATTGAGTTTTCACCATCGCCAATGTTTTTCAGAGGTTCGTTCGGTGGACGTTTGTTGAATGATTCTACTACCGTCGATTTGTCGGTCGACAACTCACACGACTTGGAGGTCGAAGTGAACAGTCAACTCGCCAAGAATGTCACTTCGAAGGTCTATGCCAACTCCAACCTGAACAAGATGGGAACGAACCGTCCAGACATGGTCGGAACCATCTGCTACCAGACACCACGTTACTTCTCCGAGTTGAAGATGACCAACAAGAACGATGGCCTGGTCGGTATCTCGCACTTGCAGAGCGTCGCCCGCAACATAGCGGTCGGTTTCGAAGCCTACTACAAAGCGTCACAGAAGAGCGGTGGCGGATCGTTGGCCGCTCGCTACCAAGGCTTCCGTGGAAAACAGCCATTCCAGGTGTGTTCGACCTACAACGTCATGGGAGACCTCTCGATCTCGTTCTTCACCTCGCTGATGCCAGCATTCATCGATTTGGCAACACGTTACACACTGAACACCAACAACCTCCAATCGATGTTTGAAATCGGATCGAACATCGACTTCCACGTCAAGGTAGGACAGCGTCACGTTCCAATTTCACTCGTCCTCCGTACCAGCTCAACATTTGTTCATTCCGCTCGTTTCCAATTCAACCTACCATACGCTAGCGTCAGTGTTGGAACAGTCATTTCAAACAAGAAACCATCATTCGGTTTGACTCTTTCATTATAAATATAAATAATAATAATATATACTTTTTTTTTTCACTTCTATTAATCAATTGTTATTATTGTTCAAGTATTTATTACATTGTTTTTGTTTGAGTTTAATATAAGATAAATAACAAAAGTAATCATATCTATTTTAGGTTTTTAATACGAATAGCATTTATTTGATACAACAATCTATAAGATCCGATATTATATATTGATTATTTAAATCTTTCTGCAAGTGCCCGGGTTATCACAGCAAATTGGACTTGGATCACAACTGTATATAGAACAAAAAAAAAAAAAAAAAAAAAAAATCAAATTAGATACGGTGCAGTTAAAGTGGAGTATTACGAAACTTACGTGTATCCTGGGCAACAAATTTCTTGGGTAAATCCTCCACAAATTGTGGTACTACATTCTTGGGCGCTATAAAATAATAGATAGATATTTGTCAATATTATTATGATTAAAAAGAACAATATAGCATTAAAAATTATTAACCTACTTTACTAAAAATAATCCCAAAAGGAATACAACTACTAAAAAGATTAATTGACGATTCATTTTACTTTATTTCTCTGCAAATATAAATATATATTTATGATGTTTTGTGAAACAAGTAAACAATCTGAGGCCTTATTTATATTTGATATATTTGATTTAAATTTAATTAATATTTTATTTTGTAAGGGTAACCATTGGAATTCAAATCTTTTGTGTACATTCTTTGAAAATAATCAACTTAGAAACAGTCCAACCCAATCAATTTAAACCAATCAGAGAGGTTCATTTTTTTCATTTTTCTAAAAATATCAAAAATGGTCTTTTTTTCTATCAAAACAAAAAAATTTTTGTGTGGTTCCATCTCCTCAGCTCACTTCCTTCTTCTCAGATTGAATTCAACGTTGGTGAAATGAACTCATAATTACACAAAAAGGTAACGATTTCGCTATTCAACATCTATCTAACATCTATCTATTTTGACATAAACAAACTTTCACACTGGAATTTCGCTTTCTTTTCACAGATCATGAACGATAACCTAGTTATCAAATTCATAGATTCTTCCGAATATCTATCTATCTTTGTACATTTTATAGCAAAGTAATGTATTCTTTGCAGAGTGTTCGCATTCTACAAACTAGATCTACCTTATCTTATTATTATAAACTTTAATATTTTTAGATAAAATTTTGAAGCTTGCAAACAACATGTTGCTTATCTTATGTATTGTAATAAGGTTGTGTAATATATCTATACAAATAATAAATATCTATCAATATTTAAGTTTAGTTATTATTGATCGTCTAACTTTATCTACAAACTATATTTTGCAAAAAATGTCAAAAAAAACTATAGTTTGAGGAACAATGATCACTCATGCTTTTTGCATTATGTGCCAATTTTTAACGCGGAAAATCCGATACTCATTTATATGAACTTTTTTTATTGTTTGGTCCAAATCATTCCCAACATGAACTTTTTATTTAGTCATTTATTTTTCTTTTTTTTTTACACAAATGTTTAATAATAAGATGGAAAGATTAAAATTATTTTTTATATTTCTTATAACTATCAGTCTAGGTAGAAGTGCTACCATCAACAATGTGACCTCTAGCCAATATCCAATAGATAAGCAACATAATGAAAGAATATTTCAATGGTTAGAGTTATCACTGAGAATTGGACAACAAGTTCGAGTACCCTTTATTGTCAAAGACAATATCAGTAATATTGTATGTCAATCATTCTCAGAGATATATGACAACCCTTCTATTTCAAAATTAAAAGTAAGTTGGAAACAAAATAAAATAATAAACAAAGTTTAAGATCTTAGTATTCTTAAATTTATTTCTAATCAACAAATATCTTTTAGTCAATATCATACAGTATATATAATCAATCAAACATAAATTCAAATGCATTGTACATTTTTGATTTCAATCAAAATTGTTTTATTGAGCAAAACGATGCTCAAATAAAAAGCAATGGTTTAAATAAGTGTCAATATACTTTTCCAATTCAAAAGTGTATTACATACGATACATATGATAGGTAAATAAAATAAATATCCTAAAACAATATAAATATCATATTAACTATTTTCTTTTTTTATTTATTGATGAAACATAGTGATTTCCAGATGACTTCTACAGTAGTAGATAAATTTACTAGTTTCCAGAAAGCATATTATAACTATCACTCTTTAAAATGGACAGTACTCAAGACGATGATTTTCAACGGTCAATTCCAAGAGTCTCCGGATATAAGTAACCAATATAAAGAGTTTATCAACTCATTTGGTTATGTACTATCGAGTCTATCAGAATTGAAGGTGCTACCATCACAATCAACAATATATAGCCTTACCAATGCCATCAATTCCATTGACAACTCTATACTCTCAGCCACCAACAAGCAATCAATCATTCAAAAGTCAACAACATCCATTAACACCGTATTATCTACTTTTAATGATCTATCAACTGTTTATTTAGATTGTAAAAGTAATACAAATATACAATCCATTCAAAATGTAAGTAACCCTCTATTTAATTAACAACAAAACGTCAATCAGAATATTAACTTATCATGTTTAATTAAAAAAAGGGTATTGTTAAATTACAAACATTGTTAAATAACATCAATAGTAATTTAGATCAACAGATATCACTTATCGATAGTTATTACAAGAGTTGTTCATCATTCCCCGATACATTATTCATCACAAATCAAATGTAAATATTACTATTTATCTATATCCAAAAAAAAGACAATAATATTAATATATATTTTTTTAATAGTTTATTGGAAACTTATAATTTAGTAATTAGTTCTTCTTTGCTAGAAAATATATTAGCAAATGAATTAATCTTGATCAGCAATTATCAGATTAATAATTTTGATGTTACTCTCAACCAAGAGAAAAACAATCAGATCAATACCTTTATTTCCAAAGCCACAACTATCTCCCAGCAATTGGTAGATTTAATACGTGTCTTTAATGGAATTAATGTGGCATCACTTACGGATGTATCGGTTTCCTCTATTGCACAAAGTTCATTCACCTGTCACTACCAACATGCTAGTAGATCATTAAACTCCTGGTCGAAATACGCTTTGTCCGGTAACAACTACGCTCCTCTAGATCTCGGTGATATCAGCTACTGTCGTGATATGTACAATCGTAAATCAAAGAAGTTCCAAGAGTTGGTTATCTCTGGAAACCTATCGGCCTCGAAGTTCAACAATCTTAATACCGAGTTAATATATAACTATGGTTCAACCACCAACAATCTATTAGTAACCAACAGTCTTACAAATATATCACAACTACAACAACAACAATCAAATAGATGGTCAAGTGATTGGGTTTTGTTTTTGAAAGGAGATGCACCGGATACCTATCAATCATACTACTCACAGAATTCAACAGTTGGACCACTATTGAAGAGTAGCTTAAGATCTCTCTTTTCTGCAGATCCCATTTGTGATAGAACCAACTGCCCATTTCCTAAATGCTGTTTCAAATACTTGGATCAACCTACTACCTGTATAGATACTCCACTCTCCTGCTTTATCGTTGAGACAGTTGCAGAGTGTATGCAATGTATAAACGGTCCATCCAGATGTTACTATCAAAACACAGATCCAAGAAATAAGATATGTCCATTCGTTTGTTTAGATGGTGGTTATGAAAAGACTGTAAGTTAGAGTATAAAAACATCTTCATTCATCTTATTTCCAATATATTAATATTAATAATAATAATAATAATAGTTGGGACCAAATGTTTATGTAGGTGCAGATTGTGTTCCTTGTGCAATCGGTAGTTACAATCCAGCGAGATCGAATGAAACTTGTAAAAGTTGTACCATGCCAGCTTCACTTACACCAACCGATTACTTTGGAGCTTTAAATCGTTCCAGCTCCAATAATTGTTTGTTTGGTGTTAAGTATAGTGGAATATTCGTAACGAAGAGTGATCCAAGTCAACTTGCTTTAATTTCAGCTCGATCATTGTTGAACACTCAGCGTACCGTTGAGTTTAAATTCTCACTGCTCAGCTTGCCAACTAGCAATGTATCTACTATCTATAGTATTGCCGGTGTTGACAAGTTAATCATGTTTGGACTGCAATATAGTAACTTACAGCCCGGTCTGTTCAAACCAGTTATCTATAACACAACAACCTCTTCGATATTATATCAATCGATGGTCTCTGTTCCATTGGCGTTGAACGTCACCTATCATATGGCGTATGTCATCTCCGATACGATGGTACTATTCTATCTGAATAGACAAAAGATATTTCAAACACCTTATGCACCTTCTTTTCAAGGTGATATCATTGGTGTTGCCAATGGACTGCATTTCATTGGTGGACCGCTATTCCAACGGCTAAACATGACCCTCGATGAATACAGAGTATTCCTCACACAGCTGACACCGCTCTCACTTGGTTACGGTAGAACCGATTCAATGGTGAAAGCAAGTTGTGATCCAGTAAATGAACAGCTATGTAACAGCCAATGTGTTAGTTGCAATAGTAACGCTGGTTTTGTTCTTGACAATTCAACTTGCACTTGTAGTTGTCCAGTGGGATCGGAAATAGTTAATGGAAGATGTACTTCTGTTTGTCCAGCCGGGTCAATAAGAAACTCTGACATTACCACTTGTCAATGTGTCAGTGGTGAACATCTAACATGGCAATCGAATTACATCACCTTGTCATCTAGCTTCCTATACAAAACACCGCTAAACAGCTATCCAGACAATCAATTAGATGTCATCGGTATAAGATCCGTCAAGTTCTTCAATTCCAAAGGTGACCAAATCATGCCACTCTCTTGTCTAGCTAGTTCATTCGATGTCTATGATTGCAATGCACTGTACGACTCTCTTGACAACACCTATTGGACAACAAGTAAATCTGCTGGATTCGGTTGGGTAACATTTACCATGCCAACTGCTACTACTACTACTACAGCTAATCTTATTGAAAGAATAGATATCTCACCACTAAACAACAACCAAACAATGAAATCAATAACTATTTCATTTTCACAAGTTAATCCAACACCGTTATCAACATCATTACCAACCAATGTTATACCATTGATAAGTAATTTGATACTACCACTAAACTCAACCATTCAAATCATTAGTTTGAATCAACACGATCCAACATTTGCCGGTGACTATATTGTTTGTTCAACATGTCCGTCCGTTCCTATTGCCAACGACAATGACAACAGTAAACAACCAACCTACAGGCTACCACCAAAGTCAACGATACCACAGTCATCTCTAAACTCATGTGGTTGCATTGGTAATTTCAAATTCTATCCACCTCTCAACGGTTGTATGCCACCACTTCCTACACCAACGGCATCGTATCCACCAGGTGCATATCCAATCGGTACAATAGTCACATTCAACAGCAATGTATATGCTAATCAATCCGATGGTCTAGTGATTAGATTTACAACCGACGGTTCAGATCCCACCGATCAAAGTCCTGATATCACATCGCTCGACCTAACGACATTGGGTAACTTTAACATCAGAGTAGCATCATTCCAAAAAGATCGTCTCACAAGTGCAATACTCTCTGGAATGTATTCTTTTCTTGGTATTATCAATTGTACTATTTCACCAACACCAACAACCAACTTTTCTTTATCTGTTACAATAAGTATGTATATAAATATATATATTATAATATTAATAACATTATTGACTAACTAATGATAATTAAAGAATTAAAATGTACAGCAACACCAATGCCACCAAACTCACCATCGTCATGGATATTCTATTCAACCGACGGATCTAGTGTAACTACATTCTCTCAAATCTACAATGAACTAATTGGTATTATATTAGTTGCCAATCCTATCTATGGTATCAATAATATTACCCTTAATATATTAAGTCAAATAGTAAGTATTTTTAGTTTTGTTTTACTCTTTTATTTAAACGTTTCGTTTTGTTTAATATCGAATTCTAATTATTTTGTTAACAAAATGACTATGTAGTCTGGATACTCTGATTATAGAGCAACATTTAATTATATTGTTATTCCAACTCTACCACCACCAGTCATATCACCATCGACAACAAATGCCAATAATCAAGTTAAAATAGGCATTCGTTCACCCTTTACAGGACCTTCCAACTATTCTATGCAATATGATATAGTACAACAAGGTATTGTAATCGGTGATTCATCACCGAGTGTATATTACTCAAAAGAGTTTACAGTACAATGTCTTTCATCTACAGGTTCTTGTCTAGTACACATTAGAGCAAGAGGAAATATTAATGATTTATATTCAACTATTATACATCAAAATTGTAAGTATATCATATATATATATTTGTATTAATTAAAAACATTAAACTAACTAGTAAACAAATTAATTAAATAAATAGATTTAATATCATTTAATATGATAAATCTATCACCTGTTATATCATCTAAATATGATAAACAGAATGACTCTATGACTGTAACGATAGATAAGAATACCGATATAGAGGATGTCGTTACCATGTATATTATTGATTACTATCCAACAAGAAATGGTCCAATTGATTGTAACTCGAGTAGATTCATCATGGATCAAGGTTTACCATATACATCTGATATTCAACTAAACCTAAAAGGTTATTACTATGTTTATTCAAGAAATATGTTGGTATGTAACTACTAACATTAACATTGTATTACTATAGCATAACAAATCAAAGATAAATTAACATTCAAAAACTTATAATTATAGGGATTATCACAATCAAGTATACAGGTATGCAAACTTGTTGTCTATACAGCACAGATAGAATCACCATTTATACTATCTGATGATACAGTGTTTGTCGATGGCAAGCTCTTAAGAGTTGTAATAGCTGAGAATAACTCTACATATCCTCATCAGGGTAGATTCTATTACAAGTTGAATGGTGGTATTGTCAGCAGCCAAGATGACGCAACACTGTTGGCCTATCCAAATGTCTTGACTATACCAATAGATGATCGTGTTATACAAACAATGGAAATATCAGTGATAGATTGTCCAGATAACTATCAGTGTTCAGTTGCCGCTACCAAGAGTATCAAAGTGGTGCCAAGAGTACCGAAACCATTGTTGACACCGGCAGGCAATACCAACTACTATGGCGATACACCGGTGACTGCAACCTGTCCACTCGGTACACCTCGATACCTCCAAGACAGTGGATCTTCAGTGCCAACCGCTCAGTCAGACATATTCCCAAGTCCGTTAACACTCTTTGCTACCTTTGAAACACAAATCTATCAATTATCGGTCGTTTGTTTCCACGATATTCTTGCACCGAGTCAGCCAACCGCTGCTTCCTATACCATAGAGAAATACAAACGACCTATAACTCCAATAATCATTCCAAACAACGGTGTTATAATTATCCCGAAGGGTCATACCATTCAGATACAGTCTGAGACCGGTCAAAATGATATCTATTTCAATGTAGTCGATACCTATAGTAGATTACCTGTTATACTTTCAAACTACCCGGATCCATCAACTGTTGATCCAAATTCAACCTATCCATATCACTATTCTGAACCGATCAAATTTAAGAATTTCGGTCCAGTTACTGTTAGTGCCATAATTAAATCACCAACTCAACAATCATATGATAAAACTGATTCAAGTCCAGCTTATTCAGAAAGTAAGCTTAAATATCTTTTTTTTTCAAATTAGAAACCAAATACTGATATCTAAACATTTTATTTATTTAATAACTTTTATAATTATTATATTTAGATAAAATTAAAGACTATGCTCCAGAGGTTAAAAACAATCCAGATGAAAAGCGATTCTATCCAACTGCAAAAATTGTACTATATACTGAAGTAATCAATTCACAACAAGTAATTCACTACGCACTCTCAAAAACAGAGTTATTGGAAAATCAAACAATCGAGTACAAAATATATACTGAACCATTTGAAATATTTCAAACAACTTATATTTATGCATTCGTAAGTATAATAGTTAGATACTTCGAATAATTCCAATCAATTACAAAAAAAAAAAAAAGAAAATACTCATTTATATAAAAAATATTTAGGTAACAGGACAATTTTATGTATCAACAAAAACTGTACAACATTTCGTTTATACCTATGATCAATCTCTGATGCCAGCTGGCACAAAAACAGAGAGTGAATCAAACTCGAAACTGGTGAGTATTGAAAAATAATGTTTGAATGTTGTGTCAATTTCGAAAGACGTTAGACATTCAACTAATAATGTGCTTGTACCAAATTTACTAATTTTATTGTAACTATCGATTACGATCGTATCCCTTTAATCTCTTTTTTTTTATCTGTAACCTTACAACTGCTGCTTAAAAAAAGGGATTTCTTGGTTTCTTAGGGCTGTTGATTCTGCTTCCATTTGTATATATGGCAATCAAATACTATCATAAACAACACGAATTGAATCGATATCAACGACTGAGAGAGAGTATACTACCAAACACCGGCTTTGTGTTTTAAATGAACAACAGATGCAGCACAACAAGCGTCTTTGATGTGATCATTCACTTTGCCTCTGTGAATATTTAAGTAATTTTAAATTAACTGTCTCATTTTCTCAGATTATTTCCAAAATGGGCTAAATAAAAGAATAAAAAAGAATAATTTTTGTTGTTTCCAGTTTGATTTGAAGTTTACTTTTTATTTTTTTTTATTTAAATAAACCCACCACTTGGCTATAAGAGGTCCTATTTTTGAAATTGATAGGAAATGAAAAAATTAAAAATAGATTGGTTTTTTGATAAAAAGTTGTGATCATACACAACTTCACAGAATTTACCACCAAAAACTATTTAATTTTAATTTTTATAATTTATACTGTGATTAAACTAAAAAAACGCTTGGGAACTTGTCGATTTAAATAAGGATCATTTTCAGACCAATTTATTTCAAAAACTTCTTTGAATAACAAAAAATAATAATAAAATGTATAAATATCTTTTTACCTTTGTATTTTTAATATTTCTTTCTTCCCATTGTATTGATGGTGCCAAATTTAAAGGTCAATACACTGGTGAATTTATGGATGCTACCAGTTGGGAAGGTAAACAATAAATAAATTAAATATATTCTTTTATAAAATGATAATAATATTATTAATTATTTTTTTAAATTATTTAACATTTTAAGGTGCTTTGGTTCCAGGTGTACAAGAGAATGCAGATATCGATAATCCACAGTCAAGAGCTTTTATGACTGGTCCAGGAAATATAACTGTCAGACTTGTTAGTGTTGGTAATGGTTTAGATCCAAACGACGATCGACTAGTAGTTCAAAGAGAAATGAATTTAAATGCTCTGGTCTATGTCTACCAAAACTCATCTATTGAATTTACAAACAGTAATTTTATTGGTGCTGGATTTATTAGGTTATCTCAAGGTACAATGACTACTGTTGCATCGAATTTCACTAAGGTCCATATTACCTATGGTTCCAAGATGTCAGCATCTGGATTGAATCATTTCAATGAAATCCAAAACAATGGAACTGCATCTTTTATCGATTGTGAAAAAGTAACCATTGGTTCCTATTACTCGGGCCAATGGGATGGTATTAGATTAAGACCTCAAACTACCATTACAGAATCAAATATTTCTTTTAATGTAAATATTAACCTTTAATATATTTAATTTACAAAAACTAAGTTTAATAATATTTTTCTATTTCTAAAGAATTTGGTTGCAAATGGAACTGAATTCTATATTAGTCAATCTTCTGTAGATATCTTTGGTACTTCTTCTATAATAAATTCATATATCTCTTTGAATGAATCAAATATGTTAGTACCAGAAGATGTAACTCTATCTATTGTAAGTCTTTTTTTATTAAAAGTTAAATAACTTAAACTAATATATTAATTTATTTAAAAGAATGGTACTACCTTAAGTACTTCCGGTGAATACTTTATTCAAGGAACTGCTGCTCTTAATGGTCTTTCCAACTTTACCGGTTCCACTTTCGAATTCCAATTGGAGGGTATACTCTATGCCGATGGAATCTTCCTTTGCCAAGAGTGTACATTTAATACTCCCGATTTAGACAGTGTAATGAGTATGAAGAATATCGAGTCCATTGTAAAGTTAACCGACTCTACCATTAATGGTCCAGCAAACTTTACACTGGCAGGAGGTCTCTATATTTTGACAAATGTAAAATCCACCCGTCTGGTTATTGAGAGCTATGCTCATAGCTACGGTGGTTTGTTTAAAGGAACCGTTATTCAAAATGGATACTCTCTAGTGTTGAATGGATCATCTACTTTGTTCGAAGATGAATTCATCAATAACGGTCAACTCATTGTCACCACCAAAATTCAAATTGCTGACGATGTAAAACTAGCACCCACCATTAGAAAGATTAAAAACAATGGACTACTCTTTTTACTACCGAATTCAGAGATTCATGCAACAGTAACTACCTACTCTACTTTTGGTACCTACTTCTGGGACTACTATAACTCCACCGTCTATGTTGAAACCTACATTCATAACGCTGGTTATTTCGTCCTAGACAAAGGAACTACCTTCCAATCAAGCTCACCATTAGTATTCAACGGAGCTCAAAGTTTCTTGCTCGGTACCAATGGTACTATCGACTCATCAGTCACCATGAACGCAACCATGAAAATCGAAAAGGTTACTGTCAACGAAAACTTTGTATCTCAGGAAGCTTCTATTCTATCGTTCAGTCTCAACACTACCGTTCCTCTGATGATTGTTAAAGGTTCTGCTACATTCGATGGTAGTGTATTGATCAATGTCCTACCGAATCCAGACATCGTCAAGAATACCACCTACGAATTGATCACATTCAGTGACTACTCTGGAAATTTCACATTGATCAGAATCCAAAGTACCGATGTCCATTTGAACAATCAATTGAGCCAGTGTGCTAGCACTTCTCTAACAAACACAGCGTTCACTATTACATTCAATGGATGTGATGCTACACCATCAACAACCACTGGCACACCAACCACCGGTGCACCAACAACTGGTGTACCTGGACCAACCACAACATCATCACCATCTTCAGAAGAACCATCATTTGCTCTCTCCAAGATTTCATACCTGTCAATATTAAATCTTACTTTAACTATTTTAGCTTTATTATTACTATAATAAAATTAATCATGCATATTCATTTACAAAACATTGCGTGTTGTGAATCAAAAAAAAAAAAAATAATCCGTTTTTTCAGTCATAAAAAATAAAATCTTTTTTTTTTTTTCATCGCCATTTATATCGATTCCGCCTCTTAGTTTATTGATTCATACCTTTTAATATTCGATATGAATGGTGTACACATTTTAATAACAATTATTTTTAATAAATAATTGATTTTAAAATAAAAACTGAGGAATTGAATTGAATATTTCATATTGTATCAAACATTAATTAATTCATATATTATTATTATTTTTACTAAAAGATGGAATCATTTCTAGGTTGGCTTTTCTATAATTATAGAGGAAGAGATAGTGGTTTGATTATTAATATACCAGAGGTTGCTCGTATTCCTGCAACTATTAGTTTGACCAGTATTGATTTTAAAGATAATGAGCATATGCCTTTGACATCATCACCTGCAGCGCCAGAGGGTAAAAATATGTCACCTCAAATTCAGTGGGAAAACATTCCTGAGGAAGCAAAAGAACTAGTATTGATACTTGAAGACCCAGATGCACCACTTCCCAAACCTATCTGTCACTTTGTCATCAAAGGAATCGATCCAAAGACAACAAAGTGCATAAACGCAGGTGAAATGGTTGCTTCCAATCCATCAATTACATTTGCTCCTGCTGCTTTTGGTAGACTTGGATACCATGGTAAGTTTCAATCAAACTCTTTTACTATTCAACTCTATTTACTAATGAACTATTGTTTGTTTGTTTCTCTGATTATTTAGGACCAAGACCAATTAAAGCCCACGGATCTCACAGATATATTTTCCAAATGTACGCTCTCTCTGATCAATTACCACAACCAAAAAACAAAGATGAATTAGTTAAACAAATGATACCTTTAATCATTTCAAGAGGAGTTTTAACTGGAACATTTGAAAGAAAATAAAAAAAGAATATGAAATATTGTCATCGTCAATTTTTGACGACTGATGTTAAATTTAGACTTATTGAAAGATCTGTGATTTAGGAAAAAAAAAAGTTAGCAATATATTTGATCGATAACGTTTCTTTTGTTTTCTATTGTGACCAGAACAACTTATAAACCAAAAGTCAAAAAAAGATCGTTTGTTGGTTTTTTGATCAGTGACACATCGAACCGTTTTTATTTGTGAAAAAAATCGAACTGTTTGGTTGAAACATCATGATCAAAAAATAAAAAAAAAGATTTTGATTATTTTTTTTTCATACACACACTCTAAAAAAAGAGTTTTGACAATTTTTTTACATAGATAAATGGTGACATCGACCCAATTTAATCAAGTTGTTCGAAATAGTGTGGCGTGAAACTAAGATTTTATTTGAGAATTCAGCGAATTGGAAATTTGATATTTTTGAAAATTAAATAATTATTGTTATTAGGTAAATCTAGATGATAGTTTTTGTACATGGGAATATAAAAGGAGTCCAACTTTGACTTGGCTCATTCATTCCTTTTATTTTCTTTATATAAAATTACTACTACTACAAACAAATAAATAATGCCATTGCCATTAGTCACCAGAAAATCAATCAGAGATAACCAAGAGCACTTGGATTCAGCCGTCGAGTTGATCAAGACTGTCTCTGGTGCCGATTGGACTTTTGAAATCGATTTTGAAACCATCTTCTCCAAGTTGGGTGACGGTTGTGACTATGTCAAGAACGATGCCGGTAACTTCTTCTACAAGGAAGTTGCCATGAGCATTGCCAACTGTGTCGAGAGAGCCTGCAAGCAAGAGATGACCAAGGAAGCTTTGGTCGAAGCCAACTCCCAATCCAAGGTCATCATCAGAGTCAACGAAGACAAGAAGAACACCAACTATTGGAAATATATGTTCGAAGCCGGTTCATTGGTTGTCATTTTCAGAGCTCCACCATGCAATGTAAGTTAAGAATAATTTATTTTTAAAAATAATAAATAAAAATAAAAAAAATATAAATACTAATAATTTTTTTTTTAATATATAGGTATCTGATTTGACTTATTTCGATCTTGCTTCAATTATTCCATCACCAGGTGCTTTGTCATTGAAGGCCAGATTGAATTTGAAGAACAACCAAGAAGCCATCCAAGAATCTTTGGAGCAAATCAAGGTTGCCACCAAGGTCGACTGGTCATACGATGAGGAGTCACTCGAGACTTGCTACACCACCATCGACAGCAACAAGGACTCCATTGGTGAGATCTTCAAGGAAATCATCAACTACGTTGCTACCAACATCACCAAGAGATGTGCCGACGAAATGGTTTTGGAAGCTTTCAACGAAGTCACCACCAACGCTAGAATCATTTTGAGACACAACCCAAAGCAATCCAACTACTGGCAATGGATCTTTGAGAACCAAAACTTGGTTATCTCATTCAAGAGCATCTGCAATGTCAGTGACAACTGTTACTTTGACTTTGAAAAATTATTGTAAACTAGTAATAATATAAAATATAAAACATATAATAATATATAAAATAAAAGAAATCAAAAACTAAATATATAACAAAAAAAAAAACAAAACAAAACTTCTCTTTGTATTTGATTAATTATTTTCTTAATTTAATTTTCTTTTTTTATTATTAAAAATATTTTAAATACAAAATATAAATGTATAGGTAAATGTGTAGATAATTTTAAACTACTTTGACTGTTGATTGACTGGAATTTAAATTTGTTAGGTTGACGTTTGGATCTTTCTTGGCCGTCAGACTAAGATATCTGAGATAGAAATACTTTCTCTTGGAGTAAAAGATGATACCCAATCCGATCAAGAGTGTACCTCCTACCAAACCACAAATCAAGGCGATTTTCCAAACTTCGAATTCTACCTTTGAACAAGAATTGTTGTCTGTCGACACCAACGATGAGAAATCTGGATCCAATTCACAAACGTTACATTGTGGAAGATTGATACCGATGAGCGCAGTCTTTGCTTCTTCATCTACACTTATCAACTCGTTACTAGAGTAGGTTTCTCTACCGTCTGAAATCGAATAGTCAAGGAAACGTCCGTAGTATATAACATCGTCCTTTACGATCATTAGAGATTGAATAGAGCTTTGGTCATCTTTGTTGAATGCATTAATCTCGCCACCACATCCAATCTTCTGGCTTGGGTTGTAAGCAGTGATAAATACAACCCGCAGATAATTCAAGTTCGATGAATAGACCCAGTTTGAAACGTTAACTCCAACCTTTACAGCATTGGGTGGTAGATTGTATGACTTGGAACCAAAGGTGAAAGTTCTTGCCAAGCTTGAAAATGAAATTCTTGTTTTTACTTGCAATTGCTTTTGAGCGGATGAGTTGCTTGGAAGCATGTCGTAGTCTATGGTGGTAAGAGCGGTGCTATTATCGATGGTGTGGTTCCATTGGTCTGGTGTAACCTCAAATTCAATCGATCCGTCGCCACGAATCTCTTGGATTGAGAAAATAGAGAATCTAAACACATATCCGTTGTATTCGATATCTATCGATGGCTTTGTTTTATTTGGTTTGAAAACACCACCTTCACCATCACCAGGCTTCAAATTGCATTTTGGACCATAGTAGTTGTTATCGCAGTCACAAGTACCGGTGATTTCATTGCATTTTCCATTTCCACTGCATCCTTCTCTCTCACACTTAGAATAGTCGTTGCTAACTACCGAAATCAGGCTATGGGAGGTAAATGGATAACCGTCTACAGTAACATTAAGACTGGCTCTACCAGGTTGTAGTTGTGTGGAATTCAACCTGCAGATAATGGTGGTCGATGAAATCTCTAGAATTTGGCATTCTACCGAACCATTAAGTACTACCGATGGTAAATTTAAATTGGTTCCAAAATATCCACCGAGAGTGAGATTTCCTCCGTTGACAGTCAATGAGTTCACGGCAGAGACAATTGGATATTTAAGAATATAATTGTTTATGGGGAATGTTGTCTCTGGAATTCCAGTTGCACTCTTACTGAATATTCTAATCGAATAGTTGCCTCCATTCTCCAATCTCAATGATGTCAGTTCGCATGTATACAGTTGGTTGGCCACTAAAGAGTTGGTGCACTCGATACCAGCGACCGATACGGTGTAGGTTGGTTTTTTTTCAATTTCACCTATCTGAAGCGATAGATATGCAGCACCCTTTGGATATTGTGCGATTTGAAGTGAGCTTATCTGGGGCAATCGGCATGCCATGGGAGAGTACATCTCCATTTGGTATTGACAATAGGGTGAGGCTGGCTCATACGCATTGATGATGGAAGTTTCGCCCAGACCACAGGTCAAATGTACTGTTGTTGTTCTTTTCAATTTGTTGTAACAAGCAGCGCCTCTGGTGGCATTGAAAAACACAGCCAAAGAAGTTCCATTCGAGGACCACGCACCAGGTTCTTCTCCTGTATTTAAAAATCCAGATGTAACATTTTGACAAGCAGATATATCATTATTATTTGTATTACTATTACATAAAGCGCTTGTTCCACAAACTGTCCAGTAATATGTTGCCTGTTTTAAAAATTTCAATGTCAATTTTTAATATATAATTAACAAATCCAGAAAAAAAAATATAATAAAACTCTTACACTTGCTCCTTGAAATGAGACACCCTGATACGAAAATGTTTTACTATTATTTTTTTAAATCAAAAAATTAAATAATAGAAATAAATTTATAAAAAGTTAGTTATAAAGTTAAAATATATAATTATGATGATATATACTTGGCTATAGATGAAAAATCGAAATAAGAATATTTGCAAGTCGATAAACTATTTACAGAGAGAACAAATAAAAATAAAAATAAAATACACCTATAAATATGACTATGATTATTGCAATTGCTTATCTCTAACATTTTTCAAAATATTATCTTTTTTAGAAAACGTACTTTAAATGACAACACTTTATTTCTACTGGTGAAATTATATGAACACAAGCTAACTCTGTTAGTGATTGATAGGTTTGAAATAAAACCAAATCACAAGTTCAATCTGATAGTGAGGAATTTACTATTATGCTAGTAGATAGTTATCAGATATTACATAAAATATTAAAATTAATGAAATGTCTATTGTCAAAATCAGAGTCATTTGATGTTTCCTGTCAACTCCTTGAATCGAATTCTAAACAAAGAAGGAAGTCATAAACATTTTCAGCCCCATCATCGTAGTTATCATGGTCCCTGATATGACCAAAAAAGAAATTGTGATGTTGTTTTTTTGATAAAAATTTTTTTTAGAATCATTGGCAAAATTTTGAATAAAAAACAAAAAAAAAAAGATATTTTGATAAGTGCATAAAAAATGAACAAAATTATAAGATTGAAATTTCTTTGCAAAAATACCAAAGATCTTTTTTGTTTGGTCACTACAACTTGTTTAATGTAGAATCACAGTGTAATTGAATGGGGGATGAACAAGGTTACATCCTATATTCGGAACACCCAAGCAGAGAAGTAAGAGTTGGTTAAAAAGAAATAATAAGAAGAGAAAACTAAATCCCACCCATAACCTTTGAAGTTTAATGAGATTACTGACATTAACAAAGTAATTTAGATATTTCTTTATCTCTATGAAAAATCAAATTTAAATGTCTCTTCAATCCATTGTAACAACGTAGTAAAAAATATGATTTTATTTGTGAAGTGCCTTTTGCAAAAATTTAAGTTATCATTGTTAAAATAATAATTAAATCAATTTTAGAAGATATTGGTTAGTGAACTAACTACCTTTTTTTAAACATATTATTGTTAAATTTTATGAATTTACTCTGGAGAATTAATTATTTAAACAATAATATGTTTTGATAGTTAAAGTATTTTCTTTGTGAGGTGTGCAAAATATTTGAATTTTTTTTATCCGTTCATTTAAAAGATTTTTACCGCTCAAAAATTTCAGCACAATCAAAAACATTCTCATTATTTTTAAATTTAAAAATAAAAATAAAAAAAAATGGTTGATTGATTTTTAATTAGATCTATAATTCTTTTTATATTTGTTATATATCGTATTATTTAAATTATAATATTTAAAGGTTTTGAAAAATGTTACCTCCGATTAGTGTAGATCTTATGATATCTAATATGAAGATGCTATTAGATGCAAAACAATATTCTTCTGCAGAGTTACTAGTAAATAATCAAACCACAAACACAAATCTCACTATTCATATGATTAGATCAAATAGTCGCTAACTGGGCAACCAATTTAATTAATTAATACATGGACATACTTTTTTATATTTTTATATTTTTATTTTTTAGGGAAATTTCATTATATCACTTCCATCTCTATGTAAATCAAATAATAATATTAGTAGTGTTACAGCTCATTATACATCGTTGATTATGTTTGCAGATGCTGTCTCTGCTCAACAACAATATGCAAGAGCGACCAAGTACTACAAGGCATCGTTGGAGCTCATTAATAAAGCAATGACAATGTCATCTGGACATACTTCATTGTTCAACAGTCAGTCTAACAAGCAGCAATCAAACCAAAACAATGCCAATACTGTATTGTTAAAACAACAGGAATATGACATTCGATATAAAATGGCAATATGTCAAATCAATCTAAAAAAAATCAATTTGGCAGTCAGTTATGTACGTATTTTTAATATTGTGACCTTCACAGGTGACACACAATTGTCTCACAGATTGGTGAGTAATCATTGAAATACTAACTGAATCTTATCTATTTCGATTTAGTTGGAATCTATACCAGCCTCCAATAGAAATTTAGCAGTTCATTTAACATTGGCAAGATTATACAGGGATTCTGGAAATGTAATGAGAGATAAAACCAAAGATGCGATATCATGCTTCAAAGAAGCACTTAGGTTGTGTCCTCTTTGTATAGAGGCATACAATGCATTGAAGGAGCTGGGCGAGGAACCAGAGGTATTGCTACATCAGCTTCTAAGTAAACAATCAACTGTCAATGCCAATATAGATTCAACTTGGATACCTGCATTGGCTCAATCACAAATCGAATTGAAACGTAATCAACCTCAAAGTAAGTAGAATCTATAGATAAATAATTGTAATCTTAAATAACCTTTTCTATTCATTATATTATTATTATTATAGAATCATTATATCTATTAAAGAGATTGGAATCTAGATTCCACGGAAATCTTTATTTATTGGAAAAGTTGGCTATTTCCTATTTGAACAATGATGAACCATCCATTATCAACACAATGAATACTTTTCACAAGTTGAGAACAATCGATTCGTTTTATGTTGGATCAATGGATATATATTGCTCTTTATTAAAGAGAAGACAATTACAATTAGAGTTGAACAAGTAAGTTATTAAACCAAAGGTGATTAAGCATGGTATAAATACTAATTAATTTTATTTTTATTTTTGTATCAATAGGGTATGTTCAGATTTAGTTAATAATAATCCAAATTGTGTAGAAAGTTGGACATCTGTTGCACTCTACCATTCACTTAAGGAAAATAATGAAAAGGCACTGGAGAATGTCGACCGTGCTTTGAGTATCCGCGAGAGTCATGCCTATGCACATGCACTGAAAGGTGATATCTTCATGTCGTTGGAGGAACCAAAGGAAGCGTTACCATCACTTGAACGAGCATTTGCACTGTCCAAGACAATCTTTAATGCACGTGAGCTTGTACGTTGCCATCTCTTCTTGAATCAGCTCAGTGAGGCATTGAACGTGGCACGTACCATTCACAGAATGAGTCCAGACTACTCGAAATCCAAGGCTTTAGTTGGTATGGTACTAGCGAATCAGCCAGAGGAACGAGACAAGGCAAGAACCATATTGAATGAAGCGCTCACCATCTCGCCATATTGTATCGATTCCGTTTTAACAATGAGTAAATTGAATCTAGTCGAAGGAAAGACACAAGATGCTATAGATTTGTAAGTAAATCCATTTTGAATATTAAGTTAGATGTTTATTAATTTTATTAATTTTATTATTTATTTGTTATTTAGATTACAAAAACAATTAGATTATCAAGAAACAGATTTGATGCATACAGAGATGGCAACTATATATATGAGTAAAGAGATGTACGATGATGCTATGAAACATTTGAATGCAGCACTAGAGATTAATCCACAATATGAAGCTGCAAGAAACGGTTTGCATAGATTGGATTTAATTCTCAAAGGATTCGACCCAGATCAAATGGAAGATGGTGTAGATGAAGAAGATATGGAGTTAAGAGATGAAGATGAAGAAGAAATAGAAGATCTCGAAGAATAGTAAATCCTTTGTTTTTATATAGTTTTTTTTTTATAGGAAGTTTAAATTAAAACAATAAACTTGACTAACTAATAATTAATATTAATTGAAAAAGAAAAATAGTAGTAAAAGAAAGTTTACACCTTGCGTTACTACTATGTTTATTAAAAAAGTTTAAAAATCAATTGGTTGTTTGGACAATGTTGTTTAGTGGAAGTTGGTGATTCGATTGTTGTTGCTGTTGACGTTGTTGTTGCATTTGTTTATCGATTGTTCCTCTTAAAGAACCTAAACGTATTAAAATCTCTCTGAGTGCTATTCTTACATCTTTGCTGTCGTTCAGTAGCAATTTAATTAGCAAATCGTAAAAGATGCTCATATTTCTCATGAACTTCTCGTCGTTAAACTGTAGCAGTGATTTAAGAATCTTGAGCATTGTGTCGGTTTGAACGATGGTTTCGTTTTGATTCTTAATGTACAACTCTGTCAATTCTCTGAATAGACTGACCAGTCTGTGTTCGGAATGCAATGTTCTTGTGGTGGCATCGATACATTGCTCGGTATATAGTACAATGAGGAGATTGAGATATCCGGTGATAGTATTCTGTTGTAGAATCTTTAGTACGGTTCCGATACGGGAGATCAATGGATGCAATTTGTCGTCTTTGAATACACTGAGACAGAATTGATAGGAGATCTCCAGACAGTCACCTAGACAGAGTAGTTGCGATGAATTCAGGAATTCATAGTGTGAGAATGCAATGTCATTGATGGCTTGCACCATCTGTAGTTGCACGGAGCACTTTGATTGAATCTGCTTTAGAGCATCCTGTTGTGGACCACCACCAAGACTGGTTGTACGAGCATGTTGTTTCTTCATACTAATAAGTGTTGGAATGGTTGGTGACGAATATGATCTGTTATGATGTGGACTGGATGTCGAAGGTAATGGTGAATTTGGTTGTTGATTATTATTGTTATTGTTTGATGTTGGCGATGATTGTTGTTGTTGTTGTTCATCACTATCTGAACCATTGATGTTATTATTATCACTTGAATCATTGTTGTTGGATAATGATTGTCTCTGTTGATCAACAGCTTCAGATGGAGAGTTTTGCATGTTTTCGGTTGATTGTACTCTGGAGATGGGTGGAGTAAGGGAAAGTGGAGTGGTTGGGAGTGATGCCGATTGTCTGAGTTGAATGTGTTCTGGTACGTTGTGATGATGGTTGGATTTGTCAAAGTTGTTGTTGTTGGTACCATTGAGTACAGGTGAAATAGGTGCTGAACTTGGATGTTTATCTACATTCTTTACAGCGAGTGATGAATGTACTTTACCATTGAGATGTGGATTCTGCTTGGTTGGTGTACTTGGTGGTTGTTGTTCATTGATCGTTGGCATTGGCGAAGTTGTTGTGATAACAGTTGGTTGTCCACCCATTCCCATTCCCATCAACAAAGACGATTGGTTGAATATCTCGACCGGTGTGTTGGTTTGGAAGATCTTGTGGAATTGATGACAAACATTTGACCATTGGACATCTGAGAACTTGTTGCCATTCAAAGTGACCAGTTGTATCAAGAAGGTACCGGCAGTCTTGGCGAGAATTTCATTGTCCTGGAGGATACAGCATACAAAGAGGTCAAGCATATCATCGAGAAGGAAACAAATGATATCGATAAAATTGATAAACATTTCAGTCAATGACTTGAAAGCACGGTCTCCAGTGTGTATCAGCCACTTGGTGTCTTCCAAGATGGTTTCTGGTGCACCCTTTGAATAACCGACATTATCAAAGATGGGAAGCAAAACACCACGGAAAATCAACTCCCAAAGCTTCGGTGAGAAAGTTGAACCAAACAACGCGAGCACTCTAAAGAGTGTATCGAGTGCATAGCTACGTAGTTCGCTGTCTTCGTGTGAGATGACACGTGCCAGTCCAGTCAAGAGTGGGAACCACAAGGAAATATGTTGTTCAGAGTCAGTGAACAATGTAGAGTTACTACCGTTGGCACCTTCCTCACGCGAGAGCTGACAGACACGACCATTAGCAAGTTGGACACCACAATAGCTAAGAATATCGATTGCTTTCAATGAGAGATCTTTGTGTTTCGAGTTGGCATAGGTCGACAAACAATTTACATAGTCGATAAAGAAGGTTTCAGTGATATTAGTGAAATCACGACTGAGTTCATCTACGAAATCAAAGGCTTGCGAAGCAATCTGTGGCTCAGCAAAAGAGCTAAGAGTAAAGATGGTGAAAATAGGTTTCCAACCGGATTTGATCATCGCATTTCTACCGTTGGTCAACTGGAATATACACTTGAGAATGAGCTCTCTGACCTCTGGATGACTGTTGGCGTGGAAGATGAGTTCGAGTGGACGAAGGAAATCCTTTTGTGAAGAATCCTTGTTGATCTCTTCGAGTTCGAGGAACTTTTGTGCCAACTGTTTAAGCGAGTCGATGACTAGCGATGAGATGTAGACATTCTCTGGTTGCGATCCGATCTTTGTAAAGTGATCGGCAATCAGTTGCCAAATAAGCTTGATACGCGATTGATTGTAGATAGCAACTTCGACCAGTTTCAACAGTGAGAAAGTCGATGGATTCGGTGTGGAACGTATTTCCTCGAGTGAGATCTGTGTGAGTGCTTCTACAAAGAATACGATGGCACTGTCATTGAGACCGCTGCTATTAACATAGAGGTGATTGGCAGTGTCTAGATCCTTGGTGATCATATCAATGGTGATTCCTTCGGGAATGATTGGAGTGGAACGTTGTGATGATTTCAACTGGAAGAAATCAGAGGTACTCATTGTACGCTTGAGTTTCTCCGAGTCTGGATTTGGATTGTTGACACCAAGATAGTTGATTCTGAGTCGCTCCAATTGTGAAATCGATTTCAATACTGGATGCCACGATTTCTGGAGATAGTTACCGTCGATTCTGGCAATCTGAATCATCTTTTCCAGTGACTCTATGTTCTTTGGCTTCAACTCTTTGATCTTATCAAAAATAGTAAAGTTGGCAAGTGATGAAACGAATGCTTCCTTCTCGATGGACATTGTAAGTAGTGAAGTCAAATTGATGGCACATCTGAAACCCTCCAAGCAAACCAACACGTTTCTGTCTTCTACGTTCTCAAGGACCAGCGAGAGTGACACGAGAATTGGATGCCAAATATACGATAGCATAGTCTTGAGTTGAACGAGAAGATTACCATGGTGGAAACGGTCACGTGTATCAACGATTGGTTTGTGTGGATCGTCGAGGTTGAATGTAGTTCTCACGTTGAGACTGGGTTCGTCAGAGATATCGTCGTCGTCTTTGAGCGAGAGTCGCTGTAGTGAGATACGGTCGTATATTCCAAGGAGATATTGCTCGTCAAAGTTCTTCTTGTCGTTGATTCCAGCGTTCATCTTTATCCAATCTGGCTTGGTCATATGAGTTTTGATTGCAGTGGAATGCAAGTCAGTGGCCAACATTACAATGGCGAATGACAAGATGAAAGCGGCATCGTCATTGGCAAACTCAAACGATGGCGTACTCTGGTTGTCAATATAGAAACGCTTGGCAAATGCCTGTACGACACGATCTACCTTTTGCGCTTCACCCGGCAGACGGAAGTACGCTGTAAAGTAACGAAGAGCATTATCCAGTGTGTAGCCAGTGAAATTAAAGAGCTCAGTGTAGGAATCGAGAATTCCAGCGTTCTCCTTCTCAGAGATGTACACACCGATGCTCGTCTTGTCAAGTCCCTCGGTGTCTCTGAAGAATTTGGCCAGTTGGACGTCGTTACGCTCGACAACACCGAGATTCACAAACTGATCGACACCTTTCTTTGGACTACTCTTGAACTTTAGTTTTGCCTCTTCGATCTTTAGTTTCTTTTGCTTGGAGAGAGTATATTGATTCTCGGCGGGCAGACTTGCCAGCTTGGCAGCGAGACCTTCTTTCTTGCTACGCAGACCCTCGTCCAGACTCTTGAGCATCAGTGCCAAACACTCCAACGCTAGATACTTCACTTTAAGCTCGTACATCTTGTTCTCTGGAACGACCATCTGTGCAATCTTGGAGAGATCTTCGATGGTCCGTTGGAAGATGTCTTTGGAACCGACCGAACAATCGTAGTTTACGTATAGGTCAATCAGAATCTGTGTATTCTCACAGATGTTTCTGAGAACTTGGAGAACCAACCAACGATGTTGGATAGAGCTGGTTGTAGATTCCAATACACGTAGAATGATGATTGAAAAGTACTGTCCAATCTCGTCCTTGAGGAACTCACGGTAATGAACGACAATATAGAGGAACAGAGTCAACGAGATCCTAAAGATGGTGTTGTTTGGCGATAAACCTGATGCCAGAATCGAAGGGAACAATCCTTCTCTGATCTCATAGTTTACAATATTCGGGAAGTTCTTTAAGCATCTTCCAAAGTCCTCAAAGATCGATGATAACAATTCCAATGAGAATATTCTAATTTTAACTTCTGGTGGTGATTCATAACTAATATTATAATATCAATCAATCATATAGTTAGTAAGTTATTATTAATTATATTTCTTATATATATATATAAAACATACTCTGATATTTCTCTTAATGATAATTCACAAAGTAATCTGAAAATCAAGATTGCATCACGTAATGAAATATCATATTCCTCCTTTTCATTGTCAAACGATGCAGGTAAAACTGTTGGATGTATAATCTGACTGCTTGTTGATTCATCTGATGTTGATTGTTGTTGTTGATTTGTACCAGATGTTATAGTTGATTCTTTCTGTTCACAAGTAACTTGTTGATTTGTCTAAATAAAAAATAATAGATCATTAAACATAAGTTAGTTATTATAATATGGATATATATATTTATATATAGTATTTACATTGACAGCTTTATCTATCATTTCATCGATGATATTGGCAACTTGTTCAACGGTTGAACTTGGAGTCAAGATATTTGGAAGTGGTGATTGTAATTCAGGTGGCAGTGACAATGATAGATTAGCCGTACTGACACCAGAGATATCGGGTGTTGTCGCTGCAGATGATGATAGTGCTGACGATACACTATGATCATTATTATTAATATTCGGTTGTAATTTTGGTGTATTATTGTTGTTATTATTATTGTTATTCGTTGATGTTGTTGTAGTTGTGTTTGTTGTTGTTATTGTATTATTATGTTGTACAATATACTTTTGATTATCTATTAGACCGAATAATCTCTTTAACATCTGAGTTATAGATGTCTTTGATGCATTGAGTAGGTTTGAAGCCGGTTTCGAATGTACATATATATAAAAGAGTGTCTTTACTGCCGACACCAGTGTATACTTGTGGAACTTGGTCGATACTGTCACCACCAACTTTACAATCTGCAAAAGTGTCATCTCGTCGCTTACATAAACACTATGCACCAAAGTTGGTTCTAAGAACGTATCGATCAGTTGTTTCCTATCTGTATTTAACATACTTGATATAATATAATTTGCTGCAATCAATTTCTATATCATTTTTAAATTAGTATTTTAATTAATTAAAACAACAACAATAACATACTTCAACCAATTCAACAGCAGGATTAATCAATTTCGGTAGTCTCGATTCAAATGATTGACGATAGATGTTTGAGAGTTGTTGAACGATCGTTATCCATAGTGGGTTGCGTGTGAGTACTTCTGGTTCGGTTGTCTTTGTCAGCAAGTTTGGATGTTGTTTGAGTGTTTCCAATATGTTTCTGATCTCCTCTTTGATTGGTTGTTGTTTCTTTCCACAGTCTGCAAGCACCTTATTGAGACCTCTGTTCAAAAGATTCGCTATTGGCTCCGGTGTACTTGGAGGTGTCTGTCCACTAACACTGCTCGACAACGACGCTACTGCAGACAACCCACCGAGTGGCGATAGAATCGGTGTTGAACTACCTCCAGCTGATACCGATGCATTCTGTTGTGACGATGATGATGCCTTCGACGGTGTCAAAGGTGTAACTATTGGTGTTGACGAACTTGTAGATGCAGTTGCAGTTGTATTTGTAGATGTAACTGAAGCGCTTGTTGAAGTTGCAATTGGTGACTCCTGTACTACTGCAGAGCCATTAACACTAACACTACCATTACTACTCTGTTGTTGAGTACTTGGTGTAGTTGATGTTGACATCTTCTAATACTCTCTTTATTTATATATCTATTTAATATCTATCTTTTTGTGTTTTTTTATGTATAAATAAAATAAATAAATAATGAAAAAAAAAATGACGAAAATGTTTATTTAATTTAAAATATCATTTAGATTTGATAATTTGTAAATAAGTAGAGTTGTTTTGTCTAGTTTAATGTGTTTTATTTATTTTTTTGTTTTGGTAAGTTATGTTTTGCTGATTCAAGCAAAGTTACAAATAATAAATTAACACACCCACAAATAAAAACAAATAAATCAAAAGAAATAAATTTGATTTATTATTATTCGCATAGAAAATCAAAAAATTATCATATTCAATAATTTAATAAAATATGTATTTTTTTTTATTTTTTTCTAATTAAATTCTTTTTTGCACTGCTGTTTTTTGCCATGCGATAAAATAATTCTTGGTTTGAATTTCAACACTTTTTTTAGTTTTGGTTGCATGTATCTTCACTTCACTTCACTTCACATCATATCAAACAAATAAACAAACAACACCTTAGTAGAAGTTAATTTTTATTATTTTATCAAATGATTCACTACTAACGATCAATTAATTAAAAAATAATTAACATTAAATTATTATAGATTAAGATTATTTTTTTATTTTAAAATATATTTATTGGTACAAATCAATTAAAATAATAAAAACTTTCAGATTAGGTAATTAATAAAGATAGAATAGCATCAAATATATATGATCATATAATTGATTCTTTAGATTATTGTTCATTTGCTATTTTTTTTATGACGCTACTTTTTTGTTCCTACAAACGCAAAGCAAATTTTTAATGAAAATAGATGACATAATAAAAATCTGGTTCAAAGGTGGCAAAAAAATGGCATTTATGGATTTTCTTTTGCAGTTTCTCCAATTTTCAAAGAGAAAATAAGCATCTTTGCATGATACCGCCACAAAGATAATATTAATATCTTTAATTAAAAAGCAAGATCAATCTCCATGTTATTTTTTGAATTCTTTTGGTGATATCACCAAACACAAATCACACATATTTACACATTTTTAGATGAAACAGGAAAGATCAAACTTGATGATGGTGTTGTTTATCAATCGACAAATCAAAACATCGGGATCAAAAAAAAAAAAAAAAAAACTGAGCCTAAACCTAAGAACCATTAATAACCCAAATAAAGTTAAATACAACTGTCGAACTATTTATTTATTTAAAATATATTATATATTTGTATAATCTAAAAAAATGTATAGTATCAATATTTCTAAAAACATATTATTTTATTTATTATTTATTAATCTACTAGTAGATTACACCTCTGGTCAAGTTACTTTGAATGAACCAGATCGTAAGTATCCAAGATTTTCTAAATCTTGAAAATCAATTTAAATTAATAATAAATTAAATACTAGTAAGTTCAATACGATGGATCTCTATTCAATACCAACTTGGATGGTCTTTGACAGAGACAGAATGTAGTAAAATATCAACTTTTTTATCATGTATCACTGTTGGTAATGCCCAAAATATAACATCGATGTATGATATTAAAAAATCTTTATCTTTGAAACAACATTCTATTTACCAATTTAAAAAAAAATAAATTAGTTTTATGTTTTTAAAAGATGTTAATCATGTAATTGATCAAGGTGCTGTACCTGTTGTTTCCTCACTTAAATTCAATGCACTGGAACACATATCCTTTGCAACATCCAATCCAGTAAAAGATCCAAATCAAAACTTTATGGTACTTCTTCATGTTCCTGAAAACAATCGACTATTCACCTTAAAGTAAGTTATTAAAACTTTTTAAATAAAGAATATTGAGCGAATCTTAACCAAATTTTCATCACTGTATAGTTTATACAATCTATATGACCCAGTAATATTACCAAATAACTTTGGTGTATATCTTTCTCTTGGTCAAATGTATTTATACCACAAATTATTATTATCATAAAAATCAAACTTTTATTAATTCTAATTATGTTTGCAACAATATATAGTGGATTTTATAATACAACTTTTAATTCCAACATTCCTTCAACTTTATTCACTCCTAATACATTAACTTTTACTTTTCGAGATTCTAAATTCACTAGTTCTTCATACAGTGTTCTGTTGAATCCAAATGTAAAATTACCAGGTTTGAATACATTGTATGTATTTATTATTTCTATTTATGATGATAATTTACTAACTCTTTTATTAAAAGAGCGACATATGCTACACAATCCACCTTTTACAATTTAACATCTGATAATTATCCAAATTTATATTCAGTGTAAGTATATTTATTAAAAAAAATTAGTTAATTTTTATTAATTCTTATTCTATTAAAAGTGATATTATAGCTGATGCTCCAATATATGTTTCTATATCTATGCCTCGATTATCAAATTTGTAAATATTTATTTTATTTTGATTAAAATTTTTATAACTAATCGATATTATACCAAAAGAATTCTACGTTCAACAACATTATATGATGTTAACCCAAATGAATCGAATCTAACAATTTCTGGTCAATATCCCAATCTTAAAACACTGTAATTATACCCCATTAAAAATATCAATGAATCACACTAATATAGTTTATTATGTTAGAACTCTTTCAAAGATAAAGTTTACACCCACTGATTTTTCTTTTGCTCCAAAAATGGACCAAGTGTATGTTAATTTTTGAAAAAAAAATAATTGTTCTTTAATTGTATATATATTAATTTATTTTTGTATTTTTTTTAATAGTACAATTTCAGGATCTAATTTCTTTTCCAATTTAATAAATGTATCATCTCTCTATGCTGTAGATTCTATTTCTCCAGCAGTTTTCCCTTCGGTATCTTGGTTTGACCAAGGAGCAAGAGTGTAAGAATTTATATATTTGATAAAAAAATCTACAATGTTTTAACCAAAAAAATAATCTTTTTAAAATAAAACATTAGTGTTTTGAAGAATATGAGTTTATCTGGACAGATTCCAAATTACCCAGGACAAGGATTCTATCCTGTAACTCTTCACCTACCAAATAACCCAGGAATAACTGGAGAGGTTCCTGAATCATTTTGTTATCTTTTTGATATCGATTTGTCGGGAACATCAGTAACCAAGATTCCAGATTGTTATTTTTGCCAATGGAATCAGTTTTGGTCTTATTTTCCAATAACTTTACCTGAAACCTTTGAATGCAGTAAGTATATTTTACTTTCATAGTAATATAAAATATTTTATTAAATTTAATAATTTTTATAGATCCATCATTCGACCAATATTTATTTGTATACACACCATCAAATCCTGCACCTTTTAATATTACAGTAACTGGAAAGAATCTCGGATTCTATCCAATCCCTGGATTGAAGATGGTCAGAGCAAATTCAATATACACGTAAAGTATTATAATTTTACTATATCATTAATTGTTAATTTTAATAATTATTAATATATTATACAGCTTCCCAGCTAGTGGTGAACCATCAGGAAAGCAGACATTTACTATTTATAACAAGAATTTAACATTAGAATGGGTTACAGATCGTATGTTAATAGTAAATACAAAGAAATTAAACTAATCATATTAACATTTTATTGTAGCTACTAAACTTGATACAGCCACTGGATCTGTCAATGAAGGTTCACTTAGAATCGATATTTTTGGTCAGTTTAATGAAGATTTTATTTATACAATTGATTACAATGATCAGCCATGCTTGGTTGAAAGGATACAACCTACCTTTTTAAATTGCTATGTTTATAATCCAGTTGGTTCCAAATATAATATCGCTACTGTAAACAGTACCTATCAAACATTTGTAATATTATTTGAAATACGAAGTAAGTTGTTAAAATATTTTGATTGTAAAAAGCAATAAAGATTATTAACAAAAACAAATATTAAATAGATACTCCTGTTGTAACAGCAACCTCTGAACTATTGGAAACTGGTGGAGATCTATTGCTTTATGGATACTTCCCAGAGACAATCACTGTATTAGATGTATCTGTCAACAACATTACCTGTAACATTATAGAGTCCAATAGCAATGAAATTCATTGCAATCTTCCTGGTAACCTATCAATAGGATTCGCTGATCTTGAAGTTAATACTGATAACAAAATTTTTAGATCAAAGAGTTTATTAGTTGTTTGTAAGTAAATATATTAACTTATTACCATATCAAAGAAATTAAATACTAATTAATAAACTTTAAATATATAGACCCAATTAAAAAAATTAATAACTGTATATCGAGTTCAAGTAATTCTTCGAAAGACTGTAGTGGTAATGGAAAATGTTTCAATAATAGATGTATTTGTAACAATGGATTCGGTGGATTCTATTGTCAATCAGAGTTAACTCCAACTATAATTTTCAGACCAAATACAACATCGCCAGATGTTGTCGTTAGTAAGAGCAACACACATTTCCAATTCAATATTATTGCAATTGAAGAGTTGAATGATCTACGTGATACAGTCATAAGAAACTCGATTAATCAATCGAAATGGACTTATTCAACTAATAGTACCAATCAATTCGATAACTATAAGTATATTATTAATGATACGAGTGCCGGTTGTTCTCTAGAAGTCAATATCGACAATTTCAAAGTGAATCAAAACATTACATTTGGTAGTATCATTCATAGTTATCCTGTCAACTCTCTGAAGTTGTCAATCACAATTAGTGGATGGCTATTCACCTCGAATTTAAATACACTAAGAGTACTCCTACAGACAGAGATGAAATACGATCAGTTGGAAGATAAATGTAAATCAGATATTCAAAAGAATCAACAATTCGATCAACTTCATAACTTACAATACTTAACGATTACCAAGGATGGTGTCACCTACTTTGGAAGATTCTTGGATTATGTTTTATCAGATAACCGACCTGCTTACTCGTTGAATGAGATCATAAGTAACTCGACAACCAACAGTACTCAATCAGTTATTATTGGAATCAACATGCCACAGAGTCAAACAACTATTATCGATCCTGATTTTTCTGTTCTGGTTGATCCATCAAGTGAACCAACCGATTGCAAAGAATCCACGTCATCTTCTAAATCAATGAAGTTGGTCGCTATCATCGTTCCTATTGGTGTATTTGCAGTTGCTGCATTAGCTGGTACAATAATATATATAGTAAAACGAAAAGAATATCGCAAACAACAAAAAATGCTCCACAGTAAACTTGCAAGATTAAATAAAGATCAGTAAACTCGTATATTAAAATAGTACAATTTTTTTTGTTCCTTTATATGAAAAAAGATGATCAGTTTGATCAATGTTTAAATATCATAAAATTTGTCTTGGTTCTTGAAGAGATGACTTTACACTTTATGAGCTATTATTACTTAAAGTATTGAATAGTAAAGGTTTGGAGTTTAAACTTTATAAAGATCTTACAATATCTATGATTGATTCATCGGTGAGGGTTGATGATGGTGACAACTTTAAGAACACAAAAAATATTGATTATGAGAACCAACAACCATCAATCCTTTTTCAAAGATCATAAAAATCTGATGGGGTGGGATAAATAAAAAAAAAATTGTTTGTTCTTTTTGTGTAATTTTTTTTTTTTTTGACCTTTATTATTAAAAATATCTTCAGATATCGGACTTCTTTTCGTAAATGATATCATCAAATTCAACAACTTACCGACCAATTATTTAAAAATTCACAGTTAGATATTGATGTAATTTATTCAAAGTGTTCTTTGATTTCAATCTCTGTCGTTGAACAAATTTTATTTTTCTTTTCCTCATTTTTGGTTCTTTTTTGTATAATGAAAATCCATTTTCTTTGTATTTCATTATTTCTTTTTTTTAATCTGAAATACCTTTCTGGAGCTTCTATAAATGAACTTGATTGTAAGTATTTCTTTTTATTTTTTTATTAACTTTTTTCTGAACTAAATTTTTTAATCTATCTAAAAAATAGTAAGTTCCATACGATGGCTTTCTATGCAATATCAACTAGGATGGTCGTTAACTGAAGTAGATTGTACAGCCTTATCACAAATAGTTTGTAACACTGTTGGAAATGAGCAAAATGTTTCCATAATGTAAGATTTTCTTAACTATTCAGTATTGGATTCAATAATTTTCTTGATTATTCAAACTAATTTAAAAATAGATATGTAACTTCACTCTATCAACCTACTCCTCAAGGAACCCCACCAACTATTCAAAAACTGGCATTTCAAAATATAACTCGAATTGTTTTAACTGGATACTATCCTGCTGTTGATCCATCTCAAAACATTTTTGAATTGATCAATATTCCAGAGAATAAGTATTTAGAAGTATTAAAGTAAGTTTTTATTTTTTTTATTCTTTTTAATATTTTTTTGACTAGTCTTTTATTTTTTTTCAGTTTCCAATTTGTAGACCCAATTGTTCTTCCTTCAAATTTTGGTTCATACTTTTCAGATGTAAATTAGTGAGTAGTAATTTCTAAAAGAAATATTTATAAATATTAACTTTTTATTTTTGTTTACCAAAACAAGCAATTTCAAGAATTCAATTTTTAATTCTGATATACCACAGTCTTTATTTAATAGTTCAATTTTTTTTCAAATGTCTGGATGTAACTATACAAACAATCAATGGATAGTTCATTTTAATGGAAACTATATATACAAGATTACTCAATTGTAAAATATCAAAAAATACATATTATTATAAATAGAATTTTTAATTAATCATAATTTTTACAGGTTCTTAATATTTCCTGACCAATCTCCAATGATACACACTTTTTTTAACCTTACAAATACTAATTTCCCAAATATGCAACAAATGTAAGTAGGATTTGAATAAATTTAATAAGGAAAATATTCAAAAAAGAAGTTTTCAACTAATGTTTCTATTAAAAGAGAATTAACACTTTCTCAGCCTGTTGATGTTAATATACAAGAATTTCCAGGACAAGCCATGTAAATATATTCCAAAACACTTTTCAATTTCAATTTTGTTAATTTAATTTAATTTTTAGAAAGTTGAAATCTACTCCGTCAAGATATAAGAATGAAATTAGATCAAATTTATCATTTAAAAGTGCATATGGATTTTACTTATTGTAAGTTTATTATTTGATTTTTTCATTTGATTTTTTCATTTGATATTTTAAAATTAATATTGTTGTATTTTAGAGATATAGATAATTTTAATATCAACCCAAATGATTTCAGATTATCAAGTTTATCAACTATGTAAATATTAATATTCAGTTTTAGTTTTTAAATGATCTCTAATTAATAATACATTATTTTACTTCTAGAACTCTTCAAAAATCTGGAGGTATTACAGGACCAAAATATTTACGATACTATAAAGAAATCAATTCAGATCCTTCAACCTATCCAGTTTATTCTTGGTTTGCAGCAAATAGTACAATGTAGGTTGATTTTTAAAAATTTAAAATTTGTTATTTTTACTAAAATCTCATCTTAGTGAAATAAATAATAATACTCACTTGGTAGGTCCTGTTCATGATTATCCAAGTGAAGGGTTTTATCCAATTACTTTGAACTTGGCAGACAATCCAAATATAAGCGAGTTGCCAGAGTCTTTTTGTTATTTAGAAGATATCGATCTCACCGGCACAGCACTTACAACAGTACCAGATTGTTTCTATTGTAAATGGACCTTTTTTAAGAATAGATTTTCTGTTAAAATTCCAACTGATTTCGTTTGTGGTATGATAAGAGTCTATTAATTTAATAATTATATCTATTAATATCTTTTAAACAATAGTTCCGAGATTAGATAAAACTTTATTTGTTTACAATCCAATAAACCCAAATCCAATCAACATGCATATTTTTGGCAAGAATTTGGGTTGGGATAAAATTGCAAATCTGACAATGGTTACAGCAAATTCACATTTTATGTATGATTTCATAAATAAAATACAAACTGGATTAATTAATATTAATATTGTTTTCTTTTTTGTATTTTTTAGATATAATAATAATAATACAACTAAAGGATCATTTTCATTTTTTGTAAATACAACCAAACTTACATTCGAATGGGCCTATGATAGTATGTAATTTATTTTTCATTAATAATTGATAAGATTTACTAATTAGATTTTTTCTACAGTAAGTATTGTCAATGCTGCATTTGGTATTATTGAAGGAACATCGCTTCGAGTTGAAATCAATGGTACTTTCAATACTACAATGGACTATCTAGTTGTAATCAATGGTGTTTCATGTTCACCTGCAGACATATATCCAAATGTTTTGATTTGTACTTTAAGTTCTATACCTACAATCAGAAACCCTATAGTAACTGTAACAAATGAAATTCAATCTATTAATACTACTTTAAAGATACAAAGTAATTATAATATATAATGATCAACAACAAAACCAAATTTTATTCTAACTTTACAATTCTATAGATATACCTATTGTTGTTTCAACATCAAAGCTTTACGAATCGGGAGGAAACTTAACTCTCTATGGATACTTCCATGATAATATTATTCAGGCAAACGTTACTGTCAACAATGTAAATTGTACTATTACCAAGGCAAACTCTACTGTTATAGTATGCATTATTACAACCAATCTGACACCTGGTTTTGCAAATTTAAGTGTATTTACCAATAATATAGAGTTTATATCCTCTTATTTAGTTATATGTATGTATAAATATATATTTTAAATGAATGTTTATTTATTAATATTTTTTAAAAAAAAAAACCAAAAAAAAAGATCCTTTAGATATACCAAATAATTGTATTGTTGATAATTCTACTTGTAGTAGTAATGGTAATTGTATAAACAATAAGTGTGTTTGTAATAGTGGATTTGGTGGTTATTATTGTCAGTCTACATTGACACCAACTGTAATAATTCAACCAAATACAACATCACCCAACGTCAATGTAATTTCAAACAACACACAATTCCAATTCAATATCATTGCAATACAAGAGTTGGACGATCTCCGAGATGTCTTCAGTAGCTATCACTTCAATGTATCAAATTGGAACTATTCAAAGTCATCCGATATTGAAAAGGATAACTATAAATATGTTCTAAATGACTCGAGTGTACAGTTCAAGACAGAGGTCAATATAGATAACTTTAAGGTCTACAAGAATTTAACTTTTGCTGGTATTGAAACTATTTATCCTCCAAACTCTTTGAAGTTATCGATCACTATAAGTGGATGGTCATTCAACTCGAATCTAAATACACTGAGGGTGTTGTTTGCGACCGAGATGAAGTACCAAACAATCGATGATAAGTGTCAATCGGAAATCAGAGACAAACAACAATTCGATCAACTTCATAACTTACAATACTTAACGATTACCAAGGATGGTGTCACCTATTTCGGAAGATTCTTGGATTATGTTTTATCAGATAACCGACCTGCTTACTCATTGAATGAGATAATTAGTAACTCGACAACCAACAGTACTCAATCAGTTATTATTGGAATCAACATGCCACAGAGTCAAACAACTATTATCGATCCCGATTTTTCTGTTCTAATTGACCGATCTAGTGAACCAACAGATTGCAAAGAAGATTCACCATCATCTTCTAAATCAATGAAGTTAGTAGCAATCATCGTTCCTGTTGTCATTGTTGGTGTTGCTCTTATTGTCGGTATGGCCATATTCATTCACAGGCATAATAGATTTATCAGACAAAAAGAAAAAGTTCAAATTAAACTATCTAGATTGAGTGAGACAAATAAATAAATGTTTAATTTAAAACAATAAGCTTAAATTTTATATGTTTTTGGGATTTTTGGAAAATTTTCGGAAAAAAAAAAATAGCTATAATATTTAACGTTACCAAGGATGATGTCACCTACTTTAGAAGATTCTTGGATTTTGTCTTATCAGATAACAGACCTGACCTACTCTTTGAATGAGATCATTAGTAACTCAACAACAATCAATCAGTTAACTGATTCCAATAATATGCCACAGAGTCAAAAAACACTAATAGATCCTGATTTTCTGTTCTGTTTGATCCATCAAGTGAACCAACCGATTGCAAAGAATCCACGTCATCATTGAAATCAATGAAGTTGGTCGCTATCGTCATTCCTATTGATGTATTTGCAGTTGCTGCATTACCTGGTACTTTAATTTATATAGTAAAACGAAAAGAATATTGAAAATGCTAACAGCAAACTTGCCAGCTTAATAGTAATAATAAAGATATGTAAGCACGTAAATTAAAAATACTATTTTCTCTTTTGCTAAAAAAAAAGATTATAAATTGAAATCAACATATTGTATTAGGTAAAATGTTTAAATATCATGGAATTATCTTGATTCTTGAAGAGATGATTTTACACTTTATGAGCTATTTATATTATTATTTCTTAAACAATAATATAAAGGTTTGGAGTTTATGCTAACAATATCTATGACGGATACCCTAATTTGATTCTGATTGATTCATCGGTGAGGGTTGATGATGGTGACAACTTTAAGAACACAAAAAATACATTTTGATTATGAGAACCAACCACCATCATTCCAAACAAGTTATCATATAAAAGATCGTAAAATCTTTTTTTTCTGGTGGGGGTGCGACAAAAAAAAACAAAAAAAAAATAATTTGTTCTTTTTTTGCAAAAAATTTTGGCTGAAATTTGCAAATATCTTAAGGAATCGGACTCCTCCTTTTTCGTAACAATAAGAAAATGATTATACCATCTTAGATTGGTATCACAAAAAAAAAAAACAAAAAAAAAAAACAATTTATTGCATAAAAAGATTTTGTCCAGAGAAATTTAGACCCCTAAACAACTTAACAACTCAAATTATATTGGAACAAATTTATCTTTTCCTCTTTACATTTCTATCATGAAAATTCATTTTCTTTGTATATTATTATTATTTCTTTTTTTAAATTTTAATTTCAAATTTATTTCAGGAGCCTCTATAAATGAACCTGATTGTAAGTATTTGTTTCTTTTATTATTTTTTTTAAAACTAAATTTTTTAAGTTAATTTTTTAAATAATAGTAAGTTCAATAAGATGGTTTTCAAAACAATATCAACTTGGATGGTCGTTAACAGAAATAGATTGTAATTTAATTCCTCAATTAGTTTGTAACACTGTTGGAAATGAACAAAATGTTTCAATGATGTATGAAAAATCGTTAATTATTAAGTATTCTATTGATTCTCTTCCATATTAATTAAAACTACTTTTAAAATAGATTTTTAAATTCGCCCTATAAGGCTGTTCCTCAAGGAACTCCACCAATTATTCAAAAACTGGCATTTCAAAATATAGCTCGAATAGTTTTCACAGGATACTATCCTGCTGTAGATCCATCTCAAAACATTTTCCAATTGATCAATATTCCAGAGAATAAGAATTTAGAATTACTAAGGTAAAAACATTTATTTTTATTTTTGTTGAATTAGTTTGGCTAAAAATTTTTTAGTGTCCAATTTGTAGACCCAATTGTTCTTCCTTCCAACTTTGGTACATACTTTTCAAAAGTAAATTAGTGAGTATAATTTGCATAGGAATAGGTATTTATAAATATTAATTGTTTTTTTTTTTTCTAAAACAAGTAATTTCCAAAATTCAATTTTTAATTCTGATATACCACAATCTTTATTTGATAGTTCAGTCTTATTTCAAATGCCTGGATGTAACTATACAAACAATCAATGGATAGTTCATTTTAATGGAAACTTACTATACAAGATTACTCAATTGTAAGAATTTCATTAAAAAAAAAATTATTAAAAAAGAATTTTAATTAATCACAATTCATAGGATTATAATATTTCCTGACCAAGGTCCAATGATACATACTTTTTTTAACCTTACAGGTACTAATTTTCCAAATATGCAACAAATGTAAGTAAGATTTAAAATATTAATAAAGAAGTTTTCAACTAATTTTTCTTTTGAAGAGAATTAACACTTTCTCAGCCTGTTGATGTTAATATACAAGAATTTCCAGGACAAGCCATGTAAATATATTCCAAAACACTTTTCAATTTCAATTTTATTAATTTAATTTATTTTTTAGAAAGTTGAAATCTACTCCGTCAAGATATAAGAATGAAATTAGATCAAATTTATCATTTGAAAGCGGATATGGTATTTACTTATTGTAAGTTTATTATTTTAATTTTTCATTTGATATTTTAAAATTAATATTGTTGTATTTTAGAGATATAGATAATTTTAATATCAACCCAAATGATTTCAGATTATCAAGTTTATCAACTATGTAAATATTAATATTCAGTTTTAGTTTTTAAATGATCTCAAATTAATTAATGAACATTATTATCATCATTTCATTCTAGAACTCTTCGAAAATCTAGTGGAATTTCAGTAGCAAGATATTTAGAACATTATCAAGAATTCAATTCAGATCCTTCAACCTATCCAGTTTATTCATGGTTTGCAGCTAATAGTACAATGTAGGTTATTTTACAATTATAAAAGTCTATTTTTACTAAAATTTCGTCATTCTATAGTGAAATACATAATAATACTCACTTGGTAGGTCCTGTTCATGATTATCCAAGTGAAGGATTTTATCCAATTACTTTGAACTTGGCCGACAATCCAAATATAAGCGAGTTGCCAGAGTCTTTTTGTTATTTAGAAGATATCGATCTCACCGGCACAGCACTTACAACAGTACCAGATTGTTTCTATTGTAAATGGAGCTTTTTTAAAAATAGATTTTCTGTTAAAATTCCAACTGATTTCGTTTGTGGTATGATAGGAGTGTATTAATTTAATAATTATATCTATTAATATCTTTTAAACAATAGTTCCAAGATTAGATAAAACTTTATTTGTTTACAATCCAATAAACCCAAATCCAATCAACATGCATATTTTTGGCAAGAATTTGGGTTGGGATCAAATTGCAAATCTGACAATGGTTACAGCAAATTCACATTTTATGTATGATTTCATAAATAAAATACAAACTGGATTAATTAATATTAATATTGTTTTTCTTTTTTGTATTTTTTAGATATAATAATAATAATGCAACTAAAGGATCATTCTCATTTTTTGTAAATACAACCAAACTTACATTCGAATGGGCCTATGATAGTATGTAATTTATTTTTCATTAATAATTGATAAGATTTACTAATTAGATTTTTTCTACAGTAAGTATTGTCAATGCTGCATTTGGTATTATTGAAGGAACATCTCTTCGAGTTGAAATCAATGGTACTTTCAATACTACAATGGACTATCTAGTTGTAATCAATGGTGTTTCATGTTCACCTGCAGACATATATCCAAATGTTTTGATTTGTACTTTAAGTTCTATACCTACAATCAGAAACCCTATAGTAACTGTAACAAATGAAATTCAATCTATTAATACTACTTTAAAGATACAAAGTAATTATAATATATAATGATCAACAACAAAACCAAATTTTATTCTAACTTTACAATTCTATAGATATACCTATTGTTGTTTCAACATCAAAGCTTTACGAATCGGGAGGAAACTTAACCCTCTATGGGTACTTCCATGATAATATTATTCAGGCAAACGTTACTGTCAACAATGTAAATTGTACTATTACCAAGGCAAACTCTACTGTTATAGTATGCATTATTACAACCAATCTGACACCTGGTTTTGCAAATTTAAGTGTATTTACCAATAATATAGAGTTTATATCCTCTTATTTAGTTATATGTATGTATAAATAAATATTATAAATGAATGTTTATTTATTAATATTTTTTTTTTAAAAAAAAAACCAAAAAAGATCCTTTGGATATACCAAATAATTGTATTGTTGATAATTCTACTTGTAGTAGTAATGGTATTTGTATAAACAATAAGTGTGTTTGTAATAGTGGATTTGGTGGTTATTATTGTCAGTCTACATTGACACCAACTGTAATAATTCAACCAAATACAACATCACCCAACGTCAATGTAATTTCAAACAACACACAATTCCAATTCAATATCATTGCAATACAAGAGTTGGACGATCTCCGAGATGTCTTCAGTAGCTATCACTTCAATGTATCAAATTGGAACTATTCAAAGTCATCCGATATTGAAAAGGATAACTATAAATATGTTCTAAATGACTCGAGTGTACAGTTCAAGACAGAGGTCAATATAGATAACTTTAAGGTCTACAAGAATTTAACTTTTGCTGGTATTGAAACTATTTATCCTCCAAACTCTTTGAAGTTATCGATCACTATAAGTGGATGGTCATTCAACTCGAATCTAAATACACTGAGGGTGTTGTTTGCGACCGAGATGAAGTACCAAACAATCGATGATAAGTGTCAATCGGAAATCAGAGACAAACAACAATTCGATCAACTTCATAACTTACAATACTTAACGATTACCAAGGATGGTGTCACCTATTTCGGAAGATTCTTGGATTATGTTTTATCAGATAACCGACCTGCTTACTCATTGAATGAGATAATTAGTAACTCGACAACCAACAGTACTCAATCAGTTATTATTGGAATCAACATGCCACAGAGTCAAACAACTATTATC